CATTGAAACGACACCCAGCAATGTGATTCATTCGTTCTAAATCACAAAACTACGCAAAGTTACCAAAACACCCCCAAAACACCCCCTAACCCCCTAACAAACCAGAAACCAGCACCTGCTAGGCCTATCCTAGCATCCCTACTATTATTTCCCTGTTTTCCCCGATTTTTATCGCACCTAATACTACCCCAGTACACCCAGTATCGTCCCCAGTACCCAAATCCCAGCCAAAACCCACCCAATTCATGTATACAGCACCCTACCAGCCTGCTACCCATCTACCCCCACCCCCTACCCATTTTCCTACCCCCTATCCAGCACCCCAGCACCCCATCCCCGCCCTAGCAACCCCTACCGGGTCCCCAACCTGCCCCTAGAGCCCACCCGGTCACCCAAAAGCCAGCTAACCAGCCGGGCCAAAGCACTATAGGTCGGGCCACATCTAGAATGAACATTCTGGTGCCACACCTTCGAGCACAAAGCAGCCTACCCATTTTTATCCTTTTTGGGACGTTCTGAACCCGCTAACTAATTGTCTTCTTCCTTCGTTCGCAAACAGAAGTTCTCGTTATCAAAGTGCCACCTCAACGAGATGACCCTTTGCTGACCGGTATATTGTGAGTGGGTGGGGAAGCGTGAGCGGCAGGAGAACGGCAAACTCCGTTCGTGATCTGAATCGGAGTTGAAAGCGCCACACAAGGCTCTCCTGGTGCTCAGCTTCGAGCTGTAAACCTGCCTGGGTGAAAACTGAATCCACTATGTGAACACGTGACACCCATAACAGCGCAGCTCACCCATCACGTGTTCCATAGAACCGGGACTCCCACCCAGAGCAAGCATACTGACCTACTTTACAAGGCATGCCTCATCGCCTCCCAACCCACAAGTGCAGCAGAATAAAACCCACAAGGGCAACCGAATCAAACCCACAAGGGCGACAGGATCAAACCCACAAGGGCGACAGGATCAAACCCACAAGGGCGACAGGATCAAACCCACCAGGGCGACAGAATGGACTCACACCCACAAGGGCGAGGAGCGAACAACACATAAGGCAATGGAACAACTCAACAAGTGAGTATAAGATTGCACATGACAACACAAAACTGGCGAGATCTGCCAAAAACAGAAAAAAAAGGGACCCTGAGAGCGAAAAAAAAAGGAAGGGGAAAAATAGTTTGGATGGCGATATATAATTTTAATGTCATTACAGAGGGAAGGATAGAGAACAAGATGGATGGGAGTGTAGTGGAGGATAAGCAAAAGCTGACTCATAAACAGGAACATTGAAGGGGATGAGACAAAGAACAACAGGAGTTGGAAGATTTAGAAAAATTAGGCTGGGCAATTACCGCTGGCAGCATGATGATCATCTCCACCACAAACTGAACACTCATCCCGAACATGAGGGGAGTGGTTGCCTCCGCACCTCGCAGGACCACCAAAGTTGAACTGAAAGCAATAGTCAAAGTCTCCGTTGATAGCGGAAAGGGTCTTGAGTTCAGGGTCGTAACGTGTGATGACGGGGCGGCCATGGACCGTGGTGGAATGCGTGCACTCGCTGGCGATCTCGTTCGGGCGACCACATCGAAGGCAGACCCGACGGTACGTAGCTCCAGGCTGGGAGGGGTAGGGCTGGTGACGGACAGTAGATGTGCGGTCTGTACGAACGGGGCCGGCGAATTGTAGCATGTCAGCCCTAATCTTCTGCAATTCATCCTTACTCGCTTTGGCAGCGACCTGCTGACGGACACCGGTCAAACGCGTCCACCAAACTTCAGCAACGTAGGAGAAGCATGTGGTGAAGTACGTGGTACGTTCGGCGATGTCGAAGGCTCGGATGGCGTCGAACTCGTCTTGGAAGTAGGAAAGATTGGACAGGACCTCGAAATGATTGCGCCAACGCTCGTAGACCTCCACATCTGATACCCCCTTCTGCCACTGCAACATATTCTTCCAGCATTCCTTCCAAGCCTCCGAGCCCAAATCCTCCTCCCTACCGAAAGCGCCAACGTTGATGAGCGTGGCATTCCCTTTCGCGGTCCTGTACTTCGTGCGGTGACTCGCCGGGTTGGCGAGGAGTTCCTGTAGAGCGTGGTTGGAGAAGAGTGTGAGGGGAGGGCGAATGTCGTATCCTGCGAGGGTCGAGATTTCGGGGTGGATCACTACGGCACACTCGTAACTCGCCTTGTGCGTTTCCGCTGCACGCGTGAAAAGGGGCTTGTTTGCGAGGGAAGAGACAGCGACATGGGATGTACTGGAGTCGTTACCATTAGCACCGCCAGTCGCTGTGTTACCCTGCGAGACAATTTGTGCCGCAAGAGTTTTTGCTAGTTGATCAACGAGAGCACGATCGTGGGAAGGGAGGGATGCGAGAGACGAGAGAAGTGGTGTGGTGGCCGTGAAGGGCGATGAACTCGACCGCGGGCGACTGCCGTAGAGCGGTGAAGTCAGGCCGAGGCCGCCGTTTTGACTGCTGGTGTTCGCTGAGAGCGAGTGGCTTGCCGTGCCCGTGTGCGCAGCGTTCTGTGAGCTGAGGAGGGATGTCGCGAGAGGAGAACCGACAGTCGTGGGTTGGTTGGCAGCGTTGCCATTTTGGGCCGAGCCAGTAGACGCTGGAACTCGCGCGGACAGCGCATCTTGGGGCGTCGGACCCGGTACCGAGTGCGCAGAGCCATCGGGATTGGTGGTAGCCTCAGCCATTAGAGATTCTAGGGTAATATTAAAGAGATATAGTGTAGAGAGAGTGTAGAGGCTGAAAAAACGAAACCCAGAGGCCGGATGGTCTCTGGAAGCTCTGGTGGTCGAGGAAAGAAAGAGCGTGAGAACTTCACTTGCGCTCGCCGACTATTTTCTCGAGCGGCATTGACTCGCATCCGGCCGACAGACTTACTTAGCTCACGTAAGAGCTATTACCTCGTTCCTCGGCATCGCACTGACACCCGGCATTTATCACAGAAAACAAAAATGTGCAATGCAGGTATTTGTTGATATCCCAATTGGGCCAGTGCAGCATTGTAATGGCGGCCATTTTCTGGCTCAGTGTGGCAGTGCGTACTTTACGCCAGACATTACAATGGAGCTCGACGTCCTTGCCGCACTTCATTATAATGGCACTACATGGTCTGGTGGATCCCGATCTCCAGTCCATGACGGATTGCATGCCAAATGAAGAGAGCAAGAGATGGTATTTGAATCATATCAAGGACTCCGTATTCACAATGGACACGAAAGCACATGGTGTTCGCTCTTTCCACTTTCAGTCAAAGTAGCCCGCTAACTCATGCTCTAGGCTCATCCTGAAGCCAATAATCCTTCTGTTCGCTATTCCTATATCGATTCCGAACCAGGGGTCCTCTGGCTCATCATTCGCTGGTGGTCCGGCGGCGAATCAGACTACTACTTCGATTTCATTGACCATCGCACTCGTGGCATAGTGACGCCTCCAGCCGACCTTACGGTGAAGGTCAACGAGGTTGGCAGCTGATACGAGATACGCACGTTAGAGGTCAACATCGTGCGAGCCCGCAATCATACTACCCCGTTTGGTAATGGCGAGCAGCGCTATGTGGTGCCGGCTGGTTCGAGGGTCAGGTTTTATCGCACTGGCAAGAAGAAGGCGGTTGTGGAGATTGTTGCACCTTGAGAGATGCCTGAGGATGAGGATGAGGGGGAGGTCCTAGTTGTTGCCGCTAATGATTTCACTGGTTTGTGATCGTTGGGCGATTATACTCTCTGTTACTACCTTGTCCCGTCCTATTATAATCTGCCCGATTGTTTCCATCCATGCTGTCTGGTTTGATATCGCTATGCCTCCTTCCGCTTCTCGTCTATACGTGTATGTTCTCATCCTTATCTGAACTACACCGGGACTGCTGGTGATCCTAGCTTGCCCTCCGACTAACTACTTGCATCTGGTGAGATCAACAAACCAAGTAAAAGCCATATATTCAATGCCAGCGATGCTAGGCTCGATACGAACTTGATGATCGCATCGCGTAGATATATATCGTTCGCGGAGTGCAAAGACAAGGTCGTCCATGTGGCAAGGTTGGCTCACAATAACGGTCGTGTTTGTGCGCACGTGGATCGAACCTAAGATCTCAGGGACGACTGATGTCAGCACTTGATTGCTGAAAATGAGCCCAGTCTTTGTACTTTGCAGATCAGACATCGAGGACTTTTCTCAGGAAATTTGTACGCGTTGGGATCAAACCTCGTAACCAGTATGCATCCCGCCTATCCTACCGCATCCTTTAGGCTAACCTTACTCGGCTAGTTTTGTCTGCGACATTATCGCTGCATGGCAAATTCTGAAAATATTTGTGTGTACTCTATAGCCTCCGTGAAAGAGGTTTTTTTAGAAGAGTGAGCTGCAAAACTACCCGGCTCATGCTGCAGCGCTGTCCAGACAGTGCCACGTTGTGCAGAATCTGGGCTCCGCAAACTCTCTCATGCTTCGGTCCGGCCGATGCCGAGGCTGACTCTAATATAAACCTCCAGCGACCAAATGCAACAACTTACACCCAACTGTCTTCACTCTCTTCGCTCCAAGAGTACCACTGATACATTTGCCAGTCGTCCTGCTTTATCGTTGCTCATCTTCAAATTCTCCTCCTCCCTGCCATTGCTCCCTCCCACCCCGATCTACGACCGTGCTCTCGTCAAGCCCATTCGTGATCAATTCTAGCTTTCGCAGGTTGAGAGCTCCTACTCTCATGTGTGTCCCGTCCAATCCCCACTGACTATCGTCCTAAATGAAGCCAGCTCTTTGGTTCCAAGACTCGCGAGATGGCTCAGGCTGGTCGCTCTGGACAGTTCCTTGGATCGTCCTCCGCCCTTTTCCCTGGACAATCGATGGGCGACTTGTATTTCCAAGATTACTTCACAGCAGGTCCACCCGCACCCCCCAACTTCTATGCGAGAGTACACTGTGAATGCATAGCTCGCAGATGGAACATAATTACGACTACCCGAAGCGTTCAGGCCCCTGGAGGACAACAGGGAGCAGCTTGGGCGTGGACAGGCCCCGGACCAATCCTCAACTCCGTATTTGTTGACGATCAAGGTGATTGGCTTAATGGGGGTATCAATGTGAGCCTTGTTGCGCTCGCTAGCCGCCTTCAACTGCTAACTAATCGATGTTCAGGCTTTAGGACTGCTAGGGTTAACAATGTGGGTGATCGGGGGTGTGCCCGTGTGGGGGTAGCGTATTCCGTGGCACCATACTACGGTCATGAGACGCGCCACTGGACCTCTGGTCCTCCAGATTCTGCCGTTACACTACCACGAACACGAGAAACGCCAGGCGGGCCAGCACGTCGGAATGCCTCTTCTCGAGATCAATGCAGGACGTAAGCACCTGGTGTTACATGGGAGGGTTAAATATTCTTTGCAACACCAGTCGTATCGGATGTATTTGTAAAGTTTGGAGCGGGAGCATGATCAAAGGCACGACTGGGTCTGTACTATCAAGTCACAGGACGAGTGTAACCCGGCAGATGGCAGAATAAGCACAAGTGGTACAGATCGTGGACAGAAGTAAAACTGGGAAATTCCTGTTCCGTTAGGACAGGTCTTGAGACGAGCTTTGTCACAGCGTCACGTCACGCCTCTTCGGTGGCGGTGGCGTCTTTTTGCTGGGAGCCGTCGCTCGAGATTTTTGTTACGGTCACTCGTCCTCCAAGGACCCCTGCGTATGCTGACAGAGGTCCCATCCGAAAACCCCCAAAAGCGGTCGTTTTCGTCGCACGATTTTGGGGGTGTTTTCGTCGCATCAGGGATGGGACATCGGATTTTTGGCCATTTCCGTCGCACGTCGGATGGAACATCGCTCCGCATAAGGCCTTCCCAAACCCTGGTCATCAAAAATTTTCCCCAAATCATGTTTTTGGCCGTGTTTGCCAAGTTTTTACCCCATTTTTTGCGGGCCCGAGAGACATTTTCGTCGCATAACGGGATGGAACATCAGCATCGAAAAGCCGTTTTCGTCGCACTACGGATCGGACGAAACACGATTTTTCGCTCAAAATTCGTCGCATCAGGATGGGACCTCCGTTAGCATACGCAGGGGTCCTGTCCTCCATCACTCTCGATTCCCGGTGTTTCCCGGTCATTCCGTCTCGTTCCGGCCTCTCTGCCTGTGTTGTGCAGTGCTCAAATACTGAAGTACTGACAAGTCTGAACAAACAAATGTGGGCTGAATACGGCCTACATTCTTCCACCCGTGTGAGCGATTTAATCTCGAGCCACGGGCATGCCATGCTCGTTCTTTCCTTGAACGCAGGTGAACGTGGTGTGAGCTTTAAACAAGTTTTGTGGCGTTTTCGCCACAGCAAGGGTTGCCTGTTTTTTTTTTCAGGGATGCTTGGACAAGAAAGCCGGTAAAAAGACGCATTATAATCAGTTGGCCAGCGCTGTTCGATCCGAAGGAACAGGTCTGGCCCGGAGGGCGTGGAATGGAAAAAAGACGCTACAGTAACGGTGTGACGTGACGTGACTGACCGTGACCGGGCGCGGAGAGCGCGAGTTTGGCCATCGGAGTGTGGCGCCGCTGCATGGAGGGGCCGCTTGGCTTACATTCGAGCATGCAGGTGTATCGGGGGGACTGGATTTTGCAGGGGGTGCTCAAAGAGTGATAGGTAATTGTATGTAAGGTATCAAACATATTTTATTACAAGTAGGTATACAAGTGGAGGTGGTGTATATGTGCTACTTGTGTGCTTGTAAGGGGATCAGTATGAAACATACAAGACGGCCGCGAAGCGGCCTGGAAAAAATAACGCATCTTCCTGGAAGTATACAGAATATACAGAATGATGCTAGGCACGAAGCGGCGGCCTGAAAGAGCAACGAGGAGAGCTGGGATCGTCTGAGTGTGGGCGGGTGGCGGGAGGTGGCGAGCTGTGTGACGCGGGCGGAGGGATCGTCTTTCAATCTAATCGTATCGTCTTTTTTGCCGTAGGAAGGTCTCTTCGGGACCCTGCTGTTTGGGTTGTCGTGCCAGCCAAACCGCTCGCAAAGCAAAGGCGAGGAGGGAAAAAGATGATCCAAAGGATCAGAAGACGATATAGCCGCGGGCGCTCAAGCGGTAAACGAGGCGCTGTCCATCAATCTTATCGCTATTCGGCAGCTTCCAGATACCCCGGCATTACCTCAAATCCATCAATCATGTCACGCCGGCCAACTTCGAAGGATTTCTGAGCTGTTTTCATTGCTAGAGGCCCTCCTCCTCCGATACGAACATACAAACTAACTACCTAGGTGCCACCCAAAGATGTTCCCGTTACAACAAGACGCTCCCGGCACTTGCCGCGTGACAAGAGCGTCTTTTCCTCGGAAGAAGCTACATTCCGCGTATGACTCGGGTTGCAGCTAGATCGCAGAAGGCCGAAAACGCTGTGGATGAGCTGCATTCTCACTCTTCGAACACCATTGCATGCACTCATTTGTACCACCTATGACCCGTATCGCATTCGCTCGCTTACTCACATCTACAATGCTTTACTGGATCGCGCCAACAGCTACAAAGTAGCCCGCAATTGACTGGCTGAAACGCCGCCCATACCACGCGTAGCCGATGTATGTTGCAGTAGGTTGCAGTCTTTCTGTTGCAAAGTCTGTCCTTCTGACCAGTTTGCTGCTATTTTAGGCGCCCTGTAGGGCCCTATATATAGTATCAATGAAATCTCACAATCATCAGCCACTTTCCCAGCTGTGCAGCGGAGTCGCCTGCTTGCCGTTGCTTCGAGTTCAGCAGCCACGAAGAATATTAGTATCGCTGGTTCTCTCTCTCCGACACAAGGATATTGATGTACGGGCACGCCGGACAATCGAGTCAGCGTCTACCTGGTAATCAGCCTTCATTCTAACCTTTGGATCACAGCATGGGAAACCTGGTCACCGCCCTCCCTCGATCGCTCATCTCGGTCTCCTGTCGCATAGTCTTACGGCTTTGAGCAGGTTAATGGCATGTACTCGTCTTTAATTGTACGACAGCCGGACGTATATCTACTGTTGGAAGGGCTTCCTCTACATGTTGAACGAACACGATTGATCGTTTTCATAGTGGTTGAGACACCCGTGGACCGATGGGGTTTGATACCCATTGGTACCCTATGCTGTGCTGGTGCCGGTAGGCTATGTATAGGGCAGGTCCTGGGAGCACAGGAATCGATTCGGCCCTACACGCTTGGAACCGCTTTGGCGGGCCCATCAACGAGCGCTCGCAGTCATCATAGAACAGCACAGCCTGAGTGGCGTAGGGCATCGTACAAAACCGTGGCAGCCTGAAACACGAAACGTTTGCCATACATTTCCCTCGCTTCTCCCTCGTTCCCTCGCATAAAGATCGTCGCGCTTTGTCTTCTGCTCGCTAGTCGACCACCTCCTCTTGCTTGACTAGTCTCTTTGCGATGGCTGCTCATCGACCCACGCTGTCGTCAACGTCCTCTTACGATTCACTTCACGACCCGTTCGCAGAAGGCGCTTCATCACGTCAACCCTCGCGCCAGCCATCCCCTCAACCGCCTTTCGCCCCTCAAGCACCTTACGGTCAACCGAATGATAGCAGCGCGATCTTATGGCCGGGTTCAGACCACGAAGCCGACATAGACGAAGAATTAGAGGAAAAGCAACCGTTGACAGCGCGTCCTGGGTTTAGTGGTGGATTTTACCCTCCCCAAGGGTGAGCCCCTTTTCGTCGTTCTAGCAAGGACTGCATGACCAGATCTTACTGATGTAATCCTTGCTGCTCGCGCCAGATATCCAAACCCGAGCGAGTTTGGAATCCCTCCTCGCCCAGGTTCCCTGGTGTCCACCGCGTCTATGGGCGTGGAGTCGGCTTGGAGACGCCGACAGACCATCAAGCGCGGTGTCACCAAGAAGGTGAAGCTTGTGAATGGCAATTTTATCACCGAATATCCCGTGCCATCTCCTGTGTACCAGGCCGTTCAGGCCAAGTACAGGTCAAGCATTCAAACGACCGAATTCTCGTCAGTGGACCCATTTCTCCATTACTTCTTGCCACTGACGCTCTGCACTCGGCAGTCATATGCGGTACACCGCAGCTACTTGTGATCCGGATGACTTCACCGAGGCGAACGGATGGTCACTTCGGACGAAATTGTACAATCGTGAGACCGAACTTCTCATCGCTGTCACCTCGTATAACGAGGACAAGGCGCTTTATGCGAGGACTTTGCACGGTGTCATGTCGGTGTTTCTCGCTTACCCACTTGGCAACCCTTGCTGACGGACTTTTAATAGGCTTAATATCCGCGACATCTGCAAGACCAAGGCTTCGAAGTACTGGAGGAGGAACGCCGAGGAGGGCAACCCGGGCTGGCAGAAGATCACTGTCGCGCTCATTGTTGATGGTCTCGAGGCCATGGACAAGACTGTCCTTGACATTCTGTCCGCTGTGGGCGTCTATCAAGATGGTGTGATGAAGAAACAGGTGGATGGCAAGGATACGGTGGCCCATATCTTTGAGGTGAGTTTCAGCTCGCACGTTGTCAAGTTTGTTGGATGAAGTATTTCGTTCGCATGATATCTGACGGAGGCCGCTGTTTTTCTGTCAACGATCAGTATACGACCCAGATATCCATTGATACGACGCCCGCCCTCGTCCTGCCTCACGAGGATGATGCCAACAACCTGGTTCCGGTTCAGATCATATTCGTTCTGAAGGCAAAGAACCAGAAAAAGATCAACTCGCACCGATGGTTGTTCAACGCGATTGGGAAAATTCTCAACGTACGTTTCCAAACTGCATTCTCCCCGAACATTGCGTGCTTGACGCTGATCATCATTACAGCCCGAAATATGCGTCCTCATCGACGCAGGGACCAAGCCAGGTTGGTTTCAGTCGGATCACCTCCCGAAGTGTTGTACCTAATGCGTCCTTTCATTGTCACTAGGCCATAAGAGTATCTATTACCTCTGGGAGGCGTTTTACAACGACAAGAACCTGGGTGGTTGCTGTGGCGAGATCCACGCTCAAATCAACCACGGCACGAAACTTTTGAACCCCTTGGTCGCAGCGCAAAATTTCGAGTACAAGATGTCCAATATATTGGGTCAGTCGACTGGCCTTCCTTCTATTCTCTAAGCTTGATCTTACCTGCGTGTTTCAGATAAGCCTCTGGAAAGCAGCTTCGGCTATGTTTCTGTCTTGCCGGGTGCTTTCTCTGCCTACCGATTCCGTGCCATCGAGGGGCGCCCTCTCGAACAATACTTCCACGGCGACCACTCGCTCGCGGATCGCTTGGGGCCGAAGGGTATCTACGGAATGAACATTTTCACGAAGAACATGTTCTTGGCTGAGGATCGTATTCTTTGTTTCGAGCTTGTCGCGAAGGCCGGAGCCCAATGGAAATTGACCTATGTTAAGCCCTCCAAGGCAGAGACCGATGTGCCGGAGAGTGCTGCGGAGCTCATTGGACAGCGTCGTCGGTGGTTGAACGGGTCATTTGCTGCTTCCGTTGTGCGTATTTTGGAGCTTGTCTTGGTGACAAAACCTGATAATATCCCTTCATCCTGTCTAGTACGCTATTGTCAACTTTGCAAGGTTCTATCAATCCGGTCACGGCATCATCCGCATGTTCTTCTTCCACGTCCAAGCAATAGTGCGTAGTCCCTCACCGTGCGCGATCTGCTCAGCGCCTGACATCCAGATATCTTTTAGTACAACGTCGCTTCCCTTATCTTCTCCTGGTTCTCTCTGGCGAATCTTTGGTTGACCTTCAGTATCATCATTGACCTCTGGCCCGACGCGACTTTCGGGACTAAAAACGGCACCAGGACTCCGGTGAGTGCTGTCCGGCATGACTATCTGTCCAGGCTGACCGGCGATTGTTCTATTAGACCAGCACAGAGAATACTATCCTCGAAGTGGTGAGCAATCTGGCCTGCATACGTTTTGACTGTGGCTGATCCGGTACGCGAAGCTTGCTTGGGTGAACTTCGCATTGAAGTGTATATATCTCGCATTCCTCGCCCTTCAGGTGTGTTGACACATGTATCAGTCTTCATGCCATTGATTGACCCTGCGCAGTTCGTGCTGGCTCTAGGAAACCGACCCAAAGGTGAACGGGGCCTTTACACCACTACATTGGTCGTCTACGCCTTGCTAGCCATCTATCTCATCATCGCTTCCTGGGTCCTCACAATACAAGCGTTGATAGTACGTTGCACACTCCGTCAGCCGAGAGGGATGACCTTATTGATTACTAAATATCTTAGAACATACCAAGCTTATTAGCGCAAGATCACAGTACAAGTGAGGTCATCGGCACATTACTCGGTGGCACGGTCGGCACTCTACTTGCTGCCATGCTAAGTACCCTTGGAATCTATTTGATTTCCTCCATCATCTATGTGCGTATATTCATCGTCTCGGGTGGTGGACCAAGACTGACTCCGTGTCTTGTACATTAGGGTGACCCGTGGCACATGATCTCGTCTTTCCCTCAATACCTTTGCATCGCCCCAAGCTTCGTCAATGTTCTCAACGTCTACGCCTTCTGTAACTTGCACGATGTCAGTTGGGGTACAAAGGGTTCCGACAAGGCCGAAGCTCTCCCCTCGGTCTCGTCATCGAAGCAGAAAGGAACAGACGCTCCCGTCGTCGAAGACACTCTGCGCAAGCAGGAAGACCTCAACGCCATCTTCCAGGAGACCGTCACCCGTGCCGTTACGAAGATCGACGTTGTTGAAAAGCCGGAAAAGCCGACCATGGACGACGAGAACAAGACGTTCCGTACGCGTTTGGTTGCCTTCTGGATGCTCAGTAATGCTGTACTGGCCGTCGCCATCGAGAACATAAACGGTGTCGTGGCTTCGACCGATCCGGACGTTGTGAAGCAGCGAGCACAGGAGTTGAGGGCGAAGCAGAACGAGTATTTCAAGGTCATTCTGTGGTCGACGTTCGCTTTGACGGCGGTTCGGTTCGTTGGGGTAAGCAGATAACTCGTAAATTTCAAGCTAACTTACAGCTGACGTTGCTCTCTCTTACAGTTCTCCTGGTATGTTACGAAGCGCAACATCTTCAGATGCTGCAGGCGATCGTAAAAGACTCTCGCGGGTCTCAACTGTATCACACTTTCTTGTTGTTCTTTACCATGATTCGCTTTGGGACATTTGGCCGGACGATAATGTATCACGCTACGTACGCTCTTCGTTCTCTCTTGCTTTGACTTCGACGGACATCTACTAGCTATTTATCCCCTCATGCATCTATACCACCAGCTTATATTCGGTTTCGATGACTGTCTTTCTATCTAATGCATTCCACATGAACGCTTTGTGCAAATTCTGACTGCTTCTGTTTTCGAGGTGTAGTGCCTATATGGTGCCACCCACCACAGCTTTCTTCGTCCCAGGTCGTTCGCTTGTATGGCCTTCATCCGCCGCTTCAGGCGCATCGTATACTTTTCTGAATCTGATCTTTTCGTAGCTGCAGGCGCCTACCGGTGCCCCTGGGCTTAGCGCTGACTCGTGCTCTCCTTGCAGGTCCTCCTTCCCTTGAAACTGCTTAATTCGGAAAGGGAACTTACTCTGGGACCGCGGCCGTTGGCATTGATGCATATTGATGCCTCGACCTTGCCTCGGAATTTCAGAGATCCCTTTCACATCGATCGCGACTCGGACCCAGCGACATATGCAGTTCACGTTGCCTTGGTCCGTTACAAACTTGAAGTCTCGCTATATGTCCTCCCTTACTCTTCAAAAGCTTTTGAATATCGAACGTATCAAAATTGCAGGAGAGGTCTACTGTTTTTTCCGATTCCTGGCGTATCTTCTTGTTTCGCTGCTGTCTCGCTGTCCTTCAAGATATCCTCGCCGTGACGATCGAACTAGTCAGGCCCAGGATATGTACCGCATGATAGCGATGATCCTAGTACTTTGATGCGCCCCAGAGGCTATGCTCATCAGCCATTCATTTGTTCCTTTGGCCTCCATGATCACCCCGACTCTGGCACTCACAATTATATGGATAGGGACATTTAATGGCCCAAACGACTGGTACACCACCGACAAAACCTTGAAACATGTTGCTTTACTTCCTGGTGCTTTCAGTGCTTTCCTCCAACGCGCGCTAAGTATTCCCATTCAAGTCGGCTTCGTGGTTCGAGGCACGCATAGTGCTAATCGTTTCATGCGTTGTTACCACAAGCCTTGGCCAAGGCTGATGACCGCTGCGATATTGCATATGCTTGTTCAACACCGAAGGTATTAGACGCCGCATGGTGCTATAAAGTCTGGCTGATTCGTTATGCATCTCCCCGACACCTTGACCCCACTTTCATCCATCTCTTATAAATTTCGACACGATGTTCGCCAACGCTTTCGCCTTTTTCAGTCTTCTTGTCTCGGGTTCTGTTGCCCTTGCTCAGGACTGCGGTAAAGGCGCCCATTGGACGGAGGTATGTCCCATTCCTTAGATGTCTATCAATACAATCTACCGGAACAGCTGCACTGACAACCGATATTCCTTTCTTTCAACTCCACAGGTCCAGCCCAACGGTGGAAATGTAACAGCTGCTTGCGCTGACTGGGCCACTGCGTGCACATCGTATGTCATATCTGTCCATGGATCTGCTTTTTTTTTTTCAAGAAACTGACGAAGTATTTCATTTGACTTCGAATGCTCCTCCAGGGTCTGTTCTGGTGCCACATCTTCTTGCTCACAAGCCTATGTTGAGGGTAGCTTCGGTGTGTAACTCCATCTGTCTTCAAGCCTCAGTCTCACCTGCATATCCCCCCTATCCTTTATAAGAACTGACTGTTGTACCTTATTTTGTCTCACAGTCAGTGTCTACGGCTACTGTGACTGTGACGGCACGAACGAATACTCCGCCGTCGTTTCCAACCTCGGTTGGGTCGGTGCCACCTGCGACGATGAGTGTACTTGCAGCCTGGGCTCTTAAACGTTGTAGTCCTTCAGGATATGTGCATAAGCGCTGTGTAGCAGAAACTGGTCGTATGAAAACATTGCTGTGATTTGGTTATACTCGTGAAGGATCTCATTGAAGTCTGAAGATCAGGATCACCGTATGGTTACATGGCAAACCAGTGTGGACCATCGAGTCTGCATAGTTGTCTGAGAAATGGTCCAAAACGGTACACTACATAGCATATAGTCCAATAACGACCTGTTACAATAGTACGACAAACAGGAGAATGCAAATGTCCATCAGGGCTTCTAAGTAAATGTCAAAGGGTATGACAATGAGAGTACAAAAACTCCTTCAGATCACCGGTACAGAAGCCAGTTCTTCCCAATAAACTTCATGGGCAACCAGGTCTCCGCCTCCTCTAGATGCATCTGACAATCGAAGAAATGAGAACCAGGCTGCTCCACCATGAACACCCTCGAATCCGGCTTCGTCTCCTCCAACTTCGCTTTAAACGCCCTCGACCCTTCAATCGGCACCGAATCGTCATCCACTCCATGTATTAACACCGTGCGAGGCCACGCCGTCGCTCCCTGCGCCTTTTCCAGCTCGAGTCTCTGAAACGGAAAAAGCCTGGGATCGTCACCGAGGTATTCGAGGTATCGTCCTTGTTGCATCAGTCCAAAGGCCAGAGGCGTGCGTGGACCAGGGAACTGGGAATTAGAGACGACTTCACCGGGCTTCATGGAGGCGATATGCGAGGTGACAAGTCCGACGGGGACGATGCCGTCAGGAAAGGGAAGTGTGGGGTAGCCGTGGTTGAGCCATTGGGCAAGCATGCCGTGAATGTCGAGAGAGGCGTAGGATGCTACCAAGACCCGAATCTCTTTCGGATGAGCGAAGGCCAGGAGAGTGGCGAGATAGCCACCTGAAAAGTCAAACTAAAGGTGAGATCATCCCAAGACATTGAATGCGTCGTTGTATGGGCTTACCTGCACTTTCACCGAAGGCCAAAATTCTGGTAAAATCCGCGGCGGATTGGCCAGAGGTGATGGTCTGCAGCTGCAAGGGGAGCCCTGTGAAGAGCCATTTCCAAAAATCGTCGACATCTTCGAGAATATCCAAACCGGAGGACTCGGGCATCATGCGATAGTCCGCAGAGATGAGGATGGCGGATTTGGCAACTGCATATTCGAGGAGCCATGTGGGGAAAAAGAGCTCTGCATTGCGACTGCCGTTAACCTGCAATCCGGATGGTCAGCGCGAAGCGTGTGGCATCTGAACAACGGAACGTACGAGTGCTCCTCCGTGAAAGCGGAGAATGAGAGGGTGAGTGCCTGCTGCGAGGTCTTTGGGTAAGAAGATATCGGCTAGGACGGGGTGGTCGCCGACGGTCTTGTAAGTGGCCGTAGAGACATTGAAGGCTTCGAACTTGGACATGTTCAGAAGTGGATGAGTTGAAGTTGGGTGGTTGTTGAATGAGAGGGGAGAAGCTGATATTGTCCGAGCCAGGAAACCTGTAGTATAAATACAAGGATAGACATGGTACACGTGTCGCACTAGGTACCGAGCTATCGTCCATTGGGTTAGAGACATTCAGATCAATGCAACGGGAGAGAACAAAGTCAACTCGATCAAGTCGATACCTCAGGTATGCAGGCCTCAGAATCCATAGTGGTCGCACTCCGGATAGTGATGTCAATCGCGATGTGTAAAAAAAATGGTGGAATCAGAGCAACCACACAGCCTTCGGAGGGACGTCAAGGGTCGATAGGGGATGATCCTGATGCAAGCACCAGCAATTGCCAACAGGACTTGGATGGATTCATCGTCTTGGTGGCAAGGGTGGATAGACCATAGTAAGCGCTGATTGATCACAACTCAAAAGCGTACTGATCCAGCAAGTGTATGAGACTGAACTCGAAACGGTGATATTGGATATCTCAGAGAGTGGATCAAGAGTGGATGGTGTGGAAGTGATGGCCAGTGGTGATCATCAACGAGCAATGCAGTGAAGGAAGATGGTAGCGCAAGTCAAATATAGAGCTGAGTAATAATAGCTGTAAGAGACGACTTCATGAGAGAAATACTCGGAGTAATTCTGCCGGCTGGAGGATGGCGGTTGGACATCATTCGATATGGGTTGGGGTTGGAGTCAGGCAACATTAGCAGTCAGGCTGTCCGGCATTCTCCGGATCTTTTGGAACAAGGACGCGTCGCGCTTGCCACCTGCCCCTGCCCTCACTTTCGACTTGACTCTCTGCTTGCTTTTCTAAAGCTTCTCTGCTTCTCGCTCACTGAAGATCCATTTTGTGCTGTGTGTCGGCAGCCTTCTAAAACCAATAGTCAGGGCCCCCAGACCACAGTCTAGAAGAATGTCTTCACGGCCAGATTACCGACGCCGGGATCGTAGTTGGGAAAGGGACGAGCGGGACAGAGACCCTAGAGACCGACATTCGCGGTACAGCAGTGACCGCTCTAGAGGAGGTGGACCAGGTGGTAGAGGCAGGGATAGAAGTCGGTCTCGAAGTCCACCACGTCGTGGCGAGAGGGACAGGGACAGGCGGTCTGGTGCGTCGAAGACCTTCTCGTCGCTGTTCACTTGCACTGACATTTCATCCTCACATTATGCTATGCGCTGCATGCACGTTTTTAGATAGGCATGATGACCGTCGTGACAGAGATGATCCTAGGGACAAAAGAGATGACAGACGGAGGGACCACGACCGGGACCGTGATGATAAACGTGATTATCCGCGAAGGGATGCTGAGAGGGACGGACGAGACCACGACAGGAGAGACAGAGGCGGTGACCGCGACCGTGGAAGGGATCGTGGAAAAGACAGGGATGAAAGAGAGACTGGCACTCGCTCGCCACCCCCGGGCCCTCGTGATGGCCCGTCAAGACCTCCAGGTATCATCCCATCCTATCTCAATAGTTCTTTGAAGATTGACACATTTATTAGGTGCATCATTCACAACCTCTCCGCAAGAGGGCACTCCGGAAGTAGGAGAGGAAGGTGAAGAGATGGACGCCACTAACGCAGACGACGAGGCCATGATGGCTATGATGGGGATGTCTGGCTTTGGCACGACCAAGGTGCCTTTATATTCTTCAGAGTGTATATCTGTACTCACGTGCTGTGTACGCAGGGTAAACATGTCCAAGGCAATCAGGAAGGGACCGCCGATGTCAAGAAAATCCGCACTTGGAGACAATACATGAACAGGTATGGTATTCTCGCAACCTGTTAGGACATCATTCAGTAACAGTGGTTCTTTTTGAACAGACGTGGAGGCTTCAACAGACCATTGGACAAGATCAAATGATTGTTTCATGGCAATTTCAATTCGTGCTCCAGACGGACAATTACATAGTTGAGTGCATCCGTTGTTTCGACCACGCCACAGGCTTCAGTGGCTATTCCACTTGCGCGCAGAAGACCTACAGCGCACTTTTGAGAACGATATACACTCGTTGATCGTCCAGACGTCCGTAAGTGGCTTGTGTGCTTGTTATCGTGCCTTGGTACTGTTCTGCAGTCCGCACAGAGGAGTACCATTGATTATACTATATGTTTGTGGTCTCACTGCATACCTTTCGCGTGTGCTTGTCTCAGACAAAGGAATCGCTCGATCGGTAAGGTCTAATGGGTACAACGAGCAGCAATATACTTCATCATTGGGAGAAAGTGAAAGATCGTCACATACAACAACAACAAAAGACATCATCACAAAGATCATGAAGTAGAAGAGAGAAGGAGAAATATCGGAGACTGAGAGTCGTGCATGTTGATTGTCAACGTCATCAGAGTAAGCACGTCGAAGTGTGGGGGCGCATGTATGTAGTAGACGAACAAACAGGCAGGCATCTCCATCCACTTCTCAGCGCAAACTCATGAAGGAAAGGTGAAAGACGCCGAACTAGAACCCGTGCAGCTTGATGGTGTTCTTCGGAATTCCCTCTTCGGTGAGGAAGGTGGAGATCTTGAGCCGATGGTCACCCTGCAGCTGGATGACCTGTCCCATCTCTTCGTCCTCGACGAGCGTCCCGTTACAGGCAAATTCCTAGATATATCGGAATATCGCGAGATGCAAGGAAGAATGGAAGGACACGAGTCAGCAGCGAAGTGCGGGCGCTTGAGTCACACGCAAATAGAGGGTGGGACAACGATGGGTGGCTGATGGCTATGGGAGACGAGTACAGTACCTTGCGTAAGGCCTTTAACACCTTCTTGGCATCATATTCTGTGGAAAGAAAATAAGTTTGAGGAACGAGAAGCCGATGTGAGTAAGTATACGTACCCTTGGGCAAACCTTGTAGGGTCGTCAGCGTCTTGCGCCCATTCCTCTGTTGAATACGGATATGGATGTAATTCTGCTGAGAGCCGACGTCCTTGTTGTTACTCAAGGGGTCGGCCTCGTCGGCGAACGGGTCTGTAGTGCACCAAGCAAGGAGAATTGAAGGAGGATCAGTAAATATCAACTCGCCTCAGCAGTACGGGAGCCAATGATCGAAATAGGCAATGGCTTGAGGGTATCGCATCTGACTCGGAAAAGCAGAGTAGAGACGTACCGAAGGTGTTGAGGTTCTGCACGCTCATGCAACGAAAGGAAGAAGAATACGAGTGTTTGGGAGTGAGACTGAGTGGTGGTTGTGTTGCGCGACACGATGATGGAAGACTGTAAGGACCGGCTCGCCCTGCCTTCCGCTATTTATTCCATCCCTCGCATATTATGTAAGTAATCCCCTTTGAACTTTACGTTCGAGTCCGCCTCCAGGCCTGTTCACTGCCTGTTTCTCTCCCCACTGTTCCCATGGCCCAAACTACTCCTTCTAAGCGGAAGCCCCCCACTTTTCAACACCTGCCAGAACTGAGGGGTAAGCTATGCCTATTCATATTCGGACAAACATGAAAACTGAAGTTATTGCCACAGCGAAGAAGCTGAAAAAACTCTGGGTCGAAAAACAAAAGATCAAGAGCAAATGGAAGGCTCAGAAGCGCAAGGAGGGAATAGTTACTAGACGGGACGACATAACAACTACGAGTACAAGTCAGCCTGAAGAGGCCGGCGCAGACAATGAATCCGAAGACGATGAGAACGTGGAAGACCCTCACACCAACTCCACCCCCGTGCCAGAGTCGGAACCCGAGCTTACTCCCGCACCCCCGCCAAAACGCAAGAAGCTTTCAAAAGGTGCTGACGAAGTTGAGGAAGAGCCGGAGAAACCATCTCTACGCGAGCTACAGAGACAGGCATATTCCCCTGCTTCATTACACCACTACAAGTCAGATCCATTACACCGTCACCGAGGGAGAGGCGGGGGCAGCTTTGGCAATCGTGGTGGAAGGGGTGGAGACTCAGATAGAGGCCGAGGTTCAAGAGGTGGTCGCGGAAGTAATGGTCGTGGCCAAAGCAGGGGCAGGGGTCGGGGTCAGCCCGACATGCGCTTGAGGATGTCCGCTATGTTGGAGAAAATCAAGCATGACATGTCGTGAGATGCACGAAAGCGTGGAATGTACTCTGCGTTCCGAGTACTGCGACACAAACACATACAATGCCTCGACCCTAGCTCTTGTTTTCTTTATCGCCTTCACGTTCGTCCAACACCATATCTTCCACTTCATCATGCTTCTGCCTCTTCGCTTCTGGCTCCTCGCTTTCCTCTGCACTTCCACTTCCCGCCTTCTCCTCGCTCGATTTCACGAACCTATCCTCTAGGCTCTTCACAGACGAGCCCTCCCCAACGCTGGTCACCGATGACAGCGCTGTAGGATGGTCGCTCATGTGGCCCGGTCGAGGATCATCCATCTCATCCACAAGTCCCAGCCCACTCGACTCCAATCCCAATACGGGCACACCGCCAGCTGGATCCACCGAATTGAGCGCAAGTGGCGAGGGTGGCGGGCTGCGAGACTTGGAGCGCCGAGCATCGGTGTGAAGGAAAGGTATCGGAGAGAAGAGCGGTGTGTTTGGTGCGGATGGGATAGTTCCGAGGGCGGTAGATGCGATAGCGCTTGGTTCTGAAGTGGATTCGGGAGGGAGCGGAGGGAAGGAGTCCCAAGTGGACGTCACGTATAGGTTCTTTTCTAAAGCACGGATGTATTTGCCGACATATTTGTAGTGCTCTCGTGGACGAACACAAAGATCACATAGCCGTTGTATGGTGAATGGGGCACTGAAGAGGCGGAAAATGTCAATAAGGGGCGAGTTGGACATGTAACCAGAAAAGACGGACCCATCAAATGAGTCTATTTGAGCGTACAAGTACCGTTTTGCGGCATTGGTCTCTTCTTCCTCTAGGATGGCTTTGGGTGCCTCATTAGGGTTTGATTCGTCACGTTCACGGGCTTCGAAAGGTGGTAGTTTGAGTCCGCCGCTGGTCGAAGGCGCAGACGAGAACGATGGTACTTGAGTCCGGGATTCCTTCAGCTTCTCGGCATCGGCGAGGAAAGACGCGATGTTCTGCGGACAGAGAGGCAGAGTGAGAAGAGGTCGTATATTTCTTTGGAATTAGAACAATACCCTGTCTATTTTGTACTTCAGGATGTCACGCAGTTTGAGCCACTCTGTCCTACCAAAATTCGTCAGCGACGTGGCATCGACGCATCTCTAATGCAGACTCACTCAACATTGTCCGTGGATGCGATACGATCCAGAGTTGTGTCGTATTCTATGAACCCAGCGCCGTGTGAGTATAGTCACTTTCCCCACACATATAGAGCATTGTGACCGACCGTCTGACCAGGTAAAGTCGGAAGAGATGCTGTGTTTCCCCGCAGCTCCAGACATATCGGTCGGCGTGAGGGCTACGGCCTGTTTCAAGTAAAAGCACGCCCAGTCGCACCGCTATCACAGGCGCGTGGAGAGAGTAGGTATGAGAAACGGCTGATTATTTCGAACGCGTCTCGCTTGAAGCGACGCGTTCACACGTTCGTGGCATCCAATAGGAACGCGTGTGGCGTAATGGCTGTCCCCTAGACTGCAGCCAAGCATCTTCACATCCGACGAGTATATAATGGGCATCATGAAACACCTCTCGTTCTCGGATTCTTCTCTGCTCACTGTACACTACCTCCTATCCACTCTACATTTCCCGCATGACTGCAACGGACCTCTTGAGATTTCGATACTACCATGATGAAGACTCACAACGTTCAACGAAACCACGAATGGACCCTAAACGACGGTGGAGAATCTTTCTCTCTTATGCTCCGGACTGGTCTGTTTCTGTGCTTGTTCTCTGCTCATCCTAAGCGTCGAACTGACTGAGTCGTTTGTAGGGCGGTGACCATCATTTTGGCGTAGGTCATGCTATCCCCTCGCCCAGCGGACCACACACTAAAGCGCATGTGGTCGTGGGCAGTGCTATATTCTTCTCCCTTGACAAAGTACATGGGTATAAACGCGAGTTCTCAGTCGCCGACACATCATTACGCCATACGTAGGTTCTCATCCTGCTATAATCTTTTGTGCTGCCGTTTACGGCGGCTCCTTCACAGTTTCGCGGAGCATGAGCGCGTTCCGGTACGCCAGACTGCGCGAAAGGAGACAGAGCCTGTACTGACTAGGAAATTAGGACATCGCCTTGTACTTCATAGCAATCGTGGCTCCTATTGTCCTCATGTGGTTTATCAACTTAATTTCCATCCGGTCATGGTGGGACGCACATATCAGCACCCTCGGAGGTAAGTAATGACAAGTCATCAAACATACCCCCGGGCCACACTCCTAACTTAACATCGCCATAGCCATTCTCGCTCTATGTCTCGCCGGCGTCATCACACAATTCACCAAGATAACTGTCGGCCGCCCTCGACCAGGTCAGTCGGTCTCAGCATTCAGCCCATCCCTTCGGCTAATAAATCGAATTACTAGACCTGATTTCCCGCTGCAATCCCTCGAATGGCACGGCTGACCCAACATACGGCCTCTCGACATATCTCATATGTAATCAGAGCGACAGCCATATTCTTGAGGACGGGTTCAGAAGCTTTCCAAGTGGACATTCTAGCTTGTCGTTCGCAGGGCTTGGATTTCTCTCCTGGTACCTCGCCGGGAAGATGCACCTGTTCGACTCGAGAGGCCATGCAGTTCGTCTCCCCCTTTGTTCACAGTTGAACAGAATACTAACACAAATTTCATAGCCGAAAGCATGGCTAGCTTTGGGCCCTCTGGCTGCAGCCGCTCTCGTCGCTATTTCTCGTACCATGGATTATCGCCGTAAAGCTCCCTCTTGTCGCATTTGCAGAGCTCGTCTCATGAATCTAACATGCGTTTATATAGACCACTGGCATGACGTCCTCGTCGGCTCCATTCTTGGCCTCGTAACCTCCTACTTCTCTTACCGCCAATTCTACCCGTCTCTCTCCTCCGAACGTTCTCACCGTCCGTTCTCGCCTCGCGTGAAGCGAGAAGTGGAAGAACACAGTGTGCTGCCTACTCACCATCAACGGCCATCCAGGGAAGCCATGTTTCAGGAAAATAGGTTGTCGGATGCGGAGGACTTGGAGATGCTACCGCCGCATGGTACTAAGGACAGTACAAGGCCGTTGACTGATGGAGACTCTGGCTGAGAGATCAAGTATCACGGCACAATGCAATATCTTGGTCGTCTTCCTCGAGTTGACGAGCTGAGGTATGACAAGTTATAGTATCATATCGTTGGACCTTCGTTGGACCTTATTCATCGTTTCTTGTGAACTACCTTAGCACATATGACATTACCCCTATATATACGTATTCAGCCTGTAAAGGCTTGTGTATCCTCTCGGTCGACTCACTCAAGCCTCACTACGAGATTTCTCATTCCAGCGGGGCTCTCTGTCTTCTCAGAAAAGTCTTGGACAGTTCTTGGATGAGTCGGCGATACAGCGTCATGCGACGGACGGATGATATCAAGGCAGAATGAAATGGAAGTGCAGAATACAAAGACGAGTGGACCAGGAACCAAAACCCCAACTAGAAGAGGCAAGGTAATCATTTTTGGTACGAGAACACATTCCGGAGCACTGTAACCGTACCGCATCAAAGTGACAAGGTCAGAAGTCAGTATGTGGTAGGGAAAACAGAAGATGGAGAGCACGCACATCCAGCCTTGGTTGCCAACCGGTTAATCGAGTCGTCACTTTCGCCATCAGCCCGAACCTGTCCGCAAAGAGCGAAGGAGGTCGAGGTGTTCAAAGCACGGCCGTTAGCGTCGACATCGACAACGGAGATCTGGACCGAGGCGTGGTCCTTCGAGGTGATGAGACGGTCTGTGGATGTAAAGTCAGGAAGGTATGGATTGATTGCTGGATCGGCAGGACGCACTGGTAGCCGCGCACTTGCGGGGGACGTAAAGGTCGACGAGAATGCCCTAAAGCGCCAGAAACGAAAATAACGAGTTCAGTAGGACGTTCATTAGAGGATTCGGGTGGTTCAGAGGGCGTAGGGACAAGAATACGGACCTGATCGTTCTCCATTGCGTAGCTATGAAATTATTGACGGCGGTGAAGGTGCTGGTAGTGAGAGAGACCCGTGGGACTTTAACTATACAGTTGTGGCGGACTCCGTGAAGATCACGTGGGAGACAAGCAGGTCCGGAGCCGGTTCCAACAACGTGGCTCGCCGCTCCTAACTTGTTCAACCAAACTAACAATTACCGCTGCCTGTTTCCCGTGGCCTTGCACCGTCATTTGTGTGTCAAAACCAAGATCGATAACTCAGGATTGTGCTACGTGCAGAATCAATGCTCTGACTCGCGCTCTACTAAGGCTCTCCGTACATGTCTCTGTGACTACTCAATCGCTCTGCTACATCTCTTTGGCCATACTTGTCTTCTATCTTACCGCAATAATGATGTAGCGTCTGCATCCATCCATCTTGCTGAAACTTTTGCTCGTCGGCTAGTCGAGTTCTTGGTGCAGTCCTACCAAACGACCCAAGCAATACGGCAGCTATAAAACTTGCATGGTCGAACTGTTTTCACGTTATGCGTCGCGATTTGCCCTCTGGCTCATTTTACCGGGCCAATCTGCCTCGTCGGCCTGGTGAGACGACAAGGCCTGTTCAGTAAATCAGATTCTTCAGTCCGTCGACTGCTAGCCTGTCCCTCTTCTCTTTTGAAGTTCTTCACTTGGCGTGCTCGACGCACCCACCAGTGGTCCTCTGCGATGTGGGCATTCGGTCCGCTACGGTGTGCTTGACGCATCATACTAGTCTCCTGCTAGGTGGGCATCTAGTCAGTGCATTTGACGTCACATTGGGCGCCGTGCCACTTTATTTAGTCTCTTGAGTAGTCATATATATATTGTTCTTGTATTGCGACGCTCCCGGCCTCGGCCTCTTCGTGGCATAGGAGACTAGTACACCCTAGAGGGAAGCTAACAGACGCTGCCTTCATCTCGTATGAGATCAACGGACCCACATAGAGCGTGTCTGTTCGTTCAATATCGAGGCGCGGGGTATCTGCGACAACTTCTCACTAATCCTGATCAACCACGGTCATGTCCAGCCCACACGCCGTTCGTTTGCCTTTGGCGGAGCACCCTGCAAACGTGCAATATCCTGTACAGGATGGTTAAAAGTATTACTTACCTTCTTCAGGCTATTGATGATTTAGCTGCGAGGAGTATGACAAACAGAGATGATGTAGTCGTCGAGGGGGGTGTCAGACTTATAACTAGAACCTCAGTCATTTTATCCGTTCACTCCGAACATATATATACTACCCACTATAACCTGGAATCATCTTGCCTGCGTCGTACCATGTAGTTCGCTAATACTATTCTATTTAGTCTATTTTGCTGCCGCATGTGTATCCCATTTGTGATGACTATTATAGGCGATTTATTCAAACACATATTAGACATCTGAGACCAGATCAAGAAGAGTTCAACGTTCAACACTTACCGTCACGCCACCGTGGCGTTGCAATGCTTGAAGTGCGTGGCGTCATAGGCGGCGAAATACGGGAACCGCACCAGTCTTGAAGGCAACGCTGTTTGTAGACGTACCTCCATGTCGAGTTTTATACCCGAACTCTCTCGTCAACTCCGTCTTGTTCTCGAATCGTCACCCAATGCATTGTCACTTTCGGAGTTAACTCTACTTGTCGACGAAGTTGTTCATGAATGCACCTCTTCTTCCGAGCCTGAATTCCTTATCGTCGACCTCGAGGAGGAACTGCAGGCCATTTATCACGATGTCATAGACCACGATGTCTTCGAGCAAACGGAAACTTTTCTTTCTGTGCTTAGCCGTCTAACACCTGTGTTTTCCTCTACATCTCTGATCTCAACGTGGTTCGAGCTCGTTCTGCGCCCCGCTCTTCGACAACCGAAGCTTCCGAGTACCGCTGTTGCATGCGCGAAGGACCTAGTAGTTACTGCTCTGGAGAAGCCGGATGAACACAATCCAGAGAAGCAGGGCGAGTTCAGGCGGCGAATGTTGGACCTCTATCTCCTAGACGCTTTCAACGAGGCCTCAGGAGATGATGTTCTGGAATGGGCAAAGTGGCCACAGGAGCAACGAGAGCGGAGGAATGTGTGGAAGACCAATTTAGAGGACGTCTTGGTACGGTTTGGACTTGGAATGCCTCAGGTTAGGATCTCTTATTAGTCTGGAATGCGTCATTGCCTGCCTGCCGTCTTACTCTGCACATGCGCACCAGGAATTCCTAACACAAGTGTTCCATTGTTTTGCCTCACCTTCGTCCCGCTTCCAACTCCTCAATCTCCTCAATAACTTCACATCCCAACCTCAATTCGAGAACCTTGCTCCCATCATGATCAAGCATCCTATGACCCAAAGCATTTTGACTCATCTCCTTGTCGATACCTCATCCACTGTTTGCACTATTGGCCTTACGATCATGACGAAACTCATCCCTATCTTCGCAGTCCACGACCCGGAGAACCTGAAACCCATGCTTCCTCAACTCCTCGCCATCCTCGCACGCGTGATCTGTTGGCGCGAGCGTGTGCCCACCCCAGGTGGCCCCGCCCAAGCTTTTGAAGTCGAGGAAGACATCTTGTTCTCAGACGTCACAGTCAACCGCAACACCACCTCTCCCACAAAACCTATAGGTCTGAACCCGGATCTTGGCTGGGACAGGTTAGAATTGACCTTCGGTGCTACCGCGTCGCCTCCACCTTCACCCCGCCGGTTCTTCACGCTCCTATACTACCTTTTCCCTTGCAACCTGCTAGACTTCTTGCGTAGGCCAGCAGACTATCTGATTGAGAAAGGGTGCGAGAGCCCTTACGTTGTTCAGTGGGATGACCTCCTCGACTACGACCAGATTAAGACCAAGAGCGAGGTGAGGTGAATAGGCTCGAGAGCTGAACTACCGTTTACTGACTGGACTGTTGAATATAGATCCTTCTGCGAGCGCACGCTACACACCCTAGAATCATCTGGACAAACATCGACAAGGAACTGAGCGATCCCGACTTTTTTGCTTCTCGCAGCGTCTCCCAAATTGTATCCGAATGCCTTCTGCTCGTCGTCCGAGAAACTGCCGCGTTTCAACCGACAGAAAGGGGCGGGGGAGATGCCGCCGAACGTAATCCTGCTGCTATTCACGATCCCACGGCCGCCATTCCTGATACCGCAGAGGGCGAGACTTCAGGCAGGTTCGCCACACGCCCGCCTGACGGAGCCACCACCTCTTCTTCGCCGAGCGACCTACCGCAAATTTCCCTACAGCATATGGTCAACACCTCTATCGCTCTTAAATCCCGCACTCCTGTCGAGTTTGTCGATCCCGTACCTGCTTGGCCGTATACTTTGTTCCATCCACCCGCCAGTCGAACCAGCAGTGGCACAGCTACTTACCATTCGGCTGCCGCCTCTCCCACGTCCTTGTCAGTGCATTTGCCAGACGAATCGCAGCCTGTGGCGGGCGAGACTTCGGACAAGACCGAGGACAATATTCCGAACCATGTAGCCCAGGCTATGGCGAGTCTTCAGCGCGAGGTCCTCTTGCTGAAGACCGAGTTGAACTTCGAGCTGTGGTTGACGAGACAGAACGTACAACAGGTTGTGAGGTTGTATGAGAACCGGATCGCGAGCAGCAAGGCGGAGGAGGAACGGCAGGGCCTCGTACGTCCTCATGTCTATTTTTTCTTCTACGAACAGGGATATGTTGCTCATCGATGAAAAACAACAGCATAATGCCCTACGGGATTACAGATCCCAGAACAGCGATTTACAGCGACAACTAAAGGAGCACAAGGAATCAGCAGCGAAGGCGAAGTCGACGTACGTGGAGTGGAACAGCGATCTGCAAGCGAAGGTGACAACTTTGAAGAAGGAGAAGAAAACCTGGCAAACGGAGACGGCTACCCTACGACACTCCGAAAAGGAACTTCGCGTACGTGCAGCTCTCTTCGAGTTCATCGTTTGCCACGCTTGCTGTCCTGGCTTTACTTAACTTTGAAAACAGGCTCAATTCACCGCCCAAGGGAAGCTTCTCGCTGAAGCCGAGAAGCGTGTCTTTGAATTGGAGACCTCCATCAAAGAGAACGCGCATAAGGTCGATAGGCTGAAGGACTACGAGCGGCGGATCGAGCAGCTGACTCTGCTACAGAAGCTTTGGTGAGTTAGGCATATTCTATAATCGTTTGACTACTCTGACCGAAATTGTGCGCAGGGACCTCGACGTACACAGGAACAAGGAGCAGAAGGAGGTCCTAAAGGCGATGCTGAGCAAGTACAAGAAAATGGAGCTGCGCGTACAAACATACGAGGAGATTCACGCTCAGATGGAAGAATACGCCCGGTATGTGCTTTTATTACACATCTCAGTTGATCAAAGTTTGACAGTTGTGTTCTGTGGATAGTGGCTCTCGACGTCAGATACAAGCATTGGAGACCAAGGTAGCGCTGCTGCAGTCTCAGAAGCAGCGCCGACGATCTGGTCCAGACGTGAATGCATACACGACTAAGTTGGCCGCTCTTACGGAGGAGAATACACGGATTCGTGAAATGAACCAGGAGCTGAAAGAGGAAACAGATGAATTGAATGCGATGGTGGAGGTTCTCAAGGCTCGACAATACGAAGGAAACGTGATGAGAAGTCCGATGGTGACAGGACTGGTACTAGACACAACGCGTAGTCCCGTCAGCTCGGTTGTAGGAAGTCCTGTGCTATAGCGGTGTCCTGTGGATTCTTGGCTGTACTTGTATATTCTCTCGATATCATGTATCTTTACCCCTCTTCTGTATCCCATGCAAGCATTGCGATGCAGCCAGCCGAGCGTGAGCCGCTCTCGACAGTTCGCCGTGCCCAAGAAGGAATGCTTCGGAGAAGGTTCTGGAAGGATCACGTGAGGAAAGAAATTCGCGGTGAGTGCTGCAGACGCGCGTCGAAACTTCTCGAATGAAAAAGCTGTAGAGTACATAAAGAAAGGTATCGTCCTTCTTTCTGGCTCGAGTATCTACCCACCCACCCTCATCCAACGCCACCTTAACCCATACCCCACCCTCCTCGTACGTCCTCCTCATCTCTCGATTTCTTTTCGTCGCCGCTCACCTGCCTTTTAGATCTTAACAAAATGTCCGCAGAGGCTGAAAGCTTCGGATTCCAGGCTGAGATCTCTCAGCTTTTGGACCTGATCATCAGTACGTATTTTCCGTTCCCGAAACACGCGTTTCATTGTGCTGATATCTCTTTGCAGACACCTTCTACTCCAACAAGGAGATCTTCCTTCGTGAACTGATCTCCAACGGTTCCGATGCTCTTGACAAAATTCGTTATGCCTCCCTGACCGACCCCTCCGCCCTCGAGTCCGAGAAGGAGCTTTACATTCGTATCACTCCCGACAAGGAGAACAAGATCCTTACCATCCGCGATACTGGTATCGGTATGACCAAGGCCGACATGGTCAACAACCTTGGTACGATCGCCAAGTCCGGTACTAAGGTGGGTGGCGTAACCTCTTTTCATTTCTTTGCTTTCTTTCAATACTCCATGTCGTACGTACGTATCGACTGACGCACTTATTCGCTTTACGCAGGGTTTCATGGAGGCGCTCAGCTCTGGTGCCGATATCTCTATGATTGGCCAGTTCGGTGTCGGTTTCTACTCTGCCTACCTCGTCGCCGAGCGTGTGCAGGTTATCTCCAAGCACAACGATGACGAGCAGTACATCTGGGAGTCCGCTGCCGGTGGCACCTTCACCATCACCCCCGACCACGTCAACCCACCTCTCGGCCGTGGTACCGAGATCCGTCTCTACCTCAAGGAGGACCAGATTGACTACCTCGAGGAGAAGCGCATCAAGGATATCGTGAAGAAGCACTCCGAGTTCATCTCATACCCTATCCAGCTTGTCGTCACCAAGGAGGTCGAGAAGGTTTGTCTTGTTCATGTATCGCTTTTCGCTCGCGACGCATGACTGACTGACTTGTATGTCACAGGAGGTCGAGGATGAGGAAGAGGTCAAGGAGGACGAGGGTGAGAAGCCCAAGATCGAGGAGGTCGACGAGGAGGAGGAGAAGAAGGACAAGAAGAAGAAGACCATCAAGGAGCAGCAAAAGACCAACGAGGAGCTCAACAAGACCAAGCCCATCTGGACTCGCAACCCCAGCGATATCACTGCAGACGAGTACGGCGCCTTCTACAAGTCCTTGACGAACGACTGGGAAGAGCATCTTGCCGTCAAGCACTTCTCCGTCGAGGGTCAGCTTGAGTTCAAGGCCATTCTCTACATCCCGAAGCGGTATGTTCCATGTCCTTTTCCTTCCATCTTTCTGCACCTTGCGTTCCACGGCTGTTTACTGACACGCTCATTTATTTAGTGCTCCCTTCGACCTCTTCGAGACCAAGAAGAAGCGCAACAACATCAAGCTCTACGTTCGCCGCGTCTTCATCATGGACGACTGTGAGGACCTCATCCCCGAATACCTCAACTTCGTTAAGGGTATCGTCGACTCCGAGGACCTTCCTCTCAACATCTCCCGTGAGACGCTCCAGCAGAACAAGATCCTCAAGGTCATCCGCAAGCACATCGTCAAGAAGTGCATGGACCTCTTCTCCGAGATCGCGGAGGACAAGGACAACTTCCAGAAGTTCTACGAGTCGTTCGGCAAGAACATCAAGCTCGGTATCCACGAAGATGCTCAGAACCGCACCAAGCTTGCCGAGTTCCTTCGCTTCCACTCCACCAAGGCCACCGACGAGACCATCTCCCTCAAGGGTACGTGCTTCATTCGTTTCTGTACCTGTCGTCGATGGTGCTGACGTTGGTTCACTCTCAGACTACATCACTCGCATGCCTGAGGTCCAGAAGTCGATCTACTACTTGACCGGCGAGTCTCTTGCGGCCATCCGCGATTCACCCTTCCTGGAGGTCCTCAAGAAGAAGGGCTTCGAGGTTTTGCTCCTCGTCGACCCCATCGATGAGTACGCCTTCACTCAACTCAAGGAGTTTGACGGCCACAAGCTCGTCTCGGTCTCGAAGGAGGGTCTCGAGCTCGAGGAGACCGAGGAGGAGAAGAAGGCTCGTGAGGAGGAGAGCACCCAGTACGAGGATCTGTGCAAGGTTATCAAGGAGGCTCTCGGCGAGAAGGTCGAGAAGGTCGTCGTCTCCAACCGTATCGCCGACTCTCCTTGCGTTCTCGTCACTGGCCAGTTCGGGTGGTCGTCTAACATGGTTCGTTGTCTTCGTTTTTCCTGTATTGCTCGTCGTTGCGGTATCGCTGACTAAACGTGATCGTCATTCACAGGAGCGTATCATGAAGGCACAAGCTCTCCGTGACACCTCGATGTCGTCGTACATGGCCTCCAAAAAGACCCTCGAGCTCAACCCCAAGCACCCGATCATCAAGGAGCTCAAGCGTAAGGTTACCGAAGACAAGGCCGACAAGTCTGTCCGCGACCTGACCTACCTCCTCTTCGAGACTGCCCTCCTCACCTCCGGCTTCTCGCTCGAGGAGCCCACGTCGTTCGCCAAGCGCATCCACAGGATGATCTCGTAAGTGTACCCTGCTTATCGTTGCTTGTTCGAGCTATCGCTGACTGTTCGCTCGCGCATGTTCAGGCTCGGTCTCGACGTTGACGAGGAGGAAGAAGAGGAGACTGCTGCCATCGCTGAGGACGATGACGCTCCTCCCCCTCTCGAGGGCGCCGCTACCTCTGCCATGGAGGAGATCGATTAGATGATGTTACGTTGTTGGGCTTCGACTTCGTCTGTGGACCTTATTACGATACATATCCCCTGTTGCTGCTTGATGTTACCTCATGTTGTGTTTTTCCCTTGCATTTCCTCTATTTTCTTGTCTGTGCTTTATCGTGTTCCCTTTTTTGGTCGTTGTGTTTTGTGTCATCTCATTCACCCCTGCATCTTACAATCTGCTAACGCACTCTTCATGTATGTTTGGGTATACGTAACAAGTGAAAGGCAAAGAAGTTTTCTCTCTGTATCTTCATTATCGTGCGATGTGTGATATTATATGCGAGTCAGAGATGAACGTTGAACTTGTTGAGCATGAAGCGCCACGACGCGTCCGAGTGGCGGTGCCTGCCTCGAGGCATGAGCGCGTGTATTCAACTTTAGCGAACTTTCAAAATGCTGCTGGCGCCCACGGTCCACCACGATGGGAGTGAGTGCGATGGACTCCCCAAATGAGCGAACAAAAGAGAAGTTCATCTGAGGTACGTCGAAGGGGGCCATATAACAGCGCTAACCGCGACTGCATTCCCTTCGCACCTTCCTCGCGCAACGCACGCGTATCTCACTTCCATTGCGAACGCGTATCATTCCGTCGTTTCGCGCGGTTCCCTGGGCATCATGGCGGCGGTGAAGGACAACAAGTTCGAAGGTATGTGACTGTTGCACTTCCAGGAGGGTCATTTCGCCTAGATTGGCTGCCTTATTGTGATCACTCTGTCGCGCTACCAATGCTGCGATTTCGCGTGCTTTTCGCCCTGGCGATGGACGCAGACGTCATGTTGACTGGGCAGAGAAAGAATGAAAGCACCGAGTCGCGTCGAGTCTGCGCTAGTTTAGCTTCCGTGGCCGGGGCCTTTGGGTGTCAAGGGCGCAAACAATTTTATGCGGCCTAAATTGCGCGTTATACCGCCGATGGATGACTCCGGTGGGGTCGATGACAGAGAATGCCGTTCGAATATTCGAATGACGCGACCTTTGTGTCGTTTCTCAGGGTGGGTCCACAGCGCACAGGTCGCGTACGACATGCCGCGGCGTTGAACTTCGAGGGAACAAAGAACGATTGACCTTTGTTCGACGCGACGCGACGCGTTGCGAGACGTGTCAGCGCGGTCGCTATAAGATCGGGACGCGATCGATATGGCCGGGCCGCCGCCGAGCAATGAGCCGACAGCATGGCTCAGGCCCAAAAAGGTAAGCGCGGTATCACGGGGTATTTGAGAGTCAGCGTGGGCCGCCCTGATACGGCAAGGTTTCGCGCGGCGCTTTGCTCTCGACCATTGTTCGCTTTATCTGCTCTACTCTATCCTTCCCTTAAAGACCCGGCCCTGGCCGCGACGCTCATGTACCAGTACACCCACTCGGATATTCTCCTAGCTCATACCTCCATCTCGCCAGTCCCCCGCGCCATCGACATGTCCTCCATCCCTGCGCCCCAGCCGCGCTCGTCGACTGGCCGGCCATGCAAGCACCACAACCAAGCCCGTCCTCTCTTCACCATGCCTCTTTGTCCGGTCAACAACGAAGATCCATTCGATCCGTTCATCGTGAGTCTACCCACTTCTGTCTACGCGTACGTACGGTGCTCATACATTATTTTCTAACCGCCAGGAGGCGCCATCGCAACGCCTAACGCCTCCACACTCGCTGCTGCCAGCATTCGACACTGTTCCTCACCGCTGCTTCGACGATTGCACCAAACGTAAAATTGTACGCGTCTTAACCCTATTTTGACGCGTTCTTTCCTTGCTCATACCGCCACCGTCAGATGAATAAGTCACCGTCGCCCTGTAGCACTATCAAATCCCCCGTGAAACCAGGCTCGCGTCGTTCGCGCCGCGCGCGTCCATCATGCCCTATCCTCGCCCGCCCATCAGTATCTCCGTTTGATCATCCCTGGACCTCTCTTCTTGACGACACCGCGCCTATCACCGCGGTCTGGGATGTCGCTGACCTCTCTCAGCTCAAAGTCCCCAAACGCGTCGACATCTCGCCCGCGGACGGCCCTGGCCCCGACCGTCCACGCAAGAGAGCGCGTCGTTCGTCCCCCGTCAAGGCCGTTCCCCGCACACGCTCATCGCAGGACACCGAGGCGCGACACGCTACGCCAGAGCCGGAGATCAAGCTTAGGCCACACGTCTCGGGCGCCAGCGCGCCAGAGTCAGACGTCATCTTCCCGGTCGACTCACGCGTTCTTCGCACGCCTCCACCGCGTTTCACTTCCCACAAAGATGTCCAGTTTTGGAACCTGATGCCTCTGATGAGCCCTCGTCCATCCGAGGACTGAGCACTCTCGCCCGCGCCGTCCTCTGCACACAACTTCGTCGTCCTATGTATACGCTTTGATAGCCTCGCAGGGCTTGGCGACCGCCAGTCTCGATGCTTCTTCTCCTGATTATCCATGCTCTGCTTTCGCACACGCATATTGCTCAGTACCCATCATCCACGTACCATCTTCACGGTTAATACTTGCTTTATCCCCTCTCCCCGAATCCCCCTGTCGCCTGCTGCGTGGTCAATACTGGCTCACCTTCTCGTTCGACGTAGTATCATTCCTTTCCTTACCTTCGCATATCTTTGATACGTCACGCCTTGAATTCCTCGGGTTGTTCGTCCCCCGACTTCCTTGCTTTATATTTGCACATTTCTGCCCCAAACCATTTCTTATGGATATATATATCTTATATAACGCTTCCAATATTCTTGCAGTAATGACCTTGATTTTTGCACCTTCGCCCCCTCCCCTTTTGCTTCCTTCGTGCTCCTCGCCGCCCACTCCATATCCATGCCCGTGTTGCTGTATCACCACTTTGATTCACTCGTTACTTGCTTTGTTGAAATGATATCGCATATCCCCACGTACGTATCCCTACGTTGTTTGTTTTCTCGACGCACACCCACCGCCCCGCACATCCTTGAATTATCCCTCCCGTTGCATAGGTACTCGGTTGCATACTTCTCATACGTACTCCATACGTACGCTCTATTTCCCGTGTCGTATATTTGCACGTCGTGATACCTTGTCGGTTGCCTCGTTTCGTATCGCACAGACGCACTTGCTTACCGTTGTTACTCGTAGCTCACATATGCATATGATGATTCTTTACTCCCTATTTCGTCTGCTGAAGGAATAAGTTCAACTCATGGCGAACCACTCAATGGAGCCGCCACCATGGCTCCATTCCATCGGGATATTTCGGATGTCTCACTTGGGAGACAATGAAAAAAACTCGCGGGTTTGGAATTCGGAGAACTGAGAGGCTCAAACAGGAAGAGTGTAGCGGACGGAAGCAAAAATCGTCACCTGAGCGATTCGAACACTCGCGGGCAAAGCCCAACCGCTGAAATGCTAAGAATAGCAGGCGATCCCGTTAACCACTCCGGCAAAGTGACTTGTCTTCCTGTCAAAATATAACCACTAGATCTACCGGTTGTAACACGAGTAGGAGTCACCTCTCGTGGAAATTCGTGCTCATCTCGACATCTTTGCTATTTACCTCTTTGCAAGAATCATCACGTCTTTCGTCCATTCGTCCAAACCGGTGAGTCATTTTGACTAGCCAACCGGTTGAAGAAATTCGTATTTCTTTCGAACTCGCTCGACGCTTGAGGCTCAACCTCCAACTCTAGCAGACGGTGCCACTACTTTCCACGACTACTCCGGACTCCAGAGCATACTACCAGCAGCTGCTTTCTACACTGTAAGAGGACTTCTTTACCCCAGCTAAATATAACTGTATCTCGTATGCCTCTGCTCCCTTGTCCATGTGCCCCTGTCTAGTGGCCGTCGCGTCGCCACACGTTAAAGGTATTCTTGCTGATCTCGCATCCCTAGGCGTTTCCCCGCCTTCAGACTCTTGTCTGCTCGAAGCTATCTCTCTAAAACCATGTACGTCTATGCTTTCGCAGATCAAAACCTAACAACTAACCTGTTATAGCTCACACCGTCAGCACCCACAACCATGGCCTCCGCTCGCGTAGTCAACTTCGGTGCAGGCCCCTCTGCCCTCCCGACCTCCGTCCTCGAAAAGGCTCAAGAAGGTCTCCTCAACTTCAACAACACCGGCATGGGCATCGCCGAGATCTCCCATCGCTCAAAAGAATTCACCTCCTTCCTCTCCTCCGTCGAATCGAATATCCGCGCCCAACTCGATGTTCCTCCCACACACTCCATACTCTTCACGCAAGGCGGCGGCACCGGCCAATTCTCCGCCGTCGTGCTCAACATGCTCGCGCGCTACCGTCTGTTGAACCCAGAGGTGAAAGCAGAAGACGTGGTGATGGACTACGTTGTCACGGGCAGTTGGAGTAAGAAGGCTGCGGAGGAGAGCAGGCGGTTAGCTGGTCCAGGAGGTGTGAAGACGAATGTGGTCGTGGACTCGAGGAAGTACTCGAAGGACGGCAAATCATTCGACAATATCCCCCTGCACAGCGAATACGCGTTCTCGGCCGATCCGGCGGTCATCTACTATTGCGAGAACGAGACGGTCGACGGGGTGCAGTTCTCGCATGAGGATGCCGCGCCAAGTTCGTTCCCTTACGAGCTGTTGAAGAAGGGATCGTTGTTGCCGCTCGTGGGAGACTATTCGTCGAGTTTTATGTCGAGGCCAATCCCACATCTCGCGGAGCATGCTGTCATATTCGCTGGAGCGCAGAAAAATATCGGGCCAGCGGGACTCACTATCCTCATCGTCCGACAAGACTGTATTGTCGACGTCGATGCCGCCACGCGTCTCGGCGTACCTCCTGTTCCTATCACCATGTCCTACAAAACCCTCGCCGACGGTTCCAGCCTCTACAATACGCCCTCTGTTCTTCCCATATATATCGCTGGTCTAGTACTGGAGCGGTCGCAAGAATTGGGTGGCTTGAAGTATTATGAGGCGCTGAACAGGCGAAAGATGGAGAAGCTCTATGGGGTGCTGAAAGAGGGCGAGGAGAAGGGCGTATTCCAGAGGAAGGTACAGGAAGGATCGGGTAGCTGGACGAATGTCGTGTTTACGGTGCTGCCAGAGGGTGGCGAGCAAAGGTTCCTTGCGGGAGCTGAGATGGAAGGGATGAAGAGCCTGAAGGGACATCGGTATGTCGTCTCATCCAAATTTCTACTCATACCTGGCTGATCAGCGGGCTCTCGTCGTTTTCAGATCTGTCGGAGGTGCGTTATCACAACTTCGTCAATTCTTCATATTTTTGGGTGACTGAGCTTTTGAGACAGGAATCCGCGCCTCGCTTTACAATGCGATCACCGAGGAAGACACCGATAGACTCGTGACGTTCATGAAATCCTTCATGAACGAGGAAGCCACAAAGACCGCTCAGGCATAGCTTGCAGACTGCAGAGGAAGTAACAAAAACATGTTGTACCGCTAGACTGTGTCATCCCATGCGCGGAAATATTGGCCGGCTCTTCATCAACTGAAGGCCAGATGGTCCTCGTCCCGACTTTTGACATAACTTATTGCCGATTTCGGTACAACTATCTTGGTAATGATCAGAGCAGATGGAAGGTAGATCTGTCTCGTCGACATGACCTTCCAACACCGTGCACATCTCGCCTTTGAGGGGTGTCTGGATGTCACTTCGCCCGATCAACGACTCAAAACTTGGGAGATGCATATCAAAATCATTAGGGCGAAAGGTATGTCGTATCATAAACATGGAGAAGTTCTCGATTAGAGAGTATACGCATATGCGCGTTGACACCGACTCTACGCTGCTGCCTGAGCCTTCGCCGCCATGATCGCCTTCACCCTCTCCATCAAAGGTGATGGGTCGCTGAAGACTTCTAGTTTAGAGATCTTCTTGTCTTCCGTACGGTGTAAGACGACCATAGAGGGGATCTTGATCTTCTCCTTCGAGTCGTCTCCCTTGATCTCGTAGGTCAGGATGGCCCTGTCGTAGACGCGATTCTCGATGACATCTACAAGGGGTGTCCGTCAGCATATCTCGAGGACAATATCCGAAAATCGAAGTAAGCTCACCGACACTGATCAATTCGTGGTACATGGAGCTGAGCAGGCCAGCTTGGTGCGAATACGCCTGAGTGACGACGACAGAAGGTCAATGGGCCCGTCAGCATCCAGCGACGAATGTTGGCGAAAACGACATGTCTGACCTTTGTGAAGTTATCACGACCTTGAACCGGCGGGTTATTGCCCATGACGATAGTTGCGTCGTCAGTCAACCACTTGGCCCAGGTGTTGACATCGAGAGAGTCTCCTGCTGTGTGGAACTGGATAGTCGGAAACAGCTCGTCAGTTTTCGGAGTCGGAGAGGTGAGAGGTGGCAGGTGGAGTCCGTCGAGAAATATAGTTCGAGGTGTGTGGATAAAAGAGTAAGGTCTGGCTTACATCTCGGACCCACTGCTTCGTAGCTTCGAGATCCTGAGACATTATAGGGATGAAGGGAAACTTTTGAAGGGGCTGGTCCAAGTGGGCTGAGGGAAATCGAGACGACGAGGGGGATTGAATGGCCATTTTCTGCGCTGAACACCCCAGTCTTTGTAGGTCCTTTCTTGACCTCCCCCAAGAGGCTCAATTGCGTCCGTGATGCCGTATTCGAGCAGAGTGAGACTGTCATCACCGCCGTGATCGTCGCAAAACGTACAAAGAAGCCAGACGCGATCGTGCAGCCACCACTTCTGCTCGGATCCGCTAATTACAATGCATACATAAGTGCACTGCTCTGAAAACGGCTATCACTGGCAGACAGGAGCAAGTGGATCCGTTGCTGCGTTGAAAGTGGATGGTGAATCGGAGGATCGCAAACCATGATGGACTCGTATGCTAGCAAAGCGAATGAGGACGTAAGTGGTACGAGCTCAGCCGAACGGCGACTCACTGCGTTGTCAGAAGAAAGCAGGGAAGGAGTCCACGAACGGGCGTGGCCGGCTTCGCTTGCGGTGACTACATATGGGTCAGGGGAATTGAACGATCGTCAAAGAAGGCTCAGGATAAAATAGTGCGACACCGCTGGAAGGGTCATCAACATGTTAGAAATTCACGATGCGGCCCGTCCTCTTTTCGATGAGAAAAAGTTTGTGGTCGCCGTTGCGTGATACCGACCGAGTCGAACCCTCGTGGAATTGCTGACACAATGTAGAATGTTGGATGGCGAGCATCGTCCACAATACATGGCATGCGTTTTCTGCCTCCACCGGCATGGTGATATAGCGTCAAACGTACCACAAAATAGGACCAGTGGAATCGGCACTAAGCCAGCAAAGCAGCCAATCACCTTGAGAGGGTAGCGTGGACTTGATCCCCGGTTTGGGCATCCAGGACATGAAGTCAGAAGCCGGCTCACCGCGACTAGTTCGAATTCAAAGACTGCTGGTCGGATGAGACACCAAGACAAGATAGATACGCCTACTGAGAACATACGTAGCAAAGACAATTAGATGGCATTTGCAGACATATGCAAATGAACGCTCAGTACTGCTTAGGAAGGGATGAAAAATGAGATGCTCTTTGGCTTCCATGCTGGCCAAACTCCGTTGGAGACCTGCTCTGGTGCCCCAACACTCCCAACGCCCAACGCCCACCAGCAATGCCACATGCTCGCAATATCTCTTGGGTTGCTCTCCATCGCCTCCTTGAGCTCAGGTATCGTGCGGTAGGTGACTTCGGCTTTCTTCCCGGTCTTGACCTCGTAAGCCTTGTAGACGTCGTTCACTGACTAATGGACCACGGAAATCAGATGAAGAACGACATGAGTTTCTTGAGTGAGGATACTAACAGCGCGTTCGCCTTCAATGCGGAATGTGCGCCACTCAAGCTCGGGAGGCGGCATGGTGGTCAGCACGTGTACCAGGAATGAGGCCACATCAGAAGCTGAGGTCCAAGAGATAGAAGTGTTGCCGTCACCACCTGCAATGCCTTTACCATTGACTAGGTCAATGCCCAGGAAGCTTAACCAGAATTTGACAATATGAGCAAACAAATTACTGAAATCGAGAAAGAGAATGTCACTGACGGGGTCAGACCTGTTTCCATTAACGCACCACTGAAGATCAGAGTGTACGGGAGACCGATCTCCTTCAATCCGGCCTGCAAGGCAGTTTTGTGGACAAGGGGTCCTCGTTGCGGGGTGGTCTCTGTCGGGGTGCCATACTCGGAAGGGACGAAGAGCTTCACGCCTGCCGCTTTCGATGCTTCGGCGACGGACTGCTGAGACACAAGGGCGTCGCGGCCGAAGGCCGAAACGACAACATCAATACCAGACAGAGCGCTCCGGAGGGAGGTCAAGTCACTATAGTCGACCGCCCTGATAGTTGCGCCTTTGTTGGCAAACTCGTCGATCTTGGGATTTTTGGACGACTGGAAGATGAATCAAGAATGATTAGCTTCTAATATTCGTTAGGAGTAAGGAATATGCTAGCTACGTACCGAGCGAGTGAGGACCGTAACATCCTTAATTCTACCGGAAGCCTTCCCTTGAAGGAACGCGTCAACGATGAACTTCCCGACCAAGCCTGCTCCAACGACGGCGAAGGATGAATATGTAGACATGTCTGAGCAATGAGGATGTGTGGAGAGTTTGACAGATTATGTTAGTGGAATAGTGGAACTCGTTCCTTTGCGAGTTATATGATGATGGATCCTAGGCATAGTACTAGACGCTTTCAAAGCTTCCGAGTCATCCAGACAACGCTTGTACAAGAGGAGTAGTACACAAGGACCATCTGATGGTACCGGTCAATGCTGATTGTTTCCAGACGGAGAATATGTGGGACGCTTGTGACAAAGGATGAGTGAGTTCTGGCTGAGATGTGACTGAGATGAGTGAGCATATGAGCCTTGAGCAGCAAAGCGTTCACAAGCTTCATGATATCCCCGTCATTTCAGTGTCACGTGATAGACAAAGCGTACCGGGATGAGAAATCAGAGGAATGGGCCCCACTTTCACACGTCGTCTAGAGTGGTGGCGAAACCAGTCAGAGAGAAGAAATACAGACTATGCTCTCACAAGTACGGCAGGTGGAACATCACACTGGTGGCTAAGAGTCCTGTTGAACGCAGGGAATGACCGATAGATACGCAGAGTGAGCACATGAAAGTGCAACTTTGTGAGCTGCAAACTGTTTCTTGCATAGCAAAAGACAATGATCCTTTCTTGGGGAGCGGTATCGGGAGACTACCGTGAGGTAGGTTCAAGTTGGTGGTAGACGTCGAGAAAGTGCCCGGCAGCGAGGCTGGATCGGAGTTACAACATTTGCGCAATATAGCGGCCCGGTACTCGGAGGAAATTGGCCGCCCTCGTCCTTCCGTTCTTGTTCCGTTCTGCCTTGCATCGACACATTCTCAGGCGGAATATACAACACTTTTGGCTTTGCTCGCTGTTACTCATAGCTGTGCTAGAGATACACGCGTCTCCGGCACGTTTGTGGATCTATCACTGGCCAATTGGCGACTAGGCCTAATTTAAAGGCTTCGTCGCTTCGAATTCCAACGCTTTGGTTGCATCATGAATAAGTCAATCACAGCCGCCCAAAATGACCCGTCCTTGTCGGCTCCATCTCCCGAACCGGACCCATCGATTGTACTTCCAAGAGGTTTGAAGCCTCGAAACTACATAAAGGACAGTGCACACGGACGCTTGTCTCTCACACCTTTCTCTCCATCATATCCACTGAGAACACGTGTAAAGTCGTCATGTCGCTCTCCGTGCCTACCCGTTACAGTAAGATCGGAGATGCAAGTGTAAGTAACTATCCACACCATTTCTATTGAGATTAGCTTATCAACGACTTCTTCTCAGGTTTCTGCCATAGGATATGGAGCCATGGGATTAGCGGGTGAGAACTCTCACCTACTAAGGCTGTCATGACTGGACCTCACCGTTCACAGCGCTCTACGGTCCACCACTCTCTGATGAGGATTCGTTCAAGGTATAATCCAATGTGGTTTCGCATCAAGCACTGCGCACTAACCGCCATATCTGCCATAAGATGTTAGACACGCTCTACGAGAAGGGGTGCAGAAATTGGGACACCGCTGATGCGTATGCCCGTAGTGAAGATGTTCTCGGTCTCTGGTTCGTCTATCCAGATATGCGTTTGCTTTGTACTCATTGGGATTCCAACGCTTTCAGGTTCAAGCGCAACCCCGACAAGCGTCAGAACGTGTTCCTCGCTACCAAATTTGGTCTTCGGTCGCCCTCTGGGAAGCTAGTCAACGGAGAGCCTGCCTACGTGAAGGAAGCTTGCGCAAAGTCTTTGAGAAGACTAAGTGTTGACTACATTGACCTGTACTACCTACACAGGTACGTTAGATATTTTGACGGGTGACGCGCGTGGAGTTGACCATTGTGCTGTGGATCACATCGCAGAGCGGACAAAGATGTACCGATCGAGGTGAGTTGGCCATTTCGGTTAACCTAGATCTCATTTTGCTCAAATATAATGATAGAAAACAGCAGGAGCCATGGCTGAATTGGTCAGGTAAGCCATTGCCTCTGCTATCCCATTGAACTCGTTCTAACGACATGTCTCAGGGCGGGTCATGTTAAGTATCTCGGCCTGTCCGAAGTTTCTGAGAGGACTCTCCGTCGTGCCCATGCTGTTCATCCGATCTCCGTGGTGCAGACAGAATACAGTCCTTTCACGCTTGGTAAAATTTTTTTTCTCCAATCTGCTGTTCGCAAGCTTACCTATTCTGATGGTCTCTAGACATAGAAGACCCTAAAATCAATGTTTTGAATGCATGCCGCGAGCTCGGTGTTAAAATTGTCGCATACTCGCCTCTAGGTCGTGGCTTGCTCACGGGTGCCTACGTACGTTTGAGTTTCCCATGAACTCCTTCTATGGCTCCAACGCTCGACCTGCATGCTTACCATGCCTTCAGAAAGGACCAGAAGACTTTGAAGCGAACGACTTCCGTCGCATGATCCCGCGTTACTCGAAGGAGAACTTCTCGAAGATTCTCGCACTCACCGACAAGCTCAAGGAGATTGGCGCGAAACACAATGCGACCGCAGGCCAAGTTACGCTTGCTTGGATTCTCGGCCAGGGAGATGATATCATTCCCATTCCCGGCACTAAGAGCCTCAAGGTGCGCCTTCATTCAGATCTTTTGTCTCCTTACGATCAAGACGATTGATACCCATGTCTTATAGTATCTCGACGAGAACTGGGGTGCAATTAACATCAAACTCTCGCAGGAGGAGCTCGTCGCAGTGAGGAAGGCTGCGGAGGAGACTATCCTTCCAGGTGTAAGGGTACGTCATCAGCGTTCTTTCGTCCATAGCTTTGTGTTTACTTGTATGCTTCCTAGTACCCCGAGGCGCTCATGCAGACGTCTTTCATCGATACTCCAGAACTCTGAACTTCTTATGCGTGAACCTACTTACATCAAAGTTACTTACTCTCTTCTTCTGACTGTACACCTAAATACTGCCATTCACTATCAGCCAACTATCAGCTCGCCTTTTGCCTCGTTGGCATGTCTAGCAAGATTCTGCGCCTTCTTTTCGCAGACATCTACGACAGCTATTCGTCATAAATGCGCCGGTGATTATATCATGATGCGTGCCATCTTTCTCGCACTGCTGGATGAAATCTACCGTGAGTATCGGTTATTCCGTCAAACTCGGTCGAGCCTCTAAGCATGAGGATGTGTACGTGCTCTGTGGCGGTCCAGCGGTCCAAAGCGGCTGCTAACAGAAAGTCGTCTCGTTGTTACCAGTTGCGGATGTGGAGGGACGCGCAAAAGGTCGTGGTGAGGTGAACGGTGGGTCAACGACGCGTCTCGGAGGCGGCGTCTGCCGGCCGGCGTTTCTTCTCAACCTTCATGTCTAGTGTCGATACAACCTCGACGCTCTTGCATGCTAATAGCGCTCATGTTCCAACCTTTCTTCATCGAAGTTCCCACATGCGTCCCCATCGCCTTTTGAGCTATGGCGCAACACGTACTCGTCTGTACTCCGACGGACCCACTCTCTCGCCGAACATAGTCGGCGTTTGTATTAATGGACTTAAGTTCGGGCAGAATATCATGGCCAAGTGACCGCGCCAAATACAGACAGACGAACCGCGCCATCTGGTCCGCCCAACGCGGAGTCGTCTTCGCTAAATTGCTATAAGTTAGGCAGCTTCGAGCGATTCCAAATCCCTTCCACCACACTATTTCCCTCTACGACGAAGCTTAGCTGCTACCATGACATCTCTCCCCAAGACATACAGAGCATGTAAGTGCCGTTAACATCTTGTACCCTTCTCTCTACCCGTCGCTTAGTACTGACCCGTTCGAACAGTGCAATGCCCAGGTCCCCACAAAGGCTACGAGATCGTAACTCTGCCCCTACGTGAACCCGGTCCTAATGAAATCCTCGTCCGCGTACATGCTTCCGGGTTGTGCTACTCCGACCACTTTATCGAGGAGGGTATGGCTCCCGGTGTGCAGTTTCCCCGTACACCTGGCCACGAAGTTGTTGGTCGTGTGGCCGCCATAGGATCCGCCATCAAAGAGAAAGATGGAGATGACGGGCGCTTCAAGATCGGAGCTCTAGTTGGCGCTGGGTGGAACGGAGGCTACTGCACTCGTTGTGAGTTCTGCAGGAAGGGTGAGTTCTGGACGTGCAAGGCTGGTGGTGTTACCGGGTTCACGTTCGACGGAGGCCACGCGGAATATATGTACGCTCCTGAGACGGGTTCGTGTTCCTTGATTGATTATAAATGTTGGTCACTCACTGATACTGTTATCTAGCTGTTCTGAGTCTTCCTGAAGAAGCCCTCGAGAAGTCGTCCTACGCCGAATTGGCCCCTCTATTTTGTGCCGGCACCACTGTCTTTGACGCCATCAGGACGACAAAGTGGACGCCGGGAGACTTGTGTATCGTTCAGGGTATTGGAGGCCTTGGCCACCTTGCTGTCCAGGTTCGCATATTCGAGCTATTGACCTTGATATTGACTTGATGCTGAATTTGTGCACTATATAGTTTGCCTCGAAGATGGGTCTCAAGGTTTGATTTTCATGATTCCGACCATCGCATAGACATTGACCTAGTATCTTTAGGTCATCGCTGTTTCCTCTGGATCTTCCAAGCGCGACTTCGCCTTGTCCATGGGCGCTGCCGAGTATGTCGATTCGAGCACCACAGACATAGTCGAATACGCCCAAGCCCGGGGCGGGGCGACAGTGATAATCTGCACCGCACCTAAATCGGAACATATCAACAAAATTATTCCTGCCGCCGCGAAGAACGGCACCATCACTCTCGTGGCCGCTTCTTTCGACGCACCTATCCAGGTGAACAACATGTTCTTCAACATGAACCGTGTCACACTCAGGGGATGGAGCTGTGGATGCGCTCCCGACATGGAGCAATGTGCCAAGTTCTCAACGGCCAGCGGTAAGTCTCTCAGTAAACAGTGGTACTCGTAGGAACACCCTAAATTAATGAATTTGCCGTAGGTGTCAAATCCGTCGTGCAGGAGTATTCGATGGAGGAGTTCACCAGTGCGTACAAGGGCGTCCTCGAGAACAAAGCTCGGTTCCGTAATGTGTTGGTCTTCCCTTGAGAGAGTTGTCCGTTATGTCCATGTATATTTACCCCTGTATGAAAAGTTACGAGTAGAATGACATCGGTGTCTGGAATGAACGTAGACGAATTTAGACAAGGGCTAGACAACAAAGAAATGACGAATAAGGCTTGGCCTCGCGAAAGACACGAAGTGTGGCGTCAGAACATGAGGTGGCGGGGAGTAGGCGTTCCGGAAAAGGAAGTGGGCGGCCAGTATACGCGGCGCGAGCTGCGTGCACTGGCAGTGCAACCCTCGCTCTTACTTCCGCATCTCCCTTTCTCTCCCCCTTTCTCTGTCCTTTTCTTCCTGCTAGATATGAGTTCCGGTCTCGGCGCAGAAGTTGTATCCGTCGTCAACAAGCTTCAAGATGTCTTTGCCGCTGTCGGCTCGAGTGCAGCTCAGATAGACTTGCCCCAGATATGTGTTCTGGGTAGTCAAAGTAGTGGAAAGAGTAGTGTGCTCGAGGTACGTGAAAGCTTCATCATTGCGGAGAGAATCGCGAGAATTAACATAGCTTCTAATCCTGGTTAGAATATCGTTGGGAGAGACTTCTTGCCCAGAGGATCTGGTATCGTCACTCGACGGCCATTGGTGCGTACACAACCATGTATCCCTGCGTCGGAGCTCCATCTCAACCTCAATGCAGGTCCTCCAACTCATAAATCGCCCTGCATCTGCCCCCATGCCAAATGGAACCGCCGGTATGTGCACTTTCTCTTGTCTTATGCCTACCCGGCATCATATTAACGTTGACGCCACCCTCGTCCAGCCAAAGCCGCTTCCGCCGCCGAGAACGGCGACTCGCATGCTAACGAGAACGAATGGGGCGAATTCCTTCACCTTCCCGGGGAGAAGTTCTACGACTTCAACAAGATTCGCGCTGAGATCGTTCGTGATACCGAGGCGAAGACTGGTCGCAATGCAGGCATCTCCCCCGTGCCCATCAACCTCCGTATCTTCTCACCTACCGTCCTCACGCTCACACTCGTCGATCTCCCCGGCCTCACGAAAGTCCCTGTTGGGGACCAACCGAAAGATATTGAGAAGCAGATTCGTGACATGTTGTTCAAGTATATCTCGAAGCCGGCCTGTATCATTCTCGCAGTCACACCTGCCAACCAGGATTTGGCCAACTCAGATGGTTTGAAGATGGCGAGAGAGGTTGACCCGGAGGGTTTGAGGACTATCGGTGTCCTCACCAAAGTTGATTTGATGTACGCTCTCATTTTATTTTTATGTACCCTTTTACTTTTCACTAATATAATCTACCTGCAGGGACACCGGAACCGACGTCATCGATATTCTTGCTGGACGAGTCATCCCCCTGCGACTGGGATACGTCCCTGTTGTCAACCGTGGACAACGTGACATTGACTCCTCAAAATCCATCACTGCGGCTCTTGAGCATGAGCGTCAATTCTTCGAGAACCACCCGTCGTACAAGGGCAAGGCACAATACTGCGGTACACCCTTCCTTGCCCGCAAACTTAACATGGTACGGCTAATTTCCACTTTTCAAAGCAACCATAACCAATGTTTACATTGCCCCTTAGATCCTTATGCACCACATTCGCGCAACTCTTCCCGACATCAAGGCTCGCATCACCTCCCAACTGCAGAAATACAGCCAAGAGCTGCAAACACTCGGTGGTCCTAGCGGCGAGGGTAACTCTTCGAGCGTTGTCTTGGGCGTCATCACCGAATTTACGAACGAGTTCCGGACGGTCATCGACGGAAACACGAACGACCTATCGCTGAACGAGTTGAGCGGTGGTGCCCGTATCAGTTTCGTCTTCCACGAGTTGTTCAATAACGGGATTAAGAGCATCGATCCGTTCGACCAGGTGAAGGACGGGGATATCAGGACGCTCTTGTACAACTCTTCCGTACGTAATCCTCACCGTCTGGTCGTGGGCGACTGACTTACAGTTGTGACTGTCATGCCCAGGGATCAACACCAGCTCTCTTTGTTGGGACGACCGCGTTCGAAGTGATCGTCAAGGGACAGATCAAGCGTCTAGAGGACCCATCTTTGAAGTGTTGTCAACTCGTGTATGACGAGCTTATTCGAATTCTTGGTCAACTTCTCCAGAAGATCGTACGTCTTTCTGCACTTCTCGTAATGTGCTGTCTGACCATAATCTCATACCTCTGGCCGGATTTTAGCAAGCGTTCAGGCGATACCCCGCTCTGCGCGAGCGGTTCAACAGCGTCGTTGTCAACTTCTTCAAGACATCCATGCAGCCGACGACGAAGCTCGTTACGGATCTAGTCTCTATGCAGGCGTGCTACGTCAACACCACACATCCCGACTTCCTTAACGGCCACAAGGTTCGTGTCTCTCCATTGTCCCATCGTAACTATACTCACCAGAAATATTTTACTGGCATGATAGGCCATGTCCATTGTGACCGACAGACTGAATGCCAACAAGCCTCCGCCCCAAGCCGCAGACCCGAAGTCGGGCAAACTTGCGCCTGGTCAGATCAACAATAACAAGGATCTGGACGTTGATGCGAGGAAGGAAGAACCGAGCTTCTTTGGCAGCTTCTTCGCGTCGGGCAAGGGGACTGTGAAGAAGAAGGGCCCCCAGCCGATGGAGGCACCGCCGTCCATCATTCGTCCGCAGTCTGCTTTGAACGAGAGAGAGACGATCGAGACGGAGGTCATCAGTGCGTATTTGCGAATCATACACTACTCCCTTCTTGTATTCTATGTTTTTGGACGGCTTGAGTGCTGATCGTCCTTCGTTGTACACAGAACTCCTCATCCACTCCTACTTTAATATCGTCAAGCGCGAGATGATCGACATGGTGCCCAAGGCGATCACGCTCACGCTCGTGAACCACTCGAAGGAAGACCTCCAGAAAGAGCTTCTCCAGGAGCTGTACAAGCCCGATGTCCTTGACGAGTTGTTGAAGGAGAGCGAGTTCGTGGTCAACAGGAGAAAGGAGGTCGTCGGTATGGTGCAGGCACTTAATAAGGCTGAGGAGTATGTCCTTCATTCTCATCCTCCTCTTCATGCGACACGGCGAACTAACCATGTGTGCCTTGCTATAGGATCGTGGCGGGGGTGTAAGTATGACTTTGATTCTTCGAATGATGAGAACTTGAGGCGGAGGTTGTGGCGGCTTGTAGGCCGCTCGGACGGATGGAATGATCGGTCGGTCGCTGCACGACATACATGGCTTTGGTTATACTACATACATGTTGTCCTTGTTGTTGTTTCCTCTTCATCTGATTTTTTTTTCGTGTGGACTTCTGACTCTCCCTTGTTATATGTTCCATGTTTCCCTATCTTTCTTGATGCGCGTTTCTGAAATATCGTATAATACCCTATGGCTGGTATTTGTGTGGCAGAGAGAGACTTTGAATTGGGGGGTTACAACTATTGTTACTCGTCTGGCTTTCCCGACATCGCCGCTTATTGTAAAATCAACACAACACAAGGTAATAGGTATGGCACCGAAACACAGGATCGCCTCCTATCCGAACAACAAAAAAGACTGCCAATCATGCAAGAAAGAGAAAAAGAACCAAGGACCGTTCGACGCTGGATCAAATGGAAAGATGTAAGAGAATAAATCAACCGTAGTTGAGTCGGAAGATGTCGTTAAGGCTGCATCGGAGGATACAAATTGATGGTGACGGTGTGCAGGCGGTTGGATAGTATCGCAAGATCGATGTCAGTGAGGCTGTACAGGGGTAAATCCGCATTGAGCACGTACACATAGTAGCTTCCGCCCTCTGGGATCAACTGGAAGACCTGGCTGAACTGGAGAGGATTCGGAGAGTCGTCGATCTACGGAGATGACATTCGCCGCAGAGTATGTTCAGCCCATAGACCAGATTTCAGGGAACGAAGACGCGACGATCGGGGTGAGATGAGCATGTTCGAGTCAGACGAAGGTGGCGAGCGGGACGTACGACGAGCAAGCCGGTCACGCTGACGATGAGGCTGGCCACGGTTGGCGAAGACGGTTGGGCATCCATCGTAGTGACTTTGTGCTGTACGCGCTCGAAGGGGAGGTTCTGGCACGCCAGATCGCGTTCGAGGACGTGGATATACGGATGTGGCGCTCGAGTGAGAATATTGCGAGGAAGTCATGGAGTTTGGATAAAACATACGGTGAGCTTCTCGGTGATGGGAGCAGCGCCCTGAATGGCTGTACCCTCAAAGGAGAGCATAGAGACATCGCGCTACGAATTGTAAAAGAATCCGGTCGAAATGAGCATGTTGAGCAGTACGAAGGATGGACAGGGGAGACGGACGTAAAGCGACTGAAGACTGGCACGGTTAGTGTCGAAAGTGGTGTAGTAAAAATCGGTGAATTGCTTCGCGATCGCAGTTGCGTCTGCCATGGTGAGCTAGGGCGAGAGGATGGGGAAGACGCGACGAGGACGGTGGGCAGGGCAGAGGGACAGCACCAGGACCGCGCCTTGTTTTCTTTCCCTACTCTCGGTCACGTGCGCATGCACAATTGTTAGAGATCTTCCGGAAGGAGACCGAGAAGCTTGATCTGCGCATGGCCAAATATTACATAGGCTGTGAACGTATTATCGGCACGAATGAGAGTAATTTGTGTGAAATGTTGAGATAATTACCTGGCATTTCCGAGAGTCGATGAAGCTCGGTGGCGGCCGAGTCGACGTCAAATATTTGAAACGTCGACTCTCCGCGCCACAACGAGGCCAAACGCTACGAGCTCGAATATCTTGACCTCTTTGCTCGGCGGAGACGAGATGCAGGCTCAGGCAGCTTCCCCTAGAATCGAATCGCAGCCAGGGCCGTCGGCTACGAACACGGCCCCGACAAACCAGCGCCCAACGATGAGGAGAAAGAGCTCGGCCCAGAATCTGTTGGCTTCTTTCAAGCCTAACAGCAGCAACAGCAACGCGAACAACAGTTCTCCCTCTTCCGCCGTTCCGACTCCTTCCCCTTCACCAATACCCATCCCCGTACCTCCCCAGCCGTCTTCGGCCGCACCCATGCAGATGTCTCTCGGTGGACCGGGCCCAGCATCCTCATCTGTTACCTCTTCCTTCTCGTTCGCGTCGACACCAACGGCCTACACACCCATACAGAAAGAATGGGATAACCAAAGCATGCATTCCGACGGTGCTAGCCAGCCACCACAAACTGCCAGCAATTCCGCGTTTTCGCAAGGTGCCACTGTCGAGTACTTGAGGGATCTTGTCCAGAAGAGGATCATCACCTTAACTTACATGCGGAATGTCCATGACGGGTGCGTTACTTGTGCTTTGCATTCCGGTCAAAGCGGAATTCTTACATGTGTACTCAGACGAAGTCATTGGTTTCACACAATCATGATGTCGCGGCCAGAGCTCGACAGAGTGTTCAGCAACGCTGCCATGAAGAAGAGGTGAGCAGCATTACACCTCTCTCATATTCGCCCCTATATCCGGAGATCCATATATATGGAAAGTAGCCACGTGCTACGTGAACATTTTGCCCTCGAATGTGGCCCACTCGATGAAAACCTTTCTTTCGGGGTTATTTACACGTACAACCTTCTGGTTGGTCATCCGAACTACTGCTAACTTATGGGTTTGTGGGAACAACAGAACTTCACGCTTCGCGATCCTCGCTATGTCTCTCGCCACCCTGTTCGACGTACATCAACCCCAGGATCTCATGCGTGGTCTATTGAACACCCTGACCGAATACGAGCAATCAAAAGAGGACAAGTACAACGACCCACGTCCAGCTAAGATGGTGATACAAAATAAGCCTCTCCACTTCAAGTCAAAAACTGATTTCCAGTCCACTTTTCTAGCGAATATTTAGACGTCGAAAAGGAGCACCAGGAATGTCAGACTTTTCATTAGGAATGCCCATCCCCGACACATCAGAAACATCCTACCTCATGACACCACACATTGTACGTTCTACAACCCAAGAAACTACTTTCTTTTATACTTAAACCTCACCGCCTCCAATCGAATCTAGCCTTTCCCCCTAGACTACCACCAAACCCTCCTCTCCCTCCTCGACGTCCTCTCCGAAGTTTACTCCAAGCTCTCTAAATTCCTCGGCCCATCTCCTTTCCCACACGCAACCCAACATATGCTCGGCCCCCTAGGCCTCCTCTCTCCCCATCCCGGTGTCTCGTATCTCTTCTCAGGCGCAGATGCCGCACCAGTAGGCGATGGTGACGGGTTATGGGGGATCGCGCATGGGGGCATAGGGCCAGGACCGGGCGTGGCTGCCGCTGCTGCACCTGGTGCTGGTGGAGCGGGAGCAGGAGGCGCTCCTGGGGCTAGTGGGTTTCATGGAGGGTTTGGTGGTCAGAGTAATGGTGGAGGTGTAGGGATGGGAGGTGGAGGGCCGTTGGCGAGTCCACCGCCGAGTTGGACGCCAGCGCTGGGAGAGATGGTGTTGAAAGTGGATACGAAGTTCAAAGTACGTCGGACTGTGTCTCTCTTCTTGTCTTTCCATTCGCTCGCTCTGAGGATGATGAGCTGATCTTCGGGGATGTATCAGAAAATCATCTCGACGCTATTGAAGGACTTGGATGCATTTGCGAGGAACGAGATCAAGGACGAGCTCGCATCGCTGGATCCGCTGCTGAGGAATGTGGCAGTGGCGGACGAGAGCCGGGCGACGTATGATTTCGAAGGAACTATCTGATTCTCAACTTATCCTATCCTCTTTCATCCCTTCCTTGGAAGAACCTTTATCTAGCTCATATGAGCGCGGACTATGCTCCACGCCAGATGTATGGACATCGTTGCCCCGCCAGCTCCTTTTCTTTTCGCGAAGCTTGCCTTCTCTTTCTTTTTCTTTCGTTATTTGCTCTGGATACCCTTTTATGCGTCTCTGTGCTCCCTTGTTCGATGTCTTGTGTCCGGCTTGTAACTCTTAGACTCTTTGTAACAATTCAGAATCAGTATGAGTAGTACAATAGTTGACGGCTAATTCCGCCTTCCCCTCTGTATCCGTTGTGTCTCGAGTGCTCCATACATCCAGGACTGCACGATCTGGCATCTCTCAGCCAGAGAGTATGTGCATCCAAATTGTTACAGCCAGCCCATACTCACTGTCGTCATTCACCCATTATCGTAGTACCTCTGCGATGTATTAAAAGAGGGAGGCGGCAGATACTCATGTATCAAGAGATAATTATCTTCCGCTCATGGCGGCGGCACCAAGATAGATCCCCTCTAACAAACACAGAAGTCAGTTGTTCTCGTTGGTAGTGGGACTGAGGACGTAGTGCTACGGAGATTGCTTTGGTGCAGTCCACTGCCCTTTGTAGAGAAGGTTCAGCCGAGGACGATGAGTTCGGAGATTGCAGTGGCTGAGCGCTGGTGGCAGACTAGGGCCCGTCTACCCACCGATCACGGCTAGCAAGTTCCTCAGATCCCTTGCTAGTGGGAGTGTGGGAAGACGGGGCGTAGTACTACCGCAGTGTCAATGCGAATTATCCGTCGGAGAACTGTGCGGCGCAATACGGATCTGAGTTTGACTCGTGCATGTCCCCGGCCGGCGTCCAAAGCGCAAGATGAACGTCATGAGCTCAGAGTTGAAGACGAGCCTTGGGTAACCTCAAATGACATTTCCACTCGAATATTCGATATGCAGAGCATCCTCATCGGTGAGATTGGGTCAGAGCACTGGCAAGGTCGCCACAGCGGTGGAACCGGAAGCAAAAGGTACCCGATTACATAAGCTCCCGCCTGCTCGGTTTGGTTTCCTTTGACTCCGGCTTTCTTCTCAACGCTACCACGACTTGGTTTTGTCTTTACTTGAAGCTCTGCAGGGGCCGGCGGCCGACTGCGACTATGACGGTCCTAAAGGCTTGCTTGCCTAAGTATTGTCTGCGGCTCGCTTGGGAAAGGATCTGATGTGTAGAGCTCGACACCGCGTTAGGTCCAGGCTACTACTATCGTGAAAACGTGTAAACTATAGCCCATGGGGCTGCCTGACCTCGGAGATCAACCTCTATGTACTACTCATCACGGCAACGACTGTTTCCAAGAGATATTTGCTGTCTCAAATGCGAGAGTTTACCTCAGGAAATTAGCGCCTGTAGTTGCGTGCTCCCGATGTTGCAGCATGATGACTCGATTACTAGGCTGTCTGCGGTGTTCATTGCACTCCACCAAAGGAACAGTACACTATTGGCCGTCAAGGACATATATTTTTCCACTATGATCTTGGGCTTTTATTTAAAGAGGAGAGCTGGAAGGTCTTATTTTCCTGCACCGTACCTTCTTCAACCTCGCCACCCATCAATCTACTGTCCACTCTTCATCTCCGATGGCTGCCGTTCAGAACTTCGAAGGTTATACTGAGCCAGAGCTCCTCCACCGGTACGCCTCCTCTCGCGTTATCACGGCCGCCTTCTACTGACAGTTCGAAATATTTTCCAAGACCTGGTACTTCTCTCCCTAACAAACTAGGCGTGATGTCCCAGCTCACCTGGCCCAATATCTTGAATGGGACCAACTGCGAGAAGCCCGCCGTCCCTAACTACAAACCTCCATCCAAGGTCGACGTCATCATCATCGGGGGTAAGCCTCTCACCATTTCTAGCCTGATGTATGGTCTGTGAACTGACTTGAGCATATACAGCTGGTCCCGTCGGTCTCACCACGGCTGCCTGCCTTCTCCGTCAGGGTATTACGGTCCGTATCCTCGACAGGTCTCCTCATCCTCTCCCAGTTGGCCGTGCAGATGGTCTTCAAGCTCGTTCCATGGAGGTTTTCGACCTTCTTGGTCTTGGTGAAGAAGTCTATCACGTCGGTATCCGTGTCGAGCACACGACCGTCTACAAGGACGGAAAGCAGCATATCTTCGCCGAGTCTCACCAGGCTCCCGGTAACGAGGCCCATTATACTGGTCTTCACGCTTGCACGCAAACTGAGGTCGAGCACCTCCTCATTCGGTATTTGCTGCATTGCCCTTCAGACCGACCCTTGGCACTCATACTTTGATTTGACACAGTGATCTCATCCGCCACGACGTTCTCGTCGAGAGGCCATGTACCGCCACGTCTTATACGTTTGACGAAGAAGCCGACGCTTCGGTCACGCACCCCATCACGGTCAACATCACCAACGAGGCCACTGGTGTCGAGGAGGTCGTCACTGCGAGGTTCATGGTCGGCAGCGACGGTGCGCACAGTATGATCCGCAAGTCACTCCCCATCGAGTTCCCCGGCGTGAAGACCGACCTGCACTGGGGTATCGTTGACGCCGTCGTCAACTCTGACTTCCCTCACCGCTGGACTTTCGGGTACGTGTTTCTGCCAATTTTTGTGTTATGCACCTGAGACTGATATCTGGACCACAGCACCGTCCTCAACTCTGAGCTCGGCGGATGTCTTATCATCCCTCGTGAACGTAACATAGTCCGTCTCTACGTTCAGCTCCGTGCTGAGCCTGGAAAGGCCTTTGACCATTCCAAAGTAAGTTGTGTCTGTTCGATGAGGTTGCCATGATCTGATATCTTTGCTTTCTCTCAGTGGGGTCCCGAGGAGATCTTGGTCATCCTTAACAAGGTCTTCGCGCCGTACTCCTTAAGCTACGCTGAACCCGTTGACTGGTACACAATTTTGACCAGTAAGTACCCTTCGCGATACTATCTTCTGAACTGGTGCTTATTATTGCGTAGTCAATGAGCGTGTCGCCAGCTCTTTCACCTACAAAGACCGTATCTTCCTGGCCGGTGACTCATGGTATATCCACGTTACATTGTGTACTTCGGCACCCATGGCTAACACAGAGTCTTCTCCAGTCACGTCCACAGTGCGAAGGGCGCCTTCGGTATGAACACCGGTGTCATGGACGCACACAACCTCGCATGGAAGCTCGCTATGCTCTGCCGTGGTATCGCAAAGCCAAGCCTTCTCGCTTCATATGATGTCGAGAGGAGGGAGAACGCTCTCCGCGCCGTCGCCACCTCCGCTCGTTACCTTCGCTTTGTCGGCAACTGTACCTTCCAGGCCATCGACGGCTCCGGCGAGACCGACAAGGAGGCCGAAGAGCTCGATGTTCCTCCTGGCGAGGACAAGGACGTCTTCTTTTTCAAAAAGTTCGTCGGCCAGGTGGGGCAGTTCCTCATCGGCATGGACGTCGACTATGCGTCGAACGCGCTCAACAAGCTCTCTTCCGCCGTCTCGAGGGCTCGTGCCGGTTATCGTGCTTCCAACCCGAGAGTCGCCCTCAGCCGCAATCACTCCGGCCGTCTATATCACTCTTTCGGCCATCTAGGCCAGTTCACCCTCCTCGTCTTCGCCAGCAACATGGGGGGCGCGATCAACGCCAAACTTCACGCCCTCGACAACTACCTCGCTAGCCGCAGCTCGTTCTACCACGCCTACGGTGGCGCCGATACTTTCAAGATCGTCGTTGTCGTTCGCGCTACGCCTTCACAGGCCGACCACCGCGTCAAGACGTTCCCATTCCTGTCGAAGGCCGGTCACACCGTCTACGACGATCAGCTTCCGTTAAGCCATTTCGGTGGCGACGCTCACGCTTTGTATGGTGTCTCGCACGAGGAAGGTGCCATTGTCGTTGTACGTCCGGACAGCTGGATTGGAACTGCCTCTACTATCTCCGATGCTCGTTCTCTCGAATCCTACTTTGATGGCTTCCTGTTCAAGTCAACCCAGGGTACTGTTTAGGCTTATCAAAATTCTCTGCGACTGTAGACTATCTTATACATCACTTCTCTTCTTAGCCTCTATGTTTTAATTCGTTTTGTTTCTTTCAATTGTCTTGTAGCACATACTCTTACTAGTAACCCAATAGATGACAACTTAGCTAGATCAAAATATGCCATGATAGTTCCAGAGAAGATCAGTTTCGTTTCAAGACTGCCTTACAACTTCGCTGCTGCTTACTGCTCTGAGTTCTAATTCCGTCGCCACACACGCGCTGACTTCGAATCGGAGTTGATCCCAACCTTCCGTCCTATTTGTATTTGTCTGAGTCTTTATTCCATCTCCCATCGTTCTGCTCCAGATATTCCCGGGTCCCAGACTACTAGTGCAGGAGAAACCCACATATTGTCGTCTTAGCGCTTGGGATCAGTTGCAATCCGAATCTCATACTCAGATCGGAGAAGTATGGCGAAGAAATCCCAACGTCACGGTACTACTAGTGCCAGTCATGGTACGACACAGACTGCCACTCCTTCACAAAGGAACAAAGACGCGGATAAAAAGGGTGTCTCAAGGGGCCCTGCTTTCCCTGTTCTGACTTCTAGAGACGATGTGACATGCACGACCTTGCTAGAAGACCAGATTCTACTCTTCGAAGTATGTACGGCGAACTCATGACTCCCTCGCTTACCTTTCCGTTGACGGAAGGATGTTTCTACATCTCCCTCCAGAACTTGTTAACATACGAGGAATGTAGACAATTCGTGAAGTTCATAGACGGCTTGCCTCTGGAATTGACTCCACCAAAGAAGAGGGGCGAAGCCGACAGGCTCAACCGTTCGTATTTAGCCTGCCCCCTTTGCCAGGCTTTACTTAGCACAATGTACTCTAGATCGAATCTCAATAACTTCGGTCGACTTTGCAAAACACCTTTTCTCCACCCTCCAGCCCCATCTCCCCGACTTTCCCTACCCAGCCTCTCAGAAACGTGCCAATGCCACAGCACGACCGGCTCACTCTCTCAACTCCAACATCCGAATGTACAAGTATACACCTCATCAGCATTTTGGCCAGCATTACGACGACTCTGTGAAGGACGCAGAGACTGGTTCCAAGTCGGAGTGGACTCTCCTGGTCTATCTGACAGGAGCAGAAGATGGAGTGCAAGGTGGTGAAGTATGTGGCGCCCCATCCCGCATTTATGAGCTGCGTGGGATATCCTAATTGCTGATGAGACGACATGATATTTCAGACCATCTTCTATACAAACGAAAGAGGAAAACCGCCAGTGGTGGCCCCTTTGACCCGAGGGACTGCACTGCTGCACCGGTCAGTACGTTTCTTCTCGTTGTTCAACGCAGGCTTGACGTTCATGGCAGACACGGCCACGAATGCCTTCTTCACGAGGGTTCTGAGGTTCTCAGCGGGACAAAATACGTCCTACGATCTGATATTATGTTTATGACCTGACGCACAGAAAGGCTAAAGGTATCAAACGATAGATGTGATCGACGATGTGACATATTAGGATACAACATAAGCAAAAGAACGAGTAGAAACCATCGAACAGAGTCCACTATCTTCTGCCCTTCTTTTTCTTACCAGGCATACCAGCCTCTACGACATCATCATCCCGGTCCCTGTTATCTGCTCCTCCCTCCCTATCCTCTCTTCTCCTCTTCCTCCCGCCGGCCCCACCTTTTGACATAGCCTGGTCCTTCATCTCGTTCACAGCCAACCGGCTTGCTTCTTCTACGCGCTCCCTAAGCAATGCAATCTCGTCCTTGTCTGTTGGCCAAAGGTCCATCTTTTTTCCAGTGACTTTCTCAATCCGATGGATGAGTTCGATGTCGTACTGTGTCACCAGAGTGATCGATTTCCCTGCACGCCCCGCTCTTGCAGTTCGACCGACTCGGTGAATGTAGTCTTTGGAATGCGTTGGGATGTCGAAGTTGATCACGACGTCGACAGAAGGAATATCAAGACCACTGTTCGGGGTTTGTGAGCAAGCGATGGATGTAAAGTGCGCGAAAGACAAAACTTACCGACTAGCGACATCCGTGGCCACAAGGATACTACGACCGCCGCTTTTGAACTTACTCAGAGCTCCTAAGCGCTGACTTTGGCTTAGTTGCCCATGCAATGGCACAGCAGGGAAACCGAGGGTCCGCAGAATGATTGAAAGTCTGAAATGAAGCATGATGAATATGTGAAGTAAGAGGTAATACGTGATTGGACGAACTTCTGAGCATCGTGCACTGTCCTCGTGAAAATCATCATGGAATTTTGGGCGAGCGTGTTGGCAAGGTTCACGAGATGAACTTCCTTGTGGCTGAGCGGCATGAAGAGGTAGTATTGCAAGAGGGTTGAAACCGTAGAATATCTAACTTGCGCCTTGAGAAGAAGAAGCAAGAAATGTCGAGCAAAGAGACATACTTTGAAGAAACCTCCACGCGGACAGGATTCTGCAGACTGGCGCGCTGCAGTTTGGCGACTTTCGTGGTCATGGTGGCAGAGAAGAGATATGTTGTGCGTTCCTTGGGTATGACCTTCAAGATTTTGTCGATGTCAGGACCGAAGTCCATGTCAAGCAGCCTATCAGCCTCATCCAAGACCTGTTACGATCCCCTAGTCAGATAAAGATTCCAGGATAGAAAGCCTGTATACGCACGAAAAACTTGAGCCCTCGCAGACTAAACCCTTTAGTATTCTCTAAATGATAATTCAACCTCCCCGGAGTTGCGACAATAATATGCGGCTTCTTTGCAAGCGCAATCGACTGTGAGACTACATCCATTCCTCCGATAATGACCGCACAACGAACGCCTATACCAGACCCCAGAGCCTCAAACTGCTGAGAGATCTGGTACGCAAGCTCGCGTGTAGGAGCTATAACGCATGCGAACAGACCCTTGGGATCATTCCAGAGAGCTTGAATTATAGGTAGTGCGAAGGCGGCAGTCTTTCCTGAGCCTGTTGATGCCACACCGATGATGTCTCGGCCCTCGAGGGCATGAGGGAGGGCTTCGGCCTGAATATCGGTTGGCGTTTTGTATCCGAGTTGTTCAACAGCTTCAAGTAATGGGTCAATAAGGCCTATAGACTTGAATGATGGCGGATTGGCAGCAGATGTAGAGGCTTCTTCTGGAGATGGCATCGTCGCGAAAATGCAGAGCAGGGGCGAGAGGACAACAGAGACAGAGTCGAGCAGACGAAAAGGCCGAAGAAGGCACCCAAAAATTATTTCAAAATCTTTCTCGAGCTCGCGCCACAGTGGCGTGGCGCTATTTCAACGAGCCGGGAGCTCGGCCATGCCACCAGCATAGCAGATGAAGGGGTGTTTGTCGGGTATCGACTGTAAGCAAAGACGCAAAATAGAAACACAATAAGGGTACGAAAATGATAAGTTACTCCACAAACTCGCAGCCCCCAGCGCTGCTACCGGTCATCAATAATAGTCTATGTCCGGCTCGCCCATGCCTATTACAAAGGTTGTCCGTCCTCCTCTCGGCAGCACCAAGACCTTCTCTGCACCATGTACTTGATACGTTTCAGCACTAGGAATTGCCAGCGAGCCCATGGTCATTTCCCCTCCGACAGGAAGAGCAGTAACCGAGACTTTAGGCAAAGAGAGTTCGCCATGGTGCAACGCGATTAATGTGATCGGCACAGTGTAGGTCTCCCCGTTCTAAAGATCTAGTAAGTCCCAGCTGCAGCTGTGTAGAATCAGAAAGTGTTACCTTTGCCTCGAAATCACCCCGTTTGCGCCCACTGACTAGCCAGTCCCTCACCAACTCTTCGATGTCGAACCTCATCTTAAATCTCCGGCTCTCATCGCCGTAACTCATGCTCCATTTAAATGACGTGTGTATTGTGAGCAGCGCAGAGATAGGTTGACCAGCGTATAGTGGAGGCAGCTTGTCTTGCGGGGGAGCTTGTTTCGAGAACGGGGAGGACAAAATGGATAACCTTGCCGCAGCGAGGATCTACGACCTACAGTCAGTGATGATGGCCACGATATGGGACGGCAAGGACTGACATTCATCTGCGGTACATCTACCGGTATTCGAATTTCGCGCCATGAAGATTCGTCAAGGACATTGGGATGTGTGGTGCGGAGCGTCTACAACGCATTTGTTGATTAGTAAGCATTCGCTCCGATGAATCGATGAAAGAGTAGAGCACATACCTGTATGACCATCTGCAGGGTCTCTTCATAGTCATTTTCTGCCTGTATCTCTGGTACAACAAGTTCATCCGCCGCATCATAGAGGTACACCCAATCAGAATCTTTCTCTAGTGCTTTAACCACGCTATTAACGAGCCGAGTCCGTGTGAGATGTGAGTCCTCTCCACCGTCAAGCACAGTGTCGACAACGTGTTCAATGAGCGCCTCAATTTCTGTAAGATGTCAATAAGATGTACAGGCAACTATGACAGGAGCGGTTCTCACCATCGCGGAGCATCCGATACTTTATACAGAGCCATAGTGGATCACCGACTTCACGATGCATTAGCGTACAGCACAGGACGACGAGGTAGAGACATTGGTCGCACCTCTCCCATTCTTTGAATCCATTTGGAATACAATATTTACTGGACGAGAAGGCGTGATAGTCTGCATAATGATCAACACGCTTGCTTTCTGAGATTGTGAAATTTGATTTACCGCTATATTCCGTTTCTGGGGCAGTGTTCCCCGAACTACCAGACCCTGCGCTTCCCCCTCATCGGCTTCGAGACTAGCAGATGCCAATCGTACATGTTGATACGCGGCTGTTGAGATTGTAAACTTCGAGAAGAGCCTATTGCGATTACGTTTGAGCGATATATCTGTGCAAGTATGTACGACGTGCACATACCTCGACCCTCTGAAGAAGTCGTGGACATTGACAGCGATTGGCAAAGATGTTGGAATTCGACTGCCGAGTAGTAATGTTCGTTTCACGGAAGGTTCGGCCTCAGTGCTATATTCCGCCGAGATATCGACTTGCTATACAGATCTGGATGAGCGTGATAGTTGGATGCCACTGGATAGAACGCACCATCATGTGCATCGAGGAAGCGTCCGTATGAGGAACCAGTAGATATACAGATTTGCCGGCCTTGAGGTTCGAGATGGACAGAGATTGTTCAGTCGCCTCTAGAGCAATATCTTCTTCGTCTGAACTGTACTTGAGCAAAGTGTATTGTTGAGAAGACGACGAGCACTAACCATTGTGTTCAAGTACCACCTTGTGAGGCCGAAACTCCACACCAGACGCAGAAGTTAGGGTGATCTCTGCCCGCGAGATATTATTTCGACCGCTGGACGCTATCAACATGAGCTGTGGTGGCTTTCCCAGTTCAACTAGCAGTCGTCCGTTTCAGTAACGAGAGCCTGAGCAGTCGGTGACGGACATACCACGGTGTGGCCGTTGAATCCGAACTTCAAAAGCATGCAGATCTCGTATGAGCCGGACGAGCACCGGTGCTCGGAATTTGCGCTTTGGTGCTTTTGCACTACTTGGTTTGGACGCAGCGGCCCACTGAAGTCGTAGTCGTGATGCGCGTATTTCACTTGAGTCGAATAAAAAATTTCCCCATGACGATGTCTAAAAATCAGTCAGCTCGGCTCAAATCGCTGTGACAAGGTGAACACTCACAGGGCAGAACAACGAAAATGTTGTTGTCCCGGGAGGTAATGTTGAGGCCTCGGTACTGAAGATAAGACGTTCTGACTCGCGGCCTGTCAGGACGACAGCGATTTCATCCACTGGCATATCCTTTAGACCCGGTTAATGTAGGCAAGAGTGTGCATAAGACAGGACTTACACAGGGTAGTCGATTTCGTACTGTCACATCCAAGAACGAGCCGTCTTTTGACTCTGCTAGGCGTGCATTCGGAGTTGCGATACGCAATGATATTGCTGGAAAGTCGTGGTGTATCATATCTGCGTTCACGATACGTCAGACTCGTTGTAGGGGCGAGTGCTGCGATGGGGTGCACTTGCCTGTGTCTAAGAGGCCGACCGCTTCACCCAACGATTTTACCAGCCCTCCTACATATGCGGTCTTGTCCGTCTCCTGCATTAGGAGATCTTCACCAAGTTCATCCACATATGAACCGAGAAACGAAAGGGCGAGGTCGACCCATTGTCGGTCTTTTGCCGTTCCTAGCAATCTATGAGTGTCAATGGCTTGGACGAGCATATATGACTCCAGCGATGTCCATTGATGGGGTAAATAATGGGCTGGCAATGAGGAGAAGGTTTGAAAGGCTGGTGAAAGTCGTTTTCGATGTCTGAGCAGCCATTTGGTTAGTAAGCACAATAGACCGAGAATGAAGGGGCCACACGTACAAGTCCAATGCCGCAAGACTCCCGTGTAGTTTGAGAGCGAATTTTCGACGATTACCCTTCGCATAGAGCTCGATGGCGCGATTGGTAAGGCCTATGTAAAGGTCATAGAAGGTGTCTGCATCAGCCATTGCCCGTACGACATCTTGATTGCTGATGGTCCCGGAGCTATGCTTCGAATGGCCGTTGGTAGGCGGTGAGGTGCAGGTGATAAGAGCCAAGGAAAAAGGTGGCTTGGATGGGAGATGTCCGACTTTGACTCCTACAACGTCCAACTACAAACACTTAGCGCCTATCCGGTTGGAACTGCATTCTAGGTCACTTACCTGACTACGTGCCAACTCTAATAGATCTGCTTTTGACGCGTTGAAAGCAACGAGAGTGGCTCCGTCCAGCGTCAACTCTTTTGCCCATACGTCACATTGCTCGACTGTGCTCAGAGCTGACGAGTAAATCCAGGATTCGAGGAAGAAGTGAGGGAGACTGCTCTACAAGTGCGATATGTCCAAATTAACGGACAGAAATTTCGGAAAGAGCATAGAACAGGACGTACTTGGATGTCACGTAATCGTCGGCTGAATGTAACTAAGAAAGTATGGGTCTTCCTACATACTTCGTCGACTCTACCCATCTTCGCGAGCAGGAGGCACTGTCGGGCGATGATATATATTCGGAAGTCGAAAACTGAGATTGTATTAGCCAGGATAAGATCTCTGTAAGGTCTGCTCGAGACGGAGAGGAGAGGCGCCGAGTCGTCCTTGGGCCCAGCGACGATAAGTTGACCAAACCATGACATATTCTTCTCTCGTAGCACGTTAGTGAACATGATGTCCAGATCGTCGAATTGAAGCAGTGCGTCTTCGAAGAGATTCATTCCTTCGAAGGACGTAGCTATACTTTCCTGTACATTAAGATGAAAGCATTAGCATAAGCGGTGATAATATAGGATATGAAATGACCTTGAGAATGAAGAAAGTGCAATAGTTCCAGCCAGGCATTAGCCTCTGGCCCGCTGACCTCTTCACTTCCTCAGACCGTTGAGCTATCGTAGAGTCAAATGCTACCAGTATTCCCTCCTTGATCTTTGACAGCATCTCCGCCCACGCTGCAGGATTATTCTGCCCAACAGTCCACGCCAATTGGACGCACCTTCCATACCAGTTGTTCAAATGACTGTACGCAACACTCCAAGTATAAGTGACGTACCGGTCCCGCTTATCCAGATTAAAGTCTGCTTTGATCTTGTCTAACACCGTGCCCTTCATCTGAAAAAAACCTCCGGCGGCAGTCCTCGCATCCGGTCGCACGACGTGAACGATGAGCCATTCCTGGTTCTTACGCTGACTGACGATAGTGTGCCAGTCCTTGATCTGTTTCTTTGTAACGGTCTTGTACGTTTCATTGTCCTGCCCACGTATTAAATAGAGTTAGGTCTATATATACATGCATAGCAAGTCCACGTACCTCGCATAGGACAATGTAGATATTGAGGAGCGGTTTCTCAAGCAGCGTTGACGGGATTTGCGATGTGTGTTCGTCCCGAACACTTTCCAGAGATGCAAGCCTGATGCTGAGCTCCTGAATAGTTCGTACTGATGTCTTTGTGGCAGGTTTCCAATGTATGTTTCGTAGGGGGAGTTGAGCTATGAGTGCGGAATGGATCTGTTGCCAGTGGTCTGAGGAGAGGAATGAGGGCGCCGACGCGTAGGTGACGATGACATGCTGCGAGGACATAAAGACCAAAAGGCCAGCTCCAGATTACGATTGAAGATTCAAGTACGGAAAAAGTGGGTCGGGTATGAAGGAGAATGGAAAGCAGGTAAGGTATGATGGGTGCAAGCTACAGAGAGTTTACAGGCTGGTGTAAGCTTTGACGCCACGCGCCGTTTCCGCCACAGTAACCGGTCGCCGGAGCGTCAAGGCGACATGTTCAAGAATTCGCTGTCTACGTGAGGTCGAGGGTGGTAATCCCCAATGGACTAGTGAAATTTCATTGCTTTGAAGAAGGCAAACACATTTTCTCTCGTCCATTCACAGTAGCCCACTAGTTCAAGATCTTAGTTGGGTATATATATTGTCCACGTAGTGTATGAATAAATAACAAAGGCAGAACACTATCTCACAGTAACGAGACAACATCACTCAGGCATCCGAGAAATCAATGCGGTGACAGACGGCACCATTAAAGTCGGTGCATCCAAGAACACCTCCAGCAGGGATAGCGTACAAACCCGGCCAGTTGGACTATAATCGGGGAAGGCAAAGCGAACAAAATTGTCAATTACACGTACACCGTCGGCCCAGATAGTTGAACAGCAGAGACTCACCTGGACGCCTGTGACTGTGGTCTTCTGGCCCCAAGACAAAGGGACGGAGGGTGCGGAGGTCAGAATCTTGAAGTCTGCACCGCTGGTCCTTTGAGTGAAAATTGTCGTCAGTACGATTGCACCTTGTGTGGTCCTCACACATGCAACGAGCTACTAACCAAGTGTGTGCAGAGGTGTCCTCGTCAGTCATGAATGAAACCACCAAATCTCCATCCATCTTAGTTACCACCTGGGGAGCGCCAGCTGTTTCACATCAACAGTCAGATGCCGTACCACTCGTGAGGGGAAAAGGAAGATGGGCCCACCGTTGTTACTCGTTCCCGTCGGGATGTACACTTGTGTCCTAGTGTTCCATGTCGCACCATCATCACTCGAATACACACTCTTCACCGTGAACGTTCCTGTTCCCTCAGTGGTCTCGAACACACAGACGAGGTGGTTTGCGCCATCGACACTGAATTCTGCCACGCCCGGCATTCCGTCACGTCCAGTGGTGGTCGCGCCAGAAACAGTAGCAGGGGTGGACCAGGTCGCTCCGTTGTCAGTCGAAGTCTGCATGAGGATATCTTGATCGTCGTCAGAATTTTCCGAGGCGTAATAGACTGTATAAAGGATCGTCAGGCTAGAATAGCGAGGGCAACCGACTCGTCCTCACTCTGCAGGGCATCGCTTTCAGAAATGCGCATAAAGGGTTCCTACGCAAACAAGTTGTCAATGATTTAGAACCAATCGTGGTCGAGGGCGGATCAACTGACCCAAAGTCCATTTTTCGTGGTCGTAGCAGCTCTCTCGTTCGCCTGGCTCAAGAACGACCAAGTCGCCCCACCGTCCGTCGACACAGAAACCGTGATCCTGTAATAGTTGTATGTAGTCCCAGTTTTATCATGGTTCCTAAAGGCACAAAGGACGTTCCCGTTGCTCAGTTCAACCAACACCGGGTTATCCAAGTCGGTGGTGGCCGCGGGTGACTCGGCCACGCTCCCGAGAGCTTGGAAAGATACGCCGCCATCAGTCGAACGAGAGATCTCGAGGATGTGGTCGGCACCAGAGGTATAGGTATAAGCGGCGAGGATGTTGCCGTCGACGGTGGTCAGACGAGGGTACGTGCCACCACCGGAAGGAGAAAGAGGAACAGCTGTGGATGAGACGGTGGGGACGAGTCCACCGCGACGATCGAGGCGGTTGCTCGCGGTCAGAGGGGTTGCGAGAACATAATAAGGGAGAACAGAGAGAAGCAGCGTAAAGAGAGTGAGTGGAACCATCTTGAACAGGTGCGCTTTAGGGTTCTGAGGCCATAACATCGAGTGCACTATATACTCTGTCGGCTCGCCACAAGACATAATCTTCCTTCCTTCGACCTGTGAGGACACGGCTAAATTTCACCGATCACTACTGATTCCAATGCCTGGTCCGTGATCTATGTACTGCGCAGATCTCATGAAGCTGTGTCGTACCTATGCGACCCCCGTCAGCGCTCACTTGGCACTCGCCGAACGATGATCGCAAACACAACATGTAACTCTGCCATCAGCGATATGTCAAAGCTGTTTTCAGACGCAAGTGGCACCGAATCTTGAAATTGCAAGTAGAACTGCCATCGGTCAAACCGAGGAGGGTGGTCTCACAAGGTATGCGTTCCAACGCCCTTCTCATGTCTGTTCCTTTCGTTGGGACATCTTATACAGCAAAGGTCACGGGGCGGAACGACGTGTGCTCCTGTGTGTCCAAAATGTATCCATCGTATGGCACACATTATTTATAACAGAAGCAAAGTAGATGCACAAGGACGCACTGGATGGGATGAGCAAGGTACATCATTCCTGTTTATCGACGTGTGTGGCTACTTTACCCTCTGGATAACCAAACCAGACTCCGACCACCAGGGCAGCGTTCGCTGCACAGAGCATTCCAGAGGAAAGGTTTGTAGAAGGGAACACGTTCCACGCGTACTCTATGGCACCAAGTAGAACCAACCTGCATGAGGTATGAGCGTCAGAATAATCTAGGTTGAGGCGAGATGATTACGACTCACTTTACGGCAACCGGATACTTCGTCCTCCATGCAATAAAGGGTATTTGGTGTGCGTACCACGAGTAGAACTGATAGTGTAGGGAGCGCGCAAATAGAATGCCAATGAGGTTAGAGGTCAAAAGAATGGTTGTGACATCTACACCAGCATGTTCAACAAATGTCTCCCATCAAAGCGAATCAAATGGGATACACACTGTCAGCGGACATCGGAACCGTACCGCCAGGCTGTCCCGGTCTCCTCAAGCCATTCTTGATGACAGTGATTGTGCCTCCATCGCGTCTACACCACTTCACGAGCCCGAACATGATCAATGTGAGGACGTGGCCAAATAGGAGTCCCTTCGCAAGTCGTGGACTGAGGAATGTCTGTTCATCAAGGAATCGCCAGTTGACCGTCCATTTGTATAGAAAGACCCGCGACAGATCGAACGCATTTTGGATATAGGGCCACGGATGATGGCGAAGGAAAGGTGTAGCGAGCCAGGCTTGAACAAGACCAATTGCAAGGAGGTGGCGAAGGGTATATAATAAACCGTGACGCTTGAACAGGACGACAAGAATACCGGGGAGGTATAGAAATGCAGACATTTTGATGGAGAGCGCAACGCTGATGAAATATGTAAAGACTCTCTGCTATGAGTAGTGCGAGACGAACGCACCTGAAAACCAAATTGGCAATGTCGTCTGCGCCTCTACCATAGAGCAATATAGCGAGCTGTGCGGCCACAACGGCCCAGCAATCGTTGAATAGGCGCAGAGCGAATATTGAGTGTAGCCGCTTGCTCAATGGTAGGAGTAGGATGATCCAGTTCGGAGCGCCTCCAGCTTTTCCGTAGATGGCACAAGAGAGTGCAAGCGAAGCAATATACAGGGCACCGTACAGTTGTTGTGCGAGTGGCAGGTTCTTTCCCGCGCCCGTCAGCCAATGCAGGAACTGATGTAGGTGGACATGTCCTGCAGGGTATCTGGGCAGACTGATAAGCAAACGGAGCTTCACAGGATGTGAAGAATCTTACACCAATGGACCGGTGGGGCCTATGATTTTTGAGTAGTCATCTTCGCCTTTCATGTACAGCTCTACTTGGTACATGTAAGTCTCCCAGTCGATTTCGGTGTCTACAGATTATGTTGAGCAGATCTTCAACGACGCGACGTAAGGCATGCCATACAGGGTATGAAGCGGATGATGAGTTGTGTGAGGACGACATCTCCTAAGATGACAAGACCAGCAAGTGCCCAGAATAATTGAGGGTCGGTCAAAAGCCGTTTGACGAGACCGAATAAGTAGGCGATGGTTGGAAGGACGGACATGCTGAGGGATTTCCGAACGAGAGGTCACCACGTCGTGGCCCAATATTTGTGTGGCGAGAGCGAACGTACTATTTGCCACGTCGACGACCGATTCCCACAAGCGTGCTCTCACGAAAGTCCTTGAAATTATATAGAATATTCTTCGTGGATATCTACTCAAATAACGTGTTTGTGAGCTCTTCAAATTCCCAGCGATGTGAGAATATCATGTTTGTCGCAATAGTAGGTGGCGTTGGCTGGTACTTGTATCGTTGCATTTGAAATTCTTGATCGTTAGGGAAATGATGTCACGTGGCAGTAGATCGGGCCACAGCGGCGGATGGTTGACTTCCTGAGTCTTCCTCGCCGTCATATACCCAAGCCGAAAGTACTGTAACGAAAAGCTCTCCTTTCTTCATTCGCGCTTTTACTCAAGCTCACCATGTCCAGCATCAACGGTAGCACAGAGGCTCATGAACCTGCTATCCTCAATGTCCACACGCCTTCTTCGTCATTTGCTATCATCCATTCAAGTGCGTCGCGTCTCGCATATTTCAGTCTTCGCAATGCTCACCAGTCCGTATGCAGCCAATGAATCAGTAACTGCGCTTTTCAATGCACTCAGCCGTAAACACAACACGGACTTTCACGGTAAACGCGTCGGCCCCGGCTGGATCAAGTACGAATGGAATGAGTCGGTGTGGAACCTTGATGATGGTACTTACCGGGCATTCTTACTAGTAGACTCTGCCTTACACCCGTCCCTTACTTCTTTAGATGCGGATTACACGATATTTGCGTGGCGGTTGAAGTCCACCTCAGCTGCCAAAAACGAATCTCCAACCATCTTCTTGCGCGACCCCCAAGCTCCATTGCCCACTATTTCCGATGGGTCCTACCGGAATCCGTCTTTCTACCTCTTTCGCCCTGGCATGAACCCTCCCACTTATTCTGAGGGTCATCATGATGCTATGTCTGTCAAAAGCAAGAAGTCAGCCAAGAGTATGCCCAACCACAATGCTCTCCCAAAACACAAGAAGGACTTCGAGAAATTTCACAGCGGCAATGGTGTACGCACAATTACGGGTAGTATTGGGCCTGTTCAAGGAGGTATGGGTGTCTCAATTTTTTTTCTGCTCCGCAGACTTCATTGACTGCTTTGTGGTAGTCCGCATGCTCCTCAAGAATGGGTACCGCTATGTTTACATCTCTCGCAAATTCGCAATGAAGCACGGCTTCATCCCTGCCGATGCCGCACCGGGCCACTACGGCTACGGTGGTCTTGTCAAGTACGTGCTCTTGCTATGCTTGTCTTTACTGAAACCGTCTAACATTTTGCCGTTTTCTCAGCATCGGTAAATGGCCCATCACGGTCGGTCGTACTAAGACAATTCACTCTGTCTTCCTTTCTGAGGAGTCTCACTTCGATGTCGTGCTTGGGCGATCGTTCATGGAGAAACGCCAGATCAAAACGAACCCCGTGGACCCGACCGATGTTGTTTGTCTAGACACTGGGGAGAAGCTTGACTGTGAGCTAGTCATCCTGAAGGATGGGAAGGGCGAGATCGTGACCGTTACTTAAACAACTACCATACTGGGCCCTATCGTGCGGTTTCTTTCATTTTTCTCTGATTTGTATCAGTCGGACGTTTTGGACATGACTGTATGTATGTAGCATCTAACATTATGTTCCCTGGATCATTAGGGGTATTCTATAGCTGAGTCTTGTGGTTGCTCTTCAGTACGATTGATAGCTCTGAATGCAACCTAGCTTTGACAATTGCTTATTCTGACGTCGACTCACTTGATGACAGGCCACAGCAGTGTGGACTCTGATTTCGACTTCGACGAAATACACACCTTGCAGAATTGAACGTCCCACTTTGGATCCACGAATGTTGCATGAATGCCTGCGACGACAACCGGGAGATGCCGAAGCCCCTTTCTCATTGTCCTCGCCCAACAAGTGCCCATAACGGACACAAAAGAACCTGGAGCGATGCCACTTCCCCACACAACAGCCTTGCCTTGTCCACGTTTCTTGTGTTTCACAAACCATTGTTCTTTGCCCCGCCTTTTGTACATATAGCCAGTATCCTTTTGAATGCAACTCGGTTTCCTCCCCCAGAGGTCTGCTGGACTGATCTCTACATTCTTCACGTTTATCCGGCTGGCCTATCGTTCTAGCTTCATCATCACGACTCGGACGCGTGCTTTGACCTTGTACCTTTCACATATTTGCATGGATAGACGCGTCGACACGCTTTCACCAACGATTTTCTTCTTCTTTTACTTTGCATGATGGATCATTCGCCTATGTTTTTGAAACTCCGGACGATTGCTTTCTGTGAGTAGCCTGTTCATTCTTGACACGACACTGTACTCATTGCGCTCGATAGTGATAATCACACTTGTATGCTTTGTGTGGATTATCCTCTTCTCAGTTGTGGTGACTCTGCGATGGGGAACCTTGGACACATCGGAACGTGAGTTTCTTTCCCGATGCTTATCAGTAACTGTCCGGTCTGATTCATCGTGCAGACTCACTTTTAATTCTCTTCATCGTCGCCAACTCTATTACGGTCATAATCCTTCCTATACTGTAAGACGGCTTTTCGTTCGTCTCGATCTTGGCACACAGCTGATACAGGGCTCAGGATTCTACGAGAATTTCGCACATGGCTGGACGGTGCTCGTCTTCTGCTTCTACTCATGATCCAAATAGGTCCGCCAACCTATTCAAGGGTCGCTCTATGACTGGTGCTAACTTCTCGTAGGCGTGGTGGCCGTCTTTACCGCTTGGTACCCCACGTTCACATGTGCTACCTCCTGTAAGTCGTTGTTCTGCTCAGACTCAGCGTGCAGGACGGCTAACGAACTGTTTCATCTTAGCGGTGGATGACCGGGGCGTATGTCAACTTCTCAACATGTATATTCTGATTGCGGGCTGGGTTCCGGTCGCATTGCGTGCGTATTTCATCTTCGTCTATACCTTGCCCACGTTTCAAACTCATTTTAATCTTGACTCCTAGTGCTCGCCTACGCCTGCTGTCTCGCATACTACGCCTACCGTATACGCAACCTCCCACCGTCCATCGTTAGCGAGCACAGCAGCGACCGTTATGCCCTCGGCGACGAAGAGAAAATCTTAGGTCTGAAGATTGATTCTCGCAGAGGAACCCTGCCCATGATGGAACCCTCCCTCAATACACCCCTCTCCATCAGCATAGACCGCACCATGCATCTGGTACACCTCAGTTCGGACGGCAGCTCACCGATACGACCGTCACCGGGATCGAGAAGACCGAGTATGGAGCCTGCGGCGCGCTCGGGGCACCTCAGTGTCGATGGGAGTCTGCCTTCGACGAAACCGAATGGGTCTAGGAGGCTGACTCTAGAGAAAGCTATGCGCCCTGGGCATGCGAGTGGGAGTCAATCGACTGGGAGTTCGGGTTCTACAGGTTCGAGGAGACCGAGTATGGAGCCTGCGGTTTGGCCGGGGCATCTGAGTGTCGATGGGAGTCGGCCTTCGACAAGACCGAACAAGTCTAGGAGGCTGACTCTAGAGACAGCGATACGTCCTGGGCACGGGAGTAGGGACGGGAGTCAGTCTACTGAGAGTCCCAGTTCGACGGATTCGAGAAGACCGAGCTTGGAACCGTCAGCGATAGTGTCGTTACACCCAGGACGCCTAAACGTTGCGGTCGATACCAATTCGCGGAGACCTTCACAGGTTTCGATGCTGACACCTGTAACAGCTACTGTGGGGCAAGCGAGTGCTCCAAGTCCACTGCAGGAGTCACCAGGGCCACGGGCCACAGATAGTGCAGGAGCTGGGGTTGGGGCTGGTCCCCTGAGGGAGAAGATCAGGAAACATGAATCGGGGAGACTGTCAAAGGCTCGTTTGCCTGCGTGGTACTTCTAGGCAATGCTGTTGAGGACGACCCGTTGTAAACCTCTGCCACATTGTAACTGTATCACTTCAATGCCAGATGACCGTAACCTGTGTAGCTATATATTACTTACCCCACTTTTATTGTACGACCTTGCGCGTTATAAGCACTGTATCAATTGCTTGTACTGTTCGCGCCCACCTGAAGAAGTATATTTTTCGATGGAAAAAAGACTTGTTGACGTGTCAAAATTCTCTAACCGATTTATGGAAGGGTGTGTATGATCAGGGATGGGGAGCGGCGACGGCAAAGCGGCCACGTGAGACGCTCTCATCTGCCCGTGTGTTTTGGCGAACAACTGAGACCGAGTGTTACACTGCGCGCCTCACATTGCCCTCTGCCTCTCCTCTGACGTGAACCTCTGAATGCGTCTATGACCTGACCATATTACTCGACCATAACATACGGCTGCACGCTTTCCTGGGCTGATACTCAAGACTCGTCGAGACTATCTTTTCGTCCTCTCGGTCGGCCGACACATCCCTACTCACGACAAGAAACGACAAACCAACCGACTCCTAGGAAGAAAATATGAGTTCCTGGGATGTGACACGGGTCAAGGTACGATACTCCTCGTCAAAGAACATGTTTTTCATGTTAAAACAATTTCTATCTGGTTACAGGCGACCTTTCGTCTCGCTACACAAAGGCTAGGACAGCTTCGGGATCGTATGGACGCACAAGCCCCGGTAACAGGTCGCGACATATCCATACTCTTGCAGCAAGGCAGTACGACGCTGGCACGGGCGAAGGCTCAGAAGCTAATCAAGGATGATATAATGGGCAATCTACTGGAGCTGCTGGAGATGCAAATTGGGGTCTTAGTGGAACGAATAGAAGAACTTGAAGGGTGAGTCTCTTCCTCCAGTCCTATCGCGAGTCAGCCTTCGACGTGTTGACCATGACTCTTGATGTTGACCCATCTGCTGGCAATGTACTCAGTGGCTCGCCGAGCCCCACTGTGATTGAGGCTGCATCGAGTATTATTTATGCTACGCCTCAGGTCGAGGCGAAAGGTACGGGTTGTATGTTCTAATCATTCTATGTGGGCTCTGACCCGCCGCACAAGACCTTGTGGTAGTACGAGATCTGCTTGTGCAACGCCTTGGACCCGCGTTTCTGCACTCTGCCATCACGAACAAGGATAACTATGTATCTCTAAAGGTTAGGGAGTCTGCCCAACTAATAATAGATTCATGGTTTGACGATGCTCTATCTTTAGGTCGTCCGAGCACTATCAGCACCTCCTGCATCCGCAGCAGATTTGGACACTTACCTCATGGGGATTGCAAAAGCACATCGTGTCGAATGGCAGCCAGAATTGCAACCAGATGATGTGTATGTTCTTGCCATTTGATCGTTATTGGCGTTCGGCACTGACTGAGGGACAGACTGCACGCACTTGCCGAGATTCTTGATGCAGAGTCTTCACCGACAGTGGATATGCCCCTCCTGCGCAGACTTTGTGCTCATGGTATGCATTGTGAAACGGCCCTGCGTCCATCGGTGCTGACTACGGAACCTAGGTATACCATCGACGCCACCATGGCTTCGTCCCAGAATATGGCGGTAAGCTGTGACAGCCATGGAAGCCTTTTCGTTTCTAGCACTCTTGGGGCTGACATGACATCACAGATTATTGCTAGGTACACTTCCTGTCCTGAAGATTACCTGGGATGTCGAGGCTAAGAAGCAGCGGGATAGTTATTATGTATGTTCTCCCTCAGGATACGGCGCGTTCACAATCCCTGATATACAATCCAGGACCTCATCAATCGTCTACTTATGCCCTTCTCCAGTCTTCCTCCACCGACAACACCTCTAGCGTCACTAGATGCTCAACTGACCAACGCAATCAAGGACCTTTTTCGCGTTCCTCCGAATCTCCTCACCGCTCTCGAGGAAGAGCCTGAAAGTTCTTCGTTGTGCCCATTGGATCCTAGCGCACCAGAAGAAATCCGGATAGCCTGTGCCACCAACCTTGATGCCCGGCTGGAGGCCATCCATGCCCGTGACGCGAGCGTCAGCCAAGACCCACCCGAAATTCGCTTGGAGGGAGACTCGTACGCGATACCCGAGATCTCTTTACAATCCCCGGATGCCGAAGCGGAGGAATCAAGCACTCGTCCTTCCAAAAATCAAAGAACATTGTTTTCGTCCAAGATGTTTAACACAGGCGGTGCACATCCGAAGCATGCATCCGCTCTCATTCGTCTCCTTTACATCCACTCATGCTTGAACCCTGCCAATCACTCGCCACATATGGCTTCGCTTCTGATACCACTTTACGCTGTGCTGAACGAGGAGGTCGAACCTCAAGATCAGGCACATATCGAGGCCGATACCTTTTGGCTATTCGAGGCCATGGTTAGCGAGTTCTCTGAGCTCGAGGATCAAGATGGCGGCAATCGGTGGATGAAGAAGTTCGGTGAGCGTGTGGCATGGGCAGACCCGGAGCTTTCGTCGGATTTGGTAAGTTCTTGCTATCACTTCTCTATCTAGAACATGTCTTTCTGACGAGAATCATAGCAAGTGAAGGGACTAGATCCTAGCTTGCCTCATTATTCATAGTATGCGACCATGTCTTCGTTTCGTGCAGTGACATCACTGACCCGTATGTTGTAGTCGATGGCTTGCTCCACTTCTCACCCATACGTTACCACTACCCTCGGTCCTTTCAATATGGGACGCGCTGTTCTCTCGAGCCATGACTGAACGGAACTCGTGCCCCAAGCTCGAGTACCTTCTGGATGTGTGCACGAGCATGCTGCTCCGTTCCAAGGGTCCTTTACTTCGGTTCGCTACTCTCGCTGCATTCGGTCTTGCGCGCATCGATACTTACGGATCGGCTTTCAGTTTGGGAAAATCAGGTCCACGCTCGCCCAGCTTGTGGAACGACGAGTCCGGGTCGATGCCACCCCCCTCTCCCGTCCGAGCCTGGGAACTCAACGACGCCTTTATCGAGGGTATGGCACTACTACAGATGTATCCCATTGAGGCCGCCGGCGGTGTAGAGAGCATTCTCCAGACTGCTGCTGAGCTCGCGTCCAGGAGGGAACAGCAATTGAGAGCCCCGAAGGCTGACAATAGCACGCTTAGCTCACGGCTAGCGACCACGATGTGGCGAGGTTTCACAAATCAGGCCTCTTCTCCTGGATCATCACCAGAGTCGTCAGACGACGAGGATACGGCTATGGAAAATACTGATACAGAGTCTTCTCGTCGGGCGCCCACCAGTCCGAAGCCTACAGGGTTGACCGCTTCCTGGAGCAACACCATATGGAAGGGCATCACCAACCAGTCCGCTATGGAAGCGCCACCCTCACCGTTGTCCCCGGCTTCTCCTCTGTCGCCTCTGCCGCCATCTCCCGTATTGCCTACTCCATCGCCTCAACCAGATCTTCTTACTCCCTCCGCGCCATCGACTTCATCGCTGTGGAACTACGCGGAGAAGTTCAAAGAAACGGACACAGCTGCCACCCTTGCAAAGGTCAGCACAAACTGGCGCGTCAAGGCGCTGGAGGCGTGGAGCAGCCGAGGTGCTGCACCACCACCACCACCACCCGCGAGTGCTACCTCGTCCATGGCGGCACTGTCTCACCCTCGAAGCGGCTCGTACAGTGCTGGGCTTCCCCCGAAGGTCGAAGATAATGATCGACGATCCTCTCTTCCCCATATGGACCGAAGCCAAGTCTACTCCCCGCCCGCACGTCCTGCATACTTTCGTCCTCCTCGAGACAGCATGATGCCCCAACCCCGAAGAAGCCCTCTCTCTTCCCCCACGAGCCCTGAACCTGAGATGTCTCCAGATGATAGTGGACATAACCCCGCCAAATTGATTCGAGAGTCTATCGCATCGTTTGCTGGGTTCACTCACGCTCCTGCACCTAAACCTGCTCCCAAAGCAGGTCCACGGCCCCTACTGTTGAGTTCTTCGTCGCTCTTGACAGGCACACCGACACCTCCCGTCTCTCGGTCTACCAATGTCACTCCTGCGATCGGTGGGCACCGTCGCGATTGGTCCGACGTCATGCAGAACAAACCACACCTCACCCATAAGGCATCAGTGTCGTCCATATCATCTACATCCGAAGCCCCCGGTAGGCATCTACGGGCTGATAACAGGAGCTCAGATTGGGAATCTGATGCAACGGAAAGTCGCAAGGTTCGAATTAACCGTGGCTCCGTCTCTCCCATGGCGCCTATGTTCCGAACCGGCCGACCCGCCTCTGATAGGTCATCCTCTGGGCCCGCAGAAAATGGGATAAATCCTCTACGCTCATGGGGCAGAGTGGACGCACCTGACTCACCGGTGACCCTTCCCTCGTCTCCGCCACCTCCGACGCCTGAATCGTCCAGATTTCCCGGAAACAACGTCCAAGTCAGCGGGTCTGATTCTCAGAGAGGTTCCATGGTGCTCTCCGAGTCGAACGTCCACGTTCTTGACGCACCGGCGACATCGAGGAAGATTGCACGGAAAAGGACTCCACCACCGCCAGCAGCGGTGGAAGGCGAGACGTCGGACTCTTCTGCTGCGCCAGCCCCGGTCATGGCACCAAGCAGGAGTCCTCGCACTCGGTCGAAACGCTATGTCAACCGCCCGACCAACCTCACGATTCACAGACACGATTCCAACGCCAGTGCCACTTCAGACGTGAAGACACCCAGCCCTAACAGTCTTCAGCTGCCAGCAGATGGTGCTGAGGACCCCGACACGGGTATGACGCCACGGGCGCTTACGTTCGACGAAAACCAGTCATCTTCTCCCTCTCCCCCTTCACCGCGTTCTCCAAAGATGGTCAGGAAGTTATCTGGGGAAGGTCGTGCACGGAAGACCTCAACAGACGGCCAGCCTACTCGTACGAGAAAGATCTCGGCAGATGGTCGTGTAGTCAGGCCCCGAAAGATCTCGACTGGGAGCAAGGAGATTAAGCGAGAAAGTAGAGCGGAAGAAGGCGACGATGAAGGATACGACGACCTCCTTTCTGCGTACTCGGAGAGTGAAGGTAATGGTACGGATACGAAACTTCGGTGATATTTTTGGTGGGTGAGGGGGATTAGAGTTGTCTCGTCTTTTCGTCGCGCTCTCTTGTTTTCTCCGTACCCTTCGATTTCGTGCATCATAGTCTCTTCATCCCTTATCTGCTAGAGGACCCTTTTCAAGCACATACGTATGCATACTGTACTTAATCTCATTCAATTTTTCCCTCCGCATAATCCTATGACTTATGTTCTATACCTCATTGGGCATCTTTGCTATATCCAACGAATGGTTTGCATCTTCCTTTCCCATACAATACGCTACCCCTTACGTCCCACATGCCACGCAGAGCGTTGATGTCCTCCTATTCTTTCAAGATGTGCAAGTACTCGTGAACACTGTGATAAATTTCTATCAAAACCGGAAAGTGTGGCTTGATGTTCTATAACATATGTCAACTGAAGAAGGTGAAAATTGACACAAGAGAACAAGGGAGAGCGTACCTCATACGCCACGTCCATCTTCGCCGATCCGTCTGACAGTTGTTGAAGAGCAGCCAGATAAAAACGGACGTTCCATCCGTACAGTCCTTCGTTGATCACGAAGTTTTGGAGGGCCGTCAAGGGTATAAAGTTGCGAGAAGCAAACAGGGGGTATCCTGGGAAGCCGCGGTGGGTCTCGAATTGTATACCGTGCGGGGGAATGACAAGGACTGATTCTGGTACGTCACGGTCATCACTTAGCTTTAGGTACGGAGGGTGTATGCAGCGCGGACGTGACAGTCGTACCCCAAAGAACTTGCGTGCATTTTATGTACAGGTAAAGCAGAGCAATGGCTGCGATCCCTAGCCAAGCGTACGTTCGCCGACCAATCTTCCACGACGCCCGAGATAAGTGTGGAAACATCTTGTAGCGAAGAGCACGAAGGCGTACCGTGGGCCACAAAGCAGAGCCTAGAAGAACCAGTAGCGCATCGAACCAAGTCAAAGCATGAGCACCCCGTATGGGTCGTCGACTACCATCGCGTGCGAGATGCCAATTCTCTACTCTGAATTCCTTGCATAGACCAGGGATGTCGAAGACGAGTAGCTCTGGATGAGTGTCGGGTAGAGGTCGACTGAGGCCTTGGGACCTTCCCATGCGCCCCAGATCAACGTGCTTGAACTATGCTCAGATCTTGAGCGACTCGATGGTAGGATACTGTGGTCTCGGTCAAAAACAGAGCCTGAGTTATGTATGATGGCGGTCGCTGTGAGAGGCCGTATTTCGGGTCATGCCTCTTACGGATGAGAAAGTAGAAATTGGGAGATAAACCAAGCCAGATATGGTCTGGATTACCTCTACGTAATCATGGCCAAATACAAAGACTTTGCCAGAATTTGTTTCACAATGACCTGTTCTTCCACCACACAAACAACAAACCTCGATCCTTGAAAACCTAGTGGAGTATCGAATAGCTTCAACCTTGAAAATCCAGAGGAAGCTTGTATGCTCTGCTAGCGCTATCAGTTCTCTCGGCATCCGTCATATCTACTATTCTACTGAAATGAAGCTACCGTTGTACCCTGGCTGCCATTGCTCTCAGCGGGAGACGACCACCTAGATATGAAATGTAACTTGATCTTCGAACCAATGGTTGCTCTCTTGAACGTACTGAAAGGACTCGGTCCGGCGCCCATTGTAGTATTGGTGTCAGAGATCTGGATCGGAGATGGCGATCAGACCAAGTTCAACTTCGGCCACTGGGCCTACTTGAAGTTTAAATTGTGCAAGGGCCGTGTCGCTTTCCTCATCTCAACCCCCTCAGAACCTTTTTCGAGCGCATCCTAGTTACTCTGCTCTGCTATGTTGTCTATTTCCGACAATCCAGCCGCCTCCAGCGCCAGCGGCTTCGCATCTCTGCTTCAAACTCTTGGACTTATGCAAGGGTCCTTCAAGCCCTCTCCAGCCTTAAATGAATCCTCTAAATCCTTCAACCAGTCCTCTCCAGACCCCATGAACAGCGCAAGCAACAGCACTAGCGGACCTATGTTTCAGGCGGTAGATTTCAGTGCTCAAACGGCCTTCTCTGACAACGGCGCGTGCAATGTCGAACCTTACACAACCCCGAACTACGCTGTTACACCCTTCCCGCCCTATGATCCCATTGAGGCGACGGTCTACCGCTATCGACAACAGCAGTCCGTCAACCTTGGCTCCTGGTATGTCGTATGTATTATTGTTTCTACCAGCCTGGTCTCATCGTCTCGAAGGTTCGTTCACGAACAATGGATGACCCCTTCTGTGTTCTCTTGTGCGTCTGGCAAACGAATATCAGAACTCGACATCGCTAGCGGTTGGGGCTCACACGATAACGCTCGCGCCGTACTCGAACGACACTGGGATACCTTCATCACTCAAAGCGACTTTCAGTACCTCGCCAATATCGGAATCAACACCGTCCGCCTTCCCATCGGTTATTGGAGTCTTGGTCCTGGATTTTGCGCGGGCACGCCCTTCGAATCTGTGGCGGATGTCTACCGAAATGCATGGCCACAAGTCATACGTGCCATCAACATGGCTGGACAAGCCGGCATCGGTGTTCTCGTCGACCTTCACGGTGCTCCTGGCAGCCAAAACGGTCAACCTCATTCTGGAATCTCAGATGGCGCCACCAATCTCTTTACCGACCCTTCGGATCAAGACAAAACTGTCTCTGCGCTCGTTTGGTTGGCTCAACAGCTCGTCCATGTCACGAACGTCGTCGGCATCCAGATGCTGAATGAGCCCCAAAACGCACCCAACCTTTCCGATTTCTGTACGTCCACATATTTATCAAACCATCGGCTTCCTTGCTCATCCTGTCCATGCAGATACACGAGCTCTAGATGCTATGCGAGGAACCTCGCCCGAAGCTGCCTCCTTTCCTTTCTATCTTCATGACGGCTTTGACCTCAATCGATTTGCCGATTTCATTGGCGGGCGTACCGACTTCGTCGTGCAGGACTATCATTCTTACTACGTCTTCACACCTCAAGACGACCGTGAGGCTGCCCACGATCACACGGCGGATATTCAAGGTTACATTGCGAACAACCTTGGCCAAGCATCCCAGCGAGAACGCCGCAACCTGGTCATTGACGAGTGGTCTTGTGCCCTAACGCCAGACAGTATGGCTCAAGAGGAAAATCCCGAAGATGCACAGAAACAATTCTGTACGGATCAAATGTACATGTACACAAATGCGACCGCGGGATGGAGTTTTTGGGGTACGCATTCTACCTTCATATACAGACTTTGCAAAGCTGACCACCATACTTAGCTTTCAGAAAGGAAGCATGCAATGATGATCCTGGCTGGTGCTTCACGGCCGCCGTAGGCCGCACCCTTCCTTCCACGTTCTTCTCCTACGGCCCAGGATCTTTCGCTACCCCCGCGCAACTCCAAGAGATCGCTGCCCTCGTTGCCGGCTCCGTCACCTCCACTTCTCCTTCGCCGCCAGCCAAACGGGATCCAGGTCTCCAGGCCGCCTTTGCTGTACCCCCCGACTCCACTGAGTCAACAGACGCTGCCGCGTTGGCCTCCTCGTCGGATTCGCTTCACAAACGCTCTCCAGAGTTTCAAGCCGCCTTCGCTGTACCTGCATCGACCGAGACCGCTTTTTCTCCTCCACATAAGCGCGATGGAGTACCTGATCTTGCCAGCTCTCAAGCGTCGACCAATAAGGGATATTCTGACGGGTGGTTGACTGCGCAGATCTTCGCCACCCACGGGCTTTCTCGGCTTGGATTCATTGGGCAGTATATAACGGATAGCATTGTGAAGTTGGGCCCTACAGTGATCGCATCCGGGACGGAAGACTTTTATAAGGATTGGTTTTTGAAGGGGTTGTGCGATGGCGAGAACGCCGTCAGAGGGGTTATCCAGATTGGAGGCTGAGTATGTGGCGTGATTTATAGGTTGTCATTTCGGTTCTGCTTCTGTCTGTGTGTCCCATACGTGGTCCCTTTCCCCCCTGACTGTATCGCTATCCTCTAGCGTTTAACTCGCGGTACAAGTCGTTGACTCGGATATTCTTTACAACTCGCAGCATTGTGTCATTTGTTATCATACACCTCTTCCATAATGAGCCGATGAATACCCTACAAGACAGTCCTGGTATGTGGATATGTTTTGAACTACGGATTTCCACGAAGGGCCTAGAACGAGTAGTTCTTCTACAGGCATTGACTATAGTATGTAGAAGAAGTGGTACACGTGCTTCCTGCAGCGCATACTGTTGGCCCGGTCCAACCTTCACCACCGCACTGACCATACTGCAAGTTCATTGATAAGTATATTAGAACATTGTCGAATGTTCTTCAAGCATAGCCAGGAGACGCACCTTGGTTTGTGTAGCTCCACTCGCCGTCGAAGTCGCGGTCCCAGTGGAGGTCGAAGCCACCGTCGACGCAGGCGCAGTAGCCGAACCCGAGCTCGATGCGCTACCGCCAAGGTAGGTATCGTACGACGAAGAATGGGTCGTCGAAAGATCCACTCCGAAAAAGTCGAACTCGTTGTGCTCCGTGAAATTGGACGCTGGGTTAGTAGGATCATCGACGGGTGTGGTAGTCGATGTGACATAGGCAAGGACCTGGGTCGAGGCGAGATTACCGGCACCGAGGGAGCCACCATCCCAGGTCGTACAGTTCTAGTACGAGGTGAGATGTGCGTGAGGTTGTGATTCTAGAAGCGACATCAAATGAGAGAGACTGGGGCAAACCTGGCAGCGGAAGGAGGCCTTCATATGGGTGCTATTCACCATAGTGTCGGGTAGCATTGTGATTATAGGTCCATCATAAGGAGTGGGCTGAACATATCCCCTGCGTTGACCGAGTCAGCCAGTGGCTTATTATGAGTAATGATAAGACTTACGAGGTCCAGCGTGGTGAGAAGACGACATCTTCGCCGTTGGGCCACGTCACGAAGAGCAAGCTGTTGGCCATCTGGCCACCCATACTCACTCCTGTCCAGCCATAGCTAACGGGAGCCACGATCTCCGCGATGAACTGGGTGGAATTTGGTGTACTTCCTGTGGACAAGGGAGGGAGGACAATGCCAACGGTAATGTCCAACGTGGGATCCTAGGGATACAATGTAAACGTGCGATGAATTGAAGGTAAGATCATTGAGACCCACAGTGTATCCTGTGTAGCAGATCGAGTTGGTTGCATCACAGTATGCTGCACCGGCCTGTGCAGAGACTGAGGCAAATGAGACGTCAGTTATATTGTTTGTGCTTGTGTAACATCGTGAACAGTCAATGAACACTGACCGAGGCCCACACATGCGAGAAGAGCAAGCAGGTATTTCTGGAAACCCATTGGTATGGTATTCAAGATGATGGGATCAATGGGGCGGAGGGGTATACTGGTGAGCCCTTAGGTTCTCTGCGAATCCCTATAAAAGCAGACATGTTCGCGAAGCTGCCACGGTGGCGGCTAGCAACAATTACATCTGAGACGATAGAAATGCGAGTTATATCCTAGCTTTATCCGTAAAAGTCGAGGTTGGTGATTCTTTACACCATATCCGCAGCCCAAGTAGAGCAGGATGAAGGTGCTAGTGCAAGAAGAAGTAGTGGCACCGTATGTTTGTGGCGCCGCCGGTTGAAACGAAGCACGCCGCGGGACTATAAAAAATTTGACATCCGACGAATCGCCCGCCACAGCCAAAATAGATCGACAATTCTCCTTGACTGCCTCCCTTCCTGACTTCCGCCCCCCTCATCCCATCGACCAAGGATCCTCTGCCGTGAGGTCGCATTCAAAAAACAAACACCCTCATTCCAACACATCATGTCCGATCCTAACACCCGTGGAAAGGCCTGGCCTATGGCTGATGCTGAGTTGAACAACCAGGTGCGTTTTCCTTCCCCGGTTTTGAGTGCCACCCACACCACTTCGTCTTTCCTTCCCTTCCGACGTATCGCAAATAAATGCCGGAGAAGACGAGAAGGCTGATGGACTGACCATACATGTGCTCAACTAGATCTTGGATCTCGTTCAACAAGCCTCTACCTACAAGCAGCTCAAAAAAGGAGCCAATGAGGGTATGCCTATAACCTGCTCGTCCCTTCACTTGCCCTTCTGACTTTGTCTCTCTGTTCATGTGCTTTACTCCTGATGACGTGGTACGCTAAAATGTTCATAGCCACGAAGACCCTTAACCGTGGTATCGCGGAGTTCATCATCTTGACTGCCGACACGGAGCCTCTGGAAATTTTGCTCCACCTTCCCCTCCTCTGCGAAGAGAAGGTACGTGGTTTATTCTTACAGAACTTTCTCTGTTCTTGCACTCCTGTTGCTAACAATGCTTTACCTCGGGCATTTTGCTGGTGTGGTTATGGATATATAGAACGTGCCCTACATCTTCATCGAGTCCAAGGCTGCGTTGGGTAGGGCGTGTGGCGTCACCAGGCCGGTCATCGCTGCGAGCGTTACGTCGAACGAGCAGAGGGAGTTGCAGAGTCAGATCTTGACTATCAAGAAGGCCATCGACAAGCTCATGGTCTGATTGGTACTACTCGGTCATGTACTAACACCTGTATCGGCCTGACGAACTCTGACTACATTTGCCGTCCATTTCTACACTGAATATTCTCGGAACCGGGTGACTCTAAATGACTACTTTCAGACCTCAGCAGAAAGCGTGAACACGCTTGGTTTCAGACCAAGCGCAAGGTTATCGGAAGACAGTCGATGCCATGTACAGGAAAACCTCGCTGAATTAGTCAGTCGTGTACAATGAATAGGAATCGTGTATCGTCCTACGAGATCAAGCAACATGGAACCCATGAAGTAAACCAGAAAACATAGCATTGGGCTGATAAGACCTATGAGAAATAGTAAGAAATCATAACATGGGGGATGGCGGGGTACATCGAATACAGCATAGCGAGGATACTACTCAATCAAGCGAGAAGGGAGAGGACTAGGAATTATTTCGGAACGTTTTCGCGTGCTTGAGCCTTGACGCGTCGTCTGCAAGGATGGACGAGGTTAGAACGTATCAGTAAGTAGGCAACTCAAGGACCATCGGGAAGAGGGTACATACTCGTACGCCACTTTATCGTTCCTGCTCATCAGTAGTTCATGAGCCTCAAAACAGATATGGAAACGTGAGAACATAGAACGTACTTGAACATAGTGTAAGCATCGCTCTGCGCTGGATCGTTCACGTTTGGATCATTGAGCAAGGCCTGAATACCCAGAAGAATCTGCAGCAGAGGTAGACCATTAACGGTAGCACGCCACCCGTATGTCCTAGGCCGCACACGTACCTGCTTGATCGTAATCGCGGGTTTCCAAGATTTCTCCTCATCGAGAATGGACAGACAGACAGTGCCAGAGGGATACACGTTCGGGTGGAATAATGGGGGTGTGAATTTGCCTGTAGAAGACGATGAGGATTTATGCGCCCATCGGTTTAGTTCTGGCGAATCACTCACACTTCGGCGGCTTAGAAGGATAATCTGGCAAGGGGATAATATAAGCTAGAGTCCTGCTCACACAAGGCAACCATCACGGTCGATCGTACTTACCTTCAGGGAAAATCATCACAAGTTTGTAAAGACCGCCTTCCCATGGTGTCTGTCGCCAAGTTCGCAATTTCGACGCGTCAATTAACGCGTCGCGAATTAAGCCAGTAAGGAACTACGTACGCCTTCCTTTCCAGGGATTCCGACCTCCCACTCCATGAGGTTCATAGAGCCATCAGCAGCCTTGGACGGCTTAGCGTAGAAGCCCTGTGAATGATAGATCAGTAATGTGTGGGCCACCGAGGAGCCACCAAACACGACACGCACGAATGGATGGTCTTTCCTCCATTGCTTACGCTCCTCAGTCAAACGTGGTCTACAGATCCCAGACATGATTGTCGACAGAGATACGCGATGAGAGTCGACAACGCGAGTGGAGGAGATACAACTGATTCAGTTCATATTCAAGCTGTGGATGCAAGGCGAAGGCGAGAGGCATATGATTGGTCAGCAATTACATCACGTGTCGTCCTGTGGAACACGGACGCGCAAGCTCAGTGTGGCCGCGCGTCTCATTCGACATTGGACGCGCTCAGACTCACCACAACCACAATGAACTCCTTCGCGACTAGATTCTCAACAACTGGCGCAGAGGCGGAGATACGCAAGGCGAAGGAAATTACAGGCGAGGACGATGGCATGTCGGACGCGATGTGGGGGTCAGAGGCTGGTTTGGGAGGGATGGTCAATGGCGGACTTACATTCGCTATGCCTGCTGTTCACGATGTGAGCCCATCTTCCTATTCGTTCTGCCATATATTATCCTGAATTGTGGAATGTAGCCAACAGCATTCCTTAGGCTGCACACCGATGACCACGCGGATCCTAACTGCAGGATCAAAATCCAGCACGGTACTACCACTCTTGCATTCAGGTTCAAAGGAGGCGTCATCGTTTCTGTGGACTCAAGAGCTACAGCGGGTAGCTACGTTGGTACGTGGCTGCTACGTATTATATGATGTGCATTTGTCTCATAACTGCTCAGCGTCGGGAACCGTGAAGAAGGTCATCGAGATCAACCCTTACCTGCTCGGAACTATGGCTGGTGGCGCGGGTGCGTCGAACTTATTATCTCGTCCGACATTGAAACTGAACGCTCGTTTCTTGCAGCGGACTGCCAATACTGGGAGACGTACCTTGGTATCCAGTGTCGACTACATGAACTGAGGAACCGGGAACGGATATCTGTGGCGGCAGCCAGCAAGTATCTCAGCAATCTCGTCTACAGCTACAAGGGCATGGGTCTCAGCATGGTACGTGATCATTGGCTTTATCTACTGTCCCGTCCTCATCTCAATATCTTCATAGGGTACGATGATTGCCGGCTGGGACAAGACAGGCCCAGCGCTCTTCTATGTCGATTCGGATGGCACTCGTCTCAAGGGTGACCTCTTCTCCGTGGGTTCCGGTTCAACGTTCGCGTATGGTGTGCTCGACCAGGGGTACCGTTGGGACTTGACAGACGAGGAGGCTCAGGAACTTGGACGAAGGAGTATCTACGCCGCCGGGCATCGTGATGCGTTCTCCGGTAACACGAACAACCTGTACCACGTGAAGGAGGACGGCTGGCACTTCATCGGTACGGACATATCGGGTTTTCTCAAAAAACATCTACTAAATGACCGTCTACAGGCAACTACGACATTAGCAAGATGCACTACGACGGACCTGGAGACGTTCCTGGGTCGGCGGGGCATGGGTATGGGTACGATGTTCGTACGAACGGCCGTTATTCGATTCTTCCTCCCGCAGTTACGGTTTAAAGCAATGTGTGGACTGTACTTTCGCGTGTATAATCATGAATCTCGTCTTTTGTACCTTGGACTATGCTTTGCTTTCGAAGCTTGAGCTTTGAACGTCGGATATCGGGACCCACGCGACGGTGAGCCAAGAGTGTGACGTCGATTTAGATTACCGAATGTGTGCCACCGCTGTCAACCGAAACGCGCTCTATCCCAACCAAATCGCCACATCCGTGTTCGTCTGCTTTGCTGTCTGTGCATATCTCGTTAGGTCTTTCTTGAGGACTGCGAGCTCATGCGATTAGTATTATAATGAAACGAATATTCTCCAAGCGATTGTCTCAGCCTCCGACCGCGCATCCACCAAAACCAGCCGTGCCTTCCCCGCCTCCGAGCAGTTCCATCCTGCATACTACAGGTCTCCAACGCAGAGACATCGTACCGCCCGTACCCCATCCTCGTCCTCACGACCATATTGCTCTTCTCCCTACAAAAGATGGTCTTCTTCTTCGCCCACACTTTGCTGGAGGGATGCCTCCAGAGTCGCACGTCAAGATCCACTGGGGAAAGGTGGCAACCATCGAAGAGTTGGAAGGCGATGTAGAAGGCTCAAAGGATGACTGGAGTGCGAGTGTGATTGTGTACGGTATCATTGGGATTTTAGAGCTTTACAATGGTGCTGTCGCTTCCTGTTACCACTTCGTACTCGTCACTGAAGCTATGTTTCCTTTTGACAGCATCATACCTGCTGGTCATCCATTCCAAATCTCATATCGGACATTGTGAGACCCGATGCTCCTCTTCTGCCACTTTCATGTTTCCTTACGATCCTGATAGGCTTGGAACCTACGCACACCATCTACGGCGTGAAGGGTGTAACGGCCATCCCGCTCGTGGAAGACCGTGCCCGTACAGTACTAAACGTCCTTTCGTCCAAGAATGCCGCTAGACATTCACTCTCCGCCATGCCTACCGATGCCATCCCCACACTCAGCGACATAGCCTCAGACGCTGCGTCCGAATCCAAATCAGACGAGCGAGATACAGAGTCGAGTTCTCCGCGGGTTACCTTCGCCACTGAAGAACAGATCAAGATCATGTCCCCGGAGGCCACCCGCGAGACTTTCGATTTACCTGACAGACCACCGTCGCCGTCTTCTATGATGTCAGGCGCTTCAGGTGCCTCGACCCCTTCGTCGGAGTATTCTCTCTCCAACAATGCCCCTATAGCGAAGACATTGGCAGAGAGGCTCTCATTCTGGAACAGGCTTCCTAAGAGGACGTCATATTCTGAAGCACCTTCTAGTGACGAGCAAGCTAATCTGAAGGAAGCTGATATCCTGGAAGGTCGGATTGATGATGGTAAGGAGGAACCATCGGAGGTTCTCAACGACATCCTGGAGTCTACGGCTCCCGCCCCGGCGACGTTGGAGGAAAAGCACAATGAGCTCGAACAGAAGATCCTTAGGCAATGTGTCAAGGACTTTTCCAAGGGCGAGATGTACTTCTCGTACAACTTTGGTAATACCCCACACCTCGCTGTATAGTAGATGGAAAATGTTGATCTGGCTCTTCAGACATCACCCGGTCGCTGCAGCACAAACAGGACCAGATCACGAGAGCACAGAAACAGAATTCTCTCCTCGAAGAACTGACCGGTTCTGAGAAACCCTCGTCGAACGATCACGAACCGACGGCTATAGGTGACAAAGTCGATGTTTTGGCAGAGCCTTCCTCCACTCTTCCCTTGTGGCGTCGCGTGGACCGTCAGTTCTGGTGGAACGAATGGATGTCGAAACCATTCATCGACGCTGGTGTAAGTTCACAATGGCCTGTTGGGATGTTTTGGTCCACCCCATGCTCACCCGTGTTCACACATTACAGCTGCACTCTTATGTGCTACCCCTCATCCAAGGCTTCTTTCAGGTTGCGTCGTTCCCGGTACCGAGAGAACCTGAAAGTACAGAGGAAGGTGATGCAGCCCAGGTGGATTATATCATCATGTCTCGAAGATCTAGAGATCGCGCTGGCCTTCGATATCAAAGACGGGGAGTGGATGATGATGCTCATGTCGCAAACTTCGTCGAAACAGAGACAGTCATGCGGCTCGATGTCAGTCCTCAGATTTTAGATAAGTCCATTATGCGTTGGCTGACCCCCTCACAGCGCGAAGGCGTGTCAAACGTTTTCAGTTATGTCCAGATCCGTGGCTCGAGTGCGTCGCATACTGTTCGTACAGAAAATAGTATCGAGGGAGCTGACGTCCCCACCAGTTCCACTCTACTGGACACAGTCGGGTTACAGTCTGAAACCAGCGCCACAGGTGGCGCCTGACCGCACACCGGAACAAAATATCGATGCGATGCGCCGACATTTCAGTCGCACTCTCCCTTCATATGGGCCACATGTGCGCTGGTTGTCTCTTTTATCTCGTGGACCCCCACTCCTGACGAGCTCCCACAGACCATAGTGAACCTAGCGGAGCAACACGGGAAGGAAGGATCGGTGACTGAGGCATACCGTAAATACGTCCAGAGTATCGACTTGCCCGGTGTGCAGTATGAAGAGTATGACTTCCACGCGGAGACTAAAGGCATGAAGTGGGTCTTGTTTTGTTGGCTCTCTGTTATAACTCTGATTAACTGTGCGCGAGCCTAGGTATGAGAACATATCCAAGCTTATAGATCACCTCGAACGCACATTCGAACAGCAAGGGTAAACATACGTCGAGTAGAGTGCCTTCACAATGAGCTGACTGGAATCCCTTCGTTCAGATATTTCTGGGTTTCGGATCAATACGTCTTGTCACGACAAAAAGGAGTTTACCGAGTGAACTGCATAGATTGCTTGGATCGAACGAATGTTGTCCAGGTCTGGCATCGTTATTTTCGTTTCGTGCTTCTTCATTGCTGACGTCTCTCCTGTCCAGTCTGCTTTCGCTCGAAATGTTCTCAACCACCAGCTTCTTGCGCTCGCTCTGTTTAATCCTTCGGAGCAAGGACGAACGGCTCTTGATATTGTATTCAATGATGGTCCGTCGAGTTCTCAGTCCTACTATTGGCGCTCGTTCATCCTTGTGCACAGTATGGGCAAATAACGGCGATGCTATAAGCCGAAGCTAGTGAGTAAATAGGCGATCACTGTAATATGTTCGATAACGAGCGCCCTGTATAGTGCTGGTACATCTGCCCTCAAGGTTTGTCTATGCTCATTTCCACATCTGCTAGGGCCGTTCTAACTTATGATCTTTCAGGGTGACTTCACTAGGTAGTCTCTCAATTCGCAAAGCATGAGTTGCCTGCTCTTACCATTAATTTTACAGAACTGGAAAGCGAGACCTTGGCGGGATGCTGAACGATGGCATGAACTCGCTCGCTCGGTGAGCGCATTGCCATTGCATCCCAATCATACATGTCGTTCTCACTGTCGTCCCAACCGCCTACTACTAGAATGTATACCTCTACGTTCAGCGACTGGTTCTCGCAAGCTGTCATCGACTACATGCTCGGCTACCGTACCATCTCGGTCTTCTCTGAGTTTCTGCTCAAGTTGCAGTCTACTGATCCCAGAGATCTGATCCGACTGTCTAAGATCCGCGCAGAAGCTATTGCGACGTCGGTTTCGAGGGTACTGCAGGATGGTGAACGGTTATTGTCTGGATGGACGCTGTTCGCACCGAGTGAGCTGAATAGAAAGTGGGGAGAGAAGTTCGAAGAGAAGGTTCTGTTGTTGGTCAGTACTCTTAACGCATGCTCCCTTTCGCGGTCCATACTCATCAATATTTGGTGTCGTAGTCCGTCAGAGCATTATATATCATAGTAAGCATCAGTGCATGTCCGCTTTGTGGCCCGTGAGCTGACAGTCCCACAGAGTTATGACTACAATTTGGAGAAAGTGAAGATGTATACCCGTGTACCCCTCGGTGATATAACAGGTCTCTCTAAAGGTATACTCTCTTCATAGTCGCTCATTCCAGCCTCCTCTGACTTTAATGTCTACCCCATCAAGGTGCATATATCCTGTCCCCGCTAGAAGAGGGCTCTCGAGACCCAATCCAAAACGCTGGCTTCTCCATCCACTGGCTGAACAAGAATCAAACCACTCGAGTGACGAGCTACTCCGTCCGTAACAGCGTCGACGTCATCGAATCGCCCAACTCTTCTCGTCCCTCCTCCCCTCTCCTCTCACTTTCCAAATCAACGAGCGGTGACCCTTTAGTGGCACCCAAACCTGTGCCCACACCCGCCATGAACCCACTCCTCGCCTTCGCGAACGCCTTCAAAGTCAACCCTACACCCGTCCAAACCCCAGCTGTCGACGCCACCGCCACATCACCCTCCGCACTCGACCCACCCTCGACACCCAAAGCCACCACCACCACCACCACCATCACCACCACCAAACCAAGCATACCTGGCCTCTCCCGCCCCTCCACCTCCCGCCGTCCTACCGCCCTCTCCCGCATCCTCTCCAGCGCCGCACCCCCACCCGACTCCGGCGAAACGAGCTTCGCGGCCTTCAAGATGCTGCCCATCGACCCCGCGCGTTCGTGGCGCGGGAGTCGGTTCGCGGAGCCTGCGGACGAGCTTACGGGGGCGGCGAATTGTAGGGAGGCGGTGGATGTGGTTACGGAGGCGATTAGGAAGGCATGTGAGGATGTGGGTGCGGTGGGGGAGGGGTTCGTGAAGGAGGAGGATGTCGTCAGGTTCGTCCTCTCCCTCTTTCTAATTTTGGCTTGTCGAGATTGAGAAGTGAACGCTGAGCGTTTTCTTGTGTGTGTGTGTGTGTGTGTGTGTTTTTAGTTTGGCGGAGGCGCAGAGGATGACGAGTGTATATGCGAAGATGGAGTATGGGGTGAAGAGGCTGCTCTGGCTCGGAGGTTGAATCTGTTTTTGTTCGGACATATATTCGACATTGGGACGGCGGATACACATGTAATCTTCCTGGTCTCTCACGAACATTCACGACCCTAGTAGTATCCAGTAGTTTCCGTACGACACACGACCCTCGACCCTTGACCTCCTTGTTCTCGTACACCTGCATTCAGCTCTCTGTAGAGTATACCCTGTCTGTTGTATGCGTCGTGCAGTCGCTCCACCGTCGCGTCGAGGCCATGGACGGCCTCACTCGCTTTAGTCGAAGCAAACGTCATGCAAAGCAAGATCAGAACACGAAACAAAATCCGATGTATTATACTGTCACATGGCAGGGGAAACGAAGACGCGAAGAGTGAATGATGAAGAAGGGGACTGAAGGACCGTGGTATGTACGTACGAACACGAAAAAAATTGTAACCGAAACGCAGGTTGCCAAAGAAAGAGTAAATGAAAAGAAAATGAGACGAAAAACCGGGACCCGAGAGGATATAAAAGACGAAAGACGAAAGACGAAATACGAAAGACGGAAATGAGATGGAGACGCGAAACAACAAGACGAAAGATGAAAGAGATGAAAGAGAAGAGAGAAAAAGAGGGTGAGAGACGGGAGTGAGTGAGTGCAGTTGCATGTAGGCAGGCAGTTCAGGCAGGCAGTTCAGGCAGGCAGGTACGAGGTCCACGAAGTAGTCATTTTTTTTGAAACAAGAGTCACAAGAAAATACGAAGAGGAATAAGTCAAAGTCGTTGATGCGGTGTGTATGTGAATGAACGTGAAGCGGTAGGCTGGGCCGGTCGGTCGGCAGACAGGTGGGTAGGCAGGTAGGTAGGCAGGTAGGTAGTTAATCGTGTCAACTTGAATGAAGTGGAGATGGCAGGCCGAGCGAGAAGATGAGAAATATTCCCGTGGGAGTGGGAGGTGGTGTCAGACAGTGCTAGTAGATGCGTCCTGAATCCAAAGAAAGGCGAATAGAGAGAAGTCCCAGGAGAAGCGACGGTGCCAGTACGGAAATGATGATGCCAAAAAAAAGAGAAAAAAAAAGAATAATGATGACAAGGCATGCGGAACGAAAGAGGGTCGAGATGAAGACTCGGAAAAGAAAGAGAAAGAGAAAAGAAAATCGTCCAAGCAGTGATTATATACAAAAAAACAAAACATCAAAAACCTAATCTAAAGGTATAAAACAACCGAGGATCAATCAAGCAGGGTCGGGTCAGACAGAATTGGAACAGACAGACAGAATCAAGAGTGAGAGTCAGAGATTCAGAGAGAGGGAGAGGGAGGGAGGTTTCGTCACGGCCAATCAAGTAATCGGTAAGGAGGGGTATTGAACAGAACGGGAGGTGAGGGGCATTGGGCATGAGAGACGGCGGGTATGATGCATGATGCTAAGAGACGTAGGTACGTAGGTTGGGAGGTATCGAACGGAGTCCACATCGCAGTGAGTAGGCGGTCGGGCGAGGTTGTGGTAGGTGTATAACGGAACGCGTGAACGATGATAAAACCGGTGCGTGAATGTGGGTAATGAACAGGGTAGGAGGGGGAGATTATGGGTTGGAAACCCAGCAAACAAAAAAAAAAGGATAAAAAGGCAGCTGCGGCATACGTTATATCTCTGTCCGTCCATCAGTCCAAAAATCCGCCAGTCCATCGAAAGTATTCGAATATTCGTGCCCGTCAGGTATATATGCACGACCTCCACCAAAAATATTCCGGTAGGTCGACAGAATGAGGGGTAAAAGAACAGGATGAAGATGATGAGCGGGGAGGTAGTAGTACTATGGAAAGAGGAGGGAAGGCCGAGAGGTCCGGGGGGGAGAGCGCCATTCAGGATAGGATTGATGGATAGGTAGCGAACAAGTGCTCATGGCACCCTTGCTAAGAGAGAAACGAAGAGGGGCTACCTGTATCGACAAGTGGAGAGGTAGTAGCAGTATGGAAAGAGGCGAAAGGCGAGCAGTTCAGGGGGGATAGCGCCATTCGGGATAGGATTGATAGGTAGCAAAGAGAAACGGAGAGGGGCGTGAAGAACGGACGGCGGCGGTGACGGCGGCGCAGGGGCTACCTGCTATCGGCCGGTATCGACAAGTATTACAACAAGAGCGCCGACATCGACAATCGACTGTGTGGTGTGTGCCGTGGCGCCAAGATTACAAGCGAGCGTGCGGGGAGGATATTCATAGCGTTAGAGGTGCATGCGCGCGGCTCGGAGAATTTTCGTCTGTTGTCTGTTGTCTGGCAAAGTCGGTCGGTCGGTGGGGGTGGATGACACTGAGCATATTGAGATGTGGTCAGCCATGTAATTGAGTAAAATGAAATGTTTGATGCTGATGCGGCCGCGAAGAGACGGGGAGACTTACATCATACTGTAAAGCCCGTCAGCCCGTCAACGCCACCCACCGGCCCTTCCCCCATCCGTACCTCCGTCGCATCCATCCGTCCGATCGACATTGTTCCCCGTCACCCCATCCCTATCCCCGGCATCATTCATCACTCCGTCGCTCGATCACTCAGCGTAACCCCATCCCTCCCAAGTCCTGTATATCAATGAACCTCGTCACCCGCTTCAGCGCCCTCGTATTATCGAGGACGTCCAGCCCTCCTCTTCCTCTTGCGCTCCCGCTCGTACGACTGTCCAGGTCCCCTCTATCGTCCTCGACCGCGACCCGCATATGTTTCTCACAAAGCATCTTTCCCTCCACCTCCCAATACTCCACCAATCTCTCCGTACACCTCCCTCTCCTCCTCGGCGCCTCATCCTCATCCTCTCCATAATCCGACTCATCTTCCTCCTCCTCCTCATCCTCCTCACTCCCCCCATCCCACTCACACGTCAAACACCCCGGATGATACCTCTCCCCCTCATGACTAACCGCACACTCCCCCTCAATCGGCTGTCCACAGCCCCTCGCCGCACACAACGACCCGTTCGCCTCGTGATAATGATAAGCGCAGAACGGCTTTCCCTCGAGGACGTAGAACGATTTGTCCGGGAACGGTTTTTGGCATGTGTGGCAGTTGAAGCAGTCGCGGTGGTATTTGCCTTTGAGTTGGCCGTCGGAGGAGGAGACGGCTTGTTTTTCGATGGGGAGGTTGCACCGCCGGCACTGCGAAGATGAGGTAAGGTAAGGTTTTTTTTGTTCCGTTAGTGGACGGATGGACGGAGACGGAGGAAAAGCAAAAAGGTCCGGAGTAAGTTAAGCGAGGCGGGCGGCGAGCCTAACCTCCAAGGAGAACGGCGCAACCACGCAGCAACGAGAAAAAGAGGGGGAGGGAACACAGAAAAAAACACACAAGCGAGGTGCGTTTGACGTAAAATAAACGACGTCTGCTCACCTTAGGCAAGTACATATTCTTCCAACACCGATCGCACAGCACCCCCTTCCCGCTCTCCACCCTGATCCACCTCCCATCCTCGATCCTCTTCCCACACCTCACACAATCCCTCACCCTCGGCTTCCTCGACGACGACGACGACGAGCCACTCGTCCCCGTACTCACACTCGCCTTCTTCCCCGCCGCGACCTCGCTCTCCGCCACCGACGTCGCATCGTCGTCGTCGTGCCCGTGCCCATGATGTCCATGTCCATGTCCACCCCCAATCGCACCCGAAATCGTTCCTCCCCTCCTCGCCCCATTCAACCCCACATTCAACGCCGCCGCACTGCCCACACCACCCGGCGCCACCCTCGCGCTATCCCGCTGACTGGGCGACGTATGGCTCCGCACCGGTAACTTCACGGGCTTCAACCCCGGACTTCCTCCTGCCCCTGCTCCCGCTCCGATCCCGAAACCGTTGTTCGTCGGTGTAGGGGGCACGATGGGCACGTCAAAGTCGAGATCGGCTGAGCTGGACCCAGGTGAGCGTAATAAGGCTTCCATCGCGTTATCGAGGCCTGCGCCACCTCCACCGCGAGAGTATGCAGAAGAGGACGAAGCACCGGACGGGTTTCGTCTAGGCGACGTGTGGACGACGTGCTGTTGATCGTCTTCGCTGTCCGCGTACGCGAGCCCGAGCTCCGACTCGTCATCTGTAGGACTTCTCAAGGGCTTACCGTTATTATGTCCGTCTTCCTCGTCGTCATTCTCGCCGTTCACTTTCACAGGCACGTCCGCGAACTTGTTCCGATACTTCTCGAAGAAGGGAAGTCTTGGCGTGGTCGGGGTCGTCGGCGTTTGTGGTTCTGAGCTGTGCACCCATGGTTGCGGTTGTTGGGACGGGAAGGGGATGGAGGAAGGTGAGTTTAGGTTCAGCTGGAGACGGTTACCGGTGGGCGAGGTGGGTGAGTACGGATTAGGGGCGCCACCGGTGATGGTCGAGTTACTGTCACGGATGTTGTCACGGGGGAGGGCGTGGTCGGCTCTTGTGGGTGTCGTGCTGGACAGGGGTGAGGGGGAGCGCGGGGAGTGAGCACGTCCGTTGAGGTGGTGTGTGGGGGACGAGGGGGAGAGGGAGTTGGGCGAAGAAGAGAGGACGGGAAGGTCCTTTGCTGTTTATGTACAAGTGAATGATCAGCAAAACAAGGTTTTCATTAATAGACAAAAAGGTTAAACGCGGACTATCTCCGTGAGATGACGTGAAAAGGAGGCAATCGGGCTTCCTCGAACGGGAGCACAAGAGTGACGTACCATCAGGCTCGACACGGCCGATATCCAGCCACTTGGGCGCGTTCGCCCTCCGACCGTCCATCCCTGCCGGGGATGCCAACTCTGCAGGAGCAGCAGGAGGCTTGAAGAGCCCCATGTGCTGCTCCCCTCCTCCTCCCTGCATGTTCTGCGCGAACATCGCCGCTCTCGCCGCAGCCGCGAATCCTCTCCTGCCTACGCCGGCCATCCCAGCCTCTCCTCCCGACTTGGTGTCGATCTCGGGCCCATGGTTCTGCTGCGAATAGTGGCTCGGCGAGGGCGCGGGCGACGGGTAGCGAGTTGTGTTGGTGGGAGAACTCGGGAAGGGAACTGAGGCCGGCTGAGGAGATCTGGGGTGTTGGGGGAGCTGAGGAGAAGAAGGGGGTGGGTTCGAAGAGGGTTCGGTAGGCGGTGGGGGGAGTGAATTCGTGGGTGGTGGAGCGGGTGGCGAGATGGACTGCGCAGAGGGCCGGCGGAGGCCTTGATGGTGGCGGATGGAAGAAGCGTTGGAGGCGACGCGAGGACGGATGGGAGCAGGAGAGGAGGAGGAGGAGGGGGAGCCGGTGCGATGCTGCTGTGGCGGGAGGAAGGAGGACGCGGTGGACGCGTTGGACGGTCTGCGGGAGCGGGAGCTGTTCGAGGACGGAGGGCGCGGCGACGGGGTAGACGAAGGCGAGCGTCCTGCTGAACGGATCGTGCTGACGGGCGAGGGCGACCGGCTGAGGACTGGCCGGTCTGAGATGTTCGGCGAGAGGCCGTACGTGGGCGGCGACTGGGGCTGCTGGGGCCGGTATTGCGGCAGGGCTGGGGGCGGCGGGGGAGAGGGAGAGCGGACGGAGGGAAGGGACGGCTGGCGGGAGCGTCGTGCGGTCGATGCAGTCTGCACGGACGAGTAGGAGGACACGGAGGACGTGGACGGCGCCCGTGAGCGCGAGGACGAGCTCTTGCGGTTGTTATTCGGGTTGAGGACGTTCTGGAGCCTGAAGGCGAGCATGGACGAGGGGGACTTTGGGGGCGCGGCGGGCTTTGGAGGCGAGGGCAGGGGAGGGACGTCGCATACGTGCTCGCCGAGTTGGTCGAGGGGCACGGGGGCGCTGCACGTCGAGCACTTGACCGAGGGCAGCAGCTGCGATATCCTTGCGGGGCCTCCGCTGGGCGGCGCGAGCTGGGCCATGGCTGAAAGACGATGTCGACGGCCAGCGTGAAGGTGAGAGGAGGGCTGCGAGCGTTGGAGACCGCCCTGCTAAGCGAGCGTGGAGTTATCAACTACCACACTTTACCCGCCACAACACCCCGATTCGTCCTCTTCCACTCGCGTTTCATTTCTTGCTCGCTCTTCTTTCTCCATCTATCTCTCACAGCTCAAATAGTATATTCTGTCTCATTGCCCTCGAGATTGCATGTCCTCCCTCTGTTCTCTCCCTCCTCTCTCTCCCTCGACTTCCCCTCTTGCCCCTCGGTCCCTTCCTCTCCTGCCCGCTTCGATTCAAATTTCCAATCCGTAGCACCTCCTCCATATCATGCTAGTCTCCTTCCATCCTCCTCTCACAACATCCCATCTCTCCCATCGCTATCCCCACACGCTACACACTCTCGCTTGGAACACCATCCATATGCATCTCCATCTCCATCTCGATCCTCTTAAATAACTGCGGTATGCAGATACGCGACAACGAGTAACCCTCGAGCGCGCGCAAACGTCGATCCATCGCAACAATTTCATAACACATGCATGCTCCCGACACACCGGCTCCGACTGACAGTGACAGCTGTAACAATCACAAAGCAGGCTCTTCATCGGTTGCTCCTTGGTCTCATGCAATCATCTTCCGCCTTCTTCCCTTCTCCCGACGTCAGCCAATCATCGCTCGCCCTTCCTCGTTCGAGACTTCTCCCAAGTTCCAACCCTCCCCACGTGCTCTCCTTTTTTTTCGTGCATTACTCGATTAGGGCCGCCGGCTGTGGTCTTTCCGAGGACGAATAGCCGTTCGTCGTTCCTTCTTCCCTGTTCCCAAGCGCTCGGAAGTCGGTGCGCAGGTCAGGAGGGGCAAAAGAATTCGTACGTTTATGGCATGCTTACATCCATGCGTCCTTTTAAATTTATGGCGAGGGGGGTCCCTGGTCGCGTAACTTCTCGTGATCAGCCCTGGATACGATGCGCCCTATGTACGATATAAGTATTTGTTCGATTCCAGGCCTGAATATATTGTATACGTATCGGGGATGAGGATACGATAGACGAGGGACGTCGTCGCACGCACACTTCCGGGGATACCGATTATCCGCAGGGACAGAGAAACAGATATCGGCCCTGCAGGCAGGTGGCGTCGGTGGCGTCCTCGTCATGATGTGGATGCCAGTGTGTTCTTTGTCGTCCGAGTCTGTTGCATGGTTCAAGTTGACTGGAACGGGTTTCGATTCAAAGCGCACGTTGATCGACACACTGTGACTTAATGAACAGACAGATGGGGATCGATGTATGATGCATGATTGTCGAGCATGGAGCATGCTAGGGCATCATGATTCATGATTCACATATGCGTATCACCTCGGTGCTGTGCTGTTGTGTGGTCAAGGTCAATCATCGTGAGTGGGGTTTAAATAATTTTGTACTGTCCATTTTTGATCGTCTTGAATGTATGCATGTACTGACGTATCGTGTCGGATCGTGTTTTTACCAGACGACTCTGAATCGTCCGATCGGATATCTACGCACCCCGAAGAATCCCCATCCAGCGGGCTCTCAGTATTACTAGTCTACACCATCATACAAGACTCCATAGTCTCGTCCCCTGCGAGTCTGTACTCCATCATCAGACGTTCAGCCAGATTTATTCAATCCAGGTAAGTTATGGAGGAACGCCGCATACTTATAACGCTATACTTACTCACCTCGTTCGAATCCGAATCCGACGATGAAGCGCTAGATTCGGACGACTGGCAGGTAAGTAATTACACATCCGTTGACACAGATATCCGAAGTGCGTCCCCCCGAAATCCCATGGCCATGGCACTGTTCCGCGTCGAATATTTTCTTTTTCTTTCGAAGTACTTACCCAAGGGCCAATACCACTACGGCCGTCTATTGGGCCACGTCGAACCTTACAGTAGTCCTTCGACCGCATGCATCAAGGATAGCAATAAAGATGAATATGGTCATGCGCATTGAGATCACTCATGCTCTATGTGCTATGGGGAAAGTCGTGCATATGTCGAATCCAGTCGTGAATCAGCCTCGTTATTCAACTATGTATAACTTGTCCTCCTCTTCTATCTCCTTAGATTGTTGCTTTCCCTCTGTCCCTTCGTTCTCTTCCCGCCGGCTAGCTTCCATCGAAGTCGCATCCTTTCGCACCATACGGATTCACACCCGAAGTAAGATCCCCACTCGACTGAACTCCTGACTCGGACTCGGACTCGGCTCTCTGCATCCATCACGCATCATCGTCTAACTATAAGTGCATACTCACTTCGCACTTCAATGTCGCCCGACCATTCAAATCGAAGCCTTGAAGCCCTGCAGCTAGGGTCAAGCTGGGAAGTCTAAGATGGGCCGTAACCACCGCAAAACAGTGTCCTGGAAGGAGTGCATGCATGCTACTTATTCTTCCATTTCTATGACTCTGACTCTGACTATGACTATGACGCTCGCTCTATTCTTTGACCTTTCTTCTCAGACGCCTGAGCAGCCTATCAGACCGTTCTTCTATTCCGTGCCATTTCTTTTCTATCATAGGTTTGCGAGCGGTAGTCTCGTAGGGCATAAATTAACTTGAAGGCGTCCACGGTTCCGCACAAGAAAGGCGGGTCGCCCAAGCTTCCCTAATGCCGGTGAAGAAGTGAAGCCATCCATAACAACAAAGCCACCTTCCATACTATATGCGCCACCATACCCGGGCCCGTGACATCGTCGCCGCTGGCAGTTACTGTCGTCTGCTTGTTTTCGCTACAAGATCAGCGGTCAGTAGCGGATCCGCTGGCATTCGCATTCTTCTTATCTATACATATAACTATATCCGGACACGGTGTTTGTTCGACTGTGCCTTTCCGGGAGGAGATTCAGAGGGCCAACGCGACACACACACATATACTCCTGTTTCCTTCTCGTCTGTCATCGTCTCTAAATCACCACTTCGATGATCTCAATTAAGATATCATAATATACGCCAACCTACCTACAACCAGCCCCAGTTTATTTCGCCTTCAAACCGCGAAGCATGACAAGTAAGAGCCGCTGTCCCGCATAAATAACCCCTCCATCTTCAGTGAAAATAGCACGTAAGACCCAAACACCAATCCCATCCTCCTAATCTGGAGTATACCGAGGCGGCAACGTCGCCACCTCCTCTCCAAACCCTCTCAACCCACTATCACTCTCCATAACTGGCGCCGGCGCAGCGAGCCCCGGGGGACCACTGGGATCCCCTTGGCGTGTAGTGGTGAACGGGGAATCGGAGCCACTAGCCTGAGAGAAAGTGGGTGTGTGTGTTTGGGTGGTATCGTATGGATTGTAGTCTTCGAGCTTGCGGGACTGAGAGTCGATAGGAGTGCTTTCGCGGTGAATTGGATTTTTGGTGGGGGTGATCCTGGTGTTAGATGTAGAGGTGGCTAGGAAGGGCGTGATGTCGCCTGTGTTCCATGAAGCCAAAAATGAATAGACGTAAGACACGACTCCCGTGTGAGCATAAACTACCAGGATAGATGAACTCACCCTGACGCATCTCCGTTGGCACACCGTGCTCCTGTCCATCCACGACACCTCCGTCGCCAAACGTTGCATACCGATCCTCATGATAAGGCCCGCTCGAGTCGCCATCCGTGTTTCTTCCTCTTCGCAGCCATAACAAAATGGCCAGTCCAACAACAGCCAACGCTACGACACCACCAACGACACCTCCCGCAATCGCACCAACATCCGTACCCTTCGTCCTCGAACTCCCATCGGCAGTCGAATTCGATCCCAGATTCGGGTTCGAGATATCATTCCTCACGAACGCACTCCCCGAGTTCAGCAACAGGTAGTCCAGATAAAACGCCCCCGCCGAGCCCGCTTGGATCTCCAGCGTGTGGTAGTCTCCGGTCTGAGCCTGAGGAATGGTCACGTTGAGAAGCATGAAGTTGAGCGTTGGGTTGGTGTAGCCAATGGGTGGGGCATTAAGCGAGCGGGAGGTGTTGTCGAAGGTGTAAGTGCCGAGGGAGAGGCCAGTGACGGAGGTGAGCATCCCGTATGCTTGGATCATAGAGGCTCCTATAAACGGAAAATCAGTCGGGCTAACAGTCGAACCGCAGGCTGTTGCCAAACAATGGGACTGACCGGTAAAGTTGAGCGACACCGTCGAAGCGCTGCTCGTAGGACCCATCACGGTCGAGTTAAACGTCGCATCCGTCAGATTGAACGTCTGCGTCTCCGGGAAATTCGCAACAGTCGTGTCCCAGCCGTTAGGATCCCCCGAATACTCCAGCCACTCGCTCTGATCGTCCACAAATAGCCAGCTGGTCTGCGCACTGGGCGAGGGCATCGACGAATTGACTGTGGCGTTGTAGATGAGGTAGTCGAAGAAGATGTTGGAGATGTTGCCTCGGGGGGCGGAGCTGAGAATTTCCATCTCGAGGACGTGTGTGGAAGGGGAGAGCGTGGGAGAGACGAATATTGGAACATGGGTTCGGTGATCTGAGGGGACAGAGTACGTGTTTGTTGAGACGATGGAGCCGTCGATGCTGAAGGAAACGTTGGTGCCGACGTAGGCATCTCTGTCGCCGCCAGCGATGCTGCTGAACACAGATATCGAGGTACCTATGGAATAGCATTTTCAGGTGACGAGGAAGCAAGCTGGAACTGCGGGTAGATCTCAAGTGGGAGGAAGGGGATTGAGGCCTACCATTGAACTCGAACCTCATCGACGACGATGCATTCCCTGAACCGGACGTTGTCACGAGGAATTCAGGAACTTCACCTACAGATACATCAAGTCAGCTAGTTGTTTTTTTTTTGCTCAAAATTATGAATAAGGCAGGAACATACCCAGCCCGGCGACGAACCATCCACCTGCTTCACTCGAACTATTGGTATACTCCCCTGGTGTATGAGGCACTGTCGGCTGGTATTGGATATTGGGGTCCGAGTCATCTACGATCACAAAGACGGACATTGTGACGTGCCCTCAGCCTGAGCCTTGTAGGTCTATACACGAACAGGGTATTGCCTCCGAGAATCGTGGAACCAAGAAAAGGGGCGAGTCGAGGACAACGACGTGGAACACTGAGGAAGGGAGAAGATCCAGGAAAGGGACGCTCATTAACGAGGTATCTGATATGAGACCTACTTATTGGCTACCTACCACCATTTGCATAGCTATTAGGAGATCGTCTAGATGTTGTGGTATCTCCATCGCCTGTCTTGGTCCAATGATACGTACGTTGACTCTACGCAATAGTGGCTGCGCGTACCCCTGCATGCAGAACACATAAAGGATATATATGATCTAGCAAGTTCCACAACAAAACATGCAATCAAGGGCGTTCAGGAACTTGTGGCAGATAGCCGCCATAAAGCGGCGAAGCATTCAAGGCGAGGCGAAGCTCCGCGAAGACCTAAATAGAACCTAGGACACAGGCTTCATGTGCCTATCAAAATGGCAGTGGTCAGACGCAATGTAGCGTTCGAATCGGGAAGAGAGCGGTCAGATGGATAACCCAGGGAGTTATAAGACGGCGTGTTGGGAGGTCGGGATCATGATCAAGATGGCATTTACAGAGGAATAAGATCGGATCGACTCGGAGCGAACGTGGTGGATTGTTCGTGAGTTTGGGTCAGAAAGTCATGCAAATATGAGGTGCATTGCTGCAGAGAACCGTGACGTGAGATGGCCAAGTTCAAGTAGATCCCAAACTAAAGAACGCTGCCGACTCGGATGTTCGAATTGACAAAAGACCGTTCGTTGCAAGTTCGTTGCGCCGCAACGAGGCGGAGATACCCGAAACTCGCGTGCCCCGCCCAGCAAGTCGGCCTCGTCTCGGTTCAAGTTCTTTCTCGTGCCACACCGTCTCTCGAGCTATGAGGGCTCCGCACGTTGAAAAAAAAATTCATATCTCATTATTCTCATTCGATACTGGAGCTTGTCCATGTTTCTCGTTGAACCGGGTACCGCGACGCAAAAGTCCACCCATACGGACCTCTCTCTCGGACCGCCGCCACACAAACAATACATACGTACCTGAATCACAGAAGATATTCAATGGGCCCCATATGTATAGCGATTCAAATCTTCGGAGCCGCCACCAGCGCCCACTTCCTGATTAGTAGAGGCGTAAACATATAAATATCCCCCAATCACTTAGCGTCATCCCCCAATACCATAAGTAGTGTCCTCCCTCATTCACAATATTATGCGAGTTCTGTACCTGTTCAACGACACGCCCCGCTCGCCGAGCCCCAATCGGTCTCTTCATACTATGTGCTACTGTAGTTAGTTCCATCTCCAGAGCCGAATGGCCATTTTTCATGTTCTCGAACGACACTCCCAGAGTAACGACAAACGAGCAAAGCAAGAGCAAAGCAGTAATCCAATTCAAACATGCGAACAGACAACCATACCATATGTGCTACCATAAAGAGGTACTCATGTAAAAAAACATAACAAAGCAGTCCAGCCACGGCCTCGGACACAGCCACAGCAGCAGACCCACGAACGGAAAGGGATTATACAAAAAAAGGAAAAGGACAATAGTAAAAAACTGAATCAAAGGGGCCAACGGGCGAGGGATCCACCGGACAGAACGCGAACCAACATAAGGTAAGATAGAACGAACAGAAAGTAGCGAAGAAACGATGCATGATGGGTTCGCCAAGCTAGCGAAAAGACTAACTTAGAAGAGAAAGCAGGGACAAACGGGCAAACAAGGACGACGACAAAAAGAGAAAGTTACAGTAAAAGTTTTTTTGGGAAGAAAAAGAAAAAGAAATGCGACGACAGTACTAGCCAGCGGACAAGAAGGAAACTCGAAGCTCTCAGGCCGAACAGGACACACTGTATCAAAATATGCACATACGCATTCCCCACGCATGCTCAGAAGCACTCGAAGCGCAGAGGCAAGGACGCAAGGGCCATACTCACTCCGGACCCGACCGACGAGCAAACAGATGCACAGATGGGCCCATGTAACACATAATTCATATCCAGCCCCCAGCTAGCCCAACACCCTCCTTCTCCGCTAGCTAGGATGCGACGCAGTCGGGTACTGCTGTTGCTGTGGCGGGTACGGGTTTTGTCCTCCAGGAGCTTGCGTCTGCTGTTGCTGGTTCTGCTGCTGCTGTTGGGGTTGGGGTTGCGTGTGCATCCCTGACATGCCCATCATCGAACCGGGAAGGTTGCCCAATCGGGAGAAGAACTCGTCCCATTGACCTATACGCACACGCGAGGTCAGTCATGGCTCGAATGGACACGGACGAAATAGAGAAGACAGAGATCGGAGGATCAATGAAGAAAGGGCGGAACGAGAGAAACTGTCGAGGACGAAGAGGCTTAAGTAACGAGAGAAACGCACCCCAATCGAACATCCCTCCCGGAATGCCCTCCAACCAATTATTATCCGCCATCGCCATCTGCTCCAACGTCCCCATCATCGCCATACCATCCGCACCCGCCCCCGTACCTGCCGCCGCCCCCGTCCCTGCTCCTGCCCCCGCCGCAGGATCTCCACTCACGGTCGCATTACCGCCACCTATTATCGACGGCTGCCCATCTAGCATATTGATCAGCTGAACATTATTCCCGATCAGCGCGCTCGCGTTCATCGCAGGGTTAACGTTCGACATCGGATCCGTCGGGAGACCGTTGGACCCGGCCATCCCACTACCACCGGTGCTGGTACCTCCTAATGGCGTGTAGTTGACCATGGGGCCGCTCGTGGTGGGGCTGCGCAGAGGTTGCGCCTGCGTTTTTCGACTGGCTTTGGGATGTACTGGATGATCTAGATCAGAATGACGTTAATCAATCAGAATAAGAAGTTTACAGGCAAAAGTTGAACATCGACAAGATAAATGGCCAAGGCGAAAAAATTGATAAAATACTCACTACCGTCATTATCGCCCTCGCCCTCGCTCCCACTACTAATAATCGTGCCCGGGCCCACATCTGTATACGCATCCTTTACAGGCCCATGCGCGATAAACACACCCCCTCCCGGCCGACTTGGGTCCTGCTCGTAGGAAAGTCCACCCAGCGGCGGCGGTTTCTTGCCCGTGACACCACCCGTCGGATTTAGAGCCGGCGTCTCCATTTGTGGGGGTGGACCTTGCGTGGACTCGTACAGAAGCGCGATGATTTCCGCGGTCTGATCACGGTTCGAGGTTCAAACAACATGACGTGAGGGAAAACAGTCGAAATATTGTGGGTTTCGATGGGTGAAATAACAATTGGTTGATTAGTATGAAGAGGAAGAGATAACGCGACGAGACGGACCTTCCGTCGGGCAGACATATGGTCTGGAGAGAGGGATCGCTCCCACCGTCTAATACAGTCTCGCAGTTTCTTCAGTTTGAGAGCCGCTTCCGGGTCTTTCCTCCTTGCCCACGTATGATACTGTTGTCGCCAATAGATATGCACGAAAACAAAACGGAAGGAACAAGAACGCCCAAAACAAAACATGAGGTCAGCTCCCCGGAATGAACAGTCGTGAGACAAAAGAGCTCTGCGAGGAATAGAGTAGAACAAGAAAGAGGGCGAATACGGACCTGGACCAAAGCACATGACGTCGCCGCATACGCAACCAACAACCAAACATCATACAACTTGTCATGCTTATCCAACCAGTCGATCGAGTCCCCCGTGAGCTTGACGAGCGCGGACCACTTCTCGACCGTCATCCCAAACTTCAAGTGCGCGGGGCACGAATAAGATATACGCATAAACACGCGCCAAAAGATCATGGAGACGCAAGAATAAAGCAAGAACAGCAGACCTAATCGTTCGTTCAATAGGGTGAATACGATTGGAGCGAGAATGAGTCAGCGAATGGCATGGGAAGCAAGCGGGCGGGATGAGGTGGGATAGGTGGGAAGAGCGGTGAGCGGTGGGGTATGCGAACACGCTATCCCGCTGGCAACTGAACAGGGGCAAAGTCAAGAGCGAAACTTACCGGCGTTCATGGGAGTGTCGGGGCCACGGAATTGTAGGCTCTCAGGGAGGTTAGCTTTCCAATTTTCGATATCTGCGAGCAGCTTGTAGAGCATCTCGTCGTTGGTGAGGGTCAGACCAGAGGGGCTGGGCGAATACTATTAAATTTTGTCTAGCGTCATGTGGCCAAGAGAAACAACCCACCTGTATATTGTCTTGAGTACTCGGCCGAGAATGATGCTTAAACGGACGAGTTCGTCCATGTATAAGTCGTTAGGATCTCCCGTAGACGGAAGTCTGACATCGCAGTCGTTAACGTCTATCATGTACGGATGACCGTATGACAGACTTGTCCTAAACAAGCAGACATCAGCGCTGGTCACAAATAGCAACGTCTTGACTGGTGCTGTGAGAGGCAATAATTACCATCGGTCGCTGATGAGCAAGGCAGCCCAGATCCTTCGCCTGGCCTCTACGTTCTGTTGGATGGCTTCTACACGGTGAAGCCCCATGTCTTGCGCCTATAGCAATTGAGTGAGCATTCAGAACACCGCGAACCCTAGTTAGTTACTGCGTACCATGCGAATAGCGGTGCCCAGCCTAATCCAGAGTGCTGACAGGGCGTTGGGCACGAATTGCGAATGGCAATCGCCGACCATACAGAGGATGAGCAAGCTCTGCACATTGGCGATCGAAGCGGTCGACAGCACGTCCTCCGTCTTGATCACATTATTAACCGCAAAACGTATCGAATCGAACACGCTCTGAGGCACCTCTCTCCTAGCGGCAGCGACCAGGCAAATAGAATAGAGTAATATTGGCGGCGGCGAATTAGTAGCGAGGAACTCCGCCTGTGTGATGATAGGAAGGATAGGTGCAATATCGGTGAAGTAGGCGTTGACGAGTTGTTCGATCATGATTCGGTCGATATGCATCTCGACCGGCTTAGGCATCGACAATTGTGTCTCGTCCGGGTTCGGTTCCCTCACTTGAATGAGGCCATCCCCGTTCTGCGCTACCTCCCATGTGTGATGATGTCGGACGTCGTAGGATTCGTAAATGCGAGAGGATATCGTAGCCGTCGAATGCAGCAGGTGGGCCTCTGATGTGGGTCCTGTGTGCGTAAGACAGAATTGTCAGGACGAATTAAATTGGTCGTTTGTGTCAAAGCGTGACATACCGCAGATTCTAGGGTCTGATGCGCGCGGATCGTGAGGTGTAACTGAGGAATGGGGCTCTTTGGCCTTTTCAGCAACGGCGTTCTCTTCCTCGAGCTTCTTCTTCTTGAAACGAGTCTCGGCGATAGGCAGGAAAAAGGTGCAGTCAAAGCCATACTGTTTGCAATGCTGGCACAGTGGCGGCTCGGACTCCACAAGGACGTCGCATCTGTCATGTGCAAATGAGTAAGCTACAAAAGCGGGAGAACAAGCGCTCGTGTGAGGAGTCGGACAGGCGAACGAGTGCACGGAAAGTGGAACGGGTTGGACGGTCGATTGAAGAGAGCGATACCAACCTGATCTTACGGCTCCTACAGCTGTCGCACGCCCTCTGCGTCTTTGTACGTTTCTTGATCTCGTGCATACCTGTTGTTATCGTGAGTGGTGAAGGACGAGGGGGCTCCGGGCTCGGACCTGGCGCGTCGCCGTCCGAAGCATCGCCATCCTGGCCGCTGACCGACTTGCGTTTGCGCTTGCCATTCGCGGGCTGAGATGAGGCGGGAGACTGGACAGGGGGTGAGCCCTGTGCCGAGTCAACAGGACGGGGAGGGGGCATGTACATGAGCTGCTGAGGATACTGGGGATAGTGGTAAGGCGCGTAGTGACCGGGGGCCATCACGTATGGGTACTGAGGGGGGATATGAGGAGGGATGGCTTGAGGCGAGCCATTTGTCTGACCGGGTGAAGGATGCGTGTACGGGGCGGCAGGCTGCCGGAATGGGGAGCCGTTCGGGGGAAAGGAGGGCGTCATGATGGCGAACTGAGATGGGGGACGGAACGGCTGTGACGGTGGCTGGGGCTCGTTGGTCGTCGAGCCAGACGATGTGCGCGGTGCTGCCGTCGACGGCGAGGACGGTTGAGGCTGGTCGGTGGAGGGATTGGGAGGAGGAGCGTGGGAGACTGGAAGGGAGGGGTATGACGGTGAACATTAATCATTCCGGGCGATCAGCACACGTCCATGACGAGAAACAAGAGCCCAAACCGCTCACCCTCGGACGTCGTCGACCGACCTCCCCCATCACCGTCCGCGCCGTTCTTGCCAGCCTTGGTCCGTTTCTTGCTCGCCTTCTTCCTGCCACTCGTCGCCGTCGCCTCCGGTCCTGGGCCTGCTGCCCCCGTCTTGTCCTTCGGCTTGCCGTCCATTTCCTAACTGACACTCTACCGAGCCCTTATTCGACACGAAGCTGCAAGAAGAATACCGCGACCGGCCTGATGTGGATACCGCGTTCACCGACCGCCAAAAGCCCGCTCTGAATGAGGTATTGCACGCAACCGAGCGCTTCGGGTCCAAGCGGCGACGGAAGAAGGGTCAAGACGTCAAATATCCCGTATACGAGACCGCTTCAGGAGCAAGAAATGTCGAGCAACCGTCCGTCGTCCGCGCGCTTTCCTCTCGCGGTGCAAACAAACTCAAAAGGCAACCCGTTTTTCCTCGCAACCCTGGTGCGTAACCGTCCCGCCGGGTCACCCGTGACGCACCCTTCTTCCCGCCGGGCCCAGCCGCGGGTCTTCAAGGAACGCGTCCTCTTTTGTCCTCCGCCTTCAGCGTCTTTCTCCGAGTTCGCTCACATCGTTCAACTTACTCCTCGTTTCTCCGTTCTTCGACGGAATGCATGCGGGTTTTTTCGTGTTCATCTCCTCACTCATGCACTCACGAAAATTCTGCGATGTATACTGCACTCTACAACAATATTATCTGCCGTTTCTTCCCGCTCCCACACAATCAATTAAAGTTTGCGCGGCCGCGGCAACTCTCCGTCCTCCCGCGGGAGTCGAGGAACGCCGTCAAAGCCTAACCCAAACTCTGACCCCCTTCGACACAATCCTTTGACGCCAGGGACGTCCAGCTGTCCTTGTGTCTGTCTCACAGTGCCTCAGCTGACGATTGGACGAATGAACCCGGCTGACTGTTCCGTGTCATTTCGTCACTGTTCTAGATAGGCTGGACAAAGTCGCAGTGTCCCTTGGCCGATTTACTTCCACCAAAACCCTCCGACAAGATCCAGAGGGGTATGATATAAGTATGCTATAATTATATGAATCAAGAATAGGTAAACGCCCGCCGCCCCGATATCACGCTACATTGACACCGAGAATGTTAGAAATCGATGTCGACAAAACTGTCTGCTACCGCTACTATTAGCTAGTCATCTAGGAAACGAAAGTGAAAACAAGAATAAAAGAGGATGTTCGAAAGCTTTGAGACAGACGGGATAACAAAACGTCAATGTAAATAACGCGGGTCCGCAAAACCACAGCCAGAAAAAGGAAGGGACCAGAGATGAATCAGACAATGTTGGTATGTAGAAAGTCAAGCTCTAGGAGCCATATCGTCTCATCCAGAAAATTCGAATGCCACTGCGAATCTCAAATCCCGATAAACGAAGCCAACTCCCTAAACCCTCCCCCTCTCCAAATCCACATCAAGCCCATGCTCATCCCACGACGACCCCCCACCCCCATTCAAATTCCCCACCTTCACATCCCCATTCAACGCCCCTCCTCCCCCCTCACTCGACCTCCCCCTCTCATCCTCCCCGTCCCCCAACATCCCAGGATTGACCTCCCGCCTATCCTCCACCGCGACCGCATGCGGCCTCACCCACGAATACCCCGCCGGCCTCCCGAGCACGTTCATCACGTTCTGTCGCCACGAGCCGTGAGAGAACGGGTTGGGCGGCGCGGGCCCGGGTACGAGCGTCTTGTGGGCTTGGTTCCGGATCTATTTATTTTAGTATTTTGGATGGGATGGGAGCGAGAGGTGGCGCGTCGGTTATCAAATCAGTCGGGTACGTCGGGGGAGTTGGTCGACGGGAAGAGGTGTGGGTGAGGAGATGAATCCATGGAGATGAAAACCAGATAAAGACGGAGATCAGTAACCGTGCTTCAGAAGATCAGACCATCGAGATGCGAGAGCGGTCAAGACGGAAACGGACGACGAGAATACGTAGTGTCCGCAAATAAAATAGATAAATAGATGGGATATGGGCGCCTTGACGGGGCCGGAAGCGCAGTAATAACTGCATTCGGTTGTTATACTTTGCGAGGTGGGTTCCTACTGCGTGTAACGTCCGGAGGCCGTGTTTATACTTGGAGTAATACCCGTTACGCTCGGAAGTGTGTAGATTATGACATACACTAGTCTGCGCAAGAGATAGTGCTATGCCGGGCGTGCGGAAAAAACATACAAAGAGAAGATAAATCCGAATAAGAGGAGCACATACCTGTTCAATGGTTGTGACATTCAAGAGCAGTAACTACCATACCGAACAAAATTCGTCAACGAACAGTTCAAGAACAGCACCGAGATGAAATAAGGCTCACCCGCATATGGTATGTCAATAACGCCGCCACCGGCCATACTACGATAATAGAAAGAACAAAAACCACAGCGCTCCCCGCGCCGGTGCTGATTGCATGTCGGAAGGTGAGATGCTCCTTCCGCGTGAGCAAGTACAAGTGTAGCGCCGAAGTGACGATGATGAGGCAAGTAGTCAAGGTCTACATGCAAAATAGAAATTCGACGTTCGATGTATTAGAGGCCAATATAAATGTTGCTGCGCATTGAATGGGACTCACCGCGCTGAAAATAAAAGTGAAGAAGTAGGTATAATTGCGACGGCCCACACAGTTGTTCACCCATTGGCAATGATGATCACAACCGTCCACACAGTTGTCGCACTGCATCGAAATCCCGTCAATTCAGCGTAAAGTCGAGAAAGAGAACGTCACGAGTACGCACCATTTTACAATGGCTAGACCGAGGTGGTCTGTATATCTTACACGTGGGGCAGTACTTCACGCGCACACTACAAGGCAGACAGTAAGAAACTATAGTCTCAAAAGGATGCATTACTTACATTCCCGCTCGTACTTTCAGATCTCGTGGCAGGGGTATCCTGGATTCTGCGGAACCAGAAGAGCTCGGGGCGCATGGCGGATCGTGGTCCAAATTCCGTGGCAGAATTCCAGGATCAGTGAAAGCCTTCAAGCGAGGTCGTATATCAGACTGGAAGTCGCGTGAGTCGGGCCACGGAACAAGACACGTACCGTAGACAGCATCAGTGTAATAGTGAGCAAAGTCATGTATGCTCCAATGGCTGCCACAGCCGGGCTCTCATTATGCCACCACCAAACACAGGTCGTCCCAAACCAAGTACCCGCAATGCCAAACACAAGCACCAGCGAGCCAATAAAAGCCCACGGACTATCGCCCCCCGTCAAGAACATCCCTTCACAAAAGAACCGATTCCTCGACGGCAAAAGCTCATAATTCCGTGTGGCTCGTTTCGTCTTCTCGTCAAGCCGTGGGGTCGCGCTTAACGGCGGGTTAATATCCGGAGGGTACGGATTGAACGAATTTGGTGAGGTAGGCTGTCGGAGGTGCAGGGAAGGCGAATGCACAGATTTATAACGATGTTCCATATAGTCGTCGAACGGTTTGGGCTCCTCCGTCACCCGCACGTCTGGCGATGGCAAACCGCCCGATAAAGACCTGCGCACCGACTCGAGACTGATCCCAAACTTTCCCAAGCTATCCCTCACCCTCCCACCCGGACTCGATCCATGTGTGGGACTCAAGGTCTTCTCGGACGCCCCCCGTGTAGTCTGCGACGGTCGGGATTGCAGGCTATTTGTGGACGTTTTGTGAGACATGCCACTTGCGCCGATGGGTAGTAATGGCTCGCGACTGAACTTGGCGTTCTTCACGGGGAGTTGATGGGATGGGTCTTCGAGCGTCAATGTGGTAGAGGCGTGCGAGGTGCGTTCGCCTGCAGGAGCGTCGGCGATGCGGCGAGCGCTCATGCCGTCGTCCGACTCGTACATGACCTCGTTAGAAAGCGGGTGGAACTGCTGTAGCGAGAAGATTTGAGTATCATGTGTGGGTGAGCCCGGATGTGAAGAACCAGCGGAAGAGGGGCGGCTGTGGGGATAGGAAAGAGATGGTTGATTGGGTCGTGAAGGGCGAAAGAATGAGGCCGAGGGGAGGATGCCGCCGGCGTGAGTTAGACTGGTGGGATTAGGAGAACTGGGCGACACAAAAGACCTCCTCGTAGGCGATGTAGGCTCATGAGAAATGTGAACAGAAGGGTGTGGCCTGGATGTGGAAGAAATGTTGGACCCCGTCCGTTGATGGTGGGAGGCAGTTGTGTTCGAGGTGCTTCCACTGCGAAGTCTGCTTGTGGATGCCGGGTTGTCGAACCTGGTCGAGACACCCACAGAGGACAAAGATGAAGGTAATTGGGACGGCCTGTTAGCAGTCGGAGTGCTAGGCGTAGAACTAGAAAAGGGTAAAGAGTGTTGGGAGTGGGCAGCCATTGCACACGAAGGCGGCCGACTTGTTGGAAACGGGGAAAGGAGTAGAGTCTGTCAAAGGATGGAGACCAGTCCGAAGACAATCAGGATATGAACAGAACGAGCGAGGAAGGTATCCAGAGAGCGCAGGAGGAGGGGCACCAGAGGAAAGACAGAGCGAGCGTTTCCTGCGAGTCGCTCGAAGGGAGCAGTGTACGGGATGCGGTCAAAGGATGAAAGAATATGGTAATCGCGACGTCCGCGTGCGGAACGCGCCTTCCACGGCCGGGTGGCACTTCATACAGCAGTGTGGCGACTCGCATAAGCATGGTCAAGCAACACAAAAATGATACATACAATACATCTACTGGACGAATACAAGATACTGAACGTTTCGCATAATCAAAATCGTGAACTATCATTCCGGGTCTTCTCGTATATCGCTTGCACGATGTATCAACACCCATTGCGTCTCTTTTCCCTCTCCACCCACCACCTTCACCTTCCCTTCCTTCTCTAACTTCCTCAAATGGAGATTCACTCCATGCGCCGCGGGCTCCCACAGAGACTCCGGAAGCTTTGCGTACATCTTCATCACTATCCCCCACGTCGTCCACGTATCAGCCTGCCCCCCACCTTCAACGTCTTTCGCCTCCACCCCCGATCTCTCCGGCTTCGAGCTCAACACCTCGACAATTTGACCTTCCCTTTCCAGCCTATGCTCAATATACATCCTGATCGTCGTAGGACCATTCTTCACGACAGGCCCATGCGCCGGGTAGAGTATCGCGTATCCTTCACCGTCCCCGGAAGGCGTACGTGCGGCGAAGACCATCTTCCGCAAAGATGACATGTACGACGCGAGGTCCTCGAACACTGCGGTCCCCTTCCCTAGAACAGTATCTCCTGTGAACAATGCACGGTCCGGAGGGAAGAGCAGTGATATGGAATCTGTGGTATGGCCCGGTGTATAGAGAACCTTCAGGTGAAGAGGATGGTCATCCGTTGAAGAGGGAAGTGTGATGATCTGTCCGTCCTCTAATGGATGAAAGGCTCGACCATCGGGAGCAGGCGAATACGTTCCCTCCTCCAGGCTGGATTCTATCTCGTTGAGGGTCTCGTCTGGGGGAGCATCGGATGGTATGGGATGTTTATGAATCCGAGGAGGCTGAAAGGGACTGTCTGGGTGTCGTTCGGCCCATAGGTCGCGGAGGAGAGTGAGAACGGATGGGAGACCCCGTGTGTGGTCATGATGCCTGTGAGTGAGGATAATGTCGGCGATGTCAGGGGACAAGGGGTTCGCCGGTTTCGCTAGGGCCTCGCGAAGTAGAGGGATATAGGCTGGTATGCCCTGGCCGGCATCCAGAAGGATGTATGGGTTTGTCTGTCCGATGAGGTAGGTATTTGTTCCTGCGCGGGGGTAAGCATGTGTTGAATGGAAGTTGGTGAGGAAGACTTCGTGGATTACCTTGGAGGGTGAACTTCCCTGGATTCTGTGATTCTTCAGCTAAGACACAGTGATGCAAAGCAGAATATATCGCTTGCCTGTCCTAGGATACGGACAACCTTGTCACTGATCTTTCATGTTCAAGCGGGGTCCAAGTTGTGGTCGGTTAAGTCAATACCGACTGACAAAGCACTACTAATCAGAAGCCTCACTCGGGTGATATTGAGCAGAGGCTCAAGCTTGTCCATGTGCGTAGACGATCGTAGTCTTACAGGTGTGGTGGTTTCAAGATGGTGGTAAGTTAGATGGCAAGAGTGTGGCGAGTGTAAGTGGCGCTCAAGAATATGAATCATCAGCCGGCGAGCAGTCAAACCGGTTAGCCGGCTCACTTTCCTTCACAGACGGATGTAGGAATGGCATGAGCGGTGATTAGTACAAGCAGCCATGAAAATGGGTAAGCAGGTGGTACATCCGTGTCAACGAAAAAGTGATAAGAAAACAGATTGAAAAGGAAGAGCAAAAGAAATACATAAGTCGTACAACAACAACACCACGAAGAGAAATAATCGGATTCCACATGAAATTTCTTACACTCAGCCAAGATCCCTTCGCCCTCTACCTTGAATTTACACATCAGGTCCCTTCCAGTCCATATCCACAACCCCCACTCCCCTCCTCCCCAACCGAATCCTCCACCTCTTCATCTCCCCCTGGTACCCCGCCTCCAACGCCTGACCTCCCACCCCCTTCCTCAACCACCTCACGCTCCTCATCCTCACAACCTTTAATCCACTCAATCCATCCCCACCCCTCAACCCACTCATCGTCTCCACCTCCGTGAGCAATCCCGTATTAGGCCGCGGTATAGTCAGGATCTTGAGGTTGCGGTGTGAGGACCCGGGAGGGAGGAGTGGGAGGAGGAAGGTGGGGAGGGGGAAGTCGAGGAAGAGATGTTGGAGGGAGGGCGTTAGTGTGAGGAGGGGGGTTATTTGGGTTGGAAGATGTGTGAGGATAGGAGTTGGGACGTTTGTTTGGACGGGTACAGGAGCGGGGGTGAGATGATGTAGAGGTGTGGAAAGATGGAGTGAGGTCAGAGTGGAACCGAGATTAGTCAGGAGAGGCACAATGCTCGATGGGGACGTGGATGGTGTAAGAAGAAGTGAACGGAGCGAGGCGCATGGGCTATTCAGAAATATTTGAAGAATGGCGCTGAAGGGGATGGAGATCAAAGACAGGCTATGAAGATTTGGGAAGCGGAGTGGGGGAATAGCCTCTGCTGATCCCAGGTAGTCGTCGAGAGTCCCTGCGTTATGTGATTCATCGTAGGTCGATATAAGCTCTAGGTCTTCTAACCGTTCGCAGCACTGTAACAGCTCGAAGACCGGGCCATGAGCATGTGGGGAGAGAGCGCGACGCTCGCCCGGCGGAAACGTTAATCCCTTCAACGTCTTCAACTTCTCGACTCCGTCTTTAAGTCGTAGAGCATTCAATGCACGATGACTGAGCATAGTTCCTGGGTTGAGGATCAGATGCGTCAGGGAGGGCAAGAGCGGAAACAAGACTGTGAGGAGAGAATCGATTCGAAACCCATCCGAGGCGTCGACGGTGGTAAGTTCTGATACGTCGAGAGACTGTACCCATCGGCCTGGGGTCGAGTACGGGATGCGCCGTATGGAGTCCCATTTCTGGTCGGAATTGTAGAGGTGAGATACCAATTTTTGTAGCGATGAGCGACTGAAGACGAAGACATGCGCGTAAAGCAGTGGGAGTGCAATGTCCTAAAGTCAAACAAACATAAATATTTAGCTCAAATTTAGCTTTATGCTTGCATTACGGAGACAAATTATGGGTTCATCAGAACGGGACCCTCAGGATGTTGGACGTTGAGACTCTTTGACGTGCTGAATGTTCTAAGGGTATCTACGAGATTACCTTGCGTATGGCAACAAACACCCATGGCTGCACGAAAGGCTAGTGTGCATTGCAAGGTAAGGTAGCTCACATACACCATGAACCACCCAAGAAAAAGGTCAAATACATGGTGATATCAAGCCAGACTTTTTCCAAACGAAAAAGATGTCCTTCCTCAGAACATTCGGGTACCATGCAGTATTGCGGTTGCCACACGGCGTGTACAGGGTGCTTTGGTGGGTTTCCGGATCTGGTTGGCTATACCCAGACTTTGAAAGCGGACGTACCATCCAACGCTTGCACACAAACATGATCTTCCAATTCGATCTCATTACCCTCCTCCGTTCCGTTGCATCCACCTTCCGACCCTGCTCTCCCATGAACACGAACGTGAACACCTTCGACCATAGCTCCGCAGGAAGTGGCTTCAGTGCCGGTCGCTTTGGAAGTAGAGGAAGAAGAACAAAGCTTCCTGGATATAGAGCGAGTGGCCTAGGTTGAAGGAAGACTGGTGGGTCGACTGGGTGTGCTGGTGCTATCATGTAACTCATGATTCAGCAGTTGTTGACAGTCGTGAAGAATTCAAAATGTAGCCCTGCAAAGCAAGCTCAGCACCGGTCCAAGTTATGGTTGGATACCAAAGCGAGGCAGAAGTTGGTTGTAGAGAACTGAGAGAGGGCTGCCATAGGGCAAATACGGTACATTGCAAGGCGAGTGAGCGTCTCACGACTGGCTCGCACGACATCATCGGCGTCTGAAGCAACTTGGATGCGTATCGCTCATCGGACCGGCACGGACACGGACTTCCGAAAGTGCGCTGTGGCACTTCTCATCGAGTCGGTCCGGGAAATCCCGGGGCTATATCTAAAGTCAACAACTCGCTGTGTGGCACCTGTTCCTCCGAGTCCCTCCCATGTCAGTCGGGTCTCAACGTTCTTGTCCCACTCTCTGATTGACCTCGTCACGAACCTACATTCTGGACGGCCGATAACTCTATCGTTCCTACAAGGACTGCTTTGAGGATTATTGATCCTTTCGGGCTGCCGCTCGAACGCTGCAGAGGGTCATGCGTCCATATGCATCTTGTTAGCTTCTATCTTAGCTGTTTGGTTCTTGGTCGCACAATTTCCCTTGTACCCCCATCTGAAATCGTACAAAGGTCTTTGTACATGGACCCTGATGTCGGTCGATGAACATATACATATCTTCTTCGGAGAAATCTTTTCAGGAGCCTTCTTGCGACGGCTGCGATTGCTCTTTGTTTTAGAATCAACTCTTTATGGTTCTGCTTATCTCGGATTTGTCTTGGATATACTCGTTACGCATCGACATGGTCGACCATCCATTCACGTACCATCCTGACCATAGCGAGGCCTCACGCTCCCACTGATAACACTGTCGATGCTGTCATATCTGCTGCTGACCTCTTGCTTCTCGACATCTATAAAAAGTCTACATCAGGAGCGTACTTCATGCAGAGTCTCCTAGGCCTAGCAGTATCGCTGCTCTTCTTTGCTTCTCCTTTCCTCCTCTACACCAGATCATTCATTCCAGATGTGGACTCTATCTACCACACTATGGGTTGCTTTGCTTGCAACTTGTGCTTTGGCTGTTGGCCCTACAATGCCGAACGGGACGTTCGGAAACGTCTATAATTTTTGGGAAGGTGATACCTCTAGCGTAGACCTGACGCGAGGTGCAGGAGACGGAGTCTCCATCAAGACCTCGAGTGGAAATTCAGACACCATCACAATCACTCCGAATGCGAGCGCCTTGGTGATTGTCGACATGCAGAGTACGCTCCCCGCGACATCATCCTTCCACTCCGTGGATACCGTCCCTGAAATCTGATTCAATAGACTTCTTTATTCACCCCAACCTTTCCTCTTCCTCCGGTGGCCGTGACATCGTTCCCGCCACGATCTCCACCATCAACGCTTTCCGCGCCAATAACATGAAGATCCTCTGGGTCCAATGGGGTTTAACGGACCTCGACCTCCACACCATCGCGCCTAGTTTCCTCTTTACCTTCGGTGATGGCGATTCAGAATCGACATTCGGGACAGAGATGGGATTCATCAACGATAATGGGACGGAGGTGGATATGGGGAGAAAGTTGATGAGAGGGAGTTGGAACGCACAGGCGTGGGGAGAGTTGTACGATGTGCAGACGGCGGGCATTGCGAATGGGACGGATTTCTACTTCAACAAGAGTGCGTCTGTCTCGTACCATGATTTTTCGCATCTCACCTCATCTATATCTTTTTTGCGTTATTCCCATCTAGATCGCCTGAGTGGTATGTGGGGGGACAGGACGGCGATGGAGCAGTTCCTTCAGGACCAGGGAATCACCACTTTGTTCTTTGGTGGCGTGAATACGGACCAGTGCGTCTATGGGACTCTGCTGGTGAGTATCGTCTCCCTCGTGACTCATAACATCGTCCTTCGCTGACGGTTCTGTAGGACTCCGCCTATAAGGGATACGACACGATCTTCATGACAGATCTATCCGCTACTACCAGCCCAAGCTACGCCACGGAAATGGTTGTCTTCAATGCCGGAGGTGAGATACTTAGTCTTTTGCCTCCATCAGAGTTCGATGCGGTGACTTTATCGTCTGACTACGTGATTATTTAGGGTTGGGATGGGTGGCGAACTCTTCCGCCCTACTATCGGCTTTGACTTGACAGTTGCGACGCGTGCAAAAGGGCGCGAGACTCTTGAGTCTAGAAGAACTGAGTGGGCAGAGGCATCTGAACCTATGGTAATAAAGTACCATCCGCATGGCGACAGCTGGAAGGATTGAGCGCAAATGTATGAAGTAGCCGGTGATAATAGTCCTTGTATCACAATTCCTTGATCTCTCGAGCTACATTTTTTATAGTGAGCTCGGGGAGTGTGGGCATCTCGTTGAGAAGCAAAACCTCCAATAAAATGCCCGCAGCTCTGAGTATTGTGCTGTAGGCTTGAGTACTATCTGGATTGTGGCCCGACATCCGGTGGCGCCAACGGGGAAGGCGGACTGTGCGACCGGAGGCAACTGTACGCGATTCAAACAACTTTCTCAGCAAGCCCGAGCGAGGCGGAAGTGTGATCAAAGTCAAGTCACGACTCCCGCTTTCAAAGCAGATTCGCTCAGCACCCATCCTTTCTTCGTCACCGTGACGCAAAAGTACTCTATCTAAGCACGATAAAGTGATCTTCCCACTGCTCGAAGTGAGGAAGACACCCATTCGTATAAAACACTGGCTCGCTTCCCCATACCACCGCTATCCCGCCTTCTTCAAGCAACGCAGACCCCCAGACTTTCTAGTACACCGGCTGTTAATAGACTTGCACAGGTGAGCAGGCATTCCCACTTCCTATCCTGGAGTTATCTTCAGCGGTTCTGACGCGAGTTCTGCTCTTGCTCCTACTTCATCTTGCACAGATCTCTCGAGCATTCGCCTCCTCGACTGTAAATATGGCACCCATCGAGAAACCAACCCCTGGCGAGAAGTACGACGTTATCTTCATTGGTGGCGGGAGTGGCGGGACTGCTGGATCGGTACGTTTGCTTACTTGTCGTTATTAGAACCAAGCGCTGAACGAGGTTTCGATGGATTGTTGTATATTCTGCGGCCAATATTCACGGTGCGCTTGTTTGCTGCAATATAGCGCCGCGCTGCATCGTATGGAAAGAAGGTCGCTTTGATCGAGCAGGATGGAAAGCTCGGCGGGACTTGCGTCAACGTTGGTGTGTTAGTTCTCTCATGCCATGCACGCTACCACTAACATGCAACGTGCGGTTCCCTTCTTCTGCAGGATGTGTGCCAAAGAAGGTTTGCCTTCCGAAGGTTTCTTCGCGGGCTCGCATCCTCACCAATGTACATCCTCTAGATAATGTGGCACGCAGCTGATATTGCTGAGAAGATGCGCCACGCAGCCCTTGGGTACAATTTCAAGAACGTTCCCGCTCCCGAGTTCACCTGGAAGACCTTCAAGCCACAACGCGATAACTACATCAAATTCCTCAACGGTATCTACGAGTCCAACGTCAGCAAGGAAGGCGTAGCTTACCACATCGGCCACGCCAAACTCACATCGCCCAACTCTGTCCTCATCACCCCAGGCTTGGCACCCTACTCCAAACCCCCTCTCAAAGAGCAAGCCGGGCGTGCGGACGGTGAGTCGTACACGATTCACGCGGATCATATTGTTGTGGCGACGGGTGGAAGGCCCACCATCCCCAAGGACGAGGACATCCCCGGTGCAAGCTTGGGTATCAACTCGGACGGGTTCTTCGAACTGGAGGATCAGCCAAAGAGGGCCGTGGTCGTCGGTGCTGGATATATTGCTGTAGAACTCGCTGGCGTTCTGCACACCCTGGGCTCCGAAGTTCACCTCCTCATTCGTAAAGAGCAGGTCCTCCGTACGTTCGACCCTTCTCTCAACGAGGTCCTCACTCCATGGATGGAACGCACCGGCGTCAATGTTCACAAGACGACCAACGTCGTACGCGTTGAGGGCGAGCGCGGTGGCGAGTTGACTATCCACACCGATAAGGGAGACGCCATTAAGGCCGACTGTCTCATTTGGGCCATCGGAAGGCATGCGAACACGGAGGATCTCGGTCTGGAGGAATTGGGAATCGAGCTGGACAAGAAGGGCGATGTTGTCGTGGACGAATGGCAACAGTCGAACGTGAAGAGTGTTTGGGCTATTGGAGATGTGCAGGGCAAGGCGTTGTTAACGCCCGTGGCCATCGCTGCCGGGAGGAGGTTGAGCAATAGGTTGTTCGGTCCGGAGAAGTTCAAGAACGACAAGCTCAGTTATGCAGACATTCCCACTGTTGTGTTTTCGTACGTCGGATTATGTTCTCTGTTGTTTTCGACTTGCTGAGTTTCAACAGGCATCCGCCGATCGGTACTGTTGGCCTCACGGAGCCCGAGGCCAGGGAGAAGTACGGTGACGCTGTCAAGATCTGTATGTGCCCCTGCTCTTATGTCTCTAAGATGTGTTATGGTGCTAACAATCACGTTCACAGACAAATCCTCGTTCCGCGCCCTCTACTTCTCCATGCTCCCGCAAGAGCACAAGGAGCCCTCGATGTTCAAACTCATCGTTGTCGGCGAAGAGGAGAAGGTCGTTGGCGTGCATGTCATTGGTTTAGGCTCCGATGAGCTCTTACAAGGCTTCGCCGTGGCAGTCAAGATGGGCGCAACGAAGCAAGACTTTGATGACACTGTGGCCATTCACCCGACCAGTGCTGAGGGTACGTATTCTATGCTATTCCTCTATTCATGTCTTTCACTAATGAAATATTCGTATTATAGAGCTCGTTACCCTCAGGTAAACAGAAGCGAAAGTTCTGAAAGGCTAGATTTGGGGAGAGGCTCATATGTCAATGTAACGCAATAGAAATCGATGTATACCATTTTTCAGTCACATACATGGCTCCCTCTAAGAGGAGGATTCGCCATGGTTTTCTGTGTGATTCGGCGATGAGCAAGACTTGTAGAAAGATTGTGGCCAACAAGTGCCACTGACACTCGTGAGAATCTTTGACCATAAGAAGCATGCCGAGTGGCGAGACCGCCTTCAGTCCGCATCATCGCGTTCAACGTTCCCGACGTCCATCCTCGTCCACCTCTCTACCCCACCTCCTCGCTGTTGACGACGACGAGGCCACCAAAATGTCTGCAGCAGCCATGACACCCCCGCCAGATGGCCTCAACAAACGGAAGAGGTGCGTATTGATCGTCTTTGCCTCCCTGTTTTAGTACTTATGGTGACTTGTCAGGTCTCGATCCCGGTCTCCCCTCAACGAGGATGCCCCTCCCCCTACTCGTCTCAGATCTCGTTCTCCTTCACGCGCCGGTCCCATTGATCTTCCAAGAGTCGACGATGTTGACCCAGTTCGTCGCGCTGAGCGACAACGCCAACTCGCTGCTCGAATGGCTGCCATGGAACTCGAGAAGTCCGACAAGAAGACCCCCCAGGAGAAGGACCAAGAAAAACAGCTCGACGCCAAAGCAGAGTTTGCGAAGCTCCTAGGTACTCGTTCTGGAGGTGTCTACATGCCACCAGCTCGTCTCCGTGCTATGCGCGAGGCCGCCTCTTCAGACCGTTCGAGTCAGGAATACCAACGCCTTTCTTGGGACGCTCTTCGCAAGTCCATTACCGGTATCGTCAACAGGGTCAACGTCGGAAATATCAAGCATGTTGTGCCAGAGCTGTTCCAGGAGAATCTTGTCAGAGGGCGGGGTCTCTTTGCGAGGAGTGTGATGAAGGCGCAGGCGGCGAGTTTGCCCTTCACGCCGGTGTTCGCGGCATTGGTGGCGGTCCTCAACACCAAACTGCCTCAAGTTGGGGAGTTGTTGTTGACCAGATTGATCAGTCAGTTCAGGAGGGCGTTCAAGCGGAATGACAAGGTGCGTTTTCTCTCCTGTTTCTCTGAAGATCGAGTGCTGACAGGTTCCGTAGACCGTTTGTCACTCCACCACCACGTTCATTGCCCATCTTGTCAATCAAGCCGTTGCGCACGAGATTATCGCTCTTCAAATTCTTGTCCTCCTTCTCGAAAGACCCACCGACGACTCCATCGAAATCGCTGTGGGCTTCACTCGTGAAGTCGGCGCTTACCTCGCCGAGAACTCCCCGAAAGCTAACGCCACTGTTTTTGAGCGATTCCGAGCCGTGCTCAACGAGGGCAACATCAGCCATCGTGTGCAGTACATGATCGAAGTTCTCATGCAGGTTCGGAAGGACAAGTACAAGGACAACCCTATTCTTCCGGAGGGTCTGGATCTCGTAGAAGAGGACGAGCAAATCACGCATCAGATCACGCTAGAAGAAGAACTTCAGGTTCAAGAAGGACTGAGTGAGTCCTTCTTTGGATGGAGTTGTGGATTAATATTGATTTTCTGTGTAGATATCTTCAAGTTCGACCCGAATTATCTGGAGAATGAAGAGAAGTACAAGGCTATCAAAGCAGAGATTCTCGGTGAAGACTCAGACGAAGAGTCCGGTTCTGAGGAAACAGATGATAGTGACGAAGATGAGGAGGGTACGTTTGTCATTCGATATCTAAGTATCTGTCCGTGTCTGACTGTGTTATAGCTGTGGAGAGCAAGGAGGGGATTGAAGATCAGACCCAGACGAACCTGGTCAATCTCCGCCGCATCATTTACCTTACCATCATGAACGCGCTCAACTATGAGGAAGCGGTCCACAAGCTTCTCAAAATCCAGCTCAAGGAAGGCGAGGAGGTATGTCGATCTTTCACTTCATTTGTCGACGAGAGGCTGATAGCCCTTTTCAGATTGAGCTCGTGAACATGATCATCGAATGTTGCTCTCAAGAACGATCTTACTCGACTTTCTATGGCCTCATTGGTGAACGCTTCTGCAAGATCAACCGTGTTTGGAACGAAGCCTTCGAGGCAGCCTTCGCGAACTACTATACGACTATCCATCGATACGAAACGAACCGCTTGCGCAACATCGCCCGCTTCTTTGGTCATCTCATTGCGACCGATGCCGTCTCATGGGCCGTATTCCAATGTGTCAAGATCAATGAGGATGACACCACGAGTAGTAGTCGTATCTTTATAAAGATCATGATGCAGGAGGTGCAGGAGAGCATGGGCCTGCCGGCGTTGAAGGAGAGATTTGCGGATCCGGAGGTGAAGGTGCTCTGTTCGAATATGTTCCCGCTGGACAACCCGAAGAACACGAGGTTCGCCATCAATTATTTCACCAGTATTGGGATGGGTGCCGTTACAGAGGAGATGAGAGAGTACCTGAAGGTATGTCCTCCTTGTCCTACCATCCGTCGGCTGCAAGTCTGGCTGACTTAGATACCCTTCGTGTAGAATGCACCTCGTCTCATTATGGAGCAACGTCGTGCAATGCTCGAGGCCGAGTCCTCTTCTTCCGATAGCGACTCGGATTCAGATTCCTCTGACTCTGATACCGATTCTGACTCCGACTCCGATGCATCTGAGGATTCTCGTCCACGCCGTCGTCGTTCACCCACGCCTCCGCCCCGTCGCCGGGAGGATTCACGAGACAGGGATCGTGACCGCGCTCGCAGCAATCGTGGTCGCGGACGTGATGTCAGTCGTTCGCCTACGCCGCCGCCTCGATCAAGGTACCGTGATGAGGACGACAGCGGTAGGGGCTCGGGTAAGGCCAAGGCCAGGGATGAGAGGGATGAGAAGGATCGTTCGAGGAGGTCGCCACCGCGGAGGAGATATTCTGACGAGAGCTCAAGGTCGAGATCCCCTCCACCTAGGAGCAGTAGGTACGCCAGGAGGGAGGATTCGCCACCACCTGCGCCGAAAGACAGTGGAAGGAGTTCTGGGCGGGACAGGGATAGGGGGTATGAGCGCAGGAGGGATGATTCGAGGGAGAGGTACTCGAGGAGGTGAGTCGAGGAGAATGGCCAGCGTTGTGAATGAACCTCCCAGCTTGCTACGAAACGCTCGTGACGGCGCTGGTGCTATGTCAGTTAGTTGGATCCTGTGTACTCTGTTTTGTTGCTTCGTTGATACAATGACCCTGTTTCCACCGCTGATCAATATGTCGGTCGGGGATACTTGTGTGCTCCATCCAGCGATATGTTCCTAAGCAAACCACTACCGTAAAATCAATGACAAATGAGCATAGACAATAAGTCTGTGTTTTTAGCTAGCTAACACTAATCCTACTATCCACAAGACCCATCTCGCCGCATAGCTCCTTCTCCTTCTCTGTAAGATGCGCGGCCAAGAATCTCCTACACAACTGACAAACGCCGTCTATCTCCGAATCACCACGGTGCTCGAGCATACGAACCATAGAAAGCGCGTCGGGGACGCCCGCTACTGCAATCTCTTGGAGTGTCAATGGGGGTACTTGGTCTGGATGGATCTGGAAGGTGGTCGCGAGGAGTTGGTGGAAGAGGTTCGAGTATTCTGTGATGTCGGAGAGTTTTTGAAGATTTTCGACAGGAAGGAACTGAGCGGCCTCCTGGAGAGTAAGAGTAGGTTTTAGTCTATAAACTGAGGAAATCGAAGTAGGTATACATGGGACTGACCTCCCAAGGAAGTTTGGCAGCCATGATGATACCTAACTGGACGATACAATTCGTCCGCCTGTGTAAAACCATGACTATGACGAACGCAGAGGATTAGTAAATCGTGTCAACGCAGAAGGCGACTACTCAAAAAGCTTACTCTTCATCCATACCGCACTGCGCAGAACTGCGTAGTACAAAACCCTCCCCAATATCGCCGGCCTTACACACCTCGGGACCTCGTAATAATGCTGTATCATCTCCCTCAACTCAGTCCTACAGAACACGTGTTTCAGCCGTCGGTCGTCCTGCGTCTCCTTCAATTGTCGGGTCTCGAGAGCGATGTTGACGAGGAAGCGGGCCCAAACGAGGGTACAGGGGTTGTTCGCTTGTTGGCAAAGCATGTTGCGGATATCAGGGGTGAAGTATTGTTCGGGAAGATCTCGAGCTAGGCGAGATAGACGGCGGAAAATGCGGATTGTCGGCAGGAAGTTTTTGACGATTCTGTCAGGGAAAGAGAAAGTGGAGTGTCAGACAGAGCAAGGTGATAGACTGTGATAGGATAGAACACAGAAAGAAGTGAGAGCTCTCTCACCTAGTTTCTGGGTCGACAAAGGTATTGCCTCCTGCATGAAACAACATATTGATCGTGCAAGCTCGAATCTTCTGTGATACATGCAGAAGTACAAGTAACGCATCCCAGTCGTCTTCCAGGTGTGGCCGAAGGATGAGGTCGGAGAAGTAAGAGCCTAACAAGGTGCCCATAATGTTGTAGATGAGTTCTGCAGGCAGATGCTGGGCGATTGACATAGTAGGTCGCGGTTCCACAGACGATGAGGCGTGATCGTCGCTGGATATGTGGTTATGGGTCAAAGAGGATATCATCCTCACGGGTCGTATTGAGTGTGTTACTAAGCCGCAAAGCAGAAGAATGTCGTTCCAAAGTCAGTAAAATATAATGTAGATCTGTTGAATGTTGAATACTATATGAAGTGCGGGCACTTACGAGGTGCTCAAGTTCGGAAACTAGAGAAATCAGGTGTAGGGGTCAAAAATGCGCAAGAAAGGCGAAGGCTCTCACGGCGAGGAGGACGGGGTTGTATTGATATCATCTTCATGAACTATGTTAGGGCATGGATGACTGACCACCCACCTCCCAGCGGGAATGCATCTTTGAGTTTGCTGACGGATTGCTGATAGTCGCTTTGAGTGCTGTGACCGGCACCAATTCTAACGCCGTTCCGTTCGCGCGTGCATTGGTCAGGACAGATGACGCGTTGTCTTTTTTGAGTACGCGCCTAGGCGACGTGATCATTCACAACGATCACGGGATACAGTTGCAAGGACGCGCTACAGATTTGACGGTTTCTTGACGTGGTCTTTCTGGTTACGACGTGCGCTCTCTACGGACACAGTGAAAAGAGGATCGCTTCAAATCAAAGTTTTTTCAATTGAAGAAATGGATGGGCACCGCTCAATTATGAACAACGGTCTCATGACAGAACAGCGGCCGCAAGCCCACTTCGTTCAACGGTGTTTGAAGTGGCACCTGCAGCAACTGTGGCATGTACAAGAAAAAGGCCTCGAATGTCGGAAAAGAAGGCCTGCTTGTTGCGCACAAACTAAGAATCGAACATGAGATCATCGTCCTACAGATAATTTTGCATGGCCGTTACAAATGCCTTGTTTTACTTGCCTTCACCGGTTAAGGTCGTGGTATAAGTACAGCCGGCTTGATCCTGGTAAACTAGAGAACATATCTTCTCAGACAAAAAGATAGCACGCTGCGTGACATTGACTCTCTTTTGCGAGCCCTTCAGGTTCACGGCTGGTCCATGAGGTAGCTGATAGCCTGACGGTATTCGGGCATGCTGTTTAGGGCAACCCCGAGTGTCGAAAAGCCGGGCATAGTACATTTGTCTGGGACTCGCATAACTTCAGTGAGCATCTATAAAGCTTGCGAAAACAATCACCACAGATGAGGAGCAATTAGGACCGCAAGATACCGTAGGATAAGCAGATACAGATCAACTTCAGCATCAAGGCAAGCTTCGTCACCGCCCGAACTCAAGTTTAAGCATGATTTGCTCATGCCATGAATCCTCGAGAACCACGACGAACAGAGAGTGTACAATGAAGTCGTATTTGAAGACCGTGAAAAGCTTGTCATAGTGTTGTCTTCTTTTGTGCGCTCACCCGAAGAGGAGAGAAAGGATGAGTCCGAGGCCGTCATTCGGCATGAGTTTGAGACTCGGAAGCGCAGTGACAGACTGAGAGGGCTAGCTGATGCCCTCGTTGAGCTGGATTCTGAGCTTTGCAATACGATATGAGTACTTGTTGAGCGACGATGCTGTATCGGGCAGCAAGGCAGACTATGACTGTCTCGCGTCGCGAAGTACTGACGGAGGTATGAGAGCCCAAAGCATGGGCAGATGCTAAAACCTCTTGAAAAGTAAGATGCAATGACGACGCTCCCAGTCTGAGAAAACGAAGCACCGAATCTGCGCAAGCCATGCTTCATCGTGAAACACGAAAGTCTGGTCATTGAGCATCTAGACACAATAAATGCATATACGCAGACAGGTCTACATCTACTTGTTCTCGAGGAGTCTTGGCTATAGCATTACCTCGAAATGCGTTCAAGAAAACGCTCACCTTTGAATCAATAAACTCCATAACAGCTGTGTGACTGACATTAAAGCGTCATAACCATGCTGTCCTGGCCAACCGAACCCTCTAAGAAGGGTTGGAGCTGCGGAGACTGCGACTCCTTGCGGCGTTTAAAAATCATTTTGGAATGCAGTAGCCATACTAATCGCAGTAAGTGGCAGTAACGAAGTCGCCGACAGTGTTCAGGTTGACACAGCCAATAGTCCGAGAGCCACCGAGGAGTCGAAGGCGAGCGTCAAATGGGCGTCAGGAGCACAACAACTTGTTGCAGCGCGACCAGAGGGTGGTCGAGCCAGGTCCCGGTTCCCTCGCCGCCGGAATCAAGGTGCTTCGCGGGTTGACGCAACTTGTCCCATCAACTTGGTCATCCCAAAGTCATTTAGTTCCCGCCACTCACCTATAAGATTCTGTCACACATATCCTAGCTGATCGTACCCCGTCTAAGAATGGTACTGGATGACTTCCCGTCGCATTTGGACGGAAGCCTAAAGCCAGAGCGGAGAACGAAATACGATAGCTTTAGGGCTTGGGAAAAGTCGTAAACCGTCGCGCGGGGTTGTGACGACGCTTCACCTCGTCGCAGCGCGCTCGGATCAAGCGGGAAGTGAATGCGGCAGAGGTGTGTGCACGCGAAAAGCGTTCGGAGTCCAAAATATTTGGTCTGCGACGCGATTTTGGGTTGTGTAGGGGGGTCCCCACCCCTTTCCAGGCGTTGCATCTAGGACGAGGTCACGTCGACCCGATAGAACGGTTTGCCATCAGCCGAACCTCGGCAGCGTCGTTTGGGCTGAGTATTTGGTCTACGCAGCGTCCCAGACGGCCACGGGAAGTCATCCACTGATACTTGTATCACCTCCATGCCCTAAACAGCGTATTTACACAGCATATGCTCATCAAGTACTTGTTACAAGTATCGATACACTTCGGACTCTACGCAATCGAGTTAGGATGGAATTCGTACGGACGTCAGAAAAGAAGTGAAAGGCCATAATCGCTCAAACATGCTCTACTCCGAGTGAAACCAAATAATTATAGCACACAAGCGAAGGTGAAAGATAGGCAAATGTCAATGTGGAACTAGCGCGAGACCGAACGAAGACAGAAGAAAACTGTGGTCCCAGTAGAAATCAGTCCCAGGGGGGAAATCCAGAAGGTAAGAGCAGAATCATAGCGTCACACGTGTAAACAGATAAAAGTAAATTGAGGAAGATTCGGAATTGGTGTGAAGTGAAGAGGGTGAAGAGAAAGAAGGAGGAAGAGCACAGCAATCAAGAAAGCTCCCTCAACCTGCTCGTCAACCTGGCCGAAAGATTACGGTCGAGATGCTTCGACGGCGCCACGCCTAGCACACCCACCGTGTTCCCGAACCCAGCAAGACAATACATGTAACCTCCGGCGAAGGCACTCACCCTCGTAAACGGCAGTCGAGGAATGGCCACTGTTGCGACTCCACTCCAACCGAACCGATCTGAGGAGACAGATGAGCGTCGGCTGGACACCGTCGAGGGCGGCGAACGTCGGCTCAGCCCTATCTCCCGCCGATCCCGTCCCAGTGAGCTTTGTAGCCCGGCTAGCAGGGAAGCGCTAAACTTCGAGGTTGAGGGATCGAACGTCCACACCTCCCACCGCTCCAATGCACTCGCACTGAGTCCACTCGCATAGTCCTGCCGGAAATTCATCTTCCCCGTACCACCAGTATTATTTTCCCTAGACGATCTTGATCTTCGCCGCACACCCAGTATCCGATCATCGACTACATCCCAACGCCCTCTCTCGAATGTCCGAGTCGCCACCCTCACAACCACCATATTCCTCCAGTGTGCCGACGAAGGACAAGGACCACCACCGCTTCCGCCCGATAGCAGCATACCACCGCCCGGCGACGGCATATCCATCGGCCCCAGCACTGGCAGCTCATGCTCCTCCACGTCCAAAGTGATAGGAAGCGTATCCAGACCCCTCTTGAGTATATCCTTGTCCGGCGCTCGCCGTGAAAGTATGCCGTGTCCTGATATCGGATATGCAAGCCCTCCGTTCGCTTTCCCGTCTGAGAGGGAAGAGTGTCTCGATCTTGAGGGCGTCCCCTTCGCGGACGCGAAACTCGCCGTCCGTGACCGTCTGCCAAGACTGGCACTCCACGACGAATTTTGCAATGGAGGTTGATTGTGCGTGCACGAGCATTTTCTCGCGTCCGTGGCTGTGTAGATGCGATAGAAGAGCACGGTATGGCCGACCGAGAGTGAAAGGGAGAAGCTGTCCACAGGTAGTTCGCCACAGTGTGGGCACGTCTTCTGGTAAATCGGACACAATCGAATGTGGTTGATCTGGCCAAAGATATCGTCGAGCATGGCAATGCACTCGCATGTAGTCGCGTCCCAAAGTGTGACAACCCCGGCCTGGGTGGCGGCAGCCAGAATAACCTGTCGTCCGCCACAAATGTCGATGCAGCTGGCGAACACTTGAACAACCGGGTCGGAGGGATTCCCTGGTTTTAGGCGGCAGTTTGTAGGTAGTAATGGATCGCCCATGGTGATTTCGGCCAATTCAAGTGCTCCATCCTCCATCGCGAACGCGGCCAATAAACGATCCGTACTTGAGAGCGGCATGAGCGCTATTGTCGAGACCAAGCCGCCAGACCACGAGGGGCTGATAATCTGAGGACTCGACGGTGCGCTGGTATCCCATCTCACCACAATCCCATTTGCGTATGAGGCCACGATGGTGGCGGGCGTCTCTGGCGGGAGTAGAGAGCCCATACGTCCCGGCGTGATAACTCCAGAAGGCATCGTGTTGAGGAAATGCAGATCGACAATGGAGGAAGACGTATTCTGCAGTACGAGATGCGGAAGTGTGCGTCTAACAGTACCGGAGTCCAGCGCCCATAGAGCTATAACGCCGGCACCGGTTCCCACTGCGCAGAACGTTCCAAAATCGTTCACCGCGAGAGCGGTAATGGCCGATTCGGCGGATGAGGTGCTGGCACTCTTGAGGAGAACGTCGGAGGCGTCGATGGTGGTGTGAGTTGGGCAGTCCTTCGACCACAGGACGACTTCATTCTCCAGACCGACTGACGCAATGAGGCGACCGTCCCTGCTTCCGGCGAGTAGCTCGACGTCTGAGGACATCGCCCTAGGAAGAGTGGCGAAGGAAATTAAATCATCGAGTGAGCTGTCCGCTGCTTTCTGTTGAGCGCTCGGCTCCGCACGATGTCGTTGAGCCTCAAGACGGTCGGTGTCTTTCAGCAGGTAGAGCAAAAGGGTGTATAATAATAACACCGTGAGCGTGATGGGCAGAACCACTATTCGGAGTAACCAAACCAAGGTACGGATGATGCGAGATTGTTGGAATTGAGAGCGGTAGGTGAAAGACGGTCGAGATTGGTTCGGTGGCGCTGAAGTCATGTCGGGAGGGAAGAGCATAATTATCGAGGGTGATTCGATCCGTAGGTGAAGGAGGGGGTCGTCGGCCTGGTTGAGGGTATGCCAAACCTGCCAACTCGGTGTTTGTCTCTGCTCGAGCGCGCTGATCGCGCTTTTATTGCGCATGCTGATTGCATTACGGGTTAATGGCGTCCGTAGATCCTCTGCAGGCTGACCTGCAGGATATGTCGCGAAATAAAGTATGCCCGTTGTAGCGAGCAGCTGAGGTGCAAGAAAGTTAGCGAAAATTCGGAATCTCCAGAGATTGTACCATACCATCACCAAGCTGACATTCTTCGTCGCACGACCATGTACCAGTGACATCCAAAGAGAAGATGTCAAGCGGTCCCATCTCGATTCGTGTCGCGTTTTGGGTTGCTTCGGAGGAGGATCTGTCTTCAACCCAGTGCTTATACTGGTATTCTGCTGTAGAAGCTCCTCGAGCTCTAATCGCTGCAGGTCAATGGACACGACGGTGACAAACAATGTATGGACCAGGAACCAGTGTGCCACCAAAACGACGACGGCGAAGGCGCAGAACTGACGGATGGTTCCCTGGGAGAAAAAGGCGATGACGCCGAGGATGATGTTGTAAGTCAAGACCTTGAGTGTGTTTGAGGTTCCCGCTCGGCTAAGACCCTCGGCCACACGCTCTTTGACGGGTAAGGTGACCGGTGTCGCCACAACGGCCTCGACCTATAGATAGATGCATCAACATTCGCCCGACCGACACGAAGATAGTCCATCTGACTGACGAGCCTAAACATATTTTCCGTCCCCACGAATATGATGACGAGGGGGAATATCTCCCTATAGGACATACTTAGATTGACTGGAGGGTTCAGGGAAGTGACGTGCTTACCAAGGAACCATCGTTATCCGGAAACCAGCCAAAGCACAGACACTGAGACTCGTTACGGTACTCGCTCCGAGTTCCACAAGACCCGTAAATACCAGTCCAGGACCACTATGAACCGGTAGGCCCAGGCGCATGGACAAACTGAACAAGATGAAAAAGACAAAGTACGCGGTGTATAAAAAGCCCGAGAGCACCGTCAGCCGAGGAAACGATGACAAACGAGTCTTGTACTGCTCAAATTAAAGGATTATTAGGATATTAAGGCCTGGGTCATTCAGACGAAGGGAGCCTACCTCGAGTGCGATCAGCTTCGGCCCTGACTTTTCAATGATCGGCTCGCCGTGATCCTTTGCTACGTCTCGTAGTAAGCGTCCCCAACGGTCGTGGCCTGAGTGGTCAAGGCAGTTTGTCTCGGGGAAGAAATAGGTCAGAACCAAGAACATAGCAAAATCAAGCTTGTTCGCCGGATATTCGCGTATTTCTCGTCCTGCGGTCACCATGTGGGGAGATACCGACAATCCAGCAATAGAGACGTTCTTGGAAAGGCCGAGGGTGTCGAGGATGTCAAAGTCCGCTAACACCTTCTTCTCGTTGTGTTGCCAGAACTGTAAAGGACTGATGACAAGACATTGGCCGTCTGGGCGAAGTAGACAGGGGATTCGTTGAGAGGCGAGCTCTTTGGATATGCGTTGTTCTAGAGCAAGAGTAGATAGGAGGGTCTGATGGTTAAGCGCTCCCGTTTCATCTGTCGTGCCATGGCCGTGGATAAGGACGTGTTCTACGCGTATGGTCTGCTCCATGCCGCAGCGAGCACGGGCCACAGAGTCTTCACGAACGTAGATGTTGTCCTGGCCCGTCCAGACGTCTCGTATGTCGCGTTGGGCATAGTATGTGGATAGAGCTTCGGGAGACAAAAACGGGTCAAGAATTTGGGAGGAGAATTGGGCGAGGAATCGTGGTTGTGATGAAGAGTATATGGCGAGTGCAGGATATAACAGGGACGTGATGACAATGGCTGAGATGAGGAGCAGCCGTATTTGATGTGTGGCGCAGTGGCTTCAGGCCAGATACAATTGTCAGCCGAAAGGTCAAGAACGATAGCTGAACTGGCGTACATTCCCAACCGACGAAAGAACCTATGCCCGTAAGTACGCATGCGCCCCATCACAGGATTTCCGATTGTTTGCAAGACCATGGCGGGAAATACTGATGCGTAGCCCAAGTAGTGGGTTCAGAGACTGCAGATAGGGGTGTGGGTATTGCAAGAGTCACGATGATAGCCTATTGTGGGAGTATTGACGCGCGTAAACATGGACCTACAACTGAAATGAACCTCCTGGATTTTGTATCAGTCTTTGTTGGGGCAAGAAGGTTAACAAGTTATGGGGCGTACAATGCATACAGGATGCCCGTCGTCAGAGACAATGATGAAGACGTGAAGCAAGCGCGCAAGAGGAGGCACAAAGACAGCAGGAGGCTTTACGAGAAAGTGGACACGGTCACGGAGCCGATCGCGACCGCAGGACGGCCGGCATGGCGGATCCTCAATTCAATATTATTTCTCGCGTGGCAGCCTCCGAGACGTCAGCACTTCCGTTCCCGGCCGAAGTTCACTGGTGCGGCCGCATCCTCCGGCGTCCGACCAAACCTGACAGCAGTGGCGAAGACGCTCACCGCTACTACTCGTGCTCTCCTCCTTCTCTCCATCTCTCATGTCAATCGTCTCTTCCCCCATTAGAACAGTCGCGAGGCTGTCGAGAGTCTCGAAGAGCAGATGTAGGTTCCCAATACGAACTTCCCAAGTCTTGTGGCCTCGTACTGATATTATACCTATTTTGCTGTATTTTGGAACGAAGGTCTTCACTCGTCTGCTCCTCGTTTGGCCATCACCAACCTTGAGATGCCGGCCATGTCTCCCACCATGAACGAAGGTGGCATCTCGTCTTGGAAAAAGAAGGAGGGAGATTCATTTATTGCTGGAGACGTCCTGCTCGAAATCGTGTGTTTGTCCAGCGCCTCGAAGAATGACTTATCATTGATCCCATGTCGTCTACAGGAGACCGACAAGGCCACCATTGACGTCGAAGCTCCAGATGATGGTATTCTGGGCAAAATTATCGCACGTATCTCAATATGAAACCACAACTGTACGTATACTGACGCCTCATCCATTCAAAGGTCCAAGACGGCGCGAAGAACATTCCTGTCGGTCAAGTCATCGCAATACTCGCGGAGGAAGGAGATGACATCTCGAATCTTCAAGCACCCGAACCGAAGCAGGCTTCTCAACCACCCAAGCAGGAAGCTGCATCACCGCCGTCTACTCCCCAACCCAAGCAGGACCCGGAGCCCCGTACAACGCCTACCCCAGGATCCTCGACCTCGACACATAAGCACATTCAACACTCTCGACCATTGTTCCCGTCTGTCGCTCGTTTGCTTCAGGAGAATGATGTAGCGGACATTGAGGCGATCAAAGGCACCGGTGTTCGGGGCATGTTGACCAAGGGGGACGTGCTCGCGTACCTTGGCAAGGCATCCGGTCCTACTGGCACGTTTAAGCAGAATACCCAGACGCTTCCTGAACTCAAGCAAGCACCTAAGAAGGTTGAGGAGCAGAAGGTATGTTTTCGCGTGCTCCTATGGACCTGCTTCGCATCTCTTACCTTGCTTGAATCGCAGCCTTTGGATGGCGCAGCTATTCGCCGTCTGATCGTCGGAAACATGACACAGTCTGCTGCTAAGGCAAAAGCAGCTGCCGGTGAGTGTTCTTGTATTGTGTATGTCCTTACTCGCTTCAACGGTATCCTCCATTCTCGCAGCTCCCAAGTTGGTTGCAGACTTCGATTCCGTCATCTCCGATTACCTCCCATCTACTCCGTCGAGCCCCTCTCGTGCACCTATACCACCACCTCAACCCAAGGCCACCTCCTCAGACTTCCTAGATGGCTTGGTCTAGAGAGACCGGCTTGCTCTCTTTCACCTTTGGATATATTGATTATCTATACTCGGGCTTGCGGGTAATAGACATGATTGTCTGGACAAACATAGACGCTCGCGGCGCAAGGTCAATATATACATCATAAATTGAACGGGACAGAAGTTTGAAGATCGACCACTGCGGCTCAAGACGTGGATACATGGGCGGATGGTAAAGCGCCCAAGGTCAAACGGTAAGCCAGGCGTTAGCTGACCCGGGCGGTGGATAGAAGACGATGCACATCATCGCAAGGTCAATATGTTCATACCAATTTCCGTCCAGTCTGCCAAGGGTAATACTGTCAGCCACTTTACGAGGACTACAGCACTCTCTTGAGTCAGACTGGGAGAAATGGGGCTTACCTTGCTCTTGCTGACACCCAAAACAGCGCCTGCTTGAGCGTCCGAGAGCTCTGCAGCGACGATGGGCGTCTGGCCATTATACTCTGCGTGTTTCAGGTTCAATGAGTCCGACAACGTACGATATCTCGCTAGAATAATGACGCCACGCATCTGTAGGAGTAATCTTTGCATTACTACCACAGAAGGAACGCCTTGTCCATCTTCATCTAATGACAAATGACCACAAATACCATCAGTCCAGATTGTACCTCCTCGCAAAGTTGATTACACCCACCGGAATACACATAATCTGCACTTCGTACTTCTTCGGCGTCCATGTCAACGCTGTTTTTATTGCATCTCCGAATTCTTGGTCGATACATTGTCATGACCTTAGCTTTCGCTCCCGTTCCAAGTTTAGTGTGCGGTTTCTTAACTAGTGGGGCTGATGTGGAGGAAGCAGCTTCCAGTTTTTTGGGAGCCACCGCAACATAGTTCGTGTCTGCGTCACCATCATCATCCCCGTCGCGCTCCCCTTACGAGACCGCGGCCAGACGGTGAATAAGTCTGAGATCAAGGCTCAGTCACTGACAGAGAAATGCGGTTCGAGGCTATAACTTTCGCTTCTGAGTGAATGCTAAAGTACCTTGCATCAGTAGTTGTGTTTTAGAGAACGCCGTTGTACACAAAGAATTTGCGACACGCTGATCACCGTAGTGTGACATCCAGTCGCGTCGACGCGTCGCGTAACGCCACTGTCGCGTCGTCACATCGCGCACGTTACTCCTCGGACCGCGCCTTGCCGTCTGATGCGCGTCAGAGATCTGATTATCGGGCGTCTCTCCATTCTTGACCACTCCGCTGCCTCAACGCTCCAACTCTCCTCGACTCATCCTCATTGCACTCCATCCACGACCACCACGGACACAGCAGCATGCAGCTTACGGTTCTCAATCTTACGGAAAGCTCTATAATATCTGAAATCTATAATCCTGGTACTTCTAGCGCGGACAAGAATACTTTCCAACCGAATACGCGTCATCAATTGTCGAAGTTCGAGCATACTCTGGTTCTTTACTCGAGCTCTTCACCAATAGATACATCGTCCTCGTCGGAGAAGGGGCATGATTTAGGTGGATTGGATCAGGGGATCGTGGACGGGCAGTATTCTGTGCAGCTGAGTAAGGGTGAGGGGCGAACATGGTATGTGGCGAAAGCCACCGAGGGCTGTCCTTGGATCATATATTGCAGGCGAGTGAGTACAGCCAACTCTTCTTTACACCATATGGATCTCTTTAATGATTGTGTAGGTCTCAAGAGGCAAGCAGATGGCTATGATCCTGCCCAAGCGCGACCTTGCTTGCTTCCTGTCAGATATGCCAGATAGCCTCCCACTCTCTTCTCTCTGCCTCCCAGGTCAGTAACATCTGTCTCCCATACTTCCAGATACAACCATTTATGATGGATATTTTCTAGGTACGCACGATACGTGTGCACACTATGGGTGGCCAGTATCGCAGTGGTGAGCTGTTCATTGTGTACAAATTAGGAAATCCCTGGTGACATCGAACTCACCCATTCAGCCCATAGTCAGGATACCTCTACACCCTTACCAGTCCAACTCATGTCCGGAATACGCGTCATCGACATCCGCCTGTCTCTCCACGATGGTCACCTGCTCGCATACCACGGCGCCTACCCACAGCGTACATCCTTCCAGGCCATTCTTCGCACACTCCATGATTTCCTTACATCTTCACACTCGTCCCGGGAGTGTGTGGTCGTCTCCATCAAGCAAGAAGACTTCGCCTTCGTGCACCCGCAGGCCTTCTCGAAGAGTGTTAGACAGGAATTAGAGGCTTCGGCTGGTGGGATGGGAATGTGGTACTTGGATAATCGGATCCCGACGCTAGGTGAAGTTCGTGGGAAATGTGTGATGTTCAGTCGGTTCGGTGGGGACGGTGCCGAGTGGGATGGGGGGCTGGAAGGTCTGGGAATTCACCCTACGACTTGGCCGGACAGTGCGAAGGAAGGATTCACGTACGATATCAAGAACACATTGGTTAGGACGCATGACTGGTGAGTTGCACAATTTTCCCTTACTCGGTCGGACAAGAGAGCCTTGAATCAATATGAGACAGGTACTCGATCCCGTCGTTCCTGTCCATTCCGGAGAAGGTAGAGCTTGCAACGGGGATCCTGCTCCCACCTGTCGAGGAGCCTCCCATGCCCATCTTGTCTATATCCTATTTGTCGGCTGCGTCATTTCCGTTCGCGGCGCCACCCATCGTTGCCAAAGGATTAGGGTTCCCCAGCGTCGGGTTTGGTTTCGAGGGAGTGAATGCAAGGGTCGGCCGATGGTTACTGGACAAGCTCGACAATGGCTCTCAGGATCGGGACAGCGAGAAAGGCGCTGACGATGGTCCGAGGATCAGAGGCTGGATATTCATGGACTTTTACTCGGAGCCTCTTGACGGAGCCGTTGTCCCACTGTTGGTCGAGTGTAACTTCAGAGGGCGTGGAGGCGAGACGGGCTGGGTAATGTGTTAGGTGGTACTCTTCGGGCTCTGTACGTCTATGCGATTTACCCTCTCGGATACGCTATAATCTGGACAGCCGAGTCGGTGAAAGTACTTATGGCAGGAGACATTCAGGACTGGGGCGCAGGAACGGCGGGGGACGGAACCCACGTATGGGGTTAGGAGTTTGTGGCCGAAACTGTGACCGTGACGGTAAGCGGGGAATTTGCGATGAAGTGACGCAGTGGGCCGGGTGAGGCGCTCCACCGCGTTCTTTCACGCCTTTCGACAAGAGCGCGACTGCACAGCAACCCGCTGGAGTTGCTCAAAGGTCCGTTCCCCCTTCGGCTCCCTATTTAACACCCACACGCTCTTTTGCACGACACCCTATTTTATCTCGCCCCCAGCCATGGACCGATGCCCTGTCGAGCTCTGGTCTTCTATCTTCTCCTTTGCCTGTACCGACGGCGGGAGCACCGGACGCTCGCTCGCCCTCGCTGCTCGCTGGACGAACAACCTTTCCCTACCATTCCGCCTCCAGTCTATCTCTGCCACAAACACCAAACAAATCGTATCCCTTGCAAACGTCCTCGACATGGCACACCCCACCCACCGCCGTGTACGTTCTCTCGTGCTCTCCAACGCACAAATCACCCACTTCACATCCGGAGACGGAAAGATACGCCAGTCGATGTACGGCGTCGACACTTGCACTTCCCAACAAGAATCATTCATCATTGCACACGCCATTCTTCGCATCCTCACCGCTGTTGCCGATACACTATACACGCTCGACATGGACTTTTCGCAATCCGACTCCATTCCATGTTTCCCGTACACACTCGTTCCCACAGCACTCCCACATCTGGTCGAACTTCGTCTGAAGGGTACCCGTTCCGCGCCCACTTTACCTGCGCCTATGCGCCCGCTCCCGTCTCTGAAGCGCCTGGACATACATCTTACCAAATGCCACCGTTGGGGTATCGAAGAGTGGTCGCTTCTCGAAGACTTGCCTTCCATCGCACCCGAGTTGGACGTCCTCTACGCTACCGGTCTCGTCTGGTGTGGAAATCTTCCAGAGTATCTCCGCCGGACGATCTTCTCGCACCGCCAGACGCACACATCCGCAGGGGACATGATGACGACGCCTCTCACTGCGTCGGAAGCGCTGTTCGGGAGGCTGAAAGTGATCGTGGTGCCGGAGCCGCCGACGAATGTGGTGCTGAACGAGATAGCTGTGCGGGAGCGGTATGAACGCGTTATGGGCGAGTTGGAGGCGATGGCGCAGAGTGATACCGAAGGAAGGCTGGTCGTCATGTCGGATTTGGGGTCTTGCTGGTAGCCTGACAGGCTGAGGGGAGGTGTAGCGGCGTCGGAGGGGCATGAAGAGGGCAGGGCTGGTCCGGGGAGTTGGTCGTTTGCTGGCCTCTTTCGCATGGTTCGTCTGTTTGGATTCTCGTGGCATACATACCTTATCTTGGACCTTCTTGTAAATGTGCAACATGTACCTATTTTCCTGGGCCTTTGTGTCCTTATTCTCCCTGTATTTACACCCGACTGAACGCGAGCTTGAGCTTGATCGTATGAAGCGCCGGACGCGACTTATCGCGTCGGAACTATCGTCACCTGATTTGGCGTTTCAACTTCCCATCACATGCCGGTGCTTAGCGGCAAAGTCCGTCCGGCCTCGGAACATCGCTCCGGCGGTGTCTTCCCCGGAACCCAAAGCTGTGTGGCCCAACCTCGTCAGGCAATCGTCAGGGCAAGGCTTTGCACTCCATCGCCTCATGGCTCGCACTCCGTCTTTGGTCACTCGGGGACCACCTCCATCCACTTCCGGCCACAGCCTTCGCTTTCTTTCAGCCTGCCTCTCTCGGAGTTTTCATGTTCTCAGGCCCACCCACAGCCTCATCAATGGTCATGGATAAAATCAAGCCCTGTACAAACTTTTGGACCACAGTGCACTTGAAGGGTTTAATCTCGCTCACACCACCTATGCTATACGGCAGACCCCACCATCCGACCCGTTTCACACGAATTGTTTTGATGACATCTTGATCTCTCCCCTTGAACTTTGTTTGCTGGAGAAAGAAATTCTTCTGTCTCTTTGGGTCTCTCACGAAGGCTGTGAACTGCATCCGATACGTCTTTGGGTCATGAAGTGTGACTGCTTTGCCGCCTATCCTATTGTACAACCGCTACCATAACAGAGGTCTCGGAAATGGCTACAAGCGAGCAGAGCGTTCAAGTCATCTCGGATTCGCAGGAGCAGACACCGACAAGACCGCCAACATCGTAGCTGTTCAATAAATGTCAAATTTATATGCGTCCACCTCTTCTGATGCGAATGATTCTACAGTTTGGTAGATATTGCTCGTACCATCCAGACGCAGAACGACTTTCTGCAGAAGCTACTCGGTAAGATATTTACTCTTGGGGAAATTTGTTGACGCTGATCGTCGGGCACGCCACATGTAGATTCGCTGAACAGCGGTTCCAAGGAGACGCTGAATGTCCTTCGGCAGATGAATGACAGGCAAGCTGTAGCAGGTAAGTGCGCAGTTCCTCTATCATCCTTCATCGTTAGATGACAGTAATCAAACGATTCACTGTACTTCTCTATTTGCATAGAATCTGCCAGACATATTGTCCCGGAGGTTCCCGCAACGAGCGCCAGTGCGTGGTCCCCGTTGCTCAAATCATATCATCAAAATATCGAAACCAAGGTCGATGGCTGGCGAGGTACCCTGGACACGTTGCTCATCTTCGTGGGTCGAGTTATCTCTCAATTAGTGCCAGCTTGGTGCTAACCACTCGTGGTAGGTCGCTTTGTTTTCAGCGATTGTGACTTCTTTTCTGGTGCAGTCCCTCAGCGGGCTGACCGAAGACGATGGGCAACGCACCAATGAACTTTTGGCTAACCTGACCGAAGTAGTCGTTGCCCTTGGCGCGGGCACGCCTGCTTCCCAACTCGACCTTCCTCGACCGGTCCAGTTCGTCCCGGACAGAGGTGCAGTCCGACTGAACGTTTACTGGTCTATCTCGCTCATCTTCAGCGTGCGTTTCATGGTCAATATGGGGGAAACAGCTCATGAATTGATCTTTATCTTGTCTATAGATTTCTGTAGCCTCGCTCGCTGTTACAAGTAGAGGCCATGTCGCCTTATTGACTCGCTCACGCCACACACAGGCCCACAAAAAGCTCGGCGACCTCCACTCACGTTGGAAACAGGCCACCCGGATTCTTGGCCCTGTTGTTGAAACATTGCCACAACTCCTGATTCTACCCGTGCTCCTCTTTATCGTCGGACTGTTGGATAATATGCTCTCTACTGCCCTGCCCGTGTCGGCGCCACTTGCGCCCATTCTGGCTGCGGGCGCGATTTCTTGCGTTTGTGTGGCTCTGGTGGCTGTTTATATTGGTTACACGCTCGTTCATGGAGGACTGTATCCCACGGACTCTCCATATCAGACTACTCTATCACAGTTGATTGAGTCCTATGGCCGAATTGTCATTCGATGGTTCTCTCAACTGTATAGGACAGCGATGGGCTTTGTCATGTCGATATTTGTATCTTCGATGACTATCTACAGGAAAAGGAGGCCCCGCGCATCCGCTATTCCATTGGGCCACGTCGAACCACCTTCGAGGGACATGACATCTCGCGGCGCCACGACCAGCGGAGAATTCGTCCGCCCTGACCTTACAGAGTTGTCGATGTACCTCAGCACATTCGATCCGATCACAGTCGACGATAGCGAGTACGAAGCCTTTCACACGGCTGTACAGAGGACGCACGAAGACGACTCGCTGGATCAGGCAGCGGCGGCACTGGCGCCACTCATGTTCGAGCGGCAAAGGGGCGATATTGCGAGAGTGTCCGGAGATACGACAGAGCAAGAGATGCAGACGGTCGTGTATCTACTTTCGGCGGAGGCGAGTGTCAGATGTAATGTTACTGCTGCCTCGGTCGTGGTCAAATCTTTCGTTTCACATTATGGTGGGTACATTCAGTCCTCTCCCCTTCTACTGTTTCTATTTCTAAAGGTCGTCGACGCGACTAGGCTTGTTTTATCGTAGCAGTGATCGCAACAGCCTCCTTCCGCTACTCGAGCGAGCTGCACGTCGCTATTCTCTGGCCGTCTCTGGCAATCCACTCACGAGCATACTCTGGGACTCGCCATTCACGGCAGCAATGGTGATGCTCCTCAACCAAGGAACCTTCCCAAACACACAGCAAATAGATAGAACACACGGGACTACAGTCCTCGCCCTCCTCCTCTCCGATATGACGAACATCGACTTCCTTCATTCGAGTCAGCGTCATCGCCCCTCTCAGCCCTCAGACTTACATCTCCTCATCTCCAACATCCTCGCGTACGCGTCTGGGGTTCTCCTGGCCAAAATACGAGACGTGACAGACGCGTCTGATTCTTCCGAGAGTGCCATGGATGCAGCGATGGACACAGTTCTGAAACCTTCCATTCCGTTCTTCAGGACGATACTCGACCATTCAGACGAAGCATGGAGTAGCATCCTCATGCGAGGTCTCTCCCACCTCCTTACGTCGCTCTCGAGCCCGAACGTCTGGGCGTCTCCTGCAGATGGACGAGCGCTCCAAGCGTTCCTTCGGTGGTTCATCCGCAAGCCAGGTTTCTTGCTTGTCCTTATACAAGCTGTCGAAAGGACGCTCGAAAGCATGACTGCCGAGATGCTGAGGGGCGGTCACAATGTCTCGTGGTTCTTGGGCCTTCTTCCGCACATCAACCGACAACTGGAATCACACTTCAAAGATACTCGGGATCATGGAAGCACGACGCCTTTGACTCTGGGCTACAGCCCTCGTTCTATGGCGCAGATGTGTCGCTCCCTTTTGAATATCTGCGTCAAGCTCGTTCTACTCCTCCAAGACCTCGATACAAACTCCAACCCGACCCAGACCTGGTGGCTCCGCATCTTGCACGACGACACCGACCCGAATAGCGACTGGTGCAACCAACTCTGCTGGGCTCATAAGGACGTCATTCGTACTCTCGAGACTATCCATCTTGGCAACACTGTCCCTAATAGTATTACTACGGTGCGCCGCTGCCAGTGAGCCTCGAGTACGGGACGTGGTACGATCTTCTGGCAAAGTTGGGCGTGGAGGAGTCGACGGCGAATTCGTATATTTATGATACGTCTATGGAGCATCGGATGGAGGTCAAGCAGAGCTTGTTGCACGCTTTTGGGAAGATATTTTTGAGGGATAGAGGTACGTCCGGCCGTGTCCTCATCTACAGCGCTCAACGTCCTCACGATGCATGACCGCCACAGCGACAGGTCATCCGCGAAACAAACATGTTGTTCCTTTAATCCGGCCACATTCGAATCATTGACGGCAGCTGTTTGTCCAATTTTAACATGCAATTACAATGGGATCTTTGATTCGATTTGGTCAACTACGCCTCAATCCACCGCCGGCCTCTTCCCCTCCCACGCATTCCTCAAAAGCACCATTAACCTCTCCCTCTCCAACGGTGCCGGATTCGGATACGGCGCCTTCGCAGCAATATCCGCTGCTTTCTCCACGTCCTCCTCTTTGAACCCGAGTTGCTTCAAAGAATAAGGCGCGCCGAGGTCTTTGGACATGTCGAAGAGTAGGCCGGGGACGTTGGAAGGTGTAGTGTTGAGGGCACGGGCGAGGATGGAGAGGGAGGCAGAGATGTGGGGAGCGTTATATGCGATTGCGTGAGGCAGGATGACGGTATGAGTCTCAGCATGAGGCATGTTGAAGGTGCCGCCTGAGGGAGATTTTGAGTACGGCAGGGAGCGAAAGTAGAGTGGATAACGTACCAAGGGTGTGGCAAAGCTTGTGGTGCAGAGACATGCCCACTGCGCCCAGGCTACAGGTCCATTATGTTAATTGGTATCCGTCTTGTCAATGAAGCAACATACCAAGTCCCACAAGCCCACGCCCCATACAACGCATCACTCCGCGCCTCCAGATCCTGTGGATTTTTATGGATAATCGGTAGGGCCTTAGCGATGCTCGCCACACCCTGCTCCGCAAGGAGATTGATGACCGGATTCGCTTCAGGGGAGTATAGAGCCTCCACGGCATGCGCGATGGCGTTCATGCCCGATGTGATGGTCATTTGTGCGGGGAGGGTGAGGGTGAGGGTCACATCATAGATGACTACTTCAGGGAGCACTTTGAGAGTCTTCTGTGTCGTCTTGACATTGTTCTCGGTCTGACCGATGATAGGGGTTGCCTGTAGGAACAAAATAACCCAGAGATGAGGAATGAATCAAAATGAAAGATATTGCGACGCACCTCAGATCCTGCATAGGTCGTCGGAATGACTATCTGCGGCAGATCCGTCCTCAAGGCAATAGCTTTCCCCAGACCGATAGTTGATCCTCCACCGACCGCTACAACACAATCCGCTCTCTTCTCACTCACAGTCTTGATTGCATCGTCCGTTACATGCGTAGGCTATTCGACGAATCAACAACACTTCAACATCGCGGAAACCCGAATAGGGGCTAAGGAATCAACAGCGAACAGAACGCACAGTATGCATGGTAGCGTTCGTGTATAGTCCAACGGCGAGATCACCGATAAGAGACGCAACTTTTTCTCCTGCATCGACTTGTTGTGGGGTAGTGAGCACGAGAGCTTTGCTGCATCCTAGTCTCTGGATCTCCGAGGAGAGCTGCGAGAGCGTTCCGGACCCAAAGATGACGCGCGATGGGAGGGCACTGTAGACGAAGGGCTTCATGGCTGCAGGATGGTCGTAAGATGGGCTGATATGGAAGGGCTGGTGCAGTCGTCTTTAAAGGTCTCCGGACAAGCTGGGAAACGTGACGTCGTTTTGGGAATGTTAAGCAGCTGAGCTCGCGCATAAACCCTTCAAGCTTCAGAGTGTATGCCGCCCGCTAGAAATCATGTGCAGCAAAAGCAAAGCAGACGCAGCTCGGGCGGCACAGTACTAAGCTAGCAAAAGACTTGTCGTCGTCAAGAGAGGAAAAGGGAAGAGGTTCAAAGCTGCTATGGCGGTGGTCACAGAAAGGAGGCGAAGTGCCACCTACAAAAGGGCCACACATTGAAGTCTTACGTAATTTATTGTGAGCCACAACGGCGGCTCGACGCGTCGCGTCGCGTGGTTCCAGTCCCAGTTTATTCCTTCCTTCCAACCACTGCTTCCTGAGCCTGTCGTAGTTTTAAACGAAGCTGAATCGGAGTCTCATCATTTTAAGCAGACCATTCTGAAGAAAGGCCTCCCTGAACGATCGTTTTAATTGACTGAATCTCTGACACTAACTTGTTCCATGTCTCAACCCGTCCCCGAAGAAGAGGATGAGAAACTCCCTCCGGTGTGTATTTCCTATCCTGATGTTCTGTCACACTGACCCCAGAACCAGGTACTCATAGCCTCTATTCATGACATTCGATATTTCTCCGCTCTTCTTCGAGGTGTAAGCTTCGTGAACGTAAGACTCTTGATTCCCAGTCCGTATCTCGTATTGTTGACAGCTCTCATAGCGTGCTACAGCAACGGTCACCCAAAGTGGCTTGGTCGTCACGGTCGAGGAGGCACGAACTTTACTAGGTATTCATCAACTCTCAACCCGTCGGCCACCAAATTGACAACATGATCTTAGCAACTGCCTACGTCTTCTCCGACATCTTCGATGAATATACATATACCCCGCCTCCCGTCTCCGCTTCTCAGCCAGGACCATCACAAGCTGACTCCGAATCCGACCCCGAGGACCCAGCGACTGCACTCGAAATACCTCTCACTACTCTCATCGAATGCTTGAACATATTTGGGACAGCTGGCTCAACCGCTGCTAGCACGGCGTCAAAGACGAAAAAATGGCATCGTGCAGAAGACGAGTCAGACCCTGGTGACGGTGGTGGTTCTGGCGGAGCAGCTTCAGGAAAGGGGCGAATTGACTCATTCTTCAGCGCAGGCGGTGAGAAAAAGACAGGAATGCGGATGTCTTATGAAGGGGCAGGCTATCCTTTGACGATGCTTATGTGAGTATTCGGTCTGATAGCGCATTGCACAAACTATTGATAACTAGCTCTTCATAGAGCAGAGGATACTTCAGGCCCAACTGCAACCTGCGAGATCACGACATACGCTGCAGAACCACACCTCGACCTCCCGTTCGATACTGAGAACACGTGTGTCCTTTACCACTCACCAATCTTGTCTTGATCACTAACATCCCCAAACAGCGTTCTGAAAGTCATCCTAAAGGTAACGATTTGCTCGTTTATATGTCGCACATCCCATTGATCTTTTATATAGTCGTCCTGGCTTCGTGACGCTCTTTCGGAGGTCGATCCATCATGCGACAAACTGACATTTCTAGGCAATCCCCCTCCACCTGTTGGGCAGGCTGGAAATGCCCAACCACGCGCAGTCCCACAAACCTCCAAGCCAATGCTTCGCATCCAAATTTTAGGTGCATTTGGCAGCACAGAGGTATGTGTTCAAGGCCTATTGACTTTTTGTTGCATGCTCACTCCGTGTCGTAGATGGACTACCCAAATGACAGAGAGGTCCTTGAAACGTTTGAATGCGCTGAACCGGTCAAATTCAGGTTCGTGGCTTTTACGATACATGCGTATGCACGTCATTTTTCTCGAGCTCACTATCGAGTGGAACGCCTCATAGCTATCGGTTTGGCCACATATCACGTACCCTTCGTGCACTTCAAAACTCTACCAAGACCTCACTGCGTATAGACCGAGAAGGACTCCTCGCACTCCAATTCTTGATGCCATCGCCGAAGCCCAGAGGTGGTACCAGTGATGCTTTCATCGAGTTCAGGGTATTTGTTTCGTTTCGTAATCATCTCTTATTCGTCGTGCTCAAAATGACATGATAGTCTCTGCCCCTGGATGAAAGTGCCGTCTAGTCGTTCACGAAATCTCTGTAGTAGGGCACCTGTCAGCTCGGGTATCTTCTTGGATCTTGTAACCTGAACGGCATCGCATGACGTTTTCTTGCTGGACGCACTCGCTGTGAACTATAAGGTGCACTCATCGAGCTACTATTCTCGCATTTCATTCAGCCCGTTATTCTTGTCACCCATTGTGGCATGGCATGCAACTCGCTTAGAACAGGATTCGATCAATGGATACAGTCGCATATTATGGCTCCCTACTCGTCACATCCGAAATCTGGGCATCTGTGGCGCCTCCGAGTTCGAACTAGCGCCACCAATAAGTGCTACACTAAGCTATATCCCGGTTTCTTCCGATAACGGGCGACCACTCAAACCAATTGCAGTCTCGCCGATACCGGCATAGCTAGAGGCGCCGGTCCTAAATCTGTCGTAGAAGTATCGACTCATGGAGCTTGGGATGTGAACTGTACTCGTGTTCCAACCCATCAAGTTCTTCTGTGTTTTATCTCTCTCTGACTAGAGAGCAAACGGAGCTATGTAGCCGTTGGACCCATTGTCGGCGGCTCTTGTATTCCGCGCACTCCGGAAGTGCCACCTCACTTTCACTCTGCACCACTCAAGGTATCAAAGTCGGCGCACCCGGACACCGAAAACGCTCTCCTATCGCTCCGGAGGCCCTGACATAACGCGATGAGACACTGTATGCCAGATAAAAGCAAAGAGCCTCCACGACACAAACTCCAAGCAGTTCTCTTTCCACAATACACACTACCCCACTCATCAACCGGCCACCATCTTTCATATTTCTTGGATATTATGTCTCAAGACAACGGCGCTGCTCTCGAATGGCTGCAAAAGGTACGTGTCTCTCACCACACTTTATTGTTATTTCTCCCGGCGCTCTGGCACGCCATGTCTCTGCGTGGAGATGGCATCAGTCCTTTCGGCGTGTGAGCGGAGCGTATAGCCCTCTTTCGAGTTCTCTTTGCCTCACTCCTCAAATATAAGCCGCATAAATTCCACCATAAGATTGACGGATACTTCTGCTTCATCACAGTTCCACGCAGCTGGGGATTCCTTGAGTGTCGACGCCTGGACACCATGGTTCACTGAAGACTCCATAGTGAGCGTGGGTAACAATCCAACCATTCAGGGCCGCGATAATTTTCTCAAGGTAAATCCGTTGAGCGTTCACGCCAATCGTGGGTTTTGTCGCTTACGTGACTTTCTCTAGCTTTACGCACATCAAGCCCACGTACTAGACTTGATGAAGCACGATATCACTCACTTTGGTGCGTCGCTCTCACTCTAGCACCCACTAGTTTTCTAATCATGATGCGCTCGAACAGACGTCGTCGGAGACCGTATATATCACCAGACCAGCATCACATACAAGGTGAAGGGCGATGCATCAGGGCAGACCCTGAATATTCCCGCTATCTCCATCGTCCATCGCAACGGGGAACAGAAGATCTATAAATTGGAAATCTACGTCGACAATACGCCTTTGATGGCCAAGGTCAAGGAAGCCATGGCCGCTAAAGCTCAGGCTTCTGCTTCCGCCTGAATTACTGTAAACATATGACTTGAACGAAATGTAATACTTGTCTCGAGATCTGCGCGTTATACATGTATCATGGCTCTGGCTTCGTGATTGTGTAGACGATTACTCGGTATCAAGACCGTAATTGAGATATATTTTGACGACTTCGACTTGGATGGGTCGTTCGCGTTCGAATTATAGGATCGGAATTACACGCGAACTGCATTCACCCTTCATCCTCTTCATTCGATGAAAGAGCATTCCATACAAGCGTCGAGGCTGAGTCGGCTTGATATACAGTCGAGCAATTCATAAAAGAATATTAATCCAGTTGGGATGCAGCGAGCTGTGTTGAAGGCGATAGGCACGGGTCCCCGAGAACATGCGCCTCACCGTCTTCAAGAAGACGACGAAGGTGATTAAATGCTGATTCATATTGACTTACACAGGGAAGACTGGAGGCACTCAGTAGACAGAAGCAATGATACATACATAAATATTTCGCGATTGTATAATATCGAAGGAACATGACGTGCAGAAGAACTGGAGGGTGGTAATGCTGGGATCGCTGGAGAAATCTATTGATAATTTTGAAAAGGTAGTACATATTAAGAAGAACCCTCAGTCGACTTGAAGAGGAAACCATCAAAGTAGGGCTCGAGAGAACGAGCATCGGAGATAGTAGAAGAGGTACCAATCCAGCTGTCCGGGCGTACAACGACAATAGCACCTTCCTCGTGCGAGACACCATACAGAGCATGAGCGTCACCACCAAAGTGGCTCAACGGAAGCTGGTCGTCGTAGACGGTGTGACCGGTCTTCGACAGGAATGGGAACGTCTTGACGCGGTGGTCGGCCTGTGAAGGCGTAGCGCGGACGACAACGACGATCTTGAAAGTATCAGCACCGCCGTATGCGTGATAGAACGAGCTGCGGCTAGCAAGGTAGTTGTCGAGGGCGTGAAGTTTGGCGTTGACCGGGCCCCCCATGTTGCTGGCGAAGACGAGGAGGGTGAACTGGCCTAGATGACCGAAAGAGTGATAAAGACGGCCGGAGTGATTACGGCTGAGCGCGACTCTGGGGTTGGAAGCACGGTAGCCGGCACGAGCCCTCGAGACGGCGGAAGAGAGCTTGTTGAGCGCGTTCGACGCGTAGTCGACGTCCATGCCGATGAGGAACTGCCCCACCTGGCCGACGAACTTTTTGAAAAAGAAGACGTCCTTGTCCTCGCCAGGGGGAACATCGAGCTCTTCGGCCTCCTTGTCGGTTTCGCCGGACCCGTCGATGGCCTGGAAGGTGCAGTTGCCGACAAAGCGAAGGTAACGAGCGGAGGTGGCGACGGCGCGGAGAGCGTTCTCCCTCCTCTCGACATCGTATGAAGCGAGAAGACTTGGCTTGGCGATACCACGGCAGAGCATAGCGAGCTTCCATGCCAGGTTGTGGGCGTCCATGACACCGGTGTTCATACCAAAGGCGCCCTTCGCACTGTGGACATGACTAAAGGATGCTTTCTGTTAGTGCTGGGTGCCGAAGTATATAATGTGATACGAACATACCATGAGTCACCGGCTAGGAAGATGCGGTCTTTGTAGGTGAAAGAGTTGGCGACACGCTCGTTGACTGTCCCACAATGAGCACGTATTCAGAAGTCAAAGCCGCGAAGGGTACTTACTGGTCAAAATTGTGTACCAGTCAACGGGTTCGGCGTAGCTCAAGGAGTACGGCGCGAAGACCTTGTTAAGTATGACCAATATTTCCTCGGGACCCCACTGGGAGAAAGCAAGGACATCAGATCATGGCAACCTCACCTAACAGACACAACTTACTTTGGAGTGATCAAAGGCTTTTCCGGGCTCAGCACGGAGCTGAACGTAGAGACGGACCAGGTTACGCTCACGAGGGATGATAAGACATCCACCGAGCTCAGAGTTGAGGACGGTACTGTGGTCTGGATATCAGTTTCAGGTGCATAGCACAAAAAATGTGGTAACACGTACCCGAAAGTCCAGCGGTGAGGGAAGTCAGAGTTGACGACGGCATCAACGATACCCCAGTGCAGGTCGGTCTTCACGCCGGGGAACTCGATGGGGAGCGACTTGCGGATCATACTGTGTGCACCGTCGCTGCCAACCATAAATCTCGCAGTAACGACCTCTTCGACCCCGGTAGCCTCGTTGGTGATGTTGACCGTGATGGGATGGGTCACTGAAGCGTCGGCTTCCTCGTCAAACTTATAGGACGTAGCGGTGCATGGCCTCTCGACAAGAACGTCGTGACGGATAAGATCACTGTGTCAAACCAGAGTATGAGTGTGAAGGCGGTTCGAAGAGAAACGTAGCACATACCGAATCAGGAGGTGTTCGACCTCGGTCTGCGTGCAAGCGTGGAGACCAGTGTAATGGGCCTCATTACCCGGAGCCTGGTGAGACTCGGCGAAGATATGCTGCTTTCCGTCCTTGTAGACGGTCGTGTGCTCGACCCGGATACCGACGTGATAGACTTCTTCACCAAGACCAAGAAGATCGAAAACCTCCATCGAACGAGCTTGAAGACCATCTGCACGGCCGACTGGGAGAGGATGAGGAGACCTGTCGAGGATACGGACGGTAATACCCTGACGAAGAAGGCAGGCGGCCGTGGTGAGGCCGACAGGACCAGCTATATAGTGAAGTCAGTTTATAGACCCTACATCAGGCGATAAACGATGAAAAGCTTACCCCCGATGATGATGACATCGACCTTAGATGGAGGTTTGTAGTTAGGGACGGCGGGCTTCTCGCAGTTGGTCCCATTCAAGACGTTGGGCCAGGTGAGCTGAGACATCACACCGAGTTTATTGGGCAGAGAGGTACCAGGGCTTTTGATAAGGTTAGGTTAGTGAGCTAATCCTAGTATACACGCACAGAAACCAAGACGTACCGGTTGAGCAGCTCGGGCTCAACATATCCGTCGAAAGTCTCAAAGGTGGCCATTGGATTCAGGAATGAGATGGAGAAGGTGAGGTAGGGCAAGAACGGGATAACGTTTCAAAACTGCAACCCATCCTTTTCATTTATGTGCCTCATCGGCAAACCTGAAAAGACGTGTCTAAGCTAAGCCTGCGACCACGACGCGTCGTACGCAGTGCGAGGGACGTGAGTTCAACATATTAGCGGTCATCAATACTCACCATCGGAGACGTTAGCACTCAGAATTTGCCTAAAGGAACGTGTCATATCCCAATATAGAACCGTACACAGTCAAAGGGTGGGAAGGGCGAGCGAGAACAGCACAGCATGCGAGGATGTCGGAGTCCGTGAAGGAACACCCACAGAAAACTCCGAGTCAACTGTTAGGAAAGGGACATCGTGTGGCTGTGCAGGGAGTGGGTCCACCCACTGACCATCTCCGTCAGGGAAATCTGTACTGGCCATGACGAGATAGGCGGCCGAGGTATGGTCTAGTATGGTCCACAACGTGGACGAAGACGAAATCGTGTGTGCTATCCCTGCCCGACATTGACCAGCCATTTGGAAGGCTCTCTGGGTCAAACCATCCAACAGTGTCATGCGGGTACGTACACAACGCCGTTACTAGGATAAGCTACAATAGGCTGCGATTTGTGTTTCGTCCATCTTCATACAACGTAGGGGTGCTTTGCTCGAATTGCTCTTTGCGGATGTCGTTTTCGCTTCTGCTCCCAGATGTGTATGACACCATGGACATCGGAATCGATCATGTAAGCACGCAAGTCGGTGCAACGCATTGCACTCAGCAACGGCGATTTCGGTTGTCGAAACAACCGGAAGAAGCAAAGCTAAGTTACTATTATTGTGCGGCGATGCACCACCATGATATCTGCCCAATTGATACACCGAGCTAATGTGCTTTTCGTCAATGCCCAGTTTGAGGTTGCTTCAAGTTCACCCCTCTGCGGTCATGGGGCACGAAAAGAGTTGCTTTTCATGGGCATTGTGATAAACGACATTTCTACCATATACAGGGAGCCGCTGCCCCGGACCAGAGAGGCCTTGATATGGTGGGATGTGACACTCCTTGGCAGACTACGATGCAAAGACAACAACAGGCACATGTGCTCAGCACTGGCAAGGCTAAGGTATATGACGGCCATGATCCATCCACAAAGAATCAAACACGAACAAGCGAACAGAGAAAAAGATATTACAGAAACGCACAAAATGTACCTGTACTGACGAACCGACTCCAAACCGTGTACATCTCGTCTCCTGCCGCAAAACCCCGTCTACCATAGCTCACGGGACTGCTCTCTGGCTTAACAGCACTTGCTCGCCTGAGCATTCGATGTGTCCACACTGGGGCTGACGGTGAGGGTGTCGCCGGAAGAGGGCTTGATGGCGTCCCCAGATGGTTCGAGCGACTTGTTGGAAACGATACGGAAGATGTCGGTAAGGATGGTCTGGAACGCAGACTCGACGTTTGATGCGTCGAGGGCAGAAGTCTCGATGAATGAAAGACCGTTCTCCGCTGTTACAGGACGGATCAGCATGTGCATCGTATGCTTATGTGGCGTATGACGAATGACACCAAGGCTTACCAGAGAACGCCTTCGCCTCTTCTGTGGGCACGGCACGGAGGTGCTTAAGATCACTCTTGTTCCCGACCAACATGATGACGATGTTCGAGTCCGCATGGTCACGAAGCTCCTTCAACCACCGGGTGACATTGACGTATGTTGCATGTTTTGCGATATCGTAGACAAGAAGTGCGCCGACTGCACCACGGTAGTAACTTTAGCATAAGCATACCATGTCAATATAACGTGTAAAGCAATAACAAGAACAAAGCGTACGCGGCAGTGATTGCCCGATACCGCTCCTGTCCGGCTAGAAGATGGACAAGGTCAGAAACCTTGAAGTAGTCGGTCTGTCACAAGTAGACATACCGGTATCCCAAATCTGAGCCTTCAATGTCTTTCCATCAACACTGATCGTCCGTGTCGCAAACTCAACCCCAATCGTTGACTTCGTCTCGAGATTGAATTCGTTACGAGTGAATCGCGAGAGCACTGCGGGCCAATATGATTAGCCCCCTTCAGCAAGGTGTCATCGAGGACGTGCTCTACACACAGTTTCTACAATTCAGGAACGTAAGTGTTTGTGAGTGACGGCGGGCGGGCGTATATAGGGAACACGCACGATTTCCCTACGCCCGAGTCTCCAATCAAGACCACCTATGATGCATTCAGTACTTAGTGCTCGCTCATTCATTCTATGTAATGTGCACGACCATTTACCTTGAAGAGATAGTCGAAGTTGCTTCCCTCAGCCATTGTCGATGTTATAGGGTTACTTGGGTGGTCGTATTCGGGTTGGGACAGTTAGCCGCGTGTGAGGGTGTCGTGGTCGTGAAGCAAGGCGCGTACAGCGGAGATTGAATTGTGGCGCCGGGCCTTCCGCCGTCGCTCGCTTCATGGGGCGACGTTGCAGCCTGAGCTCGTCCCATATTTTTGTTTGCATTAATGCTCGTGCTTGTTCTGTTCGCTATGGCTCTCATGCTCTCATGACTAGACTTCGTGCTCATTTCACATTTGTTTTTTCCTCCACACAATCCACGATGCACTCGGCGGCTTCGTCCAGGAATCTCAGGAGTTGCCTGATACGTCTGAGGCTCCGATGCAAGACGCCTCAGTTATTGGAGAGCGCTCATGGTCAGAAACAACATTAGACACGCCTCAAAGAGCACTGCGACCCCCTTCTGTCTGCTTCGCTCTAGCTGATGCCAAAGGTTCTGTTCACCAACTTCGGTCGGTCCTGGGCGGACCGTGATGATGATCACGATGTTCCGGGGCATATCTAAAAGCTCTGTCCTCAAACCTCCCAAGACTGCAGACTTTTCATCCACTCCCATCTTCAAGAAACTCTCGCTTCAAGTATCGCTGTGCGATGTCAGGACCAAAAAGGGTATGCCAGGTCGTCAAAGTATGTTTTTGTGTTGGCTTTTCATCAGAGTATAACCCGCTCTTTAGCTGTACTGTGATCATTGATTGTTATTGTATTCATCATCAGCTCAAACCGGAAGCCTTGTCCGAATATAAAAGCGTACACGCGGCAGTGTGGCCCGGCGTTCTCGCTGCCATCGAACGCGCCCACATCGTTGATTACTCTATTCATTATCTCCCAGAGCTTAACTTGCTCATCGCCAACTTCAAATACGTCGGAAATGATTATGAGAAAGACATGGCGAGCGTAGCAAATAATGTGGACACGCAGAGATGGTGGAAGTTGACGGACGGTATGCAAGAAAGCCTTGTAGATGGCGCCACCGGCTCGGGAGGAGAGATTCCTTGGTGGAAGGCAGGTCCTTCACTTTTTGATACTGATATTTATCTGACTATGTTCTGTCCTCCAGGAACTAGAAGAAGTATTCCGATTCGAGGGCGAGCGGAAGTGACACAGCAGCTCTACGTACCTTCCACTAGACTGTTGCTGTCCGTTGCCCTTCGAAATTAGTACCATCCTGCTCGAACAGTGTACAATGCTACATCCTTAAATGGAAAGTCAAGATCCTGTCCTTCATTGACTCTTGATCGCAGAAAATTCTCGGGACCGATGATATCGTAACACGCTCTCGCCTCGTACTCAACATCAAATCATTCTCCCACTTCTACCCCGTGCACCTTGAGTATTCCGTGTCGGTGATCGCAAGGAGCAGACCACAGTGGTCACATATATCATCTATATATATGCCGCTTATGACTGGTCTCGATGTCCCTTGCTTGATGACGGACACAAGAGACCATATGACCCTCATTTATACGCCTGGTCCCTCTGTCACGTATGGCGCAGATATTTCAGCGGCACTGTAGCCTCAAGGGCCCCTTTCCAGAACCTCAAACTTCACAGAAATGGACGAGGACTTGAAAGTGAGTATTCCTCATAATGCTGGGTACTGGTGCTGATGGAGATCCGGCGTCCGCACGGTTGCATGTCACCTACTTATCATTGTAGCAGATGGGAATAAATTGAGGGAATCCGATTCTTTGCTCCGAGGATAATGTTTGGTAAGTATATATCCGCGTGGCCACAGGAATGATCTTTCTCACTTAGACCTATGACATTGTCCATTTTGATTCAGCCGTTTCTCTGGCCAGGAACACGCCCCGACGGTCAGATATGCATGCAAGTAATATGTGCAAAAATGCCATCAGCACGTTTCCCATGGTCAATCAGTGCGTAGATCTAGTACACTCATCAGTGCCCGTCCGAGGCTGGTCAGTTTGAAACGACAAGGCCTCAGACCAGCTCAGACACACCGCATATACGGCCGGCTGCTTTCAGCTGTGAAAGTGCAAGGCAGCGCCGCCATCCATATAAGAAATGAGCAGAACGTGTTCCAGCAAGTCGGCCTGGTTGCTTCCTTCCAACTCTCAATAAAGACAAACAGTGTGGCGTATACTCGAACTGAACGGTCTTCCGTCCATCTGCCACACCAGTCATCGTCGAGACTTGCGACGAGATGCATTTAGGCCTGGATATGTCCTACTAGTGCCTATCCACATGGGCTGGTACCGCTATGATCCTCCCCGTGTTCGAGTAGATTTTGATCCAGCAATTCCTCTGGCCAGGAACGCGCCCGACGGTCAGATCTCGGCGCATGGAAACGATATATGCAAGCACGCCGCACAATGTTCCATCAGCATGCTCCCCGTGGTTGTTCGGCGCATAGAGCGAATACGCCCACGAGCCCCTCTCGGGATCCAGTGGTCAGTATAAAATGACACGACCATAGCCCAATTTACACCAAGAGTCCCAGAGTTCCTCGTCTGCTCTAATTGCGCTCCCTCGTCGCGTCCGATCTTTCATTCCTTACCCACTCTCGCTCATTGTTCTGGAGAAATGCTCGGACTTGCGTCTTTCATCAGTGTAGCGTTCGCCGTTCCGATACTTGCCGCACCTCACCAACGCAGGACCACTTACAGTGGCGACGGTGTGTGATGTTCATACTGGCCTTCATCTCTGCAACTCGAGCTAATTCTCATCAATCATCAAAGGAACCTTCTTCGATGTTGCCCTTGGTGCATGGTGAGCGCTTTCTCCCAGCAGTTGTGGCCGTCCGTTGAGTTCATGCTGGTTTTGCCGTAATTTAGTGGGCTCAACAATGTCGCGACGGACATGGTCGTAGCTGTTTCGGAGGACATGTACGACACATGGCCGTAAGTACTATTTGGTGCAGAGTCGTCTGATATATAATCATCTAACAATGCGTTACAGAGGCGCAACTGCCAACCCCAACCTGTTCGTAACCAGTGCCGCAATCATCATTGATCTTTGAGTTGAGCGTTTTTTTTGTACAGCAACCCGATCTGTGGCTCTGTCATCAACGCGTTCTGTAAGTAATAATGCTAGTCTTTGCTCAGTTATGACTGGTGTTGATATGCGTGGTCCTGTAGATGAAGACAAGGAAGTCACCGTGACCGTAGTCGACCGGTGCACCGGCTGCGCATTCTACGACCTCGATTTCTCTCGTGGGGCATTCGACCAGCTCGCCGATGAGAGCCTAGGACGCATCCAAATCACCTGGGAATGGGCCAGCGACGTTTCAACTACCACTACGACGGCCCCAACCACGACGACCACTACTCCCACGACCACTACGGCCCCGACAACCACCCCCACGACGACAAGCACGACAACTACCGCGCCCGCGACAACGACTACTGCCAGCAGCGGTAGTTGCTCAGGCGCATCGGCCTGGGTTTCGACTACGGCCTACAATGGTGGATCGGAGGTCACTTACAGTGAGTCTCATGCTCCCTTTGCTAGACTCGTCAACTAGGAAAAATTAAACCGACTGAAATTCCTCCATAGATGGCCACCTCTGGACCGCAAAGTGGTGGTCTGAGGGCGACACTCCCGGTGGCATTGCTGACGACTGGACCGACGACGGCGCATGCTAAACGCTGGAGATCGCACAAGACCCATCTTTCAAGTTCTATGAGCATGGCATTGTTCACTTTCAGTCATTACTCTTCCATCACCAACATCCAATAACTTATTCATATCTCCACTGTCTTTTATCGTTGGGCTCATCGGGTTTCAGGATCGTTATTTAACTTATTTATTTGAGTACTTGTGCTCCTGGCTATATTCAATCCACTTCGTCGTTCTTTATTTCGAAATTTTGGGTAGCTGCCGCAGAGCCAGCCTTTGCTTTCCTTTGTGTTGTACTATCGTACGTGTCGGAAAATGCTATCGTTTGTAGTGCTACCCGATTTATCCAAATGTCTCTTTTTGGAGTCAGAGCTCTATGTGTAGCTCTGTACGGACGCCTTCGAGATGGCCATCTAGCTTCAGATGTGAAAAGTACAAAGGCACTCGTTAACGGCTCGAAAGACGTGAAACGAACGACTAGATCAGGCTCCAGTAGGTATGCTACACTCCGCTTGCTTGCAGTCCAGAATATAGACAAATAATGTGGGCATGGATCATAAAACAACCAACAGTCCCCGCTCAAAACTCGTGCTCATACCACGTCTACAGCGCATCGAAGTTAATATGATGTGAAGCCCGTCTCCGCTCCATCTCGTCCTCCCTCTGGAAAAGCGAAATCAAAGGCATCAGCACAATTTGTACACTCGTTTATTTCGGGAATCAAACCACAACGCACCTTCTCGTTCAAATGCAGAACCAAGACGACGCCGGCTAACCCCACCATCGTCGCCACGACGGAAACCCCAACCCAAGGAATCCATTCCCCCGGCCTCAAATATAACTCTCTCCTCCACGTCGCCGACCCTCCGTCCTCTCCATCCGCTGATACTGGATTGGGATTGATCACAATCTTCGAGTTGGGAATGACCATCTCAAGGTTAATGAAGTGTTGTGGTGTGTGCTTCGTTGACCCCGCAAAAAAATTCTCGATGTAGTTATTCGTACGTCCGAGGCCAAAGAAGGCGTAGGGTGTGTTGAGGGAGTGATAGGACGTTTGAGGAAGTTGGGCGACTGGAGAGAGTATCGGTTAAGTTATATATGTGATGGTGGAGAAGAAATTAAGAAGACAGACTTTGTGCGGCTGATCGTCGGCCAGACGTGTCTAGCACGGTGTACTTGTAGGTAGCTCCAGAGTAGCTGACACCGAAGGGCTGTATTATTGCGGATGAATATCTACTTGGAGAGCTGTAATAATATACTACTTACATGATATTGTTCGCCGTTGGATCCTGTACACCACCCGGACGTGCACACTCCGTTCAGTACTGCCAGAACACGTCAGGTCAGCCATGATTCGAGGAAACGGAGCCAGACGAAACACTCACCGATCGCCTTCATGAAAAATGCGTCATAGTAGAAGTTATTCTGAACAAACAGGATGTTCCCCTGTCCCTGTTCTCCCGTCCGCTGTACCATGATATCGAGCGTGCCCTGAAGACAAACAAGGCAGACGTTAATGGGATACTAGTACCATATTAGGAACAACGTGATCACTGACATCTTCGTCCATATCCAAGAAAGCAACTCCTCGCGCATCTGCCACGGTGTCAAAATCACCAACATCTTTCTTGACCTCCTTCCATCCTCTCCTAGCCCCATCGACATTACACCCCAAAACACCCGATCCTCCGCATGGCTCAGATAATATCAAATGTGCTTTGCGCGTACGGTCTGAATTTGTTCCAGTGATGAGGAGAAGATCAGGGAAGCCGTCCAGATTGGCGTCTCCGAGACGGGGAGCGGTGGGTAATGACGGTGAAGTTGAGGTATCCAGCACAAGTAGTGATTGCGATGAAGAAAGGAAAAGTGTGGAGATCGGAAGTGACACGTAGGTCTGTAGATGGCAGCGTCAGCCACTGCTTATTTGCTTACCATCGTCTTTCTTCGAGGACAGAATTACGTACCGAGCCTTCAAACGCGAACTCAAAGTGTGGATCTGCTGTACATAGCTCTTCGGGCTTTCGACAGACTTTCTTCCCATCGGTAGCCGTATCGTTCTGTCCAAGCGAAGACCAAAATGATGATGAGGTCGAGGCGCAAAGTGGAAGTTGCTTGTTGTAAGCAATGTTCAGCGAACACCCCGTTCCGAGACCAGTACTCGGTGAGACGGAGGAGCAAGTTGTGATGAGAAGGTCCATCGTCCCATCTCGGTCTAAGGTGTGCCAGGATATGTGTAGAGGTGAGCATGAAATAGGAATGCATGAGCAAGAACGGTCCATACCCATATCTGCGAAGGAAACAAATTGTGTCCCATCTGGAAGCCGACCACTCTGGGCTAATGAGAATCCCTCGTCCTTGTTGTTGATCCATACTTGATACGATTTGTGTCCAGAAGCGTCATCACACATGAGGAACAGATCTAGTTGTTATTCCTACCGGTGAGCTGAATATCAATAAAGGAGAAAGGGGAGCAAAAGGAAAGAACATACCCGCGAGACAATCTCCATTGAGATCGACGACAGCATTACTATGGGGATTAGAGACTCTGCATCCTGAGCCGACGAATGGAGGGTCGATACTACGGCGCGTTTGACAGCCTTAATTCATGCAGAAACGTATGACGTTGGCAGAACTCACATCTTATACACGTCCTTCGACGAATCCGAGGCGTTCCATATATTCTGCCACACCCTCAAATTCGTAGGATTATCGGGCCGTAGTCCAAGGAGGTCAATCTTCATATCTCCATCGATGTCGAGGGGTATAGGTTGCGAGGTACTTGACGATGGAAGGGATATTGGATCAAGGTCTATCGATTCACGCCTTCAACAACTTTCGGAGACTTGAATTACGAGGAGTTAAACCACACATACCAAAACCACCCCCAGGTTTTGCAGGATAAAGGGACAGAGCGAGTTGGTTTGTCGTCGAGCTTTGTGACATGACGAGTACATCGAGAGTACCATCATGGGTGTAGTCACCCGGAACGACGTTATAAATGCGATTTGGGTGGCGAAATGAAGCAGAGCGTTGGAAGATGTAGCTCTCTGAGGATTCATGATAAACTCGAGCCGCAGATCTATCTAGGAGAATGTCTGCGCACCATGGTTCCAAAGATATACTGAAAGGGTGTGCTGGTCATCGTCCAGCGTCATGATATCAACGCTATATTCGCATTCGCAACATCCATAAGATATGATGCAAAGGCAGGCTAGCGAGGACGCTTAAAACCACGCACAATTGATCCCCATTAAAGTCTCCAAACGCGACAACTCTCTGATCACTGTCCAAGCCCATCGACCCAGCCGCCACAAGTGCATTTCCAGTAAACCGCTTTGGTGAGAAGGGCCAGATAGCGCCTGCTGGTACAGTAAGAGCTGCAAGAGAGAAACAAGTGAAGGCAATGCAGAGAAGTCGTGGTCGCCGCCGTCGTGGCAAGATGTGAGGCATTGTGAAAGATGCGGTGATTGAAGAGAACGGTGTAGGAAAGTAGTTCAGTTCAAGAGGTTCTGTAGTGGCCGGCCACGTGGGTTCTCGCCACTGTGGCACCGGCGGAGCATAAGAGAGCAGAGGTTTGTTCGCCACATTTTGCGCTCGTTGTGATTTGTGTAGAGTCCACAATAGAACGTTATACATAGCTGCTCTGAGGGAGCGAAGACAAGGGCATAGCAGCACAACATACATAGAGATGACGCAATATCCTACAACAGTCCAGCTTTCTTCTGCTTGACGATCCACTCCCTGATAAATGTACTGCTCATCTTCGTCGCCTTCAGCATCTCAATATCCTCAGCATCCAGACTTGCATCGTTGTGCGAAATCACGTCGATAACAAAGGTACGTAGAGGTGGTAGATTTCTCGCAGCCCTGTGTTTCGCAACTAGAATTCAGGAAATCAGTCTGAGGCGTTCTGGAGAAACGAATCAGAGCAGGCTTACTAGAATCTGCGCCAGAGACGGTCTCTCGACTGACGACCAGAGCCTGAATATCTGGATCCCATCCTGTGGGCCCATAGACGTCATTTATGGAAACAACGTCGTATGTCAGGCCAGGCTTAAAACGAGCCACGAAATCATGAACACGACGCGTCCGAACAGTCAAATCTTCCATGACATCCCTGTTGGTCTTCTTCGTGAGTAGAGCATCATCTGACCAGGAACTACGTGAGCTGCCGCGAACAAGGCGTTCCCTAAAAGATCAGCACTTACCCGTGACTCCAACAATGATCTTCTTCTCAGCGATCCAAGCCGTCATACTCAACAAAATCTTGTGACCCGCATGGAGATGGTCGAATGTCCCTCCAACCGCGACAACGGGAAATGTGGACGGTCCACGTTGCTGAGCAATAGGTGAAGACGGTGGCGGACTTGGTGTGTTTGTACCTGATTTATCACCAGGAATACCCCAGGCCGTGTGTAATAAACCTATTGATTCGGGTAGAGGAACCGGGAGGCTATCTGTTCACCAGTTGCTTCAGTTGTTAATTCTTAGATAAAAACGAGAGACGTACGCACCACCCTCAACTCGAAAGACCACATCCATTCCCTCCGCCAGCTCGCTGGGCAGGTCCTCATCAAAGCCCCTGAGCAGAACATCGACGTCCAGCAACACCTTGTCCATATCCTGCGCAACCTTCGTCGCCTGCACGTACACATACGTCAACAGCCTCTGCACATCGTCCCACATCCCCGCCCTCGAAAGCACCGTATCGACACTATCTGTCCGTCCCCTGCTCTCCGACCTTCGCGCAGCTGGCGAGCGACTCCGCGCCCTCTTCCCCGTATTGAACAGTCTGGAGAACAGCACGATAACGAGTCGTTCCTTGGTCGCTTTCGCAGCATTGGCGATGACGGGTCCAAGAGCGTGCGGTAGCTCGTCTAGGTCGTTGACGGTCGCAAGCAGCAGGGCGTGCCCGAGGGCTGGGAGGCAAGAGTTGGGCATGTTGGCATTTTACGGCCCTACGACGATGTCGAAGGGGAGGGGGTTGAAAGGAGAGGTTGTATTGAAACTCTTTACTCACGTTGGAAGTCAGGACCTAAATTAGTCGTGTGGATCGAAGAGGAGGTCATGCCGATTCGGTTGTACTATGCTGCGTCGAGACCGGAGAATGGTCTTGTCGAGTCTTGTCGATGCGGCGTCTTCGATTGTTTGAGATCATGCGTCTTGCTCAGCTCGTTCACGAGTGCGAACGATGATGCATTCTTGCACGGAACAAGACGCTCAGCAGATCCTCCCACAGGGTGGCACTGGGCGACGCCACACCCGGACCTTGCTGTCCAGTGTGGCCTGGCCATCTATACCATCCAGTAAGCAAGCTGGGACATATGGGGCAGCTTCGAAAGCACATAGAGCACAATAACATTATCCGAAATAAAGCCGGGCCCCAAGCAAAGAAAAGCGTGTCTCGTCGTGGTCGTAGAGTAGGGGGGCATGAAGCAAAAACCGTGATAAAAAGAGTAATAATGAAAGCACAAATACAACAATAAAACCGCGGGTTATGTCCGTTGACGCGGGGAGACTTTACTGGTATGTAGGTCCTTGATATCAAAGAAGATACTGAGACCATATGTGACAGCAAGCAGACAGGCAAGAGCGGATGCCACATTGTACGCAGTACACCTGTTCGATCCGATGAAGGACTCATCAGTACGACATAGTAACAGATAGCAAGTGGACCACATACCATCCGTCATATTGACCGGGAGGACACCTCTCCCCTATCAATATCCATACAAATTCGATACCCCAAAGTAAAAGAAATGAACAATCAGCAAACGCCAGCCACTTCAGTTCCCTCCGTGCCTTGAGCCACTGCTCCTCCATAGCCAGACCCTCAAAGACGTTACGCCTCTTAGGACGGCGCGCAGCACCGGAGCGCCCACCGAAGGAGACTGACGACGAATACTCGTCATTGCCAGCTCCCTCCTCCTCTTCCTCTTCGCGTCGAGGCCCTTGGCCAAACATGGTCGGATCCACGATCAGGTTGACCTGCACACCCGCTCCGCCCTGTTGTCCTTTCTTCCCTTTATTCTTCTTCTTCTTTTTCTCTCCACCGGGTAGAGAGCTGACTGGCAGCACCATCATACCCCCTAGACCCGTGAACTGAGGCCCTCGGCTCTTTCCGCGACCGCCACAACACGGCCGGATAGCGAACAAATAGAACATCACTAGGATGTTGAGGATGGAAAGGATATAGAGGACATATGTATATGGTTTCCCCTGGGGCGGAGGAGTCGACGAAGGTTTGATTTTCTAGGGGCGTCATACATGTGAGGGGTTTGCCTATGGCAACCTGTAAACCCAAGTCTAATGACGCACCAAAGCAGCATAGAAAGACGAGCCCGCGATGCCAACAGCCATCAGGACCTCGACCACCCTGGTCGCTGTTCGTTTCTTCGGCCCCTGTGTTATCAACTTGCCGCGCGCATCTACGCTGCCGACGATAGTCTGCTCCTCCACAGGCTGTCCAACGTTCTTCGCTCCAAACTCCTGCTCCAACATCCTCATCCTCTCTTCTTTAATATCCGCATTCATAGGTACGCCATAGGGGTCCGTACCAGACCACGGCAGTGGATGTGGTGCTGAGGCAAAGGTATCGACGGAGTAAGGGTTCGTAAGATGAGATGGAAGAGTGCTGGAAGGATATGTTGGGTCGAAGAACGCCGCACTTGGGTGTTCCTTGGAAAGAGGTGATCGAGGGGAACGTTCGTCGTTCGCATACCAGCTTTTAGAGAAAGCCGGGAAGTGAGCGATGTCGACTTCGCCATCGTGAATACCGGGGTATTCTGCCACCCGGTCGAGAGAGCCCGAGGGATGCGCGATGTATGGTGTTTGATAGGAACCTGGAATTCGCGCGGCATTGTAGGAAGATGAGGGAGGAGGAAGAGAGTATGGTCTTCTTCGTGATTCGAGACTGTGCTCTGCAGAGTATGGAGGGGTGGAAGATTCGGCGGAAGGAACAGAGGACGAGAGTGATGGGAGGTCATTTGAAAAGGAGTCGCGAGAGAATGGACGAGTTGGAATTTGTGATGGTGGATACTCAAGACCAGTCTGAGTCTGCTGTGCACCACCGCGCCAGGGCCTGAGAGTGTTAGCATATTCTGCTAGGTCAAGCGCCTGCACGGATACAGAATCGTCGCTGGCTTCTCTCCCTTGCAAATGATTTCGTGGGGCATCCCAGTGGTAATAGTCCTCAATTGCAAGTGGAGCTTGCTGGACGTGTTGAGTGCGCAGAGAGGGTAGGGGATCGTGAGGGTCCGGAGACCATGGTCGATGTGTGAAATGTGAGGAGGGCGGTGGGGTATCCAGTCTGTGGCTTGAGTACATTGGTATGTTATAGACAGGTAAACGAGAGATGAAGATGTCGTAATAGTAGCGTGAAAGGTCGTGAGAGTAGATAGGGTCTCCGAAGAGCAGGATATGAAGATGTCTATAGCCCGCAGTCGGCTTGTAGCCGTGATGAGCGTTGGGGACAAGCGCAAGAAACTCGAGGAGCCTCCGCCAGGAGCAATAACCAACATTTCCCAAACGGGTAAGTAATTCATTGAGAACGTGCGTGCGTGCCTTCAAAGCGCCACTGCGCCAGTAGCCTGGCGGCGTCATAGCTGCAAAGGGCACGACTAGGAAACAAACATGAACTATGCCGTTATACTTATTCCAGACTATGCGAAACAGACTTCGTGAATATTAGGGAAGGGCAAGAAAGTTAGGGGAGTTCTTCTAGCCACTGCACGAATCCCGTCAACTGGTGAACGTCCCCCTTTTCCTGTTCGTCGTCCAACTTCCTGCCAACAGATACCGACGTCCCTAAGAACTCTATCTCTCCGCCTTCCCACTCCGCAAACTTGAAGGCCCCTCCAGAAGGCCCACTGCACTCGAGACCACCCATCTCGGACGTTTCCTCTCCCTCAGCACCCAATCCCTCGATCCCAACACCGCCACTCTGCGACGCACGTCTCTTCTCGAGCTCCCGTTCAAGAACCGTTCGTACACGGTTGATGGCGACTTGTTCGGGAGACAGTCCAGCGGAAGCACTCGTCTTGAGAAGGTCGCATTTATGGGCAAGGATTATCAGATTGGGTGCGGCCTGGGATGGTGGGATGGCAGTCAATGCATGCAACACTTGATGAAGATGTCTAAGAGGAGCATAACATATGAGCATTGACATTTCAGAAAGATGAGCAGGCTACGGACTCTGCTACTGCGGGCCCATTGCGTGAGACAGCAGTGGCGTCTGCCACAAAGACAACGGCCTTCGCATTAGGGAGTTGTTCCCGGAACTGATCCCTAATTCGGGGATGACCAGGGATATCTGCGGCCAAGACTACTTTGCCATTGGGAAGTGAAATTGTGGACGTGTTCGTTTGTAAAGAAGCGTGCGTCTGAAGTGTTTGTCTATAAACTAACTGAGGTGATATGTCAGTTATTGGGCCGAGAAGGACCAGTTGTTCACGCACTGTAGACAGTATTGCAGTCTTTCCAGAGTCCTGTGGGCCCACGAAGAGCACCACATTGCCTCTCGAGGAAGATTTTCTTCGATACCAGAAGGCAAAGACTGTAGAGGAATCAGTCTGAGGTGTGAGTGTTTAAGAGAGGCGATGACGGACTAGCGATTACAAGGACCGCAAGTGAGAGAGATGCAACGAGCAATATAGGCGAAGACAGTGCGAAGGTCGACCCAAGGGATGCGACCTCTGGGGAAGCCTCTGTCGTGTTCTGCGTGTTCTCCATCTTCGATTCGATATAGTCTCCTAGAGCAGAGTAGCCAATCCTTCAACCGGCTGGCGCAAGGATCACTCTGTCTGGCGTCTGCTTTTCAAGTGGGGGCCTTTACAGAGGAAGGGCGCGACTTGGGCGCGACTGTCAGAGCGAGTTGCCGCGCCGGGTGTGGCGCTCGGCTGCCCGTTTGGGAAACAGTGGTTCGGAGCCACAGTCACCGTCTCTCCCGCTCCTTGGCGAGCCGCCTCTCGATATCCTCGCCCGCGGTTGTTGTAACTTCTACGGGGGTACCGTGTACACCCAAGACTTTTATTGGTGTTGTAATTATTATATTTAATCAAACTATACGGTCATTTTAATCTCTACATGTCCGATACATTTGAATGGACACTCTCAGAGATATCGTGGATCCCGTTCTACCGTATACTGCAGACGAACATCAGTCTTACGTGATGTCGCCTGCTTCTCCACAACAGGCAGCGGGAGGACTACGCTAATCTTCATCCCCGCTCTCGTGAAGAAAGAGATAATTAGTGTGGTGGTGGAGCCAACTAATTTAATGGAAGATGATTGGTAAGAAAATATAAGCAACAAATATATATGAAGGTGAGCCACTACTGACCTTGTTCTTGTAATAGTCCAAAACGATGACTGTGAAAGGGATAACGACCGTGGTGATCAACGCAGAGCACCTTGCACGTGAAGCAGAGAAAAGTCGTGATCTTTAAGCAGAAGCGAAGTCAAGCAAGTTTCAAGTCATCGCAGAGGCCCTACGGAAGCCTGAGTTCAAAACCATGATCAACAACGAAACTTTTCGGAAGAGATGGAAGGTACTAAACGTCGATGAAGCTCACCTTGTGTCCGACTGGGGCCCCGACTTCCGCGACGCATACGAAGAGATATGGACGATTCGTGCGCACGCACCGAAGGACCTCACAGTCGTCGCACTTTCGGGTACACTTGAACCTGGACGACAAACGGAACGCGTACTCAGCAAGCTCGGGTTCAGTGAAGGGAAATACCACCTGGACCGCCGCGATTGCGAAGGCCACAACGTCAACTACATTTTCCGAGAGGTGTCTTACGCCCACACGACTCATCAGTTTCGCGATCTGGACTGGTTGATTCCCGAGGACATGACGAAGGCATCTGACGTTGGTCTCCCACAGACAGACCTTGGTGTTGAAGATAGGACGTTCAACGTGTCAAGTCTGACGTACCGAAATTCATCCTGTTCTCTAATACTCTATCGAGACCGGCGTCTATCCCCACTTCTTCCGCCAGGGCTCCAGAACGATAGATATACCCTCATTCGTCACATGCACTCGATGACCTGCCCCGATTATAACCAAGACGGGATCACGGCCTTGTACGACACAGAAGACACCCGTCAGACTGCTGGGTTCGTGGCGACCGCGGCTATGGAGCTTGGAATCGAACCACCAGACGTCCGGCAAGTCGTCATATTCCCAGGTCCCAGCACCGCTTCTTCCCTCGTTCAGAGTGCTGGCCAACTCGTTCGGGTGGCCCAGATACTCAGGGAGAGGTCTTCGTGTATTTTACCGACCATCAGCGCAAGCAAGCCTTGACGTACGTCCAGGAGAATTTGATACAGTTCAAATACAGTCGCAGCGGCATCGTTCTTGATTCGCTGGAGGGATCGGAGTGTGAAAGTACGGGAAACGCCGCGAGATAAGCTTTTTACCACAGTTCTACGTTCAAGTTCGCCCGGGGGCCGCGCGAATATACACAACAAACCTCTCTAATCGACAACTACACTCAATGAAGAGCAGGAGGAGGCAGGAGGAGGGTCAATGTGACACCGTCGAAGAGAGCTAGATTTCCAGCGTGGGAGTCTGTCTCAACGTAGCAGGAGTCTGTGGAGGTTGGGTGTTTGTCGTTTTTGTTTTCCCCCTTATGTTCCTTCCTTTTAATAAGTCAACACATCTATTCCGCGCCGGCGAATCTGGGGGCGCATTGTATAAATAAAAACAGACGGCAGAGGACGAGACCTATAACGCGGAGCAGATACTCGCCACGTAAATCGCCGTGTAGCACTACCTGTACTAATAAGTATACCGCTCAACGAAAAGGGAACGGCGTCCCGTTCCCAAGGCGCATTGAGCTTCATCAGGTCCTCTACCTCATCTCCTCCCTCCCCTACGTAGGCGGGGTATCGGCGAGCGCCAATGCAGCTTTATTCGCTGCAGATTAGGGGTCTGTACTGGTGTACTAGCTTAGGTGCGTGCAACAGCTGATCTCCAACTAATCCCTGTAGAGACCACGTCGAATGTTAGCTGAAGGACCTGCCCTAGATGTCGACGGCAGCTTCGAATATTGCTAGATGGTGAATGCTCGCAACAAGCCCTGCTCTCGGTACCAAATCACAAATGTTCCCTATCGCGTCGGCGCGACTCTTCGGCCCCCCCCAGGCCCTGTTGTGCGCAGGCTTCTGACCCGATTGGTAAAGATTTGAGAGTTTAATTCGTGGTCCGATTTATAAGTCCCTTGTGGCAGATGCCATTCCAGGCTCTTGCGGTGCGAACGACGACCAATCCGATGGCAGATCACACAGGCCCTCAGGAGGGCCGAAGCGCTGAAGTAGGTATGCTTTCATAAATTACATCGAGATATATTTCCGAAAGTGCTAGGCAGTACAGGACGGGCAGAACGTTGGGCAAGGGCACATACTCCATCGTGAAGGAAGCTTTTCACATCGAATCCGGGACTCGCTACGCCTGCAAAGTTATCAACAAGAAGCTGATTGTAGGCCGGGAGGAAATGGTACGTCTTAGTCGTTCATATTGTTGCATCAACAGCTCAGCTTCGGAGCAGTTCAGGAACGAAATATCGGTGCTGAATCATATATCTAGCACCCATCCAAACATCGTCACCCTTCACGACTACTTCGAGGTACGACGGTCCAGTTCCGAGTCATTCCTACCTCTTTTCTGATCTTTTCTCTTTCAGACTGCCCACAATCTATATCTCTGTTTTGAACTTTGCACAGGCGGCATGCTTCTCGACGTATTTTCCCGGCGAGGCCGTTACAGAGAACCGTGAGGATTTTGCGACCGTTTGTCCCACACAGTTCATTAATCAATAATACCCTTCAAACGAGACAGAGATGCTGCCAGACTGATCAAGAATGTACTGTCCACCGTGTCATACATACACAGCCGCGGCATAGTACACGGTGGTAGGCCAGATGTCTTTTCCTTGCCCAGACATGCTCTCACCTTACACAAGACCTCAAGCCGTCAAATCTCTTATTTTTGACTCAGGACGATGATTCGGAAATCATGATAGCAGACTTCGGCTTGAGCCGTATAGTCGACGACAATACTTTAGTGGCTATCAACGGTCCGTCTCCCCTCTCTACTTCCCGCACGCCCATTTCTTCACGAGATTCTCCAGAAATCTGCGGTACACCTGGCGTGAGTGCTGCCTAATCGAGAGTCTGCGTCGGTTTTCTGATCACTATTATTTCGCTAGTACATGGCGCCCGAAATATTTCAGAAAGGTGGCACATCCGCTGAATATTCAAAATTGACGCTTGTATTGACGTATCTATAGCGGAGTACGGAAAGCCCGTAGACATATGGGCCATTGGTGTCATAGCATTTTTTATCCTTGGAGGTCAGATATCTCTCCGTATCCCTGGTATCACTTCCTAGTATGGACCTTCTAAAAGTTACAGACAGGCTATCAACCATTCCGCCGCGACAACGAGAAGGCCGAACAACACGCCGTCGTCACTGGCGACTTCAAATTTCATCCCCGTAAGCCAGCATCCTACTCTCACCCATCTTGTCTTAGCCTTCACACTTCGTAGCGGAACCCTGGGAACATGTGTCGGGTACAGCGAAAGACTTTATCACGCTTTGCCTGACGCATGACCCCATGAAAAGACCTAAGGCCCTCGAGCTCCTCAATCATCCGTGGCTTACGGCGCCAAATGCGCACTTTCAGAGTGATCCTGCTATGCCTGGGCAGCCACACGACCTTTTACCGTTCATTCAGAAGGCCACCGTGGAGTGTATGTCTCGGATTCCTTCATCGTTCTACTATGACGTGGACAATGGACCTCATTACTTCCCCCTACACAGACCATAGTCTCGTCGAATCACGGAGAAACCCGCAGAGCTCGTCAGCTCCTGCGCATTACCTGTCACCTTCTGCACACGAGTTGTTCGAGAAGCTTATTATCTATAAGAGAGAGTCTGAGGAGGTACGCCAGCCCTGAACTTTCTTCCTTCCGACGTATGCATTTATAAGGCCGTCGCCATACGTTAGGATGAAATACTGGTCGGGGTAAATTGCAACCACAACACTACCCTGCTTCCATCACTAACCTCCCGCTGTACCGCACAACAGAGCGCCCAGATACTGCAGCGACACACCTTTCCTGGGCCGCCTGCTACAAAGCGAAACAAGAAAGGCGCTTCGGAAGTGGAAAAGTTGAGGGAAGAGGACGACATTGCGTCTTCTCAAGGAAATCTCTCCCTTCAAGATGTCGGCGATCCTTTCCTTACGCCGAAGAGCACATGATCCTCTTCATGCCCGATTTCTGCGAACATGACGCTTACATCTCTATGCTGATGCTTCTCGCCTTGGTTTGGCACGCTCTGGCCGCCACCAGTACCGCAAGGATGTCGTTATTGTACGAGTATCAGTGGCGTGTGAATTATCTGGCTCGCTGCCCTTCTATGTTCTTCTGGGATTTACTTCCTTGTTTGCTTCATTTGCTTGTCTGTATCTCTATCTCATTCGGGTGGCACTATACCCTCGCCGCTTGTACAACCCTACGTCGATCGTCTTCTGCTGCTGCCAACTATGAACATGCTTATTTTTGTATCCTTCCGTCATCCCAGGAACACTTACGATAGTCAGACTCAAAGTCGATCCAACGATTGCTGCTGCATAGTGATACAACATTGAACAATATGCCTACATGCACATCCGGAAATGATCGCATGCCATACCTCATCCCAAAGCCCATACACTTATCAAGCACATCTTGCTCACAAACCTGACCTCCCATAACCATGACCAAGCCTCCTCACTCAGTTGCAAGTGCAAGTCGACACGTCCGCGGTCTGTCCGAACGGACAGGTCCCAGCTATAAACGTGAGTATGCTCTCGTCAGCGTTCCAAACCCACATATGCGATATGTAGCACGACGTACCTGCACCGAACGCGATGATTCCAGCGCTAGGCGAACCGAACAACCCGGGATCAACGCCATCCAGCTGTGCGTTGACAACCCCGTTTAACTCTGCGTTCTTCGGAGCCTTCTGGCAGAACAGCGTGGATGGAACGACACCGTTGATGTTTAGGGCATTCCTTGGGTGCTTGCGGTAGGCTACGGCGTTCGCGATCAAAGCATCCTAAATAAATTAGTTCGGAGGGGATCAGATCTTGACCGATTCTATGTCTCAGTGCACTTAGGCATAAAGACAACGCACCTTGTTCGTTACGCCAGCGGATTTAGCAAAGTCAACCATCGCATCGGCATTATCCTGTTGAGCGCAAGCGTCCGCATTAGCCAGAAGACTGTTAATCCCGTCGATTCCCGCGAGCTGAACACAGGGGTTTCCGGTCGTGATGTCCCCTCCGCTAGCATTGCAGAGGTCCTGCCAGCTCTGTGCGACGGCGCCGAGATCGCTTTGCGCAATCCGTTTGATTATACGGTCAGATGGGGACCGCTTCGAGCTCCCGGACCCACTAGCGGCACAGGCTGGGGGCGCGGTAGGGGCGGTCTGACGCCTGAGACTGATAGATGGTGGATTGGATGGTCGTCAGGATGGCGGGAGTGGACGGGAGGGATGTTTCACGGAGATCACTCACTTCGGCGACGACGGAGATCGTTTGCTGCCAGTGGTCGTAGCACCGGTGTTGGCGATTCGGGTCTGGCGACGGATGGGTCAACTCAGGTCTCGGTTTGGCGCAGTGTTGAAATGGGGACACTTACATTCGCATCTGCCTGTGTATCGCAGGTAACACTGGAGGTGAGAGTGGGTACATGTACTTCCATTGCAGAGATTACATCAGAAGCGCTCACCTTGTGCCGGGCGAGTTCACCAGAGGTAAAGCAACACAGGTCAAGCCACCCGCACATGGAGTGACTTGGAAGCTGCCGCCGCTGCACTGTGCGAAATCGCCATTGACGCAGGCACTCTCCCCATCCGTGCAGGGAGAGTCTGCGGTCAAGGTAGCAAACTTGGCGTTCAAAGCCTGTGCGTCGAGACCGTTCTGCTTCGTGAAGGAGGCACGACGTCCGAGATCTCGTTTACTGGCAGTGGCGCCTGTGCTGGCGATTCTGGCCTATTTGGGGACAAATATAGTGTTAATGCGTGGTTAGGCTCTCGTCGGGGAAGTTGTACTCAGCGTACATCAGCATCTGCTTGGGTGTCACAAGTGACACTGTAAATGGATGACCGTGAGTGGTGAACACCATGGATGGGCACTAGACTTCTCACCTTGTCCCAGGAGAGTTCACCAGCGGCAAAGCAGTGCAGGTCAAACCGCCTGCACATGGAGTGACCTGGAAGCTACCACCACTGCACTGTGCGAAGTCACCGTTGACACAAGCACTCTCCCCGTCAGTACACGGAGAGTCAGCCGTCAACGTTGCGAATTTTTCGTTCAGAGCCTGCGCGTCGAGGCCGTTCTGTTTGGTGAAGGCGGCCCGCCGATCAACTGCAGCGGCTGAAGCGAGCGCCGCGAAAGAGAAGGAAAGAATGACGGTGAAGGAAGGAGAGAAATGCATGGCGATGCTAGGGATGGTATGAAGGAAAGGAGCGACCAAGCGCAGCTGAATGAAAGGCGAATAGATGGAAGAGAGCAACCAGGCTCAGGAAGTCGTGAATGAGGTGGATCCTGAGAAGCATGTCTTGAGGGAATGTCAATTTTATACTGTGCAGGGAGTCGATATGCAGGATAGGAGCGGCTTGTGGCGATGTGATCAGACAAAACGGGAGAGACGATAGGTCCTGTTCTCTGCCACTACGAGATCCGATTGATGGTAGATGAACAAGTCAAGCGAATTTGAGAGATAGATGAGAGTACACGGAAACGGGCAGAGCCAACAGCCCCAAACAGGCACCGCGGAGATGAGTTTGGACCATAAAGAAAGTCGGGAAGGTCAGCGATCCAGTTAGCAGTGAGTGAAGTGTCCCAGGACTGTGACAAACAGACAGAGGATCTAGAGGCGGTACGGTTTTCAAGATGCACACCCTATGAACATCCAATGATCTTTGGCTTTCGAATTGAGTATATTCCAGCCTGTAATGTCCATGGATAATTACCGTTAACGTCTGGAAATCTGGCTCCTTCGTGATCCGAATTAGCCGTGTCACGGTGCGACCGCATCAAAGACGCAAGAGGGGTTGATGGAGGTTGATGGTGCCCAGGGGTCACCGGTCAAGTCACATAGACAGAGTCTCAAGAGAGCACAATGCGCTCATGAAATGCGTAGATTCTCCATGACAATGGACAGGATCCGGATATACCAGAACGAGTCGAGATGGTACTTATTCGCTGCATTCCTGGAAGCTAGGTACTGTCAGTGGTTCGGCACTCCCAGGTCAAAACAGAGACGATGAGCACGAGTTATGAAGACAGATGGCAGCAACGCGCCTTTCGTTATAAGGATATTTGGGTGGCTCCAGAGGGTTTGCGGTATAGGTGGAGTTCGAACCACGACCGAACTTTGCGGGCGCCTTCTCGGACAAAGCCGATTGAGCTCATCACGTGGCTTCATGAAAACAGACGCGACTTTTCGTGAATTTGCAGAAGTCAAGAAAATCCAGTAGCATAACCTGCCAGTCTGCTTGCTTGACACACTCATCGACTGGGCGCCGTACTTTCCCTCAACAATGGTTGCGGCAACCGTCTCTATTGTCTCTGATGACGAACGAAGTCCCCCTCCCCGCAAACGCATTCGACCCCTTACCTCCGACGCAAAAACCAAGCAGAGCACAAGTGCAAGCTCTCCCCAACTATACGCCCCATTCCGTGCTCTCGGTATAATCACCAATCATGTACCAATCGTTGTCCAAACTCGGTCGTTCAAAGGAGCTACAGAGGGCCCCAAAATTCATCTCCTAACATGTCTAGGAAGGTCATGGGCTTTATGGGAAGGCGGAAAGATGAGCCTTCTGTTTGCTGGTAAGTAAGTGCTATCTATCCCTATATCCTGGGTGCTCTATGAACGAATATGAATGCATGCGGCTTGTCTCCAGGACCTGATTCAGGAGACACTATCTCCAGTATGGTCATGGACGGCGATGCGGTATGGGTGGCGTCTGGACCTAATGCGATTAAGTATGCTCGAGGAAAGGAGGTGTGTTTTCAACATATCGTCGCGACGCGCATAAATTGACTATTTACAAGGTTTCTCGCCTATCTGACCCACTCGGAGCACCCCTTGCTTCCCTCTTAGTATTTGGGCCACAATTGCTCGCTCTCACCGCGGATGGTCGACGGCTGCTCGTCTGGGATACAGCCCAAGAAGGTAGTCAATCAGTGTTGGCAATGTAGATGTTTCCTCACGAACCTTACCTGCAACAGAATTCGACCACCAGATCCAATTTGATGAAGGCTTCACTGCAACACACATACTGCACCCTGCAACGTATCTGAACAAGATTATTGTAGCAAGCAGTGGTGGAGATCTACAACTATGGAACATCAGAACCCAGTAAGAAATAGTGTCACTCATATCGACGACCAGCTTCACATCTGACTTTGACGCTCCAGAAATTGCATACACAAATTTTCATCGTCGAACCTTCTAATTGGATCCTCATCTACCGCGCCCACCGCCATAACCTCCATCGCACAATCTCCCGCCATCGACGTATTAGCGGTTGGGTTTGCTTCCGGCGAAATATCAGTGTATGATATCAGAGCGGATGAGCGTCTCATGCGCATCTTTATGCGCGAGGGCAGTGTTCGAGCCATAAGTTTCAGGTCTGGTACGTTCGGCTTCCTCGGTCTCACCCCAAGCCACACGCATGCAACTCATCATTCTTGGTCTCCAAAGATGGTCAGCCCATCCTCGCTTCTGCATCGGAAACCGGCCACATATCCTTGTGGGATCTCAGTGCCAATGGTCGGCTATTACACACCGTTCGTGGTGCACATGATAGCGGGATTACAGCTCTGGAATGGGTACCAGGACAACCCGTGCTGATCAGTTCGGGGGAGGACAACAGTGTGAAGGTACGGATCAGTTGACATGGATAATCACTCGCTAAGCTCACTCATCTTGAATGGTATAGCAATGGTTGTTTGATTCACCAACGGCTCCCCCTCGATTACTCAAGTTTCGGTCGGGACATCATGCGCCACCACATCTTATACGGTACTATGGTGAGGACGGCAAGCAACTGTTGACCGCATCGAGAGACCGGAGCTTGCGTTGTACATCCATCGTTCGCGATTCTAGATCGTTTGAGCTCTCTCAGGGTCTGTCCTCCTTTGACCCCTACTTCACTGGATCGTTCGTTGACTCCAGAATATTGCAGGCTCCCTCTCAAAAAAAGCGTCCACGTTATCAGTGCCCATCGCGTCCTTGAAACTCCCGTCCATCACGTCCATATCGTTCTCTACAACAAGATGGAAGGACTGGGACGACATCATGACCGCTCATACTGACGAGACGTTCGCGAGAACGTGGAGCATGCTGCAAAAGAAGAAGGGCAACCATGCTCTGGGTCTTGCGGATGGGAGCAAGAAAACTACTGTCGGCTCAGTTAAGGTCGGTCGGCCTCTGTCTCCAATCAAACTACACGCATTCATCTATTCTCAATAGGCCGTATGCGTATCAGCTTGTGGCAACTTTGGCCTCGGTAGTTCGTCGACTGGCGCTATCGTGATGTGGAACATGCAGTCTGGGATGCAACGCAAGACGTTCAATGTAGGGCCTTGCCCACCGGACGCTGCCAGTCGGTTCCGTCCACAGAGCGGGAAGAAAAAGGCCGAGGAGCGATGTGTGACAGGCCTCGCAACTGACGCCTTGAACCGAGTCGTTATTGCTAGCACACTGGACGGAACACTTAACGCACGTTGTCTCCGACTCCTTTCGCTGAATATGTGTACTAACATTGTACTCTGACAGTTCTTCGATTTCCACACCACAAAACTAGAGCATACTCTGACCCTTCAGACAGCCATCGTATCAATAGCTTTGCAAAGAAATAGCGGCCTGCTCGCTCTGACCTGCGATGACCTGGTCGTCCGCCTGGTCGACATCGAGACACGCAAAGTCGTCCGTGAATTTACTGGATTTGTTGGACGTATCTTGGACCTTGTGCGTGTCATCGCCTCCTTTCTTCTCTATACGCAATTACTCAAAAACATTCTGTCTATCACAGACGTTCTCCCCTGATTCACGATGGCTCATCACAACATCACTCGATTCTGTCATCCGAACTTTCGACATCCCTACTGGACGGCTCATCGATGCTTTCCGCACCACCAGTGTGGCCACGAGTGTCTCGTTCTCTCCTACAGGCGATTTTCTGGCGACTTCCCACGTAGACAGCGTAGGGGTGTTCCTCTGGTTAGTGAAAAAGTATGCTGTCCTGTCTCTTACATCTTGCTCACGAAACATGGGCGTTACAGGGCCAACCGTGCACAATACACAGACGTGTCGTACCGCAGCATGAAGGAGGAGGACATCCAGGATGTTGCTCTTCCTGTCATGCAGGGCGAAGGTGACGCGGAAGCTGATGGTAAGTGTTTCTTTGTCTTCCATCGAATATCCAAATTCTCACTACTTATATCCATCTTCAGCTCTGGAAGGTCTCTCCGCCCTCACGGTACAGGAGACACCTCAAGATCTCTTTAGTAGTCCATCAAACCTGGATGGAGACCTCGTCACACTTACGCTCCTGCCCCGCTCCCGATGGCAGACATTACTTAACCTAGAAGTCATCCAGGTATGTCTGCCTATCATCGTATTTCCTATTCCAGCGTGCTCACACGACGCTCTCAATAGCAACGGAATAAGCCCAAAGATCCACCAAAACCGCCTGAACAAGCGCCCTTCTTCCTGCCCACACTGCCGGGGGTGGAGCACCGCTTCGCCATCGACCAAAAGCAAGAGTCGCAGTCGAATAAAACAACGAGAAGACTCGATAAAATCGCTGCGGAGACTGAGAGCGTCTTCCTCAAGAAACTTGCCGAAGCCGATCCTCAGGGCAACCGTGAGTGCTCTTTCTTCGATCTGTTTCCGCCCACCAGTCTTTTTTCTGGCGAATTCTGGTGATAGACGCTGAGACACATACGTTTGATCTAGACGAAGAATTCTTCACCTACGCCAAATCGCTCTCCCCCGCTGCCGTCGACCTCGAACTGCGCTCGCTCGTCACCCTCGACGTCCTCCACTCCTTCATCCATGCACTCACCCAGCGTCTACGCTCACATCGCGATTTCGAAGCCGTCCAGACCTACCTGAACGTCTTCACACGCATGCATGGCGATGTTTTGATCGAGAATGCGGAGCTAAGAGGAGAGCTGGAGATGCTGCTGAAGGTGCAGAAGAAGGAGAGCGAGAGGGTGTTGGAGTTGATTGCGTCGTCGTTGGGGACGTTGGCTTTTGTTAGGGATACGTTGTGATGTGGCATCTTCTCTATGTCATAATATAGAGAGATGTTTGAGGCTATCACATGGTGATGTATATGGACGTATGAATAGTATGCTGTCTGTGTACAATGCTGACAAAACTAGGATTCGCTACACTTCGAGAAATTAAGGCTACATGCGAGAAAGAAATGAAGGGTAATTAATCCACCATCGGCCTAGAGATCCTCATCAGCATCGCTCTTTCGCACAATTGACAAAATAAACAGGGTACTTACGCGACATCATCTATCCGTCCTTGTGGAAGTACCGTGTGCCACACATTCGCAAACAACTCCTCCTGCCCACAAGACGTCTCCAACAGGATGTTCCGCGCCTTGCATACATTGAGGAAAGCCTTCCATCCAACCGACTCCTTCGTGGGTACCATCTCCGGCAGCATGTCCATCAACTTGTCCGGCGAGCCTACGAACGCCATACGAACCCTGCTCAGCGGCAGCGGCTCGGCGATCTTCCCCTCTCGCCCAGTCAAAGCCGATATCTCCGGCTCATTCTTCCCAGCCAATGCGAGAGCGTTCAGGGTCTTCTCCAGAGAAAGGTCATTAGCGACGGCGATAGGACATCCTTCGAGTGTGACAGAGCGGAGCGAAGGACACCTGAACGGAAAGAGATAGCTGAGGTAATGAAGCATCTGGTTGAACAGCGCGCCCTCAACGCGACAGGTGACGGTCAACTCGACCATGTTGGGGCACAGGTGGAGGGCGGTCCAGAGTACGATGGGCGTCACGATCCCGAGGCGGTGGATGTTCTCGCCGTGCTGTGTGATCATTTGTTCGCCGTTCTCGACGATCGTTTGGTCCGGCCAGCTATTGTCGTCCGCGATGAACGTTCGGAGGGAAGGCATGTCCCATTCTTCCGTGATCTCAGGAACGTAGATGCGGGTGAAGATGAGGGTGTGGAGGCGCGGGAAGGACATCTTCACCGGGCGGTAGTTATAAGATGGCCTTCTTGTGAGCGTGAGCCAGAGTGTCTCGAGGAAGTCTGACAAAGGAGCCAGAGTGCTGAGAGCGAGAGAGAGATCACATGTGAGCTCGAGCCTGCGCAGATTCGGAAATGCAGCAGGGGCCAGATCGAGAGGCGAGGCAAGCACGCTAGAAAACGTGGAGATGTTTGGACAGTGGCTGAAGACCGTGTGGAGGGCGGCAGTATGGAGTGCTGTCCAAGATTGACCACAGTCGACGAGACGAAGCTCAAGCCTACGAGTCCACCACCCAAGTCCAGTAGAGTCCGAAAAGATCTGCCTGTCCAGGAGACTGGCGAGAGCGAGGATTTGTTCTGAGTGGCGAATGAAGATGAATCTAACGAGTGTGCTATGATTGATACCGCTGCTGTCCCGTGTAAGAAAATGAGTAGACTCACTCGAATGAAGTTTGTTCCGCGTATTGACGGAACGCTTTGCAAACCTGACTGATAGCTAGTCTGGTCTGTAGGAGTTTGTGATAGCTAGCTTGCGAGCAGCGGCCAGAGACGTCCCGGGTGAACGCGATGACATCTTCCTCGTTGGAATCGGCAAACACAGTGGGAAAGCTGGGGCATGCTTGAGAGACTATTTCGAGCCATATTTCTGCAGGTAAAGTCCAGTAGGTTGTCTTGCCAGTCAACAATAGTGCTGAAGCCTTGTCGGCGTGGCGTGCTCGAGAAAGAACGTCGATGGAGTTCGGCATAGAGTTGTATGAAGGGTATCGTTGACCAGTCAGGTGGGTATGATATTAGTTCGAGATTAAATGATATATAAACTGAGGAGAACGACGGTGAGGTTTCACAAGAGAGATGGGAGGTAAGAGAAAGAGGACAAGAAGATGGTCGTGGTCGTGCCACAAGAAGCGGTGGCGGGAACTTCCTTCAACCTCTCCGACTTATCTCGGACTTCCGACGTGACCATCATTCGACATGCTAACGACATGGCTGCCAATTTCGGATCTCACCCTGCCCGAAACACGCTCAGAATTTTGCCCAGAATATTCACTGTCGACACCCCTGTAGGTTCCATGGATGAAAATACCTCCAGCTGAGCTCCGATATTCGTAGTTGACGCGAAATATTTGCGTGCTCAGGCGACTTGTTCACGACATGCAACCCACGGCCGTGGCGGACGGAATCCCGTCCCGCTGCTACGAACGCTGGTCCCGACAAATATACACACCCTTTCGACGATTCGACATCGGCCATCTTCTTTTACTCGACCAGCATCCAAAGCTTTCCTGTCCTACTCAGTTCCCTCGATGTCCGTCTTCAACTCGTCCAGATTGCTCGGCAAGACTGTTCTCCTTACAGGAGCCAGTGCAGGTATCGGTGCTGTGAGTGGTTCCTCTGTTTATCTGCGATATACGAGACTAAAGAAAAAATATGATCAGGCTACCGCCATCCTGTTTGCTAGGGTAAGCGCTCTCGGTGTTGTGTACATCATCGCGCAAAACATAACGATGTGGTACAGGCAGGTTCCAACTTGATCCTCCTCGCCCGCCGAACGGACGCCTTGAAGACCGTCGCCGAAGCCGCAGCCGCCGCGCACAAAGAATCCGGTGCTACCCAAGGTGGAAAAATCGCTACCATCCAGTTTGATGTCGCAGACAAGGCACAGGTCGCTTCACTATTCGACAAGATCCCACAGGACCTCCGTAACATCGATATCCTCGGTGTGTCTCCGCCGTCCGCGTTATCTCCCTCGTAATATTCAATGCTGAGATGTCGATGTGTTGCAGTGAACAATGCTGGATTTGTGCACGGTGTGGACAAAGTCGGATCTATCGCAGATGCTGATATCGAGGCGATGTTTGCCACCAACGTGCTCGGTCTGATCTCCATCACACAACTTCTCGTCAGACGTGCGCTTTTTTTCCTTCAGCATGTCTCCAAATTCCCCTTTTCTAAGGACATGGCTCGTATAGATTTCAAGGAGAGAAATGCCGGGCACGTCATCAACCTTGGTTCCGTTGCTGGTCGTGAGCCGTACCAAGGAGGAAGCATCTACTGCGCCACCAAGCATGCTGTCAGGTCCTTCGGCACCTCTTTGATGAAGGAGCTCTACGACACCCCCATCCGAGTCAGCGAGGTCCAACCAGGTGAGTCTACCCGCATATCCATATTTTACTCCACCGAAGATCCTCATGTATATTCTCAGGCTTGGTTGAGACCGAATTCTCCGTTGTTCGCTTCCGTGGGGACAAGTCTGCAGCGGACAAAGTTTACCAGGGTCTCGATCCTTGTGAGTGGTGTCCTCAATTATCCTCGGGCGTCGAATACTTACAAAAACGAAATCATATAGTGACCCCTCAGGACATCGCCGAAGAGATCGTCTGGGTCGCCTCTCGTCCACCTCACGTTAACATCGCCGAGCTTTTCGTCCTACCCGTTAGCCAGGCCAGCCCAACGCTGGTCCACCGTGGAAACTAATCGGGGAGCTGGAAGCCCAGGCGAGCAGTCTAACAGAAAAGATGTATTCTTACCGCACAATATTATCGTGTATCTGTCTGTCGATGGATGAAACAACCAGTGTAGAATTTACATTATCGAGGGAAGTAAAGAGAATCCAAGACTGTCATTATATAGATAGATGAGTAGCAAAACGTGACGAGGGCGTAAACAAACGAGTAAGGAGTGACTATGGATATAAAATGTACTAATATAAGTACTGGATCAATTCTTCGCGTTCTTGCCCTTGCCTTTGGGTTTCGGTTTCGGTAATTCTTGAGCCTCTGGGTCGTTCTCGTAGACAAACTTCTGAATGACAATTTCCTCGAGAACGAGTCCATCAAGAGGTGTCTCTGCGTTCACCAGATTGCCGAATTGATCTAACCGCAAGCCCTATACCGAAGTTAGTACGAGAGATTGCTATCCAACTAGTGAAGAAACATACCTTCGCGGCAGCAGCCAACGCGCCCCTCTGCTTCGCCGTTAGCTTCGACGCATTCTCCGGCGGCTTCGGTGGATTCTCCTCCTCGAAATACACCGTATCAAACAAGAGCTTATCCCACTTCACCCTCCTCGCTTTCTCCTTCGCCGCCCCTCCCTTCTGCGGTGTCTCCCACTCCTCATCATCGCCCGCCCCAATCCTATGCTTCAGCGGCAGCCCATCCGGTCCGATATCCACACTCATGAAACTCAAATCCCCCAAATCCGACTGTCCCATCTCATCATCATCGTCCCCCACTCCCCTCTTCGCTCGTCTCCTCGCAGCCCTCTCCTCCCTCTCCTTCGTCTTCTCCTCTTTCTGCTTATCCATGAGTGTCCGAACCTTCGTCGTAGGACTGTCCGGCCTCGCTCCGTCCTTCCGCACGATCTCCGTCTCCAGACGAGCGGCGATATAGTGCTGATTCTTCGTCGTGTTGTTGGCCGTGAGGTTCTTGAGCGCGACGGCACTCATGGCGGAGAAACCGGTAGGATCGAGGAGTGCTTGACGTTGCTGTTTTCGCCGAGGCTGGAGTGGCCGTGTACCCCCAGTCGTGTCGTTGAATGACTGGCCGGCCACGCCTGAGCGTGTGCTTCGCCGAGCTGAGGTCGAGGCCGAAGTGGCAGATGAAGAGGCTGGAGGGTCTGCCGTAGGCGGCTCCGGTGACTTGTTCGTTGTTTGTGGTGGTGTTGATGGCAGAGGAACCTCCTCAGGAATAGGAGAAGAACTGATCTCGATGGGAGAAGGCGATCTGAATTCTGGAGCTGGTGGCGACGGCTCCCTGGTAACTTCTGGTACAGGGACCGGAGGAGAGGGTGTTCTTGTTCTCTCACGCTGGGGAATTGTACTAGTAGGCTGTGCGACGACAGTTTGAGGTCTCCGTGGAGGACCCTCCACCTTCCGCGCCATCCGTGGCTTCTTTGGGGGACCCTCATCACTCGGTTTCGTCGATACAGCCGGCACAGGACTTGGCGCTTTCTCCTTCTTAGGAGCACCCATAGCACGCCGTGGTGGTAACGCTGACCTGACCTGAGGAGCGGGAAGAGTGGATTCAAGACGTTTACGCTTGAGCGTGGATGCCGTGGAGGCTGAGGGTGCATGGTTCGCATCGGGGACGTTCGAGGTTACGGTGCGAGAAGAGGAAGGCACAGCTCGTGTAGGCAAGTCTTCGGAGCTGGATCCACTGGAGTTATTGGCCTTCAGGCTATTCGACGTCTGCTTGGCCTGTCAATATAGTCAGTCTGGTTTTATGAAGAGAGTCAAAGTGGAAACATACAGCTGGATTACCGATCGCCTTTCGCGGAGCCAACAGTTTCGTTGCAGTAGGCTTCGGATCCACAGGCCTCGCATAGGGCTTGGCCCCAATACGCGGAATCTTGGACGTCACTGTTGGCTGCCGCAGAGTCGACTTTGCCGGACTAGAAGGTGCTGCTGACCGTGCTGCTGGCGCAGGAGCTTTCGCTGGTATTTGTGCTGGTGCTGGAGGCTGAACAGAAGAAGTCGACGCCTCGTCCTCCTCCAGAATCACGCCAGGAAGTTTCGACGCGGCGCGATGCACTCCACCGTTCCGTAGAGGAAACGGAAGTGTAGTGCGCATCTTCGAAGGACTCGCGGTCTCCGAATCCGACAAAGACTTCGAAGGCGGCTTGATCTGGTTGACCCTCGTATTCTGTGGCTCTGCGGATCCAAACCGTGGAGCTTTCAGAGGGGATGCTGGAGGTCGACTGGCCTTAGTTGCCGACGTGAATTCGGAGGGCTTGACGCGTCGAGCAGGTGTACGGTTCGGATCGTCCAGAGGGCGAGTATTCGTGAAATTTGGATCAGCATGGTTCGAGCCTAAAGGCTCCGCCGAACCGAGACGTGGTAACTTCGTGGCGGAGAACGGCATATCCTTGACGGGCACACGTCTCGCAGGACTTCGACTTGATCCTTCGAGTGGCGGAGCGGTGAATACAGGAACACCGAAGATTCCTCCTGCACCCGGTACCCTGCCTGGCCGTGCGGCAGTGGGGTGCAGAGGAACTCGTCGAGCTGGGGAAGACATCCGTGATGGGCTCGCTGGAGGATCCGAAGGATTTGCACCAGAGGGACCTGCTTCTTTGTTGATCTCTTGCTGAGTCGAAAAGATCAGAGTGCGCTCGACGTCTTCGGCAGCCCGGACAGGGCTAGAAGATGCCTGCTGGTTGGGAGAGGCCCGCCTCTTGGGTGTTGAAGGTAATGGAGCATTGAGAAAGGCAGATGGGAGGACTGAAGTCAAGGACGCGCCAGACGACGTCGACGGCTCAGGTGATACTATAGGTGCCAATAGATTTGAGAGTACGGTGACTGAACTAGGCGAAAGGGATGAAAGCTCTCTACGGGATGACGCCCTCTTGGCCCTTGCATCTGGACTTCTCCGGGACGGAGATATCGTACCAGACTGGTCGTTGCCAGAGGAGATGCGCGCGGATCGTCTACGGGATATTCCCTGTTGGGGTTCCGGCGTAGTCTCTTCTTCTGGAGGTGTAGGTGGCGTTGGATCCTTGAGTGATATAGATTGAGAAGTAGTCGCCACATTATTTCCAGCATCGTGGTCAGTCAACATCACGAGCTCCACATTGGCGTGTCCTTGCTCTCCTTGCGCCACATGATTGGGGTCCTCTCCATCCATGGGAGTATCCTCATCGCCCGCTACCTCGCTTTTTGCAGGAGGTCGCTCAGGTGAAAGATCGATAATGTCGAGTATCTGTGAAGCCCCTAAGTAATCAAACCGAAGAACTTCAAGTTACAGGCTAGTAAGAATACGCACATTCTCTCCGTCCGTGACGGAAGCCAAGGGTTGTGGCAGCTCACCCTCCTGTACAACAGCCTGCACTAACGACTGGTCAAAACTGATGAGGTCATGAGATATGTTCTGAACTTCGTTTGGTTCTTCCTGGCGTTCTGCAGGGTTGGCAGGGGGAGGTGGAGGAGAGAAAGGAGAGAAAGGGTCTTCGATGGGAGGCATAGGAGCACCCATCTGTTCGAGCAGAGGTCCCGCGTCAAAGGACTGAGAGATATCGATCAACCGGTCCGAGAAGAGTTGGGGTGCGTCTTCGGTGGGAGTTAAATCCTCGCCTTCGAGCTGGTCCATTTGTGGCGGAGGAGAAGGGTTATCGTGTGCTCGGGATATCCTCAGCGCCAACACTGATGGAGGGTCTGTCAAAATTGGAAAATGTACGCCCATATGTTCTAAATCAGACGATGACTTCGCACAAGAATAGCACCCACTCACCATCGTCCACAAATGTCTCTTTCTCTGGGGTGCCCGCCCTCCCTGAACCTTCTTCCTCCCTGATTGGCTCCACATCCGGGTCGTCCGAATCTGAATCATCATGGTCGTCTGCCGAGGCTGTCGGACTGGGAACACGCGCAGCTGAGAGACGAGACGATCTGCGCAGAGGGGATTGGGTCGCTGTGGATGTCGATGCACGCGTACTGCGCCTGGGAGTGGGTAACGCTGTCTGGGACGCGAGTTTCTTCTCCGGAGACTTCAAAGGCCCCATGTAGACGCGCGAGCCAGCGGTGTTAACTCCATCTTCATCTGAGCTATTGTCTGAGTCAGGGGAGTCGATATTGATGATGGGGAAGAGTTCCTCTGTGTCTGCCATGGTACGGGCAGGAGGTGAACACAAAGTACGAAGCAGACAAGTCGCAACGCGGAGAACGTTCACAGTTTCAACGCGTCGCCACACGTGACCACGCTTTCTTTTCTTAAATCTTCTACGAGTTTTATTTTGAACTGCTTTGCAACAAACAACAATGGAATACGGTCGTGTCAAGTACATGGATGTATTGCCTATCCGAGCCCATATCATAGCATACAAAAGGAACTGGTTCGTGGCGTCATAAAGGGGTCTGTGTCGATAAATTAAAGTTGAGGGGAGAAAGCGCGAGAGGTGGCGCTCCCTGGCATTGACGATGCTTCAGTGGCAGTCCGCGGTGGATAAGATGGCGCCCGCATATTATAATGCACGGAACTGGGAGTGTTTCCACGATCCTTTAGCTGGAATGGATGTAGCTCAGCGAAATGCCGTGAGAAGCGTGATGTGTGGCACTGACCCTTTCGTTCTCCTCCTGCAACTGAGCCAAGGCTTCCTCCTGTTGTCTAAGTTTAGCGGTCATCTCGTGGACCATGGCAAGTACGTCCGGATTAGAAAGGTCGAGCGAGGAATTCATTGAGTTATCGTTGTGCAGGCGACGACGCTTCGCTCCCTGCTCGTCCTCATAGCTAGGAGCGCGATGATACTCCGAGCCACCGATATCCCTATTGACCATGTCGAAGTCCCTATCCACCATCATAGAGTCCGTGTCGGCTATCTTGCGTTTCCTCGTCATAGGAATGTTGTCGCCAGAACGGTGCATTTCGACCGGACTCGCAGAGAACGGCATTGGAGGATAAGATGGCAGTTGAGCAGACAACTCATGCCTGAACCGGTCGAGCGCGACGCCAACCTCAGAGTCTATAGCCTGAACAATCGAGTTCATGAAGTGCTGGAATAGATCTTCCCAAATATGGCCTAGGCGTTTGAAGTCCGCCTCCATTCGATCGTGGTTCTTTCCATGACTAGCAATGACGGCGGCCAGCGCGGGAGTGACGATTGCGTTGGTTGAAGGAGAGATAGCTGAGAGAGTGGAGGACAATTCCGTGCACGCCTTCATACGTTCAGCGTCCCTTTCAAAGGCAGCTGTATCCTGAGCAGCCCTATTTGTTATCCTAAGAGAAGTGGATATTTAGAGAACAACATCGCTTGAGCCACAGGTCGACACACTTAGCGACATCCCGCGATAACTCCACGATTTTTTGGACGAAGGCATCTTGGTAGTGGAGCCCTGGGGCTTCGCGACGAACTTCTGGAGTATTACCGCGTGCGCGTTCTGTTGATATATGGCAGGTTAAACAGGGCACCATAAGACAGGCAAGAGCGACTACCTTTTCCCTTTGGGTCCGTGGTGCGACCACCACGGTTAGATTGTAGATCCTACGTAAAACGAAAATAGTTCAAGTTTATCGGGTTCGATAGTTTTGCACAACACGCATACCTCTGCATGCCTCGACCTCATATCTTCATCGCCGTATACCGATCTTTCCTCTATTTTGAGCTCAGGATGCAGAGGCATATCAGCTGGCCGTCGAGGAGTATCATGGTCGTCTCTACGATCATCGCGATGGGTAGGACGGCCTCTGTCCTCTCGGGAGTCCACAGTTTCAACGTGCTCCCTCATGAACAGTTCAGACTGCGGTGCAAGGGGCGGTAAACGACGACGACTATTGGGCGGGCTAGGTGGCTCATCGTATGGCCTTGGGCGTGGGCGTGAATCACGATGGACCGGACTATGATTCTGCGCCTTACGATGCGAACTCGTCCAACCAGGATCACCGGGGTGTAAGAAGCTAATGGGAGACGTGTCAGGATATGATCTCAGCAAACGTCAGATATGTTATAAACGAGATCAGATCAACCTGCAGTGCTTGCCCGCATTGCAATACGGCTTGATTTCCTTGCCTCTGTCATCAAAGTACTGCACGCGAACCACAGCGACGAACAACGCCATCAGTTATCGTGTCACAACAGAAGAGAAGAATAAGGGGCGGGCTCACTCTGCAGCGCAGGGACTTGTAATTACCGCTACGATTCGACATGGTGGCTCAAGGGAGAGATGCAATAGGGTGCGTATTCGAGAACACAAGTCCAAATTGGGATGCGCTCTGCGCCGGAGTTCAAGAACGGAAATAGGTGAGACGATAATGTCCTCTTGAGATGTCCCGCCTTCGCACTGATAAGTATTGCCTGTCAGCGTTGAATGATCAACGCGACGATCAGCCAGTTCGGAACGGTGTGTTCCCTTTGGATCCGGATTCCAGAAGTCAGTTGCAAGTTGGCCGTAAGATCGAGGGAGAGTAGGTCAAGAACTGGGTCGGGGAGAAATTTTGAGCTGGGTTTGAGAGAGGACGTGAGCCACGAGAAGTGTCGTTGCAGAGCTAGAGTCGTGTGAATGTCAGCCACGTCCGGATACGCACCTTATATACTATTTCTTGAACAATGGACATGAACAGACAAATCGAGAAGCGGCAACATGGCGGACATGATCTCACCCAACTACAATTGTTTCCCGAAGTTCCGTAGCAACAGCTGGGGGCCTCTGTGTTGATACAGCAGGAGAACAACAACGAAGAAAATGATGGCACAGTGGCACCTCCCGATTGTGGCAAATTCAACCGGCAAAACGCGGGCTCGCTACTCAGCCAAAATGACCCGGTTTCTGGTAATGCCGGCTTTGACGCTCGGTATGCTATGCTACGCACTTTCACGATGTACATGTTCTTTTCCCATTCTCCATCGTCCAGTACTTTGCGGCCCAAAAACTCCAGGCCGGATACAGCACATTAGAGGAGTACGGGCGCTATCTCCGGCTTGACTCGAACGACGAACATCTAGACCTCTCCGTGCTGTGAATTGAATACTGCTATGGGTTCAGTCCTCAGCCTTAATGTTGCTTGCGTCCCCAAAGTCTTCTGGGCCAACACACCAGCCTATTTTTCTACACGAACTTCTCCAGAGTCAGAAGTATCAAGGACATCCCTACGCGCCTTTGTGGAATCTAGAGTACCTAGCCTTTTGCAACAATTCCATCCGGCATGGTGGTTGCCCGTAGGACATCTACAAACAATGTACTCGGTAGTTGGGGATTTCTCGAAAATCGACAAGGTGGCTTATGACAGGTCCGTTCATCTCAGAGAATACCCGTCTGCTAGATCATAAATCTTGTGATACTTCAGGACACTTCTGCGACTGAAAGACGGAGGAACAATTGGGCTGGACAGCACACCACCCGCGAACGAGAGGATATTAGATGACGATACTCCCATCGTGGTTGTCTTGCATGGACTTACGGGAGGTGAGTCGTAGTGTGTCTCTATGATGGAGGAAGTTTCGAAGTTGATTGGGCCTACAAAGGGTCGCATGAGTCCTATGTCAGGGCCGTTCTCTGTCCTGCTATTGCTCCGGTAAAGCAGGGCGGACTAGGATATCGCGGCATCGTCGTGAATTTTCGCGGTTGTGCAGGTGTACCATTAACCAGCGCTCAGCTGTACTCCGCCGGACATACGGATGACATTCGTCAAGGTACGTGCGCTTGTGTAGTCGGTCGGCATATCTTCACTTGGTGCAACTATCTTATCCTGTCCTTTAAAGCTGTCACCTATATTGCGCACAGATATCCCAATGCGCCACTACTTTCCGTCGGGTTCTCGTTGGGTGCCAACGTCATGACCCGGTACGTTGCCCAGGAGGGCAAAGAGTGCCGTTTCCTTTCTGCTTGTGCTTTAGGCTGCGTGAGTGACCCTTCACGCCCCGCATTGTCGTGGATGCTGGATGCTAACATCTTCTCATCAGCCCTGGGATCTAGTCAAGAACAGCGAGATGTTCGTAAGCTCACATTTACTTCTCGGACCTCAAATATATCTGACGGTCATGGTTTCTTCCGCGCAGAATGGAGACGACGTTCGTGGGACGACACGTCTACTCTAAGGGCATGGCAGGAAATCTCCGAAGACTCCTCGACCGTCACTTGGATAGCATCTCCAAGTTCCCCGACACGCCCCTCGTGAAAGGCTACGCCAGTCTGGTTGAACTCCCTTCGAAGCCTGCCTTGGTCGAGTTCGACAACAGCGTCACCCGTTTCTGCGGTGGCTCGTCTCCTCCTTTTCCCTTCGAGAACGCGTAAGTAGTACTCATATGTATGGTCCGTCCTCCTCGCATGTTAACGTCGCTCATGGTCCTTGCCCCTTATATCAGATGGGACTACTACGCTTGGGCCTCAAGTCACAAATATCTCAAAGACGTACGGATACCCTTCCTGGCGATCAACGCCGAAGATGACCCCATAGTGCAAGACATCCCGGTCGACGCCGGAGGAAACGGATGGGTCGCCATGGCTGTGACTGAGCGAGGGGGACACCTGGGATGGTTCGAAGCTACGGGCTACCGGGAAGCCAAACGTTGGATCAGCAAGCCTGTGGTCGAATGGTTTGAGGCGTGTGTTAGGGATATCGTTCCGGAGCGGCGACGAGGTCATGCGATCAGGGAAGTGGATGGGTGGTTGGTCGAGGAGGGAAGAGAGCACCTGGGTTGTAAAGTGATTGAGGGTGGTGGAAAGGTGGAGGGCGCCGCTGGCGAGGAAGGCATGTTGGCGGGACTTTAGACCCCACTAGAGTGCTGTTCCGTAGATACTGTAACACAATATTTTGGTCATACTATATAGATTTTTGAGCTCATACTGCGCCGGCGGCACTGCTCCTTTGTCAAATAATAATGGAGTGCTTGACATGTTGAACGACCAATCTTCAACACTAAAGGTCTGTCTGTGGGAGACTATGCTAGGCAGACTTCGACATATTTTCAGGTTAGGGATACACGGTCGAGTACATACAACACATATCGGATCAGTCGCTATCACTGAATTCCACACGGTCACCGTCTTCTTCTTCATCGTCTGGTCGCCTACGCTCGTACTGGGTGACATCGACAGACTCGGTACCCTCTTCGACGAGGGAACTGTCCTCGATAGCCAAGGTGCGGTCGCGTTCAAACAATTGTCGGCCTACGACATTCTATCATCAATATGCATCAAAAGACATGGAGATCGAGGAACATACCTGTTGGCCGTGTACCGATTTTCTTATATTCTTCTCTTTCCTTCGACGACAGACCTCTCATCCTCTCCTCCTCCTGGCGAGTCTTCCTGATCTTGATCTCTTGATCGAACTTCTTCTTCCACTGCATGAAAGTGTCGACAGTCACGGGTGTACCTCTAGTACGCGCCTCTTCCGCCTAATAACGAAGACAAGTTTGTAAGGGACCGCCACAATTCGCGGTGTGGCGATGTGCGTACCTCCAGAGCTTTACGCTCCTTCTCCATCTCTGCTTTTTGATGTTCCTCGGCTCGATGGTGAATGAGGGTGGATAGTTGTTCTCTGAGATTTGATACCATAGCGAAAGTCATGGCCATGCCCATATTCTCCTCTCCCTAAACCACGATCACGCATGAGAACCTCTGTTCCAGTAGATCATATGTAAAATGTAGACGTACGACTGCGCGCATGCCATCGAGCAAGGATGTTGTTTCAGACTCATCGAGTTCTCCTTCGAGAGTCTCTAGAGTGAGCTCCGGTATGACATCGGGGTATCCATCGGGGTACTGGACAGAGAGCGAGAGTTTGACTATACGAAAATCAGTGACAAGGCCAGTATAGCAGTAAGAGAATCACGAACGATTTTCGGCCACTTCAGCGAAGTCCTCTGGTTCTACATCGATCTTGATTTCCCTTTCCGTCAGTTCTTCGCATGAGCCTCAGTCACTGCACGAGATAGAGTAAGACGACGAGACGGACTCGTGAATTCATCGGGATAAATCGATTCGAGAACCTTTTACATGGGCAGATGAGCATGGCGTGTGATCTAAAGGATGGTACCAACGCACCTCAAACTCCTCTATTAGGACGTCGGATGACATGACGAGAATGGCCTATGCTCAATGTCGTCGATGGAGAAGATGACCGAGGCCAGTTCTGGCGCCACACATCGACGGAACGAGCGCCCGCGTCTTCCCACGTTGTTCTTCCTCTCCGACCACGACTTGCTCGAGCCATAGCGGGTTCACCAGATAGTCAAGCCAAAGATGTTGCGGGCTGCCTTGCGTTGTATCCCCTCCTCGTCCTCGATTCTCCAGTCCGCCTCGGAATCATGCCCGCCTCTTATTGCCGCCCTGCGAGCTTCATCTCGTCCAACATTGACACACTTTACGCGGCGAAGTTTCTCTGACGATACCCAGGGTCAGCGCAGAAGAAATCCTACCTCTGTCCGCTGGCAGAATTTACAGGATGTTACGATCGCGACCAAAAAAGAAATCGCCCCACAAAAGACAGCGGAGGAGACCTGGCACGACCGGAGTCAGATAGCTATGGCTACGCTTCCCCGGCCAAAGGATACTTATGCAGGTCTGCCTCTTTCTTGTACACCGATGGTACGCGTATGGGAAGTCTAAACTATCTTTTTTAGGCCGTAGCGTCGAAGTCAGGGAGTCAGAGTTCAACGTGGCTCTCACGAAGCTGAAGAACATCGTCAGTCGGAACCGGGTCAGGAGGGAGGCGCAGGATCAGAGACGACATGAGAAGAAGGGTTACAAGCGGAGAAGGTTGGCAAGTGTTCGCTGGAGGAAGCGGTTCGCGTACGAGGTATGCATGTTTCGCTCCTGGATCACATTTTACTGGCCCATGTCGACGATGCACCACAGGTTCGGAAGAAGATCCAGCTCGTCAACGCCATCCGTGCGCGGGGTGCATGATGTCTATATTATTTGCAAAATACATCGATCACTATTGCCTGCAAGACTGCCCCATCAAGACGCGAAGTCTGCTTACCTTTTGCTGCTTCGTCCTCTGCTCGAATAAGTGTAATCTGTGGTCGAGCGGAGTGGTATGTCAGACCATCGACACGTCGCGAGGCAATGAGGGACAAACTGCTTTAGGGATAGGATGATCGTGGTGAAAGAGACAGTCGCACCCTCGAGTGAGTCTATTCATCATTGTGATGCTCCGCCACTATGTCATTGGACGTAACAAGCTTGATCTTTGAGTTCCATACTCAGCATATTATCGGTCACAGAGAGAACACCGTTCTCGTCCTGTCCAGTCAATTTAAAAGAGCGTTCTATTGTGGAGATGAGGGCCTTTTTCATTTCCCCTTTCTACGTTTGTCGCGACAATCACGCGTTCTTAAGCTTCGTTGCATAGCTTTCCCCAGATCTATCCTTGCACCCAAAGGCGCGCAAAGCAGCGCGCATCGCTTCTGAGGGGCATGGGAGGACCTTATCCCATCAATTGGCGTTCTTCACACATATTGTTTGCGAATCTGCTATCTCAGACAATCAGTGGAGGCGTGACCATCACTTGTCATGCTTTCTTTACAACCTTTTTCATGCGGGATCCCGCGAACAAGCGGTCAATTTCATTGTTCCGATACTGCGAGTTCGTTGGCCACCACCTAATTTGTACCCCGAATCTGTGTCTTGGAGTCTAACGCTCCAGCAGCTCATCTCTCGTTTAGGAGACTTCTCCTCATACCACGGCTATACTTCGACATGTGTTGGCCTTATGATTCGTCGTGGGGCAGGTAAACCCGTGGAAGTTCGATAAAGATCACTTACTAGGGCGTGGCGGGCGGGAGGAGGCCCACCTTGCTCGGTCAAATCTGCTTAAGGAGGACGATCCTGTGTCGCTGGTTGCGACTCAAGCATCCTTTTCCTCTTCACAATGGCCTTGTGGCGCACTTGCAGCGGAAGGCGTGTGCGTCAATCGAGAAGAAGGAGGTCATGGAAAAGGCCTCGAGCGTCCCCTCCCATCGCCACCAGGTGGGTCCCCCGACAATTCAGCTATAACACAGTTGGAAGGCAACTTCGTTTGGACAGCGACTCCCTAACCTAGTACATACCTCCTCGTCTCGAAAGACCTCATCCTTCTTTCTTCAAAAACCAGCTACATTATGTGTCATAATGTTCGTAGTGTCTCCCGTTCACTTCCCAACGCCTCCTCGGTCAACTGGTTTCTTTTTTAGATTCAGGACGGCCGGTTTCACACTGCTTGCGGCCACTTTGTTTCTATGTCGACCCGTCTACAAGACTGCCTTCGACCGAACTGCTTGTTCAGCAGACGGCATCCAGTTGGTGAGTACCACTGTCCTCTCTGCGACGAACGCATTGTCTCACCAAACGCTGCTAGGTTGTAAATCGCCAGCATGCTGCCGAATGATGTCTGTCCCGGTGCGGAATCCTATTAGGCGAGTCTTTGCATCGCCTCGGCCTCGGCCTCGTTTTTCTTTTCTCAAAGCTCTATACTGACCCTCCCGCACAGAGTCAGCGACACGATGTGTGGCGACTGCGTGGAGCGACAACGTCGCGGCACCCTGGGCTTGGGCTTACCATGATGGTTGATGAGCGACGAGCCTTCAGCTGTATTGGTACATTTTCATACTCATCGCGATTAGAGCGCAGGCGCTGTCGATTAATAGGTTATGTATTGATCCGGACTCTTTGCGATGGTCTGGGGGCGCGCACATGTATGTATCTTTCCTCTCGAAAACGTGCACTCCACATGTACTTGGACACTGCTACTGTCGCCTCCCTACTTTAAACCTATTTGTTTGGTTACTTATGTCGTCATTCGGGGAGACCGGGTTGCGCTGTTGCCGAGAGTACTTATAGGTCAGGTTCTGGATATTTTTGTACGTTCGAATGTGCACGGTCCTGCTTTGAATGAACTGCGTCTGCTTTCTCTAGACCTTGTGTCCTGGTGTGGCGTCTTGACGCCACGGCGAATTCCGGACACAACGAATTTCAAAGAGGTTGGCATCGCGGACACGTGCTCCACTCAGCTCTTGTTCCGAAAACGCGCACTCGTTTGTTCGACGAAACCGCAACGGAATAGGTACAAAGGTTGCTATAACTTATCAGATAAGGCCTCCTTCCTGTCGTATCCACAACGTCTGCGTGAGGGCGCTCGCTTGGCCCTAAAAGCACGGTGGGTTCTTCACTGTGCGCGACCAACTTGAACACAAACCACCTACTAGCACTACTACCTGCTCCGACTCAGCTTCCAACAACCTTCTTTGGCCCATCCCCCCTGCGTTCTCTTGATCACAGCTAGCAATGGATCCTGCCCATCTGTCATCCATGCCTGGCACCTTTACTCTGCGAGTAGGGGACGACCTCAGACGCTATCTTGCTAATGCTACTCTCCCCGATGTCGCGCTCCCCGCTCCCGAAATGACTCAACAACTAGTCCCGTGCGCTGGCGAGAAACCTCGCCTCGGTTCTCTACACATTCGTCCTGAAAGACACAGGCGATTGACTTACATTCATTCTTACCCCCAAGAGATGATGGCAGAGAACGTATGTAGATGTAAGGTCTTTCTCGTGTCTCCTCGTGCGCGCTCCGTCTTTCTGACACACCTTTTATGTGGCTCCAGATGGGGACTCATACGTCCCGAGTGACTCGCCCCCACTCAACTTGAAGGACATGGACCCCGTGAATAGAAGATTGTTCACCGTGCCCTGCGCAGATTTCGACGTCGTCTTGCCGCCCATTATGCCTGTTACTGATATCGACCGGTACGCTTCTCCCGAGGTTTCGCGTGTGTCTACTGGAATGAACTCCTTTCGCAATAGTTTCCAACAGCTCATGGAGAAAGTCCCGCTCCAGACCATACAGCGCGTCATGCATACGGTATTTCCAAACCGTAGGGATTGGGACATCCATGAAGAGGCAGCCGACTTGGACCATGAGTTGTTACGTATCTTTACCTGGCGGCGGCGAGTCGTTTCGCCTGCAGCCGCGAAGGCGTCGGACATCGTTGAGGATACGACCTCGGTGGTAGTCATCGCTTTACCTCCATGGATACTCTCAGATAAAGACTTCGAACGCATTGTCAATCTCGACGAGGTGAGACCGACTTATATGTTGTTACTTCCTGGTGTTCTGATCAACTATCATACAGTTCCCTTCATATGGACAATCATATGCCCATAAGATGAGACCGAAAGAAAAGCTCTGGGCCAAGGTTAGCGTGCTCTTTGTCGTGCGCTCTTCGACCGTCCTGAAACTTGTGTGTAGATTTATGACTCGTGCATGGGGCGCAAATGTCCTTGGTTCATACTCACCAATCATAAGGGGTGGGCGTTCGGCACATTCACGCCAGGTAAGTCTTATTCCGCTTTTAATTCTTGAGGGATAGAGATCACTGATGAGAGATATGAAACTCGCAGAGTACACGCGAGCGTACATTACTAGGGTGGTTCCATCCTCGGCCAAACGACCGACTGTCCTTGAATACCTATTCAACTGGTTCTCTACGGGAATGAGTAACCCGGAAGGATACAACGGAATGAAGGTGCGTCATGAAAAAAATAGATCTACTTGAAGTGTCTCTGCGGCTACTCCATCCCAGACAGGGATCCGGGTTATATGTGCTTTGACACTCCATTACGTCCGATGACTCGCAATCATAGAGATCCCTACATTCTGACGCTCTCGCGCCCATATGCAGGTACCGGAACCGCTTACTATCGAAGCCCCTTCACGATCAGTTACACCTACGTCCGACAGTATGACCCATCCATTCTTCCCACCGGGGCTTTCATCTAGCGCTAGTACTTCCAGTAGCGGCAGCAGCTGGCAAGGCGATAAGCAAGGTCCGTCCTTACGTAGTTTGACGTTCTAACACAAGGAGCAAACGCCGAATTTTGTGTCATAGGCTTCGACATTGCTTCTTGTGCCTCACAGACGTTCACGGACGGTACTCACTACACCTTCGCGGTGTCTGACTACAACCTCAACACTGAACTGCAGGGACCGCCCATCCAGCGCCAGCTTCACGAGTACTCACAAAACAGGAAAACGCTTGAACTCGTCGATTCGTGGAGAAAAGCGAAGGACAATCAGTCGACAGAGTTCGTTCCAGTCCCGCAGGATGATGTGGTCAGCACGGTTTCTACAGATTGGTCGAACACGACTGCACTGCCAGGTTCGAAAGGAGTTTGGTTAGGACCTGGCGCAGACTGAAGTGCTACGAAAGGATCCGCGCTCCGTTACAGAGTTCTATTTTGCTCTGAATTTGCTCTGATTTCCATGCTTTGTCCTATGCTTGTTGATAACATTGTATATATGAGACTGTATGATGTTCGGACAAACAATTTCTTCACGATGCTTTCTCCGTCCCCAAACAAGCCAGATACGGAAGACGCTAGCTGAGATCCAGTCTTCGACCGCTTGGCTTTGCGGGGCTACGTTGAAAAGTCCCATTTGAGACAGTAGTGGTTCGAGGTGGTTCGGGTGGCTGGCTATTCGGTGCCGGTGGTGGTATTGTCTGGTCTGCAGTGCTGGAATGTCCATTTGAGAGATCTGGAGAGGGGTATAGGACAGGTCGCGGAGAAGTCGACGTTGGTAGAGTTACCTGCATGTAAGTTATGAGTAGCTAACCCGGATGTATACAAAATCCCGCACTCACCGCAGCAAGGCGCTGTAAGTGCTCCATTGAGTTCACGGTTGCCTGCCAGTGGTAGAATTCGAGGAGGATGGAAAGCGCGTCTGAGTCCCGGATGGTGTCAGCCATCAAAAGCAGTACCGCATAAACGCCATAAGTCCCACCTCGTACGGATATCATCTCAGAATCAGTCATCAGGAACTCATGCGGTAACTGTCTCTGTTCAGGCGATGTCGGAGTAAACGGCCCTGCATTTGGATGTGGCGCGCGTAATTGCTCTAATAATGGGTCAAGCGTTTGCGAGCTGGAAGGCTCCGCAAGATGCTGGGCGAGCACAAAGGCAGATGCTGTCAGGATTTTTGGTGGATAGAGTACGCAGAGTGGTGTCCGATATCTATAGACAATAAACCATTAGAAAAGGCAGCTTGCCCTAGGTAGAACATGTCGCAGTATGGCTTGATGGGATTGGATACTAACGAGTCATGAGCTATGGTCCACGCATAGTCTTGAAGCTTGGTAGCGCACTCAAACTTCTCGAAGAGGTCGACGAGATCTGCATGTGGACTTTCAACGACAAAATCGAAGCATAAAGCCTCCAATAACACCTCCTCTGTCAAGAGGATCATGTCGCAGGTGATATCGATAGTCTACTCAATGTTAGCTTCTGGAAGGTAGTGCAAGATGCGGCGCGTGCCCTACCTTCCCCTGAGAGGGCACATCGTTGATGTCGACGTTGTCCGATTTAGCGCAGTACACTCGGGCAACATCGCGAAGCTTGCGACCACATTCCTCCGTTTTTGTGGCGAGGAATATACATGCAGCTGCGACCTCCTGTGTATTTCGAGACCAGTATATCAGTGCACGCCGTGGAAGAGAATGACATGAACAAGGAAGATGCTAACTTGTCGATGATAATCTTCCATAGAGTGGCGCATGAAGAACCGATGAAACCAGGTGGCGGCGGTGAAGATCGCCGCTTTGTGGCTAAGAACGGTGAGCTTTCCAGGTTTGAAAGACGGTATATTTCACTACCCACAGTGCAATTGATGTCCCCAAGCGAAACAAGAACTCGATGCCTCGATTCCGGTTATACATTTCATCTTGTAGAGAACGCTCCAAAGCTGTTGGAGTCTGTTCTAACGCAGCTATAGGAAAAATCCACTGAGAGAAGTCCAGCGATGACATATCCTTCCAGCAGTGAAGGGTTTATTCAAAAGCAGAACGAGCCTATGGAAGCAGGACCCTTGTCGTGGATAGCAGCCGCGTAGCGAGCAAGTAAACGAGTGTTCGGAAGCGGAGTCGACAAAGATGATGCTGAGAAGCCGTTCGGCTGCGAACAGGCTTTCTCGCGGAGTTGTAACTTCTCACACGGCCACGTGCGACGGAAGTATCCTGTCTTGGGCTGAGCCGTCTCGACAGTCAGAATGTTCAACTTTAATCTGCACGGCTTCAAATGGGGTTATGATCCGTTTCTGGGCGCCTAGTGAGGTTCGCACGAACGTCGCTTTACCCTATTGTTGCGCGTGCCTTCGCGTAGTGCGGGAAAAAAACTTATCACGACTACATACTAACAAAAGGAAGAGCACAAAGCGCGGAGGACTACCATGGCAAGTAAGGTTTTTCGGCAATAGTTTCCAACAAGACAGCTAGAACCGTATCGTAGTAGTATGTAAGCACTACAGAATTCGGCAAGAGCAATCAAGAAGGTTAAAAAGGGTCACGACTTCACTATCCGTTATCTACAGTAACTTGTGTTCTACCATCCAGATTATCTGCTGTCCCCCTTCATCTTACAAAGACTAGTTATAACTTGTACGAGCGATTAGAGCCATTACTACAGGAGAGTATTCATCGGGTGTCGAGTACGTCTCGTTATGATTCTCAGGTATACTTCGGAGCGCGGCGCGGCTGCATGCATCTATCTTCGAGGAGTGACTCCCGCCTGTAAGCAGAAGGGACACATGGAGTTGGGGTGAGGATCTGAGAAGGGGGAACTAGCGTGAGCGAGCGTATCATCGTCAGCATCCTAACGACGTACTGATCATGTGAGGCGACATTCGACTGTGTGAAGAATAGACGTTTAGCATGCAAGCCTGTGCAACGAAGGCCATGAGCACTCACGCCTGAGCACAAGTCTGAGTACACTGAGGAGGAACACAGTCCCGTGGATGATTGGGACTGAACTTGCACCATCGGCTGTCGCAGTGTATCTAAACGTAGAGAGGACAAAAGGACGTTCGATAACCAGAGACGGGATCGACGACGACGTCTCGGACTTACATCTTCATCTGGCTACACGTGATATCAATGAACATCGACGTCAGACGATTGATGGAAGAAGGAAGGATGACTTCATAACTCACCGAGGTAATCTCGTGCCCACAGAGGTAGGTGTTCGTAACCCTAAGCGACGATCCAGGTAAGACGGTGGAGTGGGGATAAGAGCAGTAGGAAGGCCACCAACCTTCGACGGTGACACATCCTTCTTCTGAAGCGGGCAATCGCTGCAGAAATCACCTCGAGCGGTGTAGGCTTTTATAGGTCCGAGCTGGGAACCGACGAGCCAAGTGATATAACGCTCTTAACATGAGCGGACGCATGCGTCACTCACCTCCGAGGATTCGAAAGATCCTTGATAACATCTTCCGACCGGATTCCGGAGCAAATGAAAAAGGACTGGACAAATCCTCGAGGAGACGCTTCCCACAAGAGCATTGCGGAACGGGGGTAAAACGGCTTGCCATAGGTCAAGGTATAAACGAGGTCGTGCGGTAGAACGCCAAAAGGCTAAAGCTCAACAACGCTTATCCGAGAGAACCGAGAGCCTGGCCTGACCGTCTCATGAGGCAGTCGGGGAGGGGTATCGATGGCTGGATCAGTATGCACGTTGCCGGAACGCGAGCCCGAGAAAAACCACGAAATGGCGAAGGGCGACTTTGCGAGCTCACAAAAGACTGCGAAAAGTTCTCAAGGGTACTGCTCGAGAGATGCACAAAGTAAAGTTATCACGGACTAGACGAGTCCCGACGCGGGTATCCAGAACATCTATGAATATCGAAGGCAGCAAGACAAGCGGAAGGTCGTTAATGAGATGATGAAACAGCGAGAAATGAACTTCACGCGAAAAGATGAACAGTTGATTCCGAGATCTCGCGATGATTCTCAACAGCCTTCGCCTTCGCAGAGGAAAGTTCAATGGATGACAGCACTTTGCTTCCGGATCATTTCAGACCGAATGCCAAAATCCCGGTCTTCACAGAAGATACGCTTTGACCACGTTCCTTCTACATGGCAGCACGCCGCCATATCACCATGCAACGATGGATGGTGCTGGTGATACTGGAAACTTGGAATTTGTTTCCCCGGCTGTAAAGGCACCGCACGCGGGACCCCCTCCGTCTCGCGAGCCGCGAGATTGTACAGATCGAATGTGATTAGAGTACCTGTGGTTTCAACACTATCGCAAACTCTATCGACACGACGATCCGTCCAGGGTACGCCGTGTCACTCCTGAGTTTAATCGTTGGCAAAGCGTAATAGCCGAGCCTCGAGATCTCGTCGCGACCTGTCAGCCTGCGAACATGCCGACCAAATAGGAACTGACACCCTCTGGCGTCAACGTGCCGACGTCGGAGAAGACGAGAGAAATCAAGTCGGGCCTGAGTGCAAGAAATGGGGAGGATGAGCAACGTTTTCGACGGCCACCGATTGCGAGAAAGTGTCGTCACCTTGTGTAGTCGACGTCAGGATTCTTGGATATTTGATCGGCAGTCATCGTCCGCTCGACAGTCGCGGCGGGAAGCAGAGAGGTTGGAAGGGTCGATCGCTCTATCGATGACGAAGGCGTCGAATTCTTGGACACGAAGAGTGAGGGCCTCGCAGCGAGTTCGCCGCCTGGCCGTTGGGCAGATTGCGGGAACGCGAGCGTCCCTGGATTGTGCGTGGGTAGGTCGTACTGAGAAAGAGGGAAGAGACGATGGAATTTGTAACTGGAAGGGGGCTGTCAGCGACACATTCAGGGGAGCGCCTCCGACGACGACCGACCTTTCGGCAAGGGCATAGAATGGTTTGTTTTCGGCTCTCGCGATGATAGCCATCTGATTGCTGCCCACGGCGTTGATCAACCCTCCACTCTCGACGACTGCCTCCGAACCCACAAGGACGAAGTCAACCTTGTCCATGACGTATGCCACGGCCGAGTCGAGCACAACCGTGCACGGAATGCCTGCAGCCGTTAGCGCTTCGTACGTCTTGATCCTGATATGACAATGTAAGATCGCTGGGAGAAAGCAGCGGAGCGGAGTGATCTCACCCTAGCCCACGTGGTCGAGCCTCCGTCACATAGACCGATATCCGCTTGCGTTTGTGTGCATGCAGCAGGGTTTGCATCACGACCCGCGAGTATGAGTGTGTCAATATCTGATTCTTCGGTTGAGCAATAGCGAAGCTAACCAGAAAAAGACAGAATACTTGCCACGGAGTCGTCTTTGATAAAACCTAGGGCGAGCTCTGCAATCTTAGAGCGGTAGGTAAGCGCCTCGGCGACGTATTTCTTCCCTTGACTGACGAGTTCCGTTTTCAAGGCGGAAAAACTCTTCGGAGGGTATCAGTGTGAAGCACGCACAGCACACGAGGCCGAAGAAATACATACATTAGATTCATGTGGGAACAACGTCACAAACGCGATAAACAGCTCACAGCCAGCATTAAGACCGATGGGATTCGGAATGCGTTTTCTTAACTCTTCGGCACCGTCGTTGAGAGCTTTGACCAGCTCGAACATCGTATCCGCTGATCTCAACCAGATATCAACAACGCTGTGCTTAATTGTCGTAAAGTACCACACGAACCATCGGATTGCAGGACCAGTTCGCTCAACGACAGTATAGCGGCCAAGGGCGCAGATATCTGAATACGCCACAACCGAGCCTTCGTCAATGTCTCGGTCTGTGCCTGATGACTGACACTCACATCTTCGTCCATGAGTGTGCGTCGGTAAGTCTCGTATATGTCAAAGTCATTTCCTGCAGGTTGATCCTCGGGGATGGTGCTTGCGAGAAGAGTGGAAGCACGACTTGGGTCACCCTGCAGCGCGTTCAGAGCGGGCTTGATCGTTGACGGACTTGTCGATTGGAGGGGCGTAGGGATCGCCATAGCCTGGGAAATGATGCAAAATTCTATGCTTGTATGTGTTCAGGCAAAAAGACGGGACTAGTTAGAGAAGAAGAGTCGACATGAACCTTGCAAGAACTGAAGAGGGCTGCAACGCCACCCGAAATCGGAGTCAGAGGGTATCCTCAACGGCAGATGCCGGACACCACGCGATAAGCACGTGCAAGGGGAGATCTGCAGCGCGCCTCGACGCGACTCGACGCGTCCACACAGGTCCACATCAAGTCCACATTGACTTTCGCGTTTTCTTCTCGCAGGTCGCGTTCTCCGCATCATCCGGAAACCTAGGAAGTCGGGGTTTTTTATTACTTCAAGATTGGTAGGAAGTGTGTCATACGAAGCGAGGATGTAGGTCGCAGAAAGACGACATGCATGTTGCAAAAGGCTCGGGTGCCGGAATCATAACGTGGTTCTGGTCTGGCATCTATGCACGTAGCTCAAACAGATACAAACCGGTAGCCGTTGTACATATATGCACTCATCCAGGGTGCAAAAATGGATGGTGTTCGGAATGGCCGCGCTTGTAAACTAGTAGGACAAATAAATCGGCAAGATCACCGCCGTAAGTACCCAACCGCAGCGAAAGGTTGAGGCAAATTCTGTGCAGCGCAGTGGTAGCTAGTACCTGTCCGAAAGAGTGAGCGGGGAATGCCATTTGGAGATGAAGAGACCAACAATGAAGTTCGCCGCGTCTGGATTGTGGTCGCCCTTTTATTCGCGGACCCGGCGAGGCACCCTGAGCGGTGGTCGCATATTGCGATGGTGACGTCGGTGTCGTGAAAAGGGGGCGCCCCGAAAGCTGAAACAGAGGACGGCGGTTGCTTTGACGGCCGGGAAGGTAGGACTGTATTGAAAAAAAAAAAAGAGCGAGACGGAGCGAGAGAAGGGGGCATGATATGTTTGAAGACAGCTCCTTTGGGATGCGCAGAAGGGATGAAGGGGCCGTGGCCGGACGTTGTTCTAAAAGGGGTCGGGCGGACGGAGCCCAGGAGGTAGGGCGTGGGAAGGCCAGGGAGCCTCATGTTCCAGCGAGCGGAGGTGCGCCGTCCTCGTTCCCCAGCGAAGGAGGCAGCCGGTTGCTATCGCCGAGGCGACTTTGCAACCGCGCCGTCCCCTCAAATACTTTCCATGCCGGGCATGCTCTCCTCCTCGCCCTCATCTCCCCTGCCCCAACTCCCATAACTTATCCCGCCTCCTCCTCTCGCCCCGCTTTCGGCCTCTATATTACAGCATCTCCAGGCCGAGCCCTGTTAGTTCGCGTAGGTCTTTGTTCGGCACTTATTTTTTCGCTTTAGACTTATCTTCGCCGCCCGTCGTACAGCGCATTTTCCCCGTTTTTTTTTCGTCTCCTCCCATTACATCAACATGTCCGCACCCCCTGAAGTCGTATTCTCAAACGATGTTCGCAATATGGACGAATGGGCAAAACGAACACATATTCCGCTCACCAGCGCTGACGCCCTCGGCACGGCGTACGCCCGGGCCCGGCGGTGGCTGATGGCACTCAAAACACAACTGGTTCAACATCACGGATGGCGAGATGTGAACCCTTCTGACTCACGAATGCTCTTCTCCATCGAGTGCTCTCCCCCTCACCGCTCGTCCAGCGGTGTCCCTCGCTCACCGAACATGCACCTCCAAATCCCTCTCAATGCCTCGTCATTCTTCAGCCCCGACCGTCGCGTTCAGTGGGAGATGGTGTTCCATAGTGCGGTCTTCCCCAGCATGCGCCATACGGTCACTCCCATCGCCGACCTCCTCCACCTCCTCCAATGCCTACTCACCGGCGTTCTCGTGCTCGTGAAGGAGGAGAGAGTCCCGGGCGAAGGTCTCTATCGCACAATACGTGCCCTTCCTCCCGTCGAATGGGTCAGCTCCCATGAGCAAATGCTCGTCGAAGTCTTCGGTGCCACCCACTATCGCGCCCTCTTCCGCGCTGCCGGCGACAAACGCCTCTCCTTCAAACTCGACCACGAACCTTGAAGCCCCTTACCCATCTTCTCCATGTTGGAAACCCTTGTCGACGCTGGGGCAGTCCGCGCGGTCGAGGCTCGTTCGCGAGAGGGGTATCACAGCATGGTGGACGTGTACTTGCCGCAAGGCGCGATGATCTCTCTTTCTCCTTGTTACTGGTTGACGGGACTGTTTTCTCCTTATCTTATCCATCACGCATGTCCAAAAGCTCTCACCGTACCTCCCGTTTAATCATCTTGACCTGCTAGCCATTTAATCCCGCCTATGATCCTCCCATTAATATCACTAGACTCTGTTGTTGCATATACTTATTCGCCTTGCTCTGCTTTTCCACCCGTGTTTTCCTGTTTCTTTGACACCCCCACCTCTCCTCTCGACTAATCGCTACCGCACGCTCCATCCTCCGCGTCACAGTATGCTTTTCTTCACGTTCGCCGTATGTATTCCCAGCTTATTGTCATTATCGCTCTGTATCGCAGCCTGGTCACCACCCGTAATTCTTGCCTCTGAAGACGACCGTCTCCTTATACGTATACGTATCGACGAATATTCACCTCGACCTTCTTGTTCTTTTCCACGCCTGCACTGCCTGAGCAGAACACGACTCCTGAGACGCGACGCGTCGCGAGGTCGTGTTGAGATTTGGTTCCGACTGGGGGCGTGTTGGGGGCGTGGCACGCTTGTCGATCTCCTTCGCAGCCACGTTATGTGGCGGTGCGTGCGAACATCAATGTCAAAAACGTGGTTTATTCGTCCATAATCAAATTTTCTCATCGGCCGGCGCCTACATACACTCGTTTATCCTCTGTTGTCGCTTCTACCCAGCCGGTGCCACACTAGTCATCCACTGCAATGAGTGGTACAGTTGCCTGCCAGAGTGCGAAATGTCCAAACGGCAACCCTCCTTCTAAACTAGAGTGTCCCACATGCCACAAGTACGCTCACTCTGAAGTCAAAATGCTATAGTAGCTACGCATCACTCATGGGCGGTTGGGGGGCAAGACTTGGGATACAGGGCTCATTCTTCTGCGGGCAGGAATGCTTCAAAGCCGACTGTAGGTTTGGACAGGCGATTAGCGATATAATATTCTGTTCGCTAATGCTCTTGCCTGCACGTTAGGGGTCTGTCATTTATCACGAGCGTCTACGCCACACGATGCTGATGCCTCTGCAGAAAATGCACAAGCGTGTGCACGACATCGTCGCACCACGACAGCCTTTGCTAGACGATCCATCTATCAGCAAAAGTTCGTGTCATGTCAGACTCTGCTCTACAGTTCGTTCTAATTCGGTTCCTGTCGTTTCAGGTGGCGATGGCACGTTCAATCCCTTTTACGACCACAGATTCTCCGGCAGCCTGCGCCCTGTATATCCTCTTTCGCCTACGCGAATAGTTCCCGAACACATTAAGAGGCCAGACTATGCTGAAAGCGGTAGGATCATGGGTTTCGTTCGCGGTGTCAAAGCAGCTGTGTGAGCTGATTCTGTTACTCCGCATCGAAGGCGTACCTACCTCCGAGAGCAGGCGCGCTGGCCAACCTCCCCGTATTCTGACACCGGAGGAGCAAGAGAAGATGCGGGTGGTCTGCAAGGTGTGTCCTATATCTGCGTAATCATGGACGGATCGTACGGGTGTCCACGAATCCATCCCAGGTCTACTGGAAGTCTTGCACAAATGTTCGATTTGAGCGCTCGTGTATCAATTAGCCAGTCGCGTTCACACGGCCACGTTCACGGACGTCGAAGTCGGACTTTAAGGAAACGGGATTCTAAATACTCACGAGACTTTGTCTCTTGCTTGCTTTAGCTCGCGCGAGAAGTTCTTGACATCGCCGCATCCCATGTCCGTCCCGGAATTACCACCGACGAGATTGACGCTATCGTTCACGAAGCTACTATCGAACGGAACGCATACCCTTCGCCCTTGAACTACCGAAATTTCCCCAAATCTGTCTGCACGTACGTTTTAAGATCCATTCCATCCGCGAACTTCGATTTCGCCACCCTTATATCTATCTATTTCTATCTAAACTTTACCTTGCCTTAAGGTCCGTGAATGAAGCAATCTGTCACGGCATTCCCGATCAACGGAAGCTGCAGGAGGGAGATATCGTCAATATCGGTATAGTTGATCTCATCGGGCATGTTTACTCTGTTTTCTCGCTCACCGCGACCGTTTTCGACAGATGTGACGCTCTATTATGACGGTTAGCTACGCTCGTCCTATGAGCCTTCTTCGGTGGACTAACTCAGATTGTTCTCTAGGTTTCCACGGTGATCTCAATGAGACGTACCCTGTGGGCCGGATAGATGACGACTCGAAGAAGCTCATTCGTACTGCGAGAGAATCTCTCGACCAGGCCATCAAGCTCTGCAAGCCAGGTTTCCTCTTCCGTGACCTCGGAAAAACGATGTAAGTGTGATCATGTGGCCCACTGGTCGGCTTTCGTCGTCTTATTGTTCTCTGTACGTTCTAGCGAACCCATCGCCCGTGCAAACGGCTGTTCAGTCGTCAGAACGTATACAGGCCATGGAATCAACGACCTTTTCCACTGTGCGCCCAATGTTCCGCATTATGCCAAGAACAAGGCTATCGGGACTATGAAGCCTGGGATGGTGAGTCGTGTCTGCCCGGTGTTGTGCCTTGAAGGACTCATATGTATGTAAACCCCTTCTTCCCACATCTCCCACAGACATTCACTATCGAGCCAGTGAGTTCCTTTAAACTCTTCCTCCGTGGTCTGGCGGACTGCTTGTCTCGTATCGTCATCTGATGAATGCTGCCCTGATTGTTTAGATGATCAATCTCGGAAGCCACTGGGAAGCAATGCATTGGCCGGATAGCTGGACTGCGACGACCGTCGATGGGAAGAAAAGCGCGCAATTCGAGGAAACGTTACTGTGAGTGTTCCTTCTCTCTCTCTCTCTAGTCCGCCTCATCTCAACGTAAACCCTTCCATATCGCTTACAAAATACGGACGACCTCGGACCCTGCGACTTCTTTCACTCCAGAATCACGGAGACGGGTGTAGAAGTCCTAACGGCCGGCAAACCGAGGGAGCTGTTCTAGCTGTACTAGTCCGTCCGCGCCTGTATAATTTGTCTCAACACCCCTGTGCCACCATCCAATCGATCCGCCGACTTGTTGTACCAGCTCGTGTGGCTGCAATTCGCAAGCCGCAGGAACCAGCTTGCCCAACCCGATGGTTGCCCTTGACTTCTTGCTTTCTCTTTCTCTTTTTTTCTTCTCCTCTCAGTTTGTTTTTCATTCGGCCTGTGCCGTGCAGGTACCGGCGTGAAAGTAAACGACGTCAGCTGTTTCCAAGCACGCAGGGCCAGCTGGCTGCCTCGCCGTATACGTGCATTGTGCCTCTTATCTCTGCGAACCTGAGAGACTGCATACCAGCAATGTGACTGGTGCGGCCGGTTCGGTGTATAAGCACAGCCAAAGTGCGAGAAAAAGTTGGACACGGCACCGTCGAGCTCTCTTATCTGGATCGCAGAGCCCCCATCGACATCGCTTGCACATCTCACTCACCACCAGCTGCTGCAGCCATTCTCGCTGGACGCCTCCCCAGGCCCTCAGGCCTCAGTCTCAGTAGTCGACTCTTACGTGTGTGCCGATTCGCCCTCGCATTCCGGTCTGTCCTGTGCCGCCCACCGATCTTTCTGTTTGTTTCGTCTGTCCGTCTATGGCCTCCTCCGCCTCCACATCGACAGACCCGTATCTCGTCGTCGAAAAGTGCGGCTCGTCGAGGGGTACGCCCATCTATGTTATCACAAAATATACCCCGTAAGTTAGGTGTCTTCACCGGTCCGTTTGTAGTCGCATGTCGTTCGGGGTTCAGACGTTCAGTGCTTTGTTTGTCTGTGTCTCTGGAGAGGGCAGGGTACCCATTCTGCGACAATGGTAAGCCGCAGCTAATGAACTCCCCGCCCGTCCATCCACCTACCCAACCACCCACCCACCCACCGTACTAACCATCCTCGCAACTATACCGCGCCGCGGTATGAGTGTGCGGTCCATGCCTTTCTCCTCCCTCGTCGGCTGAATCAGCGCAGAGCACTGACGCTGTCCTAACCTCATGTTACACGCATATCACGCCGCACGTTCCACGCCATTTCGCACGCGGACGAAGCGCGAAATTCGATGCATGGACCTGGGCGACGAGGCGTTAGGAAGCCGCAAGGCCCAGGAAGGGGGATGCACGCAGATCCAGGTGCGCGCCTCGACGTCCGTTACGTCCGAATCACCATATAGCCTACCACCACTTCTTCCACTACCACCAGATCCTCCTCTTTTAAATCTGTCTGGACCATTCGCCTTTCGCCTATTAGCGTCCTACCATTTCCCCTCACCTCCCCCCTCTTCTTTGCCCTTCCTTCTTACGGCTGCCACTACTTCAGTTACGCCCGTCATATCCGAGCTCCCGATCACTCCCAGTCTGGGCTCTGTATGTAAAGAAAACGCAAGTCCTGCTAACTTATCTCTCCGCACTCGTCGCATCGCGCAAACAGTTCTTCGACGATAACACTGACCTACGGTTCGTGTCCCTCCACCACCCCATCCTCCCACCCCTGCCATCACCTCGAGCCCGCGTTCTCTTGTTCGACCGTTCAGCGTTCAGGCGCTCATTGCCCCTTTCCCCCCACGCCATATTCTCCTCCCGATGCCCCATATGCCTACAATCACCGGATGCGGCGGGTTTCACTCTATGTCCTATTTATGCCTGGGCCGGGGTGACCGAACGTGGGTCCAAAAGGTGTGGGGGGTGTGGGATGCTGTTCTCCAAGTTCTACCTCTCGAAGTCGTTCATAGAGGTCCGAGGGCTGCCGTGACTCGGCCCTGTACGGAGCGCCGTAGTACCGTATAATATCCGAATATTTGCCTTTCATATCCGAGGGACGATTTACGGTGGCTAACTAGCAACTCGGAAGACGGTAGACAATGAATTCGAATAGGTAGGGATGTATTTCTTGAGGAATGTATGGTGCATGATGAGCGTGTGAGTAGTCTGTATTCGTACAAACACATGGAAACACTAGGAACAAGTACAGCTGTCCGTCCGAGCCTCCCAGGTAGACAAGCAAGAGCTACTACGGATGCCCAGCGGCCGAAACTGAGAGGAAAGGCGAAGATAGGGGAAGAAAAGACGAAAAGACGAAAAGACAGAAAAAAAAGACGGTAAACAAATCAAGCACTGTCCCGCTAGTGACCGGATAAGGATGTAACAAAGCAACTCCTCATGCGCCCTTTTCGTGTTTAGACGCCTGAATTTCCTTATTGATATCGTCCGTACACTCCTTGAAGCCCTCCTCACGGTCCAACGCACTCAATCTCTTGACGGCCACCCGATCATTCAGACTCATCTTTCTCTCTCTCCGATGATGCAGCCCACTATCTCCATTCCCGTTCCCATTCCCATCCATATCCGTTGGACTCGTCGTAGGACTTCCATCTGCTTGCGAGGACTGATAGGGAGAACCTGAGGTCCCTGGCTTCGCCATGCGAAGTTTCTGGAGGTCCGCATACGAGTTTTGGTTGCTGCGCGATCGATGACGGCCAGGTGTGAGGAATCCGTCGTGCGAGGAGGGCAAGAAACCGAGGACGTTATCGTAGTCGCCCGCGTCTTCATCGTCGGACGCGTCGGGACTGGGTGCACGGCTGATTTCTTGACTTTTCGTGCCACCTCCCCCCCATGCACTCGTACCTCGCGTCGCAGAGTGCGACCATCCGAAGAGTCGCTCGTCGAGCCAAGTCTGCGGACATGAAGGTAGGCATAAACGCATGTACGACGGAAGTGAAAAATAGAAGAGTCGGAAGGTCAGTAAGAGGTCGTGCGACATTGGACGATTGATGCTGTTCGGGAGCAGTCGCGATAGCCGAACAAACGAAGACTCACCATCGGATGGACAAGCAAGTTCCCTTGGGCATCGACAGCGCCCACACCGCTCTTCCTGCGCCAGATCCCCGGCGTCCCACTAGACGGCGGCACACTGGCAGAAGGAACGAGCATCCGCCACTGCAACGTTACACGTAAGTACGAGAAGAAGTGGGGATTTTTGAATGCAGCTCGGAAGCACGAGACTGGGATTACGGCACGAGAGTACGAACCTTGTCGAAGTCCTCGCCGTAAAGTTTCGGACCAAATTCGTTGATCACCTCCGCGAGCTCGTTTGACAGGTCCTGCCGCATCTGTTTTAGCCGGTTTAAATATCGCTGTTGGCCTGGAACGACCGCGACGATGAGCGGCCTCAATGATCTGTTTCGGAACGGTTAGGGTGCACGAGCTTCGATGGCATGTGATAGAAGAACTGACTTGAGCACATCCATGCCGGCCTCGCCGAACTTCAGAGCGGCGTAACCGATGAAGGGAAGCACCAGGATGACGATAAAAGGTGTCCAAATTCGCCACTGCATGGGGACATTGGCTTTGATGGCAACTAGAGTCGCGAGGAAGGCATAGAAAGCGTAGAGGACAGGAGTGACGCCCAATGAGATCAAGACTTTCCATGTCGCGAGTACATCACGGCCGGCAATCTTGACGACGGACGCAGCGAGGGCCTCTGAGATACTGTTAAATTGGTACTGCAGATTGCGAGAAAATTCAATTTACCTTTCGCCTTCTTTCTTGAGATAATGGACGCCGTCAGGAAAATAGGGGCGTTGAGGATGACTCCGGGTAGCGCGAATACCGTCCAAACAATGAGAAGGCCTGTTCTGTAGAGAAGAAGACCCAAAGTCTTCCACCCGGCCTTTTGAGCTCGAGGTACCTGCAACGAAGTTAGATGACAATTAATAAATAAATCCACGCGACGTGACACGAACCTGGTGGTCTCGGAGACCCAAATCCCGGACAAGACGGTTGTACTTCAGCACTTTCTTTCGTAGGTCTTGTATTTTTGGCTCGTCATGGAAATGCTGATAGCCCTCGAGGAAACGCTTGTTCAACTCCACAACTTGACCGAGTGTCAGATGTTGTGATGGTGTCTTGTATAATCGCCGAGCTGCTTGGATGACCTGAACACCGTTTAGCTATAAGGTCGTGTGCATGAATTCATATATGAAAGGCTGACCATAAGCGTGTCGTAATCGGGCGCACGGACTGTGACCGTTTTCAACCCATCGTAGACAAGATTCAACAGTTTCCCCACAGCCTCTCTCTTCTCCGGTCCACCCTGCTTGAACATTTCAACGAGTTCTTGAGGGACATCCATGGCTGAACCAAACTCGACGACTGCCCGGGACCGGAAGCGGTGGGCGTGGAAGTATGAAAGACCGACCGGGACAATCTTAACCTTGACATTTGGGTCATTAGCCATAGCTCCAAGGGCCATGAGAGACACGCCGGCCTTCAAGGGGAGGAGGTCTGTTCGGTCATGACTACCACCTGTACAGATCATTTAGAGTGTGTGAGCGGGCTTGTCTGTGCAGACGCATCTAGACCGACGTACCCTCGGGGAATATGCCAATACAACCGTTGGTGGTGAGAGCATGGTAAACGTACTGGTACATCTCCTTCTGGTCCACGAAGGGTAGACGCTTGAAGTCCAGACCGGTCGCGCCCTCCTGCTCTTTCAGCTCGGCCAACTTCTCCCTAATCTTTGTCGTCTTCTTGCCACTGTCACCACCAAACTCTTTCTTAATGCGCATCTCCGTGTCCGAAATAACCTCCGTCACTTCCGCTACCGGGGAGCCGACGGCTTTCGAGAGCATGATTTGCATTTTGGGGGTAAACTCGGAGGTGAATTTCGTGCCATCCCCAAGGACAAGACATGGGTCGTCTGGGGAAAGGTAAACTTTGCCAGTGCCAGGCTTCGCATCGTCCGCGGCACGAGCAACAGGGACTGTAGAATCGAATGAGCAGACACCGACGTATGCAATCCTAAACACACGCACTGCTTGACATGAGACCGGCAAAAAAGCCAATTGCTTTGCGTTTCATACTTTTGGCAGCGATGAGGAACTGGACTTTCCTGCGTGTTTCCTTATGGACTTGCAGCATCAAAAGTAGAGGGTCAAGGAACTGGGTAGAAATGGCATATTAGACGAACACTTTCACTTTGGCGAGACATCGACTCTACCTGATTGTGATGCGGAGCAGCGACGAGAATAACGGGTCCATCTCGTGGAATGTTGAAAGCGCCTCTTGGCCGAACCTCTCTGAAGAAGACATTAACGACAGTGCGCCAGAAGATGAGGGCCGAGTCGTAGACCAAGTCAGAAGACAAGGAGAGACCGTTGTCCGAAGCAGGCATGATTTATGGCACGGCAGGGAAAAGAGCGCGAGCAATCTCAGATGATGGTCATGAAGGAACACGCAGACGGCAAACGTAGCCTCCAGCCAAACACACGCCTCCCGCTGCGTCATACCTTGCCCTCTCGCCACCCCGCACGTCCCCCACATTGTCCTTGTCGCCATCCACAGCGACCACAACACACTCCTTGCGAGTGCTGGTCATCATTAAGGCGAATCGTACGGCCTGCTCGCTTCGCTCAGCTCTAACTCTAACGTATCCTAATCATGACGTCGTTCATTCATCCTTTAGACAGGACGGCGCCCTGTTAATAACTTGATAAATATCCACTGCGATGCCTGTCCAGTCTAGTGAAGACAGACTGCTTGTACAGGTTGCGTCTTATAATACAGCCCTCCAGGGCAACGACGGTCTGCCACAGAATCTTGTAGACTGGCTCTCGCCAGCCTTCGAAGTATCTAACTTCCTGGCTCGCGACCGTGCTCCTGATATCGTCGCTGTTGGTTTCCAAGAACTTCTTCCCCTTCATCAAGGCTGTTTGTGGCATTATTCTGTATAAACTCTTGATCTGTAACTGACTAGCTGCTTCGAAACACTAGTGTCTGGCTTGTCGCGTCCGGTCATCGAGAACAGGAACTCTCTTATCCTTTCTCAAATAGAGGAACACGCTACTAATAAGGAACGATATACCCTTGTCGCCAAAGTCGTCAATGTCGGCGTCGCATTACTGGTTTATGCGAAGGACACGGGTGTGGGGCGTAAAGTGCGCGATGTACAGACCAAGTGGACCGGATGTGGCCCAGGATGGATGGGCAACAAGGGTGGTGTTGGGGTTCGCTTTACTGTCGAAGGAGAGCAAGGTGGCGCGGGCGAGATATTCACGTTCGTATATTGTCTCGTCCCAGTCCGAATCGGCACTGATTTTGTCCCAGATTCGTATGTGCGCATTTGAACGCACACGAGCCGAAGCTCGCCCAACGCATAGCAGACTTCCATCACATAGTCGGCTCCCTGCTCTTCGACCCCATTCCGTCATCATCCTCACACGCACCCACAACTATGTACTCCACATCCCACCTCTTCTTCCTAGGCGACCTCAATTTCCGTCTCTCCCTTCCCGCAACGCATGCCCTTTCCGGTCCCAGCAAACGTCTTGACCTCGCAGCCGCACTTGACTCGTCTCAAGGCCGCGAAGAGCTTAAAGAGTACGATCAGCTGTTAATAGAACGACGCAAGAACCACGTGTTCCAAGGCTTTCGTGAAGGCGAGTTCTGGCAGTTCAAGTGTACGTATAAATACAGCCTGGGAGAGGTAGATCGATATAGGTCCGTGTTGTTTCTTCCTCTCTTTCATTGTAGCGTAAGCGCGCAGCCCTGAGCGTATCGTTTACACGTTGCTTTTGCCTCTGCCTCCTATGTTTCAGTACGAAGCGCACGCCTTCTTGGACCGATAGAGTGTTGTATACCACATATACTGATTCTCCCCGGACACCGGAGAAAACGGATATTACGAACGTTCTCTACACCTCGATCCCATTCTACACGACCTCTGACCATGTAAGGCATTTCCTCATCCCACCTTGAATCCCAAACCAACAACTTTCCTCGATCTATCATTCTTTCCGCACCTTCCCCTTCCTCCCTCTCGCAACCTTATTGCGAGCCTCAACATTAACCTTCAATCTCCGCTAAACTAAACATACCTCTCATCTCACTTCACCTCACCTCACTGCAACAGAAACCAATCGTCTGCATGCTCCTCCTCCCTGCACCACCCTCGACGCCTCACACATCAATTCCCCTCCTCCAACTCCCACCAAGCTACACGCCCACACCCGTCTCATATCCCAACCTCAAGCGTTACACCGGCCGTGTCCTAGATAGGGTCGTCGGCCTCGTCTGGTATTTGTTCGTCCTCATCGGCGCGGGCAATGCTGCGTTCGGGGTGGGCAATTTTGTGCTTGGGCTGGGGGCGTGGACGTGGTGGCAGGGAAGGGCACCGACGTTGTCAGGAGATGTGTGAGGGCTTGGTGGACAGACGAGTTCTGTCATTCCATGCTCATTTTTGAGATTGGGGTAGATGCGGTGCCTCTTCGATGACCCTTATTATTACTTGGAGTTTTTTTTTTTGTTAATTTTAACTTACCGCACGATCAACGGCAGCCTTGTTGGCAGTATGTGATCGCTCCATTGCTACAAGGTCGTTATTCAGCACGACTCACCGTCAGTGACGGCTCGTGTGCAGCTGCGTGCCGGACGATTATGCTTGTACGTGGCCTTTCAGTCATTTTCAAAATGGGACGCAAGTGTAGTGTGTACGTTGCTCTTTATGACTTTTTATGGACCTTCTGTCTTTCAGCCAGACCTTTCTATATACCTGCTCTTGTACGTGTGCAACCATGTACAACACATCTCACCCGCCGCCTCCATAATGGTAATAAATGGCCCCATTCAATGGGGACATATTCGATGCAGCTCTACATTACCCTCACCATGAAAACAATGCCAGAAGAAACAATAGAAAATTTATGGAAAACTAAACGAGTGAAGGATTGGTCCGGAACATATAACGCACAGGTAAACCCGTCGAGGCATTGTGCGTGTACAAGGATGATATGCGTATGTACTCGTACGGTTCCGGATGAAGTAGAAGGACAGGCACACAGAAAGATAGAAAGACAGACGGACAACAGAAGAAGATGCGTATGCGTACGAGTTATGCGAAATGAGGAATACTGTAAGAGTAAAGGGGCATCTGACGCACGATGGAGACCGTCCTAATATGTGCGTGCAGGTCTACTTGTACATGTATTTTTATAGTACAAGAAATCCTAATCTAATAAAATAAAAGTGAAGTGAAACCCGCGGGCAAAAACAGGTTTATGTGCGCGATGCACACGAGAAATGCGAGGACGCCTCATCAACAGCCCAAACACCAACCATGCCACCCAAGAAAACAAAGCCTACAATCCACACCTAACCCACATGAAGTAAGTAAAATCACCGGGTTGAAGCGGCGGTGGCCAAGAAGACAACGACGATAAGGAAGACAAAAAACAGTGATACTCCCTCCAACTCACATCCTCACCACGCTCCCCTCCCCAACAATCTCCACATCTGCATTACGTCCCCCACTCCTCTCAGCCCCCGCATCTACATCATCAACAACAATTTCTGGGATCACCGCTCGTGCTCCACCAGGAACTTCCTCCTCTTCGTCTTCCTCAGGTATATCTTCCAAGTCCTCAAGCCCAGGCGGTGGCGGTAACCGCACGCAGAGCAGCATGATAAAGCTGATGCAGGTCAGAAGGAGACCGGCATAGAGATACGCTTGCGGGAAAGTGGCCACGGTCCAAATGTATATGTAGCCGAACATGGCGGGGCCAATGATAGCCGAGCTGTAAGCCCAGAGCAGCACAAATCGCATTAGTATCAATAATGCGCGACCAGCGGATACCCAAAACAGGGTGTAGAAAGGATAAGAACACACCAAAGCGCACTGACGATACTCAACCCGCCGTACAACCTCCCCGTCTCTGTCCCTCCTCTCTTCCTATAAAACTCCAACGCAAGACTCTGCACCGTTGGGCTGAACCCTGCCCCAAGACTTCCCAATGCTGACAATGCCAAAAAGCCGACGGCGCCAAATAACGGTAGTCCCAGGTACACCACGATTTCAATGAAAATGGAGAGGCGGGCGATGGTCAAGTCGAATCTGGTCGTAGCGTGGGTGTGGTGCGGGTGATCGTGGTCTTCGACTGAGCGGGTGAGGGCAATGGTACGGGTGCGGGAGGTGGATTGGGATCGGGACGTGCGGGAGATAGAGCGGGTGGCGGATGGTCGGGAGGTGTTGTTGAGGGGTTCAGAGGGATCAAGAGGGAGTTGGATGGAGGGTGGTTTAGGTTTGAAGTACTTGATGATGACTATGAGTAGGATTTGTTTAGACTTCGTCGCGTATGTAAATAAATAGAGTAGACATACACGGGAGGACGACACTCAAGAAGACGGCTCTTGATATAGCGACGGTACTAAGGAAGTATCCAAGCTTGGAAAAAAAGATGTTAGTCAAAGTGACAAGTCGTCAGCTTGGAAAAGTTCGGGAGAGGTTTACCATCTCGGTAGACCAGCTAAATTGGGCTGAAGCATACTGAAACGTCGTCTGAGCAGAACCCTATAGACAAATATCATAAGAAATGGCGAACATATATGAAAAGGAGCTGGAACTAACCAGGAGCATGACGGTAGCCCCATACGCAATGGCCGTAAAAGTCAAGCTCCAGTCCCATTTACCCTTCCTCAGCCACCGAGAGCTTGCGGTGCCCGTACTGTCGACGTGTACAGGAGCCAAGATGGCCAAAGGCGACAAGAATCCGAACAGCCTCTTCACCCGCGCGAACCAGCCTACCTCTCGCCGTTGGGTTTTGGTCTCCTCCATGTACTTTTGCCGCGATAGCGCCATCTGCGCAGGGAACAGAGACTCGGGTACAACGAGCAAGTTGAGGAAAAGAGTGATAAGGTGAACTATGGCGCCGATGTAGAATACGGACATGATATTGCCTGTGGCACGGATGATGATGGAGCCGAGGGTGGGACCGAGGGTCATGCCTATAAAGAGCATGCCGAGGAAGCGAGAGAAAGTATGCGAGCTAAACAAAAAAAGAAAGACTAAAATCAGTCATGGATGTAGCTCAATCAACGATTAGCTTAGTACCGAGTGGCAGTCGTAGAACAGTCGGCAAGGTATGCATGGATTGTAGCAACGCTAGTCGGCTGGCCTGTGTAATTTATTAGCCGTAGGAAGAGCATTCGACGGCGGATACAAGAAACAAACCTCCGAATAGGCCTTCGACGAAAGAGCCTAACAAGAGTGTATTATAACCACCCGGGATGCGGTCGGGGAAGTGTGTCACAGCAAGAAAGTTCAAATCCTGGAAGAAGAGGCCAAAGAGAGCAAAACATATGACGAAAGTGCGACCGCGGCGGTCAGAAAGCTAGATGGGGCAAACGGTCGAGGTATCAGCGCCCCGTTGTCAATCATATGTCGAAGGGGAAATGGAAGCTGGTCACTGACTGATCCCCAGAAACCAGTGGTGAAACAGCTAAGAATGCCAGTACTATCACTCCAGCAGTGTTCGGTAACGAATTCGCAAAAATATTCCCTACACTTTATATTGAGCTCTGAATAGACGAGATTTGGTACGGACGCTGGCAAACATCCACGCTACCTGTCTCCGAGATTTAAACCAGTCGAAAGTGAGGCCTGTCGTTGAGCGGAACGTTTCCGGTGGTTTTGAGGGGTGTTCGGTAATTTCTCCGCACATTGGTCACGACGAAGTCACTATGCCGAGGCTTCGGCATTTTCAACCCCGCTGAAAGCGGTGCTAAACGTGTGGCTCTGCCACGCCCTGGAGGGGTGTTCGGTATGTGCGGAGATTGAATATCTGCCTATTTTGGCAAGCGTGACTTCGATGTCTCGCTCGACGAGGACGACGTTCTGCCACTCAACAACGACGATGGATCTGTGCCCCGGAGAAATTGGTAGGCGGTATAAATGACCCATCACGACTCGTCATGATTTACTCACACAAATCGGAACCGATCTATCAACACAAGAGGAGAATCAGATTTAAACGCCATTTACCGAAGTGGTATTCCTCAAACCACTTTTCCTCCTGTGCCCGTTGCAGCTTCTGGATTTTTTTGTGGCCTCTATGAAGCTACATCAATGACCTAAAAAAAATTGAAGAGAAACGAGTTGGTATCGGCTGCTCTGTGAGCTATTACCGAACACCCCTAGATTACCGAACACTATTTTAGTGATAGTAGTGGTGGACATCCAAGCAAGGACCTTCGCCACACCGGCCTGAACCGTGGGATCGGAGGCACAGACGATAGGGTGGTCCACGGAGAATTCGGTCTCATTCGTTTTGACCGGAAGAAGAGTTGCGATAGTGAAGTCACTGCGCTCTGATGATGCAACGAAAGCACGAGGAGTATCCACTTTGATGGAGTATGGGACTATGGACAGGGCCATTTTCTCTGAGTCCCAGTCAGGACTGTGGTCACGATTGCGTTTGTAGGTATCGCAAACAATACCGGTCACGACGGCTATTTTTGGCGTTAGAGTCGAGCCGGTCGCAATGGCAGTGAAAGGTATGGAGAGGATATACCTGGACGTTAAAAAATCAGAATAAATGACTGATTATATGGAGATAGCGGGAGGCCGCGGAAAGGTGTACAGACCACCAAGGAGTCGCACGTTTCCACCAGGGCAAGCGTTTCCTCTGCTCGCGCTGTTCGTCGAGAACAGCATCATGGTCGTCTTCTTCATCGTCACCGTCTACCTCGAAGACGATCTCTTCTGTCTGGTGGACATGAGGACGGTGGTGAATAAAGTCGTCAATAATTTCGGCATTATCCTCGAGGATGGGGCCGTCTGGGAGCATGTCCGGAGTGGGAAAATAGACGGGCGACGGACTGCGAGTCCTCGCGCGCGACTGAGACCGCGACGAGCGGCGGATGGGGGACGTTGGGCCCGACATTGTAGTTGTGGAAAGAGCGGTTGAAGGTGTGCGGCGCAGCTCGCGCTGTAATTGAGTGGATATATCCCATGGGCAGCCATTCTACGCGTGCCGAGTGGAGGTTCCTCGTCATCGCGATTGCAAAGCGGAAAGATTAGTCGCCCCTGTCCGATCACTGCGCCCGCTTATCTTATCTCCCCTCACTTACACAACCACCATGGTCTGCATCCTTCACCCCACCACTTCTTCATCGATTTCACTCAATATTACCCTCACAGTCTCACACCGTCGACATCCCGGATGAGCTCAAGACATCGCTTCGAAAGTTCAGATTTGCTCGCCGAAATGCAGGCAGTGCTGCCTTAGTCGTCAAGATCAATAAGCAGAAGCTCATCATGGAAGAGGTCGAGCAGTTCGACAACATCTCCCTCGAAGACCTCGCCGAAGGTCTCTACTTCGCTGCATCACTTACTCGAACTATCGCTCATGCGATCTGCACTTAGAGCTTCCAGAGAACTCGCCCCGATATGTCGTTCTCTCATATGAGCTCCATCACTCTGACGGCCGCAAGTCCTTCCCCCTCGTACTCGTCAACTGGTCTCCAACTACGAGCGAAACCGGCATGCTTACGCTCCATGCAAGTGCTCTATTGGAGTTTCAAACTGTTGTGTGTATCGTTTCTTCATTTCATCGTCTTTCCTTCCATCGATGGCCAAAATATACGCTGATCACAATCAATATCCCATTTCTCATCATATCCCCAGGCGGACGTCAGCAAGGTTCTCGAAGTACGTGAAGGTGCAGAGGGCCTCACGAAGGAGATACTTGACACCAAGTTTGGTGCAACGTGATCGTATGATGAATGTCAACAACGCTGGATCTGGTCGGTGTATAAATAGCTGTAGTATATGGCCTATGCGGAACAAGGGAGGAATAATCAAGGAAATTGACGTAGTAGCACCGATGGAGAATGCACATTCGCTTCCTAGTCAGCAGTGCTTGTGGCGGGGACTAGTAAGGTACTCGATCGCTGGCAGAGCAGGAGGATCAGCCAATCCAATCTTCTCAGTTCCGACCCATTTGAGCTAGACACGATGCTCGGTCCAACTTCGAAGCATTATGATTAATAGTCGACAAGTTAGTACTTTGCATCCACAACATTTCAGAACACTCAAACTCTCCCATACGCCTCCATCAACCCTCCCAACACCCAACAATGTCCCACCATATATATCAACCCACACACCCACACTCTCCAGAACACATCCTCGCCCAAAAACTCGAGCCTGTACGCTTGACTGAGCCATAAGGCCTGCGTACAGAACCATACGGCTCCGTAGACAATGGATTGACGGGCTGATATTGATGAAAGACGGGGGACTAGGAGAGGCAGGAAGACGAGGTACCAGAGGAAGTACTGCATGATGATGACAGCGTCAATTAAAATATTAATAGATGAAAGATGACATATTGATGGGATTATTTTGCGTCAAGTTAGAATGGGGAGTGTAAAGGAGTGAAACTTACCTGCGACGTACAGACTTTATTAAACACAACAAAGCACACCGTCTGCACAAACCACGCAAACGGAAGATCTTCCCTCCTCTTCCCGAACATGACCCCAGTCCCTAGTGACAATACCATCTGTGGCCCAAAGCTCGTCAGTGGCGATCGCACCACCGCACGCCATATCGAGAGTATCCCTGACGTTGGCAGCGAAGAGAGAGATGCGAGAGGGGGAAGAGGGAGGCCGGGGTACGACAGGTAGATGAGGTAGAAGTATGGGGAGAAATTGTGTCGATGGTCGAGTCGGTGGATATGGTAGAGGTAGGTCTCATGCAGGAAGGGGTAGCCCCAGCTTAGTGACCGTAGTCGATGCCGTGAGTATGGTCAGAGACGACGACGAGTTTGACGGTTACAGAGACGGCAGCGTTGTGTTCCCGGATGACGAGGCCGACGAGACCCGAAATTGTGGGGTGTGAGTTGGTGGGCGAGGAAAAGGAGGGACGTGATGGCGTGTCAGATGTGACACAGACCATCAATTCGCGAGACGAGAACTTACACAGCGTACATCGCAAGCCCAAGCGCAAAGAATGTCCCGGCGCTGATCACCGCAAACCTGATCGTCCTCTCATTCACCCAAATCCGCAACCAGCCCCTCCCGCCGTCCGCCCCACCTTTCTTCTCAGCAAAACTCTCACTCCCACTATCGCACGCCTCTCTCCCAATGACGCCCACACAAGCCACCCCATACACGACGGGATAAATCTTCCAATGCACACTCAAACCAAGCAAGACAGCCGCAGCATCCCACCTCGCCCTCAGCGCGCAGAAGAGGGTAAGCAGCACGAGGAGGAGTAGAACAGACTCCGAAGATCCTCGCGTGGAGATCGTGAAGACGAACGGGGAGAGAAGGTGGCTGGAGGTGATGAGCGTTGCGTACGCGTGCCGTCGTATTTCCTCGGTGCCAATTATGGTAGAAATTGCGTTTGCGGGTGAGGACGATGGAGGTGAAAATGAAATCCTCGAGCTGGTTGTTTCGCGCGAGTTACGTCCACCATGGTTGTGGTCTAGTGCTGCTTCTGCTGGGACAGAGGGCGATAACAAGATTGGAGATACAGTTTCACTAACTCCCACTCTGTCTTGGTTGTCTGAATCGGGGCCACTGGAAGAGCGAAAAAAAGGAGCACGGAGTGCCGAATCCGTGAGGTGAGTTTATGGAAGTCAAAGTCGATTATCAGATGAATCAGTACCATGAGGAAAGGAGTGGATCGGTAGAGGGTCAGAGATGAAAAAGTAAAGACCAATACTTACGAAGAATGAGGTACAGGTGAAAGGACTGAAGGCGACGATGACGGTGAAGGTTCGGAGAGGGCGTGTTCCGTTCGAGGTCCTTCATGTCGAGATCGTCGTTCCGTCTTTTCAGGCCCGGAAGAAGGTCTCGAAGACAGTAGCACGGATGATGTTGCATCTGCTGAAGCGGAACTTTGAGTTTGTGGATGAGATGGAGGAACAGATGAAGATTTTCGGGGGAGGATGACGGATATGAGCAGCTTGTTGATCAAGATTCCGGCGAGAATGTCGCAAGCCGCGAACAAAAACTTTCCGAACGACTTGTGGACCCACTCGTTGGGCGCGAGGAGTATGGCCAGGAGGGGGGTGTATCGATATGTCTCCCGCGTGTATGGGCTGTTCTCGGTTAGTCGTATTCAGGAGTCATGGTGTGACATTGGCGAGGACGAGCGACGATCATAGCGCAGGTCCGAGGCAGTTCCATACATTCATCCGTGCATTAAATCCATACGCGAGTCCGATGCAAAGCGTAACGCATGTCGTTCATACATCCATTCATTTGCCGTAGCAAGAGTCGCATTCATTTCCACCAAAAGCACGAAGCAGCGGTGGAAGTAGTCGGACGGTACATGTGAATTTCAGAGAAACATGATGAGCGACCATTCTCAAAAAAGAAAGAAAGCAAGAAGCGAAATGACACGTACTCTCCGACGGTAAACCATCGGTTGAGTGGGCCCTGGGCACGATTGTCCGTCCCGGGACCAGGATTGAGCACGAAGCGGGTAGCGTCACTGAAGACGCGATAGTCGACGTCAGTATATTTGACCACCGAATGGGAATCATGCCATTCGCTGTAGATTATAAGCCCGACGCGCAGGAGTATCGAGAAGACCAGGATGGTAGGAAACGAGGGAAAAGAACGCAGGAATCGGTCCGAGAGACTCGAACTCATGGCCTGGTTAGTGACCTTTCCAACTGAAAGCCGTGTCGCTGTGGGAGACACGATGTCGCGCTAGCGAAATTGGCCACCAGGATTTTTTTTCTCCTATAGGGTTCTCGGGCTCAGACGGATTGTGGCGTCCACGGTCACGGTGTAGTTCGAATGTGAAGCACGGACCGGAGGCAAACGGAGGATGCTGAGAAGCAGCGTGGGAGAACATTGTGGCGTCTAAGTTGAACTTGACCTTTGCACGGGCAGAACCTTGTTTCTCGTCCTGCCCACGCGCTGCTTCTTCTCCGTCTATACCGCTCAGAGGCGCTCGTTATCCCTCTCAGTTAATCGGATCGTATAACCTTAGTGAGCTCTAATTTTGTGATAGCATTATCGATGGATTCGGCTTGAAGAACTCAATAATGCCGAAGTAACTCAAAAGACGCCTAGGGTCCGGCTCGACAAAGCTGAATCCCACAACGGCACGGTGGTACGGCATCGAAATCCGGGTCATCATCAACGAGGCTTCTCCAAATATTTTATGCTTCTGTTCTTGCTTACGGGCTGTGGGCATACTGAGCGGAGATGAGGCAACAGTATGAGAGAATGCCACACTCAACCTAGGGCCAGTTCTCCCGCCCATTGCTCCAGGGTATCTTTCACTTCGTCTACATCTTCTACTCCTTCCTGTCAAACCGTCTGACTTTCGACAGCTGAGCACCCCTCTTGGCTGCTGGAATGATCCTCACCATGAGAAGCCATGCAATCAGTTCTTCGGAATCGAGCAGGTCCTACGCTTGCTTTGGTTGGCTCCACTCGTCGGACAGCCCCACTCCTCTCAAGGTCTTGACTCTTCTTGCTGATTCAAATCAGCATGTAGGTACAGTAGCGTTTGAACTGAAACTCTATACTCAAAGCAACGTCGTCATCACACTTACAGCCAGATGACTTCACAGGATGTCTGAGGATGATTGACTAGAATAAGGTTCATGAGCATCTGAACGGGGAGAAAGGTTTTGGTAGGCACTCGAAGCGTGATGATCATTCGTACCACTGATTACTTCCAAACCACCTGTTGAACTGCTGATCATCCATGGAGGACAAGGCTCTCTACACGATGATCACTTGCTGACGAGCCCCATTCGAAGTCCTCAGTAATTTGGTAAACACCCTGATCGATTTCAGGTGACAGAACCATGGATTAAGCACTTTCGAACTGTGAACAATGAGTATATTTTGGAGCGAGAGCATCAACGAGCTTCAAACATGAATTGACCCTCGTCTTGTGGACCTTGCGAGGACTCTGGATATCGATACGGAGATAGAGTTAGTATCCGCGAGGCAGAGAGCGCAGAGTCGATATTTTCTAAGTGCCTTGGGAAACAGAGGACACAACATTTCAACAAACGTGACATTGCATTGTCGATCTTCAACGAAGTCTTGAGCAGAAAGACTCAAAGAGCAAAAGAAAGCATGCACTAGTGTGGCACCTACGATCCAAAATGGCATGCGCACGCCTGTGGCGCGCGTCTCGACGTGTTGACGTGGCACTCGTACGTCACCGAACGCTCGTGACGGGAGTTATGCACAAGAAAAAGACGAAGGAAAAAGTGTAAAATATGTAACATCCCAGGACAAAACACAAAAGAACTATGATGGTCGAACAACGAAAGAATGGTCCGCTCGAAGCAGAATGCGAAGAAGCAACAAGAATAAAGTGCGATCCGTTCTAAGGTGACAGTCCCGTTGTGGTCTTAAATCTATAAACAAAGAAAACGGGAACGGATAGGCGATTTAGCGAGGAAGACATCGAGCAAGGAAAGTGGAACGCGGACGCACGTATTGTGAGACCCAGCGGAAACCTTCGCCGTAGCCCTGCCTCTGGACAACGGAGCACATGAAGATCTCAATGGGACGGATGTCATTCAATGGAACCTTGCCCTATTTCCGTTCAACCACCACCACACAAACGAGCACACAAACGCGTCAGTACTCCTGTACACGTAATAATACAGTTTCCAAGCACGCACCTTGCCAGTCGTCTGATAGAGGCCCAGATGATGCCTCAACTCCTCTTCGCTGACAGCACCGGGGGCGTCGATCTTGTTGCCGAGGATAAGGAAAGGAACCTTAGAGAGTTCCTCAATGGAGAGGAGGGCGTCGAGCTCGGCCTTGGATTCGCCGAAACGTTCGAAGTCAGCACTGTCAACGAGGAAGACGATGCCGTCGACTTCGGGGAAGTAGTCACGCCAGAGGCGGCGAGCTAGAGGAAGGATACGAACATGTCGGTAATGAGATATGCGAACAGGACCGGGTGCACACTACAAGGAAGGAGAATGCGGTCATTATTGGTGAAGCGACGTACCCTGTTGGTGACCACCGAGATCGTAAGTGGTGAATTTGACATTCCCAATAGCCAGCTCCTCAGAGGCTGAGTAGAATAATGAGCAATCATCAGAAGTAAATACGACATTGACGACGCACTTGGGTGGAGAGTTGGCTGGAGCGTAGCTAGCCTGTCGTTTTTGAGCATGTGCAACAAGGTCTACGGGGTTTTATGAGTAACTTGTATTATTCGACCGAAATTATGCGCCCATACCGTCTTTCCAGCGTTGTCCAGCCCAAGGAAGAGAATCTTAGCGTTCTTGTTCAACAGACCTACATCATAGAAGTCAGTCTACGTCGAGCTGAGAACACGCGGCCTGTCTCGTGCGCCGAGTGGAAGAGGGCGAACAAGTGACTGACCGAGCTGTGCAAGAACATCCCAGAACCAGTTAACGATCCACATATCTGGTAAGAAGAGTTGTTGGAAGAGAGAAACAAAGACGAAGTCTGAGGTGGTGGAGGTTTGCCTGGAAGGTGAGTTGCACACGGGTAAGCGTCGTGACAGAAACCCCACGTGGCGCTCTGAGGTGTGATCGAATTCCAGTTTTCTGAGTGGCGGAAGGAGCGATATGAGCGCGTCTCAGACCTTTATTTTCGAGGCAGCCCGTTGGAACCACGTCGTTGAACGTTCACAATACATTTACGGAAAAGTCTCTTGCATATCTTGCATTTGTGAGCCGACGTTCCACCAGTTGTTTGAGGGGCGAGCAGATTTTCAGGAAGGTAAAGGTCACAGTCGAGTAAGATTTGAGCAAAGAATGAAGATGGCATTGTGTAGCGACATCCACGACAAAACATACAGGCAATACAGGATGTACACATGGAAAAGGCAGGAGAAAAAGAGCAAGAAAAGAGAGTGGTAGAAAACAGAGGAGTATGTGGGAAAGGTCTGACACTCACTTCACCATCAAGCCCCGAACAAACGAAGCCGAGTGAGCAAGTTCTAAAACCCGTCCAGCATCCCTCTCCGCATAACCGAATCGCCTCGTTCAGCCTTAGTTGGGACGTTAGAACGGGCACTGTCTTAGAGGTTGCGTTGGACGAAGAAAAAACAGAACGACGCGCCCGACGCGAAGCTTTATACCGCATCTGTTTGGCATTGTTTGGTTTGGAAAGGGGCAGGTGGCGGGGTGGCGCTTTGCCAGATAAGGGGCGGTCTGCTTTACGACTTTGTCGGCAGCAGCGTCTGAAGGAGAGCTGTACATATCGTGCTCTCTCTAGGTCAGACTGTGAGATGCCTATGCAAGATATCTCTCTGGACTGCTGTACTCGATGACCATGTTTTATTTCTCTATATTCTTAATATCCTTTCTGTGCTCTACGAGGTTCATATCGGCCGCATCACTATCCTTCGATCCGATCCAGCAGTATAGCTTGCCTTTTGTCGGCGACGAACCCCTGCAAGCTTCCTTCAGCTTGGTCGAGCAGCAACTCCCACCGTCATTGACAGTAAAGTCGGTTCCAACCTCGGTATATCGTCCAAAGTCCGTAGACGCACTCCTCCATGCGCGATCACAGTCCCTTCGACATGCGCAGGGTGAGAAGGTTGACTGGGATCTAGTCGAAGTTAACGGACCCGATGTAAAGGACAGGCATACGCTTGTACAACTTGCACGTATGTCAGGGGATGCATACGCACTTCCTGGTCAGAAGAATTGGTATGACATCGATCCAGCATGGAACGAGGTGCGCGATCCTCAGCTCTTTAGTCTGCATCACTCGGAGCGGAACACTCAAATGTTATACTCATATGCCAGAGCTTTCCATTCGGTTGGGAAGACGCTTCCGAAGGATTCCGCGGGCACGTCTTCGTCTCCTCAGACAACTCTACCGTCATCTTGTCCATCAAGGGAACCACTATCCAAGGCCCTACATCGAAGAAGGACAAGTACAACGACAACCTCCTCTTCTCCTGTTGTTGCGCCCGCGTAGACTTCTCCTGGATATTCAACACGGTCTGCGACTGTTACGCCAATCACTGGAAGTGCGACAATACATGTCTCACTACGGCGCTCGTGCAGGATAGTCTGTTTTACTCTGTTGGCGTCGTATGTTTTTCTTGCTCTCCGGCCGTCTATGCCACAATCTTACCGTCGGAAACTGAATACTACCCTTGCATGTCTACTGCAGAACCTGATCAAGGACCTGACCCTACTCTACCCAACATCCGACGTCTGGCTCGTAGGCCACTCCCTCGGCGGCGCACTCGCCTCTCTCCTCGGCGCCACCTTCGGACTCCCCTCCGTCGCCTTCGAAGCCCCCGGCGAACGCCTAGCCGCAAACCGTCTCCATCTCCACCTCCCTCCATCTCTACCCTCCGAGCCTTCCGACCTCCCCTTTGCCCCCGTCACCCACGTCTACCACAACGCCGACCCGATCCCTCAAGGCGCCTGTACCGGCTTCGGCTCGCCCTGCGCTTCGGCAGGATACGCATTGGAGACGCGGTGTCATCTCGGGAAGAGTATCGTTTATGATACGGTCGGACAGCTGGGGTGGAGAGTGGACGTGAGGACGCATCCGATTAAGCAGGTTATTACTAGGGTTATTGAGTTGGAGGAATCGTGGGAGGATGGGAGGGAGGTGCCCGTCGCGAGGGAGGAGGTGGATTGTGTGGTATGTTATTTCTTCTTTTTCTTCTTCGGATCACTCTTTTCCATTCACTGGCGGAGTCGAATGGATAGTGACTAACCGTGTCCTGTTTCCGATGCTGCAGGATTGTTACAAGTGGGAGTTTGGCGATTTTAAGGATGAGGAGTGAGGACGCGAAACCGTGATCCTGTATATCTGCTTGTATCACCATGTAGAATACGAGTGGAAGATGAGATCTCTGTATATATCTAATTTCCTGCCCAATGTATGACCGATCACGGATCAACCAGACTGCATCAACTCTATCCATGCAGGCACCACAACCGCTCTGTTCTAACACACCTACCGAATCATTCACATAAGATCAAACGGCCACCAATTAATCCCTTTAAAAAAACCTCCTTTCTGTGACCCAACAAGTCCCACAACCTCACACCCTTCTCTCCGCCCCACCAATCCACCTCCCCTGCACATAAACCCTCCTCATATTCCTATCATCCCCAGTAAACAAAAACCTCTCCAACAACTCGTCCAACTCCTCCTTGCCTCCTTTTCCCCTGTCGATACCCAACTCCTCATCCGTATCCACGCCCCAAAGCCCCAGATTCCCCGCATCGCTCCGGACGCTCACAAGCAGCGCATCGAACGCTTTCCCAGGCGTGAACGAGCCGATGCGGGAGGAGAGGTCACAGACGTGGGCGCCGCCGAGGGTGGCGAGGTAGAGCAGGGCGGAGGGGGGGAGTTGGCGGTTTGCGAATTTGGGGGGTTCGGGGGCGGATGGGGCGGGAGAGGTGGTTGTGATGGAAGTGGGAGGAGAGGATTGAGATTGGTCGTGTTCCATGGCGATGATCTTGGAGGCGATGCTGGCATGCTGGATAGCCGTAAGTATCGAAGGCGAAAACCCGCCCGAGACGTCCGTTCCTAATCCGACCTACAACAGCACACAACCACCACCATCATCAACATCCCACTCTCTTCAACTGAACGAGAAGGGGGGAAAAGCTCAAAACCGACCTTAACCCCCCTATCCAACATCTCCCCAACCTTACAAACCCCACTCCTCAAATTAAAATTACTCGTCGGACAATGACTCACGCCTGCCCCCCTCCTCCTCACCAGCCCCACTTCCTCCTCGCTCAGATGCACGGCATGCGCGAGGATGGTCCGAGGTCCTAAGAGGCCGTGTTTGTCGTAGACGTCGGCGTAGGAGGTACAGTCTGGGAAGAGCTCGAGCGTGAACGCGATTTCGGACGGGTTTTCGGAGATGTGGGTTTGGATCATTAGGGGCTCGGTATGGGGATGGGGTGGGGAGGTGGAATTGGAGAGGGAAGAGAGGGAGTGTAGGAGGGGGGAGGTGCAGGAGATGGCGAAGCGGGGGGTTAGGATGGGTTGGACGAGGGCTGGGGTGGTGTTATCCGAGCTAGATGGGGAGGCTAGAGTGCGGATGTGGGTGATGAGGGCCTTGGTGGAGGCTATGGACTCTTCGACGGAGGGTTCGATGTAACTGGGTGGACAGTTCCGGTTCATGTTACATTTCTGTGCGTGGAGAAAGAGGTACGTGAAACCGTCAGCAAGGAGGGCCACACGAGCTAGAGTGGCGCACGGGCTCACCTACCCCGACAAACGCTCGTTGACCTAGATATAGCGCACAATACGATACGAGCCAGTCAGTACTCAGTACGGATGACCACTTCTCGTTTTCGGAAGTCAAGTACTTACCATGACTATGCACAATATCGGCAAGTATCTTCGTAGCTTCGAGATGAAGGGTCCCATAATAACAACACGTCGTAGTCTGCGTTCACCTTCAAAACTCAGAACCGAACGGGAATAGGGGCAAAGGAGCGCTAATAGGAACGTACCCCAGAGTTGATGATCCGTTTAACGACCGACTCGTATGCCCGTTTCGCAAAGTCGACGTTAGCGAACCTGGCCTCCATAGGGAATGTGACATTATCCAGCCAATCAAGGAGTTCGTACTGCTGTCCGCTGAGCAGAATAATAAAAAAAACAAATCAAAACCCGAACGGCCCGATATTGTCTTACAGGGATGCTGACCTTCCGATATTCGGGACCTGAGGCGCATGCTAAAATCCCCATCAAACACTTAATTCTTATCCTTCACCCACCCAAAAAGCGAAGACAGACTCAGACTCACAGTATGCGTATCCACGAATCCCGGCAACAAAAACTCTCCCCTCTTCAATGTCACAAAATCCACGCTATCCCCGTCCAATACTACCCCCTTCTGCGCCATCACCTCCTGGACCAGCGAGTCCGGCACGTCATCTACGACCCAGGCGATATCCCCCGAGGGGCCGACGCAGATAAGACATTTCGGGAGAGCGAGGTAGGAGGAGAGGGAAAGGGGGTTGATGACGGCGCCGTGGAAGATCTTGGAGCGGGGTTGGGTGGACATGGTTGGAGTGCGTTTGGAAGGCTTTGTGCTACTGTGACGGGTACGAGTGGAGTTCTTTCAACTGTTTGTTCGAATTGAAGCCTCGAGATCCGGACGACGGGTTCGCAAGAAGATGAGCCGGTGTTGTCGATGAGACTTGAGCTTGAAGCTTCCCCTTCAGGTGTCGAGCGAGGTATATGTCAAGGATCTAGCATCAAACGATGATCAAGACACAAGCGAACAGAAGGACGTCTATCTCGTGCTCGTCGGCGACCGCAAGCCTATTGACGCTCGCCGCGGGGCTAAAGTACGATAAGTCCATTAATCGTGGCATGAAGGCAGCAAGCACGAATGATTGCATGACGAGACACGTCTAAGTTGCGCCGTCGTACTCGGGGACCCTCTTTCCGCCTTGTCCTTTTCCAGCCTTTTCCTTGTCAATTATTTCCTCAGTACCGTCATCTCCGTCTTCAACTCCATCCTGTCATCGATATCTCGATGCACGGTTCACGTTCGGTAAAGTTAGAAGTTGACGCGGCTGCGTCATCCCGAGCATCACGCATCCCTTCCCTTCTGCGTTCTAGGTCCATGATGATATGAATGAACGCAATTTATTATTCAAGCAGACAGGGCAGAGATATATCCGAGCCTGTTTCGTCCTCACGAGGCAGCAACAGAATGCATGGACATATAAGGACCGATGGCCCTCCTTGTCCACAGACGGAAATATACCACCAACACACGAAACGTCGGCCTTGTTCCCCAGAGGGTCATATCGTTTGATGGTGGCTTCCGGTCATCCTTCATCCTGTACCTGCTGCTCCAGCTACCTTCCATTTACGACGGTCAACAACCGGCGACGCGGAGAAATTAGACGTCCTTGTCAGCCAGCCAGCCAGCGAAATTCGTTCATCCAATCCGAGTGGTACGGTCTCACACAAGAACCCATGCTAAACGGCGAACAAGGGCGTCCTTTACGTTCGGTGACTTGTTGTCCGAAAAGGCTACCCGGCAGCCCATGGTGAAACCGGTTCGCAAGAAGCCTTTCGAAGTGTTCGCGTGGGTTGGGCTGGGCTCTGTTGGGTGGTTGATCGTCGGCGAATCGAGGTGTCTGTCTCTTCTGGTCCCGAAAGGATGTTCGTGTTTCGTCGATTTCGTACGCACGCGGGCGGGAAGGACCAGTTCGGTCTTTGCATGATCATGACAGGTTCTTCTGACGTCGATTCACCTCCCTCAAACACTGCCAATGCCGGAAGACAAGGCGAAATGAACGAATATTACTGGAGGGTACGGTTATGGTCGTCGCCGTTCGAGGCCCGAGTTGCAGGTCTTGGACGTATTAGAGAAAAATAAATGCGGGGGAGAGAGGACGTGAGCGGATCGGGGTCAGGGTAAGCTACGACTTTGAGTTCAGCGGCGAGACCGTCCATCGGATGGCGAGCTCGGACAGGTACAGGTTCCTCGACGTCGGGTGGGAGAGATGGTCCTCGGAGGACGTTGTATCGTGCGCCGATGCGGGTGGAGCGACTGATGGAATATTAAGCGTATGAGGGAAAATCTCAGCTGAACAAAGACTGATCATTTGCGAGCATGCTGGACGAAGACTTCGAGCGCCTAGCTGTGCGGAAGACCGCTGCCGAGGGTGATGGCCAGAAAGAGAGAAGTTTAATCTCGATAATGTTGAGACTAAAGGTTGACTGAGACAAGCAGGTAATTGTAGTACGGGTCCCAATTGTGGATAGAGAGAGTAGAGAGTGACGTCGGGGACTGCGTGAAGCAGAGGGTGCTGTCAAGAGAGTCGAACAGGGGCTTTTTAGCGAAAGGAGAAGAGGGCGCTGCATTTGAAATATGGGCGTGAGGCGCGTCTATTGCGTCACCGAAAGAGGCAAGTTCACTTTGGAGCTCGTCTTTTCTTGGGCAGAAAACATAGGAGATGAAGAACAGCAGGCGATGGAAAACACATGTACAGTGAGGGGAGGATTCAGAGGCAAGTGGAAGGGAGGGAGTGTGGCGGAGTGGCGTGAGGGAGGGGAAGGGACTAGCCGAGGGATGGAGTGCCTTGATCTGCTCATATCACACCCTCCGCGTCCCGACTTGCGTATAAAGTTCATCGGTCTCCTCTTCCCATCCCCTCTCTTCCTTCCTTTCTCCATCGTCTCCACCGTCCCCGCCAGCGCCCTCGTCGCCGTCCCACACGTCGTCCCCCTTTGCCTTTTCACGTCTGTTCTATCATGCCTTCTCTTCGCCGTACTTTCTCATCTCCCTCCGCACGCTCGACCCCATACCCCTCTTCCCTTGGCATTGCTAACACTCGAGGCAGCTATCCTTCCCGACGATCATCCGGCTCCGACGTTTCCACCCGCAGGGTCCTTGCAGATATCGACTGGTGGCGGGTTGCAGATGGTCAGCGCGAACCAGACGCAGAGCGTGAGCTGAACGAGAACGAGGACACGGAGGCCACCGCAGGCAACAACACAGCCCAAATCCCTTCTCGTTCTCCTGCAGATACCATCGCAGACGCTCTCGCCGACTTCGCGCTCGTGGCCGGTCCCGCAACTATCGCAGCAGAACTCGCCCTCCAACAGCCCTCGACGTCCGGTCCGTCAGAGGTGCTGTCCGAGAACCAGCCTGGAGACTCTATTGTACATGTACGTGTCCTACCCCCTTCTTACCTTGAATTACCTCACCCATCCCTCTTCCGCCCCATTCAGTCCCCATTCCGTTCTTACGGTCCGCTCGGTCTTGGACCCCGCACGCCCGCACGACGTGAAGCCTCTGGCTCGTCGACGTACTCTTCCGATTCCTGTTCATCTACCAGTTCATCTCCCGACTCCCTCTACACTCCCCGGGAAAACCTATCCTTCACCTTCTCCGATGTGGGCTTCTCCGACTCTGTCTTCGATTCTCCCTCTATCCCCACCGAAACGCGCCCTGTCGCGCTCGGTGCTATCAAGTCTTACTCCTTCGCCGGCTTCTCGTCGAAACAATTCGATGACGATGACGACGACTTTTTCCTCCCTACTCCCGACTTCACTCACGAAGACCTGTTCGCTTGAACATATCCATTTTGATCCCGGTTTCCTCGTCATCGTTGGGAACGCCACCATCACTCCCTTCCTTGCGCCGCGCCTGCGCCCGCTCCTGATCAGGCTCATCTCCCCAAAAATGTGCCCGCTGTACCATCATCATAGTCTCGCGCCACACACATTCTCACATTCACGGGTCTGCGTCTCGTAACGACCATCATCGACCTTACACGAATTCTTCAAAGGATGACAACCTCATGATCTACGACCTCCCGGGTGGATTGACGACTTGACGACGTGCCAAAACGCCGTCGTTTCATTTTTCAACATCGGATTTTAGCCTTGTACGATGGTTACCCATCGTATTCGCTTGGTTCGATCTTCGCACAACCCCATTCTTCGCATCTCGACCATTGCTTAGTGCATGGTTGACCCTTACGACCATTCACGCCCTTATTTGACGACTTTTTTTTACCTTCCATGTTGTCCGATATCTTTCAACCTTTCTATCTTCGTGTTTGGGTCGGTCGGATACGGCTATCCCCGCTTAGCCTACGCCGCTCGGAGGTCCGCGTCTACATTCTACGCAGATCCGTTTTTGGTTTTTGGTCACGGTCATGCGCTCTTGTTTGGTTGTTCGCATCCGGTCTGGTTTCACCTCGGTTTTTGGCATCTTACCTACCGATTCTGATATCTCATCACACATCTGTCTCGAGGTTTTTCTTGTCTTTGTTCTCCAACCATTGACCTCGCGATATCCTCTTCTTCATACAATTTTTGTACACTTGTTCATTCATCCGTTCACCCTCGTCAACCCGGTCTCAAAAGGCGTAGATCACACATTTTGTTCTCCCGTTTCGCCGTTCTTCTGTCCCATATCTGTCCCCCTTTCTCCTTCGTTCTGACGTTCTGAACTATCCGTCTCCTTCCCAACACAATTGTTTGTAACGACTAGACATGCATACCATCTCATCTCCCTCACCTTCATCGTATCGTCTTGCCTCCATCCATCCATCCAACCGTCCATCCGCTCTATGTCTCTTCTCTTCTCGTCTCTCTCGATCTATGCACTCCTGTTCTGCTTTCTTAGTTTCGTCTCCGTACTCGCTATCTATGTATCTGACTCTGATCTACCTGATGACTTTCCCATTGGCCCCCCGGGAGGGATGTTTGTGTGTCCATTGTGTCTGTGCTCACACTACGTATACACGTCCATCGCGTATATACCCCCCCCCCCCCGCCCCCGATCGTCTCTTCTTGCCTCGAGTTGTCGATGATGACCGGTCCCGGGCACTCAGTCCTCAGTCCTCAGTCTGATCTGATCCATATACGTACATAGATAGCTTTCTCTTTCTTTCTGGCCCGCTCGTTCAAACGTTCATGTCTGATTGATTGACCGACCGACAGCTTCCTTTGGCCCTTTTGATTGTCTGTATGTCTGATCGATTCGTTTGGACGATGTAAATACCCTTGGTCTCGATTTCGATTTTGTACAGTCTCCTTTTTGGCTCTTGACTGTTAACGACTCCTTTACGATTTTTTCTTTCTTCTTTTTGTTTCGTCTTTCTCTGTTTCTTCCTTCTCTTCCTTTCATCTTTTGCCCTCTTGTACCTACGACCTACCTACCTACTCTTTCACTGACCGACCGACCGACCGACCCACTGATTCGCTGATTCATTGATTCATTGACTCATTTCCGACTGATTGACATACACATTGGCATCTTACATCTTTCTTCAGATTCATGTTCTCGTATCTTGTTGTAACGTCCTTACGATCGATACGATACGATACTCGAAAGAAAGAAAGGGGATGCAATGCACCAGACTTCAGACTCATCATGCTCATCGTAATGCGGTGTTGACCAGACTGAACAAGGAGACTCAGATTCCCTGGTATGATTATAATTCGCTCGACCTCCGGCCGCTAACAGCCTCAGAGATTGCAGAGTCGCCCAGGATCTGGATGATAACGTTGATTTAGCTCGAGACATGTCCAACCTTTAAATTTTGACGAATGATTCAATGAACTAGGGCCGTGGATGGCTTTTACATGCGTATGACCTTGAAGGCGGTTCGTTCGAGGCATCGTCGCCTCCACCCTCGTCCCGCCACACCGACACCGACACGACAGCGGCGTATAGATGTGTAAATGTGTAAATGCATCCTGTCACAATTCACACCCCGGCGCGATAGACGGTGAACTCAAATCTGCTCATTAGCGGATTGAGTAGAGTAAGTAGAGTAGGACTGTGCCGCGCTAATCAATAACGAAACACTGAAACAGGCTCATAAGAACCAAAATAGCGGACGAACGGAAACAAAGATTATAATTATGATAGAGATGGAAACGAACTATCGAACCACCGAGCTATCGAACCACCGAATAACAACAACAAGACCGTCCGCGACCCTACTTATCATAATCGTGTCCGCTGCCCGATGACCCGACGAGCCTAAGTTGATTCATACTCGGATTCGAAACGCTATTCCGATAGATATCGACGCTGTATATGGTGGAATACACCACCGTATGACGCCACGCATAGTCGGCGATACAAAAGTAAGATGAACCCTGTCTCGGTCGCCGTTGAGCGGTTGAGCCGTTGGAAATGTCGGGCGTGCCACGTCGTTCGTCGTCATATGCCTTCAGTGCACAGTGACAAGAATGGAATAAGGTTGGGCTAGACTGATTCTCGCCAATATAGCACTGGACGAATTGGCGCATACATAGACAGGGGTCTGGTGAAATCATGTGCGATTATGACCGCTCGCCGCTCGGGCCAAGGCCAGGAAGTACAGTATAAGTGGTGCGAAAGATTTCGTGCGTCATCGGTATATACAGATGCGTCCTCGCGGGCTTCGACGTCGAGGGGTCATATGCATATGTAGAAAGATCGGGGGGATGATAGGAAAGCGGCACGGGTGAAGGAAGTCCGAAGTCGGGGGAGTGTGGGTGAATATAGTATATTCACAGGTCGAAGGTCCTGCGTATGAACACCGTAACTGTCGAACTGGAGCTCGCGAACCCGCCCTCGAATCTGCGCGACCTGAGCTTCGACTAGCCATCATACGACAGCGGTCCTGAATGGAGCACACGAGTGAACTGGTGGACTGGTGGGAAGAGATAGTATCTGTGAAGAAGCCCTGTGAGGCTGTGCGACTGGCGACGACGAGAAAGCGATAAGAACGAGAGAGCTGCGCTCTGTGGGGTGATGACATGTAGGTGCGACCTCGGCGGTAATAAAAAGGTAGAGATGTTCTTGCAGCTCGAGTTCGAGCGGTGGTACTGCCAGAAGACATAGGCAGGAGGAATGGTTGGCCCCTGATGGTTTGTCCTCCTACGGGCCAAGATGGCAAAGAGGGACCGATGCTGAGAGCGAATATACACGAGAAGAGGCGCTACAGCTGTTGAAAATTCCGCCTGTGAAGCTTGAGCGAAATGCTGGTACGTTGCGTAGGGCCGTGGGGAGATCGGTGAGACCATGAGCCGTTTTACATTCGTTGTGCAGCCGAACCATGAGCGGATAATACTCAATTACGATGGTCCACCCGTGGGCCGCTCCTGACACTCTCGCAGAAAGCGAAGGTGGACGAAAAGATTATCTTTTGAAACCGGACACGACAGCTGGACCTGAGACTTTGCTCCAGGGCGAAGACGCAAGTGGTCCGTAGTTTCGCTCGACCCGCGGAGCGACGATTGGCGCTTTTTTCGACGGTAGTGGTGGGGGCGGTGGGCCCTGAGCATAAGGATTGGGATTTTGTTGTTGATGGTGCGACGACGGGTGATGCGAGGGTGGCGGATGCTGTGAATGAGGATGAGGTGGTGGTTGTGAGGATTGTGAAGGTTGTCCGTGACGCGCTTTCCAGGCGTTTTTGATCGCCGTAGATCGTGCGAGAAGCTATGGGCAGAATCAACCGAGGAGATTTAGAGGTTAGACGTCGGCATCAAGAGAGATAAAAAGGAAGGTGCGGAAGTGAAACAAGATTCTCACGTCGTCTTTTTCGACACCGTCGGCTATGCTTTGAATGATGCCCTCAACGACTTTACGATGATTGCCGTGCAGTTTGTCGTCTCGGAAGCGCATGAAACGCCAGTGTTCCTTGACATTGTCCCAGTGGACTTCAACGATCCGGTCGTCGAGCTGTTCGCGAGACGCTTTCCATCTGCAATGAGATGTCCAGGTCAATTCGGAATGATAAACAAGGTCGGGAAGGCTTCAACGTACTGTTCCCACTCTTCATCCTCGACGTACATCACGTCATAAGGTTCGTACTGCGCTCGTGCGCCCTCGCCACCATTCCAGACGTGCAGCGCAAAGACGGGCTTCGCTCCTAGATCTGGCTGGTTGGGACGAGAGGGCAAGCTCGGAAAACGTAGAACTAGCTTAAAATCAATGGAGTTCTCCGATGGAGGTTTCCACTTCAGACTAGAGTGGCCATTGATCAGACTTTGCTAGAGGGAGATCGGAGGGCTACTCACATGTTCGTATCTGTACCAGGGACGTAGGGCGTCGTTACCGGTGTGTAGATGAGACCATCGTTTCCATGTTGAAGTTTAGGAATGTCGACATCAAAGACTTTCTCTAGGTGATATGACAGATTGATCTCTTTCACCCGGATGCTGTGTGATGCAGCCGGGTTAACCCTGGCTATTAGACTATATAAGTGATGGCAAATACTGACTCGAAGGGTTGGCTAGCGCGCATGTGCGGATGATCTGACATCATCTTCGAGTATGGCTTGTAAAAATGTTCACGTAGCCGCTGGAGACGAAAGTTAGTCAAACCTGAGCAAGCGCCGCAGAAACTTGTTGTAAAAACTCACCCCATACCGTTTCTCAAGGTTTCGATCCATGACATTCTGACCATCTGCTACGATGCAGTCAAAGCAGAGCATACGCAATGTAGTCTAAAAACCGTGACACGCAATACGTCAGCGGTGAGTTTACGGAAGCGGTGAACAAGACACACCTGCTTTGTCCGAGGATCTGTGTCAATCACGAGCTCTGCATCCACTATAGTGCTCCCCAACGGCCTCGCAGGATTCTCCCAATGCGGGAAATACATCCCATCGAGTTGACGGTACTCATTCTTGCGGTCGACCTTCCATTCGATAAAGCGCCACAGACCGTAAGCATGCCACTTCGCGCACGGACCCTCCTCATCCAGCAAGAAAGAAAGCGGACGTACGATATAAACCAATTGTGTACTACCATCGGGATTTGTCAACACCACAAACAACACTCTGATCCCATCCGACTTTTCGCAAACCCAATAACTATCTCAACGAACCATAGATGCCGACCCGACACAGTCATTCGGAGCAATCGCGGTTAGTGGCGCTTCAACGAAAAGAGTGATTAAATAGATGCACGCACTCTTGCTTCTCCAACCTGTCTAAATCTCGCGTCCCAAAGCTGACCGGTTGACTTCCGGGGAATCTATAAAGAAGAGGAAGATTCGCAGCAAGCACTTAGTTCGACACCTCCCCGCAGCCAAGTGTGAGTACGAACCGGTCATGCTCCAGGCCACAGAGGCCTGCGACGAGACCCTTCAACCAAGCGTCGATCTCCGAACCTCTGGGGATAACTGAACCTGGTAGTTCAAGGGGTACTGAGGACATGGGCAGTGATAGTTGGGCTCAAAGGTGGAGAGTGGCTCTGATGGAACAAGGTGAAGAGAAAACGACGCGGCAAGGATTTTGCGCGTCGTATTGGTGTTCCACCTATGGCTAGTCAAAGGAGCACAGAGTTCCCTTTGATAACCCTAGTGCTATTGTTCTGTCTCCTGGCGTCATTCCAGCAGAGTCAGACAGTCCTATGGTGCGCTATGTATAGTGTATTTATTAGTCAAACACGCGTGTCGGACCATTTGGCACGCCACATCGTGTCAAAGACACCCAGCCTGCCTGGCCTTATTCGCACAGTGCTTGCGTGTTAGCGCTCATCAAAAATTTTACAACAGTATTTTTGCGTATCTGCAGTGCAAAGTTCAGGAGAGGAGAAGGATATTATACATCGGAACTTGGATCAAGAAAGGGTAAACAGCTACGGTAACAAGTGATAACAAGGTCGTGCAAAATATACGGCGAGTGACAGCCCGGTGACTCCTTCAGCGATCCTCAGCCCATTCCTATTTGAGGAAAGGGTTATGAGAACAAGAACATGAGGTTCAAAGCGGTATGTACTTACGTTCTCCTTCTTAATTTGAGCCTGTGTATTCGGAAAATGCAAAGGACACGCGGAGGTGAGCCGATCAAGTATCGCAACAAGACAAAGAAAAGACACATTACCTCTTCCTCAGGCGTGAAGTCGTTGACGATGTTGAACAGCTTACGGATCTCCTCAGGGGTCTTACCCTTGATCATGTTGGCCACGGTTTTGCAACCCACATCACTGCATGGTAGCCAGATGAGTAACGATGAACGTAAGACAGTCGCTTGTTAGAACGCACAGGAGGGCCTTGATATCGAGATAGTTGGCAGCAAGGATAATTTCGAAGAGCATCTCCTGATCAACGGCGATAAACTTTTGATCCCACTCGCCAATATCAGTCGTCCGTTTCCTAGTCTCGTCCTGTGAGTCAGTCTCAGCCGTAGGCAGAGGCTCCCCTCGGTGGTGCTCGCAGTAGTCCAGGACCTAGGGTGATCAAGAGGCGCGCCTATGTGATAAGCGACGCGCAACATAGACGAGGGATGACACGGACCTTCTTCATAACCGCTGACGATACATTAGGAAGAGGAATAGGCTGGTCGGTCTCGCCAACATCTGTAAAAATGGAGTGAGTGACCCTTGTCGTGTTTTCGAGTAAGGTGGCGTTCACCCTCGAGCATGTTTTTGATGAGAACGCTGCGCTCGGCGACGTCCTTGTCGACGGTGAACTGCTCATTGTCAGAAGTTACTAGGAGAACCATAGTGAATTTAAGAGGGTACGAGAAGAGAGGCGAGGTTGTTGTGGTTGCGGTGAAGTGAAGGTGCGGTGCAGAGGGGCGAACGAGTCGCGTGTAAATAAGCGGAGCGCGAATTTATCTCTCACGCGTCATGCGGCACCGAGCGCTAAAGGGCCTGCCACTCCAGGCTTTGCTGCGTTGCCTCTTCAAACAATGCCTTTGTTCTCTTTCGCGGCCTGTTGCGAGGCCATCCGTTCTCCTTTCTCTTCCCTTGGTACGCGTGCCACCTTGTCTCGTATCTTATCCGACATCCATCTCAGTCTATTGTCATCCTAGGTTCTGTTCGTACCGCAACAAAGCGAGCGGGAGGCTCAATTCGCAATCATGGTGGCTCTCCCGGAAAGCGCTTAGGTGTCAAAAAGTTCTCAGGTGCGTGGGCCTTCGACTCATAGGCCAAAGCATCGCCTGATATCGAATCATCTAGACGAATATGTGATTCCTGGTAACATCATTGTGCGGCAACGAGGCACTCAATTTCACCCTGGACAACATGTGAGTCACTCTGATAATACTTTATGGCCATCCTCGCCGTGACCCTCGCTCGTCGCCACTCACCTGACGTTGTAGGTCAAAATGGGCCGTGACCATACAATCTACGCTACTGTTCCTGGATTTGTCCGCTTTTACAAGGAGGAACGTTTGCGAACTGTGCGCAAGTATGTCGGCGTCGTTCTGACCCGCGGCGAGAAGCTTCCCCGGGACGAGACTACCCTCGGCCGCTCACGGTACTTCGGGTTAGTTGACCTCAATAGTCTCCAGTCCAATCCACCCGCGGTGGAGACAGCACCATCACCATAACGGCTCCTCACTCACTGTATCCTCTCCTTGGTTTGCATACCATCTTCTGCTTGCATCTATTCATCAGGCGTGACATTTTCCGTCGTCGATATCACTACGGACCGCCGGCCACTACTTCTGTGTCCTATGTGCCCGATTCCACCCAGAAAAGCAGGGCAACTTTATCGCTATCGTGACCTTGGATCCCGATTTTGCTCATGTGTCAGTGGTTCTTAAGGCCGAGTGCTAAAAGCGTATTCAGGAAGTCCACCTCACATCACACTCGCAGGTGTACTTCTGCCGCGGATCCCAGTCCATCTGTTTCCCTACAGTTGCGAGTACTTTTTTTTTTAACCGATCGTTCACATTGGCGGTCGAACTGCAAGGAAGACAGTCAATACGGTTTGACACCTGGCATCGCCTTGTCGGGATTCTGTTGCCTGCTCTTGAGTCGGACTATTCTTGTCGTCTGCTCTCGTTATATCGAGGGTGATTCACCTATTCGCCTGATATCTTAAAATATGCCGTTCAGGTCACATTTCAAAGTACCTCAACGCGATTTTTGACGAGTCCCTTTACTCAAGATGGATGGGATTTCGACTCAGTTATGAGAAAACTATGGTGTCTCGACCATAATCAGCTGCACTTTCGTCTCCGTCAAACTGTCGAAAACCGTCCGTTCGATCTCGCCATAAGTGCCTAAGCTTGGAACTCATATTCGGTCTGCCTGGCGCTCATCTATATATTGAGTAGTTGACAACTTCGTGCACGGTCAATGTACTAGTTCGAAGTGTGCTTGTGCAAATTCTTGAGCATAAGAACAAGACCCAATATGAGACTCGGTCCTCGTCTCTCTAGATTATCCAAGGGCCACACCTCTAGTGTGCTATAGCTGTGGCACCATATGGCAACTCTAATTTTAGATCGAGCGATCCTATCCACTGCCATGACACTCACGCCGATGCAAGTGTGGGGAAAGCATCATGGAAACCTCTGTTCGTACCCGGCATCATTCTCGCTGCTTCTCATCGAACGACCACCATCATGTCGACTAGCAAATATCAACTGTCCATGCAAAAAGATTTGAAGCTCTCCGGTATTGTTCAGATCCCCTTGTCCACTTGAAAGACTAGAAGCGCTTATTGTCTCTCGTGGTTGAACTACATGAAATAGAGATTCCCTCGGAGGAGGCTATTGTTCAAGCCGCTCACGACATCATCGATTCTATCACCTCATGGAAGGCTGGAAAGACCTTTCACAAAGTTGTTCGCACTTACTCGAAGCCGAAAGGCCCAGGCGACGGAGCTCCATGGCACGCACGTATCAGTGAGCACAGTGCGGAGGATGCGACGTTTGACGAGTTCTGGAGCAAGCTTGGTGATGATCATGCTTCGAATGAGAAAGAGTACGTCGATATTTTTACCCTAATAGCTTTTCACCGTGTCTGGGGAGGATCCGTGTCTGAGTGACTTCAACCGTGAATGCGCAGGTACATCAAGGAAGTGAAGAAGGCTACATCGGTGAAGAAGATATCTCCGTCGATGCAAGTGTGGACGATGTATTACGAGTTTCCTCCACCCGTATCTCCTCGAATCTTCACCGTCGTTCAAGTCGCTCATCTAGAGCAACGCGAAGGCTCTCCAAGACAGGGGTAAGCCTGTCCCAACACAATCCTTCAACGACTGCCATTCTTGTCTCACCCTGTCCTCAGACTTTTCATACAGCTTCCCGTGGACCTATCCGATGATCCTGAACTCTTAAAACTAGAGGAGAAGGGGACGAGAGGCCATTATACCAGCGTAGAGAGCATAAAGGAATTGGAAGACGGTCGTGTAGAGTGGCGCATGGCGACTTCGAGCACCCCGGGTGGTCGCATCCCCAACTTCATCGTTGAGAGCACCATGGCCGGTCAGATCGCTGCAGTGAGTCTGACAGTTTCTCTGCGTAAAAGTAGCGATGCCATGCTCGATGATGCTGACTCGATGGGTCGTAGGATGTCCCTCACTTCTTGCACTGGTACCACAGCATCAGACCCAAGACCACCGCTACGACGGGCGATGCGCCAGTTACGACAGAAACTGGTGTTCCCTCAGCCAATGAAGAGGTAGTAAATCAAGCCGAAGTTGATGGACCGATGCCTATAGCGCCTATGCCTGGGGTACCTACTACTGGTGTACCAGTCACCGGCGCTGGTGGATTGCCAGCGATGTAATATTCTTCATCGACTGGTGGATATCCTGTGTACGAGTGTACGGGCATGTTGGACTGGAATGTATGCATTTTGATGCCTGATAGGTTAAGGGGCGCTGTCGAAGGACCTGTGCAGGGGTGTTATATGGGACACTCCATGTGTCTGCAGACTTCTATACGGTCTATGTAATATTTGGCTACTGCAATACACAACAAGATTCTGCTTCGTACTTCTCGGTGTCCATCCCCTCTTACAGTAACGCCACTATATCAACTCAAGGTAGCGTTCCACTGAGAAAAACAATTAGCTTCCAACTAATTTACCGAGAGTCAACGGCAAGAACATACCCTCCCAACTTGTTACAGCCTGGTTCCACAACTGAACTTCATGTCTCCTGGTACCACCAAAGTGGTCTACAAAGTCATTCCCAAGGACTTCCCTAGCGATGCTCTCGGGCCTCATCATCCTCTCTGTCGCAGCCTCCAACGAGACCGGGAGCATCTTAACCTGTAATGAGCCAATAATGAATTAGTCTAGTCAGGCAAAGCTAGACACAAACACGACGTAACGTACCGTCCCGTTCGTTCTATCCTCCGGCTTGAGTTGCGACATTGGTGGCAAAGGCAACGACAATTTCTTCTCCATTCCCCTTAGGCCAAGAGCGAAGATAGCGCTCAATGCGAAGAAGGGGTTCATGTCCGCACCAGGAACACGAATCTCGAGGCGGGTGGCGGCGGGTGGCACGGAGGGAGGAGAGAGCAGACGGATGGAGGCGGCACGGGAATCGTAGCCATATGTGACGGAGTTGGGCGCCCAGAAGGCTTCGCCACCTACGAGACGTTTATAGCCGTTGATCGTTGGGACGAGCTATTGAAGAAGTTTAGAGTGGGATGTGCGGAGCAAACAGCGACAGCACTTACGCAGGGCATGACTGGACATCGCAGGCCATGGACTTAGACTTGGATAATAAAATTGAGATAGAAGTGGGCTTACTATCGGGCAGACCGTCGAGAACACCGGCCAGGAAGTGTTCACCTGCTTCACTGAAGTATTTCAATTCGTCGTATGGAGCATCGCTTCTTCCACCAGACTTGAGCTCGGATTCGCTAACACCGAAGATGTTCTTGCCATCAGGATTCCGTAGTGATACGTGGATGTGACTGGTCATATTCTAATGTCAGGGGCGTAAAATGCTCAGAGGATGAAGACACCCAACGTACCCACTGCATCCTGGGAGCTAAAAGATCATGATTACATCGTGATTGAGCGCAAGTATCAACGATGACTATAAACGAAACTCACGTCTCCCCATGGCTTAGCCATGAAGCTTGGGGTAATTCCATGCTTCATGCCAACACTCTTTGCCAAGTACTTGAACAGGAGCGCATTATCGGCCATCCTAAGAGCGGAAGTGTAGGCCAATGCAGTCTCGTAGACACCGGGACCAGTTTCAGTATCTGTGCAAGGCACAAACCGAATCTATGAGCAATACTCTACCGCGAAAGGCGGGGAAACTTACGGTGGCCTTCGATGTCAATCTCGAATTTGGTGCTTTCATCGTAAAGTCCGGTAAAGTAATCGTTGTTGAGCTGCGTCCGGAGGACGGAGTAACCATGCACTATGTGGCCCACTCAGTCAGGAGCAGGAATAACACATGAAGAAGTGTACTTACTTCCGGGAGTCAAAGGTTGCAGAGAAGTGAACTTCTTATCCACAAGGCTCTGTGGAGTCTCTACAGGTACAACTGCTAAGTGTGTATATTGGTGAGGGACAAGACAGCAACACACCTTTGAATTGGAAGTACTAGAAACAGAGAACAGAGGTGTCACATTCCATAAACGCTTATATACGGACGAATAGCACTTCATACCTCATATTCAACGCCTGCATAGCACTGCCAGCTCGCACTAGCAATCTTGTCCGCCGTTTTCTTCAACAAACCTCTCGGGCACGCACATATGGGTTCCTTGGTCTCTGGGTCCAAGAACGATACAAGCACGAAAGGGACATTGTTCTCCCAAGGTATCCGCCTGAATGTCGACAAATCGATCTGAGCCAGTATGTCGCGGTATCCATTCGCCCGATTGGATATCAGGAGCTCTTTGGTGTATGCAGCATCGTGGATATCCCAGCCACTGAAGGCCGACATGGTGAGTTTGATGAGATCAGAAGCAAAGGTATGAAGACATACAAAACAACACTGCAGAATCCGAAACCATCGGAGGACGCAGCGCTCAGGAACTTGCCCTTTGACTATACAGACGACCTTGTCAACGAGTGATATGGTCACGAGAGATGAATTCACGCACCATGAACTTTCCTCGGAGAACACCATCCACTGAAATACCATAGGGGCGAGATAAGTGAGCACCTTCGACTCCATTAGACGACAGGTCAAGTACCGTCAAATCCTGGAAAATTTTCAGCTCCTCTGTAGAGCGTCAAGGACAGCAATGCAACGCACCCGCGACCTTCACTTTGGTATCATTCTGTAACAGACTCTTCAGATCTTCCAGCGTCTTCGGTGCGCCAGCGGTTGCAGCGTTGATTGACATGTTTTTGGATGTTGGTGGTGGTCGTGAAGAAAAGATGCTCGGAGACTGAAGGAAAGGACGGAGAGGCGCGATACGGGGACGAGATGGAGGATAGGATGCCCGCGGCCAAAGGAAAGATGAGTGGTTCCCGGAAGCACTGGAAGCAACTGCTTGTTATTCAAAGCGATCACTGACGTATGCTCCCCGATAAGCGACAAGAGCCGATAAGATTAGATCGACACCAATATTCTTTCCTTCTCCGATCTCATTCGCCGCTGCTTTCCTCCAACCAATCGGACCTCTTTCATACAACTGATCCTCGACGGAGAGCCTTTGAGCCTTACTTGATCTTCCAAACGGAATAACAGAACCATAGAAGTCAACATAAAAATCGTAGATGACTACACCTTTACTTGAGTACCACATCCAGGTTCCCAAACATGTTTCCGCACTGTCTTGGTCTCCCAATGGAGACCTTTGCCTCGGCTCAGGTTCGTAGCTCTTCCTTCCACATATATTATACATCGCCCGAACAAGTTCGCTTCGTATAGAGGATGGAAGCGCTCGTGTATACCATCCACCCGAAAATAAAGTCGTAAAAGCTATCAGAGGCTTAGGAGATGAGGTCTCTTCCATAGCATGGGGTAAGGGTGGCAAGGAGGATGCTTCGGGCCACATTTTTGTGGCGGCAGGATGTCAGGTAAGGGCCTCTTTCGATTCAAATGTACTGCACCGTACTGACCTACGAACATAGGTCATGTCTTTTGACCTGAGTATCGCCAAACTGGTACTATCTGCTTCAGATGCATCCCATACCTTTGACATCGGCGAGGATCCGGAAGACGTCCTGAACGAAGTGGGTGGCGAGATTTTTCGAACCCTCTATATCTATAGTGTACAGGCTGCTGATTGACATCAGTCAGGTCGTGCTCCACCCGAACGGAAAATATCTCGCATTCAGCACTGATAGCGGAACGGTTGGGGTCATCGAGCTGTCCAATAAAAAAATCACCAGGATGAAGACACGGCATACCAGCGTGCGTTCTCATTCTGCCTCCCCCGTTTGCTCGTATCCTTAGAGCTTCGACTGAAAGAATCACTTTGCAGTTGTGTGGGACGGTCAAGTTCATACCAGATCGCCCAAGCGAACTGGTAAGTGGCGGCTACGACTCCGCTCTGTTACACTTCGACTTCAACCAGGGAACAATGTTATCACGGCATGACTTCAGTTGGTTCTTCGTCATCTACGTGTTACACAGATTCTAACATCACAATCTTCGATAGCTGCCCCAGCACAATCGTCGGGCATTTCGCTCTCGCCGCCCTTCGTGTTGTCGTCCGCGATATCGTCTACGGCCCTTCTAGCCGTAGGCACAGCTGACGGACGATTATGGCTCGGAGGTGGGGGCGAGAAGCTCCCTAGTGCTAGTGTGAAGAAAAAGCGTAGCCGGAAATGGGACGGTCTCAAGGCTGAAGGTGCACTTGAGATCAAGATCGCAGAAGGGCCTGTAGTTGCTGTGTGAGTGCCTCTGTGGACAAACGTGAAGACTGAAGCTGACCATGTCAATGTAGCGAATTTTTTGACCCAACAAAACTGATGACATGCACATTGCTCGGCACCATCACCTGTCACTCCATTCAACGCGATGAGAACCAGAATATAGGTATAGAGACGATGTGGAGAGCTCAGACGAAATCGATCGCGAAGGTCAACGCGATGGGTGTCCATGCAGGATGGATCTCAGTCGGTGGATTCAACAAGGATGGGCAGGGACTCGTCGAGATGTGGAGAGTCGGTGTTGAAGATCCTACTCCGACGCAGCCTCCGACATAGAGCAGGGATGATGTGTAGCATTAAAAGCGTAATATATCGAACTATAATCGAAGCCATGCATCTAAGCCTCCGATGAAGGCGAACTAGATCCCTGATTCGCCTCTTCAACAACAATCGCCCACGTCTGTTCTCTCTCCTCGTTCTCCAGCACAGCGATTCTCTTCAGTGCAGCGTCCCTCTCCTTCCTCAACTTCGTAAGGTACTCTTCGTTCGACATCCGCTGCAATCCAAACAAGCTCGCTACTTTGTCCAGGAATGGAGGTACACTTTGAGGTTCTGTAGGCTTCGTCTGGACGGGGGCTGGTTGTGGTGAAGCCCGGAGCTTTTGCGAAACGAATTTGAGACGCGTCACTTCGAGCTCGTTCACTGCTAGTTGGGCAATCGTGCACCCGAGAGCACCCATCAGGAACCCTGGGAGGGCACCGCGTATGCCACCTGAAGTATCCATGCTTCTCAGTGTCCAAGCGATGCGAGTTGAAGGAAGATAGAAGGACATACGTCTCCAGGAGTTCAGAAACGTGCCAGCTAATGCGCCGCTGGCAAGTGAGTCCGGAACGTTTTGTGTTCGTATGTCTCGCCATGTCAAAGACTGGTGTGGCAGCATAGTGGATGGTTCACCGCTTGACGCTGCTTCACGATCTCGTCTACGGCGCGCGTACTGCTCATACGGAAGCGTGGATGTGAGCAATGGGCTGGCAACGTATTCTCTCAAACCTGGAGAACAAGATCCACCGGAGTCTTAGATTAATCCATCTGGTTATTGCAGGAAGAAACGCACTGAAGAATGTCGCGCCAGCGACTCCCGAGTTCACAGCTGCTGAAGTCGCGAAGACGGTGGAAATGGCGCGTCCTTTTCCTTTAGCGAGTCCATATGTGCCTGCTAGTAGTGCCCCAAGTACCGCTGTATGTCGAACAACGAAAGAATAGACTATCAGCTAGTGCCCAGAAAGATGTACAGAGTCGATGGGGACGAACTTGCATGTAAGGACTGTATTTTTGGCAACTGCCAAGGGTGTTGATGGGTCCATCGAAGGCTACCGATCCGAGGAGAATGTGAGCAACTACTCCAAAGCAGTTGATTTATCTAAATTTGTAAGATCGAGACCAGTCCGACGTTGTAAACAGCCCTGAGACGAGTGTGTGTTGTGGCCTGTAAAAAGGCAAGGAAAAGGAAATACTTACCTCTCCGGACTTTGGCCACGCGCACGATCGGCGGAGGAACCAACTGCTTGGCTGACTCGAAGTCCTTCAAAAACCCGGCCTTCGTTCTGGGTTTGCACATCTCCTGCATTCTCGGATGCTCTGAGCATGGTCGACAGCCGCGAAGAAAGCGACTCAAGAAGATACGAGCATCTTCTAAAATGGCTAAAAAGTCATGGTATGCAACTCGATGGCGAATATTTTCATGTGCAGCGCAAAAGGCGACCAGGTTCAGTTCGCATAGTATCCTTCTCATCTAAAATGTGTAGACTCACCTTTCTGTCTTCCAACTTATGTGCAGGTGCTGGCAACGGACTGTATACCACGACAGCTCTCTCTGTGAGGACTTTTGGGCTGTTGTCTTTACGCAGCTCATCATCTTTTAGATGACCTACGTGACTTGCCGTCTCGTTAGCCCTCCGCACCTCTATTCACCCTCCCATCTTCGGCGAAGATCAACATCCTAACTCTATCAACGCACTACAGCTTCATTTCAGAGCAAAAATTCACACTTAGCGCCACTCAGCTTATCTCGCTACATCTATTTCTACACCGTCCCTCATCTGATGGCGACTGTACCGACCCGCTGTTTGGACCTTACATCTCAGTTCTCCCGCGGGAGTTTGACGGTCACCCATTGACTTGGGTTGTTCAGCGGAAAATTGGAACGCTTGGTAATGAATCACGGTTCTTGGACCTCATGCCGCCTACTGCTAGGAATGCTCTGTGTGCAGTCGAGAAGCGCTTTTGGGATGATTGGGAAACTGTGTGTCGATGCATGGCCAGTTTTGTTTCTTTGCATGGAATAGAACAAATCAGCTCATGAAATATTTACTCCTCATGCCGTATACAGTCCGTTGTGCCACATATTGTCAAACTGGCCAGTCGAACGATTCCTGCACGACCTCATCCATCAGACTCAGTGTCCACGGCGGATTACCTCTGGGCATGGTTAAATGGTCGGTTTGTTTCACTATACCGTTCCGTTATGCATTAGTTCTGACACGTATTTCCTAGTGAACACTAGGTGCTTATACGACCGCATCAAAGAATCCGCATCCGATCCAGACAATATCAGTCTATGCCCTATCTTCGACTTCGCCAACCACACATGGACGAAACAAAATATGAAGCTCCTCCCTTCTGATGCCGAAGCCTGGCAGGCAATCCTCGGGATTCACTCTGACGCAGGCTCAGATTTGACGTGTGTTACGGGGGATGAGTCAGTGCAGGAGGGTCAGGAGCTGTTCTTGACGTATGGGATGCACCCTCAGAGAGAGATGCTAGTGGAGTACGGGTTCGTCAACCAGGTCGCGGACGATGCGTTTCGTTCCGGCGAGTTTTCAGGAGAAGTGGATTTACAGGATGAAGTGCAGAACCTATTCGAGGAGCAAGGCGAGGCTGGTATACGGATGAAGCAGATCTTGGAAGAGGAGGGCTATTGGGGGTAAGTCAATTTTCGGGTGAGAGGCGACCTCGCGTATTCCTTTCCCGCCTCGCTGTTCTTTTGTTCTTCTATAATGGAAGCTGATCACTTCACGTACTCATAGCGATTGGACAATACATTCGTCGCCGTCACCGGCGTACCCCTCCTACCGACTCATCACCGCACTTCGCTTATGCCACATCAATGGCTCAAACGCTGATTGCAAGGAAGATTCGGCCACCGCATTGCAGGCCTGGAGGGATACGACACTGGGCCGTCAAGACATCGTTTCAGATGAGAATGAGTCGGGATGGAGGGCCACGCTGGTCACAATCTGTGAAACTGTGGCTCGCCGAGCGGACGTTGCGTTGGATGAACTGGCGAGGAAGTCGCAGGATGACGGTCAGGCTGAACGCGAGCCCGACAAGTGGATGATAGATAATATTCGGCTGCTGTGGGTAGAGGAGCGAGAGGTTGCGAGAGCGGTCATCGAGAGTGTGAGGAGAGGTGACGAATTTTAGAATTGTTGATTCGCGCGACCTGTGCACTCATGCAGTGCATGCGCAAAGCGTCATGTTCGTGTCGCGCAATGCTCGGGCTGTGCGATGTTGCTCGATAAATATCAACGCTATCTTTCCAGCTTCATCTTGAGGAATTAATACGATGATTAGTCACTGGAGGTGACACCTGTCAAACAGGCAGTGAACGCTAAAAACGCGTGTGGCTAAATACTGGGTTCTGCTTGGCGTTCCGCAGGTTAGAGAACAGGGGGAAACAGCGACTAGGCTCTTATTCAACCCACAATGTTTTTCTTCTCAAAATCAACACGAGATGAAACACGGTCGTCGTCGTCGTCCGACTCATCGCCAAACAACCGTCGGCAAAGCGCCGTTCCTAGTGGCGCGGCTTGCCGGCGGGACCGAGCCCAAATTAGCCTGCAATGTGTACACTGGACAGCTTTCCCCTTCCTCCCAGCGCTCACATCCCTTCCGCCTCTTTCTTTCTCTCCCTCAGCTTGTCTGTCTCCCCCCACACTTCAACTCCTTCGGCCAAGGCGCCCTTCTCATCCTTTTCCCGCGCCGATAACTGAGAGTCATGGCCGTAGAACCATTCTTGGGGACCAGGGCCCAAAAGGTCTTCATTGGCACCAGTGCGTCCCAGTCTATTCTCCAGCTTTGTTCATTTCTGACTGCTTCTCACCCTTCTAGTTGCCGCTCGTAAGAAATTGATTGGCTCTTAGATTTAGATATTCTAACGTCGCGGATTATGATGCGCAGAGGCAGTCGTGGTCCTTGTAATGATCGGAATTGCGTTCGGAAAGGTGTGTTCCACCGTGATCGTAAACCCTACTCCACTTCATGTATTTCTCGTCCAGATCGCAGCCCATGTAGATTTTTCGTCGTCGAAACAGGAGTACAAGGTACGTTTGTCGCTGTTGATCCGAATGAATATCCGCTCAACCATCGTTTCCGTATGTCCAGACCTTGCCATGCTATCTTGCTCTCTTCGTCCTTGCAGAGTGCGTCCTACCTCGATGACTATCACACTGCCCCGCTTAAATATTATATTTACATTTACCACATATCAGGCTATTCGAACTCGCCATGGCTTTTGATGCCCTTCGACAGAGAAATGTCATCCAGTTGATCGGTATCCTTCGTACGTGCGCTCCCAGCCACATCAGTGATGTCAATTTCTCATATGTCTTGACTTGCCGCTCAGTCTTCCATGTCGCCATGATCGTTTTCGCCGCCATTCAAGTACATGAAACCAATTCTGCCTTGTCATCCACCACCTCTACCCAGGGGCTCTTCCCGCAGGTGGAGCCATTCCTCATCGTCGTCCCTTGCATTGTCGCGGCAGCATGGTGTGGAATGATATGGACTGTGAGGGCGCTGTACTATGAATTCGGGTACGTTTTGCGTCTTACATGTCTTTGATGTCGCTGACGACGAGCCTGAATCAGTTGGGCTATCTTCCGAGTCGTTGGAGCGAACCCTGCGATGAAGAGTAAGCCCTTCCCACGCAAGACCTAATTAAGACATCCCTAATATGATCCTCCAAACAGAGATGTACCAGTTCTACCAGGTCATGCTCTGCCTTCTCAAATTCGATTTCTTCTGTTTCACCGGTGTCACCATCCAAGTTCGTCGCACAATCCTTCCACATACGTTAGCAGGAAGCTGATCTTGGCTTGCTGTGCTTCAGCTCTTGATCGTCGTTCTCCAATCGAGCACGGCTGAATTTGGATTGACTATCGCTGCCATCCCCGTAGTTTTCTTCCTTCTCATCGGTGCCGGCATCGCCGTTACACACGAAGTCAAGTGGTGAGTCCCGCGGTCACCACTTTGTAATTCTGTATAGCTAACCTTCTGGCTGCTTCAGGCTCATGACGATATCACTGGTACTCATGTTGGCCGCTGAGACATATTGTACGTCTTTGATTTTGTTTTCCCCGCGTGTCTTGACTTAGATCAGTACTCGTCCCCACAATTCTACCCACCGTTTTTAGTCGGTAAGTCAGTCACGATTTTTTTGCTCGGCGATGTCCTGACAAAGTAATAATAAAAATCAGTCTACAAGCTTGAACGCTTTTTCGACCCGTCTACCAGCGCGCAGTACGTGAGCACCCGTGCCACACTGACCACGTTCAGTAAGTGATGGTATCATATGTCCCTCATACTTGATTTTCACGTCCTTGACCTCACAGCTATCGTCGCCTTCTGCATTCTCTTCGCCACATTCGCGGTCGGTCTTCGGTGCTTCGCCGACTTCGACAAGGGACTCGTCCGACCCAAGACTTATGGTCAGTCGCATACTACGTGTACTGCTGCTTCCCGTTCTGTGCCTCTCTTCCTGCATGGCTGACGGCCGCATTCTACAGACGCCCCGCTTTTCAAGTCAAGAAGGACGTCGAGCTACAACGCCAGCACGCCAGGGAACAAGGTCGAGGACAACAACATCGACCTGGACGGCGAGCCACTAGAAACGAGGATGTCAATCGAATGATCCTACGGTTCTTTCTACGATCTTTTTGTGATAATGACTTTCCTTGTTCCACGTCTGTGTTGCTTGTTTTCTTTGCGTTTAAGACTTCCGTGTTACCCTTTGTGACGAGTGGCACTTTCGTGTCTGTCTTCACCGAGCTGTCCTTGTTTGTTTTCTGGCTCTGTAGCTATTGGGCGGTTGGTTGACGCTTGATGACTCTGGATGACTGCCTCGGTTTTACTCTCCCATTCACCCTCACTACTACCCTTACTTACTGGTATTGTAACCCGGACTTACTGCGCGTTTTCGCTCGTCGTTACCACCGAGCTTAGGATTATTTATTTTATTCGGACACCCGCCTTGTTCTACCTACGTACCGCACCCCCTGTTTCCTGTTCTTAGCTTTGTCGGTTGTTCTTTATCGACTAACGCTCTCTTGGTTTTGGTTTTGGTTACGATCTCCCCTTGTACGGCTTAACTTATGCGAATACCACCGCCCGGTACGCGACATTCACATTCTACATAGCGCGAATGATTGGGTACTTTTATGGCCGACAGGGTGTGATCTGCTGGATTGACCGACCGCTCGACCTCAAACGTCCAGCGGCGCAAACCCCATCCTCTCATTCCCTCCATCCCAAATACTATAATAATGCTTCAACAGGCTCCCTCCGATGATATAAGTCTCCTCCACAGCATTGATGAACGTCTGGCACGTGCTCGGATCCTCTGCGAAGGGCCCGACGCTGAGTTCGGAGGTGGGGATGGTGAGATTATAAGGGTTTGAGTCGATGGTGAGGAAGGTGATGTCAATTGTGGAGGTGAGGGTGGGGATGAGGGAGCACGGGAGGCCGTAGGTCCCTGGTTGAGAGGGGAAGGGCTGGATGGAGGGTGAGATGAGGGCGTAGATTGCCTGTGCAGTGAATGGAGACATGAGTGCTGTGCAGTGTGGCTACAAGTGAAAAATTAGGAATGGGAATGAAAACAGACCTCTGCTATGGAGGGAGGAAGGACGACGTTCGAAGTGCCGGAGTCCATGTAGAAGTACATGCTTGTGTTGAGAAGAGATGTCGTCTGCCCGTTGACGAACACCTGCGAGCTTTCGATAAGCCAGCCTGAACCGAGGAAGTAATAGATGTAAGTCGGGTCTCCTACGATTCGTAAGGAGACGAATGATATTGTTAGGGGCGAACTATAGAGGGTCGACAGACGATAAGGAGACCAATACGGACCTGTGAACTTGGTCGTATCTATCCCTCCTAGAGTGAGCTCAGCGTTGCCTACTTCTTTCGGACTAAGGTACATTCCGAATAAAGCTGATGGAGGTGGTATGAGCAACAATTGCAGAAGAGTCTGCTCTGCACTATACTAAAAGAATACATACGAGCTAATCCTTGCTTGACGAGATTCCTGAAGAATCCATTCCCGTAACAACAACTGGAGTCATCAAGGCCTGCACAGGAAGCATGAATGAGGTCGAGCTGCGCAGAGGCCAAGATGTCCCGCTCGCCAAAAGGTACAACTCATACCTACGATACCGCTGAACGGATACTCTTGGAAACTTGGAGTCTCATTCGTGATGAGGTAGATGCTCAGGTGGGCCACCGACATATCACCGATTGCGACGGTTTCGTTCGCGCTCCGTAAGGTGAGCTCGCAGGGCTATAAAACAGGATTTTAGAATGCGTTGAGAGGGCGTAAATAATTCAGATGGTCGGAGGATGATGTACATAGTCCTCGGTCACGGGATGGACACCTAAGCATGTTTCAACTGGTAGCGATACACGGTCAGTTTGAAATGATATAATCTGCAGCGGTATGAGCGACGAACAATCTATGGTACTATTCTCACCACTGTCAACATACGTCGAGCTCTTGGAAGGATCGTAGAGTATTTGAGAGCCACAATTGGATCCGCATAGGGTACCTGAACAACGAGGGAAATAAGAAATATAGTTACTAACACAATAAAGTGAACTGATAATGGACCCACTAGAGATCTCGATGTCACTACTTCCTGTGTCAAATACAACCTATATGAATCGTCAAAGAATGAACAATCAGATCAATCTAGACGAGCAGGTAGAGTTTACTGGTATAGACTGCGGTGGCGTGCCGACTGTTTTCACATATTAGCATAGGCATAGATGGGTAGTGAGACTTATGTTGCTGACCAGATATAGTCCCGTACCACCTTTGATGCATGACCACGAGTCATGAGTAGTTGAGAACTGCACAGTCCGTTGTAGACACACTCACTGCAGATCAGTGCCATTGTAGTAATCGTTCAACGGCACAGAAAGGGCAGGTAAATCGCGAGAATGATAACGTGATTCTCGAGGAATAGCTCGAGACTCAAGCTCTATTTTCTGTGGGGCTAGGGACGCATACACAGTGTGAATAGTATATTGCCAAGCCAAGATCACAGAGAAAGGTAGAGCAGCAACGGTGAGCATGTTCCACTGGGCGACTTGTGGCAAGAGTTGGAGCAGACTGCTAACGCTATGGCTAATGTTCGTGCTTTAAGAAGAGTCGAGCACGGAGAACGCAAGCCGTGTTCAGCATGGACTGCCAGTGGAGGCGATGTGATGGGCACGAGAAGATCCGTTGGCAGTCATTCGCATGCCCTATGTGTATTGAACGCAGGAAGGAAGGAAGCCCTGATATCGTCAATGGGCACAGAGTCCCGATAGAGATTGAACTTTGAGAACATGATGCTCATTCCTTGGCTGCTCTCCCATGTAAGGGTGTCGGCGTCGAGAACCAGTTGGTGAGCGAGAACTAAGTGTGGCTGGAGTTCAGTTGGAGACCACACAGAGAGCGCCGTATTCCGGGTTCTTGGATAGAGAGCACGCGGAGTCGCGTCGACAACGCGTCTGGTAATCAACGAGACGCGTCGCAACTCTTGCCGTTCCATCATCATCTCCTCCTTCGCCCTTGCTCACCATGGACGATAAACACGACCCCTCTGCTCTCTTCTTCGACGGCGATGAGTCTGTCGATCTATACTCTGTTCTCTCGCTCGCAGCCACCGCTACCCAAGACGCAATCAAGAAAGCCTATCGTAAACACGCTCTCATTTACCATCCTGACAAGCACGCGTCCTCCGACGAGAAGTCCAAAGCCGACGCGTCTCACAAGTTTCAGCAAGTAGGCTTTGCTTATACGGTGTTGAGCGATGAGAAGAGGAGGAAGAGATACGATAAGACGGGAAGGACGGACGAGGGATTCGAAGATGTGGGTGAGGCTGGGTGGGAAGCGTATTTTGAGGACCTATTCGATAGCGTGACGAAGGAGAAGCTGGATGACATGAAGAAGGAGTATCAGGGTGCGTTATTATGTGTGCTTTACCAACAACATATGAGGCTTAAACCTAGTCTCCCAGGTTCTGAAGAGGAGGTCGAAGACCTCAAGGCGGCCTACGTCGAGTGTGACGGGTCAATAGAGGAGATCATGAAACATATCCCTCACTCGCTCTACGAAGACGAAGCACGCTTTATCGTCACCATTTCGAACCTCATCTCCAAAGGCGAACTGCCGTCTCTCCCCACCTGGGAGTCGAGTATCAAGGATGAGAAGAGCAAGCTAGTCCGGAAGAAACAGGCAGACAAGGAGGCGAAGGAAGCTGAAGAGATGGCACGGGAACTAGGTGTCTGGGATGAATTCTATGGGAGCGGGAAGAAAGGGGAGAGGAGAGGAAAGGGCAAAGCCAAGGAAAAGGTGAAGCAGGACGTTGACGAAGATGACGACGCGGAAGATCATTCGGCGCTGCAAGCGTTGATGCTGAAGCGGAAGAAGAATATGGACGGCTTCTTTGATAACCTGGCGGCGAAATACTCCGAGCCGAAGACGAAGGCTAAGGGCAAGGGTAAGAAGAGGAAGAGTGCCCAAGATGAGGAAGAAGTGGAAGAGTCGCCACAGAAGAAGAGGAGAGGTGCCGCTGCTGAACCTCCAGAAATTGATGACGCAGAGTTCGAGAAGCTGCAGCAGAAACTCTTTGGCGACAAGTCGAAATCTGGTGGTGCTGACTCGGGCACGAAGACTGCGAAAGCTGGACGAGGTCGGAAGGGCAAGTAGAGCTCGAGCCCGTGGATATCTCGCATATGCCAGCCTTGATGTTCTGTATTTTTGGAGTGTATGTTCAGATTTTCTGTATGATATTTGTATGTCCCGTATTTACAGCGCTATTCACTTCGATGCGGAATCGCGCGTTTCGCGATTTCGTGTTGCATGATCGCCACAGACAAGCCACAGACGTGTGAGCTGACCAACTGGGACCCGAACCACCTCAGTGCGGGTGCGGTGTTTGGCGGGTACGGGTACGGGTTCGTCTCTAGCACCCGCGGTTGGACCCGTGCAGAACCCTACTTGCGAACAAGTCGTTCGAGCGGCGTTCGAGGGCCACTAATGATTACAGTAAAGTGATAGTCTTCGCTGATAAGCACTGAGCAATGGTATAAGTCCGGTTCGAAAGCAACAAGCAAGGTCATACATAAATCGAAGAGATCGTTAGCTGTCAACAACACACCCATCCTCGCCCCACTTCACAAATAGCGCACAGCATCAATCCCCAGGCTCCGGCGCGCATGAATAACAGCGACCAACTCCTTGATAGACTCCTCTAGTATCACCACATTATCCAACACACGCGAAAGGGTCACGGTCGCAGGTTTCTCGGGTTCTTCGTCCTTCGTCTCTACCTCCTGCTCGCTTTCTCCCCATCCCGAAGTGAAGACGTCCTCCTCGTCAGCACTGAACTTCCGCGATGAGGATGGAGTCCAAGGCCCGGCCAACGGCGACGGCGCCTCGAAAGGCTCGACGGAGATGGCGCTCGTTCGCTGGTAATGAGGGCCGAATGGACTCGCGGCGACATTCTTCGACGGCGACGAGCGGTCGCCGCCAGTCATAGCTGCAGGGTTCTTCGCAGAAGCGGACAGTTTCTTCTTCGGAGTGAGGAACGAGACGAACGAACTCGACTTCTTCTGAGGGGCAGGCTTCGCTCTGGGTGGCGTCTCTGGTGGCGCAGCCGTAGAAGGAGGGGACCGAACACTGGGATCTTCTAGATCCAAGGCCAGGGTGAGCGCATCGGTGAGATTTTCAGAGAAAAGCAAGCCTTGTCGGCGCTCGAGCAGGAACCTGTCAAAGTTGTCCACCATCTGACGATATCGCTCGAGCTGTGCGACCAGACCTTGGAAGATCGTGAGGATAACAGGACGCGACGAATCGTCAAGGCTAGAAGCCGGCAGCGTTCGCGAGTCCGACGAGAGGCTCTCTTCGATGCGAAAGTCTATCGAGCGGTCATCACCGTCATCCGCTCCATCCTTGCCAGAGATACCCCGCTCCGGCTTGGGTCGATGGGGCTCGTCCTTATAAGCAAAGGTCAACCACCCTGCAAGTGACCGGTTTGGATCGTACGCGAGCGTGGCCAGCACGCCGGTGAGGGCGATATTGAACTCCGGGGTGTTCGACAGAAGTCTACGAAGTGAGTCGAGGATGAGAGTGAGGATGGGATCGTTGGGATTGAGTCGGTGCTTGAACTTCGTATTTGAGCCGTCGTCTAGATCGATCTGCAAACATTGCTCCTGGATCGCAGCGAGAGCGTCCCCAAGGTATTTGTCATACCCCGTGCTGAAAGTGTCCGACACGTGCGAAGGATCGACGCGAGAGACGAGGTTGAGGTAAAGGTTCATTTCCCGCTCGTGGGTGGAGAAGGTGGTAGCAGGTTGCGCGTACAATGGTATAGGTGGCAAAAGTTCACCATCTGAATCAGGGGCAGCATCGTCCTCGTCGTCGGCAACAAGACTTGGAATAGTGATCGGGGTCGGCTCTGGGAAGGCTGTGGCATTTGGGTCGCTAACCACGACGAATAGCCGTTCGACGCAAAGATGATTGTGCTGGTATAGAAGAGATTGCAGCAGCTGGAGAGCAGACGTCCCAGTAGCCTTGTTTGGTGAACGAAGGTTAGAGAGAAGAAGATCCTTCAGAGTGAATCGGCCCATAGATGTGAAGTACTCGGACTGTTTCGTCGATTCAGGGGCCTCCATTTCCAAAAACACCATGGCGCTGCTCCTCCTTCGTCTCAACTTGGTCTGCTTGTCCGCTTTGGCGACCTGTGGTGGTGCGTCCTCACCAAGGGTAAGCATGCTGAAAGGCCGCTGTCGCAGCTTCGTGACCTCGTCATTATCTTCGCTCATGAGGAAGTCGACGAGCAGATGAGAGAGACGGCCAGCGTTTAGTGTTCGAATCATGATGTCAATATAGGACATGACGGCGACGGCGCTTCCATCGAGGTCTGAACATTCTAGGATAGAGGGATAAAGGACGTTCTCTAGGAAAATTCGACGAACGGCATCCAAGATTGAGGTGACGATGGCGGATCCAACAGGGAAAGGAACCTCCGTGGTCGAGTCCGGGGTATCGTGAACAATGTTCCGCCGAAGGACGTCTTCAAGGAATTCTGCCAGCTTGAGAAAATGGTCGAGTCGTGACTTGAAGTCTGGACTTGTGGACTCCTCCATACCTATTCCGCGAGTCTTCTCTCTAGCAGCGTCAACGGCCGCCCGATCTGCTGTCTCCACAGGATTGTTTCCCAGGACCATACTGTTGCCCTCAGCTCCATCAGTCGAAACTGAGGGGCGGATTTCGAGCTTCGACGGGAGTTGCGAATAGACGGCACCTAAACCGGCACCAAGAACCTCCGAGAAATCACCATCCACGATGTACTCCGCCAGGGAGAGCGCTGCGTCTCTAACGGGATCTGAAGAGGTAACCTCAGTGGTCGAGGATGAATCCTCGCTGGTGAGGCGATGGACTGGTTCGCTTGGAGACATGGCCACGTCCATAAGGAATAAGAGACCGGCACGAGCGAAGTCGCCGATTTGACCTTCTCGATGGACAAAGCGAAGAAGGTAGTTGAAAAGGAGGAACTCGTATTCCGTCTTTTTCGTGAGGGATGATGCTGGGGCCGATGTTACCGTTCCTTGCGAGGATGCGCGTGAAGACGGACGATGACCCTTTGCGTCTGTAGGCTGCTGTTTCTCGTCTGTTGATTTCTTGTCGGTTTCACCCTCGTTCTTTTCAGCCTCGGCTTCGGCCTCTTCTTCCTCTTCCTCCTCCTCCTCTTCGTCTTCTTCTTCAACCGCGAACAAAGGCTCAGATCGGTACCAGTGCTTGTCGTGGAAGAATATCATGAGGAGTTCCCTGTAGGTCCGGATACGGCTGCAGAGAATACACAACAGATTGACGACTAACATAGTCGTGTCACTATACGGTATGTATGGAAAGATAAAGAACCACGTACGGTCCTCCTCATACTCTGAGGGCGAACTCCGAATCGCATTGCCAGCTGCACCCATGACCTTTCTACTCCGGTTGTCAAGTTGCTCCTGGATGTCATCGCCGACGCAGTTTCTGAGTAATCGAAGGACGGCCTTATGAACAGCAGAGTGTACGAGGAACTGTTCGTCAAGAAGAACGACCATATTCTGAACGGCACGGAGGACTTCAGCTTGGATGCCAGAGGGGCGATCGGCTTCGCTCAGTCGCACGAGATTGCCCAGGACATCTGTCATGATACTTCATCAGATCAAGTCAAGCTTATAGCAAGGAGTATGCGCACCATTCTTGAGAAGATACTCCAAGCAAACACCCGTTGCGCTGGGATGAGAGATGAGTTTGCCTGACCATCCATCCTAGAGACGCGGATACGCACCCCTCTTCTGTCCTGGTCGACTCCAACACAAGGATATCCACCATAGACTTGAGATGAGCCGGCACATCTGTTGCCTGGATGCCCTTGTTCAGCTGCCGCTCGTCAGGGTTCGTGAGTGTTTCCTACGATTACGAGTTACAGCTGTGAGCCGAAGATCAAGGGTTTGCGATCTCATCGTGCATACTTTAACATGGACCCACGATTTATGGAACTCCTGAGCATGATCCTGAGGTGCCTTCGGGGCAGGCTGAGTCCCAGAACGCAGGAATTTAGAGAAGTAGTCCATAGCTGTCTACCATCCCAATCGAAGTCAAGTTGAAACCGCGTCCACGCGCGATCGAGCCGTCGCGAACCTCATATCCAACGCAGTGCCACTGGGCCACATAACACAACGCTCACACTGTCTCGGTAAATTGCCAGACGGTCTCTTTCGACTCTGTGTTGACTAACAAACCTTGCCGACTCCCACAATCACATTTAAAAGTTTCCAGCAAAACAAAAAAGTATATGGGTCTGTAAAAGCTCTAAAGTAATAGGTATCGATACAGGAACCAAAGATGCGGAAGTCCAATGAATGTACAGTCAGGAAATGTCTCTCTCTGGCACTCCGCGAGACCCAGACAGTTGGAGTATCTTCATATGACGAACAGCGAAAGTGCGAAGTGATACCCAAAATCCCTTCATTCAGAGCGGCGGCGACGACGACGGTTAGCGGATTAGATGTTGGAACAGAGCGTGCAGTTGAACGTAATCTCGTTACGGAAGATAGCGGCTGTGGACAAAGGGATGAGACAATGCAAGACGTCATGACGACAAAGAAGGACGGACGTAGGACAATCAATGCAGCCAGGAAAGCTACCACGATCAAGTAGAGGATGGCGTATTTGAAGACCTAGAAAAAAGTATATTAGAGAAATAGCGATGCTGTAGGGCTACCTAAGACTCACGATCCAACGACGCTGCCTCTTCTGCTTCGTCGAGAAGAGAGGGGGACGAATCTGTTTTGACGGGCGAAGCCAGACTGCAAGGGGTATGAGCATAGGAACACAACAAGGCCACGAGTGAAAACACTTACAGAGCATCGTAGAATGCAGACGATCGACGTAAGGGAGCAAGAGAGGAGGCGTCATGATGATCAGGAGGATGTGGCCCAGCAAGAAGTCCGAAGTCCACAGTGACATCTCCACAATTTTGACGATGAACTCTCGGGCGGGTTGTGACATCGCGGCTGAGCCAAGACCCCGACCGTACCATTTACCAGTCCACCACGCGCGATTTGTCTCGTCGTGCTTGAACTCTCGAGACAGGAAGACCGCAATCAAGAACTTCTGGATCGCGCGTTGGATGGCTACGATGGTAATGACACCAAGAATTGCGTGCGAAGCGTCCCACAACTCGAGGAACCACTGTAGAAAGTATACGGTTAGAAAATAGAAATTCATAGGAACAACGGTCTACTTACGAAGAATTCAAAGAAGGCGATCATGCCGAGGAGCGCGAGGAAGTGAGCGGTAGCAGCGACGACGGATCCGAACTTGGCCCAAGACCCCATCATCGGTCCCAAGAACAAGGACACGAAGAAGAGGGCCAACAACATCGTAGCGTTCCAGACGACGGGGCCGACGGCGATGATGGCAATGCGGATCAGCGGGCTGGGGGGCTGGTTACCGTTCGAGTCGGGGAAGGACTTCACGAACATGTAGGCAATGGTGAAGATGGTGGCGATGATGAGCGGCCAGACGATTTCAGCGAAGAGGACGGAACGCCATGATGCACGAGGAACGTCGCCGGATAACTTCTCTGACGGATGGCCGAGCTTCTTCTTCTTGTATCCAGTGATCATGGTACGAGAGAGACGACAGTACCCGTACCAACTGCTAGCCTTCGTACGCGAATTTCCACGGGACATCCAACGCAAGAACTCCCGGTAGTCGATGATGAAGTCGGCGAGCGAGAACTGATGAGGATTGAACACGAACGGGGCGATGCAAAGCGAGAGGACGGAAAGCCAGAAGTAGATCAGGTAAGGGGTCCAGATGGCGACGGAGGCGTAAAGCAAGAGGAGCAGGTTACGCATGCCCATGTAGATACTCGGCCCAGCGAACCGGGAGTACAGGATCGTGAAGGATATACGCGTCGTCGCGAAACCACGGCCGGTGGCGATGTAGCGAGCACCACCGTAACTCAAATTGTTCAGAACGGCCTGCGAGTAGATCTGGGTGGAGAAGACTTCGAAGATCGGCGAGAGCGACAAGAAATGTTTCCCCAGTCGAATGAGCGCCTTGCCCGTACCACGTTCGACCAGTTCTAGAGCACGGACATTGTTCAGCTATCATCAAAAAGGAGCCTCGACGTAAAGATTTACCTTGCAAGAACAACGGCAAGAAGGCGATGATGAAGACCAAGAAGATAGAGATGATGCACCGCTTAACCCAGTCGAACACTGGGATCAAGTTATAACATCCTGGCTGCCCGGCCGTTACGTTGCCCTGAGAATCGACCTTGCAAATGGACAGTTGCTTGTTCAATGTGCCGATATAGAGCACTAGACGAAGAATGAGCTTGCTTCAATGAAAGTATGAACGAAAGCATAACTTACGGGTAATCATGAAGACCTGAATGGAGTAAATGACGAGGATGTTGTTGATGTGGAATCCAGGATGGCCGTAGTAGAATGTCAGGAAGCGGTCGATAGGTAACTGCGTCCCGAGGTAGTAGTACTCTCTGCTCAACAGCTGCTCGCCCATACCGGTACCAATCTTGGTCTGGAAGTTCAAGATGGTGCCAAAACCGAGATCACGACCTTTACCACACTGGTAGTACTCCGAATGCTTGATGCGACCGCCACGACCGAAGGCGTTCATACCGGCGAAGATATCCTCGTTCAGGTGAAGACCCTTCTGCGCCTTGGAGACACCGCCGCGAGTGGTCATGAACGTAGCATTGAGGAAATCGGGATGTCCGTAATGGAGCTTGCCTCCGATCCAAGCGAGAGCACGGGCTGTGAGGGTACCGAACGTCTGTTCCTTGCCGGCTGCGATGTCACCCAGAACACCGATGTTCTCCGAGAAAATGTACTCGCGTGTACCGACGATAGCGACGGGCGATTTCTTGAACTCCTTGTGGCCCCATTGAGCGTAGGGGCTCTGGCTCGAGATAGAGTACTCTTCGAACTCGCCAAGGATGTTCCTGATTTTCAGGCACTCTTCGAGGTAATTGTCCTGGTTAGCGTCGATGAGCTGGAGGTACTCGCCGCGGTAGAAGATGATCGCGTGGTTCTGGTTGTCCGACTTGCCGTCTCCGAGGATAGGGTTGCCGGGAAGTTCGATACGGAATTTAGGCTTGCGCTTCCCGGTCTCTTCGTCAAATTCAGAGTGGCCGTCGATGAGCGCGGAGTAGATCCTGGGGTCGGCACCCTTCTGTCCGGGCTCTTCGTCGAGGTACGCGATCTGGAGGTCCGGGTAGGCACGAAGCAAGAACTCGGCATTCTCTCGTTCTTCCTTACTGAACTTGGAATAGCGCTGCATGGAGATGACGAACTTGAACTTTCGCTTCGACATGCGTTCGAGTTCACGTTCGAGCCGGTCCGCGTTCCCGCCAAACATCTGTACGACGTCCGGGTTCTCCACACGGTACATGAGCTTGATGGCCTTCGAGTAGTTCATCATTCCGGAGACGGTCCTGTACAAAGTCTGCGCGCGAAGGGAGGCCCAAATACGTGTACGCAAGGTGTATTCCGGGGAGGCCGTCTTAAACCCGATACAGTAGAACGGAAGGTCGTCGGCCTTGCTCTGACGCTTCTCGTCCACGTCGGGAGACTCCTCGGCCAAGATCTTCGTGTCCTTGACGAAGTTGTCCCATTCGACAGGATGCAGCTGCTTCAGGTATTCCAACTGCGTGACGCGAGTGTTGTGGTCTTCTTCCCTGATAATCTCACGTAAACTGAGAAGGATCTTCTCGGAGTAGTGAGGAACGAGGACGGTATACGTGGGCATAGCATCGACGGGAAGCGGTTCGGGAAGGGCGGTCGTCAATGAAGATGCGAAGAATGAGATACGACGCTCGGCTTCGCCTCCTGCTGGGAAGAAGTTGCCCTTGAAACCATTGCCCTCGTTGTTCGTGAAGAAAGGCGGTGCGCGCAGAGTACGGCGTCCGTCGGGTCCATCGGTCTGGTGGTAAAGGAGGCGCTGGACGTTGTTGATGGACAAGAGATGCTCGCGGTACATGGAAATGATGATGGCATTCCAAACCTGCGAGACGAGAACCTTCGGCTTGTACTTGACTTCCATCTCCGCGGTCGCGAGCAGCTTGGCGTAGATACGCTTGGGCAGGCGGGTATAGACGTCCTTCCAGGGGGTCCAGATCGAGAGGCCGAGAGAGAAAGACCTCCCGATGGAGAAGGCGACCAACCAAATGATGTACCACAAGTACGTGTCAAGGAAGAACAGAATCATGTCCATGACATACATGATGGTGAGCGTAAAGGGGACTTGGTTCGTGCATAGGGCGGAGCCGAAGAGCTTGTCGTTACAGCCTTGAACCTTGGTGCGCGCCATCACCGCGATGGGACTACTGACCGACGAAATCAGGAAGAAGTAAGACTCGACGAACTTGCAACTGAATACGAGGAGCCAGAGAGTGATCGACGCCAAACGGGCACTTCGAGGTAGATCTGGGTACGAGGCCGTGAACGTTTGTGATGCCATGTACTTTCGCGACTTGCCCGCGACACGGTCCCCGAACATCCTTCCAGAAGGCACTATCGCAAAGATGATTGTGACGACGACGGAGATGAAGAACTGAACAATGCCGAGGATGAGGGGTATCTGTGTGTTCGTTGTAAGCCCGTCGACTTTGGCGATGTACACCGTCGGGCCAGCCGTGAGTGCGAGGATCACCAGGAGGAAGATGAAGCGAGTCGTAAGATGGGAGGCATTGTTCCAAGTCGTAGGGATATGGAAGAATTCGGCCAAGGTGGCGGCAAGCATGATGCCAGTGGAAACAGCGCCACCGAGGGCAGTCGCGGACCATGTCATGGGTGCAGATGGATCAGATAGGCCGTGAGGGGCATAGACCTTGGGAGAGTTGTAGGCTGCATAGAAAAAGTACACTGAGATGTGTAAGATCCAGATCCTGTTGAAGTTCACCAAAAGGTGAGCGGCGGAGCGCTTTTCGAGGTAGGTCTTGAAGAAGACACGGTTCCACTCGATACGGCTGAATTTCGTGAAGCGTTGGGCCGGAGGCACATCGACTAGACGGGTCTGTGGATAAAGAGTCAGAAAAATACTGTGAAATATCGAACAATCGGACGAACGTTGTCGCTGAGTACAATCCTGGCGAGCCCTTCTGGGTACCAGAAAAGTTGGTTGATATCGTCGTAGCCGATGATTTGGTGATGGTCCTTCTCCTTCTTCACAAATTTGCCGTCCACGACCTCGTAAGCCTGGTCACGCATGAAGCGATACAAGGGTTTGATGACGGTTTCGAGGTAAACACCTTCGGGAACGGGGTCCACACGATTCTGGCACTCCGGGCTGCGGTAATAGTCGTCGGCGCATTTGAAGATGAAACAAAGGCACTCGGGAACGAAGCGAACGTTTCCACCCTCGCCCCAACAGAGGAGGTACAGCGCGAGCTGTCGGAGACGGTCGTACTGGCTCATGTTGTTCATGGCGTTCCTCCAACGGTTGAGCGCATTGTCCAGTGACTTGGCGCCCGACGCTTTACCTCCGGTACCACGAACGCTCTTCAATCTCTGCAAACCCGGGTTCTGAGACTGGCCTACGGCGTCGTCCAGGTTGAGTTGAGCCGCGAAATACCATTTGCGATAGTTGGCGTGTTGTCCGCCAATATAATCGGCGTGTAGGGTAAGAAGGGCTTGATTCGGAGACATACGAGATGCTCGAGAGTCGAGGAGATGCATCAGGAAGTCAAACTGGACGGTATGTTTAGTGATGACCAAGCGACGTAAACAAGCCGGCATACCTGGTTGCGCATGGAGTCTCTCTGGAAGCCGAATTTCTGGGTGAGATCCAAGAAGATATCCTCAATCTCTTCGTAGGAGATGGGGATTTGTTTGTCTGCGGACCAAGCGGGATATGGGTCACTGGAGCCCACAGGCCCAGGGCCATGACTCTGGCCAGAGAGGACAGAGGGTGAGGGTGAGTAACGGCGATTGAAGCCATCAGAGTCGGGGCGACCTGTCGCACGATGAAGGTTAGTGATGCATGTATTTGTCTAACTCAAAGCCTCCCCAATACGGTTCAATGCGGCGGCGAGGAACACGGGGAGACGAAGATGATGACAACGACAGAGTGTATCCACACACCAGAGTAACTGTCATACGGGCTGTTCTGATCGTAGTTCGCAGCAAGGTGGGTGGTGCTCTCGCTGCGGCCATACTGGTCGCTCATGTCCGACTCAGCATCGTATTCGCGCCTTGGTGCGTATTGCTGTTGAGGGGGATTGGCGAATGGATTTCTAGGGTCTGGCTGGCCGTAACCGGGACGGGCAGCCATGAGATATGGATAGGACGAAAGATCAAGGAATAGCGAATGTGCGGGTCGAAGACTAAAGGAGCGAGATGTTCAACGACAAGCAAAGCAAAAGAAAAATGTAGACGACGACGACTGTTCGGGCGGCAGCGTGGAGGGATGGTGGGAGGGAAGAATCAGCCCGCCTTCGCCGTTGTGCTCGACAGTGTAGCTACGCGATCACATAAGCGTTTCGCTACTTATATCGCCCCGTGGGAGCCCCCGGAATTTATTCCTTATTCATTCTTCCATCATTCTTCCCCGTTGCCGCCCTCTTCGTCCCCACAACTACTTCGCATTCATCCCATCGTCTTACAGTGCTCCTCATCCCGCCAAAGTCTGACCCTCTTTTGCCGAAGAGAGGGAGCTGAAACAAGGCTTTGACCATAAGCTGCGCGAGTGGCCACGTGGTCGGGAGAACTCCGCGACTTGAACGCGTCTCAAACTTCCAAACGATCGCGTCGCGACTTGAACTTCAGACACGTTGAGGAACACGTTCACCTTCTCCCACAACATTCTTTGGGCAGACCCATACACAAATTTATGGACCGGCCTATTACTCTTTGGTCTGGACATCGTACCCAGGCTACCGACGACGCAGGGACCGACATCAAAGCTCAAATACTTCCCCCTCTCGCTCTGTTTGGCCGACCGGGCCCGTACGAGCTAGCACAGAAACATCAGCGGCGTTATATCCCATCGCTTGTATCCTACTGCATCAGGGCTGCACTATCAGACCTACTATACGCTTTCAAGGACACTCTCATCCCATACGAAGCCCCTCCGTCCTCACAAGACTATGACATCCTTCGCGACCTCATGCCAGGTTTCTCTCCTAGTGATCCCTTTGACTCATCGCAAGTGGACCCCCGGTTATGGGCTAACATCATCCAAGTTTTGAGTCATCTGCCTTCGTCGCTCCGTGTCTACACGATCGCCTTGGCCGACAAACATCTACCCATGTTACAGAGAGTTCCTTCTACCTCCGATTTCTCTCTCCTCACCATCCTAGACCTCGCGAAGTGCGAACATCTGAACGACGATACTGTCCTCAATCTGAGAGAATTGCATGGTCTCTGTGCGCTGAGCGCGAGTCGCACGTCTCTAAGTGCGCACGGCGTGGCACGGCTGGCAGGAACTCTGCGCTGGTGTGACCCGCAAGACGAGCGCGATATCGACGATGGCCGGGCCAATGATAGGCGTGGTCCTTGGGGCCTCAGAGTACTATGGTTAGTTGGCTGCTGGAGAATCGGACACGACGTCTTCAACCATCTGCGAAGATTCCCTTTGCTCAGTGTTGTCGGTAAGCTATGCGCCTGAACATATGGATACCTCGCTGACTTTTCTCGTTCTAGATCTCCGGGAAACCAGTTGCACCCATAATCTTCATTCTGGCTTTGCTTCCTGTCAGAATGATACACTATACCACCCTTCAACCCTCCTTGAAGCTGCAAATGAGCTATCTTCACTTGCATCTCTCTCATCATCACCCAGCCCATACTTTCTGCATGTCAACTCACTTCATTATTCCCAACCCTCGTCTCAGTATCGTAGTTCTTCATCGGTTGCTCGGGAAGACACGTACGTCGTCCTACCCTCCACAGGCGGCAGAATGGTACATGGCAACACCGAAGCTCTGATCCGACGCCAGGCCGCAGAAGAAGAAGATATCAAGCACGAACGAAACTTAGAAGAATGGAGGAAGAGGCAAGAAAGATTTCCGGATCCCGACCTATTGGCGTTCCCTGTGAAAGGTGAAAATCGGCGTATACCCAACGAATTTACACAGTCCATTGTTCGAAACGCACAAGAAACTAAACGGCGACTGTCAGAAATGGTACGTCGAACTAGTCTTGTCGTTATCTACTCACCTCTGACAAGTATGATACCATAGCGCCGAATACAGGATAGGCAGGCACCAAGGAGTCATCCACTTCACGATGGTCAACGACGTACACTGCCTTTGAATGTATATTCTGCGGGTCCCTCTCGCAGTGCGGACGTGCCCGCACCTGCCCTGGTTGCCAACTCTCGTCCAGGACCATCAGCCGCGCTTTCGAGCTCCTCTTCCATCAGTCGCGTTCCCGCAACATCGCGTATGAGTAACACCTCTTCATCGGGTCAGACTGCTACCCTTATAAATCGTACAGCCACTTCCTCCCGTCCCGCTCCATCATCCACTTCAAGTACAAACCGTTCAGGAGCACGTACGTCGTATATGCTCAGCAATGCCATCCGAGCGGATGTACCGCCACGTCCACCTGCTGTCTCATCTGCGACAACACTGCGCTCGAACCCCACGCCGGAACTTCCAAGGCGTACATTACCAATGTCCGCCTCGGAGGTACTTCCAAGATCGCCTATCTCAGATACTACCATGTCTGATCTCCAGAATCTCATCGCTGCACAAGAGCTTTCTGCTATCAACTCGCACCATAAAGCCAACGCTTTCTATTCGTCCAACCCACTCTCCGCTTCCACAACTTCTCTGCCTTCTTCCCGACATCCTCGTGGCGATGACAATCTGAGACTCTACCGCCAGCCTCCTCCTTGGAAGCTCCTCAACGAGCCACCTCCTTCGCCTGCCCCTCCTCAAGGCGCTGCAGCCCTTCGACGCATGGAGCTCCCCACATTTGTGCAAGGCGCAAACAGACAGGCCCAGAAGAACATGGAAGGACTGCAAAATATGGTGGCACACAGAATGAAGGTCGCCCCGACCGCCTCTTCTATCCGCAGAGCAGACGGATTCGACGGCTCGTCTAATTCCGGATCATCGAGGACATCAACCACGAGTTTCACGCCAAAGAATCCGTTCACAGCACGGTTCTCGGGTGCTCGAGCTCCCGAGCCTTCTTCTTCTCGCCCGCCCATGTCTTCGAAGTCCAAGCGTCCGATGTCTTCGTCGGTCTTCGTTCCCTCGTCTTCTTCCTCCTTTGACGGGCAACCACCGACCAAGAAACTCGCCGTGGAGCCTCCTAGGCGTTCGAAACCGTCATCGGTTGGCTCCGGGTCGTCAACGAAACCTCTCGTGCCCATTTCTACGATTTCTGTCCCTCATCTCCCGGAAGAAGCGAAGAAGCTGCACGCGCAGAACGAGAAGATTGCGAGGAGGTCTTTGGGCAGCGGCTCAAAATCATCGAAAGGGAAGACGGACGCTTCGCGGAGGAGTTCAATGCCGACGTCTGGCTCGAAGTTGAGCTCGGGCTCGGGCTCTTCGTCGACCACGACTAAGGCGAAGAGTGCGAAGGCGTCGAAGAGCACTAAGTCGGCAGGTTCGTCGGCGGGTGGCGCTCAACAGAGTGGGAGTTTCGATTGGGGTGCTTGGGGTAAGCCTGCCGGGGATTGACGGTGTTCGTTTCCGATGGTCTTGTGCTTAGACCTCTGATAGCCGCAGGATGTGGTGCTTGTAGTACAGTCTCTGCTTGTTGCGTTATTTACCTTCTTCTTCTTCTCTGAACGCACGTCGTCATACATCGGGACTTTTCGCTCATTCATTCGGCATTTTCCATGACAGACCCCACCATCCGCAACTCATGTACATACAATTCTGAGTAAGTCACATAGATGTCTGCTAGGCTGAATCAATGCTATCTTCAGAGCTGCTAAACGGGCGGACATCATTTAGTACGTGCGTTCAAAAAAATAGTCTCTGGACACGTCCATTCGGTCCATCCTACGCAGCCCAAGCGGGTTCAGGCAATTCAACTCCCTCCCAATACTTCCTCAAAAATTCTTCGACACCAATAGGCTGAACGGATGGCAAGAGTTCGTTCAAATTGGCCTCAAAGTCGATTTCACCGTCGGCTAGCAAGGCATTGAACTACATAGAAGCGACGCAACCGTTCAGTGCGAGACAGGGCTTGGAATGACAAGCATCGACTGCATGTACTCACCTGGCACATCGACCTCACGAACATATTAGTCTCCTCCCTGGCCTTCCTCCTCAACTCCTCGGCGCTCGTATACTTCCTCAACATCTTCCTCTTCCCGCCCGTAATCCTCTCGATAATTTCAACAACCTCGTCATACGTCTTCTTGCCTCCCGCCATGCCGCTCACAGGTTCCCAGCGCTCTAGGTCTAAGCTCCCCGCGACGAACCTGCCTGCGTCTTGCGTGGACGTGAAGGGGACCGGAGTTTTCCCGTCCCCTGGGATGTCGGCGGTTCCGGCAGGAATAGCGACGAGGAAGTTCCAGGGTTTAAGTCCTCCGAGGGCTTCGGTTTGGTTCTTCGGGGTGCCGGTGACCATGGTATTGAGAAAAACGCTATGTTGAGTATACAAGAGAGAAAAGAGGATGAGGCAAGAGCATTGAGATACTATTAACCTAAAAAATAAAACATTGCGTACGTACCCGCAAATAAGGCGCGTACATTCGAGCCCCGAGGCCTGGCAGGCTTCCCACACCTTGATCTTCGCGGCATACAACTCTACGCCCTCGTTACTCTAGAGTAGACAAGTCGAGCGACATCGCCAGCAAACTCTGAGCATTCTCTCTTCCTGCATAGCTCGAGGACAAAATACGAAATGCATCTACGTACCTTTCCAGCATACTCCGAGGGCGCGAACCTCTTTGCTCCGGCCTCCTTGGCAGCCTCGAGCAGTGCGACCTCCGATTTATATTGTTCATCGGGGAAATGTGCCGATATGGTCCAGATGACGGTGTGTACGCCTTGGAGCGCAGAGACGAGACTGGAGTGGTCCATGTAGTCGACTGTTCGGACGTCGACGCCTCTGGCGGTGAGGGATGGTTTGGGAGTGCGGGTGAGAAGAACGATGGAGTGTTTCTTTGATGCGAGGACACTATGGAGATGGCGGTGATGAATGATGAACGGCAATGAGAGGGAAAGTAGGATAGTTAAGTTGTATGTAACGATGGGGGGAAGTGCAGGAAAATGTACGCTTCCAGAATTTGATGCCCGAATCCTCCTGCACAACCTGCTAGAGCGACTTTAACCATCCTGGTTCAAGGAGACAGGATATAGCGAATATAGAACGGAAGATGAGGTGATTGTAGCCTGATCCTTTGGATATGGAGGACGATGTGCAGCATCGCGGGTTTATAAGAGCTTTGAAAAGACTGAACGGTATCGAAAATTGCATTGTCAGTTAGTCCCCATTACAGGAGCAACATATCAACTTGTGGGTCCATCACACAGCGGTCATCTATGGAGTTCAGCACCTTAGAGAGGCGTCGGCCATGATGATCGCTGTCCATCGTAAAAATAGCTCATCCATTGCAGTGTGTCCATCCCTTCCAAATGCACACCTAGTGACCAGTGCACAGGTACGCTTGGACGGGAAAAGACCTACAGTCGAAAACTGACCCACACAAGGCGACACGGCGAGTGTGGATGGGATATGCCGCTTCGCGAATTCGGCATCTATGTGGGTGGGTGGCGGTTAGCCTGGGAGTGGCAGAGCGTCAATAACCAGGAGACGTTTGGGAAATCACTACAAAAAGCCCACTGGCATTGCGAAGCTCGTCGTCCAGAATGAAATTTCCAGCCCATCGCAGCTGCTGGTAAGCTACGATCTCGCCATGGACGATAAGAGCAAAGACGCGGAGTAAACCAGCAGACTGTCGTCAAGTCCGAGCCTGAGGATATAACGAGATAAGTAGTAGTGTGGTTGAACTTCCCCGCTCGGGAAAAGCCGACGACAGGGAAGATGAGATGACGTCGGAACCTTTTGTCGAGCACCCAAAAGCCTCGCGTGACTTTCGACGCGTCCATGGCCTCCTTCACCTTGACCCGCTCTAAAATCCAACTATCTTCTTTCCTCTCGTCCCACAATTCTGTCAAGAGACCAGCACCATCATGGACAAGAAACTCCTCAACGATGCCCCGACCGTACCGGTTTCATATAGCAGCCAGTTGTCTGCCGAAACCTCCAGATCGACGAGCACGCAGACTTCGGGCGCAATCTTTTCCCAGCGACAGTCCTATCGGACAATGGAGGGATAACATGCTCATGAAGTCAGGAGCCAACTACAGTGGAGGTGCAGGAGAAGACTTCTTCTATATTCAAGAAGTGAGTATCATTCCCAATCCTAGAATCGGGGAGATCTTCAATTTAACGCTTTACGGAATTCCCATCAGATGAAAAGCAAGTCGGTAGGTGAGGCTCTTTCATTCGTGACGTCAATTTGTGTGGCTTATATCTTGTTTCTCAATGGTTGATCGTTCTAGGGCGTTTCCTTTGGCGTTGCGGATGGTGTGGGTGGCTGGATTGAGCAGAATGTGGACCCTTCACTATTCGCACAAGCTCTCATGTACCATGCACATCGATATTCCAAAGCGGCATGGGCAGGCGAAGCGGAGATTGACCCAACACAGGAGTATGAGGAGCGTGAGGCAGTCGATGGATGGGAACTCCTGCCCGTCCAGTGTATGCGACTGGCGTATGACGCCGTTATGCAGGAGAAAGCGGTACTAGCTGGTGCGTTGCAAAGGTCTCCTCTGTCTCGACATATCTCTGAATTCCATCCTCCAGGTTCCAGCACAGCATGTATTGTAAACCTAAACGCATCTTCCGGTGTACTTCGCGCAGCAAAGTAAGTCATCTCAAAGTGCTATTGCAGCCTATGCGTTGACGCTGACTTTCCTCAGCCTAGGGGACAGTGGCTTTGTCGTTATTCGTTCATCCTCTGTAATTCACAGGCAAGAATCTCAAACACACTTCTTCAACTGCCCATGGTGCGTTTCCTCCCAAATTCTGGTCCAGTACCTCGAAGTAAGCCTCCCTCTGGCTAGGCAACTGACAAAGGAACTCCCAATGGAGAGGACCCGAAGACACGAAGCAATCAAAGATTATCCCTCAGATGCAGACGAGTACGAAATGAAACTTCGAGATGGTGATCTTGTCATTGTTTACGTGGGTGACGCTTGACAAAGCCCCTCCTTGACCCGCAAGCTAACTCCACCATTGGATAGACCGACGGGCTCTCGGACAACGTCTTCAACAGCGAGATCACGTCAATATGCAACCTTGTGGCTCGCGGAGGAGGAACAGATGAACAGCAAGTTCAGAGCATGGCGGATCGTATGGTGCAGTACGCTCGAGCGTGCATGATGAAATGGACGAGAGAGAGCCCGTTCGCAAGTCAGTACTCTTCGGGCATCTTTTTAGCCATGTAAGCCGATGCTAATAGCGAGCTTTGCAGAGGCTGCTAAAAAAGAAGGTCTCGACTTCCATGGCGGGGTGAGCACATCTCACTTTTCTTTTTTCGTCAGGCTTTCACTGACTTGGATCTTGACTGGACAGAAACTCGACGAGTAAGCGACCCACCTTGCCTCCCGTAACGCGATCACTGACTCGCCCCCAGTGTGACTGTCATAGTAGCCCTCGTACAAGAGGTTTAAATATCCTTCGACGGGTGAAGGGCTCGCATCCTGGGCTCACTCCCTTACCACAGTATACTCATACGCGCAATACTTTTACGCCACGCAACGTTCACATGGTGACAGGGGCCAGGCGATGCGTGGATCCACAGGATTATATTTATCATACATTTATCGGACAGACGTCCGATTGTCTTCTTTTCAACACTACTGCATACCGCGATAATGCATACCAAACCTACAACTTCCTCTCGATGAAGCTCTCGATGGCACCGGCAGCCGTCAGTGGGTACTCCTTAAGCACGACCTCGTCGTTCTCGATGAATGTATTCGGTTGCACGAAGATCTTCCTCGGCTGTATCACAGCGATGCATAAGTCCTCGTGTACTACAACCAGAAAGGAAAACAGAGCGACTTGCCTGTTTTTTGCGCAGAACGAGGTCGCGCAGCTCGCCGTCCCATCCAGGGAAAGGCTTCGTCAGCTCAGTGTAGAATTGTCGTGCCCCTGCGCCGTCGGCGGTACTTTTACGGACTTGAAGGTCGATCAGAAGTTTTCCGACGACGTCCTTACCCTCCTTCAGCACCTTTTCCCTGTCCACCTGTACGGGTCAAAAGAAGTCAGTGAAGGTGAAGGAGGCCGTTGCGCAGGTGGTTTACGGACCCGAACGTAAGCATTCTCGAGCTGGCCGCTTGCATCCTTAACCTCTTCCAGGCGCGCGATACCACCGTTAATGAGATGCTGTGTGATTCCAAGACTGCAAGTATATCATGATCAATAAGAGGTGTCGATCGAGACAAAGTAAAGATGACAACGGACCGAGCCTGCATATGGGCCTGCCCGTGCTTCTTGGTGGCAGGATCGTAGAACTCGAGTGCTCGGAGACCTGCACGGGCCATGAGCAAGAATGTGATGTATTGGATGTCGTCGATATCTTTCTGGCTGGTGTACTTCATGGGTCCTCAGTATAATATCCGAGGATGTGGAACGATAGACAGAAACCTACACCGAAGATCTTGAGGATGTCGGTGTTGCTGACCACTGGAATGATATCGTGACATCAGCCTGTGGGTTCCTTTGCAAGCGTTGACATGGCGGTGCGGAGTACTCACGAAAGAGTGCTACGGTTTCTGCACGGCATTCCTCCATAGACGATGATACTTCACCAAGGACGGAGTCGGGCGTCTGACCGGGCTTGTACCACGACGCACTGAAACGAAGAATCAGCCCGAGAACATCTCGTCGAGCGAGGACAGCACAAACTTACATAGGCTTTCCAGTGAGAGGGTTAACCTATATCACACAGTTGAGCAGCCGTAGTGACGATGATGGCAGGATCGAAGCGTGCATACCGTGTTGGGGTCAAAGTTCTTCGTCCCATCTGCACTCTCTTTGAAAAGCTTGCCGGATCCGTGGCCCAAAAGCTCATGGTTTGCTACTTGAACCTCGAAGGCCTTGCTGTCCCATGCGTTGTAGAGATCAAGGTCGTCGGGATGTATGAAGGTCACTTCCTCGTCTGTGACGTGTTTTTAGCACAACAGCATTCCAGGAAATTCACTCAGTGATGCGGCTCACTCGGTGCCTTTGCTGCAAGGATATTCTAGTTTATCGTCAGAGATGGCTCAGGCAGAGTGAGGGGTCAGAGCACTCACGGCGAGCGACACGTTCTTGAACCCGGTGGACTCTCGGACATCATAATAGTTCTAAACATCAGGATCAGTATGTGGGTCATGAAAACAATGCGAATGATGCTCTCACAGGAATCTAAACAGACAAGTAACCAAACAGGTTGAGTTCCAATTCTCCTATAACTGAGAGACAACAAACATTGATGCCCGCGGGTATTCCTTCCCGTCAGAGCGGCATCAGTCATCAACCGCAGCAAGAGGACCACAATGGCCATACATACCTCCAGTAGCAAACGTCACGACCTCCAACGCCGTAAAATCAGGTTTGCGGAAAACATCGACCTCATAGTCCTTTCCCCAAGGAAGATTCTTGATCAATTCCGGGGCGCCATTGACCAGCGTTTCGTATTTTGCGCTCAGAGCCTTGTTCACGATAGCGGTGAAGCCTGGTACGATCGGGCCGTGAGCATGAGCGTCTCGAAAAAACATGGTCCATGACGTGAGGTATAAAATGTACCTTCCCACTCGGCTCGCGCACCCCAAGGATCTATCGGGATGTGTTGACCTCAGTCATTCGGACACCGGGCGGAGTTGGATGGGCTGGCTTACCAACGTAGGTCTCGATGAATCCGACATAGCTCTCGACGACTGGACCGACGTCCTTGACCCATTCCGTCGAGGCTTCTTTGTGAGCTTCAATAGACCCAGTCTTGAACCTGACGGAAGACGTTCAGTAGCGAATGAAGCTAGTCCCTGGTTAAGTATCCAACGTATGGGTACCTACGATTTGATGTAACCTTCCAGCATGGCCACCTGCGTGGGGTTGGCCGCATATTTCTTAGCCTGTCGAGGCACCAAGGCTATCAGAGACCGCAGAATGTTCTCCTCTCTATCTGGTTAGGAGGATCCATACCTCACCCAACGCCACAGCTGCCTTGTTCAGCGCATCGGAAAAGTCGCCGTACTGGACGGTGAGAGTCGCCGAACCCCCAGCAATTTCCAAGGCATGCTGCGAGCTCGCCTTCTGGTCAGCAGACGCCACCAGGAGCACGAAGTCCTTCGGGCCCTTCTTCTGCACGCTGTGGCGTCAATGATTATCATGGATGAATGAGTGAATGAGGACATGTGTCTCGTTTCGAAGGCGTTCGAAGCCCAAAGAACGAACCGTGTGTTCAGCACGTCGACCCCTATTTTTTCTGCGGCGGCTTGGACGGCTGCGACCTCTTCGTCCGTGACAGGTTCGCCGAGGTAGTAGTTCGAGACATGTCCTTCTTGACGTTTGCCGATCAATAGGGATGCTTCCGGACTCAGCGCGTAGATGTGGTCTTTCAGCTGTGCGAGCAATATAAACAGGAGAATGGTCAGAATAAACGGACAGTAATCGACGCAGGTTGCAAGCTGACCTTCTGCCAGAGGGGGACCGCGTTCGAAGCATTCGCGGATTTCTCGACCACGACGGCGAACTTTTCTTGTGGGACGCGGGGAACGAACTTCGTGAACCCGAAAGACTTGTAGTTCACCAAGTTACTCCTGCGTGGCGCCGACCGTCAGTAACATTGACAGTGACCTGGAAAGTTTGGCGTGTATGGTCGTACAATACTTGGCTGGTATACTGCAAAATGGCCTCGAAATCTTCGTCAGAGAGACCAGCTTTCGATTTCAAAGCCTCCAAATCGGTCAACTTTCCATTCTCGCTGAAGGTCAAGACAAGGAGGTCATAGAGCGACGTGGCCTCCGGTGTCCATTGCCCCTGAATGATCCGAGCGCCAGCCCAACTCGCTTCACCTACAAAGTGAGCATACTTCTTCTCCTTTGAGCTGTATGGACACATAAGGCGGCAGCACGTAGACACAACATAATTAGAACAACAAATAGGGGCTATCTCGTCAGTGCATCTGACAGCTAGCGGACACTACAGTCCGAATATGTAAGATCGGACAGACAGACCTGAGTTGTGCGAAAGACTTTGCGATATCGAGGGAACAGTAGGGTGCGGTACGATCAGCGAGGAAACGTTCGGTGGCGAGGCTCTTCGACATGCTGAATTTTCTTATGATGGAGTGGCGGTGATGGTGGTGTTGGTTTGACGATGAAAGAACAAACCGAGGTTGATGAAGGGATGTGGATTGTGGGGACAGATGGTTCAGATGTCGATGATGTCGCGCGATGTCGTTCAATCGCTGATGTCTAGAGCTTGCGGCCCGGAACACGAACATTCACTCAAGAAGGAATGGGAAAGCGGAGAAGGTCAACACATTTCAAATTTGGTGGGTCTGGGACCAAAATTGGTGTCACGGAGTTTAATGAATGGTGAGTCACAGTCACACAGGGGGTGGCGCAGGTGGCGCAGGGTGGCGCGTACTGCCCAACACTTTCAATATTCCAGCGAAGTGTCTCGGAGATTACTCAGAGAAGAAATGTAGTGTGTACCGGTCCAAGGGTAAATCGAGGCATATCGATAAGAGCATGGCATCGTGACAGTAGATCAAGAGCTAAGTAAAGCAAACAGTTGTATGCGGGTACCACACGGACATTCCTCCCCATTCCCACCAACACGTTCAAAAGGCCAAAGTTCATCATGGAGAAACTAAAAGTAAAAGGTTCCATGAGGTGCTAAACACGTTCAGTGAGTCATCAAGTACTTGTTGGAACTGCTATCGGAAACACACTCACCGGCGACCACAGTAGACAGCGACGAAGCGCGGTCTCATGGTTTTTCTGAGCTGTTAGAACGAACGGAATCCCTGACCCGCACGTAATTCGCCCACAAAGCCTTCCATTCGGCGTCTAGGATCCCTTCTCCAGCTTGGCCTATACCTCCTGCCGTATCCGCCGCGACTCCAGCCCATCCGAGCGCGCGCTCGTAACACTGTAATGCGGTATCCAGCGAGCGTGAGTCGCCACTCTTCTCGCTCAAAATACCGACGAGATTCCATGCTTCGGCTGCTGATCGTCGAGCGTCTCGGAGTAAACTCTTTGCTGGCTTTTGCATTGAGACCGAGGTTTTATAAATGGGAAGAAGAGGAGATTCGGATGATGGTGGGTGTGGGATCTTGGAGAGAGGGGCGTCCGGATGCGTAGCTGGTAGGCCGGTCAGGAGCAAGGCTACCCGTTCGGAAGACTCTGCGGCTTGGGTGAGCCATTGAACAGATGTCGCCGCCGGTTGACGAAGAGCGTAGAGAACTTCGGCATGGTGGACCGTGATCAGCGCGGACCGATGCAGAAGGTACAAGGCATGCAACGCTTGCGGCGCAGATGCCTTGTCAAAAGATTCTGGAGGGCGAATAGAGCGAAGGAGGTTTAATGACGCTTCTTGAAAGGTTTGCGCCTGTCGAAGTTGGCCGGTTGTCGCGTAAAACGCGGATAAAGAGACGAATGCTGACGCAAGGGCGCGTTGGGAAGAAGGGGAAGATGGTGGCGTCGAAGGAACGGCGGGGAGTAGGGGATTGAGAGGTGATACGTCGCCGCCCGATTGTTGGATTGCGCGGGACCACCACGCTAATGCGTCCGCAGAGTTGCCCAAACGATGATTGAGATCTCCCAGCTTGAGAGCGACTCGAGGCGCCTCAGGTCCTTGGCCAGCCAGCCGGGTCCATACCCTCTCGTATTCTGATCTGCTCTCGAACCACCCGTCTCTGGACCCCATCCGCTCCAAGATATCTGCTCGACGCGTCAGAAGGTCTAATATCGTGTGAGGGCGCAGACGACCGCTGGATTCTTGGGCAATGGCTGCGTCAATAACAGGACGAAGGAAGTCCTGGGCATATTCCAAACCGGTTTCTACGACGTTCAGCCCTCCCGATCCGAACGAACCCTTGCTAGATGAGCTCGAGATGACTTTAGCAGTATCTGAACCGGCACCCCAGTTCTGTGCACTCCATGCTGCCCTGACTCGATGACGATTAGAGAAGCCCAGGAAGGGATCTGTACCACCACTGTCGCCTCCAGTCCACTTATCCCTCTCTAGATCCCATCCCCACCTCTTCGCTTCTTCGTTTTTCTCTGGAGCTAGCTCAATATTCTCGATCCACATATGAGTAGCCTCATACGCGGTCAGCGTCGTCCCAGCTATGCCGACGGCGGCGATGAGTGAGTATCGAACAAACCGAGCGAGGACTCGGAATGAGAACATTGTGTGGCCACCGAAGTCCAATTCGTGTGGAAGAGCTTCTTCGCGCCATGGTGTGGTGGATTTCTGGGAGTTTCCTGACTGGTATCGTCGAGAAACCTGGGGATGCAGTATGTGCCGCGTAGTCTGACAAGAGCGGACGAGCGGACGAGCTCTGGAGGCACTCCGAGACAACATGACGGATAGTGTGGCGAGCGGTGGAAATCCGTTTGTGCGCAATTCATGCAAAGGCGTGACAGCGATTGGTCCGTGTGTATGCGGAACAGGGGCGAATCAGGGTGAAATGAATTTGATTCCGTGAGCCGGAGTACGGGGAGCGCTTGGCACGAGGCAGGCGTGAACGGTGCATCGATGTCTAGATCGTACTTGCCTTGTCCTCACCTCTTGTTCTAGGGATACGCTCTCCCCATGACGCATATATTCTTGCACTCGAGCTGGCAGTCTTCACCACAGAACAGAAGGCAATGAGCCTGTCCACGCAGCTTGGTACTTGTATTTCTCGTACGGAGGCTGTCCCAATATTTGTACTGGATCAAATCGCTCTTTCGCGTTTCCCGGTCAGGGTGTAGAGAACACCGCCTGCACACCGCGTCTAGTCTTCCTTTGCTAAGATTGGCGCCCGTATTATGACTTACACCCACGGGAAGGCCAGGCCGGCAAGGTACACGCGCCGCCTCGTTTGCATAAATACCACAAACGCACCATTCGTGAGGGCCGCTCGTGCTTTTACGCCCCTTCAGCCTTTACGCCCTCTGTTCTCTCGGCCACGAAGAGAGCTATGCGTCCCTTTTTCTGGTTGTCCTTCGCCTTGAATGTCTTCTCTAGTGCATACGCCTATGCTACGCCTTCACGAACCATCCAGAAACGTGCTGCCTCTAATTTCATTAGTACTCAGGGGGACAAGTTCGTCGTGAACGGAAGGTATGTTATGAATTTTTACCCTAGCTCTTTGTATGAGGGATAAAGTAGCCAGGAGGCTAACTATGCCCTCTATGTGACACTGTGAGCACATCGAACTAACAATGCGATATTTTTGTCTTGCTAGTGACTTCTCGTTCATCGGCACGAACGCCTACTGGCTTCCCTTCCTCGATTCCGATGACGATATTTCGAAAGTGCTCGCCAACATATCCGCTTCCGGCATTAAGGTAGTTAGGACATGGGCCTTCAACGGTTTGTCGAAACTGTCGAATATCTATTCCCCAGTCCGCTGACTGGGTACTCGAACTACTAGACGTCACGGAAATTCCCGACGACGGTAGCAGCTGGCTTCAGTTGATTTGCAACGGTAAGACCGAGGTCAACACCGGTCCTAACGGCCTCCCCAAGCTCGACAAGTTCGTCCAGCTCGCTCAAGACCACGGCATCTACGTCCTCTTCTCGCTCACGAACAACTGGAACCCTATTGCGAACGCGACCAACCCGGCACCCTTGGCACGAAACTTCTTGTCCAACTCTTATGGTTTGTTTTTCTCACTCCACCCCAGTGATCTTCTCTTTTTCTGACGGACACTTCTACTTGTCAGGCGGTATGGATGCATACGTTCGTGCATTCGGCACCAACCAGCTCCACGATGAGTTCTACACGAGTGACGACATCATTAACTTCTTCCAAAACTACACACAACAAGTTGTCTCGCGCTTCGTGGACAACCCCTTCGTTTTCGGTTGGGAGCTCGCCAACGACCCCAGGTGTGGCTCAACAGTCGCTAACTCGGACACCTGCACGACCACAACGATCACCAAGTGGCATGCAACCGTCTCTGAATTCATTCGCTCCATCGATCCCAACCATCTCGTGGCGTCCGGGTGAGTCTCGCCCTCAAACCCGTGGTCTTGTATTACACCCGAAACTAATGGAAGTCTAACTTCTCGTCGTGCATAGTAATCATGGCTTCCAATGCCCGACCTGCACGAAGCTCTTCCCAATTACGCCCACGCCCACGCCTTCCGCTGCTCCAGGTAAACGTGCCCCGGCTGGAGTGACGACCCCAGATCGTCTCATGCGCGACATCGCTCAGAGGCGCAAGGCTCGCGCTGCCGCTGCATCCCGTCCGCAGAAGAAGAAGCGCGAGGGTCCGACCATCCGCGGACGTTGGGCAGCCCCAGCTTCAGGTTAGCTTGATTCCATTGAACACTACTCGAAATCTTCCCTTCCATCCACCGTCCATCCAACCTTGTTATCTTCGGCCATCGTATTCTCAGCATCAGTCCATCCTGAGGAAACATGTGCTGACTTAGTTCTTCTGTTTCCGGAACCCGGCGTTTCATGTACACTCGCACTCCTCCGACTTCGCATTTCTACTAAATAGGCAGCAACGCGAAGCGCCAGACTAGCAGCACCGGTCCCTCGTTCGATGGATCCCAGGGCGTTGACAGCCAGGACATCCTCAACATCCCCGATATCGGCTTCGGCACTTTCCAGTTCTTCCCCGACCAGAACGTTTACACCACCGATGGCGAAACTGTACCAGGCTCGCAGGGACAGTCGTCGTTCGACTTTAATAACACCGTCCAGGAGGGTATCGAATGGATCCAGAACCAGGCCGCGTTTGCCAACGCGTACGTACCCGTCCCATATCCTATCATTTACATCATCCGCCCCTACCCTTCTCTTTTCCCGCTCTGTTGATTTTCGAAACGCCTTGCGCGGGGGGCATGCAATGTGGCTAAGCGCCCCTAGCGTGATCTCCTTTCATCCGTGTTCGACGCCCATATCATCATTCGCAATCTGACCTGATCGCTGATGGATATTACTCTTTTTTCTTCTTGCATACATACCGCTGGCCCCTGTTCCTGGACACTCTTTCAAAAATCTTGAATCCTCTCGACCTTTGTCTTCGGGCGTCGCGGTCACGTCTTTACACCGGTCCTGCTCACATCATGGCTATGTATCCGTGTGCCTGCCCTGCGTTTGAATTCTTCCGATATGCAGTGTCGGCAAGCCTCTGGCGCTCACCGCCTTCGGTCTCGTCACGCAAGACAACTTCCCGTTCTTCGTCCCGTTCAACTCTTCCGTGCCTCTCGTCAACCAGACCAGTCTCTCCAGGCGTACCGACTCGCAAGGAACGGCTTCGACGTCGTCTCAGCAACAGTCGGCTTACTTGACTTGGTTAGAGGCGGGTATCACGGCGGGTGTCCAAGGTCTGACTCAGTACCAGGTACGTATTTACTTCCTTTTTATGGATGGTAGTGTCATAGTTTGCTCATCATACTTTTCTTGCCTCTTTCTTCGTGATTTATATAGTTCTCCGCTGGTGGTTTGACGCAAGGAACGAGTGGCACCGACTCACAAGGGACATCGCCGAACGACGGTTACTCCACTCAAGGGTATGTCTATATCCTTCTATCTTACCTCTATATACTTTTGCTCAGTCCATCTGTCTTACAGTACCGCGACGGTCGAGACGCTCCAGCAAGCCGCCCAAGAGCAGCAGGGCACATCCAGTTAAAGGGCTCCTTAGAAAAGCAGTCTTGGGAATGAGACGTTCATCATGACTGATCAACTCGTAGGCTTTCCCGGTGTCTCCGCATACACCATCCGCGGAGACGAGCCTGCGAAGGACTTTCGACTATAAGTATAACGTTGTAACGCCCCCTTAGGATATTTGTCTCCACGCTACTCAATTCTCATTTTTCATTTCTTGACGGACTTCGACACGATGAATATTTATGACATTTTCTCTGACGTGTGGCGTCCGTTCAGTCGTTCACTCTTTCCTTGTCCTCTGGATCGGGAGCTTTTGGACCCGGACCCGACGTTACTTATTATCACGATACGAACTCGAATATTGGTCGCTGTCGCTTGCTACGAATTTTTTTTTCGCTCGGGACTGTTGACTGGACTTTTTCTCTCTTTAGCTTATATCTGAGTTTTCGGGGTGCTCGATGAGCTTTCGAACTCAAGTACTTTTTTTTTAGTTGGACTGTAGCCCTTTGTGTTTTTGAGATGAGATGAGACTTTTGTTGCGGTGTACACTGATGGAGGGCCCGGATGTGCGGGCGATGGTTTGAATTACTTATCACAAAAAAATCGATGTAGATTGTTCTCCTCGTGCGATGATGCCACTAGTGAGCGAGGGTCGGAATAGGACTTATTGGCCGCGCTGGACCATCTAGTCGCACATTCGTGGAAAACAAAACCGCCACGATCAACTTTTATCCCCCTCACTCTCCTCCTTCGTTCGGCTTCGAATACTCGACCTTCCGCACCCTATCCCTCACATTCGCAAAATGCAACCCGAACCAAATCCTACTCCCCTTCCGCTTCCCTTCCTTCCCCTTCTGCTCGTCATCGACTTTCCCCTCCTCACCCGCACCCGCACCCGCATCCACCCACAATCCGTCCACAGCCTTAGCTAGCTCATCTATCGCGTCTGCGAATTCGTTCCGTGCTTCGATTAAGTCTGAGGGATCTTCTATTCGGGAGACGAGTTCGTCGGAGGAGATGGTCAGGGCTGAGGCGGTGCTGAGGAGGGCGTCGAGGGAGGACGGGGAGGGATTGGGGGGTGGACCGGGATTTTGTGAGGGCGTAGAGGAGGGGGAAATGAGCATGGTTTTTCCGGCGTAGGCACAGACTTTTGAGATGTGGTGGATGAGGGGACGGAGCTGTGCGGAGTTGAGTGGCGTTAGAATGATTGTTTTGGGCCACAGTGCGGAGGAGGAAGGATGGAATGTCACTTACTGTTTGAGCGAGTTGGATTTGTTCGGGAGATTTCTTTTTATTGCTGGACCCGAAATCAAAACCTGCTTCCGCCCAGCCGTCGTTGTCGTCTCCATCTCCGCCCTGCTCCTCGTCATCGTCCTCATCCTCATCACCGTCTTCCTCCGCACTCTTAATAAATTCATCCAACTCTTCGACAGCGTCGTTCAGAGTCTCCCCATGAGCATTCCATCGTTTCCGAACAGCCTGAATGTTATCCTGAGACAATCCCGAAGGTGAATCCGATTTTGCACGAGAGACAATATCATGTATGGCTGCCGTCTTGACGAGATAATCTTCGCCCGCGGCACCCGTCATACCCTTACTTCCTCCCTCCTGGAGTAAATTCCGGTGTGCATGAGCCAGTTCCCGTACTGCATCGAGGACGGATAAAGCAAGACGGTGGACTTCCTCGGTCAGTGTTCGTCCGTGGACGTTCGGATCGAACGAGGCGGCGTTAGAGCCGAGCGTAGATATATGTGTTGTGAACTCCTTTGTGGTAGATATTCCTGCGGAGTACGTAGGCTTAGGTGGCTTGAGCGCTATTGATAGCTTTGTGGCATCGGAATAGATCAGCGAGAGGAGGGAGATGAGGTCCTTTCGGAGGGATGGGAGGGGTAAGGGTGGCGAGGGTGGCGTAGGGCTTGCGAGGGCCGTCGACAGAGACGAGCATGTCTCTATAAGAAGGGAGAGCGAGACTGTGGCTATTTGTGAGACAAGTGTATAAGAAATGTGTGCTTTTTGAGGCAAGGCAAGAGGAGAGATGACCTTTCTGAACGTCGGACATGGAGGAGAGCTGATTTTCGCTGGGGTTAGGGTGGCGCGGAACGGGATGTGGTTAGGTAAGCTAAGGACTTACCGCGTCACTCAACTTTCTGCAAGCTGCGTGGCCCATCGGCGGAGCAGCTATGAGTCCACCCCCAACAGTAAGTCCTGATTTTCCTCTGCATTTATTCCGGAATTAAAGCGCATGCTCTCTTCACAGTTACTCGGTGTGCTGCGCCACTCCGCGCGGCGGCCACCCTCATTATTTGCCCCAATACTCTTCCGCTCGTTCTCCCGCATCCCCCCGTCCACTCTCTCTCCAATTCTTCTCCGAGCTTCAACCATACACTCGCCCAGTCGGATACTTGCACTCGTACCATGTACTCGCAGATCAATTTCCCTAAAGTCAATATTCTCGATGGGCACTCCACAGCCCACGCCTTCGCCCATAGCCGTCGCACATATCTCGAGATTGGAAGGCGAAGCGAATGCTCACCCTACGGATGTCGACAAACAGCTTCAGCTTTTCTTTGCTCTGGTGGATACCAAAACTCAGGCAGGAAGGGACCTCATCATGGCCAGGTGGGAGAGAATGTGTGAATTTGTGCGTTTTCCTACCGTCCTCTCTCCTCATTACTATGCTTACATGTTCATGTAAAGGACCCGTCGTCTCCACTCCTTCATTCGGACAAAGCGTTTGAGTATTATCTCAAAGCACTGGTAGACTCCAAGCTCGAACCTTCCGTTGATCCCGCCGTCAGACGCCGAGAATCATTGCTTGCTGCTCACCCGTTAGGGGCCACCACCGCCACCGCTACCCCGTCACCAGCAGAGTCCACCTCACCAGCCTCTGAATCCTCCCCGGCATCCCCATCCACGGTATCACAGCTCTCCACCAGTCAACTTATCGCTCAACAAGTCCGCTCCGGCGAAACTAGTCCAACGTCCTCTGTCCTCACGGGAACAGGAGGTCAACCCTTGTCTCCGGATATGGCCAAGTTTGCTGCTGCTATTGGGACTGGTGCTGGTCTTAGCTCGAACCCAATTCATGTCCAGGTTAGCGAACGTACGTTTTTACGTGCCACTCGTGCGCGAATAAGCACGCTCAAATGATCTTTTTGAGCCCAACAGCCAAGAACGCGTGGGTCCCGAAGGTCGTTCGCACCGTCCTGTTCACTGGTGTTGGAGTGTTCTGTATGTCTTTCTCCCCGCGTATCATCCATGTTTTATTCAGCTCATTTCTATCTACAGTCATGCTCAGCTTCCTAGCCGTCATGGTAGAAAACACCGGACTACTCAGGACACCTTCCCGACCTGCTGAATTCGAGCCCGAAAAGTCTACCAAGCCTGTCAAGTTCAGTGACGTACACGGCGTTGACGAGGCGAAGGAGGAGCTCAAAGACGTCGTGGAATTTTTGAAGGACCCATCTGCATTTGCCGAGCTTGGCGGAAGACTGCCCAAGGGTGTTTTGTTGACGGGACAGCCGGGTACGGGTAAGACGATGCTTGCGCGAGCTGTGGCAGGAGAAGCTGGGGTGCCTTTCTTGTTCGCTTCCGGGTATGTACACATCCTCCTACATACCATTTCGCCAGTCACATGTGCTTATTTCCTCCCTAGTTCCGAATTCGAAGAAATGTTCGTCGGTGTGGGCGCCAAGCGCGTTCGTGAGCTCTTCGCTGCCGCTCGCGACAAACAACCTGCGATCATCTTCATCGACGAACTCGACGCCATCGGCGGCAAGCGTTCCGCCAAGGACCAGAACTACATGAAACAGACCCTGAACCAGCTCCTAGTCGAGATGGACGGCTTCCAGCAAGACGAAGGCGTGATCGTCATCGCCGCGACGAACTTCCCCGAATCTTTGGACGACGCGTTGGTCAGGCCCGGCCGCTTCGACAGACATATCGCCGTTCCTCTACCTGATATCCGTGGCCGGACGCAGATCTTGCAACACCATATGATGGGCGTCAAGACGAGCAAGGAGGTCGATCTCCTGCGTCTTGCGAGGGGGACCGCTGGGTTCTCGGGTGCGGATCTGCAGAATATGGTGAATCAGGCGGCGGTGCAGGCTTCGAAGGAACGGTGCAAGGAGGTCTCGTTGAGCCATTTCGAGTGGGCGAGGGATAGGATTTTGATGGGTGCGGAGAGGAAGAGTATGTTCGTGGATGACAAGGAGAAGAAGTTGACGGCGTATCATGAGGGGGGACATGCGCTCACGGCGTTGTATACGGAGGGAGCGACTCCGCTTCATAAAGTTACGTGTATGCCCCGGGGACACGCTCTTGGTATCGTACGTATAGTCCTTTTCTTTAAATTCGAGATCAGTGGTTTACTCACTAGATGGAATGTGTTTCGTGGGGTAGACTTCGTTCTTGCCGGAGTCCGACAGGCTATCGATAACCTACAAGCAATTCTTGGCCGAGATCGATGTCGCCATGGGTGGAAGAGTCGCAGAAGAACTCAGTGCGTACCTAACTTCATCACGTTTATCACCAGTCAATACTGATGTTTTTCGTGTCGCGACGAAATAATAGTCTTTGGACGTGACAACGTGACGAGCGGGTGCTCGAGCGACTTGAGGAAAGCTACGTCGGTGGCTACGCAGATGGTCAGGAACTATGGGTATTCTGAGAAGCTTGGGCCTGTGTGGCTTGGACGGGATGACCCGATCAGTCCCAAAAACAGGGAGGAGGTTGAGAATGAAGTACGATCGTACGTGGTGTTTGCTTTATCCTTTTCTTCTGATTAGACTGATGCAAGCATATTTTTTTAGGATGCTGAAAGCTGGAACGAGCCGGGTGTTTGCGTTACTGAAGTCAAAAGAGAAAGAACTTCACCTAGTAAGCCCTCCCATCTCTGTTACCAGAAGATCTATGCTCACTATTTTTGTTCTGTTTACCTGAAATAGCTCGCTGATGCACTCGTTGAGCACGAAACCCTAGACATGGAGGAAGTCAAGAAAGTGATCCGGGGCGAGCCTATACGGAACATCAAAGACGTCATCCAGGAAGATCTTTCACATATATCTCCACCAGACATTGACGGGCCAAGTGCCTCTGTACCAGCTACCGCTGCCGTCTCATCATAGCCTTCGTTGGTGGCAATTTACTCGCTCTCTTCTCATCTTGATCGACCTGCGATTTGGTTGGATTGTTGTTCGTAAATTTGAGTGTTATTTGCGTCTGAATATGTGCATATTATTTTCGTTTTGGACGACGCCGTCAGAGCGATCGTCGTCGTAATATTATACAGCTGCTCATCTATATTTGTCCGTGCACAGGGAAGACACTGTACATACATACTGACTAAAGTCGGTGGGCCACATTCTGTGCGGAGGTTCGCCACCCCCTGTCTCTCGAAGCTTCCAATCGGCTCAGGCTTGCTGAGTGAATAGAAAGCTAAAACGCGCCTCGTTTCATCGTTCATCCCGGTCTCCTCCTCGCTGCTGCATATCCATATACTTTCTCTCTTTCGTTTTTCTCAAGCTTCATCCTTTGTAGAAAAGCTACGTTCAATCTTCACTAGAAAAGCCTAGGCTTATCAAGATAAGATCTCCGGGACAGGGAGCTGGCGGCGCAGCCCACATACATTCTCCGCAGCTCGGCCATGCTTCAAATCGTGAGGGTTTCTCTTATATACCCCTCACCTTCTGAACCTCGTGAAGCCTTCTGTCCCGCTCATCATTGCACCGTCGCTCACCATGGGCTACTCTAGGACATGCTTGGCCCTCGGAGCCTCGCTCCTCGCATTGACGGGAACCGTCTCTGGGTTCCCACATGATACGCCGGCGGAACAGACGATATTCAGTACTGCGACGTCGGGGAAATCTGAAGCGGACGAGATGGCTGGTCGGGAGTGGAGGTGGGACGCGAAGCCTGATCCGGATGAGACTGGCAACTACATTTTTCACTCATTGCATTCGCTAGTGCAACACTGGCCTCACACTCGCTATCGCAACGGTGTGTTGACCACGTCCTCCCTGTCTTGCTTAAATGAACGGTCTTCCTGACACTAAACGGATTGTATCATACAGGACACTCCGTCGTACCCGCCGCAGTTCCCCCCGGTACGACTCTCTACCACGGCCGTGGCAACTCCTCCATCCCCACCCAGCCCGAATGGCTCGCCTTCGACCCAGAGCACTCCTACATCTTCTGCGGCGGCGAGTGTCACCTCCAGACGTTCGTCACCACGCGCGAACTCAAGCTCGCGTACTTTGACGGGAACAGCGCGGCGAACCTCGATTCGGGGACGTATGATACGATGGATCTGTTGCTTTGGGGGAAGGTCAGGCCAGATATGGTGTGGAGGGAGTGGGATAGGGCGAAGGAGGCTTGTGAATGGGGAGCGAAGTGGGGGTTCGATGGGTTTGTGAGGATGGAGATGGATTTGTGCGTTTTGGTCTTCTTGATTTTTATTCATTCTTTTGTGCGATGACGGCTTACACGGACGTATATTTTATAGCGAGATCGTCATGTGCGATTTCAGCAAGGGTCTCGAGCTCGTCAATACTCATGATCTGAGTGAGTCGATCTAGACACTCCAAACATCGTTCTTCCACGCATTCTAAGTCCTCTATTCTTTTTATTTTAGTTCCCTTCGCTGGCCACAAACTCATGGGCCCAGACGATCAACCCAAGGATGGTGAGACCAGGCCCGGACCAGGTGGAGGCAGAGGCCGCAGACCATCTCCCCCTTCTGATGACGACCACTCCATTGATGAGACCGACCGCCGAGGACGAGGACCACCAGGTGGCGGGCCTGGTGGCCCAGGAGGACCAGGAGGACCCGGTGGGCCTGGGGGACCTGGTGGAGGAGGAGGTCGTGGAGGTCATGGACCGGGTGGCCCAGGCGGTCCTGGAAAGGACCCTGAGCCTGATTTACCAGAGATGTGGCAGGGGAGTGTTCGTTCGGGCGGACAGGTCTGGTGGGAGGTTATGCAGGCGGGTGCTTGGCATAATCATTTCCCTGGCGAGACGAGGATCAGGGTCGATACCTCTAGGTTGGTTTAATTTTCGTACTGATCTGTTATTTTTCACTGAGGAGATTGCTTTTTTTTGGCAGAATGGTAACACTTTTTGATACCAAGTACAAGAGTGGTGTAGAGGCCAGACGGGATCACACGAGAGAATCCTTCCGCGCCGGAGACATCAACGAGGCAGACGTTGAGCTGTTCAGGAAGGAAGTCGAGAGTACTTTTGACCATGAAGGATGGGGTAGGGATGGTCAGAGCAGCGGCGTCGATTGGATCGGATTAGCTAGAGTGAGCCTCGCTCGGATCATCCGTATGTCTAATGATTGCATCTGACGAAATACTCGTTTCATAGGTCGTTGTGGATCGGTATGGCGATCGTCTTGAATTGCTCCGCCATCTCCTCGAGGACAAGAGCGAACGCAACGTCACGGAAAGCGCCGAAATTGTTCGACAACAGCTCATGACCATGCTCGCACCCTACATGCTCAATACTGCAGTACCCTCCAACGATACCACCTCTGCCAGTGACCATCAATGGGTGGCCCCCATGGCTATGCATTGTGCACTGACCCACACGCATTGGATGCGCTCTCTTACCACGCTCACACCACAAGAACGGGTACTCAAGACCGCCGTCGAAGACACCCTTCGTCAAGTTTGTCGTGTCCTCTCTGAGATGTGGATCGATGCCTTTGCCATCGAGGCAGACATTAAGGACGAGAAATTCGACAAGGTAGAAGGCGTCGTGGCTCAGTGGACGGTCCAGGTGAAGGACCTGATGGCTTGGTTGGACTGGAACGTTTGGGTGAAGTGTAGACCTGAGTGTGGGCCCGAGGAGTGGTGCTATATCCCGACATGGCCTTCCATCGGTTGGGGCGGGGGACAGGTCGATATGACGCCGAAATGTGTCTCGAAGTTCGAGAGTAGGGTAGGTTTCCCGGGCGGTCGTTGATTTGCTCGATTTAAGACGAGAGGGATTGTGCGATCGGACATAACATACTCATTACTATTCAGGGTTCCGTGTTTGTTTTCGTGGAAGAACTGGTAGAGCTAGAAGAGTGTGCATACCAGATGTCTAGAAGTTTCTCGCCATTCCGATTAGTGACCACTTATAACAAGTATATATCTTCCTAACTTAGGCCTGCTAGCGCATATACTGGAATGACATACTATTGAGCCACGGGATATTCTTTGAGTGTAGTCATCCCACAACCATCGATTACCGCAAAAATCTTCTGCTATAACAGTCACAAATAAGTTAGGTTGGGTAAGTAAGGTTACACGAGGTATCACAAGCTCTAGTAGTAAGTAGTGTCCAAGTCCGTCCAGGCTGTAAGTGAGGTAGCAACGAGTCGACAGTGCCGAAGTCCATTTGGGTGTGGTCAATAGGTGAGTGTAGGTAGTAAACCGATCATGTAAGTATGCAAAAGTGTCCGTCGAAACAAACCGGAGAATCATCAAAACTGACATCGTCACCGCGAGATGTTTCTATACTGCTTGGTAGTTGAAGGAAGACAATGGGACCTCGCTGGCCGTCTTCTTCTGTGTCAATGTGGGCTGCGGGAGAAGGAATCCAGGGTGGAAAATGTTGAGTGTGTACATGGCGAGTGTGATCATAGCACCGTCGAAGACATCTGTTAAGTAGTGGGTTTGGTAAGTCAATTGGCACAAGACGGAGAGATTCGAGTGGGCAGGAGACGTACTGAAGTAGACCTGCGTCGTGATGACGGTGCCGTTCCAACCGTCTGCGAGCTCGATGGTACGGTAGACAGAACTAAAGAGGTACGACAAGAGGTAAGTTACTGACGCAAGTAGGGGCATGGGTATTGAGTAGCTGGACGTACCGAATAAGCAAAAAGGTGGTCATTAGGATCATGGCGAGGATCATGAGTTTCATGCGCTGAGTGATGGGCATCTTCAACTCCGCTGCGATAGTGTCCGTGCTTCCGTTGCCGCTACCAGCCCTGCGGAATGGTCTGTCGGTGAAGTAGCGGAAGAAGAATTCTGCGGCTAGGCAAGCGTAGACGACGATGGCGACTAGGAGACGAAACATAAAATGAATACGTGTCTAGTGAGGTGAGGAGAGGGAAACAATAACGTACCGAGCTGGAAGACGATTCCCCCCAACATGATGTTTCCGCCCTGAAAGGAGTATATGGTCAGACAAAATATGTATCGAGAACAAGGGGCATGACTCGTACTGCGTTGGTGCCTGCTTCATCGTCAGCGCTGGAGGCAATGCCGCCTCCTGTGCCTTGTACTACAAGGGCGATGATATCCTGAAATAGAGATCATCAGTACAGAGCAAGAAGTGAGAGACCGAAGGAAACCACGTACGCATGTCAGGAACAGCTGAGTATCTATAAGGACAAAGAATAGCGTACGTCAGGAAACTGTACAGTAGGATGTCCAACGAACAAAGAGTCATACATCTCTTGGAGCTGAGGCGACTATAGTTTTCTCCTAAGAGAGCAATGAGGCGTCCCAAAATGATGAAGTTTGCGGCGATGAATCTAGAAACCGAAGGTCAGCTAAAAAAAAAATAGCTGCAGTGATGAAACACGAACGGTGTCGGAGCGATAATTGTGGTGGTGATTCTGAGGAGAAACATTGTTAGTTCACTGTCTGCGAAATTGTTATAACACCGAAAGCTTACTGCATGAGGAAGGGGTCACCAGCAATCGGGTTTTTACTTGACCAGAGCCTACCACTCCATCCTATGCACTCGATGAGACCCGCGAGCACGGCGGTTGGGAAGAGCCACCATAGACGGCTCCGTGCAGCCTCTAGCACATGGATAACTGTAATATATAATTCTGAGTACTGTGCTTCACGAGAAAAGAGTAGGGTAACGTACGTGTCGACAGCCCAAATAGGGCAATAAATAGAGCACAGACCCATTCTGTGGGGATATAGCCATATTGTGAGAGTTCATCTTCTGTAGGGGTTGTCGCGCCGTTGGAGCCTGAGAAGGACGTCAGACAACCTTGGACATAGAAGTTATGAGCTGAAGCTTACTCATGATAGTATGCGAGAGAGAGAGAAGAAGAAGAATAAAATGATTACAGGAGACAATAGAATGAAGGGGGAGGTAGTGAAGCGCTTCCCAGAGCAAACCTGTGGTATTTATCTGCATGCGTGTCTCAGCGTGTTCTCCGTCCGTGTACTTGACCGGTGATCATTGCCCGTCGTTGTAGCCTTTGATGGCGATTTGAACTACCAACGACGACGCTGGTCGAAAGTGTTTGCAATCCCGCAGCAGAGGGCGAGGGCCCGCACCGCCTCCATACCACTCTAGTGATGGCACTCGTTCAACGTTCAACGTTCTACGATCACCCGTTTCCAACGGCTAGATATCGGCACAGAGACTGGATCGAGTCAAATCTCTTGGTCAGGAACAAAGATGGAACCGCCCAGAGTCAACATTCTCGCGGTCCGTGATTGGTATTTGTGTCTTGCAGGTCAATGGACATCCCGTCGGACACGGTCCAATCCATCTACACTTAGGAGCATCTATACACAGCCAACAATTCAAGAAAGGTCACGGTGATTGATGAGATTGTTTAAACAGGACTGCGGTTAACATCAACCCAAGCCAGGCCCTCTGATCAGTGTGTGCCACAGCTGTGGAGGGCACATTGCTCGTCCACTGTGTGGACGGGCACTCAAGATAAGTACGAGGCGGCGTCAAGCTTGAACATGACGCTGGTCTTGGCGCAGGCGCCACCTGCCGTTCGCCATCAAAGTTAAGTTCGCCACACTGCTTGTTGCAATGTACCTGACTTATAATACACTCGCGCGTAGCGCTGAGTGTTGCTCACTGCTATGCACTGAGCACCAGAGAAAGGAAGAAAAAAATACCAGACCACGTACTAATAAAACACAATCATACATCCATCTCAATGAGCATCCTGTCCGAAAATCCTCCATCTCCATACTCATCCTCCTCGTCCACCATATCCCCATCCCCTGCGGCCTCTCTTTCCAGCCTTAACCGCTCAGCCTCCGCCACCGCCTCAGCCTCGGCTATTCGCTGAGCGGCCTGAGCTTTCTCGACGTCCTCTTTCGTCCAGAGCGACACCCCAGTCAGGTTGTCGCCCACGCTCTGTGAGATCGTGCGCATGAAAAGCTTGGAAAGCGTGAGGGCCATGTCGGTGGAGAGGTTCGCTGCGGTTTCTGTGATGTACTGGTTGATCCACCGTGGTAGCTTCGCTCGTTTGTCTGCTCGTGCGAAACGCTGAACAAAGTTGAAGTTGAAGTGAGATCGCTGGTGGACCACAGCCTGGAATGAAGAGGCGATGCGACGTACCTTGTCCGCGAAGACCATCAATCCCCAGTCGGTCTTTCCACGCAGGACACGACCAACACACTGTGCCGCGTTCCGCATAGCATCGAATCCAAGGAACTCGGACTCTCGTATCCGGTAAGCATCTCGAAGATATTCAAGACGAGCTTTCAGAATACGACTCTCGGTGTACTGGTAAGGAACACTGTATGCGCAGAATGAGCACAAAAATAGATGGTTCGATACGCTGAAGGATTCACGCACCCAAACATGATGACAGCACGTCCATAATTATGGTCGAAATCGATCCCTTCCGATACCTTTCCACGAGCGACAGAAAGCAGTACGGCCCCACGGCCGTTGTCGCATGCTCGTCGATAGTTTTCTAGTGCTATACTGGTCTCGTTCGCGTCCGGTGTCTCGACGAAGATCAATTTGTGCTTCCAGACCTCGTTCAAAATGCCCTATGGTGCCGTTTGACCATCAGTACGGATACTACCTTGAACGAAGGTCAGCTAGCTTGCATACCATATCGTTCCATGCAGCCACGATAGACTCCATATACAGATAACTAGGAAAGAAAGCGACGATGCCGTCCGGCACGATCTTGCTGTACTCTACCAATATGCTCCCAAAATTGCGCACGACCGCGGGGTCATTACGAACCTCGAACCGTGAGCTGATAGCGACTTGGTCACTGCCACGGGTGATGACCTGTACATTGCCACTCGTCAACGTGATCGGTCTGGAGATAAGAGAGACTGAGATACGAACTAGTGGAAGGAAAGCGTTACGAGTGAGCGTCATAGCGTATGTCTCCTGCACCACTGGTGTGAACTGCAACATCTTTGGATACATGTCCAGTGGTGAGATCGTTCCCGATGTGATGACCACACTACTGAATCTCTCAAACACAGGCTTGATGGCAATAGCCGGGTCGAGACAACTGCCGTATGATAAGTCGAGAGTAGGATGAAACAACAACGTCTTAGCAACTTACGTGAAGTGGAATATAGGATTTGGTACGGTAGCATTGTCCGTTTCGAATGGCTCGAGTATGAGCAAGAACCCTGGGAAACGACCTTCAGCAGAGACATCGACCACGACTCATCTTGTTTGATGGCTTGCGCACCTTTCTCATATGTTGATACTAATGTAGCAAAGCTCGCCACTTTCTGTAGAGCAGAAAACTCATCCAGCCGGTTAATTTCCAATGTCTTGACGAGCGACTGAAGACGCTCTGCACAGAAGCGCAGCGGTCGTCGCTCGATGTAGGTTATGTCTTTGAGATGTTGTAAGAAGGACAGCGGGGTCTCGGCGACGACGTGTAAGACTCTCATTCGAGTCTGATGGGAACTCGAAACGTGAGCACGAGGTTATGAAAGAAGGTACGAAGAGATGCTTACCTTGAGGTACTCTACGAAACGCTTCAAGAATGCGACGAAGTGTTCGGCTTTACGGATATTACCAGGTATTGCCTCGTTAAGCAGGTCTTCAGGCAGAACTTTCAAGAAAGATTGTAAGTTTGAACATAGGAGCATGTCACTTTCACGACACTCACCTGGATTACTCATAAAGGCGTCTTCATCTGATGCAGCATCTTGAAGACCCTCAACGAGCTTAGCGTACTCGTCCTGCAATTTCGAGGCATCCGTCTTTTTGATCCTTGACAGCTACACTCAACACGGTGCCAATCAAAAAGATCAAATAAACTCACTCGTCAATTTTATCGCCGAGTTTATTGACACTGCGGGCAGCCGAATCGAGCATTGGTCGTGTAAGGTCGATACTCAATGATTCAATGCAAACGTTATCTGCCAGACGTTCAAACGTTCAGCCACTTGAACCCTACCACAAAACAGTTGGGACGCAGAGTGAGTAACAGACATACCGATGTTGTGCGCCTCGTCAAACACGACTATCGAATCCTTCGACATCTCCTTCGACACTTGTTCCGCGACTTTTGGGTCCAGGAGATAATGGAACGAATAAATCACGATATCGACGAAAGGCAACTAATTCAGCACGTCCAAGGAGGCCCTTCTCAGCGATACAATCTAAATGCACACACGACAGGGTAAAAGTCAAAGGGCGTACCATTCGACGGACGGTGAAGTAGGGACAGGTACCCTGTTGACGACCGTAGTCCATCACGTCAGCGAGGGTCCATATGCCTGGTGGGATGAGGTTTCCTGGTTCGCGTTCGCCGAGTTTCTGAGAACGCGAATGATATTGCTTACTTTGAGAGGATGAATGAATGTAGCGGAGAAGTTGGTGCTCACTTCATGAAAGTCACATAGATCCACAGAACCAGGGTTCGCCCTCCCCTTCTGACAAGCCGCAGAGTTCGTCATATCTCGACACCGCGCATCGACCACCTTTCCCTTCTTCTCCTTCGATACCTATATTATCACCAGCGCCACAGCCACGATATCAATCCACCGCACCCAACTCACCTCATTCCTGTGCGACAACGACGACAAGAAGGGAAACGACGACACACCTCAGGATGTATACACAGATTCTTCCTACTCGTCAACCCAATCCCCATAAACCCCTGCTCCTTCACTCTCTGCTCCTCCGTCTCCGCTTGCGATATTCGATACTCCATGAGTCGTCGCAGCTCAGCCAGGGCTTTTTCGATCTCGGGGACGGTACGCGAGCAGTAGATGAGCTTGCGTTTCGTCGGGAAGAACTATTCTCATTTCATTCATTCATTCATTCATTCATATGTGAGCAACGTGTCAAGGTGGTGATGAGTGTAAGAGGTCAATAATGTGAAGGAAGCGAAGGAAGCGAAAGATGCGGACTGACTTGTTGGTATGAGACGATCAGGGAAAGTAGGGATACGGTCTTGCCCGTACCAGAAGGCATCTCCAGCACACAGTGACCCTACAATAAACAGTAAACGCCAATTTAAGCAAGGGAGGGAGCATGGCATTGAATCAGATGGGAGACTACAGTTGCGTCCAGAGTCCGTTTAAGGTCGCACATGTATGCATATTGTTCTTTCGGAGTGGTCAGCCTGAGTTCAGCTCGAGAGGACCGGCGCGCTCAGGCAGACAAACCTGGGTAGATGCGGTCATAAGGAAAGATAATCTATGCCAAGGTTGAGTTTTGAATATAAAGGAGCGAGCACATCCTTGCGTACCGGTAAGTCGTCGATGAAGAACTTCATGGTGGTAAGGGAGAGGAGAGAACGAACTGAGTCGAACGCGGACGCGGGACGCGTAAATGACGCGAGTAACCGACAGTTTGGCGGGACGCCCGCCACACGGTAAACGAACGCCACTCAGAGCCAGAAGACAGCAACAGCATCGATAGCAAAAAATACAAAGTTAAGGTGCGACATATATGTATAACGACGGCAGCGAAACATGAGAGCGCTGGCCAAAAGGTGACATGGCAGGAAAGCATCACTCCACGACCTCCCCATTCTCCCGCTCCCGCTCGGCCTTCGCTCGATCCTCCATCTGCTTCTGACGATGCTTCTCCATCTCCCAATCTGCTCGAAACGCCACAGCTAGGACGTTGGGCCACAGCGCCCTGCCCTTTCGTGCGATCATTTGTTCTTCGAAATTCAGGATCTTGTCGTGTTGAGCGCGTAGGTCGAAGGCTGGACCCTAAGTGAGGATCGAAGAGAAATGATTAGCGTGCAACATGATAGTTCCCGACGAAAGTTCATACCGATAGTGCTGCTCGACGAGCACGATCATCCTCTCGCATCTTGTCGAGTTGTTTCCGTCGGTCCTCTTTGTCCTTATGACTGACTCCTGACCGCGGTGTCGATCCACCAACCTGCTTACAAGTTAGCCAGACAGTTCAGAATGAAGTGCGAAGTAAAGTTGACGCACCCCTTTGAACAAAGAATCATAGACCGACTTGTTCATAAGATCGACCTCGACCTTCGCCGGAGCCTTAGGCTGCTTCTTCGTCAATACGCCATCATCCGCTTTCCCGTCAGCACCCACATCACTCCTCCCCTTCGCTGCCTGACTCGGCGCATCCCCAACAGAACCTCCCAAAGCAGGCTTATTCTTCTTGATAGTCGGGAACTTCTGTTTCTTTTTGAACGACGGCAACGGTGCGGACTCCTTCGTGGGCGGTTCAGGAGCAGGAGCCAGAGATCCTTCGCTTGGACCAGACGGCAAAGAATCGACGTCGACGGTAGTTTCGGGTGGAGTGGTATCGTCTGGCCTTGTCCGTTTCTTGAGTTCGCTGCTCGCACCGTTCTGTTCACCGTCCTTCGCCTTCGCCCCAGAAGCGCCCATCCGCCTCTCATCCTTGATCTTAATAGGTCTATCCACTTTATCCTTCTCCTTCGCAGCAGCAGCAGCCCGTCCTTTGCCCTTCAAAACACCTCCCTTCGGTACCTTCGTCTTCGTAGCGGCATTCCGCCTAGGCTCAGGCTCGAAATCGTCGTCCCCTGGCTCGACGTACGCTTCCCGTGCCACTCTCCTCTCCCTCGGCGGTCCATCATCACCGATATAATCTTCGTCGCTCTGTTCCTCCTTCGCACCGTCGTCATCGTCCGAGAGAACGACGTGCCGCTTCGCCTTTCTTCGAGGCATAGATTCCCTCCTGGACTGTGTGGCGGGTACGACGACCTTATTCTTCTCTTTCTCTTTCTCCTTCCTTTGTGAGGATGATGAGGCCCGGATGGGGTCGAGACGAGCATCGTCCACTGCGGTGCTGGCGAACTCCGTCTCGACATCGACGTCCATATCCTCCGCGTCGAGGTCGGCGACAGATGCCCTGCGAGGTCGTTTCGTAGGAGGTTGGGAAACATGTCGAGAAGATGCAGAGCGGGGAAGATCGTCTCCGTAGTCGTCTTCGTCCTCTGATTCCACGACGGCGCGCTTAGTGGGTTTACGGCGCGTCGTGCTGATAGTCGGTGTCACCTCCGCCGAAGAACGCTACGAATGTTCAAAGCACAAGAGACATTCGTGTCAGTTCACTCGAGTATAAGTAACCAGAAGACAAGAGAGGAAGAACCATTGGATCAGACCGTGCGGGTATCTTTATCTTGAGAGAGGAGGACATCGCGCAGGCGCTGTGGGAGGGGTGGTCTATATACTCTGGCAGCTGTTTGATGATGGTTGTGGCGCGGAATTTCGAAGAGAACGCCAGATTGCTGTGTAAGTTACCGCGACGCGCTGGCGGGCCGGAGTTCCGGGCGCGACTTGTGTTTTTGGACGCGTTCGCGTTTTCGTCCGACTGTGAAGATGGCCAGTCGACTGCTCTCTCTTCGTCCACCAGCATCGTCGTCTCTCCCTCGCAACCGTTTCATTGCTCGTCCAAGACGTCAATGTCGATGGCAGTCCACCTCTACTGTTCCACCTCAAATCCCAGTGCTGGGCAATGTCTACCCCACGGACTCATACACCAACATTACACCTGCAATCATCTCCAAACTCTCTCGCCGACTGCACACCCAAGAAGGTCACCCAATAGCCACCCTCCGCACGCTCATTGAAAACCACTTCCCCGACTACACCCATCTCTCCTCCCTCTCCCCCCTCGTCACACCCTACCAGAACTTCGACTCCCTCTCCTTCCCGGCCGACCACCCCGGCCGCTCCAAAACCGACTCGTACTACATAAACAAGAACCTCATGCTCCGCACGCACACCTCCGCACACGAAGTCGAGACGTTCGCCAAGGGCGTAGAACGCTGGTTGCTCACGGCCGACGTGTATCGCCGCGACGAAATCGACGCGTCTCATTACCCCGTCTTTCACCAGATGGAAGGCGCAAAGATATTCGGCACGGACCCGCACAGTATTGCAGAAATCGAAAAGGACAACGAGAGACTCGAACATCACCTCCGACAGTCGAACATCACGATCGAAGACGTCCCACACGTCTCGCCTACAACGAACCCCGCCCAACCAGAACACGACCCTCGACACTCCGAGATCGTCGCGAAGAACCTGAAGTTGTCGTTGAATAGCCTGATGTATGAGGTCTTTGGGGCTGTGGCGGGCGCGACGAAGGAGGAGCCGTTGAGGGTGAGGTGGATCGAGGCGTATTTCCCGTTTACGAGCCCGAGCTTTGAGGTCGAGGTGTTCTTCAGGGGGAAGTGGTTGGAGATATTGGGCAGTGGCGTCGTGATCCAGTCCACTCTGGACAGCGCGAGTGCGTATCATATCATTGTGTGAACTGCTCATTCATCCGGTCTATTATACTGACGCTGCTATATGTATCGCAAAGAGGTCGCTAATAAGATGGGCTGGGCATTCGGACTGGGTCTCGAGCGAATCGCCATGATTCTTTACTCCATCCCGGACATTCGTCTCTTTTGGTCGGAGGACCCTCGGTTCCTCTCTCAATTCACACCCGGCAAGATATCTACGTTCCAGTCTTACTCGAAGTACCCGCCTAGCTTCCGTGATGTCAGTTTCTGGCTGCCAGAGCAAGGGCTGCACAATAACGACGTCTTTGATTTGGTGAGAGATGTGGCGGGAGACTTGGTCGAGACGGTCGAGGTGGTAAGTCACTCTTGCTCTTGCTCCAGCTCTCAGGAAGTGAACAAGAGATAATGATTAGATCGACGAGTTCACCCACCCCAAAACGGGTCGCAAGAGCATGGCTATCCGCATCCAATATCGCTCCATGGACAGGTAAGCACGAGCGCCGACCCACCTCATCACCGCGTCCGGTAGCGCAAAGAAACTGACTCCATCCATCCCGTTCGCCGCAGATCACTGGTGGGTATAGAGGTCAATGAGTACCAGGAGCAAGTGATGTCACGCCTGAAAGAGCAGTTGAGAGTTGAGATTCGGTGACATTAATGCATGTTATCGTAAAAAGCCGTCGTCCCTCACGGCGCCCGTCACCACTCCTTCGTACCGTCCTCTAAGCGTCCGACCCACCCTAATGCCCCTCTCTGACCCGTATGTTCTCCTAATGGAGGTGCCGGTGATTGGCAGGCGAGAGTGGGCCACCCATACCCTCCGTCGCAAAGCGCAAGCAAGGACCAACAGTATTATGATGTATCTTGAGCCACTCCGACCTGGGCCGCCCTCAGTACCCTGTCCTTGATCGTATACCCTGTTTTTTGGCAGTCGATGACCGAACCGGGCTCCTTCCCAGGTATAGGTGCTTGGTAGAGGGCCTCGTGCCGGTTAGGATCGAACTTGTCACCAGTCGGATCGAAAGGTTTGATCTGGTATTTGAACAGCGTTTGGAGGAGTAACCGGTGGGTCATCTCGACGCCGGTGTAGAGCTCCTGGAGGTGGACCGCTGGTGACTTGTCTGTTGGTGGTGATTGTGAGGGCTCAGAGGAGGATGGGGATTGGGAGGGTTCGGAGGGTTCGGAGGGTGGGGTGGTGAGGACGGATTGGGGGACGGATTTTAGTGCGAGAGCGAGGACGTCGACGGTCTCGAGGAGGTCGCCGGCGAAACGAGTGATGGCGAAGTCCTTCGTTTGTTCCTTCTCGCGTGCGGCATTACGCTGCAGGTTGAGGAAATCTGCTTGGAGGTATCGCAGACGGCCCTACAAAAGTGTTCAACCTCCAAGTAAGTCCTGTGCTGGGGATGTGACGAGACAGAAGAGAACACGCACGGTGAGGTCGACGACCTCGTCCTCCTTCGTCTTGAGCTTAGCCTCGACCTCCGCACAAGGATTCTCGGCGGCAGCGTCTGCAGGCTTTGCCTCCTCTTTCGACTCTGCCGTGCCCTCCTTGCTCGATGACGCGTCAGAATAACTGCGTGCGTTCAAGGCTGCCCTGCGAGGCATACGACCGACCGACGAACGCGCGAGTGCGCGGGACGAGAGGGAAGAGGTGGCAGCGCGGAAAACCTGCATGGCGCGGGCACGGTTTTTGTCGTAAGGTAAGAAAGGCGAAAGAAGGAAAAGTGATGTGGTGAGGGTGAAGAGAACGAAAGAAATAATAAAAGAGGATGAGCGAGACGTGTAAAGGCGGGTGAGGACGGGCGTCTGTTCGTCCAGTCTGACGAAGGCGATTCGTCCACGGAGAACAACGGTGGCTTTCCCGAAAAGTTTTCCTCGCGCGTGGCGTGCTGTGGCGTGCGTATGGAATGTGGCGCCCCACGTTCGAGGTGCCACGCCGATGAGTTTTTTCCGTTGCGTCGGCTCTAAATCCGAGTCCGTCGCCAGCAGAACTTTTTGCGATCCTTGCGGTGACTCGACGACGCGAAACACCAACGCGACCCGCCTCTTTATTATTTATTGGAGCCGCGGGCAACTGAAAGGTCGAACGTACGACGCGAACTAAGGACGTTCGGAACGCCGTGCACGCGAGCCTTAACTTATCTACCCGGCAGCCCGGCGCTGTGATATACTCTCGGTCCTCGTTATGGGCCTCTTCAGGCTCTCTTTTCGCGCTCCCATCCTTTCCCTTTCCTCCTCTTCACCCACCCCCATCTTCTCCAGCCGTCTCTCTGCTAGGACGATGGCCTCTGCTTCTTATACGGGCTCTGCGAAGCTCATCGACGGCACGGCTATCGCAAAGTACGTCTTTCGTTATTTTTTTTGTTGCTGTTTAGATCATACGATCACATACCCCCAATATTTCGATACTCATCACACGCGCACTCTGCCTTACAGGTCTGTTCGCGAGGATGTCGCTGCTCGTATCAAGTCTATCAAGAGCCAGTTCCCGCGTTTCCAGCCTCAGCTCGCCATCATCCAAGCAGGCGCACGCCCCGACTCGAGCGTCTATGTCCGCATGAAGCAGAAGGCCACTGAGGAGGTCGGTATAACCTACAAGCACATCAACCTCCCGGCGGAGGCCCAGGTCGACGAGATCATTAGCGTCGTCAAGAAGCTTAACGACGACGAGTCGGTCAGTGGGATTCTCGTCCAGTTGCCTTTGGGCGATCATATCGGCCCTGAGGGCGAACGTACGGTCACTGAGGCTGTCAGCCCAGAGAAAGACGTGGATGGGTACGTCTGTTTTACATTCATGCGTCTGCTACTCGTGTCTTACTGTGAGGATTGGGGTCGGATTCGCTAGGTTCCACGCGTATAACATCGGCCATCTTTCCTCTCGCGCTTCTGTGCCCCTATTCACACCCTGCACCCCAGCCGGCGTCATTCGTCTCCTGGAGTCTACCGGAGTTCCCATCTCAGGTGCTCATGCTGTCGTTCTCGGTCGCAGCGACATCGTCGGCAGCCCTGTCGCGGCTATGCTTAGGAACAAGGACGCCACGGTCACTCAGTGCCACAGCCGTACCAAGAACTTGTCGGAGATCGTACGTTTCATTCATCAGTTCGCATCTGGGGAAGGCTCATCAGCTTTGTATAGGTTAAAACCGCGGATATCGTGGTCTCGGCTATTGGCAAGGCGGAATTCGTCCAAGGGTCCTGGTTGAAGCCTGGCGCCGTGGTCATCGACGTCGGCACAAACTATATCCCTGGTAAGCTCATCTGTATACCTCACTCTACAATACTGTCTCATCCATTACACAGATGCAACCAAGAAATCCGGCCAACGCCTCGTCGGCGATGTCGACTTCGCATCCGCTTCCAACGTCGCCTCGCACATAACACCCGTCCCAGGAGGCGTCGGCCCCATGACCGTCGCCCAACTCATGGAAAACACCCTCAAATCCGCGGAACGTCTCTGGGACCTCTCCCGCTCGCGCAAGGTCAAACCCCTCGCTCTCAACATCCTCGAGAACGTCCCCTCCGACATCGAGATCGCCATGGCGCAGACGCCCAAGCCCGTCACCCAGCTCGCTCAGGAGATGGGTCTCCTGCCCGATGAGCTCGAGAGCTATGGGAAGTATAAGGCCAAGGTCGAGCTTAGTGTGCTTGAACGGTTGAAGCACAGGAAGGATGGGAAGTATGTCGTTGTTGCGGGGATTACGCCGACGCCGCTTGGGGAGGGAAAGTCGACGACGACGATTGGGCTGGCGCAGGCACTTGGGGCGCATCTTGGGAGGCCGGCGTTTGCGTGTGTGAGGCAGCCGAGTCAGGGTCCTACGTTTGGGATTAAGGGTGGTGCGGCTGGTGGTGGATACAGTCAGGTTATTCCTATGGACGAGGTGAGGATGACTTTCTCTTCAAATGAGGTCAACTTGACTGACTTGTTAATGCAGTTTAACTTGCACTTGACTGGAGATATCCATGCTGTCACTGCCGCGAACAACTTGCTTGGTGAGTTTATAGACTTATTTTCGTGGAATGTTTTCCTAATGCCACACCTCAGCTGCTGCTCTTGATGCTCGCATGTTACACGAGGCAACTCAATCCAACAAGGTACGTCCGTCCATCGTCGAACGAGACCATAACGCTCAACCTTGTACTCCAGGCCTTGTACAGCCGTCTCGTGCCCACCAAGAAGGGCAAACGCGAGTTCGCTCCTCTCATGTTCAAACGCCTCCAGAAGCTCGGAATCACCAAGACCGACCCTAACTCCCTCACTCCGGAAGAAATCACCCGTTTCGCCCGCCTCGACGTCGACCCGGCCACCATCACCTGGAACCGCGTCCTCGACACGAACGACCGCCACCTGCGGAAAATCACCATCGGCCAGAACCCGACCGAACAGGGCCACGAGCGCGTCACCGGATTCGACATCGCCGTCGCGAGCGAGTGCATGGCCGTGCTCGCGCTGACGACGAGTTTATCGGATATGAGGGAGAAATTGGGCGCGATGGTCGTTGCGACGAGTAAGGGCGGAGACCCGGTCACGGCGGATGATATCGGGGTCGGAGGTGCGCTGGCGGTGTTGATGAAGGATACGGTGAAGCCGAACTTGATGCAGACGTTGGAGGGCACGCCGGTGTTCGTCCATGCTGGGCCGTTCGCGAACATCGCGCACGGGAATTCGTCGATCCTCGCGGATCGGGTGGCGTTGAAGCTCGCGGGCACGGAGGAGGGCGACTCGGACGACCGTGTTGGGTATGTGTTGACTGAGGGCGGATTCGGCGCGGATATGGGCATGGAGAAGTTCTGCAATATTAAGTGTAGGGTTTCGGGGCTCACGCCGGACGCGGTCGTGATTGTGGCGACGACGAGGGCGTTGAAGATGCATGGGGGTGGACCGGAGGTGACGCCTGGGAAGCCGTTGGCGGATACGTACACCAAGGAGGATTTGGTCACGTTGAAAGAGGGGACGAAGAACCTGGTCAAGCATATTCAGAACTCGAAGAAGTTCGGGTTGAAGGTCGTCGTCGCCATCAACCAGTTCTCGTACGTCTTGTCTCTTTCACACCGCCTTCGCTCACTGTGGACTAATATACCTCAAAATGCAGGACCGACTCTGCCGCGGAGCTCGAGCTCATCCGTGAGCAGGCCTTGTCTGGAGGTGCTGACGCCGCTGTGGTCAGCAACCACTGGGCCGAGGGTGGTGCCGGGGCCGTTGAGCTCGCCAAGGCTCTCGTTTCCACCTGCGAGGGCGAGTCAAGCTTCAAGTTCCTTTACGACCTCGACATCTCCATCGAGGACAAGATCACCACTATTGTGAAGGAGATCTATGGCGGCGATGGGATCGAGCTCAGTGACCTCGCCAAGCAGCAGATCGACACTTACACCCGCCAGGGATACGGGAACCTTCCCAGTAATAATAAACTCTTACTCTAGGTGGAACAGCGATACTGACTGATGAAACTTTTTCCACCACAGTTTGCATGGCGAAGACGCAGTATTCGTTCTCGCATGACCCGAAGCTCAAGAATGTCCCCACGGGCTTCACGGTGCCCATTCGTTCTGTGAGACTTTCCGCAGGAGCTGGATTCCTGTACCCTCTCCTCGGAGACATGCAGACCATGCCAGGACTTGGAACACGCCCAGGTCAGCATTTCTTCCTCTCACCTCTACACCTACGACACTGACATTAATATCTATACTCACAGGCTTCTGGGAGGTCGGCCTCGACCCCGAGACTGGTCGTGTCGTTGGCTTGTTCTAAGCGCCTCCTTCCTACGCGTCGAAAGAGTTGAAAAACCCGAAAATAGACCATCAAACACTCGAATACGCCGAGGTGTATCTTCACCAGATAGCTTCTGCCGCTGCTAGGGCTTGAAGGGATTCCAAGAAGCACACCCGTCTCAACACGGACTGCTGTATAACCGTTTCAACAACGGGTGACGGTCGCCGTATTTAACATACGATGGCACGCCCGGGAGTGTTGTTGTTGTTGTGGCGTGCGTGTCGGTGGACGTGGACGTGGGCGGGAGTGTGGTATTGTTGTTCTCCCGATGGGGATGGTTATATATCGAGTCAACCTCGAATGTGTTGCATCTTTATGTGTCGTGTGCATCCAATTCTTGGTTATGATGATGCTGCAGCAGAAATAAAAGTCTCATTGCTATTCTCTTTTCCAAGATCCTACACCAGCAGCCTCGTGCATCGTGTCTACTAATCATGCGCCTCCGTTCTGAGCTAAATGTCCCGGACGACGCACCACCCCAGTATTCCCAACATCGTTCGTCAACTGCTGAACATTAGATCCCAGCGGCGCGAGGCTACCACCCTGGTGATCAGAGACGATCACGTTCGACGACGCACTGACTTCGCGGTCATAAGTGTTGCCCGCGGTATCGGTATATGTGAGCGTATTCTCGCTCGTGCCGTTGGCACCGCTGTTACCTGTCGAAGCGGTGTGGAAGAATCCGCCCGCGAGCTGGTTCTCTGTGATGGTCGAGCCGAGGATGAAAGGTGCGGGGAGGATCGTGCGGTCGTAGGAGTGGTTGAATGTGGCCGTGTACTTTTTTTTTTTTTTTTTTTTTCTTTTGTTAGAGGGTGTTGATAATATTATGCCAGGGAGAGTAGGGACTTACAGTTGCTCCCGTCAGGGGTCAGTTCGGTGAAGTTGATGAAGAGCGGGAATGAGAAGGAGTCCTGCATCACTTGTACGCCGTTATGGGTGGACGAGACTTGACCCGACGATGTTTGCGTTACGAGCTGCATACCGTGCGTGCCAGTATTAGTGACATGGTATGCCATTCGAGGGAGGAAGAGGTCGCGCCCACCTGAATAGTCGCATTATCGATATACTGCTGCAGATTCGAATACTGCAACTCCTGGCTGAACACCACGTCCGTCACCGTCCCATTCCCACTCACAATCGTCGACTCGATCCGCACGCTCCTCGTCGCCGTAACCGTCACGTTCAAATTCTCCCCCACGAAACTCCCCGTCGTCGTCGAATCCGCGAAGTCCTCCACTTCGTGGACCGTTATGTTTCCCGTCGTCGGGGCGGACGAAGAATCGAGTTGGACTTGTAAGAGGCCGGAGACGAACCAGTTTTGGTTGATGGTGTGGTCGGATTCGGCGGAGGCGACGTCGAGGGTTATGTTGTGGGGTGAACCGTCGGTGAGGATGGGAATGAAGGGAGTGAGGTCGAGGAAGTAGGTCGGTAGGTCGATGGCACCGTAGGAGGTGATAGGTCTGTAGGAGAGGACGAGGGTGAGGTTTCGTCTATATTGGGACGGCCAGGCAGTACTGACCTCCACGCTGTTGGGACAATACCTCCCGTGAAGATGACGGCGTATGGAAAGACAGCCCCTGCTACCATACCATCCACAAGAAGACGGACTTCACGGAATGGACCTTGGCCTATGGTCGTTCCCGGAGGAAGGTCGTCGGCAAACTCGTTCGCTATGTTGAAGTACCAGAATTCTTCATTGCCGTTCCTATGGAAATTTCCATGAGTAACGCCTAGTAAAACAAAGACGTATAAGACGGAAGGCCTTAGACCTACCCTGATGCGAAGAGCTCAGCATAGGCTGTGACCGCATTTTGTGGCAATGTTACATTGAGCTGGTGTGCATAGATCAATTCGAGTTATAAGAGGAACGAGTCATCCATGATCACTTACAGAAAACCCAGGAGGCACTGAGGCATCGTCGCCTGTAGTGTTCAATAATGTGGATAGGGGGACGATCAGGTCTGCACGAGGAGCAGGCGGATTCTCTGTAGACGAAGCGAAGAAAGTCGCCTCGACGGTAGCTATGTTATTTCGGAGTGAATTCGGTATGTTTCGTGAGCAACGTCTATGCGCTTCAGATAGAGGATTACTGACCTGCGTATTGTCCGTCCAAGCCGGTCTCGAGCAGATTATCGAGCTGGAAAATGAAAGTCCCACTGTTCTCAAAGAGAGGGAGGAAGCGCGTCACATCCCTACGAAAACAAAATATCAGGTCTTACAACCTCTGTACCAGAAACCATACTATACGAGACATACTCACTTGCGATACGTCCAGATGATTCCATCCCCAGAGGTAGGCTCCGGAGTCGACGTGCGCCAGACTGCGTCGTATGAATATACTTGTCACATTTTCTGTTGCACGAACAAGAAAATGCGTGCACGTACTCTCGACGTTCTGGAATGTAAATATACCCAATCGGTCGAATTGAGTTCCGTTGGAGGTAACCGTGAGATTGAGGGAGATCCCTGCCCAAGAGCCAACTGGGCCACAATCCGTGGGCGGTCTATAGTGCCACATACATATCAACGTCTGGAACTCGGAAATTGTTCGGAGCGTACGTACGTGAGCTGAACTATCTCTGGACTGCCAATGTCGTTAGAATACGCTTGAGGCCAGACCGATTCCGAGAGCAAACCAACAGAGAACAACACGCACTCTCCAAACGAGTTTCCAAAGGTGCGTCTGCCGCACGAGAAACATTATCAGCGATGGCCCTTTTCTCTTCCCGTGAACAGCATGGCACGCACTGCAAGATTGGTACCGTGCACGTCTGAGCATCCTGAGGCAAAGGCGGGGGTTGAGCGACCTGAAAATCCACGAGCGCAGCTCCCTTGACTGTTGTCACCACGAAAAGCGACGCTACAACAACCGTCACTAGCCAAAGCCTGCAAAGCTCTGGAAATCCCATGACGAATTGGTCTCAAGAACCGACAGAGAAGAGTCAAGGAAACTCAACGACGACCTCGCAGTGGGGAAGAGGACGATGACGGAGAGTGGGAAACCTATAACCGATGCACCCAGGGGTTTTATATGCACATCGTCAAAGCAGCATGAGAACCCAACTTGGCTGGAAATCTATCGTTTCTGGAAACAGGCCGATGAGAAGAACGGGCCAATTGCAAACGCTGATGCATGGACTGCATCCGTGCGAGAAGGAGGATCCGCATTGGGTGTACACATGTGGTACGAACCGTATACGATCTTCAGGGCAAGGTTCTGTGTAAGAATAATCAGAATCAAGGAAAATAATAGATAGTTTCTGTGAGCTGGATATACATCTGGTGTTGAAATATGATGAACAGGTGGACACAGATGTTCAGGTTTGTCACTGGGAATCATTTCCTAGTGGATGGGCGGCGAGGTCAAATTTGAACTGAACACGATTCGGGGCAAATCATTGTGCCACACGAGAGGGATGATATTAGACAAATCGTTCAGTACGAATCTATGCATGGATCAGGGCAAAAAAACTAGGTGTACAAATGAGAATGTCCATGTCAACCAAATATCAGACATTTAAACGAGAACCTGAGAAGAAAAAATCGCAGGACCACACCAGACAAATCCCCGGTGCAACACGTTCGGAAGCCCACCACACTCTGGACTCGAAACTCGAACCTACACGTCCGGGACGGGCTCTTCCACGACCTTCGTCGGCGTGAGCTGGATGGTCCGCGTCGCCACCCGCTGCGACTGCTCTTCGGAGTGTGTGATCCAGATGATGGCCTTGAGGTTCGTTTCCGGATTATGGATTCCATTGACGAGCGTCTTCTCCACGAGCTCGGACGTCGTCGCGTCGAGCGCTGAGGTAGGCTCTAAAAGGCAGGATAGTGTCAGTATATTTATAGCGACCGGCATAATGAATGGAATAGAATCAAGTGCACAAGGGGATAACAACTCAAATAAGAAAAAGTTGAAAGTATTGCATCAGCACTCACCATCAAGCAACAACACCTCCGCCGTATTCAGCCCAAACGCAATAGCAAGCGCAATCCTCTGCGACTCCCCACCACTCAACGTATTCCAAGCTCTATCCCACAGCTCATCGTCGATTCCCCATGATCTCGCCACATCCCAGACATTGTGATAGTCCTCGAGTCCGACCGCCTTGTCTGCTTTGCGGCGGGATCGGAAGGTGTTGAGCGTGTCGAGGAAGTCGCGGGGCGTCTTTGGGAGGAGGGAGGGGCGCTGGGGGACGTATTGGATGTGGGTGCGGTAGGTCGGGACGCCTGGAAGTTATTATGATTATGGGAGAGTGACAAGGTGCAGGTCAGTGTACGAGTTATGTGTCGCGAGAGTTGCTCAGGGAGAAGAAGACATACCATAAGCCATCGGCGTCCTTCATGGCCATTACAAACACGAGGACGAATGCGTTCGTAAACACTTCACATACGGTCGTACAATCTATAAAAGCACTCACTTTCCCCTATACTTAATCGACCCCTCGTACATATTCAGATGCGCCAGACACTTCAACAAAGTCGTCTTCCTTCACAGAACTTTCCTCATCAGCATCCATCATGGACAACCCCCCGACCACACAGATGTACGGCCGAAGTCGAAATGAATGCGAACGTACCCTACACCACTCCTCGCTCTCAAAGCCACCACATCGCCCTCATAAACCGTAAAGCTCGCCCCCTCAAAGATATTCTCGCTCGGCAGATCCGGGCGTGCACACGAAACGCCCTCGACGACGAGGACGGGCGTCCGCTCATCCATGGACATGGTGGACGTGTTGGCGAGCGTGCTGGTCTCGGAGCTCAAAGGTGCGTGTTTCTGATCGTCTGACTTGGAGGTCGTGGTCGTGGTCGCGGTCGTGGGCGTCATGCGTGCTGCTTGCGCCGGGCGCGTTGTATACGTACTTGGGCTAAGTTAGGAGCTGGGGACGAAGCAGATAGGCTCGGAGGCAACTTCAAGGAGTCGAAGGGACGGAAGTTGCATTCCGAAAACACGAACGTTTGTATTCTTCAGGGTGATCTGTGGTCCACGATCGCAAACATTACGCAGATACGAAGCCTCACAAAGGCCTCTAGCCGAGAATAAACGATGACCATCGTGTGCGTATTATAGGCGCAAGGCAGAGCATATCGGACGAGTTGGGAGTGAAAATGCGTGACGGTGGACAGCAAGCAAGTATGATATGTAATGGGTTGAAGAGAGGAATGAATGAGTGCGAGGGAGTTGAAGTACTGGAGTCCGACCAAAATATACACAGCGACATGGACATGCGGACGTTTCTAGACTAGATAATGGCATAACTAGCAGGGCATGCAGCGTCGTCAAGTAAGTATTTTTCATGGGTACCCTGGCGGAGGGGGCATTCCCATCTCCTCCGGTGTCAAGGTCGTGCTCTCGATCGACACACCCACACCCACCTTCGCAGCGTTCTACAGCGCCATCACCAATAAAAAGGAGTCAATCATCAATTCTACAATGATAACAAGGCTCAAAAAAAGCGTACCTTGAAGTGATCAATCTCACCCGCAACGGTGAAAGTGAACGTCGGCGCGAACCTCTGTTCCAACAACGCCGAGACCTTCCCCGTCGAATCCACCTGGGCCCTAAACGTCGACATCCTCAAATCATACTTTGCCCCCAACGTCGCAATCGCGTCTCTCCTCGCCGGCGCCGCGATCACCTGCAACTCCGCCGCCGCGTCCACCTTCTCGCTCAACTTATGCCAATACGTGGCGAGCATCATCCCCGCGGGCTGCACCGTCGCCGTCGCGATCCAGTCCTTGTCCGTTCCGGTGAGTTTGGCGACGTATTGGGTCGTGAAGTCGGTCTGTTGGGGCGCTTGGCGTTGGTAGATTGTTTCGAAACCGAGGGCGAGGTTTTTGCTGATGGATTGGAGGTAGGAGCCGACATAGATCCCGTTGAGGTCGAGGGGGGAGGGGTTGATCGCTTTTACGTTCATGTTGAAGTCTTGGCCTCCGTAGTCCTGCTCGAGCTGGATCATGTTCTGGCCTGCTTGACCGGAGAACTAGCAAGACAAAGGACATTTTTTGAGTTGGGCTTTAGTTGGCGATGTATTCTGTGGGAGATGAGGACAGACACGAGCGACGTACCTGGGCCTGAATTTTTGAGACATTTGTAGGTGACCAGCCCTGGTTCAACCGTGCGTTGACAGCACCTTCGTGGTCAACGTGGCCCGTCAACAATGTCTATATCCACCAACACCACCAGCCAAAGAAGAAGAACACGTTCCGTCAGCTTCAAAAACCCATCATAGCGCGCGAGAAAGAGACACGTACGTTAGCATTGGCGAAGATAGCCCCAAAATTATACATCGACGGCGACGTCTGCGACGCCAATGAGAACGAATGTGTCACTTGGAACACAGGCTCCATCGACAGTCCCTTCGTCAGGTCCGCTCGCGCGCCATCGAAGAAGAAGTTCGTCAGGTGCGTGTCTGTCAATGTTTCGCAGTATCAAGTTCGTCAGCATCCTCTATCCATCATATCCATCACGGAGCACAAGGGAACGAGTTGAGAATAAAGGACACGCACTTTTGACCTCCTTCTGCAGGTTCTCCACCGAGCCAGGATTGGACAACCCAAGCGCCGCTCTCCACCCCGAGAAACGATTATACGCATTCGAGAGGGGCGACAAAAACGTCGGTTTGCTCGACGATGACGAGGCCAAAGCTGACGAAGACGAGGGTGTGGAGACGGGATATGACGGGTATGAAGGTGGTAACTTTTCTGAGGAGGGGATGGCGGTGGCCATGGTGGGCGGTGAGCGCAGTGTCTGCTCTGCCAGTGGGACGCGTCGCTGAGGTCACGACGTTTCCCGTGCGGAAAATGTTGCCGCGCGCACAAATAACCACAAATCCCTTCCGTCCTCGTCCGGCCCCAACGAACCTCGCGCCACCCGGGCCACACGTTGTCCTGCCCTCATTCCTCTCATTTTATGCTATTGGGGTTCTGCCCGTATGTATCGTTGTATAGCCTCAGGCCAATCGGAAGGTCGTGTGTTATCCTATTCACACCTCATGTCACATCCCACGAATATTTTTACACCGAGCAAATATATAAAAATCGTAAAGGGACCGTAGCCGGCAGCGTGTCTTTTCTGTCTAATCGTCAAGGTGTCGTAAGTGTTCAGCGGGGGGTTAAGAAAGTAGTGGGAGATCGGTGTCGCAGGATACAAGACGATATAATAAAACAGAGTACTGCACAAGGGGGAGTAAAGGAGCCAAAGAACGGAGAGAGTCCATCAAACAAACAAAGAAGAAAAAACGCAAAAGTTTACATACCCGAAACTCGCTCGCTGGCTCAAACTTGTGGCAACGAGGGATGACCGCTCCGAAATAGGCGGCATACAAAAAAGGGGAATGGGGGAGAGATGCACAGAACCGTAACAGGGAAAAAAATATAGGTCGGAAGGGGAACAAATTTGGTCGTCGGTGAATAGATAAAGCAGAACAGGAGGAAAGAAGAGCGAGAAATACAACCCCGGCGCCTACACCCTAGTCGTCATCAACTTCCATCGAACCATCCGAGCCGCATCTTTACCATTCACCAGGCCACCAGCCACGTTCCATGGCGGCACCGGGTCTGTACGCCGCAGGGGGAGCAGGGGGAGGGGGAGCCTTCCTGACTCTCCTCCGCCTGGGCTCCTCCACGTATTCCTCCTCGAAGACGTCATCTTCGACTGTGACCGGCACTTCCTCGACGACTTCCTCTTGTGTCTCCACGAGCACTTCAATAGAAGTGGTACGAGGGAGAGTAGAGGTGGAGGACGTGGTGTACGGAGAGGGTGTGGGAGAGGCGGCACGGCGTGTGTTGGCTGGAGGAGGAGCGACGGTGGAAACGGGAGGAACGGGGGTTTCTATTTGGATGTGGGTCTGGGTCTGGGTTACGGTGCGGACTTGGACGGCGGTTTCGGTCAAGACGATGGGCGGAAGAGGGATTTCCTATAAACGAAAACAGAAAGAGCAGGTCAGTAAATTATATTCGAGATAAGATTGTGGAGGGGACTGTGATCTGAGCACCGGCCTGCGCCGTGGTGTATTGATCGAAGGAGGTATGCATGCTGCCACAGTGCCACAGATGAGATGAATCTGGAACGGCTAAAGCATGGGGGAAGGACGGCATATCACGTGTGAAGACGCGACGCGAATGTTGAGATCCGTCGATCACTCAGTTGATTTCCCCCACAAACACGACGCGACGCGACGCGACACGGATAAGATAAAGAAACACAACACGAAGCAGACCAGTGCTCAGATCACAGGACGGGGGGACGAGGGGGACAAGAGAGGAAGGAGGAAAAACCGTTGTCCCCCAAGCCCGGACGAAGGAGGGTGGGGATGTGTGGGGGGTGAGGATGGACGACAATAGGACGCTAACTGACTGAAACTTGAAGTGAGATAGAGAGGTAGAGATCAAGAAAGTGTATATGAATGTGTCGTGTGGTCGGAAACCTCCTTCGTCTCAGAGCTCGGAACGGCGTTGGAGGGGTGGCGGTACCTTGTTGGGGACGACTCTGCGCTTCGGGCTTGCGGGTTGTTCGTAGATGTACTCTTCTTCGACCTCTGCTTCGTTGCCAAGAGCACTGTAGAGACGAAACCGAGGTAAGCGCGCGTTCTATACCTATATAGTAAGAAAAGTACTACTTACGCAAGTCGCTCCATGATCCACGCTTCACGGCGAGAAGCATCATGCTCCCTGCGGTTGACAGTCTCCTCACGACGACTGATCTCGCGCTCGCGCTCGGCGATCTTGAGCTCACGAGCAAGGATATCCTCGAAGCGAGTGTTGCTCTCTTTCCACCATCCCGGAGGCGTCATAGCGCCTTCCTCTTTGACGACCTCCTTGACCACCGTCTGGATCGGCATGGGCTCATAGGTAGCCTGGGCAATGACAGGGCATGCAGGGCAGGGAGGAGGGGCGGGAGGGATGACACCTCCGGGAGCACCGGCGAGCAGTTCTGCCTCACGGCGAGCGACCTCTGCTTCGCGAAGAGCGACGTCCCTCTCGCGGGTGATGAGAGCCTGGGAGCGTTTGGGGCTCAGAAGACTGAGAACACCTTGGCTTGCGAGAGGGTCGGATGGGTTAGCACCGGGGGCAGTTTGGCTGGGAAGGGAGAGCATGACGGCGAGGACGGCGAGGATGAGGGAGAGGACGAGGAGAAGGGTGGTGGATGAGATCGTTCTATGGTGGTGATGAGTCGACCTCGAGGAGCGATGGGTCGAGTCGTGCTCGCGATCACGATGGGAAGACGAAGGTTGAGCCATCCTGACGCTTATCGAGTTCGAGGGCGACAAGGATGTGGTCTGGCGGGTGCGCAGGGTGGAAGCAATTGTGGGTGCAATGGTGAAAATGTGGACGGGGATCAAAAACTAATGTCACAGAAACAAATCAAGGAAGATACAGAGGAGAAGAGACGCTGAGAAGACGGTAGATGAGAGAAATCGTGAGGGAAGATGGAGGTAAGAGGAAGAAAAGCAACCTCACTGTTCGTTTTCTCCTCTTCTGGACATTATTTGGATTACCAAATAGTGTACAAACAAGTCGTGTTTGCCTCGTGTATCAAAAATTCCAAGATGGTTATCGGCGCGATTTCCAGAAGAAAAGACAAAAGGCCGGAAGAACACGGGACCAGATTCGACAAAGATGGAAGCATTCGGCGCCGATGCCGGCAAATGCCTCCGTGAGGCGCTCCTCGTGACCACAACGCGTTGGGCCGCGCGCGTCCAGCTCACGGTCAACCACCACCATGAGTCTCCGCAGAGTCGCTCAGGCTAACCATGCAATAGCATCCCCCAGGTCTTCATTGTCTTCGTCGTCAGCCTCTCAATCCACAATGACCTCGCCCACAACCCCAGACAAAGAGAAAATATTTCCTGTCACCCCCAGGCAGCCGCGCACCTCACACCACCAGATCATCCGTTCTCCTCTCCTTTCGCCGTCATTATCCGAGGTCAGACCTTTCGACTGGGAGGCAGCGAAATCAAATCGACCGCCGCCATATGCATCACCACTCAAGGCCAAGTCGCGAAGACAGAGCGCGGTCCCGAATGGTGCCTTGGGTTCACCTACGAAAGGTCCAGGGAAGAGAGTAGTCAGGAAGAAGAGCCTCTATGAAAAGTGCGTGCATACCCTCTTCTTGACCCCATGCAGTAGTTAATGTAATCTGTAGGATGACGTCCCTACCATCTCGTGTCTTGTTCGAACTCTCCCTCCTCCCTCAGAGCATTCCATGGCCAAACGCCAAAAACTCAGCCCGCATGATCGGAGGGTCCCTGCACTTCCTCCACTTCATTATCCGCGTCTCCCAAATCCGCAACGTCCCAGACTCGGACATCGGTTGGGAAGACATGTATCACGAAGACACCGGCTCTTCCTGGTTCGACTGGGTCCGTCATCCTCCCTCCTCTCGTCTAGCCCTAACTTCTAAGCCTCTTGTCCACAGACCGTCCCAATGACTCTCCTACTACTAGTTATCACGATCCTGAACGCCCTCTCCCTCTTCTACCACACCAAACTCTACCACCTCCACTCCCAATCCGCACCCGTAAACTCCCCCAACGCCCGCTTCGTATCCACCCCCGCCCCCAACAGCACCTCTTTCCCCATGCGTCTCCGCACGCACCTCATCTCCGCCTTCTTCGCATTCTGGCGCTTCCTTCTCGGGATCGACGGGAAAAGGATGCTTGAAGATGGGGCAGGAGGAGGTAAGGGGAGGGTACAGGAACTGGAGGTGTGGACGCCGGAGGAGGGCGAGATGACGTTTTTCTGTGTGTATTCGCCTTTGCACGCGATGTTGTGGATGGTGTGGAACTCGGGGAACTGGATCTTGGTGTTTTTATTGATGGGGGCGTTGACGACGACGGTGAGTTCCTTATTCACGCACGAGATATCTGGGGTGTTTGGCTGAATTGATGTGCTATTTCTTTTCGTTATGGTCAGATGAGGTCGTTGACACAGGCGTATGAGGGCTTGTTGAAGGATAAAGCGATCATCGCTGCTGAGGTTATGCATGAGTACGACTCGAAGGTACGTCTTTGCCTTGCGCCACAACATCCACGTCTCTGCCTTCGCGCCACAATATCTACCTCCTAACCTATCCTCACTACATCTCATCTCCTCGTTTCCTTACTCATGGCTAACATCATATTCATCGTGAACAGTTCGTCAACCCACGCGTGAACCCGATACGGAGCGACGCATGCGTCCAGACACATCAGAGCGAGATGGTCAACCCGTTCGAGGACGACTGATTGAGTATCACAGTCGCTGCATCATTAACAATGCGCTGCGTTGTTCGATGTATCGTTCGTGCTGTGTCTGACTGTCGGCGTGTATCCGTCGTGGTCGAACTGCTGCTGCTTCTGTTGTTTTTTCTTTTCTTTTCACCCGATTTTCTCCGTTTTACTTGAGGAGCCGTTGCCGTCATCCAGTGATATCCACACATTTCTACTTCCATATTTCCATTCATCCACTCATGGACGCATCCAGGGATCTTTCTCTCTTCGTAGCACTTCATTTTACTTCACTTCACGTCACGTCGCAATCCATGGCCCCCGCCCCCGGGTCCCTTGCTGTCTCCCGCCAGAGCATTCACAGTTACATACAATGGAAAGTCTGCTGCACTCATTCGTCTCAAATTCAAAAATACATTTTGTTTGCTCCAAGATCCGCCCAGCAATGACGATCGTAGAACTACGTCCCGAAAAGAGCAAGCCCAACAAGCGGGATATCTAATAGCGTGTCGACCAATTGAATGATACATGTACAGAGTATACAACATTGACTTGAATTGGCATCACAGAAAAAGGCTAACGGTCACAGTCATGCCTTCTCCTGCTGATAAAACTTCGTCAGGTCCAGCACGTCGTCTTTGCTGCCGAGGAAGACGGAACAGCGTTCGTGGATGTCTTTAGGCTGGATATCCAAGATGCGCTTCGTCCCCGTCGTCGCCAATCCGCCCGCCTATAAACACACATACACACAATCAGCACACCCTCTAGCACACTGATCTTCCCCGACAAAATAAAATGGCGTAAGACTCACCTGCTCCGTCAAAAACGCCATCGGAAACGCCTCATAAAGCAACCTCAACTTCCCACTCTTACTCTTCTTATCATCCGGATACCCAAAGATACCGCCATACAACAACGTCCGATGCACATCCGCCACCATACTCCCGATATACCTTGCCGAATACGGACTCTTGCCCGGCGTGGTCGGGAACTTGATCGAGTTCAGGTAGTTCGTCACGGGCGGGTGGAAGTACATCGCGTTGCCCTCGTTGAAGGAATAGATCTTGCCCCGGGAGGGGATCTTGATGTCTGGATGGGTGAGGATGAATTCGCCGAGGGCGGCGTCGAGGGTGTAGCCGTTGACGCCGTCGCCGGTTGTGAGGACTAGGTTGGCGGAGGAACCGTACCTGCGAGGATGGAGTTGGGAGGGGTGAGAAGGAAAGAGTTGGTTAGAATATGTGGGAGGTGGGATTGGTGGGTAGGGTGGGATGTGGGATGGACGTACATGGTGTAGCCTGCGGCGACCATCGTGCTCCCAGGCTGTAATACGTCCTCGATCGTCCCTTTCGACCCATCTTTCTGCACGAACAAAAAAACCAAGGCACATATCAACACACACATTCTCCACCCCAACTCAAAACACCCAATGGGAGCTCGACAAATTGATTGACGCCAAGAAAGAAAAAGAAAACTCACGATCTTGTAAATCCCAAAGATCGTCCCGATATTCACACCAGCGTCGATATTGCTGCTCCCGTCCAGTGGGTCAAACACGACGCAGTACTTCCCTTTGTATTTATCCTCGATGATCACCGCGTTTTCGAGTTCCTCAGAGACGAGCACTGCGGTCTTTCCGGAGGCGCGGAGGGCGTTGATCATGATATCGTTGGAGAGCACGTCGAGCTTCTTTTGCTCTTCGCCTTGGACGTTAGTGTCGCCTGCGAGCCCGACGCTACAGATGATAATGATATGCGATCATGGAGCGATGTCGATGAGTTGAGTGGCACGAATTGTGGTCGACGGCGACGGCGAGCGAAGAGAAACGCGGATCAGGGCAGATCATCGGAATAGGGGCTAAAGGCAAACGCACAGATTGATCAATCTCGCTTTCCGCACATTCGTCGCAATGAACTTGGATGTGAGCTGGATAGCGGTCAGGAGCAGCGTGAGGTCTCCGGTCGCCTGTGCGCCGAGACGATAGCCCTCTGTGAGGACATGGCTGTGAAGGAGATGGAAGGATGCTCGAGATCAGCACACGACTTGAATCGATGGCCTCACTGCGCCACGGACAACTAAGGAGTACGCACCGGGTGAGGGTGATGACATCGGTATCGGGCTGTCCTTCCTGGGCCATGATGAATAGAGAGGTGGATTGTGTTCAAGTGAGGAAGGTCGATTGAGAAAGAGACTGAGGAGTGCGAAGAAGAGTACGAGTTTAGGTAGTGATGGGAGAGAACAAGGGGAGATTCGGGATGTTGCGTCTGGAGATGGGCCTGTGATAAATACTCCAGTAGGACGTATGTGAGGACGTCGAGTGGGTTTATGACGGAGTGCTTGAGAACGACGGTATATCCGTGGCCCGCCTTGGAGCGGAATGCGGCTGCCCTCCACCACCCCCGGCGACGTACATCTCCGGCCCGCGTATAACATCCCCGCACCGCCAGCTGCCGTGTCCTCTGCTCTTGCTTGACGTTCACGAACACCGTGACCGGTATGCCGCTATGTCCATCGGTTTATGTGCTAAACGACCTCATCGTCGTGAGGAACTCATCACTTTCTTTGACTGGCGATGGTCTATGTGTCTTGGGCGACAAACACGCGGGATTTACACCATAAATCTCATGGTGTTGGGCACTGAAACAGGGATCATAGCTCGACTGGTCTAATAGGCTCTGCTAGTATCTTTCCTCTCCGATCTCACCCGCGGGCCTTGTTGTGGGCATATCTTCCACATGTGCCTCTGCTGAGTTCTCCGTCCCTCGTACGTGCCCTCGCTGCTCGAGTTTTATCCTCCGACAACACTCCCACTCGAACCCCCACCGCTCTCACTCGGCCTCACGCCGACCGAACTTCATACTAAGGTCTTCTACATCTTCGACCAATCCATCTTCTCCTCTTTGCTCGTGTCCATATTTAGTTGCTCCTCGCGTTTCGGACCGTACTTATTCACCCTGACCTTACGATACCGAGGATAATGTTAATCGTGGGTCTACTCGACCATGAACGCGGCCTCCCGTATGATCGTACTTAGTGTCTAAGGACAGGCTCTTCGGGACTCTACGGATCAGGACAGAAGTCTTCTCCCAATCACTTGTCAAATCGGTCTCAACCCAAGCCACTCGTCATAGTCCAGAAATAATCATCTAATAGTAGTAAGTAAGTCGTGAAAAATCATACACAGCACATCCCCAACACCTCAGGCCTCAGATCACCCCCTCGCCTCCTTCACCTCCACACTCGTCCCATCATCGGCCTCCACAGGCCCCTTCTCCAATTTCTTCTCATATGAGACATCATCAGCGACGACAACGTCCACACCACCCTGACTCTCCTCGTCCAGACTCTTCTCCCCGTTCTGTACCCCTTTCTCTTTCTCCTCTCTTCGGACGGACCACATCTCGAACCCGCGGACTACGAACACCCAGATGCACATCCCACACACGAAACCTATAACACCGAACAGGGAGAGCCAATCAGCCAATCAGCCAATCCCTACTCGCTCGCACACGTAATAACAAAAAGAACAAAAAAAAACGCACCCAAACTAGCCCTAAACCCTTTCTTATACTCCGGCGCCGTCGTGACCGGATACAAAAACTGCTGTATCAGCGTCGTCGTCACCGCCCCCAGCGAATTCATAAACGCGAGCGTCAACGCGCGCACTTGTGGGTCTTTCCCGCACATCAGGTTCGCCCAGGACATGACGATGGGCGAGAGGGGCCCGTCGAGGCCGGCGAAGAGGTAGGAGGTGATTTTGAGGCCGAGCGGGACGGACCAGATTACGAGGATTATGGTTCCGAAGAGGAGGCAGGACTGTGATGGGATGGAGGTGGGATTAGACTAGAGAGAGGAGGAGGGGGGAGGGGGAGGAGAGAGAGGGAAAGGAAAAGGACTGACTAGGAGGCCGACGATGACGCCCATGCGGTGGCCTGTGGCGTCGATGTAGGCAGAGGTGAGGAGCATGACGATGATGTTCCATCCAGAGATTGCGGTCGGGATGTTGTTGATCTGGTATACAGACCAGGTATGCTGCGTGTCGTCCTTCAGGAACATTTGCATCTACCCAGCAATAAAGCAGGCCATCAGCATTTTGATTCAAACAGGACGAACGAGAAGGAATGCATACCACCGTAGTCGAAACCTTCCCGACCGTCGTATTCCAGAACATCCACAAAACCGAAAATATCCAAAACTGCCAACTCCTCACCATCCTCCCAAATATCCCCCACCCAAACTCGCCCACCGGTTCCCGCCCCTCACTCCTCAACCTCTCCTTACACCTCTCCCTCTCCTCCTCGCTCAAATACCACGCCTTCGTCGTCTCCGGCGTGTCCGGGAAGAAGAAGTACCCGTATATGGCGACGACCATGGTCATCACGGATTCGATGATGAAGACCCAGCGCCAGGCGGCGAGGCCGCCGTGGCCGTCTAAGGAGGCTTGAATGGCGGATTGGAGGTAGCCGGAGATCATGGTGCCGATGTAGGCGGAGGTAAGGAAGATGGAGGTTCGTTTGCCTAGTTCAGTGCGGCGGTACCAAGAGCCTTTCGAGGTTCAATCAACGAGAGTCAGCATCGACGGATTCATTGGAGGGTAGAGAGAGAGAGAGCGCACCGAGGATGTATTGGATACCGACGAATGAGGAGCCTTCGAGGAAACCGACGAAGAAACGCAGAGGGTAGAGCTGCGCCCAACACCGACCATGGTCAGACGGGCACCAAACGAACAGAGATTGACCGAACTTGAACTTACTTGGTTCGCACTGGTCACTTTGTAGGTTACGAGTGTGAAAATCCCCCAGAGAAGCTCCAAACCGGGGAGCAGGATCCTCGGCGGAACCCAAGTTAGGAGTAGATTGCTCGGTATTCCTCCTAATATCGCTCCGACTTGGAAGCACGTCGTGGCGAGGGTGTATTCGTTCCCGACCATATTCAGGTCCTCCTTCATCCCGCTCACGTACGCGTTCGACAGGTTCGCTACACGAGACAGTTAACCGTCAGCCACGCGTTCGGTGCGACACGAACGAAGGTACGGCGGGAACGAATTGAACGGTGAACACGACGAGTGAAGAGGACGTACCCTGGTCCAACCATTTCGTGAAATACGACAAGCACCCGAACGTCAGGATGAAGAAATCGATCTTGAACAACAACTTCTTCTCGGACGCGCTCGTTCCAGGCTCATACCACCAGAAGAACTTCGGTCTGTTCTTCCCATACGTCGACGCGAACACGGAGGAAATGAGCGAGGCCATTCGTTACTTATCCTGCGTTCGACGTTGGACACGGTTGGAGATGTGCGGGGAAGTCCAAACTCATCGCAGCAGTTCATGCGAGGTGCATAAGTAGCAGTTCGTTCTGGTAGTACTTTAGGCGGACATGTCATGTTGGTATCAGTGCGCCTACGGCGTACCATTGACAGAACACCGAGACTTCACGAAAAAAACCAAAATCACGTTATCTACGTATCTTGCGGAGATGAGAAGGACCTTGAGGCCTGCGAACAATCAGGACTGTCCAATTTGTCTGCGATATCGGGCATGAGATTAGCGGTACGCACCGACTGGTGTCTGTGATTGGGTTATTGAATGTAAACTTCGAAAGATGGTCATGGGCGAGGGATCGCAAAGATATCCAGAACCGAGCGGACCAGATCCATCCATGTAGCAGGGTTTGCCCCTGTCTTATCATGGAAGGACCTCTGCCGCCGCCCAACGATGTTTAAGCTTCAAATCTCGACTGCATTGAAAGCTTGAAGGTATATGTTCTTGCTGCCCGACTCTTCACGGGCATTTCTTCATCATCTAACAGACACGCCCTAAACTCGACGATCTACAATGGCCACCATGACCGATACCGAAGAGGTGCGTCCTTTTGTCACTCGTACACATTGGCCCAACCTGTTCCTCATGGCTGACGAAAGTCACTCACCCATGACTACCTTCGAACACAGTTCGTCACCTTCCATGCAGGAGGTAAACCTGGAATGCGCAGGATCCTCCGTGGCGCCGAAGCCAAGCCCACGTTCTCGGCAATCCCAGTAATCGACTTCACGAACATCGACTCTCCATCGCTCGAGCTGCGTCAAGCACTCGCCAAGGAGTTGTACGACGCCTGCAGCCAGGTCGGGTTCTTCTACGCCAAGGGGCATGGGATATCGGAGGAGTTGTTTGGGGAGACGTTTCAGTGTCTGCGGAGATTCTTTCTAGAGTTAGATGAGGAGGTGAAGATGACTGCCCATTTGCATAAGAACCCTGCTATCAGGTGAGTGACTCCGAGATGCGGGAAGCTGCATTTATTAATAATATGATACTTCAGAGGGTACGAACCTATGGGTGAGACAAAGCTGGACCCTAAATCCAGAGGAGGTATGCCCATCTCTCCACTCCCCCTCGTCCTCCATCTGACGTCTTGAAGATGTGAAGGAGGCATTCTGCATGGGCGATGATGCTCTCGAGCCAGAGCAACACTATCCCTCAGATCTCCCCTTACCCGCGGGGATCAAACCACAGAACATATGGCCGGAGAACGTACCCTGGTTCCGCCAATCTCTGTACGAATACTACTCCGCCGTCATGCCCTTCTCCATGAAACTCGTCCGGCTGTTCGCACTGGCTCTGCACCAGGAATCTGAGGCCGCGTTCGACGGTATCTTCAAGTTCCCGATCACAGGTATGCGGGCATTGCACTACCCACCGCAGGGCAAAGTCGACGACGACGGCTACATCGGGCTCGGCGCCCACTCCGACTTTTCCTGTACGTCCTTCATGTTGCCATATCAATTGTCTTATTGGGTATTTTTCAAGAAAGGAAGGACACTGAACTCACTTTCCGTACAGGGTTGACTCTGGTCCTCCAAGACGACGTCCCAGCGCTCGAAGTCCTAAACGCAAACGGGCTCTGGATCTCCGCCCCGCCCATCCCCGGCGCCTTCGTCTGCAACGTCGGCCAATACCTCGAACGCCATTCGAACAGGCTTTTCCCCGCCACCGTCCACCGCGTGCGCAACATGACGGGCGAGAGGAGGTACTCGCTTCCTTTCTTCTTGACTCCCGACTCGGATGCGACGATCGAGCCGTTGGCGAGTTGTGTCGGGGATGAAGGCAAGAAGTTCGAGGCGATCAATGTCGGGGAGCTGTATGTGAGGAGGGTGTTGCCGGCGAGGCATAAACATCCTACGGCGATCAAATATAAAGATACGCCGGAGGAGGAGTTGGTCTATAGTATCATGTTTCAGTAGGGGTATCGTGTATGGGCGGAGGGAGGGAAGTTGTGTAGGAATATTGTAGGATGCGTCGGTGAACCTGCTGACTGTGTAGGTCTTTTGAACAAGGACCTGGCGAGTTGGAGACGCTGCGACCACTTAGCTGAGATTTTGTGCCACGAAAAATCAGGGTATTGACTTTCGTCACCGGAGTCCAAGAAATCCAGATATATAAATAGTGTGGTAGTACCTCTACTCCGTTCAAAGAACCTGCTAGGTGATACAAGAGTGTAACGGAAGTGTCATGATTATAGAATATCTCCTACGCAGGTAAAAACAAAGAACGTTAATGAGTAATGACGCGATGGCCTGAAAGACAGAGATTGTCATACCATGTTAAATGACGTGCCCTCACAAATGGCGAGCGATCCACTCAACGAGTCGCACCACTCCACTCACAACAATATAGCCGATCCTCGACTCCTCCGGGAAAAGATTAATCACCAACAACCCCTTCCTCGCCCACGCGTCCACCATCCTCATCCCCCACCCAAGCGTCCACACCATAGTCCAAACCCAACCCTTCCAACCTCTTACCTTCCCCATCCCCAACCCCTCCCAAATCCCCTCCAACACGATCCCCACGCCCATCATAATGAAGAACATCCCGACCGTACTAAACTCCGTCCCCTTCCCCAGTCCATACAGCCCCCAATCGTGCACGAGCGCAGAAACCGCGAAAGCACCGATCACCGCGCCCGGCTTGCCAAAAATCGCGGAAAGAGGCCTAGAGCCGACGGCGACGAAGATCTGACGGAAGAACCGATGATATCTCTTTCCCCAGAATTCGGAGATACTGGTCGATAACCAGGGACGATTCGAGGGGGGTGGCCATTGGGATGTCGATTGTCCGAGGAAAAGACACGACGGGACGGCGGCGGCAAGGTATCCGGTGTCTACGGCGGTGTAGGAAAGGACTCCGACCAGTAACGTGATGAGGACTGCGCGTGCGTAACGAGTGAGAGGAGGGAGAGAGGTGTCGAATATGGTATCTCCGTCTGGGCTATTGATTCCCGGACAGAGATAGACGGCGGAAAAGTACGCGATGTCGCAGAGGGAGGCTTTGAGGAGGAGGGTGAGCGTGAGCCGTGTCAAGGAGCGAGGGGGAACTTCGGGGAAGGGATTGCGTGCCCATGACCAGCCGATGCCGCGATGATTGTTGGTGAGTGCGATGGTGTCTTTGAGTAGTTGGAGAGGGTTTAGTGGTGCGTCGTCGGTAGGTTCGGAGGAGGCTTCCTTGGAGTGCAGTCGTCGGTAGGGTTTTGTGGCGAATGCCCATTCGATTGATCGCAAACAAAGCTGCATTATCCCGCTCTATCAAAAAAGTATGAGAAAATTCCCTCATAAAGGCGTAATTTCATGTAAGAACTCACCACGAGTGCAAAGTTCAACCCCTGGATCTGCCAGTGGTCTTCCCAGCCCAGCAGCATTGCTATCCTCAGCGCCAAATCATACCTCGTCGCAGCATGCCATCCGGACCAAATCGCAAACGGAAGCAAGGATAGTCTGAATATCAACGTCCGTGGAAGCTGTACAAGCAAAGCAAGAACATAGTAGCATGCGAGCAACGGTGCGACCCCAGAGAAGGTTATGGGTTCACGAAGAGCTGGATCTGGTAAGGGCAAAAAGGACCAAGTCGGAGTTTTCATGACAGGTAGTTTGTTTTGAGACCGGTCGCACTACACCTATACTACAAACCACAGACTGAGAGAACACTGTAGTTCCTGCAAGGAGGGTCGAACTGAACAAATTGAGCGCAGCGTTCTCCATCAACAGAACATACATGCTTGGCAGTTGCGGATCAAATTGGAGTGGAGGTACCGCCCGACGTTTTTACCTCCGCCAAGCGCCCATACTATGGTCCCGCGAAGCTGCAGCCGGTAGGCTGGTCCCAAAATTCGTGCGCGATGCACTTGTCGAAATCTCGAGTCAAAACGAGGAGAGGATTATTCCTCTTCAAGCACTACTGATACATATCCCAACTCGCGCTCCAGATCCAAGCAACATTACAGTGACAGTCGTATCACTTCGTACAAACCTATCGGACCTACTATTTCGCTTCTCTGAACTACTCGCCCTCGTCTCGTCTGCTCTCGGTCGCACTGACCGCAGGGGGCGTCATCGCAGACTGATTAACCTGCGGGGGCCCAGCACTCCCACCAGCACTCCCACCCTTCCCCTTCCTCGCCCGCAATGGTATCGGAAACGCATCGCTATCATCCCCATCGTCGTCCCACATCCCCAAGGCATACCCAACCGTCGTACCCCCCTTCCCTCCAACGCCCGTACTCTCTCCACCTTCCCCACCCGTCCGACCCGTACCCGCTCCTGCGGCATCATCAATCGCCGCCTCAGCCCCCGCCGCATTTCCACTCGCCCCATTCGACCCATCCGGAGCCCCACCCACCGAGCGCGAACGCGCCCTCACAGCAGCCTCCTCCACATCCTCTTCCAACTCATCTATCTCCTCTTCATCCTCTTCCTCGTCTTCATCTTCGACCCTCGCCCCTGCTCCTCCTGCTCCTGCTCTTCCGCCAGCAGCCGCAGTGGCGGCTTTACCTCCCTGCCTCGCCCTCGCCGCCAACGCCGCCAACATATCCGCCTTCATATTCCCCAACCTCCTACTCCTAACCTCCGCCGCCTCACTACTAACACTAACACCACCACCACCACCACTCCCGCTCGCTCCTGCCCCAGAGCCAATATTACCAGGTTCAGCTTCGACGCCACCGACGCCGATCAGGTCGCCTAGTTCCAGAACGGAGTTGAGGTCCCCTTTCTGTGCGCGTTGGAGGAGGTCGGAGATCACGCGGACGGATTCTTCGAGTTCTTGGTCTTCGTCGTCGGAGGTTGGGTGTGCGTCTTTGCCGCGTTTGCGTTTCTTTGCTTTGAAGTCGTATTTGCTGTATGATACCATATCACCCAAGAATATAAAAGAACATCAACGGTCTGCGAAAGGACAAAGGAGAGAAGGGTGGGAGGTCGAAGAGAAATGAGCACGTACATGTTGGGATCCGGCTCCCATGTAGGATCGTGCGTGCGCATATGTGCCGTCAGCGTCGTTCGCCGCGTGAACGTCTTCTCGCAGAGCGGATCCTCGCACTTGTAAGGCCTCTTCCCCGTGTGCGTTCTTCGATGTCGAGCGAGTGAGCTAGAGTCACTAAATGTCTTCGTACAGCCTGGGTATTCGCAGCAGTGTGGTTTCTCGCCGGTATGGACGCGCATGTGTACATGTAGGGCGGATCTCTGTTCATTGATGGAATATAAGATGCTAAGAGAGCAAAGAGTGAGGAGAAATAAGATGAACGCACCTGAATGAAAGTCTTTCCGCAATTCCCTTGCGAGCAGACGAAAGGTCGTTCGCCGGTATGTATCCTCTGATGTCGCAACAAGTCGCTCTTCCTCGTGAAGCTCTTCCCGCACTGATCGCACACATGAGGGTGTTTATCCTTGGTCTCTTCCGAACCACCGCTGTCCGCTTCCTTATCCTTCCGCTTCTGCTTCGCTTTATCCTTCTCCTTCCGTTTACTGTGGCCCTTGCTACGATTCGACGGTTGTGATGTGGACGCGTGCGGGGGTGAGGTCTCCTGGGCTGCGGGTGCGAGAGGATGTCGATCGCCTTGAATATGAGTCGTATGATGGGAAGAATAATGTGTCCCGCTCGTCTCTGTAACAACAAGGTGCGCCGACGCCGCACTCGCCACCACCACATCGTCGTGTGAAGCCGGTGGCGATGAACCCGTTAGATCTATCGTGTCCCTCCCTCGCACACCGACATCTTCGGGTAGGGCAAAGCCAGGGAGGTTGTTGAAGATATCCGAGATGTTATCGCTAAAATCCTGCGGTGGTGGTCCTATGATCTCTCCCAGCCCATCCCCCGGCGCATGTCCCTCTCTACTTCTCAATCTCTCTCGTTCCCGGTCCATCTCACCCTCCCCATCGCTCGGACTCAGCCTCCTCCTCTTCCGCCTTCCATGCCCGTGCTCTCCCCTCCCATCATCGTCTTCTCTCTCGCTTCCGCTCCCTCTTCGATCGTAGAAGTATTCCGACCCGTCCGAGAGTCGTCGTTGGCCAGGACTTCGACCCGGCGAGTGCAAACTGAGAGTGTGCCCAAATGGTCGCGGGAGGTCATCTGCCGTGAGCGAATGAAACGCGGGTGCAGCACGCGTCATTTCCTTCCCTGGCGCTGCCGACGCGGCCTGCAACATCGCCGCGATATCCATCCCTAGCTCCTGGAGCGCGCGGTCGTCCGAAAGCGCGTGTGCATGGTCATGGTCATCGTGTCGTATGTGGTTGTTGTGTGTATGGTCGGGATTGTGATCGTCGCGTGCGTCTGTGGAAGAGGGTTCGCCCTGGCGTTGTCGCTGTTGTTCGGCAGCGCTCATTAGCGCCGTGTTCGCCGCCGTCGCGTTCTCGTTTAGGAGCGTGACGAGCTCGCGCTCGAGGAGGTCCGCGTCGAATGTGGCGTCCTCGTCGTCCTCGTCTGTGGCGAGAGTGAGGGCGTGATGATCGAGGTCTCGATCAGAGTCGTGCTCATGTCCGGTGTGTTTGAGGCTGAGGAAGTCGTAGGATTGTGGGCTGTGAGGGGGGAAGGGTGGCGAGTCTGGGGAATGATCTGGTGGACTGGAAGTGTAGAGCATGGCAGAATCGGCGTAAGAGGACAGGGGAGAGTCGTGGACGACATCTGAGAGGTCAAAGTGGGGTTCGACGGGCGAGCGAGGTGGCGAGGGTGGGTCCATGGTGGTGGTTGGTGTGAGAGGGGCCTGGAGAGGGATAAGGCGCCGTGGTTGGACGTACTCACGTAATGGTGGCGGGACTGACTCGAGCGTGTCGAGATAGTGCTCGTCACAGGGAGTCACAAGGGACGCCGTGCAGCTAAGGACGCGTGAAAACGATGTGAGTAAAGTTCAAGACGAGAGCTGGAGGCGGCCAACACACCGTTGCGGTCAGGATCAAGGTGTGGCACCGCAACAGGTCGGCTTTCCCACGTGCTGGGAGCCGACCAGCCGGATGCGGAGCGGGCCCCGGAGCTACGGCGGGCGGCTGAGTTACATAGCCAGTGCGCAAGTGATAGCCAAGTGCAGTCCAACTCTCCTTCATCACCACCATCATCGCACTCGACATCGCCCGTGCCAGCACTCCTTACTCCTCTCCAATCTCCATGTCACAGCGACAATGAGCAGGCCGTACGACTTGTCCAAGGTTGACCTGAAGCCCAAGCGGCACCATGGCTACAGCGTTCTCATCTTCATATTCGGCACCCTCTTTCCTCCTCTCGGTCCGTCTTCATCTATCTCCACCTCTCTTCGCCGTTCCACCCAGTGGCTCATGCGGTCTTTCTCACACCTTTGACAGCTGTCGCCATACGATTTGGGCTAGGCAGCGATTTCTGGCTGAATCTGTTCCTGACGATATGTGGCTATATCCCTGGTGCGTATCATCCTACTCCCTCTGCGCACCACGTCGGCTCAACATGCCTGCGCACTCATCCAGGACACGTACACAACTTCTATATCCAGGTCGGTCTCCGTCATTCAATTTCTCCCTTCGTCTCACCCTCTCATGTCTTGTAACAGAACGTAAGAAACAACAAGAACAACAACCGCACGCCCAAATGGGCCCAACGCTATGGCCTCGTCGACACTTCTGAGATCAAGCGCAAGCAGAAACGTTCCCAATGGGCTAACCGCTACAACGATCGCCTCCCCAACTCCACCCTGGAAGGCCAACCTTATGAGGAAGGCCAGGAACACGATCCTTCCGTCCACAGCTCCATCGACGAAGCGGGGAACCGTCGCAACGCAGCTGGTGAACTCTGGAACCCGGAGGAAGAGCGCTACTACGGTCGTAACGATGCAGCGAGCACCAACTCGGGTGGTCGGTGGCATTATCCAGCCAACTTCGACGATGCGGTGGTGACCCCGAGCGATGGGCATGGACATAAGAAGAAGAAGGGGAAGAAGGATAGATGGGCGAGGACGGAGGATGCGTACAGTCTGAGTGAGGAGCAGGGGAAGAAGAAGAAAAAGAAGAAGCGGTCGGTGAAGCGGACCTCGGATGTAGATGGGGACACGTATTCGAGGAGGAGCGGGTCGACGAACGAGTTCCCGGAGGATCCAGAGGGTGGGCTATATGGGAATAGCAGTCCGACAGCGGGTGCCAATGGTAGTGCGAGTGCACCGCGTCAGACGAACGGGGATGAAGTCTTTAATCACGAATTCTAAGGGCTGCGTGTTGGGGGTAGGGCGTTCAGGAAGATGGCTTGGTATGGTGGGCTTGGGCAAGTAACTCCTATGTCCTGCGCCTTGGTCATCGGGACATTCTTTCATTCCTTTTATTTCCTTCATCATTCTCGTTGCATACAGCTATCTCAATCTGGCTTTGGTCTCAGCATCCCTTGATGCTCATCGCGATCGACCCATGTATAAACTCCACTAAATCACTCTACATACCCTCTTTGCTTTACTCTACCGCATCGAGGTCGTTTTCACTCCTCACCGTGCCCGTTGCCTATTTATTGCATTGTTTCTCTCCGATAGCTTGCGTGTGTTCACTTCCTGCGAGAGCGTCGCGAATCGTGAATCCTATGTAAGTAATTGGTGTGGTGATTTCCTACTCATACCATCTGGACCCGAAAGCCTCCACCCGAAGTTGCGGCGGCGTTCCTCTACAACGTCAACATGGACCACATTCTTCTTTCTCTCGAGTGAACCACATGCTCGCAATGCTCTGTCCCAGTCTGTCCCTCGCTATAATAAACCCTCTGGGTCTTATCTATCCGCAAGAATAGCATGTCCAGTTATAACTTCGAGCTTCTTCAGGCCCTAACTTCCATCACAGAAGCCTTCGTCTGTCAGTCCGCTGGTTACATATGCACCCTCCGAGTCGCTAGATCGCTATATAAAGAAGACGATAGCCGAACAACGTAGCGATGCGTCGTCCTCGACTCGGACGCTGAGTGCATAACTCGAACTTCTGGCCATGCTTTTCGGACGCGTCGTCCCCAAGCTTGTGTTCGCGTCGTCGTTGGTAGGACTTGGACTTGGATTTGGAAAGCTCGTAAGTGCGGCTCGGTTGGTCGATTTTCAGGTTGCGCAGCCGCCGCCTGTGCCGGAGGATGCGAAGACGTGTGAGGTGGAGATTTTAGAGTGAGTTGCTAGTTGTTTATTGCGGATTGTGGAATAGGGGCCTATTACAGTGGATGCACTTTGTTGACTTGGTACGATGCATTCGCCTGGATGGTCTTGGTCGGTGAAGACATACGTTCGGAAACTCGTATGGAAGGTGCGTTCTCTGCTCTTATTCCAAGTCGAGTTTCTGCGCTTACCATCTTAACACCGTCGTACTGTGTGTTTGCCCTGGCAATTAGTCCTGCGATCGTGTCATTCACCCCTCCGACCGACTGTGGCGAAGTCGGCTCTTGGGCGGGTATAACACTCAATTTGACCGTCACTTCCAATGGGACGCAGTACGATAGGCTGGGGATAATGACTTTTCAGAATGTCGAGAGTACGTACTCCGTCCAATTGCTAGCCTTCTCCATGGTGGTGTTGCACTGGCACTTATTACCGCGACATTGTGGTGCTCATCCTCGGCTTGATAGTATGGCGCACGTCGACTCCGGAGCCTGTGTCGGGAGATGGGATTATATGGACGTATGTTTACCTCGTTCTCTTTGCAAGTGGCCCATCTCATGTTGAGTTTGTTGTCGTTGATAGGTATGTGAAGGACGTGACGCGTTATCTTCCGTTGTTTGCGACGGACGGGACGTTCATCTTCGAGCTGGATAATATCCTGACAGATGTGGATACGGGACAATATGCGGGTGAGTCTTCGTCGCTTTGTTCAGCATCGTCACAGCGTTGCGGCATCCGCAATCGTTCCTTCCTGCTCGAACGCGCCGCACGCCACACGCCACACTCGAGCCTGAGGTTGTGATCATTCGCTCAAAAAAACAAACACCCTTCCTTCTTGCAGCTACATTGTCGGCCACTTTCTACGAGTCTTCGTCGGAATATCATACTGCAGCCCACTCCGACCTGATCATCCCACTGTCCACTTTGTCGAACAATACAGGGAACGACGCGTCTGTTCCCCCTGCCTTCTCAGTACGTGCAATCTACTCCCTGCGAAAGTTAAGAAGGCCATCTAAGCCACTCGTTATCCTTCCTATAGATAAATGTCACTGTGCCTACAAATGCGATAACTGCGTATGCTGAACTATACGCGTCTGGAAACAGTGAGGAAGAGTTCTGGGTACGTAACTCCCAGAGAAATGGCCCGTTGATACTGATATTGACGGACGAATGTAGTATTACAACGTCGCCAACGACTACCTATCAGATCTACCATCCGGAACGACATACGGCGATGGCCCCTTCCGCGAAGTCCGTATCCTCGTCGACGGTATGGTCGCCGGCGTAGCCTTCCCTTATGCAGTCATTTTCACGGGCGGAATCGTCCCTGCTGCTTGGAGGTCCGCCCTTTTCTTTTACGCCTGTTGACTTACACTAGCACTGTGATTGACACGACTTGACTCTGATTAATTAGACCCATAGCCGCCTATGGCGCGCTCGACCTCCCGACACACTTCCTCGACCTAACTCCCTTCATTCCTATCCTTACCGACGGTTCCCCACATAACATAACCCTCGACGTCGTCTCCGCCGAATCCAACCACACCATCAACTCGAACTGGTACCTCTCCGGCCTTCTCCAGATCGAGCTCGACTCCACAGACACGCCTACCACGGGAAACATCACGAAGTACGAGGTGGAAGAGTATGCGCAGGCGACGAGCGGGGGGAGTGTAAGTGCGAGTGGCGATTTGACGGTCACGGTTGGGGCTACGAGGAGCGTCAGGATTGAGAGTGAGATTTGGACGGGGAGTGGGGATAAGGTGGAGGTTGTGTTTAAGCAGGAGATGCAGTTTGAGAATGTGCAGAGTTATGTGAATAATGCGTCGATTCAGGTACGTGATCTCTCTCTCTCTCTCGTCTATTTTGACATTGTGATGTGTCATGGTCGCTAATCGTAGTGGGCTCTGCACAGATCGTGACACAGACGAGCAAAGGGTCCATCTCGTCGACGCATAATGGCGTGCAAGTTCTCAAGGATGACTTCTCGTACCCACTCTGGGCGAATCTTACCTTTTTGACTCCGGACGAAGATAATTGTGAGGATCTTTTTTTGGCCTTACTTTTTGTGCCATGGCTCATGCGAGAACTGGATGTAGTCACCGCCACGATTGATCACTCGTACGAGCGTTCTCTCCTGCCGAGTCCTTTCATTCTTGGCAGCGACATCCAAGAACACCAGATCGCAGGTATGTAATTCACATTTTTTCACCAATAATTCAATACCCATCAACGCACGCCCATCCTTCGATCTACAGGTGGCACCTACCACCTCGCCTCGACAGGTAACACCGGCTCCCAAGGAATCAGCAACAACACGTTCTCCTACTCCGACGACGCCGGGAACACGTACAGCAGACAAGTTGGCGCGTACGAGTACAATATCACGTATGATACCCAGAGCGGAAGTCTGGCAGCTGCAGAGGGTGTACCCACGTAGGTCTATGAGGGAATATGAAGGTCGTCAGTGTGTCGAAAGAGGTGGTTACTTATCTCGCTCAAATATTCACATCTTGTTAGGCAGAAATCTCTCAGCTCGTTCATAGTAAGCTGGACCTCAAGTTGAAGTTGCTTCACGCGACGCGCTTGTCCCTCATGCTACGAATCCGAAATGAAACATTCTTCAACCTTTTCGAGGTGCCTCACCGTCGCTCTCGACGATGCGTCCTTGGAGACCGTGACATCGACCGCCGATCTATGTAAAGCCTACGACTTGACCAGAGTCATCTGTTCATTTTCCCTACAGGCAGATGCATTGCTCCCATGGAATGTGACAAGACTCGATCTCATGCAGCGGTGACGGCGCACATAATCTCTCCAGTGTATTCCGTGGTGCGTTTCCATCCTGGCTTCGATGTTCTTTATCTTGCTATGTAACATCAGCGTTGGTATTATTGACCATGCCGCTCGTGCCCATGGCCAATCTTTACACATATGTAGACTCGGGCCTACACCTGCATCTTGTAACAAAGCCGGTTAAATATGTCTGTGTCTGAAGCTTGAACCCTCCGTGCTTTGATTCTCCCATTTTAAACGCGCGGAATGACACGGCATCATCATATCCAGCGACCAGAAGCCCCATGAGCGTTCAGACGAGCGATGCAGTTAAGTGCGGGATGTCGTTAGCTCCGGACATGAAGAATATACCTTCTTCTTTTTGTCCGTCTTTGCTTCCATGTTCATAATACTCAGGTTTACGCGACCTCGGGGTGGGGCAGGTAAGCCATGAAACATCATTTTACTCGAAGCCGTTCACCTGACCCGCGTTCCCTATGATCCCAGAAGACCTTGGAATGGTTCGGTACGTTGTCCACTGCTTGTATTGACCTTGCTGCTGCCCATGCGTAAGTATATGGCCTCGTCATAAAATGATGGTCTCTACAATGATGGGCAAGTAAAAAGTAGCTAATATCACATGCTATTTCAGACCCTACAAACTTCCCTGAAGTCAATACGTTCGCATTGATGCCTGGTAGGGGTGTCCAGGTCAGTCAGGCTCCCAGCGTCAGGTAAGAGTGCCACAGAAACACCATCTCTCACGACGCTTCGCTCCTTTCTCACAATTTCTTCGCGAGTACTGCCTAAACTACTTCTCTGCACCTATAGGACCTACAGGATACCTGGAAGCCGAAGATGACAATATCTGTAAAATTAAAACTTTATCAGTCTTGACCAGCTTCCCTGTGGGCCACAGAATGTAATAGCGGGTAAGTACGCTTCGATAGGTACAATTTTCACTGGGCAGCCGAAAGTCTCCACCCACTGTGGTGGGTTTCATCCTCTTCAACGTCAACCTAGACCACATTTTTCTTCCGTGTTTTCTCTCGACCTCGATTCATAAGACTAGTTCGTCCAGTCATGATGAGCTTCTAAACCTGACTTCCATGGCAGAAGCCTTCCGTCAGTCCGCTGGTTTCCCTCGCTGGATCACCATATAAGGACGAACAATGTAGTGATGCACTACAGCCAACCTCGACACTGAGTAACTCTGGGTGTTTGACCATGCTTTCTGGACGTGCGTTCCCCTCGGGCTTGCTAAAGGGCTCTTGTTCGCGACGTCGTTGGTGGGGCTTGTGAGTGCGGCTCGATTGGTCGATTTCCAGGTCGCGCAGCCGCCTCCTGTACCTCAGGATGCAAAGACTTGTGAGGTCGAGATCTTAGAGTGAGTGTTGTCCATTGTGGAGTATGGGCTTGTGGAGGCACTTCGTTAACTTGAAACGCTACACTCGCTTGGATGGTCATGGTCGGTGCAGACACACATTCGGAAATTCATACGGAAGGTGCGTTTTCTGCTCTTATACTAGCGCAAGCTCGTAGGTTCACTTACCATCCTACTACGTGTTCTCCTTGGCAAATAGCCCCGCTATCGTCTCTTTCACTCCTCCGACCGACTGTGGCGAGATCGGTACTTGGGCGGGTATAACGCTCAATCTGACCGCCACGTCCAACGGCTCGCAGTATGATAGGCTAGGGGTACTGACTTTCCAGAACGTGGAGAGTACGTACAGTTCCCAGCCTTCTCCATAGAGGTGTTGTATTACTTACCATGATGTTGTGGTACTTGATAGTATGGCGCACATCGACTCCGGAGCCTGTGCCGGGAGATGGAATTATTTGGACGTATGTATTCCTTTTTCTATGTGTCTTGGCTGCATACCTTTCATCTGCCCATCTCATGTTGAGTTTGCTGTCCTCGATAGGTATGTGAAAGACGTGACGCGTTATCTTCCGTTGTTTGCGACGGACGGGACGTTCATTTTCGAGCTCGATAATGAATTGGGAAATTCGGGCTCGGGACAATATGCGAGTGAGTCTTCGTCGCTTCAATTATAATCATCCTTCTTCCATATACAGCGTTATGGCATCCACAATCATTCCTTCCTCGAACTGGCCATACACCGCACGCCTCACTCTCGAGCTTGTGGTCATGCACTGAAAAAAAATCACTCTTCATTCTTGCAGCTACATTGTTGGCCACTTTCTACCAATCCTCGTTGGCGAACCCTGCTGCAGCCCACTCCGACCTCATCATCCCAATCTCCACTTTGTCGAACAATACGGTGAACGACGCGTCTGTTCCACCTGCATTCTCGGTAAGCACAATTCTCGCCTGAAACGCCACGAAAAATATGACTAAGTTCGTGAAAACCCATCTATAGTTGCCTGTGACTGTACCCACGAATGCCGTGGCAGCGTATGCTGAGCTCTATGCTTCCGGGAACGCCGCCGAAGAGTTCTGGGTTTGTAAACCTCCCTTCGCGAAACCTGCGATCTGTCGAATGATAGTACTGATGTTGGTGGCCGTATGCAGTACAACGGTGTTGTCACCGAATACCTTTCGGATCTTCCATCGGACAAGGGATTCTATGGCAATGGCTCTTTCCGTGAAGTCCGTCTCCTCGTCGATGGTATGGTCGCCGGTGTAGCTTTCCCTTACGCTGTGATCTTCACGGGCGGACTCGCCCGTCCTGCCTGGAAGTACGTCCGCCTCGGATCTCTCTTCTACATTTACTCGCACGGTGATTAACCTGACCTTCTACGGTGGTCAGACCCATAACCTCCTATGGCGCTCTCGACCTCCCGACCTACTTCCTCGACTTAACGCCCTTCATTCCCATCCTCACCGATGGTTCCCCACACAACATAACCCTCGACGTCGTCTCCGCCGAGTCCAACCACGCCATCAACTCGAACTGGTACGTCTCTGGCCTGCTTCAAATCGAGCTCGACCCCACAGACACGCCTACGACGGGGAACATCACGAAGTACGAGGTGGAGGATTATGCACAGACGACGAGCGGGGGAAATGTAAGTGAAAGCAAAGATTTGACGGTTACGGTGGGGGCTACGAGGAACGTGAGGATCGAGAGTGAGATTTGGACTGGGAGTGGGGGCAAGGTGGAGGTTGTGTTTGAGCAGAGGTTGCAGTTTGAAAATGTGCAGAATCATGTTAATGATGCGTCGATCCTGGTATGGATTCTCTCTCGTCTCTTTTCACATCGTGAAGTGCCATGGTTGATAAGTGCGGCGGGTTTCGCAGATCTTGACACAAATGAGCAATGGGTCCATCTCGTCGACGCACAACGGCGTGCAAGTTCTCAAGGATGACTTCTCGTACCCCCTTTCGGCGAATATTACATTCAATAGTAAGGATGCTTGTTTGGATTTGCTTTAGTTTCAACGGCATGGCTCATGTGAAAACTGTGTGTAGCCGGCGCCGCCTTCGACCACTCGTACGAGCGTTCTCTCTTACCGAGCCCGTTCATCCGGGGCAGTAATATCCAAGAGCACCAGATCGCAAGTATGTGCCCGTGAATTTTCACCAATGGTGAGTCGCCTACTAACGCTCCCCATCCATTGATATACAGGCGGCAATAACAACGACGGTCAAGGAGCTAGCAACAACACGTTCTCCTACTCTGACGACGCCGGAAACACGTACAGCAGACAAGTCGGCGCGTCCGCGAACAGTATCACATATGATACCCAGAGCGGAAGTCTGCCAGCTGCAGGGGGTATGACCTAGAGTGCAGTGGTGGTGGCAAATCTGCACGGGGTGATGAAGGCGAGGGTTCCAGGTGGGATGTTGCAGGATGGGGGGATGTGGTGCGGACGGTTTCGAGTAATTCGTGTGAAAGTTTGAGAACTGCGATGCAAACATCCGGATGGAGTTTATTGTGCTTAAAATCTGTCATATACCATTGCCTCAGATTTAAACAAGAATATCCGCCGTTAGTGTGACATTAGAAAGCGACGCGTTCAATCAACCGCAAAACAACGATCTTCTACAGAGAACATCCTTCTGACGATACCTCACAGCTTCATGACCAGATATCAGAGAAGCCCGCCATCTTCTTGTCTGCCTCATACGCAGCTTTCACCTGGTCCATACTCGTAAGATTCAGTAAAAAGCACATCGGAAATACCCACGCACCTCTGTGAAGAAAAAATCGTCAGAAAGGAGCCTGAGCCCTGTGTTAGCCAGTGCCTTCGCCACCTCGAGAGTAGCTTTGTGCGCCTCGGGAGTACTTGCGGCGTATGCGAACAGCGCTGTGTGATTGCCGCCGTTCGGGACGGAGGGGATGGCTTCCGTTACAGAGCAGCTTGTCAATGCTAGCGTATATGATAACAGGGAGAAGGGACGAACAATAGCCGGGATGAAGGGCGGGGAGTGCTGATAAGGACGCGATGTTACTCTTCATGAGTCTAATGGGAATTATGACCAAGGCAAAACATACCATGTGTTACGTTGCCCTTCAGGTGTTGAGAATACTCGTCAGAATATGATGAGGGTAACAGATACTGGTCTGACACGCACAAAGTCTGTCGATGCAAACATGGTCTCGTCATATGCTTCAACGCAGTTCCCGAATTTCGCTCTCCAGGTCCTAGCGAATTCGGCCCCTGAGAATGCAGGTAAGTACCATCGTCCTCATGAGCGCCATCACATTGCATCAGTTGATAAAAAAAAACTGTGACGAGGAACACACCTAGAACTCGATTCTGCCGCATTTCGTTCATAGGAAAACCGGTCTCTGCAATATCAGCTTTGCATCCAGTTGCTAAGGCCGCTGCTCTGCCAACAGCATTGTGAGCAGTGGGATAAATTGTCGAATTTATGGCTTTACGACTGACTCGAAACAAGCTTTCACCCGCGATGCAGTATCCTGGACTCCTGCGGAGGTAGGCGCACGGATTAGCCAGCTGGTTCAAATAACATGATCAGCCCGTGACTTCTGTACATGAGCCCGAGACATACTGCATGTTGACCTTGTCTGGGATGACTACAAAAAAAATCAGTGGCCTAGCCAAGAAGCTCGAAATCAACGAGTGCATACTATTGACAGCAAGATTTTCCCCCTCAAAGACCCCATGCACACGATGTGAAGGGTGGATCTGCTGGCGCAGGAGGGAAACATTGGTATAAGCCAAGATGGCCGCATCCATAGCATTCTTGCCTTCCCAAGGCGCTGCCGCAGCGTGTGCGCTTGAAAAGAGGTAAGCCGAGAATAACGGAGCTTTAGCCATAGACGTGCGTACGTATGACCAGTGTATGTGACCTTGAAATGTTGGTTGGCTAGAGAAGAGCGAATTCCTGTTTCGTTCTTGCGTCCGGGGCTCGGGTGGCACCTGAAAGGACTGAGCACGAACGTCGGACTCTATGTGGGTTATACACACATTATACAGGCATCCATGGTGTCGTATGCTCCTGCATTAAGCATGAAGACCTTCCCCGCACCACCTTCTTCGGCTAGAGTAGAAAGAAGGTTCCATGAGCTCGTGTCGCGCTGGCGGTTCTGAGGGCGCTCACCTGGTGTGCCGAGCAGCACGACCTTCCCTGGAATGTCATGTTTAATCATAGCCGCCTTCACGGCCAGAGCAACAGCGACACCTGCAGTCGCAATGAGGTTATGGCCGCATGCATGTCCAATCTTTTCCAGTTCGTCGTTATCAGCAAGTTTAGTTGTGAAGCTTTAAAATATCATGGCGTTCGCTCACAGCAGGTAGCGCGTCCATCTCTGAATTGACCCCAAGAGTACGACCACCGGTTCCGTGTGTGAATGTAGCTGACCATGCGGTCTCGAGACCGAATTGACGCTGCTTTACGACCCACTCATTGGAGTCAGAGGCCATGAAAGAGGTTAATGTGTCGTGCGCATAGCTGCAAGTTCGCAAGGACATTCAGCTTCCAGCCACGGAGGTATAAAAAAAAATACATATGATGAATACATACTACTCCTCGAACATCAATTCCGGGTGGTCTGAAGGTGGACATGAATCTATGAGACCACTTCAGTATGAACAGCGTCGAATCGCACCGTGGATGTCCAAGTTCAACTGCCTCAAGTCGTCGTCCCAAGCATCAATCTCCGCACTGATAGTCTCAAATGTCTCCTCGCTGAAGCTAGCGCCCCCAACCTGAGACTTGACAGCACCCTCGTAGATTCCGAAGTCCATTTAAGCTCGAAAGTAGACGGAGGTTGTTTCGACGACAGAGTAGAATGAGCGAGCAAGAAGAAATCTATTGAGCTTGAGAACCGCAAGGCAGGTAATATATGAGCAGTAGATAGCTAGCGAGAGACAAATTCATGATAGGACCATGGCCCACGTATGCTCCGCATGCGAAGAGACCGGAGGTGGGTACCCGTCCGGTGGATGAACATGTGCCTGAAAGCTTGAACATGGCCTGCTTATATATCTGCCATTTCTGCATCGTTGGCCGACCGAGAGAGAGACAACACGTGCAGGCGTAGTACTGATGTGCGAACGCTGCAGCTTCTACTCAGCTTGATATTCATAGTAAGGTTATATATCGTGGGTCACACCAAATCCATTCCATCCTACATGATCATAAACTCTCCGACATCGTACAAAGTCATGGACATAGAAGCAATGCCCATGAACGCCATAACTTTAGCTATACGCTCGACTAGCAAGTGTCTAGGACAGCGTCTCCCCAGAGCGGACCTATAGACATCACACACCCGAAGATAATCCCATCTAAGCACCGAGCCACAGATATACTCCGGAGCTCAAGCAGAAAGCCACGTACCGTCTTGCCCGTCTTCTTGATCTTCTCGAGCAGGTCGTCGTAGGGGATAGTGCCAGTGACGAGAACCTCCTGCTTCTCGAGGCTCACGTCGTACGAGGAGATACCTGCATACCATCAAGCACAGCCATAAAGAACAACGGTAAGCGAGATCAAACCATGGTAAGAGAGACTGTCAGCACGCACCCTCAGTCTTCTTCAAGACCCGCTCGACAGCGCCAGAGCAGCCGCCACAGGTCATCTAATCATTAAGTGCCACTCACGCTCAGCTCAATGTTCTCGTTGTGGATGTCGTGATCGCGCATACCTGCACATCAAACTTGTACTGGTGCTCAGACTGGCAGCGACGAATGGGTCAGCGATGCTATTCACAGCAGAAGATTTTGTAGGGCTAGCCTCACCATTACGAATATTAAAACACAAAGAACCTGTGATTCGTCACAATATTATTCAGATACAGTACTAGAGGTAGCCAACTCTTTCGTGAGGTACACACCGAGGAGAGAAGGCTTGTAGAGAGATGAGGTTGCGCGGGGAGGACAGTTGTTAGCTGGCAACTGATTCCGGCGCGTTTGGTTTATATAGGTGTGCTTACAGTCGATCGCGTCATCCAGATTAGATCTTGTTGGATGACTGAAAGCAGGTGTCTCGGTCCTCGAACCAATCAAATCAGTACTGCCGCTGACTGGATGACTGAGACAATGCTCTCTTGCATCGCTTGTGTCGTGTCCGTGGTTGATGTATTTCTTTTCGTTCTTGAACCTTGACCTGGCATGGCGCAATATTTGGTTCGCATTTGGGTGAGCTGCTGCCAGCCGTCACTCTCCCCCACGCGTAGCAAACTTGGTCACCAGTCTAGTGAGCTGCAGCAGGCTGCAGCTGTTTTTGATAAGATTCGGTTACTTCTTTCGTCTTGCATGTCATGACAACTTGATTCGCACGACCATCTCCCCGAGAACACCATATATAGGCGCTACAGATCGTCAACAATATTGAACTTTTCCAGGTGGTTATGGTGACAGTGGGTAGGTAACCCCTGTACATTGCACGGACGAATCAGATAGCTCAGTTCTGAATGAACTCAGGAGCTGCCATCCTACAACGAGACACCGCATCGGCCCACGCATCCTCTACATAACTACTGACCGTCCGGATGCTCAGTAGCCACCGCTTCCCATCCGAATCCCGGTGCAGTTCTTGGTCGGCCTCGAACGCGATCGATCCAGGAGGACAAGAATGCTGACCAATAATAAGACACCAGAATGGCGAGCAGTGAGCTATTGCAGGCCCATCGGTAAGGCGGAAAAGATGGCCGATGAGGACTTACAAAGCTGTCGGGGAAGTGTTATACTCCCTGCCCGTTGAGTGATGTAGTATATGGGTACACCAACCAAGACGAAACCTATGATGGAGTGCAGGTTCAGCCGGTTTGTTTAAACTCCAGTCAGAGAGGAAGAAGAAACCCACCGAGAACGGCCATAGCCTCTAAAGGTGCTGCGATAATCGGCATGCATAGCAAGAAGAGAGCAACCTGTAGAAAATAGACTTGAGCATATAGGCATGAAGTCCGTTGAGGGTCTAGAGAGACTCACGGCACAGAATATCAGAGGCGTTGTAATGAAGCACCTGTAGGGTCTAAATCGGTGATGAGCACAAATATCTCGCAGGGACCCATATCGGTTTGAAGCAGACCCTACCTTTCCAGCCCTGGTTCCTTGATGCGCAGGATCACCAAACCCAATACCTTAGAAGAATATCCGGTATGATTAGAACAGGCGAGGGAGAAGAAGCCAAAAAAAACTGAGACTTACAGTGAGAAAGTAGAATGCCCAAGATGCTACGACGGCGAAGTTGATCAGAGATCTAAACCCGCCACCGAGCAGGATGAACAGGATCGTGATAGCAGCATGGAGAAGCATGGCGTTCAGAGGTGTCCCCCGTGTTTTGTGAAGCTTGCCAAAGACTGCAGGAAGATATCCTTCTCGACCGGCAGCGCAGATGATTCTACCCGAAGTAAAAAATGAACCTGGATGGCTGTCAGAAAATTCCCACGAGTTCGGATGAAAGACTCTCACTATTCAAGGCTCCCGCTGCTGAAAACGAAACCATGAGAGCAAAAAGCGATCCACCAAGAGGTCCGAAAAGTGCTCTCCCAAAGTCGAGAGCAACGGTATTACTGAGTCCTACGGTATCCTGTTCCGCTCTGTCAGCGCTGGAGGGAGGCGGGGAAGCAGAGGACTGACTTTATCCAGGACCACGAAATATGATACATTTGCCAAAAGAAATAAAACCTGCCCATGCTATCGTGAGTTGACTAGAGTGTGTACTTATAGCAAGGAGGCTAACCGTGACGATTAACATGCTGGAGTGTATAGTTCTAGGGATATTCTTCTCCGGATTCTTCATCTCTCCTCCGACGTAATTGGCTGTCATGTAGGTTTTCAGAATGAATCCTCGAACTACACTGATGATAGAGCTCCACGCACCTTGATCCCACCCATCGAATGACCACAAGCCTGAGTACAATGCCAAGGCGTACGAGGACGGGTTCGTACTCGACCCTTCAAACATATTGGTGGTGAGAGAAGTTGAGGCTTTTCCGCGGATTAATTGAATGAGGCCAAGCACAGTGACAGATATCTACGGTTTTTCTTAGACTATATGAGCAATATAATTCGATGAATTTCGTACTAGTGCGATGATCTGAACAGCCAAAACGGTCAATAATCGGAATCCGCGGCTTTGGGAATGGCGGCCACGAACCTTTACAGTCGTAAATACTACAGCCGTCCGAGTGCCCAAACTACGTGTGGCAACACAGACAAGAGTCACTACGATGACAGAAACGATGGCGGTTCTGTAATATTTTGACGGTATTGTTACTCCTGAAGTCTCCAGTTTGATGACAAGCGGTACGCACATTTGTATGGCCCATTGAGGAATGGCATCCGGTGCCACATCGCTCTTCGTCGCATGCCAAAACAGTCTATTCAGATACTCGGCGAATATCAGACTAATCACGGCGTTGGAACCTGCTCCAACTGGTTCAAACAGATTGTCGAAGAGTAAAACAGTTGGTGCAGAGGACATACCTGGTTTTAGGGCCGCGATTGCTGTCCACGCGAATAAATATGAGACCAGTGGACCATAGGCGTAAGCAAGATATGCCTGAGCACCACCATTGAGGGGAATGGCAGAGCCTAACTCTGCAAAGCTACTGGCCCCTGTCCAGCCAAGTAATCCAGACAACAACCAGACAATCAGACTAGCGCCGACGCTGTGTGTGTTCGCCACCACCACTCCTGGAGAAGAGCTGCCAGGATTGAGTCCGAGAGCAGAAATCAAGGCCGTAGGAGCTCACAAGATACCGGATCCAATCTACTCGTATTCCTGTTTAACGTCAGAAGCAGGAGACAGCACGAGGAATGACAGTCACCTGTAGGCCCACACAGAGGGCAATGGCTGGTCAAGTCAATTGTCATCACACCACCTTCAGCAGCACGAGAGCTCACCGTTCAAGAGACTGATATCCTTCTTCTCGCCGCTCAGGGTCCTCACCTCCTCCGGTTCTGCCTCACTTGCAGTAAGTGGTAAGAGACCGTCTTCGAATGCGAAACCAGACATGGAGTAAGACCGTCCTCGCCCTCGCTGGCCACTCTCGGCAAGGCCCTCCGACATCTCTAACGCGCGCAATTCTTCTTCAGAGTCATTGGAGGATCGTGATAATGGTGGCGAAGGTAATGTGCTGGAGTGATCTTCACGTGTAGAGGTGAGAGGTATATAAGAAGGCGGGTTGGTTGGAGGTCCCATGGGTATACAAAGAGTGAAAGATAATGAGTGCGCCAATCGTTCCAATAGCCAGGTTGAGTCGGCGAGCCTGACTTCAGAACAGGCGGCAGCAAGTAAATGGAGTTAGGGGAGCGAAATGTAGGCAAGCGGACTCGTGGAGGTGAATCTGGGCGATGGTCACGGTCGCGTCGGGCGCGTCATGTTCCGACTCCCAAACGGGCAATGTGGCGAAGGCTTGGCGTGCACAAACCGTGCACCCACACACATCCACAATATCGAGAAAAAAAAATGGTGGAGGACCGTGCTACTCTTATTAGTAAGAGTGCCTGAGTTCCATTATGTGTTCATCTTCTGCGAAACTTATTTTGACATGTCGAAGAAATACACTAGACTGCAGGTACAAGTCAAAGGGCTACAGTAGCAGATAGGGTCGGCGTGATATCGTGAGAGTTGAATGCAGTGTACCATAGCGAATAGGGGAGGACTGTGGATGCTTGTCGGCGACGGGCCACAATACTAACAGGTCGAGGAACTTGCTATCACAGAACGCGGAGAGAGCATTGGCATATCAAACAAGACACACATTCATTTGGTGTCTGCATTTTCTAGAAGACTTTGTACAGCGATCTGGTGTATGTCAGTGCAACGCTCCTGACACCGTTCCATGCACTGAGAAGCAGGTCAGTCGGGTAATAACGACGCGAACTAGGAATTAGAGACACGTACCTGTGCAGCCTGAGATGGCAACATCCGCCCAGTTTCCCAAACACTAGTGACAAGACCCAGCGCTGGAATGCATGCAAACACCAGGTTACCCTCCGCCAATGTCGTTTCTTGCTCTGTTGGATCAAGCCAAACATCTTTGCCGACCAACGACTGCAAGAAAGAAAATAATAAATATGAGTGGCGAAGGGAGAAATTGCTCGGGCGTACCGATGAACAAGACGTGACCAGTCCCAACATCTCAATCCCTGCGTCTGCCAGAGCAGTGGAAGCAGCAAGTGAGGCCGCCGCCACACAACCTTCCGTGCCATCGTTTTCAATGACCGTCACAAATATGTCAATGACGGACTTAGGAAGCAGCTCTAATCGGACGGAAGGGGTCAGTGCCTGTTGAATGAGCACTGCAACAGACCGATCTTCCGCATCCTTCACGACAATATGAGCCATAATAGCAAGAGAGTAGAATAGGTAAACTCACGCGTAATGGCGCTCTGCGAGTTGCACAGGAGAAGGGGGAGAACTTGACTTCAACATTCAGTCGACCGTTCTCGCTATATGAGGTGTTCTTTGACTGTCGAGGTCCATAGCTAACATAGCGAGAAAATATGAGCTAGACAAAAACCAGAGAGACTACGGAATACACGCACACAGCACAAGCGATTTTGGTTCTCTCAGCCTCAATATAAGCAGACCCATTAGCTTGACTGATTAATCCCGCCTTCAGAACTATCTAGCCAGGTGTGAGAGTGTCATGAGACGAAGCAATGGAGGACATAGAAAAACATTCACATATGGGTCGGATGTCTAGTGGTTGGCGTCCTACTCGAGGGTCTCCCGCTTTCCAAGTCGCATATGGTGAGCCAGAGACATCCTCATCTTCTAGAAAAACGGGTGCGGCACTATCTTCTGGCCCATTGACGCGTCGTCTATCGAACTGCTGTGCCATATTTAAGTGGTGGATGAAGAACAGGTGGAAGACGGGAATTGGCTCAGCCACCGCCACACACAATTCAAGACATTTGCTTACGTACTGCGTGGCACCGAACGCGACTTGCACTCAACCATGTCCATGAAACTCTCCTTCTCCCTTGCGAACGGCAAGAACAAGGCAAAGCCTGTCGGCACTGCCCCTCCTCTCAAACGACCAGCTGCATTTGCTTCTTTAGACGACGAAACCACAGAAGATGCTGCTCCCACCGCTTCCTCGAGCAGTGCTAGAGGGTCGACTAACCAGCGACTGATCGCGCAGAACGTGGAGATGTCGAAGACCGCGAGGAAGAGGATGGAAGCGGAGAAGAAGGTTGATGAGACAGTGTATCAGTATGACGAGGTATGGGAGAATATACAGGAGAGTAGACTGCGGCAAAAGGAAGCGAAGGAAGTAGAGTCAAAGGAGCGCAAGGTGTGTAGTCTCGAGACTCTCAATATTTATATTTGTTCGCCGACGATAGACGTATAATAGCCTAAATACATCAATGGCCTCCTCACTTCTGCTGCGACGAGGCGCCTCGACCACCTACGGGCTGAGGAGAAGATGATTCAGCGAGAACGTGAGCTGGAAGGTGACGAATTCAAAGACAAGGATGCCTTCGTCACACAAGCGTATAAGGACCAAATGGAGGAAGTCAGGAAGGCCGAGGAGGAGGAACGTCAACGCGATGGTATGTCCTATGCCAAAATCCGCTTGACGATAGCTAACAGTCGACGTACGTTTGGCAGAAGCACAGAAGAAAAAGGGTGGTGCTTCCACTGGCCTTGCCCACTTCTATCGCAAGATGCTTGAGGAGTCGGAGTCGAAACACGAAGAGACAGTGGCCGCAACACAACAGTCGACGCAGAAGATAGTAAAAGGGCCACAAGGACCCGTTGCCAACCTTACCATCACCAAACCCCCCGAGCTAGCCCCAATATCCGATGCCGAGCTTGCACGAATGGCTCGTGAGGAGGGCAAGGATGTCGAGCTAAACGAGAACAACGAGATCGTCGACAAGCGCGACCTCTTGTCCGCCGGTCTCAACTTAGCTGCTCCAAATACTAGGCGATTGGGCGTCCGTGCAACTTCTGGCTCTACCACCAAGAAGGATGGCACAGCTGAATCGGCCGATGTCCATCGAGCTGCAGGTACGGCTGCTAGTCGGAAAGAGATCAACGAGAGGAGAAGAAAGGAGATACTTGCCCAGATGGAGGAACAGCGGAGACTAGAGACAGACCAACAGCGGGAGGAACGAGAGGCTAACGCACGAGTTGTCGCTAGGCGAAACGACGAGGCTGCTATTCAGAGCGCCCTCGAGCGGTATCGTGCGCGAAAGAGGCAGAAATTGGAGGCAGGATCAAACCCAACAGGGGATGGTGGAGCATGACTGTATGATATGTATTGTATACCGAAGATAATTTATGCGACTATGGAACATGGACTATGACGATGATATGGATATCCACATGGTTTCGATATAAGATACAGGTGAAGTAGCAGTGGTAATCGAGAACTAGGTGAGAGTAACTTAGACAAGTGATGAACATTCTTCGAGCCTAGCATCGTCCATGGCTGCAACAAGACCGTCAAACCTCTTCAGAACAGCAGCTGCCGTTGGTCGTTGGGTATAATCTTCATATAGCATAGGTGCCGTCAAGAGAATCAGCTCCTGAACGAGGTATCCAGTCAACTGAGGCAGAAGCTTGTCAGTCACAGTGATCTGAAAGAATGAGATGCTGGTACATACATCACATGCTTTGAGTATGAGAACACCCAGTGCGTAAATGTCCACCTTGAATGGATCACTCCACTCCCCACGTTCCAGCTCTGGTGGAACTTCTGTCCCTCGAGCACTACGAATCCTCGGATGTCGAATTCCGTCATAACATCTCGAAAGCTCGAAGTCGATAGAGGCATAGTGGCACTTAAATCGTCGCCAACACAATAGGATGAAGATTATCGGGAAAAGGGAGGAGAAATATCAATACAAGTCAACGTATAGTTTGACTATCCTACCTTATAATCGGTCACCAGGTTTCTCAAAGAAATGTCGAGGTGGCAGATGTCGTGCATGTGCATGAAAGCAGTGTGCTGTTAGACATTGTTAGCCTATGCTTTGCTTGTCCTATGATAGTGCCACACATACCTCAATACATGAACGCAACGCGCCAAGGAAAAGCCGCAAACAGCAAGGTGTATCCGGAATCAGCTGCGATGACCATTCCTCCATCACTATGAAAGCGATATGACACTCCGGAACTTCGACCAAGTCAAGCACGGCTAAAGTCCGCACCATCAGTCAGGTTATGACAACAAGACGCGCAAGATACACTCACGTATGCAGTGGTTCATAGGATCGTCGCGCAAAGGGGGAGTGGACAACAGCCGTGTTACAGCGAGCTCTCGACTTCGAATATGGACAGCTTTCACTACGATCCTCGTCCCGTCCGACACTCGATGTCCGCGAAAGAGGTTGTCGGGCTAAAGTGGCGCAGCTCATGGGTGTGTTACAGAAGAACGGTGAACTCGGAGTACTTACCAGGCCAGGGTCTTTGCACAACGCATCCTCGTCATCAGACGAGCAAGCTCGTGAATACTCTGCCACGGGTTGTGTCTTCATTCCACTAGAGCTCCAATAACGCTCGTAGAACTGCTTGACATCCTTAACGGTGTCTAGATGAAAGCCGTGACGGAGGAGAGGACCGCGATGAAGGTCCCAGTTAGGACAGCAGCGAGCATTGACTTCGTCCTCATCCTCAAATGAGCTATTCGACGAAGATTCTGAGGCACTATCCGAGCCGGAGTCATCAGAGTTGTAGGCGTCCCAGTAGGCCATAGGGCAGCGGGTCCGCCAGAGTGGAGAGAGAAATTGTGTTTAGACGAACGCGCGACGCACGGGTGATACATATAGCACAAACGAGATACCATACAAACGCAGGCTGGGCCCACGGGGCCCGTCAGAGGGAAGCGAATGCTTCAACAGGGCTGGCAGCGCCGAAGCGTTGCAAGTAGACCCGAAAGAGGCAAGACGACGACCGCTGGATTGTACGAGAAAGGCTATCAAAGCTGGGGAAGACTGTCATCAAAGACCGGGTAGCCCAGTTTCGACTGCATTCCGCGTCCGACGATCGCACAACGTATGACACGATGACCTAGAGAGGTGTGAGATGGACAGGATAAAGAGCGGGATATCATGAGGCAGCTACATACGAGACAAGAAACTCCCAGGGCAGTCGGGATCGAGGCACTTGCGGCTCCTCATCCGACTCTAAATGGACAAAACGAGGTCTAATGTTTCCACGACTAGGGCCATCCGTATTGCGAGATCATTGCCGGTTTGCGCAGCATTTTCCGAGATAGACGGTGATTCGACAGAGCGATACTTTCCCCGAAAGACATGGTGGTTCACACTGAGCCACAAGTTAGCGCGAAGGGCGTGCCACTAGCAAAGCAGGACAACGTGGCGACGGAGCGCGTTTTGCCGAAATTGTTCAACTTTCTTCGGAGACTGCACTTCTTCCGAGCTTCCGACCACTGCTAAGGGCGTCCACCCTCGCCACACCTCTGCTGCAATGGAGGAAGGAACCAAGACGAAAAAGACCGTCTTTATAGGAGGTATTGGTGACGATGTTGACGAAAGTGTGATTCTCGAGGCATTTCAGACTTTCGGTGGGTGACGATCCGGTTCGAGGCTTCCCTTTCTCAAGCCCTCGACGAATGACCATAGCTTTTTCCTCTAGGTGATATAATTGAGGTGCAACTACCCACTGCTAATGCGAACAACTCACAACAAAGCAGTAATGTGTTCCGTAGCCTACATGTCAGTGACCAAGCTCACACCTTATATTCCTCTTTTGCTACAGCTTCAAAGCATCGTGGCTTTGCGTTTGTGACGTTCTCGTCCTCGGGCGACGCCCAGGATGCTATAGATAATATGGATCTCAACGAGCTACGAGGAAGAGTTCTCAAGGTAAATCTCGCAAGACCCATGAAGGGGCCATCCCAGATGTCTGGTAACCGCGCAGGTGCGAGCTCTACCGTCATCTTAAGGTTTAGCTTACTTCCTCCTCAACAATTGACTCTTTTCCGTTCATTCGCATAGTGTGGGAATCTGAGGAGTGGCTCAAGCAATATGCCCGTCCATTGGCAGAGAGTGGAGGTAGGAAGATGTTCTTCTATCTGCGTCATTATTCTCGGACTCTTTTCTGATGAACTGCACCACATCCAAGGTCTGCAAGGTCGCAGAAACGATGGCGAATCACCGGCTCCGAAGGAATCAGCTGAAGGTGAAGAAGCCGGAGATGATGATGGGATGGAGGAGTGATTCTTCAGCTTGTCCACTGGCTGTTTGTGCACAAGGTTTAGGTGGAATTCAAGACAACCACGCAGTCTTTCAAGTCTCGGTTCCTGACAGCGATACAACAGAAGCGTCCTGGAGAATTATACACATGGTAATGGTATCTCTGCGGCAGCCACTCTTTCGGAGGCACTCCCAAAATGCACAGAACGGTAGGACCAGTACTACGGTAAGCATACAATACAAACAGGTCATCGAAATCAGCAGACCTATATACACTATCGCCCCTGTTGGAGCGCGCTGGACTGCTGGATATCCGAGTCGTCAAACTGAGCCCTCGCACGCTTGATATCCTCCTGCATGAAGAGCAGTTCCTCCATTCGAGCCAACTTCTTCGCATCAGCTGGTCGGGACAAAGCTCTCCGTAGGTCTTCGATAGATAGCCGTGTCTTGCGTGTGGGAGCGAGGGCGCTTTGACACTAGGCAGAGTAAGGGTAGACGGCGGAGACATTGAAATGGTGCTCAAGGTTTGAGCAGGGAGTAGATAGTGGAGTGCACTCACAACGTCCGCAATATATTCCACTAAGATCTCTTCCATCACGTTCACGGTATCATTTGCTGGATTGCGGTCGTCTCCAAACCCAAACATCAGGTTCCTCACTACGCGATACCCATAAAAGTTCAGAAACTCAATGAAGCGGGGAAAATGTAACGATGAGAGAACGTACGCTCTTTGTTGAACAGGCCCTTGAACGTCGACCCCTGCTTCTTGCTTCCGCGACCAGTAGCTCCTCCATATGCCGCGGCAGTTACGCTTTCGCGCTGATATGTCGTGGGTGTATATGCACTAAACGTTGTCCTTGTCGGTGGGGCAACAGTAGGCACAACCGCTTGCTGAGTTTGTTGTTGATTTTGGGAACTGGCGGGCGCAGTCGCGGTAGATGCTGACGCTGCTGCAGCCGACCGTTGAGCAGCGGCGTGCGCTTGAGCGGCAGCATGCTGCTGATAGTAATGATGGTTATAAGCGTACGGCCACGCAGTGGTGCCATAGCCAGTCACAGCTGTTGTTGGATATGCGCTACCGGTCTGGTAGGGGTACGCGCCTGGGGTGGCGGGGTAATGGTACGCGCCGTATGGGTACGCTCCAGGGGTCTGTGGATGTTGTCCTGTTTGTGAAGGGTAGTAAGACATTTAATGGAATGCAACAACGCGATAGCTGAAGCTTGAAGCTGAAACTTTCGCTGTAATGGTAGAAGGAAGACAGAGGAGCAATAATAGTGGCGGCCATGGCTTCCAAGCGTGGTGACCTGACATTACGTAAGGTGTCCAGGATGTCTGGGCCACAGTGGCGAGTCACTCTTCCGCAACACCCTCGCCTGATTATGAGCACCATTCCCACTAATTCTTCTCGAGCAGCCACAGTGGAACTAAGTAAAACGGTACATACACAAGCTCTGAGAGAGGATACATGCTCAAGAAACATCCAGGTCAATCTCGTCCTCTTTCTTTCCCGCCTTCGCCTCAAGCTGCCTAGCCCTCTCCATCAGTTGTTTGATCTTGTTCCACTCCATACCAATCACTCCTCTCTCGTCCAACCAGTCCATGATACCATCTGCGTCAGTCAGATCATCAGGAGGCTGCAGGCCTTTCGAGAAAGCCACGCGAACGAAATGTGGCTTTCCACCCTCAGCCCTATTCCGCAGATCGTCCACTTCCCGCAGAAGCGAGTGGAACAGTTCGTACTGAAATAGAACAATACAGTCAGTTCAGTTCAACGTGGGTTCCAGAGGTCGAAAAGCGTGCATTCGCACCTCCCAATGGGACAAATTGTGGAAGACTTGAGTACGAGCGGCACAGAAACGGCCCAGATTGTATTCGGCCCTGATATTCGATTTAGATCGACGTCGCCAAGCGCTGTCGTGGACATCATCTTTTTCCTCGTCGCTGTCTTCTGAATCCGAGGTTTGACCTATTGGCTGAACATCCAAAGCCAACAGAATGAATACCATGTACTGGCAAAGGACCGAGATATCACGAACCTCGTAAGAGAATGGATCGTATCGATCACCGAGTACTCTTCCAGCAAACGTCGACAGTCTGCCACCAAGATGACAAGCATCACATTGGGGAACGGCAAAGTCTAGCCTTGTGAGGCTGAACTCTGAATAAGTGAGAAGCGATTTCCGAAACGCTGGTCGCCACACGGACGAAGCCACCGAAACGTCCCGAAGGCCAGAAAGTTTACGACGAGCTATCACCAAGGGTATCTTGAAGTAATCATTCTCTTTTGAAAGTGAAGGGGGAAAGATAAAGCTATAAGTTCCAATATCGCGCCGTGAGTAATGGATGCGCTTACCCTCAATCTGCTGCTTCATGAACGCCCCTCGCTCTTCTGCGGGGCGGACAGCTGAATGCACGAAGAGCTGACATATAATCTTGAAATGATGAATGAGGTCCTGATGGGTGTTCATGCTGAACTCCGTGGGTAGCATTTCGGAAACGGAGCCTTCGTCCTCCACTATCCAACTTTCTTCGTGGTCCGACCCGTCTTGTTCATCGTTGTCTTCATCACCTTCCGCATCGCTGCTAGCATCAGGTCTGGCGCCAGCAAACGGCGCATCGTTATCGTCATCATTACCTTCCTCACTACCCTCAGACGATGAAGAGGACGATGCAGCAATTCCGCGTTTCTTGCCTACACACAATATGGACCATGACTTTTGATTTAAAAAAATGCACGAGACAATAGAAGCCTACGTTTCATTCTGTCCAGATTTTTCTGGAACGCAGTTTTCTTTTGACGAGAGCGCAACCGGCTGTCGACGATAGCTGAATAGAGAAATCGAGCGCAATGAGAGATAGTGGTGAAGCGTATAATTTAGAGCGCACCATCTTCGTTGACTTCCTCCATAAGTTCCTCCTCTGGTGTTGGTGGTCGAACACCTTTGCGCAAACGCCGTCGTCGAGGCTGCTCCTCCTCGCTCTCCTCATCGCGAACTGGAGCCTGTGCCGCTGCTTTACCCTTTCTTCTAGCAGGTGCAGTCCTGTGTTTGGCACTATTGTCACTCTCGGAAAGAATCTCTATGTCCACGGAGGGTGAAGTACGGCGTGAGCCAACAGCAGCGGAGATCTTGGCTCGTTTGGGTCTTCGAGGGGAGCTCCCCTGGTTGTCTTCGTCATCGGAGATGCCAACACGTCGCGGCTCGAAGTGAATAGTCTCCACCACCTCATCACTACTGACATCCTCATCTTCTCCGCCTCCTACGCGTTGAGACGCGCGCTGGGAAGAGGCGACGCGTCTGCGCTTCTGACCAGCGCCTTGGGGAATAGGGGTTGAAGGCTCTGCAGCATCGTTATGTGCGACAAATCCCTCGAGAGTCTTCTGCTTGAGTTTGCCACTGGATCCTGAGGTATTTTTCCTTCGTGGTGGCATAGCTAATCGAAGTTATTGTAAGATACGAGTGCAAGTGCGTTTTGTGGCGAAAAGAAAAGAGTGGTGAGATTGGTTGACGCAGTCGACGCGCTTTAGGAAGTCGCGTGCACCCACGTGGCTTCGCGTTTCTAGCAGTCGCGTTTCCATTTCACTAAACTCCTTACAGTGCCCACTGCTTACCTTGGTCGCCTCTGTGGTTGACGGTGTTTGTGGACGGCTTACACCTCAACTACGAAATGGCACTATCATCTCAGGATAACCCCACGCTTCGTATCGATACCTCGGCGGTGGACGAAGACCCTTTCCGCTCCTCGACTGAGGGCCACCGTACTTCATCGAGCCGTGTTCGCGCCCTTAGTGCCGTGAACGCGATACCGTCACTCAGACTTTCAACCTCTCCTGTAGCAGAGAAGCCGCCGCTCTCACCCATTCGTCCATCAGCCTCATTCTCGTCGCAAAATGCTTCAGACGGGTCCCAGAAACTGCTCAACTACATATTCACCCAACTTCGCAATAGGCCCATGCCTCCGCCGTTGACCGATGTCATTTCTCCCTCAGCGGCACGGCCAAACAGGAAGAAGCCATCTATTAGCAAGAATATCGCTCACAAGCGAACCCTGACACTCACCAGTGATCCAGATAGTGATGAGGAGGATGAACTGAATATGGGTTTCTCCACGGACGCTACCATCGAGCTTATGGAAAAGCTGAGGGACGCTCTTTCAGTTGCTATTGCACAGAATGTTCAACTATTCTACGAGAGGTGAACTCGCCTCTAAACCCTCCATGTTCCTGCCATGACCTTACATAATCACATCCTAGTTCGTCCACCAGAAGAACTCCGCACCGTCAGGGTTCAGGCGGCGGTCGATTGTCCACATCACCCTTTCGAAGAAGACGACGAAGCAGCCTCACATCTCCTGAACGTGGCTCACGATCTTCTTCACCTTCGGATGACACTCACTTCCAAGCTCCGGCGCTGTTGACGCAATGTATAGCCATTTTGCATTCGGTCATCTCGGAAGATTGTCGATTCCAAACCACCAAACCGCGCCCCGGACGACCGCCGAATACACTACAGGCTATAACGCTTGACGTCGCTCAATCGCTGATCTACATGCACAGCGATTCCCCCAAGATTCTGCACGAGATTGGGTTCGCTCTGCTACCCGCGTTCTCCACCTTCCGAGTCGAAATGCATATCTGGCTCCTCAAATTTTTCGAGGAAGGTGTGCTGCGAGGGATGTTATATCAGATTCAGGACGTCCAAGGAGCCTTGGAGACGTCTTTCGACTATCGTCAAGGTAGGTTAATAGGTCCATGTCGTTGTACACAGTTGCTGAAGACAGAGAGTAGGGGACAATGCCGAGACACCGCCCATAGTTTCCATTCAAGTTGAGGAACCTCAAGACGATTCCGACCCCTCTCCCCGGACAGACAGTAGATGGCGTCCTTGGACATCACAAACGTCCGAAAAGGTTCAAGCGTTGATAGCCTCAAACGCACCCGGCCAGAAACTCGCTCTGTACCATCTAGCTTCTTTGATACCACCGCTGCTGGCCGCCCTGGTGGAAAGCGTAGACCTCAATTCATCCCATCTGGGGATACTCCATCGGTTCTACAGGTTATTCCAGATGATTGTCGACCTCAAACCGGATGCCTATCTAGACGTCTTGCAGGTCATCGCATATCACACCCCGAGAGCAAGACAAATCGCGGTCAGCCTCCTTGCGTCCTACTGGCCTCGAGCGTTGGGCCACGTAGTCGTCAGCAAACCTTTACCCACTCTGACATATGCCGAAGCCGCCTCTGGTACGAATAATGCTCGCCACAAAGCTCATCATCCATGGAACCATCCATACGCCCATCAATTCGTACCGTGGCGGTTTCTGTCAAACACTACGCCCGCTTTATTTGACGGATTCTCTTACCGAGATTGTCGTTCATGCTCGAAAAGCATCACAGACTTCGGGCTGTTATGTCCGTTTTGTATGTGTGCTGTGCACTTCGACTGTTACGATTATCCTGAAGGCAGCCTGATGTCGCAGTACACCATGGAGTCTGACACTAGCGTCCAGAAAGTGGCCGTTCATCGTTTTTGCCATCTGACATCGACAAGACGACATATGGACCCAGAGCTTGTCACGGGCCAGCGCCACAGTTTTAGACCTGTCAATCTATTCACGTTGTGCCTCTGTATGCTCTGTCGCAAACCTCTTTGGGGATGCATGATGCAGGGTCTCAAGTGCGATAATTGTAGGCAGTTTGCACATGCATCGTGTTTGTCCCACAGAGACCTTCCTCGATGCCGCTCCGCCCCCCTCTCCTCTTCTTCGATGGTCATCTCGTGGCCTGACCTGCGAGAATCATTTGCGTCTTACTATAGCGATCTCTTGCTTTCGGAGACCGAGATCAAACGACGTAGTTTCGAGGAAGCGTCAGTCTACGCTGACACGCTATGGATTCAGTCTCAGTTGCTGGAGAACGGTATCGCGCTAGGTTCCATCGTCATTACCGGGGACGATAAACCTCGTCGTGGCGAGGCCGACCCTCAGTCACTGTCGACTAGGTATCAATCCGTGCTGTCGAACGCTGACCTCTCTGTGTCGGAGGCCTTGGATGATTATCTGCAAGAAAACAAACTTCGCCCCTCGCGCCATTCGATTCTGTACGACTGGTCGACACTCGTATACATCGCGTCCACGATCAAGACCAACCACGAAGAGCTGAAACCCACGGTAGCCAGCTCTCCAGACCGACTGTTTGTACAACAGGCACCCCCTACGGCGGATACACAGTCAACGCCATCGCACCCTTACGAGGTCGTTTCTTTAGCACATCTTCGAGATGCCCTTGGCATCGCCTTCCAGCTTCACGCAGACACTTCGGCTCGACTTCTTTTGTCTCACCTCCATCACCTCGGCTTCTATGATCATATGGACGCACATGCCTCGCTATTCGAAGATTTCGCCCATCCCCAAACTTCACGATGCGTGTTTCCGTTGCCTCTGGCTCTCGATCTCTCGGTGGACGTCGAAACATTGATGTCCGCCATCGAGTCCTGCTTGTCAGATATCGATCTTTCCGTCAACGAGGCGGGCTTTCTACTCTTAGTGAGAAGGTGCTGGCCTAACGAGATGGCCACTCCGTATGCGCTTAAGAGGCTTGCTGGTGGCATCGTAGCGTGGTTGTTTGCAGAAGTCAGTGGTCTCTTTGATGCATGCTTTTTTTTTGCGTTATTCACCCTACTAAAATGCAGGATGATAATCTCGAGACAATCCTGCGAGACTTCGTTGCCCGAGGGAGGAGTCTTCCTGGTGTGCGGTCCGGAACGGACACTCAACCATGGCCTTCATCGGCCTCGCGTCCTTCCAACCGCGCCCATGCAGTTAACAATGGCGGCGATTACGTGGCATATAGACGTACTTTGCTCAACAAATATGCTGCCCGGTGGATGCTCGCTTTTCACGACCAGGATACTCAGTTCTACTCACAGGCTGTGTATGACTTGGTCATCGAGCTGAGTGAAGACGAGAATGTGAAGGACGATGTTCTGGCGAATCCCACAGCGGATCAGATGGTCAGAACTGCTCATTGTTTAGCTCAAAAATATATTGTGCTAATGGCTGAAGTAGACCCGTATCGCGTTCGCTGACAGATGTTTGCGTCGTATAACACGGCTCGTCCAAGCCGGCGTCGTCTTTACGGCCTTTGATGATCTTTTCATGAAGTGGCTGGAATCAGGCTCCGAACTTTGGAATCTACATAAGGTAGACTTCTTCCGTCTACCCTCACGATACTCTTGTTGACAAACCAACCCTTGCAGTCCATCCCTTCGTTGCAGAAGCTTCTTCAACGCGAGCCTGCGGACCAGACTCAACGTATGACTACTCTCCTGGACGTCGACACCATGACTGTAGTCGATGCCAAGCTGGCTGGAGTCGATCCATGGAACATCGCCTTCAGAGGAGCCGCTCGCGGAGGAGATGGCTTACGACAGTGTCTTCAACGTCTGAGCCTATTTGCCTATTCTTCTGTCGAGATCCCGCCATCGGTGTTTTTACAGTGTGCGACAGCGACGAACAAGTATCGTTGTAGTGCGAGGGAGTCACTCCCTCTCGTGCAAGCAGTTTTGGCCTCTACGTGGGCAAGGTCGCTCGGGCGTCAGGGCTTGATTGCTGTTATCACATCATTACATCTTCGCCTTGCACCAGACATTTTGGCATCGCTTTCAGTCGGTGAACAGCAGGAGGAGCTGTACGTGTACCTGATGTCTCTGCCCCTTAAGTGTTTGACAGTTTTTTGCGTTAGCATCCTGCTCATCCGATACTCTCTCGCTACGTGTCTACTACTGGCGGGGTGCGAACGTCTAAACCTACAGAAGGCAGGTTTCGTCACCGAAGAGGAAGTAGATAACCAGCTACCAACGCGGTAAGTTACGTTTCCATGTTGCTACGGGCTACACTTACAATATGTTCCCAGTACTCGGAAGCAGGCCGTCAGAGCATCTGCTGTCGACGACCCCATCGACTTTGGCTCTCAATTTACTTCTATTTTGGGAGAATATGTCCATACCCAAGTTGAAGAGATTGGCGTCCTCGTCGCCATGTTCATGCAGCTCCTCTCCACGGAATGCAGCCTCATCGAGTCATATGAGGCGGACAACTATATTCTGCGAAATTCCTCCGTATCGAGCGCCTGGCAAGTCCATTACTTTATATACTAGTGTTACTCGAGTCTCATGAATGACGAAATCAGCGCCTGGAGTTTTTATGAGATACAGCGCCATGAGCTTTCAGATATTCGACCTAGTGTTCTCCTTCGGGTTCTAGTGATTGATCCACAGCCTTTTGAGTCGATATTGCAGGCGTCACTCAGACCTGAAGTACCCTGGGAGCAGCGGTGAGTAAAACTGTTTACCGTTGTTGGATACCTCTGACAACCATGTGCAGATTGCGAAGCCTCAAACGCTTGTTCCGTATCATCTTGGATATTACAAACCCAAATTTCGACTTGGAAGACCGTCAGTGGAGATCAAGCATGATTTGTGTGTTCTATCACTTCTTTGCCTCCATGTGGACAGATCAACAGGTATGAAGGACTCCTCCTGGAATGGCTTGCTACTGACCTTCGTTGTAGGAAGAAAATCGAGTTTCTGTGGACACTTGGTCGCAGACGCTGCTACCTGCTCATTTCGAGGCCATGTCTCAATGTTGGGACGAAGCTCTCACCAAGGCTCCAATGGTAGAACGGATAAAGCTCGTCGCGTTTCTCACACAGCTTCGGCCTTATTTCCCATCTTGGCCACGTAAGATCAAGAATTGCTCTTTCCTGTATGACCTCACATATAAACATCAATACTTGCTTCATCAGTCATATCCTGGCGCACGATCATGGAAGCGTTACTTGAGGGTGATTTTGTCCAAAAGTATGGCGAGAACGGTGACAGTTTGGCTGCCACTCATACCGTGAGTTTTCAGCTTGTTTGGTGACTGTATGCTCACTAAACTTACTCCGCTCATGTACGGACAAAATTCAAAGACATCTAGCCGTGATCTGACTACGCAAACTGATAACGAGGTCTCCGCCATCAGAGTACGACGTCGCAGTACCACACACTCTTGCTCAACAATGCTGACACTTTATTAGGTCTCACTCGTGACGTTGAGCTTCAAGATGCTCGCTGATGGAATTCCGGTCGATTTGTTTACTCTATTGAAACTCAAGATGCAGGTTGCGCAAATACTGGGCTTCGAGGATGTGTCGTCAACTCCTTCTGGGGCGAACCACGGTTTCTTTGTCTCATTTGGCAGTCTCGATTCCGTACCCCTATACGCCTACCCTTGCATAGAAGAACTGCTCTTTGTCCTCGACGCCTCGCACCCCTACCTACTATCTCCTTCTGCGATCACCGGTGGAGTTTTCGCCGACGACAGTCCCCAGAAGCTCCTCATAGGCTCCGTATTCGTCGACGTTGTCTTATCGCTTCTCGTCAAGGCGAAGGACATATTGACTATGCCGTTCGTGACCGCCAAAAGTCTACTTCAGGCGTTTATGATTATCGTATACAAGCACGACATGGATAGTCGACCTTTGAGGCCTTTGCAGGGTGAGTTGAGGAATGCTGCTCGTCACGTACTGGATGTAGCTTCGGCGCCCGTCAGCTATGAGCTTCGGCAGCTCGCCATGTCTGCAACGCAAGCATACATCAAACGCTGGCGTCATATCGTTGGAATCTTCGTACCGTAAGCTTGCCTGCCATCGAGCTTCCGATTCCTTCTGACTAAATACTTGCGACTGTAGGGAGGCAGTCGAGAGCACCGCACGCCTCATCGCAGATCTAGGATGCGACAGGGAAGACGTCCTTTGCTCTCAAGCGATATCCTTCTTGCAGAATATCCTCTCCACGTCCGTATAAACTTGTTCTCCTGTACGACATCATCACTGACATCGCCTTGATGGCTTATAGGTTCTCCGAGCATGCTCTATTGATCACATTGTGCAGAGTAAGACTCATATTGCATGCGTTCTTTGCCCTTGCTGACAACGGTCCGTGCGCAGAGGAGGCAAGAAAGTTCTTTCTGGCCTGTGCTACGTTTCGTCATCGACTCGTCCTTCCAACAATCGTTGAGTATACGCGAATCACTCCTTCGAGATGCCCTTGCGCGCGCATCAGAGGCGGACATCGAGGCTATAAAAATCGCCGCAGAAGACCTGAACAATTTCGTAGAGGTCGTTTTCCCGCAAGGATATAGCCCGGAGTTGATGCAATGTATGTGCATTATAATCTCGTACCACATCTGTCACTCAAGGCTTCCTGTTGCAGTTGTTGGGCTCTCTCTTACCACCATTATCCGCCGGACCGCGGAATGGTCTGCCGACGCATTCGACCCCAGTCCACTTCTACTCATCGCATCCACACTGATTGTAAACAACATTGCACAGAGCCGCGTAAGCTTCTGACCTTCCAGAGTCCCATCATGTTCTGACCGTGTCTACCTTGATCTCAGGAACTTTTGACGTACCTGGAGACCATCTTGCGTGCTGTTTGCGTTAGGTTTTACATCTCACGTCAGAGCCTGACGCAAATCCTCCAAGTTACCTATGGCATCTATCGTCGGTCGAAGAGACAAAACTCTTCAGCAAATATTGACAATGTCACCATTGCCTGCTTGGAGATATTGTCTGAGGGGCTACGACGAAAGGCCAGACCGCCTGCGCAGACAATCGGTGCACTCGCAGAAGTACGTGGCGACATGGTTTTTTTTTGAAACATGGTTGCTCACCCATGACCATAGGCTATGATCTCTGTTTTCTCGTCTGGCTTTTCCGAGTATGATCTTGAGCTACGCAGTGCTCTCATTCGACTAGCAGACGATGGTTTAACATACCTGGCTCAACATTATGTTCACGAGGGACACGCAGAAACAGACTTCCATGCCTCATTCTCGGTGGCGAAGTTGATCATGCATGGCATCATACTTCTTCCTGACCTCATCAAGCAGAGGCTCGAGGGGGACACACCGGATGTGCGTCGAATATTTCTCCTCCTTTTCTGGTGTGCTCATGCAGATTCGTACAGAAATTGCCCAAGCACTTTATGTCCATGCGAGGCTGGAATATCCTGGTCCTTGCTGCTGTTGATAGCCCGTCCGCCATTCCCGGAGAAGCCTTGATGCAATACTTCCCCTCGGCATTTATGGCCACCTACCAAGAAGTCTTGCGTCCTCTCAACGGGGCTCAGGATACCGTCAATGTCGCAGCCACAATCAACCAAATCTACGCAGCTTTCAGACTCTGGCTCTTACTGGAAAAGAAGCTCTCGAGGGCGGCTCAGCAAGAAAGTCTGAGGGCGGCAACGAGTGCGCCAGTCGTGGTCACGAATACACGCGCGAATATGATATGGAATGAGTTGTGGCCGCCCTATCATAATCTGGTGACTTTGTATGTACCGGAAGGCTTCAACTCAGTGAGTTCATCTATGTTTTTTTTACGAGGCCATGGACTAACGTCTCCTCGAATAGCCGTTGGCGAGTGTGATATCGTCTTGCATAGCGGACCTCTTCATATTTCTACGACAATTACGGTCTTCGGTGAGCTTGGGGATCGCAGCGCAAGCCGCCGCCCTGAACGCTTTCAAAATACCAGGTCGCGCAGAGATGCCTAATAGCAAGGTAAATAGGTCAAGATACCTTATTGAGACTGATACTGATGCTCTGTCCAGCTGGCTCGTGCGCTTCGGAGTCTGACAGAACCTGCTCAAGAATTACCGTTCGAGGTCTTATTAGAGCAAACCACCAGCGACGTGATAGCGGCGGAAAAGCTCCTAGCACTGGAACCGGTGGCGAAGCGGAGGGAGGCCAGGCCGATGGGAGATAGACGCCAGAGGGACTCACGGACATTGAATACACAGAACACAGGTTTCTAGATTGTCCATAGATATAACTTATGGATTCCGCGGACATGGACAATCGTCAGACGAAGCAACGATGATGTAGAGGGTATTTTGGGGTGAGGGAATGTTATGGTGGTACATGAAGTCTCTTGGGGACTGCCGTGCTTAAGCAGTCCGAAGTCTGGCCTTTTGAGCTTTTTTCCTGTTCTCCTTCACTACAGTCGATCCAATGAAGAGGCCAATGCCGGTGAGACCGACGACGAGAAGGAAGGCGGGTAGACGAATGGCCCATTCCCGTGGAGGAAACAGGTCATGAATGGGACTTGACGCGTCGAAGAATGGCTGCATAGAGATCAGGTTGACGACGGGTTCAGTATGTAGAGAAAAACGCACCAGAAGGAGGGCCCAGGTGGTGTAGTAGATGAACACGAAAGCAGCAGCAGCCATCATGGCACCGCCCAATGCTTTGTCCGTTACTCCCTGCAGAAGAGTTGTGAGATGTGAAGAATACTATCGAAAGTGAGACGAACCATGATGTCGATAGTATCCGGTACTATAGAGGAGATTTCAAGCTTAAAGAGTGTAGTGAGAGTTATGAGCAAGTCGCAGAGGATGCGCCGGAAAGCCTTGATCGACGTGTCTATACAGCCGTGGGAAACTTGACTTCGTCGCCGGAAGCACTGGCCACAGAGAGACATCTCCTACTCTCAACTGCCATCACCCTCACATACTTATACCTCGGGACGCGTAATATCCCTGCAGCGAATGAAACTGTCTCTTGAAGATGGACTTCTTTCCGTTCGCGTCACTTGCGCACCTGCGTGTTCTCTTACTCCCCGTCGGTAACATCTCGCGGGCCACATACGATAAATGGGCGACCGAAATCAGGACGTTTGAGAATATGCGTCTGAGTGACATTCCTCCTGGAACGAAAGACGACAAAGGTGCGTAGAGACATTCTTAGTATAACTGCTTATTTCTAAGCACATAACTGTAGCTCGATTCATGCCTAGCCCCAAGTCGAAGGGCTACCTTCACCTAAGTTTCCCATCTCATCCACCACCCGGAGAACACTTCAGAATGTCCCTGTTCCGGCCTTCGCTCTTTCCTCTTGGTATTATAGGCATTGCCTCGTGCTCTCAAACGGATTCATTATCCTCCATACTCGCCGAATTCAATGCCGCCATAGCGGACATGTTCCCGCCTGGCTCCATGTTCCCTTTGGCGAAGAGCTGCTTCGTCTTTGAAGAAGGGGACGGCACCACGAATCTCAACCTCGGCGATCATCTACCAGGCCTGGTAATCATCCCGAGCATGATGGGCAACAAGAAGGAGAATATAGAAACTCTACTTGCCGACTTGTTGTCCAATATTCTTGGCGAGTTCTCTGTTGTGGTGCGTGCGTCAGCCTCCGCCTACTTCTAAGCCCGAACGCGTTGAGACAATCTCCCGAAACAGATGCAAACCCTCGAGAGTCCTCTCGGAAACGAATATCTGAACGGAACCGTCTTTCCACAACTGCCTTTGGCTTCTGACATGCCAAAACCATTGGTGGACGAACCGGACTCTATATCACCTCTGCCGTCACACAATAGTCAACCAGAGCTTGCCAGAATGAAGTCGCCAAACTTTCTCAAGCGGACCTCATCCATTGGTCCAGCACCGAATGCCCGACAGTCTGCCTTAATCGTACCTCGAGCACCAAAGCGTCAGAGCACCATCGGCGTCTCGTCAAACGCGGGGAGATTGTTCAAGGTCCTCGGAGACTTCTTCCTCTTAGCTGGACGTATAGAAGATGCCTCTATATGGTACTTGTCCACCAACATTACTCACGACTCCGTTAGATTGAATTGTTGATGTCAGGTATACAGAGGCCATCGTATTGTTTAAATCGCTACCAGATGCCGTTTGGCACGGTTCCGCTCTGGAAGGTCTAGCAATTGTATCTATGCTGGAAAGTTGGTCAGCAGGGCAAGGATTAGTTTGTCTCTATATCTTCCATCCTTTACCTAGACCTAAGCCAGTTGACTGTTTCCCTGATCATTCGTCTAGCAATCGTCGTTCAGTAATTCAAGCCTACCTTGGTCCGAGATCTCATCAAAATTAGAACAAGCCGTTGCGCTGTACACAAAGGTCATCCCATCACACGACGCAGACCAACACTTCGACTTGCTCGTCTATATCTACGTCACCGCAATCTTGCGACAGTCTTCCCTCTTGTTCGCAACTTGGTCCGCCAAGGGATGGGGTCCCCTCGCATTCACAGCGATGCTCCATCCAGGACCCCATCCTTACATCCCTCCCACTCTCTCCAGTTCTGACCAAGACATGTATGCCGCTCGCGAAAGACTGTCAACCACATCCGGCATCTCGCGAGTACAGGTCGCCACAATGCTTGCGCAGGCTCATGGGCCATGGTTGCTTCATCTCAGCCATCGCGAAAGAATCAATGTTTTGGAGACCATCGCGTCAATGTATTCCTTCCTAGGCTACCACCGGAAAGAGGCATATGTGCTTCGTGAAGTCATAGGTTGTGTGATGGATCTTGTCGTTTGCGGACGAGAAGAGGCCGGCTATGGGGATTATTCTCCAGGGTTTCCTTCTTCGGTCACTAACTCCATGAGTTTCGTGCGGGAAGGTGACAAGGGCGCGGTTGCAGTCAAGGAGACCGACAGATCGGATGGGAACGAGAGTATTTTCCGGCTGGTGAAGTACGTGTGTAGGGTGCATGGCATCAATTTGGAGGCCGTCAGCCTTTCTTCGGATACAGATGGGGAGAGCAAACCATCCGATGCCGATTCGGACGAGGGAATCATGGCTGATCCGTATGGATGGCCTGAGCTACAGATAGGTATCGTTAGGGAGGCGTTGGCAGTTGCTGAAGCACTTCCAGGTATGTTCACAGAGTGTCCGCGCGAGTTTAACCCTCTGATTTCATCCCACCTCTCGCCTTAGATCTTCCGGCTACGGCACAAATCGCCCTGTCTGCTCTTAAGACTTTACATGCTGTGCTGAGCGAAGATGATCAGATGCATTTCTATTCTATCTCCACTCGGGCATTGAATACTGCCCGGCGACGAGGTGACAAGAGGTCGATAGAGTATTGGTCTGGTCAACCTGTCGTTAGCATTGAACTCATGCCGTACGTTCTCATGTTGTGGTTGTTTGATATTTTCCACCCATATTGGTTCTTATAGATCATCGCCAATCAAAGTTCTTGTTGAGAATCCGGTCTCTGTCTTGACGCCGCGACAGGAGAAGGGAACCAGCATTCTTACCGGGATGAAGGACCCATTTCTGTACAATCCACGGAGGTTGACCTCCTCACAGGTACTGCAGTTGCTCTGGTCGATAAGATGAGATAATCGCTCATCTTACGTTTATTCATTAGGGCCGTACCTTGGTTGTAAGAAACGAGAGCCTGGAGTTCGTCGTGACATTGCGCAATCCATATATCTTCGACCTTGAGCTACAGAGTCTAAGCCTAAGGTTGTTTTCCGCCTGTTCTGCTCACCCCTAGCCTACTCACATCATGATTTCTATCACAGTACTTCTGGCGTTCCCTTCGAATCGTTCCCCATCCCCGTCATCGTACCCTCCAACTCCTATCACTCTGTGACCCTCACCGGCAAACCCCTCGAATCCGGCACACTCACAATCAAAGGCTGTTTCGTCCAAGCCTACGGTAGCGCCATTCGCGAGTTCGTCATCCCGCTCGCTACGCAAGAAGAGGAGGACAGACGATCTAAACGCCGGAGCACGATCGCGCTCGAGAGCGGAAGGTCGAAGTATGCTGGTTTGGATTCGAGGCCTTGGGAGAAGAGCGAGAAGAGGAACAGTAGGCAGCAACAACAACAGCAGGGGAAGGGGACGGGGGCGGGTGCTTTGTTGAGGTTTGTGGAGTGTAAAGTCGTGCCGGAGCAGCCTTTGTTGAGGATCAGATGGAGCTCGTTGACACATGGGGCTGTCATGCTGTACGATGGAGAGAAGTGAGTGGGCTCGCAAGCTTCTCTGTCTCAGACACTTCTCATCACTCTTGGCCTTTTTTGCAGGTCTACGATCCGATTGACGCTGGAGAATGTGTCGTCATTGCCCGTTGACTTCGTCCGCCTTTCGTTCGAGGATTCTACGATTCCTCCAGCACAACAGGCACTGGCAGAGGGCGAGATGTCCGTTTTCGATACTTATGAGACGGAATACGAGCTGATCAGCCGGCCGGTATTCGCCTGGGACCACGAGAACGAACAGAAGGACGTTCCTCCGGAGAAGAAGACCACCGTCGTCATCCAATGTCTGGGCAAAGCAGGATGGTAAGCTTTCACTCGTCACCGTCTTTGAGCTCCGTATTGGGTATTCACCGATTTTGTCCTCATCCTCAGCACGAGCGGCGTAATCCACGTCGCCTACGGTTACGTCAACCGGCCACAATCCACACTCCACGAACCCGCCGAAGTCTTCCACACCCGTCGACTCTCCTATCCCGTCCTCGTCACCGTCTACCACATGCTCGAATGTCACCACATGAACATTCTTCCTTTCAACCCCTCCGACGGTCTGCCCACCCACCTGAACCTACAAGATGGTGAAGGTGAGTCTGGGTCTGATTCAAGACCGCAGTTGAGGAAGAAGTTGTTGATGGCGGAGGAGGCGAGAGAGGGAGAGGAGGATGAGGCAAAGTGGTGTTTGTTCAGTGTAGAAGTGAGGAATACGTATGGGCTGCCATTCGAGGTTACATTCGATAGGGTGCAGGAGGGGACGCAGAGGGTCTCGACGACGTGTTCTGTCCCGCCTGGGTCTACGACTCGGTAAGTCATACGCCCCCTATCATGACCATACATCGCCATTTTTGTAAAGCTGACACTTGGCACCCAATGAATTAGTGTTATATTGCCTGTTAAACAGTTCTTGTTACCGGAGGAGGTCGTCACACAACCGATCCCTACGCTCTCGGACAGGCAGTTCGTCGTGGCGAAGACGAATCTTAGCTCGAGCGAAGAGAGAGCTCAGCGGGAGCTGTTCTGGTACCGCGAAGAGTTGTTCAAGATGGTCCGAGGTCGGTGGCGAGAGGTTAGCACATGTCATTCATTTTACTCAAACCGATTCTCACAGCCGTTTTATGACATTTATGATGTACGTGAATGTGGACAGACGGGTGGCACGCGTTCAGGCGACCTTTCACTGCGACAGCAGAGGATGTCATTACCTATGCTTGAACGTCTGCGTACGGAGACAGTGCGAGTGAAGATGTCGATGTACTCTCGCGTTGATGAAGACGACCGCGAGGACGCCTGGACGGAGGTGCGCAGGGTGAAGGACAAATACATGCCCACGCCATACGACTTCGTATACCTGCGCACCCGAGTCACGAATCTCTCTCGTACGTCCTTTTCAGGTTGGTGTCTACCACAGAGAAATTGATTTATATCTCCGATCCTTCTATTATCCAGCCAACCCATTACTCCTCGCGCTGGACCTTTCCATCGACCCATCGGAACACGTCATTCAGGAAGGGATATCTTCCGGAGTGCCCGTGGGTAGAGTCAAGAGTGGAGAGACGAAGGAGATCGAGACGCCACTGTGCTTTGTAGCTTGTGGACGGTTCGAGATTGGGGCAGAGGTGAGGGTCGCTCCATTGCGAAGAGAGGAGAGGTCGTATAGGGTCGGACTTGGACGCATGACTGCGCTTGTTAGGTTGGAGGATGATGAAGAGAAGTGATGTCGATAAATTATTGTTTGGGGTCTTGTACTGGATTTAGCATTGTACCACCGCATTGCTGTGCTCTAGTTTCCGCAGGCTATGGGTATCTGGAAGGAGTCGAGTCGCAGGGGTATTTGAGAGGGGCGCAGGATACGGCAGAACACAATTGATAGCAAAGAATCCGATACAGCAGCCCTTGTAGATTAATGTTTCGAACAAACAGTCCTCACCTCCACAATAAAACACAAGTATGCACCTAGGTGCACTGTAGCATCAATCGAATTCCGAGTCATCCTGCTTGAAGGCTGCTGAGTACATCATAATCGTGCCATACACCAACCTGTATGCAACGCGCAGTATTATAAGCCTCCACGCAGCAGCGAAGGAAAGGACAGAGAAGAGAAGCCGTGTAGTGAGAATGGGACTCACGATCCGCCTATAATCGACATGGCACAAGCCCCTGGCCTGATCACTTCTGAATGCGCGAGTACGAGTGGAAGTGCAAAGCCGGTGACAACAATCATGGCGGTAATGAAGCGACCGAGATCGACTGGTCCACCGCCTTCGCTGTAGTCTCCGAATTCGTCACCGCCGCCGCAATGAGAGAAGAGTGTGTTAGGAAGGGGTGCGACGACGAATGTGAGAGCTGTTTATTCCGTGAGGTAGCATAGAATGCTTGGTTTCAGATTTGAGAATATGAATGAAGAGGTGATTGGACGCACCGACGAGGAGAGGAAGCCAGTTAGCCCATAGTGCACACGAGAGGATTATCATCAAGAAGCCCACGGCGAGCACGAAGGAGAGGAGGATGACGGCTGGAACACAAGATTAGTGTGTGTTTCATAGCAACAGTGAATTCAAGTACATACTCTTGAGACCAGCCGCGGCCATGGTGAAGGTATGCGAGTGGGAACTGTGAGTGAGGTGTGTTCAAGCGCGTATTTGTGCCACCCACACGTGGCTTTTAGCGCGCTCGTTGTCGAAGCGGCGAGGTTCGGAGTTTCAACTTCGATCTTTCTTCCTTCTCTGTGGCTCCAGCAACTTTTCTGCCTCTGATCAGTGCTATCCATTCCCATCCCCAGCCCGAGTCTGAATTGGCTTCACTTATTGCACTATATAATAGAGGCGGAAGGGCGGGCTACAGCAGCCATCAGTACTAGTCGTGCTCGTTGTCGAGGCGGCTAGGTTCGCGCTTTCAACGCCGACAGTTTTTGCCTTTGCATGTTTTATGACCATCTGCTCGACTCATGATACCTTTGCGTATAAGTTACCAAAACGAGGGGATGGATAACATGGAGGTATATAGTACCGTGGGATCTACACGAAAAAGAGACTCAATACAATGGCAGTGACGAACGAGCCAATAAACAAGAAAGTACAATACATTCAAACAGCGTCAATGAAATATCCAGATATGTAGAAGGAAAACACGAAGGAAAGACTAAAACTACGGCAATCCGACAAACAGGCAGGTATCACATCACCGATCACCGTGCTCTTCTCGACCCCCGCGCGACATGATTACTGCCCGCCGTCGTCGGTAGGCCTATCTTCGACATCGTTCGTGTACGCATCTTTGTCGGTGCCGGTATCGAGGGTACGGGTGCGGGTGCGGGTGCAAGTGCAGGTGGGGGTGCGGGCGCGGGTGCCGGGACCTGAGTATGTGTCGATGTGGGCGCGAAAGCTTCAGAAGAATCCGATGTAGACGAAGACCCCAAAGAAGGATTAGACGAAGAGAATAATCGCTCGTCTTGCTCGACCTCTTCCTTCTGCGGCACGACGACTAGATCCTCTGGTGTCAAGTCCATCTTCGCCTTCGAAGTCCTCGAACTCGTACTTGACGACACCGAGCTGCCCAACCCTCTATACGACGCCGGGACCCTCGGCCTCGCCGTCTCATCTTCCTCATCTTCGGGCTCTACATCAGGTTCCGGAGATATCGGTAATGGTATATTTTTCAGGTCCTCGAGCGAAGGCATCCGTAGGCGCTCCAATTGCGAAGGAGCTCGAGGTCTATTCGATTTCCATTCGCGCAGGAGGTCGTCACGCGGTCTGGTAAGGTCCCACTCGGTGGCAAATTCGATCGTGCGTTTACGAGGCGTTGTACCCGTGGGTTGGTCGTCTCGAGCGCCTTGTTCGATGAGGGTGTGGGATATCTCGCGGAGGGTGGACAGGCGTTCCGTGCTGAAGTTGAAGTGATTCTCGATTGTTGACGATAATTTGGATGTCTGTAATGTGAATGATCTTTCAGCTTTGGGTGGAGGAGCATGAGACAGATAGAGTATACGAACCTCGCCGACAACACGGGTTGCGTTCGATTCGATGTTTCGGGAGGTGGAGGCAATGACGCGTTGCGTCTGTTTGGATCCCGACTGCATGTCGACACCCATAGCGTTTGTAGCCTCGATGCGAGCTCTCTTCGCGCGGCCATGGCGCTCCAGGGCTGGATATCGACGTAAGTCTTTGTAAACAAGACTCAAAATTGGCAGGGTGACTTACCATCCGCAGTTGTAACATTGAGTGCATGCGTGTGTTTCTGGATATCTTCAGAATATGTCGAAAGCGAAGTGGAGAAAGAGTTCTGAACGTTCGTCAGGCCGTCCTTGACAGTGGCGTTGACTGAGCTGAGCGACTGAGAACCACAAACAATCATAAGAATTGGATGCGTGTAGACAACACCTAAAAGCAAGCTTACCTTGAGTGCACCATCCCTCAGCCTCTTCCCCTCCCCTCCCTTCTTGCTCAACACAGGTGCCCATTCCTGCCCTCTCGTCACGATACCCTCCACTTTCTTCCCATGATCCTCCCCAAACTGCACCATTACTTCCTCTCCCCTCTCGTTACCTTCTGAAATATCCGTCACAGCCTCTCTCAAACTGCGATCCCTCTCGTTCACGAATTCACCGAGCAGGCCCGAGATGCGTTTGATGAGGTCATCCTTTGCGCGTTCCGATTTCACCTTCTCGGTCTCGAGGAGACTGACGAGATAGGCGTTCTGTTCTTGCAGGCGACGGATTTCTTCGTTAGATGCGGCTGAGGCAAGGAGTTGAGCTTCTTCGGCGGCTTTGCATTCAGTCTCGATGTGGTCCTGGGCTTCACGGATGATGCTCTCGATCAGCGAAGACATGCCCTTAAGCGCTTTCTCGACCTGAGATAGAGATACTTAGAACAACGAAGAACTATTAACAGTTACCAAACGGGAATATCTCACCAGCTGGCAGCCGTGCATACTTGTCTTCTCGACCTCGGCACAGAGCGACGCGTTTGACAACCTGAACTTTTCAGACCAGGTCGTAAAGCCAGTCCGAACGCTATCGTGCGCCTCTTTCACCGCAGATTGAACTACATTGATGGCTTCAGCTGAAATTTCGTCCTTGGCCTGAATGGTCTGTAGAGCCTCTTGCACGCGTTGCATCTGCTCTGCTACGCGCTCAGAGTAACTGGTCAGCGTCTCGAGCTCTTTGGTTTGGTATTGTTGGGTATCGGTCGAGACGCGGGTGGCGCTGTCGGTGGTGGACTTGACGAACTTGTCGAGCTCCGCAGTGAAAGCTTGGGTTTCGGCGGTCAGAAGCTTGCTCTGAGTGAAGACGGTCTTCGTATTTGAGTCGAAAACAGACGATTTTCGGCCTGAGCCCGACGGTCAACGATTAGTAACAAGGAATTTAAAGAGATAGACCGATGAAGCCACATACCCAACTTCGCGAAGAGGCCCTCGATGTCAATCCGTCCCTCCTCAGCGGCCCTCTTCAGACTGAGCGCCACGACATTCAAAGCAGTCTCAGAATCCTGGAACGCCGTCCTGACCACGATCTCCTCGTCCAACGCCCCCTTTGTATCTCTCAACTCTCCTTCTCTTACCCCCAACAACCCCTGGGTCTGCACTAACCGCCCCTTCGTGTTCCTTAAGTCCTCGTCCCTCTCGTTCAACAACTTCATACACTCTTCGAACTCCTCCCTCACTGCCCTCATCTGACTCCCGATAATCTCCACCTGCCTCTTCGCCTCCTCCATCTCCGTCCTCGCCAACTCCTGCTCCGCGCTCATCTGGTTCCAAGTCTCCTCCGCGAAGAATATGCCGTTCTTCTCGCGCGCGGCGAGGAGGTCGGCCTTGAGATGTTCGATTTCGGCGACGTATTCTTTGAGAAGGGAGTTTCGGCTGAGACGTTGATTGACTTCCGGACGGTTGCGGATGGACTTGGCACGCATGGCGTAGTCGAGGGTGGAAAGAGTCTCTTCCATGTTGGACCGAGCGGGAGAGATGGTGGCGATGATGCAAGTCTTCGTGCGGCCTCCGAGCGAGTCTTGGAGAAGACGGGTGAGTTTCGATTCACTATATCAAACCAACAAGCAGTTAGCCACCATTTTTGGAACGGAAACACGGTAGTATTACCGATATGGAATGTGAGAGCCTCGTTCAACAAGAGCGTTGATCACTCGACCAAGGGTCAACAAACTTTGATTGATCATTCCAGCCTCGCGCGCGCGCTTGTTCTCCGCACCAGACCTCCCGATGTTCTCCGAACCAGCCAGATCAACGAGGTTCATCTTCCCCACCCTCAACAGATCCTCACCCATGCTCGATGTCTCCTTCGTATGTATGGTGATAGAAAAAACGGAATGTGAACGACTGGAGTGGTCGTTGAATTTGGTGGCGGCGATCTGGCGACGGTGACTACCCTTGACGAGCAGCGCCAACGCATCCTGGGCATCCTTGACAGCAGTCTCCTCCAGACCCTGAATAAATACGCCCTTCTTAGCTGCGTCGTCAAAAATCTTGAGTCCTCCCGCGGGAGGATTGGTATCTCTGGTGCCCATTCCCATCGGCTGTATGGACCCTGCGGGTACGGAAAATTCTGAGGCGAGGAGGTCCCGAAGCTCTTCGTTGTAAAGTTCGACGTAGGAGATCTTGACGCTGTAGTCTGCATTGGAGTCTTCAAGTTGGTGAAAGAGACGGAAGAGAACGCGAGGGATCATTCCTGCTTGGGCATTGGGATTGCCCATCGGAGTCGTGCCGAGGTCTCCCTGCATGGTATATCTACAGGAACCGATTATCAGGACGCAAACATACATGAGGCGACGAAATACGTACGTTTTACCAGTGCCAGTTTGACCATACGCAAACAGTGTGCAATTGTAGCCCAGTAGTACCTCTTCTAACATAGGGCTCACGACCTCTTGATAAATCATGGCCTGATCGGCCTCAGGGCCAAACACGGCATCAAATGGATAGGTTCTTGTAGGCGGTAGAGTAACGACACCGAGTCCAGTAGAAGGTGAGGCCGTTTCAATCGTCACAGATTGACTCCGAGCGCCAGACGTTGTAACGATGATAGGTGAATTCTCCTGCACCTCGCGGTCCGACCGTCGTCTACAACGCATAACGACCTGGATGTGAGATTCCGAATCGTCTCGATGTTGTGATTGAGCGAGTTGTGATCTGGACTGAGAGCCCTGCGCCATTGTGGGGGGTAATATGGATGATGTTGAGTCAAAAGCATCTTCTGATGGAGTACTGAGGCCTGAACGAGTGCTGGGCGGTTTCGCGATGATAGAGCGTGGCCTTGAGGCGTGCGAGGTTGTTCCCGATGGTGGACCCATCGACTGCGACGTCAGGGGGCGGCTACGAGGGACACCCGGTCGTCGGGTCGCCATGTTGTTATCGCTGAGAAATAGGACGAGTAATTAGCGCTAGGTAGGGGCGGGACTGGGGCGGGCGACGGCGACGGGCGAGAGGAAGAAACGTGAAGACACAGGGAATGGCCTAATCGGGCGAATAACTCGTTCAACCTCGCTACGCGGTCGCCACGTGACGGCGTTTCAGCCACGCGAGCCGTTGTGGCGCTCTCAGGTATAGGCCTCCTCACGCTCACGTACCTCCATCACGCTCGGCGTCGACGATGGGCAAACGGAAGAAGTCCTCTCGCAAGCCAACTGGCCCAAAGAAGAAGACCCCGCTTGGTATATCTTTGTTTAGATACTGTCTACGTATTTGTCTAACGTATCACGGCACCTATGCAGACACCACCTTCACCTGTCTCTTCTGCCACCATGACAACTCTGTAACAGTCAAACTAGACAGAAAAGAGGGTATTGCGCAGCTCGTGTGCCGCGTGTGCGACCAGAGGTACCAAAGTAAAGTCAATCGTGAGTGATCCTTCGCTTTCGCCACATTGCTCTCGAGCTCACACTTGTACCCACAAGACCTCACGGAACCGATAGACATCTACTCCGAATGGATAGATGCTGCAGACGCAGCGGATAAAGAGCAGACTACTCCTCGCCGTCCCGTAGCATCCTCCAGTAGACCAAGACCTGCACCTCCGTCGATAGGCAGCGATGATGATTGATTGGTACCTTGGACCACCATTCTCCAGTTTTCGTTGTTTTTACCTTTATCAAATTTCATTTCCATCGTCTCACATCGCATTGCATGTATTTCCTACGTATGATCAGCCTGATAATGCTATTTCGCACATATCGTAAACGCTTTCCGAGCATATAGAGCCTCGCCACTTCGGCTGAGGGTGTATGCTGAGCAAAACAAAGGCAAACAAGGTCCACCACACGCCTTCACGACAGACAGGCTTCGTGCCGTTTCTGCATTGTCCTCACCAGCAACGGTTGGTCCTTCTTCGGACTCTCCAGGACACGACCACATCACCATCGACCTTTTAGATCTCTTTCACCTCGGCTTGCCGCATCTCTTCTTTCTCTGCGTCTTTCATCGATACACTCACCGTCCCGCTAGGCCACAGCGCCTCTCGATAGACCTTACGCGTGACGATGGCTTCCAACATCAAGGTCATCTGTCGGTTAGTATACTGTCTTAAACGGACATCGCGTGCCCGGATCCGTCAGGGACTAACGGACACTCATTGGCGTGCTGTAGATTTCGACCTCCTAATTCCATCGAACAAAGAGAAGGCTCTGAGATCGTAGTGGCCTTCGATGAGAACCTGCAGACCGTCCAACTGCGCTCGGCGCAATTAGGCTCAGGACCAGAGAGGGATGGTTTCACATTCGACAGGGTGTTCCCTATGGGGACGAAGCAGGAGGAAGTCTTCAACTACGGTGTCAAAGAGTACGTTTTATATTGCGCGGTCGAACGTCTACTGCTACTAATTCGCGCCACGGCTTCATAGTATTGTGGCAGGTTAGCACATCTTCTGTAATTTACCCGACTGGATGCCTCTTCTATCCTGCTGACAATGGTGTGCAGATGTATTGGATGGTTACAATGGAACGGTGTTCGCGTACGGTCAGACTGGTAGTGGAAAGACATTCACGATGATGGTGCGTTTATCGACCCATCATCTGTCCTTTTTCGATATTCAAGATGCATTTAGGGTGCCGACATCGACTCGCCCGAGCTGGCAGGTATTATACCACGTATAACGGAACAGATTTTCCAGTCTATCGTCGAATCGGACGCGCATCTAGAATATTTCGTGAAGGTTTCGTACATGGAGATCTATCTAGAACGCATCAGGGATCTGCTTCAACGTGCGTATATCGCCCCATCTGTCCACATATAACACTATGTTTGGTCTAACGGATATCGATGGCTGACGCGTCGCGTGGCGGTCTGACGTCTCTAGCGCAGAACGATAATTTGCAAGTGCATGAAGAGAAGTCGAAAGGTGTATACGTGAAAAATTTGTCGGATTACTATGTCAGCAGTGCGCAAGAGGTGTATGAGATCATGAGGCAAGGAGGCGCTGCTCGAGTGGTCACATCAACCAGTGGGTGATTTTCTCTGTGATCCCTCTCATCCGCGTCCTCTATCGTCGTGATGTTTACGCATTGTATACGCAGACATGAATGCCGAATCTTCACGGTCGCATTCCATCTTCCTCATAACTATCAGTCAACGGAACACAGAGACAGGGGCACAGAAAACGGGTAACCTTTATCTCGTGGATTTGGCTGGTTCGGAGAAGGTAGGCAAGACTGGTGCTTCCGGTCAAACCCTGGAGGAGGCAAAGAAGATCAACAAGTCTCTCTCTGCCCTCGGTATGGTCATCAATGCATTGACGGACAACAAAGTACGCCTGTCTCTAGTAACCCGTCCTCAACCCGACTAACATATTTCACTTGCTAGATCAAACACATTCCTTACCGAGATTCGAAACTTACGCGTATCCTCCAAGAGTCTCTGGGTGGTAACTCCCGAACAACCCTCATCATCAATTGTTCTCCTGCCTCCTACAACGAAGCCGAAACCCTCGGTACCCTCCGATTCGGTATCCGTGCCAAATCCATCAAGAACACCGCACGCGTCAACGCCGAACTCTCCCCCGCCGAACTCAAATCACTCCTCCAGAAGGCGAAAGTCGCGAACGAATCCTACTCGAAGACCCTCGCCGCCCTCGAGGCCGAGCTCGCCATCTGGCGGTCGGGAGGCCACGTCGATCCCGCGGACTACGCCAGCGCGGAGAAGGCGCAAAGTGGTGCCGCACCACCGAAGAAGACTCCCGCTTCGCCTACGCCATCGACGCCTGCTGCTAGCAGTAGGAGCATGACCCCTGTCAACCCGGTCGTGGAGGGTCTTAAGGAGTTGGACAGCAGGCCGCAGACGCCTACGGTTGTTGGGCTGGATAAGGATGAGAGGGAGGAGTTCTTGAAGAGGGAGAACGAGTTGAGCGACCAGTTGGGTGAAAGGGAGAGGGCGTTGGAGGCTGCCGAGAAGTTGGTGAAGGAGTTGAAGGAGGAGCTTGCGTTCTTGAAAGAGCAGGATGCTGCGTCTTCTAAGGTGCGTTACATTCTTCTCGAGGGTCGTATATTCGGATTGCTGATGTGGATGGCACCCATTTGTAGGAGAACAAAGCGATGTCGGCTAAACTCAACGAGCTTCGCCTGCAACTCGAGAGGCTCGACTATGACAACAAGGAGAGCGTGATCACCATCGACATCCTCAAGGAGCAGAACGCTGATGCGAAGAGCGAGCTTGATGAGTTGAAGAAGACTATCGCCGAGCTCAGGTCTTCTCAGAAGGACATGTCTACTGAAGACAAGGAGAAGCGCAAGCAGGAGAAGATGGCCCTCATGATGGCCCAGTTCGATGCTGTGAGTCTTGTTTCGATGTTTAGCCTCTGTACGCATCTCAAACGTTTGTCCGTTTCTCTAGCAAGGCACGTTTTCCGAGAAGGATGAGCAGCTGCGACAAATCCTCGCGAAGCTTGACACCATTGACTCTGAGACTGGTGTTTCGACTCTGACCGTCGAGGACATTACCCAAGTCAGGAGACAGCTGGCGGAGGGACAATCGCTCATTCGTGAGACTGTTGACCGTCTGAGGCAGAAGCAAGAGGAGGGCGATATGACGACGAGGAGGAAGGATGAGCTGGAGAGTCGGTTAGCTTCTCTGGAGGCTGAGTATGAGGAGCTCCTCGGTAAGCGCTCATGATCCTGGAGTGATGCGCCCCTTGGGTACTGATAAGATCCCCATCGACAGAGAAAACTATTCACGACGAGGAGACGAGCAATGTCGACATCGGAGAGACTATGGCTGAGCTTAAGGTATGCCGTCATTCCGTCTTTGTTGTGGCACGAATCCCTCAACCAAGTCGTTATCTACAGAACAAGCTCGAAGCTCAGTATGCCGCGAAGCGTGATGCCCACGTTGGCGAGGTCGCAGATCTTAAGCAACAGATTGAGATGAAGAGCAACGAGATTCGTAGCCTGAATGCATCGATTGACAGTCTCAAGGGCGTGAACGAGGAACTTAAGGTTCGTGCTTCTCAGCAATTTTTTTGTCACACGCCTCTCGCTCACCTGAACTTTTCAGCGTGCGTTTGCCGTCACTTCTGCCGGCATCGAGGGCGGGAAGAACCTCGCCGAGAGTGCTCAAGATCTCGAGCGAACTCGCAAGGCTATCAACGTTCAGCTCGCGGAGTTCGATGGTGTGAAGAAGTCTCTCATGCGTGATCTCCAGAACCGTTGCGAGAAGGTCAGTATCACACATCCCTTCGGTTATTTGATAAGTTTCTTACCATATTTGTTCATGATGTGCATAGGTTGTCGAGCTCGAGATCCAGCTCGACGAGATTAAGGAGCAGTACAACAACGTCATCCGTAACAGCAACTCCAAGGCGCAGCAGAAGAAGATGGCCTTCTTGGAGCGCAACCTCGAGCAGCTCACCCTCGTGCAGAAACAGGTTCGTCCGCCTTCCTCCTGCCTCCCTTTTATCCTCGATCGGTCTCACTCCGTCGTAACGACATTTAATTGACGCTTTGATTTGTTGCAATTGTCTCGCAGCTCGTGGATCAGAACTCGGCATTGAAGAAAGAGGCCGGCATCGCCGAGCGCAAGTTGCTCGCTCGCAATGAGCGGATACAGAACCTCGAGGCGCTCTTGCAAGACGCGGATCGTCGACTTGCCATCCAGAACCAGAAGTTCGAGGCGCAATTGACGGCCGTCAAGGACAGGTTGGATCAGGCTCGGGGTAAGCTCTCCATTCGCGTGGTCTGTGTTGGTTTTCTGCGTCCTGATGGGCATTTCGTATCTTCACAGCTCAAAAAGCTGCCGCCACATCGTCTCTCAGCTTCGGTCGCATTGCGAAGCCACTGCGGGGAGGTGGAGGTGCGCCCACTGCCGGGGGTCCTACGCCTATCTCTGGTGGCCAGTCGGGGAACCCACTTTCGAGGCTACAGAACGAAGAAGGGTAAGTCTCCGCCTGTTCATCTCCGTTACTTCTTATCCTTATGATCGTTCTCTTGTGGTTTCAGCTCTGGCAAGCGGGCATCTTGGTTCTTCAATTCACGATCATGAGCGGTCGCTCTTGCCCATGTCTGAAGATGTGTCCTGCCCTCGTCGTTCGCTTTGAGTTCTGCCTGCTACATTGACATCGCTGGTCCTCACCATCCAAGTTACCCATTGCTGGTTGTACGCTGTTATACTACATCTACCCACGGCCAGGATTCCTACTCTCGTTACAGCTCCATCCCATCTTCCTTTCCATTCCCCGCTGGATTCATATAATTAATTTGCCTCTACATACCCCATCGCCACCTCGTGATCTCTTTTCTCCTTTTGGTTGGATTGATATACGGTAGGGCCGGAGGTCGGTATCCTTTGCCAGGAGCAGCCTGGGCCGCCTGTTCAAGTAGTGCCCTGAGGGGGTCACTCTCAGGCTGAAGAGTTCGTGCTGAATTTGAGTGAAACGGTGACGCCGACGGCCCAGACAAAGATGATTTCCTTCATAGTGGTTTGTACCTGCCAGGTGAAACTTTCATCTGAATCTGTATAGCCAGCAAAGTTCCAGCGAGAAGTCGATGGGTAAGAGCCCCGGTGTCCTCTTCCGAAGTTAGAATGGTATCTCGTGCATGAAGTTGTGGCCTCATGAGCGGCAGTGAGCCATGGAGCCGTCTGATCCCCGTCTTCCTGAACGAGAAGAAGGTGGTACTTACGCGGGGTTTCGAGAGGAGCAGGGACGAGTACGGAAGAAGCGATTCGAAATTGATTGAGTAACGCGGCGCGGGGGTTGGCGGATGAAAAAAGGCTCCGCTGGGGGAGGCCGAGACCCGAAGGTTGGCGAGAATAAGGACAGATCGGGAGATCGACCCTCCGTCCACGAGGGCGCTTCCGCCACCGTGAGCATCAAAAGTGTATCAAAGACGCTTTCTGATACAGCGGTGGTTCCAAAGAAGCTGCTCACGGGCCCACGCGGACGGCGATCTTTGTTGAACTGGAGAAAACCGGGAGGACTTTGGAGCGTGAGGCGAAGCGAGTAAAGAATTGGGGAGCAAGAAGGACCAGGAGAATGCAGCCTGAACCCGGGCGAGACGGAAAGGCGGGAGGGTGTCTGAGGAAAATGAGGAAGTTCTCGAAGCGGGATGATTGGCTTCTTTTAGGTTGGGAAGCCAGACACGGAGACTTGGGCGGGGCGGTGAACCATCGAGGCTGTGCGCTCTTACGACGCGAAGCTTCCGTCAACGGGCGCTTTCGACGTACGTTTGCGGAGGCAAATTTCGGCCTACCCGCCATATTGTCCATCAATTTCCCCTCAATTTCCATTCTCTTCCTCGGTCTTCCTGACGCGTTCCCTTTACGCGTTCGCATCGTGGTTGGCTTTATTGCCGGTCCTCCTGCTCCTCCCCCCGTCACTCATTGTCTCTAGTCCCTTTTGTTCCTTTTGTGCACAGTCTCTTTTCAACTATTCGTACACTCCTCCTACTGCTCCAACAGTACGTCTCTCTTTCTCCTTTTTACGCATATTTACGGCCTATTGTCGTCATCGCATCACTGCAAAGGCTACCGCCTTTCAAGAAGTCAATGCACGAGTTAAACACGACCTTTCTTGCCAGCCTAATTTCATAAACAAAAGCCCGTAAACTGCTTTTAATTTTCGAAACTTCTTCTCGCTGTGAGTGCGTAATTCACCCCCATCTCCAATCTTGTATCTGAACTGCACTCGCACTTCTTCTATGACAGTCCTTGCCATGGCCGCCAGTAGTGACCCTACCTCTCGCAAACCTTCTGGCTCGTCCTCTCGTTCTGGCGGTCACTCCCCCTCCGGTTCACCAGGCGATGTTCGTTTCTCGAAACCTTCTGATCTGCGCCTATGTCGGTCTGACGACCCGTCGTGCTATTCTTTTTAGATTCAAGGCCAACGCAAGCACACAGGAAACAACATGCTAGGAGTCGGAATGGGTACGCCTAGAGGATTGAACAATGGCTGGCAGGTGCGTCCCTTTGTCCGACAGTCTCTTTCCGTCCGGTCTCTTAATTACTTTCGTTATGCAGAGCTGGGGGACGAACACTCCATACAAGCGCGGTGCTTCCATCTCCTCCGCTGCGGGTGTACTAGAACTTTCGAGTGTGCAAGGAGACGGTAACCACAGTTGGGCTTCGGCGCGTTCGGCGAGTGGGACTTGGGAGGACGCGAACGGTAGCCCTCAAAAGGCTGAGTACGGACAGCTCGTGAGTCCACTTTTTCTGCGTCCCAGTCGGATTTCTTCATAATTTTTCGTTACGCTACAGAGAACACCGCATAGTGCTGGCTTCCCGAATACTCGCGTGGTACGTTCGACTTCGCGCGTGAATTCGTCATAGTTCTTGGTAAGGTAACATTTACATAATTTGCAGGACGACCGATCGCCCGGTTTAGCGAAGCCCAGTCATTTCTCTCCGCAACGTTTTGACAACGGTGTAAATAAAGACTCTGCCGTTCCTCGCTATGCCTCTGCGGCCTCTCCCCCCTTCGGCTCGTCATCTCCCTACTCCGGCCAGCAAGCCCCGCAGAACTCCACCGTGGCTTACGATCCCATGCAGACCTCGACCATCGTCGAGAATGAGCTTACCCTCGGCCTACGTGGCATGGCCGTCGAGGACGACTATGGGGCTGCTCAGCAGGGCGGTGCGTACCGTCAACAGACCTCTGGGAACCAGCCTTCCTCCGCTGGCGGGCATGGCCATCCGTCACTACCACCTATCCGCGCGCCGGTTCACATACAGCAGTCGCGGGGCCCATACAGCGCGTACGGACAGGCTGATTATGCCCAGTACTACACGGGGCAACCCATAGGTCAGTACCCTTACGTGAATTGTGTGTACACTTGCCCATGCTGACCGCGCTATCGTAGACCCTTCCGTTTATGCCTCGTCGTCGGTGAGCACCGGTACATCCCCAGCGAGTGTATACAATTCCGTAAGCCTCCCCTCTTTTCGCATGATCGTCGGGCTTGGCTTCTGATGCTAACACGTCTTCTATATTACTATAGCCTGCGATGTACTTCGACTACTCTGGTTCAGGGAGAGCCCCTGTATATTATCCCGCCCAACCTATGGTATATCATCGCGCTCCCGCTATGCCATCGCCCATGCTGACCCCGCAGCTTCCCGCCGCCGTGCCCGCAACGCTGGCGGACAAGAAGCGCGAGATGCAGGTATATAATTAAACTTTCGCTTGTGTGATCCGCCGGTCCACTCACGCGTATCTTAAATGCGTAGTACAATGTTCAGCAACACCAGCAACTGTCGTCGCAAGGGCTTGTCTACCCAGGACTCCGGTCCTCGCCCTCGCCACATCAGTCGTATGCCCCTGCTATCGACTACGCGTCTCAGATGCCTTTAATGCTCCCTGGGGCTACGATGTATGGGGGTGTCAATGCTCAAGCGATGCACATGTACCATCAAGGCGTTAACCCCGGCCGTCGTAAGGAACACGGTGGCGTCGCGTTGCGGAGTCCTTTGTTGGATGAGTTCCGCGCGAATAAGGCTCGCAAGTGGGAACTCAGGGTGAGCAGCGTCGGTCTACATATGATGCGCCTTCCAGCGCTGATCCTCGGCCGCCGCCCTAAATAGGACATTCAAGGCCACGTTGTCGAGTTTAGCGGTGACCAGCACGGTTCTCGTTTTATTCAGCAGAAACTGGAGTCGGCCTCTAGCGAGGAGAAGCAATTTGTGTTTGATGAGATCGTTCCGTCCAACGCACTAGCGTTGATTCAAGATGTTTTCGGCAACTATGTAAGCCGCGTTTCTCTTGTACTTACTCCTCTGCATTGCTAATATGATGAGATACACAGGTTATTCAAAAGCTATTCGAACATGGCACCCAGGTGCAAAAAACTGTATTGGCTACATCTATGGAGACCCACATCCTCTCTCTGTCTCTGCAAATGTATGGTTGTCGTGTTGTACAGAAGGTATGTTGTCCAGTTCATGCCAGAAGCCACGAGCCTCCGTCTTGAACGAGATTCTTCTTCGTGACTTAGGCCGTAGAGTATATACTGCCCGAGCAGCAAAGTATATTTGTCAAGGAACTCGAGCCCCATGTTCTCCGATGCGTCAAGGATGCCAACGGCAACCATGTAAGTTCATCTACTTGACACTGCCTCATGCCCGTGTTGATTTGCTTCCGTTGTTCCGTTGTGATAGGTTATTCAGAAGTTAATCGAGCGCGTCGCTCCGGAACGCCTCGGCTTCGTCCCTTCTTTCCAAGGCCACGTATGGGAACTGTCTACCCATCCGTACGGGTGCCGCGTCCTGCAACGATGCTTCGAACACCTTGCGGAGGATCAGACTCGCCCATTGCTTGAAGAGCTTCACAAGCACACGCGGAATCTGATGCAGGACCAGTTCGGGGTGAGTTTAAGATGTTGTTACCGCACTATCTCCGCCTAATCTTTGTCTATCGTCTACAGAACTACGTTATCCAGTATGTTCTCGAGCATGGCAAGCCGCAGGACAGGAACTTGATCATCAACCAGCTTCGGGGCCAGATGATGGCGATGTCCCGTCACAAGTTCGCCTCCAACGTGTGCGAGAAGGCCCTCGTCACCGCGGACTCGGCCAGTCGGCGACAGCTTATTGACGAGATCATGGTTCCCCGCCACGACGGTGCCAGTCCTATCATCACCATGATGAAGGACCAGTACGCTAGTAAGCTCTTCCTTTTTTTAAGAAAACACCGCATTCTGTGCTCATACAAGGCTTCTGCAGACTACGTCCTTCAGCGTGCCATGGTCGTCGCAGAGGGTGACCAACGCGATGAGCTCTTGAGCAAGGTCAGGCCTCAATTGAACAGCATGCGCCGGTATTCGACCGCATACAGCAAGCATCTCACTTCCAGTACGTCTTATATTAGCCCCCTTCATGGGTGGGAAATGTTGCTGATTTTCCTTCCAGTCGAGCGCCTGCTGGAGAAGTGCACCGTTAAAGCTGGCGGCGAGGCTCCTCGCGCTTCAGAAGGTACCGAGGCTGCCTAATTTTTCTTCTTGTTTTCGCTCTGTCTCGTCGATGGCTTCTTCCAATTCTTGCCGCTCCTCGTTTTCCGTTTGTTCGGCTTACTTCTCGCAATGCTACACTACTGCACTTTCGTTTAGCATCTCACTCGCAATCTTGCTCTGCAACATCTCATCACTCTTCATAATACGCTCCCCTTCCTTGTCGGATATCAACCTGCATACATACGAACGCTGGACAATTTCTCCTTCGTTCCTGGCTTCTTGGATATTTCTCCACTCACGTTTGCTCGCTTGCTATCATACTTGGAATCCGTTTAGTACACCCTGTTTGTCTCGCACATCGTTCATTGCCCGCATCGTCTCAACCGTACCGTATACCTTATTGCTGGTCGCACATCGCATTGACATCCACTCATCCCATCTATAATATACTAGCATCCAGTTTTACTGCTCTCCATAATGATATGAGTGAACGCCTCGAGGCGTAGATCTGAGAGGTTGAACAACTTCCGAGTCGAGGAGTTCTGCTTCACGCGGCCGGAGGGCTGATGTGGAGGGTATGACGTGAAGAGTGGAACCAGATTGGATATACGTGTCACGCAAACTACGACAAACAATCGTCAAAGTCGGCGGGCGCGTTCTACGAGCGCGTACAGAGCACTCCCGGGCCCTGCCTCTTCACTCTTTCGTCGTCTTCTATCTCTTATTGAAGGTCGACGCACCCATTGACGGGTTCAGAATGTCTGGCGTCGAAGCTGCTGCCTCGCTTTTCGGTTCGGACGACCCCGCCTCAGACCCATTCGGGTCACTCGGAGGAGGAAACAACGAAGTCGCTGGAGAGAGCGCCCCCCAGCAGCAACATGGCTCGGTATCTCAACAGCAGGAGCAGGCACCTGGTGCGGCAGATTTGTTCTCGGGGGGCGACTCGAGTTATCCAGAATTTGGTGCCGTAGGAGGCCACAGTGGCCAACAGGATTATTCGTCATGGCCTACTGCAACGCAGGAGGTTAATGGATACGATCCTCAGGATTATTACCAAGCTCCCGCGACGACAAACTCTGGATACGTCGATGCCCAGGCGTCGCAGGTCGGTTATGGTGCGTTTGTTCTTCGTCTCATGGGAATGAAGCCGACTGGTTATTCCAGGAGCACAACCCCAAGCGGAATACTACCAACCACCTCCAACTGTCAACAATGTTTACGCCCCTTCAATGTACTCACAGACGACCTCCAATTCTGCGTATGGTTACGCTGGGACCAGCGGCTACACGAATGGTACTTCGGCACCATCCCAACACAACGAACCCACGTCTACGTATGATCCCTACAAACCGACTACAACTCAAAATGTCCTCCCTGTTGTCCCCTCTACGCCTTCATACACTCTGGCATCGTATCAACCGTCATTTTATACTCCTTCAAACTCGTACGCACCAGCGGCACCGTCGTCGTCTTACGCACCGGCACCTGCAACATCGTATGCGCCCGCTACTACATATGCTCCGGCTACGTCACACGGAAATGCCTCCTCGGTTCCCTCACGGACAAATGCGCTTTCACCCACGTATGCGCAATATGCTTTGAATGGATACGCCACCCAGCCAGTAGCTCCGCCCTCTCCCAAAGCCGCAGAGGTCTACCGTCCAAAGACGTTGAACGCCTATGATCCTCCCATTCCGCCACCGAAGGTCAACAAGCGGAGCTCCAGTTCATACCGCTCCGGGTCGCCTGCTGTGGGTCAGCAGACATACCCGGCAGTGTACCAGTCGAATGGACCAACTTCAGTCCCTCCTCCACCTCCTAGAACCAACTCGGCCATGAGCCACACGTCTACTGGATTCCACACGAATGGCTTGACTCCACACGTACCGAATGGAGCTCCTCCAACCCCTTACGGACATGTTCAGACTCTCCCTCCAGCCTCCGTGTCGTCGAGCAAAATAAATCTCCCTCCCCCTCCACCACGAGGACGCTCCCCGAGTACTAATGTCCACGCCTACTCATCCATGAAGGCCCACGAAATTCCAAATTCTCCTGAGCAACCTCATCTAGCTCCTCCGCCAAATTCCACGTCTTCATATGCTCCTCAGGCATATTCACAAACTACTCACGTAGCACCTTCGGCTCCTCCAGTGTCGTCTCACGCTCAAGATTCCTTCGGGTCCCAAGACTTCGACTCTACTTCGTTCTTCAACAACTATGAAGCTAAGACCGTCTCTTCATCGACGTCATGGGCAGCAAGTGAGGAGGGTGAGGAGCCTACTGGCCAGTCGCAGTCTACGGAATATGGCCACAGTCCCTACCCTGATGTTGTTTCTGAGGAGTCAGCCACGGAGCTCGGTGCTTCGGACGATATTTATGATCCGGAAAGTTCCTACGACCCCGAGGGCGCCCTGCAGATGGACGAACAGCACTCCCTCACGCAAACCATAGAGACGAATCCCGAAGTTCAGGTCACTTCTGCGACTCCTTCGATCAACAACTTTCACGACAATATCGTCTCTAGTTCACCTCCGTCTTCCTACAACGTACCGTCGTCATCGTCGTCGTACAGCTATGACCCTTACAAACCGGACCCATCGGTTATTTCAGCATCTTCGTCCTCCTCATACTCGATCTCAACATCACCGTCAAATTCTTACGGAACTGCACACGTACACGACCCGTACCAGCCGAGCGCGGCTACGTCGAAGGTATCTTCACCTCCGTCCTCAGTGCGGTCCAAATCTCCCGGCGCCGTTTCTGCTTATACTCCATCGCGAGGAAGCCTAGAGGCCGCGAGGAGCCTAGCGTCGCCACCTCCGCCGACTTCGTACGACCCATACCGTCCTAGCGTTAATGGTGGTCATTCTCACGAATCGAAAGTGCATAATTCGACTATGTCTAGAGTCTCGTCCCCAAGCTCAATATCCTCTCAGGCTGTGCCAATCCCTAATCCATACGCGCCAAGCTCTGGTCCACGGCAGCGGTCGATGTCAAATGGATCGGCATATTCCTCGTTCTCAGCAACTGCCCATAGTCCTTACGGTAGCTTTGCGTCCCGGTCGAACCTCGCGGAAGCATCCCATGTCTCGTCTATGTATGATCACCCGACTTCCAATGGAGGACTAGATGTGTCGTCTTCTTCGGTACAGACCTTGACTGCCCCTGTTTACACGGCCTATGCACCATCGCCCTCACTTCTAGGAACCAACGATCCATTAGGCCGCATCGCAGGACGTGCGCCTTTGATCAGCTTCGGGTGCGGGGGTAGATTAGTGACGTGCTTCCACGGTTCTTCCACTCTGAACACCGGCTTCGATGTCGCCTTGTCTTCACGGCAAACCACAGGTGTTACGGTCAGGCCTTTGCATCAGATCATACCAGAGTCTGCTCTTGGAAACTCGACGGCCTCGTTCCCTGGTCCATTATTCTGCGATCCCGGCTCTCCAACGGCAACCTTGGCCATCCGCCCCGGAGCGTCCGCACAGACGAAGGTCAACAAGGCCCGCGTGACCAAATATCTTGAAGATCGTGCAGAGGAGATGTCTCGCGGACTTGGCTATCTCACGCAGGGTAGTGCTGAACGGAAGGAGGCCGAGGGGAAGTTGGTATTGATGAAGCTTTTGAGGATCATGGTAGAGAATGACGGTCGCTTGGCTGGCAGGTAATGCAGTTCCTCTCTATCAACAGGGTTTGCGAAACTGATCATCAGTATATACGACCAGCCCCGATATCGAGCAGTCTGTACGAGTAGCACTTGTCAGTCGGCTCGCCAACTCCGCTCTCAATGCCTCTGCGAGCGGCGGAGGGTCTACGACCTCAGCGCTTTTCGCGGGGCCTGGATCAGAAGGCTTGCCTGTTGCCTCAGACCTCGCTTATCCCTCGCTCGGCCTTCCTGCTGCCGTGGATCCCAGCGATACGATTCTGGCCACTCATACCGTGAAGGCATCGTCTTTGGACAAAATACAAGACTTCCTAATTCGGGGAGATCGTCGCCAGGCTTATCACTACGCTCTTGATCAACGGTTGTGGGCGCACGCTATGGTCATCGCGAGCAGCATTGACAAGGATGCTTGGAAGGAGGTTGTCACGGAGTTTATCAAGAGCGAAGTCGGGAGTACGGGAAGTGCACCGCTGGCTGCTCGTGGTAAAGATGCGCCTACGACGGCCATCAGTGGGCGCGAAAGTCTCAAAGTGGCATACAGTCTCTTTGCTGGCCAAGGAGCAGCAGCTGGTACGTTCCCTGTCCTTGATTAATCTTTGTCACAAAATCTTAATTTTCAACCCTTTCGGATAGTCAACGAGCTTGTGCCTCCCAAACTTCTCCCTCGGCTGGCAGACAGCTTGGCCGCTCCGACCGCAGCGACGGCACATATGACTCCCCTCTCTCCCAATTTCCCTGCGGCTTCGGTCACGAGTGCCATACCGAGTGAAGCTTTGACGAAGTGGGCAGAGACGGCTGCTATGATGATCCCGGGACCTTCTGCCGCTGATTGCTCTGCGGCTCTAATGGCGCTAGGCGACTGTTTGCTGGCCAATCAATGGGTGGAGGCTGCTCATGCCTGGTAGGCTCGAATATTCTTTTTTGGTCAAGATTCGCTACTAACACTCACTGTAGCTACCTCCTTGCACCAGGAGCCTCCGTTCTGACCGGATTGGGCTCTCCCACCGCACGAGTACCTCTACTTGGCTCGAGGAATAAGCTGCCCAACTTCCATGTTGACCAAGACCCCATCATCTTCTCCGAGATTGCTGAGTTTGCTATTTCTTTGGCTGCGCCTCAGAAGGGTCAAGAGGTGTTCGGAGGCTTTGTTCATCTCCAGCCATACAAACTCATTCGTGCTGCATCGCTTGCTGAAATGGGCCATATGCAAACAGCGAACAGGTATGTCGAACGCTTCTACTGAGGGTGACGATTATTCAATTTGTTTGCAGATATTGCGAAGCTATTGCTGCCACGCTGGGCCGCACACCATTAGGTCAAAATCCTGTTCTGCTGGAGCAGCTCAAGGGTCTTTCGGATCGGTTGATTGGAGCGCCACAACTGGATAAAGCTGGGACGTGGATGGGCGGTAAGATGAACCGACCGAGCCTGGACAGTATAGGAAACTGGTTGGAAGGACGGTTCACCAAATTCATCGCAGGAGATGGCGAGGGCCCCCCTGATCCTCAGGAGGAGTCAACAACCACCCCTTTCTCCCATTTCAGTACGATTTCGTCGACAGCATCGTCGACCGCTTCGTCACCACAGCCGACGCAGATGAACTACAATGTTCTGCCTGGATCACAACAGTATTCAAGTCTTGCCCCTCCTCGAAGCGGCTCTGCACAGGCCACTCGAAAAATTAGCAACCCCCAACTCCAGATCGACCGTGCTTCGTCCGCAATGGACTATCGCCCACGCAAATCGTCGTCACCTGTGCCTCGTATCGCTTCAGCCAGTGCTGCTACGACAACGTTCCAACAGGCTTCGTATGGTGCATATTCTCCATATGGCCATATGAACGGTTTGAGTCCTCTGCCAGGCATCAGCGATGACCCTTCCGAAGGCGCGGCAGAGTCCGCGGACGCTGGAACTGGTGGCGACGGCAATACGGCTTCGGCTTCGTGGTGGGGTTCCTCCTACACCGAAGACTCGAGCGCTCCCACGCCTACTGCTGCGTCTTTCCATCAACTCGAACCCTCTGGGGCTTCCGATAGCTCGGGCTTCGTCTCCCTCATGGATGACCCCGCGTTGTCAGTGTCGCCGTCACCTGTTCCTGCACCGCCGCCTGCGAGCAAGTCGTCGCTGATGACCCATATTGAGGAAGAGGACGACGACGATCTCGGGTTAGGGAATTCGACGGGTAGACCGAAGCAAGCTGAGGGCGAAGGGGCTGGGGGGTCAGGTGCTGCGGAGGATGCAAAGCCAAAGAGTGCTTCTGCTCCCGCCAGGCCAGGTGTGTTGTTACTGAACGGCTCATTCTACGTCCTACGCTAAAGCTGAATGTCTATTTATAGAACTGAAAACGGCCGAGACTGGTTCATGGTTCAGCAAGTGGTGGAAGAAGGAAGGAGGCCCAGTCAAGGCAACGCTTGGAGAGGAGAGCAGCTTCGTTTATGACAAGGACCTCAAGCGTTGGGTGAACAGGAAGGTGAGACTGCCAACTATCTTCCTAATATATGGAGATGCTGAACGAAACATTTTGCAGGCTGGTCCAGAGGCAGCGAAGCCGGCAGCCCCTCCACCACCTCCCTCGCGTTCCCAGACGGCTTCTCCAGGTCGATCAGGAGCACGCATGCCTGACGGGCCACCTCAAGCAGCCCATGCGCCTCCGGCACGGTCTGCGTCCGCGATCGACTTGACTTCACCTCCCCAGGCTCGACGATCGCTCAATCGTGTGCGCTCGAACTTGGTGCCGGATGATGCTGCGCCACCGCCACCTGCTAGTCCGGGCATCCTCCCGCCGGGAACGCCTCCTCCCCCTTCCTCGTCATCTGGGTCGGGACCACCTAGTCGTGCGACGCCGCCCCCTGGGACACCCGGGAGGCCGAAGAGTCAGGCGTCGAAGAGGTCGGTGAGGAGTCGGTATGTTGATGTGTTCCAGCAGCCGGAGGCATCATGAGTCCGTGATTAGGGTTTGAGGAAAGTGCGAGTGTCTCGGAATGCGCCTGCTACTTAGAGAACTCCATGTTCAGTAGTAAGTTTTTTTGGATGGAAGGGATTGGTTGTCGTTAGGTTTAGGTTGTTTCTTCTCTGTTATGTATCACCTATTTTCCGCTTGCGTCGATATCGGACCACAAATTTGTTTTTCTTTGTTTCCTTGTTTATCCTCTTCTTTGTCCTCATTCTTCTTGTCTTCTGTGCGTGGATATACGCGTGCTCTTGAGGCGTGGCACGGTGCGGGGTTCAGTCTCATAACAGCATACGTATGCATTCATTCTGTCGCGTTCGCATCGGACAACAATAGATAAATATTGCTTTGGTGTTCAGTTATATTTATTCGCCGCCGAATCAACATGCGACAAGGAGAGCAAGAGCCCGGACATGAAAGCAACATCCTTTAGAGTCTGCTTCCACTCTTTTCGTCCCGGTAGCTCAGGGAAGTAAGATCCTGAAAGGATACCCTGCGTGGAAAGAATGTAACGTGAGATGATGATCTTACGGCGAGAGGATAGAGAGAGTTTACCTCGGTTCTTCATCTTGAAGAATGATACGAGGACGGAGAAGAGGATCCATATGACGATTGTCCAGAGGTAGAACTGGACCTTTTGGCGGGTAGGGTCAGTTTGCAAAGGAGTGACCAGGATGAGCATGAGGAACGCAATCGAGAGGAGACCGTCTATAATTCCACCACGTCACGGACATCAAAGTCAGCGTGTGTGACCCACGACAGCAAGCACAATAAAGCTTGAACTCACAGAGCGCAGAGACGACATAGACCTCCTGGCCGTACTGAGACTGGAAGCCACCAGCGATCCACTGTCCGTTCGCGGCCGTCATGGGCATACCACGGATCTGAGTGAACATGTAGCCGGAAGTCATGATCAGAACGACGGAGACAGTGAAGATAGCCCAGGTCCAGCGGCTGCGGAGGATGGGGGCAAAGAAGCGGATGGTCAGAGCGAAGGCGAGGAGAGAGCTGCCGAAGGTGACCCAGGCGGCCCAGTTGATAGGGGCACGGTAGGGGATTGGGACGGGGGTGTGTGCGGAGAGCTGGTGGGCGAGTTGTTCGGCGCCGAAGCCACTGGTAATGGAGGCATTTAGATTGTGGGGTATGATTGCGTTATGGATAAGACTTACTTGGAGAAGTCATAGGCCGTGGGGGTGGATTTACCGTTGCCTGGTCGGCGAGGACCTTCAGTAGCGGGGTAGTTCCAGACTACAGGCGCGGATTGAAGCCCAAGCTAATATATGAATGGATGCTTTATTAGCTGGTATATGATGACAGGCCAGTAAACCTACTTTTTGGAAGACGGTAGGTCCCTCGTCAAAGTCGATGGTCGCAAAGAAGTGGTTGTCCCTCTCAGCTTGGGGAGCGTTCGTCCATGCTTTGGCAACGGAAGCAAAGGCAGGATCGAACTCTCTGCGACACGGAGTAGATATTGTTGGTCAAATGTATTCCAATGCCTCAATCTATTCAGATACGCACTTGCAGGGAGCACATCTACGCTTCTTGTCCAAAGCCGTGAACTGTATGGAGGAAGTCCAGTCGCGAGTTGGGGTGGTGAGGAGGTCGAATACTTCGGCGTTGAGTCTGATGACGCCGTTGTTGGCGGCAGCGAGCTTGACAAGGGTATCGTGCGGTGATTGCTTTGCTGCAAGGACGGAAAGAGGGACGGCGAGCAGGGAGAGCAGGGGTAGAAGGAACATGGTGGCTGGATGCAAGACGCGCAGTGGCGACACGTCGAAGGGAGTATGGGACGCGACGTGGCGAGCGTGGCGACTTGGACTTCCGGCGGTCTCCTTCACTCCATCTCTCCTTCCTGATCATTATGTCTGGCCACGGTCTCCTCTTGAGATTGTTTCTTTCGCCGTCTTTCTTCTCTGTCCATGTTGCTCTCCGCTACTTGATGATATATTCCGATAATATCGGCATCACTTACTACCTCACCCGCAGGCTCAGGGAATTCACCATCGAGGAGTTGAGCGATGTATGGGGCTTTGTCTGGTCCGTATCCTCGCCCAACCGAAGGACATGATATTATTTACCAGCTTGGATTTAGTCACCTTCTTGTCTCCCGACCCTCCAAGTCGCGAGCACTCGAATGTTTCGTGTCCGAAATTGTTGGCAAGTCAACTCACGTCGCTATGCTTGTATGTACCTCGACCGCCCGCAATATATCCGTTTAGTTGATTCCCCCGCCAGACGCTGTGGTTCATGCAGTCTTCTCTGAGAGACCTCGATGGCTCTCACAACAACGAATCTTTCCTCATTTGCCAGCGAGCACTGCTCATGTGCCACGAACTCATCTTCGGAGACCTACCCCCGCCGGCAACTACTCCCTACCCCAGCCTCTTAGCCGCCCCACGATCTCTCTTTGCTCGCAAGAAAGTCAAGGCGCATATGCCTCCAGCTGTCGTTGGTATTGGTCTTGTTCTTGCCGGTGCATCCGGGTTGCCACAGTTGACAGAGACCATGGGAGAGGTTGCTGTCGAACAGGGTCGCATAGATGACCAGGGCTCCGAGCTGAAGAGTCTTCAGCGAAACGACGATGACTACGCCCATAACAGCACCAGACGACCTTCTGAGCAGTCTACAGACGACGACGACGAGCCTACCACCCCTACAACTGACGAACATGCAGGTGATCAGACCAAGTCCTCAAAGAGTGCGACATTCGATGGGCCTCCCAACGGTCTGCCGGCACCCCTCTCTCGCCGACGTTCCTCAGGACCGTCACAGACTACACCCTCACTTCCCCTGCACGTGCGTAGGAAACCAAGGTTCTCAGACGACCCGCTTGGCCAACTGGATGCGTCTGTTCCTGTTCCTGCTCCCGCCGCCTTCCAGTCCTCACCAGCGCTATATATGGGCACGTCGATGCGCCGATCTACCTCCCTAAATCCCACCGACGCCCTGCTAAGCAAGTACGACTTGCGGTCGCAGGTACAGCTTCTCAGGAGCCATTTCTGTCGCTCAGAGGTTTGTTCTATTTTTGGAACCCTTTGCCACGCAAGATTAACCTGAGAAGCGCCGCAGATCCAGTTTATTCTGAACTTGGAGAACATCTCGAACAGGCTCCTGGTGGTACCGAGACCTGCTCGTGTGAGTGCTCTCCGAGCAGAACTCACGGCCCTCAATCACAAACTGCCCGCGGAGGTACGCACGGCTCGCGACATTTTGGAAAATATATTTCTAAACAGGTCACAATGTTCTAGGTATGCATGCCTATGTGGTGCACTTGTACCGACGCTATTCAGACGCCACGCGTTATTCCTGCGCCACACCATCGAATCGTTCGAATACCTCCAGGCGAATGCGTTGTGCTGAATTCAGCCGAACGTGCACCATACCTTCTGCTCATCGAAGTACTCAACGGAGATCTAGACTTCGACCCAGCCAAGCGGACTAACAAGGATATTTTACAAAAGATCGTCACGAAGGAGAATGAACGAAAAGGAGCCTCGCGAGATCTCATACCCTTTAGTGACAATCGAAGAACACAGTCGATGCCTACAAACGGAACCCCTGGTCCTCTTGGTCCCGAAACTCCGGAGCTCTCAGACGGCCCATTCGTCCACTCTTCTGCGCCACAGAGTCCAGATCAGTCACTTGTCAAATTGGCCGACGACGAGGAGATCGACCTGGTCGAACAACTGTATGGTCCTGAGGAATCTCTACGTTCGCGCAATATAGACCTCTCAGATTCCATCGTCCTCCCTCCCGCACTGAAGAACAAGGACTTGGACATCGCAGCCTGGTCCCGATCTTCCTCCATCCCACCTACTCCCGCTCTTGAACAAGGAGCGCCTTTCGTCGCCAACATATCATCCGCCGCCACGCTCACCCCAAATCACATCCAACGGAGTTTCTCGTCACAACCTCCCTCGCCCAACCCAGAAGCTACTTCGCCCATGCCCGGAGGCAAAGCATTATCTCTAGATGATTATTCAGAGAGAATGCGCACCGCGGCTGTCATGCTAGCTCAACTGAACGCCAGTCTCGTATGGGATGCAAACCCACCAACAGCGCCGAACCTCAATCCTATGGCTGGTTCCATGCCTGGGTCCATTATCCAACCGTCCGAAAGCTCGTCAGGGCCTTTAAGCTGGCTACCCGTGACGAATTGGTTGTCTATCACACCACCTTCGCCGATCGGTGTTAGTCACGGCGCTGTACCCTCGGGTTCGGGTCCCGTCCATCCATCACTAGCCCCCAACCCACCGCAAGGGCATGCGCCCGGAGCTCCTCGAATGAAACTGCAACCGGCTGAGGCGGCCGCCATCCGAGACAGAATTATGAAGGAGATGTTGGCGTTGGAGGAAGAGAGGATGGAGAGGATGTTGGAGAATAAGGACGGTGAGGGTGGTAGTGGCAGCGGAGGCGGAGGGATGATCGGTGGTGCGGTGAACACGGCGGAGGATGAGGGTATTATTAGGAGGGAGCTGAACAAGGTCGATCCCTCTGCTGTTGTATTCAGTGAGTCGTGGGCAGCAAAGAAGAGTCGGGTGAGACATGGATCGCCTTATGGACATTTAGGTACGTGCACCGTAGAGTTTATCGCGGCCAAGGCTTTTGTTTTGGGATGTGGGATTAGTGTGCTGAGGTTTGTGGTCCAGCTAGTTGGGATTGTTTGTCTGTCATCGTCAAAACAGGCGGAGATCTTCGACAGGAACAGCTGGCTACGCAGCTTATACAAGAGTTCCGGCGAATATGGCAGGAGGAGAACTGTCAGTGCTGGGCGAGGCAGTATGTCCCCTTTTTATACCCATGTTGCCTTGCGACGAATGCTAACAGCATCCCGTAGTTTCCGTATTCTCATCACAGGAGGCTCGTCGGGTCTGGTAGAGACAATCACGGACGCCGTATCAATACACTCGATAAAGAAAGCGGAATATGCACGACGGCTGAACGATGGACGGTTAGGTCACGTAACTCTTATGGATCATTTCAAGAACGTGCGTCTCTTCAACGTTCCGTTTGTAAAGTAATTTTGCTGATGCTTGCTTTCCAGACATACGGCGACCCATCATCAGCCAAGTTCGCTCGTGCCCAGCGAAATTTCGCTAAATCATTAGCAGGTCAATCCTTCTCCAGGTCACACTCTGATGTGACCCACAACTGACCACACCACAAATATACAGGCTACTCTATCATCACCTACCTCCTCCAGATCAAAGACCGACATAACGGCAACATCCTTCTCGATCGCGACGGCCACCTCATCCACATCGATTTCGGCTTCATGCTCTCGAACTCGCCGGGTAACATCGGTTTCGAGGCCGCGCCGTTCAAGTTACCGTTTGAGTATGTTGAGGTGCTAGGTGGTGTAGAGGGAGAGCCGCTGAAGGAGTTTAGGAGGTTGTTTGGGGAGGGCTTCGAGGCTGCGAGGAAACATTGTGATAGGATTATCACAATGGTTGAGCTCATGCAAAAAGGTGAGCATGAACAGATTATCATGTTCACTGTTTCTAATGATGTTGCAGACTCGACGATGCCATGTTTCGCTGCGTTCGGCGACCAGACGGCTGCCCAGCTGCGGGAGAGGTTTCAACAAGCCCTCACACACTCACTTGTCGCAGAACATGTCGACCGGCTCATCGACACTTCTCTCGGGTCGAACTGGACACGACTGTACGATTCTGTAAGTTCTTCTTTGTTCCATAGTATCATTTGTGACATACTGATGCGAAGGTTGTTCGCGACTGTAGTACCAATATTATTCACAGTCCATTTTATCTTAGTCCTATCGTTGGTACCATACGGCTCTTCTTTTCTTGTCTCTTGTTCGCTCCATTTTTGGCCATCCTTATTTCCTCAAGGACTTTAGGACGTCGGACACGTTCATACCATCTCATTACCGTTCACCTGCCGTCCTTGCATGTCGCATACGTCTTTGTATGTTTCACAACTTCACAGTCACCATCATCTTCACCGTCACTTCGCCTTTCGATGTGTATACTTCACCTACTCGACGCTTTGTGCACTACGTACACACTTGACACACCACACACCCACGTCCATCCATCCACACGCTCTATCATTATCCAGTACAAACTGCAAATATTAATTTTTTGTCGTCGTCGTCGTCGTCGCATGTCCAGCTCCATAATTAGAAAAGTCCGCCGAAGTATCAGCAATCGAAACGAAAACGAAGGGCGCATGTGTGGGAAGACAGGGAGACAGGGAGATTTAATAAATTATACGAAAGCGAACGGGTATGTCTGTATAGTTGAATGTCCGTGCGGCCGAGAGATCAGAGGTTATCCTTCGAAACATGAGAACAGTGGGTGAACTCGAGATCCAGGCGTAACCTGGAGGGCTTGTCAATCCGCACACGGTGAAGGTATAGTATGAGTGTCACCGTCTAGTCGAACAGCCTGTCGAACTTGGGCAAGCAAGAGTACCCTTCGTAATCTGAACCGAAGAAAGAGCGTCGGTAAACATCGCAAGCATCCAACAAGCGCTTAGGCTAGCCAGACCGTGAGCGATAGACTTACCAAAGTTCTCGCTCGGGTCACACCAGCACCGTCCCTTCGAATGTGCCTCTCCCTGCGGACATCTCTGGAATGGCTCATGTCTGTACCCAATGTCCGAGAAGAAGTGAATCTTATCCTTAGGTGCGAGCAAAGCAGCACCGATAGAGTGGACGGGTGCGTCACCCCAGCGCTCGTAGTAGAAGCCGCCGGCCTGGTCGAGGTGTTCGAAGAATTTGCTGTAAGCTTCGCCTCTCCAGAAATCAAGGTCGCCAATCTCGAAGTTACTCCAGACTAGAGTATGGTGATGGTCAGAATTCAGGAAAGTGTTTGGGTGAGTGCCGGTCAATAAAAATGCAGCTTACAGTGACAGCGATTGTAGTTGTTGCCATTGTCATCGGAGATGAAGGCCATGGCGTTATCGCCCGGAATAAGTTCAGGGTTCTTCGCGATGAAATCTGAGGCTATTGTGAGGAGAAATTCAAGTGGCAAGAAGACACAACGACCGACCCTTCACGGTATCCCAAAGTGTTGCGATGGTCTCTCCATATTCAGGTAGTGAGATTGTGAATCCTGCTTAGGGAGTCAACAGATTTTTATTTATTTTAAATGACTGATCCTACCGTAGACCTTCCCCTGATCTTGCATGACAAGGAAAGGGTCGTAATCGAGGTCACAAAAATAAGTTACATCTGGACTGAGAGAGTATACGGAGTCAGCTTGTTGATGCCGTAAGATGTATACATTTGTACCCACTCGACCCTCCAATAATACCTGTACTTTTGTAGAAGCTCGTGTCGATAAAAGAACTGAGTGAAAAATCAGGTGAGCACTTCGCGAAAGTAATGAATCGAGACGCACTCCTGAATTGTACCGACACATGTTCCGGTATCTGGAAGGAGAAATGAGATAGTCAGGCCGTTCAACAAATGGATAATACGCACGGAAGACTGCCTACAAAACACGCATAAAGTAAAGAATTGTATGAGAGCAAACGAAGTGGTACGTACCACCATAGATCACATTGTTCTCGGCCATTTTGGCCCGGGATACAGAAGCCTTTTCTTCGTCAATCCAATCGGGTTGGAACCAGTGGTCGTGTGGAATGAGACCAAACTCAACCTTGGCATCTGTAAGTGCCAGAATGCTCCTGGCCAGTAGTAAATGGAAAGCGTGAATGATGAGCTGGTCGGACAAGGTGAGAGCCCACGCACGAAGTGAACTTTTCGTCGAAAGGTACTTCGTTCAAGAACACATATGGGTACTTGAACTTCCTGTTGAACCTATCCTCCATCTGTTTCATGCTCTTCATCATGCCTTTCAGATCACTATTTCTCGCGAGCATGACGATGGCAGCATTCGCGCGCCGATCCTGTATGGCCGTGGTATTCTCATGCCAGATGTATTCGCTAGGCGTGATACGTTCTGAGGCGGATGGTTGGGAGCCAATGATTCCGTAGGAGCCGCGCGAGAACGTTAGGATAAGGTGCAAGCTGATCTGTGAATATAATGAGGATGGGAGGTGACTGCATTTCTAGGTCAGCCACAATATGGCCGAACATCACGCACGATGATGGTCAAAACCAGGACCACATATCGCATTGGGGTCATCATCTTGGATGACGAGTAAGGTCTTCACCACCAGTCGATGACTATCAAAAAAAAACAAGTAGGATATGGAGTCCAAGTGAGGGTGTAGGATGAGTGACAGCGGGGAGAACGATTCAGAATGGTGATGGAATGAGTTGAGCATCTGTTGCCACCAAGTCGCCACAGTTGTTGCTTCCGTCACTCCATCCGCCCGGAATCTGGCTCATTTCCCCTGTAAGTTGCTCAACACCTTGTCAACACCGTCTCCTCTCCGTTGAGAGCATATTCACAACAGTCACTGGTCCTTGACCGAGACTCAGAACATAGTGAAATGAACGATTCTAGGTCAGACTGTTATCTTAGATTCCTTTTATTTATTTAGTTTCGTACTCTCCCCGTATGCCTCCTCCATCTCACACCGATGCTATCGTCGCATGTATATTCTATCCTCAACTCTTATGGTCGCCTCGGTTTGCAAAGGATATGTTAATATTACCCGGCATCATGCTCGATCTTTTGTGCACTATACATACATCTTACACACCAGCACCACGCCATTGATCCGCCATTGCAAACCCAACTTCAAATCGATCCAACTCAAATCGACGATCAAAACTCAACGACGAGAACGCATGGATGCAGCGGATTGATAGATTATACAGAAGTGAACAGGTATGTGTATATGCATAAAATGGTCCTTCTCGAGTACGGTAAGTACGGTGCATCTCAAACGTCAGCCAGCTCTCAATCCACACCTAAGATACGTATATGTCTCAATGACACGATGACGATATGACACGAGTCTCAACGTCTAGTTGAATAACCTGTCAAACTTGGGCAGGCACGAGTACCACTCATAATCTTGACGATGAAGAAGAGTCAGCAAGCACCACGAACGTGACTGGGCAAGCGCTTAAGCCTCTGCACGCAAACAACGACGTACCGAAATTCTCCTTCGCATCACACCAACACTTCCCCCTCGAATGTGCCTCTCCCTGTGGACACCTTTGGAATGGCTCGTGTCTGTACCCAATGTCAGAGAAGAAGTGAAGCTTGTCCTTAGGTGCGAGCAAAGCAGCGCCGATGGAGTGAACTGGTGCGTCGCCCCAACGCTCGTAGTAGAAGCCGCCTGCTTGGTCGAGGTGGTCGAAGAATTTGCCATAGGCTTCGCCTCGCCAGAAGTCGAGGTCGCCAATCTCGAAGTTACTCCAAACTAAAATGGCACAGTCGAAGAAAGTTTGAGAAACTCGATCAGTATGAATGACGAGATATTACTCACAGTGGCAACGATTATAGGTGAGTCCATTGTCGTCGGACAGGAAGCCCATGCCATTATCGCCCGGGATAAGTTCAGGATTCTTCTCAATGAAGTCTGAGACGACGTGAGGATACTACAAGTAACGAGAAGTAAAGGCGCGAGTACCGACCTTTCACGGTATCCCAAAGTGTGGTTATAGTTTCTCCGTACTCAGGTAGTGAGATGGTAAACCCTGTCCTGAGAGTCATTACTTCACGACTTTGAAACTGGCAAGCTGGACATACCATAAACCTTCTCCTGGTCTTGCATCACCAGGAAAGGATCGTAGTCAAGGTCACAGAAGAAAGTGACATCTGGCCTGAGGGAGATACACATCAATCATCAAAATTGTCGAGGCAATGCGCCATGCCACACTCACTCTACCCTCCAATAATACTTGTACTTGGCCAGAAGCTCATGTCGGTAGAAGAACTGAACTAAAGATCAGATGAGTTGTTCTCTGAGAGACAACATAAGACGCACTCCTGAGTTGAAACGGCACATGTTCCGGTATCTACACGGAAAAGTGAGGAGGGCCGACAATAAGGGAGGATCGGAGCCACATACGGAAGACTGCCTGCAGCATGCGCGAGTATAGTCAGGAGGTGTGTAGGCCCAGGCACAATTGGTTGGTACGCACCACCGTAGATCACGTTATTCTTGGCCATCTCAGCCCGGGATGCAGAAGCCTTTTCCTCGTCAATCCAATCCGGCTGGAACCAGTGGTCGTGCGGGATGAGACCAAACTCGACCTTGGCGTCCGTGAGCTCCGAGATGGTCCTATCGACATGCATGGTGAATAATGTCACAGTCAGACAAGATGAGAGCGCACGCACGAAATGAACTGTTCGTTGAAGGGCTCCTCGTTCAAGAACACGTAGGGATACTTGAACTTCTTGTTAAACCTGTCCTCCATCTGCTTCATGCTCTTCGTGATGCCCTTGAGATCACTATTCCTCGCAAGCATGACGATGGCAGCATTCGCGCGCCGGTCCTGAATCGCCGTAGTATCATCGTGCCAGATGTATTCACTTGGAGTAACACGTTCTGAGGATCCTGCTACTGCTGGTTGCTGGCTAATGAGTTTGGATATTGAAGTAGCATTTCCGTAGGCCTCGTGCGAGAATGTGAGAATAAAATGCAAGCTGATCTGTTAATAGGAAGAGGATGAAAGGTGTTTGCGCTCGTCAGAGAAGACGTCAAAATAGAGTAGAGCCGAGCATCATACGCACTATGATGGTCAAAACCAGGACCACATATCGCATTGGGGTCATCATCTTGGTTGACAGGCGGAGGGTCTCCTCAAACCAGCAGCGATATGTATTAGAAGGACAGAAAAATGAAGGCCAAGGGAGAGGGAGAGGAAGGGGATGGAAGAGAGTTGAGCGTTCGTGTTGCCACTTTCCCGCAGTTCCAGTCTTCCGTCATGTTGTCGGCCCGGTAACATGGCTCACTTCCCAGCGGTGTAGATCTTGGCCGCGGTTGACTGTAATTCTTTACGTTTATAATTGCTTCCCGATGAGAACTAGGGAAGCTCCACCTCGGCGGTGGCACTGACCTTGCTTGATTATTTTGATCGAACGTTCTCCGGAGACTCGCTCACCTTCATACGTACATATATCTTACTTCACACAATAATCAAAGAGGCACATCCAGATCACAATATATTGTATTCTATGCCAAAGCACACAAAAGACCCGAATACTAGAATATATTATCCTCTTCTACATCGAGGCAAGCAGCCCTCAGGCTAAAAAGTACCTGTGACACACCAATCAGGATATGAAGTACTATAGAAACAAGATGATATACCGTAGCTCTAACCCCGTATCAGCTCAACCTGATCCTCTTAACCGGAAGCACAAACATGGGCGGGCAGAGCACGTCAATGCGGTGGATGACCGGCTCAAAATTATTGATCCAATGATGGTCGCAAGGATGCCGTGCCATGCGATGCTTCAAACCAAAACGAACCTTCACTACCGCACCTCGTAAGACCTCATACTCGGACGGGGAAATAAGATTCTCGTCCTCGTCGAAGGCTGGTATAGGCTGGACCGTGTATGTGCGCTTCAGCTCTCGTAGCTCTTTGCGAGCGTCGGCGCTGTCGACAGGCCAGGTGGATGTATCGAATACATGGCCCAGAAGACCTAATGATCAGATGGTGAGGCAAGGTAGGCACCCAGGACGCGGTCAACCGGAAGTAGAACGCACCAGGAACATAGCCAATCGACGGAAGAATATCAGACCCTTTCTGCGTATTTATCAGCATCAAAGGAAGAAAGAGACAAAGGAGATTCTACCTTGAATAGACGATGAGTTATCCTGATAGATGAGCCACAGACTACATGCAGGCCCTCTCGTCCTTTATCCGCTACCAGACCCTCAAGATACCTCATATTGTCCAAGCACACCATCCAGTCGTCCTCGAGAAACCCACCCTCTGGCGTTGTAAGCCACCCTGATGCTCGAGCCCACCTGAGCGGGTGTCTGTACCCCATCTGTTCGAGCCGTTCGTAGTTGCCCTGTGCGATGAGGCGGAAAAGCCCAGGCTTCACGGTAGCAATACATGCCAGACTTGCATCGTCATCTCCAGCGACCTCTCCGAACCGCATCTTCAGTGTTCTGCATCCGTCATCCTCCGGTCCCCATATCACAGTGTCCCTCACTTCCTTCTGCCCGAGATAGTCTCCCCTCTCCACAAGCTCAGCGCGAGCGGCGGCAATGTGATGGTCAAGCGCACGATCATAGACTGACGGCCCTCGAGGAAGAGGGGAGCAGAGAAGGCCAGACGGATCCAAGGAAGTATTGGGAGTAGTGAGAGCGATAGGTGAGAGAGTCAGGCTGGGATGGGATGGAGGCGTCGGGTCGGGTGTCGGAAGAGAAGTTGTTTGGTGTGGCGTTGAAGGTGCACGGGTGATGTAAGGAGAGACGGGTTTGACGGAGTCGCGAGCATGAGAATTACGGACAGTGTGGGTAGGAGATAATGTGAAGTTGGATGGAGACGACGGCGTATGGCGATGGGGAGTGGCAGGTGGAGTAAACGCGGACATGCTGGTTAAGTAGGGATCTGTGGAATCGCGGTGAATTCGAATCCGTTAAACATTGAAGTAATGAAAACCTTTAAATACTCGCACCTAGCGTCTCCACCTCGTTCAAAATGCTCATTCGGGACTCAAGCATTCCAGAGTGGCGGTTTGTCACACAGCATCCCGAATGCTCCAGCTTTGGCTCCTTCCTAAAACCTTATAACCGTGAATCTCGACGATGCCAGAGTCTGTGTCGCGCCTCTGGATAGACGAGACTATATGTCTAGACATATTTTGCACTGTGTTTCCAAGCCAGAGCAGAATACGCAGCTGTGTCGGGGCAAGAGCCTGAGGCCGAACACGCTCCAGTACCGTTTCTCCCTGTCAAGCCTGTACCTGGTCCACGTCTAAGATTTTCAGAGCGTAGCATGTATTGTGCAGAGTCTCGAGAGGTCTTTAAAATAAAAGACCACGTCGCCGAGGGACGCTGCCTACGATGATGAGGGACGAGAGCGCGCAAGTTTATTCTGCCATGGTCGGAGAGGTCGGAGTGGTGAACTAGTCGTCGGAGCGCAAATTCACTCGGTGGCACTTGTCAAAACCTCTACCCAACCATCTGTCAACTTAAATATTTCACACCAAGTCTCGAGCATCTCGCTCCGTCCACTGCCGTCTCGAAACCGGTATATCTTTACCGCAGCATATCGACTTTTCGAGCGCACCGAGGCTGATGGCCGACATGAACCACTGACACCATCTCGACTTTTGTATCTCATTCCAGTCCAGTAAGTCCAGCCACCCCGTCTCCTGCTATAAAATATGAACTGGCCACTCGTATATTTCTCCCATCAATATCAATCTCTTTATATCTTCTACCGCATCAAACCACCTTTGACACCATGCCGCCGTCGACTCGCTTGTCAAATGCGGACCCCTCTCTATCACCTCAAGGGCGAGACACTGGAAAAAAATCTGATAAACCTGGCGGTGCGATCCCTACTTTTCTATTCTTCTCTAGGTGCCCTGCTCTTATTTTTTATGTCTCATGGCAGCTCTCTCTCGAAATCCTGTCCAATTGACTCCTCAGGACTCAGTCGGTTCAGACACATCCACTGTTAACTCAGACAACCCACCTCCCTCGACTCCTCCTCCGAAGAGCAACCAGGCAAAGGCCCCGTCTCCGAGCGATACATCTCCCTCCTCTCACAGCTCCGTGTCGACTCACACCCAGTCACCTCAGAGTCTCAGCACTCCGGGCAGCTCGTTGCCATCCTCTCCCACCGTTTCCCGCAACCGCCGTACGTCGATAAACCGTATACATAGATAATACATATTAACTCTCCTTCTTAGAAGCCATCCTTGATGCACGCGCTGAACTCATCGACTCGACTCTTTACCTAGCGGAGCCGTCTACGAGGGATGCCTGTGACTGGACGCGTGTCGGCACTGCTGATCTTTTGACCGTGCATGGAGATGGGGATGCTATCGAGCCCGCCATCATCACTTTCATCGGTGTTATCAGCAGCCGTAACTTCTATCTTTGGGCCGATGGCGGAGTCACTGAAGCAAGGGGGTTTACTCGCAGTCTTGCAGACGCCACCGCCACCTGCATCGTAGAGAAGTCTTTGGTGTCTCCTGTTTCCGCAGATTTTGTGGCGGCCCTCAGTACGCTCGAACACTTCGAGTCTCAGATCATCACGCATGGCTTCACGAGGAAACCCATGCGCGTCGCTGTGGCGGGCAGTCCTGTCTGTGGAGTCAGGCTGCGACACAGACTATTCCAGGTCTGTCATGTTTTTTGCCTACCTCACCGGTATCAAACTGACCCACTACCATCTCTGTAGGAGCGGACTACCGAATCATCGACCAGTCACGGTACGTATCTTCCCGCTCATTATGCCCATCATCTATCTCATCCCAATTCCTTTCAGACCCTCCGCTCCCCAGTGAATTCCAAATCTCTCAATGGCCTGTCCGAAGTGCATGGGCTCAGGCTCAGCTCCAAGCCATGAAGGACACTCATGACGTCAACATTCTGCCCGCCTACGACGTGCATGGCGACCTCATACCTCCCGCATCCTACGCTGACAAGCTTTCCGGTGCCACCTGCGCTATCCAGTTCCGTGTCAGCCATTGGCCCATCTCAAAGAAGACCGAGGATACATTTGTGGGCGACATCGAGAAGATTGAGGTCCTGGTCGAGCCCGTCGTTATCGCCGCCGGGAAGCGTAAACTTGCGCTCACCTCCTCGCCTTCAAAGCGCGCGAAGGTTTAACCTAGGTGTGTGGACTTTTATTAGTCTCATTGTGTCGAGTAATCCCTGAGTCGCCGACCCCTCTAGCGTATGCTCCATGGTCTCCCGTTCGCGTACATCACAAATAGCTAGATACACGAATAGCATCTTTTCTCCCCTCCTCTGATAATATCCCAAAAACTTGTATGCGTGTGGGATCTGTGTAGTCCAAATCTCTTGTCAGAATTTCTTCTAAGCTTCGGGTTATGAGCTGGGTTTTCTAAAACAAATAAAGTTGTTGTGGCGCGCCACACTCACCTCCCGAACGGTTGACAGCCGCCCTGATCGAGGGCCGCTGTCAAAGTTGAAGATGACGCTGAGTCAACTGAAAATTATGGTGCACTCGTTAACTGCAACTGCCTTCAAACCATACTGGCCTGTCTTTTTGTCTTCTCTCACGTTGATCTATGGCCACACAACAGGACTTAGACGCCCTAACGAGCGCCGAGCTCAAGGCCTCAGCGAGAGGCATCATCTCACTCTCCGCAGAGGAACGGAAGACCAAGTCGACCCTCATCACTGCTATCCTTGCGAAATCTCCTCAATCTTTTCTTGAGACTCTTCGTCGACAGTCAGTGCAGAAGAAGAAGAAGCGTCCTCATAGCTCCGTGGATCTCCCACAGTCTATCCATACAGATTCAGGGCTTCACAGCTCTGCCGGTGAGCCACCGCGGGCCCTTCCTCGTCGTCGCTTCGAAGAACCGGACTTCTCCAAATTCTTGCAACTTCCGTCGGTCGAACAGACACACCATCTGTATCAACAGTTCTATGACGCGACATCAAATGCGGCATTAAACACTTCCACATGCTCCATCTGTGCTCGCGAACGGAATGTCGCCGATGATGGCATATCTACCCTCCTCCTTTGCGACATTCCAAATCCACAGCGTTTGTGCCCGAAAGACGCGACATCACACCCCCATCATACACTGTTCTCTAACATGCTTCTGGAGCCTAGCGGTGTTGACATAGAGGCTAAGACCGCCGTCGTATGCGGACAATGCTTGTCCGCGCTCAAAGCCAAGGACGTACTGGAGAGACCCCCCAAGCTCTCCCTTGCGAACAACCTCTGGCTCGGTCCCATCCCTTGGGCACTCCAACGTCTCACTGTGCCCGAACAGCTTCTGATAGCCCTCCTATATCCCCGTGTATTTGTCTTCAAACTCACCCCGAAGAAACGCGGAGTGAGTGCGTCAGACCCGGCAGGAGCCACCCTACAGCGTGGCATGCGCGGCACGGTGACAACGTACGAGCAGGATATCAAAGGTGTCACCGCCATGACAGAGGGTAAGCGGATGCCACGTCCAGTCGCTCTCCTCGCCTCTGTCATGTCCGTTACATTCGTTGGGCGAGGAAAGCTGCCTAAAGGCTGGCTGTACAGTACCTTCAAAGTACGCCGCGCCGCTATCCGCGAGGCCCTCCTGTGGCTCCGAGAGCATAATCCCAAATACTACGGAGACATCGAGATCGATGAAGAACGTCTTCGAGCTCTTCCCGAGGACGATGTGCCCGAAGAAGTCTTGGCGAATGTTCGGCAGACAGAGGATGTTGGAGTATTGCTCGAGGAGAGCGGCGCAGGCTATGTTCCAGATGAAACCCAGGAAGTGGAGTACGGTGCGTATCCCTGTAGGAGAGTTTCGCATCCAACTCATGAGTTGTTCACAGAGGCACTAGGCGCGGATGGTGTGGAAGAGGAAGGAGAGGGTGTTGGGACCCAGTCTGAAGGTCAGTACATGCAAGTCATATATAAGCTCATGCTCGTCGTCTGACTTGTCACTTGCAATCTGTTAGATCACGACCGTTTGCCCGATGTCATTCCGTTACTCGTTTCCGGAGCGAGCGACACAGATCTCAGTGGCGTTACGCCAACAGAATTGATGCTGTACGGCCTTAGCAACCTCTGGAACGATGACTCCGAAGGAGGCTACGCTGTTCGGCGAGGCACAGACCCAGTGAGCGACTTTGGTCGTCCACCCCGTGGGGAGGTTCGACCATACGACCCAAATCGCACCAATTTCTTCGAGAGGGCATTCCCCACATTATTCCCTTACGGTCGTGGAGGCGTCGAAGCCGACCGAGAGACCCTTGTATCGTATCAGGATCACATTCGGTGGCTTCTTCAGTACCACGATCGCCGCTTCCGACGCCACAATACTTTTCCCTTTGTCGCATTTGGCATCGAGCAGCGACGACAGGGTCTTAACTCCGCGCGCATACAGATGCGGCGTAAGAACTTCGACGCGGACGCCCGTCTCCTCTCCACCATCACGAAAGAGAAGCTCGAGTGCGCTGTCGAAGAGGAGTCGAAGAACCGACCGATATCCGACCCCGCTGTACGTCTACTAAGGAAGCATATTCACGCCACAGGAGCCCGCGTGAAGGGTTCAGATCATAGCAGGTACTCACTGCGAAGTCAGATATGGTCGACCACCGTCGTAAAGGGACCTCCCACTGTTTGGATGACCATCAACCCGAACGATCTCCACGATCCCATCGCGCAGATATTTGCAGGCGAGGAGATCGACATGGAATCGTTTATGACCACGCTCGGACCCGACAAGACCAAACGCGCCGCGAACATCGCCGACGATCCGTACGCCGCTGCCAAATTCTTTCACTTCATCATCCGCACCATCCTTGAAACCCTTTTTGGAGTCCAAGTGACCGGTGGGAAGCGTGTCGTCAGTGAGATGGGAGTACTTGGTGAAATAGCGGCTTACTTTGGAGTTGTTGAGTCTCAAGGACGAGGCACGCTACATCTTCACATCCTCTTCTGGCTGCTTCACGCGCCCTCCTCAGAGGAGATGCACGAACTCCTACAATCCGAGGATTTTCGCAACCGTGTCAAGACGTATATCTCGACGAACATGACGGCGTACCTTCCTGGTCTGTCCTCGAAAGCCGACGCGGCCTCCGTCCCAAACGAAACCGAAATTGGCTACAACCGACCACCGAACCCGACCGCATCTGACTACACCGAACAGCTGACGTCCTTCGAACTTCGTGTCGTTCGTGCCACACAAGTTCATAAGTGTGAACTTCGCCGTTGTCTCATCCTCGACCAGAACGGCAAGTATCGTTGCAAAAGAGGCGCTCCATTCCAAGTGGCCGAGCACGACTTCATCGATGCTAGCGGAGTCTGGGGCCCAAAGCGACTATTCGACAAGTTGAATACATGGAATCGGGCCATCAGCATAAATGTGCGGTGCAATAACGATGCGAAGTTTCTTACCAGTGGCGCCGAGACCAAGAACGTCGTGTTCTATGTATCCACATATCAGGCGAAGAAGCAGAACCGGTCTCATACCGCATCGGCGCTCATGGCACAGGGGCACGCATACCACACCGAGCACACCGACTACACCGACAGCCTGGAGAACGACCAGCGCAAGTTGCTCATACGCATCCTCCAGACAATCAATCGTCATCAAGAGCTCTCCGGACCCATGGTTGTATCGTACTTGATGGGATGGGACGACACATATAAGTCGCACCACTATACACCGATCTACTGGTCCTCATTCAGCGGTGCCATCATGCGTACTTTTCCGGAGCTGAAACGTTCAAGGTGAGTTCAGTTTTCGCTCTATTATACACGCGCTGTATTAATTCTGGGGAAATTAGACCAACCAATGATCACCAAGACCCAAGTGAATCAGACGACAGAATTCAAGCGGTACGAGACTCCACACATACTGACATGTATATGAATTGACCAGAATCGATATTATCAAGCCACCGGCTGAAAATATCATAGATGGACCAGAAGAAGGTCCTAGTGCAGAGCACGACACCGAGGTTTGTAGTTGCTGATTACAAGTCTGCACACTGACACTGACAATAACCGCATTACCACAGAATGAAGATGACGTGGTGACACTCGAGGCCGACGGAGTTGGAAAGCTATTCGGCAAATCACAAGTGACTGACTACCAATGCCGCGGACGGGCTCTCGAAGGGGACAACCTCATCGACTTCTTTGTGGATACCTACGAGTTGGAGGAGAAACCGTCAAAGAGGCAAAGCACGAACGAACCTTCCCCTTCCGCTGGTGTAACTCGAGGGCGGCCACCTAACGAACGTGCTCCCTATCTCTCAGCGCATCCCAAATCTGACAAAGTCACACGCGTCGTCCGCAGTGAGGGCCACAACACGCTCCCCAACTTCATCGGCTATCAAACCATACCGCGAAGTGACGATCCCGCCACACTTTCATACTACTGTGCGGCCATGCTCCTCCTGCTTAAACCTTGGCGAAATTTACGGACAGATCTCAAGAGGCCAGACCAGACTTGGGAGGCAGCCCTCGAGGACTTCCAGGCGAGAGCCCCGCCGCGGATACGCAGGATGCAGACGGGGTTCCAGTATTTCCATGAATGCCTGTCTGCAGCGCAAGAAAGCCGCAGACAACGCGAAGCTCAAGTGTCTCCTGCAGACGCCGGGGACGATGAGGAGGACCTTGGTGAGGATGCGAACACGCCAGAGATGGAGGAGTTCAGCGAGGAGACCCTGGAGCTGCTGAAATATCGCTTGCTCAATCAGAACGAGGAGGTCTATGGCCGTGATGCGATAGAGAAGGCCAAGGACTCGGGTATCTTTAGTGGACGCGCCGCTCAGTGGGTTATCGAACCAAACGGTGAAAAGGAATCCATCTCTGTGGCCCGAGCAGAAGACAACATCCGCCTTGCAGGCTGGAAGCAGCAGATGGAGGATGATATCGCGAAGCAAAACGCCGCATACGTCTCCTCGGATCGTCTAACGGCACAGGCTACCACAGCAATTCCATCGTTGCCACCTCTTGTCGAACCCCTCGACCCCACCGCCACAGTAACCGTCCTGCCTGACGCGACGAGCGAAGGCGTCGAACAGTCTTTACCGGCAGTCACCCCCTCTGCGCTCAAACCTGACCAACGACGAGCCTTTGACATCATTACCTGGCACCTCGAGCAGAAACTGTCCGGGAAGGAAGTCCCGCCACTTCGTATGATCCTTTCTGGGGAGGGTGGCACCGGCAAGTCAAAGGTTATCCAGACGGTCACAGCGCGGTTCGCGGAGTTGCAGGCACGCCACATCCTGGTGAAAGCTGCGTACACCGGTGTAGCTGCATCTCTCATTGACGGCAAAACGACCCATACTATCGCAGCTATGGGCCTAAAAGGAGATGATACAGTCAGCGACGAGGCGAAGGCAAAACTCTGTGAGTTCTGGAAGGACAAGTTATACTTGATTTTGGACGAATATTCTATGCTGGGGAAGAGATTTCTTGCGGCACTTTCCCGGAACATCAGTATCGGCAAGCAGAAACCTGGCGAATGGAATGCAGACGAATCTTTCGGCGGCATAAGCGTCATCTTGGCTGGTGATCATCACCAGTTCCCTCCGGTGGCGGCGGACAGCGATGCTCTCTACTTTCCAACACGCCCAGGTCGAGACAAACTCGAGAGTTTGGTAGGCCGAACTATATTCGAAGAGTTCCGAGAGGTCGTCATTCTCAAAGAGCAGATGCGTATAACGGACCCAGTGTGGCGTACCTTCTTACAAAACCTTCGTCACGGTCGGGTCGCACAGGAAGATCTCTTCATGCTTCGGAACCTCATTATCTCAAATCCATCCTGCCCTCCTACCGACTTCACCGCTGAGCCATGGAGCAAGGCTCCATTAGTTACACCTCGGCACTCTGCGCGGCGACAGTGGAACGAAGAAGCGGTCAAGAAACACTGTCAAGAAACCAAAGTCAGACGGTTCATCTGCCCCGCAGAAGACTCAGTCAAGGAGAGATCATACCGCCCGGTGAATCTCGCAGAGAGGCATGCAATCATCGAACGATCACTCAGAGCACGGAAGCGGAAGGCGCGAAGCAAAGACCTTCCCGACATGGTTGACCTCGCCGTAGGCATGAAGGTCCTCGTGACGACCAATCTCGCCACAGATCTCGACTTAGCGAATGGAGCCAAGGGTGAAATCGTCAGCATTGTGCTTCATCCGAGCGAGCCACCAATCGGAGACGCACCAGTCGTTCATCTGAAGAACATGCCAACGTGTCTCTTGGTGAAAATGGAGCGCACGCGCGCCACGAAACTTGCTGGACTAGCAGATCGGGTCATTCCTATCGAGCCCTCATCCATGACGATGCGGATCCACGTACGCGTTACAGACACCAAGTATGTCAACCGGACGGCTCGACGTCGTCAGTTCCCTATGGTTCCAGCGTACGCTTTCACGGATTATCGTGCACAAGGGCAGACGATCACGTACGTTCTTGTCGACATCAAACAGCCGCCAACCGGAGGCCTCAACCTTTTCAACCTTTACGTTACGTTATCGCGTAGCTCCGGGCGAGACACTATCCGGCTCCTTCGGGATTTCGACGATAGCACCTTCTTGAAGGCTCACCAGCCGGAGGTGGGAGTGGAGGATGACCGACTCGAGCTGCTGAATGAAGTGACAAGGAAATGGTGGGATAAGATACGGGTTTCATCAACCATAGTTGTGTAGATAAACGAATATATGTACCTCTATCTATTCAGAGCATAATCTTGAGAGATACACGACAGCACAGAGTACAAGGTAGGAGGAGAGACACAAGAGATGATCGCGAAGACGCCGGATTGTCTTGACACATGGAACTTACATAAATGATGAAAGGCGCCCACAGGCTGTGTGGCTACGCACATCGGCACTGTTACTGTGATAGTACCTCACACAAGTTGTACATGACAGAGGATGAACGACACAAACTTCCGTCATGTTTTGTGTCTACATTGGGGGGCTGAACACTAAGTACTATGTGGCCCTCAGCGCGGCCGTATGGGGCACAAAGAACGCGCGGGCTTCCTCAGGCACCGCACGACGGTATGTCTTCATTCAAAATTGCGCCAAGCGCAAAATCCTCAGGTTTCAAGCCAGGAAGGGCTCTCGACGACTACATTTTAGAATTCAGGACTCTCCTAAACCGAATTTCTTTAGTGCATATCAAGCAGGCACTGCGCTCAGACAGGAAACATGGCGGTCATGACAGCGGTTCTGTGATTTTCCGGAGCTGTCATAGGGACCCGCCATTGACGCGTGCAGTCGCATTTCTCCCTATTTCTCCCCGCTACGACAAACCTGCAGTGTACTTGCCAATGGACAAAGCTAAACGGGGTATGTTAAGAAGAGTTGAACATCTGTCTATTAAACTGTCCTTCCTTCCTTCCTGATCGCTGTTTTGTTGTGGTTTGTTTTGTAGTTCGGCTCTGGGATGCCCGCCACATAATGAAGACTGCATGGTGTAATTTCACCCAATGGTTCAGGCGCACACATATCGAGCGCATGCGCAAGTCATGTAGAAGAGAGCACAACGAGCGCGTGGATAATAGGCCAGTTGCAGAGGACAGCGAGCAGCCATCACGAGGCCAACTTTCCGTCCACCCGCATATTCTCGTAGTTGGTGATGTGCATCAGTGGCAGCCGACAGAGGTGCGTTGCTCGTCCTATGAAGTGCATGATACACCGAGAGCTTATTCTGATGTTACTGTAGGATGGGAACCATATACACTCGGAAGACAGTGGGTACGGCACAGAGTCAACGATGCCCACACTAGAGGCGGCTTCGACTCGTAGTAGCACAGACGAGTGAATGTAAACAATTTATTTCACATATTGTCAAGTCTGGTAAGAAGCGTGAGGAGCTACAATACAACGGCAAGATACATATACGGCGCAAGAGGCGGTCAACGAAGCAAAGGACGTTCGCAGCGAAAGAGCAAAGAGTGAAGCGCAAAAACCATGTGAGAAAAGCTTACGCAAACTGTTTGGCTTTGTATGCGATAAAGTCGTTCAGCCACAATTACCGGGGTGGGAGAGACCTTGCAAGCAAGGTAATAACATCCACGTCTACTACGGTAGTCGCAACGCTCCGAGGCACTCACATGAAGGCTTGAACGATTACTATAACTCAAGCTAAGAAAGGAAGACATATGGTCCAGAACCACTCCAGTCTCCAGAACGCTGACGCCACAGTGCTGTAGAGTACTATACATGGCCTCGCGAGTGCCACACGTTAAGCTGTGGAACGCAGCGGAATACAGAGGACGGCACGCAATTAAATTAGCGTCACAAGAAGATAGCATTCCAATCGTTAAACTGGGAAATTAGGCTCAGATTGATCCATTTCGTGGCTCCGTGCTTAAGGTCGTCTCTTCGTCGTATCGTACAATTTCCAGACGTGTGGCCACTAGCAACCTCATAAACTGACATGAAAGCAAATCTCAGTGAGCAGAAAACCTCCCCTGGAAGAATCAGATGTGTGAGCATGGAGATAAGCAGCACATAAGAGTAAATGAAGACTGACACGCAGGTATTCCCCTTTCCACTGGACATATGGGACAATCAAGAAGAACAAGCCCGTGACAATTCTAGACAGAGACAGAGAACGTCAGCATGCCGGGAACCACGAAAAGAGTCGTATCAACGCACGCAGCCTCGCAACCAAAGGTCTGCAGGGCTCCATTCTTGCTAGCCCAAGGAACCTGGAAATACGCCACAGCAAATCCACCGAGCGTGCGGGATAGGTTGATCAAGGCACTAATCTCTCCATGATGCTTCGGGAAACAATCATTGCAGTAGGCATCTGATCGAATGAATCAATATCAAGGATAATCACGGAAAAATCGAGGTCATCGAGGGAGTGCTCACAAACGGCAACCGTATTGATCATCGTAGCGACTTCTGAGATACCCCAGCCCATGATGAGGGCGCCGGCTGAGAGGTGTTTTTGGAGGGAGGCGCCGAGGACGACGTAACCACAGATGTACAAGATGACGGCCAAGTAGCATGCCCTATGAGAATAAGATTTATAAGTAGTGCAGAGATTGCGCTCGACCTTTGCAATGTGCACGTACCAAAGACGACTTTCAGCGTAGAACACACCATGGTTACGTCTGATGCTGATGTTCATGATCCAGTCGTTCAAGTATCGGCCAATGATTTCTCCAATGAGTACTGCAACCTACAGTAACAAAGGACAGAGAAATCAGATCATCTCGTTTAAGAAGAGGCAGCGCAACATACGATGGGTGTCCCGTAGCCGCCTAACAAAAGATGTAAAACTCAGTACTAGTCAGACATACGAAGGCAGATTATAGCTACCTGCGATAGCAAACTGGCTCCATCCAAAGCCGACAGGAGCAGGCTCCCCCAAAAATACTGCATTCGTCACATTAATCCCAATGGAAAACCCGAAAAGTGCACCCTATTACGATGCGCACATCAGCAATGCGCCGAATTCGCGCACACAAAGAAGTGAACACACCTCGAAGATCAGGATAGCGAGGAGATGAGGGCGCCACACAATGCCAACAGTAGCAAAAATGATAGTAGACCATGATGAGCGGTACTTTGCCATTCTCGCGCCCGTAGTTCCGATGAGCGTCTCGAAACGATAGCGGAAGCCAGTGGAGAGGCGTGGAGGTATTGGCTTGAGGGTGCGGTCGTACATACTTTATACCGAGTCAGTAGTGAATATCGATATAGCATTCGTAATGAGAAACTCACGTCTCTTCGCTGAAGAACACGATCAAAGCAAGAACGATAGCTCCGTAGATACACCCAGTTCCATAGGTCCATCGCCAGCTGTATTAGCGCAGAAATTAGCGTTACCCGCAGCGGCCAGGAAACAGGCAGGCTTACTTTGCGCGAGCGACTAAGAATCCAAAGGCGAAGGGGGACAGGAAAGGCGATATGACGAAACCCATTGTCCAGAAGTTGAGCTGTAATAGTTGGCCAAGAGGTAAAGCCGTGATTTCATAACGTCGTTCTGGAAAGTACGGACCTTTCGTGCTTGGAGGTGGAAGGGGTACATCTAATACACACAATGAGCACTGTTTAATGAGTGGAAGTAAGATTGCAACGTACGTCGGTGATCACATAGAGACCCTGCAGATCTTCTCAGTAGATGGCTAGAAGCGGTGGAAAACAAGACCAGGCGAACTCACTGTCACTTGCGGGCATGTCCTAACAGCAGATAAAATTTGGTCGATAAAGGACGGAGACAGAGTGAAAAGAAGGCCAGCTTACCCGAAGAATGCAGTCAGACAACGCATGGCTAGAGATACCGAAACGTAAGAAATCGCATTCCCTCAACAACATATTTAGCAAGGCACCGCACCCGTGAACGTTTTAAGGTTTGGTGCAAATGTGCACCCAACCAAGAAACCTAGAGACAGCACCTAACCATGGCATGAGCATCGAGTACCTCCTTGATGCCGGACGAACTAACTTGTGTCCAGAACAGCACGGGGAGCCGCCCAAAGCGTCGCATGAGCATCACAGCAAATATACCTCCCCAGCCTGTCGGAATATCAGTTTCGTGTAGCCTCAAAGGCCTAATCGGACACTGACCCAAGAGGAAGATACTCCAGCTGATCGCGGTGCGAGGCTATCAGAGACTTTGTATATATATTGCATTCAGGAGGTGCGTACTTGGATGTGAGGTTGTTGATGACTCCTGTGGTCGTGTCGAACTGTGCGGCGAGCGCGAAGATGTCCGCGATACCTAGGAAGTGCTTTCAGTATCCTTTCTCTGGCAGTGGAAAGACGAACAGGCGCTGACCTATGCCGGAGTCGAAATCTGGGACTATAGCCGCCAAAGTCATGATAACGAGTTGTACTGTTTTCCTACGACTACTCCACTATACAGAATCCAAACATCTTGGGAAATGGCTCTCGGAAAAAAATGGACGTGGCTCACGTTTTGTGGGTCTTCGCTGCATATCGCCCTTCAAGTCAAATACAGTTCTCGAACGAGATAGAGAGTACGCAACTCAGAATCTGTGGGCTGAGGCCAAAGCACCTTGGATCCATCCTTCGTGAGCTTCAACTGCGACGCGACCTTTTCGCCGAGTTCTATCCTTGCTTCTCTACACTCAGTCACGGGAGCAAGCATCAAGAAATCAGGTGAGCTATACGCCTGAACAAAACGGACAAGGGAAAAAAACGCACTCTGGATCGACGATGAGACGCCCAGCATTCAGCTCATGATACGACAAGAGGTCTATCTCAGAGCCAGAGCCTGCAGACGACCCCCGGTCGACCTGGTCGATAGCATCGTTCTTCTCGTTCTCAGGACTGAACGCAGCGGGCTGGGACTCTTGAGACATGGCGAGCTCGAAGCTGTAAGCCGAAGAGTGGATGCTGGTAAGCTCAGAGCAACGTAAAGCATTCCAGCCGCCCGTGGCTTATTAGTACCCTCGAGTTCAGAAGACCCCCTTCCCACAGACATGGTCTAAGCATTGATGCGCGCCGGTACAATTGGAAGATGTGATCCATATTTTTTATCAGAAGCATACCCCACGATCAAGCTCCTACCTGTCGCACAGAGGCTAACCTGTATTGTAACGAGGTCTCTCATATTATTCACAGACGTGCACGAGCATGAGAAAGCCCCACGTCCTCGGAATTAGGTACATATATGGTGTCCGAAACGGGGGATATAACCACGGAGTTGCGAGAAGAACATGAGATTGTAGAACGTGACGGAATGAGCAAGGTCATGAGATGGAAGGTTAACCGCGTTCGATGGTGATGACCAACGGCATCGCGTTAAACTGAAGTTCTGACAGGAGATACAGAAACAGCGTACGCATAGGCATAGGCGCCATACGTTGACGGAGTTTGTGCCAGACACTAGAGTAGCATTTTAGACGAACCCAAACGTTCAGGCAAGACCGCGCAGGAACACTGTGGAAGAATAGCCCTGTCGTGGAAAGAAGCGCGGAGTACGAAGGTAGTTTCGGAGCCCACTTGCTTCATCATACTTCACTTGGGATAATTCTCCCGAGGTGCAAGGTAGTTACAAGGGAATGCCAGTAGCGTGTGAGTAGTATGATTGGTGGACTTGCCAGGATGCGAAGCCTGGAGCCTCCTGATAGGCGGCCAGGATGAAAGCAGATAACGTCATGAAAGCTTGTGTGGGCCTAAACCAGTAAATTCCAAACCAGCAGGAGCTACTTAGCGCCCTGTTTGACCGTAGAAATGCTTCATAGAGGAGAGGAAAAGGCCCAAGTCAGATTCGAGGCCTTCACGTTTCTTGATAGCCACGAATCTCAAAAACTAGATAGCAACCCTTGTAACTTAGCAAGTATGTCAGTAATAGTGTTTTAAGAGGGGAAGGCCAGTCCAAAAAAGTCTTCCTACTATACCATCTGTAAATGAGCGTGCTGATGACTGTCGTCCGTTGGTCGTCTGGTGATGGAAGGGATGGGAGATCTGAATGTGGCGGGGTGGCACTCGTTAGATCACGGGGTGAGACAAGGAGTGTCAAGCCGTTTTCGGCGTAGCAAATTCGAGAATAGCTAACCTCTCCGCTCAACCGCAACATTGTCGATATCGTGACTTTCGCCTTATCCCTTCCTTCTCGTACTTAGCGCGCTCTCAGATCATACTACATGCCTCCGAACAGTCTGCCGAAAACTAAGCGCTGTAATGTAGATAATGTTACTAGACAGATTCCATTGCTCCGCTGACTCTCCCCCCAGTTGTTCCACGATGACGGAACCCCCATCGCCACCAGGCGTGCGATTGGGTGTGCAAAATTCGATTGTCGCTTTGCCCATCCAGACGACCCTGAATGGGAGAGGCTACCGCCAACTTTCGGACGCTTTGGCCGTTCACCAAGCCCGGCCAGGAGAGCTCGGAGAAGCTTGTCCCCGCGTCCGAGAGCTCGCGGACGTGGACGATCTCGAACTCCTCCTCGACGCAGGTCGCGTTCACCTATCACCCCTTCGACTAGACGACGCTCGTATTCGCGAGGTCACTCGCCAACAAACTCCACCAGTTCTCGCTATCGCGGCGACGACCGTTCTTTCCGTGACAGTGATCGACATCCACGTTTTCGAACTACGAGTGACCGTGACCCTCCTAGATTCTCTTCCCCGAGCGATCGTGACCGCGACCGCGAGAGGACCACCAGTTCGACATACGACCGTTTCGGGGCCAGCTCCTCTAGATTACCCCCGTCTGGTCCTCGGTCGATGATGAGGGCCTCAGAGGATCGCTCGGAACCCGTCCCACCATCATCTGACCCACCACCTCCACCCCCAGACGGACCAGCCCCTCCCTTACCACCTCTCGGTTCCGGGTTCGCCACTACCTTTACTACTGTGGCACCCGCAGACGGAGGTTCTAGGGTGGAGTCAAACAAGAAGCTGAAGCATGATGTCTGGTCAGAACGGATCAGGTGCGTACAGCTCCCTTTGTTTTCGGACAAGTGGCGCATTGTTCATACGCTGTTGTAGCCTCCTAGCCGAAGCGTTCGCCGAACATGACAAGGAGAAGGAGCTGGAGAAGGAGATGCGGGACCATCAACGGATCGCACAGTCCGCCTACTTCTCGTCCCTTTCCGCTGAGGAGCAGACACAACACCTCGCTCATCTCAACAGCACCCGAACCCGCTTAGAGGAACAGAAGTCAAAGAATGCCGCATATACCGCTCGACTGGTCGACACTGCTTTCTGGCCCGTTCTCGCTCCCTTTGACGTCAAGGAGTTTGAAGAGAAATATAATAATATGGTGCAGACCACCACCGATCTTCGAAACAGTATCAATGAGACCCACACATCGATCATGCGAGCTAGCACGTTGGACCCGTCTCGAACGCAGCCCGGGAGCACACATGCAGGGCCGTCCGCCGCGGGTCCCAGCGCATCCGGAGAGACTACCTCGCGCCCTACCAAGCGACGGCGAATTGACTCTCCTGACGAAGAGGCATCAGAGGCGGCACAACCACAGTCCGAGGTCGATAAAGCCGTGGAGATCATTGAAGACCAGATTTCCGCCCTTCATGACCGTCTCGCGGGTCTCGAAAACGAACAAAACCTTTACACGGAGTCGATCTTGGATGAGTTCGACTCGAGGTTGGAGGACACGGTCGACAAGATCGCGAACGATACGGACGTCGTCGCGAACCTCGTAGCTGAATTGCGGGTGAATGGAGAGACATCGCCGATCATTCAAGGCAAACTCAAGGCGTTGGAAATGGCGTTGGCTTCGTGCGATAAGGATATTGTTGACATGTCGAAAGAGATAGCTGAGTTGATCACAAAAAATATGGAGTTGAAGAAGGAGAACGATCGTCTGTTGCAGACGCAGGAAAGCCTGGTGCAGCGCATCCAACAGGTCAGTGCTAATATTTCGTCTTGGGAGTTCCTGTCGACTGAGTAGTGGATGTTTAGCTCGAATCCGCCCAAGTGGCACAGCAAGCGCTAAACGAAAGGACTCGTGGAGAACTTCGTGCAATCAACCAAGCACTCCAAGTATCGCATGAGCAAGCACCACCCACACTCCAAATCCCGCCCACCGAACTCCTCTTGCAAAGTATCGAGCGACCGATTTCCGCCATCGTTCGCTCGAAGGCTCTACCGATGATGAAGGAACTCCAAAAATCACTTCAGGACGTCCTTAGCGAGCGCGCTGACGAGATCCACAAGGACGTACTACCGCGTATTAATGGATGTCTGAGCTTAGCGGAGCTTATTATCAGTTGGATCAGAAAGGTGGACTCGGAAGGGTGGGAGCAAACCGTACGGCCGCGGTCCTTGGGTCCGCGTACGATCGGTGCACCGCCAGTTATGGGGCCGCCTCCTCTTCCTTCATCTATGGCGCATCATCAGGTAAAACCGAGATAGTTGTACGTGGTTGCCGACGGTGGTGGACCTCTGCCTGATGCTTTCGACCTTTCTCTCTCCTTGTATTCCTGTCTTGTTCTCATGTCTAATCACATCTACAGTCTTCTAGCCGGCTAGTATGTACTTGCTCCTTACGAGGCCACATAACATGATTACATATGGCACATAACTACATGATATGCTGCTCAGCTTGAACTATGTTTTCTTTCCGACGGATACACATACGAAACCATGTCGACCATCTTCCAACTGAGTCGATTCAACTTGAGCGCCGTGCTATCCGACTTCCTTCTGCACGCAAACAATGACGCCACAGACTAGACGAGTGCTCACCAGACACTCCCGACTCCTCTAGAATCACCCTCTCAGCTCGGTTGCGTCAACTTTGGATCGTCAAGCGAGGGAGACGAAGACGATATGATCATGGACGATGAGACAAAAAGTGGACCTTCCGAGAATCGAACTCGGGACCCTTGCATTCAGACAGGTTAGGGAAACCACATAAGTACAAAGCTCTACCGATTGAGCTAAAGGTCCGACAGCTAAAAAGTGCCCCTATGCCCTACAGATATGGAGAAGAATTTGGATCTTGCATATTTGAATTGCTGCCTCCAACTGACATGGTGGTGGAAAATAGGCAGATAGAGTCGTCCCCGAAGACAATACTGCCTTGCGTTGTATCTTCCGGAGACTGCTCGCCGTTTTCTGTTATCTTCCTTGGAGGCTGCCTTGCATGATCTAGTGAAACCTTCCGAGAAACAAGAAGGAGAGCATAACAACGGAGAGCATCGATATCGGGTGCCTTGACAAGTCCCAGGTCGACGGTCGTTTGCAGGGTTATCAAAGCAACGTGATAGGAGCTCTTGCCTTCTCCAGTATATATTGTGTGTATCTTCACCAAAGGTGAGCTCGCTACTCGAGTCTCGCGTGTATGGTAAGGATTCAGATGCCATGCACGCTGCGGAGAACGCATGGCAAATACATACTCAGAGTGCACATGAGCTACTGCGGCCAGAAAACGTCGTTGATGAAGGAAAAGGTTTACATCGGTCGGCCAAAGAGAAATTGGTGAGCAGTGAACGAGACGGAGCGTAAGCAATAATTGTTCGGCTTAGTCGTGGCATGGTGCAGAAAGCGAACGACTCGGATCGTGTGCTTGCCGCCTGTGCCTTGCCGAGCCAAGGGGACCCAAGAGATAAAGCCAAGTGCGGCCGAGGAGAGTACATCGTTGGAGGAAAGCCAGACACGAAATTATACTTCCAGGTTTGTTGAACAATGCAAAGAGCGTGAGCGTGATCTGCAGGGGTTTTAGACATGTCGAAAATGGGCGCTGTATTATGGATCGAGGAGGATTGAATCGACCTGTTACCGTTCGGTTGGGTCAGGGCTCTTCCATCCACGTGGGAAGGGGAGTATGAACGATGAACCGCCTGTTCGCGGCTGTCACCAACTTTCCATGGCCAAACATCGTCCTCGTTCTCGCCTGCTCTCGAACATCTTCCTCCTACCGACGCGAGCACATCCACCACATATACTCCCTATCCAAATACCTCTCACACCACCTTTTGCTCCGACATAACTCTCCGTTTCTGGCCGTAGCACCCGACACATCCTCCTTCGGGCTTTTAGTCCCACCCTTTTATATCCTGGCCGACAAATTCCCCCCTCTCTCATGGCCACCACTGCATCATCCACGCTCTCTTCATTAACTCCAAATCCTACCACCCCTGTCGTCGCCGATGACCTCGAATGGATCACCGCTTACCTCATCATACATAGGCTCAGCTATCCCAGCTGGAGGTATGCCTACATCTTCTGGGTACTCGTCGGTCTCGTCGCCATTGGCTTTGGTGTGTGCCATATGCTCGGACTAAGAGGAGGCCTCCTCGGTGCATACTGGAGTAAGTGGGCGTTGAGACGCCGGACGTGGAGGAAGAAACACTCCCTAGCCCTCGCCACAAAGCGCGGAGTCCCCCACAAGCAGCCCATACCTCTCCCTTCCAACGCGCAGATTCTATGTCTCTGCGTAGTCACTATCGTCACCATCGTCCTATCATTCGTCGGTCCGGACTACGTCACTCCAGCCAACAAGCTCTGGGAATTCAAACGAGACGCCACTTCCGACTTCTCAGTGCTGCGCAGGAGCGCTACTGATATCTATCTCACATACCAACCTCAGTATACCATCAACAAGTCTTGGTGGACCATGGGTGGCAGGACAGGTCTCATCGCATTCGCTCTCTTACCTCTCGTCGTTCTTTTTGCTCTCAAGGCACCACCATTCGCTGTCTTTTCCCTTCCCTTCGTTACCAACATGCATTTCGACAAACTCATGTGGCTCCACCGGTGGATTGGCCGACTCGCATGGTTCGTGACCGCCCTGCACGTTCTTTTCTGGAGCCTCCAATTAGCGCAGGACAAGAGACCGGAAACGAACCAAATCGCGTACGTCTTTGCCTGGCAATATCCCAACTTCATTTACGCCTGGACGGTACGCTCCTGAATTTCTTCCTCGTGCTCTATGTGCTAATTGGGCACCGTTAGGCCTTCGTCCTCATGACCCTCCTTGTCATCCTCTCCATCCGGCCCATACGCGACAGGTACTACGAAACCTTTTACTGGCTCCACCTCCTTCTTGTTCCCTCTTTTATCATCATGTCTGCCCTTCATCATCCGCCGCTGTGGTGGTGGTGCTGGGCAGCACTTGGGATCTGGATGGGTGAAAGACTCTGGCGCTTTACGCGCTGGCTCTACACCAACGGCTTCGTCGGAGGCAACCCTCCGTCACTCCCCGCCACACCTGCTCAAGGCAAACCAGCTCATAACCAGAAAGAGTCATGGGAGATGTACAAAGTCGACGCAGAAGGCCATCTAGCCCGTCCTCACGATAACCCGTTTGAAGCCGATAGCCGCACTGCCTCACCATACCATTCTCACGCCGGATCGTTGACTTCCCTCCGCCTCCTTATGCCCTCTTCGCTATCTCCGTCGAGCTACATTCCGCCGCCCGGTTATGCCCACGTCGAACTTCTGGCCGGCCGTACCATTCGTGTCCGCATCGTTACCTCAGGTTACCTGTCTTGGGCGCCTGGCCAACATTTCCTTCTCTCCATGCCCTCTATCTCGAGGTTCAATTCCCATCCCTTCACTGTGGCCTCGATATCCGACGACCAGACGACGACGGACGACGGCCGTGTCATACTGTTTTTGATTCGAGCGAAAGCCGGATGGACGAAGGATCTCTGGGACACCGTCGTGAAACTCAACGCTACGAACAAGAAGCACCCACGAAACGAAGTACACCGCGGGACGCCCCTTCCTTCCATAGGTGTTTTAATGCGGGCATGGGTAGATGGACCGTTTGGATCCTCCGCTCGAACGAACTGGGGTACTTTCTCCAGCGTTTTGATCGTATCGGGAGGTTCTGGAGTGAGCTTCGGCTTGTCCGTGCTGGAGTACCTCTGTCTTTGCATGGCCGGGCGAGACGGCAAATACCTCGGCGGTAACACTGGTTGGGGCAAGACGCCTACGCGGACGGAAAGGATCAGGTTTGTCTGGATGCTTCGTGAATTCTGTGAGTCGTCTCATCTCTTCCATTTCGTCGCGGTTGTTCTGACATGTTTGCTATTTTTACTAGCGCATGTGCAATGGTGCGCAAGCGTGCTTCGTCGTTGTATGGCCCTTCTCTCTCCGGAACATCTTCAAGTCGAAGTTTTTGTCACAAACTTCAAACCACCAGATCCCCGACACCTCACCACTCCTTCGCCATTATTCACACCCATCACGCCTAGCGACTCTGCGGGGCTTTCTCCCCCAATCCCTAAGTTCTCCAAGGGCGGCAAATCAGGTCGTCGGAACAGCATCGATGCATCCAACAGCGATGCCGATGAGCCAGACGCGACCGAAGATGCCGTCGAAGCCTACGTCGATCTCAGCTACTATCACGAGTACATCGAAGGTCAAGACATGGGCTCGGCAGAGGACGACCAACACGTTCTCGATTTCACCAACTTCGACGGAGACGTCGACGAGCGTTTACCGGGAGAGACGTCAATGAACCTTACGGTACGGAAAGAGGGCCGAAAACGACGAGCGCTGTCTCGGCGAAAGTCGCAGCTGTTCCCTGGTGGCACGGTGCCATCGCCTTTTAGAAACTCGTTTACGCCAGACGACCCTTCCTCCTCCTTCTCGCCTACTCACATCGGGAAGAGATCCGATAGCTCAGAGGCTACTCTCCGCCCACCGTCCCATCTTAATCCGAACAGTATGACACTACCCAAACACACTTCGGTGTCATTCGATGTCCCACCTTCTCCGCGCGGTCATCCCCAAGCCGCCTCAGAAATATCACTGCTGTCTCCACGTTCCGGCGCGACGAGTCCAGGTCCAGGTCGACCTCAGCTTGCGATCCAACCCGATTGGGATGCGAGGTCGTTGACGTCGGATGCGGGCAGCGTACACGCGCTCATGGGTCTTCATGTCGGAGAGGGAGCGAACGGACAGCAGGTGAAGCTGCAGGTCGAGGATGGGGAGCTGGAGGATATCAGTATCTTGGCAGAGTTTGTGCGGCCTGGACGACCGAGGCTGGATATGATTCTCAAGGACGAGGTGAAGAAGGCTAAGGGTGCTATGGCTGTCGCAGGTCGGTTCTTCTTTTCGTATATTCTACCACAAAATCTGAATACTTGCGATACTCCTTCTTTAGTGTGCGGGCCAACAACTCTCAATGCGGTGATGCGGAAGTGCGTGGCTGCTCAGATCGATCCTGACCGAATACGGAAGGGAGATATGGGCGGGTCTATTACGTTTGTTTCGGAGGAGTTTGGCTATTAGTATTGATCATTTTTCTACCATGCACATCACCGCGCTTTCATTACCCTTGTCTTGTCGTTCTCCCCCTTGTCCCTCCCCGTCCCTCCGTCCGTTGTTCCCTTGCACCTTCCAATCTCATGGATTCACCTGTCTTTCCTTCTTGAGCTACCGGACTATGGCACGACGACGGACCGTTGATAGTTTACATATAGATATCCTCGTAGTCTAAGTAGTGACATACTATCTGCCTTACAGCTGTATCAGTATATTGACCTTTTTTTGCACTGTTTCTAATAGGTACATACATCAGAGCTACTTATATGGACTCGACCCACGCATACCCTCTTTCCTTTTTATCAGAATACTTCAGAGCAGATGCTCGGGAGCTTCATACTTCGGTTCTCAGATGTGAGCGAGTGGCGGTTTCGAACTTGCTTGAATGAGTGTGGCCCAGGGCCCTGGTAGGTTTCAAACTCCGCGAGGGTGCTGAGAATGAATTGAACCACTCAACTACGTCATCATGTTCGTCGCTCCTGCTGTTCTGTGCCACATCGCTTCCCTGGTCGCCTTCCATACAAATCAGGGCCCTGGAGCAGGCCTAAGACTGGTTTGCGATTGTGAACTTCCTGTCCACTGTGAGTGTCATTTGCTGTGGTGGTGCAGTTTCGCTCTACAGCTAACATCGTTTCCTGACGGTATTCCTAGAATGCTTGGCTTGGCCCCCTGGGTCGTTGCGACAATCTCGTTGGTCACAGCCGCCTTCCTCCTTCTCTTTCTCTTCCTCTTCTGCCGCTACTATGTACTCCGAGACTCTTCTGAAGACTCAGAGGCCCTGCTACCCCGACAAGATGCGGAGCCACATACCTCACCGTTCCAGAAAATCGCAGGGGTCCTCGCCGCCCTCAATACTGGAAAATACCCATCGCAGAACCAAATCGGAAGGGCTCTTCAGATATTACTTAGATCGAGTGCTTTGAGTCTTGATGCGCCAACAGAAGTTCTTGGAGCTAGGCCGAGGAGTAGTCTTAGTGTCTCGGGTCGGAGGCTTATTGAACATGTTAGAGAGATCATCGAGGCGGTGCTTCGAATCGGGTTGGAGAAAAACAGTGATGCCTTTCTCTGTGAATTAGATCCTGGGTGGAAATAGTGCTAACAACTATTTGTGTCTAATTTACAGGTGATGATATTATTCAGCGGTGTCTCCATGCACTGGCTGGCTCGAATGTAGCGTCGCCTGCTTTTCATGCAGAGTTGAATTTGTCGTCCGATCCAGATGGAGGGATGGATGCCATAGGTTCGTAGACTCGCCTTTGAATGATTCATAGTGGTGCTTACTGAGAAGCGCGGTTTCTTTTAGCATCCGAGCTGCCTTCTTCAGAGGAGTTGAGTTCGGACACCGTCGAGCTCCTAGCTTGCATCAAACAAGTCTCGCAACTCCTACTCACCTCTGCGGTCTTTCGCATCATTCTCTCGGATATCCTCACCACCGCACAAGAAATAGCGGCAGCCGTCGCCGTGGAGGTTGAGACTTTTGCTTCCCAAGTGGAGCTGGGTGCCGAAGAGGTGGAACATGCCGTCCGGGCTGGAAACTTGTCTTTGGACGACGCGAAAGCAAAGTTTGAGGAAACGAAGGAAGATGTTTTGAACCTTGCGGAACAGAAACGAGAACATCTAACGGAGGTGCAGACGGAGGCTGCGGTGAAGCTGAAGAATACAGTCTTGTCTCGCATTCAACAGGTACGAACCGATCCAGTATCCATTTTTGCGTCTAGTTAATGAACCTCGTCGTGTGTCCAGCTCATTGTCACCGCGCGTGAAAATCCAAAACATCGTCGTTCATTCCAAACCATAATAACGCTCGTCCGGAAACACGCTCACAAACTGCAGGCCGCCTCCACCGCTGCCGCCGACCTCGACGTGGACACTCGGGCTGCCGTACGACCTACCATCAATACGGATCCGCGACTGCGCCACGCCCTATCACTCCTACAGCAGATACTGCAACGCTTTGCGTCCGGTCATTCTCTTGACCCTGTCTTGCGCGTAGGCTATCAAGTGGTCTTGGACATCGTCAACCTGCCAGTCGAGGCTGAAGCCGGCGTCAAGGTATTCTTTCGCGACTTGGGCCGGTGGCTCGACCAGGCGCTGGCAGAAGATGGATTTGCTACCTCTTGGAATGGAGGTCGCACTCTAGAGCAGCTGTACGATCGTGGCCGAACCCTCCTTGCCGACGAGTCGAACTCTTCACTTCGAGAGGCTTGCACCTCTCTCATACAAGAGCTACATGAGTTTGTCGAAGCGCTTCAATCTGATCGTTCGACCCGACGGCTGATCAACGCAATTGACGGCATATCCTCCGATGTCTCAGACTTCGGGCGCACCGCTGCCAAAAGCACTGTCCAAGAGTCGAGACGGCGGAGAGACGAGCTCAAACGTGATGCGTTAGCTTGGCTGCTTCCGAGGATCCTCGCGGCTATCCACGTCCTCCCTTTACCCCGAGTAGAGTACATGGATAGCCTACTGGAGGTTGCCGTCGACTCGCTCCTCCTTACATCTGGCTCTTCAACGACGTCTCTTCTCCCTGACCACGTACAGATCGAAAATTGGAACGAGCTTCGATTGGACACCCTCGATGTTCAGGCTCATCCCGGCCACGGAGAAACTTCCTACGGGATCATGAACAAGTTTCACATCCACCTCGACGGCGTTCGTCTCTTTGCGGAGGGAATCGGATACTACCTTCGTTACAAGGGTCTCCTTGGTTATGAGGATCAAGGCCTCCTGAGTGTTGGAGCAGGGCACAGGAACGCGGAAGGACAGGGGTTATCCGTAGACATTCAACTTGACATGGAGTCGCTGGAGGAAGAAGAAATTTTGGAAGGATCTGTCGAGAGCTTGTTTCGTGTGGCGAACGTTGCCGTGGACGTACCAGGACTACATTTCGCTATCGACAAGAGCCGGCACTGGATATTGAATAAGCTGATACTTCAGCCGTTTTCGGGTCCCGTCGTGCGCAAGATAGCGTCGAGTGTCCTGCAGGAACAAGTCCGCGGGGCGCTAGATGCTCTGGGCCACATATTGTTCAATGTTCGTCGTCGAGCGCAGGAGCACGCACGGCAGGTCGACCAAGACACACCGTCCCTGGACCACTATTGGTACGGCTTGCTGGAATCATCTGGTATTTCTGAGGATATCCTTGACGATGAAGATGTCGACGACGAGGAGACACTCGAGGAGGAGGATGCCACAACAAAGACCAACTTGAACTTGACGACGAAGGGTATCGTTCGAAAAACCGTCACATATGCAGAACCCGACGCATCTAGTCCACCTACACCAGAAGAGGCGATGATCGCTGTCGGTGTTGGTCCACAAGTTATTCAGGGTGTGGCTGGCGCATATGGAGAAGAAGAGCCGATTCAGGGTCTGGCGAAAGTGATGGACGACGTTGGGGAAGGAATGGAGCAAGCAAAGGTAAAGTCGGCTGAAATAGCGAGGGACGCAAGAGAGGAAGTGGAAGATCTTCGGGAGGATGCGACCCGTGCACAGTCGAAGCTGAAGGAGAGAGAACATGTCGAGAGGCGGAGGAGAAGGTGGCGGAGTGCTGCTTTTGATGTCTGATTTTCCTGGGTTTATGTGTAGTGTATTCTGGCCATTGGGGTGTTCTTGACCTTATTGTGTACATCTGAAAAGTCGCGAAGCTGAAAGTGTCATCGCCTCTTGCTCCGGACTGTCATGTCGTGGCAAAATTCCCACGGCCCTCCGAATCGTTTCCCCCCTTCCCCTAGACCTCCCAACATACCACGACAGGCGAATCAACGACAGACACCCCAGTACCGTGCATTCCAGCGAGCCCCCACCCCCGAGGTGGAGGATTCAGAGGAAATGGCCGTCGACGATGAGAGCAAAATCGCTCTCGACTTTCAACAACTACGCAAGTTTTTCGAGGCTATGCAAGGCTGGTTCGCGAAACCGGACTTTGCCGACCTCGCCACACACCCCTCGCCGGAGGATATTGGCCAATCCATGGCCGCTATCCAGGTGTTCCTCCTCAAGTGGTCTCAAATGACCGGGACCCCGCTCAGCGCTCTGGTGCCCAGGCTTTGCCCACCACCAATGACCGTCACTGAGGTTAGCACTCAGACTGACGCCCCCTCTCCTCCCTCCTCAAAAGCGTCGAAGACGTCGACGCCCAACCCTAAGCCCGCCACACACGGCCCCCATGAGGCTACCAAGTCCTATGCGGCAGCCGTGGGCAGGGGCCCCAAGCCTAAGGCCGAGGTCGTGGCTGCACTCGGCAAGGCTTTCCCACTCGCATCGGCCGCTCAAGTTATCAATATGGCCACCAAGATCACTCCTGCCTCCAAGGCCCATATCCGGCACGCTCCTCGAGGGGCCGCGAAGGTTCTACACGTCACGTTTGCTGCTGGTCGGGCTCCGTTAGCATCCCAACTTCCTTTAGACGGGCCGCTCTTTGAAGACGCCACCCGCCACCTTTCTCCTGCCTTACGTGAGGCCTCCACAGACACATCTGCTCCCCTCACTCTCGTCTCCGTTTCCTGGAATCAAGGCCGTTCCTTCAGGCTCGCCTTCTCTAGACCTCCCCCTGTCACGCTGGATCCACTCCTTCAGCAGTACTTCTCCAAGTATGCGTCCGATCGCTTACCCGCGTCCATCTGCATCTCTCGCTTCAGGTTCTCCAACAGGGTCGCATTCCGTCGCATTCCGCACGTATCGCCCACAGGAGAGACTGCCACAACCGTCTCCCTTATACAGGAGCTGGTCCAGCAGCCGCTCTGGTCCTCAGTGACTCTCACCAAGGACCCCCAGTTCTATCGCAAGTCGGGCGACACGTTCGGAATTTTCTTTGCAGAGTTCGCGGACAATGCTACCGACCACACGCTGCGCGCTGTTCTCAAACAGCCTGTCTACCTCAACGGAGAGTACTGCCGACCTGTTAAGGCGTTCGACTCCAAGCCTCCGGTGCCCTTCTGCGGCTGTTGCCAACGTTGGGGCCACCGTGCGCTCTCCTGCAGATCCCCGACCAAGAACTGCCCACGATGCGGGCTGTCCCACGATGAACGCCAACACGATCGACATTGTCCCTCGTGTGTGGCATCCCCTGTCGCAACGGGTGTGTGTTCGCACGCACCAAAGTGCCACAATTGCGGTGGGCCACACCGGGCTGATTCGCGGGAGTGTGCTTTCTTCATCCATCGGAGGGATTCCGAGTGGATTCGGAAGCATGCTCCTAGCCGCCGCTCACCACCGAAGTCTCGCGAGAAGGGGGCACCTGCTCCCTCCCAAGTCAATCGCCCTACCAGGCCCCGAGTAGAGGACTATTTGGCTGGGGCATCGTCGGAAGACAGAGGGGTGTTTGATTCTCCTTTTGATGGTCCGCCACCAGTGAAAAAGGCGAAATCGAGTAAGAAGAAGTAGTTGGGTTTCTTCTCTGTTGTCTTCATGCACGGCCATTCTACGATAGTTGTGTCTCATATCCCCCGTCCCGTCGGACATCACTTGAACGTTCGATACTTCTCTTTCGAAATAACAGACAGTATTCTGAGTAGGTACACACTTTCACGGACTCAGTCGACAATTGCTCTTCTTGTATGTATCTACCTACCATACAAAGCGCCCCTGGCAATTTGCCGGCGCTATATAAATTCGTTGAATACAAAAAAAAAAAAAAAAAAGAAGCTGAAAGTGTGGTCCACCACATGGTAATCTAGGTTGATCAGGGTTGATCTTCCCCACGAAGCTCGGGCCACACTGGGTCCGCCACACCCAAGAAACGGTCAATTGCAAATGTAATTTGCTTCATTCATTCACCTGTCCACCAACCCAACTTCTACTCTGCATCCTACTCGCCCAACACCATACTTCACATCTTCCAGGCCATACGGCCCCTGCGCCAAACCCGTGTAATATACCATCGTGCTCTTCATATGGCCACCGAAGTCCCACCGACGATCAATGTCCCGGAAGGTTTCCGTTTGCACACCGAGAACACTTCCCACATACTCCTGCCAAATACCAAAGAAGCTTTCTTGAACCCAGTACAAGAATTCAACCGTGACCTCAGCGTCGCTAGTATACGGGTATGGAGCGAGGAGATGAACAGGTTGAAGGAGCAGAAGTGGAGGCAAGCACAGGAGAAGAGAGCGCAGAAGGATGCAAGCAGGAAGAGAGCTAAATTGGACGATGGCAAACCACTGTGAGTACCTTTGTCTTCTCAGTACGAACCATGGCCACATTGACCTCACAACCCTATCTAACGGTGTATCCTTCACCAGAGAACGTCCTGCAGGGGAGCCTCCTGCTTCCGCTGAACCTATGAAGGTTGAACCAGCGTCCAGCACGGGTGAGTCAATAGAGGCTACCGGAAAGGATTCAGAGGTCTGTAAACAACCTCAGCTGTCTAGGTATTATTACTTACTGTGTAATCCCAGTTCCGACCGCAGAAGTTTGTTCTCCTGGAGGCCCTATCCGCCACCGGGCTTCGTTCTATACGCTATGCTAAAGAAATCCCCTTAGTGAAGTAGGCAATCTTTTGCTCGCTTGAATCCTTATTTTTACAAATATACCTCTAGATATGTCATAGCAAACGACTTGTCTTCCTCCGCAACCGCTGCGATGAAAAGGAACGTGGACTTGAACGGACTGGGCGGTGAAGAGGGTGCAGTTCTCGACTCGGCCGAGGGAAGTGCTAAACCGAAGCTGGGGAAAGTGAGAATTAACGAAGGGGATGCCCGGTATGATCACAAGTTGTTCCTTTCCTAATCAGAGCTAACACTCACCTAAGTGCATTGATGTACTCACACACACTGGACCGTAACCGTGTCGATGTCGTGGACTTAGATCCGTACGGGACAGCTGCACCTTTCATTGACTCTGCCGTCCAGTGCGTGAACGACGGAGGTCCATATCTCCCGCAATCTTCTCTAGACGTGGCATGTTTTGACCGTAAATTTATATTTCAGGTCTTCTGTGTGTTACCTGCACAGATCTGTCTGTCTTAGCGACAAATAATTATCCCGAAAAATGGTACGCTTTGAGCATACGGTTGGGTTTTCCAGGTACTCATATACTTTTCAGCTATTCCAATTATGGTGGCATACCTGTGAAGGCTGAATACTGCCATGAAGTGGTAAGTTTGTCCCTTGCAACATTAGTCCACGAAGTAGGCTAAGCTCAGAACAGGCTCTTCGATTGGTCCTCAATTCAATATCAGTCTCTGCTGCTCGCTATGGCCGTTTCATCGAACCGTTGTTGTCCCTTTCCATCGACTTTTATGTTCGCATCTTCGTCCGAATCCAAACCGCTCCCGTTGAGGTCAAGAAGGCTGCGAGGTATGTACACGTTCTGTTCCGTTTTTCGCGTTGTTCTAATCGCCCACCTTGTATAGCAAAACGTCCATATTTTATGTCTGCTCTACATGTCAGTCGTCTTACGGGCAACCATTGAGCAAGGTGATAGAAAGAGAGTCCAAGAACGGCACGACGAATCCTGTCTTCAAGACCCACACTGGCCCAACGGTCTCGGAAAAATGTCCTGAATGTGGATCTGCCATGCATGTGTGTATCTCGCCATTCGTTGGCTGTCTAGAGACGCAATGTAACGAGTGTTGCTTAATCCGATGTCGAACAGCTAGCGGGCCCGATGTGGAACGGCCCCATCCAGGATCCTGAGTTTGTTGGAAAGGTCCTGCAACATGTCGAGAGTAACGAGGACAAGTATGGCACGGTTGCCCGCATGAAGGGAATGCTCACGGTGGCCAAGGAGGTCTGTCATCATCTCTCCCGCTTGAACGGTCTGCCAACCAGACTGACCATTCACCTCCTTTCCTAGGAACTGAACGTACCGTTTTTCTTCACGCCGACACGGGTGTCAAGTTTCTTCCACTGCAATTGCCCTTCCTTGGACGACGTGACGTGAGTTACGCCCATCCACCCATCTAACTGTAACAAGATGAACAGATCGTCGCCATTGCTCTGCGTGCTCACATCACATATCATTTTGACTTTCATCATACGCATAGATCTGCGCTCCTGAATGCAGGTCACCAAGTCTCTCGCTCGCACGCATGCCCAGGCTCCATCAAGACCACCGCCTCCCGGCGCGAGCTCTTCGACATCTTCCTTTCCTGGGTCAAGTTGCATCCCGTGAAGATGGAAAAAATAGCGGAGAACTCGCCCTCCCGAGTCCTTCTCGCGCGCGAACCTGCGTGAGTTCATCCATCATCTAAAACGGCGCCCTGCTCCCGTGTTCATCACTGCTTATTCTATGATGTGATATTTTACAGACAAGTGGCGGACTTCAAACGCCATCCAAAAACGCACTCCGCTTCTTCAAAGGTCAAACTCGTACGCTACCAGGTGAACCCCACGCCGAACTGGGGCCCAGGCGCAAAAGCCGACGCCGGCACTCACAACAGCAAGAGGAAGCGGGACGCAGACGAGTAGTAGCAGTAGCAGTAGCAGTACGTAGCCTGACCCCATACGTTCATGCCTGTTGTTGCGACTCGAATTTTCGTGTCTTGAAGAAACGTCGGTATCGCTGTTACTGTCACGATGTACCAGTCTGTATGTCAGATGCGCTGTCATGTTTCCAACCGTATCTGGAAGCTGGAGGAGAAGAAAGCAAGAGAAAAGAGAGACGGGAATTACTACATGCGTATGCGCGTAAGACGTGGGGATCATCAATGCCTGCCAACGGGGAGACAACGGTATCTATCCATCCATCCATCCTATCGTGTCAACGTTCTACTACGAACTGAACTGAAGAGCCCGTGAAAGAAAGAAAGAAAGAAAGGAAAGAAGTGGTGTGAATCCGGCGTGAAGGTGACGGGTGAAAAAGCCAAGAGCCAAAAAAACAAAACGAAACGAAAAAAGCAAGCGGTGACGAACAGGAGCTAGCCAGAGCGAAATGTGGAACGAATACGGGTACTACTACTAATATGGGAACGCGTGCGAGGAGAACGAAAGAAAATATATCCATAGAAATAGAAGAAATAAACAAGTGAGAGAATGAAGGTGCTTGCTGAAGGATGCGAGGAAACAAACAGAGATAAATCAAGATCATGGAGCCGCCGTCTCTTTCATCGCGGCCTTGCTGGCCTTTCCTGGCTTTTTCGCGAGCCAAGGATGCTTAAGCAAGTCCCCAGCCGAAGGCCTCACTTCGTGGTTGAGCTCAAAGCAAAGATCGAGGAAGTTATGAGCATCCGCAGAGATATCGCTCGGGATGGCCGGTTTCGCAGCCGCGGACCCAATCTAGATAGTCACAACAACGGACGAACGCAAAGTCAGCACAGGGCGAAGCTCAAGCACAGTCGAGAAAATAGGAAAAAGGGAAAAGGCGGGTAAACGCACTTTAAAGATCGCCTGCATCTGGTTCAGCTGCGCCCAAGGGTGCTCGCCAGTCAACATCTCGACGATGAGACATCCCACGCTCCAGATATCCGCCTTCTTCGTGTACGTGGTCTGTTTGACGACCTCCGGGGCCATCCAGAAGACCGAACCCTGGAGCGAAGGCCGATGGAGACGATTTCCAGGCATGAGATCTACACAAATCCCCAATGTCAATCATGTCAGTTCAATACGTTCCGAGATGCAATGTTGAGTCCAGTGGAGAGTGCACTCACTGTCCTCCAACTTCTTCGAGATCCCAAAGTCGGATATCTTGATGCCTCCCTTGTTATCGACGAGGATATTCGCGCCTTTGATGTCCCGATGGACGATACCCCGTTCGTGCACGTAGTCGAGGCCCTCGAGGATCTGCCGCAAGAAATTGCGCACGAGCGGTTCTTCGAATGCGCCGTAGTTGCGCAGCAAGGCGGTGAGGGACCCTCCGGGAACGTACTCCAAGAAGATATTGAAGTGCTCTTCGTCGGCGGATGAATCTAGCGCACACAGAGTTACACATCATCAGTGGGAATGAAGGTCAGCTAAGGGACGCTGAGATGGGTGAGGGTGAAACGAAACGTACAGAGGTATTGCACGATGTGTTCGTGCTCGAGGTCCTTCAACAGCTCCATCTCGCGTTCCAGCGCGTTCAACATCTGCTGTTTACGCTCCTTATTGATCGACGCGGCCGTAGGCAGATCGACTTGTTTCACGGCCATGAGAAGACCGGTCGTAGCGTCCATACCAAGGTAAACCTTCCCGAACGATCCCGCACCGATCAACGCACCCTTGATCCACCTCAGGCCTGAAAGAAAGAGAACCACAGTTTAACGACGAGGTATATTTCAGATAGGGGTAAAGAAGGAGGTTAGGCCTACCGTTAGACTCGATCGCGTTGCCCGTCTCGTCCTGCTCCTCGTCTTCATCGAAATCTTCTTCATCTTCGTCATATTCCGAGTCATCCTCCTCTTCCTCCACCTCGAGTTCATCCTCCTCCTCTTCCTCCTCCGCTCCTTCGGGCGGAACGTCCGCCGGCGCTGCCGGAGTCTCGTTCTCATCGTCCCCATCCGTGACTTGCGTCCACCCACTCAACGACGCATCGTCCGCAACAGTATTAACCGCCGCATTCCCCTGCCTACTCTCCACCTCTGCCGTAATCTCGTCCATAGTCATAATACTCCCCGTATCCGACGTATCGCGCCTACTCCTCAACTCCTTAACATAACTCATCCGCTTCGAAGCGACGGACATAGGTCTCCTTGATGACGGCGTGAGCCTCGTCGCCGTCGACGCCGTCGAACCACCCGTGAGACCCGACATCGACTCTGAGAACGATTCGAACGAGAGATTGACAGGCGGTAACAAACTCGCCCTCGACATCCTCTTCCCCCCCTCCTCGTCAATATCCTCCTCGCTCTCCAAATCGACCGAATCGCCATCGTCCCTAGAGATCGAAATCGACACCCTCGGAGGCGGATCCATCATATTACTGCCGCCGCTCCCGTTCCCGTTCCCATTCTCGTGCTCATTGTCCGCCCCCGCCCCCATCCGCCGTGGGACTTTCTCCGGCACCGCAGGCGGAATCGACGACGCCGTCGAAGTTCGATGCGAAGACCGGCGCTGGGAGTCCATCGTGCTCACGCTGAACCTCGAGCCAGGCGGCGGCGCGAACGACATCGTGCTATCCCGTTTCGAAAAACTGCCCCCGCGGAGCATACTGTTCCGCGCCGTGCGATCTAGGAGCTTCCTCTCCGCGAAGGGGAAATATTCGTGCAGGTGGGTCGCGATGAGTTCGCTGGGCGGGCGTTGGCCGAAGAAGTTTCGGAGCTTGGAGGGCCCTTTCTTGCTGCTCGGTGTCGGGGGAGTCTTCCTACCATTGTTGTTCCCATTACCGTTACCGTTACTATTACCACTTCCTCCAGTGGATGCACCAGGTCCGAGATAACCAGGCTGCGTAGGTGAAGAAGGCGACTCGAGCGCACGCTCCGGATCGTGAACTCCCAATCCACTAAGCACGCTAATCGAACTCGCCCGTTTCATAGCCTTCGCACTCAACTGCTGCTGCTGCTGCTGCTGTTGCGAAGCACTGAACCCAGGAGACGAAAGCCCGACATCGACGTACTCGTCGTCGTTCCCATTGCCATTGCCAGAGATTCTGGGGCCCGCGCCGCCGAACAGGGGACTCGTCGGGCTCTTGCGTTGACCGGGGGGCTGTTCGCCGAAGATCTGGGCTAGGGCTTTTGAGCGTTTGATTTTTCCGGCGGCGGCGGCTGGGGTTGTGCGACGGAGGGTGAGCCCGTGTTCGCGGGCTGGATCGTCCGGGGGGGCGTGACAGACGGCGAGGAGTTGGGCTTCGGAGAGAGGGGTTCCTGTGTATTATGGAAGGGAAATAGAATATATGAGAACCACGAGGGAGAAGAAGCAGATCGTCCGGACGGAAAGAAGAGTTGTGTTAATTTAGAACTTTGAGATATCGGCAAAAAGGAAAGAACGGAAGTGGAATATGGATGAAGGGATGGATGGATGGATGTTGACTTGAACTAGACTGAACCTACCTGGCCTGCTATCATGTCTCCAATCGAGATACACTCCCCATCCATCGACATTCAACCCCCCATCATCCGTCCCCGCATACGTCATACCCCCGTCCCCATCCCCGCCCTGCCTCCCCCCAAGTTTCCCAAACTTTTTCAACGCCTTCTCCAGCACCTCGATCCCACCCGCACAATCCTCGACATTGATCGTACACGAATGGCCCTCCTCCGCGAGCTGGAACTTTACGAGTTTGCGACGGAGGTCGACGAGCGAGGGCGTGATATTCATATTCGCGTTGGCATTCGCGTTGACATTGGTATTGGCGTTTGGGATGGAATTGGCGTTATGCCCGGGTGTGTTCGGACGGGCGAACGGGCCGCGACCGACGGCGTAGGCTGTTGGAGGTGAAGGCGATGCAGAGGGCGTTCCTCCTCCATTCGTAGAGATGAAAGATTCAGCAATGGGAGAGAGAATGGTATTGTTGGCTTGTTGTGGAGGCGGCTGTAAGCCCTGAGAATAAGGATGATTTCCTGCGGTTGAAGGTCGCGCGCTGAGTTTGGGTGCGGCAGTGGTATTCGCTACGATACTCGACGTAGAAACGTTTCGGCCGTGGGCGGAGGGGTTTGGGGAACGGGAAGCGGTACGGGGAGGTGGGGCGGGGAGTGGGGATTGGGAACGGTTGGTGGTGGGTGTTTTGCCGTTCAGGTTTGCGCGGGGGTCGGGGGGTAGGCCGTACCCTGACCAGGCGCCAATGTTGGCGGATTGGGGCGTTAGGAGGCCGGGGGCTGGAGGGAGGGGTTGGGAGGTGTAGTCCGGGAGGGCGTCTGTTTGGGTTGGGGTCCTGCGGCCCGAGACGGATGTGGGGTGTACGTTGCGGGTCCCGGAACGGGAGGAGGAGGAGAGAGGCGGAGGGGGAGGTGGTTGACCTCGGGGTGCGGGAGGGATGTGGGCGACTTGTCGGGAGGAGGATGATGATGTGTGAGGAGTTGATGTTGATGGAGGGAGCGGTGGAGGTTGTTGGATGTGCGGAGGACGGAGGGAACGGGCAGAGTCGGGAGCTGTGAGGGCATCACGCTCGAGGCCAGGGAGGTTTGCTTGCTGTACGGCGTTGGGATTGAGCTGGAGAGGAGCAGGCCGTCCGTGGTCGAGACGACGATGGGAACGAGTCGAGGTGGGCGAAGAGGCGGAATCATTCCGGGCGTGATGAATGGATAGGCTGTGATCGCCAAGCGACAACAGAGACTCTCGGGGAGGTCGAGCAGAACCATACATCGAAAGCCTCTCGATTCTCCTCGTCGAGCATTTCTGCCTCAGTACCTTGACAGCATTCAATATCCTGAGTCTGTCGCCGATGCTCGCCACACCCATCTCCTTCAACGTGCTTTGTTCGAGCTCAAGCAGGACATCGCCCCTGATGTCGTTCGCCTTGAACTTTTCAGAGTGCTGGGCGCACTTGATGTCTGTGAGCCAGCGCGAGACATGGGTATCGTTCCAGGTGCGGAGGAACTCTGCGTATTTCACGCCGGAGGGTGGCTCTAGCGAGTTGTTCGGGGACGTGAAGTGGGACGTGAGGGTGGTGGGCGTCGCGGGCATGGATCGAGCGTTTTGAAGGGCTGCGTTGAGGACTTCTCTAGACTGTTGGTTCTGGAAGGCGGTCGCTGTGGCAGACGGGGAGGAAGCCTGGGACGGCGGTTGGGAGAGGCTGTCGAGAGAGTTCCCGCTCATGGTGGCCGCAGCCATGGAGGAAGTTGCCAAAGAGAGTACAAAGAAGGGCTAACTGAGGGTATAAGAGAGGGGCGTAAGAAATAAAGGGATGGAAAGGAACGGTCAACGTTGTGCGAAGAGGGGCCTTACTGCGAGCGACTTAAAGCAGATTGAGTGAACAATAAGCGTTCCGCGGTTACAACGCTCGCCACTCGGCGGGCCGGTGGAAGAACAAGGATTGGAACTGACAGTAAAAGCAATTGTCTACGGTAGATGTTGAGGTCGCTTGGTGCTAATACTCGTCGGTAGGTGCAATGATGAACGAGTTGCACATCAGATGTGCACTGTCGCCACACTGCTGTGCTCGCCACACGCTGTCATCTGCGATGCTCTGCAACGGCGAGCGTCGCAACAGGCTGTAGAGCTCATCAAAAATCGAAGGCGGGCATGGTGGCCGCGACCCGCGAGCGCCAAGAAATCAGGCGCGATAAGCCGTGACATTAGCGTGACGTGCCTGTCACAGGGGAGGCAGAGGAAGTTCCCACGGGGGAGCAGACAGCCCGGGCGGATTAAAGCGACCTGGACGACCTTCTCCTCGTTTCCGCCGTCGTCGGTTGACGCCCGCCGTCGTCCTTTTCTTTCTTCTTCTTCGCTGCTGTCAACCTCGACAACCACCGCTCCTTTCCCCCAGCCTTCCTTCTTCCTTACCACCACCACATACCCACACCTCACAGAGTCCCTTCATACTTACCTCCACCCGTATTGGCCCACCACATACCTTCAAAATGCGGCCATCGCTCTCCGCGTGCGCCCTGCTCGCCTTCGTCGGCGGCGCACTCGCTTCACCTTATCGCTCAGACCTTACCGACTACAATCTTAATACCAACCAGGATGCTGACTCAGTCACCGATTACTCTACCACTCGCGCGAACACAACTTACACCCCTTCGCCCGAGAATTGGCGCTCCATCCCCTTCTACACCGTCCTTCCAGACAAGTTCGCAGACGGTGACCCTTCAAATAACGACTGGTTTGGCACTCCATGGGAGTACGACTGGAGAGAGACCCAGCTCCGCGCCGGCGGTGATCTCGCTGGCTTGGTTTCCAAGCTTGACTACCTATACGGCATGGGGGTCAGAGGCATATTCATCTCTGGAACGCCCTTCTTGAACATGTTATGGCAGGCTGACAGTCCGTGTGCTCTTCTTCTCTCACCTTTCTTTTGCTCACCCAACCCGCTCCAGGTTACTCTCCACTCGACTTCACCGTTCTCGATCCCCATTATGGCACAATCGACGACTACAACGCAATGATCTCTGAGGTCCACGCCCGCGGAATGTACGTTATGGCGGACTTTACAGTCGGTACCATGTCCGATTTGATTGGCTTCTCTGGGTAGGAACAATCCATCACTTGCCCTTTCCCGCACATCTGATGCCCTCTCTCCAGCTACCTCAACACGTCCACTCCTTTCGATCTTAACGAACACGAAGCCGTCTGGAAGCATCCCGATCTCATGCCATGGGGCTTTGACGAGTACAAGGACTTCTCGGTCAGTTGACTCGTCGTGTTCAGCACGCCGCTTAACCCCCGTGCTCACCTCCTCGCCCATTTTTAGATCGACAACACGCGCAATGAATCTTGTACGTTGCCAAAGCTTTGGCTCGACGCTGGCACAGTCGTCTCCGTCGAGACCAATGGCTGTCTCGAGTCCGACTTTGATCAGTACGGTGATATGGAAGCTTTCGGTGTCCATCCTGATTGGCAACGTCAGCTCGCCAAGTTCGCCTCCGTGCAGGATCGTCTGCGCGAATGGGACCCCACCGTCATGGCCAAGCTCACGACTTTCTCTTGCTTGGCTATCACCGCGCTCGACATTGACGCTATCCGTATCGACAAGTCCACACAGGTCACCGTCGACGCTTTGGCTACCTGGGCCTCTGCGACCAGGACGTGCGCTCACGACCTTGGCAAGACAAACTTCTTCATCACCGGTGAAGTTACGGGTGGTGATACCTTCGGTTCATTGTACTAGTAAGTATCTTGTATTCTTCAGGTGTGATACTATCTGACTTGCATCTGTAGTGGCAGAGGCAGGACTCCGACGCAGCTTCCCAGTAGCTTCGACATCGCCGCCAACCTGACCGCTAACCAGAGCCAGTACTTCCTTCGGGACGAGTCCGACAACGGCCTCGACGCCGTCGCCTTCCACTACTCCACCTACCGCTCTCTCACCCGTTTCCTTGGAATGGACGGCAACTTGGCCGACGCTTACGACGTCGACGTCAACTTCGTTACCTCTTGGAACCAGATGTTCGTCGACAATGACTTCTTGAACGCCATCAGTGGCGACGTGGACCCGAGGCACATGTTCGGTACTAGTAATTTCGATGTGTTCCGCTGGCCGAGTTTGGAGAACGGGACTCAAAAAGCTGCCTTCGCTACTTTCATCACGACGTTGGTCATGCCCGGCATACCTTTGGTTCGTAGCCAACCATACTTGATATCTTGACCCTCGCTGACATATGTGCCGCAGATTTACTACGGTGAAGAGCAGAATGTCTACTTGTATGATACCACCGCGCAGAATTACCTCTACGGGTGAGTGCTCCATGAAGTTGATACGCGAACTTCCACTCATTGCGAATTTTTACAGCCGTCAAGCCATGTTCAGTAATAAGGCCTGGCAGCGTCATGGATGCTACCATCTCGGATCGGAGCAGTACTACAACATGGCGCTCGACAAGTCTCTCATCGGTTGCCTCGACGATTGGAACTCTCTCGATCACTTCGATCCCACAATGAACAGCCGTCGTATGATGGCTCAGATGTTCTACCTTCGTTCCGTCTACGGCGCTCTCCAAGATGGTTTCGGTCTCGTGCAACAGGGCAACTGGACTTATCAGATCGAGCGCCCCGGTTCTAACGGTACCGCGACCGAGATGGGTCTCTGGTCGATCTCCCGATCAGGTATTACCTCTCAGACCCTCAGCGGAAACAACACCGACGAAGTCTGGATGCTTTACACCAACGAGAACACCACGAAAACCTGGACGTACGACTGCACTAGCAACAATTGGATCTCTACTCCATACCAGGCTGACACCATCGTCCGGAATCTGTTCTATCCTTACGAGAACTACACTCTTCAAGCCTCGCTTTCCTCGTACAATAAAGATAACCAATCGCCTTATTTCGGTTGTCTGAACTCGGTCACGATGGACCCTTATAGCTTCAAAGTCCTCGTCCCTCAGGACGCTTGGGTGGCACCTCTTCCTGCCTTGACGAAATTCACTCCTGGCCACGATTACCGCATTCTTTCGAACTCCACGACCGTCCAGGTCTCGCTCGAATTTAATACCCCGATGGACTGCCCGACCGTCACCGCCGCGCTCTCCCTCAACATGTCTTCCTCTGGGAACAGCACCTCGCCTTCGATCGATACCGACTCTGTCACCTGTGTCTCTCTGACGAACGCTCCTGCCTCCATGCTCTCTGGGGACGCTCCTTCGGCTTGGTCGTGGACCGCGAATATTAAGGACATGCCTGACGGTATCCTTCAGCTCATCCTCGACAACCCGACGAGTCAAGCCGGTACCAAGTCTGGCGTACGTACCGTTTCTCTATATTTCTCACTGAACAGTACGACTCACACCGTTGGTTTCGTAGGCCGTCGACACGCTCCTCCTTCGCAAGGGTCTCGCGAACAATGTCATGGTCTTCCCCGAGGCAGACTACGACAACGACGCGTTCTCATACTCGAATGACCAGTATCAGTTCACGCATAAAGCGCTAGGCGCTGAGATGTTCAGGTACTCGTGGAACTTTGGCAAGAACTGGACTTCATGGAAGGAATGGGAGGCTACGACGTACATCGACTCGGACGTCTTCTCGGACGAATCCATTTTCTGGGACGGGCAGCATATTCTCATGCAGTGTACGCAGCCTTCCGTCATCTTTTGTCTCGTGCTGAGGCTGACCTTTTTTCCACCGTGTAGACTGGAGTAGCGTCGCTGCGTCTGCCGCTGCGGTTGTTCATGCCGATCATGACTATTCGATGAAGCGCCGTGTTCCGCAGTTCATCGCTCGTGGTCCTTTCAACGAGTGGGGTTATGATTCGGGTGTCGATGCTGCTATGGAACACACCGGTGATAGTACTTGGGAATTGGAAATCATGGCGACATGGCCCACGTACATTCAGCTCAACGTCTACGCCTACGACTCGTACTACTACGGCGATGTCGACGGGGACGGTGTTCTCGACCGTCTGCCGCCCAACACCGCGGCGTCCAACTACCTCAACATGTCCGCTCCTCCGAAACCCCATCTGGCTTGGAACCTCGTCGTTGACGACTCGGACTATACTTGGTATCTCGAGCCTCGCGGAGAGTCTGTCGTCGCTGCTACGATGTATGCGCTTCTTTTGTCCATCCCGCTCATCACCGGTACCCTCGCCGTTGTCATCTTCATGTGGTCGTTCTACGGTATCAAGCACAACAAGTGGGGTGTCAAGCCTGCAAAGGATCACAGCCACTACTTCCCCATCCTCGGCGTTCTCGGAAACAAATCCAAATCAGACCTCAAGGATGGCGCCGCCATGTCGGAGAAGCTCTTCGGCAATCACAAACCGCACGATGTCATAGGTTGGCCAGAAGACAAGAACAAGCGTCGAAAGGTCCTCATCGCGACGCTCGAGTACGAGATTATCGATTGGAAGCTGAAGGTCAAGATCGGTGGTCTTGGTGTCATGTCGAGTTTGATGGGTAAGGCGATGACGGATGTCGATCTCGTCTGGGTCATTCCAAAGGTCAAGGATATCGAGTACCCGCCTGGTGAACCCGTCGACCCCATCGAGGTCATCATCTTCGGCGAGCCGTATCTCATCGAGGTCGAGAAGCACGTTCTCGACAATATCACGTACATCATCCTCGACAGTCCCGTCTTCCGCGCTCAGACCAAGTCAGATCCTTACCCAGCTCGTATGGACGATCTCTCATCCGCCATCTTCTACTCGACTTGGAACCAAGCCATCGCCGCTACCGTTCGTAGGGATCCTGACATCGATATCTACCACGTCAACGATTACCACGGCGCTCTCGCCCCGATCTACCTCCTCCCGAAGGTCCTCCCTGTCTGTCTGTCGCTTCACAACGCCGAGTTCCAGGGCTTGTGGCCGCTCCGGACGAAGGAGGAGATGAAGGAAGTCTGCTCGGCGTTCAACATCAGCAAGGAGCACTGCACGAAATATGTCCAGTTCGGAAACACGTTCAACTTGCTCCACGCGGCGGCCTCGTTCATCAGCGTGCACCAAAAGTCGATCGGCGTCGCCGGTGTGTCGGACAAGTACGGAAAGAGGTCCTGGGCGCGGTACCCCGCGCTCTGGACGCTCAAGCACGTCGACTCGCTGCCTAACCCGGATCCGTCGGATATCGAGGCGCTGGACGAGCAGGCGGTTAAGGTTGCGGATATTCAGATCGATCAGGCGGCGGAGGCGGAACGACCGGAGCATAAGAGGCAGGCCCAGGAGTGGGCGGGCATTAAGCAGGATCCGGATGCGGATCTGTTCGTGTTCGTCGGTCGGTGGTCGAAGCAGAAGGGTGTGGATTTGATTGCCGATGTTATGCCGTCCTTGTATGTTTTTTTCTTCTCATTTTTGGGTGCTTGGAACTGATTTGTGGGTATCAATTAGGTTGGAGAAGCGTCCGTCGATTCAACTCATCACCGTCGGTCCCGTCATCGATCTTTACGGTCGTTTCGCCGCCGAGAAACTCGCCCGTCTCATGGAACTTTACCCGGACCGCGTCTTCTCGAAACCAGAGTTCACGGCGTTGCCTCCATATCTGTTCAGTGGTGCCGATTTCGCGCTCATCCCGTCGCGTGACGAGCCGTTCGGTTTGGTTGCTGTCGAGTTCGGTAGGAAGGGTGCGCTTGGTGTCGGTAGTCGACTTGGTGGTTTGGGTCTGATGCCCGGTTGGGTAAGTTTCTGGTGTTATATCGCAATTTTGAGGGCACGGCACTCATTTTTATTTTTTGCAGTGGTTCCCGGTCGAGTCTATGTCGACAGGCCATATGTTGTCGCAATTGTCCAAGACGATCAAGATGGCGCTCAAGTCTTCTGAAGAAGAGCGTGCGATGCTTCGTGCTCGTTCCGCTGTGCAACGTTTCCCGGTCGTCGAATGGCGTCAACGTATGGAGGACTTCCACAAGCGTTCCATCGGTGCTAGCAGGACTCTCGCCGGACACGACGCATGGCGTCCGTCCGACGGCCAGAGCGGAGGTCTGCAACCCATCGCCGACCATGATGATTGGGCTCCCGAGGATCAAAGCGAACCTGCTCAGCCTGACTGGGATAGCCGCAGCATGAACAGCCCGAGGTTGTCGACCAACGTCCCCGCATCTCCAGGGCAGTGGAGCCAAGAGACGCTCACGCCCGGCGGAGACCCCTTCCTGACCGCGCCACCTCGCTTGGTTCCCGATCGTCGTTCGTTCGGCACCGATGTCTCGGACAATGAGGGCAATGAGGGAGACTACTTCTCGCGGCAGCCACCGAGCAGTCCGGGCGCTCCTGATACTCCTGGAGAACAGGCGGACTATGGGAACTTTTTGGATAGGGCGAATAGGGCTATTGCGAGGGACCAGAAGAACGCGCCGGATCCGTTCTTGGAGGCGCCGTCGAAACCTTTCGGGGCTCATAACCGGTTATCGTCCGTCGAGTCTATCTCTTCCATCGTGGACGAGAAGCAGAACTCGCCGTTGAACAAGGCTATCGCTTCGGTAAGTTTTTTGTTGTGTATCTTCTTCCTTTTTGTGGCGCTGACCAAGTGGACGTTGGTGTAGTTCACGGACGCAGACGGTGGTGTGGCTCAGGATTTCGTTCAGAAGCTGCAGAACCTCAACTCTGAAAACTCGAAGCATGAGCTGTCCATCGAGCGTTATCTCCAGAAGAGCGAGGAAGCCTTCTTCGACAAGGTCCGAAAAGACAAGCTGTCCAGCGCCGCAAGTGTCCGTTCATCGCAGAGAGACTCTATCTGGGGCACGCCTTCGCCGTCAATATACAACGACCACTCGCGACCGAGCTGTACGTACCCTTTCTTTGGTTGTCGGAGCCCAATCATGACTGAACTTTTATGTTTGTTTGCGCAGCTCCCAATACACAGTCGTTCGCTCACTCCGGCAGTGGCTTCGCATCGTCTGAGTACGAGGGTCCGCTACCCAACGATAACGGTGAGGTCGTCATCATGACCGGTCTCCAAATCGCCTTGTCGAGAGAGATTGGCGGCTGGCCGCTGTACACCATCATCATTGCTCTCGGACAGGTAAGAAGACTCTCATTCGCTTTTGTTTTCGTTCCAGATACTGATATTTCGCAATTAGATGTTGAGTGCGACCAGTTTCCAAATCACCCTGCTCTCCGGTCAAGCATACCAGGACGATCTGCAACTCTACGTTTTGGGAGCCGTCTTCTTGGCTGCTTCGGCGGTGTGGTACCCCCTGTTCCGGTTGAAGCCCTCGGTATACGTCCTTTCCGCTCCCTGGCTCTTCTTCGGTCTCGCCTTCTTCCTCGTCGGTCTTCCATCCGTTGCGGACGCTCTTCATGCTGCTGAGAAGACATTGGCGAGTGTCGCGACTTGGTGTTATGCCGTCGCTTCTGCTGCCGCGTTCATCTTCTTCGGTCTCAACTTCGGAGAGGAAGCAGTACGTTTTTCAATCATCACTACGTTTCAAATTGCCGTATCTGACATCTTTGTATAGGGTGCTGCTACGGAAGTGTGGATGTTGAGGGCCTGTATCGTGCAAGGATCACAACAGATCTGGGTCGCCGCTCTTTGGTACTGGGGACATCAGCTCAACAACTCGACGACGGCAACTCCACCCTGGTGGACGGTCCTCATCTTGTGGCCTCTGTCTGCGATGAGCTTCCTTTTCGCGTACTTGATGCTTTACGGACTTCCAGGTGAGCACCCTTTCACTCTCAGATGAAGATTTCTTGACTGATCACTCTGTGCCTTTTTCAGAATACTACCGCCAGACGCCACCAAAGGTGCCCAACTTCCTCAAGACGTTGTTCCGCAGGAAGCTCGTTCTATGGTTCCTCGCATCCGAAGTCCTTCGGGATTACTGGCTGTCTGGTGTAAGCTCTGCTCGTTTCGTTATGCAACTATGCAAGTGCTCACGTTGCTTTTAGCCCTACGGCCGTAACTGGAGTTTCCTCTGGGATGTCAACATTCCGAAGTGGCAGATTCTCCTTCTCATCATCGCGTTCTTCATCGTCTGCTGGGGTCTTATCATGTACATCCTTACGGAACTGTCCAAGACGCACACATGGCTCTTGCCCGTGTTCGCCGTCGGTCTGGGTGCTCCTCGTTGGTGTCAGGTGTGTATCATTCTTTTCCTCCAGATTTGACTCTCAGCTAATATATCTTGCGCAGATGCTCTGGGGTACATCATCCTTGGCCTTGTATATTCCTTGGGCAGGCCACGCCGGACCTTACCTTGGCCTCTCGCTTTGGTTGTGGCTTGGTGTTCTCGATGCTGTCCAAGGTGTTGGGTTGGGAATGATCCTTCTTCAGGTTGGTTTCTCCTCTGTTGACTGGACGTGTTGCAGGACTAACATGCGTTTCTACAGACTTTGTCGCGGTTGCACGTCTGCGCCACACTGGCCTTCGCTCAGATCATCGGTTCTATCTGTGTGATGGTCGCTCGAGCAACGGCCCCAGATAGAGTGGGACCGGAGAGCGTCTTCCCCAACGCCGCCACATGGGACTTCGAGAGCGGTCTTAAGGGTAGTCCAATGGCTTCGCCAGCCTTCTGGGTCGCTTTGATCTGCCAGATCATCATTGTTATCGGCTACTTCTGGTTCTACCGCAAGGAGCAACTTGGTAAGCCCTCCGGTCCTGTTTTGCGTCGTCTCGACTGCTGTCTAACATTGTCCAACTTTCTCTTCCTTCCTTTTAGCTCGCCCATAACCGCATTATCATCAATCATCTTTCACATTCAGCATCATCATATACGTGCCATTTTGCATCATCGATAGACTCTCCAGTTGTGTCGACTCGTCTCTGCGTACGGACTGTCTTACTCTACCTTTTCGGATTCATTAGGATTGTCGATTGTGACTCTTTTTGCGCTTTTTGCCTGGCTTGGTTGGGGGATTCGGACTGTGGCTTATCTCGATCGGACAATGTACTCAAACACTCCCTAATCCGTCCTACACACTCGCTATGACAATTGTTTCCTTGTCTTTATTCTTTCATTTCATTTCCTTTCCTTTTTTCTTCATCTGCCTCTCCTTCGCTTCGCTTCGTCGCCCCGCGTCTCCCTCCACTCCCCCCCTCTCCCGACTTCATCCGTATCTCTCCAAGTACGTAGAAATCTGGTCTTAACAGTTTTTTTATCTGTCTGTTTGTCTGTTTGCGTGTTTGTTTCTCACCCCGACTGGTGGTTGTTTGTTGTTGTGGCCTTTGATACGTACGCGTCGGGGGCTTGCATTATTATATCCGCTTCGTTTTCTCAGTAAGTTACGCCTGCTCTAGCGAGTGATTAAAAATATATCATCTCTTGTTCTTACTGTGTGACGACGGAAGTGCACATATAATACATACCTTGCATCCACATTGAAGTGACTTGATTGGTCCGACTCGCAACCAGCACCAGCCAGCACCTGTAGCAGGCGTGACTGTTCGTGTTCCATTTCGGATGCTTCAACGGCCTCGAGGTAAATAGAAGGCAGTGTTGGTTCTGGACATGACCGAACACGACTCGTCGTCCTCTCCATTGTGTTGCACATGGGTATCACAATTGCCAAAGAAACATATGACGGATAGGTCATTACACGATGCTGAAGCAAAAGGTGATTCTCATGACTGCATATGAAGCCTATCTGAGGAGCCTATGTGTATGATAGAAAAGGGGAGATGGGTGCATGCGACGAGACAAAAGTAGTACAGGACAAAGCAAGAGAAGAAAAGAAAAAGTGGACGTGATAATGTGTCATCAAGTTTACTTGGCTCCAGCAGAAGAGTACTCTGTTGAGTCACAATGTTGATCAGAAGAGGACAACAAAAAGAAAACGGAGAACGCGTACTGGTGACAGACTTAGTCCCCTCCGAGATGGCGTGCTTGGAGAGCTCTCCTGGCAGGATCAAACGAACAGCGGTCTGAATCTCTCGCGAAGAGATAGTAGATTTCTTGGAGTATGATGCGAGCTCTACGAGAGTGCAAAGAAAAAAGAAATGTCGCGTCAGAGCCATGATAAAGACAACGAGACAATGGTGACGCACTGGAAGCCTCGGTAGCAATGCGCTCGAAGATATCCTGGACGAACGAGTTCAAGATGGCCATGGCCTTGTTCGAGATACCAGTGTCAGGGTGGACCTGCTTGAGGACTATGGTAGAGGACGGCATATGAGATGAAGAACATCGAATCAAACAAGAGGAAACGTACCCTTGTAGATGTATGAGCTGTAAGTCTCCTTGCGGGCCTTCTTCCTCTTCTTCTTCTCGCCATCTTCTGGCTTCTTCGAGGTGCTCTTCTTTGCTGACTTGGAGGCGGTCTCGCTCTTGGCGGGAGCCTTGGAGGCAGTGGAGGCAGGAGCCTTTCCAGCGGTGGATGCGGGCTATACGCGCCACCGTCAGACCCATACGAATGAATATAAAAAGTCAGGGTGTACGCACTTTGGGAGCCATTGAAAGTGTAGAGTGGGCGCGAAAAGGGCTGAGACGAGAGTAGGTGGTGGTGGGGAGGAAAGAGTGTTGTGGTCGCGCTCAACGCGAGGGCGTCCCTTATAAACGACCCTTGACGGCAATTGCCGTAAGTAACGCGTCGATTCTTCACGTGAATCAACAATGGCACGTGACACGTGGCACCGCGACGCGTCGCAGTGGCTCGGCGTGGGGGAGCCAGGAGGTTATTTCCTCTTGGCGTCCTGATGCCGCCTTTGAGTGTACTTTTGACGATTCTCAGCTCTAGTACCATGCCAATACTCTGCTTGTCTTTCCTGTTGATCATAGAAACTTGAAGCTCGGAAGGGTCTGAGCACGCCATGCCTCTCACTGTTGAAGAATTCACATCGGTCGGGTCCGGACCGCGGAGTCAGAACCTCTTGTCAAAACTAGGTTATCATCCACGAGCCCCAGTCCATCTCTTTGTTCATACCTTGTCTTGCACGCTTGCAAGATTTCTCTTTTGACTTGTGGTTTATTCAAATAGCCCATTCATCCAAGGTATGCTCGCGAGCCGATACCTCACTCACATATCCTCGTGTGCCACTGGCATCCGTCGCAGTGTTTCTTTCGGTTACCGTGCAACGAGTTCTCAAAGAACTTTTGTCAGTAGCGCATCAGCCATGGTCGGATTCGTTCATAACGTTGCCCAAGTCGGATTCGGGACCGGCACTAACGAGCTCTACGACAAGTTCGTAGTTTTCCTTCGATTGCGCGGTTTCGACTGAATTCTGGATTGTTCTGATGTTGTCGTTGCATGATTCCTCAAATCAGAGCTCGCCCCTCTTACCAGGCTGCACCGGTTTCCCTGATCCGCAAAGCAGTTCCGGCAAAGGGGCCCTTGAACATCGTCGAGTACGTGTGGTGCTTTCGCGTGTTATACAGCCTCGTGAGACTATACTAACAATAGTGTTTCATCCATTGTCCTCTCAGGATCGGTGCTGGCACTGGGATTTTCACCCGAGCCTTGCTTGCCCACCCCGACTGGACCTCTGATGTCGGGCAATTGAAGGCCATTGAGCCTAGCGAGGGTATGCGAGACCAGTTCCTCAAGACATCTTTGAAAGACGACCCGCGTGTGAGCACCCAAGAGGGTTCATTCTCGCAGACCAACGTCGAGGATGGCTCAGCGGACCTCGTCGTTATCGCTCAGGTATGTCATAGTGCAATGACCAAGCTCAGCATATTATGTGGAGGCGACTTATGGACATGGTCTATTTTTACTTTCAGGCATTCCACTGGTGCCCTGATCATGAAGCCGCTGCGAAGGAGTTCGCTCGTATTCTGAAACCTGACGGTGTTGTCGCTTTCATCTGGAACCTCGAAGACAGGTGAGTGCAATATCGTTTGCGTATCAATGGCGAATAAAGACTGATACAAATCACACTATAAAAAGGGACAACACGGGATGGGTCGCCCAACTTCGCGACACCATCGAACAATACGAACAAGGCACGCCTCAATTCCGTCTCGGGCTATGGCGCAAGTTCTTCGACGTACCCGCGTACAAGGAACTCTTCCAGCCACCCGCGGAAGAGGTCTTTGAGTATAACCTCATCGGCACGACTGACATTGTCGTCAATCGGGCTTTTAGCAAGAGCTTCATAACCATGCTTCCGGTTGACGAGAAAGCCAAGGTCGAGAACAAGATCAAGGAGATCGTTGAGCGAGGAGATGGTAGGAAGTGGGTGGATGAGAGTCAGGGGGTGTTTGAGTACCCGTACAAGTGTTGGGTCGTGATCGCGAAGCGAAAGTGATTCCACTTGATCGCTGGAGGTTCAGGTTCAGAAGAAATATGTGTTAGTTGTACCCATCCATGTATTAGGTCGCGGTTCTGTATATAAAGGCGATATGCTGTTGGACTTAAATTGCTCAAGGGGGACTTTAGAGGAGAGCGTCGAGCGTCTTCTAATCCTCGTGATTTTGGGAAAATATATGACGTATGCGGGGAAGACGAACCAAACAGCCAAAACATACCCCCTCCACCCTGTTCCATTATATCAACGATGCGTCTTCTCCGTTCAGGTCTCTCCGTCCACACTCGCCTCGCCCGACGTGCTTATGCCAGCTCCTCGACATCTCGGAACGAACATACCGCTCTCGATCAATGGATAACCGGATCGCCGACAAGACAACTTGTCCTCGATGACCGTCTATCACCCGAGCACACCTCCGACCTCTTCATCACCCTTCCCACACGCGATGGCACTCGTCGACCATATACCAAACCCAAATCCGGAGACCCTCTACCTTACGGACATCATCTCGCCTTCTTTCATCCTCGTACACCAGAGAAGTATCTACGACCTGACGGAACCGACGCAGACTTCTGTCCTCCCGAACCGTTCGTGAGACGAATGTGGGCAGGAGGGAAGATCAAGTGGAATGGAAGTGATGACCTGAGGATTGGGGAGTATGCAACATCTAAGTCGATTATCAAGGAGGTGGAGAAGAAGGGGTTCGAGACGGGGTCGCCCATGGTATTCGTGAAGCAGCATATTCAGATAAGCTCGGGTCGATCTGCGGAACCTCAGGTGGAAGAAGAAAGGTCGCATGTGTACCTTGGGTTGGGTGTGAGTAAGCGAAGCATTAGACCAGGCAAGTATGGATTAGGTCTTCGGATTTTTTATGTTGATATTGAGGAACAACTGTCTTGGGAAAGCAGTTATGGGGCTACCACCCTCGCAGTTCTCCCTAACATACACACCAAGCCCGACGACCCTCTTCCGCTTTTCGGCCTTGACATTTAACGGACATCAAATCCACCTGGATCGCGACTACGCACACTCAGAAGGCTACTCTGGTGCGTTATTTATATCGTGCTAATATGCTCGAGCACTTCCACCCCCATTGCGAGGTACTGAGACGATGCGCAGAACGACTGGTGCATGGCCCTCTAACGGCCTTGATGTTGCTGGAGACTCTGGTCTTCCATAACCCAAACGCAGTGTTTAGTAGCTTTGAGTATCGAGCTATGAACCCTGTAGTCGTCAACCGGCCGATCACAATTCATGGGGCTTTGGAGGATGATGGAGAGTCGGCCCAGTTGTGGACGGAGGACGGTGAGGGTGTGGTAGGAATGAAGGGGGTCGTGAAACTACGCAACAAAATCACGAAGGGATGAATCTATGTAATTGTATTGAATATCTACATGAGTGCTATGCCTATGTCGTCTGCGAGTCTGCGAGTCTGTGTTTAGAGAAAGCCCCTATTACGCGGGGAAGAACGCGACGCGTTTCCCACACGCGTCCGTGTACCGCGCCACATTTCAATCACCGCTTCACGTCGCGCTCAAGACGACAAGTCGCCAACTTTCCTCTCCGCTTCTTTCCTTCCTCCCTCGATCACCGTCTCCTCGTCCACCGTCTCCTGCAGCGCAATGGCAAAGGTATGTGCTTCGTAGTACTCATTTCATCGTACATCAGTGCGCGAGGGTTCACCGTGACATCAACACAGCCTACCTCCACCGCGTCCAAAGCCCCCGCGTCCACCGCTGCCAAAGGCGTCAAATCCGAAGAAAAGACTACCAAGTCCGCCAGCAAGGCCAAAGCACCGACCGCAAAGAAAACCGCGACGAAATCTAAGGCCAGCGCGGGCGACTCGGACGGTACGAAGAAGAAGCGCAAGAAGGCGCGCAAGGAGACGTACAGCACTTATATCTACAGAGGTTCGTCGCGTCGACACCTCGTGTTCCCTACCCATGTCCGGTATTCGGGATTGAGAACTCATTTTCTTGGGATATGTGTCGCGTTTTTACGCGTAGTGTTGAAGCAGGTGCACCCGGATACGGGAGTGTCGAACAGGGCGATGGCGGTTCTGAACAGTTTTGTTGCGGATATATTCGAGCGTATCGCTGTGGAGGCATCCAGTAAGTCGTCTTCCTTTGGACTCCTGACTGGTGATATCGTCATGTTACCGAGAAGCACGCGTACTCACCACGGGTCGCCCTGCAGAGCTTTCCAAGATCAACAAGAAGTCGACCATCTCGTCGCGCGAGATCCAGACGGCTGTTCGTCTGATCTTGCCTGGTGAGCTGTCCAAGCATGCCATTTCCGAAGGCACCAAGTCCGTCACCAGTGAGTGCATCCGTTTTTTTTGCTCGTCATGAGAGCCGAAACTCAACATGACCGTGCAACAGAGTACTCGTCCTCTAGTAAGTAAGACGCATCCGCGACCGATTTCTTTGCTATCTTGCACAGGGTTTTTAGACATCGCTGTACTATATCCGTGTACTTTTAGGTTTCATACTTTCTTGGGATCGTCGATCCATACGCTGCCTGCAGTGCTCATATATATCCAGACCATGCCATATTCAGACACGGAAGATGGCCGTAGCGCAAGCTACAACGAACGGAGACGTGTACAAAAGTGTGATGAGATCCGAAAGACTCAGAAACCTGATGACAGAGTCAGTAGTGTGCAAACGTATGATCGAAAGCGAAAGCACGCACCATATTTGTTTCCAGCCTCCTTCCTGTTCCTCCTTCCCTCCGCAATCTTCTGCTCCAGCATCTCCCGGTTCTCGTAGGCCTCCGTAAGCAGGGTCGTAAGCTGATGCCGGGAGCGCGCCCTTCCACTCAACTTCGCTCCCTACACCAAACAGTCAGCACCTGATCCCGTCCTAGCCATACAGAAACCTCAAAAGAACACACCTTGACGTTCATCTTCGGCGCAGCCTGCTGTCCCTCGCTCGTCCCCTGTGTCATATTCTTCGCATCCTCCCGCTCCTTGATCTCGATCCTAGCCCTCTCCATTTCCTTCGCCGCATTCACCTCCGTAGTATCATCCCCATCCGCACCCTCGAAGCCCTTCGCAGGGTTCTTCTCCATCGCACGGACCTGCGCATCGTAGTCCCTCTTCCATTTGTCGTAGAACTTCTGGTAGTATGCGGGATCGTGGGCTGCCCAGGTCCCGGAGGGGAGTTGATAGTAGCCTGGGTAAGGGTCGGTGGGTGTGGGTTCTGGTGGGACGAATTCGTCGATGTCGGGCGCGGAGGAGACGGATGGGAGGGTGAATTTGATGGAGGATGAGGTGGACGGGGTTGTGGAAGATGAGGCTGTGGAAGTTGTGCTTCCTGTAGTTCGATCAGTATCTGAACTAGCCACAAGGATGGATGGAAATACCTAATGAGAAGAAATCTACAGGCGGTGCGGCGGATATAGATGGTACGGAAGATGAGGACTGCGCGGAAGGCCTTGGAGTGCGTCCAGCGTCCTCTCCCAATGATATGTTGGTTCTGCCTTTCTTCAAAGAGGGAGGCAGGAACAATGTCGAGGAGGCAGAAGTTGATGACGATGCAGCTTCAGGTTGTGCTGCAACGGCACCTTCAGTCTCCTCTTCCTCGTCCTGCGTTGCATCCTCTGGGACCAACGGTGCCGCTACAGGCTGAGGAGCTGACAAGCTCCTCGAGGCATTGAAGACAAGTCCCGGACGGCCTCCACCACCGAGCACCCGTTCGGGAGCAGCAGTGGCCTTGACGGGCGCCTTCAGTTTCGGAGCAGGCAGCATGGAGAATAGCGAGGATTTGCCTGAACCCGACCCGGAATCGAGACGAGGTTTCTTGGCAGCTGGCCTCGGGTCGTCTTCATCGTCTGAGCCGTCCTGTGGTAAGGCAGGAAGGTCTATTGTGATCTTCTTGGGCCCTTTCTTGGGTTTGGAGGACGATGTGGCGGATGGTGGCGGGAGGGCGAGCGACGATTTCTTCGGTGGTGAGTTTGACGTAGAGGCCACTGTCTTTGGTGCAGGCTGAGCGGGGGCAGAGCCCAATTCTGAGTCCGAGTCTGAATCTGAGCCGTATGACACAAGCATTGCAATTGTGCAGGGCGTTGGGCAGGTGGAGATGAAAGAGTGGAGAGAGCAGCTGTTGACTGCTATTTGTCCGACGCGCGATCACTTTTGCAAGTTCAAGTCACGACGCGTCCGACACGAACATTGACCTTCTCCTCCTCAGCCATCCCCCAGCCATGGCCACACAACAATTCGACACCCCAGCACCACGTCGAACGAACCGTCCCGCAGTTCGTCAGCCGACTGGCTTTACGCCCCCACCGCCAGCAAAACGACCTCGTGGCGCAAGCAGACAGTTCTCACTTTCGCGCTTTGCGACCCCTGCTCGCGCCACAGGGCACGGTCCCAACTCCTTGAGAGATGACAGGTCGGTGGCATCGAGTATGGATGTGGACGAGGGAGGTATTGCGATATTTGAGAGAAGCTTGAAGCAGGAGACGGTGTTTGCGAAGTCGGACGAGTTGTTGGTGGCCTTGCATTCCCATTTACCGACAGAGGTCAAGCAGGTTCTGAAAGTTGCTGGTACGTCCACTGACATTATATGGGGCTATATATGTATGCTGAGGCGAATCTATCGAAATAGACTTCTTTCGAGACTCGTATTCGGGAGATATCGACATGGACACCGGGTTCGCTCTTGTCGCCACATCCCAAACATGCTTCGTGTGGCAACATACCCAGGTGAGCGCTCCTGTGTTGAACCTCCCGTAGATACGTCGTTCTGACACTGTCCAGGCCGTGTCAGTGATACCAACCTGCTACATCTTCTCTTGTCCAGAAGACGCTTCGTTCAGCGCACCATTCCATGCCTTCGTGCCCTATGGCCATTCGCGCGAGCCAGGCCTCATCCTTCTATCACCGTCGGGAGAAATCAGATTCTGGGATAGCATTGGGATAGGTCTTGCGGGGGGAGAGCATTACTTCAAAAGCCAACTTGGGATCGAATCCGGAGAGTTTGCCACAACGCTGGCAAGATCAGACGTAAGAGCCTCCACCTTATCTACCGTGTCTTTGAACTGAGTAGTCGCTTGTCTGCCATATCCCTTAGTCTCAAACTTTTATCGCCTCCACATCTTATGGCCGTCTTTTCCGTCTAACCCTTACCTCCACGGGAGGAAAATACCACCTCACATCCCGCCTCTTCGCCCGTGCTCAATCCTCCCTCTCACTCACCCGCTTCCTCCCAAACATCTTCTCTCCTCAAAGTATGCTGACAGAACAAGGCAATACCTTCGCCGTGGCTATGGGCGCCAAAAGCGCTACAGGCCGAGATGTCTGGGCTTTGGTCGACACTCGTCTTCAGAAGTGGAATATGGCGACGGACGGATGGGAAGAGCTTAAACTCGATGTGGAGCTCCTCACAGTCGTGCGTCCGGCGTTGCAGGATTCGTTGCTTGGGCCTGGATCGTCCGCGTCGGGAGAGATCTTCTTGGACGTGGAGTTCTTGTCAATGGCGGTCGAGTGAGCCATATCGCTCTAATATCCGCAGACTGTAGCTTTGCTAACACATTCTGGACATCATATAGATCCGGAAAAGTCGTCGTCCTGGTCTCACATGGTGGGCTCGAGGACAACACTGACATGGAAATTGGCGCCACACCGAGAAGAATATACCTCCTCGTTCGATTGTCTGTCCTATCCGCTGCTGAAATTACGATCGACAGTATGATGAACGTTCCATACCAGACGGTCCGTTATTCTTTTCGCCCTCCGTGTTTTTCTACGACAATCACTAATCTCGTTACACTTAAAAGACATTCGGTGCCACACAAGCCCCTATGCATCCCCAACTGCGACTCATGCTAGGCGGCGTTATTGATGTCGTCCAATTTGGTGATGCGGTGACACTGAGCGCAAAAGGTCCGTGGGGCCTCCCCCTTTGCCACCCATGATTGATTGACTGGCTGACTTGCTGACGGTGATGTTGCTTGACTTGACTTGAAAAGCTACCGGGTACCAGGATCGCGTCGAGCTCAAGTCTGCAGCCGACCGGACGTTAGGCGTCGGTGTCCTAGAATCCCAGAGCGAGCTCCTCATTCTGACCGCTACGACTATGCTGAAGGTCACACTGGATTATGATCGAGTGGAGAATTTCCATCCGGAGTACGTTCATGTCTTATTACCCACATTTTCTAACACCTATCTAACTCTTCTGGTTCGATTTTCTTTGCTCATCATGAACATGGACAGGACCGGCCGAAGTAACCTCATTCAATCCATCATGACACAAGCCATCCTGTATGGCTCTAACGCAGGGAACCCGCTGAGCTTTAGTTTCCCGCCTGAGATTGACGAGGACAGTTTGATGGCTGGCGCTGAGCAGCTCAGTCGGTCGATACTCGAGTCAGGTGGGAATTAGCAACTTTACGTGCTCTAAGCCACCCGCACCAAGGAGCTAACTGGCTGCTCTGTGACTTTTTCATTCTTTCTCTAAATGTTGTGCACGGCTGGTCAGATAACCTGGTCGTACGCCCCAACAACGACTTGAACGCACAGATGACAACCCGCAAGGCCCGGCTCGCTTTCCTCATCAACTTCATCAACGAGAACGGCGTGCTCGGAAAAGTAAGAGTGTTCACTCCACTTCTTTATTAGAGTTAGTCGGTTCACTCGTGCTGACATGGACCACCTGCACACAACTCCAAGATCTCGCAGCGATGCCGCCAACGCCTGGCTACGGACGCGGAGAGGCTCTATGCGGGCCAACAGCTCTGGCTCCGCCTGAGCGCAATGTACGCGTACGTTTGCCTCTCCCATTCCCAACTCCTCAAAATAAAAATTTACCACCCACTTTCCTCCTGACGCTCGACCGAAACTACAACTACTCACGCCTCTTGTCTTTATACATCAGACCTGGCACGATCCACAACGTCCACGTATTCTTCACCGCGGTGAGGCAGTACATGGAGAGCGTAGGCGAGGGCCACCACGAAGACCAACAGCGCGCTTTCTTCCGGCTGCACGTCGGGGAGCTCGGGAAGGTGTTACCTATCTGCTGGGCGTATGCGAAGAGCAGGATGGACGAGGGTCCGGCGGTGAAGTTGGAGGCGTTGACGGAGGTGAACGATATCGTTTTGGTGTGTATTTTCATCTATCACCCCTCCTCGTCCTCCGCCCTGCCTCTGGATTTTCTAACGGTTCTGATATTGTGATACTTTTGAACTCAACTCGGGAATGAACGCAACACAGACAGTCCTCATGTCGGCGCTCGAGTGGCGGGACTGGAATCGGCGCGTATACGGCGTCGAATTGCCATACATCAAGCCATGGACGAGCGCCGTCGAGATCATCGAGGTAGCGATGGAGCTCTTCGATACCGCGGCTGCGTTCTTGGAGTCGAGAGAGCAAACTGAGGGCGAGACGTTGCAGGAGCAGAGGGTGGGGGTGTTGAGGGCGCAGTTGGCGGAGCTGGCGGCGGTGGTGTTTCATTGTTTTAATGAGAGGTTGGCGTGGGTGCAGAGGTGCGTTTTTGGGTTCTGTTTTATCCCGTGTACTGCTGTGCATATACTGACGTTCATTTATAACAGTGCGGCGGCGGCGGGCGAACCTGGGACGGATCGGGATAAGGCACTCGTCGAGGAAAGGTTCACGCATCTGAGACCAGATGTCCTCGACACACTCCGTACGTCTCCTCTCCTCTCCTCCTCTCCATCCCCTCCCTACCATAGTACACCGCTAATCATCCATCGTCCAATCGTTCACACTTCCCACGCATCGTATAGGACGGAACGGCTTCACGAACGAGGCGTTCCGGCTCGCGGAGCAGTATCACGACTACAGGAGTCTGGCGGCGCTGTGCACGAAGGAAGTAGTCTACCCGCCCGAGATGAACCCGAATGGGGCGATGATACAGATGTATGTCGAGAAATTCCAGGACGCGTTCACGGATGAGTTGTTCCAGTGGTACATCGAACATGGTACGTCTTCTCTCCTCCTCCTCCCTCTTCCTCCTCTTCTCCTGCAACGTGTCTCACCTCTCAACTGCATTCATGATCCATCAAGGCGAGCTCCGCGCCCTCTTCGCCCTCGAATCCCTCTACCCAACCCACATAGACCGTTTCTTCGCGCGCTTCGGCCACCCGTCCATTTCGTGGCTCCATGCGCTCAAGCGGGGGAAATGGGACGACGCGGCGGAGAGGTTGTTAGGCGTTTCGGACGGCGCGGGGGAGTTGGCGATGAAGGAGGTGGTGTTGAGTGTGGGGAAGTTGGCGGGGTTGGTTTGTGTGAGGGAGGGAGGGGGTGGGGGACGTGGGGAGGGGGTTGCGAAAGGTGCGTTTTCCCGTCTGCAGCGAAAGGGGTTTATTTATTTATTTATGCTGATCCTTGTTTTCGGTTCTGTGTCTAGCGTTCCATGATCGATTGAATTTCGTGAGCGTGCATAGGTCGCTGGCGGACGAGCTCAAGTCTGCACTACCCGGACGGGGGAAACAATCCTTAGAGAGTCAAGTCGAAGCGATCACGCGGGCGAAAGCGACGAAGCTGGCGCAGTACAGTGCTCTTCCCTTAGTGAGCCTTTCACTCTCGAGGAGCCAGACGGAAGATACTCATGGGATTAATACAACAGGTATTCAAGCAGCTCGTTAGGTCGTTGTTGCAGGGAAAGGCGTTGTCGGTGGAAGATACGGCGGATCTGATGTCGTTGAAGGATAATTCGGATTCTTTGGCGGATTATAAGACGTGTTTGGATTTGATCGCGGCAGACGCGGTATGTATTCACGCACACATTTTCATCTCACCAACAAGATCTGATTTAGTGTTCCCTAGCAAATACCGGAGACGAGACGACAGACCGCTTTCAAGGCGATATGGAGGAGGATATACGACCACGATGAGTATGTACCCTTTTTTTTCCATTGCATTGCATGACACGTCCGTCTAACATAAGTTCGACACAGCTGGTGGCAGATCAAACAGACCTCAGGTCTGACCGACGACGAAGTGAACGCTCGATACCGCCAAACAGCCCTCTTCCACGTCCTGCGCAACACAATCGCGCAGAGACGACAGAACGCGGGCTATGCGCTCATGCCGAACGAGATCCTGGAGGGGGTGCCGTCGACGGAGGAGATCGGGCAGAGGTGGACGGGGATGTCGCCGGAGCAGGTGGAGGCGCTGGCGAGGGATTATGGGGAGGAGTGTGAGAGGCTGAGGGGGTGGGAGTTGCAGAAGGAGTATGAGAGGGTGAGTGAGTTGGTGGAGCTTGATTTTGCGTAGGTAGGAGTATATCGTACAAACGAACTGTTACTGTAACTAGTGTTTGGGTTCTGCGTCGTGGAGGCCGCTGGGGGGAGTCATGCCGATCTTGACTTTGAAGTTGTGGTAGCGAAGACGAGCGGCGAGTTTGATCTCCTCGTAGCAGCGACGTCTCCATTCGCGAGTGTATTGTGCCTGTCTGGCCGATTCCTGGATGACCCATTTCTTGTGAAAGGCGGCGAGGGCGAGGTCGCGGCTGCGTTGAGAGGCGTCCTTGGGGAGACTGTTCAGGGCCGTGGCCTTGGCGGATTCAAAGCGTGCATTGCTCTGAGAATTGATTATTTAAGAAGGTGGTCGTTTGGTGAATATTTCGAGAGAGCGTACCTCTGCCCAGAAGACGTGATTGAAGGAGTCGAGCTGCTGGCGTTGTAGCTTCCACTGGTAGTCCCTGACGCCGCGGAACTCGGAGAGGGAGTATGGGTGGGCCGGCTTGGGCGACGGCTGAGGGAGGGCGTCGTCGTAGATGACGGGGCGAAGGTTGGAGAGTGGGTGTGACGGGCCGACGAGGTTGCACGCCCTCGCGGACGAGTGGAAGCGACGGGGGTTCATGTGTGGATGGTGGCGGTGGGTGAAAGAGGAGGAAGTGTGGCGAGCGAGTGACGGTTGGTGCCGCGCGCCTTTTATTGGCGTCCGCTCTCAGCTTCACTTCACCGAAGGCGGTCGATGGCTCTTCCCCCACAAAGGCCCGCCTCTGCCGTCGTCTGCGCGACCCGCGAGGACGCTCAGAACAACATCCTATTCACCACCGCGCGCATCTCAGACGCCCTCGAGAACTTCCGCTATCGCAGCGCCCACCCAGACCCAGAGCAGGCCCCCTACAGAGCCGGTCTTAGGTCTGAACTCGTCCGTCTCTTTCTTTCTTTTCGCTCGAGTAGCCGCAGTCTTTCCATATATCTTATACTTCTCTCGAAAGGTGTCATGTCTCGCGGCAGTCAAACCATGGGAGCACTGCATGATCTTCCCTCGTCTCTGGCTTAGCGCCCACAATGCTATCCTCCGTCAAGAACGGCAGCCTGCCGACATCAAGTCCATCTCCAGATACGACCCCTCCGTCCAGTCCCATCCCCTATACAGGCGCGATCGCACCCCTCCTGGCTCCCGTAACGTACACCACCACTCTCTCGGAGACAACCAGTGGTGGCGAGCGCTCGGTGCGTCCCCTCCATCGTCTCATCGTCTACACCGTAATTTATTTGGTTTCGTTGTAGGCAATCGCAAGGATGGCGTCGGAAGATACAGGCCAAACGACCCCGGACTCATGCTACTCGACTCCGACACTTCATCCTGCCTCGATCCCGACGAGCAAGAACAGCCCCTGCCCATCGAAATCGACCTCGACTCGGACGGGAACAACACCGACGAAGACAGCGGGATGGGCATGTCCGAGGACGAGCCCGGTCGCGTCCTGCTCCATCACATTCCCCAGATCCGTACGTCTCCCACCCTTCCCTGCTTTCATTCATTTATATTGCACCGTGTGAACCCGTCCCCGTGTTCTCCATTCATTTCGAAGCTCGCGAACCCAGTCCGGGTGGCACCGTCCCCGTCGTCGGTGGCCCCTATTCCTCGCCCGACCTTCGTCTCCACCAGCATCGCCATCATCCACCGACCTCTGCAGAGCTCAGGGGTAGGACCGACTCGCCCTCGCGCAAAGATTACGGGGCCGTTCGACCGAGTGCGGGTGGACAACACAGGGCACCACCACCACCAACACACGCCGCTCGGCCACCTCTCGGCGTGAATACGCACGACGCTCACGCCCATAATAATAATGGAAGTGGGAAACGAAAGTCGATGGATGAACCTTCGCCGTCGCGGAGCTATTCTGCGCCCCGCAAAACGTCCAGGACTAGCGCCGACATCCCGCTCATTCCTACGAACGAAAAGTTTAGCGTCTATGTTCGGAAGGTCCGTGTTCCTGTTCCCGTTTTCACTTCGTCCTCTTTTCCAACTTTGTAAAACTCGTGTGTTCATGGGCTTTGTAGTGTGTGAGATGCTCCAAGAGAAACTTGGAATGTGTGGCCTCGGACGCGAGGCCGGCATGTCAACATTGTCATCTCGCCAGGAGCAGGTGCGATCCGTACGGGCACCGCTACTACAAGAACGCACCACCTCTGAACACGGGAGACCCATACGACGAAACCCCCGAGCCAGAAAGTGGGTCATTCATTCTTCACCTTCCCGTCTCGTTCCATTTTTATCTTTATTCTTGCTATAATCTAACTCGTGGGCGACATGACAGGCTACGAGTTCGCCCCGCCATGGGAGCCCCCAAGCGGCGAGTCCTTCGAGTCCCACGACCCAGGATTCCAACCGAACGGGATCTCGATCTCCCCACACCATCATCCGAAACCGCCGACGACGACACATATGCACGAGCGCGAGACGACCATGAGCGCGGGATCGTCCAGTCGTTCGGGGAGCTCGACACAAGGCGAGCTCAGTACCGTAAAGACGTCCGTGTCGCCCACGGTGCCCATTACGGTTACGGGCGAGAGCAGCGTTTCGCCGGTTGCGGTTTCTGCGCCTCCGCATGCACATGTACATGGGCCTCACGTTCCACTGCCATCTCGGAAAGGGAAGGAGAGGGCGACGACGTTGCCTACGGAGGGCGTTCCTTCGTCGTCGTCTTTGTCGTCGGCGGCGGCGGCGGCGGGGCCACTTATACATAGACATTCGGATGCGTCGAATCGGCCGTCGGTGGGGCCTCCTCAGCGGCATCGGCCTTCGTCTGACCAGATACCGCCGCCGCCATGGGAGAACTTGGAACGAGAGAGAGCGAAGAGGACGTCGGACGGCTCGACGACGGCTACTCCAGCAACGTGGACGACGACGGCCACGCCAGCAACGTCGACGACGATGAAACCGCCAAGGTCGCGAGTGGGGGATCATATCCCCGTGTCGCCTGTTTTCTCTGTTTCTTCAGATTCCGATATTCCGTTGTCGTGGCAGGTTGCGCTTCAAGGGGCACAGACCGCCGGTGGCTCTTCTTCTTCTCCTTCCGCTCCTAATGCCACCCAGGTCGCGTCGGCGGATTCGCAGCCGCAGGTTTATCCACACCCAGCAACGGCACCGTTAGGACGGTTGCAGCCTGTTGATCTTTCGATCTTCAATAGGAATTTGCCGTCGGGCTCGGGTTCGTCTAGCGCTACGACGATCACACCGCAAGACCCGACGCCAACGGGGCATCATCATCTCAGTCCGACTTCTGTTAGCCCTCACACGAGCACCACCCTCACCTCTCGCGCCCTCACAACAACCTCCACCGCCACCGTCGCCCCCGGCCCCTCCACCACCACCACCTCCTCCACAGACCCGAACTCCTCCGGCCTCCTTCAGCTTCTGCTCACGCAATTCGTAACCCTCGAAGAGCGCATGGAAGCCACACAAGAAGAGATGCGGAACGTGAGGGAGGAGATGCGGAGTACGAAGGCGGGGATATTGAAGGTGTTGAAGGATACGAGTGGGGATATGAGGGAGATGGCGAGTATTGCGGTTAGGGCGGCGGAGAGGATTGATGTGAGTTTGGGGAAGGTGCGGGGTGCGGGAGGGGGTGGAGGTGCGGGGTCGGATATTTGAGAGTTTGAGGAGGGTGAGGTGTGTATGAGTCTGTTGTTTGTCGCCCCTGTTTGCGGTTTCACCATTCCTATCCCTATCTGAACGCTTCTCATATGCATATGGTATGGTCTGTGTCTCTTCTCTTATACTTTGGACATTCGGATCCTTTTGTTGTGTGGCGCAGCCGCTTTTCTACTTATTTGGTCTTGGTTTTGTGTTTTGTGTTTTGTGTGTTCGATTACTTATTAGAGGATAGATGGGGATTTTCTTCAACTTGAAGGATCCGTGTCTAGCCTCTGCCTTCTGCTTTAAGTCTCCCCTTTCTTTACTTCACGATTTGCTTCTTCTTCCTTCTTCTTCTCATTCTACTCCTACTCCTGATGACTGCCGTCTCCAACATTTTTCTATCCATCCACTGCTTCTCTCTCCCTATCTGCTTGCTCGCCTCGCTGCTTCATGTTTCATATTAAAAATTGTTCTTATATCTTATGCCCCTCCGGCTCGTCCGTTTCCGACCTTCCTCAGTCTGTTCATGCTACATACATCCTAGGGCTATCCATCTATCCACCTATCCACCTGCCCACTTACCCATCCCCATCCCCGCCTGCTACTCGCCCACTTGCCAGACCAGCACTTCCCCACCGACCGATCGCACTACCCCTTCCTGGCTCACTTTGCGTTGCACCCTACCTTGACTCTGATGTGCACATACCCATGCCGCTGCTGTTGCTTATTGTAATATATCGCTGGGCGATTCTTTTTGTATAGCGTTGGTGTATGGTTTGAACTTTGTCATAAGTATAAGTTACTCTGTCTGTGTCTTGTCATGACTCACGATTCGAGGCCTTGAGACGAGTTTTTTTTTGGGGGGATGAGTTTTTGATTGTGTGAGGATTGGTATTGGGATTGGTAGGTATGTTGTGTAAGGGAACAGAGGTCTATGTACGAACATGCGTACTCTACATCTGTCCAAACCGAACAACATAGCCATACCCATAGCCAGGCTTACGCACATGCCACTCAATGCTCCACCTTCGCCTCCTCAGCACTCTCAGCACCCTCAGCAAACGCAGCCGGCCTGCTCAAAACCCCACCAAGGACCCACGACCCACCCAACAAACCCAACAACACCCAAACGCCCCTCTTCTCCTCCGGATCCAACCGTCTCTCCTCATACCTCGCACTCGCACCCTCCTTCTTCCCAACCCCAACCGTAGACTCATCCGGAAGACTGTCCGCAAGCGCTTTCTCCGCGTCCCCGAGCACGCGTCCGAAGCGCGGGACGGTGAACGTCGTAGGTAAACCCAGATCCTCGACGATATCGGCCCATAGGCCCGTCAGTTTCTTGCCTCCCTCACCACTGGATGCGGAGTCGGAGGAAGAGGAGGAGGAGGAAGGGGAAGGGGAGGAAGAGGGAGGTGAGGTGAATTCGTCGGCGGAGGAGAGGCTGTAGGTGGGTCCGCCGGCGGCGTGGGTGGATGTGCCGGCTACGACTACGATTTTTGGGAGGCCGGGTTCGGTGGGTGTGGGGGTTGGAGCGGCTTCGTGTTTGACGCGGGAGGATTCCCAGAAGTCGGGGACGAAGGGCTGTGGGGGGTCGCATACGAGTCACGGTTGATCATGGAATATAACAAGAGGGTGAGTGATGCATGTGAGCGACGAGTGGGGGTTTGTACGTGAGCGCTGATACGGGTGTAACTGATGTGGAGAGGAGAAGGAAACTTACGATTGCGATGGGCGGTTCGGGAGGTGGCGCGGACAAGTCGGGGATCTTGACGTCGAGGTAGAGTTTCGCGTGTACGGCGGGCGGGACGTCGTTAGATGGAGAGGTGCTCGATTGAGTAGTGGTAGATGCGCTCCGGGCGTAGGACGGTGCGTCACGGGGGGTAGGCGGACCCGTGAGGGTCTGTTCGTGTTCCTTTAGGCGGGTGATCAGGACCGACTTGTTTCCTTTCCTTCAAAAAGTAAATAAAACGCGAGACGGTGATTGACGATGACATGTTAGTTGTGACTCGGACGGGGATGGGACAAAGAGCGTACGTGGAAAGGCCACGGCTCTTGGCCTCCTTCTTCAGTTCAGAGACCGGCTCGTTCTCCCAGGTCTTGGTGAACAGCACGGTCGAGGCGAGCGTGCGTGCGTTGTGCCGCAGAGGCGTCGACGAGAGCTGCCTGAGCCCAGATCTGGCGTGGAGAGAGGCGCGGAGCATCGTGGGCGACGACGAGGACGAGGTAGAGGAGAGCGGGGAAAATAGGACGAATAACGTCGAGCAGCGGAGCAAGAAGGACGGGGCTCGTCCAGAGCCCCGGGCCACGTGCGCGGACAGATATTTCGACGGAGGCAACATCGCCTGCTCAACTAGGCCAACAAAGCAAACGCGTTACGGGACGCGTCTATCGGTGCTCATCGTCGGTCGCTCTGATCTATTATTTCTATGCATTGTGTGAGACTAGTGCTGAGCGGTGGGCGAAGGGCTGATATGGGCGATAGCGGTTCGGTATGCTCTATTAGGCTTTGCTCGGCCTCGTGTTCGTCGCACACCTCGATCCTGCAGCAGACGGCTTGCATGACTCCTGCCCTCCTTTCTTTAGACTTTCATCTTTCACGATCACCTCCATGCTGCACTCCCCAGCGTAAGCGTCCCCGTCCTTCAATTCCGTCCCATAAACACTCCCCACACCTCCCCTCAGCCGCCTGTCTCTGCTCTGATCACCCCGCTCACTCTGGCCCCGCTTTTCAGCTCGACAAACGTCAGCCTGCCCACCCAGAGCTTCTGGTCAAAATTCAAGGGCGGCTCGGGCCCAAAGAAGGAGTCTGACATGCGCCAACCACAGACTCCCAACATGGCCCTGACCAGACAACGACTGCTCACCCTCGTCTACGGGGATATGGAGACCGTCAGGATGGTGCGTCCGTACGCTCGCTCTCTTCAGTTCTATCTCGCTAAGATATCCATCATCGGACCAGCTGCCCACAACATACGCCGTATGTGATGTCCTCGCTTGCGCCACATTACGCTTTGACTGAATGTATCGAATCTAGGAACTCGATGCCTTGGCCAGAGATTGGATCAAACCCCCTCCGGACGCTATCTTCAGTCTCCGAGTACCCATCGACTATGTCCATATTCAGACCGCCGTAAGCGCCGCCACCCTATTTACTATCGACAGCCTATACAGCCATTTAACAAACAAGTATTATTAGCGTCTTGTATCCGGAGACTTTGTATACGTGCGTCCCCCTCTCTTTCTATCCGATCGTATCGGGGACTCAACCCGCCGTTCCTTTCGTCCTCTCCAGTTGACCGGTGAAGACTCGTACCAGATTGCCAGCTTTGGCGTTCCCGGTCTACGAGTCGAAATCGTCAGCGATGGTCCCCCGCCACCCGATGAACCTCCGTAAGTGCTGCCAAGGGCCTCACCGTCGTGTCCTACCATCCTCATCAGAGGGGCCGCGCTGCTAACGCTGCGGTTCTTCTCCGGTAGGACACCACCGTATGCATTCTTACCCCTCCTCAAGAAATATTCAACATGTTATACTAACGATGTTGTCTGTTCTTGATCGTTCATGCGATTTTTTATTTTTATTTTTGACTCGATGACAGCCCGCCGCCGGTGCTGGAGATGCCTGCTACTTTTAACCTTGAGCTTGTACCAGGTCAGCACGTAGCCCTCGACACGACCGTCTCCTCGGACGAACTCGACATGGCACGGATGGAAGACGGAACGACGGTCGACGGTATATTCTGGGGAAAACTCGACATCGTACACGACGGCGACAAACACTCCATGGAATTCAGCGGGACACGGATCCAAGCAGACGAGTACATGCCTGATCTCATGGTCGACTCACGAGTCATCACGAAGCTCGCCGTCGCCGCGAAACCGGCAACGGCGAAGTGTCGACTGAGTCTGCTCGCGCCGGCGGTGCAGTATGTCGATGTCACGCTGACGTGTTCGGATATGTGGAAGATGGGGGTTACGTGGCCGCCTGCGGAGATATTGGAGGATGGGAAGGTGAAGTATTTCTTGAGGGTTCATCCAGGAGGTGGATTCGAGCATTTCGAGACGGAGATGGTCGCCACTTCTATATATTATGAAGCGATGTGCGTCGCCGTTCTTCGTTCGAGCATGATCTTTTCGCTGATTGGTATATTAATGCTGGATCGTGGTGTATAGGCCTGAGCCATCGATGGTTGTTCCCGAAGAATTTGTAGCACCACGGAGCAGCTTTGCCATGTCCTTCAGGGACTTCATCCCCCATCTCATGAACGTACTAGACCAGCTCGGCTTGTCCGTCCACGCACGAACCGACTTCATCAAGTAAGCACCTCTCTCTTCCCAATCCTAACTGTACTCTGAGACCAAAGGGTTGACACTCTTACCCAACGCAACAGCACCCACCTCCACTCCTTCGCCCAACACAAGAACATCGCCTACCGCTTCCTCACCCCCGCCAAAATCGCGGCAGCGATCGACATGTCCATCACCGCCGAATCCTGCGTCTTCACGCGTCTATTCCTCATCTTTCGCGGTCTGACGGAGGACGAGATGGGGACGTTCGCGGGCGCGGGGGAGAAGGAGGCGAATGCGATGAATTGGAGGGAGGTCGTGGGGTGGACGGAGCTTTCGAAGGATAATACGGCGTTTAGAATCTTGGAGACTTCGGTTTTGGAGGTTACGTGAGTGTGAGTGGGTGAGGGTACTAGGAGGATGAGGGGTTTGAGGTTTCTTTTTCCTTGTTTTTGTTCTCTTCTGTTCTGTTCTCCTTTCTCGGGTCTGCAGCGCACGCACCTCTTTTGACATACTACTATACCATCTCATACCTGCCCGCCTCTCGATCCGTCGTCTGCTCGCTTCTAAGTTCTCTCTCTCTCTCTCCACGCGATGTCCCCTCTCTATTCTTCACTATATTTGCTGACCGGCTGAATCTACACACATGCATCCGTCCGTCCGTCCGCTCACGAATCTGCCCTACCTACCCATCACCCATGTGCCAGTGTCTGTCCGCCCTTTCTGCATCATGATGTACTTAGTAAACTTCCCCCCAACCCCCCCTCTCTCCTCGTACTTACCTCGTAGCTATGAAATGCTTTCGCTTTCGTTGGTCGTCTTCCTGCCATCCGTCCATTTCTTCTCATCCATTTCAATCATCGTGTAGTCGTCGTCGTCCGGTCTATGTACTGTGTGTAGTTTAAGTAGTCCGTACGCCCCCCTGTATCGTCGTAACATTTTCTCTCTCTCCTCTTTGTCTTTCTCTTACTCGTTGTTGTTTCCTCTATTCTCGACTGTGTGCGTCTGTGGGTGTTAGTGCTACTATTTTGGTGTTGCCGCCTCTGCTGTATAAGTGTCTTCCTTTGTCGCGATGGTGAATTATGTATCTAGGTTCGTTATCCTAGTTCTGGGGTTGTGACTCTCAATGCTGTTGATCTTGGTGTGAAGTAGACATCGTACTATGCACGAGCAGGGTAGAGAAGGATGTGGCAAACTTTGTGTATCCGCAAATACAACATCCACGGGCATTGACATGTTGTCAAGCAGATAGATTGGGGGCAGTCGCCGTCGAATCCGTGGAACCCTCTGACACAGTCCCACCCCTCGATCCTCAACCTCAGTCCATCTCTCCACGCATCGAATATGCAGTGCCACACGACCTTCCTGAGCCCGCCTTAGCCCTGGTCCTTCTCCCATACACAACTACTTATCGCCATGACAGCCTCGCACTCTCGGTATTCGCACTCAGTCCTCGATCGGAGGGCGGAGGGCGGAGGGAGACCTATGGTCAAGTGAATTCCGACTGACAACTTGACCGTCCGTGACCTGAGCATTTAAAGAAGTTGTGTCCTGTTCCGTTGCAGTTAGGGAATGAACGAGTATGGAACCATGACCGACGTGAGTAAAAATGTGGCAATAAGGCTCGCGGGATTCTGTAGTCGTGGCGCTTTGAATGCGAACGTCCTAACCCTCCTGGTGCAGAAACTGAGTCAGATAAGTGGTTCGCAAACGAGCAAACGACGGCCTAAGAAAAAATGTGTACCTGGGCGGCCTCTCGAGCGCTGTGCGTTCGCTCGGCGTGTCCTAGTGCCCATCAGTCTTTAGAAACAACAACGGCAGGGACGAGCTGACGGAAATCACTCACTGGCACGCATCTTCTTCGACAGCTTCGCCACTAACGAAGAAGAGAACGGCCTTCTGGAGTCGTCTGAGTTGTCGGATGCATGTGAACTAATATGCTTCGCTAGTACCCGGAGATCTTACAGTAAGTTCTCCTCCAGGCACTTCTCGAGGGCGATACCCCTCCGACCAACATCCACTAGATCGGGGCAGGACCATGGAAGGTAGAGTTTGCCGTGCGATCCTTTCACTGCAAATGACTGCAACAGGCCTTCGAAAGTCTGGTTGACGGCCTGGATGTACATGGTACAGGCATAGCACGAGAGCTTTGTACATCCAATGAACGGGTAGACGGGAATTTGATTCTCGAGCAGATATGCGACCAATAGGCATTCACAGTGTACGGTAGATTGCTCTCTGTAGAAGTTGAGATCTGTTCGAGTGAGGCCGGTCGGCGTTTTCTCCTGGGCGCGCGAGACGATTTCAGGCCAGGCGTTGTTCAAAGGTGGGTCCATGAACCAGGCCTGGAAAAGGTTGGGATCTAAGGATGCCACAAAGCTTTTCGTAAAAGAAGGTCGAACCCATATCGCGGTGGCGCTGTGCATATTGACATCTCGCATCGAGGCCGACATGACCGTCGACACCAGATTGTGGAGTGCTCGAGGAAGGTAGCAAGCTTTCTCCAGAATGTGGATCGCGGATCGATCTTTGACCACTGTTCGCCCATACTGTAAGAATCGCCAACATTGAGCATCGCAAAACGGCACTCACTAATGCTCTCTAATTCGCGGTATACCTCTCCGCGTTCCTCCATTATATTCGCGAGTGTGATGGAGAGTAATGTCCCGGCGTTGTGGAATTGCATTGATAGTAATAGGATAAAATTTGTATGGCTCGACTATGGTGAGAAGTTCATTCAACGCGAACAATACCTCGTCCAGGGTGGTCTTTGTCGCTTCGTTATACCTGCTGGCCTTGAGCGCGTCCCCAAGCCTCTCCGCGAGAATCCTGCATCGGTCTTGCTTCTGAATCCGGGTATACATCTTCCCAGAGGAAAATCCTTTTCGATGGCGGTGCCTATCTCGGAAGAAGGGGATTGAGAAGAACTGCTCCTTTCCCGTGTAATCTGGTGGAGTTTCTTGATGTGGCGAGGCAAGCCGCCACATGCCTGGTCAACTGAGGAGGTGGTGCATGATTGGTCGCAAAATATATGTTGACCTGTTTGGACTCATACGGCTTGACTTCTAGCGCTACTGAGACAACGGGGTTCTTGGCGGAATGAACGACCTCGAGACTTTCGGGAGTCGGCGGAGTATGGTAGGGCGGCGATTGAACTTATGAGTTGATGGGTCTTTGGTTCGGGGGCTTCAGCCTGCGCGAAGGAAGGATAGCTGCAGCGGTCACGAAGAACATGAGGGAATTGTTGGGACGCGGGAGGTAGGTATGGGTTTAAGGCTACTAGGTGGCAGGGTGTCAACTTTCGACGTCTTCGATTTTCGCAGCGAGGCCATTTTGGTTGCCTTGTCGTGTCTAGGCTTGGTCAGATGTACGGATCGAAACTTGTTTCCGGGAGGCCTAAACTGGTACAAAGCACAGAGAGTAACTGTGATGGCATGAAGTCGTCACGTACCGACTGGGAATGTCAAATATTTGAGGTGAGAGCGTGGTTCGAAAAGCCAACGGCAAGAACTTCACCGCTTGAGCTCCGGCAAGGCCCGGACCCTGTTTCCCGGAGTCTTCCGGTGGACCTCGGTGTTCGTCGAAGTCCCTCCTTTTGTGACTTATAAGCTTGATGCTTTATTCTTCTAGCTGAATTATTTACTCAGTCAGGGTTGATCCTCTCGAAAGAGGTTTGAATGACTCTAGGTGTATGTTATGATAAAAATGTCCTAAATGTTATATCCAGACCCCCAGCCGTTCGAGCCTTCGCACATGCTCCCCCCGATCCTCTTCTTCTCCTCTCCCCATGTTACCCCCATCCCGACAATATCTTCTCTCAATGTGAACCCCTCCCCAGCCTTCACCGTCATATTCTCGTCATCTCGCTCTTCGTGCTCGGCTCGCGACGTCTTGCAGACCTTCTAATCACCCCACTCCTCCTGCCTCTCATCCTCTTCTTCTTCTCCGCAGAGGAAGATTGTGCTCTGGAGGGACCCATGCTAGTAGCAGTGATCATGGTAGCTGTCGTCTTTGGGACTGAACGTAGGTTTGTCTCGGGATTGACGTGAAAGGATGATTGGACCCGAGAAACTGAGGCTGATGTCGACTGCGTGTCTTCCGATTGAGTACGAGTCACTCGGGAGCGGTTCTGACGGGTAGAGGATGAAGGGTGTGTGGAGACTATCGCAGAAGGCGGATCATTCCAAGCGGAGCCGTTGTCACTCCGAGTGAGGCTCGTGTCGCTGTCGGTCATGGTTTCGTCTCCCGCCAAAGCTTGAATCATCGGCTCTGTGGTAGCTACTAGCAAGAATGAGATGCCAGCCGCGATGGAGGAATTTCCCAAAGGATCTCACCGTAGAAGAGTCTCTTGTTCTTCGACATCGGGGCGACTCTCTTCCTGTCAACCTTGGATGCCCTCGGCGGCGGTCCAGGAGCTACGAGCATCGGCTGTTTCTGCTTCTCGTCCTTTAAATTTGCACGAGAGCCCGCTGAAGTGGGAGAATTGACATTGAAGCTACATGGAAGGCTCTTTTTGGAATTGGTAGAAGGTAGTGAAAGGTCGCTGGGCGTCGCGAAAGCCTGTGTGATCAAGTCGTGTAAGACCATCAAGACCGAGAGAAGCAGAGTCGCAAGCCACGGAAGAGCCTCCCCGTAGACAAAGACAAAAATGTCTTGGAAAAGGTCCCGCGTAACAGGTAAGAGTCGACGAGTGAGGAGGGTCAGGACGGGTTGGAGTATGCTTGAAAGTGTAGTAGTGATCGAGACGCGGGAGGTAGAATTGTTGGAAGGTCGTGAGACGACTGTATAAAGTGAGAGAACCAGAAGACATGATACATTCAAAGACAGTGTATTCCAGGGTGTGAGGAGCCCAGCGATAGTTCGAGGTTCGAGAGCTGGTATAGCGAAGGCATTTGCAGAAAGAAAGCTGTTGTTTGAGGGAAATGTGGTAACGGGGACGGCTGTTCCAAGTACTGGCTCGAATCTGAGCAGAAGTATGCGAGAAACATCATCAGGATCTAAGGCGCAGAGCACTACAGCGAGCGATGTGAGCGCAAGGGAGAGCCGCCGAGAACCTGTGCATAAAAGGATCGAGAGATATAGGAGGGAAGGAGCCGCTACGAAGGAGCATATCACGACAAGCAAAGATGAGGGTGCCATGCTTTCGCTGCCAGTTGAAAGAGACGATGCCAGCATCGTATAGTGGCGTAAGAAGACCACTACCCAGGGACTCTAGTGGTGGTATGGCGCAGAGTTGGCGGTGACGTGACAATACGCGTCAGTGACCAAAAGTGACCAGTCGTGAGTGTGACGTGACATTACGCGAAAGAGTGGCCGTAACGCTCGGTCGCGACTCGCGATCACATCACCTTGTTTAACCGGAACGCGTCTCACACTTTTGCCTACGCCAGAATGGTCAAGACAGCATAGTGAGTAACACTTTCTTGCCATGCTATACGTTGGTCTGAATTCGAGATAGTGAATTGGAACGCGAGGCGAATATTGCGAGAAATCGCGCTCTCCTCGAGCAACTCGAGCTGAAGGAAGCCGTCGCCGCACTCGGAATACCAGCGAAGACTAAACCAGAACCTAAACAGTCGAAAGCGAAGCCGATTCAGCCCTCTAAGAGAGTCAAGAAGGAAGCATCCGGGTCTGATGTGACAACGAGGAGACAATCTGCTCGACTTAAGAGGCCGCCTACGCCTGATCTTAACGAGAGCCCTTCGAAGAAGCGCAAACGCGAGGTACGTAGCTCCTTGTTGATATAAGAACAATACCAAGACACAGACCATTTCTTAGAAAGAAGAGGAGGATGCAAGGAAGAAGGAAGAGGACGAAAGGTTCGCAGCTGAAGAACGCGCTCGTGAAACTAAGAAGCCTCGTCATCAAGATCTCACGCTGTCGACCTTGGCCGAAAGTGAGGAACTAGAGGAGGGTAGCCTGACCAAATTTTATGGCGTTCTTCAGCAAGTCTGCAAAGTACCACACCCTCGTCGAGTGGGTGAGGACGATGCCTTCACGTTTGATGGCGACAGCAAGGCGGAGGAGGCAGAAGTGGGTGATCTACGGAAGAAGCTGAGCACTCTGAAAGTCGTAGCCAGAGCGAAGGTCACCCAGGACCGTGTCTATAGCGCTGCATACCACCCGGAGGTCACCAAAGACTTGATATTTTTTGGAGGTGAGGCACAAATTATCCTTTTGTGATTCACCAACTCACTCCTCATACGTAGACAAACATGGACAGCTGGGCATCTGGGATGCTCGAGCACCAGCCGATGAAGTCGACGATGACGAGGAGTCCTCGGTTCCCCCGGAGGACAAGGAGGGCGGCAAGTATTGGCGATTGCAGGCTCATTGGCCCGCCACGTCGAAATCTTCGATATCATGCATCAAATTTGATCCTCTAGACGCCCACTCTGTGAGTTCACCGTTCACGGCCCTGCACACGCTCTGACTTATGAAACTTTAGGTCTTCACTAGTTCATATGACTGTACCATTCGACAGCTCTCTTTCACCTCGGGACTCTCTCGAGAGGTGTTCTCCACCGACGATACCCTCATATCTTCCTTCGACTTGGCGCCTTCTGGTCACGAAATGTGGATATCAGACGCTCTTGGTGGTTTAACGCATTTGGATCTCCGAGAGGATAAAGCTCACGCCAGATGGTATCAACTGAGCGACCAGAAGATTGGAAGCGTCAGCATCAACCCACGAAGACCGGAGTATCTGGTGACCGCGTCGAACAGTCGCACTCTCAAGTGAGTCATATATCTTATTTGTGCTTTGGGCGTTCTGCAAAGCCTGACTACTTTTCATAGGATCTGGGATGTGCGTCGACTATGCAATCTTCCTGTGAGTATACTCGCGAATCAACAATTCCCTCAAATATTGATAAACGGTGTCAGGTTGTGGACGACTTGTTAGAATTCGACTCTGAACAAGTCGGAAGGCACCTCGCGTCACCAGCGGGGAAGACCACCTTGCGCGGTGAATGGAGTCATGGAAAATCCGTAAGCGCTGCTTATTGGGATCCAAGGGGCAGGTCCATCGTCAGCACATGCTACGACGACAAGCTAAGATGTAAGTTCCCAACACTGGCTTATAGTATATAGGTGGCCATACTCATATTTTCTTACCGCCAGTGTGGGACTTCAAGCCTTCAATATTCGACAAAGACGCCAAATTCCCTTCTACTCGCCCCTTCGCCCAGCTCAATCATGACTGTCAGACGGTATGAACATGTAGTGACTACATCTTTGCTTGACAGTGCTAACGCCTTCATGTTGGTCTCGCAGGGGAGATGGCTCACCATCCTCAAAGCTCAGTGGTCGCCAAATACCGATGCTCTCCCACATTTCACCGTCAGTCGTTTTGTCGAATTGCGCTTTCCAAGCCCGTACTGACTGGGCTGGGTTCTAGATTGGCAATATGAAACACTCTTTGGACATATTCGCAGGCAATGTAAGTAGCGTTCCCGTGCTTGGTTGCGCACTCAGCGCTGACATTTCCCAGGGCGATCTTCTTGCGAGATTACACGATAGCTCAAAGTACGTTCGCTCTTCCCTTTCACTTAATCAAAACTTCATGGCTGACTCTGACCTTCACGCAGGATTACCGCCGTTCAAGCCGTCACCGCGTCACATCCGAACGTAGTCGAACGTGCGGCCAGCGGAAATGGCAGCGGACGATGCGTGCTATGGGCACCGCCCGACGTCGACTAAGCTATTTCTTGAGCTGTGTTTTATTTCTTCGGGCTCCATATTTGAGCGGATCCTCATCTGTATTCTTATCATTGTTGTGTCTTTCTTGGATATACGCTATTGGCTTTGACAGGGAAATGTCACATTATTTCGCTGTTTCTATGTGCGTTCCGGTATGAGCTCAGGTTACCGTTGAACTTAACCTACGAAGTGCCACTTCAAAGGGGCCACCCTCGGAATGACGTCACTGGCCCGTTGGAGACGCTACCATTGTCATGGTCATCGCCTCCAACGGGCTCCTTCACAAGGAACCACTTCACGAACCTGCACAATAAATCACCACCGAGTATTTCACCTCCACCATGTCCACATCACAAGTAAGCCTCAGAGCATACATGCTTTCAACCGAATTTCGCCGATTTACTTGGCTAATAATAGGACGGCGCATGGAAAGCGAAGGAGACCAGCGAAGAAGCCCGGTACGCTCACCAGAAGGTACTGTTCTGTCCCCTCGAGTTCAAAACGAGTTTGAGCTTTTTTCAACTTCTTGACGCCATATTTATATCCCCTGTGACATGTCTGAACGAACAGGAGCAAGAACAACTCGCAGCATTGCGTGCTAAGAACTCCGATGCGAGCAAGCCTGCCAGCAGCACGAACACCTCGAAGGATCGTGATTTCGAGGGTGGCTATGGAGGACAGGAAGATCTGGAGGATAGGTATGCGACGACGAGTGGGGAGCATTGAGTATAAGATATTATTCGGGTGGTGGTAGGCTCTAGTCGTTTGCTCAGGGGCTAGTAGGAAGGGGAAGACAGGACGACCGACGAAATATGGACAGTTTCGATGTATGAATAGCTTTTCGATGCAGTAACGAAAAATATTGTCAGACCATACCTATCTGACCACTACCCACAGCCCAGGCTCTAATTTGAACTCGAAGCTGAATTGACGAGTCGGGTATACAGATCGGATAAGCAACCACCACTACTACTCTACTCTACAGCCAAAACCCGCCTGTGAACGAGCCTAAGAGTCAAGAAAACGAGCGTATTAATTGCGTGAATGACTGGTAGGCGAGATAGCAAATGAATGTGATTGGACGACCGAACAACCTTGAATACTGTAGCGGGCAAACCAGGCAAAACTGTCCATGATTCGAAAGTAAAAAAAGAACCAGCCGCGCTCTGCAAGTCTGAATCGGTGAGATCACGCAACGGCTCGGCTCGGAGATGGGTCGACTCATATGTGATGGACGAGCATGATGTGAACGGGTAAGAAGTGAAGTGACGAGGGTACAATGAGACACGGATACGAAAACAAGACGCAGCGGACAGGGTGAAAGAAAGGATAGCGTTCGTGCGAATAAGGTGTAAATCGCCTACTTGATTGCGAGCGCGTAGCTTTAGCGGTGAGGATGAGGATGAGGATGGGAAGATGATATAATAAACAAACAGGCAATGTCCATGAGAGCGATACGAGACTAGATGAGACGGTGGAAGCGCGACAAAAACGAGGCAGGGCAGGGGGTAAGTAGACTAGATAAACTGTAAATGTTGCTGCTGCGAGGGACAATCGTACCCAAAAACAGAAAAAGTTCTGAGCGACGAGCGACGAAGAACCGTAAAAAGGGAGAACTATACACACACTAGGAGATCGCTTCTAACATACTATTATAAGCAGCTCTCACAGACGCACACTAAAACACACACGTAGTCCGTTGACGAGCACATCACAAAAACCCAAAGAGGAAGCAGGTATCATACCATATCGCTTGATCATTGTTTCGGCGGCGTGGTAATCGTGGGTGGAGGAACATCCGCACGCTTCGCAGCAGCCGTCCCACACGCTGGTGGTGCTGCCTCCGCACTCTCGACCCAAGGAGAGAGATACGAACAAGTCGCGACGGGCACCATCATGCTCGTCTGATCCGCCGTGTTGAACCACCCGTTCCCGGCGTCGACGGTGGAGCCCTTCGAATCGGTGAACGTGGGAGGCGGAAGCGTGACAATAGTTCCCGTAGGGGTATACGTGGGTAAGTCAGTCGCAGCGCCGTCAGCGTTGGAGATGGAGGCGGGAGGCCAGGTCAACGAGGAGGTGACGGCAGCGGCGATGTCGCCTGCACCGGCGCCGCCAGTCTGAGCGGCGGAGAGGGAACCGGTCCAGGGATCGCTGTTGCCACAGGCGCCGACGGCCTCACGGGGATCGGTGGGTATCCAGCCTTGATCCAAACCGAGCGAGTAAGACCATGCTGGGGCTTCTACCTTACCGGTCTCGGAGGAGTTGCCGATTTTCCACGTCCAGAAGAACCAGTTCTAATATTAAGAGGAAATGAATCAGTAAAGCACACGGGAGGTATATTTTCGTAGTGGAAACGAACCTGGAGAGCGTCCATGCTCGACATCGCGAACGCCTTCATGTTATCCTTCGTCGTCTGGTTATAGTTCTCCCAGTCCAGCCACGGGTCACAGCTGCCGATGACAGGCCATGAGCCAGTATACGTTCCCTCGTACCGCGTGCCCAAGTTCACTCCGTTGACAAAGAGACCGCAATCGTTGATAGCGTTACTCCACTCGCCTGCACCGGTCATCCCAAATGCGTCCATCGAGGTGTTCATAATCGAACCCCACGCGGTGCAAGGCGCATTGATCTCTGAGCTGAGAGGAGCCGTGATTTGGTCCTGGAAACAGAGGTAGGGATGGTAATCAAGCGCAATCCGGTCGGCACCCTCGAGGAAGCCAGCCCATTTGGGCACACCAGTGAAACCGTCGTGGTAGGAGATCATGGGCCCATTACCCTCGCCAGTCCCAGACACACCACGAACAGCTTTGTACGCCTGGTAGTAGCTGCAGTCATCCGGTTAGACGCGAACACGACACAAGAGACAGAACATAAAACATACTAAAGCTCAAGGTTGTCAAAGCCAATGACAGAGGCTTGAGGCTCGTTGGTGACACCGAACATGACGACGACGTCTCTGTATTGAGGCTGTGAGATGAACTCGGTGATAATGCGAATGTAGTCAAGCGAGCGCTGAGCATTGGCCAAGCCCATGGTGCCGTTCATCATGCTGATTGTCCCCAAGCGACCCGAATGATTCCAACCGTTTTGACTGCCGGGCAAAGAATGCAAGTCGAGGTTGATCCGGATACCGTACTTGCGTGCCCATTTGATAGCCTTGAGGAAGTATCTGTGATATACAGATCAGACCCTTCAAATCATCATGGCGAAAAGTGACCGTAAACATACGTCCACGAGGTCTTCTCCAAGAAAGGCTCTCCGTCGCGAGTCTCGATAGCCCAGTAAGCAATAGGTATCCGAACGAAGTTGAGGCCAGCTCCAGCGATAGCCGCGAAGTCCGTCTCAGTCTATATCACTGTGTTAGTAGAGAACGTCCAATACGTGCAGCAATACAATGTCTCACGATGAACGACTTGTAATGGTCCTCTAGCTGTCCAATTCCGCCGCCGGACGACGTGTCTGCAGCCATGGCCTCGCTGAGCGTCCATTCGTCGATCGCGACGGGATTCGCATTGGCGTACTTCTGATACAGAGCAGGAGCACTAACTTGGAATGAGACGAGACGAACGGAGTGACAGCAGAACCGAAGCTTACATAAACTAAAACAAGGGTCAAATATGAGCTTCTTTGAAACTGAAGGACAGCTCATAAATTCACGTACAGGTTCCGTGACAAGCCACCCGCCGAGGTTAACCCTGCAATCGATTAGGATGAGCGCTTGCCAGATGGAGACGGACTGATTGCGCTCACCCTCTAATTTTATCCACACCCCAGTTGAAGGATTCGTTCAGCGCGGGACTCCACGACTGAGCGCGTGCGGCATTGTTGAACGGATCGTCCTCGTCGAAGTACCATGTGCCGCCGAAGCTGTTCGAGTAAGTGAAGGTCGACCCATCATCCATGGTAACAGTACTCCCATCTCCACCTGTCTTGACGGTCGACTTGGCAGAGCTGGGAGAGGAGCCCGAACTTGAGCCCGGGTCCGACGAGGAGCTATTGCCGGAGCCAGAAGCGGAAAGGTTGGAGGAGCTCTTCTTGGCGTTAATCGCGACTGGCACGGCGACTGCAATAGCGATAATGACGGCGACGACGATTCCGCCGATGATGAAGAGGTTTCGCTTGGACTTGAGTGGCCCTGGCGCGGCGTAGGTGTTCCGCTTCTCGCTCAGGTAGCGATTGGAGCCAACCTCGGCCATGGGCACGCCCGTGCCCTCGTCAGGATAGGGAGCGCTGGGGTCATCACGGTAGCTGAAGTCACTGCGTGGGTCTGGTGAGTCTCTAGCAGAGCCTGGCTGGTCTGTGTTCAGCGCGTAGACGGAGGAGTTGACAGTGGACTGAGGGCGAGTGTTATACGAGGCCACAGAGTCGCGGATGCTGGGACCCTCTCCGGGCACGGTGCCCATGAAACGAGGACGCTCGAGGGAGGCCATGGTGGTCGGATCAAAGTCAAACTGAAGATGATCGTATCCTGGAGTGGAGGAGGCAGAGGCAGCGATGTCCTGCTCGTCTCTGTAGGCCAGGTCGGGTGTGGAGTGGTTAGTCGGAAGGGGGTCGTACGAACCGCCCTGCGCTCCAGCCGGACGAGACATGGTCGGCAAGCGCTATAGGGTAAAAACTGGGAATTACGAAAATGCCAAAAGCGATGAATGAACGAAGATCTGTCAGGAGCATGAAGCGAGCCGAATTAGTGATTAATACGAACAACGAACGAGGGACTAGTTCGGTGGCGCCGCCCAAAAAGTACTGAAAGGCGACTGAAGGAAACAAGGAGGACGAAGGCGAGGACGTTGGGAAAGGGGACAGCGGGGCGAGGCTCTGATGGAGGTGTGGTAGAGAGCGTTGAACCACACGGAGCAAGTCCACCATCCAACTAAATATCTGCTCTCCGCCCAGCCATCACGCTTGTTATTTCCGGCGTCCAACCAATTGCCATGTCACGATGTCTTGCCTTTCTCTCCTCCTCCTCGGCTCGGCGTCGGCTCCTCTCCCTGAACCCAGCGTGTTCCATTTTTGCTGGTTATTTTTGCGCATTCCTACCTCGTTTCCTGCATTTTTCTCAGATTATTGAGCAGCATTACGGGAACATGGATGCGGGACGCGTGCAGGAAGCCGCGCGCTTTCCCCAGCTTTCCCGATCTGCATCTCTCGGCACGCCACGCTGCACTGCATCGTCCTCAGAAATAGATCACGCGCCCTCAACTTTATCCCAAAAAACGGCCATGCCAAGCCGTGGTTTGCGCCACATCACAGGTTAGTCTGTGCCACACGAAAGAGACCGCAAAGCGGGACATAACTGGAATACATGTCGACATCCACACGCCTGCTAAGGGTATATGTATGTGTGCTAGTAGGTATATGTGTGCTAGTAGTTACAGAGATAGAATGGTATTTGATGAACGGTATGATAGAACATGTTCCCCTACAACGCCCAAACCCTATCCACATGACAAAATTAGAACAAATCGAACAGAACACAAACACGCGAAAGTCGTCCATAAATCATTACCCCTCTCTCATCAATACCCACCACCGTCCATCCTGCTCTTCCTGTCCGGCCCATACAATCCATAGATACTATACGTAGGGCTCCTATAGTCCTCGTAGTCTGTCGGGTTCGCATGCGCCAGAGCCATCTGAGCGAGCGTAGGCAGCTGTGGCGCTGTAGACACTCTAGGCTGTTTCCAGGTGTCACGTTTCCGCGAGGCGGATCGAGATGAAGCCATTCCCGTCCCATTATCCATAGCCCTAGTCTGTTCGGCCACCCCAGCCTGAGAAACAACGTCGTCCGAGGACAACATCAACATCCCCAACGACGTCGTCGCCTCCAATCCCGGACTATCCAACATCCTCATCCCCAAGTCCTTCTCCTTCTTCGTCCCTCTCCTGCTCAACGAATCGTCGGGCCAGACGGTCATGCCCGGCGAAAGTGGATCAGGAAGTTCCGGCGTGGCGAGACCGAGCGCCATCGTCAACGCCTTCGTGCTTCTGTGACGTTGCTCACTCGACTCCGGCGATGGAACAGGTGGGACCGCGTGCAGATTGTCGTCAAAAGGATCGGCTAGAACAGGAGGCGGTACCCTCTTGACGTTCGACGTAGAGGCGGAGCCACGCACATAGGACCCAGCGTTGTAAGAAGCCTTGACCGGAGCGCGACCTTGAGCGACGGATTTGACTGGGGCCGGCAGAGTAGGCGATACGACTTCAGCTCCTTCGTAGGCGAAGTATTCCGACTCGCCGTAGAGGGTGGACCGTCTTGCCATGGCACGAGCGTCGAGTGTACTCCGGCGTGCGCTAGATCTTCTCTTTGACTTGGGCACGGGGTCGACTTCGGTGTTGGCCCCGGTGATACCTTGAAGAGCAGGATCACTGACCGCGACACCGATGTCTTCATGACCCCGAGCGGTCATCCGAGGCGTCCCGGGGTATATGGACATAGAGACAGCAGAGAGTCGGGAGGTACCAGGGTTCTGCATCTGTTGCATCATCGGCTGAGCGAGCATGACATTCGATGCTTGTTGTATCGTAGCAGTGTGAGCCGAAGAAATTGAGATACGGGGATCTTCTGTGTGTCTGGGAGCAGGCTTGCGAGACGGTGACGAAACGTTGCGAGTGCCGTACCCGCCAGGGGAGAGGAACTGATTTCCAGTGGTCGCTTGCTTCGGGATGCCAGACCGATACTGAGTCCAAGTCCAAGGTGCTTGATTGCTGCCGGGTCGAGAAGAAAGTCGCTCTTTGCCTCCGAACAACGGTGAACCGGGGTCCTCGTCCGGACCATCTAGGAAGTCGGAGTCGTGCTGAAGAATAGGCAAAGAGGGTCGTGGCATGGGTGGTCGACGAGGTTTCCTGCACATCCTGAAGACGACGTAGACGGCTGCTAGGAGCATAGCAGAGCCGATGGCTAGTAAGACGATAGCAACAGTCGGGAGAGACCCATGTGGTTGTTGACCGATGCGAGCAGCGCCAGCCTCGGAATTGCTGACAGGCGAATGAACCGGAGTAGAAGACGAGGAAGGATATACAGTATCAGACATAGAGGTGTGGCCAGTAACGATTGGAGCGTGAATAGTAGGCGTTGGAGCTGGCAGAGTCAGAGTAGGAGAAGAGACCGTAGAGACGACCAGGTTCAGTGTTGTGAGGCTCGAGTTCGTATGCGCGGGAGTCGACAGCGAAGAAGATGGAGACGGAGCGTTTCCAGAGGATGAGTGAGAAGCAGGGGGGTCATTAGAGGTACTGGTCTGCGCCTTCTCGCGGTTGGCCTCTGTTTTCTTTGGTGGGTTCGTGTGTGGCTTGTGCGATGGTTTGTCCTTATCCTTGTCTTCGTCGTCCGATTGAGAAACGACCAAGTTATTCACATTCGATTTCGAGGCGTTTTTCTGCTTTGTTTTCGTGTCGTTGCTTGCATGCGTGGAACGAGCTGAAGACGTGGTAGAGTGGCGCGACATAAGACCGAGAAACGAAAGGAGCGGGCGTGATACGCGACCAGCGCAGGTAGAGAACGATAAAACCGTGACCGTAAAAGCCGGCGGGATGATGAGAGCAAAGAGAAATGAACCAAAAATGAACGCGGCACCGACGCGCACCGAACTTTGACGCGGTCCACGCGCTTGGCGCACGTGATCGACGCATTATCGCAAAGCTGATCTCGCTTCAGTTCGCCGTCGCGCCTTGTCGCTCCTCCTCTCCCCTCGGATTCCCCCCTCATCCGGTTGCCATCGTCCATAATCTTCTTGAAATCCTACGATAGAGGTCGATATAGACGTCCCTTTCTTGCGTATCTCGGCTCAGCAGCAATCGTTTAGGTCATCGCCATCCCCATACAGTTAGATTATTACATACAGCGGTGAACTCCAACTCGGCAACCGCGCAGATATGAGCGCAAAGTGAGTCAAAGCCCGTTCCTCCGTAACCTTAAATATGCTCATCATTTCCCACATTTCCCCTTAGAATTGAAACGCGTTTGTCCGACTCGTCGCAGCAGACGCAGATCAACGGTCACGTTCTCGGCGGTAGCGAATTCGACGCGTCGTGGAAGCACCATAACGGCGACCAGACCCAGGACTATACGCCCTTGCAATTCTCAGAACAAACACCTCAATCTGAGCCAGTTGCTGCGCCCCCGGGCCTGCGATACAACTTCCCCGGCTTGACCGGCACGCAGACGCAGACGCAGACTCAGGGACTGGATCTCGTCAGTAGCAAGGAACGGGACGACGATCTTGACAATTCCCAGAAGGAGAATGAGCCTACAAGTACCGACGAATCCCAGCCGGTCATCTCCAGATCTCCACCTCCGTCTGGGTCGCAGTCTGGGCAGTTATCTCCCGTTCAAGACGCAAAGTCGTCACTTGCCCTCAACCGACCTTCTTCTTCTGTCACGTCCGTTAAAATTATCAACAAGCCCGACGCGCCTCCTCTCCCTTTGAACGATATCATGCCACCCCCGACTAAAGCTTCGATTAAACCACCTTCACTCTCCACTATGAAGAACAAGATGCACGCGCCACCCCAGCCAAAAACTCCTCCGCCTCGAATCACCTCGAATACTCGTCGGGACAGACGTTCTTCTCCACCGGCCTCGCCAGACTCGTTCGCCGGAAGCCCTCCATTCCCTGACAAGCTCTACGAAAGGGAGAACCCTATGTTCCAAATGCCGGTATCACAGATATTCGAGGACGACGACGACGACGAAGATCAGGGAGAGGAGGAAAAGACACGAGATCAGAGGCACGGTGTGTTCGGGTCCCAGGCTTCGTCAGTAGCAGTCCTTCATACCCTCACAGACAGTCGTTCTCCTTCCCTGTCGCCACCCAAAACATCCACTCCCAAGCGACCACGAAAAGGGCATTTCAATCCTTTCGACCCAAGCTCCGATGATGAGTCTCAGGAGTACGCTCAGCCCTTCAAGCCACCTCCCCCACCTCCGGTACCCGTTAAGCCCACCGCGTCGCAACTCTCTACGCCTCCTCTTCGTCCTACCCAGGAAGGGTCCTCACAAGATGAAATCCCTTCCTTCGAGGCAACCCAGCTCGCGTCTACTCAGCCCGTATCCGAGAGCGATTTAGTGTTGGACCATGACCCCAGAGGCAGGCCTCAGGTCGATTTCATCGTCCATGACACCGGAAATACACCCTCTACGACCGCGGACACGACCACGACCACAAATACCCATCCTCGCAGCCTTGCCAGCGTCGTCAATCGCGACAAACAATGGAGAGCGAAGGCGTACCTCAACACCGCTCCTCGCGTCGCTCCACAACGGAAGCCTCTTCATCCTCCTCCTCCCCCTCCTCCTTATAACCCTACCCCAGACAGTATCCCCAGTTCGAACTCCACTTCAGTTGTGCCCAACACGTCTGATGGCTCGACCCAAGCTATCCCGAACAACTCCGGTGGCGATACCCAAGCAGAGGCCGAGACTCAGCCCGTCGATGACGGCAGCACCCAAGTCATCTCCGAATCCTCAAACGGTAGTAAAAAGCAAACGAAGTCTCAAGAACAGGAAGCGCTTTTCGAGTCCATCATGCGCTCGCGCCAGGAGACCACCCCAGCATCTTCTGCAGGTGTTCGCGGGCCTCCTGTACCGCCGCAGGTCACACATGAGAGTTCTATGGAGGTTGACGTTGTCCCTGATTCTGAACCAGCGCGTGCCATGGTCACGTCTTCGGCCGTGCAATCGGAATCTACGGGGGACACGAGTGTTCCGGACTCGGAAGCTCAATTCGGAGAGGTGGCGCAGGATTCCTCCAGGGAGCAGCGTGGTGAGCAGGAAGAAGAGGGAGAAGACAGTGACGACGATGATGAGGGCGAGGGTACACCACTGGCAATCACTATTCAGCGTAAGACGTCGGCCACAAGCGCTAAGTCGAAATCCGCCACAAAGCCGCCCGCGTCGACTATTCCGTTTCCTTCTACAGCGAAACCTTCCACCACACTCCCGGTTCGTCTCATTCTATATATATCAAAACTTTGTTGTTGAGAACTAAATGTTTGGCGCTTAGGTTGATGCAGCAGCCGCGAAGAAGAAGAAGGGAACGAAGGCCAAAAACGCGAACGTGCCGCCTGCCTCTACCTCCAGGTCCACTCGTTCTCGAAGTGCTAAGTCTGTTCCTCGAGCAGAGTCATCGGAGGTTCCTTCGTCGGTGCCCCTGCAAGATCGCCCTCCTAAACTAGAGCCCACCAACTCTCGCAGCAAGGGCAAAGAGCGCGCTTCGAGCAACAACGACTCAACTCGTACTGGCCATCATAAATTCACTACGCTAGCCGACGACACCGACAGTCCTTTGACGGAGGAGGAGAACGAGCAGGAGGAAGCTAACGTTTCGCATGAGAGTCAGGATCCCTTAGATCTTCTGTCGACGAAACAGGAAGACGAGTCCACCGAGCCTGCTTCCGATGTACAGATGTCCGAATCCGAGACCAAGAAGGCTTCCACATCTGCCCCTCGTAAGCGTAAACGCACGGCCTCGTCTAATGTTTCTAAGCCGACCGTATCCCGATCATCCACGCGGACCAAGGAACCCACTGCGACTCCAACTGCCCGTTCGAACAAACGACTCAAGGGGAATAATTCGACTGTTCGGAGCATTGGGGCTTCGTCAGGAGAGGCTACGAGGGTTTTTGCGTTGTGGATGGACGACGGGAACTATTACCTAGGGACCGTTCATTCGCTCCAAGACGGCTCTACGACTAAGTTCAAGATTCACTTCGACGACGAAACGGACACGGTCGTGGACGTCTCACATATCGCTCGTGCTGAACCGCGGCTCGGAGATGAGGTCCTTCTTCTGAACGTCGATGCTGGCGACAAGGGAAAAATCTCCAGGATGGATCGCTTGGCTAGCCATGGCGTCGTCACTGTCGAGATCGACCACGGTGAGGAGTTGAGTTATGAAGAGGTCAAGTTGCGAGATTGTACGATCGCCGCGCTCACGTTCAAGAGGCAGTGGAAGGATAGGCTTGTCCTTCCGAACGAGATTGTCACCATCGTCCAGCCCAAAAACAGGAGGAACGCTTCCATGTCGTCGACGAAGATGTCTATTCGCAGCCAAACGCCCAGTGTTCCGCGTCCACTCGCGAGGACGGGCATCGTCCTTACCGGAGCGGAGAAGGATCAGTATGTCAGGAGGATCAAGACGATGGGCGGGGTACATCTGGACGAGTGGCACTTGACCGTGTTTCCTATCGATTTCAAGCACGAGACACAGAATCGATGGGTGGCGAAGAAGAGCGACTTCAAGGTGACCCCTACGAAGAACGTCGACAAGGTCTTCCTGCTTTCGGATAAAGCGAACCAGAAACCAAAGTATCTTATTGCGCTCGCGTTGGGTATTCCTTGCGTTTCGTTTGATTGGCTTGACGCATTGGAAGTGAACGTGAGTGTTCTCATTTACACTTTTGAAGCATGCATGAGTGACCGGCGGGTCCGATCTTCTTTTTAGGCGCAGGAAGATTGGACGCGATATCTTCTCCCAGCTGGATTCTCTGACGAATTGCGTGCCAGGCCTTCGCAGAAGGTCGATTTTAATTGGGGAACCAGCAAGGAGCACCTCACGGAGATCGCATCCAACCCTTTGACGTTCAGGTTGTTCGAGGACAAGTCCGTCTTGGTTGTCGGTGCCGAGTTCTTCCCGCCCGCTCCCAGCAAGAATCGAAGGGTACGTTTCGCGTTTCGCTCATTGGCTCTTTCACTTCGTTGCATTGTCCTGACTCCTGACTCGTCACGCGTTACGTGCGTTCCTAGCAAGCATCGACGACATCGCTTTCGCTTGACAGATCGACCGAGCTCGTCCCACACATCATCCTATGCATGGGTGCCACAAGCGTGGAGGCCGTGCCTGAGCTGAAGTATGCTTCGAAGCCGAACCTCGCGTCGTTTGACTACATCGTCGTCGATCAGGTTACGGAGAAGGACCTGCCCGAGGCGACGATGGACAAGTTCGTACCCTTCCAGTGGGTGAAGGATTGTCTCATCTCTGGACGAGCACACCCTCGCGAGTCTGCCACTTGATATGTTATGAACTCAAACTAAACCATCACATCATTAACACTATCTTCCCTTGTATCTCTCAGTATATATCTCGATTGAGTTTTAACTCTTCTTGATTCTCTCGCCTGCTAACACTGTAACACTTCTAGCCACCATCTCCCCACCATCTGATCTCACATACCTTACGTTCTTGATTTACCCTGCCTTCTTGCTTGCCCGCTTCTGCGCCGCACTCCTGCTCTGCCTGTTCACATTTCTGACGTGTTTTTGCTTGTGTATATCATTATATACAGTATTTGTCGATGCTTGAAACAGTCAAAGCTGAAAGAACTGGAGGCGTCGGATTGCCTCGATAAGGATACGTGAAATCCCTGGGAGACATAACTAACTAGAACTAAGCAAGTACACAATACAGAGAGCATATTATAGGTAAGTAAGAAGGTGTCCATGTCCGTGCTGATGGAATGCAAAGAAAGTTGTGTGCGTGCGTGCGTGCGTGATAGTGAGCGTGCCGTTAGAAAAACAAGAGTGAAACCGGGTAGTTTAGTAGCTAGACGAAAGGGTCTTACTGCTAGTGCGCACTGAATGTCCGAGGAAATAGTAGGATAACGAGAAGGGGATGAGGATTGAGGATGGGGGAGTGGGTGGATCGTGAAGCTATCGCCCGCGAGGAAGCGTCGTGAGTCCGCCGAAACGGGTGGGTTCAGTCAATGCGAGCGCCACATCGTGCACATTTCTTCTCTGTGTCGATGCTGAAAGTTCAATTTGGTTAGGTGGGGATGTAGCGGCTAAGTAGAGGCGAAACGCACACTAAACACATTAGACCGATGGGGAATAATAGGATTGCACAAACGATGCCACACAGTCCAAAGCTGGTGGTAACATCGTGGTCTCCCTGATTGCACCGGTGCAGAACTAAAAGGGCAACGAAGTTCGGTCAGACGAATGGAGACAGTCCGACCGAGTAACTCTGACGCACATTGTGTCCGGTAAGAGTCTCCTACCCACTGATTGCCATATGGATTTGCTCTGTCAGTATATGGGCTCCCTGGTGGTGGATATGCGGCAGCTGCTGGTGGACGTGCAGGTTGTCGATATGAAGTGCTGGGTTGTGGTGCAGATGAGGATGCTGCAGGGTAGGCTGGTGGAGGGACGGGTGCCGGTTGTGTCTGTGTTCGAGCTTCGGCATCGACCTCATCCTGAGACGGCTTCAGGTCTATCAGGACCATGGTGGCGAATTTGTTTGTGGAAACGTAGAGGGAGGGAGACTAGGATGTGGGTGAGAGCAAGAGGCGGATAGCCATGAGCATCAAAAGTTGACGCAGAACAGCCGCAAAGCGATAGCTCCCACTGATCACGTAAGGGTGCAACTTGTTAGCTTCCGCCCGTTGGCTTCCCTTTGTGTCTGGCAACGGTCCCTGTGCTGCCTTTTGCTTCGAGAGCACTCACAGGACGTCCTCTCAGGCTTCTCGTCAATATCCAGCGTGATTCGGCGAGATAAGTCTGCAAGCGACCCGCCAATTGAAAGCCTTGTGGCGGCCACCCTTCCCACGGGCGCCTAACTAGGTTGTACAATCGACCGCGTCTCGCGTCCAACTCTCCACTTCGCCTCATCGACTTCACCCTCAACCTCCGTCCCGCCTACCATGGCCACGACTCTCTCTGAACGTCAGAAGGATGAACTGTGAGCCGCACTCATTACTGGCGAAAATTACAGTCTTGTTCAAAACCCTGCCCAATATAGACATAAATCCATTGTCGATTATCTCAATTCTGCAGGCTATACGGAGACGATGAAGCAATTCCAAGCAGAGGTTCCAGGCATGGTGCGTCCGCTTCCGCGGAGATAATCCTCTGTGACTTTGTCTTTACAACTGTACATGTACACTAGGCCGATTTCCAGCCGGATCCTGCGTCCAAGACCTCTGGCATTCTTGTCAAGAAATGGACGAGTATCATCCGACTGCAGAAGAAGGTAGGGCTGGTGTTAGCTTCTTGAGCATAACTAACTGTGTCCATGTAGATTTTGGATCTTGAAGCAAGACTTAGTCAGGCCTTGGAGGAGACGTCGAATATGGTCTCTATAGGCCCTAGCTCAGTCACCAAACGAACGAACCCAGACTGGCTACCAACAGCAGGGTCAAAGCACACTTTAACAGGCCACCGAGGGATGGTCAATGCCGTTGCTTTCCATCCACTGTACTCTGTACTTGCTTCCGCCTCAGACGACTTCACGATCAAAATTTGGGATTGGGAGACCGGAGAGCTGGAGCGGACGCTGAAGGCGCACACCAAGCGCGTTACGGACTGTCAGTTCGATTCGAAAGGAAAACAACTTGGTGCGTCCCACCCCTGCTTAATCCCTCATTTCTGTCGCTCTACGGGCTCAAGTTGCATCTTCGCCGCCACGGTCAACGCGCTCATGTGGCCCATCCAGTAACTTCATCCTATGATCTTTTTATCAAGTTGTGGAATGTTGATAACGCATATCACAACTTTGCAACTCTCCGAGGACACGACCATTCCGTTTCATCTGCACGCTTTCTACCTGGAGATACCCACATTCTGAGCTCCAGCCGTGATGCCACCGTGCGTATCTGGGAGATTTCAACCACGTCAGTCGTTTCTCTGCGTCCTTCGTCTTGAAGGCTCACTCTTTGCTTTATAGACATTGCATAAAGGTCTTTACTCCGCATACCAAATGGATTTGTCGAGCATTGACCAATACGACTGGACGGTATATCGTGACTAGCTCGATGGACCACGTCAGTATCCCTCTTGACGTATCCTACCCTACGCTACTCGATCCTGACATCTCCGGATTGAACCCATCTTCGATGCTTGCAGACTGCAAAAGTCATCGATGCAGAGACGGGTTCGACACGAGCTGAATTCCGAGGCCACGATCATGTCGTCGAAATAGCTATGTTCGTACCACCAGGGACCGTCCCAGCGATAAAGGAGCTTGTCGCTCAAGTAGTCAGTATAGTCTTTCAATGCGAGCTTGCTCCATACTGACTCTCTGCGCATTTAGCCTGGGGCCCCTGTCCCAGACGCCGATTCTCTCTCGTTTGCATACGTCGCGACTGGCTCCCGTGATCGGACAGTAAGATTATGGGACGCGACGCATGGACAAATGCTATGGACCTTCGTAAGTGCTTCGTTGTTCTCGCGGCTTCTCTGCGCCGAATGCTGAGGTCTTGGGACAGGTCGGACACGACAACTGGGTTCGCGACATCGTCTTCCACCCTGCCGGCAAACATATGATCACTGCGGCAGACGATAGCACTTATCGCATATGGGATCTGAAGACTGGACGGTGTGTGCGGGTGGTGGAGGCGCACGAGCGATTTGTGTCGTGTATCGCTTGGGGACGACAGACTGTCAGTGCGGAGTCGTCCAACGGGAATTCATCAGAGGGCCCGGCACCAACGAGACTCCTTAACGTGATAGCTACGGGTGGGAGTGACCAGGTGAGCATCTCTTCCGACTCTTTTCGTATGTCCTTACTGAAAGGTTATCATTTCACTTCGTTCCGTAGACGGTGAAGATCTGGTTGCCATGATGAGCTCCATGCATTGATTCGTTGTTATTCACCGCTCCGGTCTCGATGTCTCTTCGATCTCCAGTTTTCGTTGCGGATTCCCGTGCTCGTCGCTCCCTCATACCATTCCTTTCTTGCTGTGCTATGTATCCTGCATCACGATCATTTTTTTCTCCTTTTTCATTTTCACGGATTGATTCTCACTAGTAATAATTGTACGGTATCTCGCCAGAGCCTGAGCACACGGAAACCTACTTCGGCATAATGATGCTGTGTTACTATATCTATATGGTCGGCAGTCGTCATTGTTTGTCAGATTTTTGGGTGAAATGCTACGTTGTTTAGATGTGTGCGAGCGCGGGCTGTACTGTTGTAAGGGTCACCTATGACCTTTTGAAGACGGGATGGAAGAGCACGACCGGGACGGAATGTGTCAAGGGCCACAGACACGAAGTGGCGCCACAACGCTACACGTGATCGCGATCGCGAGCCGCAAGACTCGAGAGCGTGTTGAGCCGAGCGGAGTCTCGTTGACCGTCCCCGCGTCAACACCCTGCTCGACCCTCGAGGCCCACCTGCCTGCTAGCCCTCCGACTACCGTATCATGCCCAAGCGACGCGAACAAGAAGATTCTGAGGAGGAGGAGGAAGAAGAGTATGAAGTCGGTGAGTGTTCACCGTCGTGAAGCCTGTGGTGAGGCAAGCGCGCTAACAGGCCGTGAACAATACAGAGTCGATCATTTCGGCGAAGGCTAAGAAAAGGGGGAAGAAACTGACTTGGGTGAGTCTAGTTTTCTGGAAGTTGGTTCATTGTGAGACGAGGTCTAACTTGCGATGTCGCTGGCTTGAATGGTTCAGTCGTACTATGTCAAGGTGCGTCTGTCGCGTTCTTCGTTCTGAGCAGCCTACTTACCTGCCACGACTATGGATCGTAGTGGAAAGGATACAATGACCCAAAAGATAACACGTGGGTCAAATTCAACTTTCACCTTGTCATCCCGTCGAAGTTACTCTTGCTTATTCCTTGGGCGATGTATCTAGCTGGGAGCCCGAGGAATCGTTCGACGGCAGCGCAGACGAGATCGTTAACAAATTCTGGGAGCGGGTCAACCTAGGAGGACGCAAGAGGAACGTTGCAGCTGACTTCAATCACGATGAGCAGTTTCATCCTACAGGACCGCCACGTACGTCTCTTCTACACCCTTTCTCCCTATGCCCCTGACTTCTGGCATTCAAACGGTCTATGTCTAGTGAGGCGCAAGAAATCTGCCCCGAGGCTGCAGGCAGAGCCATCCCCTCCAACAAAACCTGTGAAGCCCACTCCTACTCCTACTCGCAAAAATGCAACCACAGCTGCTGCCTCCCCTTCTGTCGAACCTGCGCGGCGAAAAACTGGCAGGCCTCGTAAGAGAGATCCTTCACCCGATTCATCCGACGTGGAAGTGATAGAAGACTCGGGGCCGTCATCTCCTCGCAAGTCTTCGCGCAAGCGAAGTCGCTCCTCAAAGAACGCGGCCGACAATAGTGTCGATCAAATCGTGGAACCGACACCGAAGAAGGCGAGGAGGGCAGTAGAGAAAAGGGCTACGGAACCAGAGACTTCAAGTTCGAGAAATCGCGGCCGTCTCTCACGGGGTGATAAGCCGTCGAAGTCGGGTGCTAAGGTCGCTGATGAAGGGTGAGTGCCGTTGTTTGCTCTCGCATGCGTTTGTGTCTGATCAGTGCATCTGGATAGAGAGGAAATTACTCATCAGACGGCTGAGGGTGACGACCTATTCGGCCCAGATGGTGATGTGCCTATGCCTGCTGAAGCTCCTACGAACTCAGACATGGAGATCGTTCCAGATTCGACCTCACCCACACCTCCAGTTCCTGCACTCCCAGCTCACCGTGCCCGCGCAGCTAACCCGCGCGTTAAACTTCTCGATCCTGAAGAGATACAAGTGTCTCTGAACGGTGCTATCTCCACCAAAGCTCGTGCCGTTACCGGTAACGGGCGGACGGCCGCCACCAACAACGCGACTGCCGGGCCATCCGTGCCTCGTACAGATTCTAATCAGTCCCCGCCCAGGAAGTTTGGGCCACCGAAGCGAAAGCTTCCCAACAGGAAGGACTCGCTTCTGACTTTCGAGAAAGGTGGTCTCAAGACGCTGAAACGAGTTCCGAAAGCTGCTGAGCCTATGCAAGAGGATACTGCGGAAGTCCTAGAGTCTAGGAATAGCCCTGAGGCGTTCGATGCGAGCCTCTTCGGTTCAGACGAAGAATCTGGTCAGCCTGGAACGTCCGTGCAGGCTCAACCGAAGCCGACAGGAAAAGATCTGTTGGCCTTGGCTGGACACAATGAGGCGGATGCCAATGAGCTACCTGATTTCGACGAGGAGCCGGCCCCTGTGGTTGCTGAACCAGCACCGTGAGTGAGGTTCCAGTTCCATTGCGATGTCACGTCCTTACATTTTCTCTACGTCTTCCAGGATCCAGGAGAAGCCCGCAGCCCCTGTGATTGTAACTAGGCCGGATATGTTCGCTGGTTTCAAACGACCCAGCTCGTCTATGTTCAGTCCCTTGACCATGGGTGGCAGCTATTTCTCCCCGAGGGAAGATCAGTGAGTCACCATCCTTTGTGTAAAGGAGCGTCAGCTCATCTGGGTCTCTTCCGCTAGAACCGACGCATCATTAGCACCTTTCCACATATTCCTCACACCCCAAGTATCCATGCCCATTGAGCCAAAAGATGTTCATCCTACCACTCGTACCGACGGAGAAACCATCGACGCCATTATGCAGGATATCAGACGCAAGGGAGACAAGTCGCCACCCGGAAAATTCTACACACAAGAGCTCTCGCTTTCGATCGTAGACACCTTGGAAAAGGCGAAGTCGCATGCCCGTGTGACTCTCCACGAGTCAGCGAATGACGGACACAGAGCTATGTTCCAATCTTTCTCTGCTCGCTTGAGTCAAGGTGGCGCGGTTAGTTGTATTACGCTGACTGACTCATAAACGAACTTGTGCTAATCGTGGTGTGCAGATTGCTACGGCTTCTATGCCACATGTCGGGTTGATGCTGTACTATGCGGCAACGAACAAGCACCTCGTAGAGAAGCTGGATGTCCCGGTAGCTCTTCGTGGGCTGGTGGACACTGTGCTCGTCTCGTACCTGCATATGCAAGACTTCATGAAGTACGCGGATCTGGCGACTATGTATGAGGATGTCCGGTGGTAGGATAGTGTTTAGTAGCGTAACACTTCTTGGTATTCTCAGTCCTCTGCATTGATCGTCCCTCCTTGACATCTGCTCTCGTCCGTTCTTATGAGCTTACATCCCCATGCGTATGAAATGACCATTATTTCTTGTGCCGGCCTGATATCATCCTTTGGTGTCGTTGCTCTACGTATATATCTTCTTTCATCAGACGAAACCGTTGAAGGACGAACGTATGTCGCAAGCGCCATGTCACAGATTCATATACAACCCCTCAACTATCCGGCGTCGCATGTCTTTCGGTTGGGCTGCCTTTTCGACGGGAATCACTCTACTATGTAGCCGAGCAGTCATAGAGTACGCCACAGTGGCACTGAAAGTCTGGATGTCATCCCCACATCAAATTTCAAATTATGTCTCTGCTCGTCCTTACCCCGCATTCGCTGTGAGCGTCATGTTCGAACAAGTCTCAAAGTCCGTTTTGCTCTTAAACTGAGCAGGCACGGTCTGAAACTCATCAGTCCGTCGCAAACTCCTCCCAACACTCCGAATCCGAATCTGGCAGCCAGAGCGCGATAATACCGGTCCGCCACCGTATGGGAATTTGACGTAGGAGGTCAGCTGGTCATCCCAGGCGGAACGGTCTGTTGGCACAGTGCCCCAGCGCACAGAGTTCCGAGTTCCAAGCACTTGGTAATGAACATCGGGCAATCTGGCGCTTGATGGGCTTCGAATGCTTCCGGGTCGAGGATGAGTTCGTTGTTCGAGGAGACGCGGAGATGTTGAGTCCTCGGGAGGTATTACATATTCGTACGTAATCATGTTTTCCCTCCCTTCGCTTCCCCTCGTCTTCCCCTCATTCCCACCTCTATCACCCGAGTCCCCAGTTGGGGCCCCTCATTTCTCGTCATGAATGCTAGAAGTACGCTTATATTAATAAATTCTTCGTAACGTCATGATGTTTATCTCTGGCTCGTACATACACAACCAAGGTGCACTTTAAACCCTCATCGCTGAATGTGATTCTTTGCGACAAGTTAGGTGAACGAGATTGCGAGGTTCCAAGACATTCACCAGTCAGATGAACGATGAACGCCAGTGTATTGAGTATAAGCGTATTTTGTGACGATAGTACATCCGTGATAGGTGATTAAAACAGCGCAGACATCAGATTTCGTGGCATGCTATGTAGGTAATGATAATGAGACGAATAAGTGGTGGGTCATAAATAGAATGTGAGGGGGATCTCAGCAAGTCGTCGTGGGTATGCATGGGTAGTCTAATATGTCTAGTGTCTAGTTGCCGAACCATCTTGTCTAAGTTGTCTAGAGTCTAGATATATCCCTGAATCCCAAACACAAACCCAATCGAAATGTAAACAGTCGTAAAAGTGATGATGGCGTGAAGGCGATGCGTAGAATGCATTAAACGGCGTTGCCGTTGTCCACAGCTTTGCCCTTCTCGTTCATGTCGTCGAAGTCGGCCTGCTTCTTCTCCGGGACGACTGCTCCGGTAGCGGCGGCGGCGTACTTCGAGCTAGCACGGATGCGGTCACCGTACGCGAAACAGATGAAGGGAAGGGGTGTGATCAAGCAAGCTAGAAAAAAGAAGACGTTAGTCGTCAAATTCAAGTCGGCATATTGAGGAGAGGACGTACCAATTAATGCGAGAAGTGTTCCGGCCCACTGGTAGCCCATGCCGTTGAACATCTGATTGGCGAACAGAGGGGTGACAGCGCCGAGCATGTTTCGCATCCAACCTTGACCGGCGATAGCAGAAGAGGAGAGCTCGCCGTACGAGTCCGCAGTGTAGTTGTATACGGCCAGGAAAATGTGGTAGATACCGAAGATAATGAGCACGACTGTGGGGTTAATCGTCGTCAGTAGAAGGTCCAAACAGATCATCAGGTTGCAGAGACGTACGGGCGATGCAAGGCGCTATCCAATGGACAAACCCGAACTGGGTCCACGAATATATGAAAAGGCCGATAGGGAGGAAAGGTCCACCGATCATCGCGCCATACAACCGCGCTTCGGGAATAGCGACACCACCATTCGCTTCACGTACGGCGTCGTACTTAGCATCTTGCCAGAAACCGCTGTGAAATGCGGTCGTGAGTGCAACGTCAACCACCAATGTCCGTCAAAGACGTACGAGATGAAACCAAGCGTGGTGCCAATGATGAGCGCAATGTAAGGCAGGCCGCCGTTACCCTCCGCCCATCCGTGATTGTCTTGGAAGGTCAAGGGAATGACACTCAGGAACAAGAATGTGATGCCCCAGGCAAATGCGATCCAGCTGAACAACGAGTTAGCAGAAGGAAGACGGGAATGAGCAATGTACAGTAGACGCACAATCCAAAGAAGAAGATGACGGGTTCGCGGATGGTGAGGTAGATGGCACGGGTGCTGCTCTGATGGAGCAAGTCGGACAACTTCTCGGCTTCAAGCTCAATGGGTGCGCGCAGGCGATTGTCTCCTGTCTCCTTCCTAAGCCTCTTGGCACGAGTTTTCAGGATGGCGGCTCCACGAGTTTCCTTGAAGAAGATGAGCTCCAAGATGAACAAGACGCCGGAGGCGATCACTGTAGTAAACAGTCAGACGGTTTACGACCCGAAGGGACATGGGCCACTTACTGTGAATCCACTCGATCCAACGCCAGCCGATGGCAGCGTCGATGTAGCCACAGTACAAGGGAGCAGCGATAGTACCAAGAATAGCGACGTATGAAAAGCATGCCATAGGGACACTGCGTTCTTTCGTTTCCCAAATATCTGTCGGGAAATGATCAATTGGTGATGGAATGACAGTTAACTGGGAAATATACGAACCAGCGAGCGTGCCGCCGACTAGGATTGTGCCCACACAACCGAACAGACCAGACAGGAGACGACCGACAAGTTCGCTACCAATATTTTTACCCATGGCGAGAAGAATGAAGATGAGGGTGAAGCATCCGAAGGAGCCGAGGTAGATGTAACGTCTCCCGACAAGCTCGCAGAATGGAGCGAGGAAAAGTGGGGCGAAGGCACAAGCAGCGCTGCAGGAGAGTGTCAGATATGACGACGTGGAAAATATATCGAGAACGTACTTGAACATGAACATCCCGACTTCGCCAGCCTCTGTCGAGACACCGAACTCTTCGGTCATGGAAGTGATACCAGAGGAGTAGGCCGATGTCGAGAGACCGATGGTCAAGGTCATGAAACAGAGGAGAGCTGTCGTCATCCATTTCCGTCCCTTTCCCCAGTTCATGGGATCTGTTGCAGCGATCAGTAACGAGTAATGAACGACTGAGTTTGTCGTGCTTAGACACTCACTTTCGGGATCGCCTTCTTCAAATGTTACCAAGATAATCTTGCTGTCGTCGTAGGCATGGGATTTTTCTGTCGAGCCGCCGGCACCGGATGATGCCCCTGCGCCGGGAGTGTCGGCACCAACATGCTCTAGGTGATCTTGCTCGACCTCCTCAGGATAGAACGCACGGGCGTTGATCGTGGTCTTTTTTAGACCAGACATGGTGACTATACAACGCCATCATCGATGTTACTGACCGTTGCGGGGGGCGACAGGGCACAGAGTACATACCTATGCCTATGTGTTCAAGCCGGGGAGACGAGTCGGGATGATGGTGGACCAAGGAACTTCTGTTATGCCCGGACGAGATAAGAGGAGGGGGTGGGAGCCAGGAAGATGCGCTCCGACCACTTTATAAATGTTCGCGAACCCCGAAAATTCGACATTGTCGAGACAGGTCCGACGAGGATGTTTGCACCAGATCCGTTCTGCCTACTCGATTTTCCTCCTCCGGTTGTCGGGTTCCAACGGAGATGCGCAAATCTGAGGTGCGATCGGGGGTGGCAAAAGATGGTGAAAACCATTTTGATCTCAAAGTGGAAACCTGTGGAAACCAAGGCGGGCGAGGCGAATGATTGACGGCGAAATCGTCCTGATTCAGCCAGGATCGAGGCTAAGACGAAACTTTGGCGAAAAGTCATCATTTGTCATGACGTAGGAATCCAAGTCCCTGGAAATATGCTCGGCGCCAAAAGTGACGACGGTGATCGAGGCGATTGTTCAAGGTTGACCCGTGCCTGAGTCGCCGCAGGCATAGGTTTTGTAGTCAGCTCTGGGGACTACTGGAGAAGCCTGGAGAACGACGAGGAGAAAGATGGGGAGGTTGGGGGTCCCATAATTCGCGAGTGGAGAATGCGGAGGACTCGTCAGGGTTCGATATTAAACCTGATTATTTGTAGTGAAGACTGCTGTAGCCTAAATTACGACTAATTTCACTGAAATGACTGCGAAGTCGGGGACAGAGCAGTGTACAAGAGCATTTTCGCCGCGCCAACGGGTCCCACAGCGTGTGTCATCAACAGGCTCCAACCACTGGAGCCCTTCGATTGTTTTCAGCGATATTGGATGAGCCATTTCGGCCGCCCATGTAGTGTTTGGTTTGTCAGAGAGAATAGCGTCAGTCGCGGCCACATTCTCAATACCCAGACCACGTTGGGAAGACTGCCCGGAATGTGGAAGTGGATGGGCAATTCGGAACTCATTCCACGCTTGTGAGTTCGAACAGCGGAACGCAGCACGCCGCTCATCCGAGTCTTCCGAATGGATATGTACCTCGCTGACAGAAAGCGTGCGGGTGCATGGAGGAAACTTCTGATAAGACGTTATTACAGGGTCGAGGACCATCTCTCTGGGAGCGTCAAATAGTTCTTTCATCTGGGAGAGGACCCCAGAGCTGCAGGCTGCCAGTGCAAATTCAGCAGGCTAGGGCGGGCTGGATCGCCGACCCCGCGAACCGCAGGCCACTCGGATAAAAGAAAATAGGAAGGAATATTAGCTGAATAAAATGGAAGTGAAACGCCGGTTCGACCAGCACAGACTCCAGCAGGTCAAGCATCGAAGGGGAGACTTGGCAGCATGGAAAAAAGGGAACCGCCTAAAATCTTGAGAACTTGCCACAAGAAGACGGTTTTGGTCGCCTTCAAGTCGAAAATGACACGTAATTTGGAGGAAGAGTTTGTGATCCGAATGCATCCGAACGATGGTCGAGGACATCGTCCAGAGTTGGCCGAGAGTTTGTTGTCGGAGTCGAGGATGTGGACTGGCTCGAGTGGCGAGAATTCCGAGCGTTTGCGAGCCTGGGAATGCCTGGCCACACGATCACGTGTACCGTGATGGATTTGTCATTCGTGTCGTTGTTCCCGATATCGCGCCACGCGTTGTTCGTGCTGACTCGCTCTCAGCCTCCACCATCGTCGAGCTCATCGTCGGCGGCACTGTTAATCTTCGTGGACGGTCTCTGTTTTCTTTCAATACCATGCTTCGTCGTAGACCCACAACGCCAGATGGCAGGCCCATCGATCCCCTCCAAGAGAGTCCCCGTGTCACCAAGCCTTTCAAGATCCCAACTACACTCCGTGCAGCATCGCGCGACCAACCACCACGCAAGCGAAAGAGAGTCTCATATAAAGAGGCTCAGCCTGATGGAGACGACTCTGATTCTGACTCTGGTGGAAAGAAGGCGAAGCGGAGAAAGTCTGATGGCGACGGCATATACACGGAGCTCGCAAACAATATCACGTCCTACCCCGTGTACAAGCCAAAGCCTTTCCAGCAGGTGTTCGGCACACGCAGGTACTCTATACCAGTGATGAAGAACAAGGACGGGGAGGTCGTCCGAACTGTTCCATCCAATGCCCCTCTTGGTATTCGCCCTCTCGCTAATATCATCCCTCGTCCGCTCCATGATCCCATGGAGGATCATGCTATCGTTCTCTATGATCCAACAATTGACATTCGGGAGACGGACGAAGAGAGAAAGGAGAGGGAGAAGGAAGAGGCGAAGGTTGCAGCACTGAAGGAAGCTGATGAGAAGAACGTGGGGCTGTTCAACCCTCACAAGAGTCTGAAGTTGCTGCTTGGTGAGTCGAAGAAGAAGAAAGTGGATACCCGTGTGCCCGTCGTCATCGACCCGCGTCTTTGCAAAGTGCTCCGGCCACATCAAGTTGAGGGTGTCAAGGTATGCATGTTGCCCCTATTGCTCTTGCCTCGGCTGACCCGCCATAGTTTCTTTATCGCTGCACTACCGGAATGGTGGTCGAGGGTCAGTACGGTTGCATCATGGCCGACGAGATGGGCCTCGGAAAGACGCTGCAGTGCATTGCGCTGCTGTGGACGCTGCTGAAGCAGTCGCCTCGGTCAGGCAAGGGGACGCTTGAGAAGTGTATCATCGCGTGCCCGTCCAGCCTGGTGAAGAACTGGGCGAACGAACTCGGTACATCCATCTCTATCTATACTCCATGGCGATTATTGCTCACATGTGTCACTGTCAGCCAAGTGGCTGGGTAAAGACACTATCACGCCGATGGCGGTGGATGGCAAGGGTGGCAAGGCCGAGCTCCTGCAACGAGTGGAGAGATGGGTGGCTGCCAGTGGTCGGAATGTGACGCAGCCTGGTTAGTGGCCTTTTCTACCTCGCTCTTGTGCATTGTCTCTCATGATTGTTCGCAGTGATGATCGTGTCGTACGAAACCCTCCGAACGTTGACGGTATACCTGAACGGTTGCCAGATTGGATTGCTGTTGTGTGACGAAGGTCATCGTCTGAAGAACTCTGGTATGTAATCATACCTTCCTGTCAGCCACTCCGGTTTGCTAATATCCCTTTTCAGAGTCCCTCACCTTCCAAGCTCTTGATGCGATCAATGTCAAGCGGCGGGTCATTCTGTCAGGAACTCCGATTCAGGTATTCATTACCTTGAATCATTGACACCATTCGGCACTAACAAAGGCGCACCAGAATGATCTTTCAGAGTACTTCTCCCTCCTCAATTTTGCCAACCCGAATCTCTTGGGCACGAAGAACGACTTCAGGAAGAACTTCGAAAACATCATTATTCGTGGTCGCGACGCAGATGCCACAGACAAGGACAAGGCTGAATGCGAAAAGAAACTGAAGGAGCTTGGCGAATTGGTCTCCAAGTTCATTATCCGCCGGACCAACGATCTGCTGTCTAAGTATTGTATGTCCTTCCTTTACCGTGCCTCTCTGTGCACATCTGTCTGACAATGGTCACGTTCTACAGTGCCTGTCAAGTACGAACAGGTCGTTTTCTGTGGCTTATCAGACTTCCAGCTCCAACTCTACCGCCTCTTCATTTCTTCGCCGGAGATCAAGGCTCTGCTCCGCGGTGCGGAATCCCAGCCTCTCAAGGCTATCAATATCTTGAAGAAGCTCTGCAACCATCCTGAGCTCCTGAATCTTCCGCAAGACCTACGTGGCTGCGATCATCTGATACCGGAAGGCTTCTGTGGCGCTGGTGACGACTCGAATAAACCCAAGGGAGGAAGTCGAGGAGGTCGCGATGCCGGCCAGAACGTGCATACTGAGTGGAGCGGGAAGTTTATAGTCTTGGAGAGGTACGCTTTTACCCTCATTTTATACACGAGGCGCTTGAACTGACGGCTGCTTTGTCTCAAGGTTCCTTCATCGGTTACACACAGAGACGAACGACAAGATCGTCCTCATCAGTAATTATACACAAACTCTTGACATATTTGAAAAGATGCTGCGTAGCAAGAAGTACATGCGTCCGCTTCTAGCTTTTGCGTCTAGCTCCTGATCGACTTTTTCTTATTCTCTCTTCAGATATGGGTATTTCCGACTCGACGGCACGATGAATATCCCGAAACGCCAGAAGCTCGTCGACCAGTTCAACAATCCCGAGGGCAAGGAGTTCGTCTTCCTCCTTAGTAGCAAAGCTGGCGGTTGTGGTATCAACCTCATCGGTGCCAACCGTTTAATTCTGTTCGATCCTGGTTTGTGGCTCTTCGTTGTCGACGTCTAGGCTTGGGTGATACTGACGAAAAATCATAGATTGGAATCCTGCTGCTGATCAGCAGGCTTTGGCTCGTGTGTGGCGTGACGGTCAGAAGAAAGAATGTGAGACACCGTTTCCTGTCGAAGGTCCTTCATCATCCTGATTACATTTGTGCAGGCTTTGTATACCGCTTCATCTCTACCGGCACTATCGAGGAGAAAATCTTCCAGCGTCAGGCCTCCAAGCAGGCTCTTTCGTCCGCGGTCGTCGACGAAAAGGAGGACGCAGAACGACACTTCTCTATCGACTCCTTGCGGCAGCTGTTCTTGTTCAACGAGAAGACCCTTTGTGAGACGCACGAGACGTTCAAGTGCAAGCGATGTAAGAACGGGAAGCAGATGGTTAAGGCACCCGCCCTTCTGTATGGTGATGCTAGCACGTATGTCACAATGCTGCTTGTTTCTTCGGCGTAGTTTGCTCACGGTTCATCATCTAGTTGGAATCACTTCACGAATGCCGAACTGAAGAACAATCACGATGATCTACTGCGGGCAGAGGTGGGGCAACCTGAGGTTTCGTTCGTGTTCCAGTACATCAGTCATTAGTCGCCCTACCCCATACCCGAAGTTCGGGTCTTTCGTTCAGGATTTTGTACTATACTGTACTTTGCTTTGATGGTAATACTCATGCTTACCTTTTGCGGATGGACAATACAATACAATAATGGTACATTATTCGGTCATGAAGCAGACGGCGAGCAAGTACACCAGCTCATGAAAACGTATCGTCCCAATCTGTCCATTCACCCCCTGGTGGCCGAACCTTGATCTTCTCACCAGCGGGCCCGAAATAAGAGGCCTTATACCAAGCCCGCATGTCGTCCTCACTGAACGGACCAAAAACCTGCCCATCCTGGCCCGTCGATCCTGGGACGTCCCATTTATACTCGTAGGTGACGTCTGCTGACGGTGGCACCCACGATGTATCCACTTGGCCAGACGAGCGGACGGAGCGGACGAGTTCCTCGTACGTCTTGGAGTAGATGTCGATGTCCCCTAGAGACATGAGTGCGGAAGCGTAGTGTGTGAGTTCGTCGATGTCGGAGGTGGCTTTGGAGGCAGCGGAGGGCTTGTCGACCTGCATGTCCTCCCCATGTAAGTTTGCTTTCGCAGATTTGCTAGAAAGAAAGAGCGACGGTCAGTTTACCCATCAAACAATTTCACAAAGGCGAGCACGTACCTCTTGCCGTTTGGCTTATCTCTCTTCGCTTTCGCGCCCAACCGCTGCAAAGCCTCAAGGACGAACTCGCCCTTCTTGAGCATAGCAAGAACCTTGAGCTCCATGGCCGGCTTTCCGCCAGACTCCTGCAGTTCCTTCTCCTCCGCCTTGATCCTCTCCCTCTGCTTCTTCTCCTGCTCCTTCTTCCTCTTCTTCGCCAGTTTGATCTCTCTCTCGTCCAGCCCGTCCATCCACTTGTCGTGCAACGCGTGCGGGTCAAACGTCCGGACGTACATCCCATCCGCCGAGAACTTTCCCTCCTCCATCTCCTCCCGCATATTGAACGACGAAAGCTCATAACCCATCCCTACTTTCTTCTTTCTCTCCGCATCATCCTCGTCCTCAGGCTCTTCCTCGTCGTCCTCATCATCGCTCTTCCCAAATTCCTGCCCCTCAATATCACCCAACCTCAAATACTCCTCCTTCTTCTTCCCCCCTCCTTCCTCATCCTCCCCCTTCTTCTCCTCCTTATCCGCCATAGCAAACATATCCTCATCCTCATCCTCCCCTTCACCACCGTCCGCACCACCAGGCCGTCGACTGGGAACTACGCCCTCGCCGTCATCGCTGGAGTCCGAATCGTAGCCCTCGGTTTTGACGCGTCCTTTGCGCGTGAGAGACGGGTTCTCGAGCGCCGCGTCGACGTCTTCGGCGAATTTGGCGGGATCTTCGGAGGGCTCGACGAAGCGTGTTTTCTTGGAGGAGGGTTGGGTGGAGGGACCCGCTTCTGACGAGGTTGCGGATCTCTTCTGGGCTGGTCGGGGAGGCATCGGGGGTATAAGTATGTGAGGGGAGGTCGAGATGGAGGACGGGTGAGTTGAGCGAGAGTGATGTAAGAACGTTGCGTGGGAACTAATTGGCAATTACGCCACGATCGTTCTGATTGGGTGCGCACCCTTACGCCACATTTCGGAGGAGTAAGTATGATGGAGTTATAGATACAAATTGCAACGTTCAGAATAAATACGCATGAGGTGACACGACACAGACAAGAAACAAGATAATCTGAGCACAAGAGTCCCAGTCCGAATAAAATCGCTCTAATCCTCAGTGTATGTCCGATCCTCTACTGGGTGCCGTCGCCGTTGAGGAGTGGTTGTGCCTTCCTCCACATCCTCGCCCAACAACCCTTCCTCCTCAGCTATATGCCTCGACACGGAAGTCCTCCGTCCACGTTCCCGAGGTGAAGCTTTGTGTCGATAGAGAGCGAATTGCGAGACGATGGTTACGTCGAACATGAGCGTGCCACCGCTACCTAGTAGGTACCTGTATGTGATTCGTCGCGTGAGCTAATCAGAACGAGGGAGCAGGAAAATTCGACGGCGTACGGTATACTCTCGGAGAGATAGGCGCGCGCTTCTGCAGGCGGAAGTTGCATGTTCGGGGAGAGGAGGATGGATGAGACGTAGAATACGTTTCCGAGGAAGGCACAGATGAAGAGACTGATAGTGAGTCCATCCACTGATTTCCGCACAAACTGAGCAAGACCCTCATCAGAAACGACGCCAAAAGAAAGCACCGAGATTAAATGGACTCACATTCTTCCATATCTGAGGTAGTCGAGACGTAAGATAAAGGGTCGTACAAGCCCATGCGAAAATACGTCCAATGATGCGCTCTGTCGAAGGTGGTGGCAAATGTTCGTGTTCTGGCATGTCCTCCGATATTGGCTGCTCAAACATCAATGTGACCGATGGTGGAGGAACAGCCACTTCGTCCAATGATGGCGAGACTAGAGGTGGTACTGTGGCGACTGGGACTTCAATGTCGCCCAACACACGGCCTACTCGCAAACCACTCTCGTTTACCACACCCCTGCCATTGCGAACCAAGGTCCCAACTCCGAACAAGGCCCAAGCCCCCATAAATACCATGCTCGCACCACGCCTACTAGCTCTAGAACTTCGCCGTCTCTGACTCTCATCCTCTGCCCTACGCACTTCCTCTTCCTCTTCCTCACCCTCTGCATCTCTAGGGACCTCATTACGCTGCAAAGAGCGCCCTCGAGCGAGATACTCGATCGCCTCTTGCTGAGGCATCAAGGGCATACCAGCATTTGGTAACTGGCGACCCCTTCCTCCTGTCAAATGGCGCTCTCTACTCCAAGAAACACGCTTGCGACCGCTCTCGGAATGGAAACTGTCAGCCAACGCAGCAAGCGCCTCGTCCACCTCATCTTCATCCTCCGTGCGTTCTCTATCCCCAGACAAAATCACGCTGTCCATCATACCGTCGGACGAATGATGCCCTCGTAAACGGGTGTGTGGTGAAGTGGGTCCTGATTCTTCAGCTCGGGCTGCGAGGGAGGCCGCGGCTGCGACATTGGCTGCTACGGCCGATATGGTGCGGTAGTGGGATGGTCCGGCTCGTTCGGGAGTATAACCACGGGTGAGGGAGGAGACGGTTCGGGAACGTGAGCGGGCGTAGGGGATTGTTTGGGTTGGTTTGCGGTAGTGGACGTATTGCATGACGAGGATGAGGTCGACGAAACAAAAATAGGACGCGAGGTATTTCTGCAAGATTGTCAGACAAGCAATACAATGGTCAATCGACGAAAAGTGATAGAGATGAAAAGACGCCACACGGACTTGGAATGGCAATTGGTGCGTGAGGATGCAGCCGAGTAAGTTGGTCATATCACCTGGGGAAGGTCGAAGCGTTGGGGAATGAGTGTTCAACATGCACATGTAAGATCCGGGATAGATTCGGCGAGCATACCAAGGAACCAGTTCGCGAGAAAAGGTAAAGCAAGGCCTTCGCATGACTGCAGGCGTATATTCTCTATGACCTGGCTAGGTAGTTCATGATACGTCGTGTGGTGAGCATTAGATATCGATGCTGACAAGAAAATGAAACTCACGGGAACTGTGCTCCCAGCCAGCAAGCTATGGATAGATAACCGAGAGTATCGCTCACCAGCGCTGTGTCAAGCATTGTTGGCCTGGAGTGTGTGGGACAAGAGCGACTAGTCGTGGTCGATGAATGGAAGGGAAAGGATACAATTGAGGGGGGCTTGCTCGCGGTGGCCCGTGGCGAGCGCCCGAGATGTGGCCACGGCTTATCTCCCGCTCTGTTCCGTCTTCCCCACATCAGCTGAGAGCTACTGAACTCTCGCCACAACTCTCATCATCCCTCCCATCGTCAGACGCTGCCCAGCTTTAACCAGTCGGATCATCATTGCCTGATCTTCGTTGCTGTTATAGTAGATCGTTCATCAGTTCTTTTCGGGACGAGTCTACCTCTTTGGCGACATATTGCTGCTCGTGCTTACCGTGCTCACTTGAGTCTCTCACCTTGACCGGTACCATGGACGTAAAGCAACTGAAGCTCTCCTCGCCGAATGGGAAGTTTGTGACCCCTTCGACGCAGCAGCTGGTATGATCCTCTTCTCATGGGTCGTCTGTGTTCTTCAATAATAACTCGTGTGTACCGCAGCGATCCCTCGTGCTCGACTACCTGTGCCACAGTTGTTACACGGGTACGGCAAGAGCGTTTGCGCAGGACAGTACAGTCCGCCATCTGGATGCTGACGGCGATGAGATGGTCGCTCGTCGAGAAGACGAGCGGGACAGTACTGGCGTGACTGAGGAAGATCTAAAGCAGGTCGAGATCAGAAGAGGTATTCGCGACATCTCGCCATACCTCACATACATGAGCTCACGCACGCGCTCTATTTCCCGCCGTCAGAAATTCAGACAAGTATTCTCTCTGGTAGTGTCGACACAGCGAGAAGCCTCCTCCAGAAACACTTTCCAGATGTTCTCTCGCCGCCGCCGCTTTGGTCAAATGCGCCCATCAAACCCCGCTCTTCACCAGACACTATACAGTCGATCCTTCCCTTTTCTGTGGACCCCATGCAGCTCGACCTGAACCTCCGCATCCTAGCTTTTCTCGAAACATCACGCACAATACCCCTTGAATACCCTCCGCGACACCCTTCTCAACCCAGCACCGACATCACCATGGACGATGCGTCATCCCCTTCACGGCCGTCAACACCTGCCACTTCTAACATACGCGAACCCTTACACAATGCAGACTCGGACGAACATCTCTCTCAATTATTCCAGCTGGCTCGCGAACTGTACGAATGCGCTGAGAACCTCAACGACCCCGCCGACCGCGTCTCCTACCAAAAAGAGTTGTCGGTCATCACCAGCGTCATGGCGTACAAGGATCCGGAACATAGTCACCTAGCGAAGTATTATACCCAGGCTCGAAGGGAACAAGTCGCGGAACAAATCAACAGTGCCATCTTGCGTACGTTCCCTCTTCCCCACCCTCTGATCCTTGTGTTCAGTTCCGTGAAACTTATTTACTCTGCGGTTCTAGATAAAAATGGTGGTTCGCCTATATCGTCCCTGGAGCTATATGTACGCTACACTACGACCATGTTGAACACTCTGAACGATCTTCACGTCAAAGTTCCGTCGACGAGCAGTCTACCCTCCGGCCTTCGATTGGCTCGTCATCATAGTGGCATCAGCTCTGTCGCACCCACAGCGAAGGTGGCCGGTGTCGACAAGGATGTGTCTGAGGTATATTCCCCTTGACCCTGTGGTTCTTTTGCGATCTTGCTAATTCTGACCGTCTAAAATAGATCGTCCCTTCATTTGATTTAGCGACCCTTCTATCCTCCTCATAGCGCCTTCCTCCCTCCACCCCCTCTCGAGCTCCTTCCCTCTCGTCTGCCTCCCCAATCTTGCATTTGTATATATCTCCATTCTTGGATCTATGAGGCCATCGTCAGTATCTTGTGGTTCACTGTATTATGATCATCTGTACATCTCTCGCCTTTCGGTCTGTTCGTTGTCGCACTTTAGGTCCTTGTTTTGACGCAACCTATCATCACGTTCATTGTTGTGGACCGGGGTGCCGGTGCAAAGCGTGAACAGAATGGACCAAGCCTATGATATGATCTCAACGTCTTCCCACCGGCCCTCATTCACTTTCTTCAACGCTTCCTGATCAAGTCCACACTCCCTCACCCCCAATACCCTCAACTGTCTCCAATTACTCCATTTGATCCGACTAACGATCTCCTCGCCCCATGTCGTCGTCGTCAACCAATCATTATACGACAGATCCAACACCTCCAAAGATGGACATTTCGCAGGCAGTCGATGTACCGGGATCGGAGATGAGAGTCGGATGAGAGCGAGATGGGTAAGACAAGGTGGAAAGCTGAGTAAAGTTTGAACGGAAAGGGAGGTAGAGAGTAGGGCTAGGCTGTAGATTGGGTGGGACGAGGACTCCCAGTCATCTGGAGTGACGTCCCAAACGTCTGCGGTATCTCCCGTTTCGTCTTCGTCGGGTTGAGTAGCTGAGCCAGTGAGCGTGGGTGTCCCTGGTGGGTTTGTCTGGAAGAAATCGCTGCGAAGGGTAGCTTGCGGCCCTACGACGATGACTTCGCCATCTGCATGCCCATCTGGTTCAAATAGGGGATATATCACGGAATTGGGAAGAGGATTGTGGACGGCGGTGTATCGCAGGAGCTGGCGTCGATGATGAGGCGAAAGGTATGGTACAATATCCTCCGCAAAGGCCCCATACTCATCTCCGTAGTATCTCAAGAGGATACGGAGACATAGATTCGTAAGAGATGGTATGTGGGCTTCATCTGAGGAAGTTGAAGGACTATGAGCACTACCGTCGCTGAGGGGACAATGCGTGAAGAACAGGGAAAGGGCCTGTTCTCTCCAATGAGCGGAATCATAGACTGGGGGACCGGTATCTCGTACATGTTGTTGTAAAGCCCAGCTTCGTGGCGTCGGTCCAGCTGCAGGCTTAGTCGTCGGAGCAGGTGGTTCCGGGACTCTTGAAGTGCTCTCTTCTTGGCCGAAGATGAGGGAGTAAGGCAAGGTAGGCCCACTCGAGCCGCGAGAAGGACGGAGAGTGGGATGAGGACGAGATTTTTGGAGGTTCTGCTCATGCCGGAAGTGCTCGCCCCTTTTGTTGCATTTCGAGTAGAAGTCAATATTCGGGATTCCAGACCAGGAATGAGATCACCTCGCACCGTAGTGTATGTAACAGGTTGTTGACCTCTCGAGGTGGAGCGGGCCTCGCGGTCCCTCCTCTTGTCCCAGACGTAGCCATATCACAGATGAAGCCCGATTATAGTAACAAGCCAGATGGTGTTCAGGACGCGAATGGTGGAGAATATGAAGGTGGAGTAGATTCTTGGGATCCTACTCGACTTCTGCAAGCTGCGGCAGCGAAAGATGGCGGCGATGAGTCAGTAAAAACTTGAGATCCTGGGGGTGAATTGAGGCCCAAGGCAGTGCTCATACTTCACCTAGTACAGATATAGAGAATTTGTTCAGAAAACGCATTTCCTATGGATGCATATCCTGCTTGTGATTCACGATGGTGGTGGTACCTTGAGACTTGATGCCTGGTCGCGAACAGTGTGGCGAAGGGAAGACTTTGGCGCCACATTCTCACGGGCTATATTTAGATGACTCATGACGTGGGTTCCGACAACGTGGCGGCGATATTCCAATGACAGCAAGTTGAAGTTGAAAACTGGTGGACGGTTCAAAATTCACCGTTCGGGTAACCGTCAAGCCTAGTCATGCAGGGCTTCCTATGGCTTGAACAAGACAAATCGCGACGGGTAGCTACAAGATCGCTCTGTGCAGTGGCCAGTGACGAGACGGATCCTAACAATTCATTGACGATTAGATTTTGGATTGCAGGCAGCAGATTTTACCACCGCGCCGTATCAAAGAGTATACCAAACGGGTAAGACGAAGTATCCGAGGAGACACGCCCCCTTCCTGCCATCTGTCCTCTACTTCCCTGAACGGCATTCCTCCGAAAGCAGAAAGACACGCGTACGACAACAGATCGTCTTCCACTCGTTTATAATGACGCACGCGGGCAAACTTCGAGGTGGAGTGTGTCGCAGATAGCGCGCGCTGCAGGTAAGGTGTTGGGGTAGGATGGTTATGGGAGATGATTCTCGCGGTATGGATAGGCGATGATAGGAGCTGGCCGAAGCTGAGGGTCACGTTCGCAATGGTGGGCCCTATAAGAACGGTAATTGTGTGCTACTGCCGCTATATCTGGCACTATCGACACATAAGCACATGAGTGGAAAGAAGATACGGTAGTCGGAATTGACGCACCAGGCCGATGGAGAGGTATACGACTTGCGACGTGTCAAACCGAAGGATGTCTTAGTTCTGTCCTACCGGCCAAGCAGATCGCCCACCACGATGCTCGAGATCATCCACCTATTCTAATGTCCACGGCTTGTGCTAGAGGGAAGGTAGCTATGTCCTTTCGGAGCGGCGGTCGCCAGACGATATTCATGACATGGCAAAGAAGATGGCAAAAGCGAAGTCAACCTCGAGCGCATTGTATCAGTCGGGAAGTGGGAGAGGGGCCATAAATGACGAAGGAGCTGCTCGGACGGAAAACTATGCGGGATGGGAGAGCGACAGGGAGGAAGAGACAAGAGAAAGCAGTAAGAGTCCGTGTGAGCAGCCGCAAAACTGCAGGCCGGAACGGGAAATATTCAACGGAGTGATCGAGTTTGAACACCGGAACGGTGATCTATCGCGGTGACCTGCCACCAACTCTCTTCCCGCCCTCACCGTCAAATGCTCCTTGCGCGACATGCACCACGACGTGCAACGATTCACCGTCATACTTATTGCACGCATAGGTCGCATAAAAAGCGATCCCACCGCTATCTTGCTAAGAATCCACTGAACAGAATTATCATTGTCAACGTGGTCAGGGGTGTCAAGGTGCGATGGTCGCAGGATGCCGCTAGAGCATCCAAGACGTATTGTCCGGTAAGCCTTTTGCTCTGAATCATCGTCCCCTTGGCTTCCCCTCCTACATTCTGAAGCTTTGACGAACGTGCTAGCATCTAGCATTCCAAGACATTGATAGGAGATGAACCGAACCTGGGCGCCACGCCACACTTGCCAGATGCTACCTCGACCTCTATGGTGTTGAGCACACCCGAACGACGGCTTCCTATGAGTTCTAACAACGACAAGAACATAGCTGTCGATATTTAATCGACAGTCTATATGCATAGAGGTGCGTGATCAATTTTAATAGATTTTAATGCGAAGTGGTGAACACCGTGCCGTAATGTCGTCATCGTCGCCCGCGCTGGCCTTTGTGTGCTTGTGGACGACAATTTTCAATCCATTTCCCTGACGCTGAATTACCCAGCCACTCGTGGCCCAATTTGATGGTACTGAGAACACGGGATAGAGTGGTTGGTACTACCTCAGCCCGACAATGTGCATAGTATTTAGAAGCACATATACTTATTGCATTGTCTTTTGAGGCAAGTACCTCATTTCGTCGACGATTCTGCCAACGTGGCATATTTCTGCGTCACATTAAATGATTGATCTATCAGTTGACTTGGTTCTACGACACGATGAAGAGGACGATGCGAGCAAAACGGCGACTACCATACCCACGTAAAGGTGTGACAGGGCGCTAGTTTTCGTCACACTCTATTCTCTGAAGGAGAGCCAGAATAGATAACTCAGTATCCTCGATGAATGGTTGTTCGAGAGCGTGAAGGAATTTGACAGAGACTGTCGATGATGAAGGGTGCCCATCCAGCGGAAGAATTGACGCGCAATGGAATGGACGTACATGTGTTGCGTCAATGAACAATAAACAGTTTGTCTTGTCTCTGGGCCAATCCCAAATAGAGTCATATGGTGTGGTGCATGGATAAAAAGTGTATTCAGGTACAGAACAATTCTGTGCAACGCGCTGCGAAGGCGGTATGCTCGGACCTATCTCATTTTGTTTGGGCCACAATTATTGATCGCTCATGGAGGACACTTACTTATAGGTTGCTGTACTCGCGACCGCTCATCGAGGGACAACGGGGACCCCGCCGGCCACTCTCTACATCACATTGAAGGACTCACCTATGGCCTTCTATTGACTTGACCGCCCTGTCCTAGCCATCGGTAGACTAACGTCCACCTTGTTCGTCTCTGAGACGGAGTTGACATCCTCCTCGGCGATGGGCAGAAAGTAGGCCTCCTCTACGGAAGACCATGATCACTTATGATACTGAAAGGGCCACATCATTCACAGCAATGGACAGATTGGAGGTCTTCCGGTTGGGTGAGGATGTGGAAGAGGTTGGACCAAGGAGACCCGACAGAATGGCACGTCACGGTCCCAAAGAAGAAGGCACATATAACTCTCCGCAGATCTGCGCAACTCTATCCCCCCTCTCCGCTGAGTATGGCGCAGGAAGGTCGCCGTGCCGCCTATAAAACCAGTCCATGGCACCGGCTTGCTCTCTATCACCACGTTTCCGTTTCGATTAACTAGCCCCTCACTTCCTCTTCGTGTCGCTGCGACCGATGGGGGCTCGTTCGCCCGACATTCCGTATCCATCTTTCACTCTTGCTATGGTGCAGTCGGGCTACAGCCCCCATTCGTCTCGCAAGAACAAGAAGAAGGGCGCCCGTCGCGGACGTCACCACCATCATTCCCACCCAAATCGCTTAGGAAGACCCGGCGAGTTCATGGTGCGTCCTTGTCCCCACAGTCTCTCTCTTCCTCGTCCCTCATTTCGCCCCTTTACTCAGACCACCGTGGACCACCGAACGGTTGCGCATCTTGACGGGCCTGTGCCGGCACGCCATATCATTTATTGCATACCTCATTGTTGGACTGACCACCGCCGTAGATGGACGTGGTCGAGGTGATGACCGCCGCTGACAATCTTGAGGAGGCCATCCATAGCGGACAAGCGACGCGCAAGCTCCGCAAGCTCCGCAAGCGCAACAGTTTGTCTGCTCTCGTTGTGGTACGTCTTATTCACACTCTTGAATCTTTAATCTTCTTGCCTAACGGTATATCTTGTTGCGTCAAATTGATCAGGATCTCGCTCTCGTAGTTCGTCGAAGGGTTCTGAGCTCCATGGGTAGATGATTCATGCATCCGTTTATCACGTTGGTTTGATCCGTATATTGATGCTTGAACAGGCGGTCTTGTCTGCTTTATCTTGTTGTGTTCCTGTTGCTTTCGTGTTGTCGTATGTTTTGCATTTCTTGAACCCACACGCACGCATTCTAGAGCATTTTATTACCGACCAGATTCAACAGAGTCACTCGCCGTGTTGACCTTCATGCACGCTACTTTGTCTTGATGAGATGCCGTCGGCCTTGATCCAACTAGTGTGGTCTTGAAGGATGGAACGCACATGTCGACGCGCATAGATGAAAAACGCGCATACCATCATGGCAAGAACAACAAGATGTAGAACGTATAGAAGTCTATGGGAACCTGTCAGTGCCGGCCAGGCAGCAACATGGCCCCAATTAGACGCTCACTCAAGCCTCCTTCCGATTGGCTTCCTCTACAGAGCGCTGCTGTTCTGCCTGCCTCTTTGCCATCTTCCAACGAACGAGTGACTCCAGTTTTTGATCTGGCGGAGGTGCAGTACGAGGGTTATTTTCGTACAAGTAGTACGCGAGGACGCCGGTGAAGACGCCGAGAACGGGGTCGAGGCCACTGTGATGACCTGTATGAGACTTTCGAGAGTGAGAAAATAAAATCAAGTCATACCGAGACAAGAGCACAGGCGCCATGAAGGGAGTGAGTGCAGTTCTAGGACGTCAGGAACATGGACAAAGAGAGGGGATCCGGAAGGACGTCTACGAAATTACGGCAAAGGCCGATCCGGCGGATTGTCGTCGCGACGCGTGACGCGTAAAACCTGCCTTTCAGTTGGCCAGAGCTCGAGGAATACGCATGTCAATCGCTGGACGACTTGGAAAATATACTACATGATTTTATTGGGCTCGTGGTGAAGGGCAGGAAGTGAGCGTAATATCTGCGTGGGGATTCGGAACGGGACGCCTCAAACCGTCGGAGCGGATCGTGACGGACAACGCAACTCGCACACAAAATTTCCGAAAGCATTTACGCGTGTACTCTGTGTTGCTTGCTGCCTCTTCCATCAGCAGGTCAAGAACTGTTACAATCCTGTTCTATTTCTTCCTTTGCTTTTTGGCTTTTGTCTTTAGCCTTGTCTTGCTTCCCATGTCTCTTTCGTCGCCAGCCTTCGAACGCCAACTTCGCCCGGTTTATGGTACGCACGCATCGTCGATCTTACCCCGCACTTTCTCGATATTCAAACCGTTGTAAAGACGCGCTCGACACTGGCTCGAACAAGTCTGCGTTGCTGAGCTGTAACAAACTGCTCAAAAAGTACCCTAAGAATGACTTGCTTAAGGTGCGCCACATTGGTCTTCATCAGAGGCACATTCAATCCTGACCGGCCCTTATAGGCCTTGAAAGCACTTGCCCTCCTCCGATCACAGAAAATCGAGGAGACCCTTGCTCTCTGCGATGAGATTTTGGCTAGCAAGCCCACCGACGATGGTACTCTGTCTGCCATGATGCATGTCCTTAGGGGTCTCGGACGCCGTACGCTACACCAATTACCTTGCTGCTTCTCTGGTCTCAATATTCGAAACGGATAGACAGTGACATGGTTTCCATGTTCGATGAGGCATTCAAGCAGAACCCTGGTAACGAGGAGCTTGGAATACAGTCTTTCTTTGCCAATCTTCGTACGAGCAATTGGAAAGCCGGACAGCAGGTGTGTCACCCTTTGCCATCCCTTCTCCCCGATTCATCGTGTTCTCTTGCTCTTGTATCTTGAAGTGAGGCTGGGCACTGATGGTCTGTTGTGGAAGTTGGCTACCAAAATGCACAAAACATTCCGCGATGACAGATACGTCTACTGGGGAATCATGTGCGCTGTTCTTCAAGTTGAGGCTCTTCTACCCTCTCTTGTAACCTTGCATCTATAACATATCGACATTAGGCCAAGGACCATACCACGCCCAGCAACGTCAGCGGCATATTGTACAAACTCGCTCATCGGTTGATGTTGTCCGTCTGGACTCCGATGGAGGGAAACCCTGACCGTCTATACCTGCACGTCTCCATCCTCCGTCAACTCGAACTCTACGAGGATGCGCGTACACTACTGGAGAGTGAACAGGGAAAGGTGCTTTGCTCACGAAGTCTGGCATGTGATGAGCTCAGGCGCGACATCTACAAGACTACCGGCTGGATGAAGGAAGAGGGCGTGAAGGCTAAAGAACGGATAGAGAACGGGTCAGTGTTCCATCTCTCTTATACCAGCATATTGATCCGAATGGCTGCTTTATAGTGACCGCAATTGGCTGGAGTTTCTATCCGTTTTGGACGCCACATTTCCTTCACTGGCATCACCCGATGCGACGTCTTCGAGCGACGACGACGACTCTTCTTCCCGCATACAGGAGGTCCGAGAACTTCTCGACGGAATTGCAGCAAAAGACGGCTTAAACGACCGTTCAGCTTCATTGGCATTACTAGAGCTTGAGAAGCGTGCTCGTACTCATGGATTGGCTACGGGTGCGTTGAACTCTCACACATTCCAACTGGAGCTCATGCAGCCTTGTAGACCCATCTCGCATGTTAGACCTTTTAAAGGACTATCTATCGCGGTTTGGAGACAAAAGTGTATGTTATGAGGACCTCCGGCCGTACACGAGTCTCGAAGGTGAAGAAGCAGAGCAATGGTCATCTCACCTCGACGGACTTTCATATTCTTCGGTGTGTCTTTATTCATCACTGTGCATATGCTTCGTCGTAACATTTTCTAGTCTACACTCGCAGAACTTCAGCGTCAGATCAATGTCTACAAACTCCGGCGCTATAGTCTTCAGGAGTCACAACTGACGGTAGAGCTTGAGGTTGCTCGTGCTGATGAGCTCGTACATGAGTACATCGAAGCGCTTGCGTTGGGCAAGGGTCTACCTAAGACTGAGCTGCAACCGGCAGACGATCTCGCTGTTCTCGCGGGACATGTCTACGTGAGCCTGTACCAGCTTACAAAGGACGAGTCATACTTGCATCATGCTGTCGTCGTGTTGGAATTCGCTTCCAAAAAGAGCCCTCAATCCTATCAGATACATTTGTCGCTTGTCCAAATCTATCGCTTGCTCGGTAAGTTCCCTTCCATACCTCGTGATGTTGTCACTGAAATCGTGTTACTTGTGTTCAGGTGCTCCTCAGCCTGCGCTGGAGCATTATCGTCTGTTGAATGTCAAGCAGATTCAAACCGACACCCTTTCCCATTACCTTCTCTCAAGATCGTCTACTTTCTCTATGGCCCCAACGGGTGACATCACATATATCGCCGAGAGCTTTGAACAAAATCAAATCTATCTCACCAACACCCAGGAGGTAAAGAGCGGACATCTTCAAAGGCCATCTCCCCCTGCTAACGTGCGCCAGACGGCGGAATATGTCGTTAAAGCCTTCGGCGGCGAAAAGTATTCTCAGGTACGAATAAATTTGTGACGCGCTTTATTGTTGCATGAATTCCTGATCGTATTATGTGTAGATTCCAGATTTTGTCCTGTTCGAAGACTGGCTAGATAATTCCCTTCAACGAAACCTGGCGAGGACAGAGCTTCTCCGGATGCGTATCACACACGAACCCATATCACAAGACCTGTTCGACGTGGAATTGATTGAGCTCAAGTTCAACTTTGATCGGCGTGAGTTTAGTCGGACCTTCTCTCGCTCATGATGCTGACGCTCTTTCAGGCCACCACGATAATAGGGACTTCGATGTTATGCCCAACTACCAGCCACGGTGTCAACCCTCTTTCCAGGAGCAAACTCGATTGTTCGGTCGTGACGCAGGAGTACGTCCCCATCCGCATTGATATTAGTGAACACCACTGAGGACATAGTTCATATTGTAGCATGGATGGTTGTGGAATTTCCTCAGGATATACATCCGAGCGTTCCAGCACGCCAGTGATCTGTCCGAGGCCGTCGAAGAGAAACTCCTCATCGGTGACCGGCCAAAACAGCCTGCCGACCTAGAGTGTAGGTTACCGCTGGATGAACGGCTGGATCAGCGGGAACCTGAAGAGCTCGCCGAGGTAATTCATCTCGTGGCCTCATCAAGCACATTTTATCGTACTCAGGATCATTCGGTACAATAGCTCACTCCGGACGAGCACGCCCTTCTCGATTATGGCAAGGCGCTAGGAGACTGGCTCGAGCCTTACCACAACCACACCCGACCACCTCCCGCGCAGGTTTTGGCTGAGGCTGTCCGTATGACAGAGCTCAAAACTGGACATACATTGAAGAACATTGAACTTTCACCTGAGAATGGTAACGCCAACGGCCACGCCAAAAAGGCTGAGGACGCTCCCCAGGTCCAAGAGCCTCCACCGTCTTTGGTCGAGTTCTTCGATAGTGAGTACTTGTATATGCATCAATAGGTCTTTTGTTAACACAGAGATCTGTAGACATGCTCTCACGCTTCAAGGAGGTATCTGAAGCTAAGGGGTCCGTGCAAGACTTGCTTCACGTGGCCGTTCTCACGCAAGAGGTCAGATCATACTCTCCCAAGCGGTGATGGTTGCTAATATTCTAATAGGCATTCATTCTGTTTGCAATCGAGACTTTCCGCTTCAAGAACGCCTCCACCGTCAAAGTCAACAAACTCGGAGCTGTGAGCACTGAATCGCCGCTGCCCTTCTATTCATGCTGAATCCCTGCTGGTTAGTTGGTGCAAAGCTTCAAGCCTGTTCGCGCGAAAGCCGTCGAGGTCTTGAAGGAGATAAGTTCATCACTAACAAAGCTCGGCGAAGGTGAAGGTACTGCTGAGAAGCGCAAGGCCTTCGTCGAGGGATGCAAATCTCTTCAAGCTGTTCCCGAGGTGGCATTTTGTTTACTCTCTCAGATTTTCTTCTCGAGCTGACTTTGAATACATCAGTTGAATCACGACTATGTCCTCGACATCGCGAAGAAGGTTACCGACGCTCGTAAGAAGGTTTTGGAAGGTGTTGGGAAGGGAATGACTCGCGTCGCCACGAACTATGCTTCATGATCGCTCTGGACCTCATAGACTTCGCTAGAACTACACACATCAGCATCCACTGCATTGTATTACAATCTCATGTTTGAAATGCTATCATCACCACTGCTCTGCATGAATTCTGTAGGAGAAGAGAGGTGCCACTCTGGTGCCACACAGAGGGCTCTTGTTGATCAATGATCGAGTCACAGACACGCGCCATCACGCGTGACGCGACGCGCCGCGAAATGTCAAATAAGTGGCTGGCGCGTCGGGATTCTTCCTCGTACCATCGCGCTGTTCACTCCTAGCACGCATCTTTTCCCCGCTCCTTCTCTATATCCTCAACAAACGATACCGCAACATGAGTCAATGTACGTGTTTGCGTTGCGTTCGGTTTTGAATGCACCATCTCATGAAGCTCAGACGGCAACGAGAACCCCTACTACAGCAACACTCAGGGTGGTAGTGGCGGCGGCGGCGGCGGATATTTGACTGGTAATTCACCATTTGGGGGTAGCCCTGGTGGTGCTGCACGGGTAAACTGTTTTGGTCATATCCCATTCTTCAGTCTTTGAATACCACTTTGTTTAGCGAGGTGCCTTGTCCCAATCGCTGCGTCCTATGACTATCAAACAAATCGGCGCCTCGACTCAAGCCCATGCCGACGCAGACTGGATTTGGGAGAACACTGAAATCGGACAGGTGCGTATCATTGACTTACTTTTGCAACATATAGACTCAATAAAACGGACTGCGTACCTAGATCACCGTCGTTGCCCAAGTCCTGACAATCAAAGCCCAGACCACTAATTGCGTTTACACCATCGACGACGGCACCGACCAGATAGACGCTCGTTTCTGGTCGGACTCGACAAATGAGAATGAGGGCGATGACTCCTCAACTATCAAGTAGGCGCGAGTTCTCGTTAAAAGCTCTTTCTTGATGCGACGTTTCGTTTCAGAGAGTTGCAATACGCTCGCATTACTGGCACCATCAAGACATACAATGACAAGAAGTATATCAACTGTATCAATATCCGGCCTGCTAAGGACTCGCATGAGATATACTTCCACCTTTCCGAAGCCATGGCTGTCACATTGTTTCATGAGAGGGGCTCGGTGCGTTTCCCCCCTAAATCACAACCTGCTGTTGCTCATGTATGCATTCTACAGCCATCTGGAGCACAAGCACCTAGTGGGGCAGGGCAGTCTACAAACTCAAATTCGGCTTACACCGCACAGACAAGCATCCCAGCGGACGACCAGTATGCGCACCTTCCGCCGTGTGAGAAGGCTATCGCCTACTTCATGCACACGCAACCAAGGCATGAGGAAGGCATCCATGTCTCCAACATCGCGAGAAACGTGCCGTTTCAAGCGCCGGATATCGGGTGCGTATCTTGTTATTGACATGCCGTATGTTGTACCGTCCCTCAAACATTGTCTGTAACAGCTCCGCTCTTGAGGCCTTGATGGACCACGGCATACTCTACAGCACCATCGACGAAACACATTACGCGCTCTCGGCATAATTATGTTATTCTTTCCATTTGCACCAGTTATGCGTCCCCTTACTGTCGAGTTGTGGCTGGTTTTTGGCTGTCTGTTTGATATCTCAACTCTTGAGTTACTCTTCGCGCTCGATCGGCGGGGTACCAGTGGCGTAGAGGAAAATGAGTGCTGCGCCACACTGGTATTCCGACCATGAATCAATGTATCTATAAAATGCTGTCTGCCCCGTTTCCTTTCGTTTTCCCACTCTTTTCCCGGAGATAAAAAAAATCTTCGACATCACCACCAATACAGATTCATACTTACCCTTCTGATGCAAGAGGCCCATGGGAGCCGTCTTCGCGTGTGGCCCGACCACGTGCAAGCCAGTCGTGCTTGGCCTTTGGCCTCCTTTGCCATTTGATCTTGAACATATCTTGAACAGTTGCTGTCCGCTACAACGTCGCAAACGCAACAACATTTTTCTTCTGTTCTCGTTCCCTCAGACTGCTACTTTGAACGGAACCTATCTAAGTCACTTTCCTAGGCCTCTTTGAAGCTTTTGAGACAGCGCTACTAGTACTATGGCAAGCTCTTCATCAGTATGCCTTCTCCGCTAAGTACCCAACGAGAAGAGTGACGGTGATGTTTTGCAATCACGATTAACTAGCAAAATCTCCGCCCTGTAACCGTGCGCCAACTTCGAGAGGCTACCCAAATTCACAGCACTGCACCATATACGATCGAGGGAGTGGTGATAGAGACCGTAAGTAGGTCATCATCTTCCGAATGTTTCTCGACTCAAAGTCAAGTTTCATCAGGTGTCTGTTGTGGCTATGGTCGCTAAGATTGATACTTTCCATGATAAACGGAGAGACTGGGATGTGGACGATGGCACCCCAGGTGATATACGCCTTCGTCTATGGACTAGCCACCCATTTTATAAAGCGAACGCAGATGAAATCGAAAGGATCCAGTAAGTCCACATGATGTTTATCATATATCGTATTTTCTTGGGATGACCTCTAGTTCGTGCGACTCAGGGAGTTCAGCTATGTTTGCGCGTTCGGTCAGCTAGAAGACTACAACAACGTCAGATACTTGAAAGTCAGGTCCATCAAGCCTGTCATTGACAAGCATCAGATTTTTTGCCATCTGGCGGAAGCGATGGTAGCAACTTTATACCACGAAAGTGGCCGTGAACCTGTGAGTGTGCTTTATCTTCGTCGAATGCGCTACGCGTCATATTTACAGCCATGATTCTACAGCTAAGTGTGCAAGACATGAGAGGCCTCTATTCTACAAAACAGAGTATTATAAGTGGGCCCCCGCAGGCCACCGCTATCAATGCTGGTCCTAGTCTTCTCCCTCAACACAACGCTGTCCAGTCACATATCGTCACCGCCGACACCGAACGTCTCGCAAATCCTTCAGAGCATTCGGAGAATGAATCAGACTCATTAGAGCAAGTTCAGGACGACTCGAGTGCAGTAGACGGTGACAACGACTCCGATACAGAGGACTCGGACACTGCGCGGCGTCTTCTTCCTCCAAAGTCGCCCTCTCCCTCTCTCTCACCAGAGCGCCAACCATGTTGTCTCATCGGTAGCGATCCACTGTCGTACCTCAGTTCTTTGGAACGTACTGTTCTAATCGCAGTACACAACAATGCGAGTCTGTGTCCCGGTGGAGTGCCGGTAGCTCTTATTGCAGGGGGTTTAAATGCTTCGCATGGCCCCAATCCGGGCGAGTTGTGGTGAGTGGTATTGTCAAGTACGTCGAGAGCGGTCACTGAGTCCTTCTTATGACTTCAAGGGACGCTGTTGAATCTCTCATACGTCAGGAACTCATATACACGACGGAGGATGACCTCCATGTTCTCGCGGTAGATTAGCATCATGACCATCCCCCACTGCTTAGCTTGCTTTGTTACAAAGCGTGTACAAATTACATTCCGCAGAAGTCTAAACCCAATGTATGAACTAGTTGTACAGCCATCTGTTTCCAATTCCATAAACCCGAGATTATATGTCCTAAGTTGCAGTCGATTAAACGGGCTCCTCGGAATTGACTTCCGCCGCCACCTTTTCCTCGTGGGGAGGTATGCTGGAGACGAACTGGTAGAAGTCGTCACATATGATCTTGTGCACTGCCGAAGTCGGGTGGAGGTGGTCGTACCACACATCTCCACCATACTGACGAGCAGCTGACGGGAGGAATCCGTAGATATCAGGATCATCGAGGATGCATGAGAAGGTCTGCCAAGAGGAAAAGACGAATGCGGAGACGTCTGGATGCGATTGCACGAATTTCTCGGTCTGCTTGGATAGTTCGGCGTTCCAGTTCAGATATTTGGCGGAGTAAGCTTCAGAGGCGTGATCCGGGACTGTCCAAGAGTATAAGCTCAGTCGGTCAGTGATTTATCTATGATATGACTACGCTCACTCGCAGGAGATCTTTCGATTGGAGGTACCTGCAGGATCATCAGCAACGACGCCGTGCGTTTTTAAAATGGAGAGGTAACGCACATCGATAAAGAGAAAATTGCGTGCCCCTGCCTCATACAATTTTTGCTGCAGACGAAAGAATTCTTCCAACAACGAGCCGTATTCACCCCCATTAGCGTATCTGCAAGTTCATGGCATTGATTTCGATGCGAGCATGGCAGAATATATATGTGCTCACGCGCAATCATTAATGCCAACCCATGTAACGAAAAGAGTATCCGATGGGGTCCACGGAGCCCAGTCAGGTTTTTTACCAACGTCCGGTAAGAAGTGATTGGTTATTTGACTGTTGACTCCGGAGAGGCGATGGCCGCCGACAGCATAGTCATAAACGAGTAAAGGTGCTTTGCTCCCTCGGTGAGTAGAGATGAGATGGCCGACCCAGTTTGGAAGATCAGGCTCATCTAACATAAATGACAGCGGCTTTTAGTTGAGGGGCATAATTCGATCTTCGGAATGCTCAGATTTAAGTACTGACTCCAGAGGAAATTAAAGGGCCCTGGAAATGTAACGCCGAGCGGTTTGGCCAGAGATGGATGGGGAGATCTCGAGTCGTAGCCAACTGAACTGTACGAATCTCCACTGTAGAGAGCAGGTTGTGTTGGCTATGGTAGCTGTGAGAAACAAGGATAACACGTACAATACTACTAGATGCTTTATGGCATCGAAACCTTTCCAGTCCTGAGCCAGCTGGTACACTCTTGACTTGGACACTGGCATGAGGGAAGTAAATATCACTGATATCGTATAGTAAGCAGTAGCAGCTATAACCAAGACGTTATACCAGTGAGGTATATCCCTTCGCAGAGAAGTTACTGGCAGGACGATGGGAGAAGGAAAGACACCGCGGCGATGAGCGGATACCGGATACGCGCACGTGGCAGAACGGAAGTGACGTCCGGTTAGGCTTCGCTGTGGTTGTTTGCTCTTCTCTTCCGCCACTGTGACCAGCTGCATTTGCACACTGCTTGTGCAACACCACCCTACAGCCAGGCCTATCATGTCTTGGTGGGCACCTTCGTGGCTCTCCCTACCCTCAGTTGACTTCTCGCTTCCTTCGGGAATTCAAGGCAGATTCATCTCTTTCATCCTCAAGCGCACATTAGGTCACTTCCTTAAGCCTGGCCAGCTTGACGTCCAACAAATAGACTCTCAGATCGGGTCTGGCTACGTGCAAGTTCGAGATTTGGAACTTGACTATGATGTATGTAGTACCTTTACTGTTGATGGCTTTCTATTCAACTGTTGGCAAAGGCTATCAATGCGTTGCTTGCAGGGCTCCCCGTCCAGCTGCACGATGGTTCCATCTCGTCCGTGACGGCGCGAATACCGTGGCCAAATCCACTCACTGCGAGCATAGGCCTCTCCGTACAGTCACCCCATCTCACCTTCTATCTTGATCCTGCAGCCTCCACCAAAGCTGCACCTCAACCACCCGATCTTGCAGACTCGGTTTTCAGTGTGGCCGAGTCTTTCATACACGATGAACTCACACCAGGAGAAGAGGCTACCCTGCGTGAATCTATCCATCCTGACCAACCCTTTCCTCCTGACGTGCGTGCAAACATCCCTGGTGGCCTCGATCCATTTATCAATCTGGATGAGGTGGTGCCACCCGATGTCGATCCTGCCGGCGTCTCTGTATTTGCGACATTGATTGAGCGACTTCTATCTCGGTTTGAGTTTGACATCGCTGATATTGCTATAACGCTCGTGCATCCAGGGAATGCTAGCTTTACCTTGAAGATAGCGAACGTTAAGTACGGCAAAGCGGATGATGCCCCTGCATCTGAAGGGGAGACGAGAGTAATGACCATAGGGGGGCTCGAAGTGTCATTCCAAGACCTAACACCTCTACGAAGACGAGACTCGATTCCCTTCAACAACCCACCTGCCAAGTCTTCTAACACTCACGATTCGTACTCGACGTCGCATCCCAGTCCACCGTCGCCTTCCCCACCTGCTTCACCAGAAGCTCAGTCAGATTCCGATATGGATGAGGATACGAACCTTTTGATGTCTCAGTCTCTTGCGTCGCTCCCTATGGCGTCTTCATCTGCGCGTCCAGTCTCCCCCACGAGCACTGTGGCCAGCAGCATGTTCCAGAGTGCAATCTCTACAGTCCCCGAGGAGAGTAACGCGATTTCCGATAGTGGACATATGTCCCCACAACCTGAGAAACGCCTTGAATACGATCAGCACTCTTCGCATATCTCATCGCCACTTTCTGCAGCTCTCGCAGGTCATGCAGCTCTACAGGAGGAGACATTATTCTCATTCGCTCTCGAACCTATCACCATCCAGCTTACCACATCGCTTGGCTCACGCACCACCTCGAGCGTAGAGTCCACTTCCAAAGGATCAGGGCAAGTCAGCATATCCGCCAATTTCGGCGTGCTTGCCTGTGCATTACGAGCACGGCATCTACGCAGCGCTTTAGTCGTTATGAATTCTCTACCATCGTCTCCTTCTCCACGCCATTCACAGCCTTCTCATGCGAAGAAGGTCGAATCGTCCCATCCGGTACCGTCTTCCATGACCTCTCTGCTAGACCAAGTGGAAGCCAGCTTGCATATCCGCGGGATTGTATTCCTTTTACTTCCTTCCGATTCATCACAACCACCGCCCACACCGTCTGGAGCGGGACCGGATATCACTGTGGACCCATCCTCCCTCGCGACGTTTTTCGCGCGACCCCTGGTACCACCTAAACTACCATGCGCGTTCCTACGACTCTTCGTTGACGGTGTACATGGTTCCTCATCCTTCGTCACATCGAGAAATTCCCCATCAGGTGTAGGCAATGAAAAGTCTTCAAGAAACAAACACTCATCGCCGACTACAGCTGCCTTCGTCGTGACTGGATCTCTGAGCGTACACGACATATCGCTCTGCGTCTTTCAGCTAAACTCCTCCACGACATCACCATCAGACTCCGTCGAACACATCGTTACTCCAATCTTCATCACAGATCCACATCTTCCTTCGCAGTACATTGCTCAGCACGTCGCCCCGCCTCGACTGGCAACACACAGTGGCCAACAATCTATACCTCCGCAACCCCCCCAGCTACCGTTATTTGATCTTTTGGACTGGACATCGCCGTCCAATCAAATCACCCAACCGAAGTTGTCCCGGTGGCGGGTCCGCGCGCCACATATTCACCCGTCACAGACCGCAACAGCATCCCCTCGTTCTCCTCATGTTCCGCTACCTTCGGTCGTACTAGAGAATGATGCCCCTCGGAACGCTGTCTCCATGAGATTCAAATCGTCTCGCTCAACAGCTCCGCGAAAACAAACACCCGAGGAGCGTCACGACCCAGTAATCGAAGTCGACTTCGCTCCTCTGCACATCTTTGCTGATCTGGCGCTACTCGACTGCAGCGCTAGTGGCAAACTTTCGAGCGAGGCCCTCCGGTTTTTGGACGAACTTTCCGACCTACCCGTTGCTCATGTAAATGTTTCACCGGTCCAGTCAAGTACGGAGCGCCACGACAGCGACAGCGACCTGACATCTATCGAGGATGACGGAGACGGTGGGCTTACACCTCCTGCTTCACCTCGTATGCAGCGGGCCATGCGTTTGCAGGAGGCTGCGAAAGAACGTGAGGCAGAGAAGAGGAAACGGCTGGACCGATATTGGATTGAGGATTTGGGCTTGTCGATGGACTATCGTGCGACCGAGCCGAAACCTAAGCACCAAGAATCGTCTAAGAGGCGAAGACTCAAACGAAAGGTCTGCTCACTGATCCTATTCGTCCTTCACTGTGTGCTGAACTGGCTTCTCAGGAGCCTCCCCAGAAGCCAACAGAAAGCCGGACTAACCAAACAACGGTCAGATTCCCCATAATCAGGATGGAAGTTCGGTGCCCACCCCCAATGGACTCTCCTCCTCGTTCGGGCGCTTTCGTCGTAGACGTTCATGGATTCATGTTATGCAATGGGGATTCGGCTACACAGGCTCGACCTTCTACACGCTTTTCCAGCACCGACGATACACCATCTTCACCTATGTCGCAAGGTCCAGCCACTAGGTCCACGAAGCTGCTTTCGGTGGAGTGCCAACGAGTTTTGTTTGCCGCTTCGTTAGCCGGGGAAAGCAAAGCACAATGCTTCTTGTCTCTAGGACCCATTCTCGATGACACCACAGCCTCAAGCGGCGAAGGCGATCATTGGTCCCCATCAGTACAGACACCTACTCTGCCTCCCCGACCAATTTGCTTGTCTATCTCACGGCCTCCGACATCCGCTGCAGAATCACCCAACTCGAAGACAACTGGAGCGCTTGTCGTGGCATTCGAACTACCTTCGCTTTATGTCAGTCTGTCCAAACCTGTGTTGGATGATCTGCAGTTTTGGGCGGACGATATCGCGAAACTCAGCGGCCGAGCGTTCGGGGTGACTACAGATGACGGCGACACAGAGACAGGATCGAGCGCGGATCCGAGTCTGATTGGAAGCCGCTTTTTCGTCAAGACCAGCCGCAAGAGCTCGAAGGATAGCAGCACCATACTGGGCAGTGGCCACGCAGCCCAACGCCCCGACAGTGCCTCGAGCGAAACTGTGATCAAAGCGTCCATCTCTGAAGGTATGCCCCCCGAACCATGAACCTTGATAATTAATAATAATCTCCTCCAAACAGTGTTCATCAGACTTCTGTTGCCGCGGGAAGAGAATGGATCGTCTCCTACCGAGCCTTTTGATCTGCTCTCTTCGGACATCGATGCCCTCGTCGAGCTGAAGCCGGAGGGGAAAGTAAGTGTGCGACAATGATTATACATATGTCCATCGAACTGATCGCCATATACTCAGGACGAGACCGTTATCACTCTCTCAGTAACGGACATGGCTGTTATTGATAGAGCGAGCTCTTTCTTTGTGCCATATCTGCTGGCCGCCACCCCTCGTAGCATGGTGAGCTCCAGTCGTTCTTTCTTTTATAAGAGCGCGAGCTTATTCCTGGTTTTAGTCGTCGCTCTCTAGACCATTGATTAAACTTCGCTTCAACTCGCTTACCGTGCCAGAATCTACGGCAAAGGAATCTAGGATTAGAGTCACCCTAAGCGACTTCACCTATAACTTCACTTCAGACCTTCGGTGGATCACAGACATAGAACGGTTTGTCAAATCTCCACCAGGTGTGAGTAAACAAATGTCTGTCTAGACGGTGATTATTCTGACCTTGGTATCTTAGGCATTCGAAGAAGTTGTTCCCAGCGAGAGAACTCGGGTGTCTATTAAGGTGGCCGATGGGTCTGTTAGACTCTTTGCTCCGACGCACCCTGGGGCCCTCGTTGTTCATATCGAGGATGCAGAGTTCAATACAGACATCGTCGGCGACTCTCCTGAACTTCAGCTGAGCTTGCAAGTACCAGCTCTCCAAGCACTATTGACTGACGACGCCCAGGCTGCATCTGAGCAATCTGGCGCTTCTGCCCAGAAGCTCGTGGGAGGCAAGGGGAGCACGTATTGGAAGGTTTGTTCGTCCTCAAATTTATCTCAGGATACACTGACCGATGACCCTTCATTAGAGAGCCGGACATGCACTATTGGCAGAACTCTCTGACCTGAATCTGTTGATCAGGAAGTTGAATGGTCCGCCACCGAGCTCTGAGGTACATTCGATTGCACGCGCAGGCTGGAAGAGGCTCACTCAGACGTTTGTCTAGGTCACCATCGATGGTGTCACCCTCCGCATGCATTTGTGCGCGGATACTGGAAGTGCACTAGGAGCATTTGCTGGTGACCTTGGCTCAGCATTCAGCCCAGTGGTGGACGACTCAGAACGGTTAGTTATATACGTTGCTCAAGAAGGATCGCATCATATTGACAGCAGAACGTAGGCCAACACCACCTTCGAGAGCACCTACTACGGTGTCTTCAAGACCTGATACGCAAACGGCTCTTTTGTGTAAGCCTGCTCGGATTTGTGTTGAAACCAACTTTAACGACCTGGTTCTAGCTTCTCTAGACGAACAAGCATTTTACAGGCTACCTGAGGTCGGCGCAGCCCCTGACATGATCATGGATGACCTTCCCTCCAATCCGGAATACCTCGACTCCTCGTTCGGCGCAGCTGCTGGCCTTCGCGAATTCGATGACGAGGATCTGGAGGACTTTGACGAAGGAGAGATCTTGTCGAGTTCTGCGGCTCCTGGCGACCCAGGCATCATTTCCAACGTCGGAGGCGAGACAATCAGGATGCTTCGACCCGAAGGCATTCCGATGGTCGAGAACTATTTCGAGAGTCTCCCTGCCATTTCTGAGGAGAGCCCTCAGTGAGCGATGGTTTACTTGTGCTTCAACGGAGTTACTAACAAGCTGTCTTCATAAGGTTGGGCGAGACTGACTCCCGAGTACGGGTCCGTCGCGGAGACATAACTTTGTTCCTATATGACGGTTACGATTGGGCATCGACTCGGAAAACGATAGAGCAAGAGATCAAGGAAATGAAGCGACGACTCGCGAAGATTCGACAGCTCGTCTCGAGCGGACAAACTTACGATCCCGAGGTGGATGAGACCAGCACTCTGCTCTTCAATTCAGTATACGTTGGATTGGAGCAAGATTTGGAGAATATGGAGCCCGATGCTCTCGTTGCCGCCATCGACGAGCAGCTCAAGGACGATGATGACGCCGTCAGCCAGAGTTCATGGCAGTCACTGAGACCACAGGGCCCCGGGAAGAGTGCCCCACCTCCGACTCGAAGTTCTAGCGGTGGACATCGACTAACCAGAGCGAGAGGGCCCAGCATCGAGTTCCGGTTGATGGGGCTTGATGCTGAGGTGGACCATTTTTTTCCTGAAGAAGACATCGTGTCCAGAACCTTTGCCACAGTCAGGGATATCGAGATCTTGGATCATGTCAAAACCTCTACCTGGAAGAAGTTCCTCACGGCGCTTCGATCAGATTCGCGCGGGAATGTACGCGAAACAGGCTCGAACATGGTTCGAGTTGAGCTTCGTAGCGTCAAGCCAGTACCAGGAAATCTATCTGAAGAGGCGAGACTAAGGGTATGTCATGGTATCTTCTTCACCTACACCTCTACTGACGTTGGTGCTGCCAGGCCAAGATTTTGCCGTTACGCCTCCATGTTGATCAAGATGCCTTGGATTTCTTGAAGAAGTTCTTCAGCTTCCAAGGCCCGACTCCTACACCTGCACCCCCTCCTAAACCCCCTGCCAACGAGATTTACTTCCGTACGTCTAGTGAAAACTATACGAGGTTCACAACCAGCTCTGACATAATCCCACAGAACTAGCGGAAGTGTTCCCTGTGGGTCTGAAATTAGACTACAAACCGCGACGGGTCGACTACCGCGCTCTTCGCGATGGAAAGACGATCGAACTCATGAACTTCTTCCACTTTGACGGCGCGGAGATGACATTGCGACATATCACCCTGTCTGGGGTAAGTTCGCGCTTTGTTTGTGGTGTCTTGAAGGTGCTAATGATTGTGCAGATTACCGGATGGCCGAGGTTCTTCGATCTTTTGAATGACCTATGGACGCCAGATGTTAAAGCGACTCAGCTTGCCGATGTTATCTCGGGAGTGGCACCCATAAGGTCTGTGGTGAACGTCGGCTCAGGCGTAGCAGACCTGGTGCTGCTTCCCATCGCACAGTACCGCAAGGACGGCCGCGTATTCCGAGGTGTGCAGAAGGGAGCCAGATCTTTTGTCAAGTCCACTGCGATGGAGGCAGTAAAGTTGGGAGCACGGTTGGCGACAGGCACCCAGGTCATCCTCGAGCAGACGGAGAATGTCCTTGGGAGTGCCTTCGACGAACAGATCACGGCGGAGACGGTCATTGGTTCTCCTGACGAACCCGGATTCGGACAAACAGGACAGAACTGGCCTGAAGATAGGGATACGGTGGATCTAATCAGCAAATACGCAGAACAGCCTGGAGGTGTTACGGAGGGCGTCCAGTCTGCGTATACCAGCCTCAGACGCAACCTCAACTCAGCAGCACAGACTATCCTGGCAGTGCCTATGGAGGTGTATGAACGGTCGGGCAATGGGGTATGTCTTTGTTGTTTTTCTGACAGAATTGTCATTGACATTCCTTACAAGGGTCCTGTCCGTGCCGTTATACGAGCTGTACCGATAGCGGTCCTCAAACCTATGATTGGTGCAAGCGAAGCTGTCAGTAAGACCCTTCTTGGTCTTCACAACTCGATGGATCCCGAGGTTCGACTGGAGAACGAAGCGAAGTACAAACAGCGCTGAGAGTTAGGGAGCCTCTGATCGTCTTATGGAAATTTTCTCATCTTTCGTGCCTCCTGTACAATAGTCTTGAAACCTTCAGATCGCTAGTGATGATGCCGATGAAACCACGCCATGTGTATTAAAGCCGTGATAGAGATCCCATGTGGTGGCACAGAATATGAGTATGAAACGAAAGCAAATACAAGGATGTCGAACAAGAACAGAACAAAACAAGATACACTCAACCATCGATATCCATGCCCATAGAACGCCCCTCCCCTCCGATGAGTGCGCTTCTCGATTTTGTGGGAACCTTGATTTTCTCCTTGACCTTCTCTGCGGATGGTGAGGTTGACACTGGCTGGAGGAGCTTGACCGATTCCATGGTCTTTTTCCGGTGTGCGCGAACCTTCTCCTTGTTTTGTAGCATTCTGCATATCAGAGTGGTTAGTTGAATTGTCAAGATTGAAACCACAAAGGAGGGCAAGGCGCACCTGTTTTTCCAGAAAGCATGCTCCCTCCTCGCTTTGATCTCTGCCACCCGCTTCATGGCCTTGATCGTGGTCTGGACGAGTTCGCGGTCGTAGCGTACAGGAACATTTCTCCGCTTCTCAAAGTCAATTGTTGAGTCCTAACAAGGTTCGGGACGATGAGTTAGGTCCGGAAGTAGGAATGAGCAGACGCACGATGGTCATTTCTTTTCCAGCTGCTTTCCTGAAAGCCTTCGTCCATCTCACTTTACGAGGGTTACGCTTCATTCTACGGCACAAAGGTGAGCAAACGGTTGGACAGCAAGCTTATCAGTGTCAACGCATACTTAAAGTTCTTATGACATCTGGGGAACAAATGTTAACAAGAAGACAAGGATGTTGATAAGAGCTGTACTCACTTTGAGGTGCAGAAACGGAAAACCTTTGCATCATTTCTCACAAAAGCCGAACCTTTGGTTCGTTGAGCACTGTAGATCAAATAAATCAGATAAAAAGCGTACCATGACCAGGATATACGCTTTTCGAGCAAAAATAGCACTTTTCGACACGCATGGCTGACTGAGGATGGGAGGAGAAGGGGCACTGATGTGTACACAGAAAGTCTCGACTTCGTGGTTTTCGGGCGCACGGCACTTGCCGGAGATGACTAAGCTGACCTCGAGCAACGAATAACGCCACAAGCGGGACGCCTTTTGAAACCAACTCGACGGTCGACACCGTTCCACTTCCACCCGTCATGTCTTCTCCTCTGCCACAAGACTCGCCGGAGCTTCCAGTCATAGACAATTCTATGCAAGTTGACGGTCAGGGCGAAGACGAAGAGGGCGAAGAGGCCGAGGCCGCGGCACCCCCGTCAGAAGACAGCTCTGAGGAACCGGAGGAGGATGCGGAGGAAGAACGCAGAATACGGGAAGGGTTCATCGTCGATGAAGATGATGACGAGGAGGAGGATGAGGAGGAGAATAGTGAAGAGGAGCGTAGGAGGCGGCGCAAGAGGCGCAAGAGGCGTCATCGCAAAGGTGAACTTGTCTTCCTCCACCTGAACCCTGTTCTCCGGTCACAGTCGCTTACACCCTTATAACAGTTGATGAGGACGAGGACGAGGGACTCGAGGAAGATGATCTCGAACTTCTTGAAGAGAACACTGGAGGCACGTTCGCACGCAGCAAGACCAAGCTGACCCGTCTTCGTCGCGGACGCGATTCAGAATCACCCCCACGAGCCTCGTCGTCCAAGCGTAAGGCCGTCGTCATGTCCTCCGATGACGACCTGGATGCGGACGATTTGGAACTTCCCCAAGTTCAGGACATTCAACGCATTTGGGATGATGAACGGGCAGCGGCTGGGAGGGACGAGGACGAGGATTTGGACGACATGGATAATTTCATTGATTACGACGAGGATGAGGATGGAGCTGGAGGCATGGACGAGGAGGAACGCGAGGAGAGGAGAAGGGAACGCCGGAGACTGGAGAAGGAGCGACGAAAAGCCCTTGGGTCGCGCCCTGAACTAACGGGCATCGACGCTAAGTATGTCCAGTCTTTGAGTCCCTCTTCTGGCTGTCTGCTAACACTACGTCCAGTGCATGGGATGAAATTCATGAAGTATTCGGTGACGGTCATGACTATGACTGGGCGTTGGCCGACGACGAGGACGATTTCAAGGAGGAGCAGGTCAAACCCGACATGAACTACCAAGATGTAAGCCCTCTGTTTTGTGGTACTCTGCACCTATGCTTACCTGTCATTTAGGTTTTCGAACCCTCGGAAATTCGTGCTCGGCTCCTTACAGAGGATGATGATCTCATTCGCGCTCGAGACATACCTGAGCGCATGCAGCTAGCGACGTCTACCCTTTCTCAATCAACTTCCCTGTCCATGCACCAGACATTCGCAGACGAGGATATCGATGAAGCGGCGACTTGGGTTATCACCCGTATCGATTCCGAAATAGAGCGGGAGTTCTTCCGGCCGGATGGTCAACATTTCGATCGTTTGGAGGACCTTGTCTCCGCCGTCGCATACTCTTTGCGCCTTCTTTTCATCCAGGAATTCGAGGTGCCTTATATCTGGACTCATAAGCGCGACTACCTCACTTGGTTCCATGCGAGCGACATCCGTACTCAGGTCAATCTTCTCAACTTGGAGCGACTCTGGCGCGTGTATTATCTGGGACAAAAGTATCGAGCCTTACTCGAGCGACGACGAGCTCTAGAAGCCCTCTACACCCGGCTTGGTGTTTCGGACGAGCACTTCGAGAACGAGATACGCCGGAAGATCGATAGCGTGGAGGTTATTGCGGACACTACGGAATGGTTGGGTTTGAAGTACAAGGATGAGAAGAAGCACAAGAAGTCGTTCGAAATGCACTTTCATGACGATGAAGAGGAGGCGGAGCCGGACAAAAAACGGAAACTTCCCAGTCGTTCTTCTGGATATGAAGTGGCCAAGAAGAGCGTTATTTCCAACTTGGCAGAGGTAAGCTTTGCTGGCGTTAGGCCTCACCACACGTAGGCTGGTATTAATCCATTTTTGTTAGGGATTCGGCATCAAACCCGAAGAGATCGTCATGAACTTCGTTTCATCTGAAACCGCGCACTTCGTCGAGAATCAAGATCTTGCACCAGAGGCGTACGCTGATCAGTTTGTGGATCCGGACCCTACCAAAGCATTACCAGTCGCGGAGCTTCTTCGACGGGCACGAATGATCATCGCGACCGAGCTCGGTAAGGATCCACTCCTAAGGCAGGAGATGCGACAGGTCTTCAAGGACCACGCAAGAATCTCCGTTCTACCAACCGAACGCGGAGTGAACAAGATCGACGAGCATCACCCATACTTCGTACGCTGGCCATCTCTTCGCTCTGGGACTTAATCTGATAGTTTTTTCCAGGCATTCAAGTACCTATACCAGAAGCCCGTCGTGGACCTCCGGGAGTCGTCTCAGTTTCTCTATATGCTCGCAGCGGAATCCGAACACCTCGTCACGATCACAATCTTCCTTCCGGACGAGGCAAAGGCCAATTTCTCTCGCCGTTTGGAAGAAGCCTTCGCGTCGGACAGCTACACTGATACGGCCCGAGCCTGGAATGCGGAGCGCTTGCGCGTCATTAACGAAACCGTTGAGCAGCATTTGCTTCCTGTCGGAGCCAAGTGGACTCGAGAGTGGTTGAGAGACGAGGTAGAAGACCTCATGGCGTCGAGATGTGGGGACACTCTGCGCGAGGTAAGCTTGATGACAACTCTCCTTGCACTTCCGCTCAACCTTGGACCTCTCAGCGCATCGATGTCGCCTCCTACAGACCACCAGAGGCACCCGAGGGGATACCCTGGGTACTGGCAATGTCTTGGGGCAAGGGTGACCCTCAAAAAGACGCCATAACCTGTGTCGGCTTCGACGACGGTGGACGCTTGCGCGAACATCTCAAAATTGACAACCTCCAAGATGCGGATCCAAAAGCAGAACTTTTAGAACTCCTGAGAAAGCGCCCTTGGAACGCTGTCGTTATCGGAGGTTTCTCGATGACAACCACGAAGCTTTTCTCTCTCGTCAAAGAGTTCCTTCATTCCCCTCCCGAAACAAATCGGGATCCGAATGAGTTTCAGCACATCGCTCTCATGTACGCCCAGGACGAGACCGCGCGCATATTTCAGCATAGTAATCGGGCTGCGGAAGAGTTTCCTTCCTGGCCACCCATTGCCAAGTACTGTGCAGGACTCGCGCGTTATGTTCAGAGTCCTCTTAACGAGTATGCCGCTCTCGGTCCCGACATTACGTCAATCTCGTATGAGGAGGATCATCAACAACTCATACCGCGCGAAAAATTGTTGTTCGCCCTGGAGCGAGTCCTGGTCGATGTCACGAACGCAGTGGGTGTGGACGTCAATCGTGCGGTCAATGATGCGTATTATCAGCACCTTCTACCATTCGTCTGCGGGCTCGGACCGCGGAAAGCCCAGGTCCTTGTCAAGAAGATTGCGAGCCTGGTCTGTCTAGTTTTGTCTTATTTTTGAACCTGCACTCATCGTCGTCAATCTAGGGAGGCACTCTCATTAGTCGCGATCAGTTCATTCGCGCAGAACTTCTGACGACGAAGATTTTCTTGAACGCTGCTGGTTTCCTTCGCATAGTACAAGAACATATGGAGAAGCCCTCGAAGAGTCGTCACGATGACGACACGGTCCAGGATCCTCTTGACGACACCAGGATCCATCCTGAGGATTACGATTTAGCGCGAAAGATGGCCACCGATGCTCTGGAACTCGACGAGGAAGACATCCATGGAGAACACCCATCTCACGTCGTCTCGTTGATCATGCAGGATGCGGACAATGTCAGGAAGCTCGACGAGCTAAACCTCGATGATTTTGCCGTCAGTCTGATGGAGTCTGGCGGTGAACGCAAACGACTTACGCTTCAACTTATTCGCGAGGAGCTCATCAACCCATTCGCGGAGAAGCGGAAGCCAATGCCATCACCGACACCTTGGGAGGTTTTGACAATGCTGTCTGGCGAGACTCAGAGGACGTTGCGTGTTGGCTTAATCGTCGCCGTCATGGTTGTTCGCTTCCCAAAGGGCAATATCGTCGCCGTGCGCCTTGACTCGGGGATCGAAGGTGTCATTGGTTCCCACTATTTGACTGATAATGGCACAGAGAAGGCAGAGGACGTCGTCAAGAGGGGTCAGACCATTCCGGGCGTCATCATTCACGTCATTACAGACCTTCCGAACAACAAATTCCTGGTCGAGCTTTCGTCAAGGCCGACGGACGTAGCAGCGGGCGACAGTCAGTTCAGAAGAGTCAAGCACGACGACGCCTGGAATCATTCTCAGTGGGAGCGCGACAAGGAAATTCAGGCGAGGAAGAAACGCGCCGAGGTCGACAAGACGCGTCGCGTCATCAAGCATCCGAACTTCCATAACTTCAACTCGTCGCAGGCTGAGACTTACTTGGACAAACAACAACGGGGCGACGTGGTCATTCGTCCATCGTCCAAGGGGGCTGATCATCTGGCCATCACTTGGAAGGTGGACGACAAGCTCTACCAGCACATCGGTAATTAAGGTTTTCTTTTGCGTCGTCGCGTCTTCTATGCTGACGCTCGTTTGACTAGACGTTGTGGAGCCTGATGCTGATCCTACTGGTCAGAGCATTGGTACTAGGTTGATCATCGACGGAAAATACGAGTTCTCTGACTTGGACGAGTTGATTGTCAACCATGTTCAAGCAATGGCTCGTCGCGTCGAGGAGCTTATGGCCTTCGAAAAGTTCAAGGCCGGTCCAGAAGACGAGCTCCGTAAGTATCTTTACGGTTTCTCTGCGCCCGTTTCTGAATCTTCCACATCATTCAGATCTCTTCCTCAAGAACTTCGTTGCCGCCAATCCTTCGAAGAGTGCATACGGATTTGCTCTCAACAGGAAGCGACCAGGACACTTCAGTCTCTGCTTCTTGGCCAACAAGAACGCTACTATTCAAACCTGGGTACGTTGTCCATCGCTTATCTGCAGTGGCTTCGATTCTAATCACCACCTCAGCCTGTACGAGTTGCTCCAGAAGCATACTATCTCTTCGATACACCCGCGACGGGTGTTCCGGAGCTCTGCAACGCGTTCAAGGTCCGCCACATCCACGAATCTAAAAATGCAGGTAGCGGCGCAGGTGGGAAGACCGCTTACGGAGGTCGCACACCTGCACGAACGCCAGCTGCTGCACTGTCGGGTATGACTCCTGGGCGAATGTCGGTACGGCAGCCCGCACGTACGCCCAATCCCTATGCAGCACCCCCTCCGGTCCCTAGTCGTACACCAAACCCCTATGGCAGCGCCCCACCTCCCTCGGCAGCTTCTCGAACACCCAACCCGTATCCTCCCCAATCATCTCTTCCCGTACCCCCTGGTATGCCGCCCTCGTATCCTCCCGGGGCTGGATTCGGGATGCCTCCGCCACAAGCCCCACCGTACGGATTCCCAGGTGCACCTCCAGCATGGGGAGTGCAGCCGCCTGCTGTGCCTAATGCATTCGGGCAAGCACCCCCAGACCCACATGGTATGAATCCAGCTCGTGCGGCGATGATTCAGGGTGCTCCTACGTGGGGTGCTCCCAATGGGTCTGCTGGATGGTAATGTGTTTGGTTTGGTTTTGGACGTTTAAGGTTCTTTAGTTCTTCTGTAGCGCATCTGTACTGTATAGCTTGCTCTCTATGAATCTTTTATTATCAGGAGTGCATGCTTCGACTCCTCTGACTTACTGAGAATCCATGCTCAAAAAATGGCATTTGTTGACTTGCCGAAGTAGGTTGTACAAAAGACGTGTGACGTCATACATTGATCCTACTGAGTGCCACACCGCTGTCACACCGCTGCCACACTCAGTGATCGTGGCCGACGCGTTGCGTAGTATTGTCCACGTCAGTCCCCTTTGGTGTGCACCACTACATTGTTTTTGGCCGCTGTCTATCTCTATCTGGAGCCCCAAAATGACAGACGCTATAGAAATGGACGAGCTGAATCGCAGACGTCCGCCAGTTCACCCAGATCTTGCCACTGAGCGCAACCAGCAGCCCTTTGACGATGACACCAAGGATAGCACTCTTTCAGCCTGGAGCTGGGTTGCAGCTTCGATGTTCGTCGCTATTCTGCGTATTGCTCCTACTGCACTCATATGCACACCTATAGACTATCGCTGTGGTCCATCATGTTGATGTTATTTCCTCGATTCTTGCTCTTCGCTGCCGAGGAAGGACAGACCCTCACTGGATTCGAGTCCTTCCTGTCGGTCCACTTTGGGATTCTTTTAGCCGGAGTATCTGCAGGTCTTATCATCCATGTACGTACGCCGTTCAAACTTTTTGTCCTATTCCATGACTGACGCGTCGTATGAGTAGATACCTTCTGCCCATCCAGTTCCCAGGCTCGAAGACACGACGCCCAATCATCCTCTGCTCGTCATCACGACTGTGACTACATCACTAAGCGCTTTCATAGCGTATAATACACCTGGTCTGGGTGGTCTTCCGGTTTTATATTCTGCATGTACCGGCACTATTGGTTTATGGGGTTTATGGGCGGTGAGCTCCCACGTCACGCTCTCCGTTGCAGAGAATGTCTGACTTTTACTTTGTGCAGATCACTTTTGGGAATGCTGGTCTGATATCGAATAAGACGGGAGCCGATAAGCACACGAGCTCCTTTATTTTCGGAAATAAGTCGTCAGCATCAGCGCAGAAGAAGGCGTGGAAGAAGGACCAGAAGAAGAGGAGTATTTAGCTCCTTGTCGGCTGTGAGTTATATATGATCTGGGATAATGCATTACACTCTGTATCTATTTTGACTTGTATCATACTGGATTGCGCCTTGAGACACTTTGCGTCTTGATATGATGTTAGTTCGTCACCTCAGATGTAGCGTGCGAGCAGGTGAAAAGTACATAGCGTGAATCGTAATACAATGTAATCAAAAGTAAAACCTTGTCCCAACCAAGAAGTAACGATACAGATGAACGTATTGTACTATCGGCCTCCTGATCCCCCGCCCATGCCGCCCATCATCTTGAACATGTCTGCCATGTTGGGCATACCGCCACCCAGTCCTCCGAGTCCTCCAAGCCCTCCCATTCCGCCACCCATTTGAGACATCATCCGTTGCATCTCTTCCATGTCCATGTCTCCGCCGCCCTGGCTCTGCATCAAGGTCTTCATCATTTCCTGCAGACCTCCACCACGCATCTGTTTCTGCATATTCTGCAACATCCCGGGAGGCATTGCGCGCTACGGGGGTTAATGTCAGCCTCGGACAAAACGATACCAGAAGAGGAGTACGCTGACGCACCTGCATCGCCTGTATCTGAGCTTGCGTAGGCATCCCATTAGCACCGCGCCCGCGGCCACCGGCCGCTGACTGCATCTTCTGCATCGCCGATAGCCAACCGTTCTTTCCGCCAGCTTGTTTCGCCATATTGGCCATCATCTGGTACTGACAGAGCAGCTCCTCGACTTCACGCACGCTCGTGCCACTTCCTCTCGCCACACGTGTGACACGCCATGTCAAGTCCACGGGCTTGCCGTCCTTTCCCATCTCCAAGAAAAGAGAACCATCGGAATCCAGTTCGGCGGAGGTCATGCTGTCGGTAATGTAGATCATTCGCTTCATGCGCATTGAACCCTCCTCGTCCGTGCCGGCCAGCATGTCTTGAGGAAGACCGGGAATCATCGAAGCAATCTTCGATATCGGGCCCCTAGGTTAGATCAGTATACGGCGTGATAACGATAGACGAGGCGTGTTCGACGAGAATAGAAAAGGCGTACATGTTCATGACATTCTGGATCTGTTCCCGCCAGTCTCGAATACTGAGCTTTCCTTCCTCCAACTTCTTCGCCATCTCCTTTTGACGATCGGGATTCTGAGTGGCGAGGTCCTGCATGTGTTCCATGAGGCCCTGGACGTCACCCATGCCCAGAAGTTTCGAGATGAAGGGTTGAGGTGAGAACTTGTCTAGATCGGTGAGATGCTCTCCCGTTCCCAGGAAGATGATAGGAGTTTTGGTTGCGGCAACTCTGAGAAAGTTCAATCAGTCGTAGCGAAGACTATTCTGACACGAGTTGAACATACGCTGAGATGGCTCCTCCGCCCTTGGCGTGGCCGTCCATTTTGGTGACGATGATTGCGCCAAAGTCTGCACTCTCTTTGAAAGCGCTACTCTGAGCCTCAGCCGCCTGACCTAGAGCGCAGAATGAGACATAACATTTTCCAAACAGTAGCAAGGGCCTCGACTTACCGATACTCGCATCCATAACCAGCACTGTCATATCTGGTTTCACGGCCTTCCCGATTTGCACCATCTCCTCGAAAAGCTCTCCCTCCTGCTTGTGCCTACCTGAGGTATCCACGATGATCACCTCGAACTTCTCCTTCTTGAACTTTGCGACACCCTGGGCAGCGATAGAGACGGGGTCCGTTTCCGTGTAAGAACCAAAGTACGCCACTTTCGCCTTCGTGGCGGACTGTCGAGTCTGATCGAAGGCGCCAGCACGGAACGTATCCGCACAAACAATACATGATTTGAACCCTCGCTTTTGGTAGTGAACGGCGAGCTTTGTGCATGTTGTAGTTTTACCGTTGCCCTAAAGATGACGAGAAACTGGTCGTGCAAAGCTCAAAAGAACTCATGCGAGTGTGGACGTACCTGCAAGCCAACGGCCATGATAACATTTGGGTGACCTTTTCGAGGCTTATAAGGCTCTACTCCTGGGTCGACGAGGTTGACGAGCTCATCGAAGATAGCCTAGGTGCACACGTCGTCAGTGACAAACGGATCGAGGCGCTACGTTCGCCACACACCTTCTGAACGACATTCTTCCTATTAACTTCCTTCACCTTATCACCGCTACTCTCCAGTGATGCTTTGACTTTTGCCTTGACCTTTTGGCGAAGTTGCGAAACGAGCTTGACGTTGACGTCAGACTCGAGGAGTGCGGCACACACTTCCTTCAGTAATGCATCGAGCACCTATTGATGGGCCACGTTTACCGCATAAGAAAATGCGCCAAAAGCAAGTGATATATGTTCGCACCTTGTCATCGACCAGGGATGCTCTGTTGAGCGACGAGAGGGCCGCATTGAGTTTCCGGCCCAAGTCAGCGAGAACCATACTAGTGAGTTGCGGACAACGAGAGGACTATCAATGACCGTGGGAGTCTCGTCCCAGGGTTCATCAATGACCAATTCCCTTATTGGCAGGAAACGTGTCGCGGCTTGCGCTCGCGTCGATCTTGAATCGAACCGCGACGGGCCACAGCGCAACACAACAAGAGCACATCATGGCGAGCGACGATGAAGACACGGAGACTATCGGCGATGGTGACTTTGACGACTACGAGGAGAACGAGATTGATGAGGATATCTTAGACGCGATAGAGGCCGGGGCTGACGATGCTAGCGATGGCGACTCAGTGCGTTCATCCTTCTATGCCATTGCCACTAATATCTCATTCTCTCCAGGAAGGACTCGATGATGACAATGACTCTGACGATTCGTCCGAAGAAGACGAGGATGATGACCAGCCTGCGGCCATAGCCAACGAGGCGCCACCACCCCCTATACCCGCCACCCCCGCCATTGCTGTAAAGCGGGCCACACCACCTCCACCACCTCTGCTACCACCATCACCCGCAGCAGCACCTTCGCCTCCTGCAGAACCTTCCAGATCACCTAGAGGTATGTAGACGTCACTATACCGGTTGGTGTTCTCGGTTTGATACATCGTTCTTCAAAGCATCCACCCCTCCATCCCGAAGTCCGCCCAGACGGAAGCGTTCTCCTTCCCCTGCTGCAAGGCGAAGAGCAGCTCTTCGCACCTCGATATTTTTTCCGAAGTCCTACCAGGTGGAAGCTATTGCTGCTCTTCCACATCCAGTGCCCACGCACGCACTTGCAGCTTCCCCATGTATGTTGCACCTTCTGACAGGTTCCGAGGATGGCTACGTGCGCGACTACGACATCTTTAGTGCCGTCAACGGCAAGGTTTTTCTATCTGCTCCTCAAAGGCATCATGCAGGCGTTGTGGAAGGAATTATGAAGGCGGGCCAGATACGGTCGTGGTGGGAAAACCCTGCTGGACCCGGAGATGGAGGCGACTCGGACCTGTCTCCTGTGCATAGCTTAGCCATTCACTCTGACGCACTATGGGGTCTGGCTGGAACCAATGTTAGCAAGTTGCTCTTTCCTAATTCTAACCCGAGAGACTCACTGTGTTACCTCCAGACAGGTCATGTGAACCTTTTTACTGTTCGTCATGAGCCTGGCCGTCACATCACAAGTTTGACAGGCCACCGCGGCCCAGTGTCAGCCTTGTCACTCCAACACGATGAGAAGGGGTTCTTCTCGGCAGGATGGGATGGTGATGCCTTGGTATTTGCTTCCCTTTCTTTTCTTCTGAATTGCGCCCAATGTACCGATCATACCCTCTTTTTTCTCGTCTTGCGACTTTGTCCAGCAATGGGACCTAAACACCGGTCAAATCGTTCGTCGTCTCACTGCACATGGAGCACAGCTAGCAGCACTAGCAGTTCGACCTCTTGCTTCTGATTATCCCCAACTGGCTCAGGGTCCTCTAGTAAACATCTCGGTGAATACTCAGGCTGTCTCCGAGGATACGAAACCATCTCAGCTTCCTTCGACTCAAGCGAAGACGGAACCGCTTGTGACTGACTTACCTACAAACCTTGGCGGTGGCTCGTCCGCCTTACCCTCCAGTTCCCAGCAGCCTCATCAGCAGGCCCCTGCTCCAGACGTGGATTCTAAATCAGACGCATCTTTCGATCCTCTTTTCGACGCTGAGCCTGACGCCGATGGCGAAGCTGACACCTTCCGAATGGTAGCCTCTCCAACTCCGGAGATGAAACTCTTACCACAGTCGCTTGCCATGCCTGCCTCCAACTCTGGGCCTGCATTGCACCTTCCGTCGACAGGACCTCCTGTACAGACACCTCAAAGGCCGGCTCCCATGCCGAAAAATGCCCCTCCTTTGCTAGACCGTGTCTCTTGTGCGGCCTATTCTCCGGATATCTTGATGACGGCTGCAATGGATGGCCAAGTTGTCCTTTGGGATCTGCGTGTCTCCGTTCCAGGCCCAGGCCGAGGAGTTGGACGACTTTGGATGAGCGAAAAGACGCCGCCATGGTGTTTATCCGTGCGTAGTATTTCTCTTGACCCTTTTTTGATCAGCGGGAAAGCTTTGTGCTGGAGCCTTGAAGGTTCTGTGGGGCAGTCCCTCGCGCCACACTTCTAGCTCAAAGCTTCTTTCCATTATGCAGTTACTGGTCGTCTGACTAGAACGTTTGAACCTCATTCGCAGGCATGTTGGTCCGTGAATGGCGCCCAACTGTACGCCGGCAGAAGAAACGGAACTATTGACGTGTGGGATGTGCGACAACTTGGGACTTCTGGTCCGGCCGAGGTCCCCCGCCTTTTGAAGACGTTGAAGAACCCCAGCAGCTCTGGAGTCGTCAGCTGTGTAGCGGCGTTCCCGGATGGGCGACACATTGCATGGTGAGCCATATTTTTCAATGTTTGGGCTGAGAACGGGCGGGTATGAGAATAGTCAAGTGTGGTGCCACATGATGCTCTAGCCGCATCCTCGTTGAAGCTGTGTTTGCCGTCCCTAGCCATCACGCTTTTCTGCTTTCAGAGAAACTCCATTTGGGAACGCAGAGCTGATGTGCCGCTTATAGTGCATCCAACGACAATATTCGACTGTGGAACGCTGCAGAGGCTGGGGAGGGCGAGACGCGAGGGAGGGTGCAGTTTAAGATTATTCCAGGACATCATGGTGGAATAGTCTCACAGATGGGTGCGTACCGGTTCTGGCATGGAAACGTCATTTCGTTCAAGTTTAGGTTCACTCATTTGCCCCGGTCAACTCGCCGTACAGTAATTGATCCAGGTGCACGCTTCCTCGTGAGCGCAAGTGGGAATAGGGGTTGGCACGGGGACGCTACCCGCACGGTTTTTGTACATGACATTAAGACCATCCTTTGACTGTGTGTTGCGTCGCCCGGATTCGTTTGTCGAAGCGGTCTCGTGTGCGGGGTGGCGGCTGGTGTTTTGAGGCTAATGAAATCCAGAGGAGTGGCGTGAATGAGGCAAGTGCGGCTGAGCGGCGGACAGGCCGAGACGGTTCGCATGTTCCCCGGGGACAAGTAGCTTTACACATTTCCAATAGTACCTCTTACGGCAGCATGTACGGCATCCCGATGGGATCTTATGGGGGTTGGTGTACACATCATCAGCCTCTTTCACTGTTTGTACAAAATCTCGCGCATGGGTCGGAATACACCCACAACTCGCCCTCTCACCCTCTCGGGAGTTGCTCTACGCTTTCTCTAACATCTCTCTAGCTCAAGTCCGCTCCCGAATGTGTCCTCGATGCGTTCCTGTAGAGCTCCCTGTTCTCAACGATAGCGAGTCGAAGCGCTTCTTTAGAGAGGTCTTTGGTCGTTCAGTCAATGTCCTCAACGACCGCTACATCTTGCCGGCCGATGATGATGAGCTGAAGGTAAGTGTGCTATGTCCTCTTGCACCCAGAATATCGTGGCCAAGAATGAGAGCACGGCTGACTATCACTGGGGACCTGAAGCGTTTCGACATTTTCCATAGGATGATTAAGTTCGTCCTGGGCAGCAAAAATTACGTCGGTCCAGCCGACGAAATACTGTCACCCGAAAAGGGTGCTCTGTTAAAGGAGAAATTGCGAGTTTTAGATTTAGGTACAGGCGGAGGGACTTGGTGAGTGCTTTGCTCCGATGGGAACCAGGCTGTGGCGACTTCATGCTGACTGGTTCATTGATGCTATGGCGAAATGAAATGAAGGGCCATCGAAATGGCAGATGAATTCCCCCATGTGGAGGTCACAGGAGTCGACCTCGCCCCTCTGCAGCCGAGGTAAGCTCAAAGCTCAAACCTTGGTCCAGTCGTGTGCGCGCTCGGTACAAACCTCCTTTGACTCACTGGCTATTTCTGCAGGATGGTTCCTCCAAATTGCATGTCAGTCACGTTCTATATCGCCCCTTGTCTAGGCTCTCCTCTCATAGCCGCCTCTGCTCGAGCTCAGCTTTGAGCTCTGCGATCTAGACCAGGGCTGCATACCATACCCCAGTAACTCGTACGGTACGTCAGTGATACGTTTCCACTCCACTGCCATCTGATCTTCTCAATTGACCTCCTGGATGAATAGAAGTCGTGCACGCTCGCAACATGCATGCCGGAGTTCGTCATACCCATCTTTTTTGGGACTCAAACACTATTCTTACTCGTTTCGGATTACTGCATGCACGATCCTCCCCAAACAGATCCACGACTATCCATGGTTCGTTCGAGAACTGACCCGTATACTACGCCCGGGTGGTCTTCTCATTCTCATCGAGTTCGACCTCTGCCCAATCGCGGACGGCCAGTTCGCTCCCACACCCACAAGATCGGGCATTCCAGGCTGGTGCAAGCTCCAGGAGGAGACTAAGCGATGTCTGAAGATGCGGGGCGTCGACAGTTCCGTCCCCGAACGCATGGCAGAGTTCGTGGACAACACCGGCTGGTACGAGAGCGTGCGCCAACAGCAGGCTGACATCCCCATAGGATTCTGGCCAAAAGGTACGTTTGCGCTCTGCTCAACCTATCACGCGATCATCGCACTCACGCCTTCCTTTTTCGTTAATCTTTTAACTCCGTAACTTTGACTGAATGGTATACCATCGTCTCGTGAACTCGTCTACCGCCACCGACAAAGATCCGACTCTGCTGACCGTGGGCCAGCTCGCATGGATGAACTGGGATATGTTGTTGGTCGCCGTTCGTCCCTTGCTTCTGTCCTCAGGGTTGTCCGAAGCCGAAGTCAACGTTCTCATCGAGGACGCCCAACGAGGTTAGTCTACCTGTTCTTTTGTCGGATATCAATAAACATGAAGTGTTGAACGTCACTATGACCGCAGATCTGTATTACCCATTAGTTCACATTGCGAGCAGACTGTATGTCGTGCACGCCATCAAAAAAGATTCGTAGAGCCGGTGCCTCTATACACACATACTACTATCACGGACACCGCTGCACTCATATCGCCTGGGACTTTGTTGTGTTCATTCTTCACGGATGTCTACTTTCACTTTGCATTTTGTCAACCTTGCTGTCTTCGCACCCTCACCATATTGTAACACCAATCATCAATGTCATTCGTACAACACACCGGGAAACCATATCGTAAAGCAGTTGTATCATCTCTGTTCCTGCCAAGTACACAAAGGAACGACCACCACACAGAGCCCGCGTGAAGAACCGGCATCGACAGCGACAACGACAGCATCACACAAGCAAGACTAGAACGCAGTACGAAAGCGGCGGGGAGGAGCGCCCGATGACCAACAGCACCGAAACGAAAAGAAGAAAGAAGGTAAAGGACAGACCGAATCTCGACACGTCGAACAAGATGAACTCTGAGCTGTTGTTCGTCCCCTCAAGCGGCGGCGGCGGCGGCAGCAGCAGCGGCAGCGGCCTCGTCCTTGGCCGCGAACTCGTGCAAGACGGCAAGCGCCTCGTTGACCTTCGCGTCCATCGCCTGAGGAGTCTCCAACAAGTGGATAAGCTCGGCGTTCTCCATCTCGAGCAACATACCCGTGATCTTGCCGGCGAGTTCAGGTTGTTCGCTGATAAAGGAGAAGAACCATCAGAGTTATTTGGGTAGCGAACACAAAAGATATACGCACGCGACGATCTTCATGTAGATGATCTCTCCGAGCATCTGCTTCTGCTCCATAGGGGAAGCCGTCGAGAGGGCGTTAGTGTTCAAACCCGGAACTTCTGGGGCAGCAGCGGCAGCGGGGCCTGTGCGAGCGGGAGGTGCTCCCTTGTAACCCTGAGGGCGACCGCCAGGAGCAGGCGCACCAGCGGGGCCACGGTTGGGGGGCATACCACCAGGGGGACCAGGACGAGGCCCAGCACCGTTGACGGGGGGCACACCGTTCGCGCGAGGCGCACCGGGCTGACCAGGAGGTCCATCGCGGACGGGCGGGCGAGGACCACCACGAGGGTATCCGGGCATTCCTCCGTAACCTTGAGGGGGTTGACCGTACGGCGACGGGACTGGCATACCTGGAACTTGTTGGTTGGGCGCATATCGGGGACGAGGAGGAAGCATGCCAGGCTGACCGTATCCCATCATTCCACGACCAGCTTGAGGAGGGTAAGCACCCGGACCAGGGGGGTAGTACATGGGGCCGTTAATGTAGCCACCAGGAAGACCGGCGGCGGCGGCCTGCTGCATGCGAATCTGGTTGCGCTGGGCGATCTGGCTTTCGAGTTGCTGACGGCGGACCTCACGCCTCTGAGCGAGGGAGACGTAGAGGGGCTTAGAACCGATCATCTTGTTGTTCATCTCGGCGACGGCCTTGGTAGCCTCGTCGGGAGAGGAGAAGCAGACGAAACCGAAGCCCTTAGAAGTGCCTTTGTCGTCGCGCATGACCTTGCAGCTCGTGATGGTGCCGAAAGGCTCGAATTCAGCGCGAAGTTTCTCATCATCGACGTCGTCCTCGAGGTTCTTGATGTAAAGGTTAACGCCCTGGTACTTGCTGAGTTTCTCCATCTTTGCAGATTCGTACGACTTGCGCAATTCCTCCTCGCGTTCGGCTTTCTTCTGAGCACGAGAGACGAAGAGTTTCTTGCCGTTGAAGTCGGTGTCGTGAAGAGTGTCGACAGCTTTGGCGGCCTGCTCGTGGTTTTCGAAGTTAACGAAACCAAAGCCCTTGCTCTTGCCCTCCTCATCAGTCTGGATGACGGCAGACGTGACGGCACCGAATTGAGAGAAAAGCTCGACAAACTGATCCTGAGTGACCTCGAGGTCGAGGTTCTTCACGTACAGGTTGGTGAAATGAGCGCGCATCTCCTCAAGCTTGGATTGACGTTCCTGATGGACATCGATCGGATTAACACACATCTATGAAAATTTCGTTGTGCGAAAACGAACCTTGCGAGAGATGTGGTACCCGACGTAAACCTTCTTATCGTTGAGAAGCATGCCATTGACAGCCTTGATAGCAGACTCGGCGGCCTCAGCAGTCTCATAGTGGACATATCCGTAACCGCGCGAGCGACCTTGCTCATCGGTGGCGACTTTGCAAGACAAAACGTTGCCGAAAGCGGCGAAGGTGTCGTGGAGAGCCTGCAGAGTGTTTAACAGACGTGAGGTGGAGTCTTCTGAGCGGTGCGCACCTTGTTATCAATCAGTTCATCGAGATTCTTGATGAAGATGTTGCCCTGTCCGGTCTTGCGGAGGGCGGGGTCTCGCTGAGACCACATGATACGGCTATGGGAGGTGACACATCGTCCAATATCAGTGACATGAAAATTTTGCAAGATCGGCCAAACTCACCAGGCGCGGCCTTTGATGAGCGAGTAGTTAAGCTGCTCCAAGGCGCGCTCACCTGACCCGACAGCAGCATCAGAATAAAAGAGGTGGGATGGGATCAAGTGGTTTTGGACATACCGTCGGTGACATTCAAATAGTTGACATACGCGTAGCCCAAGGAACGACGAGTGACCGCGTCACGGCAGACACGGATACTGGAGCGGTACACATGTTTTAACTCACGAGTAGCCTCAAGAACGCGAACACACGCACCTGGCGACCGGCCCAATCATATTAAAGATCTCAAACAGCATAGCCTCGGTGACGGTGGGGTCGAGTTCGCCGACATAGAGAGAAGCCGAAGGAGCGGAGGCTACGGAAGAGGGGGCAGGGGGGTTGTATGCCGGAGCGGGCGCGGGAGCAGGCGCAGGGGCCGGTGCAGACTCGGGCGCGACTTCGGCGGGTGCGACAGCAGGGGATGCAGACATTTTTTGGATTATGAGCGGGGTGTGAGAGGTCGTTACTGCTTTATGGACTTTTCGTCTAGAAACGGCGGAGAAAGGAGAAGAGAGTGAGTGGGCGCGCAGCCAAGGGAGCAGAGGATAAGGGTGCGCACATGGAAAGAAGATAAAACAACCACTTTTAGGATTTGGGTTTTTTGAGTTTTTCTACTTGGTTTTCGGCTATTTGAGATGTATTGTGAGTCGTGAGCGAACGGGGGTGAGCAAGGGAGGAGGACGGGACGGGCGGTGGACTGACCTTTAGATGACGGTGGTTGGCTGAAAGGAAAAGAGCCCCCGGGTTTTTATCGCCATCTCACTGCATTTTCAATCTCCGCCGGCGACATGCGTGAAACATGTGTCACTGTCTTTACTTCATCAAAACAATGGCGAACTGGAGGCAACACGCAAAGCGAGATGGTCTCACAAACAATAGTAATCTCATTGTCCAACACATTCAGGTTACACAGCACAAACAACAGGGCTAATTATCCAAAAGAGTCCTCGAAGCAACAGAAATTCAAACAGCGCGAAACACGTCGATATAACCCTAACCCCTCGTGAAATACGCCTTCGCACCGTGCATCGCGAATTCCGACTTGGCCTACAAAACGAATCAGTACAGTTCAGGATTCTCGACGAAAATGCGCTCACTTTGTCCACAGTATGACCGGCGGCCGTATGATGTTGCCAAATCTAGTTTGATATTAACACCAGACGAGGGAAGTGGTGACTGAATGGTAACACACCCTCCAGTAGAGATACGCCAACCCGGCTCCTTGTATTACCCAGCCTACCGTCGCGATTGTACCCAAAATGCCAGCAGCGATAGCTGGCTTGACAAACATCTGTATAGTCTGGATCAAGCCTGCAGATCCAGTACTAAAACCACGAGTCAAGGCATGTCCGAATGTGCAGAAAGCAAAGGTATTACCTTGGAATTCCAAGAATCCTGACAAGATACGAGTAAGTAGTGCAAAATGAAAGATATAGGGGGATATGAATACATACATGTAAATGGAGAATAGCAGATGGAAGCCACCGAAAAAGAAGTAGATGTCTGAGTCGTATGAGCAAGTCAGCACCAATGTCAGAGATGCTGGGGATTATTATGAGCATACAGTAATAGAGCGATTGCTCCTGAGTGAGGTGTTCTAGTGAGCATCCGAAGTACCGGTTCGAAGAAGCGAATAGCGGCATACCTTCATGTAGCCATTGTAGATCGGCCTAGAGACAGGTTATTAGACAGACGAAACCCGTTGTCACCGTTTCACAGCCTCACCTGTACCAAAGCAGGAACGAGAGGACACCAATCACTGGGATGTAGCTGGCAGTCAATGTTGCAAGTGAGAGCATGCTCGCCGATGTTTGCGTTGCAGCTTACCCAATACTAGCGCCGAGGTCCTTGCCTCCGTTGGAAGAACCTGCAGTAAGGACGAATATGCAAGCGACCATATTGATGATCAGCGTGAGGGCAAGGACGAGCCATAGCTGGTACAATCGGGTTATCAGAGGTTTTGAGGCTTCAGGAATTTCGTCTGCTATGGAGTGAAAAAGGAGCGGGAAGACTGTCGGAGCCATAAGAGTTGTGAGCGAAGGGCCTAACACTGAGAGGACAAGGACGTGCAAGGTGGCCAGTTGTTCCTCCCATTCCTCCTGATATTCTCCGCCTTTTGGTTAAGTTCTTGTTCCCTTCGTTCCAGGTCTCTCTCCCGTTCGCTAAGTTGTTGCATGCGAGCAGCATCGGCAGAAGATTGTCCGTATGGCACGGAAGGTGGCGGTTCAGAGAAGGGGTCGTCGAAGGGATTGGCGTCGAGTGAGTGTGAAGAGCCGAAGGGGTTCTTTCCTATTGTCAATTACAGGCTGAATAAGTAAGAGCTATACTGCCTGGGTACAATCCATGATACCTGGTTCCATAGTGGCCGGTATTCGTGGCGTTTGCGATGTAGGTTCGGTGGTTGTTGTGAGAGGTGATGCTCAGCCACAACGCGCGCCGACGCTTGTCGGCTTCGGCCGGCTGAGCCTCCGCAGCCAGGTGAAATATCGATATCCTAGGAACCGGCGAGGACAAGGTACGAAAGGGACGAAGGACTTTCAAACAAACCCCCAACCCTCGGTTCCTGCTTGGCAGCGAGTTGGCGCTCTAACATCTCCATAGAGTACTTATGTATGAACAACAATATTATCCAGAGTCTACGTGAAGTTCGCGGCCTATGGAGGGACAGTCGCTTGGACATACGTTGTACCGTTTAGGTCACCGGCTCTGGGACCCTCCGACAGAGCTATTGTTGACTAATCCCCCGGAACACGAAAGTGTTGAGAACGCTAGCGACGCAAAGAAATGCAAGTAACTTGGAGACGGAATGTTGGGGCCTACGGGAGACTATTTTGGACAACGCGTGCTCATGGAAGCGGCGGGAAGACGTCGCCGCTGACGCGCACGTTGAGAGGGAGAATTCAGGCGGCCAAGAGCTATGATTGGCTCCAATTGCCAATTCAGCCAGAACCGAAGAGGAAAAGATATAAAGAGTGACCCGCTCGGGTCGCGTTGATCCCCCACCCTCTTCCGCTCTCCCTCATCGCTCTCTCTGCCGGTTCGTCTCCCTCGTCGTCCTTGCCCTTCCGCCGGTACTGATCTGTTTTCTTTCAGCTGAATTGGCTTGTCAGCCTCCCTCTCTCTTTAGGAATCCTCTCGCTTGACTTTTGTCGCCCGTCACTCACTTCACGGCCCCACCCTCCATATAAACTATAAACATGTTCAGCCTCATCTCCTTCACCTCCGTCGCCCTCCTCGCCGCGTCCTCTGTCTCCGGTGTTGCTATTCCCTCCAACCACCGAGTCATCAAGCGTGCCACCGCCCCCTCGACTTACGCTGAGGGCTACCTCGAGGTACCTTTCCGACTAATTCCCGCAAAGAAAAAAACACTTGGTTGACCTGACAATCCGACCGCCTTGTAGGACTATACCACATACCATACCCGGTACCTTGCTCTGGATTGTGAGGACCAACACGGAACTACCTTCTTCGACCAATGGTACGTACGAGGCACTATTTGAAGCTGCTCCCAAACTCATAACTTCCTGCTCCGAATATATTCCAGCTGCCACCCTCTTCTTGTGAGCACGGCCTTTTGGAGGTCTCCGTTCTGCATCAAACAACTAACTTCCGTTACTAGGCAACTGAGGACTTGGCCACTGCTCGTCCTGCCCAGTGCATCCCCTCGTCCTCTGCATCTGCATCTGCGGCAACGTCCACTGCTACCGATGATGGCGATGATGAGGACTGTGAGGACGAGTCCGCTGCCCCTGCCTCTGCCACCAGCACCTTCGCCACCAGCACTGAGTGGACCTCCACCGTTGCGGCGACCCCCACTGCTGAAGCGGCTGTTGGTGCCTGGGCTGATTCGAGCTCGAGCTCCTCTTCAGACTGGACCCCCACGACGACCTCGTCTGACTGGACCGCCTCTTCGACTGCCGACTCCTGGTCGTCCGCTGCCTCCGCAGTCAGCTCTGCTGCTTCGAGCATCACTGACTTGATCACCGGTGGCTTGTAAGTATTTTTGCTTTGATATCACTGCCTCTACTGATAGTCGGTAAAATTCAGTGGCACGTTCTTTTACCAAAACGGTGTCGCCGGTGCGTGTGGAACCGTTCACTCCGACAGCGACTACGTCTTGGCCATGGGTATGTTTTTCCTACTCGTTTCTTGGCATCAACACTCATCACTCATGTGCCCACAGACAGCACCCGTTACACCGCTTCCAACCTTTGCGGCAAGCAGGTCCAGATCACCGTGCGTTTTCGCTCCTTCTCTGTGCTCCACATAATTCGACGCTAATGCCACAGCGACGATTGTAGAACACCGCCAACCAGAAGACTGTCACTGCTGTCGTTGCGGATGAGTGCCCTACCTGCAACAATGAGAACTCGATCGACATGTCCGTTGGCGCGTTCACTGCCATCGCCGATGAGTCGACCGGTCTCATTGACATCGCCTGGAAGATCTTGGATTAATTGGGTCGTGCCAATTCTCGCACTCTCATTTCCCTTCTACCACCCGCTTTCTCCTCCTCGATTTGCTCTCTCTCGTGAGATGGGGCAAGCCCTGTCTCAGGTCGTTTAGTGGCGTCTGCGCTGAGTTTTGTGGAAATGTTTGATACGAGACTAACGACCCTGGTGGCTTTAGCCCTCCTATACGAAGTTTCTTACCTACCTCACCGCTTTGCTCACTATGTTACCCCCATTCCTTTTCAATGCTATCTCTTGTGCTTGTGGTTTTCTCTTGTTTTTTTGGCGGGGTTGTAGTCTCCCTCTTTTTATTTGTTTGAGAGCATGGTATATAGTTCATTCACTTGATAGCTTGCTACTTTGATGGACTCTTGTCATGCAATCGGTACCATTACGCTGTGCGCAAACACTTTGTTTAAGATTCAAATTTCCTCAGTGTGAAAAGCCAACCGAGAGAGCCTACCCCACAGTCCAATTCCTTATGGAGAAATCTGAAGATGAAGCGCGGAAGATCTAGTTCGTTCCGTAGACAAGGCTCTCGAACTCAAGATTCGTGAGTCGCTCATTCGGGCGAAGAACTCACTTCTACCCCATACCATGGAACGCGCCCTACAAAAAATTCTAGTGGTCGGTGGAAATGGCTTTGTGGGTGTGTTCGCAAGGCACGCTCGTTTCGGCGCATCGACTGACAGCGGTTGGTAGGCTCCGCTGTATGCAAGGCTGCTCTCGCTCGAGGGTACCAAGTGACCAGTATAAGGTGCGACCTCAACATGCTTCCGTGGACCTACTGGCTTCTCATTTTCACCCATCGCCTATCAGCTCGTCAGGCAGCCCATTTCGCACACCGAAAGGCCATTCGCCCGCCTGGACTTCACGCGTACGCCTAGTTACTCTGATACTCCTCCCTCTCTTGACAACTCTTTCGTATTGCCTTTCTTACGTTGTGTTTCTCCGATGTTAGGTTGATTGGCATAAAGCTGATGCCCTGAATCCCGAAACATACGCGCATTTATTACCGGGGGTCTCAGCCGTCGTTCACACGCTCGGCACCTTGCTCGAAGACACGGGATACAAGCAAGCATTGCGAGAGGGAAATGTCGGCGGTGCGGTGAGCAGCTTCGTCTCCAGCATCTTTGGTGGGACCGGGAACCCTTTGAAGAGAGGGGTTGGTGGTGGACGGAGCGGAACGACGTATGAGGTGTTGAATCGTGATGCTGGTGCGTTCTGCTCTGCTCTATTCTATTCTCCTGTGGGTATGCTCTGTTGACTTTGATGCTGGTAATTCGTGTGTTTATGATAGCGTTGCGAGTTGCTGAGACGTTCCTGGAGAGTACGCCGGAACCCAGTCTGCAACTTCTTGGTCCTCGACCATTCGTCTATCTTTCTGCGGAAGACATATTCAGACCCATCATCCCCGCACGATACATCGAGACAAAACGAGAAGCCGAAGCAGGTATAGAGAGCTTGATAGCCAGCAGAACTCACGAGTATCGCGGCGTATACATCAGACCGAGTGCGTTTAATGTCCACCTCCGCTTTGTTGACTTTATTCACTCATCTCTCATGCATAGGTCTCATCTATCATCCTCACTTCCGTCCCTTCACCTCACCCGCTGCCGCTCTCCTCGACCTCTCCTCCGTCGTCCATGCCAGACTCCCACCAGGTTTACCCACGCCCTCGAATCTCCTACGTACACTCTCTGCCGCATTGCCCGCGTCATCCTCATCCTCATCCCCCGTGCAATCCTCTCCGTTGGAGTCTATGGCGAACGCTCTGGTGCTACCGCCCATCCATGTGGACCATGTCGCCGAGTCGATTTGTATTGCCGTGGATAATACGAGGGTCGACGTACACGGTGTGGTCGGTGTCAAGGAAATGAGGAGGTTGATTGGGTGGGCCGAGAAGGGTACTGCTGTCGATCATGTAAATCCTCAGTCGAGCTGAAGAGACCATGTCAGACTGTTTCTTTCTTTAAACCCCGTCTTACCGCCGTGCTAATTTTAGACCACCCCGACAGATATTGTATTGTTTGTCCGCGATCCTTTGTTGAGCTTCTCTACGTATCGGCAGCGCAGCGACATACTTACACAGCTGCCCAGTTATCTCTGACAGTCCGAGGTCAGATTGTCTCGAAATATTCTCAGGATCGTCTCGAGAAAATCTTATGATTGTGCAGCCCAGATGTTCCTAAGTCGATCAGTCTGACGTGAAATCAACAGAATTCCAGGGTCTGCCGTAAAGCGCAAAATGAGGGATTCGGCGAAACCCGGCATCGGAAAGCCAAAAAAATTTGCCAACAGAGCATAACGAACCGAGGATATACAAGACATAACCAACATCATAACCAACTGCGCCAAAGGGCTTTAGCTATAAATCTAGCTAACTTGAATGTATCCACATCAACGCATGCTTTGCCATCGTCCGAGGCCCACTTGCAAGACACAGTAAAGGATAATGCTACATTCTTGGCCCTTTCTGGGTCACTGGGAGTCCCTCAAATATTATCTAAAATATCACAAATTTTTTACGGCCTGTGCAAGGAGCTCATACCAAGAGGACTCTTGGACTCTCTAAGGGAAGCGCGACTTGGTGAATGTTTCGCGAGTCGCTTGTGCGGAAGCCGGATGCGGGCCGATGAGGGTATACCGAGATAACCTGAGAACCAGTGCACCTCGGATATTCTCGAGCATGATCTTAGGAATGTCCGGGATCGGTCTTGAGAAAGTCTCAAGAACGGTCGTCTTGAGAAGTTCTTAGGATTGCCTCAAGAATATCTTATGATTGTGCAGCCCTGATTTCGTCGGACCATCTGTCTTGACGATTTACTAGGAATTCCCGCTGGCCGTGTAGCCTTGCTTATCTGTACTGCAGGACCTTCGTGGCTTCTGGACGATCGTTCACATCTTCATTTCCCCTAGAGAGGTGCCCATCGGACGGGCAGAACGCAACAGCAGTCCCGATAATAACCCACGAGCGTCAAGAACTTTGGGCGAGTCAGTGTGTGTAACGTGTAAGAGTTCTGACGGTCTTCGTGACCTGATAAGATGAGAAAGGCTCGAAGGAGATAACCCAACTACCTTGCGCTTCTTTCTGACGGCCGCAGGTGAATCATAGCGGTTTCAAACCCCAAAGAGGGGATGCAAGCACAGTGGTATGATACAGTAGATAACTCAGCCTGAGAGTGTGTCAGGAAGCTGACACAAGGGTGACTACAGGCTGCATGAAAATATCCATGCGGTAAAGTGTGGCCCAATTTGGCGTCGCAGAGACAATACATAAGAGGAAAATCACGCCATCTCGAGCGATGGAGGGGATGAGTGTCTAGGAGATATGTCTGCCGCGGCTCTTACCATTTATACGCTGGGAAAGTACCAATAAAAGATGAGAAAAACTGCAAGTAAATATGCTTTACGACGGTCCGGAAGGAATAAAATACGAAGAATTCGGGTGGAGGAGAGGGAATGACGAGGATCTAATCTTATCACTTGCGGCAATGATGTGTGATTGCGTCGGTCGTATGACATGGTTTCATCCATTGGGGTAAGCACCCACTTTTCATAAATCTTGGCCGACTCAGGGCACAGCTACGTCGCCCTGCCGTTTCTTTCCGCTACGACCAGGCCTTTATAGACGTCCGCAGAGCTTGGGCGTCGCGCACCCATCCCTCTCCTTTCCTGGCCGTCTACTTGTTGTGTGCAACGAATGGCTCTCGCGCTCCGTCCCACTGCCGTGGCGCATCGTGCCCCCCACTCCGCGCGTGCGTTCGGCAGCTCTTCGACCCCGAACAAGGCCATTCCATTCTTCCTCAATAGCTCTCGGTCTGGGGCTCTTCACAGCGAAGATGCACCAGCAGCTGGTTCATCCAAGTCAGGTTTAAGGATGATCATGTTCGGCAAGGTATGTCGTCGTCCGAAATAATTGCGGTCGTTCTCGCGGTACACCGCATATTCATCCCCGGTGCTTCATTCTAGCCAGGGGCAGGAAAAGGAACTCTATCTGGGCGCTTGACCACAAAATATGACATTCTTTCGCTTTCGACCGGCGATCTTTTGAGGCAGCATATTGCAGAAAAGTACGTGCTCAGGTTCTCGGGCAAAGGACCTCCTTGGTGTGGGAAGAAAATAGATGGCGGTCTGATCAGCCTTGTCGCTGCTTGTCTGTCTACCTAGAACTGAGGTGGGGAAGGCTGCAGAGCCAATAGTGGCCAGCGGTGGACTCCTCCCGGACGAAATCATGTTGAAGGTTGTCACCTCTAAATTGGACCATCTGCACAATAAGGTATGACCTATACACTACCCCTATCAATCTTTCTCCCATTAAGGGCAACCCGATTCTAACCCTAGACGATTTCGTACCACAGCACTGGATTCTTGATGGCTTCCCTCGGACGGTCGGGCAAGGTAAATTGCTCGATGCTCACTTGCGGTATGTGCTTCAACCTGTATACATGGCCTATCCTCTGATGTTATTGAACTTTGTCAGCGCGCAGCACATGCCGCTGAACCTCATCGTGAACCTTGATGTTCCTGACTCAATAATTCTGAGTCGTATATCCGACCGATGGGTCCATCTCCCTTCAGGACGAGTGTATAACATGTCCTACAACCGACCAAAGGTCGACGGCCTTGATGACGAGACAGGCGAACCGCTTACGAAGCGCCCGGACGATAACCCTGTTCGCATCCTCACCTTATAATTCGTCCTCCTCTCACTAATACCCTTGATGTACGGCTTCACAGGAAACTTTTGCCCGCCGCTTGGCCCAATTCTACTCCTCGACGTCTCCATTGCTTTCATATTATGCGGACCAAGATAAACAGCAGCAGTCCTCGAAACTTGTCGCACTCACCGGAGAGACATCGGACGAGATCTGGCCACTACTCGAGAGGACTGTGAAGGCCGTCGTACCAAATCTCAGGGAACGGGCAGCATACCGCCGCAAGACGAGTCTCAGCGATGCTGTTGCCGCTTCCGAGGAGGAGGCAGGTCGAAGAGCATCCGGAATCACTGCCTCTTCTACGTGAACTCCTTTTTTCTGTCGCATTTCTTTCTTTCTTCTTCATCTTCTTTTACACTGTATCCATGTCTTTTCCCGCTTTTCCCTGGCTTTTTCTGCTTATATCCTTTCGGTTCACATTTTCACATTCTGACTTCGCACTTGTGCGTCCCTACCTTGCTTGTTTCGGCCGGTATGAACTTGGCCAGCTGATTGCACATTCTTTCATCTAAAGTGTTATAGGCTTTCGTTTTTCGTGGTTGCTGTGGGTGCCGTTCAGGGTCCTTTTTGGCATTACCCCGTGTGCACTTGTTCAGGAGATGACTTGATGCTATGCGATGACAGTGTATCAGTAGGCTTACTTATGCGCGCTCGGAATCTTATGGATAACGTTCTCCTCCATCGAGGTGCATTATGGAGATTGGTGCGATTGTGGGCGCTTGGGTGTTTCGTGCACCTGCTATTTCGTATGGGGCAGTGGTGAAGCCGAGGGTTGAAAGCAAACGTTCGCAATACTGACAAAGAGGCAGTTTTTGCCGGCGGGGTTACTAGATACAACAACATACACCTTTCAAAAATCATTTCAGAGCATACCTATCACCCGCAAGGATGGTCAGTCATGATTCGACGAGCGGCACGAGCAAATATACCAGGGACTCACATTTTCACGGTAAATAGTCCCTCTTGGAGACCGCCCTGCACCTTTTCGTGTACAATCTTCAGTCCTGCTTGAGCAAAGATCTCCTTGAACCTCAAATCAGACCTGGATTCCCCGTCAGATCTTGTACACAGTGTCTGCTCGAGAAAGGAGTGGAATGAACCTTGTCACGCTCGAATCGTCTTCATCGAACTCCACCGTCGCCTCACCACCTTCGACCCCTTCGACCACCTTCTCCCGGCATACGTTCTCCTTCACCACAATCACACTCTTCTCATCCCTAAATGACTTCTTGCTCCCCTGCAAGAACGCGACTAGGTCGGAATCGCTCATGTACATCAAACACCACTGACACCACACCACATCGAATCCGGTCTCTGAGTCCGCCTGTGCGTCGGGCGGAGAAAAACCCACGCGACCGATGAATGTGGAGGACGTTCGTGGATGAGCAGGGTTGAATGTCTGTAAGGCGCCCTGCTGAAACGTAACACTTTTCTTCTTCTCTTTTATCCCTTTCCAACGTGCAGGCGGAGGATCTGTCCCTTCATCGTCTTCATTTCGGGCAGGGAGTTCATCCAATTCGGAGTCCGAGCCGCGTTTGTAGGCTTCCCGGATGAGACTGTCAACGGGTTCGAGAAGGAGGATATCGGAGAAGAAGTGGAGAAGGACGTCTGCTGTGACGCGTCCGATGCCTGCTCCTACGTCGAGTGCACGGGTACGATGGTTTGGATCGGGTGTAGGTGCGTTTAAAGGGCGCAGAGCGGACGGTACAGTGAGGAGGTCTGGTCGGATATGTAGAAGGAATTGTCGAGAGCCGAGGGTCTCGACCCTAGGTAAGGACTACCAAAAAAGTGACGTCAGTATCGTGCTTAGTCCACCGAGAGAAAATATCAATCGTAGAGTTCACTGACGCCTGTACCGAATCCACCTGTGCGATTGGGCCACGAAATGTATCAGGGCGTGGCGGCTCGAAAGAAAAACAGTACAGGAAGTTTATGAGTCGCACCTAGCACACCATCATAACTTGCAGGCTGTTTCGCCCAGTATTCTATGCCATGTTCTGCGACCGGTTCGCGAGTTTTGACGGTGGACATGGAAATTGACGATCTTGGAAGACGGAAGAGGAAAGCGGACAAACAGCTGTACACAACGCGTTCGCGTCGACGCGTCTTGTCTCTTCTCACGCGTCTTGCACTCAACGCGCGTCGCGCTTCAGCTACATACACAACGTCAAGCTCTTCGCCGCCCCTTGCCTGATCTTTCAATAGCAATGGCCTCTCTAGACGATATCTGGGACATTCCCGCTGACGAGATCGAGACAGTGCCCGCCAAAAGCAACGCACCCCTCTTCCTTCCCTCTGACGAATCCGACAATGATGCTGGCCCTACTGCTTCATCTCGTCCGTCCAAATCAGGGGCAAAAGCGACCACATCCACACAATCGAAGCAACAACCCTCTCGCGCGGAGATTGATGCCTTGTTCGCAGACATCGACGAACCAGATGACTTCCAGGAGCTCGCACCAGCCCTCGATCTTGATGCTCTCCGACGTCAAGCGGACGCGCGCAACGCGCACAAAGCTCGCCCTGCCGTCCCTGCATCTCGACCCACGCAAACACAAACACAGAGCCAATATAAGGGGAAGGGGAAGGGAAAAGATAAAGGAGCGTATGCGCTGGATATGGATGGTGGAGACGAAGGCGAAGAGGACAAGGAAGCGGGTGAAGGGAAGGATAAGAAAAAGAAGAGAAAGCCAATACCTAAGATGGACGAGGCGAGATTGTTGGGCAAGGACGGTTTTCCGGCGTTGATAAAGACTACGAAGGATTGGAAACCTAGAGGCAAAGGACATGAGGTCTGTTCTTTCCCTCTCGTTCTTCTGTTTTCAGTTATTGAGGCATTCGACATCAGGCAGCAGACCTTAACCAAGTACTCCAGATATACCAGTTCTGGACAGCAAGAATGTATCCGAAGACACGATTTCGAGATACTGTTGATCGCGTTGAGAGGCTTTGTCATTCCAAACGGATGCATGTGTGTGCCCTTCACCTTCACTTTCGACCGCTTTATCTTTGTGCACCGTACAAGTTTGCTCATAATCTCATATTCCCACATTTTAGGTGGCACTATCGGTGTGGCGAGACGAATCCAAAGGGTTGATTAATGGCGAAGATTTCAACGACGACGACGCTCTTGATATCTCTTCTGACGACGAAGTTGAACCAAGCGCAAAGAGGGCCAAGGTATCGGCTGCCTCTGGACCCTCAGACGTGGAGGACGTGATGGAGATGGACTCAGATGGAGAAGTCATCCCCTCACGTCCACCGTCACATGGACCCCCTTCCTCTTCTTCACCTGCGGAAGAGGAATACGACTTGGACGCATTAATCGCCGCCGAGGAAGCAGAAACAGCTGCTGCCAATCAGCGCTCCGCTGCCGCATCGGGTCCGTCCAAATCGCAAAATACAGCGCCTGCGGCCTCTACATCCGTGTACGACATGGATGCGGACGACGACGCAATGTGGGACGCCCTTGATGCTATGGACTTCGATGCCCCTGCGCCACAGCCTCCGCCGCAGAAACAGAAGCCTGCCCTTCCACAAACAAATCAGAATCAGAATTTCCAGGATGAAGATGAGGATATGTGGGATATAATGCGTGAGATGGAGCAAGAGGCGCAGGCGGAGAAGGCTCAGGCTCAGGCTAAGAAACCGGTTTCTAGTGCAGGCCCTGCGGTCAGTGGTCTTGTACCACATGCGAAGCCTGTGTTAGAAAAGGCAGCGGATGAGCACGAGTGGGACGATATGTATGATTAGTGGAGAATCGAGTACGGGCATATTCACCTTTAATTTAGCACTAGTATCTGCTGAGGATTGCATTCAGTCATAGAGAACGAATGTGTGATGTGATACACCAATGATCCACGTAGGGAAAAAGATAAAGGATATAGGATGGGGCTACTCCGTATGTGCGTGTGCGATATCCCCTACAAGACTAAGCTACTCAAAGAATACACGACCTAGAATGCCCTAGCCAAAACCGACATATACAAACAAACAGGGCCATAGATGGCGCAACCCTGAAGCCAAAAACGCTGGTCCTCACAGTTCACCTTCATCTAACAACTTTCTGTACTCTGCTTCCCAATCTCTGTCAAAAAGAGTTTGTATCCTCTCCGCGATAACCGGAATACGCATTCGGCTAAGAATGTGTCTTTCGATGGGATTCTCGACTGCCGCCTTGACAGCTGCTACAAATCCAGCATGGTCGTCTCGATGGACATTGTATACGTATCTGTGTGAAGAACATCCATGATCAGGAGATATGGTCTTATCAGGTTTAGTGGCGAAGAAACACTCACGGGGGGTTTAGATGACGAAGAAGGCCATGTTGTGTGGACCAGGCCATCCGGTTCGTCTTGTTGTTCTCGTCCCACTGGAAGAGAAGTACGGAAGCATGTTGGCCTCGATCTCGGAAAGCAATGAGAATGACGAGGCACGTACACTAAGAATGGGATTGATGAATGGTACACCTTTATGACGCAACTCGGGAAATCAGCGGACTTCCTTGCTCAAGGTAACTAAAGCCCACTTACCCAGACAAAGAGCTTCATAAGGCGTCGGAGACCTAGAACGCACGACACGCTTTTGTCAGTGCCATAGCCCCAGAAATATAGTCTCCGAGGAGGAGAGTGGTTAGCTCACGTCCACGGCTGTCCCACCCCAATCATAACCTTCGAGTGCGCTACCTCTTCCATGAACTTTGGCTGAGGTAAAACACCTAGGTTCCTGATACCTTTGGGAAGCTCTATTCTTGAAGCTTCTCCGCCGTCCAGCAAGTTCGCCCCGAGGACTAGTTCGATACCCGCGGCTTCCACTGCGTCCTCATAATAGTCGTTTGACCACGCTCTCTCGGGAATAGGAGTGAAGTAGTGTAGACGTTTGGCCATGACTAAGGGGCATCGAATATCTAAGTAAGGTAAATCACAAGGTGAAGGATGCGTGAAGGCATACCATATCCTTGACCACGACGTTGCGCCGGTGGAACATATGGAGTCGAAAGACAGGATGGCTCGACAGAGTAGCCAACGTACGTATTCGGGTTTTCGTGGCCTTCGAGTTCGTATGGCTCTGGATTTAATGTCCAAAGTCGTCCTGCGGCGAAAGTAAGGTCCGGGGAGTTCGGAAAGACAGGTATCATCAGAAGGTTACGAACCTAATGGATGAGCAGTATGCACCCAGAAATGCCACTAAAGGTAAGATCATGAGCAAGACTGCTGGCTACAATGAGAAATACGAGTACTCACACTGAATATCTTCCAGATAGGTATACCGTGTGGGTTTCGATCAGAAAGTACACAATTCTCAGTATCCGCGTGACAATTGTAGACTTCTGGCACCTCCAAGAGCACAGCTTTGACCATTTTCGGGAACATCTGGTAGAGCTGAACGGCGCGATCGTTGTTCAAGGCGTACAAAATAGTGTAGTTGCGTTCCTTGAGAGCTAGGACCTGCGTGGGGTCAGATACAGTCGAGACTCAAAGTCTAGATTAGAGTACCGTTGACCGACACCTATAAGGGAATATGACAACGTCAAATCCAGCGTATAGGAATCGACAGTCAGTATTTCTTACCACATATCCTCTCCGCCATTCCATCCGACCAGAGCGCCGAGAAAATGATAGGACCCAAGGATAATAACTGAGCCATAGTAGAAATCAGCGCTGAAGTGCTAGCGTCGTGGCATTGGCATCAAAACAAGATAATATATAGCACCCACTTTTCTTCTGATTCGGCGCACATGTCCCCATCTCCATACACTGAAACAAGTTCGTTATCATCTTGTTGTTGTCGTTCGTCCACAGATTATCTTGCTCCACCGCCGGAATCATGGCGTGGCTTAGGCGTGTCATGTCTGGCGAGGTCTCGACGTTCCAGTCATCCTCGCTGCCTTGAATAGGGGATACGTCGCCAGAAAATGAAGGAAAGTGAATGTAGTTGTTGTAGGATATTTGATGTGTGCCCGAATCAGACCTGCCAAAGTACAACGCAAAGCCAAGCCCCACAAGTAAGACTTGCGTGACCACGACAACTTTGCGTAGTGTCGACCTATTCCGACTGCTGTAATAAAAGGGAGTTAGTTAACGTCTATGCCTCGGTTGTTTCTGTACTCGAGAAGTGAGCCCACGAAACAGACTCACAGTAGAGGGGCCATTTCTACGAGCAGCGGGATGGGTGGGAGCGTCAACTCAAAGGATGTCGTTTGCCGGTGCACGCCCATTTATGTACGCAATACCAATCGACCGGCGCTTGTCGACGCAAGTTCAGAACTTTTGGTAGGAAGCGGGGCCGAGCTGATCTGTATTGTAAACGCCGATTGTATCCGTTCAATCGACGCCTAAATTTCGAACTTGTGGCGGGACCTCTTGGCAAATACGGCCAGATTCTGGTTTCCGGGGGAATGAACGTGCCGATGGCAGCGGGTAGCGCTAAGATAGCAGGTCCAGTGCCTTGTACTACATTTCCTTCTGCCGCCAACCTACAAAAATGGCCATCAACGAATTCATCGAGACGGTTTACTTGACTGGCAGCATCAGTTCTGGCCTACAGATCAATGATCAGCGAGGAGCACAGGGATACTTGCAATGGTGGGACGGGTTCCACGGTGCCATAATCGCAGAACGACAGTGTTTCATCCTTGTGCCACCTCTTGTTGTCATGATGTCTTCAGGGAAGCAGTTAGTCTAGTGAAGAATGAGTCTCGATGCTTTCTTCCGTCTGTTCTGAAGGAGCAGGATAAGGATGATGGAGCGAGGTCAAGGCCGTGCAAGAGACTCGTTCCTCCACCATACCCAAACCATACCCCTAGTATAAAAGCAAGAGCCGGAAGTTCGGGTTTGCAACGGTCAGATCCGTGTGCATAGCCAGTCTATCGGGACAAAGTGCCACTGACACCCACTAGCAACTGATCTGCATAGACCATCGACTCGAAGTCTGTAGCACGCGAGTGTCATTTTGTTAGCCTGTCCAGCCACGGCTGTACAGGTCAGAGTGAAGTGGACAGAATCGAATCACGCAAAAGCATCCCTTCACTCGGGACTGCGCAGGTTGATTCGGGCGCCCTAACGCCATCGGAATTACATGTAGAAATACAGCGTCGATGGATATCTGTACAAGAAATGAGAGCAAAGACAAAGCGAGGAGGTAGTTCAGCCCTGCTGGGGCGGCATCCCAGAGTACTGGCCACCCGAACCATGGTTGTTGGAGAGCTGCATCTGGGCCTGAGCTTGACGAAGGTGGTGCTGTTGCTAGTATCACAGCGAAAGCACACCGTCAATATAAGAACCAACATCCATGCCTGAGTCTGACAGACTCACCGCCATATTCTGAAGGCGCATTTGCTCGATCATCTCCGGTGTGGGGTGGGAATGATGCGCTATGGGCATGTAGTGGGCTGCCATGTTCGAAGCTGGACGACTCTGCATATTCGGGGACGCCTGCAACATTCCGGTGTGCGGTTGGGCAGAGGGCGGTCGCGGTGGATTCGGTGTCGAGGAATTGCGCGGCGGGGACGATTGAGATACCGAGGGAGAAGAGGTGGCGGCTCGAGAAGCATATGATGGCGAAAGGTGTGTCTGAGTGACCGAGGGAGCTCCAGCGGCCAAGTTTGCATTCGCAGCAACAACATGCGGAGGCGGGTGCTGACGTTGTTGCTGTTGCTGTTGCTGTTGCGCCTGCTGTTGTACTTGAGCGTGTAACATCTGGAGTTGCTGGGGTGACATCCGGACGTTGCCCGCGACCATAGCTGAAGGGACGCGTTGCTGCTGCGAAATATTCACTTGTTGCTGTCGGATCTGCGGCACACTTTGATGGGGCGGCATACCGTTTGCTGGCCTCGCCTGACCGTTGGGTACTTGCTGTGGGACGGGCTGCGCCTGGGAATCAATGTTGCTTAGAAGTCTGATCCAATCTTGCCTACATAGTTTACTATACCTGATTGGCGGCAGCCATACGCTGTGCTTGAAGTACGTTTTGCTGGCGCATCTGCTCAGCCCTTGCTTGAGCTATTTGGGAGTCTTTCTCCGCCTTCATCCTGCTCAACTCTAAAGGACCGTATCTTTGCATCTTATTGTACTGCAGGTGGGTATCGTGCGGCTGTGAGTTGGGCTTACGCTGCGATGCTGGCACAATGGAACTAGGTCAGGCTTCACCCACACAAATCGTAACGAGTTCCAGCGCTCACCGTTAGCCTTCTGGTTTAGCTCCCTCTTCTTTCTCAGCTTGTTCACGGTGTCGTACACAAGGATATGTCTTCGCCGTCTCCTGACCTCTGTCCCTGGGGCAGGCGTGGTCAATGCCCCATTCGCAGGTGGATTGGAGATGCTCGCGAGCCTCTTGCGCGTCTGCATCTGCAGCTGAGGACGGGCGGGCGTTGTTGATGATTCGCCATCCGCATGAGGGGTGTCTCGTTCCCGGCGCCCACCCATAAAGCGCGAAACATATCGCTCTTTGCATTCCCAATCAGTCCTCTTGTCAGATCCGGCGGCGCGTCGATGGAAGTTGAACGTGTCGGCGACCAGAGTCCAGTTCCTTGGATACCGCTCCGCTAGCTTCTTCAAGAGCTGTTCGTCTTGAGTGGTCCACCAGATCTCTCTCATCCTTTTGTCGGCGTCCGCAGGTGTGCTAGGTAAACGGGAGTCATCGTCGACATAGTTTGCATGCTTACGACTCTCGAATAGAGCTATTGGATCCCACCATGACTATCAGCTCAGATCCAAAACTCCAAGACAACGGACATACCACATGATGTTTCGTCACCAACCCTCGGAGGAGGGCCCTCGAGGTCCGCCGAGCTGAGCCCGTCATCTAATCCCGTCCAATGCCCGTCCTTCCAATGCTTCGATGGTTGTAGAGGGCCAGTCAATGTCGGTTTCTCGCGCGTAAATCTACTCAGAGGGGCCAACTTCATAAGGGTAGCCTCCTCAATCCGTTTGTGAGGATCCTCTCTGTCGACTTTCGTCTTCTTCTTGCTATCTGAGGTGGAAGAAGTGGTGACAGCATCGGGAGCTACATCCAAAATGGTGTACATCTGGAGATCGGGAAACAAGCTCGCGAGATCTGCGGGTGGAGGGCCTTCTTCAGGAGGTGCATGCTCTGCTGACGCCGACGAGGGCTTCTTGACAGGCGGGAAATCGTCGAGATTAAGGAACAGAGTACTCTCGTCAGAGTATGCGATTTGACTGCGATAAGGTGCGTATGCATTGGACTTAGAACTCGGTTTGTGGGAGGTGGTTGTAGGGTGTCCGGTGGTCGTTGGCGCAGGATCACCTCCCAAGATAGGATTGATCGAACTGTGGCGCAGAGCAGATACTGCAGGATCAGGAGTCTGCGAGGTGGGTTCGGCTGCCGGTGTGGGTTGTTGACTCTGGTCGACGTCCATTGGGGCTTCCGTAGCGCCACGCAGAGGGAAGGAGTCGTCCATGTCTTCTTCCTTCGGACGAACATGATCTACAGCTTGAGACTGAGACGGCTGAATCTCAACTTGAGTACGTTGAGAGTCCTCGATAGCGTCGTCGACGGCGGCGGAAGGTTCCAAAGCATCGACGACATCCTGTTTGTCTTGATCTTGATCGTCATCACTGTCGTCCGAGCCATAGTCACCAGGCGGAAGATTATCTTGCTCAGGTTGAGATTCTTCGCGATCCATGGGATCCTCAGGAAGAGCATCGTCGACCTCCTCGACTTGTTCTTCCTCACGAGGTTTGTGCCATAGAACGATGATACCCAGTCGTTTCCGCTCTGCTTCACTACCTGCACGATGCCACTCGAGTACCGCCGTGGACAGGTCGAACGCCAGGGCAATCTTCCACCTGCGCTCCTCGCGGAAGTCAATGCGCATCCATTTCTAAGTTCGGGGTCAGCATCGATCGGGAAATAAGAAAAGATAGAGTCATACACACCATTTCTTCCAAGAGATGATCCCAATGTGTCTTGGTCAAACCGCCTACGCCTCGTTGCTTCTTCATCTGCCTATAGCCCCATTTTCCATCGTCTTTCAACGCCTCTATCTTCTCCATGACCCTAATAATGCGTAGCTCGTTATGAGCAACCTGTAGCAAGATTCAGTAACTTCGATAGTAACACAAGGGGAACAGAACGCGCACATTCCAGTCAGAAGTACTCAAACATTTCGCGGTACGGGATATCTTCCTGTAGATAGGATTGGCACGCATCATGACCCCCAACTTGTTGAGCCCACTCGACTGCCACTCCTCCTTGGTTTCCCGACGGCTGTCCCCTTTTTCGCGTTCCTTTTCGCGTTTTTTCTGCTGCTTTCCTGACTTGCTCTTCCGTTGAAATTCGGGAGGTAGGTCTTTGAGAGGAGGAAGTGTATAGCCACGGTCTGGAAGGGGGAAAGGTGAACGAGGTTGTTCTGGTATCTCACTTGGCGGGGGCTCCAATGGGAAGTTGTAGCTAGGCGGTGCGGTAATGGGGGTCAGGCGGGAAGGAATGGTGATGATGGTAGGTTCGTGTATAGGAAGAGCGAGCTCTGCGGGAGACATGACTACTTCTGCTTCAGCGGTAGGTTGCGTGGTGGGTACGGGGGGATCGAGCACGACAGTCTTTTCTTCCGGTACAAGGTCTTCCATCTCCACATCTTCCAGCTCGACCTTGGCGACGATGGGGTCGGACTTCGGTTCAGGCGAGGAAGGGTGAGATAATTGTACCACAGATTTTGAGCGGGACGAGCGGGAAGGTTGGCGTGAGGACTGCCCCTCGAACGGCATGTCTGAGGCAGGAGACGATGGCATGTCGTCTAGTTGCGTGTTATCTAGCTCAGCATCTCGTACATCGACAGCAGTCTGCGGAGGTTCTTGCAAGTCGATCGAGACCTGTGTATGAATTGGCGATTCATTCCGAACGGAAGATTGGACAATTTCTTGGCTAGTTGGTAGAGATGAAGATGGGGAGCGTGGATTTAATGGTATGGGTGGCTCAGAGGCCTCATGCCCCTCTTCCACGGCATCCACCTCGTGGTACTCTACAGATAGAGGTGGTTCCGCGCCTTCGACGTTCAATATTTCTTCAGGCTCTGCGGACAGTCGAGCAGACGATATAGGAGGATCGGACATAGGAGATTCGTGATGGGCTGGGGGTAGTGGTTCTGCGTCCTGAGTCTGGAGAACTAACTCCGGCGTACTGTCTTTCATGCCTTCGTCCGCATTTACTTCTATAGACGGCTCTCTCGAAACTTGTGGAGATGGAACCTCAAGCTCGGAATCAGGGATGGTCAAGATGCTACCAGCCTCAGGACTACCGGCAATGATAATGAGATCCCAGCTTGGACGACGGAAGTAGTAGACGCACTATTTGGACAAGTCAAACCGCTCAATGAAGTATTCCACGCCCGTATACTCGCCCTCGTCTTCCTCTTTAAACAACGTTGAGCCCACGTTGCCGCGACGTTGAATGAGATAATACATCTCGCGTAGTAAGTCCCTGCGACGGTCGGAAATTTCGCTGTTGATATGTTGGAGGGTCAGTCAGTCCCGCGAGGATGTCAGCTTGGGCCACACACCTCAACTGAGCCATCCGCTCTTCCACCAACGACTCGAGCTCTTCCGAGACCGACATGGTCTATGCAAGAGAGCTCCAGAGTTCGGTCCAAATTGTGTTGTGTACGCGCAGCCTTGGCGGAGCTCAGGAAGGACCAAGCGCAGGTGTGTGGCAAGGAATGAGGTCGCAACAGGATTCGCCGAGCCGTCAAGACCTCTATTTCAGAGGCGGGGTTTGAAAAGAACCGAACAAAGGTAGACGTAATAGATATTGAGGTGACTGAGAGGGTGAACAATAGGCAATGGTATAATGTTCGGGCAGGTGTCACGGTCGTGGTTCAGAGCAACCTTTGCATTCCCTTTTTGGGCGACTGTGTCTTACGCCACATCGCGAGAATAAACAAGCATCCACATACGCCCACATACACAGCAGAGGTGAATTCCCGCACGAATAGCCCGGCCATCGACGGAATGAGATTACGGGTATAGAAAAGAATGTATACCATACACGAATTCAAATCATTGAGAACGAGACGACAGTGTAGGGAGTGATGAGAACATGCGAGAGAAGATTAGCCTGCGTAAAGTGCTCTCGGAAAGGAGACATGCAAAAATACTTATAGGAGAAGGCAGAGGAGACTAGCAAAGGAAATAAATGTCCTGTAGCGGTAAAAGAGGGGCAAGGCAAAGGGGAAAAAAAAAGTAGAAAACAAGAAGAAAGAAAGAAGGTCCAGATGATGATGTGACGAGCGTGTATATTAGACCGTTATATCCTTTGCACTAGTACTTGAGTCCTTTCTTCGCTTGCCAGCTCCTCCCAGATTACCAACCTTTTTCAGACTAGACGATAGGCTGCTTTTCTTCTTCTCGTGCTTCTTCTTAAACTCACCATTGGTGGAGGCCGTCTCCGAATGCTCCTCGTCACCAGCTTCAGCTTCTGGTTCTACCGTGTCGTCCTCTTCGTCTACCAGCGTAGACTCTTGGTCAACGCCAATAACCCCAGCCGTGCCACCACCACCAATCAAGCGAACAGTTGTATCAGGTTCTGTTTCCTCCTCCTGTATCTCAACTTCCTCATCTAGAATGGCTGCAGGTTCGGACACATTGTCAGAAAGAGTCGGAGGCGATGCGGCAGGTGGCGAAGAAGACAGAGGTGAAGTTGAAGGCTCTATCGGGGCAGCGACATCAAGCGCAGGGGGAGCGGAATCGGCAAGCAGATCAGTGATATCGGCAAGAGGCGCGGATGCAGCTGGAGAGGGTGTTGGTTCGACCGACCGCGAAGAGAGAGATTCGGGTTCAGGAGACACGGGAAGCGGGATGAGCGCAGCTTCGTTTGTTGGTTGGGACGGCGTCGGCGCAGCTACTGGCGGGTTGACCTTCGATGATGCCAAACGTCTATCGTTAATCTCGCGCATCATGTGTTGCCTTCCGCTCTCAAGGTCGGTAGGTGAGGAAGCACCGGAGTCTGGGGTGGTTGGGGAGGGGATGATGTCGCTTTCGGTTGGGAGGTCCACAGGAAGAGGGGCCGGGGGCTTGGTGACGGAGATAGTGGGAACGGACTGTCGAGGCCTATGTTGTTCGACCTCTATGGGGGCAGGGATTGACTTGGGCGGGGGTTGTGCATTTTCGTGCGGCTCTTGATTTGAGAATACGGGAATGGCGACTTCAGCTCCTCCTGACCTATCCGTAGATTTAGCAAAGTCGAGGAAAACGGACTTCCTCTCCGGTGCCTATTTGAAGTTGTGTAAATACTCGATACCGAAAAGAGTAAGGATGAGCTACTAACCTTGCCCTTGTCTTTGGGCGATGGTGCCGAGAGGACCCCTGACTCCTGCCATTTCTTGAGACTCTTGTCCGCCCATGCCTCGAAGACATTCCAGCCCCGGTACTCGCCCGTCAACCTCAAGCCTGTACCCCCAGTGTCCCCATTCCCATCCCCGGTACCACGCCCACCGAAATAGCTGTCATAACCAAGGTCATCCTCACTACCCTCCGTATCATTCTGTCCACCAAGCTCAAAACCATCTCCATTTTCTAAATCCTCAACAAAGCTCGCTAACCACTTTGCCCAGCCTCCCTGCCCGTCCCCACGCCAAAGCACGACCTTGGTGTCGAAATCACGTCCAAAAACGATGACCTGGCCGACAGAGCCACCGTCTCCTGGGTTGAGATCCACACCCACGTAATTGCCGGCTTTGTCAGTGATGAGTGGTATCCAGCCGCGCTGCGAGTATTCCTTTCGGATCCAATTAGGTGGGATGGATTGCATAACCTGGCGTAATTGCGAATGGCCTCCACTGTTGGGATCATCATCGACCTCCCTCCAGAACCTCCACTCCTCCAAGACCTCTTCGAGAGGAAGTAACACCAGACCGAAGAAGAGGCCCTCTGAGCACCCGGTGGAGGACTCCGGCTCTTGTCCATCTACAATGAGATACGATTCGCGGACGGCCTGAGGAAGAGCGAAGCCGAATTGCATCTCGATATCGGCGAGGTCCTGGGGGAGGATACCGTAGTTAAGGGTATCACCGAGCTCGGGATATTCGTTGAAAAGCCATGCTTTTAGACGGGTCCATGTCTGTTCTAGGGGAGGATATGATGGAAGAGGGGAGAGGGGAGCATGGTGAAGGGGCAGCAATGAAGTCGGTCGAGAGCGAGACGCGCTTGTGTTCGACAGCGATGAATACAGCGAAATAGAGGATGACGAAAGTGAGCATACCTCGTCGGTACGTAGTCATACGGATTGTGTCCTAGGCCGGACTGAGGAGGGTAAGTGAAGGCTGCGGAGGAGTCTGGCTCTGGTGTGCCGAGCGTGTCGTGGTAGCCGTCTGCTCTCGGGCCAAAGGAGGGCGAAGGCATAGAAAAGGCCTCTTGGGTCGCAGTGAGCGCCTGAGAGCGTCTGTTGTTGGACTTTGAGCCAAACAAGGAGGCTAGCCAGCTCATTATTTGAAAGGAATGCTAGGTGTCGTGGCCGTCGCTATCGTAGTCGGGGTCGGTCGTCGTCGTCGGTGAAGCGTGCGCTCGCTTCTGTTGTCGCAGGCCCGGTGGCACTCAAGTCCAACCCGCCTCACTTCCCTTTTTCGGTCGATCGGCGAACGCCACTCCCCTCAGCGCCGCTGCGCATGATGCGTGATGCCGCTCTCCAGCGCCACGCAGCTTACAGCACCTACCCTCGTCGACACCTTTCCAGAACGCCCTCGTTTCGACACGCTGGACTGATACGCGACAGAGTGCATCCACAAAGCATGATAGTATTACAGTCCATGATCTATGTAGTCGTCTACTCCATCCGCCCAAGGTTTTCCGCCACCTTGAACTTCGCATCCGTCTTCGCCGTCACCTCCTCCAATGTCACTCCAGGCGCCAGCTCAATCAGCGTCATCTCACCCGCCGCACGGTCAACGTTGAAGACAGCCAACTCGGTGATGATCTGGCTCACGGCCCTAGCGCCCGTCAGAGGAAGTGTGCACTTCTGCATGAGCTTCGGGCTGCCGTCCTTCGCACAGTGCTGCATCAGAACGATGACCTTCGTGTTGTCCGGGTTCGACACGAGGTCCATGGCGCCTCCGATACCTTTCACAAGCTTGCCGGGAACCATGTAGTTCGCGATGTCTCCAGCCTGCGAGACCTGCATGGCTCCGAGGATGGCAACGTGCAAGTGGCCGCCACGAATCATAGCGAAGGACTCAGCCGAATCTGTGACGATAACATCAGTCTCTCTGCATCCGACTCTTCTCACTAAACACGACGTACCGAAAGTTGAGGCACCAGGGAGCAAAGTAGCGGTCTCCTTGCCGGCGTTGATGATGTCACTACACGCACAGTGAGTCAAACGACCTACGCACTGACGAGATCTTTCGATGGACTTACGGGTCGACTTGGTCCTTGGTGGGGTAAGGGCCCATCCCAAGAATGCCATTTTCGCTCTCAAGCCAAACCTTCACGCCGGGTGGGAGGTGCTCAGGGACCAAAGTGGGCATACCGACACCAAGATTGATGTAGAAACTATGGTCATGACGGTCGTTGTGAGATACGGCATTGGGGGTTGTGATGAACCGGAAAAAAAACATACCCGTCCTGGATTTCCTTAGCAGCACGCTTCGCGATTCTGTGGCGGAGATCCTGAGAGGGATCACCGGCTTTGGAGGCTGATTCAGCAGTGGGTGCGAGCTTCAGAACCTCGATAGCCTTCTCGTGGGTAGCTGAATAAAACTGATTATCAGTTCTTTTTACTTCATGGAGGCCCGTTCGATCTCAACTACTCCTTTATCAATCCGAAGGCTCACCTTGAACGATGCGGTCGACGTAAATACCAGGCAAGTGAATCTCATTGGGCTCCAGAGCTCCAACGGGGACGATATGCTCAGCCTACCAATAAGGTCAGTGGCAGATCTTGGTATGATCGTTAGGTGAAACAAACCAACCTCGACGATAGTCAACTTTGCGTTCCGTGCCATGATCGCGTTGAAGTTGTTTGCCGTGTAGCTGCGAGAGCATGTTAGTATTTATGATGGGGAGGTAGAAACTAAACCTTGGGACATACTTGAAGATACAGTTACCGACTTCGTCAGCTTTGTAGGCATGGACGAACGCAACATCTCCAGCGATAGCAGGTTCCAAGATGTATTTCTTGCCATTGAATATCCTGTCATTGTGTTTAATTATGGTACTTACTACGACGCAGTCAGACTCATAACGCACCTGGTTTCCTTTTTGTTACCGGGTATCTTAACTCCACTGTCCCAACCTCCAGAGTTGTAGCGAATAGGGATTTCTCCTGTTTCAACAGCCGTGTTTGCGCCGGTCGGAGTATAGATAGCAGGAATGCCAGAGGCGTGTGCACGCATCCTGTGATTATGTTAGGACTACCCACGAACAGCGAGGAAGTAATGAACTTTCGCATACCTCTGTAGACAGAAAAAAAATTGAAACATCAGAAACGTTCCGACGAAGTTCATGAAACGCAAGATGACGTACCTCAACGATAGTTCCTTGTGGTGCGAGTTCCAATGAAATTTCTCCCTTGAGATACATGGATTCGAAGTATTTGTTTCTGCACGGCATGAACGCATTGACATCATCATCAACGATACCAACGCCACACCGTTCCCACTCACCCTCCGAGGTAAGATATCAAGAGCTTATCCAGCTGCTTCGACTTCAATAATCGAGCTAGAGGCATCATGACGAGATTATTAACGACATTAGGACAGGCTGATACGAACGCGATCAGACTCACCAAGACCGTGTTCGCCGGCACCAGCATTGTTAGAGACGGCAGTCAGATTGTTGACCTCTCTTCTCTTCTCCAATGCACCGATCAACGTCTCGGGGATACCACACAATCCGAAACCTGCTCGCGTACGGCCGCCAGGTTCCGTCAGACAATTGCATCGTCTGCGGCGCAGATAAGTCCATGAAGTGGCGTACCTCCGCTCAGGATCGTGTCTCCGCTCTTCACGTCTTTGACCGCCTCATCTGCAGAAGCCCAAACTTTCTTCTTCTTTGGAGGCTCGGCGTCGACGATGACTGAGTACAATCTATGCCGTGGGACTGCGAATCGCCGCGGAATTGCTTGACGTGGGAGAAGGGGTAGAGCCCTGCTGTGCGGAGCCCTCACAGCACTAGACAACATAGTGCCTGAAGCCAAAGATAGTCTATGCCAGCAACGACGAAGTGTGGAGGAGAAAGGCTAGATAGACAGAGACCCAAGCTGGAACTGAGTTGAGAGGAAGGAAGATGAAGGGTGCGGGGTAAACAGGACTCTCCACGCCTGGAACACAGAGCGGTCTTATAAATATGCATATCGCAAACCCGGAAGATCTGAGCCAGAACCGATCGTGCAGTGGCTACGGGTGAAATGTTCTCCGAGTCGTTGACTTCTTCGGCATTGCACGGATGATGCCTGTGAAGAAAGATCGACTCGCACGGGCCATCCAGAGCACAAACAACGGTGTCACGGAGCGGAGAGATGGTTTGTTTGACGGAGTGGACATGTTCCTGCTGGGAAGCATGTGCTTTTTAGCCAAAAGAAGACCTGGCCTAGTTAAGGTCTGGTCCACCAGTAATTATACCCCAGGTCCAGCAAGTCTGCCGTCGAAATCCCTCGCACAGTTCAAGGAATAGAGTGACCAGGACAAAACAAACTTTCTGCAAGCATATGCAAGTAACTTGAGAACAATTATAGTCGGTCATCGGAAACAAGTCGGGGAAAGCTCCGATACTACGTTATGCTGGCGGACAGTTGGCGGACGCAGGGACCAGAGGTCGGACAGCCGTACTGCCCGACGCCGCTTGGCGCGGTTCCCCACACTTTCCACCCGTCCCCGCAACGTCCCGCGCGTTCGTCGTTCCGAAATCGACCGCGCAGTCATCGTCGGTGCGCCCCGGACATCACGGATCGCATCCGACTTTTATGTATATCATCATGAATTGAGGGACGTCCACTTGATAAACTAATGGTCTTCGAACAGGAGTATTTCATCGCAAGCGAACGTGGCACGATGCACACTGCCAGGGCCGATATGCGAATGGTACCGCGGTTCTGTTGTCTCCACAGCGTGCTCGAGTGCTGTTGTGGACTTCCCAGCATCAGCGCCAGCCATGAAAGTCACGGTGCTCAGCTGGCTTCTTGGTCTCTTGGCCCTGCTATTTCCGTTCACTCAGGGCTCTCACATCGCACGCTCGGCCAGCTTGACGACGCAGGTTCAGTGGGATAAGTACAGCCTCATTGTGAACGACAAGCGCATCGTTCTTTGGAGCGGCGAAGTTCATAGTACTTGCTTCCCTCCCTCCGATTTTCTCCATTCATCTGATCGTCGCTTGCACCTTCGTAGCGTGGCGTTTACCGGTACCCGACTTGTGGCCCGACATTTGCCAGAAGGCGAAAGCTGCGGGTCAGAAACACAAACACAGCTTCATATGATTGTCTCTGCTCACCCTAACGCCTAAATCACTGTTCCCGCAGGGCTCAATGCGCTGTCATTTTATACCCATTGGGGGCTCGTGAATCCCTCTGACGGCACCCTTGACTTCGACGGCTATCGTGCACTTCAACCGTTCTTCGACGCAGCCAAAGAAAGTGGTCTATATCTCATTGCGCGCCCTGGACCTTATATGTGAGTTCACTGAATTCGTCGCGCGGCAGCTCCGTATTGAACGATAAATATACACTCTCATTTGACAGCAATGCCGAGACCACGGCCGGAGGAATACCGGGATGGGTCACCAACATCGAGGGCGAGCTTCGAACCAACGCATCCGATTTTGTTGCAGCCTATACCCCATACTGGCGAGCTGTTGGCAAGATGTTTGCTGACAATCAAGTCAGCAACGGCGGCCCCATTATCGCGGTACAAATAGAGAACGAGTACTATTTGAACTGGGCGGGTGATATCGACCGTACCTGTGCGTATTTCAAGTGTCCCCCTGAGCGGTCACCAGCTCTTCGGGATGCTTACTGTGTAACAAATCGCAGATATCTCGGACCTCGAGAACCAGATGCGTGAGGTCGGTGTCGATGTTCCATTCACGTTCAATGATGCATCCCCAGAAGGCCGTCTCCTGAATGGCACAGGCGCAGTGCAACTGTACGGAGCGGTGCGTCCAATTAAATCATATCAATACATGATGGTGCTGGGTCACTCACTGTCCACTTTTATAGGACGCCTGTAAGCCAGTGATAAAGTGTGGCGTGAACAGCTACTGACCTATATCATAGATCCGCTCGGTTTCTCCTGCAGCTCTCCGGATTCGTGGTACACAGTCGACACTCAATGGACAGCCACTGACTTCTTTGCCACGACGAGTGGTGAGTATGACGAACCGTACTTCATTCCAGAGTATCAGATGTGAGTATCCTATATATCGAATACTCGAGATTCAGCACTGAACTCACTTCAACTTAAAAGGGGGGCTTTTGTTGGCTGGAACCAGACTGGTTCAAGTGGATGTCGTCAACTCACGGGTGCAAACTTTGAACGTGTCTTCTATCTCAACTCGCTCGCTATGAACATCAAGATGATCAACGTACGCAAACCTTTTTATTACATGCGTCTGCTCTCGTCTCAAGCAATGTCATAGTTCTACATGTTCTTCGGTGGGACGAACTTCGGCCAAATGATGTACCCCAGTGCGATCACCTCATACGACTACGCAGCTCCAGTCGAGGAAACTCGAGCATTGGTTCCGCACAAGTACGGGGAATTCAAGTCGCTCGGCCTTTGGCTTCGCTATGCGATCGACTTTCCACAAACCGTGCCTGTCGGAAACGGCTCAGCAGGCTACGTGGACAACTCTGGCGTATATGTGGACGAACTCAGGAATGTTGTCAACAACGCTGGCTTTTACATCGGACGCCAAACCAATAGCTCTTCTTTCGATACCCAGACCTTCAAGTTATCGCTGTGAGTTTCCTCATCCTCTCGGCTTTCTCATCAAAGCCTCTTTTACCTGAGCATTGGTCTCATCTCTTCGAGCCTGTCTTCACCTTCTGATCGAAATTGTCTTGCTACAGAAACACTTCTCTTGGCTCTTTCACTGTCCCAAGCCTAGGAGGAAACATTACCTTCGCAGGTCGTGATTCTCGTGTCTTCATGACCGACTTTCCATTCGGGTCAAAACAGACGCTGTTGTACAGCACTGCGCCAGTGATGCTGGGAACGACCATTGGCTCCCAAGACGTCTTGGTCCTGTACGGCGAACTCGGACAGACGTTCGAGATCGCGCTCCTTGGAACGCGCGGCCAGATGAAGCCTCTTTCAGGCGCTGCTAATGTGAACATCACCACAGCCACCGAGTCGGACAAGATCATCTTGAACTGGAACAGTATCTCGACAGGGGTCTCGACGTTTAAGGTCACTTTCGCGGAAGGATCGGTCCTTGTCTTGTTCGCGGATATGCTCACGAGCTATCAGCTTTGGAACCCCACTATCACCGACTCGAGCGAACCCTTCGGTGCCTACGCGGGCTACGGAAGTACGGAGTCGGTCTTGGTCGGAGGACCGTATTTCGTTCGAGATGTGGAATTGGAAGACAAGGAGTCGATCATCGCCTTGCGGGGAGATCTGAACGACACGGCATCCCTCTGGGTGCTTGGACCGTCACACGCAAAGGGTGTGTCCTGGAATGGTGTCTTGACCAAGGCGAAGAAGAACGCGTTTGGAGCGTGGTCCGTCGACCTGCCTGGTCCTCACTCCATCGGATCCGTGGTGACACCTCAGCTGGGCGAGTGGCGCTTTATCGACGCGTTACCGGAAATCGAGAAGGGTTTCGATGATTCGGCTTGGACGAAGGCGGACCACGTCACTACCCTCAACCCGAACAAACCATACGATGGCAAATCCGTGCTCTATTCCCAAGATTATGGCTTCATGCAGGGTGAGTCATGGACTGTTATCATTGTTGGCCGGGTTGGCTTGGTCCTGACAGAGCCTTGTGGTAGGTAATGTCATCTATCGCGGGCATTTCAAGGCTACTGGAAAGGAAGATGAGGTCAACATATCGCTTTCGACGGGCCCTTCAGGTGCTGGGAGTGTATGGTTGAACGAAGCGTTCCTCGGTAGCGGTAAGTTCATTTTGAAACCTTCGATACTGGTGCATCTTTTACTGACGGACCATGGTAGCCTATGTCGAATCAACTGCTGGGATTGAGGACGTCAATGCGACCTTCGCCATCCCTCAAGATGCGCTGAAAGTCGGGAAAGACAACGTATTGGTGAGCTACCACTTCTATCTGTGATATCCTGCGAACGAAAACTTACTCATTCACGAAAATTCAACAGACGATCCTGGCGGACCACATGGGCTTCGATCAGACAGACCAGACAATCGTCAACGGCGGTACCCCCAACGATATCAAGTTCCCGAGAGGTATTCGCGGCTACTCTTTCTCAACCGACCTCGAGTGGAAGATCCAAGGGAACTACGGCGGCAACACGCACTTCCCCGATAGAGTGCGAGGAATTCTCAACGAAGGAGGACTCTGTGCTGAGGTATGCTCAACATATGTGACCCTTTGTTTATACTATGCTCGATGACTGATGCTATCGACCTCTCTTAGCGGGCTGGATACCATCTTCCTGGATTCGACGACTCGAAGTGGGTGAAGCGTTCGCCTTCGGAAGGATTGACGAAGCCGGGTGTGGGCTTCTTCCGTACCGAGTTTGAGCTGCACGTCCCGAAAGGCCTGGAGGCTCCTCTGAGGTGCGTACTTTTCCCAACAGCCATTCCCTCCCTCGATGCTAATAATCCCTTTTAGTTTCGTGTACCCAGACACCACTGGCAACTATCGTTCTCAGCTTTATGTCAATGGGTCCGTCAAACGCGCATCTCTTGATCTATTATTTGGTGGTTGATCGCATTTTCTTTCCTCCAATATTCGTATAGCTGGATGTTCGGCAAGCGAGTGGGTGCTTTAGGCCCGCAATTGGTCTTCCCAGTCCCACCTGGAATCATCAACACCAACGGTCACAACACTGTCGCTCTCTCGCTCTGGGCACTGGACAACACGACGGACGCGAAAGTCATAGACGGTTTCTCGGTCGAACTCCTAGACGGAACATGGACGACGAGTCGGGATGCTATCGTTTCCAACAATCCCGGATGGACAACCCGGAAGGCTTCTTGTTGATGGAAAACTTTACTGTGTGCAACGATATACCCTTCGGCGAGTGACGCCGAGAGTGTCCTTTGGTTTTACTTAATCCTATTTTATACATCGAATTGTTACAATTATATAGATGAAAAGACATAGGCCATGACTAAGATACCGAGTATGTGGCACTCAGTATGATCCCACTTTCTTCGCCACCTTGAAATCGGCATCGGTCTTCGCTTTGACTTCCGCTAACGAAACACCCTCGGCCAAGTCCGTCAACGTCAATTCTCCGTTCACCCTGTCGACATCGAAAGACGCGAGCTCAGTGATGATCTGGCTGCATGTCCTCGCACCCGTGAGCGGAAGAGTGCACGACTTCAGGATCTTTGATTTTCCCTATTGGTGGTCTATCGTCAGCTGCGACTCTAGCATCAAGGACGGGAGGCTACTCAACGTATTTGTCGCAGTGCTCCAGAACAGCGATGACTCGAGTGTTATCTGGGTTGGAGACAAGGTCCATGGCGCCTCCGATGCCTGAGAATGGATCGGTCAGTCAACGGCGAGTATATGATAGTTGGGCTTCTGACCTTTGACAAGCTTTCCGGGGATCATAAAGTTGGCGATGTCACCTGCTTGGGATACTTGCATAGCCTGTAATACGCAGGTCAATGAAAGTCTCGATAAATGGAGAAAACCGAAAAGACATACCCCGAGAATAGAGACATCGATGTGTCCTCCACGAATCATGGCAAAAGACTCGGAAGAGTCTGCAACGCAGGAGGCCATCAGTCAGAGCCTTCAGAGTCCCGACAATTGGGACTGACCAAATACAGAGGCACCAGGCAATAGCGTGACGGTCTCCTTTCCAGCATTGATAAGGTCACTAGCGTACGCATCAATATAATAGGCTCCTCTATGAGATTCACGAACCATGGGACTTACGCATCGAGCTCTGCCTCAGGCGGATAAGGACCCATTCCAAGAATCCCGTTCTCACTCTGAAGCCAAACGCTAACACCCTTGGGCAAATGTTCCGGCACCAGCGTGGGCATCCCAATCCCAAGATTAACATGGAACCCATCCTTCAACTCTCTGGCCGCACGTCGTGCAATACGATGACGGAGGTCCTTGGCGGGGTTCGGTGTGCCAGCTTCGGATTTCTCGGTCGCTACGGTCCTGATTTCGATTTGCTTGGGTGCGGTAGCTTTGACGATGCGGTCGACGTAGATTCCGGGTAGATGGATCGAGTTGGGGTCGAGAGAACCGACTGCGACGATGTTCTCTGCCTGGATGGAGTGCGCCATGATTCGATCAGCATGTGTGGCGTATAGGGGTTTACTCATACTTTGAGGTGCCACACACCTCGACGATGGTCAACTTCGCGTTCTTCGCCATGACGGTGCTGAAATTATTCGCCGTGTACCTGTTACATGCAACATATGAAGTCTGGTCGGAATCGTTGGACGATTCACAACCACAAACTCACCTGAAAACCGTGTTCCCGACTTCGTCTACCTTCCAAGCCCTGATGAACGCCACATCGCCAGGAATGGCCGGCTCGAGCACAAACTTCTTTCCTCCAAACTCCTTCGTCTCTTTCTTGTTCCCCGGAATCAACACGCCCTTCTCCATCCCTCCTGGGTTATACTTGATGGGAATAGAGCCCTCCTCAACGGCCGTGTTGGCACCTGTGGGTGTGTAGAAGGCTGGGATGCCTGTTCCATGTGCGCGCATTGTCAACGTCTACACGAATCAACCGTGTTTGTTACGTACCCGCCGCCGCCGCCCTCATTCGTTCTACGAGCGTCCCTTGGGGGACGAGCTCTAGTGCGATATTGCCTTGGAGGTAGAGTTGCTCAAAGAATTTGTTCCTAGAATACGACGAAGTATCGAGGGTAACTTCAATAAGAACCTATCCCCAAAACCAATGAAGGCCAAGCGACGCACCCGCCAATGTACGAAGCAATCATCTTTCCGATCTGACCGCTACGCAATAGTTTGCCTTGCACATGACACGGCATATCAACATGATGCTCTGGTATCCGAGGGTGTAACAAACATAGCAACTCACCCAGACCGTTGTCACCAGAGCCCGCATTGTTGGATACAGCGGTGAGGTTCTTGACCTCTGGTCTCTCCGCTAGGGCACCGATGAGGGTGTCTAACCATCGCGTTGAATGCCGTGCGTCAAGCCCTCTGGAGTGAATGCTGAAGAAACGAAGATCAATACTACTCACCTGGAGTCCCGCACAGACCAAAGCCTACAAGGCGAATCCCTCTTCGTAAAAGCAGACAAAGCACTCAAGGACTGAAATAAAACGCACCTCCGCTCAGCAATGTATCCCCGCTCTTGACATCCGCTACAGCATCTGCAACCGAGTCGTAGAATTTTCTCTTCTTAGGTATCGGAGCATCAACTGGCGTACCATACGCCCTCCTTCCACCAAGTCCTACTGGGTAAGAGAAAGTTAGAAGAGCAGTGAGTTCCGAAGAAAGTCGGTAGCGCGAGCGTGCCGCCGGGACACGAGACGCGACGAGGCGCGTCCGATTCGAGAGCATGATGTTCGTTCGAGCTCAGGCTCTCGTCTAGCTCTCACTCAGACGTGGTTGGAGGCAACAATGAGGGCGATGACGGCTGTTCAGAGCGACAGGCTTTATATTTCATGCAAGCGGGCGGCGGTGGAAGGGGCGACACCTGACCAGGAAGGCGACCGTGTCGGGCGGGTCATCACGCTTTGCCTCCATTTGGCAAGCAAGTTCGGTATGAACAGAGTCGCAGCAACGCTTCCAGTGAACCTCTGACCAAATTAGACGGTCGATGTCTCTTTCGTGCTGTGTTCGTGAGAGAATCGGCCGACGAAAACATATAAGTATGTACGAAGGACCGAGGACAACGCTGCAGAGTCCAAAGAATACATATTCCACCAATGTTCCGATATTCGTGTGGCCCAAAGCCCCTATTCTCACAGTACATACACATTTCGGAATTCCGCTGGCCCTGTTGGCGACTATCACATCTCCATCCAACCCCACCTCTAACGTCTCCTCGGGGGGCCTTTGGGCCTTGCAAAGCTCTTCGCTACATCACTCGCCGGTGGCGCACCAGGGGTCGAGGTCGCACAACGCGCTTGGTCTACACTGGTGGGCGTCAGCTCGAACTGAAGGTATGCCTCGTTGAGCTCAGATGGGTCCGATGTCTCGATCTTGCGTGTGGCAAGGATCTCAGCTGGGATGAACTGCTTGGCGTATTGGTAGAGCGGTTGGCTGCCGGAAGAGTATATCATACGGTGCTTGACGGGAGAGCCAGATGGGCAAGAGTAGATGAAGACTGATGCAAGGGATAAGCACAAATCAGGAACTGAAACAATCCCCAGGACGAACCAATTTTCGAAAGCTTGGTGTAAGCGTAGAAAGCATAGCCTGAGGTGATGGGCATCAAGTCAGGTGTGAACAAGAAAAGTCGTCAACATGAGACATACAAGGTTCGGAGGAGGATATGCTTGCTCCCAGTTCGTCGGGCCCACACTGGACGTCCTTGGTCAAGACCAAGTTCTCTGCAGTGGTATCCGTATTCTGACAGTCACACCACGCTCAACAGCCGTCATATAAAACCAGGGAAGACAATCCGAGAGCATACCAGAACGATCAGACGATCCTGAGAAAGACTAGTCATGTCCTTGACGGCATCTTGGACATTCTGAGGCCATTGAATTCCGATTGGAGTTCCAATGTGATTCTGTCTTGCTCTACTACCCTCATATGTTGTGCTCTGACGCTCTGCAGCCTTCACCTCCGCCATTTCTTTCTCTCTGGCACTCATGGGCTGAGGTGCAGCAACGTGGCGCTTGTGTGCGGCATATGCAGCGGGAGTAAGGTCGTCCTTCGAGGTGGCGAAGATGGTATCGGTGAAGAGGCTCGAGCCCAGTCCCTTGGTCAAAGAGTTGCGAGTCGAGGCGTATAACATCTAGAGCAAGTGGCTCTGAGTAGTTTGGTCGCAGGCCTTGGCATCGTATACGCACCTTGTCGCGAACAGGGGCCGAGTCTGGGACGTAGTGGATGGCGATCCACTCAGTGGGAGGATCGTCTAGACGGACGAGAACGTAGGCGGGCTCCTTTTCCTCAAGAAACCCATCTATCTTCCCGAAATCAGATTCAACAGATCCAGATGCATTGATTGTTGTGTCCGAGACGAGAGTCTCTGTTTAGACGCAAGCACGGGTGTTAGAGTTGGGCGAAGGGCACAAGTAGCAGAAGGACATGGACCATTGCGGATGGAGACCTTGATGAAACGAACTGACTGAGATGAGGTAGCAGATGCAAAGGCAGAAGAAAGCTCAGGAGAGATACCGATGCCTGAGGTCGCAGACATCGTTTGGGACAAGGAAGTGAAGCATCGCCAATTAGCCGCGGGCCTTATAAACGACCAGAACTGCTACAAGTAAACGTAGTGATCATCAAGGATTGATCGTAGTGCACTACAACCGGCTTGTAGCCGGAGGTAATTCTAGGCGCGGCTTATAAGCCTTGCTTGTGCCCATCATCCTCCCTCCTCCCTGCAGGCTCCAGTGGAGCTCAACATTCTTTGTACCGTTGGACACAATGGACACAGCGCCGTTCGTACCGTATCAAGCTTACAAGGTGAGCTCGTATGCGGTGCGTTGTTGAAACTAATGCTAAGAGCAAGGGGCTGCAGTCGAAGAGACATTCTCGCAACCTGTCCGGCCAGAACACATCCCCAGGTCCTGCATCACCTTCACCGACGCGTCCGTCGACCAACGGCTCTTATTTGTCACCTCCGTCGTCGTCTCCTACGCATACTCACCCACCGTTGCCAAACGGTAGTTCAGTGCTGTCTCCCAATGGCAATGGGGTGCAGTACGGTCACACACGGTCATATTCCTCCTCCACGGACTCATCCGTGCTCATTGTACCTCGTGCCAGCTCTCCCACTCAGAATGCACCGTTGACGAGTGGTTATGCTACATACAAGAAGAGTGAAGCTGCTCCGTCACTGACCCCACCGCCGCCACCTAAAGAGAACCCGGTACAAGCACCACAGCCATCACTTGCAGCGCCTGCCATCAACCGAATCTCTGTTGTTTCTCCCCCCATCCCAGAATCAAATGCTGTAGCATCAACATCAACCTCGGCTTCGCCTGCTCCCCCTTCACCTTCCGCGTCAACTACACGAAGAACGTCCACCTTCCGCCACGTACCTCTGCGCGGCCAGTCCACTGCTCTCCCTTCGTCCCCACTCCGACCGGCCGTAGCACCCTCTCGTGCTGTCTCTCTGTCTTCTCGAGCGTTTGAGCAGACACTAGCTCCACCTAGAGAGCTACCACGCAGTAGACTGTCTTCCGATGTATCTCACGCTCGTCTGTCTGCGGCTCCACTTTCTCGAGAAACATCCACCGGTAGCTCCAGCAATGTTCGCATACCCTCTCCCCTCGGCCCCTCACCACAACCACCCGCAAAAGATAGACCACTATCTTCTCTGGATACGAATTTCTCTCCTGCTCTCACTCCCGAACCACACAGTTCCGCTTCTTCACCAAGCCGTGGCGCCACACTCAGCCCGATACAAACCGGAACCCAGTCCCAAGGCCATCCACCCACGCCTCCTCCCAAATCACCTTCTCCTATTTCTACTCATCCTTCCCGACCACCTTCTGGCTTCCACTCTCCATCCCCCAGTACCACTACCCTTCCACGCTCGACGACGTCCACACCTACACGTGTCTCCGCAGCTCCTCGTCAATCGGCGCCGTACCGTCCCGGGTTTCAGCCGAAAGGCGTTTATCGTCCTCGGACTGACGAGTTTCTCGACGCTCGTCGAGAGAAACGCGATGTGGATCGTGTAGAACGAACGCGATTGGAGCGTCGGCTCGAAAAGCTCATCACTCTGCATTTCAGCGAGCATAAACCTGCGAACAAGGAAAAGGCGGCCGAGACGGAGAAGAGACCGAATACGATGGCTATTAGGCGGGCTTCGTCTATTTTCGATTTTAATATCCGGGATTTGAGGAATATGGACGCTGGAGACCTGTGGCGTGGGGTTGTGACGAGCCAGACGCCTGCACCGGGGAGTAAGGCAGATATACGGGGTGAGCACGTTCGTTTGATAGAGTTTTATTAAGTCTAATCAACATTGTAGCCTCTGAACAGAGCATCACACCGTGGGAGGAGGATGCATCTGTTTCTCAGTGTCCACTATGCGCGCAAGTCACGTCCTTCGTGGCCTTTCCCACCATAACGCTCACATTCAATCCCGTATAGCGCTTCCTTCCACCCCATAACGAACCGGAAACATCACTGTCGTCTCTGCGGACGAATCGTCTGTGCTCTCCCTGTCAAGCGTCCTCAACGACCCGTAACCTGCTCCCTCCTCTTCGTCGCTGATCCCAAGACCGGGGCGATCGAAGAAGTAGGCGAAGGCGTGGACTACGGCGTTCGTAAGCGGACGAGCAGCACGGTCGGGCCCGCTCAGGGAAAGAAAACCGGGAAGGACATCACCGCTGAGGAGGAGAAGTTTTTGAAAGGCGTCAGGATCTGTCGGGACTGTTCTCCGGTGCTGTTGTGCGTCTCTCTTGTATCGTCTTCAGTCGCGCGGGGTGTAACTTGTTGTAACGTCGCGATCCCTCTTTTTTTGTTGGGTTTGGTTGGGGATGTGGGGAATGAAGACGACATAGGTATACACAGGAGGCTGCGCAGGTCCCGACGTTCTCAAAGCTCTACGATGCGTTCATCAATCTGGAGAAGGAGATCGAGGACGCTCTGCCTCTGTTTCAAGAGCTCCTCATGACCCTCAAGTTAGTCCTATCATCTTCGCTCTTCACGCGCTCGGCTCATAAACACATCGCACATATAGCAACGATGATCAGCCTACCGTAGAGGCCTCCGCCGCACGGAAGAGACTGCTAGAAGCGTTCGCGCAATACGACGCGCTTGCGAAACGGATACGGACGCTGCCGACTCCTGGACCGGGGAGTTCGCAAGATCGTGTTCAGGCCGCGATCCTCGCTCGTGGGACGGCTTTTCTGCAGAAAAATATGTTCCCTCTGCAGGTCAGTATATTCTCGACATCCCACTTCAGATTTAATAATAATTTCTCTTTTCTTCTTTCTATATCGTTCAGTCGCTCCCCAAACCAAAGAAACACCCCTCCCGAACCTCCTCAACCTCCAACTCCCCCGCCTCCACCTCTTCACCCGCCACACCCGCGCCCGCGCCTATCGATCCCGACTCCGAAGTGGCCCACGTCCTGCAGCCCTTACTCGAACAAGAGGCGCTGCTGGAGACGTTCGTGGAGCAGGCGGCGGCGTCGCGCAAGTTCGAGGACGCGAAGACTTTGAAGACGAATTTGAGGGAGATTAGGGGGGAGATCGAGAAGGTGTTGGCGAATGCGGAGGAGAATGGGGGTGGGATTGGGGGTGGTGCGAGTGCGAGTGCGAGTGGGAAGAGGCAGAAGAAGGGGAAGGGGAAGTAGATGTGTGATTTGTGCGATGCGATGTTGTTTTTGCCTTTACTCTTGGTGGATCTCTTGTTCTGGCTGTGTCCTCTGCATTACCACTTAATAAATGAGGGTGCATTCGCGGATACATTTCCGGTGATGGCGCTAGACTTTAGATTTTAGACTTTTGGTGAGATTTGTCTCTGCTGACTTTTACAGGAGCATGCATGAGACTGAGGTCTAAGGCCTACTGCTACGTACATATGTTGCTGATGCACGCCTCTGTGGATCGCACGTTTACGTCGTTGCCTGCACCACAAAATAGCGACTTGACTGTACGTCGCGTAAAGGGCAGACAAAGGGACGCATGGCATGGTATATCCCGTGAATCCCCCGAGAGACAATATATAAATGTTGTATGGATATCAGTGCAATGCAGCTACTTTTTGCCCTTCTTCTTCTTTCCCGACTATCGAACACCAATTCGTTCCGTGTCAGCAAGCCCGATCTAACAAAACAAGTAAACGTTAAAAGGCTTACCTTCGGTGTACTCTTCGAAGCAACAGAGCCTTCACCATCGCTCGACGCGGCGACGCTCTCGGGCTTGCTGATGGATGATGGGATAGCACCAGGCACAAGACCGTTGGGACGTTTGATATTTGAGGGTGTGACGGGTGTGACGGGGGAGGATGCGGGTGGGGGTGCTGGTCCTGCGGCAATGGGTGGTTTGGGACCGACTGGTGGTGACGGGGCAGGTCCCATTTGGACTTGTATGTGTCTCTTGCTCGGGCCATACTTTCGTTCTAATGTTTCATGGCCCAGGAGGGTAAATTCAACGCGTGCATAATAAGGAGGGGACGTTCGAGGTCAACCACTGCGCGTGTGGGCGAAGAAAGTGAGATGAAAGGGAGAAACGCGGACGTACCGTTCTCCATTCGCATTTCAGGTAGACGGTCCCATACAGACTTCGTCTTCTCATTAGCGATCATCTCACCCGCGGTTTGGAAGATGATTTGTCCCCAGCCCGGGACGAAACTGTTCGCTTCCGCGACGACCTCGATGATCTCCGCCTCGAGCTCCTTCTCTGCCGCAAGGAGACTGTTCCAGAGGTCATCGCCAATAGAGCCTTTCTGTAGAAGATTTTGGAGCGCGGGTTTGTCTTCGCGAACGCGGAGGATGCGTGTGATGTCGGTTACGGCTCGACGCATGAGAGCGGCTTTGAGGAGGGAGTCGGGTGTGGGGGGATCTGAGGTGTTGAGGAGGGTGACGTAGATGTCTCGTTCGAGGTGGCGAGGAAAGTAAGGTTCCAGCTGCTTAGCTGTAAACAAATACAATGACAATCAGAATAAATTCAATCCCAACAGTCTCTTTGTGCACTTGGAGATAAATTCGTGACGGGTGTGATGGTGGAAGTGCTTACTTGCAGTACGTTTACGGTAATATGTACCGAATGTGAATAAAGAGCCAAAGAGAATGAGAACGTAGAGAACGGGGACCCAGACGGACGCCATGGCGGCGGAACGAAATATGGAGGAGAAAAGGAGACGGTGAGGACGAGGAGTGGACGTGTGCTGGCACCAAACGGTGGCACGTCGACGGTGTTTGCTGTACGGTGCCACGTTCGACGCGCGCCTCCGTCAAGAGGCGTTTGTTTGGCGTTGTTGTCCCTTTCCAGTTCTCCGCACCGTGACTTGAACAATCATCCGTCCTTATTCTCTCGAACAATATGTCTGCTCCGAGTACCGTCACGGACTCTCCCTTTGGGCAACGCTGCCAGCTCAGAATTGACCTATTGATTTCACTCGCAGACGGACTGGGTAGATTGACTGGGCCTTGTTCGCACTCACACCGATCGGTTCGAGCCGAACGGGCTTCCCAAGCGCTCTCGTAACTTGCACCGTGATTGTTGACGGCGGTCAGCTGGCCATGTATGCTCCGGGGCGCCAGAATATATCCTTGCCGCCCTCGCCTACCCCGCCTCACTTATCCCGCATCTTCACCTTCTCTTTCCAGTTCTTGCGCTCCTCGATATGTTGCACAGAGTGTACTTGTCCGCTAAGCCCCTATCCAGGAGCGCCACCTGGGGAAGACGTTTCGCGTCTACCAAGGCGCGTCGTTTCTATCAATAGACACGTTGTTCTCGGTATTAAGCTCAGTATTACCTCTAGACGTTGAAGGAGGCCCTTCAGGAGGTCATTCCTGCAAAGCAAGCTCAGTTGAAGAAGCTTGTGCGTGGATTGACTCAACAATATTCTCAGTGTGCACACTGCCTAACGCGAACCATCGCTCGCAGAAAGCAGAACACTCCCAGAAGGTCATCGGAGATATCAAGGTCGAGAATGTCATTGGCGGCATGCGTGGACTGAAGTCCATGCTCTGGGAAGCTTCGGTCCTTGATCCTAACGAGGTGAGCTACTCGAAATCATTTATCACAAATAATGTTCTGACATTGCCGTGGTACAGGGCATTCGATTCCATGGTCTGAGCATCACCGACTGCAAGCAGCAGCTACCTGCAGCTCCAGGAGGCAAAGAGATCATAGCCGAGAGTATGCTCTGGTTGCTCATGACGGGCAAGATCCCCACCGAAGCCGAGGTCAGACAACTGTCCCGCGAGCTCGCAGAGAAAGGCGACCTCCCAGTAGCTGTCGAGAAGCTCATCGACTCGTGCGTCCACCCCTTCTCCAGCTTGCTCCTTGTCTAACATTGCATGAATAGTTTGCCCAACTCGCTCCACCCAATGACACAACTCGGCATGGGCGTCGCCGCTCTCAACCACGACTCTGCCTTCCAGGCCGCCTACGAGCGCGGCATGAAGAAGACAGACTACTGGACCTACACACTCGAAGACTGCATCAACCTCATCGCTCGACTCCCTGCTCTGGCCGCACGTATCTACAGGAATGTATACAAGCCCGGCCAAGCAATCCCTGCACTCGACAAGGAACTCGATCTGGTCGGAAACTATACGAATATGCTGGGCTATGGGGAGAATAAGGATTTGATGGAGTACTTGAGACTGTATATATCGATCCATGGAGACCATGAGGGAGGGAATGCGTCTGCTCATACTGCTCGTGGGTTTTCTTAAACCTGTGTAGGCATTCAAGAGTCTAATGCTCATGCGCGTGCTTACAGATTTGGTGGGCTCGACGCTGTCGGATCCCTACCTCTCATACTCCGCTGCCTTGTTCGCATTAGCGGGCCCTCTTCACGGGTAAATTTCGTCGCCGTCTTATCCTCCCGCTCGGCCACGTCCTCATAGTTGTTAACACTTTATACCAGACTCGCGAACCAAGAAGTCCTCCGCTGGCAACTGCTCATGCAGAAAGAGATCGGAGACAACGTCACGCATGAACACATCAAGGAGTACCTCTGGCGAACGCTCAAGAGTGGGCAAGTCGTTCCAGGGTGCGTCACATCCATTCCCCTTTCCTTCTCAATAACATCCTTCGCGTGGCTAACTCGATGGTAGGTACGGACATGGAGTGCTGAGGAAGTCGGACCCGCGATTCGTCGCGCTTTTGGAGTTTTGCGATTCGAGACCGGAGCTGCTCGCTAGCCCGATTGTCCAGATGGTTAAGAAGGTATTTTATTGCGGTGTTTTATCGGTGCTGATGCGCGGATCGGACGAGCCTGATGTGCTTCTTGACGGACTCGATAGACGTATGAGGTCGCACCTGGGGTGTTGACTGAACATGGCAAAGTGAGTGGGTTATGGACCACGTACAGAAAACAGAACGGTACTGATAGGCTTCACTCGTGTCTTGCAGACGAAGAACCCATGGCCGAACGTTGACGCCACCTCAGGTATGCAATATCCGACAAATTGAGTAGTTTAGGGTTCCGAGCTGACATTCCCACGATCTTTAATCTCCTCTAGGATGCGTTCTTCATCACTACGGCCTCACAGAATTCAAAGTTCGTATCCTTCCTTCCTTAAGTTAAACTCGCCGCCGTTCTTTCCACGCGCCACTTCCTCTCACTTCGACGGCTCTCAATCTAACGCACGTCCGTTTTGTCATTTAATATAGTACTACACCGTCATCTTCGGCGTCTCCAGAGGTAAACAATGTCGCCTGCCCTCTAGATGCTCTATACTAATTGCTCACGTACGAACGTATTCGCTCGCAGCTCTCGGCGCGTTGACCCAACTCGTCTGGGCACGCGCGCTCGGTCTGCCACTCGAACGTCCGAAATGTACGTCAATTATGATCAGTATCTTCGTCTCTCCTCGCTGACATGTCTTTGCTGCATCTCAATTAATAGCGCTCTCCATGGATGCGCTCGAGAAATTGCTCTAAGAGCTAGGAAGCGTGAGCCTAGCCTAGCCGCGTCCTCACTCGCTTCGCTTGCCTCGCCTCGCTTTGCATTGCCGGCGTTTCCCAAGTCACTTTCATTCTGGGGGGTTTTAGCTCGACTGCCAACCTTTTCGTAGCGAGGTTCGAGGAGTCGGGATGGGCGCATGGGCCTCGGGTGTCGTTTCGGATCAGCCTGAGTGTGGGACTATGCTGTGGATTCACTGAGCCGACGACAATGTATGTATGTACGATATTTGACAAACTTTTACTCAGGCTGGTAGGAACCTGTGCCAGTGACGGTGCCGGTGGATGTAGAGTACGTATGTATATGATTTCGTTGACTGAGGGAACTGGAGGCTAAGTAGCTGCTCGCATGTCAGTAACATAGCACATACGGTGTATATTCCCCTCCGATTTCAGATCCGACGTCAACATATGGTCATGGTCCTTCTGTATACAGTACAGTACGGTCATGGTCCTTCTCCTTCTACCCGCGAGCCCTCCAAATACGCGAACGAGGGAGGCGGTCATCCCTCAGTGCATGAGCCCGACAGTGCACTGCGCGGATATCACCGTCCAGCAACCGACTAGCGAACATCAGAGTGGGCGCGCATGAATGCATGGACGCTTCGACCGACGCCGAGCTACCAAGGCCAAGACCAACGGTAGGACTAAGACCTTTTCACAATTTCTTGTCGTGCTACCACAATTCACCACCACCGACCGAACGAACGACTGAAACCCTCAACTCCATCGCCAAGAGAACAGAGTGGGAGCTTGGACGGGTTCAAAGACAAGAAAAAAAATAACTTCATTGACGCACGATACCCTATCAGACAGAAAAGAAAAGAAAAAGGAAAGAAAAGAAAAGAAAAGAAAATCGAAGGCGAACAAGTGACACGGAGAAGCCGAACAAGTGACACGAGAAGCCGAACAAGTGACACGAGAAACCGAACAAGTGACACGGAGAAGCCGAACAAGTGACACGCGAAACCGAGAACGCAAAAGAACGAGAAAAGAGGGGAAAGAGAGAACGAAGGGCTGACTTGGTTGTTTCTGGATTACATATTTACAGACAAATGTTCAAACTTCACGCCACGCCACACATGGAGATTCGTAGAGGTTCGTAGAGCATGGCACGATTGGATTGGATGGGGTGGGATGGAGAGGGAGAATGGGATGGACGGATGGGTGGATGGACGGAAGAGCTTGTGCACAATATTGATACCAAGAACCGGGAAGACGAAGACGAGGATAGAGAAAGAGAGCTCGCAGACAGGACAGGGCCTTACAAGAAAGAACGAGGACCAGCCACTGGATAGAATAGATACTCGAATGCAAACAGGAGTTGCAAAGGGAACCACAAATCGATCTCGCTCGCTTGACAAAGAAAAAAGAGAAGAAAATTGGGGTATGAGAACAACAGCGACGACGATGACAGTCCAGTCCAGCCCTTGCTTGCCTTGCCTTGCCTTGCCCTGAACCTAACTTAGAATCGTCTGACAGGGACCTGCTGCTGCTGCTGATGCGGATGCGGCTGACCCTGGTGTGGCCCCGGATGTTGTCCCGGATGCGCATTGAACATGCTCCCAGGCGCGGGGTTAGGAAACTGTTGCGGCTGAGGGTACCCATTCGGCGGCCCCCGTCCCTGCATGTTCGGGTTAGGCGGGAACGAGCCGGCGGGGGGCATCATTCCAGGGCGACCGCCGCCGTGCGGAGGAGGGGCGAAACCGCCATGTGGTGGGCCCCCTGGGCCCCCTGGACCGGGTGGGGGGTAACCACGGCCGGCGTTGGGTGGCGGTGGGCCACGGTGTTGTTGGGGAGGGGGCATCTGGTGCGGTTGAGGGGGTGGCGGGTGTTGTTGGGGAGGAGGGGCGGCACCGGGGTCGCGGAGGGAGACTGGAGCACGACCGTGCACGGAGGGGGGACCGCCTCCTCCTCCTGGAGATGGGCCTGGCATCGGTGGACCGTTTGGCATGGGGGACGCAGCAGGCTGAGGCGGATTCTTCTCTGCTGCTTTGATTATCTCATCGCTGTCAAGGAGACGTGGCGTAAGTTGGAGAGTGGGGGTGGGATGGAGGGGCGGGAGATGGATGGGGGGAGACTCACTCGAGGAGATTGAGAGCTGCGCAGAGGACGACCCATTCGACACAGTCTTCGTTGCCCTCACCGAGGGTCTGCCAGACCGCCTTCTCCTCTGGCGTCTTCCCAGAGATGGTGATCCTTGTGCCACCGCCGTTCGGACCGGGCGGGTTCTTCTGTATCTTTCCGAATTCGATGCGCTTTGGTGGGATGTTGTGGCCGGCATAGGCGAAGTAGAACATGCTCCAGAAAGCGGCATTCGGGTTCGGTTTGGAGACCTGGAAGAGGGGGAGGTCTGGAGAGTCTGGGGCAGGAAGAGAGAGCTTGTAGATGGGAGAGATGACGCCTGTGTTCGTGATGGACCATTTGAGGTTGCGAGAGGCTTCGCAGCGGACGATCCGTGTGCTGGACGAGGAGTGCGAGTGACCTGGGTCGGACGCTGTGGCCTTGCCTGGGACATTGGAGTTTGGGCGCGGCGGGAAGAGCTTGGCAACGCAGAGGTCGCCTTGGGGAGAGGGCGTCAAGAGGTAGTTCTCGGCATTCTGTGCAGTAGTGGTCAGAGACTGCAAGACATATACTCTGAGTACGAGAACATACAAAGTTTGTGTGGAGATACGAGTAGAGGATGTTCGAGGGTTGACCTAGAGAAAGATGAGCAAGGACAGTAGTGCGCAGTGGAACAGCAGAGGCGTACCGTGGGGGGTGACGATGAGGGTCGGGAGATGGTTGGGTATCGGTGGGTGGGTCGGGGAGGTGTAGACGGCATAGATGGCTGGCAGAAAGCAGATTAGGTTAGAACGAGGAGGAGGAGAGAGAGGACGGACCGGCCATTGAAGGAGAGGACAAGCAAGAAGGAGGCGAAGCGTGCAACTCGCGCAGGCCGCCGCTTTAGTCTTATTTATCTGCACAGGCCGGATCAGCTGGGCGTGTGCTACGCAGTCCGCTCCTTACATTCTTCGCTATTTCCACCGTTGTCGACGACTCTTCCGCCGCCGCCAACTACGCCGTCGCCATCCCAGCCCCCATCGTGCTCGACGATCCCGCGGGCGACGTCCACGCCGAGTGGGGAACACCGACTGCTGGCAGCGCTGCAACGCGGTAACGAACATCGATTGCTCTCTTCATCCCGGTCCGCCACCTAGCTCTCTCCCGTACCCCCTCCAGCTCGCCATGAAGAGCTTCAAGAAGACACTCGTTCGTCGTTTACATTATCTTTTATATTCGGCCTTGCTTATCTGCATTCTTTCTATAGCTCAACAGGAAGGACTCGAGCTCGTCCAAGAACAAGGATCCCAAGCCAGCCGCCCAACCTTCTCCACCAAATCCTCCTCCGAACACTTCAAAGCCATTGCCAAACCCCCAACCGCCTGCACAACAGTCCCTCTCCTCTCTCTCCTCCAATAACAGCAGCAACCACTCTTTGAATTCGCAGAGCAATTCATCTCTCACCCGTACCGCCTCTCCCGGCTCCTCTCAGTCCTCGACAGATCGCAAGTACCCCTACAACGACAAGACCACCCCCGCGCCTCCCATCGTCGTCACCAGTCCAGACTCCGCTCCGGACCCCAATGTTCGTTCGGGCTCGTATGATGGAATCGAGAGGACGTCTCTGGGAGGTCTTGATGGCTCCGCCACTCCTCCCCGCGCCGGTACCCTCAACCGCCTCCGCTCGGGCCCAAAGGATACCATCCCGATGGTAGGCAAGCCGCCGAGGAAACAGAGGAGCAGTCGCTTCGTCGTTTCCGAGAAAGTCGAGATCGAGCGTCTGCCTCCCTTCCTCGGTATGTCCTCACTAGATCCACATCTCTCCTTCATATGCCCTTTCTTATCTATCTCTCTTAGAAACACCTCCGGCCGAGCGGCCACAGCTCTTCATCAAGAAATTGAACCAATGCCATGTCCTATTCGACTTCAACGACGCCAGCTCCGAGCTGAAAGGCAAACAAATCAAGGCTCAGACTCTGCACGAGATGCTAGAGTATATCACGACGCAGCGCAGCGTCATTACTGAGAACGTATACCCCGAGGTAGTGAAGATGGTATGTGATTTATTATTACCTCGCTTCCCCTACCGTAATCCTCAGCTCGCTCTCCCTCGCCTAGTTCGCGACCAATCTCTTCCGAGCTATACCCCCGCCCGTCAATCCCACGGGCGACGCTTTCGACCCGGAAGAGGACGAGCCTGTTCTCGAACTCGCATGGCCTCACCTCAAGATCGTATACGAGTTCTTCCTCCGTTTCGTCGAGAGCCCGGACTTCAACACGAACCTCGCCAAGCGATACATCGATCAGACCTTCGTTCTCAACCTCCTCGAGCTTTTCGACTCGGAAGATCCCCGTGAACGCGATTTCCTTAAAACCACGCTCCATCGAATCTACGGCAAGTTCCTGAACCTGCGGGCCCCCATCCGTCGGTCGATCAACAACGTGTTCTATCACTTCGTTTACGAGACCGAGCGGCACAACGGAATCGCGGAGTTGTTGGAGATCCTTGGGTCCATCATCAATGGCTTTGCTCTGCCGCTGAAGGAGGAACACAAGGCGTTCCTCATGCGCGCCCTCCTCCCGCTGCACAAGGTGAAGAGCCTGTCGATGTACCACCCACAGCTGGCGTACTGTGTCGTTCAGTTCCTCGAAAAGGATGCCGCGCTCGCGGAGGATGTCGTCATGGGCCTCCTCAAGTTCTGGCCCAAAGTGAACTCGCCCAAGGAGGTCATGTTCCTCAGCGAGGTGGAAGAGATCCTCGACGTCATCGATTTCGCAGAGTTCCAAAAGATCCAGGTGCCGCTGTTCCAGCAGCTCGCGAGGTGCATCAACAGTCAGCATTTCCAGGTGGCGGAGAGGGCGTTGTACTATTGGAACAATGAGTACATCGTGAACCTCATGAGCGACAATATGGGCGTCATTTTACCCATCGTGTTCCCTGCGTTGTATCAGAACTCAAAATCACATTGGAACCGGCGAGTGGTTTTTCTCTTTTGCTCGAATACGCATCTTGCTGACGCGATATGACTAGGACAATACACGGGATGGTATACAACGCGCTCAAGCTGTTCATGGAGCTGAACCCTGATCTCTTCGACGAGGTTACGCAGCAGTATAAGCAGAGGAGAATCGAGTGCGCTGCCCTTTTCTTCTCTTACGGTTGTCGATCGCATCTGACGCGACGTGTTGTTTATAGCGAGCGGCAGCATATGGTCGACAAGTACGAAGGCTGGCTCAAGATTCGGGAGAAGGCAAAGGCGAACGCAAACGGTCATCTGCCCGAAGGATTTGCGGAGGACGAGCCGGCTCCACCTCCGCCACCACCACCGGAGGACTTGGACATCATGGACCTCTCGATGGAGCTTAACGCGGTGTCCATCGACGGAGAAGTGCCACAAGATCTGGATGATACGGGGATAGAGAGAGTACCGATGGCGGATCCTGGAATGGATGTCAGTGGACAACAGCAGTTGCATACCTTTGGCAGTGGCTAATTTATTCTCTATCTCTTTCTTCCCTTTCTCTCTCCCTTTCTTTCTTCTCTCCCCATTCCTGTTGCACGACCCATGCTCTTTCTTTTATCTTTGCTTCGCACAATCGAAAAAACGACCGAATCGAATCGACACGGCTTTTGCAGCGACCGTTACCTGAGATTGGAGCCGCTCCGCCACAGTCGCCTACAGGTGCGGGCCCGCATGTGCGCCGAAAAAGTGTCCTGCCAGGTCAGCACTAGCCCATTTGTCAGTCTGTTCTCTGAATGCGAGTTAGTAAACTGCCTCTGTCCAGTTGACCCCACGGTCCTACGTGATCTGCAAGCGCACAAGAGCCTGGAAGGAGGAGCTGCATGAGGGAGTAAGTCGCTGTTATCATCATGAGTATGTCCGTTCGGACGATATCTTTCATCCTCTCTTTCTCTCTCTCGGAAATCTTGCACGCTGTTTCCCTGCTCGGAGTTGTGATTTTTCGTTTCGTTTCGCCTCGTCGTTTTAACGCTTATGCCTCTCCCATAGTTGTGTCTTTTTCTTCACACTCGCAGTTTGTCGACAACTACCTTACGAATTCTTTGTCACACAATCCTTGCCATCTCCTCCCCTTGTCGCTGCTGGGATGTTCTATATTCGCGGCCGGTCCTCGAGCGTTCACTTGTCTACTAAGTACATTCGGTGTACATATGAGTTTCGCGGATGTGGCCTCCTGTACTGCGTGAAGTGTTCTCCGTTGTTCGACCTGGACGATGTGTCTGTGGCCCCGCGTGCGTAGTATAGACGGCGTTCTTAGTTACCAGTTAGTATAGTCCCGATATGTTCTTACCTATCGTCGAAAACCCACACTCGTTTATTAGTCTTAGTCTTCTTTCGCTCTGTTCTTTTTGATCCTACGATTCTCCGCAATTCTAACATGTTCCGGATTCGGACTGAACGTTCTCGAATGGGCGAGGGGTATCCCGCATCGTGGTGTGTGCGTGCTGCGGGCAGAGGGCGGAGGGTGGCGGTGGCGGGGTGGGTGCTGCTGACGTAAACCGACGTCAGCGAAAGTGGTCGAAGGGCGTCGAAAAGGCCGGAAGGAACGTCCTGGAATACGACAGAACGTCGAAAAGCGATTATAAAAGATGGCAGCCCCTCTGCCCGCCCCTCCTCACTTTTCATCTACCACATCAACTCCCATTCGCATCGTATCGAGCACCCCATCCCCGCCTTTTTTTCCACACTTTTACGCTCTCGAACGCTCTTGAATTAAGCAATGTCTTCCTCAAAAGCCATCGGTATCGATCTCGGCACCACCTACTCGTACGTCTTTTTTTTTCTCTCTTTTGGGCAACCTGTTTCTTTGTGCTGATCTTGGGGTTTGCAATGTGTGCAGGTGTGTTGGTGTCTGGCAAAATGACCGTGTCGAGATCATCGCCAACGACCAGGGTAACCGGACTACCCCATCTTATGTCTCGTTCTCCGACAACGAGCGTCTCATCGGTGACGCCGCGAAGAACCAAGTCGCCATGAACCCTCACAACACGTACGTACACATACTTCTGCATAATCTCGACATCAACCGCTGACTTGTTGGTTTTTTCGCATTACAGTGTCTTCGACGCTAAACGTCTCATCGGTCGCAAGTTCGATGATGCTGAGGTTCAGTCCGATATCAAGCACTTCCCCTTCAAGGTCTTCAGCAAGGGTGGCAAGCCATACGTGCAGGTCACCTACCGTGGTGAGGAGAAGGAGTTCGTGAGTACTTTCTGCGTTTTACTTACATCTCGCTTCTTGATAACTGACTTCGCCTTTTTCCTTTTATAGTCGCCAGAGGAAATCTCTTCCATGGTCCTCACCAAGATGAAGGAGACCGCCGAGTCCTACCTCGGTACCACCGTCCAGAACGCCGTCGTCACCGTCCCCGCCTACTTCAACGACTCACAACGTCAGGCTACCAAAGACGCCGGTACCATCTCGGGTATGAACGTCCTCCGTATCATCAACGAGCCCACCGCCGCCGCTATTGCCTACGGTCTCGACAAGAAGGTCACCGGCGAGCGGAACGTCCTCATCTTCGATCTCGGAGGAGGAACTTTCGATGTCTCGCTCTTGACCATCGAGGAGGGTATCTTCGAGGTGAAGGCCACCGCCGGTGACACTCACTTGGGTGGTGAGGACTTCGACAACCGTCTCGTCAACCACTTCGTCCAGGAGTTCAAGAGGAAGTTCAAGAAGGACCTCTCCTCCAACCCCCGTGCTCTCCGTCGTCTCCGTACCGCTTGCGAACGTGCCAAGCGTACCCTCTCCTCCGCCACCCAGACCTCCATCGAAATCGACTCGCTCTTCGAGGGTATCGACTTCTACACTTCCCTCACCCGTGCCCGTTTCGAGGAGCTCTGCCAGGATCTCTTCCGTTCTACCCTCGAGCCCGTCGAGAAGGTCCTCCGCGACTCGAAGATCGACAAGGCCAACGTCCACGAGATCGTCCTCGTCGGTGGCTCCACTCGTATCCCCCGTGTCGTCAAGCTCGTCTCCGACTTCTTCAACGGCAAGGAGCCCAACAAGTCCATCAACCCCGACGAGGCCGTCGCCTACGGTGCTGCCGTCCAGGCCGCCATTCTCTCCGGTGACACCTCTGAGAAGACCCAGGACTTGCTCTTGCTCGATGTCGCTCCTCTGTCCCTTGGGTATGTCTTTCTTATTTGTCTCCACTTTTTAGTGCTTCGACGCTGACGGTTTTCTTTCTTTAGTATCGAGACCGCTGGTGGTGTCATGACCGCGCTCATCAAGCGTAACACGACCGTCCCCACCAAGAAGTCCGAGATCTTCTCGACCTACTCCGACAACCAGCCCGGTGTGCTCATCCAGGTCTTCGAGGGTGAGCGTGCGAGGACAAAGGACAACAACCTTCTCGGAAAGTTCGAGCTCTCCGGCATTCCTCCCGCTCCCCGTGGTGTTCCCCAGATCGAGGTCACCTTCGACATCGACGCCAACGGTATCCTGAACGTCTCCGCTTCCGATAAGACCACCGGAAAGTCGAACCGTATCACCATTACCAACGACAAGGGTCGTCTGTCGAAGGAGGAGATCGAGCGCATGGTCAACGAGGCCGAGAAGTACAAGGGTACGGTCGCTTTTCCTTCCTCTTCGTATCATTTGACTCGATGCTGACGACATCCTTTTTCTATAGCTGAGGATGAGGAGGCTGCTACCCGCATCCAGTCCAAGAACGGCCTCGAGTCGTACGCCTACAACCTCCGTAACTCCATCACCGACGAGAAGCTCGCCGACAAGTTCGACCCCGCCGACAAGACGAAGCTCACCTCTGCCGTCGACGAGGCCATCGCATGGCTCGACGCCTCGCAAGAGGCCTCGAAGGACGAGTACGAGTCGAAGCAGAAGGAGCTCGAGGCGATCGCCAACCCGATCATGCAGAAGCTCTACGGCGGTGCTGGCGGTGCACCAGGAGGGTTCCCAGGTGCCGGTGGCGCACCAGGCGGCTTCCCTGGTGGCGCTCCTCCCGCTGGTGGCGAGGAGGGCCCCAGCGTCGAGGAGGTCGACTAAGCGGTTCTTCGCCCCTTTCTCGGTCTCGTCTTTCGTTCGGGTTTCGATTGTTGCTGTTTGATTTTACTTTATTTTTTTACCACGCGCATTTTTCCATGTACTTCACACCCATCATTGATCTTCGTCGCCGTTTCTTTTTCTTTTTCTTTCCGTTCGTCTGCTTTGCTCGCTCCATGATGTCTCGTATGCTGTTGTCTGTTCCTCTGAGGACTCGTTATGTTCAAAAGTAATGACCGTCGTGTAGGCTTATGTTACTTCATGCATAGAACAAAGAATCGCATTTCCTTTTGACTCTCTCTTGACTCTGTGTGAGATTGCGAACGTGAGCATTCGAGTGGAACGACTCCCGATGTTGTTGGAACTTGGAAGCGACGCTAAGATGTCGTCTTTGTAATGAAAATGACGATTTGACTTGTTTGCTCGGATGGCATTACCTGCGCTGTCGTGCTGGTGTCGTAGCAATTCAGACGACGCGGCGTATCACCGATGATAAATAACAGTGACGTTGTGTTCAAAGGTGCATCCAGAACAGATTCAATAAAAAGGAAACGCAGACCGAACAATAGTACAAGACATCCATGAACGATAATCCAATCATAACGACAAGTCAAGACATAAGAATGCTCCTCCGAGTCATCTATCATAAACAAGCCTCCTAGGCCGAAGACGAACTCGAGTTCGTAGCATTGACAACACTGCTCTTCAATACGCCAGCGTTAACGACACCTCCAGCGACAGGCCTCGAGAGTTTATTGGCGTTGTTCTCCACCACGAACTGAGCGCTTGCGAAGCCGTCCAGGTTCGAAGAATCTGTGGCAAACAAAAGAGGAGGAGAGAGCGGCACGTCGTTTGTTCAGGCCACAGGCAGTAAGCAGTAGCGAGGAAGAAAGAACGCACTGGTGTTGTTCATGGCGTAGTACGTCGCCGTGAGGGTATCAGGATTAATGGTCAACGTGAAGAAACCACGGTAGGACCCTTCGCTCCATTGCAGCTCTTCGTTGCCCTTCGCGGCGACGAGGCCCGTCGAGATAACGTCCGCGGCGGCGGGAGAGATGTTTGCACCGAAGGAGGACCCGGAGGTCACAGCAGTCCCGGCGAACTCGACGCCTGCGGCACCTGCGCCGGTGATTGGATCGTAACTGTGGAAATGAAGGCGAGAAGTCAGAGCGTCAGTACATAGGGCTTATTCTTTTCCGACTTTAATTTTGGAGGCCTGCGGGCGGTAAGGGTAAGGGTGATACAAGGTTTTCTCATGCACATACCTCGTATCATTGGGATCTGGAAGGCAGACGGATCAGGTATAGGAATACAAATGAGGGGTGGAAGTCAGTTGAGAAGGTTTTATTTAAATGGTGCGGAAGATAAATGGACAGACGGGACGGGACGCACGAGCGAGATCGGACACCCAATTGGCGTGACTGTCCCCAGAAAGTATTACCGTGTTGTTGATCCCGTTCGAGAAGAGATGGTCGAGCACGCGCTGCCTGTTCGCGCGGTAACCGTCCCATGCGTCCTGCGCGAAGCATAGTCATATCAGTTATATCAGTCGAACCTTGAAGCTCGAAGGCGCCGGGGCGGAACGGGGACCGTGCCAGCTCAATACTCACCAAGTCGACTACGGGAGCGAATTATTTATAATGGTGAGATGTCATGGTAGTCAACTATAGAGTGACGGCAGGAATAAACGTACAGACTCCAGATTCGTTCAACTGTGTGAAGACAATTTGCTGACCCACAACGCGCCACACCGCTCCTCGGGCTTGAGACTCGGTCAATGAGTCGAAGAACCCTGTGTAGTAAGGTCGAAGCGGTCTATGGGAGAACTTCTACCTGGCGAAAATGACTTTTCTCACAGTTCTCTTGTTCGAAGCCCATCAAGGAGCGGTTGGCAAAGGCGGCGATGGTGTTGACATCTACATATCTCATGAGCATGCGCCCGTCAAAAAGAGTCAAAAGTCTTACATTCTAAAGACAAGAAGATTGGTAGAGTCAGTCACATTAAGACGTCGACCAGATGGTGCTTACTTACCGGTGTTGTAATACAACTGACCAGAAAGGGCGCAAAGTCAGTGTCTATGTTGCAGATTGTCGAAGATGTACTTCAAACTCACGTCAGTCACATCGCGATCGTATTGGCCTTTGAAACCGATGAGGATCAGCAAGAATCTTGGGCTCAAAAGCCAGAGCCTCTCTTACGGGTATCCAGCATGGTCAAATCCAAAAGCTGTCCAATCTGGAAGTTCCTCCAGATCCTAAGTTTGTCGTCCGCATCGACCTGCCTGATGGGCAACCATTCGTGATACGCACGAACAGCAGCAAGCTTCCGATCCGTGAAACAGGCCTCAGATTCAGAGAACGAACAACCGACGCTCGAATCGTTACTGTCCGCCGTTCCTGCCTTCCACGCCTGGTCTGCCACCTACAACCCAGACCAGTTCAATTAGCTTGCATATATATGAGAAAATGACCGACATATGCTAACCTCATGGTCGTCCCAGACAGTGATCCACGGAGCGTTCTGGTGAGCAGCGATGAGGCCAACGTCCGTTCTGTATTGGCCGATACGCTGACGATAGTCGTGTACGGTCGCGAGCTCACGGCCCTCGACTTTGCGGCCGATAGGTTCACTAAAGATCACCGTGAGACATGCAATCCCTACGCACGAAATCTACTCAACGTACCCGTTACCGAGAGATTCGTAAATCTACGGCGATGGAAAATAAATCACTGTTTTACCCCGTTCCTTGAATAGTCACTCACGTAATCACCGAGGTGAACAAAGACGTCAGCAGTAGTGTTGTGCGACGCGAAGTTGTAGGCGTTGAACCAGCCTGGTCCGAAGATGAATCTGTGGCGTCAGTGCTATCGCAAATGATGAGAGGTCCTCATTCTGCGTACCAGCCTGGTATTGTGAGCAGGAGAATACTGCCAAAGTAAAGTTGTTCCCGCCGTTGACTTGCTCGGCAGGCGTGTCCGGGCTGGCGATCGTCCTCGTCGCACCAACGGGGCTGACGTTCGAAGAGTTTGTGCAGTCTGCGAACTATGACAAATGAGAGAATGAGCTTCAAGCACCAGAAAATCTATGAACTGGAATATCAGTACCTGGTACCAATATTTAGTGTCAGGCTCAAGGCCAGTAGCCTCCATCTTGACCGTGAAATCGACATCAAAGCTGGTGAACCCCTGAGCCGAGTCTACCGGCGTTCCCTCCAATGAAGAATCGTTGAAGATTGAGTAGGAGACACAGACGGGAACGCTCTCAGGCGATGGACCCGTGCCTGTCTCGTTATTAAATGGAACCGCACGTGTCCATAGCAGGACGGAAGTGTTGAACGGGTCTCCACTTGCGACTGCAGGCAAAAAAATCATGGTTTGCTTAGCGGGTAATAATCGTCTTTCAACAAGTATTTGTCTGTTACCGGAATGAGTGAAGTTCAGTCCCCCGCTCCATACAAATGGAGCCTGATACGACGGTAATCAGACAACTTTCTAACATATGAGGTCAAGTCGTTTCAACTCACATTGCTGAAGTCGGCTCCGTAAAATGTCGGGTATGCATCATCCGAAAACTCGTTCGCTTCTACTTGTCTCTTTTCCTTCAAACTCCGAATGTGACGAGCTTGTATCTCGCGAGTGTCATGGGAAAACTACAATAATTCACATCCATGAGTAACCCCCGAGAATACCACCCGGAACCAGGAATACGTACTTGAGGGTGAGACAGAAATGGCGAACGGTACACTAAGTTACGATCGAGGAGCTCAGTGGCAGTGGCTGCACTGACGATGCAGAGCAAGACGAGCGTCGACTTCATGATGGTGGGGTTCATGGACGCATCTCAAGTCTCGAAGACCCCCTTTTAAAAGCTTCGGCAAATCAGGGAGGGCCGAATGGTAATGACCCACTTCATGTCAGTCTTCGCATAGAAGAACTCGAGCACCAGACTAGCTGAGGGGTCATTTGGAACGTTGGAGACGATCTCAGCGAGGCTCAGCACTGTTACCGTCGGCGCACGTTGCTCACCGAGGTCGATGATTGGAGATGCGCGCCCAAGTGAGATAAATACGAAGACATAAGGAGTTCCGCTTCCGAGGAAGTTGATGCGTTATGTCCAAACAATTGTGGGAGCTTTCAAGGCAGCGCGTGGAACGGAGGGGAAAGGACGCTGCTAAGAGGTACAATGAAGTCGTCGTGGACACCGACCCACCTCTTGCAGCAAAACATGCATTGATAACCGTGCGAAAACGAGAGAAGGCGAGTCAGATGTCCCGTTCTAAATCAACAAAATGGAGATCCTGTCAAGGGGGTCGTGACTACGCGATAGATGGGCACGATGATGTAGCATGGACTGTATATGAACGGAGATAGTGAGCAACAGCATGAACGTGCGATGTCAGCATACCTACATGATACATCACTACAACTCCGCAAACTCCATGTCAAAGTCGCGCTGGCTGACATCACCTTTCTTCAGCTTTTTGGCCATCCTCTCCTCCCGTGCAAGCTCCTCCCAATCATCCTCATCGTTCCCCGACGCTACCGCATCATCATCACGCCCTCTCTTTGAGGCCGAGGGTGCTTCGCTATCTTTACCTGACTCTGTGGCCGTCTGGGCCTTCAGCCACTTTTTCTTACGATCCTTCTTCTCACGCCTCTTCTCCTTTTCTTCTTGCTTGCTAATTTTGTTGCTCCACGGCACGTATTTCGTCTTGTCAGGAGGTGGAGGCCGAGGTGCAGAGATCTTCGACGCTTTTTCTTCCAAAGCAGCTAGCCGTTTTGTCTCTTGAGCTTCGTCCGCATAGGTGTATGCATCCCACTGTAGTCGCGAATATTCTTAGTGGTTGAACATACTACGAGAAATGAATAACACTTACGTCAACATTAGCATCCTTCCAATCGCCAATATCCTCCCCCTTGAACTCCGGCATTTTCGGAAGGCGAAGCAGCCCAAATGACTTTGCCACGCCGACCAGATCCAGGTCCTTCACCCGGAAGATATAAGACGCCTCGTGTTTGCTATAGGCACGCACGAACGACACGAATGACTTTGCCGCCTTGAGACACGCAGGACAAGTCGTGAGGCACAATAATAATAATATATATTGAAACAGCGACTCACTGCATCATGAAGGGCACGATCACTCAGTAACAGTTCCCGTATTTTGGATAAGTACGCGGGGACCGCTTCGTCTTCGACACGGTCGTCGTCGTTCGAGGGAGCGGCGGAGTTATCATCGAGAAGGTATGGGCGCTGCTTCAGGGGGATCTTCCTTACGGCCAAAAAATCTGTACCATACCCAATGGATTAATCAACGGCACAGTAATAAGTGGCGTGATAGGTTGATCTACTTACCGACGTACTCTCGTTCTCGACCGGTGAGAAGAACCCAGGCTCTTCCACTTTTACCTGCTCGAGCGGTGCGTCCACACCGGTGGGAGAATGCCTTTGTGTCCGATGGTGGGTCGAACTGAAGGACCACATCTACGTCCGGAAGGTCTAGTCCTCTTGCGGCGACGTCGGTCGCAAGGAGTATGGAGGGTGAGGAGGGTGTGCAAACTGACTCGGCAAAGGAGCTCAGGGTACGGGTTCGGGCGGCCGGGGGAAGATGCCCATGGAGAGAGTAGAGATTAGCGTTGTCAGAAAGGAATAAAGGCAGTGTCTGTCAAGTGAAAAGAATTGAAGCACACAGAACAAAGGGGATAAAAACCTAAACCTACGCGATAGAAGTAGTCGACGCATGCGCATGTCGCAAAATATACGATGAAACGCGAGGACCCGTTTTGTGTGGTTTCTTGTGAGATGATTCGTGAGAGTTGGACCAGCTTCTCCGACGTTCGACAGTGGACATAGAAGATTTTTAGGCTGAGAAAGCTCCGGTCAGCATCGGATTCCCTGTTTACTCGATAGGCCCGAGACACACTTAGCGGGAATCCTCCTCTCCTCACCACCCAGACCGAGCTTTCTGCCCGAGTCTGCAATAGCCTTTGATTGGACCTTCACGACGATTCTCGCAGGATTACGAAGACCGACACGGACGAGTTCCGACAGGGCATCGGCGTCTGTCATTGTGGCGCTGAATAGGCCCGTGCGCCTTTGCTTCGGTAGGTGCATGAGGATACGAGTGAGCGTCTGTTGAAATCCGAGGTCAAGTAACCTATGAAGCACATGGTCAGTTACGCGCCTAAGTCACCTCCGGTGAAAGCTTAATAAGGTTCGGGAAATGAACCCACCGGTCGGCCTCATCGAGTATGAGCACCTCCAGCTCTTTGGTACTCACGGCATTCTTGCCCTTACCAAGTAAAAACTCCTCGACACGCCCTGGCGTGCCGATGATGATGTCTGCACCCGTGGCTACAAACCGCTGGACGTCTTGGACGGGTGACGATTGCGCGGAAGAAACTAAAAGTAGTGGTGGAGGTAGTCGAGTTGAAGAGGACGGTTCGGATGTTGAAGGGACGTCCTCATCGGGATCAGGGTGCTCAGTTCCTGGCTGTGATGATAGAAAAAGGGAGAATATTGAATGTATCTGTGAAGCTAATTCTCTGCAAACTGTCAGGCCGCGGCGAATACAATCTCGGTAGGCAAAGTCACCTTGTTGGACTGATCACGAGCGCCCCGATCTCGTTCTTTCGAAGTTTGTGGTCTCGTCTGATGAGGCGTTCGAGGACTGGAATGACAAAAGCTAGCGTCTTTCCGGAACCTGTCACTGCCTCGACCACAACATCCTTGTTCTTCATGAACAGAGGAATGGTAGACGACTGGACAGGTGTCATCTGCGTGTGCCCCATGGACTGAACAACATCAAACCTGCAGAAATAAATGTGAGTACTAGACCTTTCTGCGGGCCAGATGGTAAACTTACACCCATGATGTTAAGGGCGTTGGCAGCGAGGCCCATGATCCAGCGAGAGCGGTCACGGAAGCCATGAGAAAATATCACTTCTGGAATGGGCCTGAAGAACGAGCAAAGGTTGTGGACGCTGACGAAGACCGGGTTGAAAGAGTTCCGCAGTGAAACGCTATTGGTGACAAGATACTTCAGGAGCTGGGTGGCGATTCGAAGGCCGGCCAGACAGTAAAGATATGTATCGAGAGTTTATAGTTCAGCGTTCAATGTACGACTAGGTGATCGGATGTACTTACAATACACAGATCGGGAACAGAAGGAGAACAGGCAGAGGCAGCTCGATCCGAGTGCGAGAGTGGCACGCGAGTCGAACTTGGAAGTCGTCGTTGATGAAAGCACGAAAAACTCCACAGGAGCGCCAACCGATCGGACCCTTGCGCCCGGCAGTGCCCGGATGTACGTGGTTTATTCAACTTGCCCGTGTCAGTGTGGCGTAGTGTCTTAAGTTCGCCACTTTGCTTCAACGCATTCACCATCAGGTTACGACCAGTCTATCATGCTCATGCATGCTAACAATGACTTTCAATTTGTAGTGCATCCTAATGCGCTTATATTTGAGTGGGAAGATTCGTATCGCGATTAGCCCGATTTCCCACCACGGCGTGCCGCAAACAATCGGATAGGCAAAGATAGACGAAGTGAGGGGTTGAGCCATCATTGGCCCAGGGCGTCACGGCTTGAAAGAGGAGAAGATTTGGGCGCTGAGGAGTGCACATACAAGTGGTTTCGGCCACTAAACCGGATCGGGTCTCCCACCACAAATCACCGGAATCGGCATCAAGACCGTATCGGGCTCAACTGTGAGCACGCAGAAGCACGCAGTGTTGGCGTTCATTCTCGAAGCTCAGAACGTATGTAGGCTAACTACCTTAAGTTATAATGAATGCCGTGTTCGTACGGAGCTCGTTGATCAGAAAGTTCAGTACAACTACCATAGTGGGAGTGATCGCAGACTCGGTGCAACTGATGACCAGCAAAAATAGACAAGGAGAGCGCTTAGAAGTTAGGAGCACATATACAATGGTTAGTACAGATGTAAACGGAAGGTCAACTGGCCTACTACAGCACTTGGACGTGCGCTCCGTCCCACTCGCCACGGACCCGCACTCTAACCTTTCTACTTGCACCGTGGTGGGATCGACGGGACTTCTGGCGCACGTCGAGCGGACGGTTCAAACCGCGTGTACCACGAAACCCACAGTCTCGGGATCGGAATGCCTCGGAGGGTTTATCGAACAGAGTACGGCCTTAACGCTTTGGCTCGCAGCGTAGTAGCCAGTGGCGCACCAGCGTCTGCCTGTAAGATGAGGAGGTGGTGTTCGAGCCAGCGACGTATCGGTTTGCCGAGATTGAATGGCCGCGCGTGGGTGCAGGAAGCAGGATTGTGTATCATGGGTGACGTGAGGATGGAAATACGTGCGGCTGACCAAAAACGACCGGAGAGATGAAGGTTGACGTTGCCCCGGGGTTGGTGAAAGCGCCTTGAAGTTCACACTGCTCAGAAGTAGCAAGCAAGCAGTTCCTGGAGAGAAGCGATCATAGTCATGCAAGCGGCGAGGGAAGATGGCGGAATAACAAGAGACAGAGTATAAGAGTGCCCCTCTCAGCAACTCGTCTAGCGCTCATCCACACGGAAACTGGTCTGGCCCTTCCTCTGAACCGTCTCCGACTGACCTCAGCCGAGTTAGTAATAGCGTAGAAAATCGGCGATTATTCTTCTCAGGGATTGGTCGCCATTGTCACCCAAAGGCAAGACAGCACGCACACGAAAGAAAGCTCCGAGTGGAACGGCTACCAAGCCAACGCAGAAGGATTGGAGGAAGGGCGATCAAATTCGGCAGCGACCGATGGCGATGGTGAGTTCGGTTACGAAATGAGTTGAGTGTCACGGTGGAGGACCTCGTCTTACCATTCCGGCTAACAGACACGATGGACAACCGGGCCTCGCTCCTCAGCATCAACCCGTCATGACTTTCCTCCTTCATCTTTGAAGCAGGTGCGTGATAATCCTAATTCAAACTCATCTCCCGATCTCCTTATAAGTAAATCTCACCCTTGTCGATCCCGCACACGCCTTCTTCCCCTCGCCGCGCCCCCAGGAGCCGCGCTCTCCCCCGCCTCTCAGACTCAAGTTTATCCCACCCATGAGCAAAGACACCTTTCGCGCCAAGGGTCATAACCCCGCCGAATCCGCATCCAGTTCCTCCATGTCCAGTCCATCTTTCTCCTTCTCCGCCACCGCACAAACCACGTCCACATCCACATCCGTCTTTACCTTTGGGGCCGCGCAGGCTACCGAAGCAAGCGACGAATCAGGCAGCGATGAAGAGCGATCGCAGCGAGGACGCAAGAAGAAGAGTAAGATGTGAGTGGTTTTGCGAGAAGGCTGAAGGTCGCGATCTGACTGTCGGATCCATTTGTCGATCTACTTCCGCGTCGTAGAGGGGGAGCATGTTCACACTGCAAAACATTGAAGGTGTGTACATATGTTGGCACATCCTTGACTTAAGAGCTGTCTGACCCTTGTGTATCAGGTCAAATGCATGTTTCAACCAGGCGAGACTATATGTCGCCGCTGTCAGACGGGTCAGTTTCGATTGTCCCTACCTGGCCTTGGAAGCGTCTGACTAGGTTCGTAGGAAAGCATGAATGTGAAGTTCGAGGGCGTAAGAAACGAAAGTGAGTACATTATCTCCCCCGTGTGTGCTAGCCATTCAATAACATCTCGGTATTTATTAGGGCTGCTCCGTGAGTTATACTTTGTTCATGTACAGACTCGGTATGTAATGACCTACTGCCATCAGGACACACGAAGACTTGCAGGAGAAGTGTATGCAACAAGACAGAGAAATCGTCGTTTTGCTACAGAAGATCGAACAAATGGAATTGGACGAGAAGGTCAGGCAGTGGATAATGAAGTCGAACAGAGAGTTGGACCGGGACTCAGACCCAACGAGTCAAGCCTATCGTTCTATGGGTATGTTTTTTTAAACAGTCTCATAGTCCATAGCTCATATGCTCCAAGGTTTGTCGCCTGCGCCCTACACACCCTTAGCGGAGGACCAACAATTGGCATTCACGCTCAAGAACCTCCGATACCGAAGCAACCCTCTCAGTAAATCTAAAATCTGCCATGGGATCACAACTCTGAAGGTCACTAATCTAGTATGCTCCTGCTTTCTAGACGCTTCACCCCAGTCCGTGGATTTGAAGCCACCAGATATCATCAAGTACAACGTGGTCGCGCCCGACGACATAGCACTGCTCTTCCATATGTGAGCATCCGGACATACATACTGCTTCAGGAAGAAAAGACTGATTTTCGTGTCAAGCTTCTTCGATAAGATCAATGTCGGTCCCATGTTACGCCGAACATTTGTTCTGTTTGATTGACGATTCCCGCCATACAGCCTTTCTTCTCACTCCTTGATCCCGAGCTCCACACACCCAACAAACTCATCTGGAGCTCTCCGTTTCTGTTCACCGTTAGTGAGTAAATTGTATTGTTGTTCTTCCATCACCTCCCTGATCGCGAGGTACCGTGGAACAGTCTGCGCACTCGCCTCCCGCTTCATCACCGAGAAGCCCAGTCTTTACTCTCTTTCCATGGAGTTTGCTCGAGACGCTGCGGGCAAAGCTCTAGTTGATGGAACCATCAGTATCGACGTTTGTCAAGCATACCTCCTGTTGGCTGTTTATCCTCGCCCCGGGAAGAAATGGGACAAAGATCGCAGTTGGATACTCATGGGTGTGGCTATACGGTTCGTGTCACATCTTTCCTAGTTCCGCGCTTCATACCAATCCTTTGTTTCAGGATGGGGTTAGAGCTCAAACTGCACGAGCATCCGCCACCAGGGACAGACGATCGAGAATGCGCGAACCGGATCAGAACGTGGCTGAACTGTTTCTGTGTGGACGGAGCTCATGCGACTGCCTTCGGGAAATTGCCAATGTCCTCCCTTGATGATGCAGTGTCTCGATCATGCACGGACTGGTATCGGTCTTCACGGTTCAATCTGCCTTTTGATCTGCAGCTCGTCGCTTATGTGGACATCATCGCTCTCATGGCCCGGTTCCGTAAAGCCGTTAAACGGTTTGAAGAACATCCAGGTGAAGACACTGCCAGCGTAAGGCCCTCTCTTTCCTGTCACTTGAGCGTTGACTGGTAGCTTATGCTCGAGTCGCAGATAATCGCACAGTGCGAGATGTATGATGAGATGTTGGCGAAGAAGATTACCTTCTGGAAGGAAAGATACGCAGAGGATTATACAGCCTGCAATGGTAAGTGCATTTCAATATAGTCGCATGAGACGTCCTCATTCACCAGTCTGGAATCATAGATCGACTATGCAGGTACAGATGCAACACGACAGAAATGTGAGCCTCAGACCAACGTGCTATATTCACAACAATATTGAGACGTCGCTTTACAGGATTGGAACGTACTTGAGGCTGGTTATTCTTTCTATGGCGTTCCCTTACGCTGTCAAAAAGGGTATAGTTCGCGAGAGCTATGTTGCCGAGACGGTCAGTAGTTTCATCTCGATTTCACGGCGCCAGCCCGGCTGACTTCGCGGCAGTCCATCGATGTTGCCTGTACGGTGATCAAAATCATGGTTGAGCGACTGTACCCGACGGGTATCTTGCGCTTTGCTATGGAGGTATGAGTTTCCGCTCGATGGCGCACATGATCCTGCGCTGACCATGGCCTCCTAGGCGAACTTCCTCTACGTCGCCTTCGCCGCTGCCTTCCTCATCAATGTAAGTTAAGTCCGCCGTGGCTAGCACTGCAATATCTGAACCTTTTTTCTTTATCAGCTCCTTCGACCCAAGTTCCTTCCTCTCCTTGGTGAAACCACGCAAACCAAGATCATTAAGATTGTGGGATCCCTCATTGATGTTTTGGGTTCGAACGACGTTGCCATGGACGAGCGCCACACACCAGCGCTCTACCACAGGTTCCTCTCGAACTTGCTTAAGAAGTACGATCAGCGGCCAGCCACCCACGTCCCCGAACGCCCAGGGTCCACCGACTTCGTGCCAGAGTACGGGCCTGACCGTCGGCCGTCTCCCCCTCACGCGTACATGTGGCCCGACACCGGCGCCATCCTCCCACCAACCCTCGTCTCTGCCGAAAGAGCAGAACACCCGCAGAACATGGTGTTGCAGGGTTCGGGAGAGGCGGAGATGGACTTCAGCTTGAATCATTTCGTGACGCATGTGCATGGGTTACAGTACGGACAGATTCCACAGGACGGGAGTGTGCTACTCCCTCAGAGTGATGTTCCGCGGCCAGCGCCTGGATGGGAGGCGGACATGTTCTCGCACGACCCATCCGGGTATCCTGTTTGGCCGCCATCTGCTGGTCATGATCATGGACAAGCACGAGGCGGCTACAGCGTCTGATGTTCAGTTTGTCTCCATTTTGGGCTCTTTTGTCTCTTGTTCTCTGGTTAGAGTCTGATAGTACTACTGGATTGTATACGCCGACTGTGTTATTGTAATATTTTGCTTCTTGTCTCGTTGCATTGTTTTCCTGTCGTTGTCGTATACATTATTTACTTGTTGTGACCTTTTTGTCTGTGCAAGGGATGGGAACCGCGAATCGCGATGAACAAGGGCGGGGAATTGTGGCGGGCGAACATTCTGGGCCTCGCGGCAAGCGCCGAGGCTGTAGTGGAAGGCGATGAATTAGGCAGAGAGCTCGAGGCAGGCTTCGCGGGAGGTCGAACGCCATCAACGTCAACCGAGTTGGAATGCTGTTCGTCTGAACCTCAACTCTCCTCCTCTTTTTCCTTCTCCTTTCTTCCAATGGCAATCTCAGACGTCGAGTCCTACGCTGGACGCGTTTCCCCAGGCCCTTTCCAACACAGACGCCGGCCCTCGTCTCCAATATCTTCTACCTCCTTGAACCAGGAACATATCACAGATGCTCTAGCCAAGTCGGAGGATAATGGTGCTACTTTGGACTTTAGCCATAGGGGCCTGACAGACGTGGGCGAGTATGGGGCGGAAGAGCTGGCTGCGATAGGTCGTGAGGATCATGTGGAGGACGAGAGCTCGGTTGCCAGGTGAGTTACACAATGGACCGTCCATATACGTCCGGAGTGGTCGTCCTTTGCTCTTGGTTCTGTGCTAGTGCTGCTTGAAATATTGCTTCCGGTGCTCATTAATGTTCATATAGGATATCCTTGGCCAATAACCGGTTAGCAACGCTTCCTATGGCGTTTGCGCTCCTATCTCGTCTACGGTACTTGAACCTCAAGAAGAACTGTCTTACAGTCTTTCCTGATGTCGTATGTCCATCTGTGGCCTTCCACCGAGTTTCTCCTAATTCTCATGGACCACTCTATATTGCAGTTGACTATCATGCCTTGCCTCGAGATCCTCGAAATTGGCCACAATAAAATCAAGAGGCTCCCAGCACAGCCAGGAAACCTTGTGAACCTCCGAGTATGTGTATCGTCTATTCTAGTAATACATCTCCTCATGTCATTGTCCCACTAGGTACTCTCCCTATACAAGAACAAGTTGACGCGACTACCGTCCTACATTTCTCAGTTCACTCAAATGTACTATCTGAGAGTGGATCAGAACCCTCTGGAATGGCCCCCTAAATCCGTCACGGACTCAACGGGGAAGGATATGCAGAACTGGATCAAAGATCTCCAGACATGGATCGAGGACAACACTGCGAACCCCCCAGGAAGTCGCAAGCTTAGCGAGGACTCTATCCTGAGCGAGCGAAATATCCCGGCTCGGCTAAGGTACGCACCACCCCCTATATCATCACATGGTACTTGTATTGATCATACTCAAATCAGGGACGAACCTTTCAAACTTCCAACCATTCCCCCCGATCCGGACAATAGTTTCGAGAGTGGCCCAACTCCACATGCACGCACATTTTCCACCGTCTCAGACGCGTCGCTATATTCCTTCGTCGAAGGGCTCGTCTCGGGATCTGGTGCACATGGACCGTCGTCCTCTCCTTCTTCGCGGCCGCCACCGCTCCAGTTAGACCAATTGGTAGCATCTATCTCCGCTGAGATGTCTCCCTCTCACTCACCCGACTCTTACCTGCCAACTCCCGAGGAATCTGTATCGTCGACGGATGACGAGCTTACCATGCAGCCCCCTGACCTCTCATCATTCCATGCTCGGAATGCATCCTACGCTGGTGCCACCCGAGGCACTCATCGTTCCGGTCTTCATGGCAAGAAAAGTCTTCCGGATCTCCGCCCAGCTAAGCTTCGTCTCGGCGTGGATACTGGGAGCGAAGGCCTTTTTAGTGTGTCACCCGGTGGACATACGGCTTATACGGGGCCCTTGAAGATTAATAAATCCATTGACCAATTCACCATTCCTTCTCCAATATCGCAACGACAAGGCTCCGACGAGTCTTCGGACGGTGCACCACTACCTTCTCGTACTGCTCGGCCTTTTGCTCAAGGCCCCATATCTGCATCGCCCACCGCCATGGACCGACCTGCTCCGTCCATGGACGTCGAACGCAACTCGTATTTTCGACGATTCTCCACGCTCCCTACTTCCACGATCTCCAAAACCATCCCGGATTCACTTCTCAAGCTCGTGGATGCCGTTCGTGGGATATTGTTCGCTGTCTCGCAAGTTTACGAGACACTGCAGCACTACACAGTGTATGCCATTGACGAACGGCTGTCTTCGGTGCTTCTGAAAGTGCTCGATCCGGCGAGTAATTATATCACACAACTGATCACGGCGCTGGACCGCTTTGATTCGATGAGCAGACGAACGATACCCACCCCGACCGTCTGCCGAGCGGTCATCGAGAGCTGCAAGGACAATGTGGCCGCATTTGGGAAAGCCGTAGCCGTTTTGTCTGTTCAACTCAAGGTCCTTGCTACCCGAGACGATGTCCGATATACAAGGCAGATGCTCTTGGTCCTCTATGGAGCTACAGCAGAGATTTCCAACGCTTGGCAGTCTATGACACCTCACATCGCTACGGTAGAGCCTTTACTACGGGATCATCGGCGAATTCCTGTCACCAAACGTTCAGCGTCTGCCACTTTGACACCTCCGACCCCCGGAGCTGCAGATATCCCATCATCTGCGCCCCCACGAGCCGCGATGTTTACTCCTCCGAAATTGCCACATAATCCACCTTCGACACCGGGCCCAGATGGGACAGGAAGAACCCATCAAGCCCGACGGCATGCTGGCTCGTTCAGCGCTGAAGACGTTAATATCGGCAGGGCCCTTCCTATCGTCGATGCCCCCCATTTACAGGCCGGGTTGGCAATGGGGAGTCCGGAGGTACCCACTCCTCGAGCAGCATTGCGTCAGGCCGGTTACTTCGTTCCTTTGACTGGCAACATGGCCTCCATCTCCATCTCGACACCGAGCAAGTCGGCCTTCCAAGCGAACATGAAACCGCTGATGACTTCGAACTCGCATTCAAGACAAGGATCGCAATCGTCGCAGTTCGATTCGTCTGCAAGTTCTTCACCGTCACTGATAAATCGGATGCCAACACTGGATGTACCGTCCAACAATATGAACGTAATTGTGGATAAGGAGGCCGTAGACGCGATGACCAAGGCGATTGAGGCTGCACCGCCGGTGTGGAACATGCTCAACTCGATTTTGGTGGATGTTTCGGATAGGCGAGAGGAAGTGCGGGAAACGTTGGGTAGGGCGCAGGCTATCACCCAGCGGCTGAAAGAGGGCTTGTCTGGGATCCAGACCGTTGCGACAGAACAAGCACGCAAGAGTGTACACAACGACGCCCGTACATTCGTTAAGGTACTTTCCTCCATCTCTCTACGACTGGTTACGCTTGCTGATAGCTCCCACCGCGTAGACCGTCGTCCAGCTTTCACATCTCATCAAGTCTTATGGAAACTCGCATCCACTGTCTTCGGCCCTTCGATCGCACATGGTCAAGCTGACCAATGCCACAGAGGAATTCGTGATTCTTCTACACGTCTCATCATTCTCCACTCCCACAACCCCTCGTCCATACTCGCCTATGGTCCAGTCATCTCCATCGATATCCCAAGGACCGTCGCAGTTAGGGTACCTTGGTGCAGAGTTCCACGCTCCCTCAGACGGCCGATTTCCCCCAAGCCTTTCTCGTAGTCGGAGTGCACAGGCCACCGCGACGAAGCTAGTATCACCGCTACCTTCACGAGATCTTCCACACAGCGCACAACCAGGCAACCAGTCGTTCAAGATCCCTACTCCTCCTAAGCGAGCGAGGCGGGAGATGACGCTTACCCTGGACGATGGCATTGAAGGACTCTAACATCCGTGCTTGCGTGTCTCTCGTCCTCACTCCTAGTACGTTTCTTGTCTGCTCTCACAATCGACATTATCATCATCACCATCATCATACGACTCCACACGATCCTTTCTCCTCATTTTCATTTTCGTCCATCGTTTCCTTTTGGCTTCCTTGGCTCTGTGCTGTGGTCATCGTTCTCGGTTCGTTCTATCTTATCCTGTCCGTCGTGACTCTGGTTTGTCTTGTCTGCCTGTCCTCTCTTTCTTTCTTTCTCTCCGCCCTTCTCTCCTCTATCTCTCCTCTATCTCTCAGCATCGGGATCTAGAATTATTTGCGTACTTTATCGGCACGCCATGCATTGCACACCACGTATTTATCAATCAACTCCCATGGCCTTATTTTCCCCTCCCCTGCCGTCTCCCTCATCCTCCTCATTCGACAGTCACAGTTTCTGTCCGCTTGCCCTGCACATACGTTACAGTACCCCCACTTTATTACTGTCCAAAATTATCTCTAGGATCGATGGGCTTCCCCGTATCCGCTTCGACGCTCCCTCCGATTCATGATCAGACCTCACTCGCGGCCTGACCGACGACTCCCTCCTTCCTTCTGCCCCACCTTATTTTTTTTTTTCGTTGCTTTCGCGCTATATTAACTGCTGGTCTGTTCTCTGTCGGTTCGTCGACAGTGGTCGGCCGCGATCCTCTGTAAATATATACGTCGGGTAGTGTAATGATTGAATTGGCACACAGTGCAACGGACCATTGGAATCGAACTCGAACGCACATTCTCCCACTTACCACCAGGCAGATTCGTGAGCAAGTTCATCTCCGTATGCATTCACGTCGCAGTCGACCGGAGAGCGGAGTTGAGAGAAAAGAGAGGCAAATATTGGGATTGAAAGAGAATCGAGACAAGTACAAGTGTGATGAACATACTAGGTAGAAACGGCGTGTTAGACGACTCGACCGACGTTCGGTAGTCCAGACATTACTAGTAGCGTAATCCACAAAATTTAAAACGAAGCGCACACATAACAGAAAACAGAAACATATATGTGACGACAGCAGCCGACTGCCAAGTGCCCGTCGCAGACCCACAGACCACCAAACCAACGAAGCCCGGCCGGACACTGAAGCGTTCCTCCTAGCCCCGCATCCTCAGCTCCAATATCGCCCCGTGCGTAGAACAACAACGAAAAAATAGATGGCCTGGTCTCATCCTCATCAACCTGTATTTATACAATTTACATATCGCTCGTCCGCACTCTCTCTTGAGTATGTGCCTGCCTGACCTAGAAGCCACACGTCCTCAACCCCGGATCACGATCGCCTTCTCCCCCGCGCCCGTTCTCGTCTTGCCTGACTTGTCGAGGTGGTCGAGGCCGAGGACGTCTTCGGGGGCGAACTTGTGATCGTAGATCGTGTCCTCTGCAATATACGTGCCCATCGTCAACATTTTGTTCGAGCTGCTTAGAAGAGGAGAGGGGGAAAATGGGGGAAGGCGAAGATACTCACCATCCTCGATATAGGAAGGTTGTTTGAAGGTGGCGGCTTGGATCAGTGCGAAGCGGTACTTCAAGAAGTCCTTGTCTGACACGCCGAGTCGTGCTTGCAGACGTTTCTTCGTGTCCGCGAACTTCTCACCCTGTAAGACACGGAAACTCGGTCAGCCATAGAAGGTGGGTATACGCGACCATTGTACTCACAGGCTTAACAACAAACTTGAATGGCACCCCATGTGTCCGCGACACCTCCTTCGAGAAATGGAAAACACTGATAACCTTATCCGATTCCTCCGCCTCCAACTCCTCCCAAGGCACTTCCTCCGCATAAAGCTCCACCGGATCTGGAATATTCCCAATCATCTCCGAGCCCGTAAACTCCCTCTGTGTCTTCCCATCCTTCGACACCTCGAACACCCTGATCTTCCCTGACCCGGGCCCGCCAGAGACCATGGTGACCTGCTTCGCCAGGTGATCCGCGAGGTCGCTGACAGGGCTCGTCTTGGGGAGGAGGAAGGAATGTGTGGACTCCTCCTTGTTGTGGATGCCAGTCCAGGCGACCTTAAGGCTTCGCTTGGTCTCGAGCTCGACGATCGAGACGTCCAACTTCTCGTAGAGGATGACGGTCGTGGCGGGGTTGACGTAGTTCGGGGAGATGATCTCGGCGACGCTTTGGTTTAATGAGCGTTTGAGGATGGCCTTGGGAGTGCCGTTCGCTGCATGGGTGGTCGTGAAGCGGAGTTTGATGGGGTCATGTCGCAAGTATTCAGCGACTTTCTGGGCCATCTATAGACAAATCGATTAGACTTGGGGAAATGGAGAAGTAGATGCAAAAGAGCGCATACCGTGTCATAGGTCTGCTTCTTGCTGAGCACTAAACTGAACTCCGTGCGGTCTTGGTCAGGCTCTTCGCCCTTCGGCCGGAAGACGATCATGACCCGGTTCTGCAAAAAGTCATAGAACTGGATCGGATTCGAATAGAGACCCTGGCTCTCAAGATCGTGGACCCTATAAAGACCGAAGATGAATATAGTAGTCAGTCAGTTCCGATTTCCTGATTCGGTCAGGGAAAGCACATACTCCTTCTCGCTAATATCAACCTGGAAACAAACAACATCACCGTCCTGAATCTCACTCTGCGCGAACGTGACCTTTGGCTTCATGAGCTCGATCATTCCAGGCTTGATCTCCTCGTAAAGCTTCAACGGCGTCCCAGGCGTCCACCGCATCTTCTCGTTGATCGTCGGAATCAAGTCGCTGACTTTAGCGTTTCGCTGGGCGTAAACCTTCCCGACACCGTGCAAGGTCTGTTTCGAGGTGTCGAAATGCTTGAGGAAGATCATGATGGACCCTTGTGGGAGCTCGGGCTGCGACTGAATCATAAGATCATGAACGAGATGACAAGTAGGCGTGCATCGGAGCATACCTTGGTTGGGTCTGGGATGACATCGAGGTACAGTCGCAGATCAGTCTGCCTCGCAGCCATATTGTTCCGAATCACATCGACAGCTGTGATAGGATTTAATAAAACTCGATACACTCAAGCTCAAACAACTGAACATCTACGCACTGAGAGGAGGCTCATTCTCCGGGATAGGAGCATCAGGCCGGACAGTCTTGTTTTGTCGATTGACCAAGACCCAGAGGCGGATCTGGTTCTCGGGGTAGTTGAAATGCTGCGCTACTCGAGTCTTAAAGGTGCTGTAAGGTTCTTGCTTGAGGACGCGGAACGTTGGAAGCTCTGAAGGAGGCCAGTTTTTCTCATCGAACGAAGCCAGGTCAAAGCCTTCGTGTTGCGTGAAGGTATCATCCGTAATAACCTGGAGGCGCACGGTGAACGGGTATGAGGTCGCGTAAAATCGCGTAAAAAAAGGGTGCGATGACGTACCTTCGCGGTGAGAAAGAGATGTTGCTCCTCTCGTTCCCGCCTTTTCGCCTCGATCTGTAGCCTCTCCTCGTCTAGTCGCCGCTCTGTAAGATGACGAGATCGGTGAAAAGTTGCCACGCATTAATAGATGGAGGCCACATACTGAGATGGGGAGGGGTGTCCTCTTCTGTGAAGGGTGGCAACACCTCAGGAACCTTGCACTCGCGGATATAGACCAACATGTACGCGTTAGTGAACCTCTTCATCGACCGTGCTTGGTTTCTTTGGAGAGTTGGCACAACGCCATTCAACGCCTCGCCACCATAGTTCTCTTCCAGCACCTCACGATCCGTCACAGGCGTCACCCTATCGTCGTCAAATTTGAGCCATCGAGTGTCATTATCCGGCTTGATGAGAGCGAAGTAGTGGCCACCGTGGAGATCACCAGAATGTACGAGCACACCATGGAGCTTGTAGACCCACGGTGACGATCGGTCTGCCGTCTCGTCGAGGAATTCGTCGAGATCGATCTCGAAGGGGAACTCATGACGGTCGTTGATCTAACGAACGACTATTAATACTCTGATCGAAAAAGAAACATGATGTGATATGCGCGGAACGCACCTTGACCATGGCATCGCGTTGGATATCATACTCAAATCGCTTAAGCTGTAGGTGTAGAACGGGAGGGAATGACTGGAAGATGATACCCTTCCTTGCGTCTTGAAGACCATACCCTTCAGCCTGGTACTTGTTCTCTCCTTCAAGAGGCTCGACCGCGACGTAGTCCCTGAAAGACTCCATCAGGTTCTTGTTGCCCTTCACGTTCAGCTGGATGTCTGCAGTATGGGTCGTATTAGTGAGCGAGGTAGAAGTGTAAATTTCGTAAGGTATATACCGTTGAAGTCCTCAATCCTAGAAGACTCAAAATCGACATCGACACACTTGATATAGCTCTTCATCTTCCCTGTAAAGAGTTTCCCGATGGCCCCTTCTGCTATCGTACCCTGCAAACATGGTTGGACATGATGAGACAAATCAGGAGATCAACGCACCTTCATCTTCGTGTCGAGCTTGTCCTGCAGAATACGGTTAAGCTCCTGTACGTCATGCTGCAGGAATGAATCTAATGACTTCCAGCCAAAAGACTTGGTCAACTCGGTCGTGCCTGCGAGGATTTGTCAGCCTTTTCTTCACAAAGCTGTGCGAGGTGCGGCTCACCGACGGGCTGATCTGATGTTTGTAGGTGATAGAATACTCGTTGCAAGGCCAGCGCCACACTCTCTGTTGGGTGTTCATCTTCCGTTGGGATCTCGTAGACGGCCTAACAATGATATCTGAGTATCGTTAACGGATACAAGAAATCCAAAAGGGGTCACCTTGCGGAACGATCTTGTGCAGTACAGGGACTGTAGCAGAGAGTTCAGATAACAAGTAGCGCCCTGGTTCTTCATACCAACGAAACCCGTCTCTTTCTTCGAATCATAGCTGCGTTATAATTAGACGTCAGATATATACCGCCACTGAAAGGCGAGACTGAAAGGTGACGCACTTGACGAAGTTGTGCCACAGCACGCCAGTCGGATCCTCCAGTACTCGCACGAACACGGATACGTCCGCCGTCTCATCCTCAATCGTCGGTCGAGAGTAGCCTTCTTGTGTGCTGAAGAGCTTACGCAGCTCGCTGAAGCGGGTAAAGCCCCAATCGCATTCCTCCGCAATGAAACGATGGTGCGCGTCTGCAATGAGAGAATGAGGCGAGATGAGGACATCGCCACCAAAACGCGTGTGAGAGAAAAAGGAATACGCACGGCTAACGGTGTAGATTGTTGGATCGTGGGGGTTGGAGATAACAAGGGCGAACTGTGCGCAAGCGTGCCACCCTTCGGGCGCTCGCTTGGGGTCAGCATAGTCTAGGTATACAGAGACGGTATCATTCGGTGGGGCGTTGGAGTTGCCGAATGGAAACAACAATATCCGCCTTCAAGTCGAAAGAAGACGTGCGTCCACGGTCAACAAACCGTGCTGAATAAGACAGGAGTCACATCGCGAAAGGAACGCACCATTTATGACCGCCACATTCGAATTCCGGACTGTGCATTTTCTTTTCGAGCTTCTTCCAATGGTTTAGCTTCCAAGTGTACACCATGAACTCCTTCACGTCGTGACCGAGGTCGGGCATGTGTTTGGCGGCGAATGCCTCATCTAAGGGAGAGACGCCCATAAGCCGAGCAAGGCAGGATGTTAGAGAGAAAGAGAACGCACGATCTTTGACGGATACGACCTCGTCAATGTCCATGGTTGGCCCCCCGTTCGCTTTCTCGTCGAGGACCTCCATGTCACTCTATTATGACGCACATGGCTGCATGAGAACGCGCGTCGTAAGATGAAGTGAAAGGGGAAGCACAAACCATGCTACTGATGAAGTCCTAAGTTGGGACGTCGTATGGACAGGAAATAAAGAAAAGCCAGGGAGAAGGATGGGCGTAAGAGGGAGAGAGCAGGTTCAGTGGCCGATACGGAGCAGGCAGAGGGCGCGATGATGGCCCGCTCGAAGCCATCCCCAGCCACACCCGGCTCTCGGCCATTCCCGCCGGGCGCCACAGTCCCATAAAAACCTTGCTGCCCCTCTTTTCCTCTTTTGCGCTCTCCTCTTTTGTCCTCTTGCCATCCATGCAACCTTTCATTTCTTTGCGTGCTTATTCCTCACGAAAGTGACCTTGGTCTCACCACATGTCCGATTACTACCAGTTATTCCCCCACCACACGATCCTTAAATTGTCTCGACAGGGAGGACGCGTTCCTCCACCAGCCTTTCCGCTGTCCCACTGTCGATAGTGAGTCAATTTCGTGTAAGAGTAGACCGGTTGGATGTGGTCTTCTGGTCAACTTCGTCTTGGAGTTGGCCAGGTCGGGATCTTTCCTCGGTACGCCGCTTGTGATTTTTTGGACGGTCTCCTTGCCTTGGTGCATCTACACGGATTCTGTCTTTTCACTTGTTGGCATACACATTTCCTCTCCGTATCCTTTTTGTCTTGTCTATAACACTGTATGTTCTATACCGCTGTCAAACAAAGTCCTTCACTCTTTCACGTACTGTTATAACGCTAGGTATCATTAGATACTGCTTTCGCAGACGAACTATAAATACAAAATTCTATTTCTTCCTGTCGCGTTCAGGAAGCCTCCCCTCCAGCAGCCTGCAAGTTCTTGATCATGGCCTGTATAAAATACATCGTCAACAAAGACAAGTTTTGACATGATAGCGAACTATGCGTACCTCAAGAGCAACAGGATTCACGCCGGGGAGCTCCTGCAATTTCTGACCGTCCTTGAAGGCGATGAACGTTGGTAGCTACAAATACATACTATAAGCCACCAGAGAATGACCAGCCAAAGGATAGGAAAGACGTACGGAACGGATGCTCATCTCCTGCGAAATTTCTGGCTGGGAGTCCGTCTCGACCTTCCGAAATTCGATGTCCGTGTAGATGTTGGAATACTTCTCGAATACTGGCCCAATCATTTTACACGGGCGGCACCACGTCGCCCAGAAGTCAACGATGACCACCTTGTCCTTGTTGTTGATCTAGGAAAATATATGAAGGTGAGCCTTGACCATGAGTAATGGGGGCTGGGCCACAGCTTACAGTGGCGTTGAAATCGTCCAAAGACTCGATAGGGGTGACGGGCATGGTGGCAATGGGCAGATATGGGAAACGGCAGAGGGATGACTTGGTCGGGGAGAGGGCTGGATAGAGGATGCGATAAAGAAGATGCCAATCTTTATATCGTCGTTCGTAGTCGAGGACTTGAATCAGCACTGCACGTGAGGTGGAACTGTGCTTAGAGAGCTCAGCGCAAGTCACGAACGTCCGCGGCCAGACTTCCAGTCGACGCGGCGAAAGATTAGACCACAAGCACAGGTACAGCACAGCACATATATCTTGTCTCGACGAACTGTGCGGAAGAAAATCAACACAATTGATTCCGGCCTTCTACGAAGATCGATGACGTCGTGTTCCCTCCAATCTTCATGAAGTTCACCGTGCATTGCATGGATCGCAGCGAATGAAGCAGCGATACGATGTCTGCCGCTGGTTCGCAAAAATGCATGCAGTACTCGAGTCGGACCACGAAGTATTCCGAAGCATCAGGAAGCAACGTCCATGAGGATTCATTTCGAGCGGGAATGAGGCGCAATATTCGGGCTATTGGCCTAGGCTGAGGACATCCAGTCTCCAGCGATACCTTCGGGGGCGTTTGGTGAGAGATATGTCAAACGGAGAAGACGACTGGAGCTAGAAAGTGGATGAGAGCCACGCAGGAGAGAGACGAAAGCGGCGAGGGCTGGAGAGTGGCTGGAGAGAGGGCACCGCCACACTCGCCACTTTGCGCGTCTGTTCCTTTGAGAAGTGGAATTTGCCTCATGCCTTCTGACCTCGCCCAAGACACCACAATTCTGGCGACGTCTGTCTTCTGCTACATAACCACCAGCTCCAGCTGCCTGGGCGGGGCCCGGCACTTTCACGATCCCCGCAGCGCTCTTGCATGTCCTCGAGTCGATATCGGTACAACGAGTCGGGCCCATCGCAGGAGACTATGAAATCTCACAAACTATGGAAACCTTCCACCGAGTCACGCACAGGCTACGACACTGACAGACCACGCCAGAAATCTTCCCGCACCGTTACACAGCCAGATCCCCGCACGACCACGAAGACAGATAGCAGACAACAGAGAGGGTACGCCTCCGACAGCAACCAGCCTTCTTCATCTCGTGCTCCACCCCCATCCACACACTACAACACCGTGCCCTCCACGAGCAAGTCGTCTCGCCATCACCAACAGCCCTCTTCGTCGTCCCAGTACCCCGTCACTTCCTCTCATAAAGCCACGACATCTTACGCTACGCAACCCACCTCCGTTAACGCTACATCCCAACCCCAGAGGTATGCAGATCCGTCACAGGACCCACGGTTATACTCGTCTCGTCAGCCTCCGGACAGAGCACCTGTTGCTGACGGACAGGCGAAGAGTTCTCGCTACCGTTCTCAGGCCGTCCCGTCTACTTCTCACACCGTCGCCGCGCTTGGAGAACCTCCGGCTTCATCGCTCTTACTTTCCAAGGACGTTCCCAGACCATCCAGGACACAGAAGGATAGTACGGCAGAACGACCAAAAGAGGTTCCGAGGGAAAGGGAGAGGGAGAGGTACGCAGAAGCACGATATGCAGACGAACAGGCTAGGCAGGATAGGCAGAAGGAGCGGGAAATCGTGTCGAAGCGGGAGAAAGAGAAGGAGCGGGAACGAGAGGAGAGACATGAGGAAGAGCGGCGTCGGGCGAGGGCACAACGACGGAAGGAGCGGGAAGACAGGCATAGACTCGAGGAAGAACAGAAAGCCCAACAGGAGCAGAGGGCACGAGAGGACGCATATGCAGCCACGCAAGTCAACTACGGACGTGATCGGGCAAGGGAACGGCCTTACGATCCTACAGAACCTACCTTGGTAGCTGTCACAAGCTCTGCGCGGTCGAGAGAACCCGAGGATTCGGACAATTCTCTTCGCAGGAAGGCCAATTCACGGCAGAAGCACCGTCATGAGCAGAGTGCTGCACTACCCGCAAACGTATGTCACCTGGGGAGCGCTTTATACCTGTATCAGGCCGCTCAACGTTGTTTTTGACAGGGTGATGCTTATGCCAATCAGCAACAGCGAACAACGGTCACCTCGCAACCCGTCCCCCCTCAGCAGGCCTACGCAAGTCGGACTAACGACGTGCCTCGAGCCACTACAAGGCCGATACGAAGACATACCACACCTCCTCAGCCGACTTACGCACTACCCTCGCAGCCACCCGATCCACCCAGAGCAACGAAGCACACCAAATCTCGGAGCGAAACAGTCCCGTATCCTCCTGGGTATGGTGTGGCGTCTAGTGATGCGGACCCTGCATCACGGACAAGGAAGGAGAGCGTACGTCGACAGGTGTCATTCGTATGACTTTAGTTACTCATCCTGCTTTTCAGGGGACTCACAAGTACGACACAGTGCGCTCCATGCCACAGGTGGCCGAGGTTCCAGTTCAACCCAGTTCTCGTGACGCCGTTCAGGGATCGAGTCGACCGTCCGCGACGTATACCTCACAACAATCGAACACGCTTCCTCGGTCGCAGAAGCAGGAGGTATGTGTTTAATGGCGCGGGTGTATCCAGTCATGCTTATTTGTACCTTTTCAGAAATCTTCGAAGAGAGGCGGTATCGCGAATTGGTTCCTCGGTCGCAGTGATACAAAGATAGAGTCCAAGTCCACTCCCTCATCTGCATTGCCTCCTTCTGCGACTACTGCTGCTCCAATAAATCGACCACCCAGTCGTGCGAACCATACTCCCCCACAGCTTGTCACGATCCGAGCGGGACAAGGTCCTTCAGATCCTAGAATACCTGAGCAACAAAAGCCGACACAATATGCTTCCGCCACGATACCCTATGGAGACCATCCGCAGAGCGCTCCTGCGGTCCCTTCTCGGGGAACCGAATCTAACGGGCTTTATCGCACTCGGACAACTGAGGAGGCTTATAACCAACCATCCTCACGGCCGCCAATTCCTCAGCAGACATCTTCTTATGCTCGACAACCTGTTGCGACGAATCCATCGACAGATACTGCTCGTCCTTCGGGAGCTCAGGTGGCAGATGGTGCTTATGGTCAGCCGTATTCTCGTCCATCAGCCCCTCAGCAATCATCTTCGTATGGTCGACAAGCTGTGCCAACAAACCCCTCTGTCGACACGGTTCGTGCTCCAACAACACAAGTCCAGTCTCGAGCAGAAGATCCGTCTGTGCAGAAACAACCACGTCCACCACCCGCACAGCAGTATACGTCTTCGGCTAGTCGTCAAGTTCCTCAAGCGACTGCTCAAGAACCTGCCCGTCCCCCTTCACGCGCTCAAGCACATAATGACCCGTATGCTCAATCTGCTCGTCCTTCTGCTTCACATCGGCAATCATCGTACGGACGTCCATCTGCGCAGGCCGACTATCAGCAGTCCAGCGCTACGCAGCAAACCTCAGCTAATCACCGCTACGCTGATCCTTCACATCCCCAAGCAAGCATCACACAGGCCTCCGCTCCAGCTTCCATTCCTCCTCCCATTGGAAACTACACTGCACAAGGAGTAACCACTAACGTTGCAGATCACCCTCCACCCGTTTCTACCCGAGTCGCAGACCCTCCACTTCGTCAGACTGCTCCAGATGCGTATACTTCCTCTGCAGCGCGTTCTGCGCATGCACGAACAGTATCGCACGATCGAGACGTTACGTCGAAACAAACGAGCTATGGACAGCAACAGTCATCCGCTTCGCGACACCGTCCTTCTCAATCCGTGCCCTACACCTCCACTGTGGCCGCCACACAGGATCATATATCTGCACGGGAGAGGGAGAGGGAGAGCCCCAGAACGAATGGAGTTGCACAACCTTCATCCCAGGATTACTTTACTGAACCGAGTCGCGTCGAACCTCCTCCGAGAGCGCTCAGTGCCGTTCCGCCGTCTGTGACTGCTGAGTATGGAGGCTGGGCCGAGGGTATCAATGGGGCGTCTACACCGAAGGTGCCAGACTCTCCGGAGCCATTGTACATCCCACCTCCGAACGCCGTGTTTCCTTCTCGCCAGACAACCAATCCTGTCACGCACGCTGAGACGAACGACTCCACACCACCAATGCCAGCAGGTAGCTCAAGACGAGCAGCTCAAGATCTTCCCGCACAACCTCTGGTACACGAGGATGCTACTTACGCCACATCGACGCCACAACAACCTGGTCCCTCCATCAATTATTCTCCACACTCTCGATCGTCGGGGGAGAAAAGATACCAGGCCGAGTTTACTGTCGAGACCAGACAAGGAAGTTCCAAATTGGATCCATACAGCCTCACTCCTTCGGCCAGCATCCCATCTTCCGCTTTCCTTCAGCCAGTCGATCCTCGTGTCTCCAAGCGCTCTAAGACCCCATCCCCAGGACAACATCCACGATCAGTAACGCAGAACACACCTCCAAAAGACTCCGTATCCCCCGCTGTACATCTCACCCAAACGACTCCTTCCTCGTCAGGCCATGCACCATTACAGCCAACCACTAATTACGCGCAGCCTCAGGAGATTCCACGTTTTCATACCCCTGCTCCTCCCCCTCCCAATATGATACCGTCTTCATACCCTGCTACGTCTGGATACCCCGCACCTTCTCAGCCTGCCCAAGTAGAGACATATGCCACCTATACGAGTCATGCCGATAATCCAGTTGTCACTTCTAATTCACAGCCACGCCCTCCATCCAATAATTCTCCACCGCGTTCGCAAGCGCAGCCCGTCGCATCGCCAATTTTTGCTCCTCCCTTGACACAACGTATGGCATCCCACACACCCTCGTACGAGACAGGATCAACGACGCTCCTCGGTCAGACTCCTTCCTCGCAGGCTTCTCCTCTCATGCCTGGTGGTTTCCCGGGTGTTCAAGGGCAAGGCGGTTCTCCAGCGAACGGTGGCGCCGCCACCTTACAATCTCCTTACCATCCAGCCTCTAATCCTTACCCGTCGACTATGTCTTCCAATCCCGTCAATCAGCGTTCGAGTCCTCCTGCGACACCTTACATCCCATCTACCACGACTCCCGTCACTCCCTCAGCTCCTGTCAGAACGGATTCTCAGCCCGGAAACACGCGGCCTCCTACTACGCCTGCATCCGGTGGCTCGTATTTCGATGCTCCAATAACCGCCGAGCCCATGTCGGCTACGCCATTTCCTCGCTATCCGGGTCAACCCCCAACTCCTGCACCTTCGCGGAAATACATCCTTTCGCCATCCCCTGAGCCCGATGCTCTTCTGACGCCTTCGTCCTTGGGACCGTCTACCCCACAGGCCCCTCTGTCACCGACGGACCCCAATGGCCCTTCGACTTTCGCTACGCAACAAGACGCGAAGAAGAAAGGCGGTTTGCTCGGTAACATCATGCGTAGGGTTTCGCTCTCGAAGTCATCTCAGCAGCAGCATCAACAGCAGTACCAGCAGCAACAACAACATCAGCAGCAACAGCCCAGTCAGAGTCGCGCACGGACACGAACCCAGACTCACGCCCAAGACCTACCACCCAAGTCCATCCAAACGCACGGGCACGGACGTATTTCGTTCTCTGAGCCGTCCCTGCCTATCCCGATGGACACCGGCGCGAAGAACGTTGCCTTTCCGCCTTCGGCTCCAGCGAAGGCTGCTAATGGTGGTCCTCCTCCTTCACCTGCCAATGGAGCCACTACCCCGACTCGTGAGCGGAGAACGAGCGCGTCGCATCAGTTTTTCCCGTTTCGGTTGGTGTCGAAGAGACATCGGACGGTGTCTGCTGCATCTGTGGATGCTGTGGATGGCACAGTTGGGGTAAGCCTTTTGTCCACGCTTTCATTGAACATTGTAGCTTACGGTTCTCATTCTTTGGATCAGGGTAACAGCACGATTCTTACCTCGCCTGCAGGGTCGACGCGTAGCCCGACGCCGAAGCTGCCTGCTCCTCAGCGAGACCCTGTGCAGGCTACGAACGAATGGAGGATCAAAGAAGATGCGGACCTTCGCGATGCACCAAAACCGCGCAGGAAGAGACCGGGAGTCACGTTCGAAGGGTATGAGAGCGATCATCCTCATGCCCAACGGAATAAACCTGCGTACCACACTCGGCCCAGCCGACCATCACGATGAGGGCTACTACACAATTTTCTCTTGGTTTCGCGGTCTGTCAACCGCCCCGTTTGGAGTGGTGTGCGTCGTCGATGGTGCTTTCGGCTTTCTGTTTATACTGCTTTCGTTGTTTGACTTTGCTCTCTTGATAAGTTATGTTTTGACGCATCTGATAGGTCGCTCGCTCGTCGATAGCTATCGTTTCGCTCGTTTCCCTCCTGAAATTTCCTCTTGGTTTTCTTACTCGTACTTATGAATTGCGTTTCGGAACTTGATGTCGGAATGACGCCCTTGTATCCTTACTATGCTATTTTCTTCGACTTTCCTGTTCATGTCTTACGAGTTACGAGGTAATAGGTCTGCTGTGTATAATGTAGAGAAGTGCTTGCCTGTCTTGTTATGAGGCTGAGAGTTCAGGTCGAAGATCCGCACCGTACTTGGAAGCCAGGACTTTCAGCCAGGGGTCGCCACAAAGCACCCTAAACGCCACAATGAACGGTGACTACGCGTGACGTCACGCGGCGCGGCGCGTCCGTTTCTGTTTTCTCAGAGCGCGTTTGCACCGGCACCCATACCGTCCCAGTCAGGTCTTTACCCGCTGCCACTGCCACTTTACCCACGAGGGCGCGATGTTCAGCACAAGAAAAGCTGCAGTCGAAGTAGAACGCCACTCACGACTTAAATACCCTCACCGACTCAACTTGTATGTCCTATGCATCTTCACTCTCGGAACCGGGTCCGCCTGACAGGACGCGTCCAGCTATGACAAGCCTCCAGTGGAGGACATCACCATCGAAGAGTTCGAGACCTGTGCCATCGACAGACTACGCGTCTTAGCGGAGATAGAGTCCGGTTTCGCGCGCAATAGGCCGTACGACGAGTTGAAGACGATCGCCATCGCTCAGTGCGAGAAGTATATCCCGCTGAATGCGACGAGCGCGACGACTGTGAATCGGGATGCGCAGAGGAGGAAGGATCATATCGGACATTTTGTGCTGAGGCTGGCGTTCTGTCGCTCGTGAGTTATCGCTCCGTTATCGTCTGCAGGGTGTGAGCGAGGAGCTGATATGTGCTGCAAGGGAGGAGTTGAGACGGCGGTTTGTTAAGGCGGAGATGACGCTATTTCGCGTTCGGTATGATACGGATGGGAACGACGAGCGGAAGGAGTTTCTGAACTCTAGGGACTTTAACTGGATACAGGTGCGTACCTCGTAGTTTTGTCTGCCCTAAGTCGCTGAAATGCCTCCCATTGATTTACCTCAGGTGAATGAGAAGGAGAAGGTGGGCCTTGCTGAAGAGCTGGCAGCAGCGTCTCCCGGGTTGGATATTAATACTCAGGATTTCTACAAGGTCTGTTAACTTCCTCACTTGCCTTGACACCTTTCCTGATTGTGTGGCTAGGTTCGATGGACACGAGTGCCTGATCTTATTGAACGGAGAAAAGTACTTCTCAAAGCGGGATGGGCTTATGTTCCCGCCCGAGAACAGTCTAGCATCGTCTTCCAGGAGTTCCAAGTGCACTTACAGAATCAGCTGGAGGTGAGCTACATTATCTATGTCTTTTATTGATAGCTTACACGATGATCACGCAGAAAACAGCAAAGAGTCTACCCCGTCTAGACGAAGACAACCGTATCGTTCCTATCTTGAATAATCTGTCGCAAGGCTTCTTGGCAGGTGTCCCATCGGAATGGGGTGCGCCGGAGGGATCAGGAGAAGAGATCAGAGCGGACATGATTGACGACCTCGCGCGGAAACATTTCCCCATGTGTATGCGCAACCTGCACGAGAATCTCAAGAGGGACCATCATCTCAAACATTTTGGGCGCCTCCAATATGGTCTCTTCATCAAGGTATGTGTAGTGGCAAGGAGGGCTTCCTTAGCGGCTGACGAGCTTCAATGTTTGTAGGCTCTTGGTCTATCGATAGACGAAGCTGTTTTATTCTGGCGCCGATCATTTAGTGGGATGACTGATGATCAGTTCAACAAAGGCTACAAGTACAATATACGTCACTCCTACGGTCTAGAGGGTAAACGGGCAAATTATCCAGCAAAGAGGTGAAAGAACTTCGCTCCGTTAGAGAACCTGCTACTAACTCTTCTCCCGCTTTTCAGCTGCCAACAGATCCTTATGACCGACCAACCAGGCTCGAACGACTCACACGGTTGCCCATATCGCCACTTCTCCGTAGACAACCTACAAACTGCCCTGCTGTCTACGTACTCTTCCCAAGGTCTCACCACCGCTGATCTACCCGACATCCTGAACTCGGTGAAGGGTGGACACTACCACGTTGCATGCACCAGAGTATTCGAAATCACGCATGCGAATCAGGGAGTGAAGAAGATGGAGGGCGTAGGTGGCGGTGAGAGTGTCACGCATCCCAACCAGTATGCTCAGCGAAGTAGAGAGTTGGAGAAAGCGATGGTCGAAAAGGTGAAGAAGGAGGTTGGGGCCGATGGGGACGGAGATGTTGTCATGGTCGGATGAGCTCTTTATTATTGTTTTGTTTTCCGTCTTCCTCCGCATCTCGTGTAATGCTTTGTAGTTATGATGTTTAGTATCTCGACTGGAATTCACCGCATCAGCATTAGGCATTCCATCGTGTCGTACAACTGACCCGCCTCCGACAGCAGTGTCGAAGCGTGGAAGTAGCAATATAGTCGGAGTGTGCGTATCAAACGAGGTAAATCCAGATTTGATATCAATTATCTTGCTCTTCAGCATTCAAGCTGGCCAGGCGAGCGCGAAGTTTCTGGTTCTCGTTTTCTGCCTTCGACAGTGCAGATTTCGTCGTCTCCAGCTCTCGCTTGATCTCTGCCAGCTCCTTGATGGTCTCATCCTCCAGTTCGCCTGCCCCTACTGCAACACCTGTCCGCACACCATAGTCTTTAATACCAACGAGCCATAAGAAGGAGAAGATGGGTTGGACTCACCTCCCACAAGCTTGACAAGCCTCCACAACCGCAGTATGATCAAAAGTGACGCCAACTCCCTCTCCCGTCCTCTCAGTGCCACCTCTAATACGAACGTCGTGACAATAATGACCGCATCGAATAAATGCAACGAGGAGTGAGGCTCTTCTCCAAACGGATTATAATACGACAATCCGAAGGCCCAAAGTGCGAGAGGAATTTCGATCAAGAAAAATGTGGTTATGGCGGTGGAGATCTCGGAAAGGATGTCTAGCCAGAGCGGGGCATCGGGACCTGCAGGTTCGCAGCCCTTGGAGAGGAGGGTATAGGCAAGGTCAATAACGACGCATGTCGCATCTATGATGATCTGTTGAAGAAGTATCAGTCATTTTTGGGCCACAATACTTGCGACGACGGAACCAGATGTTGATGTTGATAGACGGGTGCGTACCAAGGCAATGACAATCTTGTGTGTGATTTTGGCCTCGAGGGCCTCGCCGACGCGTGTGCGCCATTTCGAGAGTGTCGAACTCGACGGAGAGTCATCGTTAGCAGCTTCAACATCGGGGTTGTTGGATGTGGTGGCGAGGAGAGGCTCCTGCTCTGACATTATTTCCTGAGCGTGTTGGGCTTGGCAAAGCGGCCAATTCGGCTCGATCCTCTCCGGACGCAGAGTGCCGAATCCGGCAGGGCCGCACCTTTGGCTCACGTTTCCATCAACCTTCTTCCCTTGTTCTTCCCCCTCGCCGTCCTCGAACGGAGTCGAGCTCGTATATCACCGTTGTGCTGCCTCTTTCATCTTTTCTTCGTCAGTGTCTCGGCGTTGGTCTCCAATAATGTTGCGCAAAGCTCAGGTTGACCCAGGGCGTAAGCATCTGCGAAATGGCTACTCCGACTGAGCGACCGAGTCGCAGGGCGACAGCGGGACTTTGATGCGTGTACTGAGATGATACTATGAGCGTCGAATGTCGCTACCCATTTTCCATGTAGCAATCACGGTATGACGCGCTTGTATGTTGAGAGCTCTGTTGATGAATCGATCGGCCAATCAGGTATCCCTACATCCTCGATGATCGAAAGAACTCTCACGAATCGGTTTCTCTAGGGTCCGTTAAAGTATGGCAAGAGACATGAGTCAAGGCTTGACTTTGAGCGCGTTTTGATGTCCGCAGCCTAAGAGACCATCAGTTCTCGCATGGCCTGACCCAGCAGATACAGAGTTCAGAGCATTCGGTTAGACGCCGTGTCAGCTACAGCCTCTACCTATAATCTTAGGCGTATTTTCATGTTGTGGAAAATATCTTGCTGATGATCCACATCTTCTCAACCATGTCAATGGATTATTGTCCCTCCTCCCCCCCGCAAACGATCAAAGGCTGTGGGAAGATGTCTGTAATGTGATCTTACCCATGGGTACTGCCTTGAGTGCGTTGGGCCGTCTTAACTTCGACCATCTGTCCAACAATCACGGCGCGCTGATCAAGTCTGGTCGTTTAAGAAGATCATCTCACCAAGCGTTCTTTGATGTCGTCCACCCCTCTTTCTTCCCTTCGTACTGACTGGATCAGTCCTCCGCGCGCACTGGGCATCCTCTCGGTACTTCAAGTACTATTGGGAACTCTGTCGTGCGCTTCGACTCAATATTTTACCCTTCTATTTTCGCTCGCAATAATACACTCTTTCGCCTTTTCACTCGTTCATTATGCATATCTGGGCTGTTTTTCGTACGGTGCGGATCGGACTATTTTGTACGCATCTTTTGACTCTTTTCACCACCCAAATTCTCCCGTTCTTACCTCCGCTAGTCCAGTTCTTCTCATTCTCTCATGCCTGTCTGGTCTCGGACTACTTTGCATACCGATGGTCCAAGGATGGACTCTCCTCAGCGAGGCGCAACGTGAGCATATTCTGACACCCATTCTCTTCCTTCTCTAATCCCACTTTATAGGTATCCTCCTTGTGGCCATGGCGGCTGTGGACGCCTTTTCCGCAATTCTAATATATCTCATGTACGCCTTTGGTATCGGTCAAATCGCTCTGATGCAAACTCTCACCTACGCACAGGATGGTCGTCCCCTTCCGCCTTTGGCTTGACTGTGCCCGCATCTTTATAGTGTTGGTTCTGCACAGTGGTCAGTACATAATTCATCTCTTGTCGCATTCTTATCCTAACCTATCTCTAGGAGGTGCCGTGATCTTCACACTTCTGAAGCCGAGGATCCCTTGTGTCACCTTTGGTAAATTTCCGAACACTCTTAAGTCGTACACTTCTGACGTCCTCTCAGGTTCAACAAACACATGCACAGATTTCAGACTGGCGATCGTGGCTAATGCCTGGGCGGTATGCGCCCTTCGTGAGTGTCCCTGTTACTGACAATCTACCTGAGATCTATGGTCTAACTTATTCTTCACGTAGTCCTTATGTATCTCACGTTGCTGGCCATCGCAGCGTTTCTGCCTCGACCGGTCACTTATCTACCTGACAAGCCATCTGTGATACTCCCCACCTCTCCCGGGATGCCCATCCAGCGACCACCTGTCGTCATGAGACGCAACTCATCCATCGATTCTCGCACAGGGTTACTCGAGAATGAGCCAACGATATCTTCCGAATCAAGAGCGTCCGTCACGAGTCTTCATCAAGGCGGTCCTTTGTTTGTAGTCAACGGTGACCGTATGGAGGAGGAATATCAGGAGGTCTTCCCAGAAATGGGATCGAGACAGCCTTTGCAGCCTGTGGATCATTACGGATCTATTCACGATTTCCCGATTCGTACACCTGCATCACAATCATCTTTCGCTCTCAGCATGGCCCAAGCTCAGTCGCTCAAGACACCAATCGGTCTCCCGGAAGGCTACCCTTTGAGTGCGATGCCGTCTCCCTTGCCATACACGCCTACAGTGATTTCTGCTCAGACTTCGTCACGCCCTCTGCCCTTTTCGAACCCTTTCAGAGGTCCACTTGTGCGTCCTGGTACATCGGACTCCGTATACTCGGCAGGCTCGATAATGCCATCGACCACCCTTCATTCAAATGGTGCACAGGGTCATGGTCACTTCAATATCCTAGGGGATCTCCATGCCGTGCCTCCTAATCAGGCTAATTGGGCAACAAACCCAGTCCAAATGATCCCAGTGGACCATGACTCAGAGTATTTGCTCCCAACACCATTCACGGCAAGGAACCCATACCGCTACCCTAGTCCCTACCTCCTCCCTGTTCAGGCCCCTACATCAGCCCCGCCTCCCAACGGGTACATGCCTTCATTGTTTCCCCCGACCACCACTCCTCTTCGTGCGCACACCCCAATAGCGGCCGCCCAATCCGTACGGTCTGTCGCCCCCAGCGTTCACTCCCATGTTTCCGACAGACCCATGCGTACGGATCATCTGGCATCGTACACTTTCCCACCTATGTCGCATTCAAGTAATCGTACAGGCCTGCCAACTCCGGCCTCCACCAACGGTAATCCCACTCGCCGGCCTCTGAGCGCACTGCTTCGATTCGAGAGGCCTGACGACCCGAGCCTACCGATGTACAACTACCCATACACTCCGTCCAAGTCGCCCCACATTCGCAGGTTCGGTTCTGTGCCGAATGGTGCGGTTCAGGGGACGCAAGTTGGATACGGAAGAGGATACGAAGCGTACGAGATGACGAATGTTTATGCTTTGGGTGAGAGGAGAGGAAGTGATGGACAGGTTGTTGACCATGCGCAGTGGAGGCGGTTGGTACGAGACGCGGCTCTTGGGACGGCCTGAGTTTGGACATCGCGCGATTTTCCTGGTCATGTTCTCTCTGTTGTTTGCGACTTTGTGACGTACATGACTTACGATCGTTTCTCTGGGGCACAAATTCTGAACATTATACCTTCGATTTCGATTTCGATCGCTCTACAGGTCTTGTCGCTCTTTGTAGTCGCCAAGTTATGCAGCCGACTTTTGTTCACCCGGACACTCTTTATTTCTTGTAGGTATTCCGTTCGAGGAGAATATCGCAATGGGCATAGCCTACACCGAAATTGAGCAGACATGTGTTTTATTCCGCACCCGTGGACACCGGTTTCTTGACTCTGCCCTCGATACTTATGCAAATAGGCACGAGACGCCACAACACGAACGTTGTATTATTGGAAAGACGAAACAGTATCGTAGCACCGGGCGTGGCCCTCTAGTTCTTCGATGGCCACAAGACCAAGAACGCCCATCCGGGGAACACCTTATCTATAAACTCGTCCTGAATGCCAAGGAAAGCATTCCCCGTAAGCATGGACACACTGGTCTTCCATGTGGTATGCAAGGAGAAAGAAGTGCTCTGGCCGTACCTGCCCTTCCCAGCTTGCAGGAATGCACTGGCGAGATTATCTGGATGCGCATGTGCGTCCAACCGAAAACGTCTCTTCTTGCTACACTGGTCTTTTGGTCAGAAACGTTTCTCCTTGATAGAAGACCTGGGCCCACAGATATAAGGTGGGAATGCGACTCTACGAGGGCCACCTTCTGCTCGTCCTTTCGACTGAGGGTTAGACGCAGAATGGCACGCTTCGCTCTCCCTCTGGTCGTGCTCGCGCTTGCCTTCGTCGTGTCGGCTGCTCCTATTGCTCAGATAAAGAGAGCACTGCCTACGCCGGTCGCCGTCTCGACTGCGAAGACATATTTGAGTCAATGTGCGGCATTTTTTTTCTTTTTTCATACCATTTAGCGCAAGCACTTGGGAGCTCATGCTGACTACCTTAATCCTTGTCTGCAGTGACTGTTGCGGTGGACTCGAACTCTCCGGCATATTCACGCGACCAGTTCAAGACCTGGGACATAAGTGCGTTAGTTCTGTTGTATTTCAGTAACTAGAAGACGATTAAGCCATCATACTATCATAGTCTCTGGGACGTGCGATACTAGAGAGAGTGAGTTGGTCTTTATTGTAGCACCACGACGCCAGTGAACGTGTGAGAATGCTCATCTTTGACCTTCGTTCTAGCGGTCTTGAAGCGGGACGGCACGAACGTTGTGACGGATAGCTCATGCAAGGCCACATCTGGAAACTGGGTCTCCCCATATGACAATGTGGCCACGACCTTGGCGAGCGACCTCGACATCGTGAGTCTGACCTTCGACATCCATTAGTTGCATCTATGGTTGACAAGCTTGTTTGATGTTTTCATAGGACCATGTAGTTCCTCTGAAGGAGGTAAGTAATATCTTCAGCCGGTTATCATGAGGTGAGAAAGACTGAGACGAACCTCTATTATTCCAGGCGTGGATATCTGGAGCCAGAGATTGGACTGCTGCTCAGCGTGAAGCGTACGCGAACGACCTGACCAGACCTCAGCTCGTCGCAGTCACCGACAACCTCAACGAGTCCAAAGGTATGTCATGATTATATATATAAGTTGATCACCTTGTGTTTTATAGCTAACTGCTTGCGAATGGCAGGCGACAGAGACCCTGCAGAGTGGATGCCTCCGCTCGCAAGTTTCCAGTGCGAATATGTTCGCGCTTGGATTACGGTCAAGCACTTTTACGACCTCACGATCGATAGCACGGAGAAGACGGCTCTTCAGGGCTTTTTGGATGACTGTTGATTGGAGCAGAAGGAGACATGGTAGACATAATAAGACATGATACTTGTACTGAGCAGTGTTTTCGACGATGAAGTGAAGTACTCGGAATGTATGGCTTGGGACGCGGACTGCTGTGGTGATATGTACTCGTCGTACACCATTTTGGCATAAGGTCGTTTTCCGCAGCGCAAAAGTGGAACTGATGAGCACTGCGTGTAACGTACGCCTGTGATGTTGGAAGAAAGGGAGGACATGAAATAATAATGTGGCGAGTGGGCCGCAAAGATGCCGAAGCCACGGATCAATGACGTCAACTTACTCGGCACTCTAAAGCTTTCCAAAGTTTGACCGACTTCAGTTTTGCTCACCTTCACCGCCGTACTCACAGACCGATTTTCACAATGGCCACCGCTTTCGGTTCTGTCTTCTCTCGGCCGTTCTCAATCAATCGACTACCCTTAGCTTCATGTCGTGCTTTGGGCAGACCTCAGCCTAGTCGCGTCTCTGGGCTGCAAACCCCATTCTTTCGCCTATACTCTTCCACCGCATCCAGGGAAACCGCAAGGAGTACACCATTGTCGGCTGTGAAAGTAGCAGGAGTAGCCACCGTCGGCCTGGGATTGTCTGCTCTTGCCAACTGGACTCCTATATACTGTGAACGTGAGAGGCTCACTCGACCTGATACGTTCTCAAGGCATGTGCTGATCTCACCTTGCAGCCGGAGCTGGTCCTACCAGCCCAACTCCCCCGCCGCCTCCCAAAAATGCTTCAAATGACCCCGGTCTACCCCCTCTTCCTCCACCACCTCAGTCCTCGCTAAACCTGTACGAGCTCTCCTTCGGCACTGTTTGTGGTATCTGCGCTGGCGTATTCGTCAAGAAAGGGGCCAAAGCCCTCGCATTTGGACTTGGCGGTATATTTGTGTTGCTTCAGGTATTTTACAGTTTCTCTCAGGTGATTGGAATATTCTCATTTATTTCTGAATCGATTCAGTACTTGGGCTCGATGTCCGTGGTGAAGGTGGACTGGGCTCGTATGGGGAGGAAGTTTGAGAACCTGTTCTACAAGACGGATGCGAGTGGGGCAAAGAAGGCTCCGACTATCTCATCTTTGTGGAACTGGCTGGTAGACTTCTTGACGGCGGATTTCCAGCCGAGGGCATCGTTCCTTGCTGGGTTGGCCCTAGGGTTGAGGATTGGCTGAAAGTTGATATGGGCGTATCACTTATCGAATGTCTAGTAGATACGAGGGAAATAGCACCAGTATTTATGTGAAATACATTCCGAATCATAAACACCTCTACCGTTTCGATCCTATTCAACTTGTAATGAGAGTGTGGCCCTGATTAGAGTGGCGAGGACAGGGGCTTTTGTGTAGACCTAAACTTCGGGTTAGGGGTCCAGATATGGTAGTAGCGCGTGGGAATCAGAATTTGTGCCTCTGCAAGATTTTTTGCAGTCGATCGTCCGCGAATAACACGGCTACTGCTTTGCTTCACCCCGACTTTCTTTCCTCCACTTGCTACTATGGGACGTCGCGCGAAAACAAAGCAAGCACCTCCGGAGCCATTGGCTGAACCTCGAGACTCTGCCAAACCGTCCGGCAGAAGGGCAGGAAAACGCAAGGCCGACCCGGAGCCTGAGGAGGGCAAGCGACCTACGAAGAAGGTCAAGGAGACGTCCCCAAAGAAGAAGGGAGAAAGCAAGGGAGTCCAAGATGTCACAAAGACTAGGGGAAAGAAGGGTCAGCAAAGTCTTGCCACGAGCTGGGATGATGCGGACGCAGAAGGGAGCAGTGGAGGATGGGATGACATGGAGGATGATGAAGACGTGAAGGCACATGCACAGTGCGTTTCTCAACGATTTTTGAACACCTGAAAGTTTTTTCATGTGTTTGCGTTAGGTCATTATTTCATGGCAGTGATGAGGAAGATATGGACGAAATTGTCGATGATAAGTTTGAGGTAGACGGAGCCGAGTATGTTTCTCAATTCTGAACGCATTTTATTCTTATGGCGTTCTGACCAAGCCTACTAGTGATATCCTCCGTGGACCAACACAAGAGCTGGATCTTGGTTCCGATTCTGACGACGAACCTATACCCGCAAATATCAAGACCAAGAAATCCAAACAGGCAGACCGCCCACTCAAAATTATCCCGACTGGCTCTGACGCCTCTAACTCTGACTCTGACGAGGATGATGAAGACGAAGACGGGCCCGTTACTCTTGCTAATATGGAGGCACGCTCAAAAGCTTTGGATGACAAAGCTGCTGCAGAGGCTGAACTCGATGCGGAGGAGTTACGCCTGGCTGCTGAAGGAGGTGATGATGACGAGTTCGAGGGCATGGACGACATGGACGATGATGAGGACGAGGGTGAGCCAGGCGCTGCTGGGGAAGAGTTTGTCTTACCCTCTGTCCAGGAGAGGGAGGAGGAGAAGAAAAATGGTGGGCCAGAGCTTCATGTCGTTCAGAGGCGTATGCGAGAATGTGTGAGGGTGCTCGGTAAATGGAAGAAGTTGGGCGAAAAGTCTGGACGGTACGCACTCACCAATATAGACAATGGGCTCACGCTGATGGATCGCGCTCATGTAGACCGCGCTCGGAGTACATTGACCAGCTGGTGTCGGACATCGCCAGTTATTATGGTTATAACGATTTCCTAGCGGAGAAACTGTTCCAGTTGTTCCCCATTGCTGAGGTACATGCCTCACTTTCTTACATTCGATTTTGTACTAATCTCCGTCTCAGGCTATCGAGTTCTTCGAGGCTAACGAAGTTCCTCGGCCTGTAACAATTCGGACAAATACTCTCCGTACAAGGCGGAGAGACCTCGCACAGGCTCTCATCAACCGTGGCGTCAACCTCGAACCCATCGGAAAGTGGACCAACGTTGGTCTGCAAGTATTCGAGAGTAGTGTACCAATAGGTTCGTGCTTTCTCGTCTTTCCTTCGATATATTAAGCTAAAACAACGTCACGTCCAGGTGCCACACCTGAATATCTCGCTGGTCATTACATGCTCCAAGCTGCATCTTCTTTCCTTCCCGTCATCGCCCTCTCTCCTCAACCACAGGAACGTGTCCTGGACATGGCTTCTGCTCCTGGTGGAAAAACCACGCACATCGCCGCGCTTCTTCAAAATACCGGCGTTGTCTTTGCAAACGACGCAAACAAGGCCAGGACGAAGAGTCTGACTGCGAATGTGCACCGCTTAGGTTGCAAGAACGTCGTGGTCTGCTCGTACGACGGACGTGAGTTCCCCAAGGTGATGGGTGGGTTTGATAGGGTGTTGCTAGATGCACCGTGTAGTGGTACCGGTGTTATCAGCAAGGACTCTAGTGTCAAGGTCAACAAAGTAAGTCACCTCTCGCTCTCAGATCCACTGTCAGTATCTCAACTGAATTCATCTTCCATGTATAGTCTGACCGCGACTTCGCCCTCCTGTCACATCTCCAAAAGCAACTCATCCTCTGCGCCATCGACAGCGTCAACCCGAACTCCAAAACCGGAGGCTACATTGTGTACTCCACATGTTCCGTCACCGTGGACGAGAATGAGGCAGTCGTGGACTACGCTCTGCGCAAACGGCCGAACGTCAAACTCGTCGACACTGGGCTCGAGTTCGGAAAACCAGGATACGCAAGATACCGCGGAAAGACGTTCGACGAGAGCGTCAAGCTGACCAGAAGGTTCTATCCCCATGTCCATAACATGGACGGCTTCTTCGTGGCTAAATTCAAAGTCGAGAAGAGGGTGAAGACGAAGAAGGACGAGGGTGAGGAGAAGGAGGTGAAGAGTGTGGCGATGGATGTGGATGAAGTGCAGGAGGACGTCAAGTTCGATGAAGAGGCGGACAAGCCCTACCTCGAGGGTCAGTCTTTTCTTCTTTCATATCTGACCATACTAAGCTTGAGCGCTAACTTCGTGTTCAGAGGCAAAGCGGAGACGGATGAAGGCAAAGGGTCTGCGTCCTCCCCCTCGGAATCGTCCTTCTACCGCGTCGACGACCGTTGCAGCAACGGCATAACGCACCAAAATGTTTACTTCCTATGTTCTCTCTCTGTCCTTTCACGTATTGGATGTTTGGACGTTCACGTTCAGGTGCACGTTCCGTTGTGACACTATGCGGCATTCTCCCCCCGTGATTGCTGATCCTTTGTTGGCTCATCCGCTTCGCGAATCATCGTCCTCATCCGGTTCCTCACCAAGACAGCAGTGCTCTCGGCGTATTTCCATGCACTAGCCTGGTAGTGCATCACTTTTTGGCAGGCTTTGGGTCCTTTGATCCAGAAAGCAGTGCATATGATGCGGTTTGCTGTATTGTTGTTGGACCAGTGTTGCGAAAGAATTTCGTCTTGCCCATAGCTTGCTCTCACCTCAACATATCACCTTCGGATCCCCCGAACATCCTCTTCATCATGCAGAATTCTTCCAATCTCTCCGAGAGGGTAGATGAGCTGCATCATCGTCAACGACGGTGATCCCAGGTTTGCAAACTTTTTTCCGCACAACATTGGTCCGACGACTCATCATGTCGATCGAAAAGCTCTGGAGGACCTGTCTTCCGTTGGCTCTGTTCCGGAGGTGGGTTAGTTATGCGTGTGGCGCCGTAAGAGTGTCCATTATGTGGCGGGGTCGCGGTGCACTCGACGGCATCGCCTCGCCGTCTAACGAAAGTGAACAACTGGTGCACGGGTGACCTCTCGTAGAAAGCGGGACACTGATGGCTGGGAAGGCTGCATTACTCTCTGCAGTGCTTACAGACGGGAAGAGAAGGCCGCAACTACGTACGGGGCGAGGATGACATCTGACATCGGTCTCCGACCCATGATCTACTCGAGCATCATACACCGCGTCGCAGAATGTATATAAAGGCTGGCTGGTGCCCCGTTAACAGCCAGGCTTTCAGTTCTACAACACTTGACCTCTACCTACTCTTAATTCACATCCTACTCGTCGATCCTTCAACCCACCCCTCATCAGCAATAATGCAGCTCACCTTCGCCTCCACTTTCGCCGTTCTCCTCGCTGCGTGCTCAAGCGCGTTGGCCTCTCCCACTCCCAGGCAATCTTGTTCGGAAGCTTCTCGTTACGGCGCCACGTCGTTGTCGAACTCGAACTTGGCTCCCGGTGATGTGAGGCTCCCCAATTCCCCTTCTTCTCTTTACCCAGTCTCGTCTTCTGCTGTCTTGCTGACCAATTGTCTCTGTTTTTTTTTCTCTCGCTGCGCTAGGCATTCACCCTGACCTGGACTGACGACTGTGGCGCCCAATACAACATTATCCCCAAATACGTCGATTTCTCCATCGTCCCCTCCAGTGGGGCTTCGGTGATCATCGGAAGGTACGACTACGATGGAGGTGCAGAGGGTATCTCCTTCGACACCACGGTGGGTTTCCGACTTCTCCCTGTCAACATCTGCACATCCTGTGGCGTCTTTGCTGATTACACTCTCTTCTGTGGCGTGAAATGTAAAATAGCTCCCGGCCTACTACTACGAGAGCGGCGCCACTTTCAACGTGAAGACGACCCTCACCTACCCCAATGCCGGACCCACCGGCGAACAGGTCCTCGTCCAGGGCGGCCTTTACACCCCTCTGACCATCACGTCCTCGTCGTAAACGGCCGGTCTTCAGTGGGTTTAAGTACCTCTTAGGGCTTTTTTGGTTTATCGAGGTGCAAGGATTCAGAAGGATTCGGGGCTGCGAGTCAAGGATAATCTATTTCGGAAAATTTTACACGGACTTTCAACTTCATGGACTACGCATAGTTTCTGACAAAGTACACTCGTTTGACTACTCTACTATTTGATGGTTTTTTCATGATGGGTTTATTCATGGTCGAGGTGGATACCGTGCTCGTCTCCTCGCTAGACTTGTGGGTCGATATCCTGTTGAGTTGAATGAGGTATCAAAGTAGGCGGGTTAAGCAGTCAACAATCGAGCATCCGAGCATTCGAAGTCGTCGATCCGCCATTTCGTGACTTCTCACTCGAGCCTGAAAAGGGCAGGATTGTCTACTTGGGCTTCCGATTCCCTTCTTCACCTGCAACATTCCTCGGTCGGTTGAATTCGCACTCTATTTTGTGACATTTTATACTTCTCAGTTAGCGAGGATCTCTACATGGATCCTCTGAATTCGCATCATTCCTCGACTGGTCTGATTTGCACCGTGACAAACACCAAGTTCAAGTATGCCAAGCTGCGAATCCTCAGGCTCTCATTCGTATGAACGGGTCTTGGTACCGAGTAGCGCACATTAATGCTTAAAGTATCGCGATCGACTCCGTGTATGACCAGAATGGACACCGAAATACTGAGGGAGGTCGGTCGGAACCGAGTCTATAGGTACATACTATATTTAACCGACCCTCCTTCTTTTCATTCATCGTTCATCGTTCATGTCGCAAGCACTCTAAAATCATTAGCATGAAGGGGGTGCCAGTACGTGCGTGGACCTCATACGTATGGAGCAATCTCGGGAGTTGGCCAAGCTCGTTCGTTCGTTCGTTCGTTCGTTTGTTCCGACAAGGTATGAAGCTGAAGCTTGAAGGCGTGTCGGAAAGCATGAAGCACGAAAAATACGGTGGTATAATAGCTACAGGAAGTACAATAAAGAGCGAAACAGGCCTTATACATATAGTACAGGGGGATAAAGAAGGACAGCCCGCTTCCCAACCAACCAACGTCCGCATCAAACGGTCGCCAGAAGGTCAGTCTCGTCGCCCGAATCAGCCCGAGCCACGACAGGTATCCACGGCCGCTGTCATGCATCATCGACAACACTAGCGTCAGGAAGACAGACGAACGTACGGGGTATCTAGTATCGTGAACAGGAGAAATTATAGGTGTAGAAGGAGATTCAATATCGGTCCGAAGATAGTTCGTATCGCTCAGATTCTAGGCGAGCGCGTCGCGTCATACGGTTCATCCGACCCGGTGACCCCCATTCTGGAATCAGTGTGCCGGGTTCATGTCGTCTTTTGCTTAGTGCTAGTGCTAGTAGCGAGCGGTTTCGACCTGTCTGCGCGACGGCGAAGGCGATGATATTACGGAGAGTCGAGGGAAAGAATTCGAAGGGAGGAACCCGACGTAAAACAGAGACGGAAGCAGATAAGACATCAGTATATGAATATGGATACGGATACGACGGAGGGAACGGTGAGAAGATGAAAGCTTACTTGGAGGAACCGAATCGACCTCGGCGAGATCCACAGCAGGCGCACATACCGGCGCAGGCTCCAAAGACTGCTAGTAGAAGAGCGATGAGAGCTCCGAGAACCATCCACACCTTTTGAGACGGGCGGGATGATAAAAAAGAGAACAGGAGAAGTACTGTCAGACAGAAAGGCTTGGGTTTGAAATAAAATAAAAGGGAGAGGCACGCACTGCGTCACCCCACTGGACGGTGAGGGCTCCATCGGTGGCGTCTTTGATTTTGCCGTGCACGACAGAGACCAAGACGCAATCGACGATGAAGATGATGAGCGTGAGGAGTGTGGCGAGCAGGGTGAGCACCATGGTCACCATGGAGATTAGTGCGCCGCGACCTTCCCGGGGGCGAATGCACATGAATAACGCGGGCAGCAACGCAAAAAAGACGAGGCCGCAGGCTAGGGCGAGTATTAGATAAAAGATACAAAACGATGACCACACAGCGCAGCCATACCGATAGGGTGCAGTACGAGCACAGCAGTCAATGCGTGAGATATGGTATCTTCCAGCCCATCAATACCGCTGCGAAGATGATTTTACATGAGCTGGAAAGAAAGGGTCGAAGACGACGAAAGGAACATACAGGAGTGACGACAAAGTGCTGTCGAAGGTATAGCCTAGTTTTGTCTGCGAGCACTGAGCAGCAGTTCCGCTTGTCGAGAAACCCACAACGCTGGTTGACGAAACAGGAACGTCCGGAATGATCAAGCTCCGCGGAGATAAACCAATTGAAAAGGTTAACGTACGATACGTCGACAGCAGAAACGCAGTATCCCCATAGACCGAAATGGACGTCGGCGCTGGCTCCGGAGTTGAGCAAACTGCTTGAGACGTTCGCAGTGACCCCAAAGAACCAGAGGGTCTTGATGATCGGGACCGAGAGTGAAACAAAAAGCAAGAGCAGAAAAGCAGAGAATAGGAGGAAGGGGGTGAGCAAGGCGGGCCACATGTCGAGATGCTAGAGGTTTGAGCAGAGAATGAGCGCAGGGATGGTTATAAGTCGAGCTGAGGAGCTATGACGCGCAGCGTCGGGGTCGTGTAGCACCAACGAGGCAGGTGGTTGTAGGATATATGAGTGGAGTAAGAATAGGCACGCGACTGTGGCTCCTTAATAGCTTTTCAGGGTAGCAGCCACAGGGAACAATACAGGTAGAATGAAGCATCGCAGCAGTCATGTAGATGCCTGAGAGAGAACAAGGAAGTGGTTGTTGTTGTTGAAGACAAAAGCAGTCCGGAGAGGGACTGTCGCCCGGGTTCAGGCCTTCAGCGTGGCGCGCAAGATCGCCTAGGAACCGAGGGGTCGGCGAATGCGATCGGTTTCGACGGGAAATCAGAGTTGAAATTGTTTCTATGGAAGTGGGGTTTCTAAATCGAATATTCGGTGTTCTCATCTGCTTGGCATCGTTCGCCCTCGCGTCCGGACGGTTGTCGTGTGCAGCGGGCAAGCCTGGGGAGGTCGCAGAGGGCGAGATAGGATGGTGGTCGGGGCAAAGAAGAGACGAGGCCAGATGCAGCGAGCGCAAGACGGCTAACAGCGCGTGATGGTCTGATGACACCGACGTGATACGGCGATTTGGAATTGATGGGACGCAGGCTCGCAACGTCTACCGTTTCAGACGACGTGACTGTTGTACTCAAGTGGCTGAGAATATATGCGAGGGGGTCCGTGCGCATTTGGGAGAGGCCTCCGGGCGAGCCTGGGCTTTTGCTGGGGGACGGGCAACGGGAAAGGGCGCGGGACTTGTGGGAAGAAGAAGCGAGGAAGGACCTTGTTTTGGGCATAACTTAGGCGGCGCGCGTGGCAATTCTTTGTTTGGCGAGCCAAACAGCAATAAGAACCCGCGTACTCTCGCCGCCTCTCTTCCCTATCTCTCTCTCTCTCCTCTCCCTCTCACCGTCGTCTCTCTCCTCCTCCTCTTCCCCACCTTCTTTGTTCTAATACCCATTCCCGTAAGCATTTCTACATCTTATCCTCCTTTTTCTTCTCTGTTTGCCTCGTCGCTCACCCTTTGTTCCCCCCTTTTTTTCGTCTTCTTTTTGCCAGCTCAATTTTCAGTCGCCGTAATGTCTGCCCCCGCTGAGACCACTGCTGCCCCCGTCGAGGAGGTTAAGCCCACTGAGACTCCTGCACCCGCCGCTGAGGAGACTCCCGCTGCCCCTGCCGCCGAGGAGGCCCCCAAGGCTGAGGAGGCCGCCGCCGCCGAACCCGTATGTTCTCTTCTCAACCCTCCACGTGAGCACTCGCTGACTTCTTTCACAGGAAGCCCCCAAGGCCGAGACTGCTGAGGTACGGTTTTTTCATCAATACGTTTCTTCTGCTCGACTCAAGTCCTGCTGCACAGCCCGTTGCTGAGCCCGCTGCTGAGGCTACCCCTGCTGCCGAGGCCGCCACTGAGGCGGCCCCCGCCGAGGAGACCAAGGCTGACGAGGCTAAGCCCGTGCGTTGTCTCCTCAATTCCTTGCTGACGTTTTTCTAATCCTTTCACTCTCAAAGGCTGAAGGCGAGACTCCCGCTGAGACCAAGGAGGAGAAGCCCAAGAGCCCCAGCCTCTTGGCCAAGCTCCTTGCGCCCTTCAAGAACGAGAAGGCTAAGGTTGACAAGAAGGTTAAGGCCCCGAAGAGCCCTAAGAAAGAGAAGAAGAAGGAGGAATCCGAGGTACGATCCTTCCAAGCTCTCAAATTCGCTCCGGCCTGGCTCATAAAATTACTTCAGTCCGCTCCTGCCCCTGCCGCTGAGGAGCCTGCCAAGACCGAGGAGACTCCCGCCGCCCCCGCCACTGAGGCCCCTGCTGAGGAGACCACTGAGCCTGCCGCAGAGCCAGTGAAGGAGACGTATGTGACTCGTTCTATCTCTGCGACCTGTGACCGATAGCTGACTTTCGGATCTTGTTAGCGAGACTCCGGCTGCCGCCGAGGCTGCTCCTACAGAGCCCGCTGCCGAGCCCGCCGCTGAGGGCGAGGCTCCCAAGGAGGAGGTTGTAAGTGACTTCGTGTCGTGTATCGTAGTAAATACAGTTGCTAATAGTGCCCGTAGAAGGAGGAGAAGAAGGAGGAGAAGAAGCCCGCGAAGGTCAGCCGTCGTCTGTCGGCCCGCGTCGGTGAATTCTTCAAGCCCAAGCCCAAGACGGAGACCTCCACCCCCGCCAAGGTGGATGAGAACCCTCCCAAGATTGAGGAGCCCGCCCCCATTGCTCCCCTCGAGAACCCCGCCACAGAGGAGGCTGCTCCTGCTCCAGCTGCTGAAGAGCCCAAGTCCGAAGCTCCCGCTGCTGCCCCTGTCGTTGCCGCCGCAGCATAATTTCCTTGTTTCGCTCTCCGGCTTTCTGTACGACTGTTAACGAGCTTTCCCCTCTCATCTCTCTTATTTACCCTTGGTTACATGTTGCCGTCCTTTACCCATTTCTTATCACACGTCTCGGATAGCATTTCCTCCTTCTCGTGTCATTTTTATGCCTTTGATTCTCTCCTTATTCTACGTCTGGATCAGAGGGATTCTCGTCCTGGTTACCCAGCTACATTGACGATTACTCATTACGACCACCTCTCCTCCATGTGTCGGCTTGCCTAATTGCGATCCCATGGTCTCTTCTATACCCACCTTCTTTCATTCATTGGATCGCTTTCGCACTTCGCTTTTCGCTATCTTTCTATAGTCAAATGCGATTTTCATCTGCCTCTCCATTTGGCACACTATCCATTCTGTGCACACGACCTCTGAAGACGCGCGAAGATCGACTAAGTTTGAGAGCTTGATGACGTTGATCGGTCGAGTCAGAAAACCCTCGCGCTCGAACGGGACAATGAAGGTGCTACATCTCGCTCTCGACTCGTTTACCCTGGTATACGCACAATGCCTCCTAAAAACTCTGGGAAAGAAAAGCTCGTCGAAGACGAGGATGAAGTCCTACAGGCCGTGATACTAGCAGACAGCTTCGACAAGCGATTCAAGCCGCTCACCGCGAGCCGACCAAGGGTGAGCAGCCTCGAAGCTTCGCTCGTACAGGACTTTTAGCTTGAATCGGTTTATAGTGTCTACTACCTATCTGCAATGCACCTTTGCTCGACTGGACGCTCGAAAGTCTTGCTCTTGCTGGAGTGCAGGAAGTTTTCGTCATCTGCCGTTCGTTCGCGGATGAAGTACAAGAGGCCATAAAGTGCGTCTATTCTACCTTTTATTTCTGCTGGCCTCAAACTGACCTCCATCTTAATCTTGTTTCCTTTTCCCTCTATCGTTCTGTTCGTTCGCGTCCCTCATCCACCAGGAAATCGAAATGGTCACATCCGAGCTCTGGGATGAAAATCGTGCCCATCATCACGGCCAAGGAGACGTTCTCGCCCGGGGACGCGATGCGCGACATCTACACGCATGGAATCATCACGAGCGACTTCGTGCTCGTGTTTGGCGATCTGGTGAGCAATGTGCGGATAGATGAGGTGGTGAAGGTGCATAAGGAGAGAAGGAAGACGAATAAGGATATGATTATGACGATGGTGGTGAAGGAGGGAGGGGTGAGGCATCGGACGAAGTGCGTTCTCTTCTACTTTTCGTTTTCTTGTTCGCTGTGTTTGGGACTTGCTGAGATGGTGGTGTTTTGGAATTGTTAGGTCGAGAGGAGACTCGGCGGTCTTCGTTCTGGACGCTGATACGTCAGAGTGTCTGCATTACGAACCTATGGCGGGATATCCACCCAAGCACATCGCTCACATACCGAGGGAGATACTCGAAGAGCACTCAAATATTGAGATTCGGAACGATTTCATTGACTGTTCTATCGATGTCTGCTCCGTCGAGGTACGTCGTACCAACCCCCTGTCCTGTCTTCAGAGTGCCACCCAGTGGCGGAACATCAGCTCATACTTGGTATGGTATCCTAGGTCCCTTCGTTGTTTCAGGATAACTTCGACTATGGCGATATTCGACGTGATTTCGTCTATGGCGTGCTTTCTTCGGATCTTCTCATGAAGAACATCTACTGTTATGTCGCGAAGGAGGGATATGCTGCCCGAGTGAAAGATACGAAGAGTTATGATGCCGTCAGGTTCGTCCAGTTCTAGCTACGCTCTATATTTCGTATAACTATCGCTGATACTTCGCATAGTAAGGACATCCTTTCCCGTTGGACGTTCCCTTTGGTTCCAGATGACAATCATCCTGGAAAGCATCTCTACGAACATCTACGCGGCAACAGGTACATGCCCAAGGACATCTCTGTCGTACTGTCCCGGTCAGTACTTCCCCGTCCAATCCGTCCCAAAGCCTGTTTCCTTATTCTCTCATCTTCGCCCACCGTACGACAACAGAACGTGCAAAGTCGGGAACAACACTCTCATCGGCCCCTCCACCCAAGTCTTCGCCGGCGCGCAAATCACCGCATCCTCCCTCGGCGCCAACTGCTCCATAGGCGCAAACACCATCATCCGCAACTCGTACCTCTTCGACGGCGTCGTCGTCGGAGCGAACTGTATCATCGACTGTAGCATCATTGGGGCCGGGGTCGAGATCGGGGAGAGCAGTCGGGTGGCGAGGGGGTCGCTTGTGGCGGATGGGGTGAGGCTTGGGCCGGCGGCGAGGTTGGCTAAGTTTGAGAGGGTGTCGAGGAGGAGACATGTTGAGGAGAAGGGCGGGGAGGAGGCGGATGATGAGGATGAAGATGAAGATGAGGAGGAGGAGGAAGAGGAAGAGGATAGCGACGACGATTCAGAGATTGAGGAAGCTCGTGAAAGTGAGATATTGGTTCTACATTGTTTGTATGGGCGCTTTATACTGATTCTGTGCGCTGTGCCCCTCGCTAGATCAAGTCACGCTCGCTGCAGGTCTCAGGACGAACTCCAACGGGTTTGTCTGGCCAAGAAAATCAGCACAAGGAGAAGACGAGGAGGTGGACGAGCTAGAGTCGTTCAATAACCAACGACTGGTGAGACTAGGCAAGTCAACCTCCCCATGCTTTCAAGGCATACTCGAGACTAACTTGTCTTCGCATTATCAGGCGACAGTCACTCTGACCTCGATCTCTCCGACCCCGGGTCCATCACATCCTCAGACGAATCCGACGCTTCCGAGGACTCTCTCCACCTCGGACACGCATCCCCATCCTCCTCAAGCACCTCTCTAGCCACCAACCTCGCAGCCGCGGCCGTCTCCGCCGGTGCCCAAGCCGCCGAACACGAATTCCAATCCGAAGTCCGTCAGTCGCTCGAGCGTGCGTTCACGGAGGGCCACTCGGTCGACAACGCGGCCGTCGAACTCAAGACGCTCCGGATGGCGAGTAACGTGCCTCTGACGAAGGTCCGCGGGGCGGTCATTGGGAGTGTCGTGGAGAAGATCGCGATCGTGGATGGGGCTGTAGAGCAGCGTGGGGAGATTAAGCGCTGGATGGATAGGTGGGGAGAACTCATCAATAAGATTGGTGGTATGGACGGCGTCGAGACCGTTGAGTTGCTACAGGTTCGTGTGCCCTCGGCTATCAGTTGTGGTTCGTTGGATATGCCGTTAACATGGTTAACCTTATGCACAGGCACATTGTGCTGCCTCGGAGCGCATGCCACTATTCGGGCAGATTCTGGCGGCGATGTATCAAAATGACGTGGTGGACGAAGACGATATTCGGGAGTGGCATGCGAAGCCAGCGTCGAAGGGAGAGGGTCTCAAGGAAGGCGAAGTCCTTGAGAATTTCAAGAAATTGTGGATCGTCGGCGCACGCATGATCCATCAATTCGATGAGCAAGAGAGTGACGAGGACGAAGACTCGGAGGAAGGAAGCGATGAAGAGGGAGAGGAAGTTGAGGGGCAGCCTGCCTCTGCGAGCACCACAACTCAGCACCAAAATGAGGAAGATGATGAGAGTGAAGGAGAGGAAGAATCAGAGGAAGAGGATGATGACGATGATGAAGACGAAGATGAAGATGAAGACGAAGATAACGAATAAATTCATATGTATGCATCAATACCTTTGATTTCAACTGTATGTTGTAGAAACACTTCACTGCTTTGTTGTAATTCGTCATAGATTTTGCGTTTGTCTTACAGCGATTTGCAGAATCGTGGTCGTACCCGTTTTTTCTTTCGGTGGAGCAGTCGGACCTTCTTGAAGCAACCGACTCCCATTCTGACGTGAGCGCCAAGTTCAGCGTCCTCCAGCGGCGGCGCCACAATATACAACAGAGGTGCATTCCACGGAGGACTATCCCTCAAATATTGGGCAAATCAACGTGAAAACGCCGTCGACCTCGTAGGAGACCCAGTAGTATCATATTAAGTGACACTTTTGATGATAGGCCACCTGAAGGCCTACAATCCCCAAACAATCCTGCTGTGGCCCAATTAGTGGCGGCTCCATCGGAAGGGTCGGGAGCGGCTTCATGTGGAGCAGAGCTTCTCTGCCAGAAATCGAACAGCGACTACGATTCTGCAAACAGCTGTAATTCTCGCTCTCCGTTGCTTGCTGTACCACAAGGGTGCAAATAAGGTTGTGCTTGAAGGTAGCTGTCACGCGGTCTTTTCCCAGCCAACAGAAGAGCAATAAAAAGGTCCAGATGGGTATAGGACGGATTGCAGTCAACAACTAAACATAAACAGGCAAATAGGGGTGGCTAAATGTACAGCACAAGGTTCGGTCGTAGAAATGGAGTAACGGTCATAAGATACGAAGAGGTCCGGAAGGCGTAACAGGTAGGACAGCCCTAATACTTGAGAATGATGTAGAGTGCTGTACAGGGCAGTAATAAGTCAGTTTCGAGGCATTGTGCGCGAAGACAAGAAACGAACCGTGAATGATTCCGGGACTGCATACCGCGAGGAGGTACGAAGAGACGAGGAAAGGAGGTCAGCTTTCTGTGAGTAGTGAGTACAGTTCGTGAGACATACATGTAACCAAGAATGGTCTAAAAGGGGAAAATACGTCAGCCAAGAGATTAGAAAACATGCTTGAATGACGAGGCGTACCAGGAGGATGTTGATAAGCTGTTGAGATTTGAGACGGTCTGTAAGCTCCCATGTCTCTACAGTTTGAACCAGATGCACTCACGAAGTCAGCATTGCAGCCGCGCTCCAAGAACACTCCGAGAGGAGGCAGGAAGATGGCAAGGCTAAACGAAGAGAAAACTCGTCGTCAAGAGACTGCCAAGAACTGAAAAAAGCGGAAAAACGAACAGAATCTAAGGGAAAACGGATGTCAGCCTGGAATGCATGCAGAAAAAAAGAGAGAAACAAACCTTGCAGATGTCAGAAGCAGTGAAAGCCATTTGTGTAGATGGTGGTGAGGGGTAAGAGTGAAGCGTGAACGTGCGCGTCAAAATCGACTTTATAGCCTCGCTTCAGTGTTCGGTGCGATGATGTAATCCTCCGTGACGCCATAGCGGCAAGGCCTGGAAAGGCACGCTGACGTCGGCGGTGCACTTTTGTGGAATCAACACCGCTCCGCAACCACAGCTTTCGAGTCACACAATTCCCTGAACCTTCCGTACGACCCATCCAACGCTCCGACGGCCTCACCGCCTACAACAGCTCACAAAAAAATATAGATAAAATACGGAATATTCGTCTGCTCCAAAATGCAATATTTTCCACATCCTTTTACAGGCCGCGAATGGGGGGCCTTCGCGACTGCGCGCTAGAGGCATCGCCTTAGGTCAATTATTTAACTCGTCGCGGACCGCGTTGATACCGTTACCGCTGCACTGGCGACGGTGGGCTCTTGCCGAAGTGTGTGAAGAAAGAATGATTATCCACAGTTCGAACCTACAGTGACGCATCGCACCTAACCTACGTTCTTGAGAGCTCTCTGAGGTGGATAGCAGTGGGTTTGTGTACTCCATAGCGCGATGTAGGCTCGTATTTATTCTGTCATAGTTATCGTCATCTGACAGCATATCTGGCCTTATCAGTACTGGTCATTGTATCACTGCACTCAGCGGGCTGATCCTCCTGAGATCAAAGTCTTGCCAGTTGACCGCAGCTGCACAGGGTTAGTGTCCCTATCTGTGAGTGCGAGAACATAAGCACAGGTAATCGATGGGGCCCAGAGCTGACTCGGACGCCACCATTTTTACTAGATTGGTACAGCGGGGTCGCGACTGACGATCTACATTTCTCGTCAGAGAAACATATCGTTTCTGTCGACGGACCGACTTACACTGTATTTCGTAAGTGATTGATGCCTGTTCATCAATATTAAAGTTCACCGTGACTTCACTATTAGCAGCCATGGCCACGAAAACATACTTGAATCTGCCATATCAGACCTCAAGCATCCCCGGAAAGCCACGGGATACCTTCCATGAGTTCGATATTTATATTCCGGAGTCCGGTGCACCTCGGAAAGGCGAAATACCTCCCCTTATTTGTTTTGTCCACGGTGGCGCTTGGCGTTCGTGAGTGCTACATCCATGGAGGAATGAAAGTTCGAGCTCCGCGTCTTAACGATTGCCCTTCTTCAGCGAAGATAAAGCGGACCACGCCGTTCTCGCGCACAACCTCGTCGCTCGGACAGGATATCCAGTCGTCCTGCCGAACTATCGACTCACACCAAGACAACCCTCTGCTGAGGAGCCGACGCTGCTGCACCCCGCTCACGCAGAAGATATCCTCGCCTTTCTCACCTTCCTTTTGACCTGGAGCGGTCCAGAGGGATACGACTCTGCGCCTTACGACCCGACTCGCCTGTATCTCATAGGTCACAGTTGCAGCGCGCACATGCTCGCGTCCATCGTCCTCGACTCTGCAACACCATCGTTGACACCTACCGCCCAACTGCTCAAATCTATACAGGGTGTTATCATGTCGGAGGGCATCTATGATCTCGACATCCTGTTGCAGTCGTTCCCCGACTACCGGCAGATGTTCGTCGCCGACGCATTTGAGGATCGTGGGTCGTACGAGCAGTTCTCAGTAGCGAAGATGAAGGAGAGAGAATGTGGCGGTCTAATCCGATGGTTGATCATCCATTCGACGGGGGATACGCTGGTCGACTTGGTCCAGAGTCAGGTGATGTTCGATCACCTGTCGCTGTTTGTAGACAAGGGAACAGCCGTTCGATCGAAGGTGTCGAAGAACTGGGAAGAGCTCGATGGAGATCATAACGAGATCCTGGCAGAAGGGAAATATGCGCGTATAGTCGGTGATTTCATTCTCGCCGATGGGGATGTGTCAATATTCTAGCACGATAATCGAGTGGCAGAAGACGAACGAAAGGCTACATATTGTCAAATAATTGTGTCATTGTACAGGACTTCTACAACGTGGGCTTGAGACATCGTAATGGAACAGCCGTGGGGATTACGACAAAGAATTGAATGCCTCCTCTAGTGAGCGTGCGGCGACTTCGCAATCCTCGAAGGTGTTATAGATCGGGGCAGGAGCGAGTCGGATGACATCCGGATTTCTCTCGTCTCCGATCACTCCAAAACTCTTCAGACCGTCGAACACGGGCACCATGATCGTGTCGGGTAAGAACTTCAGGGAGAGTTGTGAGCCGCGGGCTTCCGGGTCATTGGGCGTAATGATCGTGAAGGCAGGTTTTTTATCTGACCGTGAAGCGACTTGGGATGGCGGAACGTAGAACGATGACTTGAGGAGCAGAGACTCGAGGTGACCGGTGAGCGCGAGGGATCGTTTGCGAAGGGCGGGCATCATGCCTGCTTGTTGGAACAGCTGTAGGGAACCGTAAAGTGCGGCGATACAGAGCGTGGAGGGGTTGGACTGTTGGAAGCCTTGAGCGCCTCGGATGGGCGAGAAGGTAGGCCGCATTTCGAAACGTGTCGCACGGTCATTGCCCCACCAACCGGCATATCTAGAAGGACGACGGGAAGCACATCAGCACGGCCGTGAAAAGGAAGGAAGAAAGGAAGATTGTGTTGGCCAATAAAAAGTATCGGTGCGGGAGAAAAGGGGGAGCACGGGGAAACACGAGGAAAGAGAAACATGGTTTGGAATGGAGCGCACGTACTTCGGCAGCTCGCGATCATCCCATTTCTCATGCACGAATAGACCCGCTATCCCGCCTGGTCCCGAGTTCAAATATTTGTATGTGCACCACACTGCGAAGTCGACATCCCAGTCATGGAGAGACATGGGAACATTCCCGATTGCATGGGCAAGGTCCCAGCCGCAGATACAGCCCTGTGGAAGTAATGATCGTCAGCATTAGAACATCGTCGATAGAGAAAATGGTCTGCTATCCAATCGGAATTACACATTGACCGTATAGAAAGGAGAAAATATCTCGAACTTCGCGCGGAGAAGGAACCCCCTGTGGCGGCCCCATGATAGAGGATAAGTTAACTTCGGCACAAATGCCGACTTACCTGATCCTTAGCCGCCTTCGTGATAGACTTCATTGGGAACCACTGGCCAGTGTAGTACTGGATACCACTGAATATGACCACGGCTATAGTAGAACCCTGCTTCTGGATAACCTCGAGGATGTCTTCCTCTCGAAGTACGTATTCTCCCTCACGAGGAAATAATTCTAGAACCGCTTCCTTAGGATTGAAGCCGTGCGACTGAGCTTGTGAAGCGAAAGCATACTACAAATCCCCAGTGTGGCGTCAGCAAGATCTAAGGGATCGTGAACCTAGAACGCACCTGATCGGAAGGAAAAGCTTTTCCTTCGCATAAAATCTTGAATCTCTCTGACGTAGGCTTATAGAACGAGTTCAGCATCAAATGGAGATTCGCGGTCAGGGTGCTCATGCAAGCCACTTCGGAGGGTTTTGCGCCTACACCGCGTGTCTTCAGTCGGTGCTCGTGGAATCGTGATGAAACTCATCAGCACGCACCCACAAGCTCGGCCAAGATGGGGTCGACATCATCGGTCATATTCAACCAACTGGTACCCTCGACATGAGAGAAATGGCCCATGACAGCTCTGGGAATCAGAAGATATCAGCTGTGGATCTTACGGTGCTGGCGAAGACGGTTCATACTGAGCTCCCCATGCGTGAAACTCTCGTTGAACTCGGCTCTCCGCGGTCTTTGATAGCAGTCCTAAGGAGTTACCACACAAGTATGTGCATGGTCCATCCCCTATAATAAATCAAGGAAGGTAAATGACTGTTTGAAAGAGGCTACGGGCCGTTTGCGCCAGACCATTTACTGCACGTGTGCCACCCACGCCTGTATTCGTCGGGAAGACGAACTGTTCGCGCAAAGAGGCTTTGTCGAGTGTAATTGCGTCGGACATGGGATTAGATGGCGTCGATGTCGGCAAGAGCAGTCTGGACTGGGGAAGTACGCGGTCAGCGGCGCGGAAGGAACGTCTTATTTTGTACGTGGTTCATGGTTAAGATCCGGAATACCAGTAAATAGTAGTATCTTGATCCGGCAACTACTTACGACATCCGGCGAACAGTTTTACTTGCCGGCCATTCACTCGCAGTCGTATCTTTACTTCATCTTTCGCCTGCGTTTTGGGCATCATACTTGCCACATCGGCTAGCAGATGATGGACGACAGCCAGAACAAACCTTCAAAGCGTAGGGCGGTAATTATCGGCGCCGGTCCTGTGGGATGCCTCACGGCGATCTCATTCGCGAAAACGCTGGGATGGGATGTAGAGCTTTATGAAGCTCGCCAAGGTCTGTTTTCGCTCACTTCTGCGGATTTTGTCGGATTCTCACCCTCTGATTGGTCCTCCAATCTCTTCTGCTAGATATTCGCCTCCCAGCCGCAAAAGCCACGGCTCAGCAAAGGTCGATCAACCTTGCGATATCGTCTCGGGGCTTAGCCGCTTTGCAGACCATCGACCCCGCGGCGACCAGCCGATTCCTGGAGACGGTTGTCCCCATGCGAGGAAGAATGATCCATGACCTGTACGGGAACCAAGATAGCCAATCATACGACCCTAATGGACAGGTGAGCGCCCTTTTTCCGACCAGCGCACAACTTTATACGTACTGAGCTAACCTTCCGTTGACACAATCAGTGCATTAATTCGATAGATCGTGCGCTCTTAAATGAGGGGCTCTTGAACGAAGCCCTGTCCCAGCCGAACATCCGCATTTTCTTCCGACACAAAGTGCAATCGGTGGACTTTGACAAACGGGGCATGATCGTTCATGACGAGGATGGAGACAAGAGCGTGTCTGTGAACTTCGACCTTTGTGTCGGGACTGATGGGACTTATTCCATCATCAGGCGTCAGATGATGAGAGTTGTACGGTGCGCAAACCTTCTTTGTAGATTCTTCTGCCAGATATGCTGATACTTCTTTCATCCTGAATAAATTTGCAGGATGGACTACCAGCAACAATACCTTCCTCACGAATATCTTGAGCTGAAAATGCCGGCTGGACTAGACGTTGAAGGGAAACCGAAGTTTCTCCTCGATCCAAATCATTTACATATATGGCCGCGGCACTCTTTCATGCTCATCGCCCTCCCTAATCAAGTGAGCTTGTTCAATAACACCGGAACCTCCGACGAGCTCTTGACGATTCGCATGTTTTACCTTTTTCTAGGATATGACATTTACTTGCACACTCTTTGCCCCGATGAATGACTTCGAGACGTTAACCACGGAAGAAAATATTGTCAGCTGGTTTGGCGCGCACTTCCCAGACGCCTTGTCTCTCATTGGGACCGAATCATTGCTGGAACAATTTGCGCGGAATCCACGCAGCTCCCTCATGACTCTGAAGGCGAGCTATCCATTCATCATCGGTGGGTGAGATAGCTCGCCTCATCATTGTCTCAATTCTACAGGCCAATCCGTACCACTACAAGGACAGGGCTGTCATCCTCGGCGATGCCGCCCATTCGATGGTTCCTTTTTACGGCCAAGGCCTGAACTGTGGACTCGAAGATGTTAGGGTACTCACGATTCTCTTGCAAGAAGCACAAGTCGAGTCGACGTTCATTTCTGACGCCAGCGACGACCCCCGGCTCGCGGCTGCACTTTCTCGATATTCAGAGACCCGCCATGAAGATCTCGATGCTATTAGTGACCTCGCCATGAATAACTTGTAAGCTCTGGCTCGTCTTTTATCCTCTCTTACGCCGAATTAACACATGCCTCTCTCTTCGAAGCGTCGAGATGCGGCATCTGGTGACCACCCCTGTATTCCTTCTGCGCAAAGCGGTAGACAACTTTCTGTTCTCTCTGAGCTCTCACAGTCCGGTCACTTGGGCCTCTTTGTCGCCAGTCTTGTCTCGCATTCCGTTCCCCACCTCGCGCCCCGGTGGCTGGCTTCCCCTCTACACGATGGTCACGTTCCGGCCGGATATTAGCTATGCTACGGCAAGAAAAAAGGCGGAACGACAGTCTCAGCTGTTAACCAATGCTGGCGTCCTCGGATCGTTGACATTGGGCGCAGCAAGCTTATTCGCGGGCTGGATGGCGTTATATCATCGCACGCGGGGTCATTAGTGACATAGAGAGTCTGATTTATTAACAGCAGCGTGGCGGTGGACAGCGAGAGCAGAGGAGGACCTAGATAGATGTCGGAAACCTAGAAACTGGCCTGGAATGTAGGATAAGCGGTATTTTTAATTCTATGTATGCCGTATCAATATCCCTCAATATCCAACCCAGTTGTGTCGTGAAGTTTGAATCTAGAATTCCGTGAGAGCGGGAAGACCATGGGAGTGGGAAAAAAAGGTTGTGATTCAGGTTCAAACATGACTTGAGACTGAGGGACGGCGCTCTCGAGCGGTCACATTTGATACAGACGACGGTACAGTTTCGGAAATCCTATGAAAACAATCGATATCGTGTTCACCGAAGAGATAAAGGTAATAAGAGCGACAAACACTTGGAGTACAGGACGGGCAGCAGCAGAGGGTGGGAGCATAGTATAACCACTAAAGAAGCGTTTGCGAAGGAAGAGCTAGCGAGGGGCAACAATAACGAAATGTTCGACGAGCAAGGCACAAGTTGGGCGTGAAGGAGAAGAGTGATCGTATAGGTCGTGCGTGATAAGTGAAGGATCAAGGATAATGCCCATGGAAAAGCAAGGTGCCACAACCACCGTAACCAAGCGGGACGTGATAGCACGTCAGGTCTCTGCCGTTGTCTTCGTCGCACTGCCCTCCGCGGCGCTCGATTCTCCAGCCTTGTCTGCCGCAGCCTCTGGCTTTGGGTTCTTGGGAGGCCTGCCGCGTTTGCGCTTGACGGGAGGCTCCTCTCCCTCTGGCCTGGGCTATAACAAAAGAAAAGACGCGTCGGAAGCGCGAATCGGACAGAAGGAGTCAGACGACGTACCTTGGGGGGTCTGCCCCTCTTTCTCTTCTCTCCGGTGGAGGGCCCTGCCGCCGCGGACGCGGCAGCGGCTGCGTTCTTCTTGTTCTTGCTGCCCTTGGGGCGACCGCGACCGCGTTTGACGGGAGGAGCGGGTTCGGCTGGGGGCGCGGGCTCTGGATGAGCGAGGGAAAGAGAAGGGAACCCACGGTCAGTGAAGGTGTGGAACGCGCGTTATCGATCAGAGGGGGGTGGGGAAAGCGGTAGTTAGGGACTTACCGGCTTCAGCCTCTGGCTGGACGCCGTCGTCCAACTCGTCCACGACCTGGTTGTCGTCTGCGACGTCCTCTGCTGGAGGAGAGCCCGACATTTGTGAGTGATGGGGGGAGACGGGTGATGGTCGGGAGGAAGGAGGTTCGAGTTGAGGGACGAGGCAGCGAAGCGTGCGCCCCGTTTTAATCCCTAAGTGTTTTCGCGGTTCTTTTCGCGTGCAATTTCCGGCCGTCCTGAGGCCTGCGAATACGTAATTATTTCATTAATCAGGCGCCGCCCCTTCCCCTTCGACGCTTACCTCCGCGTGCTCTCCCACCGGCCGTCCCAATTTATTTCCCCCGTGCACCCACTGCGCTGTTCGTCCCCTCGTATTTTTGCGCCGTCTGATGGTCGTCGTCGAGCAGTGCTGGGCTGATGGAGGCGCGGCACCCGGCCGGAGGGGGGGCCGGACACCGGAGGGAAGTGCTGCTGCGAATTGAATTTGGCGATATTATCAGCAGAAATGGGACAACCCTTGTCACCTGGAAAACGGACGGTCTCAGCGGGCCCAGGCTCCTATTTCGGTCGGGTATGGGAAATGCAGTTGTCACGATTTACGTCGGAGGCACATGCCTCGAGCTGTGAGAAACGAGAAAAAGGCAGGACCGCCGCAGGTTCTGACCTCAACGACGACGGAGAGCAGCCACAGCGACCTCCCTCCGTCAAAGCGCCGCCGGCACTCCCCGCCGGCTCCCGTGCTTCGCCCGATCCAGCCACGGCGTTCTCCGGGCCGCGGAGCCCCAATCCCGGCCCGCTCCGACTCACGCCACACCGTTCGACGCGCCACGTCAAGTTCGTTCCAGCGCGACGTGGCGCGTCCACACTGCGATGTTCGCTCTTGCTGCCATATCCTTCGCCGTCGTCGCACACGCTCTCGCCGCTCGAGGGCCTCTGCACTCTCTGCCGGAGGATCCCTTTGCGTTTCCCAAGTACCGCGTCTCTTTTCTCAACGGGCACCCGGTACTCAACGAAACAGCCGACAAGTGGCTTCGCGATGGCCTCCGTGGCGGCGATCTTGAATTTCTCGACCAGCCATGGCATGAAGTCCACTGGGACCGCTCGCAGAAACTGAGGGAAATTGGCTCGGGCCAGGAGGGGTCCTCGGAGCAAGTCCGTCGTGTCTCTTAGCCGTCGATCTGCATGTCCTTACGCCCTTTGCCCGTGTAACAGAAGGCGTCCTCGTCTAGTTCTACGTACTCGCTCGAATTAATGAAACTTGGTCCTCGCATGTCATATCTCTGCCTCATTCCGCCACACATCGAACAGCCAGAGAATTCTCAACCAGAGGAATCACCAGCAGAAGTCACTCTGGCTCATAGCTGGTCTCTTCTACAGCCTCTTGCAGGATCATGTATCTATGTGAGTCCTGCGCCGCATTAGTGTGGCCCACGAATACTCATCCCACAACTTAAAGCACCGTCAAGGCTGGTTCACCTATGCATATTGCCACAACTCACACGTACGGCAGTTCCGCGAAGCCATCCCAACCCACCCCGTCGCACCTGGTTAGTCCCATCGCCTTTCATATCTCTCCCCCTTCACACTTTATCTAATATCTCGCTTCGCAGGCACCTATCAAATACAAGAGGACCAAAGCGCTCGTTACATTTCTTGACCTTCATCTACGCCTCTAGCTGACATCGTTGGTACTCTAGTGGGAGGCATACGACCTTGGCCGTGCGCCCCGCACGGAAGCCGGCGCAGATCTCACCGTCGCCGAACAAGCCGCATTATCCTCCAACCTCGAAGTCGCTCGCGGTGCTGGCTCTCGGTATCTCGTCCAGCGCTGGGGTGACGGAAGCGTCTGCGACAAAACAGGCAGACGGCGTGAAATTGAGGTCCAGGTCGGTCTTTTTTCTTTTTTCTTTTCTGTCTTCATCATCACAACTCCGCAATCACCCTTCGTTCGATTTTTTTCGGTTTCGCCGCATCAACACCCCGGAATTGAGTTTTGCTGACGTTTAATATTATGTTCTCGACTCTCCATCTATTATCTCACGTCCAAAATTGATGTCGTACACGTTGCTGCGCGTCCCTTCGTCTTGGCCGTTCGGGTCGCTCGACGTTCGCAACGTAATCGCGCGACCCAATCAAAAAACACATAAACTCATCAATGATCCACATAAATTCCAGTTCCACTGCTCGATGACAATGACCGACTCGATCCTCTTCGTCAAGGAGACGAAAACATGCCACTACGTGCTCGTCGTCAACACCCCCCGTCTCTGCGGCGAACCGGGCTTCAAGTCCCGCCTCGACCAGCGCGAAGAGGCCTTCATCCGTTGTCGCGAGGTTGTCGACGCCGAAGCACTCGCCGCTACGAACCCTGACATTCCGGAGGCCGACCATCCCATCAAGCTGCCCCGACGGACGCCTCTGCCGCCTGGTTCTGGCGCTGGGTCTCACCTGGAAGGTGGTGGTGGCGATGACCAACATCACGAAGACGGAGAACTTTCGGACTTGAGTATGGATATGGACATGAACGAGGATGGTAATGCAGAGGACGACCCGAACCTCGACGACCCAAGTCACGTTCTCCGTCTCGCCCTCGAACGGATCCTCAATCGGCAGATCGGGGAGGGTGCCCCACGCGTGATCGTCGAAGATGCAGGAGACGGTGAGATGGTCATCGAGCTCATCACGGAACTCGACGTCGACGAACAGGACTTGGAGAACGTGGATCTGGACGAAGCGTTACAGGACGCGGTGAATAATGGGATGCCGGATTCGGAGGCGATCATGAGGGCCTTGAGGGCGGCGGGGTATGAGGTGCAGGGAGAGGTGCCGTTTTCGAAGGAAGAGGCGAAGCAGAAGCAGAGGAAGCTACAGCAGAAGGGGAATGGAAAGGAGGAGGTTCGGGCGGGTCGTCAGGCCCAGGGAGGCCTTGGAAGGGATGAATTGTGATTGTGACCGCGATTGCGATTGTGGCTGGATTATCCTGCCTGTAGTGTGTGCTTTGGCTGTGATCATGTTTTGCTCCGGATTACAGTATTGCTTGGTTACATTGTTTGTTTGTATCATAATCATGAGGCTTTACTTCCATTCGTTCATATCTTCTCGTTAAGTATATCCTTTAGCTATCCGGGTCTGTCGGCCCAAACATCATTCCGGCGAAGATGGCTTAGACTCTCGAGATTAAAACACTACTGTAAAGGATCAGCTCTGCTTTCCGGCGAAGGAACTGACTAGATTAGAAACTGGTCTACGCCTTGACGTTCATCTGCGATTTCTCGATCCGCACCACGCTACACTTCATCTTCGCTCTGCACTTAGACTCTAAAAGCTCACATCCCTCTCGAGGGGAAGACCTTCCGGAGCAATCTAGGAAGTTTCCTGATGCACAGAAACACAAAATAAGGAGTCTCATCTAATCGTAAATCGACTTGAGCCACCTTTCTGTTTCTGTGCGTCCAGGCCTCTACGTTTTGCGAGAACCCCGCACTGCGGGAACACACCCATAATTCATGAATGATCAGAGTAAACCGTACACAGCGACTGACTGACTGACTGAATGCAGCCTTCCGAGACGAACAACTTCACACCACAATCCATCCACATCCTCCCCTTACCGCTCCCACCACCCTCACCTCAAACCACTTACCACTCACCACTTACCACTTACCACTTACCACTCACCACTTACCCCATCACATCACACACACACATCACACACTCACCACTTAGCACACACACACCCAAAAAGATCAGCAAACAGCGTCCAATATATATTCGACCAAACTGACTGCACTTTATAGTTATCGAAAAAAAAAGAGAATTCAGATAAAAACGGAGGCTCGTAAACTTGGTAACTTGGTAAACGTGTACTATTACAGAAAAGGGGCCGTGATTCAGGTGCTTGTGTTTGATTGGGTTGGCTTGGCTTGGTTGGGTTGGGTTGGTTGGGTTGGGAGGTCTTAAGTCTAATATCATAAAGGAAAAGGAAAAAGAAAAAGAAAAGAGACGTGCGTCGTACAAAGAATAGAAAGAAAGAAAAAGAAGAAATGAATGAAAGAGGCGTACGAGGCGCACAAAACGAAAGGAGGAAACGAGAGGAGAGGGAATGAAGCGGGCAGCAGACAGTGACACACGGTCGTTGGCCAGTCCGGCTGGGGTACTGTAACTGTGGATTGATATCGACCGTGCTCGTCGGAGGATATGAACGTCGACGTGCCCACCTCGGCGAAAAAGAAAAAGAATGAATGAAAGAATAAATCAGGCCGTTCGCCGCTCGAACGAAGATGGTACAATGATAAAATAAAGAAGGGCCGGCGACGAAAGATGGCGTGAAGGCGTGAGTGAAGGAGGGTGGGTAGGGTCTCGTGTAAAGTGAGGAGGAGGTGAGGAGGTGAAAGGTGTAAAGAGGAAAGGAAGGTGTAAATAGTAATATATGAACATGAAAGCGCGTGGCGCAACTCTAATGAGCATGAACATCAGAAAAAAAGAAAAGAAAAAAGAAAATGAAGCAAGAGCCATGCAGATGCACATTGCACAATGAAAAATGAAGCTTAAAAAGGGGAAAGAAAAGATAGATAGAATATGGAAAGGAGAAAGTGTACGGGCATGAAGGATCACAGAAAGGATGGAGAAATGGAGAGAAAGATGTTGAAGATGGAAGATGAAAATCGGCCTATGAATGGAGAAAATTGTAAATCGCAAGGCTTGAGGGATGAATTCGCGTATCACGGAGATGGATCATGGACATGAAAAGGTAAAACAAAGATAATAGAGTAGAGCACATAGGGGCGCACGAGCGCTTCATATAATATCGTCTTCTTCCGCATTCTTTCTCGACATTCCTGTCCGTGTTCGAACGTCCACATCTACTACAGGCGCTCGCCGCCGCTGTGGTCGTCGCATCCAACTACGTACGCTCCCGAACGGCGATCTCTCACGCAGCCCCTGTGCCCATCCCACGCCCCCGCAGCCTGGGACAACGCCCTCAATGCTAAAAGAACTTCTTCTTCGACGGCTTCTCGTCCACCATGACCTTGATATGCGTATGGTCCGGCTTCACTCCCGGATGTGAGCACGCCTGAATACTCTTGATCCACTCGTCCCCATCGTCCTCCTCCTCCGGCGAGCAATCGTGATCCTGACAGACCCCAGGTGGCGTATCGATCCCGCTCTGCGTGCTCTCGAGCTTATGCTGACAGCCACACAACAGCCCCGAAGACTTTCCCCGCCCCTTCAGCAGATCGGTGAGCGTACACCGCGCCTCAGGCTCGACGAAAAGCATCCGACGAATCGCGGGTCGAGTCTCGCGGGGGAGGAGCCTGAAGATGGACTCTGCGCCGCCGACGCCACCGTGGAATGTAGCGACCGATGCCGTACTATCGTTTCGTGGCCGCGTACCCCGAGTGGTGCCAGTGGTAGACGAGACGGCGGTCGACGACGCAGCAGCGGACGATGTCGTCTTCTTCTTCTGTTCGTCCTTCTTAGCCTCGCCACTCGCATCGTCCTCCTCCTTCTCCTTCACCGCCGTCAAACCACGGTCAGCATCCGCTCGCTTCAGTTCACCAGCGATCATAGGAGGCGACAGTGGTCCATGGAAAGTTGCGGTACGATTCCGAGGGGAGAGCTGCGCGGGCCTCATCGTCGGCGTCTTGACGTCCTCGAGAACATTGGAGTCCATCGAACCGGACCCATTGCCCTGATAGCCCCGGTATACGGGTGCTATTGTCGGAGACGAAGGCAGGGATTCTGTCGAGGTACCAGGACGAGCGAAGATCTGTACCGAAGCGTCCATCTCTCTCTCGCTTGTGTTGATGGGACGCGGAACGATGGTGGGCAAGGTGGCGGTGGAACGACCGCGCGCAGAGGGAGGGAGTAGACCGTTGAAGCGTCCGGTTTCTGCTTCTGCTTCAGAGGATGAACCCGATAACCGTGAGGCCGAGTCGCTCGCGTCGTTGTTCTCCGAGCTTTCCGACACAGACCGTGCGTCGAAGTTACTCGAGGCGTCCGTCGCTGACGCATTGTCGGCGCCGTCGGCCGTCGAGTTCACCGTCCGCGATTCATCTTTCTCGTCGTTGGTATTGGAGAGCGGGTTGGGCGTCGTCGCAGACTTGCGCAATGAGACCTGTGAGTCGGACGAAGTGGCTGGTGGAGGTAAAGTCACGTGTTTCCTCGGTGCAGGCTTCTGCGATAGCTCGGGATGTGTATTGACGAACGAACGGAAGCTAGGATCGGTCTTGGGGTCTGGGATCTTCCAAGGGAAACGACGAAGTATCATGCACATGAAGATAACGGCCACGCTCCATACGTCTGTCTTGCGCGGGTCATAATTCTCCTGAGTGAGGACCTCTGGGGCGAGATACGGATCAGAACCGACAACGCCCGACGCCTTCAGCTGTGCCTTGCCAGGATAGTGGAATACGGTGGCGGTACCAAAATCGATGAGCTTGACGACGTTGTCCGTGGTCATGACGCAGTTATCGAGCTTCAGATCGCGATGCGCGAGCCCCATTTCGTGGAGGTACTCGACGCCGTCGCAGATCTGGCGGAAGACGCAGTATATCTCGGGACGACACATCTTACCGGACATGACGACGCTGAAGAGGTCGTAAGGCGCGTACTCCATGACCTGTACCGAACACAGGTCTGAGCGACTGCACCATGGACATGTTCAGAGGAGACAAGTGCTAACCTCGTAATAATGTCCGTGATCCGACACGATATCAACAGTCTCGATGATGTTCGCGTGCTTGAGTGTCGAACCGACACAGAACTCGGCGGTGACCTTTTTCTGGTACTCCTTCTCCGACTCACCGTTCCTCTTTGGCCTGAACTCCTTGACCGCAAAGATATGACCGCCGTTTTTGCTGCTAGCCTTGATCAAACGAACGGTACCACCTGCGCCCGAACCAAGAACACGACCCCACTTGCCGTACTTCTTAGATAGATGGGCCTGGGTAGCGGCTGAAAGAGATAGGATCGGGTGCTGTCCGTGGGCTGGGGTCGACGTCCCGGAGGCGCGGGCAGATGGCGGTAGGTGAAGATGATGGGGAAAGGCTTCGCCGGTGGGCGAGCGCGAGCCTTTGCTCCTCGATCCAGCAGACAAGGAGGGCGAAGGAGTCTTGGCAAGGCCGCGGTCTTTGCGGCCCTTCTGGCTGGGAGCAATCGAGGACTTGTCGTCCTTGTGCTTGTCCTTGCGCGAGAATAGACTGATCTTGGATTTCTCGGCTTCCTTGAACTCCTTGGGCGACTTTGTGACCTTGACTTCTGGAATAGGAAGTGCAGAGGGATCCGGGGTAGGGCCATTGGAGCGGGGAGGTGAGGACGGCTGCGTCGAAGGCTGGGTGGAGATTGGAGATGAAGGGGAGTCGGAGAGGGTGCTGTTGTCAAAGTCTTCCCCACGAAGCTGATCAATGGGGAGCTGGTGAGGTTCTCCAGGAGTCTGAAGTGCGGAGGTAGCGGCTGTATGTGCGTTAGACTGAGAAGCGGAGTGATGATGCTGATGGGGAATATGATGATTGAGGAAGCGCTTGAGGTCGTGAAGAGGACCTGGGAAGTGCTTTGATTGTTTGATGGTATTACCTGCAGTAGGATCGTTTGCTATTCCTTCTGGTGGGGGATCTGACTGTTCGACACCGTTAGGTGCGGGCGTTTGGGAAGGGGTATTAGGTGCAGAGGCAGCGGCAGCGGCGAGGAAGCCGAGGGAGCGACGGCGGGAGGAGAAACCCAAACGCGAAGTCATGGTGGGGTGCTCTGTCGATGGGGGGACAGGCGTGAGGGAGCCCTGGGAGGGAGTTGCGGGCTTTGGGGAGAAGAACGATGAATTGCGGGAGCCCTGGGAGGAATGAGTGCAAGTTAGTGTAAGAGGCTGCGGAGAATACAGACCTGCTTTGGCGGGGTCTGGGGCATGGCCTTTGCGTTGTCGTGCTGAAAGTGGGGGAAGGAGAGCTGGGATGGGCTCCGAGCGGAGGGGGCAAGGGCCTGAGTTGCAGGCGGGGATGGAGTGAGGTCACCAGAGCCCGAGGGCTTGCGGGATGACGGAGGGCGGGGCGACTGGCGCTGGGCCGGCTGGATGTTGTTGATGAGAGCGACGGGCTCCATGGGACGGGTGGAGAGCATCGTCGAGGACGACGTCGAGGAGGATGTGGTGGTGGTGGTGGACGGGGGAAGAGAGCACTAGCGGCTGGAGAGGAGTGACCTCTACTCCTTCGCCGACGCTCTCCATCTAAACACTCCCGGTCCGACTCCGGCCTCATCTTCTGCCGTCACCAACAAACAAACGCGCCACAGCCACCTCGCCACACCCCGTCCTCTCATCCACCGTCTCGTCTCTTGCTTCGTTCATTGTCTTACACCTCACATTAATCCTTTACAGCTGCTGCACAGCGCCCTCGCCAAGGACGTCCCCGCTGCCCACGAAGCCGTCGTCACTCTCGTCCCCCACACACCGCTTCGAACAAGTCATGTGCCCCTCTACACCGGCCTGGCGGCGTCTGTCCCCAGTGCCCTCAGACATCCTCTGTGTTCACTCTCTTTCTTCCTTGTTTCCGCCTGCCGCTCTACCCAAAACCCTTGCACGCTCTCTGCTCTGCGCCGAAATGATAAACGAATGAGCATATCTGCCGAGCCATGCCCTCCTTATGCGTTTACCCACCATTTCTTACGCGCTGCCACCCCGTCAGCCAATCACTCATCCAATCCCCATCCCGCCGGCTGCCCTCCGATCCCCATCTCGGCACCCCCTGCCGACTTCGCTTTGCATCCCCGACTTGCAATTCCGTAAGGCACTCCCCCTCGTTCCACTCTTGCAAAAATGCCACCCAGCTCTCCCGCCACCCTCCCTTGTCCTTGCTTTCTCTCCACACCGCTCACGCTCTTGTCTCACCCGTTCTTTTTATTAAAACACGTTTGTATACCCCACAACGCCAGCGAACGAGGCCCCCCCGAACCTCACCGCACTTTTAGTCTCCATCCCCAAAATCCACTCCAGGGCCCGATCGCCCCGAGCAGCGAGCGAATCACGATCGCCCATTCTCAGCCCGAATCTCAGATCCCCCTGCGTCCCACACATCGCATGACCTTCGCCCGATGACGTGTGTTGCCCCCGAGGGAACGTTCCTCTTCCGTCAACTCGTTCCCGGAAGCCTGGCGTCCGCCGTTCCATGCAACGCACAAGTCAAACTTCCAGCGTTTCCTGCTTTCTCCTAGGCGCCGCACTGTTGCCCGCCGTTCACACTTACAGCAGCTGTGTCGTTTTGTATTTTGTTTCGTTGTTTCGTTCGGTCGGATATAACTCTCCGCAGACCATGGCGCGTCATCCCTTTCCTTCCTCCGCGTTTCGAACATAATGCATAAGCAGCGCTGCATGCATGCGCGTTTCTCCACAAGATCCGTCGCCTCAAACCTTTTCTTTCTTCGAGAGGCTTGCACGCACATCACACAAGCCAATCCGCTTGTCTTGTCGACGCCAACCATCGACCTTGGCAAAAATCCGCGCTTCAGCGCCGCCCAAACTTATACTCTGCATCGCCCGTTGCGCACTTCGCTCCATGCATCCGTCACGGCTGCCCGCCGCTACTCCAGGCTATCATCCCTTCTAAGCCTCTCAGACCGTGCCAATCGTCGCCAAGCCCTGTCGCAGACGTTTTCTCCATCCTGCCATGGATTCTTACCGTTCGAACGTGAACGTGAACTTTCTTGGCCGTTTCGCTCTCCGCGGCCACTTCCTCATTAATTCCATGTACTGTATATCCTTAGAGCACGCTCTTATAGCTATTGGCGTGCTATTTTCTATTTTTCTATATTCTAAACTTGAAAGCGGTTCGTCCAATCACTGTCTCTAAGACCGGCTCGTCCAATCATCGATCATCTCTAAACCCCTCAGCCTCAGGCCTCAGGCCGTATAACCTCAGCCTCAGCCCCAGCCCAATCGTGTTCCGATTCCGATTCCGATTCTTGAACCTTCCGATGTATTCGTGTGCGCTGTGAGCTGTCAGGATCTCACAGGCTTTGCACGTATTCAAGCTCGAGCTCTCACACGCACACGCACACCCTCCCATCGAGTTCACGATTTATTTAAATTATGGGCTAGGCATCTGAGTCGTTCGTTCGCTCGCTTCGAATTCGATCTAATAGACGTCGACGTTCCTTCTCAGTTTCTCTGTTCTCGGACTCACACCGGACTTTTGACAACGAATCCCCACAAGCCCCCTGCCACCCGCATCACAGAAAGTATAGGACAAGTAGGGACAAGTATAGGAGAGTCGCACATGCTACCGACGCCACTTGCGTCATATAATTGATTGAGATTGAGATTGCAAAAGGTTGGCAGCAGTTGGCAGCCTCAGTACTAGTAGTCCCGCCCTGCATATCTAGATATCTAGATGCCGAGCGTCCGCCGAGTATCGACTATCTTAATACCTGGCGAGTGCTAACTTGATGACAGATGTACTGTACCTCGAGGCGACGAGGTGGAGGCGGAGGGGCTATTTTCGGTGCCTTGGAGGTGGGTGGTTGGGTGTTGGGAGAATGACAATGATATCAAGGGTTTTCTTGTCTTTTTCTTTGGTGAGGCTTTCCTCTGGTTCTGATTATCGAGGCACGTTTTGACGAGCGACGAGCACTCCACTCTAAGTTACCTCTGGAGTCTGCCACGAGCTCGCTCGCCATGACCGTGACTGCGCATGCATGATATGTTGCTCTCCATGTCTAGTTCCTGTCAAGTCTCAGCCCAGTCTTAGTTTCGGTCTAGTCGTCCTCTTTGACAGTCGACCGAATTCTAGTATCGCTCGAGAAAGTCACAATCGACGTCTACACCGACGCCGAGATGGACACCGATGGACAGCTGGATTCAAACTTGAGCTCGGCCAGCTCGGCGCCGAGTTTTGGCACTTTGTCCTGGAACAATATGATGGTCTTAGCGTTCTTGTCAACTCTTTGTCATTTCTGCTTTAGATGACGGAGGCAGAACGTTGGTAGTTGCGCCGTGGGTTCGCCGTGGGTCGTGTCTTGTCTGGTCGAGTCCCGAATGACGAGCCAGCAGAGGCTCGAGTGTCTCGAGGCCGCAGACTCGTACCGTGGCTAGGCCAGGCGGGACGAGGCGGACTCAAATTCAGAATCGATCTATGTTCTGGTTCCGGCTTTGCGGTGGTGTCAGTGGTGCTCAGTGGCAGTCGGCTGACCTTTTGAAGTCGATGGTTTCAAAGCGTTCAATGTTCATCGAGCTCATTTTAACCTTGCCATGGTCGATGGTCGATTGAACGTCGACTCGATCTCGTGCGTGGAAGCTTTAAATTTCTTGGCCATCCGGGACCCTCCCTCCTATCACGCTCGCATTTTTATCGTCGATGACACGACTGACTTGGTCGGAGTCGGGACCAACGAGAATCGAGCGTTCGAGCGTAGCCCGCACGTTCGTCGACTTCCTGGGAGGCTTGCGGAAAAGTTGTGAAGTGGTGGATGGATGAAAGTTTTAATGTCGGTCTTCACTCGGGTGTTTCGCGCTTCTCGATTGCATCACTTGCAGTACCTCGCAGGCTATGATCAGATCGAACTACGAGTACTGAGTACTATGCAATCAAAAAATTTACCTGCTTTGGGCACACTGGGCCCCAGGGGCATGACACACAAGTTGACCGTCGACGTCAACTTGATTCAATGGTCGACTACTTATCAGCCTCAGACTGTAGCTACGGGCGTAGGGGATGTATATCGTGTGTATTAATCCGATGTTTGTGTTACCCAGAGAAGAACTGACTATTATACGCACTTGTATGTTTAGACTTGCTTCTTAAGGTTTCTTATAATATATGCCCAGGAAGGAGGTTCAGGTCGGTTTTTGATTGGATAAGATCGTCTTGTTTGCATCGGGGGAACGCTCCTAGATCGTCACGGAGACTCACACACTGAGTAGTCAAATAACTTGCTTGATTTGGGCTGAGTTTCATGACACGCTTGGTCCTCGACGTCAATGCCAACCGTCGAGGGCGTAGGGGATGTATATCGTGCGCATTGGATGCTTGTGTTACCTTTCACGTAGAGAAGAGCTAACTACTTGACATCATGAATAGACCTTGCTCAAGTTTTGGGTACGCGTACGCGACGGGGACTCCACAGATCTACTACGACCAAGTCGGTTACTTTCTTAGGGAGTCTGAATCTGCCAATCCTCCTATCAGAGGCCTAGATGGACAGGATGGCGAGACCGCCTGAACTCACCCACCGAGTAGTCAAGGAACTTGCCTGCTTTGGACTCAGGGGCATGCCAGTGACACGCTTGGTTGTCGACGTCACTATTAATGTCGACTATGAGCCTCAGACTGTAGTCATGGGCGTAGGGGATGTATATAATTATATCGTGCGTACTGATTCGATTGTTGTGGTACCAAGAGAAGAACTGACTACTTGTCATTATGTATAGACTTCTCTCAAGGTTTGGGTACGCAATTCATTTAACGGTACGAGATAGTGCGGGGACACAGATCTACGAGTAAGTAGTCAAGGAGCATACCTAATTTGGGCTCAGAGCGTGACACGCTTGGTCGTCGACGTCCGAAATGCCAGTGTTGTGGGCGTAGAGGATGTATATCCGAGTTGTGCGTACTGATTTGATGCTTGTGTCACCTAGTGAGGAGCTGAGTGCGTATTTGTATGTTCATGTCTACGCTTTGCTCAAGCTTTGGGTACCAGTTTCATTTGGGATTAAGTACACCGACAGAGTGCTAGTGATGTGGGGACACTCGAGGACATTCAAATGATCGTCAAGCCATCGCTCTGGATACAGCAGTTCGAAATCTAGGGTTTCTCGGACTCTGACTGCGCCGATGTACGTCGAGCATCGACGATAATAACAGCGGGAAGAGTGCAGGTATTTCAGAAGAGCGGCGACTTCTCGAGCGTGGCGAGCGACTGTGGCGAACTGTTCTTAGCGGCGATTTGGATGGTCTCGTGAGCGGCTGCGACTCTACGCACTTCTTTCTCTTTTGGATCTTGCTTCTCGCTTGACGAGTATCATCACCACGTAGACTGTTGACCTCCTGTTCATTCCTTTCTTCTCTGGGATCTAACAGGTTCGTTTGCTTCCGTTGGTCCGCATACTCGGACTTCGAGTCCGAGAGGATGATACCACTTCAACTCACCGTTTTGAACACTTGCGCTTTGGGATACCGCTCGCCAGAGAATTATATCTCCGTCCCCTTCGAGACAGGTCCTCCTATTTCTCCCTGTTGCTCACACTCTAGCTTGTCCAATGACTTGTTGCGCAGCGCTCGGTTTCTTTTCGTCACAATCATTCAGGTTCGTTACCAGTGTCCGTCACTACTGTGCTACTGTCGACGTAGTCCTCGGATCTTGAACTCCAATAATCATGCATGCGCTTTGATGTGTTGTTGGAGGTCGTGTCGATGAGCTTAGAACTACTTCGTGGCAGTCAGTATGGGGTTAGTATCCGCTGGAGATTGAGCTGTCGCAATACGTACGGAAACCGCTCAACTTGCGTCCGTCCGTTCGTCCGATTTGCGGCGTTGCGCCCATACGTCGACTCGGACGAGTCCAAGTCTATCAAGACCCTATTGAGCCTGAGCACTAAGCATTGTTTTGTTTCCGATTATGCGAGCTCAAAGGTAGTGGTTGCGCGCAAACGGACTCACGAATCCTCTTCGAAGATTGGTCCAGACATTGTGTAAATAAAGCACGAACACACTTGGGGTCCGAGGTGCACATCATATCTCCGACTCGACTACCCCGCGACGCGTACATAGAACCCACGAGTTCTGTCGCGGATCTCTGGGGAAAAATAAGTTGTGGGTCACACGACACGAAAACGTTGACGACGAATCGGGGTACTTAGCCTCAAAGGGCCAGTTCCATGTTCTTACGGCGGCGTATTGCACGAGATCTCGGACAGGCCTGGGGATCTTCCTGCATGAGGAAGGAAAAAGACTCGTTCGAGACTCCGATCCCCGATTCTGAAAGGACTACCAGTGAGTGCTGCTGGTTGGTCGCGAATTATCAGGACTTCCTGCCATTCGCCGCCACTCCGAGTAATTATCAACGGCCGCGGTATGTTCAGGAGTCACTTTCAGGAGTGCTCAGGTGTTACAGTGTAGTACGCCTCGCTCTTGCTGCGCGTTTATCAGATAATATACCACAAGGCCCAGGCTAGACTAGCAGTCCTTCTGGACGTGATTCACAGTGCCGTAGTACATCGTGCGTTCAGACTACGAACTTTGTTTCTCGGCCCATCCCAATACTGCAGCAGTGTGGCAGCCAGCATTTATACCCACATGAGCATGTTGCGAGAAGGGCAGGTCAGGAGGAGAATCAGAGCCAGCCAGTCTCTTCTAGTGTAAGCTGCCAGTGAGCCCTAACAGAGACGCCACAAAGGAACCCTTATGCCGGCGGTGATGTCGAGCGCAAAGAAGCGTCTTGTGGAACAATAAATCATGATCGCCGCATGCATGACTGCCCTGCGCAACGCCACTCTTGTGCGTTAGACCCGCCGCTGGTATTCAGCGGCAGCGCACCAAGTATGATGGTCCTTTGTCCCAAGCCCAGTGCGCTAATTCTTGTGGGATGCGGATCGTAATGTCTGGCCTTGGCAGACAAGGCTGAGCAATGGTGCGGGCCAATATTTCCGACAGTCGTATAATAGACGCGAAAGACTCGGTTTATTTCATGGAGGATCATGAATGGGAAAAATCACGGTCACGGGAATCCGAGAGGTTCAAGCTTGAGTTACTAGTCTAAGTGAGGCCGAACCATATATCGTCGATTGCGATGCGACCGTCATACGACTCGCATCGGTGGACTCGGGCAGCCTGAGTGAATGGTATGCATAATCTTCCGCGTGGGTGGCACTTCAAGTGTACGCCCGACACACCTAGACCTGGGATAGGATGAAACTGACATACATATAAATACATGCGCAGGGGTCGTGTCGCGTTTTCACCTCAAAGCGGTTCTTCTGAGACTAGACATAAGTCATCGAGTTTCGAGTTCTTCGTCCCCATAAGTATGCGTAAAGTTGCACCTGAGGAAGAAAAAAGCTGTCTGGATATGGCGTGACCTGGGCATAGACGGTGATCAATCGAGTTGGTTCAAACATTGATAGTAGAGGACGTACATGTCAGGCCATTACTGGCCGCGTCGCATTTGTGGCCCCCGTTATTAGGCAGCTGCTCCGAATCGTACGGCGATGATCATGCAAAGCGGTCGGATTCTTAGGCAATAAAGCGCCGTGAGTTGTGAGCGAATCAATCATCCTGTAGAGCACAAACACGGCGCTCAGTGGCCCTCCGTGGAGTTAGATGTGAGGTCGGACCGTCCAGAGACGCCGTTATAACATTGTTTGCCAATCATGTGGCGTCCGATCCGAAGGCTGGAAATCATTTACACCTTTGATGAAGGTATATTTGGCCGTCGAACGGGAGAGCAAGCAAGTAGTGATATGTCAGCGCACGATGAATATGATGACTCTGCGTGGCCCACTGGCAACGCCATGATTAAATTTCAATCTATGACCTACCACTGAAGAGCGCGGTAGGACGGTGGATATTGTAATCGGACCGTAGACACGCAATTAGCGCTGAAGAAGGACAAGCCCAATGTGTCACATCCGGGGTCCCAATGAAATAGCAAGCCTACAGAGTCTGAGTCCCTTGGGGATATGATTATGGTCGCAGCTCAAGCATAGTTTTTAGAGTTTGGAGACATAGATTGATGACCCAGAGCGGGATGAACAAAACATAAAGGACTCAAGGAGGACAATTATGTGATCATAGAACACCCATTGATGTCAAGCGCAAATTCGGAGGATGGCAAGTCTGAGGAAGAACACACCAATTGTTGAACATTGTGGCAATGGAAGGATACTCGATTGGAATGTACCCTAGAGTTCTACGGACACAGATGACCAGGTTTGCTGGGAAGAGCTTCACAGCACTGATGCGAGGAACATGCAAAATCATCCGAAAGGCATGCATAGCAAAGAGGGACGAGCGGCTTGTCGAGATCAACGAGTCCGAGTCGTTCTCCTGCTGCCACATTATGACGTAACAGGATTCTCACGGTTTATCCCTTCATCAGTTTCCAGTTCTCCGCCGAGCCTTCCTACGTTTCTTTCTGCCTCCATAGACTTTGTCGTAATGCGTAGACAACGACATCCTATCCAAATCTCTCGCTACGGCTGGGCTAGGACACTGGGCTCATAATTCACAAGGACTTTGAATGAAACCCGGACTGGCAGAATATACTCGGTCTCCTCGGGAAAGTTTACGGGCTTCTGAACTGTTTGAACTGAATAGGCTACGGTGTTGCCCGCTTGGACGCTGGGATAGACCTCGAAACGGAATAGCATAGCGGTGATATAGCGGTGGTTTATTGGCTTTGTTTCACAACAACTTGAACATTGACCATCTCATGGGTCTGATCAACTTTATATACCGCTCTGTGCGCTCCTCCTCCATCGACCTCTGCCTCCACGGTACTCCAGACTTGCCCAGCTCAAAGCCTTATGCTCTCGTCACAGGCTCAACAGCAGGAGTAGGACATGCTTTCGCTCAGGAGCTTGCCTCACGCGGTTTCAACCTCCTCCTACACGGCCGCAATCCCATCTCCCTCGCCTCCGTACAATCCTCTCTCCAATACGAACACCCAGACCTCGACATCCGCACGCTCTGCTACGACGCTGCCGATCCAAACGTCGAAGCCAACATCGAAGCCCTCGTACACGAGATCACATCCAACAACATACCCCTCACCGTCCTCGTCAACAACGTCGGCTATCAATCCAAATGGACACCCTTCGCACACCAAAAGCCCTCCGAGATGCTCGACGTCCTCCGCGTCCAGACCGAATTCCCAACGCTCCTCACATCCCGTCTCCTCCCCCTTCTCGCGCAAAACGAGCCGTCTGCCATGCTCAACATCGGCGGCCTGACCTCCCAATACCCCGCGAGTCTCCTCGCCGTGCATTCGGGCGCAAAGTCTTACTTTGTTGACTTCACGGAGGCGCTCGCGACGGAGATGAAGCAGTTTGAGATGTGGCTGCCGGAGGAGCAGACCCGCTGGCTCGAGGCGACTTCGCCGTTGAACCCAAGTCTCCGAAACGCACCATCGTCGCCTTCGACGAGGAGGACGGCACCAGTGGTCATGATTCACGCTATCAACCTCCACTCCGTATCGTCTTCTTCCAACCTCTCCGCCCCATCCTTCTTTACACCCACCGGACGAGTGATGGCGAAAGCGGCGCTGGAGGTCGTTGGCTGTGGCGAGGTCTTCGTGACGGCGTATTGGAGGCATGCGCTGATGGGGGCCGTGTTGGCGATGATGCCGAGGTCTGTCGTCGTTTCGCTGATGGGCAAGGAGATCGCAAGGCTCAGGAAGTTGGACGAGGAGAATAAGGCGAAGAAGAAGGATACGTGAATGTTTTGTCATCTTGGGTTCGTTCTGCGTGGATATGTCTGTTTATCTTGTTATACCCTGTATTGAAACATGTAGCGTACCGGTATAGTCTTGTTTGTGTGCGGCAGACAGCCAATCTGAAACTATTGGCATTGCGATCTGCGGCGAAGTGGCAAAGTTGCCCGCTCTGGTGCCACACATTCAGAGAACTTAGACCTAGTAATACTTTGCTCGCGTGTATTATGAGCACACTGACCACGATGATATTTCTCCAGACCAATCCTACCTAGCCACTCGAGCAAGTATTCCAAATTCGAAATACCAGAACAAAGTCACAAGCTAACCCAGCTACGGAGTAGTAGTAGCACTAAAAGGTAGCATACCGCAGTCCGAAGAGGTCCGATTGCAACGCATCCGCACAAAAGGCATTACACGGCCAGCAGAAAATATACAAATAACTTCTCAGCACCAAGGAGCCTCCGACGCCGAGTTCGACTCCCCAAACCCAAGCCCACCCTGGCACCCACCCACAATCTCGGCGACTCAGTCCTCGGAAACTCTCAACCTCCCCCAGCACAACACATCGCGCCCAAAGACTAGTACTCGAGTGTATATCGCAGCTCTGAGGGGAAGCACGAAACGACAACGTCTTACCCCAGGTCGTCCGCCTCCCGCTTGCGCTTCATCTCCCTCGACACCTTATGTTGCGCAGACTCGTGTCGGGCGAGCTCCGGCGGGACCTTCGACACCGGGCTCTTGGAGATTTCTGGAATTTCGGGACGAGAAGGGTTAGCGAGACGTCGATGGGAATGAGGAAGGTGGAGGTGGAAGGTGGAGATAGAGGATTGGGAATGGGGATGGGAATTTGAGTTTGAATGAAGGGAGGAAAGCGTACCTTGCTTGAGATCGTACCTAGAAAGATGTAAGAGAAAGGAGGAGAGGTCAGATAAGATTGTTCCTCGGCATTCCAAAAGCATTTCAAAAAAGTCAAAGCAAAAAAGTGTTGGATCGGGGGTTTTCTGTTAGATAGGGGAAAGGGACAGAGAGGAGCAGGGAAGAAAAGTAACAAGGAAGATATGACATACATGACCTCATCGTCATCGTTCGTCAAGAACGTGATCGCGACACCTTGCTTGCCCGCACGTCCCGTACGACCTGTATCCAGCCACTCGGTCAGTCAGTCTTCTAATCGGAGGGAAATGTTGGCAACAACGCACCGATACGATGCACATAAGCCTCGATAGTGTTCGCCATCTGGAAATTAACGACGAGCGACACGTCCTGCACATCGATACCACGCCCGGCGAGATCGGTCGCGACGAGGACGTCGGCGTCGCCGTTGCGCAGCGCTTGCAATGCCGCCTCTCGCTGTTCTTGGTTCTTGCCCGAATGCAGCGTCGACGAGTTCCACTACACGCGATACGAAGTATTAGTATCTGAGAATGAATGGAGTAATTGGAAGGGGAGAAGGGGAGGAGAGGGACGTACACCTGCTCGAGAGAGATCCTTCGCGACCTGGTCTGCGGTCTTCTTCTGGTTGACGAAGACGATCATGGGCGGCTGGAACCCTCCATTGTTCAAGATCTCCAACAGACGTTGCCTTCGCAGCAAGCAAGCGATCAGCAAGCGCTAGCAGTAACAAGGAAGAAAGAAACCAGCAAACGCACTTCTTCTTTTCCTCCCCAATAACGAACTCCACCCTCTGATCGACCGTATCGACCGCCCTGCCCGCCTCACCAATCGTAATAATCGCCGGCCTCTTCAAATACTTCCTCGCCAGCCTCTCCACCGCCGGCGGCATCGTCGCCGAAAACAGCGTCGTCACCCTCGTCCTTCCCACATTAACCATCGTCTCCCCGTCGACGTCCATCCTCTGCCCCGTGTCCTCGCCCTCCATCGTCTCCGAGGGAAGCTTATCGAGGATGAAGGTCAGGTCGACTTCGAACCCGAGGTGGACCATTCGGTCGGCTTCGTCCATGACGACGTAGCGGCATTGGGAGAGGACGAGGACGTGTCGCTCGAGGACGTCTTTGAGACGGCCCGGGGTGGCGATGATGATTTCGGCGCCTTCGCGTAGGTTGAATTGTTGTTCTTCTACGGCTCGCTGTGTATGTGTACAACATCAAATATACACAAATAAACAAAAAAAAAATGGATGAGAGAATGCAAAACGGAGAGGTAGGAGAGGGATAAGGATCAGACGTACGCCTCCGACAATAGAGACACATTTGAACCCGAGTGGCGTCGCGAACTTGCGCGCCTCAGACTCGATCTGTTGTGCCAATTCACGCGTCGGGGCTAGGATGAGCGAGTACGGTCCCAGATGCCGGTTCTCGTCCGTGAACGGTGGGAGCTTCGAGATGAAGGTCAACATGGGGATCACGAACGCTGCGGTCTTTCCGGAACCTGCACACACACACGCAGCGATTAGCCATTGAACCCTACGGGAATACTGAGTGAAAGAAAGAAAGGACATACCGGTCTCTGCGATACCTATGATATCGCGATTCTGCAGTCCTATAGGAATAGCCTGTCGTTGAATTGGAGACGGCTCCTTATACCCCACACTATCCACCACATCCAAAATCTGCTGAGGAATCGTCGACTCCAACCACGACCTCAACGGATGCGGGATATTACCACCTTCACATGTCAACAAAAACATCAGTCTAACAAACCACGGAAGAACAAAAAAAGTGAACACGACGAAACGCACCCCTGGCCGCAATACTAAAATCCTCTCTAAATATCCTCCAATCCCTCTCCTTCATATCCTCCAGAGGCTTCTCCGTCCAATGCCGATCATCATACCCCGCCTTCGCCGCCTTCCTCCTCTCCATCGGATCCGCAAGATTCGGATCCACCGCCGCCCTCGTCTCTCCCTTCCCCCCCGTCTCACCCTTCCCTGTCCCCGTCCCACCCGCCTCCCTCCTCGCAGCGCTCGAATTCCCCCCATCGTCCATCCCGGCAATATGACCCCTCCCAAACATAACCTGCGCGCCCTGCCTCGTCACGCCCTCAGGCAGGATATGGGGCGCATCGGCGGAGCTGAAAGTGTCCTCCTGCTCGTCCCAGTCGAATACGAATTTCCGATCGTTCATTTTTCGGATCTTGCGCTTTTTTTTGTCGACGCCTAGATAGCGAGAGCGGATCGCGCTGAGGTCGGAGGAGGTCATGGGGGGGACGTAGGTTGATGAAGAGTCGGAGGTTGTTGTCGTGTAGGTGGATGTTGAGGTTGGGTGAGAAGAGGGGGTGGGGGTGGAGGCGTGGGAGGGAGGGAGGGAGGGAGGGGGCATGGATGATGAGGGGGCGGGAGAGGAGGAAGAGGCGGCTGCTGATGGGCCGGTGGGAGGGGCTTTGGAGCGGTCGGCGCGAGGACCTGTGGGTACGCCGGCGTAGCCTGCTCCTCCTCCTCCTCCGCCGCCCTGGGGAGCAGGTGCTGGAGGCGGAGGAGCAGGACGTCCACGATTATCTCGTCTATTGTAACGATCCCGATCCCGACCATCTCGGTCATACCTATCTTCGTCTTCACGGCATTCCATTCATCAGCCCACCTATCTCTAAACACGAAGCAGAACAGAAAAGGACTCACATCTCCCCCCTCCTCCACCACCTCCTCCACCTCCATACCTCCCACCCCCACCCCCACCTCCACCCCCATACGTCCCCCTCGCATCCCTCTCCCTCGCCCTAAGCTGCTCCGCTTCTCGTTCTAGGGCCTCGCGGTCCCGCTGCACGGAGGTTACTTTCTCTTTTTCTTGGGCGAGTTCGGCGGCGCGGCGGGCTATTGCGAGGTTGGCGCGTTCTTCTTTGGAGAGGAATTTTGGCTGTGTGTTGTGGGGGTGGAGGGGGGGTGGGGGTTGTCAGATATTGAAGTACGTGGATGGGGGAGGAGGTGGGGAGAAGGGAGAGGATGAGGGAAGAGAGAAGAGAGACGGACCTTAGACGCGGCTTCTTTCTCAGCTTTTTGTTTAAGGAGGAGCGAGTCGATGGAGAGCGGCTCGAGTTTCGACATCGTAGTGGTGGTGGTGGTGGTGGTGGTGGTCAGAAACAAGACGTGGCCACATACAGTACGTATGGTGCCACACGCACCCTATCGCGCGGCCACGTGCGCCACAAAAACTTGAATGTAAAATGTCTCTTGAGGGGTTTTGAATTTGAAGCCTTACAGCCTTACAGTCATGTCTTCGCCCGTAGAGAATAGCAGTCTTTTGTTAGATGAGGAGGATGGGATTACCGAACAGGTCCGTGCTACATCTCACATGGAATTTCTCTCTCTTCATGCTCAAGTGAATCACGGTAATACAATACAGTTCGAAACCTGCCTCGCACACATCTTCGCAAAATACTGCACGCCCAAACCCTCTCCCTCCCCTCCATCCTCCTCTCCACCATCTGGAGCGCAGTTGTTGTCCCCACCGGAAGGAGCGTACCTAACCGCCGAAGGTCTCGATGAATGGGCGCGGGATACGAATGGGGCGGAGTTGAGTGCGGAGGAGAAGGAGGAGATAGGGGAGTATATGGATGTTACGGAGGATGGATGCTTGACGTGAGTTTTTCGATTATCCCATTTCAAAGTTGAGCGAAGTCGATGAGTTTTTGCGGATGAAGGTTCAAGGGATTTATGCAACTGTATGCATTGCAGACGCAGAACGACGAAGCGGAGACGTGGAAGGATTTGGTATGTGTCCCTCTCACCGGACCTCTCGCGATCGAGTTCGAATTTATTGACGCAATTGTCTCACAATGGCATTGACAATGACAGGGCAAACACGGTTTCGATCGAGCTCTCCGTCTTTCCTCGTCATGAACAACCATGATCACGTCGTACTACTTACACTTTCCCCTGCCCCTTCTGCAACACCATCTTCCAAATCTCAATCCCCTCCCACTCCTCCCTCGCCCACTCCAACCCCGTCTTCCCCATAGCCTTACACACCTTCCTCTGCGACACACGCTCGACAACGAAACCCCAGTCCGATCGCGCTTCGGCGAGGGCAGCGTCGATGAGCGCAGGATCGCGTCGTTCGAGGCAGATGTAGACCGGAGGAAAACGAGTGGAGCGTTGTTGTTGGGAGGAGGCGAGACTGAGGGCGTGCAGGGTGCGGAGGAGGGGGGTGACTAGTTTGGGGGAATAGAGGGTATCGGAGGAGAGGATGAGATCGAACGGGGGACCGAGGAGGTCTGTTTCATCTGACGGTAGAGGTACTTGTTCGTTTGAGTTTGATGAGGCAACTACGGAGGTATTGTCCCAGCTCCATTTGTCGGGCGGTACTGTCCAGTCGAGTTCGCGGACTTGGATAGAGCCAGAGCTAGCGGATTCAGAGGGCGCGTTTTGGTGCACGTTGTAGCGGAGAACGGAGGAGATGACGTGGTGTGTGTCTGTGGCGAGGACGTCGACGCCTATGGAGCTGAGAACGAGACTGAGAGCGGAGGAAGTATGATGGTATGCATTCGAAAAGAAAAGGACGAACGATGTGAGGCCGATGCCTGCTCCGAGCTCGATTGCGCGAAGACGGGGAGTGCGACGTGTGGCGAGGGTCTGAGAGAGGAACGCAGCCATGAGCTGGCCGCCGAGCCAGAGGGCAGTGCCGTTGGATACGCCATCGTCGCGCTGAGCGAGGAGGAAGTCGTTGTCGTGGAAGGGGTAATGAAGAGAGTTAAGGTGCTTTGTGTGCTGAGCGGGGAGAGCGGCCATGGCTGTCGACGCGAGCTGCCACGAGGCCGCTGCCCTTTTCGTCCGCTCGCTCTCTCCTCTCCTCTCCCCGCCATCGCCATTGCCATCGTCCCCTTCCCCGCCCACGTCCTGCCGTCGTCGTCGTCGCTGTCGTCTCCACCGCTCACGCTGGCCGTCCGCCATGAAGGCCTTCTTCAACAGATTCAACAGAGCCCCAAAGGACAAGCTCTCAGACGGCAGCCCCAAGGACGCCGATGGCACTCGCCTGTACTCGAAAGAGAAGCTGCAGCTGCCTCCGCTCCCCGACTGGCCCCCTCAGCAACAGCAGCAGCGTCCAGGTGGGACTCCCTCCTCACTTGCTTCTACGAAGCCTCTTCCTGAGCTTTCGTCCCGACCGCTCCCTCCGATAGACGATCCTCCCTCTCCCTTCCCTGACTTTGGCTCTGTAAATACAACCCCAGACCGTCCCCCTCTCTCCGACGTCGCAGAGGAAGACCCCTCCGAAGCAAACGTCTCCACCCGCACTTCCGCTGCAAAGCCACCAGCCGACCCTGACTCCACCGGTCGCAGTTCTCGCAAGGCCACCAATGGCAGCGTCAATACCTCGGGTGCCAACAGCGATATCCAGAAGAAAGTCGCCTTCATCTCTCCCCCACCCACTCCTTCAGGTCTTAATGCGACCCTCCCATCTGTCGCCGAATCTACCGCCGCCACGAAGACTCCTGTGTCGCGCTTCCAGGGAACGCACGGCAAGGATGCTCGTGGCTCTACCTCTTCTGCTGCCTCCGCTTCTCGAACAGACGTAGGCTCGACCTCCAAGGCAAGCATGAGCACCGCCAAGGGCGGCCCGACGTCGACGCGCTCAGCCACCTCTCCATTCCCCCAGAAGTCTGCCGGTGACGGCGCTTCCATCCACCCGTCCCTGCGCTCCAACACGCCCTTTTCCCAGAGATCAGGCGCCGCAAGCACGACCAACGTCGCACCCGCTGCCTCCTGGAGTGAAGCTACCGAGGAAGATCTTGTTTCTAATTTGGGCCCAAGGGAAAGAACAAGGCAGGAGGTGTTGTTCGAGATCGTCTGTAGCGAGGAGCGGTGAGTTGCCCGCAATTTATCCCGATATGTTCACCGTATTCACTCCGTCGCCATGCAGATATGTAGCCGAGCTGCTCAAGATGAAGGATACCTTCCTCGTGCCATTACTACATCCATACTCGACCTCACCCGTCGCTTCCCCCGGCCTCATGGATTACGAAGACTTCCCGCGCTTTGATTCCCCTGTAGAATCTTTGGATCATCTTCCCATCGCCTCCCGCTTTCTCTCTCCCCTTGGTTTCCGCTCAGATACCCCACCCGTCGCTGCCGCCGCCGACACCGCGTCCCGAAAAGATGACAAAGACGCGCCGACCATGGACGCCGAATCCATCAACTCCGAAGACGAAGACGACGACCAGATGGGCAAGGACTACCCCGGCTCTCGACGACCGACCGCGACCTCGCTCGCCGCAAAGCTGAACCACCCACGATCTCCGTACGGCTCGCCCAGCAAATCGGCCGGCAAAAACCCCATCGTGCCCTTCCCCTCGCGATCGCACCATTCCCTACCCCCGCCCCCACGGATGAATCCTACCGCGTCGACGCAGTCGCTCGGCCGTCAGTCGTTCGTCGGTCCCTCGCCGAATGCGGCAGAGAGGGACCGGGAGCGCAAGTCGACGGCCACGCCTGCGTCGCGTGTGTTACGCAAGACGAAGAAGAGCCAGACGAAGGCGGACAATAATAATATCACTGCTAACGGGGGGATTTCTCCGAATCAGATCCCGGACGATCTGAGGCAGTGTTTGGAGACTATCGAGCGGAGTATATTGGACGGGCATTTGAAGTTGAGTGAGGGGCTTAGGAAGCGATATGACGAGCAGTATCCGCTCGTGCGATCGTTGGCCGATGTCTTTGTTGCCAACGTACGTCGCTCTCGTTCCTCTCTCTCGTCTGTATGTGTCTCCTCATGCGCGTACTTGCCATAGTCCAACATCCTTCGTGGCTATGCGGACTACGTCCTACACCTCGAACGCGCCCTCGAGCAGGTCGACGACTGCATGAACACCGTCAGCTCAAAGAAGCCAAAGAAACAAGACGCCGACGAATGGTCCAAAGTCTGCGCCTTCCTCCAACGGCTCGAACTCGACGCAGGCGAGAAGGGCGAAACAGGCCTGGCCATCTCGCTCTCGAAACCGTTCCAGCGTCTGCTCAAATACCCCCTCCTCTTCCAGAACCTGCTCTTCCACACCGATCCCTCCACGTTCGAGTACGAGAGCACGTTGCAGATGGTGGCGGAGGTGGAGACGATCGTGCGTTCGATCGAGGACGAGAAGATACAGAAGGAGGAAAGGGATAAGACGAGAGACGTGTTTGCGAGGATTGAAGGGCTCGATAAGGTCAAGCAGCTCGCTGTGCCGAAACCGTCGAGAGTCCTCGTCGAAGAGCGGATGTACGTCGCCTCGCCGGGCGAGATGGTCGCCACCAAGTCGTCGCCGCCGCCGGTCTCGAACGGGACCGCGAAGAACGTGAAGGGGAAGACGTCCCTGAAGCGTCTGAGCGACGCGCTGCAGCCCGGGTCGAGCGGCGTGGGCGGGAAGAAGGATCTCTGGTTGGTGATCTTTAATGATGTGGTGTTGAAGTGCCAGAGGACGGGGACGACGTCGTTGCCGCTCGGCGGGGCGTACAATTCGAGGGCGAATTCGATGCCGGAGTTGCAGGGGAAGCCGAAGTATGCGAGTACGGGGCGGAGGAACTCGCATACGAGGCCAAGGAATATGTATAAGTTCCTCAAGGTCGGTTTTCTCTTTTCTTTTCTTTCGGGTCGTTTGTGCAGAGTCTGGTTGTTCATTTTCGAGTCTTTGTGATAGATCGAAAACTGGACTATCGATGTGGCGCAACCACGTCAAGGGGCGGTGACGATGGAAGAGTAGGCTTTCTGCTATTTCTGCACTTCACGCAACCTTTCTGACAGCCATGATAATAATCTCAGGGTCGCCCGTTCACGATCACACATCCACACCTCCATCCAACCCCGAATAATCCCCATGCCAGAGGACGACGAGGACGGTGGGGTAGAATCAGACGACTCCGACCGCAAGTCCAAGATGTCCTTCTCATACTGGGGCGCAGACAAGGTGACGCTCCAAAAGCCGGTCATGAAGGCGAAACCGCCCGTCGGCAGCGGCACGCGACGACCGGGCTCGTCTACGCCGTCTGGGTATAACAGGGAATCGTCGGCGAACGCGAAGTTTGGTACGAGGCTCGTGTCGAATGAGATTCCGAGCGGCGGCGGACATGGCGTGAGTCGGCCTGCGAGTCGGAGGACGGGGGCGTCGGGGACGCCGTCTAGTCGTCGGGGCGTCGCGTCGGACGAGGGTCATACAGTCCGGGTCACCACGACCACGACGACCACGACTACGACGACAACGAAGCCGGCGTGGAATAGTACGAGGGCGACGGCTACGCCGACGCCGATGGCGAAGAGGACGAGGAATGTGTCGCAGGGGAGTGCGGCGACGAGGGCGACGACGACGTCGAATAAGATGTTGGCGAGTCCGGCGCCGTCGGAGGATTCTGGAGTGGGTCTTTATCGACAGATGATGGCGCAGGATCCATCGCTGAACGCTGTCTGAAGTCTTAGATCGTTTTCGCAACCACCTATCGCTCCGTCTTCCTTTTTCTTGCATGATGCTCGTACGCCTATACCTTGTCAATCACGATTCTCTCCCCTGACAGTTGGATCCCTCCGTTCTTGATGACCGCTATTACACTTACACTCTCCTTGCTCCTGCTCCCTTTTTTTCACGTTCGCACGCACCGTATCGTATCGTACTATCTTCTCTCCGCTTTTCTCTTTCTCTACCATATGCATGCTTTCCTCTCTTCTGTTCCCTCTCTCTCTCTGAATCTCTCTTTATTGGTCAATGCATCATTTCCTCATCCTCATCCCCCTCTCTCTCTTTCCCTCAGTTTTCAGTTTTTCAGCTTTTTGTTTCAGTCCTGCTCGTTGTCTGAATCGTCAAGGATCATTTTCTTTATATCTCTTCGTTACTTCTCGTATCAGTACCTACCTTTTTCCTCTTCCTCTCTTTTACCCTTTGTTTTTGCGCGATACCATCCATCCATACGTCTTTTGCATGCTGTCAGCCTCTCGCCTCGCCTTGTCTCGCCTTGTCATGGGAACTCTTTGTTATCTTCTGTTTTTAGTATGGCCCTTTTCCCCTTTCACATTTGCTGATCATACCGTCGTCCGAGGCAACCTCACACTCACGCTCACTCACTCCGTTCCTCTTTTTTCCACTTTCACGTTTGTTCTCTCGCTCGCTCGGTTGGTTGGTTGGTTGGTCGGGTTTTTTGTTGACGTGACGCTTGACTCTCTATGATGGTGAACCGAATCACACATCTCTGCTGCTCCGAATCTCCAAACCTCAGTCGCGTCGCTCGAATTGTTGCCTGATCGAACCCGTTTGAGTGATCTTATCAGTGGCTTTCTTATGTTTGCCCTCGAACTGAACTGAACGGTCGAACGACTTTCGATTCCTGTTATTGTCACGGCGCTATATTCTTTTCTCATTCCCTCCCCGGGCCCTCTTTCACTCGTTCCAGCGCGCACCCAAAGTTTAATGTATACACCCGCCTCTAGCTCTATTATTTCAGTACTGGACCTATATAGATAGACATATCGTATCTTTCGTACCCACAACAACAATGACGACGACGAATTTTTTCACTGTACAACCATAATCATCGCATACTGCTTTCTGCTCTTTCCCTCTTACTCTTCCCCTCTTCCCTGCTCTTCCCGCTCCTCCCTATTCCGCGCCCTGCCTCATTCTTCGCTCGCGCCATAAGCGGCGGCATGGATGCTGACGCTCCTGCCGCTCGGGTCTGCCGCGCAGCCCCAGTCGCCTCGGGGGACCCACCTACGATAATACACGTATAAGATTTGTTAGCGTTCGGTATTCGGTATTTAGTGTTATATAAAAGATAGATCGACAAGCTCGTTCATCGATAATGGAATGAGATGAGTTTGAATCGGTCATGGTTGATTGGGTGGGAAGGAATGATGGGTGATGCGAAAGAGCTGAGGTGAAGGGTACTGACCTGACGGCGGTGCTGGCAGCCGCTTCTGACGGGAAGAGACCGTCGAAGATGTCACGGATGAAGTACGCCTCTTTCGTCGTCGGGACGTCTTGGGGCCAGCGTTCTGAGGCTTTGGCGAAGGCTGCGTCTGAGACGGCGTGTTCGGCTTGGTCTTTCATGCTGTTGGCAGGAGGGAGGGTCAGTTTTGGGAGCCGAGACGAGACGAAAGAGGAGAGGGGAGGGGAAGAGGAGAGGGGAGTGGTAAGGGAGGCAGGTGAGCGTACCCGTCGATCCAGGAGTATCCGACGCCGTCTGAGAATTGCTCCTTTTGTCTCCAGAGGATGGACCGTGGGAGGTATGGCTTGCCGTCCGGTGAGATGTCGAAAGCTTTGCGGATGATGTACTGTAAACGATGACATGATGAGCGACGGGTGATCATGAATAAGGAAATAAGGCGCTCTACCTTCTCCATCTTCGGGCAACCGTCCTCGTCAACTTCTTGTGAAGAGCCCTTGCTGAACATTTTCTCTTCGGGGTTGATGTTCATCGCAACCTCCAAGAAGTCCTTGTCCAAGAATGGCACACGAGCTTCGAGACCCCAAGCCATTGTGGACCTTGACAACAATAATGATCAGCTTTTCAGAGTGTATGCCCGAGTATGGTTGTGACCTCACTTGTTGGCACGCAAACAATCGGATGTGTGGAGGTTCTTGACTCTCTTAACGCACTCTTGGTGGAGCGACTTCGCGTCTGGGGCGGCGTGGAAGTACAGATAACCTAGAGCACACATACGCACCACGAGTTCATTCGGACGAACACTGGGACATGATACGGAGAATAAGACGTACCACCGAAGATTTCATCGCTCCCCTCGCCACTCAGCACCATCTTCACACCCATAGCCTTGATCTTGCGACTGAGGAGGTACATAGGCGTGCTCGCACGGACGGTCGTGACGTCGTAGGTCTCGAGGTGGTAGATCACGTCCGGAATCGCGTCGAGACCTTCCTGGACGGTGAAGACGTATTCGTGGTGGATCGTGCCAAGGTAGTGAGCGGCCTTGCGTGCAGCGATAAGATCGGGAGAGTTCTCTAGACCGATGGAGAATGAGTGCAATTGTGGCCACGATGCGATGGTCACTAACATACGGGCATGTCAGAGACGCGGTCAGAGTCAGTCAAGTTGAGCCATGATAACGGTAGTGTGGTACGTACGATCTTCGTTGATGGGGCCGTTCATGGGAGGAGTAGCGGGACCGTTAGCGATCTCTGAGAGCCTCTTCTGACGAGCGACATGTTGAGCAAGCGCAACCTTCTCGGTCTCCCGGGCGGCGATAGCAGCGATGAGACTGCTGTCCAGACCACCACTCAGCAAAACACCGTACGGAACCTCAGACATCAGTCGTTTCCGAACAGCAGCCTCGAGTGTCTCGCGCAACAACGTCAGGTCGGCTTTCGTCGTAGGTATCGGTGCCTCTGGGCCCTCGGAGTCGCCGTCCCACCATGTTGGCTCGAAGTAACGCGTCGTGGAGTTATCCTGGCTGTCGTAGACGTGGCCGGGAGGGAAGGAGATGATTTTGTCGCACTCTTCGACGAGGGTCTTGAGCTCGGAGGAGAAGTAAGTCGCGCCGGGTCGTTTGGAGGACCAGCCTTGGTAAAGGGTGGTGATACCGATGGGGTCGCGTGCAGCGATGATGCGAGGAGGCTCTACGGATTCGTCGAGGAGGGCGAATGAAAACATGCCGTCGAGCATGTTGACAAGATCCTTGCCATGTTTTTGATACTAACGGGTTCAAGGTGAGAAAGATAGACGAGTGTGCATGACTCTGAGGAGGGCGTACGAGTGGAATGATGACTTCACAATCCGAGTGGGTCTTGAATTTGTATCCAGCTCCGGCAGCAGCACGAAGCTTGACATGGTTGTAGATCTCGCCGTTCACAGCGAGGATAGTCTTCTTGTCGTCGCTTACGAGCGGCTGAGCACCAGTGTCTACAGACCATTATCCCAAGATATGAGTGCAATCGTAGAAGAAAAAAGACATGAATTTACGGACCGACACCGACGATGGCCAAACGTTCGTGGACGAGAATACTCTGCTTTCCGACGTAACAGCCCGACCAATCCGGGCCACGGTGGCGCTGCCTCTTCGAGAGTGCGAGGAAATGAGAACGCTCGGCGCCGGGCTGTTCGATGCCGTGAACTGCAAGGATGCCACACATTGTTGGGGATAGTAGAGAGAGGTGTGAAGCAGCGTTTCGCTGGCGAGACGGGTTCTTAACGGACAACTTTCAGAATTTGTTGACTCGACCAGAAACTGCAAGACTGAAGATTAGATTAGATATTATTCCGCCGCCGATCTCCCGGCCGCGCAATGCCGATGCGATCATCCTTTTGCCATTGCCAATTCCCGTGTTCAAAGCGTCGCTTTCCTTTCCGGTCCTCTATGATTGGTCGTGTCAAGACGAGGGACCTCAATATATCTCGCAAAAATTATCACAGAGGAAATGGTGATTCAATAGGGCATATATGTAGTGGTTCACATCAGTTTCGTTCATCATGCTGAGAGCGAAAAGTGTGAACTCGAAATCTCGGATGTGGTGCTAGATATAATACTCAGTTCACACTGAGTTTGAGTACTCGAGACGGATCTATTCCTGCTGGCATCCCCTTTTTCCTTACTGATGGCCTCTGATGCCTCGATTTTTCCGGATGCTACCGTACCTGGGCCTCCTGCGATAGTGTCTGTGCCGTTTTGAGACACGACAACGAACATGGAGAGGTAGGAGGGATGCCACTCTCGCGTCAAGTTTACCCTGAATGTGAATTGAGCTTTGATGCTCCAACGGGACAATATTGCGAAGTGTTGAACCCGTCACGGGTTTAGTTTACATCGCCAAAACACGATGTGAACCACTACATATATGCCCTAGTAGCTGTACTTGAATGAATGTAGTACACATATTGTTTTTGTCCTCGTATTAGGGCATATATGTAGTGGTTCACATCGTGTTTTGGCGATGTAAACTAAACCCGTGACGGGTTCAACACTTCGCAATATTGTCCCGTTGGAGCATCAAAGCTCAATTCACATTCAGGGTAAACTTGACGCGAGAGTGGCATCCCTCCTACCTCTCCATGTTCGTTGTCATGTCTCAAAACGGCACAGACACTATCGCAGGAGGCCCAGGTACGGTAGCATCCGGAAAAATCGAGGCATCAGAGGCCATCAGTAAGGAAAAAGGGGATGCCAGCAGGAATAGATCCGTCTCGAGTACTCAAACTCAGTGTGAACTGAGTATTATATCTAGCACCACATCCGAGATTTCGAGTTCACACTTTTCGCTCTCAGCATGCCAATGAACGAAACTGATGTGAACCACTACATATATGCCCTACTGTCCGTACATTATCTACGATGTTTGAGCTTAACGGACTCAGACGGCCCCATTTACACAACAGCATCAATCTTCGTCGCATCTTCCGGCGAAAGGATCAAGTCACCAGCTGCGAGATTCTCGACTAAACGCGCCTTATTCCTGCACATCACCGTCGCGACAACCACATTATGTATCTCAGAGATCCATTCATGGATGGAGTGAAATCACGTACGAAGATCCAGGGAGCGGAATGACGTGCGGTCCTCGTGAAGCAACCCAGGCGAGGCAGACTTGACCAAGAGTGACCTAGAAATCATGACGGGCGTAATGTAAATTTAATAGGTCAAAATTCATCCTTCAAATAGACGAATTCAACTTGCCTGAAGCTTCGATGCAATTTCGTCCAAGACCTTCACCAAGCCTGGGTTGCGCTCTTTGTTCAGTAGCGCACCGCCTCCGACGGGTCTATAACGAGGTGCCACGAGATGGACAATGATGGGCTTTTAGTCACATATTGCTTGGGATGTAAACTCACGAGTAGGCTACGACCGCGATCTTGAGCTCACGGCAAGTCTCAATAACGTCCTTGATCTTCGGTGGGTAAACCCACGGGCTGATTTCGACTTCCACAAAGGAGACCGCGACGATCTATATTGCAACAGTCAATAGCCATCGTTCAAGAGGTGGTTCAGAATTCGTCGAGTATGCAGTAAATACTGACCTTGTTCGCGCGCTTGATCTGTTCCGCAGTGACCTCCGATAATCCGACATGGTCGAACTTACCCTCTGCGACGAAACCTGCGAGTGTACGCATCTGGTCCTCGATCTCGTACTTCTCGTCCACACGGGCACATTCAAAGTGGTCCAGCCTTTTCGTGCCGCGGAGTTTGGAGTTAATACCGTCGACGCTTTGTCTAAGATTCTCTGGGCTGGGTAGATGTTCATTTAGGTGAGTTGGCCGATGACTGCGTCGGCAGAGGCTGAGAGATGGGAAATACTCACGATGCATCGCGCTCGAGCCTATCTGGCTTGGAGCCTCCCTAAGAGAACGTCTCAGCCACTCGATATATTACGCGGAGGGATACTAATGCGTGAGAAGCTTCAAACCTTGACGGACAAGAACGCCTTATCCACATACGACGGATATTTTTCAAAGAATCTCGCGACGAGCTCTACATTGGCCGTGCGAGGGTTGATGCCATAGAACTCGCCTACAAAGGAATGGTTCATACGTTCACGATTAAGGTTCGTTGATGTTTGTATCCCGTTAGTGATACCCACTGCTGTTGAGCAACATCTTAGCACCCGCAGGCAAACTGTCCAAGCCCGTTTTGATGGCCTCGAAAGCGACTTCGTCAGAGACTGGGTCAGGTCTCCATCTGTCGTGAGAACGAAGCGCAGTGTTACTGGGGATGCCACACCGAGAAGGAGTAAAACCGCACGTCATTCGCATGAGCCCATGCTTTACGAAGATCGACATCAGCCTCCAGAGTTTTGCTATCAGCAAGAAGTTGAAGTTGATACTCACCCCTATCCTCGCCACAGCGATGTTCGAGGCGGTCCCACCCAAGTTGACTGTGTTGTGAAGTTGAAGCATGAGATCGTACTGAAGTAACTGATAATATGGTGAAGCTTATATCGGAGGTGACAGGTTCAGCTGATGACCGCATTCTGAGTGGGCTACTTATACCAAATCCAAGTTAAGGAGCGCCTAACATAGCCTGGTGTTTGTAACTGGCTGTCAGCGGGGAAGCGTCAGCCAACGCCGCCGAACTAAAAGGCGATGTCTTGTGGGTCCATATATCAAGAAGGACATGGAGCAACCAATCTAATGGCCCTGTGCACAGAGATATCAGCGAGCTCGAGAGGAAAAGAATACTACGGTCTGTGGCGATAGTCTAAAGCGGGTGGCGGCGCGAGGCGCGACCACCGGCAATCTCCGTGTACCAGATCTGTTGGGTGGATTGCGTTCACTAAGTGACTTCTCTCTCGACACTATCATTCTCCCAAAGGCAGAGTAGCTGTCGTTCAACCGTCGTGCGCCTGATTCTCCAATATTCATTGCAGCTCTGCCCTATTACATCCCCCACCTTCGATAAAACGTCCCAAGATCGTTTTGTCCCTCCCTCTACTTCAAACAAAATTCAAATAACGGAACCGTCACCCATCCACTATGCCTGCTTCGTCTTCGCAACCCCCATCCATCGATCTACAAACCCTATTTACCCTCGCCTCTGGTCTACCCGAACCTAATGCTGAGAATGTCCGGAGGGCTACCTCCTCGCAAGTCAAAGACGATAGGCGCACACACCAACTCTTGGACGCCCTCGCCACCCTCGCCGTCTGCAAGGCGAAGGGCCAGGTGGTTGCCGTAGGTGTTACAATCACCCAAGACCTCGTGACCCTTTATGTCGCCGAAAATTGCCCCGTTCCACAGACTGTCGTCAACCACCTGAAAGACATCGTGCGTTGCATCAGGGATATCCGTTCCCGCATACCGGGCTCTCCTCCCTACGTTCAGGACCCCGCCATTATTAAACAGCTCGATGATCTGGAGGATCGGGTGATCGGGTATGCGTGGCCTAAACTCAGGCAACGCTTCCGCAAGCGATACGACGACTTCAACAAGCTTCTTCGAGATGTTGTCTACGAGGACGGCAACGTCCACGCCGAGGCGGATCGCAGCAACCCACCCGATGATCACACTCTCGCATATCATCAGCATCTCCTCAAGGATCTGCGAGACTCAGATGCGCGCGAAAAGCTCACCAAGTTCGCGGAGGCGTTGAGAGTTATGGACGCTGCACTCCGGGACGTCGTGACTCCGACAAAAGAGGACTCGGCCATGGTGAATATAGCGATGCAGCTTCTGGAGGCATCATATGGCAAACGTGTTGTCAACAAGCGGGGACAGGACGTGTTGAACTTGTGCACGCTTTACCTTGACCGTAAGGATTTCACCGATGATCGCCCGATACCGCAATGCTCATCCGTCTTTGATAGGCTCCAGTTACGACTTGGCGCGTTGGATCAATAAACTCATCACTCCGCACCGTAATTTTTCATGCGTTTCTCGCCTCGTCACGTCTACCTCTCTCGCCCCGTTCATTGACCCAAAGGTCGAGGTCGTTGCCGTCCATCCCCAACCGCCCATCTCCATCTCTGTCAACATCACACTGGATACAATTCGGCAAGCTGCGCAGGAGTCCGGGTGGAAGAAAGATGAGGAGAAGGATGGCGAAGGGAAGTCGATCGGTGATCACGTATTGGAACAGGTTTTCCTTGACCTCCCCAAAAACCTCCGGTTACCGAAACAGGGTATGTGGATATCACCCTTTTGAGTCCTGAGTCCTCACTATCGAATCAGACGTGCCTCGTCAACAGATACAGCCCAAGTACGAGTCTGTCTATCCTCACTGCGAATGTATGCTTCTTGCAAGCCTCCACAGACAGGCAGGCCTCTACGCGTACTTCGGCGTCTCGAAGCTGTTATGCACCCTGTGTGGTGAGTGTTTTGCGGCGTACAGGGCGGTGACGACGTTGGAAATACACACTCGCGGCTCCCACAGTCAACTCGTCGCCCCATGGGTGTGCCCCAAGTTCTCTGAGAAAAATGTTGAGGTGCAGGAGAAGATGAGGGAATCAATCCTTCAAAAGATCTCCAACGGCCTGGAGGCCCTCCAGTCTGCAGAGAAGGCTCGGCAGAAATCTGAGAGTTCGGTGGCCTCTGATGATAGCTATGTTCAGCGGCCAATGATACATTCTAATTGTACGTTGTCTCATATGCTTTCATGGCTGTGTCAGTCTTTGATATGTTTCGCAGTGACCGCCGCCATGCTAAGAGCGGAGCAAGTCATGAAAGCACGGGAGCAGTTCGGTGTCTGAAAATCAGACCCTCTTCCCCTACAGCACGCACTTAGCGATTGGCGATTATCACAACACCTTTTCTTCTTCTCATTTTTCTTGCTCTTGCTGTGTTGTATGCTCTCTCTGTTTTGTCTGCCATTAACCAGAAAGTCCCCTCTCCCCTACGACACGCTCTCAGTATTTGGTGATCAGCTATTGGCGCTACTCTTCCTCCTTTTTAGCAATCTACTATGCGTGGCGTGTGGCTCACAATCTACTCAAGTCCTTGTGTTCCGATTCCGATGGAATTTCGATCACACATCTTCCGAAAAGTGAGATGTAATTGAATTGTATGGGATGTATCCATATTAATATTACATGTAGTCAAAAAAGAACGACATAAAACATCAAATGTAGCGGAAGGCTTCGAAACAAAGCCATAGTAGGAAGTCGGCGAGACGCCTAAGAGATCATCTTAGACTTTTTCGCCCCAGAGGATTCCGCGTAATCGTCGGTATCGGCCTTCCTCTTGGTCTTCGAGTTAGAGGCATCGTTCATCTTTACCTCCTCCGCCTCGACCACATCCTCCTCCTCCGCAGCTTCTTCGTCCGAAGCCTCCTCCTCTGCAGCCTTCGCGTCGTCCGCAGGAAGCGGGTTCGCTCTGGGGAAAAGATCGAGTGCCCTCAAATCACGCTGAATCTGCTCCATCTCCTGATACTCTGCCGTCGTGTTGTCCTGAGCGGCGTCACTGAGCAATGTGTTGGCCTTTGAAAGGGTGAGCAGGAAGTCTTCGTGGATCGTCGGCCAAGTCCGAGTCTGATAAGCCGTCTGGAGCAGAAGATAGAGCTCGACGATGGTATCGTGGATCGGCAAGAAGTAAGGTTGTATGTTGTCGAGTATGTTTCGTTCAAAAACCAGGTCCCTAGTAATGATATTTCTCTTGGCCTCGATGTTGTGCCCAGCGTGGTCTCCATCGAATAACTTATAGATGATGTTCTTCAGGCGTTTATCTTCGGAGGACTTCTTGTTCAAAACGACGCGCCTGCCAGGTCCGTTGTAAGAAATGCACAACCAACAAAGAATCCAAAAGAAAGCTTCAAGGTCATGTATAGGTTCGTGACGATTGACCTTGTATGTGACCCGGGGAACTCCCTTGTGGTGAGCAATGAGCGTGGCCGAGGGACCATGAGTCCAATATGGCTCGTGATCTGAATCTGCCAGTTCCGCGCTCATGAACGCTAAAGTGCCCTAGAGAGAATTTTGTGAGATTGTCTTGTACATCAGCAAAGTTGGGAGGCTCTTGCTAGCTCTAGCAAGAGCTCCTAGACCGGCAAGTGATTCTAGAGACACCCCCTCTATTGAGAGCTTCCTAGAGAGCTCCAAGACGCGTCAAGACGCGCCGCGAGCGTGTATAATTCATCCGATTACACTCGTCGATCATTCTCCTTGGCAAAAATAGAATGTTCTTTTTCTCCCACATTTTCTCGGTTCATTTCAGTATGGATACCATCCTGCTCATTCTATAGCCTACTCGAACGGTGGTATTGGGCACTTCACATGTATTCATGCATATTTATGATACAGAAATACAGGCCCCACAGATAGAATGACGAGTAAAAGGGGATGGGGAAAAGGGAGGGACGTGATACGAACGGAGGTCTGTAATGCACTGAGTGAAACGGACGAACGAGTGTAACATGTGAGTTTGTATACCCTCGTTACTCGTAGCAAAAGGTGTCGCAGGTATGAAATGGTACATAAAGACGGCAAGTCAAACAGCGATAACTTCAGGGAGGAGTCGGTCGCAACGGTGTAGGTATGAGCTACCGAAGTGATATGATGGTGATGCAGCAGAACAGAAGCGGAGGCTGCTGAACACAGTGAAGCGGATGTGGTACACGACACACAGGATACATATGGCGAGGCTAAGAGTTACTCACCTCACTTGATTCTCTGCTTTTGTCCCGCATCCCTCGCCACGACACAGGCGGCATGACTGGCTGGTGAAGTACTCGATGATAAGTCAAGGAAGAAAGGATCACTCACGAACCAACACGCACCATATGACCTGAAAATATAGTGGACAATCTTGAAGTCGCTCTTGCTGTTCTCACGACCGGAGAGGCTGTTGAGATGTGGCTAAATGGGAGCTTGCAATTGCGAGGGTGGAGAGTGATACAGTGGAAGGACACAGATGGCGAGTGCGTGAGGCAGACAGATGCAGACCGTGACGCCTGGAGACACGTCACACCTGTTCAGTTTAGGGCAAGTTTCAGTGACCTTGGGGAACAAGGAGTATATGTGTAGCGTGGATTGGGCACTGTCATACCTACGATGTCCAGGCGTCGACTCTTGGCAAATAAGATGAACTTGATATGAACGTTGGCGGACGTGGATGCGTTTCACGTGTCGTTTCTTCCCAACGGTGATCACCCGGCGTGAATGGAGCATTCTGGGAGCTCTTGCAGCCTCTGGCGCTCTAGGCGGGATTTGCACCTTTGCTGATGTAGAAGCATACATAGAGGGCTTACCGTCCGCTCATCGTCTAGTACGGGTATATGGTCTTCAAAGTCGACGGCGTAATTGAAGTCGATGATAACACCGCGTTTTGGCTGTTCTGATGCCGTGAGTAGAACGTTCCCGTCGCTGATGTCACGATGAAGAACACCCTTCTCGAGTGCGTATTGATGTCCTATTCCAAAAGAAAAGAATCAGAAACGTGCTACAGCAGCCAATGGAGGATGTGATCCTACCTCTGACGGCGTCATGCAACCCTTCGACCAACTCTTGTAAGCTAGAGAATTGCGAGATAGGCCAACCGTGAATCTCTAGAACTGTGCGCGAGTGAATACGACACTTGGGATGTGCGGGCTCTGATGTCGGAGTGACTTCGAAAAAATCATCCCAATCGCCGGGTAAACAATTCTTGTGGATATAGATATCTCGGGAGTATACACGGGACGGTTTGTTCTGTGGGGTCTGGAGATTAAGCGGTGCACCAGAGTGGGATAGTCCCTTTCGTGCAAGCCCTAACATTGTGTCCGGTTCGCCGTCAAAGGCAACCGTCTTGTACGAATACATCGAGGCGACTCCAGGAGCATCAGGCCCGATTTTCTCGTAGAGTTTTCCCTCGAGCCCTCGACGTTCGTCACGCCAATTGTCCTTGATGACATGGATCTGTGGCTAGATCAGCCAGGGCACAAGAAATGGAGGCGAATAAGACATTGACACACCTTCCGTTTTTCCACGTCGAGGACCAGATCCTCCTCCTTCCATGCCTTCCATACTCGCGTAGCCCTCCCACGGATCACCTCTCCTCTGGCTAAGCTGATGGCACCCCATATAACGAAATTTTTGCGCTGGCCGTCTGAGGATTTTTGATTTGGTTTAAGCATAGACAAAAGCCACCAGTGCTGGTCGTAACGATTATGAGGACTGAAGCGATGTCCACCAGACACCTCCCACAAATGGCATGACTCAAGAGGTACTCTTTCAGGATCGCCGACCACCATTTTGAAGTGTGTGTCCCATCCAAGCTCCTGGGGACTCTTTGTGGTGATGCAGGCGATGACACGTATGAGGAGTTTCGGATTCTGGAGAAAGACAACGCAAGAGGAAGGCCGAATAAATATACTTTGAAATGGTGAGGATTATTGAACGGTTACACACCTTGTGAACGTCAAACGGTTCAGAGCCCAGAGTCCCCGAACGATCAACATGCCATACAGTAAGATCAGTTTTACCATAGACAAGACTCAGACCGAAGATAAACTGTCACGACCACACCAGAACAACCATATCCTACAAAGAGGGGTTGCTGGCAGGCGATCTCTCACTCAGAAACACACACCAAGGGCGAGGAAAAGGTTGTATAGGGGGGAGACTGACGATCTCAAGACTAGAGTACAAAACAGGAAGTAGGTAGGTTTATATACTAGCCAGAACCAAACACAACCAAACCCAGGCCACAGTGGCACAGAAACTCGGAAAAGTGTGGCCCAACTGTGGCACCCACCAGGAAATAATAGAAAAGGCATGGAAATGACAAAAGGTCATGACATAAACCGCCTGTCGACCTGCTCGTATAGGGCCTGACGCGAGTATTTGAGAACCTGAAGAAGGCCAGGTAGAAGTGATATCGGGTTCTTGACTTCGATGATAGTCTGTAGCAGCCTCCACAAGTCGGGAGAGTCGGCCTTACATGCTTGTATGAGGCCTATGATGTCAGGTTTAAGATCAGCAGCCGCATCTGATTTGACACTCTTGGAGTGATTGTCCTGCCAGACGAGGATGAATGCCATTGCCTTGCCATTCGCCTCCGTAATCGCGTTCAAGATATTTACAAGGGGTTCATAAAGGGCGTGCTCGCTCGTCGGGTTGGTCGGGAGAGAGGTCCAGCACCCGTCGTCCTCGGAGTACAAAGGCTTGTCCCCACTGATGAAGCTTTCATAAATCTGATCGATGAGCGTATCGTCGCAGGCGAACAGTGTGTCGAAGAAATCGGGCGTGTTGCCGAAGGCTGAGTGATGCATCTCTGTGTGCACGATCAGCTCCAGCTCGTCGGCCTTCGTGACCCTTTGACTAGAGTGAGTAGCATGAGAAGTGCGTTTCTTGTACGGAGTGCTTTGGAAAGTGGGAGGATCCATACTGGGGATAGGGAGTAACAGTGGGGGATGAAGACGAAGCAGCATCCGCTTGCGATACATATGTACTTGAGGACAAAGGTGACTCCCGAGTACGTGCCGTGCACAAGCTTCCCTATGAAATGAGACAAAGGGACATCGTCAGATCCGGTCGAATGAATGTTGGACACGCATGTCGCGTGTGCTCACAGGTGCCGATTTCTTGCTACCGATCATACTGTACGTCCCAGCAGTTAGACAACGCTTACATAACGTGGGAACTCCCATTTGGCGGGAGACCCGCGCAAAATTGGCGGGGGCGATGGGCCCCTTGGGACACCGGACGTCGCCTAACGTCTGGGAGGTACAGTATCCTGCGCCTTGCAGGCGATCGGAGAACCCTCGACTTTAGTCGGCAATGTCATGGTTATCATGGAGATGGCACAAAAGACCTAGGTGGCAAGGGTCGAGAACGTCGAGCCTCGAGGAATTCGTAGCGAAGATGCGGAAACAGTGACACAGACACGATCGTGCGGTTCGAAAGTCTCTTCAAACTCCGCTTCCCACGCCACAAGCGCGTCCGAGGTGTCAGTGTGGCGCCCGTCAGTTTCATTCGAGTTTTATTCACCACTGACCCAACACAGACACTAAACATTTGATCAGTTATTAGGGCAGATTTTTAGCGATGAAATTTATCGCTACAAATATGCCTAACTTATTACCTCCAATAAAAGGCTCTCTGGACATGTAACTGACGAGAGCGTTGAGGTCGCTGTGTGCGAACTGAGTGTCAAATCTCGCACCACATTCACCGTTTTTAGTTCATGTTTTTTGCGTTTTGATAGAACAAAACTGACGTGAACCGCGACATATATTGCCTACTTTTTTCAGAGAAAGGATACCACGTCGATACTGCACTTCTCCGAGCTGCTATTTGGCTTCAGACGTTCAAAAGATGCCGGGGCCACACAGCTGTTCCAATCCTCGAGACTGCGAGAAAGTACAACGATAACCAGCGATAACCCCATTGAGAAGACTAGAGAGCCAGGACCTGTGCAGTTCCTTGCGTACAAAGAAGCTACTATAAGCGATAGCACGTTGCTCGACGCGTTTGTCAGGAGCAGGTTGGTTGAACTTGTTGTGGCACGCGGTGGCGAAACAGTCGCGGAGGTTGCCGGGAGTGTCTCATGCGGCTGTTCTCAGATGGTGCCCCTGGCCACTTGGCGTCAGGCCATTCTTCGTGCGATCTTTCTGCTTGTCTCGGTCACTGCTTTGACTCTCCCGCACCGCCAGGCCAGCCCTCGCCGACCACTTTGCTGTGGCTCGCTCGTTCCAGGATACCTTATTCCAACCATCGTCTCCTCTCATCACATCCAAACTCTTAATCATCTCAGACCAACTCAGTAACGAACAATGGCAGCTCGTGATCGTTTGGCGGCTATGAGGGTGCGCTGGTCTTTTTTCTCTTCTCGTCGAGCCTTTCGGGATGCTAATGTGCGATGTTCGGTACAGGCTCAAAGGCAAGGAGGCCAGTCGGGATATTCTACACCGACTTCACCTCAGACAACCCAGCCTTCGTACGAGATGTCGGGCGTCCAGCAGCCACAGGCTGAGCAGTATCCTCCTGCGCCTTACAATGGCAACGGCGCAGGCACAAACGGGTCGGGTGGCATGGCAGATTTCTATGCTGAGGTGCGTCTTATCTCACACAAGTAAACCAGGCTCAGGCGCGATGCTGACTGAGAGAACGCGCTCCGTACTGCACAGATACAATCCATCCAAGACAGGATCCGTCAGTTCGACGGGAACGTGTCGAGGATATCCGAGATGCACTCGCGCACGCTCAACTCCATGGACGACTCGCAGCAAAACCACGCAGTGCTCGACGAACTTGTGGGCGAGACTAGGGCTTTGAGCAATCAGTTGAGAAACCAGATACAAACGCTGGCGAAACAGCCTACGCCGCCAGGCCAGGACGCGCGGATACGGCAGAACCAGGTTCGCTCGTTTTTCTGGTCTGGTTCAGGCTGTGAGATGCTGACCTGTGGGGTCATGAATAGACCCAGCTGGTCCGGACGCGATTCATGAGCGCGTTGCAGAGTTATCAGGAGGTCGAGAAGGATTATCGTGCTCGGTACAGACAGCGTGTCGAGCGGCAGTTCAAAATAGGTCAGTCCACCTCAACGCCGCGTGAATACACCCAACGGTATCTGACCAACTGAGTGCTGCAGTCAAACCCGACGCGACCCCTGACGAGGTCGCTGCTGTGGTGAACGATGACAACGGGGCTGGCAGTCAGATGTTCTCGCAAGCGGTGCGTTTGGCTTAAAAACTTCCGACTGTCACTATATCTTATGCCCCTGCCAGCTCATGTCCTCGACTCGTTATGGAGAGTCGAGAGCCGCGTACCGTGAGGTCCAAGAGCGGCATGAAGACATTCGCAAGATTGAGCACACCCTCGTGGAGCTTGCTCAGATGTTCAATGACGTTCGTACTCTCTCACTGTTCTGCATGACTACGCCCGTCTCACACTTCCGTTCCTTGTAGCTCAATGACCTTGTACTACAACAAGATGATACAATCAATGTTATTGAGGAATCTGCGGGACGAGTCGAGACCGACATGGAAGCCGGGTACGTTTTCGAAACATGCAAGTCTTAAGGGACACCCACTTAACTGTATCCATATCGCAGTCTCACACAAACCGAGAAGGCCGTCAAGTCGGCACGAGCCGCACGACGCAAGCGTTGGATCTGTTTCTTCATCACCCTCATCATCCTCGCTATCGTCGGTATCGTGGTGGGAGTTGTGGTTAGCCAGAATGTCAACAAGAACAAGAGCTAGACCATGCCATTGCATGTGGTTCTTTCTCACTAGCACTATCTACCTGCCTGCTTTATCATCCCTCTTCCCCTTCTTCACCCGTGCGCTTTGCTGCCATATATCCCCCTTTACGCTCTTTATTATTTATTTGTATGGGACTCTTACCTACCTGTCTCTTTTGTCTGATCACGTACTTTTTCGTGTTGCATACTACTGTTCCCTCCTAATGTGACAATGTTTGTGCGAAAGCAGGGACGTGTGGGATTGGGTGGGGACGCGCCGGCGGATGGACGTAAGCGCGATTCCTCATCTGCCGAGTCGCCTCTGAAAAGCTGGAAGCGCTCGCGGCGGCACTGGAATTCGTCTGCGAGTGTTTAACCGTCCGAGGGCATCGTCCCGCTCCTCTCCTTTCCGTTCCATAACATACATACCCCCACAACATCCCCGCCCGCGAACTCGATGATGGGCAAAGCAGCAAACCGCCGTCGAAACCAGTCCGTCGAGGTCGTCGACCCAAAAGTTGCGGTCGACCTCGCCACCGCGCAGACTTACTCTGAGAATGTCTTCCTCTTCGTCCCCAATCTCATCGGTACGCATCCAGCTGAGATTCCGGAGCGCTCTGAACTCACCCCGACGGGGATGCGACAGGATACACACGCGTTCTTCTTGCGGCGTTGGCCCTTCATTTTATGAACTACCATCCGAAGTACTGCACGCTTGCGTATGGGATCTCTTGTCTTCTCGATGCCGTCGATGGTCAGGCTGCACGCGCACTCGGACAAACATCCAAGTTTGGAGCCGTTCTTGACATGGTCACCGACAGGTGCGTTCATCTTGCTATAATCGTCCTGTTCTTGTGTGGCTTAAGTTGTCTGTCCGTTCAGGTGTACGACCTCGTGCCTTCTGTGCTATCTAGCTTCAGCGTATCCCGACTCGGCACTCCTCTTTCAATTTCTCATCGCTCTGGACTTCGCAAGTCATTACATGCACATGTACAGGTGAGAGTTACTTTTCTTCATAACCCGGGAGCGCAGCGTGTCTGAAGCGTATGCACCGCCTAGTTCCCTTGTAACCGGAGCACGAAGCCACAAACTAGTGACGAGTGATGTCAGCCGTATTCTCTGGCTATACTACAACGATTCAGTGAGTGCATTTCGAACCCTTCCCCACTGCGGCGTCATTGACTCGGCCTATGGTAGCGAACATTATTCATCATGTGCGCGGGCAACGAACTCTTCTTCGTCTCGTTATACCTTATGAAATGGGTCCACACGCCCATCGGTCTTCCTATTCCTATACCCTTCGAATCCGTCGTCGGGCCCGCGACTTGGCCATTACTCGTCGCGGCGTTCACTCTCCCCATCTGCTTCACGAAGAACGTGATCAATGTGGTCCAGCTATGGAAGGCATCGAAAATCCTTGTCGGGGTGGACTTGGCGGAGAGGGCGCAGGCTCGGGAAGATTCGTTGAAGGCGGCGAGGAAGGGGACGTGAGGACGGGTCGACGAGATTTGCTGGATTATTATTACGATGATGGGGGTAGGAGGTGGGGGTGATGACCCGTTTGCGTTGCGATGTGGACGATGGACCGGACAAGTGGTGGGTGGGCGGAAGCTGAGATAGGTAATGCGTTGTTCGTTCGCTGTCGCTGTCGCTGTGTGCTGCGTCGTATTTTACTAGTACTGTTACATCTGGACTGTAATACGCCCCGTTTTTATAGACGCTCCTTTCTATGTTATTTTCGATGTTGCTGGCCCTGGGTCATCTTTGGCCTGCCGTGGTCTTGTCGGCCGGAATTAGAGCAAGTTAGTCATTTAGAATTGATTGTTCATCTCACCGAACCGGCGAGTGTGGCACCCGCTTGTGCTTGGAACCGGAGAGCCGGTAAGGAGGCATATAAACATGGGCGTTTGCAATTTCCCCGCATTCCAACTCACACTTGCTCCTGGACCGCGATGATGCACCGCGTCCGACTGTTAGCTCGGTCAAGGCCGCTAGTTCACTATCGTGCGAGACGAGCGATGTCCTCTCAGGTCCCTCATAACAATTTCGAGCCACTTGCGCTCGATCCCCCCTCTCCCGAGGCCAAGAAAGCTGCCTTCGATGCAAGAGTCGCGGCCATGGAATCTTTCTTTGCTCTCCCTCGGTTTGCTTCGACTACCCGTCCCTACACGGCGGCTGCTGTAGCCTCAAAGCAAGGATCTCTTCCTCCTCTTCCTCTCCCGAATACTCTGCTCGCGGATAAACTGTATGCTTTGCTCCAGCGAGCTTCCGCCCAAGGTCTTCCTCTCCATACTATGGGAGCCATAGATCCCGTGCAGATGACACAAATGGCACCTCATCTTCCCGTGCTATACGTTTCTGGCTGGGCCGCGAGCAGCGTATTGACGACGGGCAATAATGAGGTCGGGCCGGACTTGGGGTGAGCATCTGTCCACCCATCGTTACGATGTAGTCTCAGTGCGTGATCGTTTCTGTTGGGAAACACAATATGCAGAGACTATCCTTATACGACCGTTCCGAACCAGGTGCATCGGCTGTTTCGTGCTCAGCAGTTGCATGATAAGAAGCATTATGATGCGAGGGTGAGGGCGACGGAGGAGGAAAGGAAGAAGATGGCGTATGTGGATTATTTGAGGCCGATTATTGCGGATGGGGATACGGGGTGAGTATGGCTGGGTTAGTTGCATGGTATCGTATTGACTGAAGACGTGTTTGGGTTAGACATGGAGGCACTTCTGCTGTTCTTAAACTGACGAAACTGTTTGCTGAATCTGTGAGTTACGTTCGTGCTTCATATTCGCCACACTGAACAAACACAACACAGGGCGCATCCGCAATACACTTCGAGGACCAACTTCACGGCGGCAAGAAGGTACACTATCACCTTCCTCACACTACACCATCACCCATCCGTAGCTGACCAAATACTCGACATTTCCTCCAGTGTGGCCATCTCGCAGGCAAAGTCACCGTCCCCACCAGCGCCCACATCTCCCGTCTCATCGCCGCCCGGTTCCAACTCGACCTAATGCAGAACATCATGCTCCTCATCGCCCGCACCGACGCCGAATCCGCCCGTCTCCTCTCTTCGACCATCGATATCCGTGACCACCCCTACGTCCGTGGCGTGGCTACACGAGGAGCCGATGGGAAGCGCAGAAAGGGATTAGCGGAGGTTTTGGATGAGGCGGAGGCGAAGGGATTGAGTGGGGCGGAGGTTGATAAGTTGGAGACGCAGTGGTTGGCGGAGAGTGAGTTGTTGACGTTTGATGAAGGTGCGATAATATTATTTCCCTATGTAGTTTGTGGGACCGAGATACTGATTCACTGGTGTGTTGCAGCTGTTGAGAAGGCTATACAGTCAGCTAGCTCGATTTCGTCGGACAGCAAAGCCTCCGTCTTGGAACAATACCGCTCCGCATCTGCTGGAAAGTCTAATACCGATGCGAGAGAAATCGCCGCCGGTATACTCGGAGAACAGATCGACTGGAACTGGGATCGTTAGTACTTCTCTCGATGTTCTACCCTTCTCCGCTCGAGGATGTTCTAATTGTCTATCGCATAGTTCCTCGCACTCGTGAAGGCTACTACCACACTACCGGCGGAGTCGACTGTGCCGTTAACCGCGCGCTCGCATATGCACCGTACGCCGACCTGCTCTGGCTGGAGTTGACAGAACCCAACGTGGAGGAGGCGCGTATGATCGCAAGGAAGATTCGCTCGAAATATCCCGGAAAGTGCGCCTTCTCCTCCTGCTTCGTCTCCTCGATCTTTCCTTGGTACTGACTTTCGTACATATGAAGGTGGCTCGTCTATAACCTGAGCCCATCTTTCAACTGGGCCGCACATGGTTTCTCTGGTATGTTGGTCTTGTGGAGGTCCCTGAGCGGTCGGATTGCTAACTATAGGTGGTTTGTCTAGATGAGGATTTGAAGAGCTTTGTCTGGGAGATCGCTAAGGAAGGTTTCGTCCTGCAACTCATCTCCCTAGCCGGCCTTCACAGCAATGCCGTCTCGATGGGTTCGTTTTACCTCCTTTGTCCTCTCTGTTCGCACACGAAGATATTTCGCTGACTGGCTTTGTTTCTCAATTTGCAGCGGAACTAGCGAACCGGTTCAAGACGGATGGGATGCTCGCTTATGTCGAGACTGTGCAACGGAAGGAAAAGGAGATCGGATGTGATGTATTGACGCATCAGAAATGGTGCGCCTTCTTCCTTGTCTCTCATTCTCCTTTAGTATTGTGCGATATTCTTCGACGGTCTATTAACTTATTTTGCCCGTATAGGAGTGGCGCGAACTACATCGACGGGATCTTGTCAACGATATCTTCGGGCTCTTCAAGCTCGTCGTCGACGGGGAAGGACTCCACGGAACACTCTTTCTGATTCTAATCCGACGTGGCGCGAGTTCAAGCATGTGTATAATATACATTGTATCTCATAATAAATGCAAAAACAAACATCGCTATGTGGACGAAACTCAGATCGATGGGTATTGCAAAGCCGTAACAAGAACATGATATCCTACAACATACGATTATTTCGTGGCTCAAGATCATAACATCCCCTCTGTCAGTCTAGGACGATCGCGTTCTCGTCATCCTCTGCTTTTTTCTTCAACACAGCGGCTCGCAACGATCGTCCCAACGCAGCACCTACGGGCAAAGGAACGGCGTTTCCGATTTGACGATGCATCTGTGAAAGCACAATCCAACGAGATTTACTTCAGTTGTTTTGAGGCTCGACCGGAAGACGAAGACATACCGTCTTGATGTCGCCTGTCTCGGAGACGCACACAAACCAGTCGGGAAAACCTTGTGAGCGTGCTAGCTCACGGACGGTAAGGATACGGTGACACTGAACATCCGACCGCCCCGGACACGTCGCACAGTATTCAGGGAGTACTTAGCTATAATAAAGGTAGAGGAGAAAGATACTGTGCAATGACGTACCCAGGGATGCAGGACACGGCTCTGTTTCGCGGTAGGCTCGACATTCGTCACCGTCGTTTGGAAGAACCCGTCCTTGTTCAGGCGACCGTAGAGTCCTTGGAGAGTTCGGTCAGTGATGCGTTGAGCCACGGCAGGACATCGCTAGGTCTGTTCACCTCCGCGGAAACCCTTCTTCGCGATCGAAGATGCGCGGTCTGAGAACTGCCACTCCCATAGTTTCGGGTTTTCTCTCAAGCCTACAAATTTATCAAGTATATGGCCGATAGGTGCGTACAGAGTCCACTCACTTCGATAGTCTGCTCTTGGTTCCAGAGGGATGTTCCTCACTCTACATTGACAATGACCCTTCAAGTCAGCGAAGATTCCTCATAGGAAAGTGTAAGCCTTCAAAAGCTGTGGCCTACCGCTCGACAGTACCCTCGTTCAATACGCGATTAATATGCTGCAGATTACTCGTCGGCCTCTCTCTGCACTTGAACTGGAACGAAGTCCTCGGCGGACTGAAATACTCCATCCGGCCCGTCAAGCCAACGAACCCCTTATCTGGATCGCAATCGAGCGTGAGCACTTCGTCCTCGCGCTGTCGAGTCCCGGGAAGAGGCGTCTTCTCTAGTTTCTGCGGGTTTTTCCTGTCATTATCCACCTTTAGTCAGTCTCGGGCCTTGAGTCTCTAGAGATATGAAGGACATGAAGGTGGTCGAGTACATACCAATCGAAGCGCGGGAGATCCCCGATAGCATCCTCGATGGTCGTGGACCGGAACGGCGCGCTCCTGCCATTGGTCTGCACGGGACGTATCACCATTCCGTTCGTGAACTTGATCTCGAGGCCATCGTTCGCGGGGAATTGATGTGTCGGCTGTGGTACCTCGGGTAAGTGATACCCTCTCTTCGCCGCGACCATGAAGAATCGGATGCGAGTTTGGGGTAGGCCATAGTGTCCGCCTTGGAGGAGCATGATGCGGACTTGATAGCTGAACAGGTGTCCGGATCAGTACAAGCATAAGGCTTAGAAATTGAGGCAGATGAAGTGAGAAAGAACGTACTCCATGGTGAGCATGGCGTATTGTAGGAACTTTATACCACCCATGTCTATTCCTCCTTCAACACTGTATTGATCCTTCTGCGTCGCGTTGAGATTGAATTGAAGGAAACCACGGACGTTCTCGAAGAGGCAGTACTTCGGCTTGAAGAGGTCGACATAGGACAGTAAGACGAGGATCAAGTTGCTCTTCGAATCATTCGCCTTCTGAAACATGTTCAATCTCGAGTGAGGCTGACTGGAGGATCGAGATGAGCAAATCTATGTTTATAGAAGACGATGCTAGATGTGCATACCAAGGAAAGCCTGCCAGTATTACGTCTATATCCCGCGGATGTGGCGGAGGAGGTAATGGAGTCTTGTCGTCAGCTAGACTCTTGAGGGGTGGATCAGTAGAGGCAAGCTCGGGCTTGTAGTACTGCATGGCCGCTTTGTGCAATACGAGATTAGCGTCCTGGTTGTATACGGTGACATTCGGAGCGTTAAGCCTATATTATTTATGAGTATTCCTACTGAAAAGATAAAAAAGATTGAAGATAGCTCACTTCAACGTCTTCGCCGCACTAGGCGAAATCTCAATAGCATGCGTAACCTTGATCCCACCCGCCTCCTCCATCCCAAGCCCAAACGCTCCAACTCCAGCAAAAACATCAAGCGCACGCAACGTCGGTCCTTCCCCGCGCCCCTCCTTCTTCCGTTGAAACTTTTTGATCTGAACTTTCATGCACGAGACGCAGATCCGAGCTTTCCTGTAGTCGAGTGGTTCCGGTGTCCATCTGGACGGCTTCGCGTTCGGCAGTTGGTACGTGAGATGAAAGTGGAATGGGGAGAGCGAGTGCCAGGTTGAGAGGTCGGGGATCGCGCGGAGGTGAGCTATGTGGAGTTGGTCTCCGAGGTAACGCAGCGCGACTGAGACACGTTCGTCAGATAGGAAGACGTGTCTCTGTCATTGAAATATTCAGCACTCGAAGCACTTGTCAAGCTTGGAGATAGAATACGATGAGTACTGACATACCTCATCCTTCATCACATCGTCCGGAAGTGATGGGATATCGTTGACGAAGCCGATAAGCTGAAGAGTGACCGTAGGTTCGCCTCGCGCAGGAACGCGGAAGTCGATAATCATGCCGGCCTGACAGTGTTTCTCCCGTAGAGAGAAGAACGCACAGTCGTATATATGAAACTCCCGTCCATCGTCGAACTTGACCCCATTGTCGAGCATCTCGTATTCAGGTTCGGACGCGTACCGGTTGGTTTCGTGTGTCCTCGGCAGGATGCAGATCGGACAACTGTCCCGAGGGTCCTTCACGTTGGGTTGTTGGAGTACAGGCGCATCTTTGAACGATCCATCCTTCTCGTCAAATAGATACCTGTAGGGGATCAGAAACGGTCTACATGGAAGGGAGTCGTTTCAGCACGCATACCTGTAAAAGCAGCTGTCTTCTCCCAGCACGCCTGTGCCGTTTGGGTCCTTCCCTGAAGCAAGGTAGGTCATCTTAACTCCACCACAAATCGTCTGCAAATCAACGTGGTCGCAGGAGTTGGTGACGAAAAACTCCCGAATATCCGAGATGTTCTCCAGGACGGTTCCCGCACTATGTTCGAACCATCGAACATGCGCCTGTTCGAGGTGGGTGTCAATGCGAATGTAAATGATCTGCCCGAATCTTCCAGTACGTCAGGCGAATTAAGGGAATATACACCGAAAGACATACTTGAAGAAGCCCGAAAGTGATGATTTCTCGTTCATGGCGGCCATGTTTACGTTCTTCTTCGGGATAACAATAATGTCACCGACCTGGATAATAGATTAGTATGGCTGATGAAGACAAACAAAGCGTATAAATACATACAGAGTAGATCGTGCCATCTACCTCAGCCTTGAAAAACCATCCGATATTCCTATCAACAGCCCACTCCGGGCGCCATTTGACTGCCTTCACCTTCAACAACGTCTGCCTTTGATACTTTTTCATGCTATTGAACTGTACGCTCTCGCGCCTCGTCAGGACCTCCTTCCCTACTCCATGGGTGCGCCTACCAACAACCATCATTTGCTCACGGAAGAGCCCAGAAGCGAGATTTGCGATATGAGAGGTGACGTGGGTAGGATTCTGGTTCTCCTGGCGGAGGAGAGAAACATCGATGTTGCCGACTGTGCGGAGATCTGCAGCGTCCATGCGTATCTTGCGTTTGTTGGCATTGTGTTGCTCTAAAGTAAGGTGCAATGGCCTTCCAGAGAGGATGTATTGGACAATTCCTGATGTCCGGATGGCTTCCGATAGGCTCTCGGTGGCCTTTGGAAGATAGTCTTTCTGTTGAGTTGTGATATTTATTGAATCAGAACGACGACTGAGATGCGAGGAAGAGAGAAGTACCACAAGAGCAATATCATTTGTGGTCCAACACCGACCGAGGACTTCGTCATAAGATGTGGAGAGAAATTCAGCGAAGGTCTTATAGTCCATCCTTGGATCTTCCCGGGCAGTCGAGATGATCTTCTGAAGAGTCTTGTGCCGTCGATAGTAAGGGTCATACATTGGCTTGTAAGCGTTGGAAGGGTTTTTGAGGATATAAGCAGCTCGATCTGTGTAAATCTGAACCGGTCTGCATGATCGTCAGTATGCATGAGTGAAAGGAGTCGATAGACCATATACCCTTACTAACCCATCAACCTCCGTGTAGTCAAATGTACAGGTTATGTTGCGCAGGTGCAGAGAGACTACATCCGAGTCGTCTCTGTCTTCTTGGCCCGCATCTTCCTCGTCTTCGAGGTAAGCCGCCGCGACCCCAGCAGCACCGAAGTGCGTCGAACCGTGACTGTTCAAGTTTGCAAGCGAAACCAGGACATTCTGAGCGTCACTATCAAAGATGGTGAAGTTGGATAGCAGGCGGCATGGAAGTTCATTCTCTCGAAGATTTGCGTGATCCATGGGGTTTTCACCGAGGAGAAACGGAATGCGAGGGTCTTCTTCCATTTCGTCATAGCGAGTAAAATGATATTTCGGAGCTGTAAGGAAGGTGTGGCGCACGATTGAGACTATATCCTCCAAACAGTTGACATTGCAAAGTCACCGTTCGCAGCATACCGAGGTGCATGCCGAGGTGGAACACCCTGAGTATGTTGTTGTTGCGCCTTCAAGTTCAGGCAAGCTATGAGCAGCAGATCTTGGCCTCCAAGGAGGATAGCGTACTTGTGAATCGTCGGGAAAAGAGACGTCCCATGCTGACGAGCGCGCGGGGGGCATGACGGGTAAAAGATTCAAATTGTCGCAGACCCAAATGATTTCTACAAAATAATGTGGAGGCTGAAGAGACAGAGAACGGACAGGTTGCGGTCGGCAATCGCCGGAGCTGTTCGCGGTGCAATTTGGAGATGGCGAGCGTTGGTCGGCTTGCATGCGCTCCCAACTCGTCCTCCGGAGGACTCGTCTGTTCTCGAAAGCCTGCTCTCCTCCCAGCCGTGCTCTCCTCTCCTACTCTGGTCCTGCTCGATATCCACGCAATGAACAGCCTCTTGCAAAGAGCGCCCGTCTTTCCAGGCGCTCTTCGTCGACGACCACACCGTCACCCGACGCGTCCGCACCCGAGTCACCTCCAGAGGCGAACGAAAATGACGACGATAAACCACCGACCCCTCCTGAAATACCTGAGCAGCCCGTTAAAGCTCGAACAACAAGAGTTACCAAAGAGTCGACGAAGGAGACAGATATTACTCATCCACTGCCGAATGGACTAGATATCCTATGGACAGCAGAGTCTTTGGCTGACAAACCCCCTACGGCCCCGCACCCACCTCCAGAAATCTACGAAGAGGCTCTCAATAATCTCTGGTTGACGTTGCATCCACAGACCCAATATCGCGCCGCATATAGTTCATCACAGGGAGCCCCCGTCGAACCCACCCTCGCGCTTTACTGTCCTATCGAGGGCGGTGATTATGTTCTGGACGCGACTGTCCGTGAGCTCGCACGGCAGACTGAATCCGATGTTGTCGTGCTCGATGCCGTTCACTTAGCAGCTGGGGAATGTGGCCAGTTTGGCAAAGGTCAGTTCCCCTCCTATGTAGTTTTGTCTTGTGGTCTGACCTTGGCGAAACAGCTGCCAGTGTTTTGAACCTTCCTCACAATCCATTACATTTTACTGCACCACCCATACCTCAACGCATGTCCCGTCGCTCATCTGCTGTAGACGAAGAAGACGACGATTCGGACTCTGGACCTATTTCGCTCGGTCCTCCAATGAGCCTCACCGTTCTCACACCCATGCGACCTTCTCGCTCCTCTCCCTCATCCAATGCACGGTCAGGCACTCTCGCCACTAAAACCTTCTTCGAGCAACTCGTCAACATTCAAGCACCAGACAGCACACCAGGACGACCACGCATAATCTACGTTCGCGACTTTGGAACTCTGGCTTCCTCATCGCAGACATGGTACCCCGGTCTCCTGAACGCAGTACGAGCGCGCCGTCAAGGACCTATATCCCGACCGACGTCCCCCGTAGCGAACCCAGTCACCATCATCTTCGGCATCGCACCTCCCTTACACTCTCCATCCTCGGTTTCCGGCGGTGGCGGCGGCCAAAACATGATGAGCCTCGTCATGAGCCGCAGCGCCGCCACTTCCTCATTCAACTCCCCGGCTGCCCGACCGCCCAGATCTGAGTACGGCGAGGACGACCTGTCGGACAAGGCGCGTGAACGTCGACTCCGACAACGGTTACGAAAATGGGAGCGCGCGGACTCTGGCCTGCTAGACGACCTCCCGAAGCTGTCACTTCCGGACGAAGACGACGAGGCGGGCGGGGTCGGTTCGAGGGATAATGGAGTTGTTGTCGTTGGTGGTTCGTCTGGTCTTTCTGGGCTGTCTTCATTGTTCAGCCCATTCCCAGGTCCCAGTCGGATGCCGTCTGCTCGGGGCGGCGGGAGCAGCAGCAAGGGCAACAGCAAAAGCACCGACTCGCAGACCAACTCGAAGTTCTTCCGGACGACGGTCATCGTCCCGGAGACGCGTTCGGTAGCGCATGAACGGTCCTGTCGTGTGGCGAGGAGGAGGGAGATCAATGAGTTGACGATGAGGATGGGTGTCAACGCGGTGGGTGGGGACCTTGCGAAGATGGATGTGATACCTGCTTCACATACGTCAGCATCGGCCGGGAAGGAAAACGCTGCGAAGGAGGACGAGTCGAAGACTTCGGCGGGCGTGTCAGAGGAGGCGGCTAAGATGTGGGAAGATTGGGGTAAGCGATTGGAGGACTGGACGACGGTGAAGCAGATCGCGGATCAGGCGGTCGGGATGGTCGTCTCGCGGAGTGCTGCTGCTGAGTACAAGGCTAAGAGGCCTTCACTGGGTGCGGTTCCTGTACCGTGGGAGGAGGTCTTCAAGGCTTGGGCGAAACAGCGGTCGACTCGGAATGTTAGGAAAGCTTGGATGCAGAAGTCTTCGGGGAAACTTGTGAAGGAGCACGAGGAGGATGAAGAGGACGAGGAAGATGAGAAGGACGAGACAGTGATTGATGAGGTTGTGGAGAGAGTCAAACGCGACCCGTACCTTGACCAACATGAGCAGAGGCTGCTAGGGTGTATTGTCGATGCTGGTATGTTCACTATGCTCGCCGATTGAACCATCGCTGGCTTTGCTCACACCCTTACTTTTAGCATCCATGCCTACTTCGTTCTCTCAAGTACATCTTCCACCACACACCATCGACTCCGTCCGGACAATCGTTTCTCTTCCTCTTCTTCATCCTTCGTCTTTCCAGCATGGTATCCTCAAAGAACACGGCATGACCGGCTGCCTCCTCTTCGGACCCCCGGGCACCGGAAAGACACTCATCGTACGAGCATTGGCAAAGGAAGCAGGGTGTCGCATGCTCGCCGTCACACCCTCCGATGTCATGGACATGGTAGGTCGTTCAGCCTAATCGCCTCCTCATCCTCACCAGCAATACTCAATAATCTGTTCCATCCCTCTAGTACGTCGGCGAAGGCGAGAAACTCGTCCGCTCACTGTTCTCGCTCGCTCGCCAACTCTCCCCCTGCGTCGTCTTCATCGACGAAATCGACGCCTTATTCGGCGCACGGTCGTCTGCGCGCGAGACTGGGGGTGCTATCGCCCATCGAGGCGTCATCACCGAGTTCATGCAGGAGATGGACGGGCTGAAGTCGTCGAAGGAAGATAATGTTATCGTTATTGGTGCTACGAATCGACCTTTCGATCTTGATGATGCGGTTCTGAGACGGTTACCGCGGAGGTTGTTGGTCGATTTGCCGGGGGAGAAGGAACGAGAGGGTACGTTTTCGTCTTGTTCTCATCCTGCGTTGGGACAATGATACTGAATGTTTTTATTTCAGAGATTCTCAAGATCCTTCTCCGCGATGAGAGTCTGGCGCCTGAGGTCGATCTGAAAGAACTGGCCAAGAAGACCGAGAGTTTCTCCGGTTCAGACCTGAAGCGTATGTCGGCATTCTTCTATATTCTGCGCATTATATTCTGAATCGTCGTCATTCCTATCCAGATCTCTGTGTCTCTGCAGCGCTCGATGCTGTCAAGGAGCATGTTACAGTACCGTGGATAGCCGCCCCTCCGCCAGACTCGCAAACTGCGCTAGTAACAGACGCATCAGGTTCGGCTGTGGAGAAGCCCTCCGAGAACGTAGCAGCAGTGGATGCTGAAGCCACCCCTTCGACGCCCTCCGAGCCCAATGAAGTAGCCTTTCTGGGTGTATCATCTTCTCCCGACGCTTCTTTAGAGTCGGAGAGCGATTCTTCTACGGCGACAGCTGTACCAGAAACTGCAGAGGCCACAGAAACGACAAAGGCCGTAAATACAGAGAGCCCGTCCGAGGAAGAGGACGCCACACCGATGCCTCAGCGTGTCCTCCACCCACGCAACTTCGTCAAAGCACTCAAGGAAATCACTCCATCCTCCTCCGAATCGCTCGGCAGCCTGTCCGAGCTGCGGAAATGGAATGAAGAATTCGGTGAAGGCCGCAAAGCGCGCAAAAAGCAGGTGTGGGGTAAGGACAGGTTCGGGTTCATGAATCAGGTCGTTGTTGGGAAGGAGGAGGGTAAAGTCGGGCCTCTTACTGCGTCGATATTTGAGCATATAGCGCGGTCGAGGGATCTCGATTAGTAGATGAGTTGGGTAGAAGGGTCGCGGGGTCGGTTCTGATGGCGGGCATCGTAATGTACTTTGTTTGCTCGTTATTAATGCTTGCTTGTATCAGTAGTGCTTTGCAATTGCTTGCTCAATGCTCACACAAGGACGCTCGGCTCGGACATATACATACACACGCACAGAAGTAAAGTGAATCCTCATCCGCGTCGCCTGTTACCTCGTCTCTGTGTAGGAGGTGGCGAGGCTTCTTCCTCTTCCTCGTCAACGTCCATCTCAGCGTCCGGCTGGGACTGCGGTGCGCTACTCGTAACTTGTCAGGCCCAGATGCTAGTAACAAGAGTGAAAGAACGAGAGAGAGAGAGGAGACGCACCTTCCCCGTCTGGGGTTACTCCTGCTCTTCCGCTGTGTCTGTGTCTGCGTCTGCGTAGGCTCCTCTTCCTCGTCATCATCCTCCTGCGTCTGACTCCTCTTCCTATCCTCATCACTATCCTCCTCCGTCGAAGCCCTCTTCTTCGACCGTCTCGTGTTGTGGTCCCCATCTCCACCGGCCGCCTTCTCTCCTATCTCGACCAGCTTTGCGGCGCTTTCGTGCGAGGCCCAATCCGAGCCGCATTGCGGGCATTTGACCTTGGTAGCGCGGTATTTGGAGAAGCAGTGCGTGTGCATGCGGACGCCGCAGGTGTAGCAGCCTTTGCCGCGGGTGAGGAGCTGGAGGGTGAAGGTGAAGGGGGTGAGCAAAAGTGAGCAAAATGATTGGGTCATATAAAGTCGATAAGGGGGTGTTCATGAACAGAGCGCAATTGTGGTGGAGTTAAAAGACCGTGGACGTGCCTCGAGACAGATTGTACATTCTAGGACTTCATCGGCGTATGTTGTTCTCAGATATGGCATGAGCTCGAGAATGGTACGTGTTGTGAGAGAATAACGGCCTCGCCTGAAGTATACGTTTAGTTTATGTTGCGTCAGTACAAGTCGGGGTAGGGTAAAGAGCGTAGAACTGAGAGAAAAAGGACGTACTCGCTCTTGTATAGCCAACCTTTTGCGACGAAGCTCTCGAGGACTATCTCGCCTTGCGACTTGGACATCTTGGTCCCCTCGAGGTTGTTTAGTTCGCGAAGTGCAGCGAGCGAAGACACGGAATACGATTCGTTTGGTGCGGTCATGATTTGTTCAATCTATTGCACGAGGAGACAACGGTCCTGGATGTGAGCACATGTTGGGGTATTTGGAGTGCACAGCTCCTTACCAGCGCCTTGAAGAACGCAATCTCGACAGGGGAGTACCCTGTAGCAATCTGTGCGACCTCGTCGCCATTCCTGTTTACCTGTAGAGTTATGTACATGGAAATGTGTTAAATGTAGACCGGTACAAATAAGAGAAAAATGTCCGCACCAGTGCCAGCATCTCTCGTCCAGTAATTTCGTCGTGTAGATGAGCAATCTCCAAGTCAAGCCCGTTGATAGACGCATTCACGTCCACAAGAAACTTCTCCCAGCTGTTTCTATCGTCGCGGTATTCAATATCGAGCGCGTCGTCTGCAGCTATTTATTCATGAACCGCAAGTAAAACGACCTAGGTTCAGCTTTATGACGAAGGGAAGGGAAGGAGATCAGAGACCTTTAACAGCTCCTATACAGGCTTTCCACAGCGCTCTGGCGAGGTCCATGGAGACATATTTTCTTGAGATGATAGCTTGGAGAAAGAGCCTATTGACATCTCCGGAGGTAACTTGAACCATTGTGAAGAAGATGATGGGTGGAAGAAGCAAAGACGCGACGCGCAAACACCAAAGTCGCGTCAATAAACGCGCGCCATTGTTTTTCTGCGCCACAAACGCGATAGGCGCCCGTTGACACGCAACCCTGGTGCCACAAAATAGAGTTGGCACGGTCTGGACTCTGGACAAACGAAGTCGTGTTATGCATTGGCCACAAGTACCCAAAATGACATCGTAACACTGTGCGTATATTTCGTCGTCGTGAATATCATCATGCAGTTCGCAGCGTGTAAGTAGTATAGAGTAGAGCCCTGTCCTTTGTCGTATACAATAGATCCAGCCCGCCCACTCGACTGTAGTCAACCATTCGGTCCTTTTCATGTGGCAAAGAAAGAAAGAAAAAACTCTCGACATCCATCCATCCTTCCGTCCAGAGACAATATACTACCCCTCAGATCTTTGGAATACGAAGCGTCTTACTCACCATCGCCGCCGCCCAAGCCACCAACAAGAAGCACACGACATGCACCTCTCCACTGCCTCCAGGCTTTCCCCAAAGAGTGACCACACCCCACGGAATCCCCTCCTTTCCCTCGATCCATCCCATCTTCGTCCAGTAGGACAGGATGCCGACGAATCCGAGGGAAGAAGGGATAGGCAGACCCTCGAAGTATTGCGATTTTCCTGTCGCATCTTTTGGTACGAGCGCGACAGTGGCGTTGAACCGGGCGAGGCGTGCAAGACCGCAGCAGATGAAGCCCGTGAGGGCGACGGTGTCGAGATATGTGCGCATGCCGAGGGTGAAGGCTAGCATCATAGGTGCGACACCGAATGAGATCTACATCGTAAGAAGAAAATAGCAAAGTAGAGCGAGTAAGTTGCACGTGAAAAGGACAGAAGGGGGTAAAATGCGTACGAGGTCGGCGAGCGAATCCAGTTCCTGTCCAAGCATACTGCTCTCTTTCCTCCATCTCGCAACCTTTCCATCGAAGAAATCAAACAGCAAGCCCGCAAGGGGGAGCGCAAGTGCTTGCCACAAATAATCCTCGTCGTTCGTTAGGAGGTACCGTGCCGAGGAAAACACGGAGAAGGAGCCGCAAACTCCATTCATGATGGTGACAAGGTCGGCCAAACGGAAGTTTCTGTAGCAGCAGGCATAACAGCGTCAGCCTTGGAGATAATGTTTGGTGCAAAACTGAAGCTCGAAGGAAAGGAGGCTGAAGGTGATAATTCAATCGTTACCTGACCATCGAGAAATGACCCTCGGTCTCCTGATACTGGTGAAGGGCAGCATCCTTGGACTCGTCGGTCTTGCCGTTCGGGGCACTTGGCTTACGCTGACTGAGGGTGGACATGAAGGATGTGGACGTGAATACGGAGCGAACGACCTTTTTGTTGGGAGCAAGTCGATCCTGTGGAGCGGGTCTCACTGTGCACCGCTTACGTACTCAAACAGCGTCACGCCGCATTGCTCGTTCTCAGCGGCTGTACTTATCGCTCATCATACACGGCCATGCCCACTGGATGCTCAATCACTCGCGAAAATCAAGAAGCAACACTATATTTATATGTACAAATGGCACCGGCCAACTTTTTGGAAAACAACCAAGAGACCCCAAGAAATAGATTATACAAAGGTAGGATGGATGTGTATCAAGATTTAAGAATGTTTGCGCTCGATCACGCTGGTCTTCGACGGCGAAGACCGCGCACTTTGTACAACATGCGGTGGATGCGGCGGCGGACGCGCTATGGAGCAAGTCCTCAACAACAATCCTGCAAACACGAAGAAAGAGGACACGTACATTCACGCGCTGGCGCCATGAACTCGCAGAGGAAACCGTGAACAGCAATCCCGACTTGACAATTGAACTGTATTCAGGAACGGGCGTCGATGGCACCTGTGTACCGCTGTCGCTTGTTGAGACGTCCGGGAAGCGAAAGTCGATGGGCTCCTCGCGCCAGTTGGGGAGCTGGGAGCAAATCAGTGACATTGAAGTAGACTTCCAAACGCGAGAATCGGGAGGCGTACCGTTTGTTCAGGGTAAAGCCTGTCGTAGAAGTCGTCGTATGCGAGCAAATACGGCACAGGCTACCGAGAAACGCGTCAGTTCAAGCAGCCGAGCATCAAAGGATGGTGGACGCACTCCATACAGACACGGACCCTGCTCAGACGGACTGGACAGCTCGAGAGACGGAATAAGAAGGTATATATCGTAGTCCTCTTCGTCCCTTTCCACCTCCTCTTCTACAGCCGTCCGAACGAAATTCACGTCGTTGGACGGTGGTCTTTGCATATGGTCGACTGGCTGGGGAAAGCGGGGAACTTTGTGGGGGTGGGGCGAAAGAACTCATCGAGCCGTAAACCTTGTCTTATATCAAGACGGTGAACCCGTCGCAATTAGCAAAGAAGAAGTCTAAACCGCCGCTCAAATCGACGTCGCAAAACCGCGCGGCTGGCGAATACGAACGTCCACAACGCGTCCCACCCCATTAACACTCATTAGACTGAACTTTCATGAAGTCTCGCGTCCAAGCCTGCTCGCTGCTTAGCCACGGATACTTTACATTCGTACCGCCGGTAATATAGGAGTAAAAGGCCAGCCCAGAACAGATCGTAGCACCGTGGGTGCGCTGCTCCCTAGGTGCGTACTTGCTTTTGGGACTTGGCATTCGTGAATCGGACGGAGGACAGCACAGCCTACACGGCGTGCAGGTCATTGGAGGTGCTATAGCGTCAGCATATACATGACACCTCCGACCATCTCTGTGATCCACAACGGCTTCTCGTCTGATTGGTGAGTGGCCGAAGAACTGTGAGCCTAGAGGCCCACCACCCCGACAACGATACCCGCGAAGAGTCTCCTCCTGAGGCGAACCTTGTATCTTCGGCTCCCTTGTTTCATCTCCTTCGTCAATATAAATTATAAATGCACTTTTGCACACCCTGGTCGTCATAGACGATTATGCATGTATAGAGGGGTGCCATGTCACGCTCATATACGGATCGAGTCACGGTGACTGGAGGACCCATCAGATGTGACGTGTCACATCCTTCAAGAATGATGATGGGGAGCGGCGAGCATTTTCAGCTCTTTGAACCCGCCCTCATGAATCCTCGCAACTATGCACAAGAAACTGAACTCACCGATGACTGCCTCAAACAGATCTTTTCTCGTGCAAGCGCTTTCACGCCAGACCGTGAGTGGCACCCCGACAAGCATCGCCACAGCAACAACATCAAGACCAGGCCAGTCAAGCACAAGGTCATGAAGAAGAAGAACTGGTCCATGCAATTATGACTGACTCAAGAAATGCGGGCGATGAAGACATTCAGGACGATAGTCTCTCGAATGCCAGCGAGACCAACCAAGTCGTCGTCAGGATTATTCGACATGCCCAACGGGGTATCTCCCTAGAAAATCAGGGCCTCTCATCGAGCAAGACGATGAGGAGCCCGACCGGAGTTTGGCAAAGCATCAGGCTAATTTTCTGATTTAAAAGGCAGAAAATCAGGAGGATCCAACCGCTATTGCGGGCGCAAGACGCACCTGGCTTGTCGACCGCTCCTCTCTGTTGATTCCCCTATGCCCCTTGACGACAATGAAGGCGATATCGAATCGAGCGATTGCATTGTTTTCTCCAGCCTAGTCCGTTGACTGGTGAGGTGTCTGTGCATCGGCAGCAAGGCAGTGGGTTCGACCGTATCCTGGTCCCCACAGATCTCCGCGTTGTGATACGGCTGATTTTTAAGGCAGTATGGTTTTATCTCTTCCGCTGAGCATTCTTCTGATGCCGAAGACGAGGGGTACGCTTCGGCGGACAGGAGTGTGGAAGAGGGGATGAGAGAGTCGAGAGAGTCGACGGTGCGACGACGCGGAGAACGTGGAGGTGACCAACCGTTGAACTTTGTCGCGCCCCCCATTTGCCTCCGTCATTTCGATCGTCCGGCAGTAAGCGGTCTCGCTCGTCGAGTTCTCTTTCCGCCTCTGTCCTTTATCGCTCTTTCCTGATCATTTAATTATCCGTACGTATTCAGAGGCCTGGCAGGCTTGAACGCATACCCAGTCATCAAACCAGCATCAAGACCAAGCGATAAGACGCCGTCTCCACCAATGACCAGCCTGTCCGATACCTTCACTCTTTTGTTCCCAAGGATCGCCTTTTACTGCCCTCGTTACTTCAACAATCCTCAAAACTTGCCCAACTCACGCACTCGACTTTCACCCTATTACGAACCCTCGAGATCAGCACCGATGGCTTACATGGCTTGCTTCAAGTTTTGAAGCTTCCGGCCTGGACTATGGCTCAGAAGCTGAATTTTGCTGCCTCCGACGAGCTTCGCCATCTGCTCTCAGTCCCAGACTTCGAAAATGGAGATGAAACGTCTGGCACGTCTTTTTTCAGACTGTCCTTCATTTCTGTCGCCCATTTACGTGTCTTGTTCACCCCGTGTCTTGTTCAACCAGTCACCATAAGTACTTTCCCCCCTGCCTCGAGTGTTGTTCTAGGAGCGGGCATTATTCCAGAGAATGAATTTGTGGGCATTTCGAGGAACAAACCGGAGAGCTTGGTCGGGACCGTTGCCTTCGACCTAGAAGTTGATCATCATTCATCTATCTTTTCCACCTAAACGCCATTGACGCTAGATGTTTCGTCTCGAGGCAGAATCCTCGACGGACAGGCCGGTTTTGCATTTTTATCCAAAGACCATCTCAGTGTATACGCTGAGCCATATTTCCAGATGGTCTCTGATGTTTTTAATCAGCCTGCCGCATCAAGGGGCTTCGCGACAAGGCGCCGACTTACACTCGCAGCTCGGACCCACAGACACAGGAAGCTGCTGTGTTGGGGCATCTCTTGGAGCCAGCGCCTTCGTTTACAAGGCCAACAGTAATCCCCTTGTCCATCGAGCATGCCTTGCTCCACTGGTGGCCTTCGCCTTACCATCCTCCGGACAGAATTAAGATCTATTCGGAACTCATCAACTTTACAATCATTCGACGGCTAGTAGCCCTGATGGTCTAGCATTTAGGGTCGTATCTCCGGAAGCGGGGTCGGTCTCACAACGGCAATTGAACATTACTGCAATAATATTCAAGTCTCTTTGTACACTTCAAGTCCACTCATCGACCGACGACGCTCTAGGGAATCTTAGCCGGCACTGTTTGCGCTTGACGCGTTGTGAGTATTGACCCATTATTCTTGTGTTATTCTGTCTATCGCCATTTCCTTCTCCCACCATCTACTACTTACATCCCTTATTATACGCTTTAATGCTGAGGATGACTTCGAGCTGCATACTGCATAGTTCCAGCAAGTTGATTTCCCTTGCGCAAAGACCACCGTTCCTGTGGTGGCCGCAATCTTCAGCATATCGCAATCAGGTTTTCTCGCTGCTTTGTACTTCACTCGCATCAAGTTACTATAAGAGTCTCGCGATGCTACCATACCTACTGTCGCGCACGTATTTGTGGTGAAAAAAGGGCTACTACAGGCCAACACGGCGATTATATGTATTTTTGAAGTTGCGCTGCGGCAAGCGCCGCTGGCCGCTGGCAAACGTCATTGAAACGGAAACGAACCGTTTTCAACCCTGATGGGATACGAAGCTTAAGCTCGACAAGCCATCAATTTCTCACCCTGACCTTCACAACGACCCGCAATTGCAACAGCATATCGCAGGGGCTGCAATCAGCAAGAACTACCGTCGTCTTTCGTTTCTTGTGCTCGTGTCGATCATCCTCTACATTTACAACCCAACTCGACATACCACGGACTTGGATACGGAGCTGAACGTCGAAACACTCTTTGCCACACACACTATCCTAACTTCGTGTCAGTCAACCGTTTTGGTTCTGCGACATGTCTAAGGATCCCACACCGCGTGGTGAAGAGCCAAATCTGCCATACATGGACGTCGTCAAAGACGGCACCGCCACAGTACACGCTGGGCGTCTTCCAGAAGAGATGTATACGAAGGCTTTGAATCCCCGGAGGGCAGCCATAAGGAGGCAGATGGTGGAGATTGTGAAGGTGGAGACTCCTGTATTGGCTAAACTGCAGGTACGTTTTGTCCCATACCTCTAGCATTCCCTCTTCCTTGCTACGCACGATTCCCGAACTAATGCTGTACCCCCTCGCTTTTGCCAGGCTTTCTCACGAACCCCATTTTTGGATGCCTACTTCGTGTATACATCTATGCTTGGAACTCATACTTTCTTCATGATGTTCCTGCCGACACTTTTCTTCTTCGGGCACGATGTTCAAGGACGCGGGTGAGTTCAAGTTCAGCGTATTACTACTTTCTCTACGCCGTTCTAACATGGTCGGAGCAGTTTGATCTTTGTTCTTGCACTCGGCGTATACTCGTCGTCCCTCCTCAAGGATTTTGTCTGCTCACCAAGACCATTTGCGTTGCCCGTTACGCGTCTCTGTACGTCCTGCAAGCTTCAATGCCTTCCTCGTCTGTGGCTCACTATCTAATTCTCCGTGATTATGACAGCTGTCGGCTCACACCACCTTGAATACGGCTTACCGTCCACGCACACGACCAATGCCGTGTCCATGGCTCTTTTCCTTCTCGGGCTCGCATACGACCTTTTCCGCGAAGAAAAGATAGGGCAGAACACATTCTCGATCTGCTCTGGCATTGCGGCATTTTATGTCTTGACAATTGCGGGCGGAAGACTGTACACGGGGGCGAGTTTGTCTCCCCTAGCCTTGCTACATCTTTGGCCGGGGTATTGTTGTCTTTGGATAACACCCTCTACGAACAATCGCTGACCAGTGTCTTTTGCTTGCGGATCTTCAGATGCACGGCTTCGTAGACGTGACAATCGGTGGTTTGCTCGGCCTGGCCATGTCCTTAGTACAAATATACTGGCTGCCTTACGTTGAAAGATGGGTCATCAATGGCGGATGGTATGGTCAGTACCCCTTGTCTTTTTTCTTCATCTTCGCCAGCTCACCTCAGTCCGTGATATATAGCCCCCTTGATCATGGTCGTCGTAGGCCTCCTCCTAGTACACAAGCACCCGCAACCGGTGGACGACTGTCCCTGCTTCGAAGATGCCATAGCCTTCAACTCCGTCGTACTCGGGATCCTCCTCGGCCTATCCTTCTCCGTCAATTTCCCGGCGCTCGCCTCGCCCACTTCCCTCCGGGTCTTCGCCCCAACCGACCTCCCTTCGACTTTCAATACCACCTACATTTTCACTCCTGCCGCGTACGAGATCGGAGCCGGCAATGTTGACATCACGGCCGTAGCGTTCATGCAATATCTTGTCGTCGCCGCTACCAAACTTGTCGGAGGCATCCTCGCCATCTTCGCCTTCCGTCTCATCATGAAACCCTTCTTACACGCCGTCCTTCCGCCCATCTACCGTTTCCTCGCGCATACAGTGCCCAAGTTCCTGCCCGGGTGGGACCTGCCCACTCGTAGGTACTACACCCCTGCGACTGAATACGGAAGGATGCCGGCGTATGGAGGACATGAGGGTGCTGGTGTGCATGATGGAGGGTTGGGGGAGTTGAGGCCTGTCCCGAGTATGGTGGATTTGAGCTTGGAGCTGTCAGGTGCGTGGGAGGTCGCGCCGAATAATGGAATGGCCAGTGGACATAGCGCGGGCGGAGATGACGCTCGGGTCGGAAACACAATGGTCAGAAGGACGGTCGCAGCGGGAGGTGACGATGACGCCAAGGTAGACTTCAAGAAGTATGTCGAGGCGAATGAGGGAGGCGGAGAGGTTGAGGAACCGGAGGTCGTCAAGCATTATGATGCTGATGGTACGTTTTCCACTAGTAATCACCTCTGCATTCTTTGGGTGAAGGCTCACATGCTCCACGTACAGTGTTGACGAAGTTCATCGTCTATACGGGTATCGGCTTCATGGCTCAGGTCGTGTGCCCCGCTACTATGGAGGCGGTCGGATTGGGTGTTGTGTCGCGGTTGTGAATCGGACAGAATGGACAATTCTTGATTGATCTGACGTGGATACGGACATGCCGGCTCGTGTAGTAAGAATGGGACATACTCTATCTATGAGATGATACTATGATGATTGCTGCTACAGATTCAGAATGAGGGTGTGTTCCTACAGATGGGTGACGCCCGGCGACTGCTGATACTGTTAATACATTACTAATTACTGTGTAAATTAACGACCACAGCGGTATGATAAGCTGAATCCAGTTAGAGCTACAGGTGTGTGAATGAAGGTGAGATGAAATGAGGACATCATTTATGACGATGAAGAGAACCATAATGCAAAATGCAAGCACGGGAAGAAATAACTAAGCAAGGTCCAAGGTCCAAAGTCCCAAATGCAGCAGAAGAAGAAAATCAAACGCGTCGCTCAGCGACACGTCGATCCCTACGTTCGACCTCATAATACCCATCAAGAGGATTATAATAAGGATCCGAAGGCGAAGCATGCCAAACATCGTGATCCGCCGTCTTCCACTGCTCGCGCGCCCCATGCGGAATCGGTTCATCAGGATTCAAATAATACGACGAGGTGAAACGCGTGTCCCGGTCTTCGCCAGGCAAGATCCTCTTCGACCACCAGCCTGACTGATGCGCGTTCGCGATAGGAGTGGGATAAGTTACAGGAGCAGGAGCAGGGGCAGGAGTAGGGGCCTTCTTCGAGTCCTGCTTCGGCTTCGGTTTCAGTGTGAACGGCGCGTCCTTGCCTGGTCTGGGATGGAAGACAGATTGACGTTGCCACCACGGGAGATTGCCACCATCGCGAGTCGAGGACGTAGATCTAGGAGTGGGAGGACGTCGGACCTGCGGAAGATGTTTCTCCGCTTCTCCACCCCAAATGGAATCTGGTTCATCGAAGCTGGGCTCGTATTGGCCGTTTCGATGGGATGAGGGAAGATGGTTCGCTTGAGCTTCGACATCGGTGGGGAACGTCAGGTCTCCTCTTCTCGAAGTTGAACGCAAGATCGAATCGCAGAAGGACTTTGCGGTGAGAGGAACCGGTGGGAGAACTGGGGCTGCTGGAGATGTGCGCTCTGAGAACCAGGGGATCGAGTAGACAGAGCAGACTAGGAGATTGGGATAGTCATCCAGATGGTGCACTGCGGTGCCCAGAAGGGCTAGGCAATACCCAATGGCTGGACAGGGCTAGTCAGTCAAAATGTCTTTGTGTCGATGAACGTGGACTACGAGATTGGACATACCGAAAACACTGGAGAGCCAGCTTATAGGAACGAGCACTGTCGAGGACGCGCAAACTTTCCAGGGAACTGACAGAGAATTCTCAGTATGCTTTCCTGCTTCAACGAGAAAAAAATCGCTTACCTCCTGTCTGGCACATCGTAGGAGGTCCATTCACCGTGGCGTCGACAGCAGCGGCTACAAAAAAGAGCCACATATGAGCCTACTTCACCCTGCACACAGCCGACGACAACAGAACTAACCGATCTGCAAGATGCTCATTGCTGCAGTCCAACTGGATTCGAATATCACAGTAGCAGTCGTAGCCATAGGATATGCCATTTCGGCCAATGCACTATCAAGAGACACGGAAAGGTCAAAAAAAGGGTCGAGAGAACTGTGATTATAGATGAGACACGTACAGTGCGACAAGGCAGAACGTCGCGCAAGCATTGAAGATGATGAAAATGGCAGCGCCTTCGACTACAAAAACACATTCCATGTCGTTCTAGTAAGCAACGACAACGCTTCACAATAGTGAACAAGAACCGACCTTCCATCGGAACCGCCCTCGTCGACGATATGTTCCACGCAGCAAAAGCCAGACCCAGAAGATTGAGATAGAAAGAAATAGCTGTTGAACATGAAAAGCAAGGCAGTGCACAGGTCAGATGGCGTCACAGGGAGGACAGACTCGAGAACAGATAGATGACTGACAAAAGAAAACAAAGCGGATAATGATGAATGGTCTCTTCATGACGTTTCCGGACGCGTATTAGAGGTGTAAGGAGTGTGATAGTTTCGTGAACTGATTGATGGATAGAAAGTGATTGCAGAAGACCAGGCGCGAGAGAAAAGATAGTAACGTGGTGGTCGTGTTGGACGTGTCGAACGTGTTGTTGAAAAGGCACCAAGATTGAACGCGCGGAGACTGGCAAGGCTCGAAACCCGAATGAATGAAGAAAACAGTGTAAAGTCGTTGGGTGTCGTGGGAAAGAATTCGCGAGTCTCGAACGCAGATTAAGAATAGGAAAGGAAAGCAGTCACGTCCAGCCGTGTCCTCTAGTAAAGAAAGTCAAAGCAGATCTAGAGGTGCAGTTCGAGTCTATGGTGAGGAAGAAGGGAAGAGAAACACGAGCACGATCGAAGGCACGCAACACAGCGAGACAGAATCACCCTCGACAGACCGGAGCTCGAAAGGGATAATAAACGACGACTGGCACACCTTCAATGGGGAACAATGAACTGCATTTGGGCTGCCGCGGGACAATGACCTAACCGAGCTAGCCGGGCTTATTGTTCTCGTTTAGGAAGGACATTGTTTTCGCAGGCACCGTTGGTAAGGAAAATCATGGCTATGCACAGGTACTGGTGGCAGTACGCATGTGCCCGGTTCTCAGAACGCAAGCCTTCCCGGCCATTGACAAAGTCGAGGGTCCGAAATCGCAGAGTCTCTGGGGAGTGTTCGAGTCGGTCCCCGAGACTGAGACTTGTATGCGACCATGATGTGCGGGAGTATTACGAAGCTTGCGGGAAGTACACATACACGACACAGAGGCATGGATCTCCATGTCAAACCGAGAGATGAAGGACGTCGTGTTGTTAGTGACTGACGGAACAGGGGAGGCAAAGTGGCGGACACGCTATTGTACTGTATCCGAGTCGGCATTTGCCGAACAACATACATACGTCCCACAATAATTCATCTCGGTATCCTCGGAGCAGCCAGCCAGACCACAAAAATACGTGATGGGTCAAGCCCTCTACAAATACAGATGACATTCGTCTCGGACGTCAACACCATCGAGTCCAAAATCTCTACAGAACGGCTACAGCGACAACAACATAGTACTTGGACGATACGAAAGCGAGTAAAAGACAGTAGAAAAGAGTGGACGGGCAAGCGACCGGCACAAACCCGAATGTCGCCTATCCTGATGAAACAGGACACAACACAACACGATACATCCCCGTCAAAGTTCAATCTTCTCAGTCAAGAAGGAAGAAAGGTATAACGAAACCACAGAAATCGTCAATGGCGAAGACAAACGGAGCAGGGAGTACAACACAGCGCGGCAATATGACGCACAAGAAACCTGAAAATCAAAAGCACACAACACCAAAAAAAAGAAATCAAAGAATCACGTCCGTCCATTACTCAACCTCGACAGATCCAACGGCGCAGGTCTCCTCAGATCAGAACTCCTCCTCCTCGGTCCCGAAGGCCTCACGCCCAATCTCGTCCCCGGCGAACTCTGCACGGAATCGAAAGACCGGTCAGAGTCGATGGATCGCCGCACGGGGGGCGTCACCAGTGCAGGTGAGAGAGATGCAGACGCAGACGCTGCAGGTGGAGGCACAGATGTAGGCGAAGGAGGCGTCTGAGGTACGAGCGTGAATGCAGACGGTGGTGGTTTGCGTGGCGTTGTGCGTTTTGGTGGAGTTTTCGGTGGGAGCGCGGGCTGCTTCATGATATCCTTCCGGGGCCATTGTCCGAGTGGAGGTGGTTCGTTTTGTGGGTGTGATAGTGTCGGTTGTAGTTCTGTGTGAGGAGGTACGGAAAACGACGAAGACGAGAGACCCGGTTGTGACCGGGAGATGGTTGGTTTTGGAGGCGAGAGGGAGGTGGAGGAGGATTGAGGGAAAGTCCAAGCGGACGCGAGATGTTTTGGGTACAGCGAAGGCATCGACAACTCATTGGATACTTCAAGCTGTCGTGTCTCCTGCATGACACTCTGCGCTGGAGGGGCGGCAGGAACAGGTGGCACCGGGCGCTCATGGCTGAATACCGACGTGGCGTTCGGGCTCAAGTGCTCCACCGTATATCGCGCGTCCAGGGCGGATTGGGTGCTGAGCATGACGGGTCGACGTGGTTGAGGGGCGACAAGAGAGGTTCGAAGTTTAGGAAGCTGCGGGATGGTGGGCGAGGCGGGTATTTTCTCGTGACGATACCAATCATACCGACGCACGGACGCGTGCCATATCGTATCGTCGAACTTGTAGTGTACGAGTGCGGAGCTGAGGAGTATGGCAAGATATAGAAATACTATGTGTCGCAAGGTGTCGTTTCGCATTAGCGCTGACAGCGAGGAAGGTTTTTGAAAGGAATGATGTGGCGACGTACAGAATAAGGTGCAAAGCCATGAGAATCCTTGAAGCACTCTCGTAGAGGTACACGAATCGAATGCAGATCTCACTAGCAGGCAGAAAGGTCCAGATAAACGTTTGCTCACAACATGATCTTGCGATTTGAATGTTCAGTATTCAGCACTCACCATTGTCCTTACACATAACGTTCGGCAAAAGTGCGGTAACAGCAGCGGCACCTGCTGTAATTCCGGAAATGTATCAGCCTCACGTGCAGAGAAGGAAAAGCGAAAAAGGATCAGCACCCACCGAGATGAAGCGCCCCCTGTAAACCGACCCAAGCGCACTCGAACCATACACGTCCAGTGAGTGCATACTTCCACAGTGCATCAACGAACAACCTATAGCACAACGAATGAGTTCGTCGAACATCCATAGGGAAGAGTGGAGTGGGAGGACTTCACGGACAGGGGAAGCATCGCCAGGAGACCAAGAGCGCCCAAGATAATCACATAGACGTCCACTTGCGCTACATCCCGACATGAGCACAGATTATTCACAGACGGTCACAGAGGTAAAATGTGTTGCGAACGGTGAAAGACAAGACATACGAGTCGAGCCGGCTGCCTGAGCTAGGCTGAGGTTCCACACGCCGACGCTGCAGAGAACAGCATCCGAGACGACAAGCAGACCTACGTGGTGGAGAAAGACGCCGAGAATGATACGGTCAAAAAAAAAACTGTTATTCATCCATCCATCCAAACGGGCCACTAGAAAGCGTACGCACCGAAGAGGAAGTATCGAATAGACAAGAGAGCGGCCCTGCTCATTGCGCAGAGAGGGGCGGCGTGCTGTAAGCAAAGAGAGTGTGGGGGCAAGGCAGCCGCTAGGGAGCCTAGCTTATGAGCACGAGACGGGCAGGAAGAGAGAAAGGGGGGAAACGGAAGTCCAAGGGGTGAAAGCGAGATGCAGGAATAGACGCCGCGCCCTGCTGCCTGTCCAGACGGTGCCACACCCTCCATCACGCTCACATCAGATCCCGCTTCCCGATATGCATGCTCCCTCTCCGCCTCTGGACAACATACGCCGATAACACGGCCCTGCCCGGCGCACGTCCAGCCAAATGCCAAATGGAGGCTACTTTGCCCTTTCGCGTGCTTTGACAGCCGAGAATGAGCTGTTCAAACATCGGTGTGGCCCGCCGCAGGCCACCCGACCTGCTCACTCCGACTGTGCTGTCTGTAGCTGGAACACGTACGGATTGTGCTTGAAGCACTCAAAAGCTTGAGCCCCTGAGCTGGCCGGCATGACGCACCCGACAGTAATTTAAGATAGTACAGGCCCTGAAGCATGAACCTTGGAGCCACCTGTGCAAAACAAAAGTAGACATACAACAGTACAACACCACAGCGACAGATACAATCACGGTCCACAAAGCTATGCTGGCCCCCGCCCCCGCTGCAGCCCCATCCGGCGCAGATCCAGAGTTAGGAATTCGAAGAGGTCAGAAGTGGTCAGAAGCCTCTATCAGAAAACACCGTGACCGCAAGTAGGTACTGAGCGAACAGAGCCCCACCGGCCAAATCCTATCTCATGCTACTGCCTACATCTGAATCTATGAATCTATCACTTCAACGTCATACGAGTCATCACGGTTGCAGTGAAGATCATTACGGTACTTATGCAGCGCACTCATCTTAGCTGGGATCCAACAGTTGAAGGAGTCACACAGATGGGGATTGTATCTCGGAAGGACTCGGATGCAATTGCGGTGAATAGAGAATAGAGAACGTGACGATGACGAGGTGACGATGAGGAATTTATAAATGATAAATAGCGATGGATATACAGCAAGTGGTGGTGGTGATGATGATTGATATATGTACGATGCACGGGTGTATGAATAGCGATTAGTATAAGTACGAGTATTAACACAGAATAAGGAAATGGAGGGGAGAGGAGGAAAGGCGAGCGTAATAGGTGAAAAGAGTAAGAAAAAACAAAACAAAACAAAAATAAAAACACGGTCCTAATAATGCAAGTCCACCGAAAACAACAGCTCAGCTCCTGTCCACCAGTCCGTCATCCATCATCCCACGTCAACACGCTCCTGCTAATATGATCAACATCCCTCTCCCACCCCTCTGAACGGAAGCGCCGCATCGAAATATAGCAGCAACAGCAAGCTATAGGTAGGTGATCCCGCGGGATCCGGAAGCACCCACCCCATCTGGACAAACAATCCATACACGCACGCATACACGCACCGGCGGACGACTCCAACAAAGGCCCAATCCTCCGAACACATCCAAACCTATCCCTCTCCTCTATTCTCTCTGTCTCACTCCAAAGTGCGGCTCGAGGCTGTCCAATGCGAATCGAAGGGAAGGAAGGCGAAGCAAAGATGGGACAGACGGACGGACTTGGCGCGCCTCATCAATGACATTGCCCATCTGTATGATGCATCATCGACCGACCAACACCAGCGGGCAGAATCGACCGAGAAATAGATGCGTGTCGATGTCACGAATCAACGCGTCACGGATCAACCATTCCCCAACGATGCATGCCTAGATGCATGATGAGGCCTTGAAGCGTGATGATGCGTGGTGCTGGGTATGATATGGTGATATGGTGATTGGTGAAGCGGGAGCGACATGGACGTATGTTGGAGGCAGCGGCATGGAGGGAGAAGAACGAGTGCGGGCCCGGGCGGTTCGGACACACAGGCATGCAAACAAACGGGAGAGAAAATCCAAACCCAGCGGCGAGACGTTCGAGATTGAAGCGTTGATCCTTGATGTTTGGAGAAGGACCGTACCGGGAAAATCCCCTTTTCTTGATGGTATGCACAATCCCCGTTCCACCGAGTAAAGGACGGTCCGAACCCCGCCAGCGCACCCCTCCAACACCAACACAGACTCCCAAGCAAGCCTCACCGGTCCCGTACAGCAATAGCAATCGGCACCGTCGCTGTCGCCGGGAGATCGACGTTGGTCTTATCCTCAACACCACCCTCCTCAAACTCCTGAACAGGGACCGGAAACAGAGGTGTCGGCGGCGGCTTCGAAAACGTCGCAAAAACGAAGCCATCCCCACTCAAAGACGACGTCTTCTTCATGAGAGCTGGCCGTGCTTGCGCCTTCGCATCGGGAGTAGCAGCTGGCGTCTTGGAATCGGAAGTAGAAGGTGCTGGCGTGACTGGCGGTGCTAGTCCAGCCTTGGAATCGGAATCGGTCGTAGAATCTGGATGGAAAGGAGCGAACGACCATTCAGGGACAAACGACCTAACCTCCCTCGACTCGTCCTTCTGCAGCCTTTCCGCAAGTCGTCGAACATGCATCGGCGCCGGTGGTTGTGCTTCTGCTGGTATTATAGGTGATTTCGCTGCCGATATCGAATGTTGCGGTGCTGGAGTTTGCGGTGGTAGCAGTGATGTCGTCTGCCGACAAAGTCCACCAACAAGCCTCGCAAGCCCAATCCTCACATCCACAATCCGATCCTCGACCAATCTCCCGAGCGCCAGCGTGTATGACTCGTCCGTGAGCACCCAGCGGCCGTCGTCTGAGGATGTGAGGGTTTGATAGACGTAGACGAATCTAGATAAGATGAAATGAGAGTTTCATAAGCGTGTGCGTGTGCGTGTGTTAGGGAAGGGAAGGGTAGGGTAGGGTAGAGGGTGGAAGTGCGAGAAAAAAGAGAGAGACATACACCATGCGCCGTCGAAACACGCTAGCCTCAGCTAGAGAGCATATATCAGCCGTGAGGTTATCCATCTCTCGCCTGTCGCCCGCAAAAGCTCTGTACATCTGCGGAACCTGCTCCAATTCGTCAGTCCCACCAACAATGATGGAGAATAAGAAGGAAAGGCTCACCACGGCGATCCCAGCCTCCCTCACCGCAGCCACATCATCCTCCAAAGCCCTCCTCACCAACCTCCTCACAACCGCCCACCCCTCCCTTCCCACCCCCTCCTCACCCCCAACCAACTCCCCCAACACCCTCACAAACGCCTCCCTCTCCTTCCATCCACTCAAACTCTTCCCCCAACACTCCTCCACAACGCCCACCACCTCCGCCCTCTTCCCTCCCTCTGCCGACAACGCACCCACCAACGCCCTCATCGACTCCGCCGCCTTCATCCTCGTCTCCCGCTCCCCCCTCCTCACCGCCTCAACCCACACCGGAAGCACATCCCTAAGGGCCACCTCCCCCCCCACAATCCTCGCCATCTCCCCCGCCGAAGCCGTCAACGTCCTCCTCACCTTCGGACTCGCCGACTCCGCCAGCCTCAAATAAAGCCCCCTGATCTCGCCCCAGCGTTCCCGTCCCAACGTGAGCGCCAGAGCCGGATAATTAAACGCGATGATCAGAGGCCGAGACGGGTCCTCGAAGAACACGTCCTCTTCCGAGAACGGCGTCGCTTTTGGAGTGGGCGTCTTTGGGAGCGAGTCGTCGCTGTTCAGTATCGGGGTGTACTTCCCAGGCGGCCGGTCCGGCCATTTGAGCGGAATCGTCGGTCTTGCGGGGACCGGTGTTTTTTGGTGCAGTTGCTGCTGCTGTTGTTGCTGTGGGTCCTGCTGGTCCTTGCCCAAGAAGAGTCGTAAGAGCTCCGGCGGTGGGCCGCCTGGGTCGTCGCGGAAAGTGTAAAGGACTTCGCCGAGGGATTCGAGGACGCGGAGGCGCACGGAGTCGGAGGTATCGTTGGAGAGTGCGCTGAGCGTGCTGAGTGCGAAAGAGCGTCGATGGGATGCGGTCAGGCGGGGGAGAATGGCTGGGAGGGCGAAGAGCGCAGAGTGGCGGACGTGCCACACAGAGTCGGTGCATAGCGACTCGAACAACGGGATCTACGATGAGAGTGAGAATGGTGAGCAGGTGACGTGTAAAAAGGAGGGATTGGCGTCATACCAGGGTCATCATCACAATCTCGACCGGGACGACTTTTGCCAACGCTCCCAGGGCGTACGACGCCTCCTTTCGCACCCAATACACATTATCCTGGCTCACGCGTTCGACCTCCGCGACGAACGCGGATTTTGTATCATCATTATCGTCTTCCAAGTATCCTGTTGGTTGAAAGCAAAGTCAATGACGTAGTCCAAGACATCACCACGGAAAGGAGAAAAAAAATGAACACACGCACCGCCAGCGGACACCGCAGCCATCAAGCTCATACTGCTAAGCCTGCCCAGAGCAGCCTCCACCCCGTCCGAATCATCCGTCGCTCCGACCTCCGTCGACGAATTCCCTGCCGAGTCGTCGCTCGTTGCCGTGACGAGTGTCTTGGACTCTGTTTCTGAGGATATTGAGTTCCCAGATATTGGGGCGTCGCTCGAGATACGACTGGGATCGTCTAGAGCGACGTCGGATATTTGGGCTTGGATCCTTGGGTACGACGACTCTCCCTCAGGCGAGACCAGCTCAGGTGTCTTCACAGAGTCCGTGGACGATGGTGTATCGTGTCTAGAAAGCTCAGGCAGCGACGGTGTCGAAGAACGTTCAGAGCTGGCCTGCTCCGGACGAGGAGAATCAGCAGAAGGGCCAACGACAGAAGTCGACGGGGGATCATCAGCAGGCAGGTCATATCCGTCACCCTCCTCCACAAGATCAAGACGACCGATGCCAATGACGATCTGCTGCAGTATCTCCTGCTTTAACAACATTCGCTCGTCAGGACCGAACGCAGTCTCGTTTGACGACTGAGAATCAGGGTCCGCATCTGCGTCCCGAATCTGTCGCAAAATGTCGATGACGGCGAACCGGGTGGCCGCGCCCACTGCGGCGTTATGTGCGAGGAGGAGGGTGCCTATGATCGGCGTGAAAGCGTGGACGGGCATAAGTGGAAAGTCGAGCTGGTCCGGGTCGTCGCCGTACTCTGACTCGGCATAGGGAACGACGATGCGGCAGTGCTGGAGGTGTGGCCAGAATTGCGTCAGAGGGCAAAGTTAATTTCGGAAGTGAATGGGTGAGGCAAACGCACGGAAGTGAACCAGGAGATGATCGGAATCAACTGGTTTGCGAGTGCCTCCTTGACCGAGTCGTCTAATTGCCGGAGTTGGGAGATTAAGAGGCCGGAGAGGTGAAGGGAGAGAAAGGAGGGGAGATGACGTACCGTCGTCCATGGCGAGCCCGCTGAGCAAGGGGAGGACATACTCCACGGCCTCCGGGGGGGCGACTAGCGGGAGGATGGAGGGCAGCTCGTGCGCTATGTACACCCTGCAGCGAGCGAGCGAGATTAGTGGAGAGCGGGAACGTAAAAAAGACGAGTGGATTACGGACTTGTGGAACGCGGCCTGACTACGGGCGAAGAGGTAGATCTTCTCGAGCGGAGTAAGACCCTCGTCATCGAAGCACATGTCGTCGGCCGCATCCTGGTCCGGGAAGCCGTCCGGAGGGGCTGGGGACTCTGGCTCGGCGGTGGAGAGGGGGATGTCGGGGTCGAAATTCTCGAGCTCGGCGGCGGAGGGCGGGGGAGAGTCCTGTCTGGGCTGTGACTGCTCCGGGAGCGGGGGAGAGGGCGGAAAGAAGTCAGTGGGCGAGGGATGGGAGAAGTCGTCGAATGGATTTGGACAGTCGAGTGTCGAGGGGGACGTGATGGAGAGCGAGAGAGCGGGTGGCGCCGACGGGGTCTGCGTCTGCTGCTGTTGTTGACTTGTGGTGGCCAGCTTGTTAGAGGAGGAAGAGCGGGTGGGGAGGGCTGGTCTGTGCTGTGGTGGCTGAGTGGTAGAAGTGTTCGGGGAGAGGCCATGGATGAGCTTGTCGAGGAAGCTCACTAGGATGCCCATGGCGGTCAGCGGCTGCATGGACGGAACGGAAGATGGACGTACTTGAAGGTCGAAAGCCTTGAGGTCGTCCACGAGGGTCTGACGCAGACTCTTCATTATTTCACGCCTATTTCTCCCAGAAAACAAGTGCCTCAGCCCGCAAACAGCCGTCAACAGCGAGTGATGTCATTCCCCTGGTCTAGATCTATCCTTTACGTAACTATCCTACAGCGAGCCCCGGACCGCCTTGTCCAGGGCCTCGGCAAAGTACCGTACATTCTTCGTGTTCAGCCCCGCCATCGAGATCCGTCCGTTCGGCGTCAAGTACACATGCGCCTTCTCCACCAACGCCTTTGACTGCCCCTCGTTGATCCCCGTGAAGCTGCTCGCCATCGTCAGTCATTGGTCGTCGTCGCACACAACGAGAGCTCGCTCACCTGAACATCCCGATCTGCTTCACGATGTGGTCCCAGTTCCCCGGCGTCTTCAGCTCCTCCGTCAACAGCCTGTGCAGCTCCTTCCGCATCTCGATGATCCTCCCCGACATCGTCTTGATGTCCCCTTTCCATTCCTCGAACAGCTCCGGTCGGTTCAGGATCAGCGACACCTACATGCATCGTCAGCACACCCGACGATCTAACTATCCAAGCACCACACTCACCACCCGCGCACCGTACGACGGCGGATTACTGATCTCGCTCCTCTGCAACACCGACATCTGACTCCCCACCCTATCCTTCGCTTCCTTCGTCGGCGAAATCAAATGCAACGCGCCCACTCTCTCTCCATACAACCCCGCATTCTTCGCAAAACTCTGACACACCAGCATCGGCACCCCCTTCGACGCAAAGTACCTCACCGCCCAGCCGTCCCTGTCCAGATCCCCGCTCGCGAAACCCTGGTAGGCCGTGTCGAAGAACGCGTAGTGTTTCTTCCGGATCACGATCTCGCAGATCGCCTTCCATTGCTCCTGCGTCGGGTCCACGCCCGTCGGGTTATGCGCGCACGAGTGCAGGAGAAACACAGACCGCTCTGGCGCGTCCTCCAACGCCTTCGTGAACCCAGCATAATCGAGCCCGATCGTCTTGGGATCGTAGTACGGGTACGTGACGGGGTTAACGCCCACATTCCTGAAGATCGCAAAGTGGTTCACTATTCACCACCACCACACACCCGACGTCAGCCAACACGAATGAAGGAATAAGGAATGAAAAAGGCGCCACAACACGAATACAACGCACCCCACGTCGGATCGCTCAAATAAACCTTCTTCTCCCCATTAAACCTATAATACCGACTCAAAAACAACGCCCCGAGATGATTCGCGCCCGTCCCCGAGATCGTCTGCACGCTGACCACGCGTCCCTCCGCTAGCGCGGCAGACTGCCCACCCAGGATCAGCTTCGCCGCCGCGGACGTAAAATCCGGAAGGCCGGTGATCGGCAGGTATTCGTGGTCCAGGTCGGGGTCGTGCAGGAGGATCTCGGAAGCCTGTATACAAATGCAACAGGTGGAAGAAGTGGGTGGGAGGGAGCACGGGGTGTGTGAGTGAGAGTTAAGAGTCCGAGTGTAGAGGTAAAAGTCCGGAAATGATGGTCGGATCGGATATGGATATGGGAAAGCTCGGAGGAGGCGGAGGGTGGGCTTCCTTGGCGTGGGGTAAGCGTAGGGGTTTATCTGTTCTGTGGGGCGGGGAGGGGGAGGGATGTGGAGAGAAAGAGAGAGAAAGAAAGAGAGGCATCACCTTCCTCACGACGGGAAGCACCCAGGGTTTCGAGTCGTCGTCTCTATACGCTCCAACACCGAGGTTGATCTTCTGCGGGAACGTATCCGCCTTGTACGCCGCCGTCAACTTGAAAATACTGTCCACCGTCGTCGGCGTTCACGTCAGTGAGCTCGAACGCGATGTTCGTTCAAAAGTCATTACCTGTCCGGAGGCGCGAGCGGGACTTGTTCCCATGTTTCTGCTGCAACTACAACAAAGAAAAGAAAAAACACGCGGTTTACCCCGCATTAGCATCATGGCCCCTTAAACACCACCACAACCACCACCAACCAACGACGTCCCGCAGAAACGAAAATGAAAGCAAGGACAGAGCACTGGTAAGTACTCACCGGTAGCCATCTCTTCAATATCGATATGTCCCGCGATCTGCGTCAATCTATCCCCAGGGGCCATCGCGAACAAACAGAACAGATAATTATCGCGTGTTGATCAGCGAAGTGTCCTCTACAATGCACACACACACACAAAGGATCCAGCCGCCAGAAGATGATGGTGAAGAGGAAGGATCAAACCAACTCACAAGTGCACCGTATGGCTTATGTTTCTCGTCCGGTCGAAAGGGTAGGTAGGATACCTGAAGATACCTGTTCGATGATGATTCAGATGGCCGGGATGCAGAATGCAGATGCAGTTACAATCAACTGTCAGTTCTTCAAGCAGGCCTTTCGGATTCGGACCTCCTGAGCGCTCCCCCGCCGCCGCGGACCGACCATTGTCCAATCCTCGTCTCTGATTTCCGCAATCAATGATCTTAAACCCGGATCCACGTGATTTCTGACTCAGTGAGTTGATGAAATCCCCGATTCGAATTTCGAGTTCCCCTCTGCCCATGCAGCCGCCGCGTGCCCTGAAGTAGGAATGCGGGGTAAGTTACGCGTAAGTATGTACTTGAGGCACGCGAGCGATTAGAGTGAAGTCGCCTGAATGACGTTGTTCAGGTCGGATATTGGTGGATGGTCTCTGAGTGAGACTGTTGAGGATATATTCGATGACGAGCTTGAGCACTCGTACTGTGTTGTGCTTCCGACCTTTAGGTATTCCGCTACGGTACTCAAGTCGAGGACGCCTCGACGGTGACTTTCATTTCGGGAAGTACGGACCGAGGTCAGTCACAGGCCCGTACATACGAGAGCGCAATGAGCACGTATGGATGGCATACACTATAGCGGAGTCCTGACAAGCTCAATTGCAAGCAACGATGTACAATGTCGGTCCGCACGCAAACTACCTACTCAAAGTTATACTCCATGAAATACGTCGAAGACGGATTTAGGACCCCGTTGAGCGTAACTCAGGTGGAGCGAGAATAGGTCGAGTCTAGAATCCCATAAAACTTTACTCTAAACTGATCTCGGTAAAAACGAGGGAGGGAGGGATATGTCGGTGTTCCCGCATTGAGCTAGACGGGGAGCGGTCGAAGATTCGAAACAAGGTCGAAGGTTGAAGGCTGTTGGGGGCCTCGCCGTGGACTGGACGTGGCTGGATATCGACCTAGCGCGTAGTCGGGTTTGGAGGGGGTATAAGACTGTGATGTTGATGGAATGCTCTTGATGTTCGTTCTGCTGACACCTGTCCTCGCTAGACTTGCGCTTAGGAGGATAGCTAAACACCGAGACGATAAAAAGTCCATGAAGATTCGTGTGCGGATACAATAACATAACGACGAGGCAAGGCAATATGGTCTACAAGGCGAAAAAGAAATATGATCAATGGCGTAATGGGAAGCAGGCACAATGCAACGGATAATCCGACGGTGGGGAGAGGGAGAAGTATGTCCTCGAGAGGAGGATGGATAGCAAAATATTAAGGATGTATGTTGATATATATGATAGCCCGTGATGATGGATGGAAGTGTTCGTACGAGACGGAAAGGTATGCGCGCCACCAGCGAAAGAAACCAGTTGGCGCTGGAAAGATGGATCCGGGGAGATATGCAAGATCCACGATGGAGGCGCGACATGACAACGGTCAGACGGCGGTGGGGAGAAACGGAGTGGATAGAGCACTGGGAGGGTCATTGGAGTGGACTGGAATGGGGACGTCGAGGTGGGTGGGTTGGACGACCGTTGCCACGCGCGGGGAGGGCTAGGAGGGGGAAACAGGACCACTCAACAAGGATGAACACCCGCTATGCGGTCGTCATCTTGGAGGCTACTGTCCGTTCGCTCTCGAGCTTGGCCTTGTTGCGGTTGAAAGCCTGCTGCCGACAATCTTCGAGATTGTTGCAGGCATGGTGCTCTGGCATACGATGCTAAATGACGAAGACGGCGATACGGTGAGCACCATTCGGGTTTCAGAGATAAGGTAATGGATAGACTCACTGTTCCACAGAAGTCGGAACGGCAGTGAGGACATGATCCTACGATACGGAGAGCTGCTTGGTTGCAGGGCTGTTCGCCTTGGAACTGGCAACGCTTCTTGGCTGGCATGACGTGTGTATGAGGTGGTGGTTGAGGAGCTGGTTGTGTGGAGGTTGGTGATGAAGGCTAGACTGGAGACGCAGATAGAGCAATGAGCGGTGAAAGACGGTGAGATAGCGAGCAGGAAACTTACCGGTCGCGATGGGGGGCGTAGGAGGTGGAGGCAGGGGGCAGAGTAGGGTGCGAGGGCGAGTGCAGCGCTGGATTTATATAGCTGTGGTGTGAGGGCTTACGCGTCCCCTCAGCTGCGAATCTGAGATCTCCATACTTAGGTAACACGTCCAAATCCGGAACGCCTACTTTCTTTATCCGGCAGCCAGCGGCGGGATTCACCGTCACCGCCGGCGACAGCGAGCGCGACGCCGCTCCCCGACTCCCAGCGCTCCTCACCCGAACGCCCGTCGTCGTTTGTTTATAATGCAGAAAAAAAAATTGCACGTCGTCCCCACTCCGGCTCTCGTTTTTCTCTCTCCGTCCTTCGCTTACTGAGTCGGTCTTGTCTTCGTTCCGATAGTCGTTGTTGCCTGTTCCATGCTTGGCCGGCCTGTCCTTCCCCACGCCTTTCGAAGAACAAGGTCTCCTGCTTACGGCCGGTAGCCGACGCTCGTCCAAAACAGACCTCGAGCGCGTTTCTTTGTCTTCGATCCTCACATACCCCACGCCTCTCCTGTTCCATCGAAACATGCTCTTTATCTTGCACAGCTTCTCTACGATCCCTGACCTTTGATTCGCAACCGACCCAACGCACCTCCGAACTCGTGCTCCTTGCATGTAAACCAACCGTCAGCCTGGGCCGCCATGTTTCTCGGTCTCGGACATCTTACACGTTCAGCATCTGCACTCACACCCGTGCCCACCCGTGCCAACGCATCACACACCTCCCGAGCCGCCTGTGCATGTTGTTCCATATCTCGGAGGTTCGAGCGAACCTTGGGCAGTTATCGTCCGAGCCTCCGCCACGACATCAGCCGGAAGTCCGAGGCCAGTCGTGGCCTTGATATCCGGTGCGCCACCACCTGCCACGACATGAGCATTAGTGGCAGACTCCAACACATCCATCTGACCGCTAAACGGTGTCTTCGCGAAGATCATCGCGGCTTCAGGATGCTCAGTCTATACACGGACCGATCGTACAGGACATCCCAGAAGAACTCGGACGACGCTCCTCCGAAGTTATAGACTGATATGAACTCAATGTTCGACCTTTGCGCACCCACAATCAACTTTGTCTCTCATCAACGTCCACTTCCGTGCCTTTGGTGTCTTCTCTTGCTTCTCTCGCGTCTTGGCCTCTAGCAGATGACTTTGTGCAGAGACGGAAATACAGACAGGACCGCATCCGTTCTTATTCTCTCAAGATTTATCGGTTTCTTCGTCCCTCCATCTTGATCGTCTCGTGCTTCACAATTTACTTAACGGGAACGACGAACGCTAGCCGAACAATCTCTGCTTCCAAAAATTCCGTACATCCGACCTTCCTCCGGCGGACACCTGTGTCACGAACAGGATATCTAACACTCATGCGCACTCGCAACACGCCGCCACTGTGCCAGCCCCATTGGCGAATTGGAACGTATGCTTAACACATCGCTTAGTCCCTGGTGAAAATAAATAATGTGTAGTCCCCACGATGTATTGATTCCAATGAAATGTTCGTAGGGTATCCAAGAAGGGTATGTCGTCCGCCGCGGTGTCGGCGCTCGCTCGAATATGTACTTACCAGAAGACAGACCATAGCTAATACGAATGGAGATATTAAAGCTGACGACGATAGCGATATGGGCTGAAATGGAGAGTGAGAGTCTTGAGACATATCGAGGGGCTGTGAAAAGGGCGCGAGACGAAGTGCGAGGAAAGGAGCGACTGTGTGAGTGAGGGCTAGGCAACGAGTGGACAATGAACGAAGAGGAAGTCGACGAGATGCTAAATAAATGGGGAAGAGCGTCCTTGGCAAGAGAGAAAGACGAGGAAGTATGGAAAAAATCACGAAAGATGGCCGTCCAATAAGAAAGCAGAAAGGCAAGAAAGGCTGAGAGAGGTGTGGACCTAGTGGCACCGCTCAGGAAGTGGTGGTGGTAGTGCCCGAACCTGAGGTGCTGGAGCTCTTGCCGACGGCCTTGCTGACTTCGATACCAACGATGACGCCGACGATGATGAGCACGATGAGGATGATAACGGCGCAAATCCAGCGCTTTTTCCGTGCGGCGCGTGCGGAGACGACGGCTTTTTCGGTGTAACCAAGACTAAACGGTACGTTGTTCAGGATGCGTGCGGTCAAGGAGGTCGAAACCCACGTACCCTACTTCTGTATCCACCTCAACGCCAGCTGCTTGTGTCTCAATGACGTTGATCTGCTCATCCTGTTGCTCGACGAGGATGCTCATCTACAAAACTCAAGAGTCAGAAACTGATGCTTGCCTCATTGAGAGCGCTCAAATAACTCACGTCATTGAACAGCTGTGCGAGTTCTCCGAGTGTACGCTCAATACGCTTAATATCTTCGTGTCGCTCTTGAACCTCACGGTAAGCAGCACGGGACTCGCCATAACGGTTGGAGTTCATGAGCTACGAAAATGTCAGCAATTAGCCGATACCGGTGTACGACGAATACGCACTGCTTGAGAGAACACCTGACCACCCTGATCATCATCAACGACGGCCTTGACTTCTTCAGGTGTAGCATCCGGCTTGACTGGAAGATAACAGAGCGTCAATTTGGCTGGGGTAATATGAACCAAAACTTGACCGCACCAATCTTGTATTGCCGCTCCATCCGTTGCTTATATTTTTGCCTGTACTGCTGCTCGACTTGCTGGTAGCTTTGAATAGCCTCCACAAACTTCGACTTCACCAAACCAGTCTACATTCGGATAATGATCAGAATAATGTGACCTCCGCCCAAAGGCCAGGAAACCCGACATACCTGCTGCTTCTTAATTTGGCCATCACGCCCTGACCCTCCTTGCCTCTCGAGCGCCTTGATCCTCCGCTTGAGCATGTTACTCAGCGAGCTAGTCTCGGCCACCAAATCCTCCTGTTGCTGAGCGTTGCGTTCCGCAGCAGCGTCATCCATGTTATTGAGCGAGCGCGAGTGCAAGTCTGATATCCGCGAAATGCTGTCATTGAACGCCTTGATGCTGTCTTGAATGGACGCAATCTACACCCAGCGCGACTCGTTTAACAGATGAGCAAAGAAAACCACAGGAAAGTTTGACGCACCTCGTCGTAGAAAGCGTTCATGGAGTCCCCACCCATGGTAGCCATGCCCGCCGTCAAGTTTGTTGTGCTGTCCTTGACATCCGACATCTCATAGCTCGGGTTATCGTCTTGCTGAGCATAAGGATTCTGTCGACGACCGCCGCCGTAGCCTCCTCCATTATTTCCGGAATTTTGGGTGGGGTATGAATTGCTGAACGTTAAAAGAATGTCAGACGAGGCCGCAGCGGTCAGAAGAAACCACGGCAACGCACTTGTCGAAGCCGCCTCCCTGCTGAGCCTGCCACCACCAATAAATACACAATTAGAGGTGCAATGTGTAGACGAGTGTCTTCGCTGTCACGAACTACATACCCTCAGTGCTGCGAGTCTGTCTCTGGCCATGCTGTGCGGTGTGGTATTCGGTTGATGATGCGAGTGGTAGAACGACGGTGGTGGTTGTTATAAACAATTGGTCGAAGCGCTGCAACGATCCAAATGCTGGGCGGAGCGTAGGGTAGAAAAATGACACGCTGGCTGTCCGGGGAGGCAAGAGGGACGATCAAGGAGAGGACGCTACCAGCGCTTATTTGAGGGTATGGTGGAGGCGATGTTGATTGCAGCGAGAAGTTGTGGCTCCACGGCACGGCAACGGCCTTGGTCCTCCTCCGCATCTCACGCTTGTTCTTTCAGTGTCATTTCTTGAACCATGACCGGGTCCACCGGCCAAGGCGTAAGCACTCTCGTTCCCACTGAAGAACTTATCATTTGGTTCAGGTTAGACAAGAAGTGCTTGTACATATAAGTCATCCAAGATGGTTGCTGCTGAAGGTAATGCTCCCCCAGCTTCGACATTCTGTTTGGGGAAGCCCATCATGGAGTCTCGAGTTGTCCGTCGGAAAAGTCGATGGACCCGAATCATTATCAACGCAGTGGATGTGAGGAGGTCTTGCTGCGTCCGACGGCAAGTTATCCATCTGGTGGGAGACCGAGTTGAATGCGATGCTCCAAGACACTACACGAAGTAGATGCTGTTCAGTGGCACTTTCGGGCTGATGCCTAGCACCGCCCTACCGTTGTTCTATGCGAGCTGCACAATCCCTAATAATATATAGAAACTGCCTTCAAATTGCCTCAGTTATATCCAAGACGGAGCCAACGGTCAGGAATGACACACTGGCGATCAAACCTATGCGTGAGCTTGTCCATCTCCGGGACGATTCAGAGCAACTATGGGCGTTGGATAGATCTTCAAGCGAAATAACTTCTCTGGTTTGTCCTACAAGCACATACATCTGGCTTTTGCGCCCATCGAGTACAGGTTCAGGTATCTACTGTTTGGAGAGTATGTCGCGCAGGACGGAGACCTGTCGCGCGATCATGATGCGGCTAGGGCCACCGATAGCTTGCCTCCTTTCCACACTCGCCTCAAAGTCAAACACAGTATGGACGTCGTCGTCGAACTTCTCGCATAGGCCTTTATAGTCCTGAATGCTCAGATCGTTCAACTGGCACTTGCGAGATTCTGCGAGAGCGACGGCGCGTCCGGAGACGTGATGGGTTTCACGGAAAGGCATCTGTTGTGGGCCAATGAATGAGTATCATGATCTGCGCAGAAGCGAGACGCCACTTACCCCTTTGCGCACGAGATAATCGGCAAGGTCGGTCGCGAGCACGTCCATGGTCAATGCCTGCCTCATCCTGTCTGGGTGGACCTACAAGGTCGTTATTAGAAGGTCTTCAGGCAGGTCGGTAGCAATGACATCCATACCTCCAAGGTAGCCAAAACACCCTCAGCTATGCGCAAGCAAGCGGACACGGTGTCGACGGCATCAAACAAAGGCTCTTTATCTTCCTGGAGATCCTTGTTGTATGTCGAGGGCAGACCCTTGTAGCTCATCAAGAAACCCGCAGCCTATACTCCCCCGATTAGCGCGAAGGACAATGCCGCAAGTATAAAACATACGTTGCCGAACACACGACCTGACTTGCCTCTCAACAGCTCAAGAGAGTCGGGATTCTTCTTTTGTGGCATCATGCTTGATCCCGTGCTGTAAGACAAACCATATTAGAAGGTTCTGGCGTGCGAGTCGCCAACAAGAGGACTAACCTATAGGCATCGCTCAAGGTAACGAATCCGAACTCAGCGGTAGAGTAGATGATCAAGTCTTCCGCCATGCGACTCATATGGGTCATCATCAAGCTGGACCACATGAGGAATTCGATGATGAAGTCGCGGTCACCAACCCCATACAAACTATTCTCTGCCACAGACTGGAAGCCCAGTTCCTTCGCAAGATATTCACGGTCGACACAGAAAGGGTTTCCTGCCAGAGCTCCCGACCCCAGAGGAAGCACAGCGATGCGAGGAATAGATTGGCGAAGACGGTCAAGATCGGCGCTGAAGGAGAACGCATGGGAAAGGAGGAGATGCGACCACCGTATAGGTTGTCCGCGCTACAATCGATGTATGATCAACGCAAGAAGGAACGTGGAATAGGAGAATAACATACCTGCAAATGAGTGTAACCGGGCATGAGATAGTCCACCTCCTTATCCGCACGCTCGACCATAACTCGGATCAGTGCTCTCAATGCATCTTCAACCTCCTTCACCTCATCCAGAAGCCAGATGCGCATATCTGTGGCAACTTGGTCGTTTCGAGAACGGCCAGTGTGCAGTTTGCCACCCAGTGGCCCGATGAGCTCGCTCAGGCGACGTTCGTTGGCGGTATGGATATCCTCATCGTCAGGTTGAATCTCAAACTGATGCAATTATAAGATCGGTCAGGTCCGTTTCTTGCACTATGGTTTGAGTTAGACGTACCGTCCCGGTCTCCCATTCCTTCCCAACAGCCGTCAAACCCTCCGTGATCTTTTTTTCCTCCTCAAATGTAAGGATGCCAACTTTTGTCAAAGATTTAGCATATGCGATGGACCCACGGATGTCGGCCGAATGCATTCGGCGGTCGTACGACAAAGACTGGTTGAAAGCATGCATACTAAAGCAGAGTAAGAAAACATGCAATAGATCCTGCAGTGTGCGAGAACGTACAGAGGATCGGTCTTTCCAGTGAAACGCCCTCCCCAGAGCTTTTGTTTTGTTGGCTGTTCCGTCATTTTTGTTTTGTAGTGTTCTGCAGGGGATTGGTGGAATATGTAGAAGCTGTTATGAGCGTTCCCTGGGATAGGAGATGTCGGAGTCACTGCACGTATTCAGTTCCAGGAATATGGCGGTAAACTTAGCACCACGTGGTTTACCCAAACCACGGCTCAACTGGTTTGTGCGCCGCCCCGCGGGATCCAAAGTTGGTCGCCACATCCTTTTCTCCACTGCAACACCCCAACCTACGAGGACACTGGAGTCCATTATTTTAAATCTCCTTGATTTACAGGGGGCGATGTCACTTCTTCAACCTTGTACAAAAACCTAGAGCGCCCTTCGGCGTCAGACCTCTTGAAGGCTCCCCGACCCAACTGAGGTGGAACGCGGCCGACCCAACTTTCACGTAGGTACTTAATCTTTCTTGACAGGAAAGGCTTAATATTTGTTGGAATGTAGACACCCCAAGCGTTTTTCACGGTGATAAAGGAGCTTCTGCTTTGCTTATACGTATATATTCTTCAATGACGCATGCTTTGACTTTATCAGACTATAACTCAGGTCCACGGTGGGAGTACGATCACAGTATCATGGGCAACGGATCCCAGGGGCCACATACGAGCAGGCTATGGTATTACAGCATGGTTGATCACCATTGACATGATGCTCTTCAAACGGAGCTTGACATGACGGCATCGACCTTGTTCATCAATGGCGTAGGGTCGTTATAGATCTCGAGCTTATAGATCTTGTTGCTCTCTCTGTGACGGTGAACGATGGCAAACGCGGATATCTTGATGACCTCCTTCTCGGGATCACCCTTCACGATGTATGATAAAGTCGCTTGATGGTATAGGCGGTCTCCAACGACGTCTGCGATATGCACACGATTGTGAGTGGGTTTAGCCTCATCGTCCTCTCTGTGACAACTCACCGAAGTGATGAATTTCGTGCTTCATCATGTCGAGAATGCTGGTCTGGTACGAGTAAGCCTGCCGATGGGCAATACGGACGCATGATGAGCTAAAATCTATAGAATGGCGAATGAAGGATCGTCTCACTTTGAGGAAGTTCTCTCTGCCTTCGAATGGCGCGTTGTTACCCATCGTAACCAACGCATCTTCGGTGAAGAACTTGCCCCAGGCATCCGCATTGAGCGAGTCACCGACGCTGTGGAACTACAACGAAGATATACGACTCTTTAATGTGGTTCTGATAGAGATACAACAGACGCTGTACTTCACGAAGCCATTCCCCGGCGGCAGAATTCTGGGACGATCTGTTTTCGACACCGTCGAAGGGCATTGTGGATCACAGAAACGGTGGATGGGTGAGAAAAGGTAAGAATTCGTTATAATTGATGTGACTCTGTTGTTCCGCCTTATATACTCTGAGCACGCCTAGAAAATAATAACACGCACCGGGAAGACACTCGTCCCGCCGATAAAGTCGCTTCCTACATCCTTCAACTCGTCAACGCGTCGACCACGGTGTGGGTCGCGGCTTGTTGACCCCGGATTATGAGGCTTCCGCTGGAAGACAATGGACCATTACGCGCTTTAGGGGTAACTTTCCCGGTAATGAATGCGCTAGAAAATACGCTTCGTATCTGCGAGAATTGTCTAGCCAGAGCATGACGAGCCACAGGGAACGCGGATCAGCGTAGACTTGGGCGAGCCGAAAACAGAGGGTAAGCACAGATGTCATACGACTTCTCGCTGGCTGGAAGTTGGCTTCGAGAAGGTAGCGATTAGTAGAACACACACATCGCTCAGCTACAAAGCACTCTTCTTCCGCAACAACGTACACGTAGCTCAGAGTCGTCACTGTCCCCATCGATCACCTTGGCAGCAAGTGTTCTTTTGTGTACAATAGCGTGCGGTGTGATTACTAGATGAACCTTCGTTTCTGCAAGCTCAGAGCACCCACGGGCTCTTTGCTTGGCCGCCGGCCCCTTCAGTCAAGTAAACAGCGAGTCCTTCGTCGTTTATGTAGAAGCAGTCCTCTAGACGGACTCCGACCTAGGAATAGGAAGAGCACGTAAGCATGCAGCGCTCAAGACAAGGGCTACCGACTCATACCTCGCCTTCGATGTAGACACCTGGCTCGTCGGAAAAAGAGTGTCCGCTCATCAACACATCAGTCGATGCTCCGTTCAGGTAAGGAGACTCGTGTCCTTCAAGGCCGATTCCTGCGTGTTTGTCAGCGACAGAAAGATGCTGGTATATCATTCTTAGCAGGACAAGCATCCGCAGATGAATCTGCTTACCGTGGCCTAGACGATGACTAAAATAGGACCCAAAGCCCTCCTCGCCCAGTGAGTTCCTCGCAGCCGTGTCGACATCCTTGGCAAGGACCCCGGCTCTCGCTGCCTCGAGCGCACGAGTTTGTGCTACGCGAACCATACCCCATATCGCCAGATGGCGCTGAGACACCTTAGACTCTTTCAGGAGGAAGGTCTGTATAGTGCGGTTAGGTGAGCTCAGAGCACACGAGAATTCGGTTACACACTCGTGTAACATCACTCGTATATCCATGGAGCGAGCCGCCACAGTCGATGAGAGCATAGTCACTGGGACCAAGTGCCCTGTCGGTCCCAGAACCATGCGGGAGAGCGGCATTCTCTGTATATATAGTGTGAATGACTGCCTATTGCTATAGGAGAGGGGAGTATTAATACCTCCAAACAGTACTATTCCGGAACCATCGCTCAATCCAGCACTTGTGAGGGCCCGAGCAACTAAATCACTGCCTTGCGACTCTTTGATACCAAAGAAGAAGCGTTCACGCACGGCTCGAATAGATGCCAGCGTGGCCTATGACTATTCAGCAACTCGACGTGTACAAAGTAGTATCGACAACTTACCTCGTTGGCGCATTTCATGATCTCGAGCTCCGTGGAGGACTTCCGTTCTCTGATGCGACGAATCTCTACAGGAGCAGTGGAAACCTTTGCCTGGGGCGCTGCGTTCTGCATTCCGTCGACTATGAAGTTCCGAATGCTGCCGTCGACAAAGACCTTGGCGCCATCTTGGAGAGAGGGCAAAGCGCCAACTGCAACATCAAACGGATTAACCTCTTCTGGCCATTCAGGATACAACACCTCCTTGGCCGGAATGGGTAGAAGTTTGGCTCTCGTGGCTTCAAAAGAGGGTGTGAGCAAGGAGATTCGTGGAGTGATTGTGCCGTCGTCCGCAACGTGGGGAGAAAGGATGAGCAGGAGAGGCCGTTCGGAAAGCCTCCAAGAGGAGCTTGACACATTGGCGTAGTAAAGCGCGCTCGCGCCAGGTTCAGCGATATACGCAGATGCGTTCAATCTATGGAGAACCTCTGCGAGGGCAAGTTGACGAGAATAGAATTCCGAGGAAGAAATTGGGGCGACGTGGGAACAGTATGATGCGAGTTCTGGGAAATTATCATCTCCCTTGAGTACAGTGGGCTGAGTGATCTGAGCGCTCAAAGTGAAGATCGCCAGACATATACAGACGAGAGCGACCTATGATGTGGGCGTCAGCTAATGAGATTGTGTCGGTGAACGACATCAAAACGACCTACCACTCTCGTGAATGGCCGCGATACCAATCGTACAGCTGATGGTCTGACGACCCGTACAGGCGCGATGAGAGGAGACTTTTCTGTTCTCTCCATGAGTGAGCTTGAATTCTGTAAGATACTATCAGTTATTTGTGAGCAAAGCAATCCAAATATACAGGCAAGATGTTGTCGACAGTTTCAGTCATGATGCATGATGACTGATGGCGAGAGAGAAATTTCTTTGCCACGTACAGTTGTACTGTTAGTGACTGACGATCAAGCTCTTGTTGGTGATGTAGAGTACAGCTGAAAAAACCGTGCGCATGAGACGGTTCTATGGATGGATCTTTTGTACCATAACTTGCAGTCCTTCCTTCCGACGGAGGTAAAGGGAGATAAGGACTTCAGGAATCGGCGCTTTCCGGGGATGTTGTCAGCGACGGGTGGCGAGCTTGGTTGTTTGACACAAGCCACCCTTTGTGGCAATCGGGCGTCTGTGTCGTGCTAGGTCTTGCTTCAACTCAGCTCCGTTGATCTTTTCACATACAAGCTAGTCGAACTGCTCCTTGTATCTACACCCAGCTCATCAGCTTTCTTCAGTCACAATTGGAACCTGAGCTGCCATAGACGTAAGCCTCTTCTGACCTAAGCCTTGGACAAGCGTTGACCTGACCTTCCTGAATCGCAGCGATTGACCTTTTCCTCACCTTACGGCTCAACTGCTCATGGAGAGCGAGGAAGAGTTTGACACCGATACGAAACTGGCTATGCTCGCCAGCCTTCTGCCTCCGAGCTCAGTGCCGGAGCCTGCAGTCTTACTCGAAGTCCTAGCGCAGTCGGGAGGCATCATAGATGCGGCCGCGAACAAAATCTTGTCCAAGCCAAACATTCGTATAAACTCTCCTGATAAGAAACGTAAACGGGAGACGGACCTAGACGATTGGTTAGGTCGGTCAACGTCGCGGAGCACCAAATCTACACCGAATGCGAACGCAAAACCTTCTAAACCACACAGCTCCTCGTCTTTGCCTAGATCGTCTCGGAGCTCGGAACATCCTCAAAGTGCCAGTACTTCTACCCTTCCTCGCTCAGACAGAAGTCCGGCCAAAAGACAGACAACAAACCTCATGGACGTGCTCCACCCACCTCCATCTGCAGGACCCTCTGTATCACGACTTCCACCTCTGACTCTAAGTAACCCGAGTATGGTGAAAGAACACACACCGTGCACTCTTCATCCGTCTGTGTTACCTCCAGAGCTAGCTTGCCGACTGTTCTACACCATGCTCGCCGAAGCACGAGATTGGAAACGAAACAAATGGTGGCTTTTCGATCGCCTTGTGGAATCCCCCCATCGCACGTCTTTCTTCATACGCGACACTTTGGGCTCGAGGCCGGAAGATCAAGCATGGTTGAAAGTGACACAGTTCTGGTACGTGAGCTCTGTAACGGCTAGGTTTTCGGAAAACTGATTCTGTATCGTGCATACGCAGGTATAATGGGCGCGAAACGGACCCTCCATCAAAGTTTCCGTCAGCCATGGAGGAGGCTTGTTCAATCATTGAGAATGTAGTCAACGAGGAGATGCGCACTAGGGAACGCCTTCCTCTCGAGTGGGCCGGTGTACCATCATCGGCGAGTGACGAACCTATCTGGCGAGCCAATTTCGCTGCATCGAATCTTTACGAAGGAGCGAAAGAGGGTGTTGGCTTCCATTCTGATCGTCTAACGACTCTCGGCCCTTATCCTACGATTGCAAGCCTCAGCCTAGGTAAACCCTTTGTTATTAAATGTCTCTGTTCACATTCACCGGTCAATTGAATCTTCTCAGGGACTCCGAGGGTATTTCGCCTTCGCGACGTCGTTCCCGTGGACGAGAAAGAGAAGCGTACTGCACGGACATACAACATACCTCTCTCACATAATTCAGTAAATATGAATATTCTTAGCAACCCACATTTTGTGTCTGACATACCTTACGCAGCTCGTGATCATGCACGCTACCGCGCAAGAGCGGTTCAAGCATTCTATCCCTCCTCAAAACACTCTCGATCGTTTCCATCCACAATTTCCACCACCGTCATCCTTACCCAGCATCAGTTTTGACCCGTCAAATTGTCGGATTAACATAACTTTCCGCTTTTATCGCCCCGACTATCATCCCGACACCATCCCTAAATGCAAGTGCGGTATACCGACGACCTTGCGGCCTGACATGAAGATGCTGAAGAAGGGTGCGCAAGGGCTAGGACAATATCGCTACTGGTGGACATGTGCCGCAGGTGACCAGAATGAGGGAAAAGGATGTGGGTTCTGGAAGGTCATGGACGCTGAAGCAGAAGGGAGGGGGCCCTTTGCGAAGGATATGCTTCCCTCTGTGTCAAGTCGATGATACGACATTCCACTGATTCATCATGCCAACGAACCGTGCAACACTCGAGTCTCCGTTCAATTTTTTCATTGTGGTTGATTCTTCTCCGAACCGGAGCTGTATGTACTACTTAGTGGGTCACCCAATGTCAGGGCATCCTTCATACGTCGAGCCAGGGGCATTCTATAGTCAAGGATCGCCACGGACGGCGCAGACGTAATGTCAATAATAAAGTGCACATGTATAATGTTTCAATTGTCCATGTTGGTTCACAAGATCTATCACAAACTATGCAGCGTGAAGCTCGAAGCGTCACAATGTCCGAATCCATAAATATCTTCCGATTCGACAACAAGATAACAAACGGGCATCATCGTACAAACATCATCTCAAAATAAAGAAGGCAAGATCTTCGGTCCTTCCACTGGCTGCATGATTTACCAGAAGAGACACTGCTTCTCGCGGGGCGGGTTCAGCTGTGGGCACCACCATGAGTAACCCCGTCCTCATCCGACATCAAATTGCCAGTTGACTGCACGTACCTTGGCTTTGGCGGAACAGTTGAAAGCCTTGGCGAACTCCGGGACGTTAGAAAGCGTTCCATCCACGCGGAACTGGTTTGGCGAGTGAGGATCCGAACGAACCCGAGCAACCTAAGCAAGCGAAGGCGCGGTTTATATTAGGTAGGCGAAGAGCAAGGCTTGTAAAGGGAGACGCACCAGAGATGCAGGCTTGATGTTCTCTGCCCAGATCTGGCCGAACGCGATGAAAAAGAGCTGTTCTCTGGTGTAATTCAGGGCAGGGAGCAAGTATTCGTGGCCATCTTTGAATGAGGCGTCGAACTGCGCTTGCCATGCCCGGAACGCTTGTATGATCCCTGAGTCACCGATGTTTTCTCCGGATGTCCTGTGCTCTGGTCAGTCAACACTCAGAAGAATGGCTCTCAGGGTACCTACAGGTTGCCCTAGTGAACGCCATGTGTTAGCCAAGCCCACTGATGGTTCGAAAACGCCCAAGACTTACATTAACATGGACCTTGTTGCCGTTCTCATCGTCGATTGTGTACGCTATCGGCAGTCATTGAGAATGGGTACAAAGAGGCTATCTGGCAGAAAGGGTAACACACCAGAGTACTGTGTGACGATACAATCGAGCTTCTTCTGGAAGCCGGCACTGGTCGCGTTCGTCCACCACTCCTCGAGCTTTCCTTCTTGGTTGTACATACGTCCGGAGGAATCAAATGCGTGCTAAGGGAGAAGGTCAGATCATAGGGACACTCTGATAACGACGAGCATTATTCACCGACAACTCATGGGCAGCGACCTGCCCAAAGGCTCCATACTGAAGATAAGACGGCCTGCAAACGATGGATGAATACTAGTAGAGATGATGCGTGATTGAGAATAGACGTACCACTCCAGAGAAAAGAATGGAGGGCGCAAGATTCCAGCTGGGAATACAATCTGTATATACTCGGTTGGTGCATCCGACTCTTAAAATGAACGGATGGTGCAGACTTGCCTCATTTGCAGGCGGCGAGTAGTATGCATTGACGGTAGCTGGAGTCATCTCCCAAGCTTGCTTATCCCTAGACTTCCCGACCTGCTGCCATCCTTTATACACTTCGCTGATACTACACGGAAGATGAAGAGAATGTGTCAACATTATACAACCGACCGCGAGGTAAAACTTTCAACATACTCCGCTGAGAGCAGATTGTCGAAGAAAGACTTGTTGTCGATGGTGACGAGGTTATAATAGCGGGCGATGGACTCGGCGCTGCGTGTGTCAGGAGACAGAGGGAAGCCGACTTTGATCGCGAGGGCTTCAGCCTGACACGGCCTTCAGCATGTGACAGTTTCAAGTATATGAAAATGGGGCTCACCTTGTCAGCTGCAGCCTGCGCAGATTCCTCGTCCATCCAAGCGATACTCTTGAGCGATCGCTTGAACGCCTGGATGATATCTAGAAACAACAACCACTACTATCAGTGGTGAAATTCACCTCAAAACATCGACTGCTCTCACCTTTGATGACATTCGTAGCCTTGGTCTGTGAGTCACCACCGAATGCCTCGTTGACGAAGAAACGTCCAGTGGCGAAGCCGAGTGCAGAGTCTACTTGGTTTACACAGAATTCTCCCCGGTCACCGACAGCACCGGGCTTTATTCCGTTCAAAACTCTATATGATAGAAAACATTATTGAGATGTTAATTTTGGTGATGAACCGAAGAGCATATACTCACTCTGTAAGACGACGGTTCGCCTTCCAAGACTCAGTGGACATGCCCAAATGGGGAGCAAGAGCAAGAGCGGCTCTCGAGACAAGGTATGCCTCGATAACCCTTGAGTCTGTGGTGTTGATGATATGCGAGAGCGATACCATGAATTCTGGCGACGTCACAATGATCTCTTCGGGATCATTATCAAGCTTAAAGGCCGCGAAATAGGTATCGAAGTTGAACTGGGGAAGTGTGGTCGTGAGGTTCGAAATGGGGACTTTGTTGTACGTTCCGACGGGATCGCCTTGAAGGACATCCCTGCAAAATACAGAGTGGTGTAAGTAATAGAGACCAGATGGGAAGCAAAAGGCTTACAAGTCCAAGCTAGCGTTGGCAATCCGTTTCTCAAACTTCACAACTTGGTCAGCCAGGATCGGAACCTCCTTCTTGGGGTCCTTGGGATCCCTCCTGTCACCATCATCGTCACCACCCCACGGAGGCCAGGGCCAGGGAGGCCAAACATTGTCAGCATCTTCGTTGACGATGAGATGATCATGTTCCGGACTCTGTTCTGGCCCAAAGAGGTCGTCGTCATTCTCGTACTGGACGAGTAGGAGACGGGTGAGGACGTCTGTGTAGACTTCGATGATGGATTCTTCCTCAAAGTATTCCTATGAATTGACGGGGTAAGCTTTGGTTTATCTGAACTTTGCGAGTCCACGAACCTTGGAGGGAAGGCCTAGTTCGGGTTGGCTGAACCAAAGCATCATAAAGTTTGGATCGACTATTGGTTGTATGTCATGATTATTATCTTTGCAAGAGCCATATGCCTTTGCGAAGTAAACTTACCAGCCGCATCGCCCTCGACACCGAAGTCAAACAAGCCCGGAATACCTGCGGAAAGCGACATGAAACAGATGGACGCACATCATACGCAGAGGGAGCACGAACCACGAGTGTGCAAGAAACTGATGGCGGCAGTAATACCAGCAGTTTTGCTCTTCAAGTCTTCATTGTGTTCGGGAGCACGACCGGTGTCTGTCTTCTTGCCTCTGAACAACTTCTTGAGATTAAGGGAGAATTCCCTAAGAGGACTCTCTCCATATTCGTCCAGAGTATCTTCATCCATGCAGGAGGTGTACAAGTCACGAAGCTTCTTAAGCAATTCTTCGTCATCAGTAGACTTGAATGCGGCAGTGTACTCGGAGTGTTCTCTCTCGAGGATGTCGCGGACAATCTGTTGGTTCTCTTGGAAGAGCTGGTTGAATGTGGCGAAGCGTCCCTTATCGGCAGGTAGTGGGTGTGCCTTGCGCCAGCCGCCAGCTTCACAGCACATTGATTATCCTGAACTCATGGTGAAACTCGCAGGCACTTACAAGCATAATCGTAGAAGTTCTCGCAAGGATCTTGGCTAGTGTCGAGTGAAGACAGAATTCGCGCAGATAGCAGCACACACTGTGGCGTGAGACATTTGGTCTACAGGCAAAAATGACGTCTGAGCAACGTGAAGCAGCCTAAATGAATTGAATTCACCTCGGCAGGGGGACCTGTGGGTACAGGAGCAGGTATTACAGTGGTCGCAGTCGCAGTGGTGGTGGTAGTAATAGTTCCTATGACAGTGGTTGGGATGGCCGTAGTTGCAGTAGCTGTAGTTGTAGCTGTCACGGTACCTTCAGGAACTTCAGGTCTTGTGTGAAGCTTATGCTGCGCCCCGGCGAAGAGGCCGATGAACACAGCGGCAAGGAGCAGCATGAGGAGGATGAGAACAAGTAAAATCTGGTTGAGAATGGTGAGTGGTTCATGTAGAGCATTTCCGACGCGTTCTGTGAAGGGTCGGTTGCTGTTCTCAATATTGGGATCATTCCTATCGTCGAGAAGAGGAGCTGACTCTGGTGAAGCTGTTACTATCCGTCCGCAGAAGTGTACATTAGCCTGACATACCTTCGTCAGTCGACGGTCGTGCCTCCCGGTCAGCCATTGGGGGCAGCTGCGTATGAGGTGGACTCTTGCGAGTGCTCGAACAAGGTGGTCGTGGTGGTCGTCAGAGTGCTGCAAGGTTGTCGTTTGGCAGTCGCGTTTCGCGTCTCCGTTCATGACGTGACGCGGCGCCAAATGCGGCAATTCCATGCTAAAGCGCCAAATATCGACGCGCGATCCTGCTCGCCACCGTCGACGATGTCTTTCGTCGCCGCACGCGGCGCTGCTGCCTCTCGTTTACTAGCTGCTCGCCGACCTCAAGTACTACCACTGCTGACCCGCCGCTCAGCCGAGTCACGCAGAAATTTGCTTAATTTTCTTCGTCGAAAACCGAAGAATACACCCTCTGAACTCGAACCAATACTCTCTCAAGACGACCTCTTCCATCCATTTTCTCAATCACCCTTTCCCGCTATCCGAGCCCGCGGAGAGGCCATACAAAAATTAGCACCTTGCCCTACTTGTCTCTCTGAGCATACCGGCACGCACGCACACACCAAAGCCCAACCAAAGAGTGTCAAGTTCGAATGTCCAGATTGTGGTTGGCCGACGCATTGTAGCGAAGAGCATTGGAAGGCGGATGAAAATCATGCCAAGTACTGCTCTAGGCTGAGGGAGGTCAATGAAGATGATCACGACTTGAGAAGTGGGAGAAGGATACAGGAGTTTGAATTACCAGGTGCGTCTATCATGTTATACGTTTGCGTATTTTACTCTGCCTCAACAGGTTCCCTTCTCTCCAGGTCCCCAAGACACAGAAGCGGCCATATCATTTGCCAACTGGGACGTCTTCTGGTATACTCGGAATTTCCCATCTATGGATACCGAACGTTCTCGGCGACATTCCAGCAAGTTGCTCACTTACCCCCTGACCATCGGCTCTGTGTTACATCAATGGAGCCCCCTTATGTTAAGTAACCAACGGCTTACTCCCGAGGGAAGCCGTTCCCTTGCAGGTCAGTCTTGTTCATGAATAACAGCCATTTTCAGTTCATTTTTAAACGGGATACATAACGCTTGGCATACAGCTCTCCGACTTACTCTCCATGGACCTACTGGTACACCTGAGACCGCGGAGGCTGCAGCTGCGAAACCTCAAGTCCGTATCTTCATTCTCGGTGCTCGCGCCGAATCATCGTTACCACCACACGTCTGGGAGCAGCTCTGCTTGCTCTTCCCGGCCGGTCTCTTCCACCTCTTCTTCATCGGTCCACAAGTCTCTCTGCCTAGACCACCAAATGCAGGCCCCCCTCCGTCTTCAAAACCGGCTTCATCACCTTCCTCTGCGCAGACAACCGCAACTGCATCCGCTCAACCCTCCACAGACACTACCTCTACGGCTCAGTCGACCGTGGAAGGAACTACTGAGGTGTCCGAGGTGAAGAAAGAAGAGAAACCTGTCTATGTTCCTAACATCTACGAACCGCCCACTCCCGCACCTATTGCCCGAATGAAGCGAACGAGAGAATCGATCAAGCGCTATGGCGTTCCCTCCTACACAGTCCCGTACACGCCACAACTGACGATTACTGGCATGCAATGCAAATACCGCGACGTCCACGCACAATTCCAGGACACGTTCGATCCCTACACGGACCTATTCTTCCTGTTCTCTCCTGGCTTCGGATTCCCGTCCACTTCGTCCGTGGATGAAATCACAGGCGAACCGCTCCTGCAGATCGCGTCGCCTACGGACTGGGGCGTGGAGATCCCTCTGTTGCTCGAGACGAAGTGCCCGATTTTTGTGACCGGATTCTCACCTGCGGATGTGGAACGGGACGTCAAGTCGCTAGCGACCGCACCCGGGGTGGCGGGAGAGTTTGACTGGGTGATTACGCCGGGGCCGAACACGTTTGGCAGTGAGAAGTGGGAGGTGGCGGACTTTGACCCAAGGGTGATGGTGAAGACGAACTGGGGTGTGTGGGGCATGCGAGGAAAGAGGAGAGATGTGCAGGAGAAGACTTGGTTCAACTATTTGTCGGCACCATAGATGTTATTCTTTACTATCATACAGCCATCTCCACTTCCAGGCAGTCGTAACGAGATGAAGTTTGAGATGAAAATATGTAGCAGCTCAGATGTTACCCAAAGACGCGTGCCACGACGCGTCTGGTCACGTGCAATTCAACGCGTCGAAATTCGAGACGCGTCCAGACGTTTATTGTCCTCTCCATCGCGTCTCGCTCTGAACACGCTGGCAGCAGCGACAGCACACTCCTCACGCTCGCTCACGACATGGTCTTCCTCCCTCCGCCACATCTAGCTTCAGCTTCACGGCCATCGTACGCAGAAGCCTACGCCGACATCCTAGCCACTCACCGCCGCTTCCCCCTCGTGTCCGCCGCCTCCGTCACGATCCTCGTCGCACCAGATGTCGACGCGCTTTGTGCCGCTCGCATGCTCGCGGGTCTGTTTCAACAGGACGATGTCACACATAATGTAATTCCCGTGTCAGGTATAGCAGAACTGGAACAGATGCGGGAAACACTGATGACCTCGAACGAGGTGCGTCTCTTCCCGCCTTGGGATATATGACAGTCATGCTGACGGTCACAATCAGCTTCACACCCTCATACTAGTCAACATGGGTGCAATCCTGGACTTGCCATCGGACGAGTGGTTCGGAGACTTTCCGAACCGACTACGTGTTCATATTATCGATTCAAGTCGACCGTGGAACTTGTCAAGTTTGTTTGCGGGAGGGGAGAACGGAGAGCGAATATATGTATGGGATGATGGAGGTGCGGAGAAACTCGAGGAGGAACGAAAAGCATGGGAGATGATTTCGGTGAGTGTCCTGTTTTAGACCTTGGATGTAGCGGAACATGACGAGGATATCTAGTACGAGCCAGAAGAGGATTCGGATGAAGACTCGGACGAAGACGACCCGCCAGATAGCTTAGATGACGATGAATACGAAGAAGGTAGCTCGTCAGGGAAGCGGAGATCACTAGGTGACGGACCTCGGAGCCCTGGTAAACGACGCCGAGTAGATGGACAGGTGAGTAGTTTCTCCATAACGCTCTCCGATGTGATCGCTTATGAAGGTTGGGGCAGCGGCCACATCGAATATCACGCGACGAGCGGGAAGACTATATGGAGCGTTTGAACAAACACTATGCATCAGGCACCTGGTACGGTCAGAGCGCGTCGGGCACGGTGTATATCCTCGCCACAGTCCTCGAGCGTGTAGACAATGACCTTTTATGGTTTGTATTCTTTCCTTTCACATTTTTGCTGAACTGAGTGTGCTTATATTCCTAATAGGCTGGCGATATTAGGTTTAACATACCAATACACCTCATGTCGAATATCCCGAGACGAGTACGATAAATATTGTAGCATCTACAACGACGAAGTAGCGCGACTGAACCCTCCCCCACCACCGAACGACACCCTCGGTTTCGCTTCTCTCAATGCAGACGATAAATCTCTCCGCGTCACGGACGAACTCCGGTTCGCTCTCTTCCGACATTGGACGCTTTACGATGCTATGTATCACTCGAGCTACGTCGCCAGCAAGCTTGGGATCTGGAAAGAACAAGGTCGTAAGCGGCTGACGGGTTTGCTTGCGAAGATGGGGTACGTTATTGCTTTGCATGTGGTGGAACTGGTCCCTGATGAGTTAAACCGGATCTTAGATTCTCTACTTCACAAACTCAACAACTGTATGCACATATGGCCATGGACCTCAAACGCGAACTGCGGGGCAAGCTAGAAGCCATCGCCCCAGAATATGGCATGGTCGAACTATCTTACCCTTCGTTCGTACGATGCTATGGCTATTACACCCAACCACTCGCAGCAGCCGACGCCGTGGAAGCTCTGAACTCGCTACTTGACGCTGCGACCGGCGTGCCAATGGAGGTCGAGATTGTCGGAGCAAGGAACGGAGGGGAGTGGTTCGGTGGCGGACATGTGTGGCATGCGGGCGGGAGATGGGCTACTGAGACGGCGGACAAGATTAAAGAGAAACAGAGAGGCAGAGAGGGCAATGCAGAGGATGCGGCGTTGGATGGTGACACGGACCCTGAAGAGGATGGCAAGTCGAATATGGCGAAGAACTTCTGGAGCGCTTTTGATGCGCTAGACGAGTGAGCTCATCCCCTTATGAGATATCTCTATGAAAGTTCGATATCTAATAATGTCGACGCTTGCTTTCACTCAAGTATTGAACGACTACATCAATCGCTTCAGCTCGCCATGGCAGTCCAACGTGCCATCATCACCACAGGCTCCTCCATCATCGACAGGCAAGACATCCGGAGGACGAAAGGTCAACACATCGTCACGCTCAAACAAGGCTCCAACCTCGAACTCTTCGCCCGTCCGGGCGTCCTCCTACGTCTGGGTCTTTGGCTCGTGGACGCCTTGCGGAACAGTAAGGGTGCGGACGATATAGGGAGGAAGAGGAAGAAGAGCATACCGATCATTTTGGCGTGCTTGAATGAGAAGGCGAAGACATACACTGTCGTTGGTATCAATGCGGCTCTCGACTTCGGAGATGTCAAGAAAAAGTGAGATTATTTTCGTCTCTAATGATCATGGCTTGTGTGCTGCTGCTGACGTACACCTTTCCCTCTCTCTTGCGAAGTGACTTCGGCCTGTTATTTCTGGATGCGAAAGAGGAGACGGGAGCAAGAACACGGCATGGCTCGTTCGATACGAGTGTCCTGGAGGTCAACGAGACGGACTTCGAGGCGTTTTTGGCGGAAGTGTCTCGGATTCGGTCTGAGAGGTATTGATACGTTGGTCGTTTATTTTCGCTTTGCTATTTATCCCTTTGTAGATTATATCGGCTGTATGGATATGCATTATTATCAAGTTTTCCCTGTGTAGGATCATGTCTTTTGGGTGAGGTATGTGGATGGCTACAATTAAGGCAGCATACAGAGTATGTAGATGTTGTCGCCATTGGTCTCAAGGCGCTCTTAATCTTCGCCCCCAAAGCCACCCAGACCCCACATTCTGAAACCCATTCCATGCCTGGGGTCAAAGATAAGTGTGAAGCGGACATAAGGTGGAAGGTACACAAGGACGGAACTCACCCTCCTTCCGAGTGCCTCGAAAAGTAGTCGAAATCCACATTCACTAGATACGCATACCGTTGAGTTGGACACGTCATCCGCGGCATGGAAATATGTCACTTACCTGCCATGGCTAAGACGAGCTACCGCAGAAAGAGAAGTCGTCAGGACATGCTGAGATGAGAAGGTCGTATAAGTCGCGATCACTTACCGCACGCTCTCGTAGGTCCAGCTCTCGTTTGATGACAGGTGGATGTAAAGCTCCCTGCTCATCTATCCTGAGCATCTGAGGGGTGAAGTTGACGAAGTATTGGCCCGTGTCTGTGAAAATCTGAACAGAGTAAAGTAAGTCAACATGACCCCTTCCTCTATAGGTACATAGATCAATATATACCTCACGACCGAATCCACGGAACTGTCGGTTCACGCTAGCGATCTCATCACCTTGCTCGTCACGCAGAGCGAAATTCCAGGCCCAAAGCCCTTCGTCAATCTTAGCAAACTGAGTAAACTGGTCCAAGTCTGGTTCGGGCTGGGGTTCGTCGGTTGTGGAAAGAATTCTGCGAGGCTTGTCTCTGTTTGAGGTAAATAGTTGTCAGGTATAAGGAAACAGAGCAGACAAATTCGCAAGGACAGACCGAAGGAAAAGGTCGTATCGTCGCCGCCAGGGATGCCAGCGCTGTTGTACTTCGGAAAATGTGTCAAGGACAGGTTGACCGTCTTCAGCGTACTCATGGAAGTCTTTCAGCGAGGACACAAACATCCGGGAGTTAATCCAATCGAAAGGCCTTCGGATCTAGGTTTATTTACTGTCGATTACGAGGCACGCCGGACACAAGCATAGGAATAACATACCCAGAGAACGGGTGTCCCCTCTCTGTCCATGATAATCGCGCGGAAAGGACGATGAGTTCTAAATATTTGGCGAGAGAATTGAGCGAGAAAACCGCGAGGCTCTTCTGCTATGAAACCCAGGGGTTCTCCCTCTTCGTTCGCTAGTGTAGAGAAACCTCCGGGTTTAGCACCACATCCTAAAGAGAGCAGGTAGAAGTCACCAACCGATGGAATATTTATTTGTCTGCTCAAAACCGATGAAGATATTCAGCATTTCGATTTGTCTGTCCACATACACGTTGTAGCCCTCCTACGACGTGATCAAAATCACGAAACGCTCACCTAGTCACGACGAGCGAATTGCTTTCTAAGAGAAGGCGCATCAACCCTTCCTCTGGATCACTACCGATTATCTTTCGACTTTCCTCCCATAGTGGAGACTCCTCTGCTGACGGACGTTCTTCCGAGCCATATTGGTCGGCGTGTTCGGGTGGGGCGGGGGCCTGAGGTGTTCGTTGTGGCGACGGAGGTGATTTGGTCCTGCCAGTACCCACCGGCTTTCGGTCAGGAAACCTTGATAATGCATACGGTCTACAGTGCAAGAGCGACGGCCGCGATGCTATACGCGACAGTGATGAGCGAAGCATTTCGCATGTCGGTGTTGCTGAGGTCAATTGGCCAAAGAAAGTGCATGTATGTTTGACGCGTCGAGTGTGGCGGAGTTGTGGCGGAGAGAACCGGCGCCGCCCTGTCGGCCACTCTCCATGAAAGTGTCCCCGACTTTGCGTTCCCTCCTCAAGCAGCTCTCTTGCGATGACCAACTAGACAAAGTACTCTATTTCCTGCCTATAGTGCTTATACCCTTCTCTACTTGCCACTTACCTTGTTGAGCACTGTCCGATGCATAGACGGTCAAAACGCACTCTTTCTGCCCTCCGGAGGAATGCTCAAGTGCGGGGCGCTGCTACGGCCACAAAACCCGCAGTGCGTCCATATTCTCTGGGCTCATATAGTTGTTATGTGCTGACTTTCGTCATTTGCTTAGCCGGGTAAATGGGGCGCACCCCAAGCTTCTCCTACCCCATCCACATCGACATCGTCGAAATGGGCTCGTCCGCCTCCACCACCTCCACGTTCTAGCAATGCACAGTCACAACAAAACATTCGTAGCGGGCAAGACTCCAGTCCCTCAGGAGTTTCATGGGCAAACAGCTCCCAGAACTCATCACAGACGCTCGCTTCTTCGTCGACTCGCCCGGTTTCTGCGCCAAATCCTTCCCCATTCAAAGAGGCCTTGTCATCTATAATCGAAAGCTCGTCTTCCCCCTCACCTGGCCTCAGCAAATGGTCGCTTCCCTCTGGACCCAGTCAGACTGGACCTTTGTCATCTAATGCGCCTTCAACGTCTACCTTACCCAAGTGGGCATTTCCGAATAGGCCTGGAAGGGCTTCCACGACGTCTTCATCTACGGCTACGCAGCTCGACCGTGACAAGGCTCCTCATCTGGTGTCATCCGTTCAGCGAAGAGATCAATTCCGCAATGGTGAATTCAATCGCGACCGCAGAGACAGACCCCTCTCGCGAGACGGAGATTCACGCAATAACGTTTGGCGCGACCAGGACTCACGCTACTCTCAACCTTCCACTTCGAGAAGACCAGCTGAGCGTGATGAGAGGAGACCTAGTCGAGCAGCGGAGGATGTGAAGTCGAATGGCCGAAACCCCTCAGTGGTTGATGAGGATGATGTGGTTGCCGCCGACTCTGTTGATCTCACTCCGGAGGAGCATCGCCGGAGGCGGGTGAAGATGCTTTTCAAGGAGCGTGGTTCTTTGGCTAGACATGTTGGCGAGGATGTTGTTATACCTGCGCATCGCAGACTGTCACACGAAGCACAGGGAACACATCCTCCGAAGGTGGCGCGGCCGAAGAAGGCGTTTAAGCCGAAGCAGGTCAAGAGGGATTTGTTCATACCTTCAATGGTGTCAGTGGGCAACTTTGCAAAGCTTCTCAAAGTACCGTTAAGTGAGTGATATCCACTGTGTCTATTGCTCTGCAACATGTGGCTAAATAGAATGTTTCAGATCGTCTACAGTGGAAGATGCGAGAAGCTGGCATGGGCGAAGATGCGGCGGCAGAGCACAGTAAGAAACGATCACCCCGACTCGTCTCCTGATGCAATACTAATAATCTGACATAGTCCTTACTTCCGATTATGCTGCTCTTCTTGCCGAGGAGTTCAACAGAAATCCGGTTATCAATGATGCTGCAGCCTTCGATATTTATCCTGCGTGAGTGTCTTTGACGGTCTACCCGAATCGAACTCACACATTCGTTCGCACATAGCCCACCTCATGCGGAACCTTCCACCTTACCTGCCAGACCACCAATCGTCACCATCATGGGCCACGTTGATCACGGCAAGACGACACTCTTGGACACCCTTCGTTCGGCTTCCGTAGCATCTGGCGAAGCTGGTGGTATCACACAGCATATCGGTGCATTCTCCGTTCCAGTACCTAGTACAGCCGGCGGCGACGGAAAGCGGACAATCACGTTCTTGGACACGCCAGGGCATGCCGCTTTTTCTGCAATGCGTGCCCGTGGCGCGAGTGTGACTGACATTGTCGTACTGGTCGTCGCTGCGGATGATGGTGTTATGCCACAGACCAAGGAAGTCATCGAGTTGGCCAAGAAGGATGCGGATAAGGTGCAGCTTGTTGTCGCGATCAACAAGGTCGACAAACCGGGCGCAGACATCGTAAGCTTCGTCTTTTGTGTGGTTCGTGTGCATATGAAGGTATTGACGATGTTCTGCAGGAAAAGGTGGTCAACGCTCTCTTGGTAGAAGGCATTCACCTTGAATCCATTGGTGGTGAGGTACCGTCAGTCGAAGTCTCCGGTCTCACAGGGCAAGGTCTGGATCAATTAGTGGAGACAATTTCCGCGGTGGCTGAGATGCAAGACCTGCGAGCTGAGCATGATCTGAACGCGCATGGGTGGGTGCTGGAATCCAAAGTTCAGAAAGGTCTTGGGTACGTTTATCTGCGCAATCTCACCTGGCATCTTTATGCTGACATGGCTATCACACGTAGACCGGTGGCTACCGTTCTTGTTTCTCGTGGCACTCTCAAGCCTGCCGCTCACATCATCTGTGGTACCACCTTCGCTCGTGTTCGTGTGATGACCGACTCCGCGGGAAAGCCTGTTAAGGCAGCTCTTCCCGGCATGGCAGTCACCGTCTCGGGCTGGAAAGATGTTCCGAGCGCCGGCGACGAGGTCCTCCAGGGCTCAGAATCAGACATTAAGAAGGCCGTGGCCAATCGCGAGCGCAAAGCCGAAGAGGACGCCACAATGGTGGACCTCGAAGCTATCAATGACCAACGTCGCGAGGAACGTGAGCGACGGGAGTTGGAGGCTGAGGCTGGAGCGACTGGAGAGGATATCTCTGCGGAGGATGCTAAGCCCGATGGCCCGAAGGAGCTTCGGTTGATTATCAAGGGCGATGTGAGCGGGAGTGTGGAGGCTGTCGAGGGCGCTGTGCAGGGGATTGGAAACAAGATAGCTTGTGTCAAGATTGTCGCTACTGGAGTTGGCGAGGTCTCGGAATCGGACGTTCTTAGAGCCAAGGCGTGTCAAGGTCAGTTGGTGTTGTGCACCCCCGCTGTTTTGGTTTACGAGTGTATTGACTGATTCATATTACCACAACAGCCATGATTGTAGCCTTCTCTGTCCCTGTGCCTCGCCCAGTACAGGCCTCCGCGGGACAGAATAGCGTGTCAATTTACTCTTCCCCGATCATCTACCAGGTCATGGACGAAGTTAAGAAACGCGTCTGCGATCTTCTCCCCTCCGTATACGAGAGGAAAGTCACCGGAGAAGCCAAGGTTGCCCAAATCTTCGACATCCATCTCAGCGGGAAACGGATCAAGAAGGTAGCTGGTGGCCGTATTAGCAATGGCGTACTTGAGAAGAGCAAGGGCGTTCAGGTCATCCGTAATGGCGAAGTTGTGCACAGTGGTACGTGTCCTACTCTTCACCTCGATAAGCTATGCTCTATGTTTTATATCATGGTGCATTGTCTGACAATGAATACAGGACGGCTCGAGACGTTCAGGCATCTCAAGAACGATATCACCACTGCCTCGAAAGGTCTCGAGTGTGGTATGGCTCTCGAGAACTTCGATGACTTGCGTCCGGAGGATCTTATACAGTGTTATGACAACATAGAGAAGCCGAAGACGCTTTATTAGAGTACTTATATTGGCTGCTTTGTGTTCTTGCTTAAATGCTAGATCGTCACCCCCTTTTGCGCATAATCAGAGGCCTTGGATGCAGGGAAATTGCTACAGCGGAGAAGGAAGCGCGTCGTATTGTATTCCAACTCAGCGAATACGTGTCCAACGGTAGGGTCATCGACGATGAAAATCAATTCTTAAGAGTGCACCACTGAAGCCCAATACCGCCTACACCAAAACAACACCAGCAAAAACACCAGCAGCAACGGTAAACAAACCGAGCACAGAGGTCTTGAGCACGACAGCCTCTGTGGCGCTCGAAGACGTCGACGAGCTGGAGCTCGAGGTAGTGTTTGAAGTAACCGCATTGGTGCTTATGACCCACGGGTTCGTCACGCCCGAAGCGGTCAGATTGACGGAGTTTCCGACGTTGGAGGCGGTGATGGAGGTGTTGAGGAATGGGGAAGTGAAGATCTTGCCGTTGCCGGCTCCCTTGGCGGTCAGGTTGGGAGCGGTGAATGGAAGGTACATTTCGACATCTGGATGCGAGGGGAGACGATCAATGAGATAAATTAGGGTCGGGATGTAGGGTGTGTGGGGACGTACTGAGAGGGCCAGCAAAGATGCCAGTCAAGTTGAGCAAAGGCTTGTCAGTAACGTTCGTGTTCGTCCAGCCGGTTGTGCTGGCGACAAACTCGTAGACGTTATTCATAGTCCTGAGGTTGCGACGTTCATGTAGTCAGCTTTTTGTGGGGCGAGGCATGAGATAATGACTAACGTGTTAACATCACCACGGCCCAAAGCAGGCAGGTCCCAGTTTGCCTCCACGGTACTCAGAGAGGAATAATGGGAGTAGAATGTGCTGTCCGTTGTGCCCTTGAGGGACGAAGGGACGGCGCCGCCGAGCAGCAGAGAGTAGACGCGGTTTTCAACGCCATATGTCTCGTTTTCACTGGTTGATAGAAGGTAGGTGTAAGAAACTCGGAAAGCCAAGGAGAGTGAAATACGTACTCAAAGGTCAACAGGATTAAGGTCTTGTTATCATTGAATCTGGTGTCGTTGAGCAAAGGGATCAACCAATACGATAACCAACTGCTAGCGTAGTCGATGGTCGTATCATGAGCATCCTGTGTACAAACGGTAAGCTATAAGGCCTGATAAGAACTACACGGAATAACGCACGTTCACCATGTTGGGAGTGACGAATATCCACTGAGGAAGGGCTATAATACCATCATTTTTTGATGAAGGATGAAGGATGAACAAGCCACATACATCCGTTCACAACGTCGTTGGCGAAGTCGTTGAAGTTACGTATTTTGTTGGTGCGACTAGTGTTGGCCGCGACTGAGTCGAAAATGGTTGACGGCGTATGTTTGCGAACATAGTAGGCATAATCGGCTGCCGAGGAATTACCGTAGTTCACGGACGAGAAACTATGATATGAGGTCCCGTCAGTATCAGTTCACATTTATATCTATTATTATGCAGCGAAGTAGACTTACTTGAACCCGCCATAACCATCGGTAGGCTGATTTTCGCTGTACGTTGCCCAGGAGATACCCCCATCCTCGAGAATATCAATGATGGAGCTGATATTTGAGGGTATGTGGTAGTAGCTGAAGGGGACCCCCATCAGCTTTATGAAGGAAGAGGAAGAAGTGACTATGATGTTGGCTTACTCGTCATCTCCCAGTCCGAAGAAATCTCCGCCAAGAGAGGCAATATCTGTGAAATGTATTGAGTGGGAAAAATAACAAAACTATCTCGTGGCTTACAGTTTGGCTCCGAAGGATGGGTGACAGAGAACAGCTCCGAGAGGAGAATAGCCTCCTTCGAGAGCTCCTGGAAGACAGGGCTAGAGGCCGCAACCTATGGTGTACGATGTCGACTGAGGTGAGACTGAGTTATCCAATGATGGCTTAATCAGACGCACATTGAAGTCCGTGTTCTCAAGCCATATCTGAATAAACCTGTCAAATGATTTGCCTGCGACCCAGGAGGAATTGGTCAAGGTGTTGTTAGATAATCCCGTATAGTTGGTCGACTGCACAAGAGGTCCTGTCGTAGCATTATTCCCGTAGAAATGAGTTGAGATTTCAGTCACACGATGTAAAAGCGAAGGCAGACCAGCGGCAGGAGCAACGAAGGTCTAGGAGGTAAAAAGATAATGAGCAAGGTTTGCGGTGAGGTTGTGCCACACAATGGAGCTAACCGGGGCAGTAACGGCATATGCCGATCCAACAAACAAGGCCACGAGGAACGCAGAGGATTTGAACATCTTGAAGTTGGACCTGCTCGAGGGAGAGGTGAGCGCACAACTATGAAGGCCCTGGCGGGCTTAAAACGACTCCTTCGCGTATATATACGGACAAGCGCTCGGATAAGACGAATATTTCTATATCCTTCATGCTATTAGATGCTCCTGGGCCACGATTGACGCTCTCCTCGACATCCCCGTGCCAGTGCAGCTGTCGTCGTCGACGCACGTTCGTGCATTGTTCCTGCCCCTGCACTGGTAGTAGCACATGCTCTGGTCCAACTATGGTCTTGTCCATCAGAACACTAACCCCGCTCGTGCGATTCGCCAGAAACGGCTGGGCGTATAACGCCGGCGGGCCCGTCGTTCAACAGTCTTGCTTTGGTCTTTGTCCACCATGTCGAAGAATGGGTCCGGTCTTGACATCCATTACTTGCCTCTTCATGTTCGAAGAAGAGATCGCAACTCGTGTGCATGTCTTGCCGGGCTCATTCTGGCTTCTGCTGTCGTTCTGATGCTTGCTCTGGAATTCGGACTGGATCTAGGATTGAGACACGACATCGGATCTTCATTGGAGAATGATGCACAAAATTCTGTCGTTTCGCTGGATCAGCTCGTAAACAGCTCGCAGTTTACACTCGACCCATCGTTCTCTGTATCCTCAATACCCACTACTCGATATTACAATTGGACCGTGTCCCTAGTTAATGCAGCTCCGGTCGGTATAGTCAAGGTATACGCTCTTTCTTCTAAAGGGTTTAAACTATGCTGAAGAGGAAATCAGCCTATGGTTGTAATAAACGGTGCGTTACCCATGTAGCGATTGTGGGTCGTGGCGCCTAATACAATTGTTGAATAGGAATGTCTCCTGGACCTGTTATTGAAGCCAACAGCGGAGATCGAATCATCGTATGCACTGCATTTCTACTGATTGATGTACAGGAGCAATAAAAACACTCTCTGTTCTGCTCTAGGTCCGCGTCAATAACGATATGTCTAACGAGTCTACGTGAGACTGAAATAATTGGATGCTGTTTTCGCCCTGTCTGACCTTTCATTCGTAGAACTATTCACTGGCACGGTAGATATCACAGCCTTCGCCTAGAACTATCTCTGATCTATCAGCAGGTTTATACCAAAACGGAACGTCGTGGATGGACGGGACCAATGCTATCTCGCAATGTGGCATTCCACCGGGCGAGACTATGACCTATAATTTCACTCTTGAAGACTGGGTTGGGACGACCTGGTACCAGTACGTGCCGGTGTTTAACGTGAAACTTGATCAACAACAAGTTTGACTTATGTGCTTCCGAATAGCGCCCACTGCAGTACCATGTACAGGTACGTCCCGGCAACACCTTATCTTTCGAGTTATCCAGATACCTAGACTGTCATTGTAGCGATGGCTTAGTTGGTCCCATCGTGGTATATTCCCCCAATGAAACTGTGCCGTCATCCGATCAAGATCTCATTGTGCAGCTCTCGGATATCTACAACACCTGGTCCCCGACTCTTCTTTCTGGGTACCTCTCAGTACGTGATTTGGAAGTTTCCCCTATATTTGTCTTTAATGTTTGTTCTACTCTGGCCAGAACAATGACATTGAGGTTGCGTCAGAACCTGTTCCCGACGCCGGTACCATCAACGGAATTGGGCAATTCACAGATTGTGCAGCATACGCTGATCAGCCTTGTGACGGTCATGGATCGTACTTTAACTTCACTCTAGCAGCGAACAAGACGTACGTATCCTTCATCATAGCTATTCTCATCGAGCCCAAACTCATATACTTCATTACCGTTCAGGTATCGACTCCGTCTGATTAACTCTGGATCTTTTGCTCCTATCCGCTTCTCGGTAGACTCGCATGTCCTCACCGTCATTGAGGCAGACGGTACACCCGTGGAGCCGCTGAAAGTCTCTTCAGTTAGCCTCCAGGTTGCCCAGAGATATTCCGTCCTTCTCCGTACAAACCAAACAGCCGATGCCTACTGGATGCGAGCTGTCTTGGACGAGAGCATGTTTGCCTATACCAAGTAAGCGCTATGTTTGGTGTATCCACGCAGAGGCTCATACTTATATGTACGTCAGCCATGCGTTGCATGGAACGATTCTGGGCGTCGTCCGCTATGACGGTGTACCGAATGGCATGATGCCCAATTCATCTTTGGCATCATCTAATCCTGGCACGGGGACCAGCGCCTCCGACCTCGATACCTCTAGGCTCGTCCCCGCAGACGCCATCGACGCACCGTCAACTGCTAGTATTAGCATACCGTGGACGTTCTCGATACAGAGAACGTGGAATCAGAACTGGCGGTCGTTCATCAATTTGACGAGCTGGGAACCGTTAGGGTCTGGCCAAGCGACGCTCATCAGCGCGACGGCGGTGAATGCGTCAACAGGTGTGCAATCGTTTGATGGGTGAGTCTTCGCTGTTCTGTACTTCGGATACTTCATCATGATCATGGGCATTTCATCTCAGAGACCAGCTCATAACGACGTTTGAAGACATCCAAGTAGTGGATTTTGTGATCAACAATCTAGATGACGGAGGTGAACACGACTTCTCTTCTACATTTGACGCCACATTGATTCTAATTGACCATCAGACCATCCCTTCCATCTGTAAGTCTGCAGCACTCTTACTATTCCCACTGCATAATTCAGCACAATCCACCTATAGCCATGGCTACAAGCCGTGGATAATGGGCTCTGGAGTCGGACGATATATAGGGACACCGCTCAACAGCACGAACCCAATGAGGTGCGTCGATCCTCACTAGACACAAGCTTGCGGACTGAACAGACGACGGCCAACGTTCTGCAGAAGAGACACGTTCCTCGTCCCTGCTTTCTCCTGGATTGTCGTCCGCATCATAACAGATAACCCTGGTTATTGGGCATGTGCGTATCCGCCTTTGTTTCTACTTCCGATGCTGGATGCGGTGTTGACATATCGCCCGATCCGCCCTTGCATCTACCAATCACCGTTCAGTTCATTGTCATGTTGCATGTGCGTGACACTCTTTTTCAAATCGGTGTCCGAACGACTCATCTAAACTTTTCTCCTGGTCAGGGCATATGGCTGCCGGCGGTCTGTTCCAGGTGGCGGTCCAGCCTTCAAAACTTAAGTCCTCCACATTCCCGGACGATATTGTACAACAGTGCACGGCGGCGTTGACCAACGGGATTACTACAGTTGGATGATCGCTTGTATTAAACACATCTGTATCATGATACGTCTGCAAAATTTGTAGTTTTCATGTCCAAGATTTTTGCGGTCTGCGTACGTGTGTTTTACATCAAAAGATCAACCCAACCCCGAGCACTCTACAAGAAAAAATACAGCATTGAGGCTTCGTCTTGACTCGTTCCCATCTCACGGTCACCGTACGATCTCCTTCGCTCCGATGGTTCCAGTCCTCCCGCCTACACCGAATGTGAGTGCGATGTTACCGAGATCCTGGTCTGTCTTCTCAAGAAGGGTCCAACTTCGGCCGTCCATCTTTTTGAGTGTGCATTCGACCTAGAAAGCCATTAATGCAACATCGATCTGAGTAGACACCCACGGTTTTTTGAGAAACCTACCTTTGTTCCATAGAATTTGAAGCTAGATGCTTCTACGGAAATGGGCCCGAAGAGCACCAACGAACGAGTGAAGCGTTTTGAGCCGGGAAGGAACAAATCAAGGTGAATCTAGAACGACAAAATGGAAAATTTACACAATTTGCTCGAACAAGCATGAAGGTGTGCCATACCTGATCTTGCTCAAATCTAACAACACTACGACTCGAGTCTGCTTGCTTGGCGAATACGGAAACGTGAACGGCGCTCGGGGTCTGGTAATGATCTATCCGGCAGTTGACGAGCTCTTCTTCATTCTGTGGGCAGATCAGGTCAGTACATAGAGAAAAATCACACAAAGAAGACGTACCTCGTCTTCGTCAGATTTCTTTGGGACGAAAACGTGGCGACCCTTTTTACATCCCTCAATCTTCAAGAACTCGTCAAACTCCAGCACTCGCCGCTTGCAGCAGAGGTATCCCTGTGATGTAAACGTTCGAGTAATGAATCACAGAGGAACACTGATCATTCATGGATCGTCTACCTTGCTTCCTTCATGGAATATTGGCTATCATGACGTGAGCAAAACGAACTCTCAATGAGATCAAGTCATGCGAGGGAAGACGTACACTTTGTGGGTGATACGTGCAGATGGCACCCTCTCCATCGCCCTTCCGGTTCTCTTCATCACTCACGTACTCGATGTCACAGCCGTTATGCTTGCATTTTGTACCAGGTGGAACCGGTGCATCCAAGTCGTCCTCGACTTCGGGAATAGGAGCCGGAGGGGCAGTGGCAGTAGCGATCGCAGGGGCTGGCGCGGATGCGGTGGGTGGCACCGCAGAAGTATTGGAATACGTCTCTTTGCCGTTGCTCGATTCGGTCAGCTTCGCGTCCGAGGTCGTACTCGAAGGAACCTTTGGAGCTTCTTCTTTCACTGGTTCGGCACTGTGAGATCCTCGAGTGCAGCCCTGGTACAATCAGGATGACGCCGCAAGGCTATCCCATGGAAGACGTACAGTGATCTTCATGAACTCGTCAAACTCAAGCACCGGTTTATTAACCGTGTTACAACAAGACCAGGACTTCAGTCCTTCGTGAAAAACCTAAAATCATACGAAAGATGACGCGCTTGAGTACTTGAAGGGCGTTAACGAGGACAATATTGACGCACCGGGCCACCAGGATGATAGATGCAGCTTCCATCGGGGTTGTTTTCGGGATCGAATTCCTGTTGGCAGCCTTTATGCGAGCACCGTGCCATATTCGTGTCGAGCTGATGAAGTGAAGTGATAGATGGGAGTCGGGTTTATGTAGGTACAAGCAAGAAATACGAAAAGTTGCAGAATTCGAGAGAGTTCGAGATGGACGGTGCAGTTCAACAGCCGGCCGTTGCCGACGCGTCATCCTTACAGGATAGCGAGTGTGAATTCGAAGACACCCTGATTAATGTCTTTCCTACTGCCACCAAGGCAAAGCAGCTTGGACCGCCTTCGTTTCTCGGGCTTGTGTTCTTTCCCCTAACCTCTGGTTATTGCACACGGCTCAGTTCCTTGCGATCCGCTGCCTGTCGGATTCGAATGTCGGAAGCCTCGGAGGATGGAGGAAAAGATGCTCAGGGCAATAATCTCTATGCGGCATTGGCTCGCACTTTCACGCGTAGCGCTGCACTCTACTTTTCTCGCCCTGTTCGTTTGTTTCGCCCCAGCAAGAGTATGTTGCATTAGTTTTTTTTTGATTATGTCTCTAGGATGATTGACAGTGGCTTGCGTTATTTGAGTTAGTGGATGGCATTCTTTGAAGGGAATTGCTACTCTTGAGGGCACCTCCCTCTCCCCGACATTCGTCTCACAGCTCGTGAAGAGTCAAGGCGTACGTATTCTACTCTTTGCTTCAATAGTATGGGTACTCATCTATACATACGACACTTGAACCTGTCTTTTGCAGATCATGGTCATACCTAAACATTTCTTTCCTCCCCTCATAGTCAATGCTGCTCTCGGGACTGTCCTTTGGGCATCGTACGCCGAGGCCTCTACCGCCCTTGAACCTTATCTTGGGACCAGCCCCGTCATGTTAGCAGCAAGCTCTGGAGCTGTAGCCGGAGGATGTCAAGCTCTTGTCGCCGCTCCCGTTGAGAACGTACGACATGCCATCGAACGTGGAACAATGACCGGAGGTGGATGGTCTCATGCCTGGCGAGAGGTCTTCCGAGGCCCCTTGGCTACTAGTTCTCCTGTAACGAAGCGGGATAAGAAAGAGGAGCTTCGCCAATTCAGAGCATGGTCACAAGAAGTCCGGGATATGGCAGGACGTGGATGGGAGGGTTGGGGCTGGGGCATTGCGAAAGTGCGTGACTGTCGATAATGTTTGATGCGGTGTATTGGTCTGACTATAAACCTGTCATGCATCAATCAGGATGTGTCTGGTGGGCTCTACCACAATATCTTCCATCGAACCGTCTACTTACGATTGTGTATTGACCTACTTAGGATTTGCGGTCTTTTTTGCGATCTTTGAGGCCACCCGTCGGTTTGCCGGGAATATGAGGCTTTTGTCACAGTCCGCCTATCGATATCTCGGGCTTGATACCGACGATGAGCGCCGCTTTCGCCGACACTTCCCCCGCGTAGTCCACGGCCTCACTCTCGTCTCAGGAGGTGTAGTAGCTGGCTTGGCATACGAAGTGCTCAGCCGCCCATGGGATACCGCCCGCAGAGTCGTCTATCTGGATCGCGTCCGCACCAGAGCTAACCATGAACCCAAGCACTTCGCTCTCACAGCCGTCATTGAAAAGGCGCGCGATGACGGGGTTCTATCCTTCTTTCGCGATGCATCGTCCCCCAGCACGGAAACAGCACCTCCTCGACGGCGCATGTTGTACAATACTCTTCGCATAGTAGGCCGTGCGGGGCCTTGGGGCATAGGTTTCTTGGTATGGGAAGCATTTGGTCCTGGTATTGCCTAGCCTTGAGGCAGTTCTATAGGTTGATCGTCTACCTTACAGCTCTCGTATACTGATTTGTGTAATGCGCGTGCCATATGCCCGCTATCACAGATGCAAACGTGAAGGCTCTCGGTGTGAAACTGACTGAAGTATTTTCTTGTCTCTATAAGTTGGGCGTGTTTCTGTTCCATGTATTGGTGTATCATCAATACAGCCCGTTGTGCGGCGTTTGGACACGGATTGGTACGTTGCACTCTCCTGTTCAGCTACCTGACAATCCACTCAGACCATTGCTCTTTCAGATGTTTGATTTAAAACTCCGCACAAGTACTAAGCTTCTTGAACCTTCTGATGATTCTACACTAGGACTGAGTTTGAAGCTCGATTTCAATCCGCCAGATTTGGGGCGCGACCTGCTCACGTTCCTATTACCTTTCTTCTTCATGATTATGACCTTTTGGTGAAATGCATGAAAGATGACCTAGAATGACGTTGACTTGCGCCGTTAGCTTCTCGCCCTTCCAGGGACTGGCCTCTTCCACCCTGCCCTCAGAGAAGTCTCGGATTCTGTCAGATGTGCCACCTGATAGCCGCCCCAGTCGGCCGAGCTAGCGTTGGAAAAGTACGACGTGGATTCTTCCTTTCTGCTTTCGATTGTCGGGTACAATCTGCCAGAGTCATTTAATTTTGCCCGAAACGGTCAAGGTCCTGCACTTCTAAATCCTAATCAAATCTGCCTATTCTTGAAATAGACGAACATCGTAGACGGCTCATACGCTTTGAATAACTGCATGTGACTGAGTGCCTTATCCTGACGGTGAATTTTGCTCTCTACAGGCTTGCTGCTGCGTTGAACAACGGAATACGCGTAGAATAGGCTCGCAGTTTCCTTCGCGTCTCTAGCACGAAGTTCTCATCGATACACCCTACTTTCCAGGGTTCTCTGCGCGGATGCGATGTACTTCTTCAAGTTCGGATGGCCATGTTCTTTGCAACATCATGTATCATGATCATGCTTTGCATGGTGCTCCAAGCAACGACCGGCGAGAACGCCTAAACTTTGATAGGCCGCGGAAGCTTGTGAATAATCGATCTGTCGTACCCTCGGCGGCCTGCCGGAGTGCTGGCGAGACCACTTTTTACCGGTAGATTGGAGTCGAGCTATTAGTGCATCTCAGAACATCTCATTTGGATCTCATCGACATCTTCAAAGCACTAAGCTTTAAATACGGTCCGAAATGTGGAATCTGTGCGTATCTCCTGTGCATATTTCATCTTCTGTCTCTGGGCTCGATGTTGGTCCTCGGGCCTAAAGTTCATAACCCCTCGATCGGGAGCACGCTGCGTGCCTTCGCAAGAGTAAGCGTCTTCGGTGCCTCATCTTTCGAAAGAGAACGTTCATCCTGTTGTATTTTCAAGTTGTGCTCGGTTTTTGTCAGCGCCCATCGAACCATATATCTTCGTGCGTTGGGGCCGGACGTATAGAAGGATAATCGTACAGTATTGACAGTTTTCTTACAGATTGAGTTGATTGAGCATCACGGTGGGGGTGGCCAGCCGAGCACTCAACACCCTCAGTGTTCGTGATACTTGGTGTAGGCAAAAAAAATAGCGCCCGAAGCATTTGAGGAGTAATGTAGTTTGCTCTTATGTCAGGGTAAACATCAGAGTCGTTCGGTTACCCATCAGACCAGTAGAACTCTCCGGCCCCTGGTAAATCCGAACCTCCCCTGTGTCCAGCACCTCGAACCACTCGTTCTCATCCATGTCCAGCAGCGCCTCTGTCTCATCTTCGTCTTCACCATGTCGGCTCACTCCTTTCGCCCGAGCACTCAACTGACGCAGTCGAAATATTGACTTTCCGCGTTCGATGTGAAGTGCCTCCATTGCGGAATGTTGAGGATCGGAGCACGTCATTGATCCTGCTGTGATGCGAGATGTACATCCGACGACGGCACAGATGTTGTGGTAGTCATCGTGAGCTTCACAGTATCGCTTCTTGTTTCGGTTCCGAGGCAGCGCATTGAAGCAAGTGGGTTCGGCGCAACGGGGATGGCCCATGGTAAGACCGTCAACGACAACGACTTCGACTTTGGAATGAGCACGTCGTGAATGGGACATCTCGTGCATTCGTGCACAGTTAGTGGCCGATGTCCTATTGGAGCATCAATAGATATTCAAAGTCACCAGCGTGAAGGAATATTACCATGAAACTACTGTCAGGTCAATCCAAGCGTTTGCAAGTGTGCGCTCAACATACTGATGTTCGCCGACTTGAAGATGATCAGGGACGCCTTCATAGTAGAGCCGTTGTCCATTACGAACGAGATAGTTATTGTGGTAGTTTGTACTACAGCCTTCAAGTTTATACGAGCATCAGAAACATAATAGCAATTCAAATAAGATAAGATTGCTACCTCGACAGTAATAATGGAAGTCCCAAGCAGGTAGTGCACCCTCGGACAGCGTGTATAACACTACACGTCGCGACTCAAGCTTTTTGCACGGTGCATCTTTTTGAAGGCATCCCTGAGTAGTGCAGCACCGGTTGGGGGGATAAAATGAGTGTTTGGCTGTAAGGCATCTGAGTACTGTGTAATTTAATTCAATGCAACATAATGCACATACTGAGGCCCGTAGAATGACCATGATATTCGAATAGTTGGGATTCCTCCTTCTTGCGCTCTTCCGGTGTGGGCTCTGCCCATGCCACATCTCGTAAGATATCCCACAATCGGTTCACTGCAGCCTGAGTTGAACCGAGATAATTGACAAGAAAATCAACAATAGATGGGGGAAGAACATCGGGTATCGTGTTGAAAGAGTCGCCGGCAGGTTGCAAGATGTCAATGTGCCGTCTGAGACGCGTACAGACTGAGAGGAATGAGATGACTTGTGCAAGAGAAATAGGTCGCAGTTCGTCATGAGGTTGCGCGGCCAATAATAAAGTATGGAGTAACATGGTATCGCTGGGTAGTCACAAGGAGAAATAAACGAGCGTGCACGGTACGGGTAGTAGGTACGGAGAAGTGGCTAAGTAGGAAAGGTGAGACTCGGACGATCGAAGGCGCCATGTGAACGGTCCGCGTCCGAGACCGGCTTCCGTGGCAGTCTCACTGACGGCTCAGATCTGACTCAACAGCCTAGACCGCCCAGGTGAGTCTGCGTGGAGAGTGGAGAGGAGTGGAGAGTGGAGAGTCGGAAAGCTGACCTTCCTCGATACTCAGGGATTGCCAGCGCCCCGGGCAGACCCGGATACATGGATAACTTTGTGCCACAGTGGCCCACTTGGGCTCAAGGTTAGTTACTCAACTTAGATCAAGCAGATGAGGAGTCAGTTCGATGTGAAGGCAAGTCTGAGACGGGGAACAAGAAGATCAAAGCGCAGTTTACTCGGCAAAGGACGCACAACGAGCAGATCATGTCGCGCCCATGTGGAGTTATTGTTGCACGAGCAACATTGAACAGTGCAGAGGGTGTTGGCAGCGTTACCGTGGGTCTCAACATCCATGCATTGATGCCTGTACTAATTCTATGCACAGGACATGATCAAGCACGTTTACACCCGTCCGCGCGCACGCAAAATCAACCACGTCATATACGACTCTGCCTGCATTGCTCGGCGTCTGGAGAAGGTAAAAGACGATCCTTGGTGGCAGGACATCGGCCTGACTGTCGACACATTCCACTTCAAGTGCAAACACAAGGAAACAGATGTCGACTGCCAACGCTACTGTAATCCAGCTGACTACCCAGAGCTCGTAGATGGAGACAGCTGGTTCTTTAACTCTTCGATAGCGGAGCAGACAAACTCTTGGTTTGGTGGATACAATTCCATTGTTCGTGAGATGCGATCGACGAAGTATAATTACTTCCTCGATGAAGTGATTCTGCGACGGAATGCCGCCCTTGTACACAAACTCGAAGCAGAAGGACGGATATTTTACTTTACCTAGTTGCCCTGGTATACTCCTCTCTTTCTCACCATACCACTACCATCCCTACTATTCTATACGCCTCCACACTGCTATCTCCACACCCTTTTGGCCGTTTTTGTGCGAAGTTCTGGATGTGTACAAAGTTCTTGGTGATGCAGCTCACGCGTGAGCTGCTCCCGTGGGAAAACACCCTTTTGGTCGTTCTTGTACGAAGTTCTTGATGCTACCTCACCTCAACACCGACTGCCTTTGAGAAAGCTTGCCAGGTGTATCAGTGGGAATTGAGACAAACATAGATGGTGGTTGTGCTCACGAACGTTGCGAGCAGACGCGTTGTGAGCGCTTGCGACGAAGTGACGCGTCGCTGGTGCCACACCATTGACATAATTGGCGAACTACGAATAGATTAAAAATAGAGAGCCGTATACATGCGTAGGACGACATGACATATCAAGGAGCTACACATATCAAGAGGGGGACGTAACACAAAAGAAAGGAAGAATAGATGGGCGTATACCGTTCAATCCAGCTCGATTATCGAAACCCTTCTCGCCTTTGCCTTCGTCTTCGAATATCGCCTCGATGCAACTTCCTTAAACCACACTGACCATCGACCTCGTGTCTCTCCCTTCGCATTGCGTCCAGCCTTGCGTTGCTCATCCGTGCAGCGGTTAGATTCCCAGAAGAGACGAATCTTGTAGTATTGCGAGCTTTGAAACTTCCTACCAAACACTCGTTCAAACCGCTTCTCTACCGTACCGCCCACCGCTTCCGCATCATCAATGGCTTTTAACCCGGTGATGACATCCTCGACATACCAGTCACCAGGCCAGGATGCTTCCAATGGATCGCCTCCATCAGCCGGGAGAAGCGGGAGTCGTATAGCAGCATCAGGAGAGACCAGCGGCGATGAAGGTGTCAAAGAAGGTGTCGAAGATGACGGGGAGGAAAACGGCTTTGGATCGAGTCGAGCAGGCGGCTTTGGATCGAACATGGAGCGACTGAAGGGCTCAGGGTCGAAGGATTCCTCACGAGTGAAGGGCGATAAAGATAGTTCAGGCGAGTCATCAGCGAGAATGAAAGGAAGGAGTTCGCAGCCGGGAAGCAACTCAAGGTGCGGTGACGGTATCTTCGGGATGTCCGGTAAGGTATAATCTCGACGGATGCGCTTTAACGTTGCTTGATCCTCGTCATCCAAATCGCCAAGCATCTCGTCTGCTTTCCGTTTCCTAGTCGTAGGCGTGCGTTGCTTGTGAAGTGCGGAAACACGTGCACGCTCAGCGCCAACGTTGTCCCAAATTAATGGGCTCTTTGTGCGAGCGGCGCCCTGAACGTCGGAGATCCAGCGATCGAGATTGTCGCACATGACCTCGGAGTTGCGACGAATGACTAGACAAGAAGATGGTGCGATGGTGTGGACGGTAGTAAGGGAAATCAGCTCCCAGTACCTATATCGAGGACGATACACCTCGATAGGGTCTGATGCTGCGAATCCCAAGGAGAGTAGATAGGCCGCCTTCTCGGCGAGTGACCATTTCGGGTATGCCTGGCAGTCGTCGACGGTGCAGATCTTTGGGTCGGTATGTGACGTATGATAGACAATGAGTGGGAAGGACTGTTGCTCGCGACGCTCGTATGCACGCTTGCTCGTGTGGGGATCGACCTTTGAACTGATAGTAGGGGACTGTGCGGCAGGACTCGTCCATAGAGGGCTTAGCTGGCTGGAGTACCGAGCTTTTGTTGACTTCTTGATGAGGGATGATGAAGATGATGTGGTA